AATAAGAGTCAAACGCTCTACCGATTGAGCTAACCAGGCTTTCTTGTTGGCATAAATTTAGGCAATTTATTATGTTCTCTTGACTTGAGAGATTTTCAAAAGCAGGGTTTTTAGTAATATCCGACTATCACTAGTCATTTAATAAGATCCTATCCCGTTTTCTAGAGATTTTGCTGAAGTATGCATTTTTTGCGGTTAATAATTCTGAATTATTGATGAAAATACTGGTCTTTGGAGATACATTCCTATGAGTTCTCCCAGGCTTTTGTGGTAAAAATACTGCAAATTATATAACTGCTTGTTATTGGGATAAATCATGTTTTCCAGCCTCAATTAAATGTTTGGAGTGGGTATTGAGTCAAATTCTCCATTGATATGGATATAAACGAGGACGAAATACAGAGGTTCTGCCCTTAAACTAGCCAAATTCAGCAATCAAGTCCAAATGATAGTCATTTTCGAGTTCTAGCAGCTAGTATAAAAGTTTTGACTCGTAGGAACAGATAATGAAATTACATGCCATAATCCTTTAGTTAGATGTTGATTTACAGTCTACGCCGCAATAACGCGTTTTAAGGGAGTCATCATACATTTTATATTTCAAAGATATGAGAGCATCATCTTCTGGGCCCTTTCATTGACCGAGAAAATATAAGAATTCAATTTTAGTACATTTAATTTCTTATGTTTTAATTCAACCAAGAGAAACGACTAAACAAAGTGAAGAACTTACTATTCTTTGGAACCTTAAATAGGATTGTTGCCTAAGCAAGTTTAACCTCTATTGGAAACGTATCTATTCTGAAAGTATCACTTTCATGGCAGATGCTGCTAACCATTATTAGAGAAATAGTTGCACGCTCCCATTCAACTAATCACTGGATTAAATGACAGAAGCATTGCCTTCACGTACGATACTCCTCGCATACTCTTCATTACTATACCTCGCACTGTAGGTCGCCTGAGCACCCTGCCCCATCGTCGTAGCCGGCTCGAGGTTCCATATTGCTTATGTAATCGCTACCGCATCCACATATTCCAGTATATCCACCACTGCTCCACACCAACCATGAGCGAGTCTGTCAAGAGAACCCGACCCAAGACAGCAGTGGACGTTACCATGCCAAATGTGGGCGAGCGCACCTACTCGCTCTTTAATATTTGGGTGGTGACGTTGGCGTTGAAGTTACTCCTCGTCGTCAGCTATCATTCTACCGACTTTGACGTTCACCGCAATTGGCTAGCCATCACCAAAAACTTGCCTGTGTCCAAGTGGTACATCGAGAACACCTCCCAGTGGACTTTGGACTACCCACCCTTCTTTGCCTACTTCGAATGGGTGTTGGCCCAGTTCGTACCTGAAGTGGTCAAACAAGATGGCTGTCTAGCTCTTGTGGAAAAGGGCGCGTACTCGTTGCCCACAGTGTACTTCCAAAGACTCACTGTCATTGTCAGCGAAATCTTGCTTTTCGTGGCATTGCAATGGTACATCAACTCTTCGGACTCCCAGGCCTCCAAGAGACGTGCTTACGTGGCGGCGTCTAGTCTTGCCTTGTCGCCAGGGTTGTTGGTGATCGACCACATCCACTTCCAGTACAACGGAATGATGTACGGGATCTTGGTGTTGGCCATCACCTGTGCTAGGCTCAAGCGGTACTTGATGTGTGGGTTCTGGTTTGCCGTGTTGCTCTGCTTCAAGCACATCTACCTTTATTTGGCACCTGCGGTGTTCGTGTTCTTGTTAAGAGCATACTGCTTGAACCTCGAGTTCGATCCCAAGCGTAAAATGGTGGAGAATTTAATCTACTTGGTCAAGTGGAAAAATCTTTCCAAGCTTGGTGCTTTGGTGGTGGCAATATTTGCCGTGGCTTTTGGTCCCTTCGTCTATTACGGTGTGATGCCGCAACTTCTTGCAAGATTGTTCCCTTTCAGCAGAGGCTTGACCCATGCATACTGGGCCCCCAACATCTGGGCGATTTACTCGTTTATCGATAGATTATTGATCCAGGTATACCAACGGGTTCCCCTCAGCCAGTATCCGTTACAGAAAATCTTCAAATTCGACACCAGTCTACTTTCAAACTCAAAATTCATCAACTCCTCAACCAGAGGCTTGGTGGGTGACATCGAATTCTTGATCTTGCCCACAATTACACCTCAGTTAACATTCTTCCTCACCTTGTTCTACCAGATCATGGCCTTAATACCATTATTTATTCAACCAAATTTCAGAAGATTCATTGGAGCTTTGACCTTATGCGGATATTCCTCCTTCTTGTTTGGATGGCATGTTCATGAAAAGGCGATTTTGATCGTTATCTTCCCCATCAGTTTCCTTGTCTGTAGAGACAGAAGGTTGTTGGGCCCATTCAACTTATTAGTAAGCTGTGCATACATAAGTTTGTTCCCATTAATTTTCACTCCGAATGAGTGGCTCATCAAAGTGACATATACATTGTTGTGGTACATTATTTATTACTTTAATTTCAGAAAAGTGGTTAGACTTCCAAAAGACGCTCGTGAGTCCAGTTACATATTGGACAGAGTCATCAACACTTATATTTTGGGATTATTGCCAGTTCTAATCGTAATCAGTCTCATGGACCTACTTGAGGGCAAGTTCGAGATATTGAAAAAGTTGGAGTTCTTGAAGCTCATGATTGTGAGTGTCTACTGTGGAATTGGTATAATAAGTAGCTGGAACGGTTTCAACTGGCTATACTTCTTGCACGACGACATTTGGGAGGATGACAGCAAAGAATCCTCAAATTAAGTGGCACATGATACCTCCTGGAGACCACTGATCTTCCCCTATCTAATATCCCCCAAACGCTTGAGCTACTGTTTATTGCTTTGTATACAGCAGTAACTAGGTCGTGGACTCTAGGCCAGCTCGTGGGTGCATGTATATATAATTTGAAATTAATAAAAGTTCCTACCATTAGTCCATTTAGTCCATTGAATCCAATCTTTCCAACTGATCACGGTTCCAAACACAAATCCTACTCCGATTTGGATAGGAACCATTGATAATGCTGTCGAATAACTTAACTAACTTTTTCTTGTGGTAATCTCTCTCGTTGGTGTGTTTGTGCTTCTCGTAGAATTTGTATTGAAGGAGTTTATCATTATCCGTCAATATTTTGCTCCTCAATGGGACCTTTCTGCAGATTTGGCGACTGCGAAGCTTTGACTTCAATAGCAAGTTGCCCAGTCTCTTTGGTCTTGTGGTGGTAAAGTCGAAGCCCTCGCCTAGGACTAGGGAAATTTGAGGACAGACCAATTCATCAAAGCTAAGTAAAGGTGTGGACCAGATGTCGTCCACTTCGTCACCTTGGGTAAAGCTTCCGAACATTTGCTGAAATGAATCTGAGCCTGACATTGGTAAATTGTTTCGATTTCATGGAAGAAATTGAATCAGTCTTATTCCTCGATTTTTTTTGTTACGCTTATCCCACCCTAGCAAAACATTAGTGCTGAGGTAGTGTGAACCAATCGACGGGAATACTCCACCGAGTACTAGGGTAATGAGATTTCTTAGTAGGAACTACCGGGCATGGTTGTGCTATTTGTACCATATCAGGTTTAGTTGGTTGATGGCTGCGAAAAGGGCCTGCGATTAAAATCAAACTGTCAATTTTTAAAAATGTTTACAGACAGAGCAAGGACATACTTTCATAACCCACCAAGCACTTACAATAGTCGACCATAATGTTCATAATATTCTTTGTATCTTTCTCTATATTACTTAGAGAAGTCTTTCAGGCGTGTCGCCTTGTCAATCCACTGGGCCAAAGGATCATAGTTGTCTTCAATAGCATGGGAAGCACTATACCAATGCTCTACAATCCTTGACTGGTCATGAAGGTGCCACGAAGACATGGGAATCAAGAGAGCCAAGGCCTGGTCGGCCAGAGAAATTGTGGATAGTGGCATCTGGACAAAATAGCCATTAGAACCCCTACACACATCCAAGATCCAGGCAGTAGAACCAGCAGGCGAAACAGGCCATTTGGAATCCATCAAGATTTTGCCTTTGATATGGTCAGTCATTTTTTTGTATGCTTCCCACTCACCCTCAAACCATCCCAAGTACTGACCAAATGCAGGATCCTGGAACCTGGTATTTTCATCGGAAACCACCCATCTGACAGGGTCTCTACGCCTGAATTCATTTTCTCTCATCTTACGAATCACCTCCTCAAGGGTCAAATCTGTTTCTTCGTTTTCGAGTTTGCTGATTTGGGAACCAACCGAGCTGTTGGAAACTGAATCGCCATTCATTTCCTCATCGTTGACAGATGTTGCCTTTGTGGAAGCTGACTTTTTGGTGGCCGGTTTCTTGGATCTGCCTTTCAATTTGTCATACTGTTCATAATAATTTGTTTTTGTGACTTTGGCGTGAACACCGTTGGTGGATTCCACTGGTTTGTTCAACAGTTCCATTTCACTTTTTGCATCCATGCTTAACTTTTCCCAGTCAAAAGCACAGCCTTTTCTTATTTCCAATTCATAATCGTAAGATACATCTTCTCTTTTCACGCTGTTGGGCAAAGGGTGCATGGGTATGTAGATGGTTGACGTTTCTGGGATTTTGGTGACTCCAACCGAACTCAATATGTCCAGGATAGGCTGGAAAATCTGGGTTCCTGGAGGAATATAGACTCTAGTCTCCACAGTGGACCTGATGCCTGAGCTTTTCAAGTTGATGTCCTCCATTCTTTTGGCAAACATTAACGCAGCAATGTGACGGAAAGTGGCTGGACCAATGCTGTACGAAATCAGTGGAAAAGTATGGACAATTGCCTTGTAACATCGGTCGACAAACTTCAAGTACGAGTTGATGGACGGTATCATGGTCACTTCCTTGCAATTCAGAGTGGACCGTATGTTCAATTGGTTCAAGAATGCCCACGAGAGGGGACTCATGGTGGTAGAGCCTGTACCCCTTCTGTTTCCACTGCCTTCTGAGATATATGCCATGATGGAGTGTGTAGTTCAGTGGAGAATGAATCTGGAGAAGAAAGCCAGCTGCTCAAGTATGGACTGTTTTCGAGTAAATTACCTGCAGACAAATTGACGCGTTGGGCTGGAATGGAGGTGGCTGGCATGGCTGTAAGAGGGAGCCTCAGTTTGGATACGAAATGCTAGTAGCATGGTTTTCATAGATGTATGTAGCTTGTTGTTGTTTGCTGAAGTGAATATAGGTATGGGGAGAAGCTTTCTGTAGATGAAAATTAATTGAGATGGACTGGTAAGCTGGCTGCGAAAATCGAAGAATGTCAAAAATTTAGGATTTTGGAAAATAAAAAATCAATGGTGTAACTTTTAAATTTACCCAAAAAGATAAGAAGGCAATCGAGTACTCGCTTGACGAGTAATTATCGATTGTGTTTGATGTAAGTGGCTGGAGCCCGGAATTCAAAATTTCTTGTACCTCATTAGGTCCATTGCTGATATCGAAAGATTCTCTCAAAAGTGTTATATCAGCATTATTTGGTTCGAGCGCTACCTTAATTATACCTAAGTAATTTCATTTCCAGTCTTTGCAGACTAGAACTCTAATTATCCGTTAAAAACCATCCAAAGTGGTAATCGAGAAATCACTTGTCGGACAGGCTTTTTCCTATTGGCGTCTCGATGCGAAAAATCTCTTTGAACTTTTTCAGCGCTCTGTTCGAAATACTTCTGTAAATATCAATGCTTCAAACACCATAAAATTCCGTTATTGATCTTAAAAGACTTTCGGAAGCTTTAATACTTAGTGCTACATGAGTTCAGATGGGCCATGACTTGTATTTGCCGAAATTGACGAGTGTTTAGCATGTGTTGAAAATTTAGCTTTCCATTTGTTTTTAATTTTTGCAACTTTAGCCCACATGGTACGAGCTATGCTTAGAACCAAGATCTACCATTCGTATGCTCGATTTTTAAGCAAACTTTGGTTGCTAATGGGGAGTGACCGTTTTGCGTCAAATAACTTGCTGGATTTTGTTTTATTTCTGACGGGATATAATTTAGTATGCTCTTTAGATGACCCATCAGTTTTCAAGCACAAGGCTCGAACTAGTCTGGGACAATACTGCCTCTTGAGATGAGACCACCGGTCAAAGTGTCTCAAGATGTATATTTTTCTTTTTCAAACTTTGTAGACGCCACACAAAACTTTGCTAAGGAGTATTGTTCTAAAGAATAAAATTGACTAAAGAGAGTATGTATACAAGATTACAAGGCTATTTGGACTATTTCTGGCTCTTAAAACTACGAGGTATGTATTAGACAGAATTACTCGTCAAACAAGAAATGGTTCTGTGGTCTAGTTGGTTATGGCATCTGCTTAACACGCAGAACGTCCCCAGTTCGATCCTGGGCAGAATCATTTTTTTGCTAAATCCACCGATCCATTAGCACCGTTAGCTACCTCTCCGTACAGACCCTGAAACTTCAAACATAGTCTCATTCTCCGGTGATACAAGCGTGAGCTTGCCTGCTGGATCTTTTGCCCCTAGATTTTGCGCCCCCCCCCCAATGCGCCTACTGTTGCTCAATTGCCGCAAATTGCCCAATAATAGCCCACAGATCCGTCCCACCCTAGCCGGGCGACTGGGCCCTTGACCCTGGTGGCAATATCCTTCCACACCAGCCATATCCGTTTTCGCCCTAACCAGACAATACAGTGCCATTTCTCCCGGGCAAAATTGCACCCACCCACCAGCACTTAATCATCGTGCCGGCAAATCACCTCTCCCAGCGGAAGGGTCCTGGCGACTGAAGTGAACGCCTCCGGCAGCACCAATCGAAGTCCGATGCGGCCCAGACTGGCCAATAGCTCCGACTTCGCTTCTACAATTCCTTCACAGCAAGTGAGTTTTCGCGCTGACCGCAACAGCAACGATTTATGATATATAAAGGAGGGGGCTTGCTGGTTAAATCTGCCACCAATATCGGAGTCTGAATCGCTAGAATTGTAAGACACCCCGCAATCTTCACATTCTCATACAAATCACACATCAATTGCAATGTCCATCAGCTTGGGAAGGTACTTGTTTGAAAGGATCCACCAGCAGCCAGTAGGAGTTGGCTCGGTATTCGGAGTTCCCGGAGACTTTAACCTCACCCTCCTCGACAAGATTGACGAGGTAGATGGCTTGAGCTGGAAGGGTAACGCCAACGAGTTGAATGCAGCCTACGCTGCCGATGGGTACAGCCGTGTCAAAAGCGGATTTACCGACGGTCCTGGCGGCTTTGCCGCCTTGGTGACCACCTTCGGAGTGGGAGAACTCTCTGCCTTGAACGGTATTGCTGGCGCCTACGCTGAGCACGTCGGCCTACTTCACATCGTCGGGGTTCCTTCCATCTCGGCCCAGCAGAAACAGTTACTTTTGCACCACACCTTGGGCAATGGGGACTTCACCGTGTTCCAGAAGATGTCTGCACAGATCACTCAGACATCCGGGTTTGTCAAAGACGGCGAAACCGGTCCTGACGTCATTGACAGATGTATTCGTGAGGCCTTCATCAACCAGAGACCCACTTACTTGGCATTTCCAGCCAATTTGGTTGACGAGCAAGTTCCTTTAGAAAGATTGAAGCAACCCCTCGATTTGAAGGTCCCTCCCAATGATAAAGAGTCCGAGGAAGAGGTGCTCGAAAGAGTTTTGGAATTGATCTCCAAGGCCAAGGATCCAATCATCCTCATTGATGCCTGCTGTGCCAGACATGACGCCACAAAGGAAGCCAAAGAGTTGATCGACAGAACAGAGTTCAAATACGCTATTACCCCCATGGCCAAGGGTGCTAGGGACATAAGTGAAGACCATCCAAGGTTTACAGGCGTGTACGTGGGAACCCTCAGCTACCCAGATGTTAAGGAGGCTGTCGAGTCGTCAGACTTGGTCATTTCTTTGGGTGCAATGTTAAGTGACTTCAACACAGGTTCATTCTCGTACAGCTACCAAACTAAAAATGTGATTGAATTCCACTCCGATTACACCAAGATCAGACAAGCACAATATCCCGGAATCAGAATGAAGAATGTCTTGAGAAGCTTGTTGGACGACCCAAAATTCGAGGATAGTTTTAAGCACTACCAACCATCTGCGGTTGTTAAGAATCCATACAAAGCGGAAGAGCCAAAGAATGAAATTATCACTCAACAATGGCTCTGGTCCAAATTGTCATCGTGGCTTAGAGAAGGTGACGTTATTGTCACGGAAACGGGTACCTCATCTTTTGGAATTATTCAAACCAAGTATCCAAAGAACGCCATTGGTATTTCGCAGGTCTTATGGGGAAGTATTGGGTACAGTGTTGGTGCAGCCTTTGGTGGAGTTGTGGCGGCCGAAGAATTAGATCCTAATAGAAGAGTAATTTTATTCGTTGGTGACGGATCATTACAGTTGACAATTCAAGAGATTTCTAGCATGGTCAGAAACAAGAACAATATCTATGTTTTCGTTTTGAACAATGATGGCTATACCATTGAGAGATTAATCCATGGAGAAACCGCCGAATACAATGATATCCAATCATGGAAGCATGGTCAAATCTTAGACACCTTCGGTGCTAAGGAGGGTGAATTCGAATCCTTGAAGGTTTCTACACCTAAAGAGTTGAATAACTTGTTCAGCGATAAACAATTCGCAAAGAACGACAAGACTAGGTTAATCGAAATCATGCTCGAGAAGATGGATGCACCAGACAATCTTGTCAAACAAGCCCAGTTATCCGCAAAGGCAAATAGCGGTTAAAGACAATCAAAAATTGTTAAAGACATCGGTTAGACGAAGATCTATACTTATATATACAGCTAATTATTTGGGTTAAACATGTAGTCAGGAAACAAGGACTCCCAATCCTCATTGAACAAATCGGACGTCATTAACACGGGTGGTCCACCCAAGAAATCCAAACTCTTGTCAAAGAGCAACTCGGTATTTGTGTCTACTACCGATTTATGATGATGGGTAAGTTCTGGCAAGTTCAAAGGAGAACCTTGATAAAGATGATGTTCAGGGCGGGATAGTATTTGGTGGTTCTGTTTTTCGATTGGAAGGGGAATGTTTTCATCCACTGACTGGGTAAAGTTTGTTGGCTCCAACTTGACGCGAGTCGGTGATTCTGAAACACGTTGCCCGTTTTGAGAATTGCCTAAAGTAGTCTTGGGGCTGGTTTGGGTCAGCTTCTGTCTCTCTATGGTTTCGTCCTCAACTTCATCTGGATCCTCGTATATTGTCTTCAATTTGATACTGATCATGATGTACGACTTCTCTGCCAATTTCCAGGTTTTCGAAGAACCTTGCAAGACATCCATGAAGAACTGCAATCGGTCTCTCTTCTGGTCGATTAATTGTTTGCTTGTATTTGTCAATAAGATGATGGAGATGGACAAAATCGAGCAATAGACAATGAAAATCGATACTCTTCTGAATCCGTGCACACTTTGGAACTTATGAATGGCATCATACAAGTCGTCGATTGCTTCGTCACAAATTTTCAAAGGCGATAATGTTTGTGCCTGGTTTTGAGATTCACGTTTTCTGACAATACCCACGAAAGGACGATTCAAACAGAGAACCAAGATGTAGTAGTAATATCTGATACATGTCAAAGTTGGATTTTCAGCAGTTTGTCGTAAGGAATCCCGGTCCCATTGTAAGTCTGGTGGCAAAGACATTTTCCATTGCCTGATTTGAGAATTGTACTCATTCAACTTTTCCAATCTTGACACAAGATTCAAGTCTTCATGGTTGGACTGGTCATTTTCTATTTCAGATTTGGTAAAAATATCATTCAACATATTGTCCGAGATGCTAATCAAGTTAATGATTTGGTTGAGTGGATTAGAGATGTAGGAAGGTTCTGCTTCTCCTGGTTTTGAAGTGGGAGGAGGGTTTGATGAATTGGCTCTTTCCTTTTGTTGCTTCTTGACAAGTCCTCTATAGGTGAATTCATCAATCCATTCCAAATCAGGCAAATCGTTCGTTTCAGGAATGGAAGCATCGGTCAATTTCAACAACGATGGTCTTCCCAAAAGTAAACTGATGAAATGATCTGCCACATAGCTTCCCCAGTAGATTCTACTTCTGATGCTGACATCCAAAGGACTTAAGTGTTCTTTGGACTTGACAAACCACACTTCTGGGTTGAGCTGGAAACCCAAATCGAACCCCATTCTCATGGCGTTCCCCGAGAGCATCCACCCACTGGAGTTGTAACCGTTGGAAATGTCGTAGAATGCCAAGAGCAAAAAGCTCTGCAAGGAGGTGATGGATGGGGTATTGAGCTTGCTCAAGAGAAGGTCCTTGGCCTCGTTGTAGAACTGAATGGATTTGTCGTAGATCTGGTCGTCGTCAGACATTTTAGAGCCCAACGCACAGATGCTGAGGATCAACACCTTGGAGCAGTACATGCTGTTGGGCTTGGGGTCGAAGAAGTCGATCAAGAACGCCTCACGGAAGATAAACATATTGTGATCGGGATACTGCCAGGTGAAGAACAACTTGAGCGAGTGGAGCACATCGGAGTTGGTGTTGAGCGACTTGATGGAAGAAGCCTCCACGTTGCGCAAGTTGCGGGCGTCCTTGCTGAGCAAGCTGTCGTCGTAGACACTGGTGGGTCCGTAGATGGCGCGTCCTTCGATGTGGTCTTCGTAGATGCTGTTCTTGCGGTTTTTGGGGTTGTACGCGAGCGGATCTGGGCGGAGAGTGTCGCCAGCGGCCTCAGACTTGACTGCAGCCGAGCTCTCTGCCTTGGCTTCGTCGATGGTGTTCTTCTGGATCAATTGTTCGAGGTTAATCCTGGCAAGAAGGTCCTTTCTGGCGTCGAGCGACTCTGCCTGGCTGAGAGTCTCGAGAAATGCCGTCAAAGTGCGTACTTTGGACTCCAACTTGGTCACATACAGCGCTGCCGGGCGCTTCTTGCGAAGATCCTTCAACTGGACACATTCGACGCCTGCTTTGACGCAGCCAACACAGGGAAACTCGTTGTTGCACTTGACCTTTCGGATGCGGCAGCGCTGGCAACTCAAAAGCTTGGGAGGGGAGTTCATGGCAGCGGCAGTCAGCGTGGGGGCATGTTCTGGTTGGCGTGGAGGCACTATGGTGAAGGAAGCACTGACGGAGATGGCGGCAGTGGAGATGATTGTATTTACGATGGTGATGTGGGGCGTGCGCGGGCGATGTGGGGCTGCAAGTGGTAGCGCGGGTAGAGGTTGGGGAGGTTGGTGGAGGTAGTTGCTCCATGAGGGCAGGTAGTGGCTCAAACAGCTACGAGTCTGGAGAAAGTCCACGAATAATCATTTTTTGTTCTTTAGTACAATTAAAACAGGAGATATACACCAAGTGCGATTAGACAGATTTCACCAGAAGTGACCAAATTGAGCAGTTAGGACAGATTTCCAGGCTTAGTAGATGCGTGTATTGTGATTGCATTGTGTACACATTGTATAGTATTTCCTCTAATGATGGGGCCTATTTATTTGATATCTGTCAGTACCTTTTGTACTAACTAGTAACTAAGTCTTGAATAAATCGTTTATTATCTCGCATATTTCTCTAATTGTGCATTTAGAGAACTAGTTAGTTTTTACCGTCCTTGCTGCCATAATTTTCTGCCAATCGGTTACTGGATTGAAGTGAAGAAATATTTTGGGATTTTTTCAATTTGGAATAGAAATCAGCCAGTCGATTGTTTTAGTTATTTTATCGTCCGTGGGCATTCAGGGAGCTTGTGTACAACTGTACAGGAAAATGTTTGATTCTCTGGAAAATTCAGAGAACGTATCAAAATTTTTTTAAGGCACTGGCATATTTTCCTAGCATCTTAAGAGTATATTAATTTTGGTGAACTACTAAACTATTAAGGGCAATTGTTCTTTCAAACTTGCGTCACCGTTAACAGTGGTAAGGCTAAAAAGCACTTAGATCAGCTAAACTTAGCATCTCCAGCATCTCATTATTAACATAGATATCGTGACTGTATGCTATTCCTTTGAAAATAAAACACTTAATATGTGAAGCATGGAAGAATAAAAAATGTATAAAATGAATTAGTTGTTGTAAACAATATTTGTACAGAGTATGGTAATTGCATTGATAATAGAATATAAATATGAAGATTCAAATATTACTACCATTAAAGCAGACTAAGCATCATCGTTCACTACTCTTGGAAATACTCGACACTCCTCAAGTCTACACCAATGAATCATTACTAGCTTCTGGAATGTTGTTTATTAGTATTCATTTTAAAACTTTATCAATTGTTTTATCTAAATATCCAGAACCACTGTTGGTCCCTTATCTAGAATATTTTGGAGGAACTCCAGTTGAGGAGATGTCTATAGATGCAGATCCCATGAGGGAATCAGGAAGTATGAGATAATTCGTAACGGACAGGGGCAGATCACGAGGAAATCAGGGAGTATGAGGGGTATAATCCGTAACATCCCTCTTGGACTTGACCCTCGTACTAGATCTTGAACAAGATCTGGTAGGTGGTATACACCACAGCAACAATACCTACCACGAATAACACGTAGTCAAAAACCCGCAAACAGTAGTCCTGGCGGGTCCAATTAGGCTTGTGCTTCAAGGTACGCAAGTGGATCAATGGTGGGTAGATGTACACCAACGGAATGCACGCAAAACACCCGTTGAACGACACAAACTTGTCGATGTTGCTGGCGTTAGCATAGGCAATGGCACAGATAATAGCCACCACTGCCGACCGGAAGAGGTTCTTCAACCACTTCACCTGAGGGTTATATTTGCCTGAATGGCGATAGAGTTTGCCTTCGCTGTCAGCCTTGCTCTTTGTTTTGGAGGTTTTCACGGCCGGGTTGAAGGCCAAGGCCTCCAAAATCTTTATGGCTGGAAACAATTGCAATGGAGCTGTCAAAAACACAGCCAACGAGTACAACACCAAAATGGAGCGCACGGCAAACTTGCTCTGGGGCAAGTTGAGGATGATGATGGACTTGATCTCGTCACCAAATGACGAGTAGCCCACGGTTCCAATTCCGACGAAAAGCACGGTAATCACAGTCATACCCACGAACAACACCATGGGGAATTTTTCTGGTTGGGCCATGGACGCTTCGATGGGCAAGATGAGGCCAATGCCCTCGAACGAGGTCACAGCCACCCCGATCAACATGGACCAGTTCTTGGAGTTGAAGTGCTGGATGTTGGGGCCAACACCGTAGGTGAGTAACTGGACACCTGAGTAGTAGAAGATGATGACAAGACCCACGATGATGAAAACTGACGACACCAACGACACTAACGACAACTTGGTCAAGTTACGGATGAGAACCAACGGAACCAAAAGCACAAACTGGATGAGCACGAGATTAGCAGTGTTCAAGTAGGCACTTGCACCGTCAGGAAGCACGCTGCCCAAGAACGAGATCATGTTCTCGGCCGCAAAGAGAATGTAGGTGGCCACGAAGCCGAACTGGGACAACACGATGGAAATCAAAATGAAGATTTTCAACGGTTTACCGTAGGTCTTGAATCCCAACTCACCATAAGACGACAAGTTCATGGTCTTCTTGGACTTGATGAGCACCACGTAGCAGAGGTAGGTGAGCACGCCAAACAACGTCAAGGCAAAGATCGAGAAGGACAAACCTCCGTTGTAGAAGGCTCTGGGTAAAAACAACACACCCGAGCCCACCAAAGACTTGAACAACAAGAAAAATGTCTTGAGCACCGAAGCAGTACCCTTGGGTGCCTCCTTGGCTCTGGAACGGTGTGGCAACTGCTTGGGCAACAGGTGGTGCGAGTAGTTGGGAGGCTGGCGACGCTCGTTCAACAACGACGATTCCTCGTCGAACACCTCTTCGTAGGAGGATCCGTGGGCGCTTTCCAAATCGGTCTCCTCGCTGTCGGAGCCTCCGTCGTCGTCGCTGAAGTCTTCTCCCGCAAAGTGGCCATATATCGACAAGAACTCAACAAAGTTACGTGTCAAGAAATTGGGCGGTGTTTCGTTCTTCTGCAAGGACTTGTTGATGAGAAACTCCCTCCTGAACCCGCCAGGCACGTTGATGTCGCTGGCTGTGGACTCACGACGTGTTTCGCTCAAGTAGGTGGAGAAAGACGAGCTCCGCGTCCGTCTCTTTGGGTAATCCTTCAGAAAAACCGGCGACGCCACGCCAGAACCCCCGTGGTGACTAGAAGGCGACGTTCCCATCTTGTTAACACTTCCGTCCGAGCCGTTTTCGAGCTGGTGGTAGATCTGACGAGCGATATCGCCTCCCTGGAGCTTGAGGGTGTCTTCTTGGCTTACAAAGTGCTTGCTGACGGTCTTGAAATCGAGCTCTTTGGACGAAAGGTTGCCCACGTTCGAAATCTGCTCTTGGTAGCTCATACTGAGGTTGCTGGCACTGTCGTTCGTGGGTCTGTGGTTCAGAGATGGAGATGGCGACATGATGCGTTGGTGCGAAAAGGTGGACAAGGAGGGAGATGCCAGTCTGGGAGGGGCGGGAGCGGAGCCGTGGATGGGTGAGGCCGCACGGGAGGCTGCGGACAGCTCACTTTTGTTCTTCATGGGGAGCTAGTGTGGATGGAAGGGGAGGTGGAAGGGTGACATTGCGAAGTGTGGATGGTTGATGGCCACGCACGTGACTATAAGCACGTGCAGCGCGTAGCGGCATTGCCGGATACGGCAAGCCGCCTCTGGCTATTTGCGGCACCGGCGGCATGTTACCCCAGGTCATGACGGTGATGCTTCCGACGCAAACTCCGACACTGGCATCAGACTTTCTTGTGCAGCATACGTTTGCGAAGCGGGGGGACCAGTAGACAACGGTCCGAGGCCCAACCCGCGGGCAAACCGCCTACCAGTGACCCCAAATAAACTTTAAAGTTTCGATGCTTCAGAAATAGAAGGTAAGCGGCTGGAATGAAGAATACGCCAATGGAGAGAGGGGGCAATGCGATTACGAACCGAAACGATCATCTGCAAGTGAACCGAACCGTGCTTGGCCTAGAAGGACGATCTCAACTGGCGGTACCGTCTTCAAGGGCGGATTCCCCTTTCAGAGTTGCGCAGGCGGCACCATATACTAGCGGAACTTTAATCGTCCAGGGGGTGAGTCCGACAGCAGCCCATGCGATGGGCGCAGAGGCATATGAATTACATGGGGCTGCAATGGGCACACACAGGACATTCAGGCAACAAAATGCACAATACACTCGGACACTCGGGTCCCAGCCAGGTGATCGACTGGGCCTGTGGCTAGTTTCGGTGTGACACCCTGACTTTAAGGGTGAAAGGACCCCCATCCGCGGTTGCAGCAGCTACCCCGGGAGCGACACGAGACATTTGTCGCCCCCACCACTGCACGATAAGTGCCTGTGCAGGGAGCAGCTTATATACACGCACGGCACCCGATGAGTTTCCAAGAATTTGCGACCATAAGTGCGAAAATGGCAATTAGCGGAACTTGCATATACGGCTTGGCTTCAGAAGCCTTGGTGCTGACACTGGGGTTGTTTTTCTTAGCGCGACAATTGTGACAGTCACTAGCATTGACCACGACCTCTTACTCAACTCAGTAATTCTGGCGGTGCCTCGCACAAACCTTCCTAGCCAGCCAACACGGCCGGAGGGATGTCTGCATATAGACCACGATTGAACCATCCGCTGTTTGGCCGACGGGTACGACTATGGAGAAGCCCAGCGTAGCAAGCATGAATTTTCCACAATGCGCTGTCTGTCTGGTGCAGTCGGTAGGGAAGATTTCTGGGGAGGGGGTGAGGGTTAGACCTTTCCAAATCTACAGCCACGTACAGTGTGCATCTGTAACGAAAATCATTTATTGTGCTACCTCCATGCATTGTCGTAAGATGTACTGCGTGCGCACACCGAAAATCTAAATATGACAGTCTCAGCGAGCAATAGGGGAATATATGCATTCCGTGCATATGCTTCCTATAGACACAACAATCGGATTGTACAAGTATCTTCACGATATGGGCCCGGGAAAGCGGGCCACAAACAATAGTGATGGTCGTATTCTGGAGCAGTCCAGGTTTGTCTCTTCGGCTCCAGAACACAAGGCCTAGCCCCATCCCAGCCGTCCACTCCTGGGCCGGGCAATCGGCATGGTGTCACAAAGACGGAAATTTTGTCGGATCCTTACCGGAAAAGGAATGGTGCACCACAAATGGCAGGCCACTCCAAGGCTGAGATGGTGCCAGATATTCAGCCATGACTGAGCCATGTTAAGCCACGGATGGCTCTATACACGAGGACGGACGGGCGGGCAGGCGGGCAAAATGAACTCCATTCTTTGCTAGTTGCTGCCACTGAGATATTCGATCAAACAATCCTCAATGTCTCCACAAGCCCGAGTGTCTCTGTTTTAGCGTGGGTGGGGTGCCGAACTAAAGCTGGCAAAATTCAGCTGCAACAAACCACCAGACAGATCTTTTTTGCAGGTTGGACTAGGCGACTTGGTGCAGATACTGAAGAGTTGCATGGATATTTTGGACCAGTTGTACTAATGTCAATCAGCCGAGAATAATACGCCGTATATCCAGCTGATGCCCAGTAGGTATGCCAAGGCTGACAGGTGTCAGCACAAGGTGGGAGAGAGGAAGGCGCGTGTGATAATAGGAGGCAGCGTTCCATCGCTAGTGATGGAACATGATTGGACCGGAAAAAAGCCACATGACTGGGTGACACAAAACCCACTTAACAAGCCGCGCATATCTCAATAAACAATCTAGTTGTATCTGGCTGCACGGATGGCAGAATGTAGAGTTAAGCAGGGCCTAGTGCACTAATTGATGATCGCAAAATAGGAATACCAAGATTAGAACGCTAAATTGTAAATATTAACTAATGAGGAGGTGAAACAAGATCAAGCTGAAATGGGCCGTGGGGCAGAATGGGGGAGCCTGGCGGGCGGTGGAGGGTAATCGGTGGCCAATAGCAGGAGGCGTGGGGGGACCGGAGTATCTCCTCCCGACAACTTGGTAGCGCCGGACATTAGATTACCCTCGTCGCTAGTGGACACACCCCCAAAGATGTTCTGTGCATAGTGGGTATGCACATTTACTCTTCCAACCTAGGCTATTGTGTCACCTCCTAGCTGCATCAAGCACAAATAACTTACATCTGAATGGCTATCGCGCAAAAAATATCTTGGATTTGGCGCTCGCGGACCGCACCCGACACCTCTACGGACCGCGCCGACTCACCAAAACAGAATTTTCTCCTGGGGCTGCATGCGACTGTGACTATGCTCTATTCAAATCGAGCTCTGCAGGAGGCTCATGCAGTGACTGCCGCGGCATACTCTCCCGGCGGGGCTTCTGATAATTATTTCTTTTCCGACGTATAGATCCTTCTATGTATATATATATCCTCTGACACCTCTATTGCCTCTCCATTCCATTGCTTCCCATCCATATCATGTCTTCCCAAGACGACATACAACCGAGAGCCTTCCGTTTCCGGGAGAATGTGGACTACTTGGACTCGTCCCCCAACGCCTCCTCCTATCTCACCGACAACCTCAACCTCATGACTTGTGTCAGATACACCAATAATCACACCTCCGACACCGACCGCAGACTCAACAACGCGTGCTGGAGGCGAATGTCCATCAACTTGAACCGTCTCACCCAGGCCAACCCCTTCGTCATCAACTGGGACAAGAACAGCGACTTGACCTGGCTCTACGGCCCCAAGTTTGAGGCTGCCGACCCCCACCCTTGCCACTACACCTCGCAGCCACCACCAGTCATCCAGCAACAAGCACTCGACTCCGACGACGGGTTCGTCTCGGGTGCAGCTTCCATCTCCGACTCCACCTCATGCTCCGACCTCGATCTTGACGACGACTCGAGCTCCATTTCCTCCATCGACTCTGGGTACGAACCAGACTACACCCAGAAAAAGATCACCCCTCCGTTGCGCAAGAGCTTCTACTACGAAGACGAGTCCGAGTCTCAGGACTACGACTACCAGTTTGGGTTGAAGCCCATTCTCCGCAGCACCAAAAAGACATCCAGAAAAGTGCGCAGATCCAAACGGGTCTCGTTCAACCACATCATCAACTCCAGAGAGTTCATCAACGACATCTCGTTCGACTACGACTTCCTTGACCAAGCTTGCTTGTGAGCAGTCTGCATTTTCAATTCTTGGGTATATTATTAATCGACATTGGCACCATAGAGTGGTTTGAATGACTGTAGCGTAGAAGCGTACTATTCTCATGTGAGAAGTGTCGAAAGCGCCGTGGGCCCGTCATTTGCCGACACCGCTTACGTCAGCCGGAATTTATTTAGGTTTGGGAATAAGGTTAGGGGCCGCAAATCCCAGCTGGGAACGGCGGGACTGCACACCGGGAAAACACCCCATGACAGGGGCTCGGGGCGATCCGGTTGCTGATTACTGCCAGTGGCACCAGGGCCATTGCCATACAATTGCCGAGGATTGGTGGGTTCCACGGCGCCCCCTGGGCGCATGGAATCTGAGGTGATTGTCGCGGGGCACCCGACTAGGGGCCGCCTCAAGGCGAGTGGTCCACTGTACGCGGGTCACTGTGTGCATGATGCCTCGAAATACGAACTCCCAAAAGGGGTGCTGGATCAGATAATTGTGCGGCACTACGTGCCAACTGGCTGACACCCACTGGAGGTGTTTGCTCACGTGAGCCGGGGGTGGGCTTTCTAGGCATAGTGTGGGTTCTCGCCTTCCCCCGCTAGGCCTTCTGGGCATAACGCTTCAACACTCGTGCCTTCCTGCCCAGCCAGTCCTGCCACACTGTCCATCGGTCAATTCCCAGCGTACCCCGATTTATTATACACCCCCCCTCCATCCAGAAAATTACGCACACTGACAACATACGTCCTGCAATGTAGGGGATTGTCCTCCATTGCTCGCTAATTGCGCGGTGGAAGGCCTGCCCAACAATGCGGCTGGTGCCAGGTGGTGCGTGCTGCTCGTCAAGAACCCTCTGCACAACGCTGGCAATTATTATTCTCGTTCCATACCTCACACGTCACGTAGCAATGGGATATGTCTGCCCCACAGAACAATAGAGGCCAAGCACCATGGTGGTTCCAGACCTCCTTCACCAGACGTCCTTCATCCCGGGATTGCTGTTCGGGCCCACAATGCACTGGTGGAGGCACAAGGCGTGCAGCCCCGCACTTATCCCCTAGCCTCCATTTGGTTCCCCGGACATAGCTGTTGAAACGTCTCTGTTACCGTCAAGAAAATATCAAAAGATTTTCCTGTTTCGCTAATTGACTATTTTGTATGCTACCAAAAATATCCTGGTATCCGCGCGAGTGGTGCCAGCAACCCACACAAACGGCGAAAATACCACTAGGGCCGCTTTGATCGCCTACATCCCTTGATAAGGAGAGTGTTGGGTTGCTTTCCTCTCTTGTATTCCAGAGTGTTGATGTATGGGTTTTGTCCCCTGCAATCTGTTTAATGTCTAGGAATTTTAGAAGCCAGAAGCCGTGGCAAGCAATGAGAGTGGATATGTGGCATTGCCACCAAAAGTAAAATAAGCTTACTACGGAATCACTATAGCATTATTGTAGAATCACTCGGAATTAATACGCAATCACTCGGAATCACGAGGTGAAATAACCAGGAATTAGAATATAAAACACATGCCCAATAACCCTGGATATTATTACGCCTGAATAACTGAATATAGTGTCGCATGTCCTGTAATTGTGTTTCTTCGTAGGCTTATTCATTGACTTGACTTCTGTAAACGTAATCCATAAATACCAATTGCCTTGCTTTCGTTTTCGAAGCTTTTAGAAAAGTACACCACTCAATTTTATCTGCTTTGAATGCTTCGGATTACGGAGAATCATGCCCTCCAGACAGATCGACTACATTTCACACCAGTAGGTCGTTTCCACCTTCTCGTTGTTTTGGGATACTTACTTGGGGAGCCCTAACAAGGTCATCCCACAAATATGTGGTGGAAGGACGGCTACTATGCTACCTAAACTAAACAAACTTTCAATTTTTATGCATTTATATCGTGGAGACACCATAATTACTTACGAAATAGTGTATCAATACTCCTGGAAGGGTCCGTGTTGGACATTCCACACTCTGATACAAGGACGTGTCTGGGAGTAATGAGATTATTTTCAACCTCCAGGAGGGGTGGAACATCTGCGACCTAATTTCACCACCAGATAATATATCCTATCACTTTTATCTGGTTGGACTTCTCGTAGACAAGCTCTTGGCGTCTCGTTAAGACTCAGGTTCATAAATAGAATGTGTCACCTAACCGGACACATGACACATCACTTCTTGGACTTAACAAATCCAATATCCGGAAGAAGGAAAAATAGTTTCATCAGAGCAGATTAAGGTGTACATTGAAGAGCTGACTTCATAGAGTGGGTTCTTTAAGCTTCAGTTCTCTTCTAACTGACGCATCGTTTTGGAGATGCTTCTTGGTAATTTCCCAGCGAAATGGGTTTTCTAGTAACATAGAAATCAGTAGGAGATGAAGAGAAAACCGAGTTAAGTGATTAAGTAAATTCAAATGATAATTTTAAACTACAATGTTATCTTACACACAAAACTTACGTCAGTGGTAGCTGCAGTCTGCTGCAGATTTCTTCAGTTGGAGCTTCCATCAAAGTGATAGGTAAAAAGTTCACTCATTCTAACGATCTTTGAAATATCTAGGCCAAATTTCACACCCAAAATGCGCTACCAAACGCACATTCTGCCAGCTGATGTCCGACCCGCAATTGGGTCACGTGGCAGCTGTTCAGTGAAAATCCACCATCTTCACATGGCGAGTTCCAGCCGCCTGGCGGCAGGTTCCAGCGTTGGCACAGCAGGCTCTCCAGATGGCCCATTTATGGGACCCAGAGCTCGTCATTGCAAGGAACTCGATCTCCGGTTGCCGCTCAATCGAGATACTCTAACCGATAGTAGATCTGTCAAAATGCCTGCTGCACCTTATCAGGCAAGGCCCGCGGCTGCGCTGGAGCCGGCACGTGATACGAGACCTACCCCAGGGTCTTCCCCTGCCAGTTTCCCGGCCGTTTGCAGGGCTTGCGCCACTAACAATTGGCCCTGGCCCTAACCGTTGCGGGACTGGCCCTCCATCCGACACCCCAGTCCTCTCTCCGCACGTGCTGGGCTTACCCATGGATACTCGGCGGTGGGGTCTCCACCGCCAGATCGCGCGCCTCTCACAAGCGCCAGTCGCAGCATGCGGACCTGGCCTGCCGGCGACACAGTGTGCACACAGACACCACCCCTCCGTATAAATAGATGGCACAGTCCCCTTCTTGCTACCACCACTAGCTCTTCTACCATGTTGTCCAGAGCATTGAAGATCCCCCAATTGGCCACAGCCGCACGCCAGTTGCGGTTCCAGACCACCGTGGCGTTGTCGTCGTCCCTCACCCACTACCCCACAAATCACACCCAGCCAGGCGACGAGCCCTATATCACACCCAGCTTTGTCAACAACAAGTTCCTCAAGCTGGAGTCCACCACCTGGTACGACATCCACGACCCTGCCACCAACTACGTGGTGCTGAGAGTGCCTCAGTCGACCCCCGCTGAGTTGGAGGAAGCCATTGATTCGGCAGCCAAAGCGTTTCCAGCATGGCGCGACACTTCCGTGATTAAGCGCCAAGGTGTCGCATTCAAATTTGTCCAGTTGTTGAGAGAGAACATGGACAGAATCGCCTCTGTCATCGTGTTGGAGCAGGGTAAGACGTTCGTAGACGCCCAGGGTGACGTTACTCGTGGGCTCCAGGTGGCAGAGGCTGCCGTCAACATCACCAACGACTTGAAGGGCGAGACTTTGGAGGTGTCCACCGACATGGAGACCAAGATGATCCGTGAGCCTTTGGGAGTGGTGGCATCTATCTGTCCATTCAACTTCCCTGCCATGGTGCCATTGTGGTCAATTCCATTGATCATCGCCACTGGTAACACTGCCGTGGTCAAGCCTTCTGAAAGAGTGCCAGGAGCTGCCATGATCATTGCCGAGTTGCTTGCTAAGGCTGGTGTTCCCCCAGGCGTGGTCAATCTCGTTCACGGCAAGCACGACACTGTTAACGCCCTCATCGAGGACCCTCGTATCAAGGCATTGACGTTTGTGGGTGGTGACAAGGCCGGAAAGTACATCTACGAAAGAGGCTCGGCCTTAGGCAAGAGAGTCCAAGCTAACTTGGGTGCCAAGAACCACTTGGTCGTGTTGCCTGACGCCGACAAGAGCCAATTCGTCAACGCCATCAACGGTGCTGCATTCGGTGCTGCTGGCCAGAGATGCATGGCCATCTCTGTCTTGGTGACCGTGGGCAAAACCAAGGAGTGGGTAGCTGACGTGGTCAAGGACGCAGCCCAGTTGAAGGTCGGAAGTGGCTTTGACTCCAGCTCCGACTTGGGCCCCTTGATCAACCCTGAGTGTCTCACCAGAACCGACTCGATCATCGAGGATTCCGTCAAGAACGGAGCCAAGCTCGTGTTGGACGGCAGAGGCCAGAAGCCTGCCGAGGAGCGTTTTGCCAAGGGTAACTTCTTGGGCCCTACCATCTTGACCGATGTCAAGCCAGGCCACAGGGCCTACGACGAGGAGATCTTCGCTCCCGTTTTGTCTGTGGTCAACGTCGAGACTCTCGACGAAGCCATCGAATTGGTCAACTCCAACAGATACGGTAATGGAGTGTCGCTCTTCACTTCCTCGGGCGCACTGGCTCAGTACTTCAACAAGAGAATCGATGTGGGTCAAGTGGGTGTCAACGTACCCATTCCTGTGCCTTTGCCCATGTTCTCGTTCACCGGGTCTAGAGGCTCGTTCTTGGGAGACTTGAACTTCTATGGTAAGAACGGAATCACCTTCTTGACCAAGCCCAAAACCATTACCAGTTCCTGGAAGTCCAGCACAGTTGCAGGAGATATTTTGAAGCCATCTACAAGCATGCCGGTTCATCAATGATGAGATGAGCAACTATAGACTAGTTAGGAGACGTGGCGCCAGCCATGAATAAAACTGTTGGGTGAAGAGACGGAGTAACCGCTAGCGAGCGGGTGTACATGTAGCTGTTGGCACGAGCCCTGCCTGGAGGAGCATCGCCGGGCTCTTATAACCCCGGGATGGCTCTTGTACAGTATTTTCCAAGTAAATATCGCACCTTTTTTAAATGGAGGGACCACTTGCAGAATGTCTTTAACTCCAGAAGGAATTAAGTACACTGCTATACCACAAAATTTACCGTTTGAGATTGTTAAAATATTTTAAATGATTCATAACTAAGCATTCAATTCTGAGGAGCATATGCGAGATGGACAGAATATTCTAAAGGCTTTTTATTGTATACACTGTAGTGTTTCCAACAATAGCCCGTTATGGCTTCTTTCCAACTAATATTTCCAGCGATTGCAGGTAGCCCTCTCTCCATATTTTTCCAATTGTATCGTTGTATAATTTGATGAAATTAATTCACGTGTTTGTTTCCAAACAAAACTGTAATAAAAAATAGATTACCCAGGTTGCACTAGAGCTGTCGTGAATGCTTGGATTATCAAAGAAAGTGTAAGCAGTACCTTTTGAACTAACTCGCCAACTGATTAATTGATCGTTTTACACTGGTTTCCACTCAAATTCACATCAATCAAGCCAAAGTAATTAAATTAAATAGACAAGCCAGAAGGATTCCCATTCCTATTGAATTTAATTAGCTGGGTCCTGATAAACTGCTAAAAGAAAACAAAGATGATAGTTATCCAATTCCAAAATTGAAATAATTGATAAATTTACCGCAAAGTTTTTTAATTGGTGGTCCTTTGGAATAAAAACCGTTTAAAGGAAAACTACGGGAACACAGTCGAAAAGCAGCATACAGAGGAGAAGCATCCTTAATACCATATTCTTGTTTAACATTATTAGGAAGCACCACTATAAATTGATTAGATCATTCTGTAAATTATGAGAAACTGCGAATTGGCCCCAGCACCTTCTCTGTATAAGCCTATAGGTGTAACAATTTCCAGATAATGGAGATGCAATATTCTACTTCCAGTAGTCCGCGATGAGAGGTGGCCAGATCTAGCGAGCACAAACTACTAACCTGCGCGTCGCGCCAGGATCTGGCAGGGGCACATCGTGCGCCACCGCCGGGCGCCGGGGTGCCGGAGGCAGGGTGGGGGCGGCCACGAGATGACTCAAGCTGGGCGTCGCACGACTGCTCAGTATGGGGTAGGGATGAGGCACACGGTCCTCGGAACACTGGCACCCCTGGAGACGGGATGCAGACACTAGTGGCACGTGATGTTCCTCGGATTGACGGCTCTGGCCCAGCCTTGCGCCTCCAGTGTCTGGCAGAGACGACGGGAACAAGCGGAAGCTGGCCGCAGACACCAGGCGTGGCACCCAGACGACTTCAGCGGTTGTGTCGGCAGCGTGTAGCCAGCTACGGCCAACTGTCTTGCCGTGATCCCTCCACCGGTGTCCACGGATATATCGCATGTCGCGCGCTGGAAATGGTCTCCGACAATTGTCTGATTTTCCTGTCGACGGTTCGGAATAACACACGAAGCACTCAGTGGCCGAGGCACCCTGAACACAGCAACGATGCACACGGTGCCATCTGCAACCAGACCCCGGGACGTCGATCATGGGCTTGCACAGGGCGCAGACACCAACGCATGCTGCACGGACTTTGGACACCGCACCTCGTCCCCAGAGCCCGGACATTGCCACCGCCCCTCTCAAGCCGGACTTAGGCCTGGCAGTGGCACCACCGCCATCGGATGGGCTCGGCCCTAAGTGACCAGGCCGCCCCGGTGCGGTGCGTCTGCACGGTGCTCATCTCGGTTCCCCAGTCGGGCCATGAGCCAATCGCTTGCTGCAGTTACTAAGTCAGACAAAAACATACCGCACACCCCTACAACTGGCCACAAATACCTCAATTAGGCGCGCTTCAGACACTCATGCGCACGGGTGTTGCTTCCGCCAGCTTGCCCCACGCTGCACCCGAAATTGTCCGGCGCCAGTGTCTGGTTCTTATACTGGTGGTTCTGCTACATTCAACTACCACTTCATTTGTTTATGAACGTTATGATATAGCCATGTATTGTAAGTATGGACATTCTCCGATACCCCCGACCAACTGCCCCCACTGCACCTCCGATACGTCCGTGTGAGTCTTAGCCATTGGAAGAACGAATGTGATGCCATAGCACGGAAATGACGGCACAAGGCCACCCCAAGGCCACCCCAAGAGCCACTCCAAGGCCACCAACTACACTGCCTACTGCCGTTCCAGCTGCTCCAGGCGATATGAGCCAAAAGAGCCAGCAATGCCGTTGTTGTTCCAGGAAGTCGATGGCTTCGGGGCCAAATCCGCCCAATAGGGAAGCCTATGGTTCCTACTGGCCACGACGGCAGACCCACGAGACGTCATCACCAGGACAGACCAGGACAGACCAGCAGAGGGCCACGAATTCCACCACACCGTCCATTCGGCCCATCATGCAAATGTCGCGCACAATTTTTCAGACAGACACTAACCTCCAGCCAACATCGTACAGTCCAGCGCCTGTACCGCCCCTTCGGACCCCCCCTGTCCGCTCACTGTCAAGACCTCCAAGCAATGGGTGCTACCTCCACGTCCCAAGCCAGGCAGGAAGCCCATTCCCCCCAAAGAGTGCAAGGAAAAGGACCGGATTCGGACCAAAAAACCCGTCAAGCGCATCGCAGCCACTCCCCCCAGGAAATCTGACAAAAAGACCTGTTCCGAAGCCTCCACCACCCCTCTAGACACAACTCCCCACCCTCTGGCCGTCATGGCGTCGTTGGCCAAAAACATCAAGCTTGTGGACTCAGAAAACCTCGCATTGAAATCGAGTCTTCTCTCGCTCATCCACGACTATAAGTACTTGAAGGATCTCGTACTCAACAAAGGCTACGGCGAGGTCGAGGACGAAGACCTCGACAAGAACGTGCACAAACGGTCGTATGGCGAGGTCGAGGTCAAGGAGCAGCTCGATTCCGAAATCGCGACATCGGCCCTCATGAACGAATTAATCAACGACATGAACGATTTGTCGTATACCAAGAAGAGCCAGAGCAAGCGCAAATTCAACCACTATAAGGACTTCGAGAAGCTCGACACCGTGGAAGATTCCGACGGTGACATCGACTTCGAGGACGACGAAGACGACGATGCGCTTTCTCCATCGTCCACCGCATTGTCGCGGACTACCTCGCCTTCCAGCGACTTCGAGAACAACTCGTTGATGAGCTCTCTCACCCGTTCCACCACGGTTTCCTCGGTGAATACCATCACCAACCAGGTGCCCATGCTCGACAAGAAAGGGTATCCCTTCAAGAATTCGAGCAGGCTTTTCGAGTTGCCTCGGTTCGAAGAGCACGCCAGTAGCGACACATACTCGTTCCAGTTCGACGACGCTCTCAACGCCGACCAGGACCAGTACCACCGGATCAACGACTTCTTGGAGGAAAAGTTGCTAACCAACGACTTGGACTATTACGTCGAGAACCAGTACGGGGACAGGAAGTGGTAGAACACTCCCAAAGTCCCATCTTGATGGTAAAGCAACAGCACCGTTTCTGTTGACGTGGTTGATCCACACATGAGCTATGAATCCATTCCCTTGCGGCAATATATTCCCTGTCCTGCGACCTCCACCATCGTCGGACCTATTTATTATTTATTCAGGACCATGGACCCTATTTATTCTTCACTTCCAATTGTTCACGACGTTTATGTTTAAAAATGTAGATTGTAGATGTGAGTTGAGTTCACGGCCAGATGAGGTGAGTTCAAATACTTCAAGAGTACTAAGTAACAACTACTTTGATGAAAATATAAAATTGGATCACCTCTGACTTCTTGGTGAAAATATGGAGGAAATTTAATCACCGCCAATCGCCTTAGCGAAAATTTAATCATCTCCAATAAGATCGGTGAAGAAGACGAAGGATTGGAGTAACCTTGCTTTGGAGGAAAAACGGAACCTTCAATCATCCATTCAATCATTAGTGAAGTCAAATTGAATTGGAGTTGCGTACTTGCTTGGGTAAAAAAGATTATTTGGTTATGTTCAATCACGTACTGTTGAAAATACGAATTAATTGATGTTACCGTCTTGTTATTGAATGAACCAGCTAAGGTACAAAAATTTATCAACACCTGCTGGTGCAAATACGAAGTAAAATTGAATCCTTCAAACACTAATCTTGGAGATATACCAAGCAATGAATTTTGTCACATTGTTATCTGTATGCGAAAGCGCATGGATCATCTACACTCATTAGTATCGAAACTACCATAAATTGGGCTGGTTGATATATGACCATCTTGCTTCTTCTATTGTCATTTCTATTCACTTCTAGTATTTTTTGTATCTTCTTGTATTCACACAGCCAATACTCACCATTTCCATTTTATTAATTCAATTAACCATCAACTAATTGACTGATTAGCCCAAATTCAATTAATTCAATTTCAGTAACTCAGCTCCAGTAATTCATTTGAATTAAATTAAACAAGGGATTCAATCAATTCAATTTCACTAGTGCAATGAAATCAAGCAATTAACAATTAATTCACCCGGGTGAGCCCAGCACCGCCCAGCAACACGTCGTCGATGTTCTTCAACGCCTGCACCGCGGTGTAGTCGAAGTTCTCCACCGTGGACGCCCCGATGTGGGGTGTCAAAATCACGTCCTGTCTGCCGAACAACTCAGGGTGGACTACGGGCTCGTTTTCGTACACGTCCAACCCGGCAAACAACACCTTTCCAGCCTTCAACCCTGCCACGAGCGCGTCTTCGTCCACGATGACGCCTCTGCCGATGTTGATGAGCCTGAATGGTCTGGCAATCGCGTCGATCACCTCCTTGTTGATCAAGTGTCTCGTTTCCGGGGTGGCAGGACAGGCTATGACCACTAAGTCGGCGTGGTCCTTGGCGTCAAGCACTGACGCATGGTAGTGGGCCTTATAGCCCAAAGCAGCTTCCTGGGCAGGTGTCAAAGGCGTTCTTTTGACGTAGTGAACGTCCATGCCGATTTGCGCCAAACGGCTGCCAATGGTCTGGCCAATGTTACCAAAGCCGACCACGAGCGCAGAGTGGCCGCGAGGTGACAACAATGGTCTCTCGTTGATGTAGTGGCCGTAGTGGTAGCCAAAGTTGTCGCTGCGGCCAGCAGTGCCGCTAGCGCTGTCGAAGCTGCCAGCCGCCAACTGGGCTCTGACCTTCACGGTGTGGTTGTTGCTGGGCGTCAAATGCGATGGATAGACGTGGAACTGTCTGAAGCTCAGCAAGGCGTTGTACAACACCAAATCTGCTACAGGCTCAGCGGCTCCTGTTGAGGGCACATTGGTCAACACCACGCCTCTAGCCGCCATGGCAGCTCCATCGTACGCATCGTGGCCCACGGAGCAGATCGCCACCACCTTCAACGAGTCTGGAGCTGCTGCCAAAATTTGGTCCTTGAAGCCGCCAAACGGAACGAACCCCAACCAGGCGCCATAAATGGCCTGGATGTTGTTGAACTTGGTGGAAAAGGCGTCCACGAGGTCCTCCACTGTGGAGATGCGGTACTGGAGGCATTCGTACTTCTGAGCGAAGGCAGCGTACTCAGGAAGGTCTGTGTTAAGGTCACCGATGAAAAGGACTTGGGGCTTCATTGTGTAGTGGAGGGAGTGTTGGATGGGGAAGAAGAGTGGAGGATGAGTGGAGGAGAGTGGAGGAGAGTGGAGAGGCGCTGCCGCGATCGGAGACCCTGGAGGGGACCAAAGCGGAATGGTGGCAGCCGCGGTCATGCTGGCGGTTACGTAGGCTGGTGCACAGTCCGCATGGTTATGGGTGCTGGCGGGGGGTGTCCGAGTTGTGCTGGATAGTCCGAGTTGTGCTGGAGGGTCCGGGTTGTGCTGCGTGCAGCTACCCCACGCTTCGGGTGCATTTGGGGCATGGGAGCCCAAAAGCAATAACGACGTGGGGAAACCTCCGAACCATGATGGCTTCTGTGGGGACACAGATGCACGTCCATGCTCCACACGTCTAGACCTGGTAGGTTCGGAAGGAAGTAGTCCAGGACACTGGTCCGGATCTGGTTTCTCGGTGTCTTCTAGTACTGTATGGGAGATCACCATAATCTAATCCCACACGAGTACGATTCTCCATTTTTATTTTTTGGATGCAAGTTCCAGAGCAGTTCCTAGTATGGATGACGAGCTGAAACTTCACTTGGCCTCGATGTGCATGTTCTAGTCCCAAGAGACGCTTGACGTGAGACGACTGGTGCGTCGATGTGATACGAACTGCGAGGAGTAGACCCAACTGGGCCTAGAACGGTCCAGCGTTGGGGAGGAGTCTTCCGGACAAAGACATTGTACTGTATCTAATTACAAGTCCCATAAGGGACATGCATCGTTAAAGTACTATTTTTCGGCCAGTTCTACCATGAATGGACTGAAAAGCCAGTAATAATTAATCAGTTAAGTTTCTGGAGAGCCCCATTGTGAATAGACCTTTTGAAATGGCTATGCTAATGCCCGTTCTGTGGAACCAGATTGTTTGGGTGGAATTACTGTTGTTACTGGAAATTTAGCATTGCCAGCCATGGCAGTTTCCATTATTTATGAATGGGGTCACTGCAATTATTCGGGGTAAATTCTTCGTTAGGTGATGATCCCATTGATTAGTGCAACTCTATACTTTAAGCAGTGGTCACTGAGTAATGAGCCTCGTGTGTAATTGACAATGACTACAGCTGAGTAATGAACAGACTACTGGTGAAGTGTTGATTGGTGGTGACCAATTATCATTACTTAATTTGGTTGATACTTTATCGTTTTTCCCCTCCACTGTTGGAGAAGAAGGTAGAGGCTTTAGTGGTGCCTATACTCCTCACGGCATACACTACAATTTATCACTGATACTCTGGTTAGCCCCAAATTAGCGGGGTCTACTGTTTCAGTAGTTTATATGAACCAGTTAGTCTTTGTGGGGAGCAGTATGGGATGAGCTCTTTAGTAATCAACTCAACAAACTCAGCAGGATTAGTTCTGGAGAATTTCTCTGGTGAGGGCAACTTTACAGGGTGATGGACCATCCCATACCTTGGATTGCAAAATTTCCTGGATGCGATTTACGGTCTCAATTTGCAATACTCTCTAAATCATTACACACAACGAAGACATTTAGTCTTTGATCCTACTATACCATTTCTGTATTTGTTGCATTATTGACCTGACGGATCGGGTAGCGATTCCTCGGGATCGACTTTCTGGTAGAAAATTCCTACACTAGTTAGAGACTGCCACCAGAGAGCCATCTAGGGCCAAGGTCTCCTACCATTCATTCTGACTCGACGCTCAGTACTAGTCTTTATTCTGGCATTTATTCTGGCCTCTATTCCAGTCTAGTCCGTATTCTCCAGAGTAGGGCACTATTCCACGAATATTCCCGTCTTTATTGTCTCTTATTCTCCACGCACTATTCTGTTTCCACGCCTATTTTCTCGCTCTATTTCCTCGCTGCTCTTATCACGTTTTAAACTGCGTGTTTTCTACGATCCACCACCACTAACACTCCTCACAATGGATGCAGTAGAGTTCCCCGTCACCCTACCAAACCAGCCCAAGGTCCAGGCTGTGATCGACCACGCCAAGTGGGTCTACGTTGTTGCCAGCTTGGCTGTGGGCCTCGCCACAAACTCCCTTCCCTACACACTCTACACCTTCCTTGCGTTGGTGGCAGCCACCATAGTGGCCGTGGGCCCCAATTGGCCATGGTTCAAGTCGGAGCCAAGCATCGAGTGGTTGCAGGTGCGCATATAGCGTCTGCATGATGCTTGTGAAGGCTGTGACGTTGACAGCCAGACGCCACCCGTCAGCTTCAGGCAGGACATGATTGCTCGTTCGGGTGTTAGATGTATAACAGGAATAAATGTGCTTGATTGCAGTAAACTATAGGCTTGTAGTGCCAGCACTGTGTAGGCAGCCAAGTAGCTCTAAATTGCAGTGGCGATTGGCCGAATTGGCCGAATTAAATAGCTCCGCATCTACAATCTTAGGCTAGGAATCCAACTTCAGGCCACGAATCGCCAATTCATGGATTTATAGCCTCCAAATTGACAGCAACTTATGAGTGGCAACTTAGAGGCTTCAAATCCCAGAGACTTATAGTCCTCGAATCACCACAAATGTGTGGGCTCCAATCCAACTGAAGGCAGCAAATTATAGGCCTCGAATCGCCAGCACTATACAGGCCACAAATCGCCAGCAACTGATCGACCCCCAACTTATAGGCACCAAATCCGCCAATCTAGCCTCTGAATCCCAGCAAATCACGGGCTTCCAATCGCCACCTTTCCACTCCGAATTTCAGAATTGCACTGGCAGCAACTTACTAGCTCTGAATCCAACTTGTAAGCTCTGAATCCAAACTAGTCCACCAATAGCCCTCCGAATTCAACTTACAGGCTCCAATCCACCAATTTTTAGCTCCAAATCAACCTTATCCTCCAGATCCACCAACCCGCCATGGCTCCTCCGCTCTTTCTCGGATTCGACCTCTCCACCCAGCAGTTGAAAGTCATCGTCACAGACGCCAACTTGAACCATTTGCACTCCTACCATGTCGAGTTCGATGCTGCCTACAAACAACGCTACGGCATCCACAAAGGCGTGCTTGTGGACGATGACACCATTGTAAGCCCAGTGTTGATGTGGCTAGACGCTGTGGACCATGTGTTTGACCAGATGAAGCAAGACGCGTTCCCGTTCGCCGACGTCCGTGGTATCAGCGGCTCTGGCCAGCAGCACGGCTCCATCTACTGGTCCCAACAAGCCGAGCACTTGTTGCAGAGCTTGGACGGCTCTGGTGCCCTCAGCGACCAGCTTCAAGACGCTTTCACCTTCCAGAACTCTCCCAACTGGCAGGACCACTCCACAGGCAGCGAATTGAAGGGATTCGAAGACACAGTGGGTGCTGACGAGTTGGCTCAGATCTCAGGCTCCAGAGCCCACTACAGATTCACAGGGTTGCAAATCCGCAAGTTGGCCACACGAATCGACCCTGAGCGCTACGCCAGCACCTGGCGGATCTCGTTGGTGTCGTCGTTTGTAGCCAGCGTGTTGCTCGGGAAGATTGCACCCATCGAGGAAGCAGATGCTTGTGGCATGAACTTGTACGACATCCAGAAGGGCGAGTACGACGAGCGCTTATTGGCGCTAGCCGCTGGCGTCCATCCCCAGTTGGATGGAACGGACCCTCACAGCTCTAAGTACCGTGATGCAATCGATCAGCTCAGACTGAAGCTTGGTGAAATCAGTCCCATCAGCTACAATGCCAACGGAACGGTCTCTCCACATTTCCAGAAGAAATACGGCTTCGCCAGCGACTGTAAGGTCTACTCGTTTACTGGCGACAACTTGGCCACTATCCTCTCGTTGCCACTAGCTCCTAATGACTGCTTGATCTCGTTAGGAACGTCCACTACCGTGTTGATCATCACCAAAAACTATAATCCATCATCTCAGTACCATCTCTTCAAGCACCCAACCATGCCTGACCATTACATGGGCATGCTCTGCTACTGCAATGGGTCTTTGGCCAGAGAAAAGGTCCGAGACGAAATCAACACCAAGTACAATATCGACAACAAGTCGTGGGACAAGTTCGACGAGTTGTTGGACGGTTCCACCGACTTCAATGGCAAGTTGGGAATCTACTTTCCTCTTGGGGAGATTATTCCAAACGCAGCTGCTCAGACTAAAAGATCGATGTTGGTCGACGGGACCATCGAGGATCTCGAAATCGGTGAAAAGTGGACCGTCGAGGACGACGTCAGCTCTATTGTGGAGTCCCAGACTTTGAGTTGCAGATTGAGATCCGGTCCCATGTTGAGTGGAAGTGGCTCTTCCGGCTCCAGTACCACTCCTGAGCCTACGGACGAAGCCAGAAAGATGTACGACGACTTGATCAAGAAACACGGTGAGCTTTCAACCGATGGCAAGAAGCACACCTTCGAGTCCATCACCTCCAAGCCCAACAGGTGCTACTATGCTGGTGGTGCATCCAACAACACGAGTATCATCAAAAAGATGGGTTCGATTTTGGCACCCATTAATGGCAACTACAGAGTGGAGATCCCCAACGCTTGTGCGTTGGGTGGTGCCTTCAAGGCCAGTTGGAGCTATGCCTGCGAGGAGAAGAACGAATGGATCGGCTACGAAAAGTACATCAACCAGTTATTCGAGGTCAACGACGACTTGGAGCCCTTCGAGGTTGAAAATAAGTGGAGCGACTACCTTGAGGGTGTCGCTTTGTTGGCCAGAATGGAGGAAACGCTAAAGCACTAGATAGAACAATAGAATAAACACTAGAAACTCCAGACCAAGTTCAGAATTTTGCAATCGATAATCTGGGCACGTGATCAATATCAACGTGACTAATAGTGACCGTTGAAGCCCATCCAATTTCTCCACCTACAAAACCAACATGCTGACTCTACGCCTAACACGTATTTCCATCAGGCGCTTCACGCAGCTAGTCAAGAGGGATCCCAACTCGATTACACTCCACCACCTTGAAACTGCCTCAGACAATGATCTGGCTGCTCAGCTCCAATTGATCCAAGCCATCAACAAGTCCACCAACCCTCAAAAGAAGCAGTTACTTGCCTACCTCATCCCTAACTTCTCAGTGTACTTTAAGTTGAAGTCCCAAAAGGAGGCATTTAGCAACAATGATCTTTTGAACCGTTTTATGGAAGTCAACCCTGGAAGAGTCCACAGCACTTGGGATCTATTCAAAGCACACGAGGCTGACGTTGACCAGGTGTCCCCAGAAACAGTGTCATTTGTGTTGGAGAAGTTATTGAACGGTGAAACATCGGAAATAAATGCTTTGGAGGAGGGAGAAAAGTTTCAAATTGACTCTTCAAGCTTGGACAAAATCCAGTATTTGCTCCAGAAATACGATTTCAAGGAAGAACAAGCCCTAGCCACTATGTTTGACAGGTTGCTAGAGGATAGGCTTTCTGAATTCGTCGATGCCATTATGACCAATGAGTTAGTTTCTGCCCAGTTCTTGAGCAACTACTTGAAACGCAACGTCGACGATTTTGGATTCATCCTCATTTTCAAAAGACTCTTCTATTTGGATCCCGAGAGCTTGAGCCTTGAGATTCTCTCCGATGGTTTGGATAAGATTTACGGGAAGAAGATAGGGTCCGAATTCAGCAAACTAGGAGCTGACATAATCAACTTCATAGATTCAAAGCAGTTGGATACCGACACAAGGCCTGAGTCATTGCTCTTGCGGCTTAGGCTCATCGAGGTTTATGGTATACATCAGGCTGACGTAGACAAGACCTTAAAGAAGTTCCACCAGTACCAAACTCACGCAAAGTACGGAATAGACCTCGTGCAACAAAATGTGTTCAAATGCTTCTTGTACCAAGCAGTGGCCCAGGACAAAGATATTTTCATGACAATCGGCAAGACGATTTTGCCAGCAGAAGAGATCTCCATCAAAGCATTGCAACTATTAATCGTGGCCAACTCCCATTTTAATGTGGAAACCGCATTGGAGGTGTACAACGACTACATCCAGAAAGTGCCGAAATCTCTCAACGAACACACCAAAAGATCGGGCTCTGGCTTGATAACCGAAGCTTTAATATTAGGTAACCTCTACGACAATGACAGGAGTTTTGCGACCTTAATCCTCGAAAAGGCAGTTGAAAATGGGGTGGTGAGCGATGAGTACGAAATTGCCCAAATTAAGAAACTATACAAAGCCTACGGTGCTAGTTTTGTTGAGGATGATGACTGGCAAAAGGCCAAGCCTATATTCAAGCAGTTCGTATTGGACTACATGAGAGCATTGTGATTCTGGGTGACCTCTAATGGGTTCGTACCAGCCTAATTCAAGTATAGAATTTCATGTATATAGCAGAAGAACTCTATAAGTCAAAGATTTCATTCGGCTTAAATTAATCCACATGGACTGTATTGAGTGTTCATAGTTTTAAGATAGGGTTTTAAAGCAGAATGCTTGAGCTGCGAGGAAATTGATTGAGCTTGGTACCAGTTAAGTAGGAACTCCTATCCAATCAGTTGGAGTATTCCAGTTCAGCTTTGGTAAAAAAAGTAGAAAAGAAAAAAGGGGCGAGCTGGGAATTGAACCCAGGGCCTCTCGCATATTTGATTTTGATGCAGTAAACTAAATCTCAACCCAAAGCGAGAATCATACCACTAGACCACACGCCCTATTTCTTTGAGAATGCTTTCTGCCAATGGTCTATATCTAGGTAAACCTAATTTTGAAACATGATTTGTTTCACTCAATTTTGCTTTAAATCTGATATTTTCCACAACAATAGGGTTATACAAGTCGAATAAACGGTTCTAGCTCAAAAAAAAACATCTGATGTTGGGCAAAATGCTACTAAACTCTTCTTAATATAACTGGACCCAGCCTAATTCAAACGGCATACAGCTTTGCAAATTCTCAGCAACTCTATGCTATGGTGTGTTATCCATTGCAATAGATATATAGTCTATAGATTATAATATACTTCCCGTTAGCAAAAAAAAAAAAATACACGCTAGAAGTCTTCACAAAGCCACAGGAATATCTGGGAGGTGCCTATCACAAAAGTGACTCTCAAGTTTCCGTTATTCGCCGAGATACAAAGCATCAGTGATCCGTACCCAGAATGATTTAGTCGCCACAGTGTTGAAGGAATTAAAGATCACTCCAACCACAACCTGCTAAATATTCCCATAATTTCATACCTCAGTGCACTTTTCTACAATGCGACAATAGACGCCATACACCACTAGGATCTTATAGCCATGACGTTCAGTACACTCTACTTGTGTCTTTACGTCCTATCCGTTTCTATACAAATAGACTTGTCGGTCCTTTGTCAAGTCTGGCAAAGCCGCTATGCGCTCAGAACCAGTGATATCTTTCTTCTCGTGGTGATCAACTCCATAATGGTTCTTTCGGTCTTCCAAACAGTACAGGGCCAAGGCAACACTGGCTTGGAAATTCTCTTGACTGCGTTTGTTCATATCATGGCTGTGTTGTTTATGATCAAAAGGATTAAAGGCGATGTTAGACTCGTTGTCAGAGTACAAGTAGTGAGAAAGAGAAGAAGGCGGCGCAGATTATAGCAGGGGAACGTCTCCAAAGGGCTGCTACATAAACAATTGATTACAAATAGCAGCGTACTTCTCCATCCCCAATACACTGCTGGGATAGCCTTATTGATAGCTATCTGGTATGAGTCAAAGGTGCCTTGGTCTGGTCTTCATTTTGCACCCATTTCTAAAGTTGTTCCACATATCTATCTTGACAGGCACAAGTAGAGGTATTTAAGATCTTCTAGCAGCATTAAAGCCCATTATAATCTGTTTCTGTTGCATCAGCACCTCAATTTTGCATAGCTTCGGAAATGGACCAGTGGCATCAAATATTTACTTGCTGAACCAAAAACTCCATACTGTTCTAAAATTTGCACTAGTACAATTCGACCCTAAGTGATGGAGGTTTGACTTTATCTAGTTCCGTATGTCTTCATGGTTCTCTTTTACTGAGTGATTTTAGGAATACATTATCATGCCAATTGCTTATTTCGTACCTTAAGCTGCTTCATCTACTATTTCCGGTTGGTAGCCCCACTGGAATGCCCTACAGTATCTGCTGTGGTCTCATACTTATTATAACTACAGGAATCTAAGCGTCGTTGCTTTGGGATTCGAATGGGGTGAGGTGAGAAGTACCTTCAGCCCATGAGACACCATTGTAGGTGATTTCCTTGATGGCCTTGATGATGTCCTCGAAGGAACCTCTGACTTGTTTGGTGGAGTCTCTTTCTCTCAAGGTGACGGAGTCATCCTTAATGGATTCGAAATCAATGGTGATACCGAAAGGAGTACCCAACTCATCGTTTCTGGCGTATCTCTTACCAATGGAGGCAGAGGAGTCGTCGACCTTGAATGGAACTTGTTGCTTTCTCAAGTAAGAAGAAACCTTCTTGACCATAGGTTGCAATTCGGCGGTAGAGGACAATGGGACCAACAACACCTTGGTTGGGGCAACTAATGGTGGGAGGGACAAGACACCTCTGTCAGCATCGCCTGGTCTGGTCCAGAATTGGTGTTCAAAAATGGAGTAAAGAATACGGCCAATACCGAAGGATGGTTCAATGACGTTAGGAGTGAATTCACGGATGTGTTCGGTTCTGGTAACCTTTTCGATCTTGATCAAGTCGGTGTCCAATTCAGTCTTTTCTGGAAGGGAGTCGACTTGAACAACAATCTTACCGTTTTCCTTCAATTCCTTACCCAAGTCTTCCAATTCACATTCGGTTCTAGCCAATAACCACTTTTCAATGGTACCAGCATCCTTTCTGAACTTTGGACCGAACTTCTTCTTGGAAATTTCGATCTCTAACTTTTCAACGGTGACTGGTTCAGGCAAGGCTTGTCTAACCACCAACTTTTCGTTGGTTCTAGCAGAGTGAACACTCAAGTCGTATGCAGATCTGTCGGCACAACCAACACACTCGATCCAACCGTACGAGGTTTGGAGTTCAGCATCCCAACAGTCGGCAGCATAATGGGCCATTTCGTTGGACATGTGTTGTCTGAATCTCAATCTTTCAGAGTCAACACCAATCTTGGTCAAGAACAAGTAAATTCTGGCAATGAAGTAACCCAAGGTTTCGTTGTCGACCAAGCCAGTCTTGACAGCTTCGCCAACAGTCTTTTCAATGAGCTGGGTCGAACCGGACTCCTGGACTTCCTTTGGCAAGAATCTCAACTTGACGTGCTCGACCTCGGAGAATCTGGAGTGGGACTTGTTGTCAGGGTCAATGAAGTGCTCGATTTCAGCCATCAAGAACTCACGGACTCTCAACAAACCACCTCTTGGGGCGATTTCGTTTCTGAAAGACTTACCGATGGAGGCAGAGGCAAAAGGCATCTTTTCGTTGTTGAAGTCCAACAACTTGGAGAAGTTCAAGAACTGGCCCTGGGCGGTTTCTGGTCTCAAGTAGCCCTTGGACTGGCCGGAAGGACCAATGGCGGTTTCGAACATCAAGTTGAACTCCACTGGAGGCTCCAACTTGCCGTTGGTGGCAGGGTTGTTGATTTCGTACTTGGTGATCAACTCGCCCAACTGAGGACCCGAGTAGCCGTCGATCTGGGCCAAGATGTTCTCGTACTCCTTGACCACCTCGTCGTCCAACTTGACGTTCTTGATCTCCTTGACCTTCTTCTTTCTCTTCTTCTTGTCGGCGTCTTCTTCCTCCTCCTCGACGGCAATGCCTCTGGCAGCCTTGTCACCCTTCAAACGTGCCTCCAAAACTTCTTCCACCAAGTGGTCGGCACGGAAGATCTCTCCTGTCTTCAAGTCCTTGCACATCCAGTCAGCAAACTTGTCGACGTGACCAGAGGTCTTCAACACCTCGTGGGGCGTCAACAGGGTACAGTCGACCTCCAACATGTCTTCTTCCAAAATGAAGTGCTTTCTCCATGTGTCGATGATGTTGGCTTGCAAGGCACAACCTGGAGGTCCGTAGTCGTACAATCCAGAAACACCTCCGTAGATTTCGAAGGCTGGCGCGAAGAAGAATCTTCTCTTCAACACTTGCTCTAAGGCTTCCCTGTTAAAAGGGGCAGCGGCGGTAGACATTTTCGAGGTGAAGATTCGAGATGTTTTCGTTAAAAGTTTGACAGAGTTAATGATGGACGTAGTGGTTTTATGGATACAAATTTTTTCAGTCATAGTGCGGGTGTGCACGTATGGGTGGGCCAAGACTACCAGTGGAGGAACGACAATGAGTCACGGTAGGGGGCAGGATGGTGGTAGGGCAGTGACGGTGGTAGGGCCGTGACTATGGAACTGGCTTCGTGAGCGTCTGGGCGTAGAATCAAGTAAGTAATTCTCTACATACAGCTAAGTTATTCGCAACGATGAAACTAGGATATAAGGCCATAAAATGCAAGCGACCCAACTGCGACGGTTGGGTCTCAGACAGAGCCGAATGGGCATGGCCTTAGAGGCTGGAATCGGCACATTTTTGTAGGCAAGCTAAGTTTCGGACTGGATGAACATTTTCTGTTATTTATTCCTGATCATCTGCCTCATTAACTATTGACCCTGAAATATTACTACGTGGTGCCAGTCTGGAATCTGCACTCTTGCTGTAGCCAAAACTACGTTTCCAGGCCATTGCAACTTTGCTTCGAACTAAATGAAAATTTCTCGTTTCTAAGTTGCTGAACATCTGGCTCAGTAGCCCACTTCAATCGCTGGACTCAACGGACCTACCAATTCTACTGCTGTGCTGTTATAATAAATTATTTTCGGTACTAATTATTCACGAATAAATAAGCAACACACCACTACTCGATCTCAAAATCTTGCCATCTTGGGTGGTTCATGTTCCACCAATAGGTGAGTTGCGAGTATGGATAAGTGGTGAAGTTCACGTTGTTCAAGGTGTACCATGATTGACAGCCTCCAAATGGAGTGCCAAAGACACTCTTCTTATGCTCTTTCTGAATCCTTTCGAACCACTCGTTGTACTTCTTGGTCTTGACAACCACCGACTTGTATCTACCGTCCAAAATGTGTTTAGAAATCTTTCTTGCGAAAGTCAAACCATTTTCGATAGCCATAACCACAGACGAGTGTCCAGTGGCAGAATTTGGACCACCAATGAAGAACATGTTTGGACAATCACGAACCAAAATGGTTTCGTATGCACTGACACCCTGCTTTGTCCAGAAATCAAGTACGGTGGTTTTGTTACGTCCAACAACATTGAGTGCACTGAAACTCTTCGTGAGGTCGTAGCCAGTACAAGCAATAATCACGTCGGCAGGAATCTCAGAGCCATCAGTAAGAACAATAGAACGTTCCTTGACATGATCAATGTTTTCAGATCTGAGGTCAATTCTTGGATCGTGCAAGGACTTGAGGTAGCTGTAGTCGAAAATTAATCTCTTGCACCCAACCTTGAACTCGGGAATGACCTTGTCCTGGAATTTCTTTGGACAGTTTCTTCTCATGTAACGAAGACAAAGGACGGCATTGAATTTTCTGACTATTCTGGAAATCAAACTATTACCCTTGAACAATGGGAAACGGGCCTCCGCGATGATTACAACCAACCATCTGCAGAGAAGCAGGGTAAATGTAGTCACCGAACATATTCTGTAAAAGTAATAGAGGATTTTGGTAATTGGAGGCATGATATACTGCTTGGATCTCGAAATTTGGACCACTGACTTGGGGTCAAAGCGGTCCAAGACGGCAGGCACAAGTTGGTTGGCAGAGCACCCATTACCAACAATGACAACGTTCTTACCCTTCAAAGAAACACTGTGGTCGTAGAGAGCAGAATGCATGTATTCACCTTTGAAATTCTCAAGGCCCTTGGCTTTGAGCTGGTTTGGATGGACCAAGCCTCCACCACAGAGGTAGACAATCTTGGTGGTGTGGAGAATGATACCTCCAGTTTTCAAGTCGGTGACCTCCAAGGTCCAGGTTCCGTCCTCGTTGTACCTGACTTCATTCACTGCGTGTTGAAACTTTGCGTATCTTCTGAGATCGTGTTTTTCAACAACTTTCAAAATGTACTCTTCCATCTCGTATTGAGGAGGCTGAATACGACTCCAGTTCGTATTCATTTCCTTGGAAAACGAGTACCACAATGCAGGGATATCAGATGCACATCCTGGATAAGTGTTGGCGTACCAGGTACCTCCAAAGTTATCGTGCTTTTCGAACAAGACGAAGTCATTTTCTTTCAACTCTTCTTTGATCAGCATAGCAGAGCCAATACCTCCGAACCCTGCGCCGACAATGGTCACATTTGAAGAGGAATGCTTGACAGGTATGGAAGTATTGCGAGGGATAGACGCATTTGGGCCCAAGACTCTGTCAGCATCTTCGAGCTTGATTCTGTATGGTTCTGGGTCCACATGAGACCTCTTTTCCAAAGTTACTAAAGACATGGTATAAGTTGATTGTAAAAGAAGAATTCGTAATTCGCGAAATACAATTTGCTTTATATGGCCACTCTTTGTTCATATGCTTCGTCTCCATTTTGGGGTTCCTGCGAAATAAGATGCCTATGTTTGCTTGTGAGCGGGGTCCTCATGCACCTCACGGAGACGTTTGGCATGTTTCTAATGCGCGGAAACTGCGGTTGTACGATAATGCGGGGTTAAGTACCAACAAGCTTTATTCCTGACCGTCGATTTGCACAAGGTTCCCCTTGCACGTGCTGCCACTGATGGTCCTTGTGCTTTGGCGCCAACATGGCTGAGCCAATTTATCTCCGGGACCTGCCGCCGAGAGATGCAGGTGCGCCATGCAACTTTCGGGGACCCCGCAGAAAGCTTTATTGCCTGTTTAGGGTTGCCATAGTCAGTGACGTGGATCACGCCATCTTATAATTCGTATGTTCTATAAACAGCTCCTCATCATAGTCCGTATGGTCTGTGGGGCTATCCACGAGTTGCTTTTTGAAAAAAATCAGAAGCATGGTCACTATACAGGAAACGGCAAACACTTTATCAAACCATCCGTCTATGAATTCCACTTCCTTCCGGGATATATCCGCGCTGGTAATGGAACTACCCGAAAGGGACAATATTTTGGAGATCTGATGCGAAAGATTTCTTGGGAGGTTGGTTCGGATCAAAAGAGCCGTGGCTATTATGTATACTCCCAAAAGTTCTGCAATCACAAGATGCTTGAGCCAGTTTCTTACGTAGCTGGATGCATGATTTGCGGGTAGAAATCTGGTGAACGATTTGAATGTAATCAACACGTTCGAAAACGAGCAGATGAACAAACTTCCCAGTAAAATAAACCCTAGCTGATTGATAAGCTGGGTCTCGCTTACTGGGAGGTTGGGAAAGCAGGATAACACCAACTTGGCCAATGTGATGGCCAACGCGTCGTTGGATGTAGATACCCCAGACTCTTCATCTTCTGGCAAATCTACCACGCTTGTCTCTTTTGAGTGCAACTGATACGTGCTCTCCAGTGTGTCAACAAACAACAAGTACGGCATGCGAACCAACATCACGTTCACCACCCTATAGATACAGTAGCCTGCGAATGCATAGTTGGCCCATGTGAGAAAGTTCGCGATCAATTCACTATTTTTGGATGAATAGCTGTTGCGAGCATTGATGTACCGAGAAATCAGGTGCAATATCTCATCGTAGACGGAGCTTCTCAACTTCTTCAAGGACTCGATCTCTTTGGTCAACTCCTCCTCCTCTGGGCTGTCGGTGGCCACCGATAGACTAGATATACTGGCAAATGACTGCACTTTATGAATGATGCCTCCCAACTTATTCTGGGGGGACATAAGCTTCGACGACCCCGGAACTGGATGCAACAAATTGTCGCTGGATGCGCTCGATTGATTGTAGACCGTCCCGCCAGTCTGGACAAGGAGGTTGTTCAAGTCGTACTTTCTTTTATTCAAGAGCGAATTGGTGTTGTTGTACGACTGGATCAAGTTGTTGATGCTTGTTTCGGTGGGAATGTGGGATGAATTCGACCCTGACGTAGATTTTCCGATAATCTTCTCGAACCTGCTTCCTTTCAATAGACGGCTGATTCTGGTGTCGAGTGAGAAGAGCTCGTACGGAGTAGAGGTACACCCAATTCCCGAAAGAATGGCTATCATGGTGATGCCTGCTATGGACACCTCATTGACCTTTCTTTCAATTAGGGTTCTAGTGTCGGGGTTGTAGTATGATGATGCAGCTGACGGCTTGAACGATTGTGAGAGGTCTCCACATTTGTGGAGCAATACAAGCCATACAATGACGAGCACTGCCGTCAAAATCGCCCCTCCGTAGCTTTTTCTGGTAAGCCTGGGGGCCAAATCCCGGTGAACTGCCAAGTTAATGATGAGGAACGGCACCACGAACGTCAATAGTACCATCAACGAGTCTATGGTGATGGTGAACCACCACAACCGCACGTCCTCTCCGAAGACATCGATCAATTCGCACATCATTAGCACTATGAGTTCGATGCCTAGCGAGATGGCAGCGGCGAAAATCCATCCGATGATCTTGTTTTTGGAGTGGAAGTCCTTCTGGGCCGTCATTTCAGTCACATTGTGCTGGCCGTTCTTGTGGTCGTACGGCTTGTAGTCGTCCTCGTCGTTTTCATCGACTGTCAACGCCATCAAATGGGCCCCAAATGGTCTGTTCACGCTGGTTTCGATGTAGCGGTTGAACTCGTGGCGTGGTGTGTGGAGTCTTCCGGAGTATGTTCTGATGATTTGGTGATCATACACTAGTCGGTAGATCCATAGCACCGATGTCGCTAATAGTGCTAGAAACGGGATGCTGCCCAATAGTAACAGGAGCATGGTAGTCTGGGATCGGCTGTGCGGTCTGTTGTGCCTAGATCAATGCAATAGCGGAAGGTTGTTTGGACGAGTGTTGGTGGTAGAACTATTGATATCGCCCGGAGAAAGTTTGACAGTTCGAACAGTAGTGTGACGCGGTCGGATTGAGCGAGTGTGAGGCAGCAATCTCGACAGACTGGGCGTATGGAGGAAATAGTGGTATGTGTTCCAACTGCACTTGAATGTGGAGGTGGTGACAGCTGGTCACGTGAGCTATACCTAGGATGTTTGGCGGGTGCACGACCGCGGTATGAAAAAATTCAACTCTTCAGGCAATCGATACCAACACTTCGAACCCTCCCACATACCTCAAAGAACGTGCCAGGATGCCCATGCGATTGAGAGCCGAAAAGAAGATGAGGAAGCTCCTCATCGAGCACCTCAAAACCAGAAAGGTTTTGGGTGCTAGAATCGCCAAGGAACCAAAAACTGCCCAAGACTTGGAGCAACTCGGATTGGCTCCACAAGTCTACATGTTCAAGAACCTTTTCAGTGGACAAGTGTTGTATTCACAGGTTCCAGCATTCCACCAAACACAGATCGACGAACAGTTCCCCCGTCCAAACTGGGAGAACAGAAAGCCTAGCAGAAGAAACGATTTATGGAGAGTCATGTGCGTGGCCACCTTCGACAACTACGAATACGCCTTGGCTGCCTACAAGGGCTTGGTCCAGTTGAGACAAGCACGCGATGTGTTCCAGCAGAAGGAGGCCAAGTCGTTAAGAAGAAAGGACAACGAAGGAAACACCTGGTACTCGGGACAATACAGACCAACCTATTCCCAAGAAGCTGTTGCGGATTTGGCACACGTAGTGGACGAATTCGAATTGGCTAACACCAAGTTGCAATGGGAGAACTTGTGGAGAAAGGGAGAAGACCAGCATTGGAGATTGGACTTGGTGGAACACGATAGCTTACCCCCATTCAACCCCAGAGACCAAAGTATATTGTTAGATGACTTGAGGGCTCGTGCTGTCCAGGAGTTCGCTAAGTTGAGAGAAGCAGAAGCTGTGGAGAAACAAGTCGAGGAGTCTGTGGTGGCTTAATGTAGATATTGTATATAGTAATGCATGGTTAGTATAAGAAACTAGTCAAATTTTTAAACTGGTGATCGGTCGAGAAGAGCAATTTAATAACCAAACTTGAGTTTCTGCTTGAATATATCCCGGTAGTTTCGATTTTATGGGTCAAACTCGAATCTTTTGTAATCTTCTCATAAAAGCTGTGATGTCTGCAAATTTGAATTGGGTGAATGCAACTAAATGAGCCAGTGTCGTCTGTTACTAACCAGAAACCATTACAAATAAGACTCTTCACAATTACTGGGCCTAGATAAGCTCTCTATTACATTCTTGGTTCTGTACCTAATTCTAGAGTGAACTAGATTCCTCCATGAGGCTCAAAAGTAACACAGTTTCCAACCGAACTACTCATACGATGCGGAATTGATATCCGATTATTGAACTCTTGTTACATCACCAAGGATTAGGACAGGCCAATGGGACTGCTCCCACAGATACGAATATAGCGGGGTCACTCCGCATAGTATTGACTCATTTATTGCTCTTAAATTGCAAAATAACGACAGATCTTTGGAATTTCTGTGCTATTGTTCCACTCCTCGATCTTGTTCTTTTCGCTGGTCTTTCTAGTCGATTTTAATCCTTTAGAATGGATTGACAGCTTGGAATCTTGAATTCGTGGTAATTAAATTCTTCAGTCCTTGTTTTTGTATAATTGATACAATGGCTTCAAAAGAGCCTGTCTTATCGAATACTTGGAGTGGTACTGTGTTGTCGTGATTTGCATGTCCTTTCTAAAATTGTAATCATTGCTACAATTGTCTGCGAATATTGACATAATTCCGACATTACGTCATAAACAATAGAAAAGGACTGTTAGTTTCAATTTAGTCTGAAGAACGCGATTTGCTAACTCCGAAAGAAACACAACCTTGTCGAGCCAAGTCCCACCTTAGATAGTTCTTCAAGAGTATCATAGGCGAAATAGATGTCAGCCTGAAACATTCGAATGGAGCCATCGTGTGAATCACTCTTACGGCGATTCAACAGGGTTGGAAATTGGACCATCTTACGACGGTGGATTTCCTTGGACCCCGCATGTGTGTCAGTGGTAAGTTTGGGCTCATATCTTTCGAAATGGATTTTCTGACCACATCTTTAAAGACAGAATCATGCGTATAAGTGGCTAGCCCGATTGAGAAGCAAACAAGCTGACGCTCTCTATGACGCTCCCTATGACACTCTACAATGAATACAGTCATCGCTGAATGAGACGCCAGAACAGGGCATACCTCTCATTTTCTGGTTGTATACGGCACGGATGCCCTGAAGTTTGCTGCTATAGTCTGGAGCCCCTGACATTTATTGTCGCATCTATGCATAAATTAATGCAAATTCTGGGGTTGAAACATTGTTAATCTCGGAAGACTCGAACGAATTCCGCGAATGGGAAATTCTGTGTCGATTTGGGTAATCTAGTCACGACTTCCGTTAATAATTATTATGGAAACAGTAGCATGGCTGCAATTGAGGTGACTTGGAGACTGAAGACTAGAAAATACCCACAAAGTTGATAGAATGGCGGATAAGTGCTACGTCACTAGCAGCATAATTTTAGTTCTAGAAGAAGATGCAAAATATTATAAAAAGATAGAATGTCCACTTTCACATCTGCAGCAACAGCTAGGATGTCGTCTTCAAGCTTGTCAAAAGAATTACAATTCAATCATCTGGACCTATCTTCGTCCAAGATACACACTTTTATGGGTTTGTCAGGAAAAAGGTTGCAGTATGCGGTTTCTTCCTTTGCCGGAGTCGGTTTCTTGTTGTTCGGTTATGACCAAGGTGTTATGGGAAGTTTGTTGACTTTGCCCTCGTTCGAGAAAACTTTTCCTGCCATGAAATCATCCAACAACGCTACCTTGCAAGGTGCTGTCATTGCCATCTATGAAATAGGCTGTATGTGTTCAGCATTATCAACTATGTACTTAGGTGATAAACTTGGGAGAATTAAAATTATGTTTATGGGCTCTATCATTGCTACCGTTGGAGGTGCATTACAAGCCTGTGCCTACACAGTTCCCCATTTAATTGTGGCTAGAATCATCACTGGTATCGGGGTAGGTTATATCACAGCCACTGTTCCAGTATATCAATCTGAAAGTTCTCATGCTAAATCGAGAGGAAAATTGATCATGATGCAGGGTAGTATTGTTTCCCTAGGTGTGATGGTGTCTTACTGGGTTGATTTTGGATTCTATTTTTTGGACAAAGGAAAGACTTCAGAAGTTTCTTGGAGATTTCCGGTGGCATTCCAAGTCCTTTTCACTGTTATCCTTGTTGGTTCTGCTCTCTCTTTTCCCGAATCACCACGTTGGTTAATCAAAAAGGGCAGAAATGCTGAAGCCAGACAAGTCTTTTCGGCCCTATACGGTCTTCCCGAAGATCACAATATGGTATCTGCCCAGGTAGACGAAATTATTTACTACAACGAAAAAGAGAAGGCAGAAGGTGCAGATAATATTAAATTGAGGGAAATATTCAGGCAGGGTCCAAATAGAAATTTCCATAGAATAAGTTTAGCGGTTTGGGGACAAGTATTCAATCAATTTTGTGGTATCAATTTGATCACCTATTATGCTGGTACCATTTTTGAGCAATATATTCACATGTCCCCATTCAATGCTAGAATTTTAGCTGCAGCAAATGGTACTGAGTATTTTTTGGCCTCCTTGTTAGGATTGATCTTCATTGAACGGTTAGGTAGAAGGTTTTTGTTGATTTTTGGCACTGTTGGTCAGGCAATTGCTATGGCATGTTTGACTGCTACCACCTGGGCTGCTGATAATGGGAGTGGTTCCAAGGCGGGTATCGCAGCTGCTGTGTTTCTTTTCGTTTTTAATAGTTTCTTTGGAGTTTCATACTTGGGTGCTAGCTGGTTGATCCCACCTGAAATTCTTTCTTTACAAATGAGAGCAACAGGGTCCGCACTCTCGACTGCGACAAACTGGGCTAGTAATTTCACAGTGGTCATGATCACCCCGGTTGCCTTTGAGACGATAGGTCCATACACCTATACCATTTTTGCGGTGATTAATTTGCTTATCATTTCAGTTCATTACTTTTTGCTCCCAGAAACTGCAGGCAGAAGTTTGGAAGAGATGGACGACATTTTCAGCCAGACACCAGTCTGGAAACCATGGAAGGCGGTTCAAATTGCAAGGGATATGCCATTCCAACATGTGGACGACAAAATGACATGGGAAGAAAAGAAGGCATTCATCGAGCACCGCGAATATTCTAGTTCTACAGGCGAGTTGGACACTACAGAAGTGAATAGCAAGTCTGTTTGAGGTTCATAGCCGAAGATGTTTCTAGTAATTTGCTTTAGTATTGTGCCATAAATGTGTATTTTAGTATGGGGCAAAAATTAGTTTTGAGTATGGATGCTAATTTTGCACCCATTCAAGAAGTAATTAGAGTAAGTCAAGGTGAGGTAGTGAAAACAATATTATGTATGGATTTGTATCTCCAGGCTTATTTATTATCTGTAATGCTACTGTTAACAGTAAATTTCCACCAACGTTCCATTAAAAGAGGTAAATTGGTATCAATAGTTTAGACCAACAATAAAGGGGGATAAACCTGAATTGAAAACTATATCCAGAAAAGTCCCGTGCTTCTAGGTGTGCATAGATAGTCTCAGAAAATGGAACGATGGCTGCTCTCACCTAATCACGCCTGTTTGGGTGCAACAAAGATAATATTTTTGCAAAATTGGACCGATTACACTCTACAATTCATCTACCTCATCTATAAATTGTTTACAATGAAGATACTATTGGAGAAAAGAGTTATAACCCTAATTTTCGCCCTATCTCGCCAATAAACCGGGTACCATAAAGATAAAATATTGGTGACAATCAAACGTTATTCCTACCCAACCACCGCTATCTCGGTAAATTTATCCAGTTTCTGCCACAAGAAATATTCTCAAGGACCGCTCGGACCACACACGACTGGCCAAAACCCGCCAAAACCCGCTCCACCTTCACGACAGTTCCTCCTCCCGTTTGGCCCCCACGGCACCCCCACCCCCGAAACGCCACGATTGTCTCCCCGACGCCTCACTGGCTGGTGCCGTTCCGTCACTGACGTGAACCCAGCCGAGTCCCAGCAGCCCCCTGGCATCATCCACACCTTCCTGTTTGGGCCAGGCGCAAGGCGGTGGCCGCCGGCTCCAGCCGCCTGGTCACGTGACATTACCTAATGCGGCCACAGAGCCCGATCATCGATTTTGTAGCCGCAATTAAGGGCCGATGACAAATGGCGATGGTTTAAATCCATAGCCACATTTTATTCCCACAACCCACCAGCACAGGAGGTCTCGTCCACGCGTGCTTTCCATCCCGCCGCCAAATCCCGCCGTCGTCACGCCTCCAACATCCAGCAGCAGCCTCAAAAACCGAAAACTGAGGCTTTTCCAACCAGACAGTCAGTGCTATTGTCGCTAAACCAGCCTTATATAACAGATTCAGGCCGCCAGCGTCCGCACACCCACCATGGACTTCTACTACCGCAAGCTGATGGGCAACGGAACCGTGGCAAGCAAGTTTCGCCTCAACAGCATGCTGCCCTCGTCCAACACCACCACCACCACCGTCCAGCTGAAGCAGTCCAGCGTCCGAGACCTGTTGAAACGGAGCGAGCCAGCCGAAGAGGATGGCGAGTCCAAGCTACAGGAGCCAGAGGACACTGAGGGTGCCGAAGACGGTACCAGAAGCAGCGTCAGCTCGGACTCATCGTGGCCACAGCCCGTGATTATCAGCGAGTCTGGCAAACAGAAGCACCCCATCGAGTTTCCCGAGACCCACCATAGAAACAACTGCAACCGTTGCTACCGTTTGAAGAAAAAGTGCCTGAGAGAGTACCCCAAGTGCAAAAACTGCCTGAAAACAGGAGCCGAGTGTGAGTACGTGGTACGCAGCAACAAGAGAAGAAAGAGAGGCTCTGCGCCCAAGTTGAACGGCGAAGGCGTGTTGAGCACCGGCATCTCGAAGGAGGACGGCTCGCAGGTGTTCCACGTTGTTGGTGAGAGCAACAAAGAGCCACCCCAGGAGAACAAAGACGTCGTGGTAGCCCACAAGTTGGTGTCGGTGTCGTCGATGCTTGCGAACGAGCTCTACGAGGATGCAATGAAAAAAGAACCATCAAACCTCACTAGCACCAACACCCGTCGTCCAATCAAGAAAATCACCACAGCTGAATTATCCAGCAGTGCAAGACGAGCCAGGGACTCGCCTGAGGTCCCCTTGGCACAAAAGATCATGACCAAATCCCTCTCCACAACCTCTTCTCCTGCGAATTTGAAGGAGGAGTTTATCACGATGAAACCGTTGCCAAATGAAGACCTACCATTGATTTTTGCCCTCAACTACTTCGAAAACTACTCCTCCAAGTACCCATTTATCGATAAGAACAAGTTTTTGACTAGGCTCAAGTCTATCGACTTTAAGAAAGAAGCAATTGTGAACATCGATATTTATTTATTAATGAGTATTGGCTGCTTAACATTTGATCTGCAATCTGATCTAGCCAAAAGGGAAAAGCTCTTCCCGCTCTACTTCAATGAAAAGAACGTTGAATCTACAATCGAAGTGTTAGATCTCAACTTATTTAATGCATCCACCGAGGAAATCATAGAAAATATGGACCTTTTATTGTTATTAACCATATACAGTATAAGTTCTTTTAACAATGAATTATGCTGGGGACTATTGGGTATTTTGAATCGTCTAGTCGTTCAGTTGGAATTGTACAAGCCTTCAGAATTATCATCCAAAATTGACACCATTCATTTACAGAGGATCTTTTGGTCAGTTCATAACTTGGACAAAGAATTGAGTTTGCAACTCATGCGTCCTAGTCAGTTTCCAGCTGCTGAGTTCACTCGGGTTCCATTACCACAGAATACTTTTGAGGGGGATGACGAAAGTTTGGACTTAATAAATCAGGAAATCAAGTACTATCAGTTCCATGATTTGTTACTCACGTCATTTTTATCTGGAGCAAACAGAGACTCTGAGAAATTAAAAGAGATCTCTCTAAGCTTAGAAAAATGGAGGGTTACAACTAGTTCAATTATTCACAAGTTGCACCACCAATCCCAAAGCTTGCAAGACTGGACCTCATATGTTAATTTGAACTACTACTACTTGCTTATTGAGCTCGATCAGCTCTCTCCAAGTGAATCGTATCAATTCACGTTGCATTTTCTTTCCAATTCTTTTGCCTTAATAATATCGGATACAGAGGCCGAGTCGAACTCAAGCAATTCCAAGCTTGACGTCAAACTCACTTTGAGATCATCCTTATACTGGTATAAGAGGCTCTTCAAGGTAATAAACTACAACATGACCTCCCTAAGCAAAATGGTGGAGTCGACACAGTTGAAGAAATTGGACTTGAGTCTCCGTTTGAGTGAGTTCACAGGTAACTTACAGTTAATTGTGAACTTGTTACGTTACATCCATGACAATGGAAGTATACACGAGACCCAAAGCCTGGCCTTGAAAAGGATGATGCAAAGCGTGAGTTTCGCAGCCGATGAATTGAACGAGTTACACGTCTCATTGATGAAATTCAATGTGATGACTAGCAGAGATGACGAAAGGGTTTCTTTGGGTAAGACCGTGGAGAGTGTGAAGGATAGTTTGCACTCTCTTAGGGTATAGGTGGACTGCCAAGAGCAGTGATGCATTATGACATTTCTTCTGGTATGTATTATAATATTTTATAGGACTGGCAACGCTAGTAAACGATTTAAGAATAGCTTCAACAATAGCAATGCATGTTTGAGGTCAGTAGTCTGGGCACGATGCTAGTTGTTGCCCGTTGCGCGGCTACTGCTCGCTAGTCCCGGGAAAGAACAATAGGAAAATCTTCAGATTTGAGGTACGGATCCTCTACTGAATTTCTAAATCTATTTCCATACGATGTGCGTAAAAAGCCGTTTCAGCAAGCAGTCATGCTGGCTAGAGATGCTTAGATGAGATGGCTTCTTTCACCAGATCCTCGGCAAAGATCTGGCCAACGCTTCTTGGGGCTTCCAACCACTGTTGGATGTCTAGCAATACTAGGAAAGTACGGAGCAAGCGAGCGCTTACTGACTCGGAGAGTTGCATAGCGATCATGAATGCCTTTCCTAGCAAACATCCATACTTCAGCCGGCGTATGACGTAAAAAAAAACTATGACATAACCGGGGAGGTGCGTCGTGGGGGATCCCCAGATCATCATAGTGGGGTACGAAGAGATTTAGCCCCGCGTCCCATTTCCTAAACGGAGTGTTCGTTACGGCACATCGGTGCAAAGCCTGCAAGAATGCCAGCAAGTGGTAACACAGAGTCAAATTTGAACTACTTTGTGATGTAAGACACCGGTTTTTAACGCGGCTAAAATGTACCCCACTTTGACTCAAAACCGCACGGTTGCTATATGACGTTGAGAGCCCTCGGTTGCGCTTACGGGTTCATTCCTTGTTCCCCCACGAAGACGAAACCCCCGAACTAGCTTGGAGTCAATAGCTCGGGGGTGGTTGACTTCCATAGCACGAAGTCATCAAGCATCCCCAGCAGGTCCTGGTACACCCCTCGGTCCCCATTTAGGCACTGACCGACGGGCGTCAAAAACCCTGTCTGCGCGTCTCGCTAAAAATACTTCATTACTCGGACAAGCTTCACGGATATGCAGCCCTTTTGGACAGGTTTCTCCACAAAATCCACAAGTCATGAGTGGGGACGGTCCAGAAGCCCCCAGGAGCCTATTTAAATGGAACGAGTTTCCCCTCCGATACCCTTGCAAGGTATAGGAAGATGTCATCGTCCAGCTTAACGTCAAGTTCCAGTAAGGGCCAGATTGTGAGGCCCGCAGGGTCCCAAGTTCATACTTTCTTGGGATTATCAGGCAAAAAGCTTCATTTTGCCGTGTCTGCCTTTGCTGGTGTCGGTTTCTTGTTGTTTGGTTACGACCAAGGTGTTATGGGAAGTTTGTTGACTTTGCCCTCGTTCGAAAATACGTTTCCAGCCATGAAGTCCTCCAATAACGCAACCTTGCAAGGTGCTGTCATTGCCATCTACGAAATAGGATGTATGTGTTCTGCATTATCGACCATGTATTTGGGTGACAAGCTTGGAAGAATCAAGATCTTGTTTATTGGTGCTGTTATTGCCACCGTTGGTGGAGTTTTGCAATCGTGTGCATACACCATTGCCCATTTGATTGTTGCTAGAATTGTCACTGGTGTGGGTGTTGGTTTCATCACTTCGACGGTGCCAGTGTACCAATCGGAATGTTCCCATGCGAAGTCTAGAGGTAAGTTGATCATGATGGAAGGTAGTATTATTGCCCTCGGTATTACCATTTCATACTGGATTGATTTTGGATTCTACTTCTTGCGTAATGGCGACCACTCAAGTGTTTCCTGGAGATTCCCAGTTGCATTCCAATGTTTCTTTGCCATTATCCTCGTTTGTCTCGCCCTTTATTTCCCAGAGTCGCCACGGTGGTTATTGAAGAAGGGAAGAATGCAAGATGCTAGAGTTGTTTTCTCAGCATTGTACGGCTTGCCAGAAGACCATGCTATGGTAACTGCTCAAATTGATGAAATCATGAGCTTTGTCAAGAGAGAACAAGCAGAGGGAGCTGACGATATCAAGTTCAGTGAGATCTTCAAGCAAGGTCCCAACAGAAACTTCCACAGAGTGTGTTTGGCCTTTTCCGTTCAGATGTTCCAACAAATTTGTGGTATCAACTTGATCACCTATTATGCTGGTACCATTTTTGAGCAATACATTCATATGACCCCATTCAATGCCAGAATTTTGGCTGCTTGTAATGGTACTGAATATTTTTTGGCATCTTTGCTTGGTTTGCTTTTCATCGAAAGATTGGGTAGAAGATTCTTATTATTTTGGGGAGCCATTGCTCAAGCTATAACTATGGCCTTGTTGACTGCTACAACTTGGGCTGCTGACAATGGAAGTGGTTCCAAAGCTGGTATTGCAGCAGCTGTGTTTCTCTTCGTGTTCAACAGTTTCTTTGCAGTTTCGTACTTGGGAGGTACTTGGTTAATTCCCCCAGAAGTTCTTTCTTTGCAAATGAGAGCCACCGGTGCTGCTATCTCCACTGCAAGTAACTGGGCCTTTAACTTTATGGTTGTGATGATTACCCCAGTCGCTTTCAAGAATATTGGTCCTTACACCTACACAATTTTCGCAGCCATCAACTTGCTCATTGCCCCATGTATATACTTCTTGTTGCCAGAAACTGCAGGTAGAAGTTTGGAAGAGATGGATCTTATCTTCAGCCAAACTCCAGTGTGGCAACCATGGAAAGCTGTTCAAATCGCTCGTGATTTACCAGTGGAGCATGTCGATGGTAGTAATAAGGAGGACATAGAGAGAAAGGCTCATATTCAGCATCAAGAGTATGCAAATGCTGAGGAGAGTAGTCATGATGGATTGTTTGAAGAAAGCAAGCAGTAGCTTGTGCCGGGTATATAGATAGTACATTTCTACAATAAAGAATTACGTTTGACTAATTTGGTAAATTGGTTTTTTTTGAGGGAGATAATTTCCAGCCTTAATTATCGACCAACTCGTGGATGTTAGGTGTATATTACAGTATAAACCGTACCATTAAGTAAGTTCTGTAGTGCCTTTAGGCTGTGGATGGACTCTAATGCTACACTCTATGACTTATTCGAGAGCTCTTCAAAATTACTTTCCTGCTAACTCACAAGAATGGATAAAATTTGATCACACACAACTGACTTATCCAAAAATTCCTCATAGTTCTATTCTTGATGTATTAATTAGATCATTTATTGCCCTGGTGCTGAAATTGGTGCAATTGCTTAATCGTATTTTGCGGCAAAGATCATGTCACGTGTAACCACTTAGATTGAGGCCCCCAGAAACGAATACCGGTTTGTGCTGAGCGTTTTGACGCTCTGCTCGAGGCTCCGGGGCATGGGGTGTGGTTGTCGCCGTCTGGTCAGGTAGAAGTATTTAGTAGGGTGGTAATTGAATTTCGTGTGGAACGCATTTGGTAAATTTACTTTCAAAATTCCAAAATGGAAAAAAAAGCACCTTTATCACTCAGACCTACAGTCCATGCTCTCTTTTCCCCCTCATTGATTCTACCCTCAATTCTGGTCCCCCAGCCTGAAAAATCACCCAAACTCCGCCATTTACATCTTATTTCCACGCTGAAAATTCACCCGGTATCAGTCTGGCTTCAGCAAGAATACCGCCGTATCCCCGTAGACCCAGCTAGCAGCTGGTAGCCCCACCCAATCGCCCGCCTCAAAGGGCCCTCCCAAGGTCCCTCCCTAAAGTCCTCCCGTACCGTCCCTCCACGTCGCACCGACGGTCGCGCGTCAACCACAACTGATCGAAGGCAAATCGCCACTCACTATACCACAACGAACCACACCAACCATCACCAGCAATGCCACCAAGAGACGATTGGGACAAATACGTAGCCCCCTCCGAAGAAGACGAGAAGACAGAGAAGATCGTCCCTTTGAGTGAGGGCGATATCCAAGTGTTGAAGACGTATGGCATAGCACCATACGCAGCGTCTTTGAAGCAACTCGAGAAAGACTTGAAGACGATTGAAGAAAGAATAAAAGAGAACATCGGCATAAAGGAGAGTGACACTGGCTTGGCAGCCCCCCACTTGTGGGACGTGATGGGAGACAAGCAGAGAATGTCGGAAGAACAGCCTTTACAGGTGGCCAGGTGCACCAAGATCATTGAGGCCACCAACCCAACGCCTCTGATTGGAGCTCTCCAGAACGCAGACAATAAGTCCAAGTACGTCATCAACATAAAGCAGATCGCCAAGTTCGTGGTGGGGTTGGGCGAAAGAGTTTCGCCTACAGACATAGAAGAAGGCATGAGAGTCGGGGTCGACAGACAGAAGTACGAGATCCAATTGCCCTTGCCTCCCAGAATCGATCCTTCCGTGACCATGATGACGGTGGAGGAAAAGCCTGACGTCACCTACAGCGACGTCGGTGGGTGCAAGGAACAGATTGAAAAGTTGAGAGAAGTGGTCGAATTGCCCTTGTTGTCGCCTGAAAGATTCGTCAAATTGGGTATCGACCCACCAAAGGGTATATTGCTTTACGGCCCACCAGGTACCGGTAAGACCTTATGTGCCAGAGCCGTTGCCAATAGAACCGATGCTACTTTCATCAGAGTGATCGGCTCGGAATTGGTCCAGAAGTACGTTGGTGAAGGTGCCAGAATGGTCAGAGAATTGTTCGAAATGGCCAGAACTAAGAAGGCTTGTATCATCTTCTTCGATGAAGTTGATGCTATAGGTGGTGCTAGATTCGACGACGGTGCTGGTGGTGACAACGAAGTTCAAAGAACCATGTTGGAATTGATCACGCAATTGGATGGTTTCGATCCAAGAGGTAACATTAAGGTAATGTTCGCTACTAATAGACCAAACACTTTGGATCCTGCATTGTTAAGACCCGGAAGAATAGATCGTAAGGTGGAGTTCTCGTTGCCAGACTTGGAAGGACGTGCTAACATCTTCCGTATTCACTCCAAGACCATGAGTTGTGAAAAGGACATCAGATGGGAGTTGATCTCAAGATTGTGTCCTAATGCCACCGGTGCCGAGTTGAGATCGGTTTGTACCGAGGCCGGTATGTTTGCCATCAGAGCCAGAAGAAAGGTGGCTAACGAAAAAGATTTCTTGAAGGCTGTGGACAAGGTTATCAAGGGTAACTTGAAATTCAGCTCTACTAGCCAGTATATGCAATATAATTAAATTGAATACACGAGAAACGTACCTGCGACACCAGTTTCTTTCTACGAACCGATTCTATTTCATTCAGTTATTATACTATACGAGTATTATTGACCACGGTAGAATAGTGACTTCTTTCTGAACTTCACCGTAGATATGCAAATTTCACGGCAGCATAGTAGTAACTTCAATCTGAGTGACATCTGTAGTATTACATGGTGATTTATTCGTATCTTGATTCGGAACTTCGACTATTTGGAAATTCCGTGCTCTAATGGCATATTCTTTCACAATTGCTAGATAAACTCAAGAGTTCCTATTACAACACCATGGACTGGACTGATAGCGCCAACACGTTAGACATTGAGCCCAATTCGTTACTATTGCTACCCTAATAAAAGTACAGCTGAGAGTAGACAAATCTTATGAATTACCTTCTTTAACCTTATATTCTTGAATACTTACAAACCCAATCTAAAGGGATAAAAATGGCCTCGCATGGATTGTCATTAAGATGGTAATTGCGAGTTGTTCCAGCATATGTTCTCTAATTAATTGTCACATAAAGGGTGACTTTTAAAGTGTGAATATTCTGCCCAATACTGTCTCACTGCATATTTCCAGAACATAATTTCTAGTAATTATATAACAACACGAATTCGATATCCTCCTGCCATTTGTCCTGTAGCATACTTTACTACATATTCAGTTTATTATAGTCTACAAACTCATCCTTCCTGCTATTTCCCTATGGAATTATTGAGTACAGATTCAAACCTCGAAGACTTGAATTGAAAAAGCTGGAGATAAGGGTAAAGAAAGTGTCAATGTACTTTATTATAGCACGAACCAGTATATCTTCCTGCTAATTGGCTTATAGTATATTTGATGCAATCCTGGTAATATTTACTTTATTATAGCACCTACTCATCCTCAGTCCCACCACGACACACAACCCATCCCGTCAGTCTGGCACGACGCCAACAACGCGTACGGAGGCGCTCTGTTGGAGGGCACCTCCAACCCAAGCGCCTCGTGCGACGACTTGGGCTTGATGTTGACAAAGATCTCCTCTTCCACCCTGAATCGGATCTTTTCGTTGATATCGATAAATAACTCAGTTTCCTCGTCTGGCTTCCACACCCACGCCTTCTCCACGGGCCTGAACTCACAGGCCTCAAAGATATATGACTTTGGAATGAAGATCTCGTCAAAAAACTCCAACTTCACCTTGATGCCTTCGGGAGAGCACTCCGACACCCATCCAGTGAGCACTTCGCCTATGAATGGCTTCCACACGATGCACCTGAACTTGACCTCCACGAACGAGCCTCCGTCTCCAGGCTTGAGGAGTCCGTCCTTTATGTCTAGCAAGTCCCATACTGTTATTACCAAGCCGAGATTGCTGATGACTTTGTTGGCGAGCTTCTTGTTGAGCTCGTCGGTGAGACTGTGCTGGATGGGGATGTTGAACGACTGGGGCGGGATGCGCACGAGGTCGGTGACTTCCGATAGAATGAACATGGAACGGCTGGAGTAGTTGGGATGTTTCTGGTGGGGTGGTTAGTTTAGTGTCGGTGATGGTTGGTGCACTTTTTGGGATGAGCTCGGTGCGCCTGACACATTCTCAGACAGACAGAAGTGGATGAGAGAACAGTACGACTCTTTTAGGCGATAATCGAGTGCTACCACCGGAGAAGCGGCACACTACACACGACACGGACGTCAGGAACGCCAGCAGCTACACGAGACTGTCTGACTGAAAAAGCGAGAACTCTGACACTTCTGTCACTACAGACACTGTGTTAGAAAGAAAGACTGTTCAGAGAGAAAGGACAGTTCCAGACAGAAAGAATACCCAATCCAGACCACCGTGTCTCGTCCACGTCCCAAGACCTCCAATTAATCTAATAATTATGAACAGGGTCAAAAAAATCAACACCACCAAATCTTCCGACAGAAGACTAGCCGGAAGCAGACAGGCTGCCCAATTCCTCCACAGCTCGTTCAAACCCACCACCAAGATCGTACCTGCCGACAAGGTGCCTATTTCGTCAGAAAAAACCGTCAAGAGAAAGGGTGGTGGCAAGACTTGGGAGGATAGCTCGCTCTTGGAGTGGGACCCCGCCCATTTTAGGTTGTTTGTGGGCAATCTTGGGCCAGATGCCAATGACCAGTTGTTGGCCGGTGCTTTTGGCAAGTATGCCACCATGAGCAAAGTCAAGGTGCCGTTGGACAACAAGACAGGCAAGAATAAGGGCTATGGGTTCGTGGCTTTTTCCAGTGCCGATGACTACTTCAAGGCATTCAAGGAGATGAACGGAAAGTACATCGGGTTGCATCCAGTGCAGTTGAAGCGAGCAGAGACCAAGATCAAGGCTGTTAAAAAGAAGTAAGCTATTGAATTAAAGGGAATGGGCAGACATTTGTGTCATGGTGCTGAAGTATTTGATTTTGGAACAAGACAGTTGAGGACTTTGGGAGTGTGAACCCTGAAGTCTTGAACGCCAGACTGTTGAAAGCAGTACACTAATTATACCACAATTTCTAAATCTTCGGAGTGGCATGTCTTAATTAAGCTTCTGGATATCTGCGTTGATATTTGTTCCAGAATTAGCGATATTGAATTATCAGTTCAAATAGAATTCCAGCTATACTCAGGCCAAGTTTCAATCTTTGGAAGCCATAATAATCAGCCAAAAAGATATCTCCACCCACTCGACACCAAGCTGAAGTAAGGAAGTTCTTTAAATGAAAGCAAACGGACCCAAACTGTGTGGTCTACAAAGCCATGATGCCTTGGTTAATACTTCTTTTAATGGCATGAGGTGAAATTGATTCTAATACCAAGACTATCTATTGGTATTCTGGAAAAAGCGATCTCCGTCTTTAATTTTTTGCAAAAGCGAGTTTTTAAATTCGATGACACAGCCACGGCTCAATATCAATAGCATTGTTTGATAGGTCTATCTGAGTCAGCCGAAGTCATTATAATTTCTTGAGGATAGGTGTATGCTTTGGGTGTGAAGTGTAAATGTGATGATCTTGATGCATTATTCCACGGCATAAGATGTCTTCTTGATTTCTTTAAGAGTCAGATCACGGAAAATGGGACCAATTCAGCTCCCCAAGCTGTCGCTTACTCTATTTCTAGTTTCCAGTAAGCTATATTTTTAACCTACCACCAAGTTATGAGTTTATAATACACAGAAGATTTGTAATTTGAGACTGTAGCTTCTATCCACCACCAGCTAGGACTCCATTTTAGAGAAGCTCTAGTCACATTCAAGTTACAATTGGAATCTCTACAGTTGGAAGCCTATGTATGTGTCACGTGCATCTTTTCACGTGCGGGTATATCGCTTGATCAGAACCATCAAATTTTCAGTATGCCCACAATGCTTCCGCTCATAGTTGCACCCATAGGCTTGGGGATCCGTCGTGTTGCCCTTCGGCCCCATACCTTAGCCGCGTTCGTGCGGCTCAAGTCCAATTTGCCCCAAGACTTCAACCCCAAAAAGAGCTTACCATCGGAAGGAGAATGGAAGCATCTCAAGCAGCACATTCCAGGCGAAAATGTCCAGTCCAACGAGATTAGGGACAGAATTCCCCGTTTCCCGCTCGTCAAGGAAAGTATTCCCACCCTCTTGCCAAAACCTGGTGTGCCTCAAGTGGGGCCAAAGCACACATTCCGTCAAGTGGTCCAAATCCTCAAGAGCAAGACCCAGCCTGAACTCATCTACGAGTCGGAGCCTCACAGACTTTACTTCCTTGCCTGCTTCTGCTTTGCTACCATTCTCACGATCTACGGTTTGGTCTTAGCGGAGTTCGCGTGGTTCCAGGCCAACAGGGACTACGAGGAAAACGAAAAAGAACACAACGAGGCCCTCAGAAAAAGAGAGTGGGTGTTCTCGTTGGCCAAGAACTCTGTCTTCAGTATCATTGCTTTGGGGGCTGCGTTTTTTGCGGGAAAGTTTCCTACTAGGTTGATCCGTCGAATGTGGTACATGCCAGGTCCAGTCGAACACATCAAGTTCACCACCTATCCTATGATCCCTGGACGTCCTACTCCCGTGATCACCATCCCATTGGAACACTTGACTAGAAGACACAAGGCCAGAGTTTGGACTGGAAAAGGTTTCTACGGCACTGCTGACAACTCGATGTTTTTCTTTGTTTTGAATGAGGCCATTGGAGGCGGAAAAAGGACCAGAAACTGGATTGTAGACAGAAAGGGCTTTTTCTGGTCCGATGGACGTGTTTTTGACTTCTTGTTCGGGAAGGAGACGTTGGCTGAGGCAGAAGCAGGAATTCCCTACGACGAGCAGATCGGGATCATGAACAGAGAGGTCAAGAAGAAAAAGAAGCAATTGCGTGCTGAGCATGGGATGTTCTACCAGTGGAAGTGGGGAGCCAAAGAGCTCCAGAAGGACATTGGCGTGGCTGGAAGCTACGTAAAGTCGTTGAGATCCAAGGACAAGGACAATGTGGGCAAGATCGGCGGAAAGAAGCACTGAGAGCGCAGCGAGGCGTGGCGGCTGTTCCAGAATGGCCAGGTTGGGCTGTCACTGTATCACGTGATCTGCCGTCTTGTATATAGGTATATGTCAACCATGTAATTATACTTAAGGTTCAACATGCGTGTGGCGCATACGCAAAGAAGGTAGGGCTGCAGACTTCGGTACAGCGAGACGGGTGTGCGCTTGACGGGCACATGCGGAACGTGCCACGCTCCAGGCTGGTGGGCTAGGCGGGAGGACCACCGCCAGCCAGTGCCATGCTGAGGCTGGCAGCTCGGAGTCGGAGCCATGCGGGGGCCGCCGCGTCCCCGCCACCAGCCTTATCACGTGTTCATATGTCACGTGCGTGTCGCGTGTTTTGAAACGCCCCCTTTGGGCGACCCCTATTGCGCTTATCGGGCAATGCCAGCTGGCCACTTCCTCTCGGTTGTCTCTCCACCGCCTCTACACTGCCACCCTACCACCACCTAAGCCTGGGACCACTACTCGCCCTGCCCCACTGCGCCTCTTCCTCCTCCTCCTCCTTCTTCTCCTCTGCCTCCTCCTCCCCCTCCATTGCGCGTGTCGCACTCAACCGCGACATCCACCGTAAATCTCTCCCCTCCCCCGGAACTTCTCACTCGCCAGGGAGGACGACTTTCACCGATTGCTACCACACCTTTCCGCTACCTTTTCTTTTAGCGACCACCTTCCACAACTCGCCATCCCATCGGCATTCATCCCACACGTGCCTGGCCCAAATTCTGCCCATAAAACCCCGATAACGCTCCGGTAATTGTCATTTGCCACCCGCGTTATAGTTGCTGTAAATTTCATCAAACTAGCTGGTGAACAAAAACCGACCGTTCAAGCTACGTCAGCAGAGGGAACTGCAGAGTCAAGTCAGACGTCGAGTCAGAAGTCAATTAAGAAGACAGAATCCAAGTCAGACTCAGAAGTCAGAAGTCAGCTAAGTAAAGCCAACAAAGCCAGCAAAGTATAGCCAACAAAGCCAGCAAAATAAAGCCCAACAAAGCCTGCGAAGTAAAGCCAACAACTCCAGCAAAGTCAGTGAGCTAATCCTTTTCCTTTCCATTCCCTTTCCATCGTTCCATCCCTTCCACCATGGCTGCCAACCTCAGAGACGTCAAATTTCACCAGAAGCGCAAGCACGACGAAGTGGACAAGAAAGACCCTGCGTCCATCTTGGCCAAAGACAGAGCCCACCACAAGAAGCTCAAGGTCACGTTCAAGGGCTTATCCAACACGGTGTACGTGTCGCCAGCAGACGAGCCCCGCCTGGGCCACCATCTCCACCGCGTCACGGCTCCTCTGTCGCCTCCACACCAGCAGAGGTCGCCCTCTCCCACCGAGATGTCCCCACAGCACGAGCATCTCCATCCGCTTCTGCACCACCTCCAGCACTACGAGGGTCCCGTGGAAAACTCACCCCTCCTCACACCCAAAGACGAGGACGACGACGATGACGATGAGCACGCATACCCCAAAAACGATCCCTCACCATCTCCTGGCACCTCCACAGCATGCACCACCCCTCCTGCCAGCTCTCCAATTAACGACACCAGTAATAATGACGAAAAATCCTCCAACACCAGCCACCACGCCAACCTCGACACCAACACCGACTACATCTCGCTCACGTCGTCGTTGCGGTTGCTCAACTCCAACAAAGAAAAGATAACCGGAGAAATGGCCCAACTCGCACAGCTCCAGGAGTTCCACATGAAGAACAACGACAAGACGGAAATCATCAACTTCTTCATGAAGTTGGTCAACAACGAATTGGACCTTCCCAAGCCCAACAAGGTGTTGAAGGCCCCAACCGTGGACTGGGCAAAATACCACTCCGGCTTGGGCCAGGTGTCTGCAGACTTCAAGAAAGAGTTGAGCTGCTCAGACAAACCGGACTCGTTGTATAAATCCCTCCGTCTCTTCGACAAAATCTAATGCCCTTTTGGATCCTGCTCAGAATCTGAAGGTAACGATATTTCACTTTTCGAGCATGCCCTTCGCACGAAGTTTATGATACGACCATCATTCACTTGCTTTTTCGTTCTAGTTCTTGTTTTTGCTGCTTGTTTGCCTTTCCTCTTATCTACATCATATAAAATCCACATACCAGTACCTCTAGTTCTTCTACACCCGTTTATATGTATATAGATTCATTCTTTCTTCTCAACCAACTTTATAAAAATAAACATTTGGATAAGAAAGCTAATGAATAATTCACTTCTTGGTGTTGTAGTTGGCAACCCCAGTGTCCTCATCTTCACTGTCGGTGACCAAAAAGGCATCTGAGTTGGCTGGAACGTCCGAATTCAATGGTTGCCACTTCTTGCCTACAGCTGGCAAAGGTTTGGATCCTGGCCCAGCCCCGGTACCCTTGTCACTTTGTTCTTTGTTTCTGTTTGGCAATGCTGGCAATTCTTCCTTGTCGTTATCAGTCAAACTGATTCTGTTGTGGAAGTCGTGCGAGAGAATCTCAGGATCCTCGTCGAATCTGGCGTTCTGTCTCTTGTTGTTGGAATTGAATGACGATCCACCCAACGCACCGAATAACTTGGTGTTCTGCTTGGGCTTCTCCTGGTACTCGTCATCGTTGCCGTCAAACTTCTTAGCTATTCCACTGACCCAGCTGTTCAAGGTGGTGCGAGCTTCCTCGAGCCCCTGGGTGAATGTCTCCTTTATCTGTTCAAACTCGTCGGGGCTATCATCAGGGTTTCTCTGGGGCTGGTTTTGGGACCCGCGCTGGGCGTTTCTCTTCTTCTCAGCGTGGCGTCTTCTTCTTCTCTCATCCTCGAGCTCGAACTCCTTCTGCAACTTTCTGGCCAACAACTCGTCGTCGGTGAGAGCGTGCTCCGAGAACGCCACCGACTTCTTTCCTGCTGCCTTGTTGCTGGGCACCACTGGTGCTGGGATCTCTGGCTTGAACGAGGGGTCCGAAATGTACAACAACGCGTTGAAAGCTGGGTCCACGCTTCCCTGCGACGCAATCAACACCGCAGTGATCAACTTGTCTTCAATGTTGGGGAAGGCGTCCTTCAAGTCGTTGGTGACTTGCGTGAGAGGATCCACCGGTCTGGGTGGCTGTGCTGGAGGCTTTGCCTCTGCGTCCTTGTCATCGTTCAACGAGACCTCCTCAATGGGCGATTCCTTGGTGTCTTTGGCAGGATTAGCCGCCTTGTTGTCCTTGTCGGTATTAGCCGCCTTGGTGTCTTTGTCGGAGGGTTGTTGCACTTGGTCCTTTTTGTCGTCGGCAGAGGACTGTGATTGGTCGAGCTCGACAGGCTCGCCGCTGACGACCTTCAATGGCTCTTGCTTGGATGTGTTCTTGGACATGGTGGAGGAGTAACAGGAGCAATTAGGGTTAGTTGTCACTCCTTTGGCGCGAGCATTTACTGTGGGGGGGCACGGGTGGCGAGGCACGTGACTTCCGCCACTATAAAAAGGCGGCGATGGCCACTCTTTTCTCTTCAGATAGAAAATAGATTACTCCGAAGAATAGCTAGAGCTTCGTACCAGGACCTATTGGTACGGAGTTTGGACAGCGGAGGCAGATAGAACAGCACGGCTGCCGAGCGTTGGGCCTTTGGTCTAACACAGGTGGTTGTTCTTACAGTCGTAGGCGTCGATGGGGGAGTGTCGATTAGAGAAAAGAGTTGATGCAAAGGTGTCTGGAGAGTAGGTGGAAGGAGAGTTGATGATCGTTGAATGAGGCCATATCTGGCGTCAGAAGAGATGATTGACAGTAGATGAGTCGATAGTGAGTCGATGAACAGTCGCCTTCTCCGACAAGGAAGATGAAGTAGACTTGTACATGATCGACGAGAAGTAGGAATTGGAAAACGACGAAATAGAGTAGATGAGATCGATCATCAGTCGACGGACGGTCGATGAACATTGTAGAACTTTCCATCCCATGAATGGTCGAACGCAGTTCGCTGGAAGCCTTCCCTACTCCCATCTGTAATTCTCTATTCACCCTACCTGAACTTCTCTTCATTCACTGTTGAGGATGTTTCCATGACGTCCCTAGCACTACGCTGCCGTTACTGCAACATCCCTCTACACCTCGAAAGAGTATCTTGTATTACTCTATACTATACATGCCCACTAGGCCTGAGCCCAGATTCCTCGCGGAAATGATGTGGTCGACACTATCGACTCTATGATGACACTGACATCGTCAGGAATTATGATTCGTTCAATTCGGCTCTTCTCTTTTCCTTGGCTTCCTTCAACTCCTTTTGTCTTCTTATGAAATCCAAGTTTTGACACTCTTCCCAGGCGTGCTTGTCATGCTTGCAATCCACAGACGAGTTGGCGGTTTGTCTTATAAGACATGTGTGGTAGAGAGCAAAGTAGGCAGCACAACGATCTCTCCAACGCAATGGAACCTTGTATTTTTGCAAATCTTCCTCGGAAACTACATGTTAGTATTGTCTTTGTCACTTCAGCTGCATTGCAAGGTGCAAGAACCACGCTGGAACGTTCTTGTTGGTCATTTCTTCATTCTGTTCCAATATGATATCTCACTCTAACACCCAGACTCGAGAACGTCCACGACTGCCCCCACTTGGCATTTCCTTCTCGTGAAACGTCTGTGACGCTCTATTCATAGTGTCAAGCACTTCGACTTGTGGTCTGGAATTGTTGGAATCATTCACCCTATTCTCTTTCCTCGTCTTTCCTCTTGCCGTTTTTGCAATTCAGCGTTTCGTTTCATGGTAAATCTATCTTGGAACAGCAGCTACTGGAGTCGTCTGATACTTACGAAGTGGTGGGAATTCGGTGACGGACATCTTGGTCTTTCCTATCGTAAATGGTTCAGTTTTCATTTTTTCTGGTCCAATAGAATTACGCCCATACTAATGTCCATGTGCAGGAACGAAATGCCATGAACAGTGACATCAAGTAGAAAGAACAAGAGCAAGGCTACAGGCGCTGAAGTGCCTTTGAAACGGCAACGCTATACGGGGCACCCTCTCAGGCGTACAAAGATCGGGGTTCGTGTGTTGTGATGCAAGTTTTTGGATTAAATGGTGAACGAGAAATAAGTGAATAAATATCAAAACAGAAGCCACGTCCAAGGCCGATAATGGTGGTAATAAGATTGTAGATCGAATCGCAGGCGCATATCCCGCAGGTTTGCTTTTCTCCTTCAACTCGATTGTTTGTTGGATATGCTCCAAAAAGGTACCACAGTGGACAAATTGCATCAGACACCTCAATACGTATGTGCGTTGGCCCAGTGGACTTTGATACTTAACATATAGCCTAGTTATTGCGTGGTCAGCCCAGGGACTGTTCGATTAACAGTACATCCTGTTGCCCTCATATCACCGATGAATCTGGACCTGCAATACAAGACAACATTGGGCTTACTGTACTGATACCACGCTAGTGGTGGTTTATTGGGTCGCCTTCTTGTGACTCTCAAGTCTCTCTTTCAATGCAATGTATTGACACTTGTAGAATTCATCCTTGGTGGCGCTGCAGAACGAGGTACCCTTGTCAAGACACTTGTAGTAGTTGATCAAATGAGCGGCACATTTGTCTCTGTGGAAGAATGGGACATCATGGGTGTCTAATTCTTGTTGTGAAGCTGGAAGGTTAGTATTGCTGTTGATCCCAAAATCTGAAGCTTCAGTACTTACGGATTGGTGGGTATTCGTAAGCTTCTGAGTGAGCAGTCATTGCTTGTGTGTATGAAGGGTTTATTGGATCCTTGGTCTAGAAGTATAGATGGATGTTTAATTGGGTGAATATCATTGGTAATTTTTTTCAAGGTCGAGCTTGGTCAGTCATTACGTAATCACACGCTTCTAGAGAACAAAAAATTTCTGCCGGTCCCAGGAATCGAACCTGGGTTTGTTCGGCCACAACGAACTGTACTAACCACTATACGAGACCGGCTCTTTGGTTGAGTTTCCAAAGTTGAAATTGAATATCACCATAAAATATCTGCTTATGTAAGCAACAATCTCTACCACTCCAACTCCATTAAATTTGACTTTTTGGACTGTTACGTCAGTTGAATCTTCATTAAATTAATTTCTCTTATAGTTTATCTCCTATCTTAATTGTTAAATACCTAATAGATGTTTTTCTATAAAATACTTGAATTTCTGAATAAATTAATGGAATCAAAAAGTATAGTTTTATTTTAGTCTCTAGTAAGATATAAATAGAGATTATTAGTAGATTATTAGTAGATTATTGCAAGTAATTCAATGTTTTCACAATTATTAGAGTTATTAATATGTATTTCTGCAAATTTTGGACGTAATGGCGTTGTTGTATACCATCAAAATCATGCCAATAAAAACATTACTCGTCTAATCCCCACCACGCGGATCGCTTGAAACAAAGTACGCATAACAGCTCTAAATAATTTAAATAAAAACTATGAACACCATATCTGTTTCAAGTTGGGGTAGCTGATTACTTGTAGGTTGCAACAAATTCAAAGTTTATGAAAACAGTAGCGTAACTTCATTGATTTCATGCTGATAATACACCTAGCGAGTATACGGCAGAAGCCTCTACTCTTGAAGTCATTTATTAGACTAATAGGAATTTTTGTTAATGATCTTTGTACCAAAGAGAAAACTGCTGAAAGAAAAAAAGTGAGAGTGAAAATAGGTGTTCAATTGAATCTGGAAAATGTCTAACAAAATATTGTGCATAATGTAGGTAAGTGATAAAGGTCAAAGCTATCATATACCGATATTTCGTACCGTGGTAACTGATTAAGTGCCCATTGAATTGGACCACACTTCTTCACATATCTTCTTACCGATAATGAAGTTTTTCATAGACCATTTATCTATCACTGTTGATTTGCCCTGGTTCAGCAAATCTATACCCACATTGTAGTTTTCACCTCCCAAAATATATACATATGTTTATTGAAGGAAAAATTGTTTGTTTTCAAAATTCTATTTTTCTCTCCCATTAGTACATTCTTGTGTCCTTCATCGATTTTGACTATATTAATCAGCTGCTCAAGTGTTTTAACAGTAATAAGTTGCAATTTCCTACCGCATCACAATCCACTTATTGTTGATCGATGGAAGAATTATTCTTACATTTAGTTTCAATTTTGTTGTGTGCCTTTCATTGAATGCTTGGTCGTAAGAAAATTCAACAACTAATAGTCGAGGTAAAACATTTCCATCCCAAATAGTAATCCACTCTAGAAAGGATACCAATAATTTTTATTCTGAATGTGTTGTTCTTTACAGGAACTGTTAATTGAGTGCTTATCTTGTCTTTTGAAAAGTTAAGTGTTAGAGGTCAAAATTGAATCCAACTCGCTAAAAACTCAAAAGAGAAGATCACCCCCATCATGGGCTTGCACTAGCATGGCATGCTAAAATAAGAGAAGATTATGAGACTACTATCTAAAAGTTACAGGTTTTAGGACTTGCGGGCAAGCAAAAAATTGTATCGCTTTCCGCTTCGCTTCCTGACTTTACAAAAGTCAGGGCATATAGAGGCACAGCTTTACTATATTTAGCTAACAGAACATGAAATAGATACGCCAATATGCAATGACTGGTACAAACAGCTGCAGCCAACTTCAACTAGTATCGACTCTGGTCTTTCTTGAGATTAATGTCTGAACTACCCAGGGCTCTGGGTTATTGGGCTTAGTTCTAGATTCATCCCAAGAGAATTAGTTTGAAAGATATTTATAGATCCACAAGAGCACTGACCAAGATCATTTGACCGTATATGCTGGAGCTACATTGTGACAGAATCTACCTACTGTATCCTCAAATGAAATTGGACCCTGTAGGTTTTCCGTAAACGGGCGATGATTTTGCACCCACTCTCCAAATCGCATTTTTTAGCGATGAGGCTTCAGATTTTTTTCATCTCCACTAAAAGAGATGTACACACCGACCAAAAAGTTAGCAATTAGCCACGCGGCCGGAGAAACTTTCTTGGCTATCTTGAGCTTTCCGATCCGACTGCACAAATGATCGTGCACCATCAACGTACTTATGCCATTATTGACGAGGCGAAGTGCCGTAAACTAAAAATAGGCAGCATTCCAGATGGTCACTTCGGGATCTGTGTCCCATGGTATGACCGTTGAGGGAAGCGTAGCGTGTAGGGTTGTTTACTACCAGCTATACGGAACTTTTTTCGGCGTTTTTTCTTTTTTTTTTCCTTTCCTCCCAGTGCCCAATAGTAAACACTGTACAAGAACTTAAAGAGGCGTTAAAAGTATTGGCCCCTACAAATAAAAGCGTGGGGGCGCCATCCCTAGTACTATTTGCGTCAGTTCCATCTAGTAAGCATATGAAGTAAAGATGTAACAGTACGTCTGGTAGATAGTGCAGTCGCTAGAAATAATCTGAGACTTGAACGTCACTCCACAGATAGTGCGTCATCAAGATCGTTCCAGATATTTACGCAAGCGATACGAATTGGTTGGTGCGTCATCAGCCAAGTCTCAAAAAGTTGGAGTGAGAAAATGTGTGGCTTCGGCCGAAATCTGTTTCAGATCAATGTTATAGGATGAGGGGTAGTTGGGATACAAGAAACAAGTATGTAACATCGATGTGAGGATGCATGGTTAAAAAAGCGCATTAAATTTATTGTTGTTTTTGTGTACCCGTCATTTTCACATGGTGCTTGGACGACGATCGAATGATTCTTGAAAACAATCTAGGAGAGACTTATTGTGCGTTTCATAAAAGATGGTCTTTGATGCATATTTTGCCTACTGTAGTCTAGTGGCCCGAAACATGCATCGCATGAAAAAAGTGTCTGCATAAACTTACCGCGAGCCCCGCTGGTTTTTGCTGAGGTGATTTGACGTGGACCCCAAAAATCTAGCCTCGCTATTTAATGTCATGCAAAGAAGACTAATATGTATCTAATGCGATTGCTCGCAACCGCACTTTTTCTCACTCCCAGTAAGAAGTCGCATTATAATAAACACATATTTTCTATAGTGAAGACATTAGAAGAAGGCAGTGCATTTCATATTAGATATAGTACCAAGAACTGTCCAGTTCATTGGAATAGAAAAGCTTGAAATTTAGTTGCTCGGGTGTAGCCCGATTTGGCCGAACCGAAGCGACGAATTTAAGAGCCTATGCATACTTACGCCCCGAGGCAACTTTATAGGTAGATTTCATCAGATGAGGATCAAGATGCATGACTACCCTTAGATCGCCTCTCGCCATCCTACACTCTAATGAGGGGGTCCGTGCTGAGGGTGATGATACGAAGGTGTATGTGGGGACAAGAAGTACCCGGAAGGGCCCCGAATATTTTCTGAACAATCTGAAGTAAGACACTGCAGCTGCATGCTTCTTCTGAACCTATGCCGCAGAATCCCTTTCGATGTATGTGTGTACCTTCAAGCATCTTTAACCTGGGTGTCGCATAAAATCAACTCATAAGAATCTTGGGGCGTTTTGACGCCGGATAGCCCAACATATAAGGCGTTTGTAGTCGGCTATTGGTGGTAATGTAAGGCCCCGTTCGTTGACGATTGCTAGATCTGAGTTTGAGATTATATCGAGTTTCAGATCTGCAGCTGGTGTTCGCTTGCCCAGGCGCCCCCAAACGCTTACCTCTTGTGGGCCTAGAATTGTTGGGACATCAAAATTTTTCCTTGGGGCACTCTGGTAGGGGATTTTCCACATCGTCAAGGGAAAAGGACCCCTCATCGACTGCACATACAAAGTGTGCTGACCGTATCCCACTTACACATTCTGTAAGAATGCTAAGCTAATTCGCTACACAGTCGTGGAGGACCTACTAGTCTCCACTGCCTTGGCTCACAGAGTAAGGATGTCAATATGTATCCGCCCTAGTCTTGACTCGGTTCATGTACAACAATAAAATTCTAGAATCAAAAGACGCATGTCGGGTAAGCATGGAATCTTTCCGAATTGTCCGTTCCTCAATAATGTGTATTGGAGTGGAGGCGTGCGAAGACTTCGGAAGGAGAACAATATGGGTTGTTCCTCTTAGCCTGGAAGAGATGGGAACATAGGAAGCTAGGAAGAATGGCCCATTCGCTTGTATATTATTCTGCACGGTGGCTCTGGCAACGTGCTGGCCAACGTGCTGGAAGTACAGCACTTTTCTGTACGTCTTGCGTACTCTTGAGTGCTTTGGACACAAAACCTCAACTTTCCAACACTTTTTAAGGCACCGGAACAACTTTCTCTGAAGCAAGATTAATCGGAACCAATCCATCTTGCTGGCAACATTGGCGACTAAGCCTGTATCAAACCTTATTATGTAATTATTGCTGTGAAATTAACGTCTAAGAGCATAAGGCTTACATTCGTCAGCATGGAGGCTAAAGATCTAAATTAACACTCCTGAACGTTCGTAAATGGAGCTCCAAGTCAGCAGGGATGACGCGTACTTGAAGCCTGAAGATAATAATGTCACTTTTCCTACGAGGCAGACCTTGCTTACACTCCAATCGAGAACAATAGTTGTTAGAGTTTAAATGCGGCGGAGGTATGCGCCCCCACACCAAGAGAGTCATGTACGTAGCATTCATGGTGACGAGGACGGTTGGGACACATCCAAGCGGAATGAGTTCATCTTTAGTGAGGACGGATTGGACAGATTGTCATCTCTTGGCTCTCCTCTATTTTTTGCGCCTGGATATACGTCAAGGCGTCGATTGGAGTCAGTGTTACGAACTCTTACATTAAAGATATATGCAGCGCAATAAGACATATGTGTAAGCGCTAAAACCGTGAGGTGCATATGCAGACAAACAAAACCTTCCGTAAAAATACCACTGTCTTTGTTAGACTCAGGGTTGTTTGCCAGCCCACTACTTGGTACATAATCGCGAATTCTCGGTTCGGAGAGGTACATTGAGATGAGAAACATCCGAACGGATTGAGGGAACCGTTAGCCAGATATCTAACCGATTAAATGTGCGTTCAGGAGATTCATAACTGGACTTGTTTTGTTGTACAATCTGATTCGACCAATGCTACCTCTTTTAAATTTGTACCGGCCCTCCCTCAAGATGGTTAGAAGTTTCGTTTGGTTCATCGTACGGCTATTTTGAGACCGTGATCCTTCCGGAGTCTAGTTTTCTAACTTTTGAGAACATTCCCCAATTGGGCGAGTTTCATTGATATTGTTTAGAGCGCAACTTCGGGTGGGGGATGAAAACGGGTCCGAAGATTCCGATAAACATGGTGTCACTATGCCTACACAACGTCCACCTCAATGCATCAATCGGAGTAAGTTTGCAATTTCAACTGTTATCAGATTTAAGTAGAACGTTGACCATTCAAACTGGATCTCTGATTAAGATTAGCCTACTATGTAGCATGGGAAATCGGCCCGCTTGCTCCATTTGTGCCCCACCGTTACCAAGGTTCTTTAGATTGGTTAGAGTAACTCACAATCAGGCAAGATAGATTGATGTCACGCTTAAACTCGTAACACAATACTCCATCTCTTATTGTGATGATCGTAGTCGCACTTGGCTCAAGGCTCAGGACGCAAGAATTGGGGGATTGGGGTTTGGTGCTATGACCAAGCTTGCAGATTGAAATCCAGCCTAACCATCGTTTGACGTAGGGGAGTGGTGGCCAGATCAATTACGCCCTGCATGTGTCGACGTAAATGTAAAAATGGCCTCACTACCAGTATACTCGCCGAATTGAGTTATTAAGAATGAAATTGGGCAGTTGCGGTGGCTGGGTATTGTATTTTAAGAGTACTGAACCACTACGCGAAGAATGGTTGGTCAATTTGAGAACATATGATTACATTTTGTTCCATCACGAAATTAATAGAGCCGTATACCACACTGAAGCCCTGGACAGAGATTTTATGAAATAGATAAAGTAAATTGCGCGCTGCACAGCTTAACGTACAGTGGAGTAACACTTGAAGCAAAACCCGTTATGATCAAGAATTTGAACGGGAAATCTCAGCCGTCACACTGGATCACTGGCCTTTCCCTGATTCCCGGAACATTAGATAGCCAGTTGACTTTTTAGCTGAATTCCTCGTACTTAAAATGGAAGAAGCGCAAAATGACTGTCTGGGCCTGCTTTGACGAAATTAGCCCCAGATACATTCAAGGGAGCGGTAATTGTGAGTTTAGACTGAAATAGAGATGGCGTGAGATAAAACTACATCCGGTTGGGATTCTTTTGTTTTGCGCCTAAGACACGAGTATGACGCAAGTTCTCGCTACCATTGCTCCCTCAGGAACGGGGCTACCAATTATTGTTATGTATGTCAATTCATTTCGCTTATTTTCAGGGCTCCTTGAAATGTATGGAAAGTGAAATAATAGCTTGGCCACTTAGACACCCTGCTGGTTGTCCTAAAATAGCAATTAATACAGAGCGAAACGAAACTAGTTCTTCAACAGTAGAATGGGATTGCAAGAGAAGATTACTGCAACTTTGAGACTTTCGAACTTCATCTCTGAATGCTAGGGATGTAGCGTGAAGTCCATATTAAAGGCAACTATTTAATTTTTTCACCTGTAAACTATTGGCTCCGGAGGTAACAGATTCTTCCTGATCGATCTTGACTATAAAAAAATCTAGAGGCAATTTGTATCTCAGTCGTTAGCCTAGACTTCAGTGCTTAAGAAAGTAGCGCTTGTGCATATGCAATCTGTGAGTACATCTAAGGCTGTTCTTTGGGACTGTGGTGACTACGGGAGTCCGTTTATCACTTGACGTTTATTCAAGAACACCCTGTCCATGATAGGAAGTTCCACTTGATGGAGAAATTCATACTCTGACCAACATAACCGATAACCGTTCTCATGATGAAGGTGATCAGGAACTCTCACTTTTTTTTAACGCCTAATTGTGCATCAGTTCGTATGTCCCTTACTGTGGTATCGGATCGGCTCGGCAAGTTTACTTCCAACAGCTTTTTGTCTGTCTGAAATAAGTACGTGCATAAAAATTCTGATGCATGAAACGCGCATTATCTGTGTAGAACTTTATCTTTATTTTTAGATGAGCAAAAATGGAGGTATTGCAAAAAAAAAAAAAGACACACCGCAGCACATGAGGGTCCTAGCCGATTTAATTATGGAAATATTTATATCAATCTTCAAAATCTGGTATCTTAACTTTAATTTTAGGCCCGGAGGGAAAAACTATATATAACATATCCCCCCCAGAGTTACAGCAACTTCACTACCTTCATAAAAATCTTACTCAAATAATTAGTCCTGTAATACATACTGTTCATTTCAGGACACCAATACTTCAAAATCATACATCATGGCCTCCACTACCACCACACCAGCTTCTAGCGTCAAGCTTCCATCCATAAGTGAGTTGACCTCTCGCTCTCCTCTCAACGAGGAATCACAATTGTCTCCTAGAAACAGAGAGCTTCCCAACTTGACCTCGGCGGGCTTCACTTTCAGATACCCAGTCAAGCCTTCTACTCCAGCTAATTATGTCACTAGCGAGTCTACTGAAGCTAACAAATTACCTTCTATATATCATGACAAGTCTAGCACACAAAGTGTGATACAATTGCCAGCCCCACAGCAAGCTTCTTCTACATCATCCAGCCCAGCGCTGCACTACCAATACTACCCATACCACCAGTCACCTGTGCTGCAGCCACAAGGCCAACCTGGTCCTGTGCCAGCACCAGCCGGACCCATGGTGGCTTACACTACATCTCCAACCACCTACTACCACCAACCAATCTACTACCAGAATTCCAGCAACGGAGCCCCAGTGGCTCCCTACCCAGTGGCACAGCAGTACGTCTTGCCAGAGGTGATCAACAAACCCACCAACAAATGTCATAGATGCGGAACCACCGAGACCCCCGAATGGAGAAGAGGTCCCAACGGTGTGAGAACCCTCTGTAACGCCTGTGGGTTGTTCCACGCGAAGTTGGTAAAAAGAAAAGGTGCTGCTTTGGCTGCTGAAGAGGTGTTGAACAACAAGGTGTGCAAGGGGAAGAACGGCAGAAGAATAAGCTTGAAGAAGCATCTTTTGAACGAGAGCTTGTTGAAGAATGCCGAGCCCAAGCCTACACAACCCGCATATCAACTTCCGGTCAACAGCTTGCCCTTGCCACCACCAATCTACAACTCGCATCCACCAGCAGTTGGGTACAGCGCCCACCACATTCCCCAGCACAGCAATGGCTACTCCCATTTGGCTGTGCCTTTAGTTCGTTATTAATAGGTTTGCAGGATAATTTTAATTAATGTTATTAGATAAATTGAACTGGTGGCTCGTTAGGAGCGAGCGATCCGGCGACATGTCACCTCGTAGATGAAGAAGGGATGGACGAGCAAGGGAGGCAGGGAGCGGAACGCGGCTGGGTGCCTTCCAGATATTGGGTTCGGCAACCCAGCGTGCATACATGAATCAATATTTTGAAGCACATCTTTGCATCGTCTGCCGAGTAGACTTGCAGCAGTTTGATGGTCATGGCAGCAGACGTGCATGGGATAGAGGGTGGGGTTGCGGGCCCCGCCGGTCTAGAAAATATTAGGATTCCAGAATCTGGTGTTCTGAGCATGCTATATTTTTCCCGAACAAGGCGGATGCGGGTATTTGCGTGGATTGTGCTAAACCTGTAGGTAAGTTTTTGCCTCCAAATCTATCCTCATTAGGAACTGGTTCCAAGCTATGACGTACTGGAGAGATAAAACCGATTCTCTTGGACGCTGTCTCTCTTGGCCCACACCCACCTGTCGGGCCGCCGGGCGGTCTCCAGGATTCTACTGCCTGTGGAGCTGATTCCGTGCATGCCCAGCCACTTTGTGTAGCGTTGTCAGTGATTGTGGGTGAGTTTGGCCAGATAATAGCTGACCTGAATTCCAGAATTGGGGGCACCCGTGGCCCCCCACGCCACCTGAGCCGCGCTGGCAGAATCGACCGCCCCAGGTCCCCGAAGATCCATCAGATCCACAGTAACCGTCGTTTACAAACTGTCTGTCCGTTAACAACTATTCGCGCAATGCCCCCACCTCAGAGTCTAATTGGGGCGGAAACTTAGATATTCTCCAGATTTTGCCGTTATGCAGATTGCTGGAAGCTTATTTGCGCGATCACCCACGAACCCTGAGGAGGCTGTCACCGACAACTTAAACTTGCAGGCGCAACTTTCTTTATTTGTAACTGCCCCGGGAACTGGGCGTTGGAACGGCCGGGCCGATACCCATGCTCCGGGTGGAGGGAATCTCCCAGCCTCTACTAGACGGTTTATCAGGCAACGACAAGACTCAAGCGCAATCCACATGCATTATGTTCACTTATCGTCCAGTGGAGCTCGAGCCTGGAGGTCGGGGTGCGTCGGCATGCTCGGGAGAACCTATCGTGCATTATCATGTAGCTCGGATCTCGGTATTGCCGATTTGGGTGCGGCAAGTTGATGCCCTCGGCTTCCACTGGTTCTTATTGGGCCGATTGCCCCAGAGTATCCTCACGTGCCATTGTAGTAGAGGTGTTTGAGGCGATAGGATACCAAGAATTTGAAGCTGTAACCATATGCCAAACATCCTTACTACTATAATGTAATCATTTCTCAGTAGGGGACTGTGAAACTCTGCAAAAAATACTGGGGTGTTTCTTCAGGATTATCAGAGTCTGCAGCACAGGTGTTGCATTGAAACCGGAAATAGTCAGTAATTAATTGAATGAAATATTCAATGTCAGTAAAATATTAATTGCAATCAATCTGCGATTCTGATTGTAAAGATCATTGAAGAGAGATAAAGTATTACAATCTATGCTTCTGTGTAAATATTCATTAACACCTCTAATTCTGGTGATACCACTAGACAATCTCTTTTGATGGTAAATATCATTAAAGGTTGTTTGATTTTAATCGTAAAATATTATTAAAGAATCGCTTCTGATGGTAAATTATCATTAGAGAGTCTCTGATTTTAATCGTAAAGTATCATTAAAGAAGTATCATTAGAGAATGATTTTAATCGTAAGTAAAATTAAGCAATATTCTTATGATATTATCAATGATTTTGATGATAAATTGTCATTTAAACTGGGCTACATTAATTAGAATTTTCACTAATCTTTTATTCTGATGGTAATAAGTCCAATAAAATCTCCAATTCTGGTGGTAAATCTATTTAAACTATCTCTGATTCTGTTTTGATTAAATTCCCAATAACTCTGGGTAATTTTCATTAAATCTATGTTTTAGGCGGGGGAAACAGTTATTGTCTATGAAAGAACAGTCGTATTCTTTGAATGTACCCCAGTGCTGCTCAAAGAATCCTGTTTGCTCTCAACGCACTCCGAACCGCCTCCAAAACGTTGTCGTGGACCCCAGCCGTTGGCTGAGCAATGATGGTGTTCTTGTCCTCATCCTTGTAAACTCCGGTTCTCAAGAGCATCGATTCCCAGCCGTGGTCGTTGGCACCCTTGATATCGGACTCGGGATTGTCTCCCACCATGTAGATCTTGTGGAAAGGCGAGTCCTTGGGAGGCTCGCCCAAGGTAGGCAAGATCTGGGGTGCATGTGTCTGGTCCTGGTGTCCCGAAGCCACTAACTTGTTTCTTCTCCTCCAGTCAATCAACACGTGGTGGGCGAAATCGTACTGGAGCTTGAAAGGCTTTCCCATGATGGTCGAGTGCAAGTGCTGGTGGTCCTTCAACCGGTTGGTCTCCTTGTACAAGTTTTCTGTGATGATGCGGAAGGCTCCCTGCCCAAAACGAGGAAGATTGTAGTCGTTGGCCCAGATAAAGTCGTTGTTGCTGAAGATGATGGGAATGGCAGGCTCCTCAGCGTGTTTGAGCTTGGCTGGGTTCCTCTTGGTCCCCACCACGCCACCTTCCGAGTTCAAGAGGTCCAGCACGATTTGGATATCTGTGCCCATGTCACGGGGATCGTTGAACACCAAAATGGCCTCGATAGGCTTGGACAAGTCGACTGGCTGAGCGTACTTGTCGAAGTCCTCCTGAGTGAAGCGGTGGTGGGGAGAAGCCTCTGGATGCTGTCTCACGATGTCGATGGGCATTACCACGTCTTGAAAGCCGTACTCCTGGGCACACTTGCGAGCCTGGTCGCCTGGACCTCCCACCACCAACACTCTGTCGAACGCGTGCTTGTGGGCCAACGCCTTCATTGGTGTATGGCTCTGGACGATCTGGAGTGGACTGAGAGGAACTCCCAATTCTGACGAGATGAACTCGATCCTGGCACTCTCGCTGATGCCACCACCGTTGGTCATGAGAATGTATGGCACCTGGTAGTCGTCGAGAAGCTCAAGAGCACGAGACGCCTGGGGAATGGCCTTTGAACCACGGAGTAAAACCCCGTCAATGTCGAAAACAAAGGCGATTTCGTTGCTGGCGGACGAGTAGGCACGATTGAGGCGAGCCAAGCTGGAGACGGCCGCAGGGACGGCTCTGAAGGAGGCTCGTGGCCTCAAATGGGTGACTATGGGCCTGGCAGAGAACATGTTGGTGGAAGTGGAAATCATGGCTCCGTAGATAAGGTGCACGTTTACGAGGCGATTAGTCATGGATTATGTAATCAAGATATTTGAGATATCCGTGGTTCTGTCAGAAATGAACCAGCAGTTCTATTGTTTTGCCAGGAGTATGTCGATAACCGTACTTTGCAAATTCCAGACATGCATTTGGTGTGACAGCTAACAGGAGAATTCGTGACATCTGTGGCGAGTTTTAGGCCGCAATCGTTTCTTTGCCGAGTTGAGAAACTTGGCACCAAGCAGAGCCTATAGTGAGAAAACGCAAATAAATAATCATCCGAAAGTTGTGAAATTTCGGCGCTCGACCTTATGAATTGGATTGCAATGCTCGAGCATGAGAACTGCCAAGTTCTCGATCTTAAAAATTGGATTGCAATACCCTTCACTCGAAATTGTATAAAATCTCCAACCTTGAAAATTGTATTGAATATTCCATTTTCTCGAATGTGTAATGCCAATCTTGTGATTTGAAATTTTCAATCTTGTAAGTAATGATCAATCGTGTACATTGTCTAAAATGCATCTTGAAATTGTTGGTGCTTCCCTCGAGCTTGACAACACATAAACCAGCTTATTCAGTGATTCCATTGCTTACTCATGTTCGTCATGATTCATATTCCTTACTCCTTGGCCGTACTTACTTCCCCTAGGCAGTTCCTCCGTACCTGCACCAGTCACGGCCTCTCTGGACCTGCCACCCACACAACTTCGCCTCGAGCCACCAGTTGATGCATCCTGCCATCACCACGCCAAAACTGTCACTGATGGAAACAGCTCCCATACTGAACTCTCGTCTGGACAGCGGAACTTCTTCGCTGACAGACATAAATGTATTGATGTACAGGAACCCACCCAAGAGCCCTTCGTAGAACACCAACACCAACAAGAGCCAGATCAGACTGAACGGCACATCGTAGGTCGACTGACACAATGTGATCAACACATTGAAGAACTGGAGTGCGGAGAGCCAATACAAATTCTTGATCCGAATGCCGAAATTGACTGACGACCGCGACACAAACACTCCCAACTGGTAGAGGAATCCGTAAACCACGTATATATCCCTGTACGAGGAGAATAGCCACCTGGGTAAGTCTTCCAAGGGAAACAATAACGTGGGTGAGATGCCTTGGTTGATCACGTATTCCGAGATGTAAACGGAGCTGAGAGGCACCATGTACGGAAGAACTAGCGGCTTGATTTTGTTGATGGTGGCCATGACGTGTGCCGTGGTTGTTATGGAGCCCGATGCAGCTTCTTCTTCCGCAGAAATGTCTGGATCTGACCCGATAAATTGGTAAGACGACGAAGGCCTTTCGAGATCCAATCCAGGAAACCCACTCGAGGCTTCTGGCTTCGGAAGAGCCCCGTAGAATACCCCAATGAACCCGAAGGGTGCTACCGAAAACAAAAACAAAACAACCCACACCTTCATTCCCAACACATTGGTCATGAACATGAACAAAAAGCTGCCAAAAAGACCGGCACCACCTGTACCACTAGAGAACCCTCCAATAGCCCACTCTTCTCGGTAGAAGTGGGTCAATTGCAAGAAAGTGCTCTCACCCAACCCTGACGATAAGGATGCCAACGCGATTCCCACGATTTTCAAGGGAATGGCATGGGACAAACTGATCACAAGCATTCCCACAGACGAGAGACCCACCAACAGCCAAATCCTGGTCTGGTACGGGAGGAGATGGACAAAAAACGGCGCAGTCAACTTGATGGTAAATGATGGAATAATATCTGCCAAAAGAACCACGGCTTTGGGGGTGGAAGAGCCCACCAAATCGATAGCTGCCGAGAGGATCACCACATAGAGGATGTTGTTGAGGAGTCCGAACACGAAGAACGACACGAACACTCGTGTGCTTTCGGGAAACAGCATGGTGTAGGGAGATATGCTATCAGGTGATAAGCGTCAGGTGAACTGAGTCTTGAAACGTGATCCAGATCACGCGATCTATAGACATGGGTTAGTTTGGCGGTGGAGGAACCTACGGCGGCACTGAAGTCTTCAAGGCAGTAAACCAAGCAGGAAATCGATTTAACTATAAATTAACTACCATTTAAATAATTTACCAATTAATTTGTCTACCAAGTAACTCGCTTCACAGTCGATCGATAGTAAGATCTCCCTAACCTACGCTGCCGCATAGTGTCTCGCTCGTGCCAAGCACAGAGTCTCGTAAAACTTGAATTAGACGATGGCACCAGCTGCTGCCTCCAGCAGAGCCTGGGGCAGTGTCCTGCTAGGTTACGAACATCGAGATTGTGGCTGTCGAATGGTTTGGCGTTTTTACGTTAAAAATATCACAGCATTGTAGTCAAATGCAACTTGGGCTTAGGAGGCACCACGGACTTCCTTGACACCGGCCCAGAGCTCCAATCTAGCTCGGTGCACCTATCCTTGCTTGCAACTTCGTGCCATGGAACAAGAGCCGACTGAGCAATTGTGACAGGTGGTAAAAACAGCCGAGCTGCGATCTATCGCTCGGACCACACAACATGGCTACGGAGAATTGTGGGATAAAACCTTCTACTCAACAATCTGGAAGACCCTTAACCCACAGCTACAGACCACTGTGGGAGTCCACTTAAAAATGTGAAATTCAAATTAGCGAAAAACTCACTTTCGAGGATGTCAATCGGATGGGAAATTAGGGTGTAGGCCGTAGACGAGCACTCGTACATACACCTGTAACCGGAAGGGGAGTATCCAAGCCCCACCACTGGCCCAGTTCGTGGCTCTCTCACTAGAACCAACCCGTATCCCTCCACCTGTGCACCAATCCCACGCTGCGCTAGGCCCGGCGACCTGTCTCGCTATTTTTGCCGCGCCTCCCCCTGCGCACCGCCTCCTTATCGCCAATCTCGCACCATTGCGGCCATCGCCGTCGCTACGCCAGCACCACCCACCAGGCATATTTCTGGGCTATCCTTAGCATTGCTGCCCTTCTGAGCCCACCACCCTCTGCAAGGCACCCAGCCTCCGTGCGGAATCTTCCTCCAAAACGTAGCAGCCAAGTCTGGCGGGAACTTTCCGGCTATTCCTCCACAGCCTCTTTCGCACCCATTGCAACCGTTCCAGCCAGTCGGGTTTTTCTGAGCTGTGTGTTTGTACGTCCCACCACACCATGTTGATCCAGAGAACGGCCAAGGGGGCCAAAACCACAACCAAGAGCCAGAGGGCCTGGAACGCACCCCACGACGCCCGCGTGGCCACTGAAACTTCAAAAAAATCGGCAATCCCGAAGCAATCCTCATCAAATACTCCCAAGAACCCCCTGGCGCCTAACGGATCCACCACCCTTCCGTCCTCTAGCGCGTCCAAAGCGCCCAATGGCGTCTCCAGTGCTAGAAGCGGGTCTTCTGGCACTTCCAGCACTATTATCCACCCTTGCTGGTGCTGTGGTACCCTTCTATCGTACCCATCAAGAGCCAGCAAGTTCAGATGCTCCGTCTGTAACACTACCAACGTGCTAGAAGAACGGCCCCACAGCGAAATGATGGTTCCTACTCCTGTCTCTTATCGCCACGTCCGTCACTTGCTCGACTCGTGCCTCGCATCTGCGTCGTCTTCCGAGAAATCCACCCACCAGGTCTTCGAACCGCTTTCCTCGTACATGTACGAGTCATTTCGATCGTACCAGTGCTTGAACCAGTCATTTCGGATAAACAATGCCAGCAAAAGAGCCCACTACTCGATGTCGAACATCAACGCCCACGAAATAGGCCACACGTTCCGGCTTCTCTGCACTCTCCCAACGAAAAGACCACTCTACAACTGTTTGAAAGGTGCCTCCGAGTTAGCCAGACGCTTGTACACCCAAAAAGACGACGTTATGACATACCTATGGGTTTTCATACTTTTGGAGATTCCGTTTCTCTCCAGATCTTTAAGCAGCAAGAGCGCCGAAAAGATCACTACCATGGTAGACCTGCCTGAAATAAGGGAGTTGAGCTACGATGTGCTCAAGAGGTGCTTAGGTATAATTTCCAACATCGACTCTGCGAAGTCCAGCAACTACTTTGCCTCTTGGATCTCGAAACTATCGGAGGAAGAGTTGATCATCAAAATTGACCTTATCAACCTATACATCACCTTCCACTTGCGAAAGTACTTCAACAGGACAAATAACTACAATGCTCGCTCAAAATCTGTCAATGGACAGGCACATCCTTCCGACACGGAGTATATGGAAAACTGGATCTTGAAGGAAGAACTCGAAGGAAGAGACCCGTTGGAGCTCCCGTTATCGAAATCAAAATCAACAAAGAGTGACACTAGGATCAAGCTACACCAGTATGGTAATGATTGGCATATCAAATCGGCAGCCAAGGTCTTGTCAATATTCGTGAAGGCAAATACCATTCGAGAGGTCAAGGTTCCTGCCAATAACTTCTATAATTCTCTTGTTGACTTCGTTAACGTGAAAATGGATTTTGATGGCTGGCAATCTACACGGAAATCTAGAAGAGCCAGCTATAGTCCAGAAGCTGACGAGGTCCAGGCAGTCTTGGAGTATATCCATGGAAAATCGATGTCAGAATCGATGTCCTATTACTTTTGCCAATACCCATTTTTAATATCGTTGGGATCAAAAATATCCATACTAGAGTATGAGGCTCGAAGGCAGATGGAACGGAAGGCAGAGGAAGCCTTTATTAACTCGTTGGACAAACGAGTTGCAATCGATATGTATTTTAGAGTCAAGGTTAGAAGAGAATATGTTGTTCAAGATTCGCTCAACTGCATCAAATCGAACCCAACTAACTTGAAGAAGAGTTTAAGGGTTCAGTTTTTGAACGAGCCAGGAATTGACGCTGGTGGTTTAAGAAAGGAATGGTTCTCTTTGTTGACCAAGGGGATATTCAGCCCACAAACTGGCATGTTATACAATGTGGAGGATTCTAATTATCTTTGGTTCAATGTTAAACCAATCGAGAACTTTGAGATGTATCACCTATTTGGAGCTATATTGGGATTGGCAATTTACAACTCCACGATTTTGGACCTCAAATTTCCATTGGCCATTTACAAGTTATTATTGGGACAGCTGGTTGGATTGGCTGACTACCAGCAATTGTTCCCGGTCTCGTACAAGAATTTGATGGCTCTCAAGAAATTTGACGAGGCCAATTTGAGCTCTCTAGACTTAACGTTCGAGGTGACGTATTCGGACGCATTTGGAAGGCCACATACAGCCGAATTGATAGCTGGTGGCAAGAAAATTCAGGTTAATGTGAGCAACCTAGGTCTTTACATCCAAAAATACTGCGATTTCTTTATTAAAGACGGGATAAAGCCTCAATTGGATGCATTTACCACTGGATTCGCGAGGGTAATTGGAGGCAACGGACTTTCGCTCTTTCTGGCTGAAGAGATTCATTTATTAATTTGTGGAAATGAGGAGAGCGACATCGACATTGATATACTCAAGTCAGTCACCCAATATGCTGGCTGGAGTGGCGGAAAAGAGGAAGCAACGAACTCGCAGGTGATCCAGTGGTTCTGGGAATACTTTCAAAGTTTAAATGCTAACCAGAGAAAGAAGTTTTTGGTGTTTGTGACAGGCTCAGACAGAGTTCCTGCTACAGGTATCCAGAACTTGACGTTTAAAATCAGTCTCATGGGAAAGGACACCAATAGATTGCCCGTTGCTCACACCTGTTTCAACGAGTTGGCTCTCTACAACTACAGAAGCAAGGCGATCTTGGTGGACAAGGTGAGCCGAGCAGTGAACGAGAGTGCAGGCTTTGGGCTCAAATGAAATGGATATAGTGGAGCGGTGTCTCCAGGCATAATAGAACACAACGGCGTTTGGCTAGCATGTAGATTAAGGTGGTGAGCCAGAACTGCGGTCACGCGCATATAATCACGTGACCACAAGTTCCACCAATCACCACCGCGGAAAAAACCATTAGATCCTGTACACGAAATCCACTCCATTTTAAAACAAATTTTCATTACCACTGACTACTATAATAGATTGCACAATGTCTTCGCTTGCATTCAGATCGTTGAGAAATGGTTTAGGTATGAGAGGTAAGTTCATCAAATTGAGGTTGCCAGACCTTCAAACCCCGTGGAAATCCGATTCCCAAGGCCCCAGCTTCACATTAGTGAGACACCACCACGGACCAGTCACCAACAAATATGGCCGTAACCGTGGCGTGGCGTTATAGAACGAGGCTATATGCCGAGTTCTTGTGTCTGGTGGTCTCACTCAGTCCACAATCCGTCCAGTACTAACATCTAGGCTCTGTTAGAGCTTTGTCTTCCACCAGCAACTCATTGTCCAACTACCAACAGCCAGACTTTTCATCTTACTTAAACAAGAGATCCGAAGACAGCAACAGAAACTTCACTTACTTCATGGTCGGTTCCATGGGTTTGTTGGGTGCTGCCGGTGCTAAGTCCACCGTTGAATCGTTCCTTTCCTCGTTGGCTGCCTCTGCCGATGTCTTGGCCATGGCCAAGGTCGAAGTCAAGTTGGGTGCTATTCCAGAAGGTAAGAACGTCATTGTCAAGTGGCAAGGTAAGCCCGTTTTCATCAGACACAGAACTCAAGACGAAATCGACGAAGCCAACAAGGTCGACATCAAGACCTTAAGAGACCCTCAAGCCGATGACGACCGTGTCAAGAAGCCAGAATGGTTGGTCATGTTGGGTATCTGTACCCACTTGGGTTGTGTCCCAATTGGTGAAGCTGGTGATTTTGGTGGTTGGTTCTGTCCATGTCACGGTTCCCACTACGATATCTCCGGTAGAATCAGAAGAGGTCCAGCCCCATTGAACTTGGAAATTCCAGCCTACGACTTTACCGATGATGAAACCTTGTTAGTGGGTTAAACTTAATGCATCTTATCCAGAACTACACATCTTCTAAACCATTCCCATGTACAAAACAGTTCATCATTTATCTATTTAAAGTATAGATATATTCGTAATTGAATCCACCGTATTGATCAATGTAGTGTGCCATAAGGGACAGCCTAACGATTTTGAGTACTACTGATCGCCTGGTAGTATTGTTGATTGCCGAGCCTGGGGTAATTTCTCATCAGTTTTACATCCTTTATCATCTTGGTGATCGACAACTCTGTGTGCTTCTATCGAAGGATCTCCGATTAACAGTTGTAGAGCAGCACTGTATACGATAATGCATTAGTCAACATGTAATGTTCAATATTGGACTGAAGGATACTTCTTTGAAATATTATTTCTGTATCAATTCTACTTAACTGTTTAGTCACTCGCAGAGAATTTGAAGAATAGTTGACCTAAATCTATAGTCAAATGCACTGCGTTCACTGCTCTGAAGTAGCAAAAAAGCTACACGAATAGACAATTTGGTGAAAGGCACACCAAAAAATCTTGGATAATCACCATGACTCAATGAACGAATGTAGCAGTACTTCTAATACTCACGGCTCAAAGAAAAAGCATGTAATTATCAGGATGTATGATTTTTCACACGAAATGCTCCAGTATTGCATTCATTGGGTGGTTGGAAATGATCTAGAATTGCTCTCTTTCGGAAACCAAATGCTATTGTGATCGAAATCCACTTTAACTTCCAAGAGAGCGGTCGATTTCATGTAGTAATCTTGAACAGGAAACCCGAACATTCATACTATAGTCTTAAAGAATTGACTTTTTACACGCAATGCTGGACGGATTTCGGGAATAATCAAGTTGCCCCTCTATGCACCTAGAAAGTGTCGCCATGGACAAACTACTTTATTCGGACAGGTGAATCCAGACTATTTCAAATTTCACATGGTCTACAATACTTACAATCCGAAAAGACAAACCAAAGACAAATGTCTTGTCATCAGTTGGACTTGTGACACGTGGAAACCGTGAGAGTTTGAAAGATGCCCGGGAGCAGTCCTGGTGGGGCAAAGAAATTACACCAGGGCTCATTCGCGGATACCTATTACAGCAACAATATATCGCAATTTATCTATTAAACCAAACCGTACCTATATATCCTAGGTCGAAGACCTACCCGAAAAGAAATGTTAACGTTTTAACCGAAAATTGAAGTAACCAATAAGAAAAGTAGAAAAGAAAATCCCTAGATAGAGAAGACTTCGATGTTGGCACTCTTCAGGTCCTTGGCAGTGATAACACAGTAAGAAGCACCTTGCTGCTTGCCACTGGAGTCACCAGAGACACCGTTATAGCCAGTCTTGGAGGGATCGATTTCGCAACCGGAACCGTTGCAGTCACCATCAGCACAGGAAATTCTGATTCCGAAACTTGGTTTCTCACCACTGAAGTCATCGATGTACTTAGGGTTCCAGCCGATCTTGATGAAAGTGTTACCGTTGTCGTCAACGTTAGCTCCAGCGACGTAAGGGGCCCAGTTACCCTTAGGCTTGTCCTTAGATCCCCAGATACACCCATCACTGGCAGAGACACCAGGAGCATTAATGTAGTAGTGAGCAGCGGTTCCAGCCCAGTAGTTTGGACCTGGAACTGCGATGGTTTCGGTTTTACCATTAGAAATGGTGGTTGGAATCAACATGGATTCATCTCCAGGCAAAACTGTCTGGCAGAAAGCGACCTCACCGTCTGCAGAGTTGTCAACCTTGACGGTACCTTCTCCATCAACACAGTATGGCTTGTCAGAGAAAGGCTTGGAAACAGTCCCGTCGTCGTTGCATTTGAGTCCCCCGTTCTGGGACTCTGGGTAAGTGTAGGACTTGGCGGATGGGTCCCACTGGGCCATTACCTTACCTGGAGGGCAAGCATAGGGACAGTAGGATCCTGCGGTACACTTCTGGTCTGGACTCATGGCCCAGCCGTCGTTGGAAGCACCGGAAATCTTGACCAAATCGCCGTCAGTGGGCAAGGAACAGGTCTTAGTAGGGGCAGCGGAGGCCATAGCGAGAGAGAGTGCGATAAGAAAGAACTTTGAAAGCATTGTGGTGGCAAAGAATGTGAAGGAAGGAATGTGGGTAGTTCGTAGGGAAAAGAAGAAACTGCAGAAAGAGTGATGCAGCTGGTGTGTATGTGTATGAATGAACGTGAGTGGTTGGCCGTTTATTCATGGGAGCCTTGCTTCTTTTATACCCCAGACTGCCATTTTCCAGACCTCTGGCGGTCTAGATCCGATTGCAAAATTATCTGCATCCATAAATTTTTCAGTCTGTATACAGGCCAAGGTTCCCAACGGCGCGGAATATCGATGCATGCGAGTAATAAGCTAGCTCGATGACACTGCGCATGGGACCGTAACCGGCACACTAGGAGGAAGATGAGTTACCTGATTTGGCAAAAGATCGAGCTCGATGGCAAACTCTAAAGGGGTGCAGCGGGAGATCTACGCCAGCGAGTCTAGACCTGACAGCTGTTTGCTTGATAGGTGTGCAAGCGGAAGCTTAATTTTGCCGTTTTGTACGGAATTCAGTGGAGCCGCTGCCCAATAGGGCCATCTACGCCCGAAACTCACTGGAGACTGCGTCTTCATGCCTCGATGGGCTTCGCTTGAGCCTCGGGTCGTTCCATGTGCTCTCATGAAGTTGGCATCACTTCGACCTCAGCAGCCTTCCTGCAGATAGCCATTTTTCAATTTCAATTTTCACTTTCAAAGTCCAGAACCAAAGGCTGAGTCGGGCTGTGAAAATTACAGACCAGCAGCTAGCAAGCCAGCTGGGTGGGTGGGACGTGGTCAGAACTTTGATCCGGAATAGACGCACAACCCGTGTGTTGTCCACCAGTTGATACCTCTCGTAGCTCATTCGTGACGTGGTACCCCACCAGTAGCAGATCGTGGAGCATCATGATGTCCTGCACTGCCTTGCACGCTGGCATGCTCCCCCCTCAAAAACGGTATTTCTCATGCCAGGTTACGGGCCTAGAGATTTATTACAAAGTAGTGCCTCGGATTGACATTATGCGCGATGCACATTAAGATACTTCGTAGGAGCCTTGACATTAGGAGAGATTGCTACCGACGGTACAGCACAAGCAGATTGCTGAGTCCAGACCGAACGAGGATTCCAGAATGGTCTTTAGCGGAAAACCAAGAATACAATTTATCAGTCATTTAATTTTGAACCAAGATCTTGAAAATCATGGGTGGTTGTGGACTTTCGAAAATTCAAAATTCCCTTCCACCGATGGCTTGATGTTGTTCTACTGAATATTAGCTTCTTGTGTAGTCTCTGGCAACATCTCTCTGCACTGTAGACTACGATCTGGTGTTTGCGTAGTTGCGGCCAACAACTATCTGGACTCGATCACAACCAGTAATGATTTAGGCACCATGATGCCACACCAACCAGACAGTTACCTGCTAGAAAACAGTACATCCAGCTACATCTGTCTGGATACTGTATTATGTGAAGACTGTCTCGTTTGGATCTCCGTCGCCAACTTGACACGTGATCACAGTCACGCGACCGTATAACAAAAACACCCACTCCATCCTCTCCATCCACCCATCCACCCATGAGCGGCTCAATCGTCAGAGCCTTTAACTGGGACGAAGGCTACGAGAAACAATTCTTCGCAGTTAATCCAATTGGCGATGAAGTCATCCTCTACCAGACAAACCATCAGGATCCAGGAGTGGGTACTAATGACTTGATCAAAGTCAATAGCCGTTCAGGCTTCGAGAACATCCAATGCTCGTCATACTCATCTGTGATCAAGGGGATTGCTGGAGTGGGTTCCATCAACGGAAATGTGTCAATTTTCGACATATCGTCGCCTACATCGTCCATTCTTAAGCTTAGACCAAAGCAGAGCAGGCCGTGCAATTCCATCTCTTTCAACAACAAAAATCTAGTCGCTGCAGGCTTCGACAAGGGCAGGCAGGACAACTCGCTCCAGATCTGGAACATCGAGCACTATTCGAGAAAGAGCACCAACGACCATATCAAGAGACCTATCAATACTTACGTTCCCAACGAGGCCATTCTATCCATCATCTTCTATCCAGAACACGAAAGCAACTTGGTGTGTGGGCTGTACAAGTTTCTCCGAGAGATCGACTTGAGGCTGGATCAACCAGTCTTCCAGATGGCTTCCAAATACACCTTGGGGTTGACAGTGGACCATTTTCTGCCCCACTATTTCCAGTCGTTCAGCGAGGACGGGTCGCTAGCTGTGTGGGATAGAAGGAAGTTGACCTCAAATGCCAGGTCGAAGGGCTCGTTGTCTGCTTCAAATGTCATTTCAGAGGCCCCTGTGCTTCAGTTCAATAAGCTACTTAGCGATACTTCCTCCAGAAAGAATCAAAATCCATGTGTGAGATACTCTTCTATCAGAAAAGGAGAGTTCCTGGCCGTTTTCAACGGTGACTTGATTAGAAGATGGCAAACTGGTGTGGTCCCAGCTTCTACAAACTCGAATGATCCCTATAAGGTGAAGAAAGATCCAACTATTTTACAGAGTCTAAAACACCAGGCTTCCCAATTGTACAAGCAAAACGAAGAGTCCCTTTTCGTGGCCTTAGTCTTAGATGTTAAAACAGACTACGAGAGAGTCGTGTCTTTCGACTACTCACCCGATATTAACTCTAGCACCTCCACAAACTTCGTCTGCATGAGGCAATCTGGATCTGTTTTCAAAATGCCCGTGGTGGAATGTATTGAATCCATGGACTTCAATTCTTACAATGAATTTTCTTTCACTGGTCCAGAAGGTACAATGTCCAATTTTGTGAATGAAGAAATAGAGAAAAAGAAGCCAGTTGCTCAACAGTTGAATGCAGCAAAGATACATGATATGACTATTTCAGGAGATCTTCGAAAGTACAGTCAAACGGGCTCATCTGAAGATGTAGATTCTATGATCGAAGAAGAGAGCATCTTGGCCAATAAAGAACTCATTAACGATTACAATGATGAGTTCGAGGAAGATTTCATTCCGTTGAACAAATTTCTTGACCATATGGACGTGGTTAGTAATGACATATGCTCCACCATCCGGAAGCGAGCACAGCATGGTTATGGAGTTGATTGCGATAATAACATAAGGGTATTGGAAGACTTGAATTTCCTTGATAATCAACTCTTCTTGAGAAACACTTGGAAATGGTTGTCGTTGGCCAAGAAGTCATTAGATAAAGGTACAATGGTCTCAAAGGGAATTGATTTAGGGTATCAGGGTGTACTTGGAATATGGAAAGGGATTGAAGAACTTGAGGGACAGAACAGAACTACTGGAAAAGATTCTACTGAAACTCTCAATGATAATTGGTTCTCATTTGCAGTTAAGTCTATCGTTTCTTCCAAAGGAACAAAGACTGCTGGCATTACAATTCCAAGCAATAGTGAAAGGAAGGCTCAAAGAAAGTTATGTTTGATCGTTAGTGGATGGTACTTGACCGATGCTGAATTTGAAGAAAAGCTCAATATCTTGATTGCTCTTGGTTATACCGAGAAGGCAGCAGGATGGGCGGTTTTCCACGGTGATGTGCCTAAGGCGATCGAAATTTTGGCCAATGCAAAGAAGGAACGCTTGAGAATTATGTCCACCGCAGTAGCAGGCTACTTGGCATATAAGACATCCAACATCAACAGTCCTTGGAAGGACCAATGTCGTAAAATGGCATCAGAGTTGGATGACCCTTACCTCAGGGCCATTTTTGCTTTCATTGCCGATAATGACTGGTGGGACGTATTGGATGAGCATTCGTTGCCTTTGAGAGAGAGGCTAGGAGTTGCTTTAAGGTTCTTGTCTGATAAAGATCTCAATGTCTATTTGAACAGAATCGCCGACTCTGTTGTGACCAAAGGAGAGCTAGAAGGATTGATCTTGACCGGAATTACGCCCAGAGGTATTGATTTGTTACAGAGCTTCGTGGACAGAACGAGTGACGTTCAGACTGCTGCATTGATATCCGCGTTTGCATGTCCCAGATACTTCGCTGACAACAGGGTCAAACACTGGGTGGATTGCTACCGAGGATTGTTGGATAGTTGGGGATACTTCGGCGTCAGAGCCAAATTTGACGTTGCACGTACCAAACTTTCTAAGAACCACGCTGGCAACCCAACCATCAAAGCAACACCTAAACAAGTGTATCTCCAGTGCATTCGTTGTAACAAGAACATATCCAAATCCAGGTCAGGCGCCTATGTGAACAATAGTAACACACAGGTGTTGTTGAAACAGTTCAATAAAATGAGTGTTAACAAGGAGCAAAATGAGGATTTCAATGCTTGTCCTCATTGTGGGGCACCTCTTCCCAGATGCTCAATCTGCCTCTTGACCTTGGGCACCCCGTTGCCTTTGGAACCTTCAGAAAAGTTGGCGGAAGTGAGCACATCCAACAAGATCGAAAACAAATTTCGGGAGTGGTTCAGTTTCTGCTTGAGCTGCAATCACGGGAGCCATGCCCACCATGCCGAGGAGTGGTTTTCGAAACACTACGTTTGTCCTGTCCCCGATTGCAACTGCCGATGTAACAGTAAATAGTGACAATAAGATGAAGATGATGCAGACACTTTTTCAAAAAAAAATAAAATTAAGAATCTACCCCATTATCTGCGGTCCAGAAAAGCACTGGGTTTCTGTTGGAACCCTGCCCAGGCGGGGGAGGCCCGGTAATGGTCCCGGTGCAACTGTTGTTACAACCGTTATTGCCTTGGTATTGTTCGGGCATAAAATAAATCCTATAAGGTTGCGCTCTTATGCAACCTAATAGCCTAAATCCAACGGCGCCAGCGTGTTCAAGACAATTTCCAGATGAATACAAGGGGCCTAAAAATAATGGGGTTGCGAACAATAGACAAAATACAAAAAGATATCTAGATTCGATTCCCAGAAGTAGTAAACGTTGTGGCGTGATCGTAAGACGATAGGGCCAAGTCTACTCCGAGGTCCATTATGTATCTCGGCATACTACTGATCAGTTTCTTGGTGTTCGATAAATTACGAAGTGTAAGTGTAACTGGCAAGAAATTACTCGTTGGGGAAGGTTTCTCCAGTCTCAGGAATTTGACCATGCCAGTAATATGTTGGTGGTCCTAACTAACAGTCTCATCATCAGCAGCAACTCACTATCCTCCAGTAGATTTTCCTTGTGGGATGCAAAAACTAAGTTCTTAGGGTGGTCGGAAAAGTCAGCGAATTTTCTCGCTAGGACCCTTCCAAACGCACGGAGCTAGCGAGAGACGCTCGCGTGCGCATCGCCAACAACGGCCCGGAATCAACGCTAGCGAACATCCGCCACGAGAGATTTCTACTGAAATAATGGTGGCACTGTTTGGGTCAATACGAGCAATTATGATTAGAGTTGCCAACAATTTAGTCGATAAATAGGCAGAATCTAGTTGTATTTGGGAACATATTAATTATGTAACAGGAAGCTCGCAAGGAGCAAAGTACTTCTTACGTTGGTCTTGTATAGTGATTTTGATGAAGGACATGCCTGTAACTATACAGTCCACTATGGACATCAATTGCATAGAAAACCAAAGGAAATAATGTATTCAGCTACATTATCTGAATCGTGGCTATGATACCTGCGTCGTGTCTATAATACCTGTATCGTTTCACCTAATCAGTGAGATTTTGCTAGCGAGAATAAACAGTATAGCCACCAGTGAAAAGTCCAGAAATGGCCCCGATTCGCCGTAATCGCTCCAATTCCTCGCTACCGCGTCATATCAGACCCCGACACCCCGACACCTTTTCTACGATCGCCCTTCACCTCCTCCACCACCCCCTCCACCTCCACGCCTCCATGACCCCTTCACTATAGGTCACGTGCCACACCTCGTCAACAACCCATATGTGGAAAAAATCGACAACGATCCTTCTACCACAGCGCCTACGCCAGAACGTGCCACAGCCCCGTCTCCAGAACACCCCAGCCGTTCTCCAGACCCTCCCGACCCGTGCTACAACTGCCATCCCGACAGACCACTCGTTAACGTCCGTCCTGGCCAGTAACAGCAGGTGACATCACCCAGATCGGAGTAGCAGCCACGTCAGAACATCCACGCCATGTCCAGTGCCACCAACAACGAATCGGTGTTGAACGACATCAAGGCCAAGATCGAGAGAGAGCACAAGCTCATCCAGGGGTTCCAGGCCTTGAAGAAGAACACCACCAACAGCGAGGTGATCCAGAGATGCAACACCCAGATCAGGGAGACCCAGAGCAACATAGACTACCTCACGGAAACATTGGCCAAGGTGACGTTGCAGAAACAGAACGCCAGCGCCGAAGGTTCTCCCAGCAAAAACAGTGCCGTCACCAGTGCTCCCAGGCCCGTGTACTCTCGTTTCGACTTGATCAAGTATGACTGCCCATCCTTGGGGCACAAGATCCAGCACATGTTGCAGCAGTTGCAGTTTAAGTTGCAGGTCGAGAACCAGTACCGTGAAGCCAACGAAAAGATCTCCCATCTCTACTTGATGGACGGAGACAAGTCCTCCAGTAACGCTGCCGAAGGAGGGCGTTTGGAGTCGGATCAAAGGATCCAGTTGTTGAATAAAGCGTTGAGAAAGTACCAAAACATGCACATCAATGCCGAGGATGTCACCAAGGACTTCGAGATCATCAACACTCCCAAGCATGCCAGAAAACCCCTCAGTGGTAAGTTGATAGTGAACATCACCTGTATTAGAGATGTGGACCATATCGCCTCTCCTATGTTCTCCAAAAGACCCGAATCGGTCGTCGTCATCAAAATCGACGATGTTGAAAAGGTCAGAACGCGTGGTTCAAGAACTGGCAAATGGAATGAAGAATTCACCATTGATGTTGATAAAGGAAATGAAATAGAGTTCTCGGTGTTTGACAAATCAGGAAGTAGTTTGGTTCCCGTGGCCGTTAATTGGGCATTGTTATCTGACCTTACTGAAGAGCTTCGTAAGAAGAAGGTTGCCAATGAACTTGGTTCAAGTGGTTGGTTATCAGCAGGAAACTTGTCACAGGCTGATGCTGGCAAGGAGTTTGGTGGAAACCATTCACCAAGTCAACCATTTCAAAACTTGAGCTCAGAAGCTTCTCCTTCAAAGTCTTCAGCCAGTACTGAGTCTTCCAGCAACCAAAAGATCCAGGTCAACACTTGGTTGAGTTTGGAACCCGTCGGTCAAATCTTGGTGAATCTTAGCTTTGAAAAAACTGCAAGACCAGGAAAACAATTCATGGGTGCCCTTGGTCGTCATGGTGCCATTCGTCAAAGAAAGGAAGAAGTTTTCGAACAACACGGTCACCAGTTTGTTCAAAAGCAATTTTACAACATTATGTGTTGTGCTCTTTGTGGAGAGTTTTTGCGTTACACCGGTTTCCAATGTCAAGATTGTCGATTCCTTTGTCACAAGAAGTGTTATCAAAAGGTTGTTACAAAGTGTATCTCCAAGTCCAGCACAGATGTAGATGATGAGGCCAAGTTGAATCACCGTATTCCTCATAGATTTGAACCAGTTAACAACCATGGTACAAAATGGTGTTGCCATTGTGGTTACATTTTGCCGTGGGGTAAGAAGAACGTACGTAAATGTACAGAGTGTGGAATCATGTGTCATGCTACTCAATGTGCTCATCTCGTACCAGATTTTTGTGGTATGTCCATGGAAATGGCTAATAAGATTTTGTTGACCATTAAATCTACCAAGGCACCCGTTCCAAAGCCACAGCCTCATATTCACGCCCGCCCACACATACCCCCACAGGTGCAACCATTCAATAACCAGCTCGAACAAGTTCCTACACCACCTTCGATCACAATAACTTCATCCTCTGATGCTACTTCTGAAACTAAAAAACCTGATTCTGATGACGAGCAGGAGAAAGATTTTGAGGTTAAGTTGCCTACCCACACAACTAATGCTTTCCAACAGCCAATCGAAAGTCCCTATAGTAGACGTGGACCTCAACATGAGGACACGCATGAAAAACAAGATCAGTATAGACATGCACTCAAGCAACAGCAACAGCAGCAACAACAACAGCAGCAGCAGCAACAGCAACAGCAACAGCAACAGCAGCAGCAACAACAACAGCAGGAACAACAACAGTACCAGCAATATCAACAGCAGCAACAACAACATAACGCCCAGAATGGTTTCTACCAACAGCGACAACAAGAATTCCAATCTGAAGTTCCTAAGGACTTCAGCCAAGATTACCGTGGCCAGGTTCCTGAGCAGGATCCATTTGCAAATCCAGCAACTGATACCTTCAACAACTTTGATTATCAAAATGCTCATACCCAGCAATACATTGCCCCAGACAACTATGCTGAGCAGCCATCAAAGCCAGTCGTGAGCAGACCTGCCGAAGTTGAGCCAGTATCAGTGAGTAAGGCGGCATCACCACAAAAATCAAAGCGCCGCAGAAGAAAAGTGGGTCTTGATGACTTCCAGTTCTTGGCAGTTTTAGGTAAAGGTAACTTCGGGAAAGTTATGTTGGCAGAATCGAGACACACTCAAAGTCTCTGTGCTATCAAAGTGTTGAAGAAGGATTTCATTGTGGAAAATGATGAAGCAGAAAGTGTGAAGTCCGAAAAGAGAGTCTTCTTGACAGCCAACAAGGAAAAGCACCCCTTCTTATTGAACTTGCACTGTTGTTTCCAAACTGAAAATCGTATCTACTTTGTTATGGAGTATATTTCAGGAGGTGACTTGATGTGGCATATTCAGAAATCTCGTTTCTCTGCAAAGAGAGCCAAATTTTACGCATGTGAAGTCTTATTGGGATTGAAATATTTCCACGATAATGGTATTGTTTATCGTGATTTGAAATTGGACAACATTTTGTTAACAACGAAAGGTCACATCAAGATTGGTGATTATGGTTTGTGTAAGGAAAACATGTGGTTCAAGAAGACCACCGGTACCTTCTGTGGTACTCCAGAGTTCATGGCTCCAGAAATCATTGCTGGTAAGCAGTACGACAGAAGCGTTGATTGGTGGGCATTTGGTGTGTTACTTTTCCAAATGCTTTTATGTCAATCTCCCTTTAAGGGTGAAGATGAAGATGAAATCTTTAATGCTATTGAACACGATGATGTTAAGTATCCAATCAGCATGCCACGTCAAACCGTTTTGGTTTTACAGGCATTGTTGACAAAGGACCCTAATGTCCGTTTAGGTTCCAGTGAAAGAGACGCACTCGAAATCATGGAACATCCATACTTCCACGATGTTAACTTTGACGATGTGTTGAACTGCCGTATTCAAGCGCCATACTTGCCTGAAATCAGCTCTGAGCACGACTACTCCAATTTCGACCAAGAATTCACTTCTGAAACTCCAAGGTTGACCCCCGTGGAAACTGTTCTTACTTCTGAGATGCAAGAGCAATTCCGTGGTTTCTCCCACATTTCTGAAAACGCCACTATTTAATTTTTTACTAATCTATACTTCAGTCAAGTGTCTTGTAGCACCGTTTCGTAGGACGGGTATTTGCTGAAACACACAGTAAAAGAAAGGAGTTTTGCTAATTTAACTTTTGTATTTCTTACTTTCAAAACCGAATGTGAACCTCGAGATTCTACACTACAAAAGGTGTCTGAAGACCAGATACCATCACTTTCTATCTTCCATTTATGTCCAAATCTACGCATTGCAATCCATTCTAAGTACCATTAATGCCCTCAGGCTCTATAACTCTATAATAAATAATTAAACAATCACACAGCACTTGTCTCCCTTCGTGTGTGCTTCCCTCTTGCGCTGCTGGTGTACCCTGGCAGGCGTTTCTTTGGCCACCTCTTCCAGCACCTTATTGACGAGTACGTCGTCGCCAGTAAACGAAGCCGTCTCGTAGGTGTCTGGGGTCTGGGGATTCAGCACTAATTCCCGCTGAATCTGGCCCAACGATATTATCGACTGCTGTCTTACCTTCTCGCGTTTGGACACGAGCAAGTACTGGATAAGAGGATCGAAGGCCTCGTCGATACCCACACCTCGTTTGGAGGAGCACTCTGAGAAGTTCAATGCTCCAATGGACTCTGCCCACTGCTGGGCCTCGTCGGACGACACCTGACGTTGTTCCAAGTCAGCTTTGGTGCCCACCACGATGATTGGAGGAAGGGATGGCCGCAAGGTCTGGATACGCTCGTGGAGCTCGACAATGCCCACGAACGACTCGTAGTCGTCGATGGAATAAACGTATATGATGGAGGCAGTGTTGAGGATCTGCTGTTTCCTCGAGGATGAGTAGCTGTCGATGGACGACGATGTGTCTAGCACGCTGACCTGGTTATAGATATGGCCATTGCGGATATCTTTGATGTAGAGGTCTTCCAACGACGACTCCTGTTCAATGAAGGCATTATGAAGAAAATGGAGAATGAGAGACGACTTGCCAGTAGAAGCGTTTCCGAGCACGCAGATGTCAAACTCGTTTCCGAGTGCCTTAAGCGAGTTCATGCTATGCTGGGGCAGGGATCAGGGAACTTTAAATGCGATGAAAGAACGTTAAAGACTGTGAAAGTGCCTTGTGACTTCGAATAGTGTGATGAAAGTACCTCAGAACTACTGTGAAAATGAAGAACAGCTCAAAAAGTGATGACTTCAAGGCTGAGGAAAAGTGACAAACAAACTGATGAAAAAAGACTCAAACAAGAGAAAATCATCACCAGTTTCTAGATCCTTGGAGTATATATAATAAACGCGAGAAGACCACAAACGGTCGTTGGCTACATGGAAGCAGGAATGGTGCACGCTGCCAAAACAGGCATTTCCGTGCCGATGGTCCGCCATTTTGGCTTGGTGTTTCGGAACACTTGCATGTACGACGTCAAATTCGTTCTCTATTGTTTCTTTTCTTCCATTTCTTTTCCGCTGTCAGCACTGAGAAAGCCGAGGAAGACAGGAAGCTTGTGGAGCCGAGAGAGCCTGTAGAGCCGAGAATTTCGTCTAATTAAATGGGACTTGGACACACCAACCTACATTCGAGTCTATGTGGACCCTATGATGTCTCTGACACGGCCATGGTAGCCATGCCCCCACCACTGGGCCGTGCAGCCTCTCCCAATCAGTGTCGCTTTTGTATTCGGAGACGGCTTTATGCATCGCAACCGTTGAATATTTTTCCAAAAAAAGCAATTTCAGACGAGATCGAAATTGTTCTCGGGCGAGTGTCACACTACCTCTGGAGAACCCTATTGCTAGGTCCGTTCCTGGTAGAATCATCGGCCCTTGCATTGTGGCGTCCTCGTCGATCGGGCCAACGGTCCAGAACGACTAAAAAGAAGCAATCCCAACCGTTACCGTTGGAAAAGAGGCGATGCGGATTCCGGCCTGTAACCTGTTGGGTGACTAGGAAGCCCCTCATCGGATCAGGTGCCACTGTGGTACAAGCAGCCATCGGATGATTTCTAAAATGGCACTATTCACAAATTAAAAAATGCAGCACGAATGTGCCAAGAGCAAGAACTTCTGGCCGTCCTTCAGTGCAGATGCAGAACTTTGCTAAATGCTAGTAATAAAATATAGGTATGGGTTTTGTACATAATTCCGCAGTTGCTCTGAGATGGCTACTGGGAAAATCGAAATTTCTTTCATATATTATAGAACAAGGGCATGAGCAATTCCATGGCAGTGACACTAGTAACTATCTTCCATGTTAGAGCTGGCTCGTGACTTCCCAAGTACCTGATCGAGCGTGGAATGTATACGTGTTATTAGGTATTCCATCGTGTGCTTAACAGAGGAATAAAATAAATCATTTTATGAAGTACTAAATATTGCTCAATGGAATAAAATAAATACTTCTGTAGTATTATTTACTAGTGAACGGTGACAACTCTAAAGAAAACTTCAATAAAGTACAACTTCTGCTACACATTTGCTCGATCAATAGTAGTGATATATTAATAGTAAACGGTCTAGCTAAAGTCCTCGTCGTCGGAGTCCAAATACTTGGCGTAGTCGTCTGCAGATGCAAAAACTGGCAAGCTCTTAAGCTTGGCCTTCTTCGATTTCTTGCTGTCGTCGTCGGATTTACGTTTCTTAGATCCCTCACCAATGTTAGCCTCCACTTCCGAGTCTGAGAGCTCGTCGTCCTCGTTGATGCCAAACATCTGGTTTTCGTCATCATCGAATGGCTCGTCCTCTGGGTCGTCCTGGTGAGCAGCCAACTTGTTGAACTCCTCCTCGAAGTCTGGCTCCTCGAACTCCTCGCCTTCTTCCGCATCCTCGCCATCGGCTTCTGGGGCTTCACCTTCTCCTTCTTCGTCGTCGTCTTCGTCATCAAAGTCGCTCATGTCGTCGAAATCGGCTTCGTCAAAGTCAGACATCTCATCTTCGGAGCCTGCTTCAACATCTGGTCTGGATTTGACCAACGCTTGCCACACTTCTTGGTCCTCTAACTGCTCGGCCTCTTCTTCGTCCACCTCTTCCTTCTCGTCCTTCTTACCCTTTATCTTGGTAATTTTCGAAGTGAAGTATTGATGGAAGAATTTCTCATCTGGTCTAACATCTGCAATCTTCTTGTTAGCCCAATTTTCGGTGTTGGCAGGAATTTCGCTGCTCAACACATTGGTGGCCTTAACCAATAAAGACCCGGTATGGGCACCACCCAAAGGTTGCATAATAGATGAACCCTTGGTAACAGCTTTTTGCTTGGAGTTCTTATACACAAATCTGTCCAAGAAATGGGCCAAGGTGTAGAGTCCAAGGTCGGGTTTTGGTTGTGGAGTGCCGTCGAGAAGTGAGGAGGCATAGATAGAAACCGTTGGATGGTAGTGGTTGAGGAAATGGTTGAGTTCATAAAGTGGAGTAGACTTGGCATTAGCAAACTTGGGGTCTCTCTTACGAGGATCATACGACTCTTCTTGTTCCTCCTTTCCTTCTTCAGATTCCTTGGCAGTCTCTGGCTTGACTGTACCAACCATCATCTCCTTGATTTCTGGCACATCCTTGGACAATTCGATCAACAAGAACAACATACCACTGACACTTCCAATGTTCAACCAGTGGGAACAAGCCTGTAAAATACGCTTGACAAATGCCAACACTCTAGGCACCTCGGTGTCGTTCTTCAACGACTTGAACAAGAGATTCAAGTAGATACCTTGCTTGGAAGATTGGACCAATCTTTGATCCAACAAGGACTCGTAAAGTGTCTTGAAGTATCTGTCTGGGTTCAAGCCCTGCTTGGTGATGATATGATGGATCAAACCCAACGCTTGCACAGAGGTATTGAAGTTCTTGGAATGGGTGATCTTGAAGAGGGTGTTAAGATGCTGCTCGAATGTCTCAGAAGGCAAGTTTGAGAATGGGAAAGCACGGTTCAATCCAGTCAATAATGCAGAGAATAATTTTGTGTTTCTTTCTTCGACAATTTCAAATTGGGTCTTTTCTTCCACCTTGACGGATTTTCCTCCCTTCTTACCCTTCTTGAAATTTTTACGTCCGTTATTTCTGCCAATGGTGGACTCTCCAAGCACCTTGTCACCTTCCTTGGGGCCTTGAATATCGTCAGCTTCTTTCAATAAGCTCTCGAAAAGCTTGAAGTAAGTCTTTACAAGCTGGTTGGCCAACAAGTCATCTTGTCTCAATAAAATCGTTTGATTCAAGGTGATGACTGAATAGTACTTGGCATTGTAGTCATTGTTGGACTTGAAGATGGTGTCGATAACGGCATCCACAATAATCGACTTCATGGCAGGATGGTGGGTTTGCAATTGAAGGATTTGGTAGCTGGTCTTGGAACAAACCTTGTTATCTATATCACCCAACTTGTTAACACCCAATCTCAAAAGATTGAATTCCTGTTCCGGTTTCACCTTCAACAACTCGAACAAATGACTGATGACCGTCATTCTGACATGAAGAATGGGGTCGTGGGACAACACCTCGAGAATCGATATCAACTTGAAGTAGGCTTTCTTGACCCAGTCCTCGAAGTAGTAGAGAGCCACTTGGGTATCGCTCAAGGTTGGGACTAATGGCTGGTTTTCGAAAGCAACCAACTTTCTGTCAGGAAGAACACCATTCAACAAGAGATCCTTGATGGCATTGATAGACTGTAGAGCAGCAGTTCTGGACTTCTTTTCGCAATAACCCAACAAGGTCTCAAATGCTTTAATGTTGTGGAAAGGACTTTCCTGAACCAACAAGGTCAATGCAGAAATCTTATCGTTCAAGGTACCGTCTGCCAAGATCTGACTCAAAAACTTCTTCTGAGATGATTGTGATGTGAACTCGGCAAGATAGGTTTTGTTGTCCTTGTCGAGGACTGACTTGGCTCTTTCGAGAAGTCTTTCTCTGGCAAAACGATCAAGTTTTGGAGGAGCAGGATCGCCAGCAGTGTGTGGAGTATCCAAAGGATTATTGAACCAGTCGGTTCTGGCTGGAACTATGAGGTTGGTAGAAGAAACAGATTGAACGGAAGTGATCTTGTCAGGGTTTGGGGTCTTGAAGCTGACTTCTTTAACCTGGACAGCTTCGTGTTCCTTTTTTTCTTCATTTGTCTCTTCTTCAGCTTCTTCTTCGGATTCCTCGGATTCTTCCGACTCTTCGGATTCGGATTCGGACTCAGATTCCTCCTTTTCTGCAGGCTTTTGTTCTTCTTCTTCTTCCTCCTCCTCCTCTTCGGATTGTTCTTGCTCCTCTTCTTCTTCCTCGACTAATTCTGGAACCTCATCATCGTCAATTACCATAGCCTCACCTTCACCTAATCCAATCCCCTGCATGAACTTACGCAAGTCGTCACCGAACCCTTTTTCCAATTTCTTGTTGTCTGAGAATTCTTGTTCGCTTTCCTCGCCTTCACTAACACCAGCTAAAAGCTCGAGATCTGCTTCGGATGCTCCAAGAGCAAGTGCTTCTCTACGAAGTACGTCGCTAATGTCCTCGGCATCTTGAGACTCGCTCTCTTTGGCAGGCCTGTTGGAATGCTTGGAATGTCTGGGCTGCTCCTTCTTTTCGAACCTTGGACTCTTCTTTTCCTTGTTCTCTCTGGGGGCACTCTTGTTGCTGTGCTCTTTTGGAGTCCTTTTGGCGTCTCTTTCCTTTCTATCTTTAGCTTCCTTGTCTTTGATATTCTGGGCTCTATTTACCTCCTTTTTCTTTTCTTTCTTGTCTTCCTTGCCCTTACTCTTCTTCATCAGCTCGTTCATCTTACTTGATATCTTGTCCCTTAAGGACGTCAAGTTTAGTTTCGAATCCATTGGGGCTGGAGATGGAGACGGAGATGGAGAGTGGAATTTTTCATACCTCATCGCTAGCTACGAGAAGAGATCATGTGATTGATCATGTGATGACGCCTGATCCACTTCACGTGTTGCAGCTTGCGCGTCACCAGATTTGTTCTGCTATCGGATTATTATGTTTTCCCGTACAACCTGTAAATGCATGATCGGGGTTGTGCATTCCACCGGCCGTCCCCATCTCCCCACCTCCAAAATCTCTTGACTATAACCTCCGCAAGAGAGTTGTTTTCTTACATAAACCACTTCATATCCGCTAAAGACTGCCGTTTGCTTTCCGGAAGCAAGCTCCATCTAAATATATTTCTGCAGATTACGTTTAGCAACTGACCGTTGAACTCCGAAATTTGCATAATCAACAAGATCCACACTACCGACCCCTTTTAAGCACCGAAAAGTCTCTCCGAACGGTCACAACTTCGACTCCTCGACATTTTCCTCCGTTGAAGCTAATTACCACAAGAAACTGCAATAAAACCACATGTCTCCATCACCCGTTTGGGCTCCATTTGAGCCTCGCCTGTCAAATTCCGAGACTTCGTCGCTCTACGTGCTTTCCAAGAGCAAGCTTGGAGAAGGCTCATATTCCACGGTGTTCGAGTGCAAGAGCACCGTCACAGGACTGCATTATGCTACCAAAATGTACTCAAAGAAGCTCGTGTATGGCCTCGAATCAGCCATCCAAAACGAGTTCGAAATCCTCAAAAAAATCTCAATGAACCACCCCAACATTCTCACGTTGGTGGATCACTTCAATAGCAAGGACCTGATCTACCTTGTCACGGATTTAGCCGCCGGTGGAGAGCTTTTTGAGCGAATCACCAGTCCTCCCAACTACAAGTTGACTGAGGGCCAGGCCAGGGATATCACCAAGACCTTGGTCAACACCGTGGAATACCTCCACTCCAACCACATCGTGCATCGTGATCTTAAGGCGGAAAACCTCCTTTTCCACTCCAAATCCTCGTTTGAAATTTTGGTTGCTGACTTCGGATTGGCCAAAGTCCTTGAACCTGGCCAGAAACTCCATGATGTCACAGGCACCCTCAGCTACATGGCTCCCGAGATGTTTGACCGCAAGAAGGGTCACGATTTCAGCGTAGACATATGGGCTATAGGAGTCATAGCATATTTTATGTTGTGTGGGTACATGCCGTTTGATTGCGAAACAGACAGCGAGACCAGAGAAGCAATCGCTAACGCAGACTACCCGTACGAGCCTGCCGAGTATTGGGACCATATCTCTCCTGATGCCAAGCTGTTCATCGACTCGTGCTTGCAGATAAATAACAGGCCAGGTGCCAGAGAATTAATGGCACATTCATGGATCGCAACAGACTGTCAGGCACAGAAGAGCTCCTTTAACAACCTTGTCAAGTTGCGGGAATCGGTGATGCTCCTCCACCAGAAACAAGGATCGGAAACGTATCTCCTGCCTATCAAATCAGGAGGAAATTCCAGCATCAGAGGAGTCCTTCTGTCAGATTCCATATTCTCGAGTATCTCGCTGCCAAATGCTTATCTGCTGGGAATTCTGCCTGTTGGGTCGTACAACAACCTCTCGATGTTCAAGCTAACTCAACTTGAAAAGGGTAGAAAAAATTCTCTTGCTGAGGGTGCTACATTACAAGGAGCGATGTGCCGGTCTCCAGAACAGGTATCGCGCTTCAATACGCCTACTGGCTCGGCTGCAGTCTCTCGCCAGCACTCGCTTGAGAAGATTGCTGCTGGAAGAAGAGCCGTGGGTATGGTTGCTTCTCGAAGCGAGGAACCACCTAAATTTTTCCTTTGAAGTAGGAAAGTGTCATTGGGTAATAGTATAGCAAAAGGGCTATATTAGAAAAGATTATTGGATAGAATACAAGTAGAGGGTTATTATGAAAAACAAGAATTGTAGTCGTGAAGGAAAGTTCATCACATCACATAGCGAGTGTAAATGCAGCTCTGACTACGTAGGTAGCCGATTCCATCGTGTGACGCTCGGAGTGTAATCGAGTTGAAGAAAGGGAGCGACTGCCTCAGAGTAAACATAATATTCCATCTTAGCTAGCATCTGTAGAGTATTCCCCTCTGCGGGTGAGCTTCTCTACGGATGGCCTCTTACTCCGCCTCCACTTTTGGATCTGAATCATTTGGTAAGAAAGTGTACTGAACTAGAGCATTATGGAATATGAAATATTACGTAATGTATTACGTAAGTGCAGTGTCGCGTGTCGCGTCTTGTCATCACCACTATTCACCAAGCAGGCATCGGCATCTCCAGCTGCACTCCGCAACCCAGACAGCTACAGTCCACTTCAAGTGCCGTCAGAACCAGACCAACTACTCGTACTTCAATCCATCTGCTTTTTTATCGATAAAGATACCGTTACCGGCCCGAAACAACGTCCCCATTCGGTGTAAACAATCCAATGAACCACAATGTGTTGAAATTCGATGCCAAACCACGGGAAGAGCGGGACTTCAAGGAGATCTATCCGGATCTTGATGAGCAGCTGCAATTGCGGGTGTTTGTTCGGGATTCCCAGCATCCTGTGGAAGAAGTGTATCCAGTTGAAAAGTCCCGAACTCCACAGCCACTAGACCTCAAGAAGCCTACCTTCAAGCGATTGGCCAGGCACGATTTGAAGCGGGAGGGCACAGGCCCCAAATTTCCCAAATATCTCACGGAATATGGCTTCCAAGAGGCAGGCTCCAGGACAAAGTCCACCACGGGAACCACCTACATCAGACCGTTCCAACTACCAGAAGACCAAAGAAACACAGGCGTAGACTGCATTGAGAAGTTGATCGAACGCAAAAAGAACCAGGTGGAGTACGATATGGACGAGCAGGACTATCTTTATCTCAAGCAACGCAATGAATCACCACAGAACATCATCAAAGTGACGCCAGAAATCTTTGAGATCGCCATCACCACCTTGGAAAACGAGTGGGCCAAGCTCGAGCACAAGATGAACTCCAGTGCCCATTTTGGTGACAGGTACACCGATAACTCCAACAAATTATTAACGTTGGACCTGGCCACCAGCAACGAGAAGTACGGCAACGACGATGGCATTGTGCCTGGATCGCTCTACGACCAAAAGTGTGCTGTGTGCAACGACAGCGACTGTGACAACTCCAACGCAATTGTTTTCTGTGACGGATGTGACATCGCAGTCCACCAGGAGTGCTACGGAATTGCGTTTATCCCCGAGGGACAGTGGCTCTGCCGCAAGTGTATGATCAACAAAAACAGAGAAACCAACTGTCTCTTCTGTCCCAGCAAGACTGGTGCGTTCAAGCAGTTGGACAACAGTCTCTGGAGCCATGTGGTGTGTGCGTTGTGGATCAACGAGCTCTACTTCGCCAATCCTATCTACATGGAGCCTATCGAGGGCATGGACGTGATCCCCAAAAGCAGGTGGAAGCTCGTATGCTATCTCTGCAAGCAAAGAATGGGAGCGTGTATCCAATGCTCCAACCGAAATTGTTTCCAGGCCTACCACGTTACCTGTGCCAAAAGAGCTGGTCTCTATATGGAATATTCCCAAGGCATCCAGGGAGCTATCACCAACAAATTGACGCTCAAGACTTTCTGCGAGAAGCATCTGCCTCCCGAGTGGGATATTGCGGAGGTGATTCGAGGCATCCAGAGAACACGGCTTTTCTTTCACGACATCAAGATCTTGAACGACCAGAACGTCAGGCTCAAGAACAGCCAGAAAACCGCCAACAAGCTCAACATCTTCAAGTGGAAAACAGAAAACAACACCCCCATAGCCCCCAAGATGTTCAGTGATTACTTGTTCGAGTTGATGGTCAAATTGAAGGTGGAGCAACAGGTCAGCTTGCCAGGCCAAGAGACCCTCCAGCTCAAGGACTTGAAGAGGTTGCCCAACAGGTCGAAGGAGGAAACTCGAGAAGAGATCCGCAACATCAGCAACGAGCTTTGCAGGTACTGGTGCTTGAAGCGGGAGTCCAAGAGGGGTGCGCCTTTGATCAGGAAGAACAACAACCTCATGAACTCCAGCTCCATCGCTACAAGCTCCATGCTCAACGAGGGCGAAAATGCTGATGAATTTGGCACCAAAGAGTTGGAAGAAAAGGTGGCTATAGCCAAATTTTTGGTCGAGGACTTGGACAAGGTGATCGGCATGAACTCCGAGTGGATCCAACGACAGGTGCTAGGCACCGAGGGCGATCGCATGGATTTTGAAATGATTAACACCGTTTATTTTCCACTCACAAAGGTGATTGAGCAATTTCTCGTCAGCCTCAACCAGAAGATGGACTCCACAAAAATTATCCGCAACCACCAGTTGAAAGCCGAAGCTGCCATCGTCAGCTTGAAACAAATTATCGACAAAAATTCCCGTTACGAGTACAAATCGGTGCAACAGTTTCAAAACGACGTGCAAGGCTTCTACGAGCTGCTAGTCAGGGAGACGAAGAGCAGCCATAATATTGCACGAGCAATGAAGCGGTGGATGAAGGAGTTTGACGCCCGATTGGAGGGGCTCCAGGAGAACGAGCTTCGGCTCCAGCGAGACCTCTCGGAGTTAGCAGGCGCCGCCAACATCCAGGTTCCGTTTGTAAAGGTGCATGGCGACCAGATTGAATTGCAGCAATACGATGCTGCACGGGTTTTACAGGAAAATGACTTGAGCGAGGTGGAGGACGAGACGTCGCCCGAAACGGAAGCATTGTTCCAACGATTATTGCGAGGCAGGTGAGATGGAAGCGCTATTTTTTGGGGGGGCATGTAATGAAGATTCGCCCCAGCAACCGCGTGGGGGAATCCCCCGTCTGATTATAGGGTGCTGCTGCAATCTAATCTAGGCTATGCATGCTGCTGCAGTGTCGACATCATCCTAATTTTTTTGGGCCAACCTTTAGCTGTACATGATACATACCAGTGGCGTGAGAGTTGGATCGAGGTCCAGAAGCAGAAATGGACACGGGCGCGAGCCCTGGCGAGCTGCGGAGGAAAAGCCTATTATCCCAAATGCAAGGGTGTTACCGACCCGGTATCGAAGGTTTGGCCTCCCCTCCTCCCCTCGGTGGGGCCGGTGGGGGTTCCGACCCCGATTGGGCCCAGTAGGACCTGGTTGGGTGCCAAGACCTCTATACAGGGACCCATCGATGAGTTGAAATTAACGATCTCGCTTGCAGCCTAAACAACAGGTGGGCAGGAAGGTGCTGGCCAACAGACGACGGTGCCCGCGATTCCAGGATGAATCTGAAGCACGAAAGCTTATTTGGCGCACCGCAGTTCCCCTTGCAGCGAGGTGGACCCCGGAAGTGGCCGGTTTTGCCCACAATGCCACGATTGACGTGCCGCGCTTACTTGATTGAATGCTACGGCGTTTCGCGGCAGGGACTATCACTTGTTTGGGGTCTGGGGAGAGGACAGGATCTTATCGAGCATATTGTCGAGGACGCGTCTAGACAGCAATCCGTACGTAATGAGGCTAACTGTCACTTTAGTGAAACCATGCGCGACAACCCACATTCTTTTTATTATTGGTGCAGCCTGCATGAGTTTTCACAGCATATTTCCTGGTGAAACACCGGGTGTGATGGCCTCCGCCATCTCCGAGGGCGATGGCTATTCTTTCCGCCGAAGCCTCGACAACGACATCGACTACTTAACGAGTAGACTGCCTTCATTGCCGCTGTAAATAATTAATTATTTTCCCAAAACCACGTTGGCTTAGTGTAGCTTTGTGCTTGGTCGCCCCAGCAATGGCCTTCGTTTACAACTCCCGACTAAAATCCTGTGCCTGCTCGCTATAACATGCCTGGCCCTGGCACGGGCCCAGCCTGTCTAACTGTGGCCATGGGCTTTTTGTCTGTCTCGTTTTGGACTCAAGGCTCGCTAGCATAATGTTGTACATGGTGCCTCGCGATCTGTGGCCTGTCGTAATTGCTGCCAGCAGCATGTCGGTGAAGTTGTGCTGATCGTTGACGACATGGTGCGTCCAGGTGATCGGTGCGACGGTTTTTCTTGACCATTGATACAAAACACCGGCAATTGTGTAGCGGCACCAACCAGGTCACAGACGACGGACGGTCGACAAGGCTGCGTTGTGTGGGAGTCGTCTGGTAAAGTTCAGGTGTGGGTGCGTTAAATAAGGTTCGCATCGGGACTACTTACCGTTGTAGTAGTAAAAATAACCTTACAGGAACCTCTCATAATAAGCATATCAGCAGGTCAACGTTCACTGGAGATCAATCTGTACAAGCAAGCTGTGCCAATTTCCAACAATGTATTTTCTGGACGGATAATTGGTAGACATGCTGTGGGACGGAGTTACTGGCGGTGTTGTCAGCAGCGAAGCTCATAAGTCCAGGAAGCCTGGCGAGGAGCCGAGCCGTGGTTTCACCAGAGCATCAGCTGGGCCAGCTAGTCCCTGATTTATTGTTGTGCGAGATGCATATGCATTCCTATTCGCTACGTAACAATCGGTGGTGGGAGTTATCTATATGTAGTTTATTTACGATACAATGTGGTAACACAATAGGCTCCAGACATGGTTTGCCGTAGCAGAAGATCATCGACAATGCCAACGGAGAGGAGGAAGATGGGAGGGGGAAGAGTTGGGAAGGGGGAAGAGTTGGGAAGGGGAGATCCGAGGGCAAAAAAGTTGGCGACGGGTGCGTTAATAATATCGGGTGGGTGAGAACCGGGGGTGCTCCGGTCGCCCCTAATGATGCGCCAAAATAACGATCTAGGTCCAGTCAATGCACGTACCAAAATGCAACTCGCGACAACAAGTATGCAGTCGGACATATCTTGCACCAGAAGTTGCGCTTTAGCGGGAACAGAAGGCTCCCAACATTTGGGCCAGGATGGGGCGCCAGCACCACCGCCACCATGGCAGCCGCTTCCAGGCCCAGGTCATGCGTGGCCCCTGGCAAGGATCTGGGATCATCGCCAGAGCGCACCCCTGAGCAAATCCGTCGCCTAAGCCACAAAGGTTTATTTACATTTTAAGGTCTTACAAATGTTACGAGAACGGCTAGGGAGGTCGAGATTGGAGTATGCTAGGCGGACGGGGTGCGCAGTGACAGCTGGTGCGGCCGGCGCCCACGGCACATTGCGGGCGGGACCCCCCAGAGCCGGTGTTGGCAGCACCGGCCCCGAGGGCCAGCCGGCGGCATTTCCTGGGCTTTGCATGCGATTACAGTTGCGCCTAGTACATCGGCAGGCAGGCACGCGATTGCGTTGCATGATCCCACAGAAGCCCAAATTTCAAATATATAGCCTAGCCACCCCCCACCACCTGCTGGCAAAGAGTTTGCCTGTGACAACATATCAACTGTACGCTTAGTCGCTCCTTTATCCTTATCCTTGCGTGCACCCTTGATGATGTCCCAGCCTACTCCCACCCCCACCCCCAACAGGCTCCACCCTGGGGGAACCGTGCTCAACCCCGAGATCTCCGACCCCAAGAAGTTGCCGTTGATAGTCGACATTGCCATCGACAACAACGGCAAGCAGATGTACCAGGTGCACGAGTACTCCAAGTTGGTGCGCAAGGAAATGCCGCGCTCCACCACCTTCTCGCGCACCGGCCACCCGTCTGCGGCCCCTGCGCCCCCACCCTACCACCATGATGAAACAACCCCCACCCGCAGGGTGTTGGGCACGCTTCTGCCCTCCACCCTCAACCAGAAGAAGCTCGTGGACGACGACGACGAGTACCCCGAGCCTGAGCTGGCCACTCGCAAGCACCCGCCGGTGGGCTTGAACACCCCCACCCAGCCACACTACCACCCGGTGGCCTCGTCGTTGTTGGACCACCCCGACTCCGCCAAAGTTCCGCTCAACCTCAACGTGTTCACCACGGAAGCACTGTCGGGTCCGTCTTCCGCCACCTCCACCATCTCCACCCTGTCGTTCTCGCGGGCCCAGGAGAACGACATTTGGTCCGAGCCAGTGGAACAGGCGTTCGAGGAGGTGCTCAACATCATCCCCAAAAACGGCCTCAACAAGATCAAAATCAGTGGCCGTTCGTGCGGACGAAACGAGCTCATTTCCGACTACATCTTCATGAAAACTGGCAAGTTCCGCACCCGCAAGCAGGTGTCGCTGCACATCCAGGTGATCAAGAACTTGGGGCACAAATTGGACATCATTAAGTTGATCAATGACGGCCCCACCTTCGACTCCGAGGACGCGCACAACAAGAACATGATGCGGTTCGAGGAGATCTTCCTGACCATCAACCTCCACAAGTCCATGGGCATCAACGACTCGTTGGGCATGGCCGCAGCACCACCGTCTGCGTCTGCGTCTGCCAAACGCAAGGACTCCGTCACCTCAGCGTCGTCGTCGGTGTCCCACAAGCGTGCACGCAGAAAGTCCAGCAGAGGCCTGCGCAGACCCGTTTTGCCGCCTCCTCGCTTCGAAAACTTCTTCATGTCAGTCTACGACTCCTACGCCGCCAATCCCGTCATCCTCTCGATCCAGAACAACCAGGACACCCCCAAGGCGTTGAAAATCAAGGAAAACGCCAACATCGAGGCCCGGTTCCCGGGGTTGAACGATTTCCAGGACTGTGCCCACATCCCCATCATCCACAACATGGTACGCATCCTCTTTCCCGAGTTGCCCTCCAACCACTCGATCGAGCTGGGGTTCAAGTCCAACATCTTGTTGAACACCAGCAACCACCCCATCGCAGAACCCATCAAGACAGAGCCATCCGAGGGCCTCAGCAACCCAGCGTCACCCAACGAATACGAGGCCAGCGTCTACTCCTCGTTCACCTGCATCTACTCCTACGGCAAGGAGGTGTTGAAGTTCAACGAGTCGGGCATCAAGCTCAACGAAAACCGTGAGTTCTTGGTCAAATTCTGGAAGTTCTTCTTGTCGAAATTGGTGGGCAAAGACGACCACGAAATCAACATGGCCTTCAAGGGCATGACCATCAAGCAGGTCGTCTACGACTCCTCGTCGCCTGCGGGCGAGAACGACGTGCCTAACGACACCGTGAATAACAACGACATCATGGTGTCCAAACTGAGAATTAGATTGGTTTTGTTGTGGGAGTTTGCCAAGGTGGACGATTTGAAGGACGCCATCACCACAACCTCCAACTTGATTCTACCCTCAGCCAGAATCGTGACGAAGAGCGAAAACATCGTACCACAGGTGGTCGAATATCCTCAATCTCATGGCTATGGCGACGGGTCTGCAGTGGCTGGCTCGCCAGCTTCCGCAACAAACCCGGGCTTTCCAAATTACCCAGCCCCTCTATCATCCACAGCTCCTTCAGCTATGAGCATGGCCCAACCAATGACCTCCACCACTATTTCATCACAAGCCCCCGAATCCTCTTCCATGGAACAGCCATGGGAAAAACCTCAAATTGATGTCCAACGTAAATTCCAATCGTTGCAACAGATGCAACTTATGCAACACGGGACTCCTCAGCAAGCCCCCTCTCTGGGAGTACCCTATCCTCACCAACAGTATCAATACCTGACCACCCCAGTCCAAGCAAACAACCCCAACCAACAATATCATATGGCACCCCAGCCACAACAAAGCATGGATTTTATGATGATTCCTGGCGATTCTCAAGATTACCAGACGTTACTTTACCCAGGAGGTTTCATCAATGATTACATGTGATCACTTGCATTCAAGCCATTTTAGTTACATTTTCACATTAACAGGTTTCAATTCTAATACGGCATGACAACAGGGAACTAGTGAGTCAGCAAAACTAGATGTGGGGGAACGGGTAGAAGAAGATGAGAATAGACTGTGAGATCAGCAGGCTGATGGTCATACAATAGCATACAAGCGAATTATACTAGCAAAATAAAAAAAAATTCGACTTTAGTCTGATTGTAGATTTAGGATGTTTGGTGTATGTGAATTATCACAATTCACAAAATATCCTGAAGTACAGAAATTCGAGTAATGGGAACAAATACTAGAGGACCTAATGACACTATCACATATATGAGATGATCAAACGAAAGGCGAATTACGTCAAAGTTGTGATTAATGAATTCATATGTATCCGATGTAGCTCAAAATGTCATTCCACAAAGTACAAATGAAATAAAAAACCGAAAAAGGTCCAAAATTAAATCAGGCACGAAATGGTTACCATTATTGATCAGAATATGACAACCGAGACTGGACTTTCTCTTTTATGAAATCTCGATAGGGTAAAGTTGCATGTCTTGCTTAGGTAGACTAAAATATGAACAAAGGCAGAAAATTCCTTCGTAACTAGTAGATTTCTCAATTCTTCTAAAACAACGATTCCATCTCTAGTAGGTTCGGTTATTTGGTTATGTGTTTGCAGTATTGAATCTTGCTCTATTGAACTTACCATCTTCTGTCCACCAGCAATCCAGTCAAAATAGTTTTGTATTATCCTGGTTTTCCTCAACTCCCTTTCTTCAAATCTCATCTAGCTAGCACAATCTGCACCAGACCAGAATTTTGCACACAGCAAATCAGTTGGCATGCATTCGACTTAGACATGGCCATTTGGCGCTATTCTGATTATCTATTTCCCGTAGTACGGATGATGAGAGACTTAAACTGAAGTAAATGCGCCCTAGAGTTAACACACAGTACAATAGCCATAGATACTTCCTTTTATCTCTTTCAACCCTTTTGTTATTTATTAGTTAGAATTAATCGCTTCCTTTTTATTGAAACGATACACTGCACAAGAGATTAGGACGGTTATAGCCATCCAGCAGTCGCCCTGCTCCCCTTGCCGCTACTACTAGTAATACCAGCATTCGCAGCCATCACCACGAGTCAATGTCGCACGCAATCGTCCAATGTCGCACTGATAATCCTCCAGAGTCAAACTCCAATTATATATCTATTCACAACTCCCATCTCGTCCTTTTCTCCAACCAACGCTATGGACTCCAAAACTATCGGTATTCTCGGAGGCGGCCAGCTCGGTCGTATGATCGTCGAAGCCGCCAACAGACTCAATGTGAAAACCCTTATCTTGGATGCCCCAAACAGTCCTGCCAAACAGATCAACGCCAGTCCCGACCATGTGGACGGTTCGTTCACCGACTACGACTCCATCGTCAAGCTCGCAGAGAAGTGTGACGTGTTGACTGTCGAGATCGAGCACATCGACGTGGAAGCCTTGAAGAAGGTGGCCCAGAAGTTCCCCAACCTCCAAATGTATCCATTGCCAGAAACCATCAAGCTCATCCAGGACAAGTACTTGCAAAAGAAGCACTTGATCGAGCACGACGTGGAGGTGGTTGAGTCCATCGATGTTGCCGAAAACTCAGTCGACGCCTTGCTGGCCATTGGCGACCAGTTCGGCTACCCGTTCATGTTGAAGTCACGGACGTTGGCTTACGACGGCAGAGGCAACTTTGTGGTCAAGAACAAGGACAGTCTCGCCCAGGCGTTGGAGTTCTTGAAGGACAGGCCGTTGTACGCGGAAAAGTGGTGTCCATTCACCAAGGAGCTTGCGGTTATGGTGGTAAGATCCATCGACGGTGAAGTTTTCGCCTACCCCACGGTGGAAACCATCCACAAGAACAACATCTGCCACTTGGTATATGCTCCTGCCAGAACCTCGGATACTATAGCGAAGAAAGCATCGATTTTGGCTAAGAACGCCGTCAAATCGTTCCCAGGATGTGGTATTTTTGGTGTCGAAATGTTCTTGTTGCCCAACAACGAGTTGTTGATCAACGAAATTGCTCCCAGACCTCACAACTCGGGTCACTACACCATCGATGCCTGTGTGACCTCCCAGTTCGAGGCCCATGTGAGAGCAGTTGCTGGATTGCCCATGCCAAAGGACTTCACTCAATTGTCCACTTCCACCACCAATGCCATCATGTTGAACGTTTTGGGCGACTCTGTCCCAAATAAGGAACTCGAGACTTGCCGCAAGGCGTTGGAGACCCCCAACGCCTCGGTCTACCTCTACGGAAAGGCTACCAGACCCGAAAGAAAGATGGGCCACATCAACATTGTTTCTTCGTCCATGGAAGACGCTCAAAACAGACTCAATTACATATTGGGCGAGTCTGAGTCTATTCCATCCACCTTGGCCTCGAAAGAAAAGCCTTTGGTGGGTATAATCATGGGCTCAGACTCCGATTTGCCAGTGATGTCTGTAGGAGCCGATATTCTCAAGAAGTTTGGTGTTCCTTTCGAATTGACCATTGTCAGTGCCCACAGAACGCCTCACAGAATGTCCCAGTATGCCATTGAGGCTGCCAAGAGAGGCATCAAGTGTATCATTGCTGGTGCTGGAGGTGCTGCACACTTGCCTGGAATGGTGGCTGCCATGACTCCCTTGCCCGTTATTGGTGTTCCTGTTAAGGGATCAGTCTTGGATGGTGTCGACTCCTTGCACTCGATTGTGCAAATGCCTAGAGGCATTCCTGTGGCCACTGTGGCCATCAACAACAGTACCAATGCTGCGTTGTTGGCCATCAGAATTTTGGGGGCTTTCGACTACAAATGGCTTGACAAAATGAGCCAGTACTTGAACACGATGGAGGAGGAAGTGTTGGGCAAGGCTGAGGTGTTGGAAGACATTGGCTACGAGCAGTACTTGAGCGAGAAGTTGAAGAAGTAGGTAAATCTTTAGTGACACCTAATCTGAAATACCTAGAGATGCCTTTTGCAATGCTTTAGAGCCTGCCTAAATGAGCAATTGCTTAAATGAGCCTATCTGAGCAATGGCTGAAGCCCGGGCCCATTCATGGCTCTGATAACAAAATCCGAGTTTATTAATGCAAAATGATGATATAAAGAATAGAACTAAATGCGTAGAAACCAGCCAGACCAGCAGCGATCTGGCGAGACGGATGTAGCTTGTGGAGGCAGGTTTATCAAAATGGACAGCCATAAGATCGTATGTAATAGCAAAATAGATGAGTGTAGTAATGAATCACCCTTCATGATAACAGAAAATGAACACGTCTAGGAGATTGTGATCGTCCGGGGCTTTCAAGAAAGAAAGAAAGACCGCGTTTAAGAGCTTGACTGGGCCGTTTAAGACAGGAAACGTCAAAGAGCTTGTGATAACGTGGCACCCTCGAGGCAGAAATGGCAGGAGATTAGGCAGCAGCCCCGAGAACAGCACGGGGAGTCCATATAATGGGGCACCCACACGGTTCCGTGCACCACGTGTGTATCACATCCATCCGCCTAGTAGTTGGTGCTCTTGTTGGCCTTCTTCTTGAGATGCTTCTTCTTGTAGATCTGGTTTCTGGAGTCTCTCCACCCCGAGGTGCTGATCTTCTTGGGGGTCTTGTCGACGTCCATGTCCTGCTCGGGCACGGCAGGCTCCTCGGCACCCTCGGCGTCGGCCTGGTCCTTCTTCTTGGCCAAGGCTGCCTCCTTCTGCTTGAGCAATTCCTGCTCCATCTTCTCCGAGAGACGCTTGTTTCTGCCGTCGACAAAGTTGGCGAACTCGCCCTTTCTCTTGACAGACTTGGCTCTCAACTTGGACTTGGATCTCAACGATTTGGCCATGGTGGGTGTGGTGGTGGTGGTGGAGGCTTCGCATGGCTCATCGCAAAAATCTGAGTCCCGATGCCTGCTCACGTGCGTCCGTCTAGGGCTCAGCCCTACTGCCCCCGTGACCCCGTGCCGCCCGCTCGCTCGCCCTCCTGGTTTGCAGCCCGCGCCCCTCCCCAGGGTTACCCGCACCCCTTCCTCCTCCCTCACCGCACTACTCCCCCCGCCAGTGCCTGTCCCACTCCGTCCCACCAGTCTCACCAAAGGCAGGAAAATTTTTCTAAGGAAAATTTTTACTTTTGAATCTTTTCTTTCAGTATAGTGATAACTCATTAATCAAAATGTAAGTGGAGATTCAGTCAATGAAGGGACCAAGCCGTCTAGGCAGGTGGACAGAGAGCCAGGCCAGTGGAAGCAGCGGTGCAATGGGCGTCGCAGCGGCTAGCAAGCAGTGGAGCTGGAGGTGGCACCGTCCTGTCATGCGAAACACATACTAACAGTACAGGGCTAATCTTAGAACTCAAAAGAGACTCGCTGCCAGTGTTGTCGGTGTTGGTAAGAGAAAGATCTGGTTAGATCCTAACGAGACCACCGAGATCGCTAACGCCAACTCCCGTCAAGCCATCAGAAAGTTATACAGAAATGGTACCATCGTCAAGAAGCCAGACACCGTCCACTCCAGATCCAGAGCTAGAGCCCTTTTGGAATCCAAGAGAGCTGGTAGACACATGGGTTACGGTAAGAGAAAGGGTACCAAGGACGCTCGTATGTCTTCCCAAGTTTTGTGGATGAGAAGATTGAGAGTCTTGAGAAGATTATTAGCCAAATACAGAGACGCCGGTAAGCTCGACAAGCACTTGTACCACTCCTTGTACAAGTCTGCCAAGGGTAACACCTTCAAGCACAAGAGATCTTTGGTCGAACACATCATCCAAGCCAAGGCTGAAGCTTTGCGTGAAAAGGCCCTCAAGGATGAAGCCGAAGCTAGAAGATTGAAGAACAGAGCTGCTCGTGAAAGAAGAGCACAAAGAGTTGCTGAAAAGAGAGAAGCTTTCCTCGCTGAAAACTAAATGATTTCGCTCGCTTAAGCCATCGTCATCACTGTATATTGAAGAATAATCCCCCTCAAACTCATATATATCAATCGTTGTCCCGGTTCCGTGATAGCGATAATATACAATTATTTCTCTAATTGAGGACAATTTTGTTCTATGAGTTGTGGCTTTACTCTGTATCTACTAGTATAATCCGCAATAATACGATCTGAAAACTGTGTGTAGCTTACCCCAATCGGGCAATGTCTCCCTGGAAATTCTGTAAGGCCCAACAAGGGCTGATGAGTCGTGTGCGGCTCGGGCTTCTATGACTCAACCATGGAATACTAACTGTGGACAAGCATGTGAACTGGTTCTGTGCATTACCCTGCTACATGATATCACTGGATTGGTCATCCACCTCTAACAGCTCCGTAGGCATCTTGTAACTCTTGGTTACGTAATGTATTATGTAATAGAATACAGCTAGTGTCTTCCCCTGTTGGGCGCCAGTTGTTGTTTGGGGTTACAGTCGGTTACCAGATTATGTATTAGTGCCTATATGTGTCACGCGTGGCGCCCGTGTAAGTAAAACACACCTTGAGAAGTAAAGGAATTCCGAAATAAATATATCCAAAAGGGGACACTGGATATTAATGCAAGAGTAAAAGACAGTTTGATAAGATCACAAGCGATGTCCTGGCACTAAGCTGAATAAAATTGTTAGCACAGCTGTGCACAATAAAATCAAGAACAACACCCACAAACTTCTCTTCAATAAGAGCTTGCGTATAAAGGTCTCTCTAACTTTTATCAACGAACTCGATCTGCTGCCCTTGGAAAATGATTCAGAATAGCCAAGCCATACTAATACTGGATCTATCAAATAGATAGATGATACTAGACAGTAGAATGCAATTAGGTAGGGCACTATGATCACGGGTCTCAATCCTTTCCTGTAGTCTAAGAAGACAAAGATGAAACTGATCCAGAAACCCACAAACAAAAAGAAGAATCCAATGATAATTCTCAACAAGTTTGAATGGTTGATATTTCTGATTGCCATGAAGTTAAGAAACTTGGGCAAATGATCGTTTTCAATCTTGTTGAATACGTATGACTTGACATGATTGAACACGTCTGGATCGTCTCTTCCATCGTTTTCGATGGCTTTAATAATGAACGAGTTCATATCATGAGGTAAATTCAAGTTCTTTTCAGAATCTTCCACGAAGTATTTTAATAGAAGGTTATGCGTTGACTCCTTCAAATTATCTCTGGTGATGAAAGAGTTGCTCACAGAACCAGGAGAGTCCTTTATCAACTTTTCCAATAAAGATGGACTGATCACAGATTCTCTTCTAGTGTCGTACTGGTTGGGGTTTGGGGTGGTGAATGGGTTGGAGACTGATTGCGGAGTTTGATTTTGCAAAGAAACGTAGTTTTTTGGACTCATTGCCCTATCAGCTTCTCCTATGTCAAGCTGGTTGTCAATGAAGGAATTCGAGCTGTTGACATCTTCGTCATCCAACAACCTTGAATTTGAAGATATTCTCTTTTCAGCTGAAGGGATTCTAGGAGATTCCAATGGGAACTTTGGTGAATGTCTGTTTAAATTAGGAGAGTACTTGAGACTTGGGCTGTTGTTGGCATTCAACACTGGGGATTTCTCATTTTCCTCGTTGTGGTAGTGCTCAATCAAGTCCTTAAGCTTGGGGTCCAAGTTCTCTATGTTCAAATCACCCCTCAAGAATTGAGAAAGACGATTCGAATCATTGTCTTCCAAAATATTGTCATTGATGATCAAATCCAACAAGATTGAGGAACTCAAAGATTTATGCTTGGATTTATCCAGGATTGGTTGAGAATCACGGTAGTTAGATTGTCTATGGGAAGTGGGAGCACCAGTGTGGTCAGAGTAAGTAGACTGCCTTATGATTGATTCCCTCAATCCTTTGATGTAGTGTTTACATAAATTCAAGTGGTTAATCAAATCAAACCAGAAATCGACATAATCCACCTTGTTTTCCACATCTCTCATAAACAGGTAGAAAGTGAAGAGATCCACGGGAGATTTTGTCTTATTAGCGAGAATCTCACCTAAGGTCGGTAATCGGTTCAAGCTGATGCTTTGGTTGGTTTTATTGAGGTTGTTGAGGTTGGAGAGGTAGTGGGAGTTCGGATAGTCCGACTGGTACTTCTCGTTTTGCTTCTCGTACATGGCTGGTGAATGGTGTGGCTATGATTGTGATATTAATGGTGACAATGAAGGGGCAACAGTCGAGAATCAGGGAAGAACGAGGTCAGAAGACTATTCAATCTATCGATGAAGGGGAGCTCTGTTCGGATATAACCTGACAATGCGCAGATTCGTGAGGACAACAGCGGGGCTTTTAGTGGACGCTGGTTGGTCTGGAGGTGTCCTAGTTTCGTGGACTGAACTGGATGGTGTTGGTGTCTATTTTTGGTTCCGGAGCTCAGGGTCTTTTTGAGGAGGAGGACGAGGGATATTCAACTATTCTTCACGGACGATCTAGCAAATCAGAGGTGTATATTCTCGATCTGATGATCTAGCTTTGACAGTTCCTTGTAGCCAGCCTTCTCTCGATGGGTCAAACGAGCGTGTCGTCAATGTCTTTGTATGTTATTTCGTTCGTTTACGGGCTTGTCTGCAGGACTGGCCTGATGTGGAACGGATGTAAATAGGAGGGCTGGTTGATGGGCCGCAATGGGGACGTTGTGAGTGCAGAGCCGAGTCCGTGACAGGTTGCCTTGGTGAAGGTTGCAGCGAGGGCTGGTGGTGGGGGAGGACGTGAAGAAAAGATGTGGTGTTGGTTCGAATGTTGTGATGGAGATCGAGACGAGTGGGAGGCCGAAACGATGGACGATGCGATGTTTGAACCGCAGGGCACACTCAGACATGAGGCGTGGGGCCTGGACGGGGCGCTGTGGTGCTGGGGCGGTTTCAGCGGTGGGAGAATGTGGCCGTGGTGAAACATGGGCGTGGAAGTCGCGTGATGTCCGGTCACATGATGGTATTTTCCATGAACCGGTCCAGGCGGCATGGCGGCCACCACGGTTCGGAGCGCCTTGCTGCAGCTGGCCGTGGTGTAGGGCATCGACAAATGCCGGTGATGAAGTGATCGCCAGAGATAATCCGGAATGGGTGGATCTGCATGACAGACGGTTGCTGCATGGATCCACGGCGATCGTGGGGTGTACTTTGTAAGTGGTAGTATCGGTTGAACTTTCAGGAATACCGATGACTCGGAGAATTGCTAGAATCCGTTGAATTGAAGCATTGGTAGAATCCGTTGAAACGTCGTTATATCCGTAAAATCCTCTGTTTGTCGTTATATCCGTAGCATCTTCCGGAGCATCTTGCTCCGTCACCGCCCAGCCGTCCGTCTCCATGCCAAGGCAATAGACCCATCCGTGGTGTCCGTACGTCGCAGACCTCACGCCAACTGCGCCTTCGCTGATCGTGCCAACTGGCCCTGGCACCATTTTTGCAGCACAACCGTAAGCATTATGGACCCGACCGTTCCCAAACACCCATTGTGGTCGTCCTGGCGGGGCAACGGTGGAGCCCGCTGGAACGTCGGTTCCTGCTTTTCCCGGAAACTCCGCTGGATTTGCCGTTTGGTGCATCAAAACCACTGCTTCTAACCGCTGCGGGACGATGAGGTTCCATTGCTAGTGGGATCCACATAATGACCTCTAGGGGGCGTTGGTGATCGCCGTGGGGGCTCAGGTGTACCCTAGGAGTCTCTAAGACTTTCTGGTGGGGGCTTTGGTGCCACCAGGGTAGTGGCTCTGAGCATCTGGCTTACCCCATGGCCTTCCCCCAGAGCCGTGCACTAGCGAGGAACCGCACTGGTTCCACCAAATCCGCGTGGATCAGCCATCACCAGTGCCGTGCGGCGCAGACCTCTCTGAAAGCGGAGGACCCAGTTGTTGCAGTCGCTTGTTTTGCCCTCCCGGAACCACGGGGCCCACGTCATGGCCACGTTATGCTGGGCAGTGGCGGAGACTAGTGGCTGCTAATCGTGCACCCCAGGCTAAATGCCGAGCCGCGTGGTTGCGGTGCCACGAGCATATATAAGAGGGGCCCGCTGGCACCTGGCAGCTTGCTGCCAGTGGAAATGGAGCCTCCGTGGGGTATTGGCTCACCAGGACAGATCTGTGATCAACACCGTGCTTGAGTGCTGGCAGCTGCTGGCAGCTGCTGGCAACTGCTAGCGAGTGCTCGTGTTCGGCGCTACCATGCAACAACTGCCCCAATCAGGAGCGTCCATCCAGAGAGTCTATCCAGAGAGTCCGGGGCCAGAAATCGAGGTACTCAGCATGACATAGAGGCAGTCTGTATCAGTGTAGCTGCAGGCTTATGCCACAAGTTGCGGCATCTTGTTACCAGACATCTCTGATGTGAAACATCAAGTACCGTGCGTACTCAAGTGCTTGAGGAATATTCTACATTTCTTCTACAAACACAGTGCACCTTTCCTCAAGTGCTTTGAGGCATATTATTCAAGCCTACAAATCCAAATTGATACTTCAGTATGAAAATATGCTTTGAGACATATTACAAGACAGACATTGGATACCATTCTACAATCTATGTTTACTTTCAGAATATTCCTACAAAGACACATCCGTCTGATTCAAGTCAAATGCTACAAAATACAGACCAATTCACTTTCATACTGTCACAATACAGTGTTCTCTAAAGAATTATCTTACCAGTACAATGCTTGATTGAAATATTTTTACAGAATCAGTGCTTCGAGGCATACTACACATCAGTAGAACTATCCCCTTGAGGTAGTTCTTACAAGCCCTCTGCATGAAATACATATTCAAGTGCAACTGCTTACTGTTAAGGATATTTTAAAAATACTGGGCTTATTCTGAGGCAAATTATTATAAATCAAACTGCTTTCTCGGCATATTCGACAAACTTACTTGGCACATACTACATATACAGTCCAATTACTTACTCCTAGGGATATTCTTACAGTTACACTCCAACTATGCACTGAAAGGGAAATTTAACCCATCAGCTCAACTGCTGACTTAGCAAATTCTTACAAGTACAGTGCTCACTTCATACTACAAATACAGTTCTTACTTTCAACGGACCACACATACAGTCCACACATACAGTCTGCCTGGCAACACAATCACCAAACAGTCCACTTCGATCCTGGATTCCTCCTCCACCATCACAGCTCCCGTCTCCAAGCTTGACCGCCTTCCCTCAAAATATCAAATTCGCCTGAATATCTTCCGTAAAAGCATCCTCCTCACATAGACCATGAATATTCAGATACTGACCTAATACTAGACAGACGATCCCCCTTCCCTGAAACTCACCGACTACATCGCTCGATATGTGAACTTCTTGAGCTATACACAGATTATTACGACTAATTAGTCTTGTCAACGAACAAAATCACCTACTGTTCCCAAAGGAACATACCTAGCGATCGCGTATCAACATCACGACGGACAGCTTCTTGGAAGCGCAGAACTGAAACAAAATATATGGCAAACGAGGGGGAAGAACTGAAAATTAACCATGACATAAACCATTAGTTCATGAAGAACGTTTCGTCATACACCTCGTTCTTGACGGTGATCTCGGGGTTTTCCCGAGTTTCCAGTTCTTCGCCTCTCTTGGACTTGCACTGAACCGACCCTTTACACGTGCCGCTTTCAATGTGTCTTTCCAACCATACGATGTTGTTTTCAAAGTACTCGAAGCAGCCTGCGCATCTACCCCCAATACTGTTTCTCTCGCTGGACTTGGTGCCGGGAGGGTAGATGAAATGCAACGCCTTCAAGTGGGTCTTGTAGGTATCACGACGGGAGAAGCCTCCTGTAGGATGGCACTTGGTGCCTGTGGAGCCTTCTGCCGGAACCTGGTAGAACGGACACAGGAACGCAGCCGTGGTGTGCTTTTTCAAGTGTCTGGTCAAGTAGCCTTTGACCTTGAAGCTGGCGTCGCAGAACTCACACTGGAACTGGTTCTTGTCGTCGCTCCTGGTCTTCTTGAGGGCCAAGTCGTCCAAGTCCTCTTTCTTAACGCGTTTGACCTTGGAGTCAGTCTTGCTCTTGGACGACAAGTCCTTCAGGAGCAAGGAGTCGGCCAGAGGCTTAACCTGCGATGGCAATGCCACCTGGAGGCCAAAACCGTCCACGAACGCGTAGTTGGACGCTGGAGGGGAAGAGACAGAGTCGTGAGTACGTTTCTTAGAGATTTCGCTGGGGTACGAAGATGGTGGGTGGTGCTGGTGGCGCTGTTGGTGCACTGGAGCCCGGTTGTGCTGGTGCTGGTGCTGGTGCTGGTGTTGGTGCTGGTGCTGGTGCTGGTGCTGAGGCACAGGAGCTTGGGCCTGGAACACGGCGTGGTCCATTTGGTGATAGTTGGTGGTCAACTTGCGGAAAAACTCGTCGTCCAACGGGTTGGTGTAGGAGTCGCTGGAAGACACCGAGCTGGAGACGGAGCCCGGCTCGTCGATCCTGGAAGAATCCACCACGTTATGGGTGGTGGTGCGGTTCTTCATGTTGAAGTCATCGAAGTACGGCTGGTAGGTGTCAGCACCACCCAACTGGAAGAAAGGCAACTCCTTGCTGCCAAAGTCGTTCTGGCCTGGCAAGTGGTGCTGGGGCACCTGGGCGTGGTAGACGTCGCTGTAGCCGTGGATGGGTGGTTGGAACGGCTGCTTTTCGTCGTAGTACGGCAAGTACGCCTGGGAGTCCAAACCGGGGGGGCCTGCAAGCTCGTCCGAGGCGCCAGTAGCCGCCACGGGGCCCGAGGGGTTGTTGGAGATGACAAAGTTGTTGAAGAACTCGATCTGGTCAGAGGGACCGGCGAGGCTCAACGCCAAGTCGTCAGCAGCACAGGCTGTGGGAAACAAAGGAGCAGAGCCAGAGCTGGCCAAGTTGAAAACAGCGGTGGTGGGCGGGAAGAGCGAGTGACTCTTGCGGTACAACAAGTTGGTCAAGAAACGGAACACACCCACCTTCTTGTGGGTGAGCGCGAGGCTCCAGGCGCTCAAGCGCTGGGGGCGAGGGTTTCCGGTGAAGATGCCTAGGGAAATCATTGCAGCATGGGCAGAGCCAGTGGTGGTGTAAAACGAACCTTCGCTCAGCTAAAAAGCGGTGAGAACGGGAAGTTTTTTCTGCGAGGCGTGGAGATCGTCAGATAAGACGATGGGGTGGGATGTAATAGCACGATGGGGGAGGAAGCAGGAGCAGGCAGTATCGAGCAGTATCGAGCAGTATCGAGCACTAGCAGGGGACTTCCAGATGATGTAGAAGAAAAACGAGGATTGCGTCGCTAATAACTGAACCCAGATAACAGGTGAAACTTGACACTAGATCCCGGCACTCGCACCCGACCAAGGCATTTTCTGTCACCGAAATAAGGTAATTCCATATCCACAATTGCGCCTGTGTAACCTGGTTACAGGGGGACGGAGTTAAGTCCGCGCGGGGGTTTGACGGCGGGGACTGGAAGAGGGAGGACTACTGGTTGGGGAGAGTAGGAGGAGACTATCGAGGAGACTAGAGGGGAGACTATCGAGGAGACTAGTGGAGGCAAGATTCGTAGAGGAGAGGCTGTTTCTTGATGGCAGCAGTTGGCTCGTACTGGCCACTCAGATCAGCTGGTCGTGCTTATCAGGTGTGGCAGACAGAATTAGGTTGCGTTCGGTATTTTTTGGTGCCGTACGGTAGCCGATAGTATTGGATAAAAAACAATGCACAGCTGGATCGGGCTTCGGGACAACTGCATGATGCGCGGTGGCCCGCGCATGGGATGACGGGCCGGTCACGTGGCTGGCCATTCCAGCTGAGGTGATTGGTGGAACTAAAATAGAACAGTGGGTTTTAGCAGTGTGGAGCCGGAGGTTATGAGGCCGCTGTCGGGCCATGTAGTTGTCACGTGATATACGTCACGTGGCTATGGCAAATTGGGTATGCTACTTGTCCTACGCCTGTTTACAACGGGCAACCGCACGGTGGGTTCCTACGGCTATCCAGGAGGAGGCCACTGTACCAATTAACGTAGGCGTCGCCACACTGGGACAATTTCTCGATGCACCCTCCGGTGGTGTCGCGTGATCACTACCACGTGTAATAACGGGACTAGCACATGATCGCTGGTCTAAGGCCAGTTGGCAACGAGTATCAGGGGCTATTACACCAGAATTGAATGTGGCATGCTGCCAATCTGAGATACTCAGCTAGCCGTTGCTGCAATGTGAGATGTCTGGCTTGGTGTCTGGCACGTGAAGACGATCACGTGCAACGCGTAACCCTCGTCCCGCGTAATCCCAGTCTCGGCACCGCCACCAAAATATGAAAATCTCCCACCCCATTCCTATCCTCCATCTATCTCCAATATGTCCACTTTAGACAAGTCCTTAGACGAAATCATCTCCTCCACCAAGAAGACCAGAAAGGTCGCCCCCAAGGCTGGCAAGGCCAACAAGGTCGGCAAGAAGATCGGTAGCCTGAACAAGAAGCCTATCGTCTCCTTCAAGAAGTCGCCAGCAGTGGTCGCTGCCACCAAGGCCGCCACTCTCGACTTATCTGCCGCCAACAAGGTGGTTGTGTACAACTTGCCTCGTGACTTGAAGCAAGACAACATCAAGGTATGTTCCATATGGAGCTTTAGGTGATGTTCCTCCGAGCGTCACCACAAGCGTGCTCTGCTGGCCAGAGTCGTTTCGCACGCGTCGCGAGTTAAATGGGATATCTGAATGGGTAGTAGGCACTGGGTAGTTCCAGTGTCGGTTTGGTGTCGTATGGTTGGCAGGTCTGGGTGGATCCAGCCTGCTTGGGTCGGTAATGGTATCGCTGCGAGCAAGCATGCCAGAGAGGGTGCTTCCTTGGGTTCATGAAACCTACTGGTTCCTTCTGGTTCCTCAGGCTCCTCGGGTTCTTCAGGTTCCTGGGGTAGAACCCGTGAGCAGAGAGCCCTGGCTCTTCTCCACGCATTTCTCGGGATCCAGTTCCCCCGACTAAGCCTCCGCTTATCATTATCAGAATGGAACACCACAGGACTCTTCCGGGTGTTCCAGATGGTTACTGCAACATGGTGACTTATTAAATTAAGTTGCCCTTGACATGTGGACAAGATAGAGATTTCGTCGTTGCAGTGGCTGATAACGGATTCGCTCCGCCCATCCATCCCTAATATATCCGTTTTAGCTCGTGTTCGTGATTGCATTTTCATCTCTCATTAACTAACAATATTTTCAGGATTTCTTCCAATCTCAAGTCGGTGGTGTTCAGACTATTTCTCTTAACTACAACGAAAAGGGCCAATTCAAGGGTATTGCCACCATTATTTTCAAGACTAACAAGTCTGCCAGCTTGGCAGTGGAGAAGTACAACGGTGCCCCTATCGATGGTGGTTCTTCCAAGTTGAAGTTGGAGTTGATCATCGATCCATCCAAGAAGACTTTGGCCTCGAGAATCACCGCCAACCCAACCGTCAACCCTAAGGTGGCTGCTGCTAAAAAGCAGCTCAAGGCCATCAAGGCTGTCAAGGCCAAGCAGGGTGTCAAGCCAGCTGCCAAGCCAGCTGCCAAAAAGAAGCCTGTCAAGAAAACCAAAAAGACCGTTGAGGAATTGGACCAAGAGATGGCCGACTACTTTGACAATTAGCCATTGTATTTTACAGTTGAGTATGACTCCTGAATATGTAATTTAATAGTTTATCGAAAAGACGATCCGAGTGCTAGCGGAGCTAGTGCAGTTATATCTACGTGAGAGTGTTGTAGAAACCGGTGCAGAACCATCAATCGAGCTTTGCCAGTGCTTTACGAAATGAATCTTTCCAGTGCAGGACTTCCAATTATGCTTTCCGCTGCCTCAAAATCTGTGTTGGAAACCCACCAGACTGACGTCAACAGTTGTGCGTACCTGGTTAGGATCTGGGAACGCTAGCGAGGTAACTGCCTTGGCCCTGTGAAGCAGATGAGCTATCAGCAGGCGATTTGCACTGAAAGTCCTCGTCATCTACTGAACTGAAATTGTAATGCTATTCTGTTGGTTCTGGCCTAATACTCCATGTCGATCAACCAACAGCTCTTGCACAACCGTCGAGAACAGGACAGGGTTTACCACTGTGGCGACCCGTTGCATAGCATAGTGCCAAACCCGAACTGCATGGAGGAGCCTTGTCCCGTTTGGGATAATATATGGCCAAATCCCATGTCAATTTTCCAGATTTTCGCAGTAATCCTAGCAATATCAGATGAATGTGAAGATGGTCCGAAGGAGCCGGGCCACCAGGTAGCAGTGGAGGCAGAGTGAAAAGTAATGTAGACACCCTCATGATGGACGAATGTGGCATGACATCTCACACGCCATATTAGACGAAACCTAGCATGACACCAAAATGTCGGCACCCTGCAAGTTGTCAGCGCCAGGTGCAGATGTCGGCTGCACCACACACACCACCAGCTATTCCACAGCTATTCCACAGCAAGACACCCAGCTGTCCTCCCCAGCTAGCTAGCCAAGTATCCTACGTATCCCCCACTTCCTTGGCCGTTTCTTGCCCCCAACCGAGCGTTGCTCCCACCGGCTTCCCTTTTCAGCCGCTCGTCTAACACGTCTCAAAAAGGGCGAATCAACACGTCTCGCGAACCGCACCATCTACAGGTTCCACCATTGCAGGTTGAGACTCCCTCCGCACAAACGCCGCCATCCTCCGAGGCGTATCTACACACCAACAACTCGTCTCCATCTTCATCTCTGGCACACAGGGCCTCTCGGTAACTAAACCGCCACCACCATCTCCGCCATGACCCGCAACATCGAGTACATCATCACTGCCGAGTTCCACATCGACAAGGGGCCTTCGCTTCTTCACCAGTACCCCAGCCAGCTCCCAGGACTCCAGAACCTCGTGTTTCTTCCCGAGCTCATGCTCCCGGACCAGATCCACAAGCGGGAAGAGGACTTCACGCTTTTCATGCTCTACAGAAACACCACCACGGGTGAATTCCAGTACTTGTACAACAAGGCCACCTGCGAGCCTGAGCCGTACTTCCTCTACACCATCGTCAACAACTTGAAGGACTCCAAGTTCAAGCGTGGGTCGGTGATCAAGTCGTTGTCGATCATCACCAAGCTCCTCTACTTCAAGAACTTCCGCCCCCTCCTCTTGATATGCTTGGACAAGTACTTTGGCGACAACAACCTCGACATCATCAAGGAGCTCTACCTGGCCATCAACGTCAAAAACTTCAAGTTCTCCAACAGCTCGAGCCTGATCTCCATCATCAAGAAGCTCCTCATAACCTCGATATTGGACTTGCCCATCAACGACAAGATTTACTACGACGAGTCGTTCAGAAACAAGTTGATGGGCATTAACAAGAACAGCATCATCAACCAGGACCTATTTATCCGCAAGGACCTCAGCTTCAACTCCATCATCAAGTTCAACAACATGAACATCCCCATCAAGATCCCCATGGTGGAGCTTCCCGATACAATAGGTGACTACCTCAACCCCACCGATCTCAACTTCAAGCCCAACTTGATCAACTTTCTTTCGGCCAAATTGGTGACCACCAACCTCCACAACGAGTTGACGATCTATGGATTGCAGACGCCGCCCATAATCATTCTTATTAATGCAATTTTGACTGGTAAAAAGATCATTTTCTTGAGTTACGACAACTCTTCAGGATATATCATTGACTATGTGCTCCTTACCTTGAAAATAATATCAGGAGGAGGTATTTTGAGTGGACTCTTGACAAACTACAACGTGTTTCCTATTATAGATGTTTCTAAAATTGACCTTTTGGAAGAATGTGAGTCTTATATTGCAGGTACAATCAACCCATTCTTCAAAAATAACGACAAGTTATGGGACTTGTTGTACGATTTGGACTCGAATGAGTTCCATTTGACTTCTCAACACCCCTCTGACAAGGACTACAAATCGTCCATTATTTCAGAAGATGCTAAGTTTTTGTCCAATTTACAATTGTCGTTATTCAATTATAATGATGATTTGACCACCATCCAACTAATTTTCAGAAGACATATAAACGAGATTATAAGGATCTTGTTAAGTCTGAAGAATTTCAATAATAATTTCCCTTCAGACTCCCCAAATTCTAAGAAGAAATTAACCTTACTTATGGACGGAATCGGCTACTTCTGGCAGAGTGACTCAAACAAATTGCTTGAAATATCATGTTACCAGTTAATATCGAAAAAGTTTCAGGATCTTCTCTTTGACGGTAAGTTCTCGTACAATTTGATGTTACCGAACCTTGCCAACGAGTTGAATTTGATGATTGATTTGCAGTATCATTTGCAGAGTTTGAACAACATTTCCAATAATCCAAGAGTGAATGAACGTGAAATATGGTTCAATTTCTTGAAGTATCTCATCAGCGGAAAGTCTTTGGAGATCTTCTTACTTGTGACATACTTGATCCCTCCAAACTCCGCCACCAGCTTACAGTCTTCCTCGATGCATGGGGGCAACTTGACGATCTTTGACAAGAACAAGGGGATTGAATTGTTGTTGTTGAACTTGTTCAACCAGGACGACCAAGTGAAGAGCAACATAATAATGATATTGCAGGAATTGCAAGATAATTTCTTGTGTGGATGGTGTTTGGACAAGTTTATTAAGTCCAACATGATCTATGAGGTTGCGTTCGAAGAGCTTAAAAACTAGCGACCAGACGATTACGATGTACTATCACGACTATACCACCTCAGTGGCTTATTTATTACGTACTATAATATAACTGAACATAGAGACGAGTAGTGGGTGGATTGCCAGCGATCACCTATTACCAGAGTAATTTTTCAGACAAAGGAGTAGTGAATACATTGACCAGAAATTAGAATAATTTCAGACAAATGAGAACTGACATTCACCTGCTATGAACAAAGTAGCATTACAAATGTGTAGTGACAAGTAGAGGAAGTTCCAACTTGACCTACGTTTTGCGGTCCATCTCTCTTTCAAATCACTGGGGAAACCTCGGCTAATATTTCTGGCTTCTCTTCGCATCCAACCTCCAAAACTTACCTACACCAGTCTCATGAGCCCGCAGGCACCGTTCATTCACTATATACATGGTTGCGTCATCGTGGTCTAATGCCACTAGTCTCTGTCTTCAAATCCTCCCTTGAAGATAGAAAAGAAAGACAATCTGTCACCACCCTGTCTGCTTGCATATGCTGAGCCAGTACCCTCGTACCTGGAGCCTCTGCCATCGTAGTTCAAGGTAGGATTGTGACTTGGGAAGCCTGGTCTGTGGCCGTGCACTCCAAACTCGTTGTCTTCCGAGTCGATTCTGGCATCGGTTTCTCTTCTGTGACGCTCATCCTTGTAGATGGCGGTGTGCCTTTTGCCCACCAAAAAGAGGCCGATGGCAGCCACGCCGAAGATCCCGAGCTTGACCAATAACGAGTTTCTTGTTTCGACAGCCATTGTGAAGCGGAGATGGTGTTGGTGGTCCTACAAAGCCCGATCAGGTGAGAATAGAGATGGGGAGGGCACGACCAGATGGTGCGTTATGTGCAGGACAACCAGAATGTAATCAGGTGTCCTTGGAACTGGAGATAATATTAGGACGGAGATGCCTGGCGTATCAAACTGAGGGCGTTGGGTGGAGCCAGGTATTTTCTGGGTGGTTTTGGGGAGAGTTCGATTTCAGCATAATTATGTATTTTTTCAGAAAATTCTGTTGAGGAACTTATTAAATAAATCAGCTCAGTGCTCCGCTGCACAAATAGCTACTTGGTAAGTATCAGCATATACGTAGAGAAGACTAATCGTTAAAAATTTGTCTAGCTGTATACTGTGCAATTTTTCCAGAGTAGTCCTCAACCATATGGATTATCGTGGTTGTACAATACGTTCACGCAATATCGATGCTCCACTGGAGGTTACGGTTCAAATTGAATAAGAGTAATTCAGCTTACGGCGAATGAAGATTTGGAATTAACAACAGTAATCACCTCAGCTGCACTCAGGTAAAATGCTAGAAACGAACCAAGCACCGCCTAAATTGCATCTAACCTATTTACCTCACTAAAAGTATATCAATATGGGTACTTTCTTAGCCAGTTTATATGGATAGCTTTTCAGAACAATTGGATTCAAGCTGGAAAAGCATAACCTCTGAGAAGAAGATAGGATAGACTTCTTAGGAGAATAGTAGTTTTCATTAGAAGCATATCACCTAGGAGGATAAAGGGCTATTTATTATTACTCGTCCAATAAATAGAACCTGCGCTGCTTCCAACAAGTCATCAGCTACTGTTAGAAGGGTAACTAAAGGTTCACTAGTATAGCATTACTCAGGACCTAATTTTTACCTGCTACATTCTATAGATAATACAGTATTTCATTAGTCAGATTGTACATGAACTGGATGTACCACTTTTCAAAGTGTTCAGATTCAGGCTTTATCAAGAATCTCTCATTTCTGCTCAAAGATTGTGAGATTGACCCTGTTCAATAGCGCTTTCAATATTCTACATAGTTTCATAACTAATATATTAATCTGAAGGTAGGCCTACTCCCCGATACTGATCCATTTTTCTCAATATTTATTTATCTGTTCAGAGGGACCCGAATCCCCTGCTCCTGGTAAAACTGATAGCATTACGAAGTGCCGTTCACACGGTTCATGAGTTGGTCCAGTTATGGAGCGCGACATTCCACGGTTGCAACCATGGAATGCGCCAGCTCCAAAATCCAATGTCGCAAATGTCGTACGCGCTCAGCCGGACGCACGTGATGTACCCCACAAACGAGCCATGTGATTTCACCCATCCACGGTCCATAGTATATAAACACCTCCACCACTCTCTAACGCGTTATCAACCACCATGGGCGACGTCGAAGAAATTGCCCACGCTCTAGCAGGCGCCGGAGGCGGCGCCTTGTCCATGATCGTCACATATCCGCTCGTGACCTTATCGACCTTGGCCCAAACCACCAAGAAGAAGAAGCAGGCTGCTGGCGACGACCACGCCTCCATCAGCCCAGCCACTCAGTGCAAGATCCTCGATGCTCTCACCACGAACTCGACGTACTTAGCAGCCAAGGACATCATTGCTGAGAAGGGAGTGTTGGGATTGTACTCTGGCTTGGAAAGTGCACTCTACGGAATCACACTCACCAATTTCATCTACTACTATTTTTACGAGTTGACTTCCAACGTGTTCCTCAAGGCCAACAACTTGACTGTGCGCAAGGGCAAGGGTTTGTCGACCATGCAGTCCATTATCACGGGAGCGATTGCAGGCTCTATCACCTGTGTGGGGTCCAATCCGTTCTGGGTGGCCAATACGCGGACCATGACGCGCAAGAAGCAGTCTGAGGACGGCACCGAGGTCAAGGGCTCGACCTCCACGTTTGGGGCCATTTTGGAGATCATCGAGCAGGACGGACCTGCCACTTTGTTCGCTGGGGTTTTGCCAGCATTGGTGTTGGTGATCAACCCCATTATCCAGTACACCATCTTCGAGCAGGTTAAGAACTTCGTGATCGCCAAAAACGGCAAGAAATCGTTCACAGCCGTGTACGCGTTCTTCATCGGAGCTTTTGGAAAGTTGATCGCCACCTCATTGACCTACCCGTACATCACGTTGAAGTCGAGAATGCACATCAAGAAGAAGAAGATTGCCAGCGAGGAGAAGGAGATTAAGTTGTCGATGTACCAGGAGATCAAGAAGATCATCCGCGAGGAGGGCTTCGAGGGGTTGTACGGGGGATTGACCGTCAAGTTGGTGCAGTCCATCACCACGGCAGCCTTTTTGTTCTATTTCAAGGAAGAGTTGTTGACAGGAAGTGTCAAGTTGGTGGAGATCTTGCGGTTGTTGAGGGTGAAAAAGCAAGGAGTGGTGGCTTAGTATTTATTGAATGAATGTTTCCCAGTTCCGTATTTAGTAGGGGAGGTGCTGATAACAGCCACATAGCTTAGCTGGTTTGGTAGCATTGCAAAAATCTGGCCCACATTAGTTGATTTGGAAGTGTGTCAAAATATGGCCAACAACACAAGTCTTTGGTTTGGTGGTACGGCAAAATTGTGTGTTGGATATGCTATGGGAATTTGACACCAAAGTGTCTGACACCTTGACGTGAACAGTGTCATTTAGATGCAGCCCCGCGCAGATAGATGCGAAAATGTACACGGTGTGCGAGGAGGGCAGAATCCGTAGAATTTCCCCCAGCACCGCAGACGTGTGGAAATCGTGAACAATGTTGCGGCTAAAAACTTGGCGAGCTGTTCGAGGTGGAAAATACCGCTTAGTACTCCCCTGTGGTGCAACCTGTCGATCAAACCGTATTCAGGGCTAGATCGTACTGTCGATCGAAAATCTTGAGAATAGTGGTTTTAGCGGGCGATCAGGTCATGACCGTCATGCATGTCCGTCACTGCCTATTCAACCCACCAAAACGTGCAGCAATAAGGCCACAGTGTCGATCTGCCAGATATTTTCCACACCAGTAGCGCTTCGGTATTCATCTAGTGGCCAGCCACAAAGCCGTAAATAGTCGTAAAAATAGCACCATGCAATGATGCTCCAGTGCCGAGATCGGGTTGCCGGCGACGACGCGAGCATGTCCTCCTGACTGGAGCATGACCAGGACGTGGCCACGGCTGGAGGCGGGAGGATTTTGGTAGCTACGAAAGGGTTCTGTGCGCCAGGGAGCCGAAAGTCTAAACTGACTATTGACAGTCGCACCTGTTCTGTACGGAATGCAGGCCTCGCGGGGGTCTGATAGTCCCCCAGTATTGCACTAGAGGTTTACTACATGCCAGGCTGGTTTGGAGGCCCGGGTTGCGTGTGCAGAATTTTCACCTCAGATCACACTCCCCTATTTTGGTTGCCCTATTGGCTACTCCCCACACTGATCTAGGAGTATTTGCTCATCCCGATTAGACAATAGGCAGGCGTGGTGGCGTCTGGAGCGGGCAAGAGTACGCGACCACGCCGCCCAGTGCGGCCCGCGCAGCCTCCGCCAAGCGCTCGAGGGTCCAGAGGTTGTTGCAGCAGCACGGTCTAATGTTGGAAATGTGTCAAGCTCGAGTTAGGGTGGGCAAGATTTTCCAAGCGACGGCTGCACGTGCTGCGAAATGCACCATATGAGGGAGCTACCAGGTGCAGGCGGGGACGTCACCGGAGGTGCAGCGTTCGGGCGCAGGCGCCTATTGACAAAAGTACCCAACAGCCCCAGTTCTAAACCGTTGCCCTAAGGCCAGCCAGAGGCAGCCAGACTATTGCGCCACGATCACAGCCCCTGGAGGGGAAGGCTGGAGCTGCCGGAGTTGTCAGGGGACACTGGCACCACCAAGGCCGCGAGGCCCGGAGTGTTGGGATGTGCATCAGCGCTTGGCGCGATGTCAAGCTGGCGGCACCGGATAATTGGACGATAACGCGATGGGTATAGCCGCAGAGAACCGTCGGGGCCTAGCCCTATCAGGAGGCAGGAATTATGCGCTTATGCCTATTGCGCGTAGCCGGCGACCGTGCAAAGTCCATTGTGCAGCGGGCAGTTTTGTTACCAGGTTGCAGCGGATTTAGTGGAAGTGCGAGCTTCGGCGAGTTCACCGCCGGAGGGGAGGGGGCACCGCACTATCCTGGGAGCGCCAGTAGCCCTCACATATGCAGTCGGGTCTAGTAGCCCTCGCGATGTCACCTTATCGCTGCGGAAAATATGCGCGTCCAGTTTCGGAACCGCCACTGTTGACGGTGCATACCGAGGGAGCGTGGGAGGCAGACGACGCCAGCGGCCAGGTAGGCCACGTCAGCTTGTTGCAGGCCACACCGATTAGCTTCAGAGGCCACTGGCACCTGTTGCAGCGGCGCTCATCTCGATTCTCTTCCAGACAGGGTCTGGGCTCCTGAGCTGGACGGTTGTGCATACCATCGTAAATTGTTCAAGGCTGCATGGCGGTGCCGCGGGCGTCGCGCCTGTGTGGTGGCGGCCCCCCTAAACCACCACGAGTGAAACGATCGTTCTGCAGTGCCTACTTGGGCAATCTCGATCAATCGTGAATTTCTACGCCAAACCCGCAGGCTGCACTGCAGCCACCTGCACGAGTGGGTTGCACGGTGCTAAAAATAACCGAAGAGTAGCCACCAGAGCATGGTCAAGCGTCTGGCCCTGGCCACCACCACGGCCACCTCCACCACCATGGCAGCGTCCCCCATGGCGCCCTAGCCAGAGCCTCCCCGCTGGCGCCACCCGCGTGCCATTTCTGCGGGCTCGGATCGCGCGCTCCAGCCGTTCGCCCTATTAATAGCCAACCCGTTGATGCCTCCACAACCGGCAGCGACCGCTCCCCAGGCCCATGCTTGACGCTCGGCGTGCCAATCCTGCCGCATTTACCGCACCCGTCTGCTTCGTTTTCTGCTCGCCCTGCAGACCACTTTCCTTAACTTCCCCCAGCTCCCGGCCACACCAGGCCCTCTCCCCTGGCCAGGCCCACTACACCGTCCACTCCTTCCACAGCCTTTTGTGCTTTCCAGTGCCCTCCAGTGCCTGTCATGGCTTCCTCACCCCCACCTCCGCCCTCGCGACGGCCTGTGTCCCGCCGGGCCTGCTTGTCGTGCCGCGAGAAGAAGATCAAGTGTGATGGCGAGCCCATCAGCAAAATCGTGTCTGTTGACGGCACCAATAAGATTATTCCTCAGACCACCCGAGTGTGTTCCAACTGCAAGTTTTTGGGCATCGAGTGTGTGTTTGTCCAGAGCAACCGTGGCGGGCGTCGCAAGAAGCGGGACTCCCAGGACGGGACGGCGTCGCCGGACAAGCACGAGGAGACCAGTCACAAGCGGGTGAAGCAAGAGGTGTCGCCGCAGAACGAGTTCCAGGAGCAGTCACTGCTGTCCCACTACGAGTCACACCACGAGAGCCAGTCGTCCCACCAGTCCCACCACGACACTCCGCAGTCCCTGTCCCACCAGCCCCCGCACCAGCCGTCCCACCAGTCGTCCCACCAGTCGTCCCACCACCCTCTCCATGGCCACTCCCGCTCGCCACCGCTGCCCACCGGCTCCACCAGCTCCTCCCACCACGCCTGCCGCCACGGCCTGGACCCCGGCCCCAAGCCGCCGCCAGCGTCCGCTGGCTACCCCCAGCCCGCTCCCTACGCCTATGACTACCCTCGCCACCACTTGGGGGTGTTTGGCGCTCCCATGCCACCCGTGCCTCCCGTGCCGCCGGTGCCGCCGGTGCCCCCGTACCCCCGCTGGGGCATGGCCCCTCCCCCACCACACACCTCGCCCGGCTTTGGGCCTGCTCCGTGGTCCAGAAACAACCATTGGGGCCGGTACGGGCCCTGGGGGGCCTCCCAGACCCCGGGGGGTCCTGGTGCGCCAAACCCCGCGGCGCCCGCCGCCCAGTTCGCACCGTCCTCTGGCCCAGTCTCTGCCACCCCCACCGCTACCACCGCCGCTACCACCTCCCACCACGACGAGCCTTCCTACCAGTTCCCTCCCCCCGCGCCGTACGCCTACCATCACTATGGCGACCCCGACCACCACGCCAAGTGTCCCCACCCCCAGCACCCGTGTAGCCATCCAAGACGCTACCTCGGCTATGGCCCCGACTCTGGCACCTCGCTTCCCCAGCTAAAGTCCGATCCCGAGATCCACTTGCCCAAGATTGGTGAGACAGAAATTACCAGCATCTCGCGAGACGCCAATGTGAGAAATAGTCCCCCCACGGGAGAGAACTCCTCCAAGGTCAGCACTAGCCCCCAGTCGAAGCATCCCAATGCCAGTCCCCAGAACGAGTCCACTCCTCACCACAATCAACCCATTGCCACGGCGTGGACCTCCCCCTTCTCGGACTCCGACTTGGCCCACTACCACCTTCCCGACTGGCCCACATTGAACGCGGTCCTCGACGTCTACTACGTCTACTTCCAGCCGTGCCACCAGATCTTGCCCTCCAAAGATGCCCTCCTCAAACGCATCTCCTTGAACAGAGAAGCCTCGGTGTTGCACGCAATCATAGCCACCATTTGCCCCACCCTCGGCAAACAGCCAGCAAAACATCTCGCCGGCCTCATCAACGATGAGTCCCACTGGGTCACCAACGCCTACCGCCACTGGGACGACCTCAACGACATGGGCATCCTCGTGACCTTGAGCTTGATCGCAAAAACCTCCTCCAACAGAACCAACATCACCCAGTTCAACGAAACAACCTCCAGGATGTTCCAACTCATCCACCACAACAACTTCATCAAGACCTACAGCACCTCCCGTACCCAGAAGCTCTCGAGGCTCAACACTTCCCGACAGGTGTTTGAACGCGAATTGATCGTCAAGCTCATCTGGAACTTCATCATCGACCACCATGTCTTCTACAAGTACTACAAGGGCTATCCCTATATCTCACAGTGTGATGCTCGCAACTTCGAGCTCGACGATTTCGTCTTGCCCTTGGACAACGCAGACTACTTGGAGGTCAGCAAAACCACAGACAGAGTCACCTGGAAGGATGTCCATGCCACGTCCTCCGACTACAATTCCATCATCGTGTCTTCGAAAGAGTTCTTGGAGCTACTCTCAAGATTTTCCGAAGACACCTTCGACTACAAAATTTATCAAGAACTGGTTTCAGCGGTGTCCCGTCAGGTCAAGGAACAATCGATTATTTGGTTCAGACCCAAGAAGCGGATCATCATCAATAACTCGTATCTCTTGAGCGAGTTCATCCTCAACACAGGCTCCATTATCAACTATGCACACACCATCAAAGATATCTTGGTGTTGAAGCCAAGCCCTTCGGTGGATTCCAACAAGCTCATCTTATTCCCCGATATCACATCTTATGCTCTTCCAGATTTGGACCAATTGCCCCATGCCATCGACAAGATCGACGAAGAACGCTGGCTTTGTCTCGTAAACGTCTTGAAGCACGCTTTAGACATCGTCGAGCTTGTGACCTTGGACAATGGTGACAACACAGATACTTCAATTGATGAATATATCATCAATATTGGCCCCACCTCTCTCACCCAAGGCACTCAAATGGATTGGATGAGGTCCACTCTTTTGGAAAGCAATATCCGTGACGCATGGCTAAAGTATCCATTCTTTGCTGTGAAGTCATGCACTGAATTGATCTTATTATTGAATAATTTGATCATTCTTACCAAGTTCATCCAAATCGCTTTTGAGGTGAAGGTGCTCAAGATTAAAACTGACAAGAAGGAAGTCCAGATCAGTGCACCAGAAACTATGGTGAGAGTGGTGAATGAGTTCAATGGGGAGAAGTTAGTTTCCAAGCGATCCGCAATCATAGATTTTATCAAAGTGAAGTTGCAGGACTACGATCATGAGACAGTCGAAAACACAATTGCAAATATTGACAAAGTCAACCAACATCTCGATCAAATTATGAAATCACCCTGATATTCAAAAGAACACATCGTTTTACTTCAATTTTTATCAACTGTATACTACAAAATACTTCATTTCAATGTTCTTATGCAATTGTCGATTCCATGTATTATATAAATCGCCCTCTCTGAAGATTGCGTTCCTCAAATTTATAGGGCGATGCTGAATGAATCAAATGCAATTACTTGACACAAGTTTTCCATATTTTTATTACAATAGTAGCTTTTTCGAGAGTTCTCGAGTTTATATGCGATTATTTGCAGATTTCTCATCTATTATATCAACTTTGTTGTACATTTACAAAGAGAGAGAGTACTGAATTGAATGAATTGCTTGAAAATTCCATAAAGGCTATTAAACCTGAGCCAACAAATCTAGCAAAATCAAAGCTGGTACTAATACCCATCTCGTAATCGTGTTGGTGTAACATATATATCTGCATACAGAAGGAATAGGTATATGTGATCCAAAATTACTTTTGTAAACGACAGAAAGATTTAATGTTAAATGCTGAAACAAATTTCTCGATGAAGAAGTAGTCTAATCGACATTATCAATGGGAAGACAAAATCAATAATTTAGTAGCGCATTTTAGTAACCGGATATCTTTGCTCAGTATATACATTTGATATATGATATTCTATATGTCTATGATTTGTCTAAGATCCACTTCCAGTACCCCCCCCATAGTATCCAACACCCTTTAAGCGGGTTATCATTGCTTATAACCCACACAAGTGCCCGAATACAACCAAATAATTACCCAACATGTTATAATGCTTTGATCCAATGGAGCCATAACGACTTCACAATCGGAGACCAAACTTATGCGCCCACACGAACATGAAACTTATCTGGTCTATCCAATCTTTTCTTATATGGGCTCTTCGATTTTAAAAGTTCTTTTTCAACTGCTCGTATGTAAAGAAAATCAAGGCATTGGCTGGCACTGCTCTAGCCAAGGTGATTCCTAGCCCATTGTAGAAGTTCTTGATGCCTCCAGGCTTCGCTGCCAACTTTTTCATGATGTACCAAACGCCAATTCTCTTGGGACGGTTCTTGTCGTGTTCGTGAAGAATCTCATACGTCTGGATGTTTGACTTGATGGTGTCTACCGGAAAAATGATCCAGTTGAAGGCGATTCCTGCCAGAGCACCACTCACCAACAGTTGGATATCTGGGGATATCGGCACATGTGGGTTGGCCTTGAAATAATCGTTGATGTACTCGTAAGTGCCAAACCAGATGGCAGTTCCTGTGATTTCTCTGACTAAGGTACTGGATAACCCGCTCCATAACCCTGCAACCCCGTTATTGCGTATCACCTGTCTGATGTAGTACAAGTAGCTCCTGGAGTTATCGACATTGCCAGCCAAATTAGACACCTGGAGTTGGCACTTGATCAACTCTATGGGTGTAAGGATAAACGAAGCCATGAATCCAGCGAACCCTCCAGACGCACACTTGGTCCAGAAAGGTAGCGTTTCCTCGGTGTACTTGATGCCAGACCTCGGTTTCAAGCTAGCTGTGAAATATGACGTTGACCAGTTATAGGAAGTGAACAAAATGGACGTTTCGGCACAGGCGCCGAGTAACGGAGCCCGAAAACCCTTGTAGAAGCCGTTGATAATCCCTTCGTTGACGTAGGTGGTTCGGATCATCTGGAACGAGGACAATGGCACTGATGACGACTGGAGACGGACTTTGATGGTATCGAAGGGGAACTCGACCACCTTGCCCACCATTCCCGAGACGGCACCAAAAGCGATCTCTTTGAGAGGGCCTGAGTCTGTCATTTGGTGGTATTGGTTCTGTTAATGGCTTCTTGAAGGTGTGAGTTTTTTGAAGTTAAAGATTAAAGTCTTTGGCCAAAAATGATAAATGGAATATTTCTGTATGAGTCAACACTTTCACTTTCTGTGATATCCCCAAAAAGGTGGCTAAGTCCGCAAAAATTCTGGCTGATGATCTATAAGTACGGGAACAGCAAAGCCGACGTTTATGCCCTCTATCACTGGGGTATCGTTCTATTTGCAATTGGTGGTGAAAAATCTCTCCGATCTGTTCCTGCACATTACGGGAAGGGTCTATAAGCACTAAATTATATCATACTAAGGGCCAATTCTGTCAGACCGGGGATGCAAGCACCAGCTCTACGCCAGCAGGAGCTCGCTCACCACCTACATGGTATCTGATAGGAGTTTATTTATTTATAAGTGTTACCATTAAATTACAAAAGTGAACCAAAGGGCTAGCAGCTTATTTCAATGGAATGAATCTGGAAGAAGCGTTACCGGCTCTACCGTGTCTGACTGGGGTGTAGGAGATAGAGAATTCACCGAGGTAGTGGCCAACCATCTCTGGTCTGATTTCAACGGTGTTGAAGACCTTACCGTTGTAGACACCGACAACGGAACCGATCATTTCTGGAACGACAATCATGTTTCTCAAGTGGGTCTTGACGACAGCTGGCTTTTCGTTTTCTGGAGTGGCCAATCTAGCGGCTCTCAACTTCTTGATCAAACCCATTGGTCTGGAGTCCAAACCTCTGGAGAATCTTCTTCTGACTCTGGCACTGCACAACTTGGTGAAGTCTTCGGTGGACATTTCAACCAAGTCTTTGAGGTCAACACCCTTGTAGGAGAAGGTCTTAAAGATTCTCTTTTTTCTGTCAGCTAAAGGGTTAGTACGGAACAAAAGGTCAATGGACTGGGGCTGGAATGAACGAGGAGGATGGATACGGAGGGGGGAATGGTACTAGGATGTGCCGCTGAGGCTGTGATGGCTTGCTGGGTCGAATGGGTCTGGTTCAATTCACTTCATTTATGTTATGTTCACTTCACTTCACTTCACTTCACTCCACTTCTTCAGTTGTGTCACTTCACTTCTCTTCACTTCACTTCTGCGGATTGATGCTACGTTCGTCCGCCATTCATTCTAGTCTCCCGTCTGTCCTTTCATGGGCACACTTACTAGTTTCAGACATGTTGATTACTGTGATTAATGATACAAGCTAGAAAAGAAAATTTTTGTAATGCCAACTTTTCAGTATCGCCATACAGGCGCTGTCGTGCCCAGGATCCGCGCGCTGGCACGGGTTGTGTGCAGGGAGCAGCTAGGGTTGCGCGGCGACGGTGGGTGGAGGGGTGGTGTGACTGCTTTTTGCACGTGCCGCCGCCATCTCCATCCGCGCAGCCACCGGGCCTTCCTGCAGGACGGTGATACCTGCCTCACAAATTTTCAACCCTGTTTCCAGGTATAACTCTTCTTCAGTATCAAAGGATAGTCTGCCCTACCGCTTAAAAGTGATTATTCTAAAATGAAATACTTAGCTGCTTACTTATTGTTAGTCCAAGGTGGTAACGACGCCCCATCCGCTGCCGACATCACCAGCTTGTTGGAATCCGTCGGTGTCGAAGCCGAAGCCTCCAGAATCTCCACTTTGTTGGCTGAATTGGAAGGTAAGTCCGTTGCTGACTTGATCCAAGCCGGTAACGCCAAGTTGGCTTCCGTCCCAACCGGTGGTGCTGCTGCTGCCTCCTCTGGTGCTGCTTCTTCTGGTGCTGCTGCTGAAGACGCTGCCGAAGAAAAGGCTGAAGAAGCCAAGGAAGAATCCGATGACGACATGGGTTTCGGTTTGTTCGATTAGATAATTTGCATAACTCTTGTGTATATTAATTCAATCAATCTTCCTGTACTTCGTGAGTGTAGAACTACCACAAACTGCGTAATGGACATGAGAGTTGGCCAGCGATAACTGGAGATTCATTTGGCAGTATCCCGTGAAAATACAGTAGAACTGGCAATATTTCTAGTGGAAGAACGGTAGAACTGGCCAGGATAACCAGTTAAGCTGAGTTCCGTCGAATTTGTCAACACTTGTGAAAAATACCATACAACTAGCCAGGATTAGTTAAGTTCAGTTGGCAGTGTCTCGTGAAGTCCTTAAACTGGCAAATTCTAGTGAAAAATACTCTAAGATGGCTACTTATAACTAGTGATTTCCTTCAAACTGGCATTATCTCTAGTGAAAATCCCGTAGAACTGGATGTATCTATTGTGAGCTTACCCAACAACTAGCTAGAGATAACTAGTAATTTCGGTGGCATATCTCATAAAAATACGTACCAGTATGGCCCGACGTGGTCAGTCACAGTCATTGGTGTGAACTCGCTACAAATTAATCCCAGAGTAGATACTACTCATCTAAACAGAGACTTACAATTATTGCACATCATCATTGGCGAGGACGTGATCAACAACGTACACGCTACAAATCCTAAAATTAGATATACATAACTGGCGAATTAATTCTGAAACTCACCCAAAAGGATGTATACTTGCAAATATTGCACAGCATCATTGGCGAGGAGCGAAGCGAACCCCATGCCATATTAATCGTTTTCATATATTCTAATATCCAATGGATTTAAATCTCCAAAATTTATTTAATATTAACACATAAAGTACATACAACCTTTACACATCCTTGACGTAGAACTAAGCAACGATACGAATAATCACAGATACATTAACGCTGTTGACATTCATCAAATTCAACAAAAGTATACTGAGAACTGCGTCATCTGCTTGGAACTCAGAAAGCTCACGTTACAAGTAATTCCCACGAATTAATATTCTAAAACTATACTTACAACTATAATACAACACCATTTGGGAGGAACTGAAATACTACGTCCCAATTGAGCTCGCCCATATTGACCATTGACATCAAAATCTCATTTGTGAATCGGAATAGACCTCTTTCTACTCTAGTTTTCTTGGTTTAGCTGATGTATCACCGACCGCACTTCCGTGCTGTTCCCATTCAACTTGTAGGCCAATTTCTCCACCAAGATCCTAAAACGGTTGATCTCGCTGCCCAAACCGTCGGGACTGGTCTTTGTGGAAATGAGGTTTTTCTGGAGTCCTTCGACTCCCAGCTCGTCTTCGGGATCACTGGCATGGTCCACAAGCCCAATTAACTCTTGTTTGAGTCCTGCGAGGTAGTCTCGCTTCTCGAACTTGTACACGAGCTGGGAGTGAAGTTCTATGAGACGTAGTCTCAATTCTTCATATCTGTCTAGCAATCCCGGGATCCCTTCCTCGTCTATTTTCTGCTTGACCTGTTGTGCTATCTGGCGTTTTTGTTCCAGACGTATTTTCCTTCTGGATGGCTGTGGCTCGACTCTCTCCTGGAGATCTTGTACCAATATATTGTCATCTTCAGAGCTCTCGGAGCCAGCCGAGCCCTCGTCTTCTTCGACATCCGGGCTGACCATCAAGTACTTGGCCTCAGGCAATTCGTTTATCATATCTCCGAATTGCTGTATGGAGTCTTGCTGGGCCAAATTGGTGACCAGGTCGAACTCTGGGAGCAACACTGGCTGGAGCACAGTTCGAGCTCGGATGAGCTGGTCGTTGACCTGGCTCAACTTGGCCTGCTCCAACTTGAGCACTTGCTGGACTATACGGTGGATGATCTGGCCAGTGAAGCTGTTGTTGTTGTGGCGTTTCAAGCGGATGTTGATCTTTTCGATGGCACGAGCCAACTGTGCCTCTGTGAGGGTCTCGCCATCGGGACTGTGCTCGTGCTGGTTGGCCACGATGTTCTTCAATGCTGAGTCCAATTTCAATGGTCTGTTCAACACCTTGACCTGAGCCTCGATGAACCGCTTGGTGTAGAGGTACGAGTGATCTGTGGACGGAGTGGTGCTCATCAGGTGTGAAGGCTGTGGTACTGTAAGATGATGATGTTTAATTGGACTAAAAGCTGTTGACGTTTTCTGACCAATTGTACTAGCTGTTGTAATGCTTCTAAAACGGTATTAGGATGGTTCTGGAGGGGGGAGTTCTCGTGGAGTGTTTGGATGTGGCTTCTGGCGTGATGGGTACGGGTTAGATCTTTTGAGTATTGGGGTGGTTTGTGGGGTGATGGAATCTGAATGTTTATATTTAGCTATTTGGATGGTGGGCGCTAATCTGTGACTTCTAGAGTGATCGGATCGTGAGTGTTTATACTGCTGTACGTGAATGGAAGTAGCTGATTGAATGACGATTGGTGTGAATGTGTCACTAGCCTGGTGGGACTTCCAGTGAGACTTCTAGTGAGACTTCTAGTGAGACTTCTAGTGAGACTTCTAGTGAGACTTCCAGTGAGACTTCCAGTGAGACTTCTAGTGAGACAAATTTAGTGAGAACAATTGCGACCTAGTGAGACCATCTTAGTGAGCTTTCTAGTGAGACTAATCAGGTTAGAGTATTTGGTTCAAGTGAAACTATTCTGAACTATTGTGAGCTATTCTAATGGGAATATCGTAGACCAAACTGGCAGGTTTATCTAGTAATCTTTCTACTGAGAGTATTCTGGTCATTCTAGTGCGATTTCTAGCGAGACTCTGGTTCGATTTAGTGAGACTCCTCCGACAACTGCTCCCTGTTCTGCTATTCTGCTATTCTCCTATTCCATTTACTTCCAGCCAATACTCTACATTCTCAATCGACTTGTGACCACATACACCACCACACACATCTTTCTTTCCACCTCAGATCCCACCTGCCTCTCCTCCATCTCCCTTCCGATCCATCATCAATCTTATCAGCCGCACAAAATCATCCACCGTAAAGGAGCAAGCCGCGTAAGACTAGCAGCCAACTCATCTGTCCAGCCATAGGCTCAGCAAATCATCGCCTGGCTCCTTCCGCCCCTTCCCGCATCACTAGCTATACACTGGTATAGCGGCGATCTACCACTATTAACCCGCTTCACAATGGCCACGACTTTGCAGCGTTTGAATCATCACTTATGACACGCCTGCCAGAGACCTCCAAAGCCAAAGACGACCGTCAGGACGGCGCCAAAGGCAGCACTTCCAAGCGCAACACCTTCCAGTTCACCTATGACTCCGACAACGGGTTGTTGGAGCTCATCTTCCAGCACAAGCACGAGCTCTTCACTCGTGGCAACACCATCAAGACGTGGGAGACTGTCCTCAGCGAGTTCAACCTGCGGTTCGACTCCAACATCGTCCAGACCCGCACCATCAATAACAGGTTCAAGGTGCTCCGCAAGAACTTGGAGAAGAAGTTGTTGAACGACCAGAGCCTCATGATGGAGATCGGCTTGAACGAGAACGAAAACCTCTTGTTGGGCTTGAACGAGTACTTGAACGCCAAGAAGCTGTCAGGAACTCGCCTGGCCCCGCCCCAGCCGCATGTGCAGCCCTCGGCGTACCTGGATACCACCTCCGACCACTCGTCCACCACCATCCCAGACCACAGCCACTTGTCGCCCATGGCCATGCCAGAATCCAAGTCCCAACCGCATATCACCTCGCCCATGGGCTTCAAACTGAACAAGACTTCGTCCAGGGTGCTGGAAAAGCCACCGTCCAATTCTCCGAGACCACTCTCCACCCCCACATCGTCCACATTCCTGAAACCTACCTCCTCCTACATGTTCTCCCACCTGGAGCACCCCATGGAGGTCCATTCAATTGATGACCCATCCCACTCCAGTTTTCCGGCCCAAATGAACCACCCTACTACAGCAAATACTGCAAATGCCGACTCCAATCCCCAGCTGGGATACACCCCAAACAGTCTGGTTCCGGCACCTCCCTCTGGCCGCTTATACTACCCTGTGAACCAACCACCAATGCAACAGCCCCAAACACTCCAGAGCTATCCCGTCAAACATCCGTCGGATGTAAGCTACGAACGAGACGACACTCTGGACTACGAAGTTGACGAACTCTCTCGCAAAAGAAAGCGCACCTCTCCCTCGCTCCACACCAGAAGCAGAGCTGATATCTTGGACCGGATTCTAGAGTCCCAAAACAGGCTCAACGACAATCTCGAAAAAATCAATCGCGAATTCCAACAATTCAAGCAGGATGTTGACTACAAGTTTCTGGGGCTCAAGGAGTTGCTTGCCCAGCACGCAGATCGGGTCGATTTGAAGTTGGACAGCTTTTACCGGGCATTGCTAGCGCACACAGGCAAATCTGCTGAGCACAACCAATGAGAGCCAAAGCTAACAATTATCGCCGTAATGCCCGTGCCTTTGGCGGGAAGCACAGTAATAAATGCGATCAGAGTTAACAACTACTTTTTTCACGGTGAATACCCGCAACTTACGGCTGGAAACTAGCTAATCATTGTCTATCAAGGACAAACAGTGTAACGGAGCCATATAAGCTGTATGTCTCCACCTCAGGACCATCATCTAATGTTTTAATTATCCACCACCAGCATTCTACTGAGTCCTTCTTATCTATTTATTTCAAACCTGGTACCCTTGATCCTGTTTATTTCTTCCTCTAATTTATTTCTGCTAAATATTTATTCTCTTCACCAAATGCCACGAAATTTTCACAGCAACAAACCAAAGAGTACTCGAACTATAGACTAAAGCCTAGCCACTACGTCCAGCTGTCAACGTCCAGCTCTACTCTGCTTATTGTTTCCGTTCCACCTCGTCTATTTTGCACCCAACCACGTGACTCCTTATCTTTCGCATGTGCTCTCTACAAGATTGCTAACGGTAAGCACGCCATTTATAGGCTAAAATTCCTCCCAAAAGTCGTGAAACACTTCTAAAAGTCTCCACCACCTTCCAGAATTCCATTTTCTTCTTTTTCTGCACTTTTTGCCCACCAAAATGCCAAAATAACACCCCCAAAATCTTTCGCCTGGTGCCACCAAAACAACACGTACTGCACACAGTACATGTACCTGCACCAAATTCATCCTAACTACAATTCATGACCACACCAGTGCTGCTTCATGAACCAATGAATTCACTAACGGAGCTTTTGTTCGCTTCCAACGTCACTGCCACAGCCCGCAAAGACCACCATGACGTGTACCGGCCCGCTACCGGCAGAATCGCCCGCTATCAGGTGATCGTGTCGTTAGTGCTAGGCCTATCAGCGTTTCTTACCTTCTCGTTTCTTCGAGTACGGTACCCCAAAATCTACGTGGCCAACTTCAACAGCTTCAACAGCAACTATTTGCACTCGACGTCTCGGAGAAAGCTTCCCAAAATCCCGGCCAAGTCGTTGTTTGGATGGATTCCCATTGTGTACGGCATCAGTGAAGAGCAGATCTTGGAGCATGCTGGACTTGATGCGGTGGTTTTCTTGGGCTTCTTCAAGATGTGTATCAAGATCATCACCACCTGTCTTTTCTTGGCTATCACCATCTTGTCGCCAGTACGATACTACTTCACAGGACGTTTGGACCAGGATTATCCCAGCGACAGCGAAGATGAGGGCGACAACATGGCCAAGAGAATGTGGTGGGGGGTGCTTGACTCCGAGAACGCCGAGGGGTCGTACCAGCACTTTTTATGGCTGTACACCGCCTTCACGTATGTGTTCACGTTTATTGTGTGCTACTTTCTATTTAAGCAGACAGTCAAAATAATCAACATGAGACAGGCGTACCTCGGGAGCCAGAACTCCATCACAGACAGAACAATCAAGTTATCAGGAATTCCTCCTGTGTTGCGCGACGAAGAGGACTTGAAGAGACATATAGAGAGCTTGGGAATAGGCGAGGTGGACTCCATCGTGATAGTCAAAGAATGGACCAGCTTGAACAACTTATTCAACTTGCGAAAGAAAATCCTTCGCAATTTAGAAGTGCAATGGGTAGAATATTTCAAAAGAAGTGGTATTGCCAATAAGAACGACTTGCTTTCAGCTAATATACACCCCAATTTGGGAGATACCATCAATTTGGATGAGAGATATTCAGACTCTCCCCAAGAATCTCCCCTGCAGTCTCCGCCACAATCAAACACCCCCAGATCATCGATTATTGAACAGATTACCGAGATCATAGAACAAGCAGACCAGGGTCTTGACGATTCCACCAACAACTTGCCGTTGTTAAACGATGAATTGAACTGCAGACCTCAGATCAACAAAGGGTTTCTTGGCTGGTTTGGACCAAAAGTAGACGCAATTAATTACTACACCGAACAGTTGGAGATAATAGACAAGGAGATTCTGAGGGCAAGGTCTAAGGAATACCCAGCCACATCCACGTCATTCATTACGATGAAGACGGTGGCCCAAGCTCAAATGGTGGCCCAGGCCGTTTTGGACCCCAAGATCAACCACTTGATCACTAACCTTGCCCCTGCGCCTCATGATATCAGATGGGAGAACTTGTGCTTATCCAGAAGTGAGAGGAACACGAGAATATTCTTTACCACCGTATTTATCGGTATTTTAAGCATCTTATTGGTGTTTCCAGTCAGTTATTTGGCGAACTTTTTGAATGTAAAGTCGATATCCAGAGTGTGGCCCAAATTGGGAGAGCTCTTGAAAGCCAATAAGTGGGCGGAAACTTTAATAACGGGTTTGCTACCAACATATATTTTCACCATTTTGAACTTGATCATGCCTTACTTTTATATCTGGATATCTAAAAGACAAGGTTTCACCTCTCATAGTGACGAAGAGCTTTCAACCGTTTCAAAGAATTTCTTCTACATCTTTGTCAATTTGTTTTTGATTTTCACTGTTTTTGGTACTGCTTCTTTGAGTGACACAAGCAAGATTGCGAATCAATTGGCACAGTCCTTGAGAGATCTTTCCTTGTTCTATGTTGACTTAATTATTTTGCAGGGATTGGGTATATTCCCATACAAGTTATTATTGTTGGGCAACTTGATAAAGTTTCCTTTGGGAAGTATTTTCTGGTGTAAAACACCTAGGGACCATCTCAAGTTGTATAAACCCCCAGTCTTTAATTTTGGATTACAATTGCCACAGCCAATCTTGATCTTCATTATTACTATTGTTTACTCAGTGATGTCGAGCAAAATCCTTACAGCTGGGTTGATTTACTTCATCATCGGATTTTTTGTGTGCAAGTATCAACTTTTGTATGCATGTGTCCATCCACCACATTCTACAGGTAAGGTTTGGCCGTTGGTGTTTCGCAGAATAATTCTTGGTCTTTTATTGTTCCAATTGACCATGGTAGGAACCTTGGCCTTACAGAAGGCATACATTTGCGCATCGTTCCTTGCACCATTGCCTCTCTTGACGCTAAGTCTATTGTGGAATTTTCAAAAGAATTACATACCATTGTCTATTTTCATTGCCTTGAGATCCATCGAAAATGACCAAACTTTCAGAAATGATGACCAAGAAAACGTCTGGCAGCTGAACGATAGAACTTTGGATGAGCGAAGGGAATTAAACAAGACATACGAGTTCCCTCACCTTTTAGACGATTTGGATGGTCCATTGATTGCCATTGATGGAAACGATGTATTAATGATAAATAAGGAAGGGCTTAGTATCAAGAGCACGCAAGACTTCGAGCAGTGGGATTAGGACAAGATACTGTCACGGATACCTGTCCACAAGTCCTTGTATTTGCGAGCCAGGTTGATCAAATCTGTTCGTTCGCTGAGGAGGATCTCAGCTAAGTCGATGCCTGAAAAGTGAGATATGATCAAACTGACAATTTGTTTAGAGATGAACAATTGCAGGAGTGTTGCAACCAGAAGCACCGCAGTAGCCGTGAGGTATGACGAGTTGGTGATGATGGTCAATGCCTCGATGATGTTGATGAAGGCTATGATATTAATGACTGGTCCCGATATAGACGTCTTGTCATAGGGCCAAATCAACATTAGTATAGGAAATAATTTAATAGAGCTGGACACCAACACTGTGAGTAATAGTACTGAAGTGTAGTACCCATTCTGACTTGCTTCTGGTAAGTTTTTGTTGCGGGTGTGTCCCCACTTGAATAGTTTTCTGTAGACGAGTTGGATGGTCAGGTTGAGCACAAGCTGCTCTGCGATCAGCCTGAGGAGAAAAAACAGATACTGGTAGTAGATTGGACGTGTCAAGATGTAGCGCATGGCCAACGTGTTCCACTGTTGTTTCTCTTCGTATGCCCATGTCAAGTACACCTCGAATAGCACGATCAAGGTAATGAGTCTGAGGAGCTTTCTGTACCGCACGATGAAGTTCTTGATAGTGGAGGTACCAGAGTCTGTCTTCTGGACGAGCTCGGCTTCCGTCACGTTGTAGGCCAAGTGGCGATAGGCAGGTGCTTTAAGCAAAAGGATGTCGAGAAACAACACCACGTTATCATACTCAATGTACTTATCTGCTATTCTCTGGCAGTTGGGACATATGGTGAGTTTGATGTACTCGCTCTTGTACTTGAAATAGAGCCGATCGATCTCGTTGTAGGCACACTCAATACAAATCATGGTTTGTTCGTGATGGTGGAGTTGGCAGTGAAATTATATATTGTGGGGGTGAAAGGAGGAACTCTCTGTCTTGTTTCGCATATAAGTCGATTTAGTCTATGGTCAGTCAATGGACTTGGAATGAGACGGTGCTATGAGAACTTAATGGCGGTTTGCTAACGGTCCTGAACTTTGTAGCAAGATGGATCCACGTAGCGATATTCGGACGTGCGCGCGCCAATTATAGGCTAGTGGTATACATCTTCTGAATGGTTTGGAAAGTTCAGTTGTGACCATTGGATTGTATGTTGGGGACGATGTCTAGGACCACACTAATATCCATACTTCAATACTCTGGAAACATCCTTAACTCCATCAATACATGGAATAGAATTAATATGTACCAATACTCTTTGGTACTCCATTTATAGACATTATAGAAGTCATCTATATACATTAAACAGTTAGTACCCAATAGGGTCCCATGATGGTGGAGCATGCAGTTTAAAGAGAACTATACATAGCGGCTTGGCGGTGGTCTGTCATTAACTGAATCTTACTGAGCCAGAATATAGTTATGGATGGTCATAGTAATTAAGTATTAGAACTAAAGGAGTATTTTGAATTGTAATATCAGTTTATTAATCTCCAGAAATAGAGCTCTATTAATGGCAGTAGTGCAGTGGTGGAGGTGACAGGCCGTTATATTCGGCCAGACTGGGAATTGCGTTGAATTCGGTGCTTTGCTGGTAGATCTGGCCGGAATTGCGTGTCCCAGAGACATCGCTAGTGCAAGAATATTTCTCTATCAACGAGTAGTCTCGTGGTAGTTTATAATGTTATGGTTTTTGGTTAATCTGTCGGTTTCTGCAACTGAGTTATTTTTTGGGCCTGGAGACACACAAACAGCCTGGAAGTACTGGCAGACACCAATTGAATATTTAAGCAGACAGTAGTGATATGATTCGCCATCAGGTGAGCTGTCAGAGTCTCAAGGGTCTGAGATCATCGTCCAAAACAGTGAATACGGAATGTATTGCGCATTTGTTTCCTGGCACATAGTTTACACAGGGGTAATAAGTGAAGGCGGAGGAGGGTTTTCAGGGACTTTGCCTAACTCAAACAGCTGTGCCAGGAAGATCTCAAGCACAACACTATCGATACCACTGTCACCCAGATTAGCGTTGATGCTGGGCTGCACCGCAGGAGCTTGTGCCCCGCTTGAGGCACCAAAGGGGGTGCTGAAAGTGTTATTACCGAAGCCAGAGGAACTCGATGCCCCAAAAGGCGATGGATTATTGTTGGAACCGAATGGTTTATTGGCGGTGTTACCAAACGCAGCAGTATTACTGGTACTGCCAAAAGCTGAAGGTGCATTACCAAAAGCTGAAGGAGCATTACCGGTACTGCCAAAAGCTGAAGGAGCATTACTGGTACTGCCAAAAGCTGAAGGAGCATTATTGGAACCAAATGCAGAAGTGTTGCTCGTGCCAAATGGCGATGCAGTGTTGGTGGTACCAAATGGGGACGGATTTGCGTTTGCAGTATTGGCAGCATTGGAGCCGAATGGTGATGTCGCAGACTGGTTGGTGTTTGAAGTTCCAAATGGAGAAGCTGCTTTTGCAGCTCCGAAAGCAGAACTGGAGGATGCTGAGGCCCCAAACGGGTTAGATGTGGTTGATGCTGCTCCAAACGGATTGGAAGGTGCTGCAGCTCCAAAAACAGAACTGGTTGTGGTAGATGCAGCTCCAAATGGGGAGTTATTGGCAGCTGCAGGCGCTGCAGATCCAAATGGCGAAGCCGTAGTTGTGTTGGCAGCTCCAAAGGCAGACGGCTTGGACGCAGAGCTCCCGAATGCAGAAGTGGTGTTTCCTGAACCTCCAAACACTGATTGGCCACCACTTGCACCAAAAGGATTAGAGGCAGCTCCCGATGATCCCCCAAAGGCAGAGTTGGTATTGCCCACATTTGCAAAGGGAGAACTAGACGCTTGATTCGCATTTGGCTGAGAGCCAAACGCTCCACCATTGAAGGCTCCACCCCCAAATCCTGAGCTGTTGTTCAGCTTGTCGAAACCTGCCAGCCCAAACCCAGACTGGTTTGTTTGGCCAGCTGAAGGCTTTCCAAAATTGGAGTTGCCAAAGCCTGTTTGGCCAAATCCGGAAGCAGTGGACCCAGAACTTCCAAATCCTGGCTGGGCAAAGCCACTTTTGCCAAACGCCCCTGAGTTACTCTGTCCAAACATGATGTCTAATACAAGGATATGGCAGCGAAGATGTGTAGAGTGCGCTTACTAAGTGCTTACGTAATTATTATTCAGTTATGCAGACTATACTTTCAGGTACGTGCCATGATGTCGGTGCACGAACGTGCGAGTGCGGCCATGTTGCGAGAGGTGACAGCGTAGGCCTGTCTATAAATGTGCTTGATGTCTCCCAACACTTCGGGCTTGGTTTTGGTGCCCACAACTATCTCCTGAAGGAGTTCCTCCAATTGTTTCCTCATGAAAGGCTTGGAAAGGGAGATGTTATCGAACCCCATGGCGTCTAAGCCCTCAATAAGCCCCATGCCAAGGTCCGATGGGATGATGTACTCCACGGACGCCTGTTTTTGTTTCATGATGTACCCTCGCGATAGCACCTTTTCAATATGGTCAGCTATGGTGGCATCGGTTCCGATCCCGTTAGCATCCATCAAGGCAATAAGCTCAGGCTCAGTCATATGCTTGGGTGGACTAGTTTTGCCATCCTTCATTCGCCCACTAGAAATGCTTATGGTTTGACCCTCCGTCAAGTTGGGCAACTGTTTAGTGGTCTCCCATTTTTTGTACGTGTAAATGTCCAAATAGTTCTTTTCCAACACCACAAGCCCGCTAGCAGTGAAGAATTGATCGCCCCATTTCAAGGTGGCTGTTGTCTGCTGGCCCACCGCATCCTTGGAGCAACAGGCCAAAAACCTCCGAACCACATACTCGTAGACCTTGCGTTCATCTGGCGAGGAAAGGGAGCTAATATCCACATAGTTGACCGGATGAATCGCAGGATGCGCCTTATCATCGTATTTCCCGTTTCGTGGCGTCTGGAATCCATTCTGTACAAGACCAGAAGCGTACAGTCCCCATCTGGAGTCTTGGGCCTGTTTCTGTAAGGTACCACTAAAATCCATGCTGGCAGGGAACGAATCGGTCTCAGTTCTCGGATACGAGAGGAAACCCTTGTTGTATAACTTTTCAGCGGCTGCAAGTGAATTTTTGGCGCTCATTTTGAATAGCCTCGAGCAATCCTTTTGCAACTCAACGGTGGTGAGGGGCAACGGCCGCCAGTTTGTTGTTCTTTTCAGGTCCAACTTGGTGATGGTTCCCTGGTCGTGCTCGAGGCACTGCTGGTATAGTATCAACACGTACAACCTGTCGAAGAGATGGCCAGTCACCCAGCTGAACGACGCAGCCACGCCTTCATGCTTGACCTCCACCGCCAAGTACCAGAACTGCTCGGGAATAAATGATTTGACACGACGGTATCTGTCCACAATGAAGCCAAGGGTGGGAAATTGGCATGTTCCGTACGAAGCCACCTCTTTTTGCTCAATGATCTTATGTTGTCGCAAACCATCGGTCAACAACCGGGTGAAGCTGGTTCCCACCCGGAAATCTACCTCCTGGCGACACGCCACTGCCTCTACCGACTTCATGTCCAAGCCAATGGGGTTGTTGGCGGCTGCAATGACGTGGTTGCGTTCGAGATGGGAGAACTTGCTACGCCAGATGGCGGCGATCTCGAGGCTGTGGTTACCTTTTCTAGCGGCAGTGTAGATCTCGTATCCGATGTACTCGCCCTCTCTATCGCAATCGGTCCAGATCATGAGGAGCTGGGCTTTGGCTGCCTCGTTGGCGATGTTGTCGTAGACGTCCTGTTTGAGCACCTTTTCGACGATGTCAGCGTCGAAGAGTCTCCCAGGGACACACTTGCCCCACTGGAACGGTGGCGGGAAGTCAATGCCTGTGAGGTGGCCTAGCACTGAGGTCATGGTGACCTCACAAGCGCCATGGATTGGGAAGCGGTAAGAGAAGTCGTAGTTCATAATGTACTTGTTTTTGCTCTTTCTGGTCCGAAATGACCGCCCGCTGAGGATCCCAGCCACCTCTTTGGCTATGGACGGTTTTTCAGCAACACAGAGGATCTTCATGGTGGTGGTGGTACGCGTTTGAAATGTGATGATTTGACGCGAAGGTAATTGAGGCGACTGACAAGACTTGTACCGAGATGAGATGGAGAGTGGGGTGGGACTACGGTGTGGACGAATAAGCCTGTCAGTATTCCTTATGGAATATATAGTCTAGATTCCTCTTTCTATCAGTATTTAAACCAATTTGCAGACCGCTAGGAACATCTCGCAAATAACCCATCTAGTCCTCTGAGCTTTGGCTCGATCTCAGCGAACTGAACGTCCTTCTCTGGTTGGTGAAGTCTGAGGGTAAGTTGGTCTTCTGGCCCTAGAAGTCCTCTGTATAGTGCACCAGTTGCTCTTCAAACAGCGACACCAAGTAGCTTCTTGTAGCGATGACGACTGCAAACTCACGTCGCTGATGAAGTCAAACTAGGCAAATTGAGTATGTAGGGGTATGAAGCATCATTTACCACCAGCAGTGCCACTACCAGATCGGCTTACTATGCAAAGCATTAGTGATATGCGCTACCATTACAATCAAATCTGATATTGGCATTAACTTATCAAATTTGAGAACAAACTTACATTTATTCCTTCTTAGAGTAAGGGAAATGTCACATAAAATGCAGAGCAGGAATTTAGTGAGATATTAATATTCTTTTCATTATTCTGAAGAGATGGGAACACTTAGACGTGTAAGTTTTATTTCTATAAAGATTTAAGGCAGCTAAAATATGATTCACAGATACGAATCCGACCCAAAAACACCTACTGCAATACACTGAAAAACTCCACTACATACAATCCAGGAAGTTCGGTTCCAAGGTATGACTCAATTGTTTAGTGCTGTATGCTGTGAAAATACACTGAGTGTAGTGGGAAGTCTTGCATTACTCAACGGGGTTTCACTTCTTGCCAAAAAGAATTCACAACTGGTCGAATCCAAGTAAAATCACCATTGCCGAAAAGAATTGGTAATTATTATTTTCTATGCATTTCATTTATAATTCCCAATGACATAGATAATGATAATGTTTTCGCAGTATGTCAAAGTCATCATTAAATCTCATACAATGAGGAATATCAATCCTGATCAATAGTTGTCGAGGTTCTAGTAAATCATTCGATGGACAGTATGGGTAGTCATTGACTCATTGGCTCGCTATTTAGTATATTCCTTTGCATATTCTTCGCTTTAATTTGATACACTCTTAGTGATTTTGTCACTTTTCAACCCTTCCACTCACAAGAACTCTTCAGCTTTTTGTCACTTATTGACTCCTTGACTCACAACTAGCCCAATTGCCAAGCACATGACCACCTACACCACTTTCAGGCTTCCTGGAACCAACCATACTCTTATCTCATCACTCACACGTGACCTTCAGTCTTATCTTGACCAATTCCCACCAAAACCCACCAAAACCACCAAATAGACCTTTTAACCCGATGTAGCCCCACTCTACAACGCTCCCCGTAGCCACCTTCTCTAGCGGTGCCCGACGCCAAAATCCCGCCCAAGTCCCGCCAAATCCACCGTCACTACGCGCACCTCTCCCTACACCTTACTGTGGTGCTTATCGCTGTGTTCTTCCCCAGCCATGGCCGATGTGTTTGAATCCATCAACCTCAGGGCCTCGGAGCACCAGCAGGCCCACCATAGGGCCACGCACTCCTCGATACATCATGATATGTCCACCACGCCCGAATCCGACGAGGATATCAACCCAGCTGAACTTCTCTTGAGCGAGTCCCTGAATGCTGGAGGCGATCTTCCTGACCACGAGTTCTTTCTACACCCATCAAGGGTGCTACTGCCTCCAACCAATGCACGGAACCTGCCAGAGTCCTCCGACACCCCACTCCAATTTGCCACCAACCGCAACCACATCTTGCGCAAAGAGCTCGAGCACAACCTCCAGCTCCACGGTCAGTTCTTGGCCAATGGCGACAGCAACCTCAATAAGCTTCGTTCAATGCTCTTTCAGAACTTCGAACAGCTTTCCCAGGGGTACTATTCCGTCAGTGAGCTCTACTCGCGTGAAATCGAGCTGGTGGAGTCGCTCTTTGCCAATTTCGAAAGGTGGGACAACAAGCGAACCAAGATCTTGGACAAGATCAGGTCGATCAAAAACCCCGACAAGAAGTACGGCATCAAGTTGACTCAGCTTTTGGATAAAGCCAGCGATATCGATACCGAGATCCTCGAACTCGAGACCCGTTTGGCCACCTTGCGGAACCATAAGACAGTGATCAACTCGGAGATCGAGGTCACCAGCTCGGTGCTCGAAAGCAAAACATCCAGATATGTCGAAATGCTACGTGGGCTTGAAAATCAGGGAAGACAGGCCATGCTCAGTTTCCTCAGCACCAGTGGAGTGCCACTCACAGAAGTGGATAATGTGGTCAAAACCGTACCGATAGACATCACCTTTATCCACGAGTACAACAACATGAAAAGCGAATCCATAATAAAGACCCCACCTGCCCCACTCCCTGCAAAACACGAGTCCATTCATAGAAGCACAATGGGCATACAGCCCTTAATAATACCAGAGGAACCGCCCACCCAGACGTCTCCACCAGCCATAAAGAGTGACCCCAAGGACAAGGAGCTCTGGAACCATGGCTATGGGCCTAGTGCATACGAAAAGGGCTACGAGAAGGGTGTGCAGGTATCCTCGACAGTCAAGCAACATATTGAACTGTTTCTACAAAACTTCGTTCGTTCTCCCGATAGTGAATATACGGGAAAAAGGGTCCCCCAGGCAAAGGTGGACGACGACACCAACACTATCCGAGAAAAACTTGATTTGGAGCCCATAGTCCGGTTGTTAGACCATAAATTGAATGCATTAAACGATTTGAACCAGCAGGCATCCACAGACGCAATTTTGTTCCATGAGTACAGTGTCGTGTGGTCGGACATTGTGCAAAGAGTCAAAGTCCAGGAGGACCGATTGGAAGACTACATGACAGAATCGGTACCATCTCCAGACACTTCCGATCCAACAATATCAAGAATACTCACCGACACATTGACCTACATCCAATCCCAGCTACTGTCTATGCAAACCACGTTGGCTAAATCAACAAAACACAACCCCTTGATTCGGGCAATTGGAGATGAAGTGGATGCCATTTTTTCAGCTTTAGCAATGGTTTCTAAGGACAAGAAAAATAATTTACTTGATGATTTTCAAAGACTAGGACTAATGATAAAGCGGGAGTCTCACCATCTATCGAAGGAAGAATTTCGAAAACCACAGAAAAATGGAATGGCCGATCCAATAACCAGTACGAATAATGTCAATCTCATGTCTTCTCGATCATCCAGTGTTGTCTCTGATATAGAGGACCTCCACTTGGAGTTTCACGGAGGCTCACAGTCTTACAACAAGAATAAGTAAAGCACATTGTCCATGAATTTACGTGTTTAATGTAGCGAAAGATGATAATCAGCCTATAATTTATGTGATAAATAAAGTCCAGTTTGATACTCAGCTTTAATTTTCATATATGACTAACGACTTAATGTAAAGGTAGCGCTATCTAGATTACTTCCCATGGGCATCAGCGCTTTTTCATGGGCCTCTTTCTATTGATGAAAATGCTGGAACCACTCTTCTTGGGCAAAGTACCTGAAGAAGTTGGTTTCATACTTGGTCCATCACCCAGATGCTTTTTTATGATGCCGCTGTTTGTTGGGGTATATTGAGAGTTGTTCAGAGTATCTGGAGCGGGAATTACACCACTATTACTGGGGGGAGAAATTTTGGCAATCGGGATGTTCTTGCGGGGTGGTGGCCGTTTCACTTCTGGGGTTGAGAACACCAGACTCTTCATAGTTTGTATCTTTCCTGGCCCAGAAGATGAATGATTTGGAATGCTGGGTAAATGACTGATTTTGTTGTGTCTTGGCTTTTGCAAAGAGCTTTGCTTGTCTGCATTCCACTTAGGTTTTTGTGGAATGGCAATATTCTCCATTTGCATAGGCTTTTCTGGTTCAACCTTCTCTTCTTCAATTGGGGCTGGGGTAGCCACGGGAGGCTTAACTTCGGACTTGATATCCTTGTGTATTTCCTCATGCTCAACATCTTCAATTCGTGGTTCGTGAGGTTTTGGTTCGGTTTTGAGTTTCTTTCTGGCGTTGTTGTCCTCCCATCCTCTCTTGATTGAAAGCTTGACGGAATTCAAGAATCCTGGAGATGCCTTGGAAACATACCCTCTATCGCTAGCATTTTCCAAGAGCCTCTTCCATACCTTGTTTCTTTTCAATGACTCCATATTTCCAAGAATCCATAAAGAAGTTCTGGCACGGGTAAGCGCGACGTTCATACGTCTTATATCACTCAAGAAACCAACATTCCCGGTTTCACTTGCACGTACACAAGACATGATGATAATTTCCTTCTCTTGGCCTTGGAATCCATCCACGGTGTTAAAATCAATTTCTGAAAGAATACCACGCCCATACTTCCTTATGAAGATATCTTTAAGCGTTTGGATCTGAGCTTTATAGGGTGAAATTATACCAACTCTACCACCAAACTCACCTTCAGGGAAAATTCTCATTAACTTTTCCACCAACTCCAATGCCACCTTGGCTTCACCGGAGTTGAATAAAGACCGAGAAAGCTCATTTCTTTGATGTTTACTGACAATATCGAAGAATCGATAAGGAGAGAGAGGGAATGTTTGATGCCATGGTCGATCATTCTTTTCGAACATGTTCTCCCCATCCTTCAACCTCGATTTGTAGAATTCAGCACTTGGAAACTGCGAGATTTCAGGATGCATACGGTACTGAACATTCAACAAGTATACAGAGTCGGGGTTATTCTTCTGCATTCTTACGAACAAACTCTGCTCGTAGTTCAAAGAAGCCGCAGTCTGCGATAATACAGTGGGAGGTAACTGATTGGGATCACCGACCATGATGCACTTTTTGCACCCATATCTCAAAGGAATAATTGCTGATAATTCCACACACTGACATGCTTCATCAATAATCACCTGGTCGAACTTGATTGACAACTTTGCTAACAAATCATGGGCCGAACCTGACAAAGTCGAGCATATAACTTGAGCATTGGTCAAGATCTTGGCCTGAAGGTTTCTCTTTTCGATTTCTCGAGTACGGTAAGCTATGGAGACCTTTTCTCTCTGATCATCTAACTTTTTCGCCAACTCGTTTCTCTTCCTGTTGACCTCTCTTAACTTAGTTTCAAGCTCAGTCTGCTTCTCTGCTGTTAAATCACCACTTTGTAATTCCTGGGTAATTCTTTTTCTTTCTTCAATACAACTGGTATGATTAGCCCGAATTTGCGGATCAGTGGAAGTGTCCACGGTTTTAGCTCTCAATTCCTTTTCCACTAGTTCTTCCAATGACAAATCTCGAACTGCTGCATTAACTGCATCACTCCTACCCAATCTGACAACATTCAAAGGCATTGTATTACCCAGAGAGTTCTTGACACCATGTCTCAAACGCACTACCAATTCATCAACCGCAGCATTACTTGGGGCACAGATCAAAATTTTTGCTTTGTTTTCTGACCCCGTTGGTTTCCCATCTGGTACATCGATTACGCTACTGTTTATCTGCTGAGACAACGAGTAACCAACAATACCAAGAATAGTTTTCGTCTTACCTGTACCTGGTGGACCTTGAATTAAAGAGAAACCCTCACTGTTATAGGAGCCCATAATAGCTTTAGCTTGCGATTTGTTAACGTCATACAACCTGAGCATAGCTGCAGCTTCAGCGTCATCAATTTCAATAGGATCATTAGGAGTTGCCAGCAAAATAGCATCACTCAAGTTGTAATATTGCAATCCCTTCAAAGAGGAAAATTCTCTTTCCACAGTGATCATTTGCATCACCTTCATTGCAACAATAACCGACTTAGGAGTCAAGACCCCCATCATTGATCCACTAGGATATACTCTCAAAGTCACATCTGAGAAGTCTGCATTCGCAGACTTGATCTCTCTCACCTTTGCCAAGCATGTACGTGTGTTAGCGGCCTTCAAATGCTGGGCAACTTGTCCAGGCGAGGAGAACTCATCAGGAGATACGTATCCAAGAACCAACAAGTCAGAATCACCAATTTTTCTTTCTGCTAGAACACTTTTTCTGCACGAAGCATAGACGTCAAAGAAACCATCCACACTGGTTCTACTCCCAATTAAGAGGTCAAACGGTTGTTCCTGACCCATTTGCTTTGCAGATTGGATCCCTTGCCAACATTCCAACATCAACAAAGGCTCGGTTGTTTTGACATATTCTCTAACGTCACTGTAGGTGTTTTTAGTGGGTTGATACATTTCTTTATCACCAAATGGAAACTCGTCCGTAGAGTTGAAGTTCCACTTCAAGATAGTATTATACAATGGCTTCAAGCTCACATTGAGTCTATTTCTCATATTCTCTTCATCTTTTCGAGCTTGGTCTATCTTGGATGCACGGCTGAGAGCTGTAATTGGCTTGCCATTAATATCGACTTCCGTGACCTTGGCCTTCTTCTTTTTGTCGACAAATAAGTCCGCAAAGTCTGCACCATCTTCATCCTCGGAACTATCTGAGTCTGCGGTCTTCTTCTTTAATCCATTCAACGAACGGCCAATAACAGGTGCTGCTGATTTTCTGGAATTGAAACCTGCTGGTCTTGGAGCAGCAGGAGCCACAGCAGGAGCTGCTGGCTTTGTGGAGATCGACGGTACTCTGGCGTTTTTCAATTCTCTCCTGATAGCATCAATCCCCAGCGATTTGATATCTTTAGGTGGAGCAGGGGCAACTGGTGGTTCTGCGGAAACAACCCCGTAACGACTCAACGTCTGCTGCTTTGGTGGTTTGGTATGAGTTTGGTATTTGTATGTAGCAGGTTCTGGTGTGGATTCTTCTGACAAATCTATGAGGACTGGCTTGCTCTTACTTCTTTGAGATTGAGTCTCATAAACCACTCTCGTTACCAATTCCTCATCAAATTCCTTTGCTTTAGCCAAAATTAATTGCCTTTGATTCTCAGTCAATTTGTTGTTGAATTTCTTTGCCTTGGCACCATACTTGACAAACATCTCAAGGAAGTCCGAATCCACAAGCTGATTTAAGTCTTTGGCTAAATCAAATCCGTTGAAAACCAAATCCACACACGAGTTCAATAATGACATGTCACCTAGTCTCAACCACACCACCACTGACTTGAAGGCGTTCATGAAGTCAGCAAAAAGTTGCTTAATAGTATCGTCCGAAGGTGAAATGTTATCCGATATAATTCTGAAAGAATTGAGTAATACGTGACTAAGATCAAGGGTGTCTCTGGTAAATTCTATGAGATCCTCAAGATGATAGTAGTTGGCCCATTCGAGAGTTTTTTGGTACACCATGACTTGAAAGCTCCAACATTTGCTCCACAATTCTTGTATTTCGTTAATACAATCCTTCACTTGTGTTGAAGATGACAAAACACCTGTTAAAGGATCGCATAACCCGTTGAAAACGTCCATCATCAATCTGGTAGCCTTGGGACATGGCTCGAAAGCTTCCATCAAAGTCAAGTTTCCCAAAACTTCATTCACGGCAATAAGGGTGGGCTTTAAATGACTCCGAAGTAACTCTTGAATAGCCTCAAAACGACCACCAATTCCAACATCAAATGCTTGGTATAATATATCCAAAGCAGCTTGGTTTACCAATGGTGAAAAGACACAGGACCAAATGGCGATCAGTCCGTCTATACTTATAAATGTGTCCTTCAACATTGAAGGATCAGCCAAACTGATTTTTTCAAGCAATCCACTCAAGAGCTTGAAGATAAGCGACACATTGGTGTTGTGCTGCTTTCTTGCTTCAGCGAGCTTTTTGGAAACATCTGTGGTTTTTTTGGAAATGAATTCTATGCAACTTGAAGCATTTCTTAACACTTTTAATATTTCCGTTGTAAGTGATTGATGAGAATATATAGGTTTTTGCGATAGACTCTGCCATAAAAATGGGAAAGTGTCGTAGGAAGCTGGCTCTTGATCCTGAAGTAAAACGCTGGAGTTATGGGCCAATAATGCAAGGTCGTATTCCAATGATTCTGAAATCAATTTAATACATGGTTTTATGTCTGAGTTAACTGCTAAGTCCACAACGGAATCGGCATTGTATTCGATGATTGCACGTACTTCTCTTCTCCGAAGTAAGTTAACCGAAAACGACTTATTTCTGAAATCGTTCGATTGATTTCCAATTCTGAACGAGCTTAATAAGATCTCAAATGATATTGTGTCCAACATCTTAAATCGAAAATCTGCATTTGCACCCTTATTTGCTTTGGAATGTTTCAAAAAGAAGGTAGCGATTCTAATGCTGGCGGTCTGAATTTGAGACTCGGTCAAGATGTTCATTAAGCTGAAAATCCACTGGGTGATGTCTTTCAAACAATAGTCGTGGGGCAGTTCTGATGATTCGGGAAGTGTCAATAGCAATCTCGCAAACTCTGGATGGGAGACCACGTTATCCAAGATATTGTTGTATGTGAAGGGAGTTGCGTAAGTCCAAAAGTCTTGTTTGAACCTGGTGAAGAACTTGTCCAATAACTTCAACAATATTGGCAAGGGTTCCTTTAAAAATGACATGATGTTGTTGAAGAACACTCTGACTATAGGATAGAGTCTGATGTTGGTGAACTCGGACATGGCCTGTATATCCTTGGGAGAGTTCAAGTTGAAGATGAAGGCATCGTTGTCGATTATATCGAGCAAATTGTACAACACGGTCCAGAACTTGGCCGACACATGCTCCGTGAAGTATTTTGCATCCTGGATTTTATACAAATGTACACTGAACTCCTGCACTATGGGCTGGTTCAACGTGGTTCTGGAAAAGGTGTAGTTCTTCTCGTGGAGTGATTTTATGCAATTTTCAGACCAGATCTTCTGTTCGGAAGTGCCCTCGAAACTCAAGTAGATCAACCCCGCCAAAATCTGCTCATGGGCGACAGACACTTTGTTGGTGGCAATAAAGTCCGTGAAGATGATTTTGAAGTTTTCCCTCATGTTCTTGTCTGCTCTGAGGATGGCAGGGCCAGCCAAGCATTGGTGCACTGCTACCCCGAGTTGTTGCAGGAGATGAGCCAGATCCTCTGGGTTCTGGAGATACTTGGAGAACACGTCCGCCACAATCATGGTCTCCCAGTCCAAGATGAGCTTCAAGAAGTGGTTCACGTTTGCAATGGGGATCCCCTTGACGATTGCAAAGTTGTCTCGGAGCATGGACTTGGACACATTGAAGTGGTTGACACAGTTGGTACACTCGGACAAGCTCTTAGCCATGGACGGCTTTAACTCCTGGAGGAAGTTCTGGTTGGGAAACGAGAATAGAATGAGGATGTGGGTTGTGATTGGAAACATGTAGGGATCGCAAAACCAGTGTCTTCCATGATGGTTAGTCCGAAGATACTGGATACACCTCTTCAAGATGGCTTCATGGACATCGCTGGTCCCCGGCTCTTTGTGAGAGTTGTCAATGGAGGTTACGAGGTCGTCAAACCCCTCGGGTTTGGCGCTGGTGGAAGACATAGACGGTCTGGTGAAAAATTCACGCGTAGAAGAGATGTAATGAAGGATCAGAGTAGCGCGTGCGTGGAACAGAATGGATGGGTATAGTGGTGGGAAATGAAATGCGGCCCATATGTGCACTTCGGCTTATGGGAACACCAGAAGCTCATGAGATAATAACAGGAATATTCATGAGAATGGCCAGAGGGAAGGTCATAAGGATAACTAATAGGGACGACTCCGATCAAAGGGTCTCACTGTATGAAGAGCTCACTCTCACCCTACTATGTTCCCTAGAAATACCTAGCCATCTCTACTATCTAGCAATGAACCCTTACCGTAGAAAGAATGTAATTTTACCGAGAACCAATTCTGTAACCAGTGTAAATCTACGAAATAATCTAGTCGGTATACTGTGAAGATCTTCTGGTCTCATTCCTCTTCCAAGACTGATCATCCTAAAAAATTGAGGTTAGGTTTCTCACACCAGTTTTGGGCTTAATTATTCGTATATATCCTTGATTGAACTCCATCTAGCATCTACCGTTGTCTCTCAAACTTCGTTGTAATCCAACAATGCAAAATTACATTAGATAGCTCTCTAGATTAAATATTGGCTGTTTGCTTATTTAACAAAGCTGCGAAAAGATACACAATACCTGGCCTTCACCGAGGACTGGTTTTCTAAGCTTCGTCCAATGAAACACCAGCTGCTCTCGAGTATTCATCTTACAACCTAAGACGAGCAACTTTTAACTGCTCCATGATACCTACTTCAAGATGTTAGTAATCATCCAATTTGAAGCTTGCTACAGTAGTGCTGGTAGGAAGCTTCAAATTTAGCATCCTTACTACTTTTGTTCATATCGCCTCTATTCCTGTTATCTGTATAGTCTATAATAATGCGAGATCGATATCCAAATAATTAGAAGCATCCATCCAATCTTCACCCGTCTCCCAGCACCTCTTCATAATTTCGAACCCCTTCAATGCGTTCCCGTTGCCCATTTCGATCAACTTTGTAAACTTGTGAAAAAAATAAGACCTGTGCTCTTTGTTCATAGTTTCACAGCCAGCAGTGAAATTACAGAAAATACTACAGATATCAGCAGGAGACTGGGGCTCGATATTCTCCTGGCCAATATCAGCAATACTTTCGGCCAAGTCTTGCACTAGTCTGGAGTTTCTAGGTATCTTCAAGACTCTCCGGTACAAATTTATGATTCCTGTGTAACAAAACATCTTGTTGGTGGACCGAAGAATATTATCTTGTTGGATTAAGTTGTTCAAGTTTGGAGGTGAGGTGCTGTTACTATTTTGCTTCTTTTCTTGAATTTTTGTGTCAATGATCTCATCCAACTTCTGTTGCCTTCTTTTCTCTCCTGCCTCGTATGCTTGCATTAGACTGTCTTTGATTTCAAGGGCAGCAGTAATGATATCAATCGGTATTTGATCAGGAGATGCACCAGGACTGCTCAAATACGTATCTGTTCTTCTGATTAAAAGAGCAATCCGGGAAAAAAACGGTAAGAATTTGACATCAAATCCTAAAAGGTGGTCAATATCACGTTTGGGGTCCTTAACTGCTTCCTCCATCTGCTTATTGGCATATTCCACCGACTCTGCGGGTTCATAGTGGGTCTCACCGCTAGACGCGAGGTAATTGTGTGAGTTTTTGGTAGCTGAAAGGGCACCTATAATATCAATATAGACAAACCATCTCATTAAAAAGAAAGTTATGTCGCCTTCACTGCCCATATTGGATACATGTCCGTCATCCCGCGACCAACCATGCTTCGATGTTCTTGCTTTCACGATCTGTCTTGCCCCAAGAATATGGACTCTGTGCTTATCGAAGTCTCTCGAGGAGTACACCTCATAGCACGATAGTAATAAGACAGTCGCTAGGGCCGGGTCCGCGGTTGCTTTATTCTTATCTTTTAAGAGTTTCAATAGTTCTGCACATGATCTTGATAACAATTGGTTGATGACAGCCTCTTGAGCTCCCGAGCCAGGGAAAAGTGACGAACGAATACTAGCAGAAAATGCTAAAAGGGTGGTCAAAATGGAAGGAAATTCCATGGCCATCCTGGGTAAGATTATTTTGAAAGGATTTTCTTGATAGATATGGGCAGGAGCAGGAACTAAATGCTCAGAGGCCACTTCCAGCCAAAAGTGCATGAGGTTCCGATAGAAAGGTACTTGTAGTAATAGCTCGGGTAGAGGTAATAATTGTGCTGGTACTGATGAAAACACCTCATCTGGTGTAAGAAAATGAGTATGTTCCTCGTGGTAAGGGCCTGGGAATTTATAGCGAAATCCAGGGGAGATAATTTCTTCCACTTCCTCTTCTTCGTCGAATGGTTTGGAAGTTTGGAAGGCGTAGTGATTATGGGTTGCGAGAGGCCAGTTATCCCCCAAAAAGTTGGACTTTCTCTGGGGCATGGCCATGTTGATACGCTCCAAGTCCTCGGAGTAGTTGCTGAAGAATTCTTGCTCGATTTTTGTGATTTCCTTTTCCTCGGGGGCATCGATGTTGGACAACACGAAGTTGTTGAAAATCTCTGAATGTTGTAGCTGGAAGTGGTCGCCATTCATGCGCAGGAGGGCGTTGGACAACGACTCCATTCCGTCGGAAATTGCGGGGATGTTCTCCAAGATTGCCATTGGCGACTTGGCTGGCCCTCCGGAGTAATCCATCGGCATGGTGGAGTCTGGGGTGGAGGCGATGGTGGAGGGAGGAATGGAGTTCAATGGGTATGCATGTTGACTGAACTCGTTCTGGGCCAATACATCGCTAGTACTGGGCATGTGGGGCTTCTTTTGCCACGGCTGTGTGTGTTCTGGTTGTTGGAGAGGCCGTTTTTTGCGGTTGGAGGGCGGGCATGGCTGCTGGTGGCTCGCTGGAACCACCTTCATTGGCGTGGGCCCCGTGGCTGGCGGTTCCATCTTCAACGTCGTCTGTCCCAGTAGCTCAGGCGCCGCGCCTCCCTTGCGCTTGCTAGGATCTCGAAACGGCCTGCCTCCCCATGTTAGCTTGATGGAGTAGTCACACGCTGACCCAGTCTTCAAGCAGTATGAGCATGCTGGCTTGGCCTCGTCACATTTGATCTTCAAGCTCTTGCACTTGTGACATCCGTTCCTACTCCTCTTGATCTTGGGCTTTGTTTCCATGGGCTATTAGGGGCTGGCGGGTTGGATCACCTTTGGTAAATCTTGCAAATATGCAGTGCCGAGTTGACTTAGTAGCGTGTGGTGGAGTGCGGGCGGCTAGGAGAATCTAACCACATTACAGTAACTGCGGCGGATGTTTATGGCTATATATGTGGCAGCCACTTGGGCCCACTAGCGGGGGCTCGTGGGGATTTTTAGGTCGCTTTAGTGTGGTATGATTTATATTAATCATTAAATTGGTGGTAGATTTATTTGGTCCGTGTGGAGCTAATGGGAATTGTAAAGGTTCTACTTAGGGAGACTTTTGCGGATAGGACGATTGTGCTAGCGGTAGCAAGGGAGGCATGGTACAGAAAGTTGCCAATTAATGGTACAGAAACTTACCAATTCATGTACGAAAAGTCGCTAATTCATGATACAGAAATCACTTCATCATGGTCCAGCGATTTGCCTATACTCATGTTCCACCCTCTACTGCAATCTCTGGCCCTTGCTCTGGCCCTCACTCTGTCCCTCACGACGAATACTCCCGGTGAACCCCAACCTCCTTGTCAAGAAGCCCTCCAGACTTTCTTTCAGTATCCTTCTGGGCATACTTCTTGCCAAACAAAATCAGCAACAACCGTTCGTACAACCGGTAAAAGTACCCCCCGACTATGACCAATCCCCCGATGATAGTGGCCAACTTAGCAACAAACTGCAAGAACGGAAGCCGCTTCTCGCTGATCGACAACTTGATGGGCTCAAAGTCGTACTTGAAGTAGATTCCTGGGATACCCTCTGGTTTATCAAACTCGTCCACGCGAAAGACGTGGTGCTGCTCAGTTAACGCAAACTGATTGGTTTCGATAATCAACCCGAGTCTCTCGTACCTGGTGGGAACCACCTTGGAAAAGTACCCGTATGACTGGACACGCTCCTCGGTGATTTTGCCGGTGGCATCGAGGGGGTTGTTGATGAACGGGTAGAACTCACCGTACGAAAGCTCCTGGATCATATGGGAAAAATTCAAGGCCTCGTACGGAACATACAGACGGTCTCTGTAACCAAACCCCTTTCCGGTGATGTGGAAGTCCCCTTTGACCTGGTTGACCGGAATCTGGCCAAAAATGTGACACGCAGGCTCGCCTTCGTTCATTCTGGCTCCCGTGACTCTGTATTCGGCACGAAGCGACTCTTGCATCACCTCATCGAGTTCGGGGGTGTCGTGGGCATCGTTGGCGTTGTTGACATTGAATGACTCTGGTATGAAAAAGTCTCTTCCCTCAAAGTTCAACGTTTCTCCGGCCAAGTACCGATCACCAGTGATGTCTCGCACATTGGTATGAATGAACTCGCAGGGCATAGCCACGAGCATGTCGATGTTGATGGTTAATTCCGACTTGATCTCGTCGTCCACGGAAAATTGACGGTCAACGTATCCTCCCAAGAATCCTCCAACTTCAACCCACAAGATGAACAATCCACAAACCATGGTAAGAATGGTGGAGAATCCGCCTCTCTGTGACCTCACAGTGTGTTCAGAGTCCACCTTGGGGAACGCATCGAACGTTCGTACTTTTTTGGCGAACGAATCCATACTGGTAACACTGTCTAGAGTAATGGAACTAGTATCGACCACGTCTATACCGACTCGCATCCAAATCAAGGCCGCCGTATTTTCAGTCACGTGCGCAATGCTTTATCATCGCTGCCTACGGAGATCTCTACCTAAAAGCAAGGCATGGAGGCTGAAGATGACATCGAATTTTCCGACGATCTACGTACACAGGAGCTCCAGTCCGTCAAGACCATTTATCCGGGATGCAGGGTGGATTACCAGGCCTTAAGTGGCGCGATTGAGGTGCCCTTGAAGATCGAGCTGGGCATCGAGATCAAGTTGGTGGAGCCAGACACCCCATCTCAAGGTTCAGACCACCCAGTCTTGAAGAAACCGTCTGAAACGCTATCACAGAGTCCAGACCAAGTGCTCACCAAACAAACAGTCCACAATCTACCACCCATAACGTTGACCTTTTGTCTTCCAGAGAACTACCCATACGATGAAGCACCCGCATTCACCATCCAATCCAGTGTGCTATCCAAGTCCATCACTACTGGCTTAACCGAAGACTTGCTGCAAATGTGGAACGATTATAAGGACCAGATATTATTTAATATGATTGATTTTTTGATGGAAAGAGCACAATCGGAACTGCTCGTAACTACAGTTGACTTTACGGACCCAGAACAGTACTACAACATTATAGACTACAATAAGACGGTTTTGCAAAAAGAATTCGACATGCAGACTTTCACTTGTGAGATATGCCAGGAAGATTATAAAGGATCCGTATGCCTGGAATTTGAATGCAGGCACGCCTTTTGCAACCAGTGCTTGTATGATTACTTTAGTTCTGTCATCACCACCGGCGAAGTTGATAAAGTTCATTGCCCGAACTTTGAATGTACCAAAAAGTTTGTTGAAACTAGAAAAGAGTACTCCAATCTAGAGACATGGATGGAACGAAACTTTCCCGTGGAAGAAATCATCAACGTCCTTCTTACCCCCAGCATTTCATTAGCCTTGTTGACCAAGATCTTGAAATCACATGGCACTCCCGAAGAAGTTGAATCAGGAATCAAACGTTATCAGGAAATGTTCAAAAAATCACAGTATGAATTTATTGGAAACCTTTTACCTAATAGATTGGTAGATTGTCCTAGAACAGGATGTTCCGAAGTGATCTTTAGAAAAGATTTAAACGATAAGTTGGTAGTATGTCCCCGGTGCGCATATGCATTTTGCAATGATTGTCAAAACTCCTGGCATGCAAGATTCGTTATTTGTAAGAAGCTTGCTGATAAAGGTAACAATTACCTAGGAGTTCCAGTGGATGATATTGAATATTACTTGCTATTGGAAAAGGATTCTTACGAACGAAAGGCTTTGAGGTCCAAGTATGGCCGTGCTAGAATGAAAAGGGCTATCGATGAGTTTCAAATGGATCAATTATTCAATAAGATGCTACATGAAGATAAGAGTGTGGTCGCTTGTCCAAATTGCGAGATTGGAATTGAGAAAACTGATGGGTGCAATAAAATGAAATGTTCTCAATGCTTGACTAATTTCTGCTTCCTTTGTGGAGAAATTATTGGACCTAACTATGATCATTTCTCACTTCCTGACTCCACTTGCTACAAGAAGTTGTTCGTGGGTATGGCAGGAGCAGAAGAAGATCACTTAAACCCAATTGGGGTTTTAGACGACGACTAAAGTTGATTTTTTCGGCTTGCATGATACTGAAGTCGAGAACCCATAGTAATTTTATCTTAAATTTAACCATTTTCGTTCCCAGGTATCATAGAAACCCAAAAAACAAATAAGTCAGAATTTTCCTGGGGTAATTCTACATTAAAAGAATTTCGCAGTTGCTTTTTTAAAACTCAATTGTTAAAACTCAATGTATAATAATGATAAATAAACTCATTAGCTCGTTTCATAAATAGCATAATTCCAAATTCAATACGATGGGCCCTGAATCATCAGTTAGGCGACTTAGATCTTCTTGGGTGCCTTCACTGGTCTCGCGTAGCGGTAACACTCCCTGAATAATCTTCTTCTTCTGAACTCAACGGCATTGTCCTCGTCGAACAGGGTAATAACATCGTAAATCCAGCCCTCTTCTGCGTCGTCACGGACCTCAAACACCTTTGGATTCTCTAAGGATCTAAACTTCAACCATTTTTTGGGGTCTTTGTCTATCTGCCACTTGTTTGCAAAGCCCAAGTCGAATTTCCAGTCCTTGACAGGATGAACCTTCGCGAGCTGGTCCACTCCTTTAGGAATCTTATGAGCAAGCCTAGTGATGTTTTTGGTGTCGAATATGTTATTGGAATATTGATAAAACGACCAATGGGTGTCTAAGACATCCTTCATCTGTAACTCGAAAATCTCCACGTATCTGATCTCAGGAGACTCGTCCACTATGATATCCTGCCTCTCAAACTTTTTAACCTCTCCCTCTTGCTTAACCTGTTTCTTCTTTTCCTGAGCAGGATATGCCTTGTTTCTTTCTTGGATTTGCACCAAGAACTTCTTGCTAGCAGGATGACAGAGAATTAAACCCGCCCATCCAGACTGGATAAAAATCAATCTCCACGGAATGAACTGACCCAAGAACAAAATTGCATACGTGGCTCCTATCACTCCGTAGAAGATGAATGTAGATAATCTCTCATCCTTAAACCCAGCAGTCTCGTAGCAGAACTTCTCAGCCGCATCAAAGCCCTTCAAGAGGTCGGTGGTCAAGTTCTGCAAATCTCTCATGTTGATCAAAAGGGCCATTTGGCTCTTAACTGCACCCGTCTTGTTGGTAGCATCGTCCCTGTCTATTTTAGCGTCTTGAATGATATCCAGATCACTCAAAACAGAAGATGTTTCGCTGGACGACGACGGTGGTCTTATTTCGGTTTCTGTATGTTCGTTGAGTAAGTCTTCCACTATACTGCTTTCAAACTTTCCGTCAAAAAAGCTCAAGAACGACTGGCCTCGCTTTTTGACCTTGATGATTTCTGGTGTTCTCATGGGGTGTCTGTGGAGGTATCCAGGAATGATGACGCCAAACAAGAGGAACAACATTGGGTATGCGAGTACGAGATGGGGCCAGAGACAGGTGGCTGTGTAGAACACCAACGCAGTTAGGGTCTTGGAAGGCTTGCGCCAGGTGATGATGTGGATGATTCCATACTGAACTTCAAAGAATGTTCCCATACGGCTGGCCAATCTCTTGAAATTGGACGAAATCAACCGAATCGAGAGTCCTGGCTTCTTCTTCCTGGAGGGGTCCTTCAATCGGTGCTCCAACACATGCTTGTCGTGGTCGTCTGGAATAGCGTGGTGGAGGAGTCTGTCGAGAAATTTGTCCACAAAATGAGATGGCGGATCGCTGTCACTTCCCTGTGGCTGTCTGGGTGCTTCTGGGTGGCTGCGATCTTCCACTTCTTTCTCCTTGTTCATTCTCTCGAGTCCTAACTCGAGAATGGAGGCCGCGGTACCCACCGCAATGCCTCTGTTTCTGCCGGCATTGTCCTCGGCATAGGTGTTGGACTTGTCGTAGATCCGCCCCAAGGCTCTTGCTGCATGTTCTTTGTAGTGGGACATGGCAGAAGTGGTAGTAAAGGAGCGATTTGGTAGTGGAGATTTTGGTGATTTTGTGGGGTCAATATCACATGGTTGATTATTGCGACACGACTGATGGTAGGCGTAGGCATGCCTAGGCTGTCTCCGATAGACTGGCACAGGAGTTGGAGTTACAGTGTATGGATTCAATTGAGTGTTGCTAGTCCATTACCGTGGAGTCTGGTGGTCCAGCAATTATCAGAAACCACAATTGAATTGGAATCGAGAAAATCACACCATAATCTAATTTACTATCTACTAGTATGGAGAGAGAATCTCCCTAGATTAGGATATACTATTGTTTAGTCACTGCATTGCTTCAGTTAATATGAATTAGTTAATGGAGAATTAAGCATTGCAGATATTTAATAGTTGTGCAAGTGTAGCACGAAATTTCCGCTGAAAGTTATCGAATATTGGTAAGTCCAGTGGATAAAACCCAGATATAATCATAATAATCTGCAAGAAATTATCCTCTAGAGATATTCATACAAACCAAATTTATTTAACTTGCCTGGTGGGAGATGATCTCTGTTGGATTCCAATATTATTGGAGGAATCTCCAATTTATTAGTGATTTGCACCGTTTCTTGACCCTACTGTGTAGTGCATACACTTCAAGCTAGCTTCTGAAGTATGAATTTTTGTTTCATCTGGCCAAGATACCGACACAAATATACTAGGTAGTACTAGGAATGTCCTATCTCCTGGCTGATTATTATTCCAGCGAATATCTACGTATAAATATCCATACGCCTATGACAGCAATTAACGTACTAAGCTCTTTATCCCCCACAAAATACGTAGATTTGCTCAGCCAAAACTCAAGAATACTCCCTAATACGAACATACTGGCTGGTTTCCCCAGACGGCTACGCATCTTCACTCACTAGACCCGTGGCTCTAGTTTGTTCATTTAATCATTACTTAATAGTATCATAAACTATATAAAGCAAGTCATGCAGGCAGGCCTACACCACAATTGAGCTCAATCAATCAACCATTTACAAAGATGGGAAGTTCTTGTCGTTGATTTCAGGCTTTGGGGAAGAGGAAGACTTCTTTGGGGCAACCTTGGCACCACCTCTGGCACCGCCTCTACCACCTCTGGCACCACCTCTGGCACCACCTCTACCACCTCTGGCACCGCCTCTGGTGGATCTGGATTCGTCTCTAACAGGTTGTTCATCAGCGAAGATGGCGTTGATTTCCAAGAACTTCTTTTCCTTCTGGGCCTTGGCCTTGGACTTCTTGTTGGTGGTGGATTGGACGTAAGCTTCTTGTTGCTTTTCGATCTTTTCAGCGTCAGCCCACTTGTCTTCGGCACCTTCGTTGGCCTTTCTCAAAGCCTTTTGGCCTTCCAATTCGGATTGCTTCAACTTCAATTCAGCAAAGTAGTCTTGCAAAGACTTCTTTGGGGTTTCTGGTTCTTGAGGAGCGTCAGACTCGGTTTCCAAGTCGGCGACGGCATCTTCCAAACCTTCAACTTCACCTTCTATTTCTCTGTCAGTGGAATCGCCCCAAGATTGCTTGATCTTCTTCTTGGAGTCGGTCTTGTCGGATCTGGAGTGACGGTCAAATGGCTTCTTGTAGTGTTTGGATGGGGTGTTGGATGGGCCGGCAACACTCTTGTTGTCTGGCTTGGCCTTGAAGGCACCTTCGTTACCGGTTGGCTTGGACTTCTTCTTGGCCTTAGCAGGGTCGGCAGATGGAGGGGGAACGTCAGACTTCTTGGAAGAAGCAGTCTTCTTGACGATCTCTCTGACTGGCAATTGAGGGGCACTGTCGTCTTCGACGTCGTTACCCAACAAAGCGTACAAGTTCTGAAGTTAGTACCGTGGTTTGGATTGTGGGGCACCGGGGAAAACACGGACAACCGGCCTTCCCGGGGCCAATTCGCAGCCGCCGGCACAATTGGGCGTCTGCCACCATCATTCGCCACATACCTTGTTTTCAAAGGACATTTTTATATCACTTTAGCTATAGTATAATGCAAAAAAGACTACCACTCCGGATTGTCTATTGAAAATTTTGCTGACCGTCGACGACCGAAAAAAACTGTGGACTTTGTGTCACCAGGACTCCGTGCGTAATTGTGGGTACGCACCGTACATTGCGCGCAGCGGTCGCAAGACTCCTGGCGCTGGCAAGGGCCGGTGTGGGCAAGCCAAGAGAGGGGGGGTGGTGGTGTGCTGGCACTGGTGCGGTCCTGGCCTTGGCGGAGTGTGCTTGAATCGTTCTGGCACTGCTATAGCACCGTTCTGGTGGCGTTCTAGTACTATTGTAGCACCATTCTTGCACCGTTCTTGCACTCTTATTGCATCCTCTTGCACCTTCCAGCTCCCTACAATTGGTGGTCGCGCACCGTCACTGCCATTCTTGCTGGTGCCAACAATCGTGCGAGTCGTGGCGACGTCTTTTTGCACCCACAAAAGAGGGGCCGCGGGAGCCTCCCAGTGACAGATTATGACACTATGAGTCAACAGTCGTAGGCTGATCTAGACATGTTGGCTAGCCAACGCCATACTTGGGCTGGCTCAGTGGAAACTGCAGTATTGTCGGGTTTTTGGTCTCCCCAGCACGTATTAGGCCGTAGAACCAGTTGCTGGGACATTCCAGCACCAAACCATGGAATGTTCCAGCAATAGCTGGAGCGGGGCACAGAGTGGCTTGGACGGCTGAACGGTGATACTCCGGTAGTTCTGGGACCACCAGGCATTCCCTCGGGAGCCATTCCAAGCTGTTCTGCGTTCCCACGGCATATTGTGGTGCAAGGTGTACGATAGGCCCATTGTCGCAAGCTGGTGAGTCAACTCCCATCACGCTATTCAGAGCGGATTCTGGCCATGTATCCACAGTATTACACGATCAGTTCCACACGAGCTTCGCTGCCAACATGGCTACAAGGGGGCAGTGGCTACACTACAGCAGGCTAGTGGTGCTGGCAGTATTTGCTTGCTAGGCCTGGTAGTGGTTGTTGGGCTCTGTGCTGGCTATTGTGGGTCCAGCAGGCGAAATCGCATTTCCTGGGCTCCATTCTGGAGCTCGGTTTTGGGTGACTCAATGCCTGTCGCTGTACGCCCCAAACTCCGAGGCAGAAGTGAACGTCATGGGGTTGCTGGATGGGTTCTCCGTGCAGCTGCTGGATCGAAGTGGGCGTCAAAGCGTGGAGGGTACTAAATTAGTATCTTAATTAGTTGGATAGAGAAATGAGAATGGAAATAATAACCTCCATGTCTATGGCTTGGGTACTGGATGTAGAACAGAAAGCTTAGAAGTTACGAGCAAAGCTCCTGGTTAGTGCAGAGACAAGGACTAATGCTACCAGTAGGTATCCTTGCCGCAAATTACTCTTCAGGCTGAGAAACCCCCACTTAAACAGTACGAATCTCCGGGTCATATTGGCCTCTATCATTGGCACAGTTTTTGTCATTGCCTCAAGTGTGATCTCCGGGTCATACCAGCATATTTGCCATTACATCAAACATAATCTCCGGGTCATGTATTTTGCAAAGTTTTTCAATCACCTCAGTCTACACGTTTTCTGGTATTCATATAATAACTATACATGGGTTCATCCCCCCTATTTCTGGTTGACAAAGTCCTCTCCCACCCTCGACAAGAAGCTCCTGAGTGCCTGTCTTAAATCCGCAGACATGCTTCTGGAGAATAGTTTCAACGTAAGCTCGTACATTTGTGGAGTGAACTTCACAAAATCTTCGTCGTCCAACTCAACGTAGCCTTGGTAAATCTCAATAATAACCGGCTTCCAAGTAGAAATGTTACGCTGTTGGTTGGTTTCGTCAAATTCGGCGAATCTCTCGGTGATGAAGTTACAGATAGGAATGATTTGCCCCATGATTTCATCTTTGGCTTCGGTGGAGGTCTTCTCGTCGTCACAGTACATCCGGAACATGATATTAATGAGCACAGCGGACGACGATGATTCTTGCTTCAACAAGTTTGGTAATCTTTCAATCACTCCGGCATTCCACAATCTGACTCTCAAATCGTAGTCATCGTTAAATTTCTTTGCAAACGAATAACTCTTATTCAATAAGTCAGCTAACACCATCAACTGTTCGTATGGAACCGCTTCATAAAAGTTGTCGTTCTCAAACAATTCAGATAAAGTTTGAATCAACAAGAGTTGCAAGACACTCTTAACCACAATTGATGACTTTTCCTTTGATTTACGCAATCTGGCTTCAGAATCATCAATTAAAGTATTCTTAGGAGATGATGGATCGTTTAAGTCCACATTTGATCCAAAATCACCTCCCTCTGCATCCTCAGCACTTCTGTTCCTCAATGGATCGGAAGTGAACAATTCCTTCGCAGTAGTCAATTCAAATAAGGTTGAAAAAGCACCACATACCTTATTCCACTGTTCAGCGTTGAATTTGTTCCCATTGTCAATTAAAAGAGTAGATAAGCATTCTCTTCCGATTCTGGCGATGGTATCATTTTCTTGACAGATACATGAAATGATCAAACTTAAGAACTCGTCAAGCATACCACTCAACGCATCGAAGTAATGAGTGAATAAAGTGATCATGCTCTTCAAAGCTTGGATCAAAGTAGTCGATAACCAAACAGATAATTTGTCATTAGTATCTTCCACACTCAATTCCCAATGATTACTTAAAACACTGAAAATAGGGAAAAGCAATTGACGGCAAATCAAGTCCCAAAAATCAATTTCAAAATATTCACCATAATCAAGCAAGACATTGAACAAGTAATTTAAGGCCCTTGATCTGACTTCCAATTCCTCACCAGTCATGATAATATCATGGAAACCGAATAAGATTGGGAACCATAACTTAACTAGGTGATCATTCTTTTCAGAATCTTTACCATTAACAGCCAACGAAGTTTCATTTTTGCTCTTGTCGCCGAAACTCAATTGAGCAACTTGGTTTATTAATTTCAGCAACACATCCAATGAGAGCAAGCTGGCCTTTTGAAATCTTTCATTCTTAGCCAACTCAGTGAAACACACCACCAAGTCAGCGAACAGATCCTGGGCACGGACTTCATCGATATACTCTTTATTGATCCAAGTAGCCATTTTGTAAGACTTCATTACTAATGATTCTTTCTTCTCCTTAGCCGCGGCGGTCAAAACCCCAAAAATGGTCTTCCAACCCGACTTGATTTTGTCAGCTCTACCAAGAATCATATTGTTAAGACATTCAAGTACCATATCCCTGACTTCCAAGGAATCATTGTGAAGAATCACGTATTCAAAGGGCTTAAGGAACTCCTTTTGAAATTTGAAATGAGCTAACTCATCGATTTCCAAGAATCTCATTGACAATTGCCTCAAGGAATCCAATGCAAAAAACAGGATTGCCAGGTTACTATGACATCCAACTGAGTTGAAAGTTTCACCCATTGTGGCCCATAATTGAGACCACTCAAGACGAATACGATTCATGTTGTAGTAGCAAATATCAACAACTTTTTGTAAGGAAAATGTTCTAGGATTTGAGCTTTGACCAGAGGATTCTATTTCCTCGGCAGCAACATCTGATAAAGCCTTAACAAATGCAACAATTCCTTCACCGCTCAAATTAGCACTGTTGGTGAAAACCTTATCAATGGCAACATCCAATTCTGTCTTGGTCAACAACTGAGCAACATACTGGGTCAAGTGTTGATTATGGAATTTATTTGATGCAGTTTGTGATGCACTTGGTGCTGCAGTGAATTGACTGAAGAAACTAGTACTAACTCTCGAGTTTTCTACTGAGCCTCTGTTAACCAACTTAGCAACTGAGACATCTGGAATAGAGTCCTGATCCACACCTTGAGCAATCAATTGTAATCTTTCCAATTGGGAAATTGAAATCAAAACTTGAGACCAAGATTCCCCAAGATGATTTCCTTCAGACACGGCAATGTCAAGCATAATGTAAATCGCATCCACATTTTTGGCCTTCATTTCTTCATAATTGTTCAAGTTCTCGAATTGAACTAAAGCTCCAATAAATGAAGTTCTAGCGTACTGTAAATCGAACATACAGGCAATCTTGATGGATAATTTGATACCCTCTAAACATGTCTTGCATGTGTCTTCCTCGTCATATTCCTTGAATGGAGGAGTCAATCCAGCTAAAATTGACATCCACAATGTGTCGAAAATAGATTTAACGTGGTGCACATGAGAGGCAGCATAGAAAACGCCATTGGAATCGTCAGACTTTAATTTCCTACCCAAGTTTCTCACCAACTTTTCTGTTTTGGTGGACATTTCCTTTGAAGCAAAGTTATAAGCCTCTCTATTCAAGTCACGGCTACCAAAGAATCCCACAGAAGCAGGTCCAGTAGAGACTGCCAAATCTCCGGCTAACAAAGCAGCATGCTGCTCCGATTGCAACTTAATCTCATTGCTGGCAATTTCCTCATAAATGCGCTGTAATAAGTCTCTTGGCAAATCCTTCCCATCATCAATTCCAGCATTGTTTGCAACAAAATTCTCGAAAGTCATTCTATTCTTGATTTGTGGAGAGTGAAGATCAGTATTCAATAAGATTACTGAATAAGCTAAAACGTAGGCGGCGTCTGCATTTGAGAAAACAGATGGGTTTCCCAATACATATCTCTCGGCAAACTTCAACATGAATCTATCAATTTTTTGGGCTTCACCAGGCAACCTGAATGACTGTAAGAATCTTCTCATGGAGTCAACAAACTCGGTGTTAGTGAACTCCATTTGGTCAACAAAAGCATGCATGATCGAGATGTTATATTCTTCACCTTCACCCAAGTATTCACCAATGACTGCCTTGTCCAATCCATCAGTTTCTAACAAGAATGCAGCAATACTGTCTGGCTCATCAGACTCTATAAAATTGTTTTCCAAAAAGTAGCTGATACCCTTTTTAGCCTTTTGATTGAACTGTCTTATACCATTAAGGAAAGCTTTCTTACGAAGCTTCAAGTTCTCGAATTGTTCTGGGTCGTCTGTTTCATTGAATTGGTCAGTGTTTACGAATGATGCATTCCTTGAATTATTCCCAGTGGAGGAGTTAGAATCAACGGTGCCCGATCTATCTCTGTGAAGATTCAAATGAGATGTGTTTTGATTGCCGTTTGACAACTTGCTCGAATTCAACGAACTATTTATTCCCTTTTGGACCCATGAGTATAAAGATCTTAAAAATGCAACAGAACAGCCAATAGATGTCATCTTCAAAGCATACTCTAGTGGGAAATAGTTGTACACCTCCGGTTCTGGAGGCTTAGAAGACATGGTACTGCTTGTCAAGTTAGCTATCTTGCTTATATCGTAAACAGAAATTCCATTTCTCTTGTTCTCTCGATAAGCCAATTTTTGTTGTGGAGTAACTTCAACTCTTATTAATGCTAACTTGGTCAAATAATCAATGATTTTTTCACAAATATTGGACATGGTACTATCACAATCATAGTTCAAATAAAATTCAATGATGCATCTTGAATCATTACATAATTTCTCGATGATGGATAACAAGTATCTCTTTTGGTGGGGAGTAGAAGTCTTCATTTCAGCAACTGGAAAGTAGATTTCATCCCAGAAAACTGGAATTTCCCTCTTGAAGTCTGATCTCAAATTTGAGATAATCAACCAGAATATCTCTAATGAGAGTTCAAAAACTGGTGCCAAAGGTGAAGCAGCATTTCTGGACAATGATAAACAGATGTATTGTCTTACTGCACTTATTAATCTGGTTTGTTCAGATGAATTGGAAGACAAGATTACCACGTCATCACTCAAAAACACTTCAATATGCTCTCTCAAGATAGTGTGAATAATATGTAACGATAACAACTTCGATCTGACAGAATGTGACTTCATGTCAATTGTCTCTGACTCCAATGGTTTCACAGATAATTTACACATTGCTCTGAAGATCAAAAAGGCATCCTTAACCACTAAGTCCTCATCTCCTTCTGAAGCATGGCTTGCGTCGTTGACTCTTTGGTCATCATATGCATCTGAGTTGAGTCTTTCTAAGGTCTTCAAGGTCAACTTTTCTCTTGACTCTGGCTTTGATTCAGGAGCAATATCGAGCTCTTCTTTACTAGCAGTGCTTGACTTGATATTAATGTTGCTGCTCGATTTTGTCTTGCCCTTAAAATTTGGAGAGTCCGTGATTCTTTGGAAAATGGCGCTGATGACTTGAGCCAATATTCCTTGAGCAACGGCCTGATTTCTGGCCGACAAGGAGAATATGAATACATTGTAAATTTGTCTCACAGCCTTGAGAAGGGAAGCACCATGGCATGACATGAGTAAAACACTGTGCATCAAAGCACGGACAACCTGCAATTCCAATTCAGGATCAGTTCCTTCACCTTCAAAACACTCTGAAATCACGTCAACTGAGGCATCGGTAAGCTTGAACTTGTCAGCCTTGTCCTCAAACTGAGCATAATCAAATAACTTAGCAAAAAGGTCGATTGCCAAAATCTTCAATTCGCTACTGGAAGAGACTTCGCATGTAGCCTTCAAAGCATTGAAGATGATTTGGGGATCTCTGGAATCAGGTACATTCAAAGAGTTGATGGCATTTTGGATGGTATTCTTGAAGGACTCGTTCTTCTTGGCTTCCTTGCTGCCGATGATGGTTTCGAATGTCTTCTTGAAAATATGGATATTGTTCACGGTGGCTGTTGAGGACGCCACTGACACTGTGGATTGTTGACGAGTGTGTCCAATACGAGGGGACTCGGAGGTGGGGGTTGGTTCTGCCGGCAAAGCCTTGGATGCTGGAGTGTTGGCCAGTTCCCCATTCACTTGCACTTCTGGCGATGGTTGTACACCATTGCCCTCGGGTTGATGGGGCTCGTTCTCTTTCTCCCCATTTGATTCCTCTTCCTTTGGCACTTGGCTTCCATCGCCATTCTCAGAAACGTCTCCAGCTTCGCCATTTGATTCTGGCTTCAATTGAGTTGTCGATTCGCCATTGCTTGATTCGCTGGTAGAGGCTGGATCTGAATGCGGTGAGTTGCTGGTGGTGACATCGTCTATGTTTGATTGCAGAACGTCGTCGGGTCGCTCGTTCCCATTCTGCCCGTTCTCTGACATCCTAGCTGAGAATAATACGCAATGAAGAGTGCAATTGTGCTACAAGGTAGTGGTGGAGACGAAATCAACAACTGTCCGTTATTTGTTGGTGGGCTGGTTTTCGCACGACGGGTTGATAATGGGTTCACTCCTATCTGGTAGTGAGATCAGGCCTACTACGGTCAATAATATTAGCGTCGATTAACAAGTATATAAAATTAGAACTCGCTCAATGCAACGGCAGTAGCTTGGTAGTCATCGTGAGAGATAGAGATGCTGACACTCTTGACACCAGCTTGGGTAGCAGCCTTGGCAGCGCTTCCGTTCAAGTTGACCTTTGGAGCACCGTTGGAGTCACGGACAATCTCGATGTCAATCAATGCGGCACCAGCACCTTGGGACTTGACACCCAAGGCCTTGAAAACGGCTTCCTTGGCGGACCAAGTACCAGTGTAAGAAGCTTGAGGGTGGGCGGACTTAGCACAGTACTCACGTTCAGCGGAAGTGAAGTTTCTTTCAATGAAAGTATCGTTTTCAACGTTAATGGCAGTAAGCAACTCGACATCGACACCAACACCCTTGGAGGACTTGTTCAATCCACTCAAGGCCTTGGCGGTAGCATCAGCAACCTTTCCAACATAAGATTCCTTGGATTGAATGTTCTTCTTGGTGAAGATGTTGGTGTTAGCTGGGATACGGGCCAATGGGTCCAAGTAGACACCTTCTTCAAGTTCATCAGCGTAAGGAGCCTTGTCCTTAGCAACGAACATGGTGTTACGGGTGATGGCGTTGTGCATGTAACGGTAGGTCTTCTTGTTTCTAGCATGGACCTTAGTAGCGTATGCTTCATAAGTAGATTGATCCAAAGCAGCGTACAAGTAGTCTGGGTGGACAACAATAGCTTGAGCACCCTTCTGACCGAAACCGAAAGAGGTGACGGAAACAGCCTTGATACCATCAGTCTTGATAGTTCTGGATGGGAATAAGACGTACTCGTAGTTTTCCAACAACTTATCAACGTTATCGGCATTTCTGTTACCTGGAACAATACCACTGTTCAAGATTTGGATAGCACCGTTCAACATCCAAGCACCAGCGGCACCCTTTGGATGACCAGTCAAGTACTTTTGGAAGACACCAAAGACTGGGTTACCTTCGGTTCTACCCAAGTGCTTCATCATAGAGTTGATAGTAGCAGATTCGTTCTTGTCATTGGCAACAGTGGAGGTACCGTGGAAGGAAGCAACACCAATGTCATCAACAGTCAAGCCGAAAGTAGCCAAGGAACCTCTAAGAGGAGCAATTCTTGGATCCTTTCTCCAGAAGGAGTTACCCCATTGGACCTTGGCTTCAGAAACTTGACGCTTGGCTTCACGGTGAACTTCTTCAGTTCTTTCACGCAAGAAATCACTCTGGGAGAACCCAGCACCGTATTCTTGCTTGGCTAATTCAGCTTCTTCACTCAAGTAGTTAATCTCAGATTCTTCCCAAGTCTTGATTTGAGCCAATCTTTGCTTCAATTGTCTGGATCTGTACTTGATGTTCAACATTGGAGTTGGGTACTTCAAGTCACCGTGATGTTCTCTGGCAGTGGTCAAAATACCCTTACCTGGTGCTGGAACAGATCTACCAATCTTATCGGTGGCAGTGGCGGTCATAGCTAAGACAGCTTGAATTGGAACACCCATCTTAACGGCCAAGTCAGCAGTCATAATAACTTGAATACCGGAACCTTGGGCTTCCATGAAACCGCTTCTAGTGGTAGTGGTTGGTCTAGACATTTCCTTTGGAGTTCTACCATGAGCAAATTCAGTTTCAGAATTAGAAGTAGCATTCATGTTACCGAATTCGTAAGAACCTTCTTCTTGGAAGTCATCATAACCACCAACAATACAGACCTTGGCCTTTCCACCCAAAATGGTTTCAATACCGACGTCAACGGATTCGACAGCAGTAGCACAAGCACCAACTGGAGTCTTGATAGGACCTGAAGAAGAAAGAAGCAACATATTGACCCAAGCGGACATAGTGTTGATAAAGGATTCTTGCAAGATATCGTTTTGAACTGGTCTGTCAGCGTATCTGTCCTTGAACATACCTCTCAAGGCAGTTACACCACCCATACCGGAACCAGAACAGTTACCAACTTCAGAAACGTGGACGTACTTGTAGAACTCATAAGGATCAGTGACACCAGCAGACAACAAAGCTTCAACAGTAGCAACCAAGACATACAAAGTGATTGGGTCAACTTGAGAAATAGTGTCCTCAGAAATACCGTAAGTACGGGCATCCCAACCAGTAGGAATTTGACCGGCAACCAATCTGTCAAATCTCAAAGCCTTAGGAATGTACAAGGTAGCACCCTTTAAGAATCTAACGGTGTATTCACCACTTTCTTCAATTTCGAAAATTTCACACTTTTCACCATGTTCGTGCTTGTATTGCAAGGCAGTCTCCTTAGAAGTTTCAAATGGTTCCATATCTTGTTGAATAACAACTTCTTGGATCATGTGCTTGTTCTTTGGATCGTAACCGTGGAACAATTCAGGTTCAATCAATCTAATACCGGTGTGGTTTAAGATTTCTTCTTCATACTTGGACTTGATGTCCTTGTCATCGACAGGAGCTTGGGTCTTAGCATCAATCCAACCGGAGTATGGCTTACCCTTCAAGTTACCATTGTGGTACTTGATCAATCCCATAATCCATGCCATTTCAATAGCACCTTCCAAGGAAAATTCACCATTAGCTTCCATCTCCCATCTGGTTCTAGAGTTACCCCAAGGACCGACTTCAGCGAAACCAGTAACGACAATTACTTGCTCTAAGTCTAACATACCTTCTAAGTCTGGAGAGACAGCCTTGATATCCTTGTATGACTTCAAAGTTGGGAATTCGAACTTCATGTTGGATCTTGGTTGAACGGTGACCTGGTTGTAGTTAGCATCAACATTAGCACCTTCAACAACCTTTTGCTCGATAGAAGCTTCGATAGAAACGGCTCTTCTAATATCAGAAGTTTCAAGCAAATCAGTTCTCAACTTGTTGGTGAAGTCCTTCAAGTTTTCAATGAATTGCAAACCACCGTTCAAGTCGGCCATAACTGGTTCTTCTTGACACAATTGAGTAATTTCAGGAGTAAACAAACCCAAAATGTTGAAGGCCATTTCCTTTTGAGAGAAGGTTCTGACACCTAACTTCTCAATACCTTCAGCAATGATGTTGTTACCACTCATCAAACCAGTACCTCTGGTCCAACCGATAATGGCACCACAGATGGTTAACTTGCTGCCCCAGTCTTCGGAGTACCATCTGTTGGTCAAAGTTTCCAAAGAAATCTTAGATTCGGAGTACAAACCATCGAAACCGAAAGTACCGTGGTTAGGAGACAAAGGCAAGATAACTTGGGCTGGTCTGGTGTCAGTAGTCTTCTTAGTAGCAACACCACCCAATAATCTCAACAAGTTGGTCAACATGACTCTGTGAGAGAATTCAGATCTAGAATCAAGGTTGTCCAAACCGTTACCATTTTCAGGAACAGCAGCGAATGGAATAATGGCATCCAAATCCCAACCTAAACCACCCTTCTTTGGTTCATCGTAGATGTATTGAATCAAAGCATCAACATCTTGTTTCGAACCTTGGTTAAATGGAACAACAGTTAAAGTAGAACCAGAGGCACCATATCTTGCATACATGTTTTGGTAGTATTCAGTAACCTTCTTGGAGAATCTGGAAGTAGTGACAACAACCTTGGCACCACCACAAATCAAACCTTGCAAGATTTCAGCACCAATGGAACCGACACCAGCACCAGTGACCAAAACGTGCTTGTCCTTGAAAGACAAACCGTTAATAGCTGCACTTTCCAAACCATCCAAATAGATGGAAGACAACTTACGGTCATAAGACCAGTGCTCCTTGTGCTTCTTTTGAAGATGCAAGAATGGAATGGTCTCAGGTGGAACGGAAGAGGAAACTGGAAGCAAGATAGAAGTCTTGTCTGGCAATGAAGCAATCTCATCGTCAGAAGCAGTAGATAACTCATCTTCGTCAGTTGGAGTATTAGTACCAGTTGGAGCTTGCAAGACAGACTTGGTGGACTCCTTGGTTTCAATTTCCTTAGAAGATTCCACGAAGTTGATCAATTGATCGTACAACTTTTGGAATTCGACCTTGTTGGTCTTAGAAGCTTGCTTGGTAATAGCCTTGTAAACTCTGTTCAAGTCTTCCTTGATGGTTGGTTGAGGTTCCATCTTAGTCAACTTACCACCTTGGGCCATTTCGTAAACGTATTGTTCGAACTTTCTAACGTGGTCCTTGTTAGCTTCTTCGAAAACAATCTTACCCTTGGCATCAATAGTTGTCTTTGGACCAGTGATTCTGCTGACATCTTTGTAGACAGGGTCAACATTCATAACTTGGTTACAGTTATCGATCAATTGTTGTCCTAATCTCTTAGCCAATTGATAAGTCTCACCCTTGTATTCTGGTGTATGGTCAATGTGGTATTGCATAAACTTGATCAAGGTTGGGTTGGATCTGTTCATAATCTGGATACATTGACTAATGGTTTCTCTATCAATGGAAGTCAACTTACCGAAAATAATGTCAAAGTACATGGAAAGAACATCTTGTCTAGCCCAGTTCCAGTAAGAGTCGTAAGTTCTAGACTTGAGTGGAGAGAAAACTGGCTTGATACCGTTGGAGTAAAATTCACCGTGTTCAGCCTCCCACAAGTCTAATTCCTTTTGTAAAACAGCAGAAGCTTCCTTTTCCTTAATGAAAGACTTGGCTCCCTTATTCAAGTCAACTTGTAAGTATCTGGCAAGCACTTCTAACTGTTGCTTGGCCAACTTCTTGTTTTCGGCAGTTAAAGCATCCAAAGCAGCACTGTCGACAACAGCGCCACCAGCACCACCGGCACCGGCACCGGCACCGGCAGATTCGGAAGCCAAGGAGATACCAGCAATAGTGGCGTACTTATTAGCAGCAGTGTCCAAGAACAGCTTGGCTTCAGCTTCAGAACCTAATCTAGCAGCTGGTTCGTTGGTCAAAGCAACCAACAAAACACCGTCTTGTCTACCGGAGCCCAAACCGAATCTGGTTTCCAAGTACTTTCTGGCGTTGGTGATGGAGAAACCACCAGGCATCTTAGAGGACATCAATCTACCAATCAAAGAGGTGGAGGTCTTACCCAATTGACCGTTGAAGGTGTCCTGGAATTGTTCGGCCAATTCTTCCAATGGGGTATCTTCTGGCTTTTCTGGAGTAGAACCGAATTCTTTTCCTAAGTCACCCAAAATTTCGTTTTGCACGGTGGACTTACCGTTGACTAAGTCCTTGATGGCCTTGCCCATAGGGATACCATCCAAAGGCTTCTTCAATTTTTGAGCAACGAGAACTTGCAACACCAAGGCAGCGGTGACTGGGCTGTCGGAGACGGAAGCGGCTGGACCAGCAGCTGGGGCTGGGGCTGGGGCTGCAGAAGCTGCGGCAGGAGGAACAGCGGCAGCGGCAGCAGCAGAAGGTGCTGGGGTAGCCACTGGTGCTGGGGTGGCGGGTTCGGCAGCAGCTGGAGCGGCTGGAGGAGCCAAATCAGCTGGATCAGGAGTGTAGTAGATCTCCTTGGCGTCCTTGGAGTAGCACAAGACTTGACGTTGCAACGAGAGAGCCGCATCGTAGGACTCGTACTTGGCCTTGATGGTACGGGAGGCCATACCGGCCAAGGTTGGCGAAGGTCCGACTTCAACCACTCTTTCGGTGTTGTGTTCCTTCAAGAACACGTCTTGGGTTTCGATCCATCTGACGGGGGATGCGAACTGGTATGCTAACAATTCTGTCAACAAGGTGTGCGACAACTGCTGTTGGACTTCGGGTCTCATGGTGAAGAGGGAAGAGTTGGTGGAAGAATTGTTGCGGCAGGCGAATGGGATAATATATATGGGCGGCTATGGTATGATGGGGCGGTAACTCCAACAAAAATGGTAACCTGTAGATTTATGGCTGCAACGGTGCGACCCAACAATCCAAACTACAAGTTAGGCGTGGGCAGAGGGTCCCGGCGAGAATGTTGGCGGGGTCACGTGTCAAATGTTGCGAAACGGCTGCGGAAGGTGGTGTGCCCTGGCGCTGGCCGTTGGGCGACAAGTGGGTGGACAGAGGTGAGATGTGGGAAGTGCTGGACGTGTCCGGCCCACAAATAACTATTGGGTCGCCTGGCATGAACTGGCAGGGCTCTCGACAATTTGGCTGTGCCTGGTAGCTGTCTGGTTAGGCGTGCTCTGGCTCCTGTTTCTGCTGGTTTTGTAGTTTTCGTCGCATTATTATGGTGGAAATATCACGAAAATTCAGCAGTTTGGCGGACGAATTGTGTGCTTCTTCGGCACCTCCAGACCTGTAGGAAAGGGTACCTCGCTTACATGCTCTCCCTCCCGAGCACACATTTCTGGCCATTCTGTGCCGCATTTGATCGAATCCACCACCTCTGCCGCAATAACCCTATCGAGCCCGAAAGGGTTACCCGGACGTAAAAATTCTCGCGACCCGAATACAAATTCAACACGATTATTCAAATCGAGCTTCACATCAACTCACTCAACCACATCATATAGTTAATACACGATTGACAGGACTTCTCTACTGTAGCCCAAAGCTTAATGCCTTTCGTCTGCCCTGATTATATTCGTTTATTTTCAGTTTAAACTGGCTGAGGAGAATACTTTTGCTTTGGAATATCAATCGGTCATCTCCACCCTGTGCGACAGTACTAGTTACTTTTCGTGTTGTTATAGGACTTTATCAAATGATCTACATTTCTATATATTGCTGCACTATGTGCTGATGGTTCCGCTTTGGATTCGTCGTCCCCACGCATCCGTGGAATACGTACTGGTCGGTGCTCGTCTCAAAGATGGTGCATTGTAGACCAGGAACCGTATTTTGGAAGTCATAGATGTAATTCTCGTATTGGCTGGTGTCCAAATTCTTGTACCCCGAATTGCCGGCATAAAAGTCGAGAAACTCTTGACTAATTAACGTTTGGACATTTTTTGTAGCAACTATGCTGTCCTCTCCATACTTGAACATATTTAAGCTCAACACTTTCAAATCAACTAAAGAACGGAGTAACGGTAACAAATTGCTGATTTTGTACCTCGCTACGGGAAGTTGGAGATACTTGAGTTTTGAAAAATTAACCATAGACTTGACAGAACTCATGGAATAATGGTTGCAATACTTGTGTGACGGGTGCACCATAGCCGCTGGAACAATATTATAGTCAAAGTTGAGAAATTCAAGCAGTTCGCCATTTATGGATTCAAAAAGCTGCTCGATTTTACTATCGAGATTCTCATAATTATTCACATTTATGGTGATGTTCAACGATTTCAATGAAAAGCTTTTCAAGAAGTTAAAGGTCTTGTTGTGGTAATTCAAGGAATTCATGAGGGACATGTTCACAAGCTGTAAGTTTTTCAAGTGGGGTGAGATTACATCCAAGAAGGACTTTATCGGGTTATAGGGACCCATTCTTCCACCTGCAGAAGGAAGTATTTCCGTGCAGTCCAAAATAGATAACTCGGTTACACCTTCTAGATCAACACATTCACAAAGTCTTACTGCTTCTTCGGCTGATATGGTAAGACCTTTGAGGGTGAGCTTTGAAAGATGAAGAGGGTCACTTTGGGTGCCAAAATCCGAGAATAATTGGGAAAGGTAAGTATCGCTCGAGTCTGCGGTATTTGGTGAGCACGCAAGTCCGCGATGGAATTTAAAATCATCACCTTTGGTTTTGGTTTTCGAGATCACCAACTCTTTTAGTTTAGTGCTTTGAGAAAGATTCAACCCTGCCAACCATTTTGGATCGTTGAAATTTGAGATGTTCAAAGTACTCAAGTCACTATTTGGAATCCAGACATCGGATTCGGTGTGTGTGAAGTTTCCATGGAGTTGGATCAAATTTAGACGTGACACAAGTGTTGAAGGAAGATCAAACGCGTGACTGTACCAATGAAATACTTTCAAAGACGAAGACTTTTGCAAAAGCTTTTCGAGATTCTCGATCAAGAACAAGTCAGATATATCAGGTATTATCTCACTGAAAGACATGTATCTGATATGACAAGCCAACCAGGGATACTTGGAAAACTGTTTGAAAAATGTGTTGAGTGAGTACAACGATGAGATCACGGTTGGTATGATTGCAAAAGCACGGTCTCCAAACGAGGGTATCTTGACTAGCTTGGTGGGAGTATCCTTATTGTAAACTTTCTTTGAGGAGTCCACCACAATAGCGAAGAACAATCTGGGCTGGACTATGCGATGGAGATGCCGACATGTGTACGATAGGTGGAGAGCATCGTTTTGCTCCAATAAGCACGCGATGCTTAATGTGATTTCGGCAGGTAGATTCTGTATCATGGGGTTGATTTGAGTGCTATATTCCAGCTGGCATCCCACATCCTTAAAATATATTATACATATGGTTATGTGAAATTACGAGTGCCAATAGAAATCTGGTAGTCCGGGGATCGGTAAAGTTATCTGATCGGATCTATATCCCCACGTGAGATGTGAAAATGGTGGGGCATTCCGAAACCGGAGCGAGGCGAGATGGGCCAGAGAACTAGACACCTGTGTGCGAGCCCTGTTCTTAAATCAGCCACGGCTTGGGCCAAATGGTAAGTCAGGCTGACCAACATTATGATCTTAGTTCCTTTCCGGTATCAACTTCCATCGGAGATGACAGAGTAAAGTTGGACACTGCCACCCAAAAATTTGTGGCCCAAAACTGCCCAGACTTTGCAAAGAAAAAAGGCCAACGGCATGTACGCGTCGAAAGCATTCCCGGAACGGAAAGGCGTTCGGTTGAGTAGTATATGGTTGCGTCATCTACAGTGGGGTTTGCGACCTTAGCCAAAATTTGGTTTTCGGGTCTGCGGTTAGCTCTTCACAACCATTAAACCTGGACTCTGCGTTGAGTTGGCAAATGCCAGCCCATTACGGCAATATGAATCGGGGCCCAATATCCTGATTCCAAATTTTAATAGCACTTTAAGGAGCTAGCAAAACCAAAATTAATGATTGCAACAGCGGAAACCAGTGCACCATTAATAGAAAAGGCGAAGGGCAGCAGGTTTATACACCATTAACAAAAGCAAAAAAAGATGCGATTTCTGTGGATCGAACACAGGACCTTCAGATTAACTGTGACTGAATCTCTTCAGTCTGACGCTCTCCCAACTGAGCTAAAACCGCAAAGAAGAACCCACGCCGGGAGTCGAACCCGGAATCTTTTGATTAGAAGTCAAACGCGTTAACCATTACGCTACGCAGGCAGTTTCTTGCATTATAAAAAGCTCAGAATATTCACATGATTTCATATGTTATGAGCACGCGCCAACTTTGATTTTTTAATTTGGGCCCCAGATGTGTTCCAATTACCTTTTTGGACTGGATTATTCGCAACCGGTGGCACTTGCATCACTCTTAGATGAAGGTAATGACTTCTGTACAGAGCCACCTACTTTGTGGGAGCCTGTTTACTTGATATTGTTTTGATAACTTTTCAGTTTTTTACAATTTTTTGAAAAAATTAATTTCGTTGGGATAAGTGACATCCTGTATGTCTATTGTGTTCCAGCAAATTGTTTAGTGAAAGACAAGGGAATAATACACCTCCTTTAAAACTAGATAACATTATACTACAGGATAAGCCGATAAGCCTAGTATTTCTACCAGCTAGGAAACTAGAGACATCCCTCATGGGCTAACTGGGGGTGTATTTAATTCCTAAACTACAAGGAAGAAATATGGAAATCTGGAGAAATTGATAACGCGGAGATGTCAGTTCAGGCAGCGAACAGGAAAACGTTAATCCTCGGGGATAAGGCAGCATTTTTTTGATCTGAATACTTTATACTGAAACAATCCTACCGAATCCAGGACGACTAGGGCAAACAAAAGCTTGGAAGTTCACGCAATTCCCGAAGAAGTCCACTGCCCCGCAATTATAGATATGTATTATGCCATTGGACGGTCTATAAGGCCGCAACCATCCACTCGCGCCGCACAACTTACTGAGTATTTGTAGGGCGGTCGCTAGAGTCGAAATGTTGATATTCGCGAGCTTTCGTACCTGCTCGGAAAATTCCCAACTAAATGCGCAAATCTGGAAGTCTAATTTGGTTTTGATAGGCAAGGCTGTGCAACTAACTCAACCACATCACATTTCGAGGGCCATGCTTCCACATCGTGGGAACGTCGCGGGACGCTGGTCCCATCGATCGACGACATGTTCCAGTACATATTTTCCAGAATATTAACTAGCTCATCATGCACCATCTGTAAATGCAGTCCGCCCCCCTCCTTTCGTAATTGTTCGGAAGCCGTCCGCAGAGGTGGTGTATCGATCCCCTGTTGCCACGAATCGATCCACTTGCGTGGTTAGGCGACCAAAATTACAACCCCTGCCGCATTGTAAATTCCAGTTGACAGCAAAGCCGTCCACATTGGCGCATCGGCACAAGCCACCCGTCGACCGACATGCACCAAGCAATGATTAGTGTCGATGTTTTCGGTGTGCTCCGGAAATGCGCAGACTCTGCCCAGCTCCCGACTCCCAAGCCAAGCCAAGCACACTTAGCCACTATTATGGCAGTGCCGGGTTCGCAATCTGACATCTGCTCATGTCAGTAAGATCCTAGGCACATTCGGGCGCATGCTTGAATCTCAATCGGGAAAGTAGTGGTCGGATATTGTTGGCACACTACGGGATATTTCTGGCCAACATGCAACTCAGGAGTCTATCGCACAGCACATGCCACGGATGCAGCCAGCTTGTGGCAAGTCAGCCGTATTGGGGTACCCAAATAGGCGACCACGCACGCTTCTCGACACTACTTGTGGCGTGCCAGTGCTGGAGGTCGAATGTTGAAGTACCCACAAGATCTGAGCTCGGTGGGGCTAATTTTTGGGAGTGCAGTCGCACCTACAGACACGAATTTCTTTTTCTTGTTGTTTCTTTTGGCCCGGCTAGGAACCGTCTGGCTGCGAGGATGGAGGCAGACAGACACAAGCTGGCCCGAAGTGGTGTGCATAATCAGGCAGGGTGGGTGGCCGACAGCGGCGGCGGGGGTGCCGCTGGGAGGGGGGGTGAAATAGCCATAAAACTGCCACCATGTAGCTGTTCCTGTGTGCGGACCACTTGCGTCGAAAGTGTCTGGATTTCTGTGTCTGGTCCGGCCAGGGTGGTGGCGGTACGGGTGCGGCGAAATTGGCCCCCAAACAGCCACTGCAAAGACAGTGCTCCACGAGCGCATCCAGGGGCGGACCAGTGAACCTCGCTAGCAGACCCAGCGCCCCCAGCGCCCTCCTGGGCCTCCTCTCCCCTCGTATCGGCCCTTTGACATGCGTCAGATCGGAGTCGTGCGCGCGCCAAAGTCCAACGGGGTCGTGCGCGCGCTTTGTGCCACCAGGCACTGGATTCTGTCTGTCTGCCAGGCGCTGACAATTACCAAGGGATTAGTCCTCAGTCCTCTTGATATATCCACCACCCATCAGTTCTCCACTGGTGCCAATCTAGAGCAAGCCCCTCTAGCGTTTCTCGAGTACCTCTTCGCCATCGTCGCCAGCTCTCTGGATCCGCTCCCCCCGCCGCAGCGCAATCTAATATCCTCCTGATTGGTCATATTGGAGCCGTTGCTGAAACTGTCCTCCACCATCGGTTCTAGATAGTCAGTCAACAGTACAGGGAGAACTGTACCACCCACGTCGTAGGCCTTGTACAGAGCCTGCATCGATAATTGGACACTTTAATCCATCAGCCTTCATCAGCTTCCTCCACCAACAGCCGTCCACCAACAACCGCCTCCCCCCCACCACCAGCACACTAGACTTATAGATAGAATGTTCAACACCAAGATCTTCGAGAACAGCAACCCCTCGCCGTCCAACACCCCAGCCATCAACATCCCCAACGCCTCCAGCGAGGCGCCAGGGGCTCTAGGCGATGCCAGCACCGCCAGCAACCCCCAGCCCATCGACATCACCTACCAGAGGCACCAGCTGATCTTCAACAACGGACGGTTCCGCAGAGAGTCCATCGCACACTCCCAGGGCATGGGAGGCGTGTCGTGGGGGTCCGTCACCATCGGCTCGTGGTTGAAGGACGAGGTGATGATGTCCAGCAACTACAATAGCTACGCCCAGCACCCCACCGGCACCACCTCCAACAACCTCAGTGTGCACAACGGCAACCTCATCAACCCCAGACGTGGCTCGTTTCGCCACCAAACCCAGAGCATCTCGATGTCGCCTCCGTTACAGACATCGTACTTGCCCAACTTGGAAGCTGACTACTGCAAAGACTACAGCTGCTGCGGTGAGTTGTTGCCCACCTTGCATGACTTGCTCCGACACTACGAGGAGGCCCACATCAGCCCCTCGCCTCCCGCAGACAACTCCCACATGTTGAGCACCCGCAACAACAACTTCAACAATATGCATAACATCATGGAAACGGTGTCCACCACGGACGTGTTCTTGAACAACGGCCATAATAACAACTACCACCACCACCACCAGCCGCCCCAGCAGATCCTCAACACCCACCACCACAACAGCCAGCATCAGGGCCACCAGCACCACTCGCAGCCCCACGCCACCCAGCCCAACAACCTCAACTTGCATAACTCCCACTACAACATCCAGCAGCAAACCATAAACCAGGCGTCGCCCATTCCGGCCAACGCACCCATACCGAGCTCCCAGACACAGTTCAACCCCTCCCAAATGCATGCCCCCAGCCAGGCACCGTCCCAGCTCCAGCAGAACCCGCAGGTCAACTCGCCGCGTGCCAACACCCCCATGCAGACAGACGAGGAGGACGCCATGTACATCGACGACCCTGCGCGCCACTTGTACGTGATGGAGAACGACGAGCACAAGCCATTCAAGTGTCCGGTCATTGGCTGTGAAAAAACCTACAAGAACCAGAACGGGTTAAAGTACCATCGTCTCCACGGCCACCAGGGCCAGACGTTGAAGGAGAACCCGGACGGCACCATCTCCATCATCGACCCCGAGTCCAACACTCCGTACTTGGATGGCGCAGGCATGGAGAAGGACAAGCCGTACCGGTGCGAGGTTTGCGGCAAGAGATACAAAAATCTCAACGGGTTGAAATACCACCGAGGTCATACTACACACTGATGTTGGATGTGTGTTCATTCTTTCTTGTTGTTATTACTATCGTTTGTATCTAAAATGTTTCTTATCCAGGATGTAGCTGTAGCCACAGTGAGTGGTTCCGACACAGTGTGAAGTGAGTTTTGCAATCTGGTATTGTCGCCAGACACAGCTCCTGACTGTCAAAGCATATTTGCAGTCTGTCAATGCCTCCAGACAACGCCCAGTGTCAAGATTGTAGTAGTGGATAGAGTGACCAGTCACCAACTCGCTAGTTTGCAGTCTAGGCATTAGTCCCCAGACACAAATCCCTACACCATACTCGACGTGGTCAGTCTCCACAGTCTGACGTGTCTGTCGGAGCAATTTCGCAGTCTGTGTTGCTCGGCAACGGTGGCCATTCCGGGTTGGGTAGCCCTTCTGCGCATGCATCAGTTGTCGCAGTAACCGGTGGGCGATGAGCCAATGCCGACCGTTGGCCACTTACCAGGAAAATAATGGTGGTGTCATTGGCGCACATGATGGCTTTATGGCCAGGTAGTACGGTGAATCGACAAGTGTCGGAGGTCCGACCATGTTGCATTTCTGATCAACACCAGCCACGGTGTGTAGGCAGACACTAGCCGTTAAGATTGCAATTATGTGTGACGCATGCAAGATTGGTCCCGACTAGTTCTGTGTCTGCGTCTAGAGTTGCAAGAGCTGCTATTGGTGGATGGAATCCTGGCCAGTATTCCACCGCATGGCCGGTGCTCGTGGCGAGCTAGCGAGAGATGCATCCTGCATAGCAAGGCAGACAAGATAATTACACGTGAATGTGATCACGTGACATTTAAACATGTGACCGGACACCCACCAGATATCCACCACCACACACTTGCTGAAACTCCACCATGAAGCTCAATATCAACTTGAACGTGCCCATACTAGCATCCAGAAACGGAGCATATCTTGCATCGCTGGCCTTTACCGCCTTCTTTGTGCTCCTCCCATTGGCGGTGCTCACCTACCTGCGGTTCTATACCACTTTGATCCCCAAACAGTCTCCAAACATTCCCCTTCAATTCATCCACAATACCAACAGCAACGTCGTCAATGTACAGGAGCTCGTCTCCAGCAAGTTCTACGCGTTCGATCTGTTGCTAGACTATCAAGTGGACGTGAATTTGGCCCTCGCTTGTTCCCACACCGACGCCTACCACCTCAATGCACCTTTCACGATCTATTTGGAGACCCAAGCCAAGGATCACAACAGCCATCGGTCGTTGCGCACGGAGGTGCTGAAGAAATCGTTGTTTGTCAAGTGTGATCCCGCATTCGTTCACCAGAGCAATAACAAGATTGTTCCATTCAATCTCAGGCACTGGGTGCCACCGGTGTTGGTCAATTTGGACCGCCACATCACCGTTCATTTGGACAACTTGGTGCTCAAGGGTAGCCAGCTTCACGACAACATCAGGAGGTTGCAGGTGGGCCTCGAACCACACAGTAATATTCTTATCGACGATGAGAATAGTTTTCTCCAGTTTCATATCAAGTACGTTGGTTTCCGGTACTACTTGGTCAAATATTACTACACGTGTATGTTGATTGGGGCAGGGACCTTCTGGATGATCAGCACGTTCGTGTGTTTGTTAGTTAGCTACTCCATGGTGTGGGGAGGCAGTGAACAGAAGAAGAGAGGGCAGGTCCCACGCGAAGCAGCTACTGGGAAACGCTAATAAGCATTGTAGTTGGGCATTAAATTAATAAAAAAGGAATTGATGTGCTAGGCAACGTTAAGGAGGACGAATTGTATTTAGACCGTATAAACAGATTCCTACTAGTGTTCAAAGGAGTTACAGGCAACGTTAATGGGGAAGAATTGTATTAGCAAGTGCAATGCACTAGGAATTAGAGGAACTACCGTGCAAAGCAAATTCACGGAAGAATTGAGGCAGTAAAGTACCTGGAATAAAAGAAGCTACGTGCTAGGACACGTTAATTCACGGAAGAACTGTATTTGAAAGTATAAATTACTAAAAAAGAGAGTTACTGTACTAGGCAATACGAGCAACTAGAAATAAATAAGAAAATGAGGTGGAGTAGGTGGGCTCTTTAATTCGCATTCAAGAGCTTCAATTCGTTTGAACTGTCTACTGACAAGAACGGGATGATTTTCTTGAAATAATCAAACTCATTCAAGTCATTCATCATCTCCAAATCCTGATTGAATTGATCAATCTCTATTCTGCGGTTCAAGAACGCTTTAAATTCTTCTATCATCAAGTTGAGTTCATTCAAACTTCTCCCCAAGTTAACAATATCAATCAAATTCTTTGGACGCAGATCGCCAAGTTTCATATCGGAGAAAAGTTCGTCAATATCATCCGATTGAATGGTGCGAGCATCGCTGTCATCATCTTTGTTCAAGTTCTCCATGAATAATCCGTCTTCATCGTTAATATAGAACTTATTGTATGGATCATTGTTGATGAAGATAGATATATGGGGCACTTGAGGTCTGGATGGAAAACAAGCAATAGTTCCACGAACTGGTTGATTCAGGTTAGTGCTATAATAGTCTTCGCTGTCCCCCAGAACATCTGCTCTAAGTTCTACCCTTAGGTTCTTTTGGTGGATCATCAAGTATTTCTGATTCATGGAATCATGGTCAATGATTATATCGAACTTGTAGATGGGTCTTGAGATTTCTGGTGGGAGCTTAAATATCTCGGGTGGCTGGTTGTGCTTCTGCGAGGACTTTTCAGGCGAGAAGGAATCTAAGTCTGAGATTGACGAGGTGGTAGAGTCACTTACCGAGGTTGGAGTGGACTTGAAAGACATCAAACTTGGACTTGAAGATCTAGATTTGATTGAGGAGTAGGTAGTAGACAAAGAACTCAATGAAACAGAATTTCTCTTGTATTTCAATGAATTACTCGAAAGTGCACGATCTCTGTGAGCCAAGCCATTAGATCTCGTATCAGTATTATTGTTATCTTCGGTTGAAAGATACTTGAATAATTTTCCTAATGAGCTTACCAAAGACTTAGATGGATGTTTCTTTGAATCAATATTGTCAGTGTTGTCTTCTGCGGTTGATGGTAAGGATGAACAGGTATAAATTGCTTCATCAAAAATCTCATATGAATGTGTTTTCCTTAACTCGCTAATCTTCATTGAAGTTGCAGGAATGAAATCAGGATTACTATCATCATGAACATTCAATCCTCCGTCTTCCTTCAGATTTATAGGAAGAATTCCGAACTTTCTGTTGACAAGAGGGTTGTCTGGAGTGTAATCCAAAGCGACTGTGCCGTTATGCTGATTCTTCAAAGAGATAGCATGTAAAACATCATACGCCTTGTCAAGCTTCTGTTCGATCCTCCTGGTCACTTGAATCATCGTTGAAGAATGGTAATTGTTTACGCCAATTAGTCTCCAAACCAAGAATCTGGCGTAGTAGGAGCGCACAATTGGATTCCAGTGAATGAAGTATCTTTGAAATATCTCATTGGAAATAAGCCAATCAATGAAGTTTGCCTTGTAACTCTCATTGAGATTCGTAATCCAATTAAGATATGGAGGGGCCAGTTCCACGTTTCCCAAATTCAGATCTTGTCTTAAGCTTGATAATGATTCAGGAACCATGTCCCAAATATTGAACAAGAAGGATAAATTTTTCAATACAACTTGAATATGGTCGGTGTGTTTGAGCATCATATAGTTGCAACTCAACCAAAACTCCCAACTGATTGCGGATGGCGAGCTGTTCATATTATTGAAAACATGGTTGATAAATTCGTAGACGATATTCAAGATCAAGCCATTTTTGTTGCTGTCATAGACACTTGTTTCCTTAGAAATTGATACAAACAATCTATCGACGAATTTGACAAGCGAATAGCTTATGAGATCTTCATGTTCACGACAAGTTGAAGCAGAAGATGAAACACGGTTTGCCGTGAATGATGCAGAGTGAAGTATATCTCTAATAGTTTTGAAGATCTTGACAATAGAGTTGTAGTAAACATCACAGTGTTTTACGTTTAATCCTGGAATAAACGGCGGAGGCGTAGGTGGAGCATTTGATTTAGCAGAATTGATACCAGATGTGGGCGTTGGCGGTACGGGAGGAGGTGAGGCTTTAATCAGCAGGGACAGAAACTTGTTAACAGTGGTGGTTGATATTTTCGTGATTGAGATTTTGAATATTTGCAAGATGTGGCTGAAAATAACATTGAAACCAGGACAGTTGACAAGAAGCAAGTCAGTAGCATCTGGGTCGAATCCATCGGATAAACGTTTCTGAATAATATCGACATAATGTCTGAAGAATGAATTAAATACGTTGCTGTCGCAATTGCACCATCTTCTGACCCAACTCCCATTGGGATCCTTGATACCGTTGACGGGATGGGCCGGAGGAGGCACGCAGTTCAAGAAACCGGCCTGTTTCTTGGAAGCAACACGAATACCTTGAAAATTGATTAAATGGTGTAAATGCAGGGGGAAAATCGATTTGAGATGGTCCACGGAGGCCTTGGATGCGGATGAGGGGGTGATTATGGAGCTCGTGGACTCAAAGAACGATTGTTTCACGTTGAGCAAGAACAACAACGCGTTGCTGACGTGGGGCAACGTGAAAAAACTGTAGGCAAAGATCTTGCCCACAAATGCTGAGACAGAAAGCGAGAGGGTCTTCAAGTTGGTCATTTTGTCGATGCAGTACTCCAAGGTGGAGGTCAAGAGACTCGAGTACTGGCTGAAGAAGTCGTCGTCAACCTTGCTCCAGTCGTCGAGAGCCACGATCCGCGAGATACACTCCAAGTAGGCGTTCCTGTCGCTGGCGGGAATGGTGCTGTAGGAGTCGCCCAGAGCCGCAGAAGTGGATGCTGCGGTGGACAGTGGGCCTGTAGTCTTGAGGTTGGCGAGCAACGAGGTCCACCACTTGAGTAGAATGGCGGTGATCACGCTGGTCAAGCTCTTGTACACCTTGGAGTGTTTGGGGAAGTAGCGATGGAGTTTGTGGCCACTGCGGAGGAACGGCAACAACGACGTTCTAAGGATGTTGCTCTTGAGCACGCCGCTGTTCTTGGCGGGGTTGTACTTCTTGGAGTTGAAGCGGTTGAGTTCGAGCTCCAAGTGCTTGTACTGCTTGAGAAGTGACTTGATGAGACGGTCGTTTTCCGCAGAGTGGACGGGGGACGAGTCCAGCGCCGTCTTGGACGACTTGGACGACGACTTGGAGCCATCTGACGCTGTTTGGAGCAGCTGGAGGTCGTCTTCCGAGCGGGTCTTTCTCCTGCTGGAGGCGACTCGAAGGACTTTGGACATAGCGAGGGAGGATCGAGGGAGGATCAGATGAGCAGAACAGGCCTGGCAGAACGAACGGAGGCTAAATGGACATAGACGGTTGGCAGAGCATAAATGACGGTTGGGAGGCCAGGCAGCTTACCGCAGACGAGGGCGAGGGCACGAGCAGTGGGGAGTGGGAATGTGGCGATGCCGGGAGGACGGCTGGGGGGACGTGGGGGACTAGCGAGGGAGTGCTTAGGGCGGTGGTGGTTGTGGAGGTGGTGGTTGTGGGAAGAAGGTATTTGGTTGTTGTGTGGGAGGAGTTGTCGTGATGTCGTGGAGCCGAATGTCGTTGCTCGCAAAGGGATGGTGTAAATGTACCTCACGGAACAACTGCATGGGGGAGCGTTTCAGTGCGCCACGGGACCTACATGAGACATCGTCTATTGCTGCGCGAACGGGCAGGTGCGGGTTACGTCAACTGATAGAACAGTACGCGCGGGAAGGTTACGTCATTGGAACCACTTGGAACATTCGATGGGCCATTCAGTGGGAACATTCATTCAGTGGAACCAACATCTTCATGCCCTGGAGGGCGATATGGGGACGCTATTGGGACGATACACCCCCTGATACCACGAGCGTTGTCACAGGCCAGTGGCACCATTCGGGGGTTACGAGGCCCAATAATAGCAATAGATACAGAAATGTGTGTCTCGGGCGAGCAAATGCGTCCCGCTGTAAATACCGATACAGATCGGCCCGGAAGCACACCGGAAACGTCCACACTGGACAATTAATTAGCCGTGTTAGGAAGAACAAGCATGCCCGAGCGTTAGATAACCTGCCGGGGTCCGTAGATAGCCAGCACTCGGACTGTTCTCCCCAGACACTTTTGTAGCAAAATCTGGCACGCAGCAACCTCTGTGAAATTTAGGCACCTCGTTTTTTTGATGTTTACCTCAAAGATCTATTTCTGGGCATAGAGCATCCAGAAGGCTTGGAGCAGAAGGCTTGGAGCTCCATGAGAGTGTTTACATTCAGCTGTTCCATAAGCGTCCTGACGTGTGGCCTGCCTCAAGTGGCCTGATTGGACGATCCCAATGGTATTCATGTTCAGGAGTTCAGCGAGTAACTTCACCCCAATTACGTCAAAGGATCGGAAAATTCGCTTGGTGACACTAAGGCCCCTTCAGGGATGAAATAATATTATCGGATGGGACAGAATGTATGCGTCCTCCATCTCGGGTCAGAAATATTATATACCTATTTACTGGGCTCATACGCCTTGAGCTTCTCGGTCAATTCGTCCTTGATCTTCTTGGTAGACTCGTAGATCTTCTTGGTGACGTCGGCCTGCTTCTTGGCCTTTTCAAGCTCCTGGGTGAGCGCCTCCAATTGCGAGTTGACCGAAGCTACTTTCTCTTCGGACTCCTTTGCCTTTGCGAGCTCTTCTGTAAGCTTTTGTACCTGCAATTGGAGTTCCTTCTCGTCGGACTTCTTGGCATCCGTTTCCCTGAGCTTTTCCTTCTTCTCGGACTCATTTGCCTTTGCAAGCTCTGCCTTAAGGCTGAGCACCTGCAAGTCAAGTTCCGCTGCGTTGGCCCTCTTGGCATCCGCTTCCTTGAGCTTGGCATCGGCTTCCGCGAGCTTGGTCTGATATTCCACAACCTTGAGGGTAAGATTTTGGAGCGAGTCGAGCTGCTCTAATTTGTCCTCTTGTTCCTCGAGCTTGAGTGCTTGCTCCTTGTTGGTTTTGCGAAGCTGTTCAAGTTCCACCAACTTGGCCTCATTTTCTTTTTGGGTATTCTTGAGGGTGTTTATTTGCTTATCTTTCTCTTCCCTCTCCTTGATGGTATTGGACTCGTTTTCCTTCTGGGCCTTTTCGAGCTCATGCAATTCGTGTTCTTGTTCTTTGTTGATTGTCTCGAGACCTTCCATGTCCTTCAATCTGGACTCCTGCTCACTGTTGGTCTTTTTGAGTTCTTCCAATTTGGATTCAAGGTCTTTGTTCAATTTCTCGAGCTCGTCCAACTTGGATTTCTGGCCCTCGTTGCCCTTCTCGAGTTCTTCAAATTTAAGTTGTTGGTCTTTCTTGTCCTTTTCAAGTTTCTCTAACTTAGAGGATTGTTCCTCCTTGGATGCTTCCAACTTCTTTACCTCTTCTTCCTTCTTGCTAAGCTTTGATTCGATTTCTTCAACCTCAGCCTTGGTTTTAGCCAACTCTTTTTCTAACGAAGTGATCTTTTCTTTGTTTGACTTCAGCGATTCAAGAAGCTCAGCAATCTCACCTTTTTGGGTCTTACCCTGTTCACGAGAAGTCTCCAATTCCTTTTGCAATTCCTTTTCGGAGGTTTCCAAGCTAGATTTGGATTTCTCCAATGATGCGATTTGTTCTTTCAAGGTAGTTTCCTTTTTCTTGTAGTCATTCTTGGTGGTGACTAATGTTTCCTCGGTCTGCTCCAACTTTTCCTGGAGCTCTTCCACTGAGGCCTCAGTGGCAACCAATTTTTCGTTGGTGGCACTCAATTCAGTGGTAAGAGCACCAATCTTGTCGTGGGCCTCCTTACGCTCAACATTGACCTTGGCATCAAGGTCGCTGTACAAAACATCCACGGAGGTGTACTTCTCTTCGATGGTGCTGAGTTTGTTCCTTAACTCGTCGATTTCAGATCCCTTTTCCACCAAGACCTTTTCCACCAACGCATTCAGTTTCAATTCCCAGTCCTTGACAGTCTGGAGCTTTTCTTGCTTCGACTTGGTCAAGTCGCCGTTCAAGGACTCAATCTGGGCCTTGTGGGTGGCCAAGTCAGCCTGCAATGCTTGCAATTGGGATTCCAACTCCGATTTGGCACTGGCCAATTGCTGCTTGACTGCGTCCAAATCGGCGATTTTGGACTTCAAAGCCTTGAGCTCCGACGCATAAGCCTTCTCGTTGGTGGACTTGTAGGTGTTGGACTCTTCGGTGAGCTTGGTCAAGGCTGCCGACTTCGAGTTCAATGATTTGGTCAAATCGGTGATTTTTTCATTGAGCTCGGAGGACAAGGTGTCGAGCTGGACGTTCTTGGTGTGGTACAACTGGTAGGTGAATGCAGATGAGAGAGCGCCAGCAGCGGCGATGTAGTTGGCTATGGCCATTTTGGTGAGGTGTACGTGTCGGTGTTTTGGTGTAGTCTTCGCTTAGAGACGAGCTGGAGGGATGGGGTCACGTGCGGGATCACCCGGGTGGTAGAATTTTGATTTTGTGTGCAGGATCGATGTTGCTGTGAGAAACGACTGATGTGGAGCATACGTTGGTCAATTGTGAGCCTTGTATTAGCTAGGGAGCTCAGACTCGAGGTACCGTGTCATTATCTAAGTACTTATATTGTGGCTGTCCAATGTGGCCGATAATTGGTCACATGTAGTCTCTCTCGAGTCGGTAATACTTAGTACAACATCACGTGACAGACATCACGTGACATAATAGGTCCTTATGTCTACTTGCAATTATTAATACTTAGCACCCCCAAAGGCATCAACAGTATCATAGATGAAGAATCCTTTGGATTAGTATTCTGTGTTTTGTTCAAAAGCAGAGTTACTCCAGACTGTTACTCCACCTCCAGCTGAAAATAAGTAAGCACAGTTGCCCAAATAATATTATGAACGATTCTTATATAATTTTTCCAGGAGAAATGTTGCTACGAATAAGTTTGTGATAAACAAGTTTGATGATATTCGAGAATCACAATACATGCAATACGTTCTTGCATCTATTGAAGCTTCAAGGAACTACCCAATTACGAGAACAGATCGGGGGGCGCACGACCCAGATCACTTTCATGTGATTATTTACGAGGCTGGTTGGGGCACGCCCACCCAACGGTCACGAGACGTTTAGATAGCGAACAAAAAGGGACTGATATCCAAATCGCTGACCCCAAAAAAACACCTCCCCGCAAACCCACCATGGAGTTCACACCCGCCTACTCATTGGGAGACCGTCATGGCTCGCTGACAAACCTCGCAGGCGCCTCCAGGTCCCGGTCCCGTTCCCGGTCCAGAAACAGAAAGCTGAATGCTTCGTCCAGATCAAACAGTAACACCAGAAGACCGTCGTTATCAGGAGGAAAGAGATCGCTTTCAGCATCGTCACTCACCAAGTTAACGGTCACGCCCACCAACATTGATGCAGACAAGTCCATTCCCACCGTGTCTGCCACGTTGGACAACTCGTTGCCGTTGGACTTCTTCAAGCAAGAGTTGATTGCGTTGATCAAGGCATTGAAGATCAGCAAGTGGCACAAGCGCCAGCTCACCATCGCTAACATGAGCGTGTCGAGAATTTCGGGAGCGTTGACCAACTCCATCTACCAGCTCGAGTACAACGACCCCCAGCAGCACTTGAGGCTTCCTGCGTTGCTTCTTCGTGTGTACGGTAAGAACGTGGACTCCATCATCGACAGAGAGCTGGAGTTGGAGATCTTGATCAAGTTGTCGCAGAAGCGCATCGGACCCCGTTTGCTCGGGATCTTCTCCAACGGAAGATTCGAGCAGTTCTTGGAGGGCTTCAACACCCTTTCCAAGGACCAGATTCGAGACGAGGTGCTCTCGCAAATCTTGGGCAGAAGAATGAAAGATTTGCACTACAAGATAGAATTAGACCCTAAGGACACATCCTCAGATTTGCCCATGTCCTGGAAGCTTATCTACAAGTGGCTAGACATCTTCGAAACCCTGATCCTACCAAACTACGTGGACAAGGACTTTGACACCAAGGAGGTGTTCCTCTTAGATTTCTACAAGTTCAAGCAACTTATTGAAAAGTACAAAACTTGGCTTTTTGCCAAATACGAACCGGATTCGTTCACTTCTAACTACAAATTTTGTCACAACGACACCCAATACGGCAACTTATTATTGCACGAATCTTTCAAGCCAGATGATATTATCGTGGACAAAAGCAATAGCGAAGAAAAGACGGCGATCAAGTCTACCTCCAACAAAAAGGATGGCAATTTGGTGGTTATCGATTTCGAGTATTCGGGTCCCAACTTCCCTGCCTATGACTTGGCTAACCACTTCTCGGAATGGATGGCAGACTACCATGACCCTGTTAAGTCTTACTACATCCACGAAGACCAATTCCCAAACCAGATCGAACAATTGAATTTGATCAAGGCTTATGTTGAATATGAGTTCCAGTTCCCTTCCTCCAACATTAAAACAGGCAAGACTTCCGAGCAACATCTTATCGATAACTCTGCTTCCGAATTGGTGCAGTACGAAATCAAAAAGATGTACAACGAGTGTATTTACTGGAGAGCCACCGTGCAGATCTATTGGTGTCTTTGGGGGTTAATCCAGAATGGTCCATTAAAGTCGAGTCCAGCATCCCCTCCCCATATTGCTCCCAGCAAATCTGAAATGGGTGTGGACAGTACTTACAACATCACTACTGCTTTGGAATCGGCCACATTGGAAGATAACGAGTTGGTGGAAGAAGCAATCACCTCCAACGATGATGACTTTGACTACTTGAAGTACTCGCAACAGAAGTCAGCACTTATTGTTGGTGAGATGATCGGTTTGGGCTTGTTGGAGAAGGAGGACATAGATGAGAAGTATTGGGATTTAATCAAGTACTTGGATTGTAAAGCATACGATCTCTAGACGTGATATAATTAATTCTTAATTCCAGATAACAAAAGATATAGATAATCTCTGTATAATTATAGCATAATAAAAGCATTTGGAAAGATAGGCGTAGATTATATGTTGAGAGCAAGGCCAAATAAAATGGAATATCAGCTGACCAAATATAATTAAATAATACAATGATAGACACTTTAGCTGCTTCATCTGTTTCATATCAGCATGTTGTCAAATGAAAATAACTGATGGTGTGGCACATATACGAGAAATCATGACCGGAATATGAAGGCACGTGAAACATGAGTTCCGGTCACTTGGGTCGGTCAGTGAAGGCCGGTTAAAAAGGTGCAATAATTTCTTGGAAATAGGCCGAAAAGGGCTAATATGTTACTAGAAGACAAACACCAGCTCCTTCAGCGAGTTAAGCTCAGCTGAACTCACCGGCTCGTGGGTATAACCTGGTTCCAAAATCAGAAAAATTGAGATCACGTGACAACACTTCAATCACCCCACCTGCTGGTTGTGACAATGAGCCACTCTTCCGTGGGCAATTGCATCTCTCAGTGACCAATTGGCACATTCAGCCATCACTCTGTTCTAACTGGCCCACATACCCCCATATTTTCCCCATATCCCCATATTCCTACCACCTCCTCTCGTGATTCCCGCACAAAAATCAACCGAGCTCAACTCCACCCCACATGCTTTCCTTCAGAACCAGAGGCTACAACGGCTACGCCGTTCAGTACTCTCCATACTTCGACAACAAGCTTGCTGTGGCCACGGCTGCCAACTACGGCTTGGTGGGAAACGGGCGTCTTTTCGTGTTGAACATCGAGCCCAACGGAACCATTTCCAGTCCCATCTCGTGGGAGACACAGGACGGATTGTTCGACATAGCATGGAGTGAGATCCACGAAAACCAGCTCACGGCCGCTAGTGGTGATGGTTCCATCAAGCTCTTCGACTTGACTGTGGGTGAGTTTCCCGTGATGAACTGGAAGGAGCACACACGAGAAGTGTTCTCGGTCAACTGGAACTTGGTCGACAAGGCCAACTTCGTCAGTGCCAGCTGGGACGGCACCATCAAGATCTGGTCGCCTCAACGTGCACAGTCTCTTTTGACGTTGAATCCCGGGTCCACCGACTACACCACCAGAACATCTCCCCTCCAACAAACAGCAAAGCCTCCCATGTCCCACCAACAACAGCACCAGGGAGCCAATACGGCTCAGTGCATCTACAACGCATCGTTCTCGCCCCACTCGCCGTCGACGTTGATCAGCTGTGATGGCTCGTCCCACGTCCAGATCTGGGATACCAGACAACCCCATCCGTTGCAGATCGACTGGGTGGCCCATGGAGGCATGGAGACCCTCTCGTGCGACTGGAATAAGTACAAGTCGACCATAGTGGCGTCAGCAGGAACAGACAAGTCGGTACGAGTGTGGGACTTGCGAATGCTTACCAACATCGACCAGCCTCAGTCGCAGGCACCCATGCCTGCCTACCATATCCGAGGTCCTACGCCGTTGAACCAGCTCTTGGGCCACGAGTTTGCGGTCAGAAAGGTCCAGTGGTCGCCCCATGACTCCCAGGAACTCTTGAGCACCTCCTACGACATGACAGCTCGGGTGTGGAGGGACGAGTCCAACGACAGAGCCCGTTTTTTGAACATGAATAACGGAGGATGTAAGGGTGTGATGGGTGCACACAAGGAGTTTGTCATTGGATGCGACTACAGCTTGTGGGGTGAGCCAGGGTGGGCTGCCACCACTGGCTGGGACGAGATGGTGCACGTCTGGGATTCCAAGAGATTATGAGAGACATGATGGTAATTGGAGATACTTCAATTATATGTGGTTGATCTTCAATAAGCTGTTTGATCGTCCTAATGGCCATTTACAGATATGATTCAGTCCATGTTTGGGGACTAGGCACACATTAGTCGTGATTGATGAATGACATGAAATAATAATATGACAATTCACCAAGTATTCTATATTCGACTACTTCGGCAGCAAATGGAGATGAAAGAACAGAAGTCTCACTGTAAAGTACCATTTCACTGGGGTCACCCAGCTCTGGAGAAGTTGTATTGAGGTGTTTCGCTTTCATGCAACCACTGGCAATATTCTGAACCAACAAAGCTTCACAGAATAGACAGGAGTTATCTCTCACTCTATCTTGATAGAGATCTACCAATATACACACATGGTTGCACGAGCGCTGAAAATAATCATTTTTAATAAAAGAATATCATATAATAAATGAGTATTAGGAATAAAGATATTGTTGATCTTTAAGTGTTGGCGATTCTATTAATTCTCGATGGATAGTTAGTTTATTTTTGCTGATAGGAAGCATATTTTAATATACTCTCCAGACGACCCGCCCAAGACGAAGATATGCACTGGAAATTGGAGAGGCTAGGCCACTTAGTTTCTAGGTTGCTTCCATTCAATTGATAATTAACTGAGCTAGTCGGGTGAGACAGTACACCTATCGCAATGGTAAAAGTACCGTTAAGGTAATTCGTAAAAATACGAAAAAAATTGGTTTAATTTCACCACACAAGAGATTTGCCACTAGGACGAGAATCAAAAGAGAGGGTTATGGAGTCGGGCGCTATAGCAAAGCGTGGTTATTAGAAAATAGGCATTAGCAAGAACCACTTCGAGCTGTAAATGAAATTTATGCTAGAGGTTCAAATTATCTCTGGGGCTGAAATACATTATGATGTAATATCGGTTCTTGTGAGCTTCTCCGCCAAAATGGGCAGAAGTATGGGTGTTTCCAGAGTATCCTATGCAGCACGAGTGTCAATAGCCCGTTTAGGTGGAATATTTTTCGCAGGACTAATGAGATCGGAAATGGCCAAAGTACCATTACACCTCAAAACCACCACGCCATGCCCAAAAAAAGCCAGCAGGGTTGGCGCAGCAGAGAGCAGCCATCAGAGGACGCTGGAGTCCTCTGCACCGGCGGTCTTGCCAGACCTCCCCGCCAGGCCGCCCAGCCAACCCACCGTTGCTTCTGGTCACGTGACCCCAGATCATTGCCTGATCCAGCAAATTGATCACAACTAAATGACGTGCAGATGGTTCCGCATTGCCGTTTTGGGACGGGCCCTCTGGCCACTTGCCTATTCCACCCCAACCCCAAATAAACACCTCCGGTGGCTGATAGTATCTGCAGCCCATTAATTACCCGCACCGTTTAGGCAACTCCATCGCTGGCTACATAAAGGCAGCTGTCACCGCATTCTTTCCTCTGAACCGCACTGGCGTCTAATTCCTCGTCCTCCCAGCCATGGCCACCCACTTATCTATACTCAACTTGGAGTATAGCTTCATCAATGAGCCCTCAGGCATTCCGCTCTACCTGTCCAATATTGGCCTCTGGAATGAATATCTCAGCGACCAAGGCACCTACAAGGTGATGGACAATTTCGCACCTATTCACCAGATGGCCACCACCATCAACTCGCACCACCCCAGCGGAAACAACTTCATCGAGGTCAGCAAGCCCCAGTTGAACAACCAGTTGATCAGCCTCTCGTTGCACGGGTCTGCCAGCTACATCAACAGCGCCAGGGCCCTGCTCCTCCAGGCATACTCCCAGGTGCACTACAAGAGCATCGCGATTGCGAAGGACCAGTTTCTCGCCATCAACCACAAGTTCACCAGCCACTTGTTAGATATTTGCAGGCAATATCGGGTGGAGATGATCATCAACAACCACAGCGTGGACGGCGCGGCGTCTGGCTACTACATCCACATTTTTGGCGACCAAGACGGCATCACCATGGCCGAGCCCTCCATGCGCATCGTCATTAGTTCCGTGTTGGACCGCGAGCTCTTGGAGTGTGTCGAGGTCGACTTGTCGATGATTCCGTTGATTGGAGGCATCGACTTGTTCAACTTCAACCAGATCGCCAAGCAGACCGACTCCAACGTGTACATTCCCGACCTCTTGCCCAACTTGTTCAACTCGAACGTATTGCAGTCCACCGCCAACTTGAAGATGTGGATCACCTCCAAAACGGTTCCCCAGTTGCTCTTGACCAAGTTCATCGTCAACCAGTTGATCCTGCACCAGGCAAGCTTGCCCATCATCACTAAAGAGATCGACATCTGCAAAAGCAAGCTCGATGCAATTGTTCTTTACAACCAGTCCGAGGTGTTGAACATCATGTTCAAGCACGGAGTCTTCATCCAGATGCCAAGCTTGGGGGAGCTCAATCAGTACAAGCTTGTGGTCCAGGGATCAAACCTAGAATGTATTAATGAAGCCGTGAACGAAATCAACCTTTTGACCTCAACATATTATACCCTCACCCTTTCCAACACTGGCAAAGTCAACGAAGCATACCTCTTCAGATTGATCCAATTGAAGAAAACTTGCACGCTTACTGCCAACAAGCACGGTGTCGAAATTAATGGCCAAAGCCACGAACTCAAACAGATCTTGAACCAATTGTCCACCTCGAGTTCAGTGACAAATTCGGGCACTGCCAGCTTGAGATTGGAATTGGACATCACCCAGAGAGACTTCATCAGTGGTAAGAAGAACGGGAAATTGATCAAGATCTTGAACCAGTTGGGCCAGTTACCAATCATAAAGTTTAAGCCATTCAACGAATACAACTTCTTTATTGACATCGAGATTCGTGAAGGCACCGAGTTGGCGGTTCTTCTTCAGGCCATTGACTTGATTGAATTGGAATTACCATCCGAGTTGCAGTTCAACATTCCAGAAGTGTTCCACAAGTCGATTATTGGAAATGGTGGTTCTATTATCCAGTCAATCATGAAGAAGTACAACGTTTTCATCAAGTTCTCTAGTAGCAATGAGAGCGTGAGTGATGGCTATTCATTCAAGAGATACAACAACGTTTTAATCAGATGTCCAAGAAAGAACAGTAAGAATATCAACTTGGTCAAGTATGAAATTGATCAATTGGTGTATCAATGCTGGAACAATGGCGCTGGAACCGGAAGCTTGATGAGCTCCAACTCAACCATATACCATACTGTCAAGTTCCAATTGTTGAAGAGTCACTACCTATTACTTGTCAACAACAACAAATTGAAACAGATCACATCTTTGGAATCGGCATTCAATTCGTTCATCAACTTCCCAACCTCAATCGAGAATTTTGCTAATAAGAATGACCTTACTGTTGAAATTAAAGGTTCCGAATTGAAATCTAAGCAATGCTTCAAACAATTAAGTACTATATTACCCAAGAACTACGAGTTCAAGATCACTTTCATGCCAGGCAAATTCGAGGAAAACTTCAGCACCTTGAATCAATCCGAATTCTTCAATAGAATCGTTATTCCGTTCAAGATCTTGTTGGGAATCGAGATGATCGTGAACGAAGTCCCAATTGTTAACGGCAATTCTGGAGACTATCATCAGATCATTTTAAGTTACTTCAACGAAGAGCACTTGGAAGCAGGAATTCGGGACTTGACCATTTTCTTGAGGGAAAAGGGCTTTATGATTCTCGAAAAGAAACCTCTTGAATTCGACCCATTGATCGAGTACGTTTCTGCCGAGCCAAGTCTGCCTGTTAAGCAGAATGCGTTGGGTGCAATCACCAATCAAATTGTCAATTCTGGCGTAACTAATGGTTACTCCAAGAAGGGATCGCCCAAGAAGTCTCATTCTCCCAGAAGATCGCCTCGAAAGGAATCGCCCAGGAAGCATGTTCCTCCTCAAAGATTGCTGTATGGTGGGCTTTTGCAGGCAAGCCCCATGAACATGGTCCTTGAAGGAAAAGCAGGTCTCGGAGTCAACGCCATGGACCATGTTCCTATTTTGCATAGTTAGTTTAATTATACGATTCATGAAGATGGGTAGTAGTAATGATATTATGACACGGTTCATGTTACAAGAGACGATTCATGAACAAGAATGTGGTAGTAGTATTATACGATTCCAGAACAAGGATGGGTAACAATAATGATATAAGATGAAGATAGGATGACTGTAAAGAGGATAGATCTGGAATTAATGGAGGGATAACAGTAGTAGTATTAGGTGATACTTGAACAAGGATGGTAATAGCAGAATTTCTTGCATTTTGCGATTCTACACACATGATAGTAATGATTCTACGACGGGAAGTATTCTCGCATGGACCAGGATATATTCTTCAGTCTCTCGTCATCTGCTTCGTCTACAGGTGTCATTTCCTTCGTATATTCGTATCGTTTACATGTGATGCCCGTTGTATGTGTTTTTGGAGTCGCTGAACGGATTCTCGTCCGTATGGTACTCGTTGGTCCGCACAGGCTCGTAGCCCTGGTTGGAGGTGAAGTACGCCTGTTGCGGCTGGCTGGTAGCTGGAGGAACGCCTCTGTGCTGGTACATGGGAGGAGGCACGGGCGCGTACATGTTGGGGTTATGCATAGGGGTCTGTTTCTCGACGTACCTGGTGTTGGCAGAACGGCAGCAGCAGCAGCAGAGGGCCTCCAAGCAGCTGACGCCCATACAGCAGCATCTGATCACGGTGCTGATGAGCCATAAGCACACCAAGACTGCCAACACGATTCCCACGATGGCCACGATCTTGCAGGTGGTGTTATCCATACAGGTGTCCCAGGACTTGAACGAGCCTGCGGTGGTGGTGACGTCGTTGGCCAAGTCTCTTGGTAGAAGTTTGTTGATGAACATGGCGGTAGTGTGGATGTTTGAAGTTGGAAGTTCCTGAGAACGGTTTGCGGAGGAATGTGGTGTGAATCCTCAGAACTGCCTCATAATATATAGTTTTGCAAATGTTTCGAACCGCGCCGCGTAGGGAGATCTAGCTAATCTATTTTAGGATGCGCGCAGGGGGCCGGGCTGGGGAGAAAGGGTAGCGAGGAGAACTGCAGAATAGCGGAAAAAGTACTGGGGACTCCGCGAGCGTCGGGGAACTTAGGGAGGACTCTGGTGGTAGCCTAGGGGGACGCTGGTGAGAGGGACGGTACGAGAGACACCAGGAGGGAAGAGGATTGGGAGAGTGGTAGGGTGGTAGAAGGGATGTTGGCGAGGTACAGATCGTGAGATGATCATCCCGCAGCCAGATGAGCACAAGGCGCATGGTGCCATCTGACTGGTAGATCCTGCGTTCTATAATTAACTGCTTTGCCTCGCTCTATCGTGGTGATGGCCTTCGCCGCACCTGGCACAGCCCTGGCGACAGTGCGAGTGACTATATTGTCACGTGACGTATGCCACGCGACCTGTTTCGGAAGGGTATTTGGGCATCGCCGTGCCTGGCGATTGCATGTGGAGTGTTGGGATTCCTTGGCTCACAGTAGCCCTTATCTATGGCTCAATACGAGGAGTGTGGAAGTACCCACCTTGAGAGAGTGTCCATATTCGTTTTTGTTGCTAACGGGAGTATATTACAATCTACTGACTATATACTATTGCAATCTAACTGATAATTGGAAAACTCTCTGAAAATCACTGTGGCAGCTGAGTTCTCAATTTGTCGCGACCTGATTTTTACGTCTTGCACAGTGAAGCTTTCTCAGACGCCAGCCTATTCGTATCACAACAATTTAGGGTGTTTTTGAATGTTGCCACCATTCGTGATCCAAATCAATGGAAGTAAACTCCTAGTAAACCCTCATTCTACGAGTGAAGGAAGAAGCAAGTGGGCAGTAACATAGCTCAATGGAAGTTGTTTTTTTTTGCTAATAGATTATAATCTACTGACCAATATACCTATTGCAATGGATAACACACAATTATGGTCAAACCTTTATAATTTCATCTGAGACTTCGTCTTTCAGGATAGGAACCTGACAACGAAGAGCCCGGTAAAAAAATGGTCTGCTACCCAATGAAGTGCAATCAAATCTAAAGGAGAGAAATAAATAGCATAGATGTATCGAAGGTACTCGGTTTTCGGTGCAAACGCACCATCCACCCAATTTTGTATGGTGGTGTGAAAGGGACTAGAGATTCAATCTTTGTGAGAAGCTACGAGACAACTGAGAGTATTAGATTGAAGATCTAAAGCTTATCATAATTTGATCCTTCTTGGTGTGTTTAATACCTTAAAATTGCAAAAACAAAGCGAAACAGTAGAGCACTTTAAATTCCAGCTAGCTTGAGCTATATTTTTAGCTACATTTTTTCTCAAGAATTGGTTGTATAGTGTAGTGGTTATCACTTTCGGTTTTGATCCGAACAACCCCGGTTCGAATCCGGGTACGACCTGTTTTTTTTTTGCCAGATCAACTATCTCATTAACATTACCATCAAGTTAGATATTCACCACAATGAGTGCCTTTCAGCTTGTGGCCCAGTTTTTGCATGACAAAGGGTATCTCGAAACCTTGGCCCAGTTCCAGAAGGAGCACGGCAAGCCAATTGCATTTGATGAGCTCGATGAGTCGTTGGAGGACATCGTGAAGGATCGGACCGTCTACAAAACTATCGAGCAGAACGTGGAAGACTTGAAGCTAAGCGAGTGGACAGAGCACCCATTGGCTGAGGAATTGGCAGAGTGGAAGGACGGAGCGCTTCCAAGCGCTCAGGAAGTGGCTGGAATTGACGAATTGGTCATTTCTGGAGCCAGCGATGCCAACTACCTGTTTCTCACCACCAACAAGTTGACAGTCGAGGTGGTGGACGTACAGACTGGGAAGATCAAAAAGAGTTTATCACAGGTGTTGGGACGAGTGGTGGTTAAGAACGTGGTTCCGTTGACTGACCAGAGGGTGATTTTCATTGGAATGGATGGAAAGTTCCATTTATTTCACTACGATGCTGACGTCGAATTAGAGAAAGTCAGCTCCATTCAGGGCCACAAGCGCTTGGTTGTGGATGCCAGGAATATCCGCGTGGGCGAGAAGGAATACGTGGTGTCTTTGGGATGGGACTTCATGTTGAAAGTGTTCGAAGTGACGAACCAAATAGTGCCTGTGGCAGAACTCAAGTTGACTAGCCAGGGAACATGTTTCGACGTTGTAAACTACAAGGGTGACACCGTAATCGTGTTGGGAAAGCACGAGAGCACTTTGCTCGAGGTGATCCGATTGAATGTGGATGCCAAACAACTCGTCCCTCAGTATAAAATTTCCCTTAACGATGCTGAGTTCACCCAGTACGGATTTTCTCCCATGGCAGTGGCCATTGACACTACCACGATGCCAGTGCCTTTGGTGGTAGTTGGCACCTCTCACGAGCCATACATGCGGTTGATCGTAGTATCGTTGGCAGAGTACGGTGTCGCCAAAGACATTGCTAGAAACCAGATCCTCAAGAACGTCAATTCCATGTCGCCACAGGACAAGTACAGCCAGGCGCTTGTGGTGTTCCGTGGCTCAGGAGTGTGGGTTGCTGGAGACGACGGAGTGTTGAGGGGCATCGACCTCAAGCACGGGAAGGTGGTAGCCGAACATGGAGGCCATAACGGGAAAATTAAGCACTTACAAGCGGCTACAGGCGGGTTGGTGTCGTGTGGTACCGACAAGGTGGTGAAGGTCTGGAGGTATTGAGGAGACTAGGGGTTAAATGGAAACGAGCCTACATTTTACCATATCTATCTCGATCTTCTCGAAGGGACATCCTTACTCTGAGGGTTGTATGGTGCCCAGTGAAGGAGCATAAAATATTTCAATAATTCTTCTGCAGATAGGTAAAGCCTATAATTTGAGTAGTGACTTCACAGGACCCTCCCAATCTGTTCGATCTCACATACAGCTATAATTGAATAATATTAGTCTGGATTGGCCAAGGAGGCTTTGAGCTTTCCAGGCCAGATCGTGAAATCCACGATATTTTTCTTTAGGCCATGGGCACTCTACAGCAACTATAAAACATTGTAAAGAGACTGATACCGGTCTCAACTACATTCTTGAACCAGCTCCATGAATAATTAGTAATGCATGTTATTTAATATTTGACTTCGCTAATCCAGTCCATTGGTGAAAGTATAGTCAAGTTTTTGGTTTTCAATCATCTCGTTAGGTGGTAATTCGTAGCACCAATTATATGAGTTTCAACAAGTCTCACATACTGCCAAACAGGGGTGGTGTGAAATGTAGTACCGACTATTCGATTTTATTGTCTTGTTGATTGGTCCATTTGTGAGGTGCGGTACCACTGATTATTATCAATAGTGAAGTACCGCTTTTTGGATTCTCGACTGTCGTTAATTGCAGTGATTCGCGTGGTTCACATGAATCAAATCATTTTCAACTTGATTGTCACCCACCGTAGCGATGCTCAATAGACATATAGCTTCTAAGCCTAGACCTTATCCATTGTCCGTGCCTCTGATGGCCACCAGAAAGCGCAATCCATGGGTTTAGTCGCTGGTGCCTACCCCTACCTTCATCCTCTCTGATATCAATTCCTTCTCTCCCCATTCTTCCCTTTTACTCTCTACAGCACCTTCCAGTAATTATCGCGTCTACATTAATGTATCAATTTTCGCTCCAGATAGAATGGGACCTCCTTCCCTTCTTAATACGCCCCCAACCTTGCTTAGCTCCACGACCAACAGCCAATGACAGTACCCACAATTCTAAGGTTCAAAACAGAGAAAATTACGGAAAAATGGGCCGGATATTACCGACCACCTTTCACTAACCCATAATATTGCACCACAGATATCACACAGATATCATGGACACTCCAAACTTGGAAGTACTGTCCCACGTCTTCCGATGGCTCATGCTAGTCCAGATACCCGTGGCTGCACAGATGCAGGACCCTTGGCCCGCGTAATGTGGGGAAATCGCATGTGTCTGTCAACCCACAAAATCCCGTGACGAACCTCGGTAACTGCCCCAACTGCTGCAAGCCATTGCTGCCTTTTTTATATATACACAGTAAATTCAGACATTCATCCACCCATATTGCTTCAATGTCGTTAACCCCGTTCGAGAAGGCTGCCAGCGGTGCGTTGGCCTCTGCCATCGCCAACACCTTGGTGTATCCCCTCGACTTGTCCAAGACTGTGATCCAGACACAAGTACACAAGGCCCCCAAGGATAGTGGCGATTCCGAGTCTCCCAAGCCCCAGCTCAAGTACAAGAGCACGGTGGACGTATTGCAACAGATCTACGCCAAAAAGGGTGTGTTGGGATGGTACCACGGGTTGTTCTCGTCCATCCTCGGATCGGCATCCCAGAACTTCTCCTACTTCTACTGGTACACCATCGTCAAACGAGTCCACGCCAACTTGAACAAGCACCTCCCCAACTACAAGCCCAGCACCTTGACCGAGTTGTTCCTTGGAGCCCTCGCAGCTGCCATTTCCCAGATGTTCACCATGCCCATCGGAGTCATCACCACCCAGCAGCAGACAGACAAGACCCACAAGAGCTTGGCCCAGTTGACACGCGAGGTGGTGCAGCACGACGGCATCACTGGCTTGTGGAAGGGCTTGCGCGTGTCATTGGTGTTGTGCATCAACCCATCCATCACCTACGGGTCCTACGAGAGATTGAAGCAGATCATGTTCGGGTCCAAGGAGTTCTTGGGCCCCTTGGAGTCGTTCTCCATCGGGGTGTTGGCCAAGTCGTTGGCTACACTCGCCACCCAGCCTTTGATCGTGTCCAAGGCCATGTTACAGAAGAAAACCAAGCGCAAGGGCGAGAAGCTGGGTGACGACGATGACGACGAGGACGACATCAAGTTCGAGCACTTCACCGAGGCCTTGGCCCACTTGTGGAAGACCGAGAAGTTCCGCGGTTTGTACAAGGGTATTGCGCCTCAGCTCGTCAAGGGAGTGTTTGTCCAGGGGTTGTTGTTCATGTTTAAGGACCAGATCGACATGCTCTTCTTGCTCCTTTTGAAGCTCATCAAGAAGAGAAGGGGCTTGAAGCTTGCCTAGACGCGCCTGCTGGTGCCACCACACTATATACAAGATATAGATTCGGGAATCATATTTATTCGACACTGAGCTGGACTGTAGAACAGGCAAGTAGTTGATAAGTAACGGTAGCCTTATCAGCTTATCTACGGCCTTAGGGCTTGTGCCCTATTTATCATGTGACTCGGAGTACTCAACACGTGCTGGTGTCCGGTTTCTCGCCCTCCCTACCATATACACTACCCTAAAATTTTTTCGCCTCGAATACGACCCAATCGGGCTAGTGCGGCGCCCGCACCCTAGGTCCACTACGGAGAAAATTATCACCAATTTTCATCGAAACTTCTTTTTAAAAAGTTTGAATTACTTCTTCACTCAATAAGAATCGAACAACATGGGTAAAGGTAAACCAAGAGGTCTTAACTCCGCTAGAAAATTGAGAGTTCACCGTCGTAACAACAGATGGGCTGATCAATCTTATAAGGCCAGATTATTAGGAACTGCCTTCAAGTCATCTCCATTTGGTGGTTCTTCTCACGCCAAGGGTATTGTCTTGGAAAAGATTGGTGTTGAATCCAAGCAACCAAACTCCGCTATCAGAAAGTGTGTCAGAGTTCAATTAATCAAGAACGGTAAGAAGGTTACTGCTTTCGTTCCAAACGATGGTTGTCTTAACTTCGTCGACGAAAACGACGAAGTCTTGTTGGCTGGTTTCGGTAGAAGAGGTAAGGCTAAGGGTGATATTCCAGGTGTCAGATTCAAGGTCGTCAAGGTTTCCGGTGTCTCCTTGTTGGCTTTGTGGAAGGAAAAGAAGGAAAAGCCAAGATCATAAGTTACTTATACAGACTATCAGCAATGTTATATTATCATCATCATAATCATCTAATGTCTTGCTAGATTAGTTTTATAATCGTGTTTATTGGTTAATCAAATTATGTGTATATTGAAACATACCTCACGTGGAGGATAAATGCATACATTTATAATGCAGTGTAGTGATTCATTTGAACAACCTTTCGCCTGCTTCACGGCTACAGACCGAATCTGATTGAACCAGCGCTTTCGCCCAGGGTGGAGGGTGAAAAATCGACGTCGATCGGGTTTTTCCATTCGCGTCTCACATCAATAAATATCTTTAGAAGTCTGTCTTCATTGCTGGCTTGTATAACAATCTCGGGCCGCAACGTTTGGAACACACATTGACTCCGGCAGAGAGACTACAATTGAACTGTTAGGATCACAGTTTGACATGCAACGATGCATAACTCCATACTCTGTGTTATCTCATTTACAAAGTGTTGTCTAATTTACATGTTATTACACTAAATACCTAAGTTTCTGCCTTCGATGGAAGGTCCACCCTTCTTTGAAGTCTTCTTTTTGATAGACATCAGGGTCAACTTTTGATTGATTCTTCTGAATCTTTCATCACCTGCACCACCTCCTCTGGCTTGTTGTCTTCTTAACATATTAGGATCAACTCTTGGGGCAATCTTGTATGCTGCGGTTCTAGCACTAGGAATGGCTGCTCTCTTTCTTCTAGCAGCGTTCTCTTCGTATAACGTCTTGACCTCCTTTGGTTTGGCACTTCTGGCTGAAGCCAATTGGTTGGTGTATTTGTGCTTGTTGTACTCATTGAATTGGATGGTACGATCCTTGTAAGAGTCCGACTTGTTTAAAATAGGTCTGGTCCAGTCACCAATAAGTCTATCAACAATCTTCTTGAGACTTGGTTCAGTTCTTTTGGATCTTTGGTAAAACACCAAGACCTTACCCAATCCTGAGGCAACCAAATGGTCTGTTTTAATTGGCAAGGTATCTAACCTGTAGATTAATTCCTTCTGAATTTGATATGCTGGCATAGATGCATCGGGCAATGGTTCCAACCATAAACGCACCGCTTCCAATAAATTGTTATCCAAGATCGAAATGGCCAAATCGGCTCTGGACAAGATATCAAGCACTGGCTTCAATAATTTGAGCTTTTCGGTGGCGATCTGTCCTTGTGAATTCTTTTCAACGTCTAAGTTGGCAGCTCTGATCATTTGGTCCTTCAATGAATCAATTTTGTCGTCCTGCATTCTTTCCAAGTCATCTTCATCGGCCTTTCTACGTCTCACACCCTTCGTCTTGACAGCATTTTCCATCTTTTCTTCCAACAATCTTCTCTTTCTGGCTTGAGGGTCTTCATTACTGAAATCGGGAACGTCATCGAGGTAATCATCTTGGGGCACCGACAGAGTGGTATCATGACCAAATATGTCTCTGTCTCCCGTATCATTATCTCTCTTGGTTTTACGGACATTCTTCTTCTGAGTCACTTCTTTTGCGTTTCCTTCTCCTTCAAGCTTGTGTGCTTTTATGGAGTAAAGGTTTTCGTCGTATTCCTCATTATCCGACTGCTGGGCTTCGTTAGACTGTCCTGATTCTTGTTGTGGTTCGCCGCTAGTTGTTTCAGCTTCAGCTTGTTGATCAAACCCCTCTTGGTCCTGTTCATGGTCAAACTCGAAGGCGTCGCCAAAGTCGCCCTTGGCTTCGTTATCAGACATGTCGATGACTGTGTATTGAGCAGGGATGTTCGTTTTGTATCGTTGAGTGCATGTCGCGCGACTTCGCTGGATGTCGCATTTTGCTACTGTGGGCTGGATCCCATCTGGCTGAGATTCCTAAAACGGTGGCTCTGAGCCACTTGAGTGATGAAGTTGGATCGTATGGATGGTTTAGTAGTAATCATAAATGTCTTTTATGCAATTTTTCTCCTTTCTTCAATTTCTTTGTTGTGGATAATGTGAATCGCCACATTTGAGCCCAAGATACAGAATTAAAAATGGAGCCATTAGCGAATATAGCAGTCCTGTAGCTCACAGTGGAATAATACTTCCTGGCCAAGTTTGGCCAAGTTTCACACACCTTTTAGTGGCAAACTGTAGTCAAATAATGACGTATGCCTCGTGAATTCGAGCATAATAAAAGAAGTTGCCCTTTCTCTGTCGGTGCCGGCAATTCAATGCACTCCAATTGTTTACTTCGACAACAAATCTGTTCCCCGTATCGGAATCGGACCCCTCTGAATTAATGTCTATTACTGCAAAAAAGTAAGAGAAACTATAATTATCCGGCAGTCAGCAACTTCTGGGAGCGCAAAAAAGAATCCATATATATATGACAATTCCAATTAAGCCGTATTGTATCTAATCTCCTTCCTATAATCGCCATCTTCATATCTTCTCCTGATGCCCATCCATGAATCCCCACAACTACTAAACCAGTCGTGTCTCCCACCACAAAAAAAAACCATGTCTCACCTTTCTGCCAACACTAACTATACCAGATAAACCAGTTGGCGGAACATGTCTCAATATATCGGGAAAACCATTTCGTTGATCTCCAACAAGGGCCTCCGTTATGTTGGTTTGTTGGAGAGCATCAATGCCGATGATGCCACCGTCGCATTGAAATCGGTGAGATTGTTTGGCACTGAGGGCCGTATGGCCCAAACTGGTAACCCCAACTTGGAAGTGATGCCAGGTTCCGATGTCTATGACTACGTGGTATTCAGAGGTTCTGACGTCAAGGACTTGTCAGTGTTGGATACTCCGATCGACCAGGTCAAGCCACAGCCCTACGTTGCTCCACAATCCGGATACTACCAAGCACCTCCACAACCCCAGACGGCTCAGCCTACTCAGACCCAAAATGCTGCCCCAGCTACTACCCAGAGCCCAGCTCAGCCAACTCAGGTCCACCCACAGGCATCTCCAGCCCAGGCTCCTGCTGCTCCATCCCAAACCGGACAAGCTGCTAGCCCAGAAGCTAGCAAGCCAGCTCCAACCAAGACCACCTCGCAAACCGCTACATCTACCGAGGAACAGGCCCAACCACGTCCAGAGTCCACGCCTGAGGTGTCTTCCAGGCCATCCAGATCGAGAGAGCCAGCTCAACCAAGGCCACAAGGTCAACCTAGACCACAAGCACAACCATCTAGAAAAGTCAGTATCCCAGATACCGCATTCGACTTTGAGTCTGCCAACGCTAAGTTTACCAAGGATTCCGATGCCGAAAGAGACGCTGACGGCACTTCCTACAACAAGCAGTCTTCTTTCTTCGACACCATTTCATCATCTACTGAAGAAAGAAACAGCATGAGATGGGCTGAAGAGAAGAATCTCAACATGGACACATTCGGTGAAGCCTCTATCCAAAGGGGCAGAGGAAGAGGTAGAGGAAGAGGCGGAAGAGGCTGGAGAGGAGGAAGAGGAAACTCCAGTAGAGGCAGAGGCAGAGGCAGAGGCAACAAGAATGATGATTACAACAATAAACCAGAATGGGCTTAGGCCAGTACCGATTGCAACGAGTTCTATTTTGTATTATTTAATAAAAGATTAGAGTTTGGGAAATAGACACGATCTGCAATGTAAAGTGGTCTATAAGGTTATCGGGAACCTTCATGACTATATTCTAACCAATTGAGATGTATGAATAAAAAGTTATGACTTGCTGAAATCCTCAAAATCACAATTCGGAAGTTTCTGGGGTCAGTCTAGTGTTAATGAGGAACAGTATACCCATATGTTGTATATGAAATCTATGAATTTAATATGCCTATATCTATATATCAATATCTAGGCTATATGCGAGCAATTCCTCCAATGAACAATTTTTGGTTGGTCTCTTCCTCTTCTGTATGCAATTTCAAAAACTGACCATGCTGCCTAGTGATCGAAACTAGTGGTGAGTAGAAGTGGTTGATGGTAATTTTCCTCAAGATTCTCCCAACTATAGTCAATGGATTCTTAGTTTTATACTCCTCCGAAGTATAGTCGTGACATCTCAATAAATTGTTTTCAAAGATATGCACTGTAGGAAGACTATCTGGTTTCTCAAGCCTTTCTTGTGGTTGGTGATTATCATTGAAACGAGTCATTAATTCTGCAATCTCAGGAACTGATTCCAAAATTGTTGCACTCAATTCATGATTGATGATAATCTCTTCCATAAAACCAAACCGGACAATACACTTGTAATGCCCAGGAATTCTTGTGGATGCGATTAGAACTCTCTCATCGTTAGGTACATAAGGAATCGACAAAGTTCGTGTTGAACAGAAGATGAAGATAGAAGGAATGGAAACAAACGAATCGATTATCTTAGCATATACCTGAGGTAAGGTGTTTGGGGAGTTAAAATTGTGGATTGACGAATCATTGTACAATATGGCAATTCCATCGTGGGTTGACAAATTAGAAATACCAAACCTGGAACTTACTTTAATTTGCTTATCCTCCTGGATATGTGTTTCCTCCACTTCTAACGATTCGTTGTTTTCTGGTCGGTTCCCTCCAAGGTTTAAATCGACAATTTGAGGTTCCTTTCTAAACAGTGGATAAACGTCTGCAATTCTAACTCTCTGTTTGAATTCATAATCCACTTTTCTTGACTGGCCCCACCTCCAAATGCTCAAAAAGATGAATACCAAGCCTGCCATCATAATTGGGAACCAGGCACCATGTACAACTTTTTTCAAATTTGAAACAACCATAATAACTTCCAAGGGAATGAAGAATGTAATGAACAATACAGCCCAGAGAATGTTCCAACTGTAAACATAAACCATGCAAAGGGCAATCAAACAAGATGTAACCAAAAAATCAAGAGTTATCCCCAAACCATAGGCAGCAGTAACGTTATTAGACGTCTTAAATCCAGCAGTAGTACAGCAAACACCAATCATCAATAACCAATTAACTGCTGGAATGTAGACCTTTCCTGCGTAATCTTTAGAGGTATGCACAATTTTGACGTTTGGGAAGCAATCCAAATTAATCAATTGGGAAACAATGCTGAACACTGAAAGAATTAATGCTTGACTAGCAATAATGGTGGCAAGAGTTGACAAAACGAACATTACCCAGTAAGGGCCACTTCCCGTTCCACCAGGAAGGGAAAGAAAAAATGGAGAAGTGTAAGCTTCTGGGTGTGTAACAATGTATGCACCTTGGCCCAAATAGCAAATTATCAACGCAGGATAAACCAAGCAAGTTAAAGTTAGTTGGATCGGCAATCTACCAAAGTGGCCAATATCAGCAAACATGGCCTCGGTACCTGTGATTGATAACATAGCACCGGAAAATACATCAATACCACCATTCTTAAGTATTTTAATTGCATAATATGGTGATAGGGCCCTAAAAATGCCTGGATGAAATTTTGCAATATTATAAATACCGCAAATGATTAGACCTACCAACCAAATAAAGATCACAGGGGCAAACAAGAAAGAAACCTTGTGTGAACCAAATTGTTGAATAAGGAAAAGGCAGATAAGAATCACCTCAGCAACAGCAAGAACGTTATCGAATGATGGCTGGGCAATCTGAATACCTGCGACAGCACTTAATACTGAGGTGGTAGGGGTCAAAAGTCCATCAGATATGACCAAAGAGCAGCCAAGGAAACAAGCAAACAAGATGAATTTCTGCACGCATTTTATCATTAGTGGATGGGTCTTGACATCTTCCACAAGTGACTTGGTGGTGCGAGAAGATCTAAATGAGGAGGTTGTGTCTTGTCTTTGAAGCAACTCCATATCCGAAACCTCGGGAGCACCAGGAATATGGACGCCCTTAGGACCAATGTTCAAATATCTGGCGATCTTGGCGTAAATAGCCACCTGGCCACCCTCACCATTGTTTGGACCGAGAACCAACACGATCATGATATACTTAAAAATGACTATGATTGTAAATAGGTAGAAAATGATGGATATTCCTCCGTAAACATCGTCTTTGTTCGGAGGATATTCCGAGTACTTGATGGAGTTCAACACATATAGCGGCGAAGTTCCAATATCACCATAAATGGCCCCTAATGATGTGAAGGAGAGCATGAAAATCTCTCGCCAGGGCTGTTTCGTAGTTTGTGTGGGCTCAGTTTCGTCGTCGGATTTGATGGATGCCTCCTCATCTTCCTCGTTAGCACGACGGTATGCGTCCGAACCAGTCAGACTGGTAGCATTGAGGCTAATCGAAGAGATTTCAGCATTGGTTATGGAGATGATGCTAGCTGTAGATTCTTCTGTGCGGCGAATTTCGTCTTTGAGAGTGGACATGACTGGTGACAATTTCTATCCAGACAATGATTAGGTATTTATATTCTGCGAGCTCCATGTAGCCAGATCAAGCGATACGAATACGGCAATGATTCTGACCAAGCCAGACAGGGCAATTCGAAGCAGGCACGGCTCAGAAGGAAGATAGGAGCCTGAGAAGGTGCCAATGCAACCCTCCACAAAAAAGGGTACGAAAATCAGACCTGCTTTTACGACGGGATCTCTGATGTCATCAGGCATAGTCCAATAGGATGAGTGTATGTCTCTAAAGAGTCCCAGATTAATCCCTCATCATAGCTGCAAATCGAGGCGCAGGACGCTTTGACACTATCTGGCATCCACCGTGCGGCAGGATATTGGGTCGTGTCCACGCCCGTGGTCTGGTTGCGAGATCTGGGGTCAGTGTGGTATAGATGTCAGAGACGCCCAGAGAATGGGTGTACAGGACATGGCAGGGCAACGGTGGTGACACCTATAGTAGACTTCTGTGAAGCGATAGCATCAAGTCTATAAATATGCGTGCGATTTATCTCACATGGCCTGCCCAATTGTAAAATCCCCTCAGCCTGCCTGCGAAATCCCTCACTGTAATTGTTCGTGGTGGTGGCCGCAAAATTTTCCGGTACTGGAGATAACTTCAAAAATCCCTCAGTGGACCTTGCCTGAAACACCTTCCCATGTTTTGGCCACTATTAACTTGACTTTGTAGGTGAGAGAGTGTCTTCGCTTCGTGTCAAGTTTTCCTGTCCAGGCGTAAGAGGTTGGGGATGATTCTTAAATACTGCGTTTTGGAGCGAGGTCAAGTAAGGATTGATGAGGACTCGCGTGGCGGGTCGACTTGAACGAGAATTGACGATTTCTTCTCCACTTAGGCAATAGATTAGCTGGAGGACTGACATAGGCCTGGACTATGGGTTTTCTCGTTACTAAGGAAGATTGTGGTGAGCCGTGGTGAGCCAGGAGATGTACGAATTACATCCGTACTTCAATACTCTAGGAAGCATCCAAAAAACATCCGTAATCGTAGGCAAAAAATTGTTCAGAGAGAACACGATGGAAGACTGGGTAGAAAGGCAATCCACAACTTTAAGTGACAGAGGAATTGGACCCCATTACACTCCTGGCGTCTCTACTCGCGTTCTGGTTTGCTAGACACAGTCTCAGAATCATGAGCTAGTAGTTAGAATGCCGCTTAAGCAAGTGTGATAAACTTCACTATTGTAAGCACGACATTGCTATCCACAGATATGCCAGTAAGTCCAAGACTATCGTTTGTAAATTTCTCAAAATACCTCTGTCTATTGCAAAAAATCTACAATTTCAATTATGGAAGCTGCAAATTGCAACTTTTTCTCAAGAAACAAAATAGATACCATCAAGAGGCGTAAATTTACATTTACCGACTACCCCCAATCGCACAGGACCACCCCCCAGGACTATCTCCCAGCACCCGTTCCTGGAGAGACACGGAATTGTTGTCGTGGATCCCATCTCCATTTCGCGACAATTACCGCGACACCAGTTCCGATTCCACTGACTGGCGATGGCCCAAAGAGCGCGACGCGTCTGCCATATTCACCACCACATCCACCATGAGTCAAGACAAGATCAGTGCGTTTCTCGATGGAAACTCGTTGGTATGGTACCACGAGGACTCCAAGAACCTCATTATCGGGAACAGCGAGGGTCTCCTCAAAATATTCAATGTCAACGAGCCAGATCTCGAGCCAGTATCCATCGATATCAACGAGAACTTGACGGCTCTCGCTGCCCACGGAAACACGCTAGCTTTGACGTGTACTAGTGGTAACCTCGAGCAGGTTTCGTTGGAAACCAACCAGTCCAAGGGCTCAGTCTACCGCTCGGAGCTTCCGTTAAGGGACGTTATTTTCATCAACGAAGGGAAACGGATCTTGAGTGGAGGTGACGACAACAAGTTGGTGATCCTCGACGTCGAGACGCAGAGCAACCCCAATATCATCTCGTTGCCAGACCAATTGCTAAACCTCTCGTACAACCACACCGGCGAAATCTTGGCCTTGAGTCTTGCCAACGGTAACATCCAGTTGTACTCGGTGATCAACGAGGTGCCCAGCTTGATCCACACCATCAATAACGCGTTGCCAACCAAGATCCACACGTCCTTGGAAAAGATTGACTACAATGACGAACACAGGGACGAGCTTGTAAGTACCAAGACCCTGTGGTCAAGTAACGGAACCCACTTGGTGTTGCCCTCTTCAAACAATACAATCAAGGTTTATGATCGTTCAGACTGGTCTGAAACCAAGGAATTCACTATTGAAGGTTCCATTTGGGACTTTGCCCTTGTCGAGCCATTTCTTGTGGTCCTTAAAGAGAACAGAGTTCAAGTGTTAGACTACACCTCCAAGAGAATCGTTGCAGATAAGTCCTTTGACTTGGAAGGTAACTTGGCATTGAATGTCGCTGTCAATGAAGGTGATGTGTACATTGGAACCTCAGGAGGGGAGGTCATCTCGTTCAAGGGATTATTGGAGAGATCCAGCGAACCACAACCTTCAAAATCCAACGGTATATCCAGTCTCTTCTTGGACGAGGCAGAAGAGGACTCTAATGATGAAGCGGAAGATACTGATGCTTTGTTACGTGATTCAGATGACGAACCAGAACCCAAAAGACCAAATGAAAATGGTTACAGACTACATCAAGAAGATTCCATGGTCATAGACGAAGAAGAAGAGGATTTTACCGAAAGAAGAAAGCGCCATAAGCCCAATGGGTTCATTCCTCCTAGGCACATTCCTACTCAGGTGCCTGTGGAAGATCTCAAGCCGTACTCACCCGGTTCAACTCCATGGGGCGGCCTGGAAAATAACCAAAGCTCTTCTACAGATAGAAGATACTTGTTCATGAACTCAATAGGGTATGTGTGGGCTGTTAAGAATATTGCTGACTCTGAATCCACGAATCAACAGAGTATTACAGTATCGTTTTTTGATAGATCAGTACACAAGGACTATCATTTTGTTGATTATTTCCAATATGATCTTTGCTCAATCAATGACAAGGGTACCTTGTTGGCATACTCAGGTCACAAAGATAAAAAATCTACTGATAACGCAAAGATATACTATAGAAACCATGACTCCGAGCAGGAATCCTGGGAGAGAAAAATTCCATTGTTAAAAGAAGAATACCTAACCTCAGTCTCAATCACTAGCTCAGCCCAGTCAACCGGAGATGCTACTATCGTGGTTGGAACTAATTTTGGTTACCTCAGATTTTTCAATCACTATGGTGTTTGTATCAATATTATGAAGACTACCCCAGTTGTCTCATTAATTTCCTCATCCGCATCCGTCTTATTTGCCATCAACCAGCTTACGAATGGCGTGTATACCTACAGTATCATCGATGTCAATCTGGACTATAAATATATCCAACAAGATGTTTTGTTGCCATTGAAAAAGCCAACCAACCAAGATATTCCATTAATAAAGGGTACTTTTTTCAATGAATTCAACGACCCTTGCTTAGTCGGCGGGGCTGACGATACTCTTCTTGTTCTCCAAGCATGGAGGGAACCTGGAAATTCCAAATGGACTCCTTTGATGAATTGTCATTCGATAGTGACAGAAGATGGCAACAATAGCAACAAGAAGAATTGGAAGTGCTGGCCGTTAGGATTATACAAGGACCAACTCAGTTGTTTGATCTTGAAAAACAATAAGCAATATCCAGCCTTTCCATTACCATTGCCAATAGAGTTGGAGATTAAATTGCCAATCCAGATACGGGAGAAGTCTCAGAGTAAAAGAAAAGCTGACGGTGACTTGCTAGATGACGACGATGAGGAGCAGAAGACTCCAGAACCAGAAAATCCGGAGGAAATCTTCTTAAGGTCTTTGACTATGGGTAAGTTGGTGAGTGAAGCATTGAACGACGACAATCACAATGAAGAGCAAGACGAGATCATGGAGAGATTGACACAATACAGTATGATGTTCGACAGGTCGTTGCTTAAGATGTTCGGTGAGGCATGCAAGGAGACCCGTTTGAACAAGGCATTGAGCATTGCTAAGATGATCAAGACAGACAAGGCGTTGGCGGCCGCAGCCAAAATCTCGGAGAGAATGCAGTTCATGACTTTAGCCACAAAGATAGGCAAGTTGAGAGAGGAGTTGGTCAGTTTGAGCGACGAGGAAGAGTAGGATGCTGGTAGTAAGGATGTATACTACAAGAGTGAATATGAAGACAGAGTATTCTCCATTGATCTGTAGAAGATAATTTTGAAGAACCATCGCCAACTGCTACGTACTGTGTCAATAAACGTTCATTTAATATGTACAAGGAAATCATCCTAGGATATGATACAGCCGATCCAATCACGACTTCAGTGGTGGCTATTTGGATCGTCTTCCATCTCACCTAGAACTGCTTTCTGATGAAGTGGTAAATGATGGGGGCAGCCCACAAAGCACCGGCAATGAGTCCGGAGTACTTGACGGTTTCGTAGGCGTACTTCTCTTGAAGCTTCTTGGTGTCTTCACTGCTTGGACCTCCGTACATGGTGATTAGTTATGGCCAGTTGCTGTTGGTGCCCGAAAATTTTAAGTACTCTGGTGGTTCAGACACGATTGGTGTACTGAGCCAAAAATTAGTAGCACTCTCCACGACTAGCGGGTCCACATCTAGCGCCATGACGTCTATCAAGCCGTTCCAGATCGAAGACCTCTTCGAGGTGAATGCCGTCAACTTGGACCCATTGACTGAGAACTTCAACGTGTCGTTCTACCAGCAGTATCTCACGGAATGGCCCGATCTCTTCTTCAAGTCCACCGAGATCTACGCTGGCACCACTCCCGAAATAAGCGGCTACATGATGGCCAAAACCGAAGGCTCATTGTCCAAGAAGGAGTGGCATACCCACATCACGGCGGTGTCGGTCCAGGATACCTACCGTAGGTTGGGGTTGGCGTCGCAGTTGTGCAAGCAGCTCGAGCGTCTTACCAGCGTGGACGCCTACAACACGCTCTTTGTGGATCTCTTCGTCAAGGTCACCAATAAGCAAGCGCGCCAGTTATACGAGGGCTTGGGCTACAGCGTGTACAGGCGAGTGATAGGATACTATGGGAAAGAGATGCCCACGGACCGCACCGTGATAAACGACTTGGTGGATGGGTTTGATATGCGAAAGTCGTTGCCGCGGGACGTGCACAACGAAACGGTGCGAGAGAACGGCGACAAGGTGTGTGTGTTGCCGAACGAGGTGGTGTTCTAGGGACTGTACTCCCTCGAGTATGTACTAGAGGATTAGACATAAATGGCTGAAAATTCCAAGGGCAAGTCGCGAGACTGTCGCTTGCACTTCCTACTGAAGAATATTGCATCTTGGAGTGGTTTCATTTCATAGCCCTTGAGAATCTGCAATATAAAAAGTACTAGAGGTATGTCAGTTCATTCTGGGCCTTCTTGCAATTGAGACTCTCCATGTTATTGAAGACTTATGTGAAAACCAATTCTCGTTGGCACAAGAATGAGGCTAGGTTTGTCCAGGTATACTATAGTTCCAAGGAGATGGAGGTCCGGGGATCCGTGCACCGTACCAAATCAAACCAAACTCGGAAAATCGAGTCTAAGTCATACCTTTTCACTTCCCTTCATTAATTGACATAGGTTTTCCAGTCAAGTCTTTCCATCGCAAGGAGAATCTTCATAGATTGCCCTGGCGTACTGGGTATTTCCGATTGAGTATCTAATTAAAGCATGATGCATAAGTTACAGTAACTTCAGAAGCTAATAAAATGATTTAATAAAGGTGATTCTGCTGGAGAACTACCCTAATTACCAGCAGCAAGTAATGTGCTAGCTGTAGAGAGTCAATGGGTTACAAATTGGCACTAGACTAGTCGACATTACTGTGTAAGTGTGACGATTCTTGTCAGCTTCATAACAACGTGCAAGATCAGTAGGCATTTCTTCCCAGGAAAACGGAATTACAATCAGGCCAAGTTCCTCCTCAAGCTTGTAGTTGTGTTACACGTTTTGATTTAACACACCTACTACAATACCCTTAAGAGTAAGGAGTCCATTGTAATTTATAACCTACCATAATAACTCTACTCCAACTCCGTTCTGCGTGTTACCCGCTTCTATTTGCAGGTTCCGTGCAGCAACGATGCGGTGAGTAATAGCCCGCCTGTGTATGGAGAACTACGCTTACGTAACCAGGGTCCCAGAACTCCGCAAAATGGGCAATTCTAGCAGGACCAGCGTGCTAGCGCAGCCAATGCTCTCACACAGCTGGTAGCACCCCTCTGGATACCCGCTACCAGGAACCCCTCTTCACCAGCGTTCCGCCCCTCTACATCTCCCCAGAGTTCTCCACACCTCAGCGCGGCACGTGACCTTCTCCCGCCTGCAGGCGTGTCAGGTCATTAGATTTAAAAAGGGCAAAAGTTGCAACGAATTTACCCACACCAAAATGCCCTACCGTAACATGCTCCTCAAGAGGTGGACCCGTGAGGACGGAACCCCCAGTGGTTCCAGCTCACGTGCGGAGTCCAGAACCCCCATGGCCGAAGACGATAGTGACTACGAAGAAGACGGAGAGTCGGACTTGCAAAGAATCCAGGAGCTTTTGAGCCGGAAATTGGAGCTGTTGCAGACAGAAAACGAAAATCCTCTCAACAAGGTGCATACTGCCGGAGACGCTAAGCAACACGCTGCATTGGCTGTGAACAAGAGCATCATCGAGTCCCAGTCCACCACCATCAACGACATCATCGCCTCGTTGGGATTGCCCAGAACCGAAGTTTCCACCTTATCTAGAGAGTTGCTCTTGGCTCAATTGTACAAGTTGGTGGTTTCCAAGCCATTGGTGGTGTACAACGAAGAACACCAAGGTAGTGCCCACTTTGTGGACGAAGAAAAGATGCAGAGGTTGGTCAATCATTTCACTGGTGGTAACTACAGGTCTGATGTCGAGTTCTTATATTTGTTCAGATCGCTAGCCACCCTCATTGTGAGTAATATTGACGACTTTGGCGAGTTCCTCAGTTCTGATTTCATGGAGCAAATTGAAAAATTGATCACTGAACCTACAACCAGTGTAATCACCAATGACAACAAGGCCAACCTTATTTCTGGATATGTGACGCTTTTGTTGGTGCTACACCACGGATCTTCCAGTTTTGGAATTGATGACAAGATCAATTGGTTGATTGATATTGCCGAGGGCTTCAGTATGAGTGCCTTGACTTTACGTAAGAATGTTGAGACAGGGGATAGGGAGCACTCCACCTTTTTCGATGCCAACGTTGACAAAAATCTTATTTCTGAAGCATGGGGTAAAGTCGCTGCCGAAGTCAGTGTCGCGGTTGCTGCATTGCATGGTATCGCCTGTCTTTTGACCTTATTAGAACGTGGTGACTACCTCAATGAACTCAGCGAGGATTTAATGCTCAAACTTGTGGTTTTGGTAGATAACGATGAGATCCGTGAGATTGCAAAAGCTGCTGGCAGAGTGATAGCGGTTATTTATGAGTCCTATCTGTATGACGAAGATGACGAGGATGCTGACGACGAGGAGTATAATGCCAATGCTCCTTATTACGAGCAGGAAGCCTTGTTCTCCATTTTTACCAGATTGACCAATCTTTCTTCGAAGAAAGTGTCTAAAAAAGACAAGAAGGAATTCAATTCTGTGTTCAGAAATATCTTACACACATTAGAAGCGTATGTGGACTCTGAGAAGAGATCATCCATATACAGGAAGACCCCTGAAGGGGTGGAACTAATCAACTCAATTATGGACTCTACCTATATCAAGCTTTCCAAGTTCAAATCCTTATCGATCAATAGCTGGTTCCTCTATGCCAGATTGAGGCACTTGAGATGGGCCTTCAGTTTTGGACTCCACAACCAATTAGTGGCGAATGAAAGCATCCGTGATATTTTGAAAGAGCCCGAGACAGAATTCAAGTCATATGACCAGTACGACTTCGATGCTTCTAAGTTAGAAAATGAACAAGCTTATGCTGAGTATGCCAGCGAATTGTTGGACCACAAGCACATTTCGGACGATAAAGCTAGATCGAGAAAGATCAAAAAGGAAAGAGTAAACAAGATGACTGCTCAGTTCGAGGATATTGAGCTAGCTGATACCAAATAGTTTATACACCTAAAGCCATTTCATGTATTATAAAAAATTCTCTTTGTAGATCTGATTCGCCTGTAATTTTCACACAATTCTCGGAATCCAAAGAAACAATTGGTGCTACCATTGGATTAGACTCTGCTCAACTGAAACTTGATCAGTTCTCTGGAAAATATCACTGAATTTAATGCTCTATTTAAACACAATTTTGGTACTACTGTGAAAAAATGTACTTTAAACAACTATCACCTTCTTGAACATTTTTCAGGAGCTAGATGAGATACCGGACTGGCCAAGCAGTTAAACACACCATTTCTATGAAAAAGAATATTGATTATAAAAGGGACCGGGGAAAAGTTGGAGATTCTAAATCCAATACTGCACAGGTCAACTGCACAGTCCCACTCCTGCAGCTACTCGTCGAGGATCGCTCTAAGTTGACTACAATGGAGAAAGAAGTCGTTACAGCATTAATTTATAGTTGTCATATATGTGTGGTCGCGTGGGTACATCCCACTGGGGTTAATTCTTTTTAGATGTTGGCAAGACTCGGAGCTCCGTAATTGCAATCGCCGCAATCACTCTATAAGTTCTTGGTGGAGCTCGACTCAGCCTGCATAAACATCACTTCTGGGTCCAACAATCCCATCTTGGTGAAATCAGGGTGGGGAAACACACAAATTCGTGAGTCGCTCAACCAGAAAAACGCTTCATCAAGAGTATACCTCCACTGGTTTTGGCCAAACAATTTGGTGTTGTAGTTCTTGTACCAGTAGATATAGTCGATCCACACGTTGGACTTGTCGTCGACCTCAAACCGGGTGACGATGGAGTAGCACGCGAAAATGAAGAGGATGCGGAGAGCATAGAAGTTCCTCTCGTAGAGCAAGTCCCGGAAGTCTGACAGGAGCAAGATGAGCCACCGGAACAATGGAACGGGGTAGTTCCAGTGAATGCACTTGCACACGCACTCGTGCAACAACCGCACGGTCTCCTTGAGGACCTCCAGGGCACGGAGGATCTTGGAGTCGAACACGTCGTAGCCCTGGGTCAACTCGGTCAACTGGTCGCGCAAGCTGGCGATGATGGGATACACACACGTTTCCAATGGCGGGATCACGAGCTTGTCATCCTGCAAGGTGGTCAAGCCCTTGTAGTTCGTCTGGGCTATGATGGGAGTGCAGATCTGGAGGGTGGAACGGATTCCCTTGGTGATGGAGATGATGTCAGGCTCGTCCGTGTTCCAGGCGAGCAACGGTACTACTTTGAACGGGTGGAGGCACACGTAAGAGAACAAGAGGATGGACGAAATCGTCATTTCTGCTGCCAACTCGGGGCTGGGCGGCAGCTGCTCCAACGACGAGGTCTTGAGCTCCAATTCGATCAAGATGTTGGTTTTCTGGATGGCGCTATTGAAGTAGGCGTTGGTGGTGTCGCAGAAGTTCTGCTGGTTCTCGTAGAACGAGAGGCTGGTGTCGATCAAGTCCGAGATGCTGTTGCTGGAGCGTGTGGCTGCGAGCTGGTAGGGAATGGCCTCCTGCACGCTGGTCAAGCCGAACAACGGAAACAAGTTCAATGCTGCAAACGAATAGACGCTGTTGCGCACCAAGCTGCTGCGCAAAAAGAGTGACGGCACCATATTCTTCCATACGTTATGCACGTCCTTGTTGACACCAAACGAGAACAACGGCACGCAGAAGCTGTCGAAGAAGTTGACGAGGCGGAGCTCGTACCTCGAGATGCCGAGGTGCGAGGTGGGGCTGGCGAGAGTGAACGTGGCCACCAATTGGTCGAAGGTAAAGTAGCTGTCGGGGTTTTCGAGGCCTTTCTGGGCTCTGTGGGCGAAGAGCGACACATCGCGGAGGCGCCGCGCCTGGCGTGACGACTCGGAAATGATGGAGACGGCCGTCTCTTCGTCTGGGTAGATGCATTCGCGGTTGGTGTGGAGACAGTACTCGCAGCGAGGCCTGTCTTCGTTGCACTGGAGGTTAGCAGGGTGTTCCAAGAGTAGTGAATTAAGCGTGCTTAACGGGACATACCTTGATCTTGAGCCGCTTGCAGCTGGCGCAGCCTTTGCGCGATCGCTTGCTGGGCATGGGGTGGCGTGGAGGTGGTCAATGGCAGATCACCACTCTGGCTAGCGTAATGAGAATGGTCATCTGGGGTCGTGCCGGGGCGAGGGCACCCTAATGCCAGTGCTGCAGCGCGCGTCCAGGGGCAGTGGCTAACGGTACGATGCCCGTCCCGCGCGCCGCCGACGGATGGACCCGGTGCAGCGGGAGTGACTCACGTGCCGCGGCCCTGCAGGAATGACATCATGCGGCCAGTCCTCCACCACCGGCTGGTGCTACATCACCTTCAGACGACTGGTCGTGTGTGCATGGCGTTTCACCCACCTCCACCACACCAGCACTACCCACACCACACCACTACCAGCCCCACCAGCCCCACCAGCACGACTCCCATCACCGCACCACCCCCTACCACCACTACCCACCAAACACCCAGTGACTCATTACGTAAGCCTCCCTCACCAGATCTGTTCCAAATCGTCTCCCAACTCCCACACCTCCACCATGAGTGAGCTCTACTTTTTGAGGCACGGCCAGCGAATAGACCATGCGTTGGCCCAGAACCCCGATGCCACTCCCTTGACTTCCGACTACCACCAGTACGACCCGTCGTTGGCGTCGTCTGCCACGGCTCAAATCAACAAGGTGGCCTCAGACATAGCTGGGTCCACCACGGCTTTCACAGCAGACGCCGACTCCGGACCCGCCAGAAAGAACGTGTTCATCCACTTCAGTCCCTACTTGCGCTGCTGCCAGACAGCAGACCTCTTGATCACCGACCTCAAGGCTGTGTTCCTGCAAAAGTACCCTCACTACAAGGTGCGGTTCCAGCTTCTAGGAGACTTTGCGTTGAGCGAGTGGATTCACGACAGAATGAGGGACAAGCCCCCATTCATCGACTCCAACGACGCCTACAACATGTACACTCCCAACGTCAAAGCAATGGCCAACAAGTCAGCATGCTCCAACTTCAGACCCACCACCAGCTTGGGGCCCTTCAACGGACCAGACTTGAGCTACAAGGACTACCAGGCCAGGTGCAAGAACTATTTCCAGAAGTTGCTAGCCACCTACGACAAGCCTGCGTACATGCGCAACAACGACATCATCATCGTGATATCGCATGGGTACGTCATCAACAACTTCATCTCGTACTTCATCAACCACCCCATCTTCGACGAGATCCCCGAAGCTGCCATCAACTACGCCAGACGCATCAGGCTCGACGAGCTGGCCGCAGATGACGACGACTTTGCTCCCGAAAACTATACCTGGAAGTTGCTCAAGGACTCGTTAGACATGTTCGTGCACGACGACGTGGATACCACGTTGAACCTCGAGAACGACGTGGTCTACTACCAGACCACATTCATCAAGCGTGACGAGTTGAAGAACCCCAAGCCTGAGTCGTCGCTCCAGTTGCCAGCGTTCGAAAACCCCAGACCTTCGTTCAAAATCGAGCTGGCCAAGGATAACCACGAGAGCCCAGTTGTGGCTAAGAACTATAACCCGCTATGCTCGTCTGCTCGAGACTGGTCGCCCCAGAAAATTAAGCATTTTAAAATCAAGGCCGATTTCAAGTTGAAGGTCATGAACGACGAGTCGTTCAAGAGGACGTTCAGCCTCAACAATAAACCCATCAAACCCATCAGTCCTGAAGTATCGCCTAATTCCGAACCCACCAGATCCAATTCTGTGATTGACTTGACCAAGCTTCTGGGAAACGACGATATTTACAAGCCGTTGCAATTGAAGTATTCTTCGGCTTCAGAAGTTCCCGTCCATACATTAAACTCAAAAGTCAACTCTCAGGTCAATCTAGCACAAGCATTGAGATCGGGAGGTTCCTCAAATGATAACTCTTCAGTCGACTTGCCAAAATACGTTGCATCTCTTACCAACAGACGAAGATCCACATCCAACCCTGGTGCGGTGTATGTGGCCCACAGTGCCAAAGATTCTTACTTTCCCCTGGGTGTTAGTAAGGTCAAGTCCTTGGGGTCCGACTATTCGCTTGACTCGAATTCTTTTGGTGATAATGAGGACTTACATATCATCAAGGAGCACCACAACGAACCTTTGCAATTGAACAAAGCAAACGTCGCCAACTCAGATCATACTCACTCTATGCCCCCAGCGCCTGTGCCAGCTCCTTTGGTTGGGGACTTGAACAGATCAAGATCTTTGAACTATAACAGGACAGGAAGCAAATCGTTGCTTGCCAAGTACCAAAAGGTACACCAGCAAAATGACAGCGACGAGAGTGATGACAACATGCAGAATAGAATGTTCATGTTCTCGTTGAACAACAGACACGGCGACGACAGCAAGAAGAATATTGGGTCTACCTCGCCGCCTATCAACCGCACGAGATCGAGAAAGAACTCTATCAAGTTCATTCCTTCATTGCAAGACAAAACCGTGTCGCAGCTGGCTAGTCCTGGAGACGACGGCCTGAAACCCAAGGTGGAGAAGAAGAAAAAGTCCATTTTCTACCACTTTAACTCGGACGATAGCAACTCCAATTCAGAAAGTTCTGATGAGGAGGAAAGTGAATCGATCATTGGTAACAACAAGAAGAAGGAGCAGTATATATGGTTTGGGCAAAATCGAAATTAGAGAGTCGGTGAAGCTAGATATAGCTAGCTGGCATATAGAATAGAAAGCAAACGTAGACAGGTCACCCAAGCGTAACTGGCCAATCGTGGAAAAACCCAAATTATCTGTATCTTTAGCGGACATATGTTTTTCAAGGTACAATAATGAAGTGATTTCATTAAAGTAGTTCAGAAACAAATATCCTGGTCGTTGGTTGTTTCTGTAGAATCCCTAAGCGTAAAGGATGGTTGTTGGGCCATTTAGACCAGATAATGGCCAGTATCTGGTCATAACTACCAAGACCAAACAAAAATAAATTGGGGTATTAGATCGCTACTATATTGGATCTGCTAACAGTGCCTAGCTCTGTTAACGAGTACTGAGTTCTTATATCGAAGTATCTGCTAGACTGATTAATCGATTACACCATCTCTGTTAGGCTAGTTTCCCTAACTTTTCGTGACCCATCTGATCATTCAGGTTCTAGATCAAAATTGCTCCTCTTGTCAACAAGATAGTTCAATTTGGTAGCAGCAGTGACTCGTATCTGGTCCTTCTGCTCACCTGTTTCAAAAACGGCACTTAGATATTCTTCATACCACACTTCTGAAACGCTTTCGAGTCCAATCATCCTCAAAACATCCTTACCACCATACTCTGAGACACGATCTGCCAAACATCTCCACTGCTTCTTGTACAATCTGCCAGTTTCATACGCCATGTGGTCATGTTCACACTCGCTCGCTACACTGTTGCAACTTTTTGCTGCAAATTTGAGACAACCCTCATACGCTGCAATAATGAGCAACAACGCCCATAGGAACATATAAGACGACAAAACCTCCTCTAAAGCTCGCCATGATTGCCCTCGACTTCCACCCTTCGCTCTTTCATTCAACTGAAAGTCTAGTTAGCGAGCTTGACTCACTGTCGGTTTTGCAACATGACCAGCCGCCGTTACCTGAGCAATCCTCCACCAGTTCAAATGTCCAGAAGATTTATTGCTGGGAGAGAAGGTGTCTGCTAAGGCGCTGGATGTCTTCCATTGTCCATAAATATCGTGGGCACACACTAACACGGGCTGTCGGCTATTTCCGACGTTCGTCACCCAAATCACCACGGCATGACCTTCTTCGTGGGTACAAGTACTCAGATCTGACGGAGCTTACCGAGCCGTTACTCTCCAAACAATCGCGCCATGATAGTGCTATCGCTCCTTGCTACAGCTCGTTGTTCAAGATGAACAATGCCAAAACCCTCCACAGGCAAGATTGGGAAGACCATCTACTATATTTGCAACCCAACACAAGCACCTATGCCATTGACCAGTTCCTAAAAGACGATATGAGCCGTACCTCACTACTTGAAGCACTCCAATGTGGTCTTCGACAGGTGAAAATTTGAGATAGCGGTCAACCGATCCTAGTATCTGATTGGGTACCGCGCCATTCTCTTATCAGAAGAAGCGCATTGACTATCTCTGGCCATCCCCGAAATGCTTGGCCAAAAGAGCTGATATTCTAACTTTCCCTGGTATGACCTCCAGGTCTAGCGCTAGTTTCAAAGGGCTCCCAGTCTTAGCATCCGCCTTGTTGCTAAGCGGGACGCCATAGTGGGGTTGTATTGATACCTACTCGTTCTATGCACACCGCCCCACACTCCAGGGTGTGGCAGCCGCGAAACCGAAAGTCCGAAACGTGATCATTTCCCCAAGAAATTCGTCGTTTCAGCTGAGGAAAACGGACCCTACTATTTGTGTTACACGATACACTTCTTCTTTCCTCGATACCCACTCAAACATGCCATACTCGACAGGAAGGGGTGGTGCTGGTAACATCCAGTCATCACCAAGCATATCGTCTCATCAGCATGAATCTACCGATTCCCAGCCACGAAACCCAATCTCCCCTTCTAGCTCTCAAGAGGGGTCAGGGCACAAGAAGATTTACTACTCTACAGGTAGAGGAGGTGCCGGCAACATACAAAAGTCAGACTCGGCCCCATCGCCAAAGTTGGTTCCTCAAGGAAGCAATACCCCAAAGTTGCACACTGACAAAGTATCTACCGGTAGAGGCGGATACGGGAATATGGTCAGCAATGATGATCCTGAGTTGACTCGCAAGTTGCAGGATGTCGATGGTCCCAGCAAGGACGACTTGCATGCCGTGGCTTCGAACAAATCATTTTCCGTTGGAAGAGGAGGCTTCGGAAACGTGATATCCAAGACGAGATCGGGTGCCAGCAGTCAGGGGCTGAGTGAAAACCACTTATACACCATCACCAGTCACGGAGAAAAGTTGAAGAAGGATAAGAAGAAGGGGATTTTCGGAAAGATAAAGGAAGTTTTCAACACCTAACGAATTACATAGGAATAATTAGATCATAATATAATGAACCACGCTATGTCTATTATCAAAATATCTACCTTACTGGCTCAATAAGTACTCCTTGAGCTTGGCCAAAGCCTTGTATCTGTGGGACAATCCATTCTTGACCAGCTTGTCCATCTCAGCATAGGTTTGGTCGTATCCGTTTGGCTCGAAGATGGAGTCCCATCCGAAGTTGGTAGGTCCTCTCGAAGAAACGATTTTTCCCTCAGTGATACCTTGGAACAACTTCACTTCTTGTCCTGGTCCCTCGCAGTATCCGATGGTAGTGATGGCTCTAGCACCCTTGTCTTCGAACTTGTACAACATGTCGACAATACCTGCCAAACCCAATGATTTGACGAACCATTTGATGTATGGTCCAGGCAAGTCGTTGAAGGCAGTGAAACCCAAGCAGGTGTCTTCCACAAGCACTGGTCCGCCAATGATTTCGGCAGCAGACTTAGCCTTATGTATGGTGACTTCATCGATGGTGCCCTGGACCTCGTCGAGATCAATGGCTTGGTTGGTGATGGAAAAGTTACCCACTTGAGTCAGGGCCTCCTCGGAGGTGGAGAGGATAGCAAGCACTTCCTTGAGCTTGTTGGCGTTACCAGTAACGAAAGTGATTTGGGGCATTTTGGTGGTGACTAATAGGTGAGAGAGTCTAAAGCGATGCGATGGTGGAAAGGGTGTAGTGCGAGTCCAGTGCGAGCGTAGGGGGCCTCGTGCGGAGCTAGCGAGAACTGGCAGAAAAAGCCGGCAGTAGTGCGACAGTGTCAGTAAAACTGGTGCTGTGCTGGAAGAAGATAGGGTCAGTCCAGTCAATCCAGCCTTTTTGACCATGCAAACTCGTCCGAGTATACTAGCCCACGAGCCACTGGTATAGACTGGCTCCTGGTGGAGCAACAACGTATTACATGCGAAACTCATCTTTAGCTAATGAACCAACTAGTAACTTCCTACTGACGTATTCTATGCCATTATATTCCTTATGTACAATATATACACAGCAAGCTGTGCTGACGGCCAACGGCCCACATGGCACTGGGTCCCTGACAACTGCTAACATCATCTATATCTTACCCAATCTCTTCATCAATGATCTCTGCTCTCTTCTTCTCTTTCTCAACTTGTGCTTCTTCATCTTCAATCTTCTCTTTCTGAGAACAGAGTCCATGTACATGGTCTTGTCTTCTTCAACAACAGGTTCTTCGAACGCATTCATGGGCAACTTGTCGAGTATACTCAACTCGGGTTGTATGTGGGAGACCATGGTGTGTGGAGTGGTCACTGTGACTGAAGATGGAAATAATCTTGCCGCTAAAGGAGCAGCTGTGAAGCGAGGCACTCTGGCCACGCTGCTAAGCATCCGCAACGCGGTGAATGGAAGTCTTTGCATCATGGTTCTGGCCCCAAACATGTCTGGCGAGTTCACTCTCCTTGAATTTTTTTCAAGGCCCGGTGATTGTGTGCATGAAATATCACGTGATGCTTTCTAGAGACAACCATGCTCTATCTCGATATTGACTACCAATGCATCGCTGGTGTCGATGTAAAAGCCGGAAATGCCCGCAACACTGTTGCTAGAGCTCACCTTGCCTCCAATGAGACTGTGCCAATTTTCCACGTCGTATTTCAACCCGTAGGAGTTCAACACCACTGGTCGGTTGCCCATAGGAAGCAACCCACAACACGGCAACGTACTGGTGTGGAACTGGTTCTTATTTCCGTACGACACGTAGTTCTTGCCCTTCTTGGCCAAAAAAATTATGTCGTCGTTGGTGATGAAGAACTGCTGGATATAGGGAGTGGACTCGTTCATGGAGTACATCTGGCTGATTGACTGGACCGTCTGATCGAACCTGCCACCAATTCCGCCCAAGTAGTAGATACGGGTGGTTTCCTCGGAGTTCGAAGCCTGTGCTTTCTCTGCCATTTCAGCAAGACCGTTGTAAGTGTCGATTTCGTCGTAGAGCGATTGCCTCACGGAATCCAGCAAAAAGTAGAGTCTGACCACCAAGGCAGCCTTCATGAAGTCCGAGGAGTACTGGGTCTGTTGCTCCACAACGACAGCACCCCTGTCTGAGTAGTAGTGCTTAACGTCTGTTCGCAAGGAGTCGAAGTCTCCCACGATGAACTGGGGGATGTGCTGAGCTCTGGCTTCAGGATCCTGGAAGTAATCATAGAGCTGGTTGGCTCCCCCGTCGGCACACACGTGGAGCTCAGTGTTGCCCCAAATCTTGAGTAAATTGATGGCGCCAATGGACTGGTTCAAGATCACCAACGCAGTGCGTGGCTGGAGACGGAGGAACTCAAACGGCTTGATCCAGTTAACGTCTTCAGCGGCACTGGGCTCTGTCACCTCTAAGAGGTCCGCTCGTTCGATCACCAACTCCTCGTTTCCCATGCCAGTAGTGATAGTTCCCTGATCCCACACCAGTTCACAGCCAATTGATAGTGGCGCGCACGACCCGCACCTCAGCTATCATCAACAATTCACCATTGAGAGCCACCCAGACTAACTGCCATGAGTTCGAATCCGCCCACTGCGCCTGACACTGCAGGCCCCGGCCAAGCGCAGGCCAGCATCGTTCCCAGAGATGTGCGGTTGTTGCACTTGATTTTCGCCACCCAGGGCATTCAGAACTACCAGGACCATGTCCCATTGCAGTTGATGGACTTTGCCCACAGTAAGTATAGTGAGAGAGTTATTGATAGATTCTAGTGTTGATTATGGATAAACAAGACTTTTGATTTGAATGTTGAACTGCAATGGCTATCAAATACCACTTTCAGTGGCGAATATGCCATGATCATCTATTCCCAATGATTCTTAGTTCAATTACTACCAAACTCATACTAACCCCAGGATACACCAAGTCTGTGTTGAAGGATGCGCTCACCTACAACGACCATGCCAAACCCTCGGGTGCCTCCACCAACAATACCACTGTCAACACCGACGACATTCGGTTGGCCATTGCCGCCAGAACCAACTACCAGTTCAAGCCTACGCCGCCCAAAGAGTTGCTCTTGGAGTTGGCGGAGGAAAGAAATGCCAAGCCGTTGCCGCCAGTCATACCCAAGTGGGGCTTGAACCTTCCCCCAGAAAAGTACTGTCTCACAGCCAGAGACTGGGACACCTTGGAGGAGGAAGAGGAGGAGAACGTCAAGAGACAAAAGAATGAATAAGGGGAGGAGGAAAAGAATGAAGTGGGAAGAACGAATGTAAGAATATCTCAGACAGATTATGAAGAGAAGATGATGGGTGGGGAGATAACCTCCGAATATCCTTGAAGATGAAAGCTATCCAATTATCCTGGAAAATACTATCTTGAGACGTAAAAATTTCACGAGGAGAAGAACGTCAAAGATAGCACGAAAATGGCCCGAACCACGTTGAAGGGTCCCCTGTACACTAGTAATATATGCCGTGAGCACTGTAATGGTGAGTTTGATAATTCCGTTGTAAATATAACGTAGATTGACAGTTTTGCCCATCTGATATGTTTCCCAAGTGAATTGTAGTATTTCAGAAAGGGTAGAATAAAGGGTGGGACTTCTATGTGTGTCTACATCTTGGGCTTTTATGGTACCTTAGCCAGTCCCTAACTACGTTCTCTTGACGTGCAATTGGATTGGAGAAAACCAAACTCCCAAGAGATAAATCTTAAGAAATAAGGATATCGTGAGGAGTCCAAGAATCATCAAATTACTGAAACTCATTTAATTCTTTTGAGATTAATTGGGTGCAGAAATCCAACCTAAGGCCTAGAGATAATTCAGAAGTATTGCAACAAGAAATCCGTGAGATAAACCACCAAACACCCGTACAACTAATTACTCTTGCGATACTTTGGGAGAAAGAAATAAGATGTTGAAGAGATAAATTCAATACTCGAGTTATAATTGCACGTTTAATTAAACATTATTTGTGGGACGTGCAATAAAATCATCTACATCGCTACAGCCTCGCATCTAACATGTGCACCATTTCAGTAATGAGCTAAGACTGTTCGAAACACCACCCATTCACACAACCATCCAGTCCATACCAAAACGATGAAACTACTCCCATAACCACCTCTATCATATTTCACCGCCCCACCTTATACCAACCACGCCTTGGCTTGCCTCCACCCTCACCCATCACTGCCCAGCCCACCGTCACTATTTAGCCCCACCAGGCTGAGGGGCTTTTGTGTCACCTTTTCCATGCGTACCCACCAGTCGATCTCAGAAAACAACACGGTAGCGACAACGCCAGTGACGTTTCCTCAGCCACCACGACCGCCTGACTGAGACGTAAAGCCTGAACCACGCCCAGACTGGCCAATTGCACTCACCTCATTGTTTGAGCCGCTTTCCTTTTCCACCGTCATATTTGCCTCCACCTCCAGTCGACCTCGCTAGCCAACCACCACCATGCTTCCACCTACGGTCGCTTCGATCCCAGAAGCCAAGGAGGAGTACCTTGGATCCTCATTGATTGAGAGAACCGGCAGATTGCACTCCTTCGCCGACTTGGGCCCTGCCGACTTGTGCAATCTCCACAAGCAGTCCACCACATCGAAGAAGAATACCGAAATCGGGACCTTTTTATACTTCACAGGAGTAGACACCTCCAACTCGGCCTCCATAGCTGCTCACTTGCAGGGCTTGGCCACTTTGATTGGCTCCAAGTCCCAATACTGGTTTGGCGAGAAAAAGCACTGGAAAGTGCCCCAATTGACCTACTGTACCTACAACGCATTCTCCAAGGTCGATATGAGAGTCACAGTCCATATTCCCGGTAAATTTGAAAGCTCGATCGTCAACCATGAGGGCAAGTTAATCCAAGACAAAGTCAGCAAGGACGAAGCCGACAACTTATGGTTGGAAACCTTCGTCAGCTCCATTGTCAGATCGGTCCTTGATTCCGACGAAGACGATGCCAACAAAGTTGGAGGCTTGGTCGAAATCAGAAAGATAAATCCTTTCGGATCAAAGCTGATCTTGGATTCGTTCATGGCTGGTTTTGAAAAACTCTTCTACGATGGTCCAAAATTAGGTTGTGGTATCGAAATTCCCCAACCAACCTTAATCAATAATTACCTCGTGGACGGTTTTTTGAAATGTGTGCAGCTCGCCCAGAATTACGATCAAGCATTGGAAATATTGACTAGATTGCATGAAAATGAACCAAGCGTCATAACCTTGATTGCCCATGTTTATTTATTAATGGATGAAGAAGTCAAAGCCATCCAAGTGATGAACGAAGGTGTGAGTGAGAATAAGAGAGACGCCAACTTGGTCTTGTTACAAGCCCAATTCTGTCTCGATAAGAAGAGATATGATTTGGCTTTAGATTTATCTAAGCAGGCTGTCAAGTCCTCTCCTTCTGACTTCAAGACTTGGTCTATGTTAGTAAAAGCGTATACCAAGTTGGGTGACTTTGAAAATGCCTTATTGTCGTTGAACTCTTGTCCAATGAATTCTCACAAAGAAAAATTCAGCTTGAAGCGTGTTGTTCCATTAAGAAGTGGTAATGAAGATTTACATCTTCCTTCTCCAATTGATGTCACTTTGGAAGAGGTCTCTAATTTGCAAAGTAATGATATTGCTTATGAGCAAAGAAACTTGGATCCCCAGTTGAGTAATTTACCTGCTTCAAACTTGAAATCGACTTTTGCTCAAGCTTACGATTTATTAACTGAAATCGTTGTCAAAACTGGATGGGAATCTTTATTAAAATATAGAGCAAAAGTATTTGTCATGGAAGAAGAGTACAGGAAAGACAGAAATGGACATAAACAAACTCCCTCTGTCACCAATATTAATGAGGTTCCTAATGGAACAACAGAAGTCACCACTAATGGAGAAGCTAATGACAGTACTACTGAGCCCACCTTGAATCCAGATTCTTTGGTCGGAGAAAACGACGTTTCGTCAACTCTTGGAGTCAAATCACCTAAAAGAGAAGTTGAAACCGAAGCCAACGATGACGAATCTTATGAAAACGAATTCAAGAAAAAGAGATTGTGTGAAAGATGGTTAGATAACCTCTTCATGTTACTTTACGAAGATTTGCGTGCTTACACCATGTGGCAAGCAGAATCACTCCATTTCCAAGCACAACAAATGGAATACAAGAAGACCACTTTAGAGTGGGAAATTTTGGGTAGCATTGCTTATAGATTAAAGCACTACAAGGAAGGATCCGTTGCTTTCAACAATGCCTTGAGCGGTAGATTTTCTGCCAAGTCTCAAAGAGAAATGCTCAAGTACTACCAAATGGAGAGGTCCAAGATCTTGTCCAAGAACTCTACCAATTCCTCGAATGCAAACTCGGCTTCCACGAGCTATACCCACAATTACACCAAGATTGTCAACCAATTGAACGAAAAGATATTAGAGAGTACCATCAAATTATTGGTGTGGAACCATCGTTGGTACAGTGATTTCTCGCCTTCGTTGATAACTACCATCAGTGATTTGGTTGCCAAGGAAGGGCTCATCAAGATCCAATCCTTGGTTCAAGCAGTCTATTCAAATAATATCTCGACAGGTGGATCTGATTCTGTTGGAAACCATGGTATCACTGATATGATGGACTCTATATTCGAGTTTCTCACTAGTTACGCAGTCACAGGTGCCGATAACTAGCTTGTATAGAGCCAATAAATAGTGAAGCTCATTTATTAACACAGTACAATGGTGAGATGGCCGTTATTTTCAGAAAAGCTTGTAGGTAAGCTGGAGACAAGTTTGACCTGGCATACCAAGGTTTTGCCCTGCCAGTGTAGGTTTTCCCTAGTTATCAAAGACATGACCATACTTGAAGATTGTACTAGCCCTAAAAAGGTTTAGTGGACATTTGTAGAAACATACATACTACTATGGGATAATTGTGCTATACGACATATGAGTTTGTGACAACGCAATCACCCAAAGCAAAAATCGGAGTTATTGGATCTTTTCCATTTGTTCTGATTATTGAACCTGTTTCAAATAATAATCTTTTATATTCACTTTTATCACTAGTCATCGTTCTATGTACTTCGTACAAGAAAAGATTTCTTGATCTTATAGTGTAGCAGTCGGGAAGTATTACAAAGGGTGGTTCCGAGATAGATTCTCTCAATTGCCTATATGTAACTTTATATTGTTCATTTACCAATTTCTACACTCTAGCCCAGAGTCAACCAAACCTACCCTGTTGAATTATTAATTCCAACTGGATCTGCCAGCTAGCATGCTAATGGTCGTTCCCAGCTGCAATTTCCTGGTGTCAAAGTACGGATGTTTTACTAGTCTGGGCCAGTCCAATAGATCATACCATCACGTGCCATGGTGGAACCCATACTCCACCAGACCAACCCAGCCCAGCTGGGCCCCGCTTCGTCCCTGGGAAAGAGTTCACCTACTGCCCTCCTTCTTTTCTGCTTCTGATTCTGCTCGTAGTACTCTAACATGCAAGCTTCCTACAGATTAGCCATGCTCGGATCTCATCTCCAGACCCTGGCGGTGCCAACTCCGGAGTTTCCGATGCTATCAACAGAAGAAAGAAGCCTTTACGATGGGAAAACTTACTATGCTAGTCGTGGTACAGGTAGTGGCTGCTCTGTTCCATTGAGCCTGCTCAATGGCCTCAACCAGCGCAACTACTCCCACCTTCAAACCATCTCCGCAGCCATCACCAAGGTGCAACACTTGAGAGGAATCCAGAGTACGTCGAGGGAGTATTTGAACAACCCAGAAGGCAAGGTTCACAAGATCACCAAGATTGTTCGTGAATTCTTTGGTGTCACAGTTGGATATGTGGTTGTAGATGGCTTGCTGGTCCTCGAGAAAGAGTTCCACTCCTGGCTCCAGGAACCAGTATACATCTGCGAACTGCTAGACGATAGGGATGGGGAGGAGAGAGAAGGAGAAGTTGTGGGATACGAAGAGATTGCCTCGACTCTCGATAAGGTCAAATTTGCCCCTGTTGTGGTACTACAACACCCATTCACTGATGCAAAACTCCTCGTACAGAATATCAGACGGTTGAACACCTCGTGCTTGGTGTACGTACACTGCACTGACCAGCATAACGGGACCATCGAGTTCTCCGATTGGAATGTAGATGGGTTATTTTACTCGACTGAGTCGAATTGGGCAGTGCTTATCAGCAAGCTGCAACTCGACACCCAGATCGACCTGGACCCTCAATATTTCACCGAGTTGGAAGATTCTTTAAAGCGCAGGTTAGGGGACAGTTACGTGGACGCTGAAGTAGAAGAGCTAGTAGAGGTTTAGAGACACGGTAAATAAAGCATATAGTATGGACGAAACGAATAAATATGAATAGATGAGGACGGTTACCAATAAAAATGAAAAGTGCAGCCGGGAACTAAATATGTTTCAATGATAGAATATTTCTGGCAAAATGGGAATAAAGCCCAGTAAAGCATTATACAGCATAATGCTCTGCTGTAGCGATATGGAAAACTAAATCGCAGACATTGACAAATTAACCAGAAAATCATAGCCTAGTTCTTTATCATGAATGATCTACTGACGATACAGCCTACACCCTGGAAACATAAAACATAAGCATTCAGTATATACAAGGGGATAGCTCATGGACATTACTTTTCGTTGTTGTTCTGCTCCTTCAACCGGATTTTCTCCTCGAGGGCTCTGTCCTGGTCCCTCTCTTGCTCGAAGCCTTCCTTGGCCACCTGCCTCAATTCGGCCTTGGACTCCTCCAATCTTCTCTTCCGCTCCTTGATTATAGCGTCTCTTCTTTCCAATTCCTCGATCCACAACTTCTCTCTCTGTTTGGCCTTCTCTCTGAGCGCCTCTTCTCTCTCGATCTTTTGCTCTTGACTTTCCTTCTGGTACAAGAGCCCTCCTGTAACCAATGCAATCAACGTGATCCCTTGGAACACGATTCTGTACCGGAAGTATACCTGGGTCTTGATCTTTTCGCCTCTCTTCATCGATCTGGCTGCCAATACAACCGCTCCTGCGGTTGCAAGTGATCCCAAAGGAACCCCTGGCTGTTCCAAGCATTTGGCTTTGATTCGCTGGACGACATTTAATTCCCTGGAGGTTAGTGATGCTGAGATTGCATGTGGGGCGTACTTACTGGTCGTCGGGACTAAGCCCATCGAAGGAGGATGGGAGCTTGGAAGACATGGTGGTGTGTTGGAAGCCGATGCGGACGGACGTTATAGGTGGAGAGTCGCGTGATACAAGTCACGTGTGTGGCACCATACTACAGTCAGGGTGTTTAACGAGTAAATGGCTTCTACAGGCTAGTAATACGGCGTCTATAGAAGTACCTAGGGTATCCGCGGCCGCGTGGCCCTTTATTGGTCCAAGATGAACGATCTGAACTCGGTGTATGCCTTCTCCAAGTCGTCGTTGACGATGATCTTGTCGTGAGCACCGGTTTCAGCGTAGGCAAGCTCGGCAGAGGCAGCAGCAATTCTCTTTTCAAGCGAGTCGGCGGTTTCCGTGCCTCTGGACTCCAATCTCTGTCTCAAGGTTTCGATAGAGGGAGGAGCCAAGAACAAGTAGCGTGCGTTCAAGTCAGTTTGCTTGACAGACTTGACTCCTTGCATGTCGATGTCCAACAAGCACACCAAGCCCTTGTCAGCCACGTCCTTGACGGCCTTGATGCTAGTGCCGTAGTAGTTGCCGGAAAACTGGGCCCACTCAATAAATTTTTTTTCCTCAATGGCCTTTTGGAAGTTTTCCACCGTGGTGAAGTGGTAGTCCTTACCGTCCACTTCGCCTTCTCTTGGCTGTCTGGTGGTGTTGGAGACGGAGAAGCCAAACTTGCCTGGGAACTCAGCGAAGAGCTTCTTCAACAAGGTGGACTTACCAGTGCCTGAAGGGCCAGAAATCACGATGGGTCTGCTCATGGTGGATGATGAATTTCTTGATGTTTTCAAGAGTTGTATCTATTGTGCGAGTCGCGCCGTGAAATGCGAGGGAGGCTCAGACAAAAATGGCCCAGATCAGGCGCCACATCATCGCTCGTTTACGTAAGAAATGACTAATCCACCCACTTCCGTGACGGGGTCCCCCGCTGGCTGGAGGAGCACTAGCAACTACAGAAGGCTGCTTAAAAGTCTGGGAGCAATGATGTTAGATTGCCTTGCGCTCTAGGCAAATTTTTGTAAAGTACTATTGTATGTTCTACGTATATTTTCAACACTTTCCCAAAAATCTAGATACTCTTCATATAATATACAAAATTACCAACTACCCCAATCTTGCCAAACAGAATGGCATTCCCTATATTTAGCTTCCCTAGCACCTACCTACTACTGAACCAAGCAAAAGGGCCCAACTCCGGCCTTTGGCAACTGCTGCCCCGGACTCCTCAGCAGAGTCGTGCGCGGACAATTTCCATTCATCTGACATCAAAATTTAATCCTCTATCCACCACCACCACCACCGCCATCATGTCTGACGACACATATAGTCAGCTTCAACATGCGTTGAAAACAATGTTTTCCAATGCCAACCAGGATGAGAAGCTCAAAGCATCTCACTTCTTGGAATCATTCCAAAAGTCACAGCAAGCATGGGAAGTTGTGCACACGATTTTGGCGGCCGATCAAGCCACTGACATCCAATTTCTCCTCTTTGCGGCCCAGACATTGAGGTCTAAAATCACATATGACTTGTCCCAATTTCCTGCCTCCAATTTGGTTCAATTAAAAGATTCCGTCATCACTTTGTTAATAAAATACTCACTGGCACCACATCGTTTGATTAGATCTCAATTATGTATAGCATTATCACATTTGTCCGTCCAGTATTTGGAGTGGGACAATGCCTTTAGTGAGATCGTTAACAAATTGTCTTCTTCGGTGGTTTGTTTGTTGGATTTCTTGAGAGTTCTTCCAGAAGAACTCGATGATCTGAAGAAGTTTTCATTGAGTGACGCAGAATTCAACGTTAGGTGTCAAGCGTTGATCACTGAAAATGTGGAGCAAGTTCTTTTGATGTTGCAAGGTTTGTGTGAACAGGGAGATCATGCCTCTCTCATCCTTGATTGTTTGAACAATTGGATCAAGGAAGGTTCAATCGAGCAGATTTTACAAATTGCCCCATTAACTAATGTGATCTTCCAATCATTAACCAATGACAATACTTTTGACAGTGGTATTGAATGTCTTGTCACCATCATTAAAGAGACTAGAGATATTGATAACTATCAAATTATCGATGCATTATTTTCACAATTACTTCAACTTCACGAATTCATGGTTAAAAACCCTTCAAAAAGAGAGGACCCAGAGACTTTTGAAAGCTTAACGAGATTATTTGTCGAAGCCAGTGAGGCTTGGAATGTTTTGATTGTTAAAAACCCCAAGCATTTCAAGCCCTTGGTTGAAATATTATTGGAGTCTTGTAAATACGACCAGGATTTAGATATCGTTAGATATACTTTCAATTTCTGGGACATGCTCAAGCAATTAATCACTCTTCCAAAATTTCAGGAATCAAAACAAGAGTTATCCAGCTGTTTTGAATCATTGATTTCAATTATCATCAAACAATTAACATATCCTATCGGAGTTGACGACCACGATTTGTTCGAGGGAGACAAGGAGCAAGAAGACAAATTCAAAGAATTCAGATACGAGATGGGTGATGTTCTTAAAAATTGTTGTAGTGTTTTGGGGGCCACCAAAGCATTAAGCATTCCATTCCAACAAATTCAACAAATCATTTCGAATCCAGAAAATTCGTCATCCAACTGGCAAAACTTGGAGTCGGCATTGTTCTCGATGAGAACCATGGCGAAGGAAGTCCCAACCAAAGAGAGGACCATTTTGCCCTCAATCATGTCTTATTTGGTACAATTGCCCGAGCACCCCAAAATCAGATACTCGGCAACATTGGTTCTCGGAAGATACACCGAATGGACATCTAAGAACCCTCAATTCTTGCAACCACAGTTGAATTACATCATCAAGGGGTTTGAGATTGTGGGCCAGTCAAGTGACCAAAAGTCGTCCAAGGATATTATCATGGCCACCTCGCGTGCGTTGATGTATTTCTGCCAGGACTGTTCGTCGTTATTGGTGGAGTACTTGGAGCAGTTATACATGCTCTACGGGCAGATCAAGGACCAGTTGGACGTGGTTTCGCACTACGAGCTCGTGGACGGTTTGGCCCACGTCATTAACCAGCTTCCCATGGAGAACTTGTACAAGACCACGGAAATGTTCATAAACCCCACGTTGGAGATCTTGAACGAGTACTTGGAGGGCAAGCGCAACAACGATGAGCACTTGGCCGACAACGTGGAGGTGATCACCACGTTTTTCAAGGTGTTGAGATGCAACGACTTCGAGAAACCAGCGTATCCCGTGGCAACGTTGTTCATCGACCGGGTGTGGCCTGTGGTGTCGCAGCTCTTGGTGAAGTCGGGAGCGTCGATTTTGGTTAGCGAGCGGTTGCTCAAGTTGATCAAGGCCGCGGTGCAGTCGTTCAGCACCTACTTGCTCAGCATCTTGGGGGACTTGGCCACGCTTCTCCACCAGGGGTTCAAGCAGTACAACTACGGATGCTATCTTTGGGTATCAGGAATACTTATCAGAGAGTACGGTGACGAGTACACCAGCGACGACATCAAGGAGTCGGTGTACCAGTTTGGCCTCAGCCAGTGTGCGTCGTTTTTCGAGACGGTGTTCACCAAGTACGCACACAACCAGGCCGAGATCAAGACCATTCCCGACGTGGTGGCAGACTACTACAGAATGGTGGGCGACTTGCTCATGTTCTACCCGTTGCGGTTCACGGCTGACGTGGACCTCATGGGCTCCACGTTGAAGGTGAGCATCTTGACTTTGAGCATCGTCAACGAGATCGAGCCGTTGGTCACCTGCTTGCACTTCTTGATCGATCTTTTGTCGTGGGGCTTGCCGCACCCTCCGGTGTCGTTTTTCGACGAGAACCCCGAGATACCGCGCCGGGCCATCCAGCAGTTCGTGGTTTCCGACAACCACGGAGCCCAGTTGTTGCGCGAGGTGGTCAACGGAGTGATCTTCAAGTTCCACCACGACATCCAGCAGGACGCCAACGACGTGATTCTCAAGATCCTCTTGGTGACGCCCGACCAGACGGTGTCGCTCCAGTGGCTAAGCGAGGTGGCGAAAACGTTGCCCAACGTCAACGAGCACGAGATCGTCAAGTTGGTCAACATCGTGTCGGTGGCATTGCCTAACAAGGACAACCGCAGGGTGAGATCGGCGTTGAAGGACTTTATCAGTTGGTATTGCCGTAAAAACGTCACCCCGCGGTCTGAGTTCTGATCGTTTGAGTAAATTGCATGTCGGCTACGAGTGTATAGGTTAGTAGGAACACTGGTGGGGTAGAACAATGTAGGCGAGACGAGTGGTGCACGAGCAGTATGGCAGTACGAGATGTATAGCAGTACGAGCATGTGTGAGCACGAGTGTCCGCGCACGAGTGTCCGCGTGAGCAGTGTCCGCATGGCGTTGACAGTGGGCGTTGACAGTGGCGTTGACAGGGCGTGGCCGGGTGCGGGCGTGGAGGATACTACTGGCACCAGTACATGCAATCAGATAGCAAAACAGACACGGTACACGGTACACGCTCAGGGCCATTTGGCTTCGCCGGGCGGCACCGGCCAGGGCCCTTCATTCGGTATGGCGATTATGGGGTCAATCAAAACACACTGGCTGCATTGTCCAATGGCACCGGCTGGAAACCTGCAATTTTCTGGTGAGGGCCCATGACAAATTCTTCTTGTGTAATGTTTGTGACGCGAAATGTGCAGACGAGATAGGTTACGAGACTATGGCTGGAACTACGACAGGCGAGCCTCCGGCCCCCCAGCCAGCAGAGTAATCCACCAAAACAGCCCTACTACCACCCCACGTCCCACTACCACGCCCCAGCCTTGCTCCGCTTCTTCTGCACCTCCGCCCCAAGCACCTGGTGCATCGATCTCCCTCTCTCTCTCTGGTTCGTGTAGATATTTTTTCGTTGACGAGCAGTGAGGCGCCGATGAGCCTTCCGGTTGCGGATAGTTTAGGCAACTTTGTAACCGCATGCAGATTTTTTCTAATCTCTGATGCATGAGCGCCATATCGAGACGATTTCGCAGTGTTTCCGGAGGGCGGCTCGCTCTCGCGCGGGTATATATATGGCAGCATTTTCCTCTCAGCAAAAAGTTCTTTCTTCATTAACTCCAACTACTAGTCTCTCGCTCATATCTACAATGCAATTCTCCACCGTCGCTTTATTCGCTGTTGTCGCCGCTGCTGTCCAAGCCGATGTCGTCACCAAGACCGAACAATCTTCCACCTTGGTCACCATCACTTCTTGTGCTGAAGACGTCACTGACTGCCCAGCCAGACACGCCACTGCTGCTCCAGCTCCAGCTCCATCTAAGGAAGCCCCAGCTCCAGCCCCAGCTCCATACAACAACAACACCGTCACCTCCTCCGCTGCCCACACCTTGGCCCCAGCTAACGTTACCTCTTGGGAAAACGCTGGTGCTAAGAACTACGCCGTCGGTTTCGCTGCTTTGGCTGCCGGTGCTTTGTTGGCTTTGTAAGCGTGCTAACGCTTATCCCAGAACTTCTTAGCTGAAGCTTCTGGGTGCTAATACCCGTTGAAACTTCTTTACTATGGGCGTTTGCCAAAGTCCAGTTAATCCGTGATACACCTGCAGTACCATCACGCGAGGACCTGGTCTACGGTGGTGCTTTGGTACCCGTTTTTATTTCTAATTCATTTCTGTTTTCAGTTACTGACTCCATGGGTCTCCCTTGGGAGCGGCGGCGTTCTCGAGAGCCGTTGTTTCTGTCTTGAAATTCTTATTTTTTTAGTTGACTACAAAGTAAAATAGGTTTATTTTATTATAACTTAGAAATACAAGAATTTCATAGTAACTGGTCCACTCGTAGCTAGCAGCGGTTTAATAGATTAATACATTTCGACTAATTCTTATCAAAGGATTCTCCATTTCGATTGTAATTCTTACCAACACCCACCAACATTGCTTGCAATTCCATTTGTAATTCTTACGAATCACAATCTGTATTGTTTGTTTATCACAACATTCCAAATCAATCCCAATTCCAATTCCATCTCCAAAGCTTAAACCGCGTCTCTGTTCTAGACTGATAGCTACACGAGTGCCATGGTGGGGCTTAGCGATACCGTCGTGAGTGTGGTTGCTGTCGAGGCGGGTGCCATGTTTTCACATGGAAGAGGCACTAGTTCTTTCACCAACTGCACGGCGGCTTCTCTAGTTGCCTGATCGGTAAGTGTGAAGCGGACCACCTCCACGGCGAGTTCTGACTGCTTCAAGGCAGCAAACACCTCCTGGTACGGAATCACCCCGGCACTGATCAAGTCAGTGGCGATTTGGGTGACTCCGTCACGAATTTCAGGGTCAGTCAACGAAGCACGAATCACGGAGTTGATGAGTCCCGACTGCTTGAGACTGGAAAAGAGAGTGGCGAGCAGCTCCTCCACGAGCTCAGGGTCTCCGTTCTTGATCCTCTCGATGGTATGGAGGTTGTGTTTGAGTGCATCCTTGATCTTGCCGACCTTGCTCTTCACCTTGCTCTTGATCTTGCTCTTGCCCTTGGAAAGGAACGAGAGGCCCCGTGCACCAACAGTGCTAGTGGAAAGGGAGACGGCCTCCACTGAAGTGGTGGAAGCAGGAAAAGCAATCTTGACTGTTGAAGAAGACTCCATAGTGAGGGCATGGGTGGCTGCGAAAACTGCCATGATAGCAGCGAGCGAAAGGTTCATAATCCCGTTAAGTGAGCACACGTTCAATTGCATGCAAGGCAAGATCCATTTATAGGGCGGGCACATGCCAGGCACAAGCAGAAGACGGGGAAAGGTGAAGGCACTATGCTAATAGGCTAATTGCACTACGCTAAGAGCTGGACCTGCCTGGGGGCACTCGACGTATGGAGCTGCTAGTTAGGTGCTCTGCTAAAACGAATAGGGAATAACCACTGGCATATTACGCGGAGGTGCAGAGCATGTACACCCAAAAAAGTGGAGATTAGGTGATGGTAACGCTTCTTGTAAAAATTACGTCTAGGGGCATGAATACAAGCCAATACCCTCCATTCAAGCCAATATGAGTGATTCATACTACATTTATGGATGATATGAGCATTAATACACTTCATTAGAGTGGTTCGGGTGTCCCCTATGCATTACGTCTAGGTGCGAAAATTAGGGTGAATGCAGATGTCAATTTGCAATGACATCTAGTATGATTAAGAGGATCTGGGGTATGGATGTTCCTTCAGATTAAGCCTATGGGGTTGTAGGGCAATCCCATGAGGTGATCGTGGTGCATGATTTACTAGGGAAAATTCTATCGAGTAAGCAGTTTTTACCCAGAAATGAATGTAGTGCTTGGTATGATTAGGGTACCCGTATAGTCCTTGTAACCGTGGAAGCGTTTGGGAAGCCTATATAATCAGCTCGATTGGTCGTCAATTAATATTTTTGGTGTCCATCGAAATCGATTGGAAAATAATTTGTCAATTTGCTGTTCCACTCCATTGCAAGATAGAATGCCCAAAATTTATCATTATTGGGTTCTCATGTCTGAAGAAACAGTTACGTTGAGTTTTTGAAATCAAAAAGGTTTCGTTACAATACTCTTGGTGCTTTGGTAGTCCTCATCATCAATGTGGTAAAGCTCAATAGCAAAGTCAGAGGTACATCCAACTCTGGTTTAATCTTCCAGACTGAATTACTGTTGAATGATAAATCTCAATTTACAGATTCTAGCATAATTGGTAAGGGACTTTTTCTACTTTGCTTGCAGTACCACTCCTACAATCGATTCACAAATAATACACTCATAGCCATCCTCTCATTAAGTTTTATATACATTACTCGGCAGGCAACATTTCGTAAGCCTGGCTAGTTCTATTCCTGCCCAGGAGCTGTCTGAGCTTGGCCCGGATACTGTGCCTGGTCTTGCGGTTTCTCTTGACCATATCAAACTCCTGCAAGGTGCCGGACTTCAAGCTGAACAGATCCACCATTCCTATTTCGCGTTCAAGATCGTACTTGTAGTTACCCTTCTCAATGAGTGGTACGTTCATCTTCTTCAACATCAATGAGTTAACCACCACACTGATGGAACTCATGGCCATGGCAGCCCCAGCAAAGATTGGTGGCAACATGAGATTGAGTGGTAAGAAACATCCCATCGCAAACGGCAACATAATCATATTGTAGGCAGCAGCCCACACGAAGTTCAATTTGACTCGCTTGAAAGTAGCATTGGAGATTTTCAACGCATTCAATACACCCGACAAGTCGGATTGGCCGTTTTTCCCACCAATTAACACGATGTCGGCGGATTCAATGGCGACGTCAGTGCCCGAACTCATGGCCATCCCGATATCGGCTTGGACCAAGGCAGGCGCATCGTTGATTCCATCTCCCACAAACGCAATTCCCACGTTCTGGTCTCCTCCCAACCGCTTCTTGAGATCAACAATCACCTTATCCTTGTTGATGGGAGACACCTCACTGAAGATGTTGGACTCGGGGATTCCGAGCTCTTTACCAATCTTGGCTGCGGTCTTGCGGTTGTCTCCCGTCACCATTCCAACCTGGTAGCCCTCCACGATTCGGAGATGGTCAAGCACGTCTCTGGCGTTATCCTTGATCTCATCCTCCAACTCAAGGTATCCACAGTACTGGTTATCGATGATGACATATGCCAAACTGTTGGTGGACTCCTCAATGATATCTGCTCCTGAGTCCAACAACTTGGAGCTCATTTGCTCGATCATTCTTTGGTTTCCTATGCAAATCTCGTGGGCCTTCCCGCTCTCGAGGGTCACGGTAGCCTTGACTCCCAACCCTGCCAATGCCTTGAACTCACTGATGGTGGTGCTGAAAGTGTCCTCCTCAAACGTAAGTCCCAACTTCTCCTTGGAGGCCCGAACAATGGCACGACCCACTGGATGCTCAGACGAGGCTTCGACAGCTCCAATGAGGTTCCACCAATCGTGTTCAGAAAGCGACGAGGTACCAACCATCTTGTACTTATTCAACACCATTTCTCCTGTAGTAACTGTGCCTGTTTTGTCGAATAAGATAACATTGATCGACAGAGCCTTCTCAAGAATATCCCCTCCTTTGATTAATACACCGTGTGATGCACCTACACCAGTACCTACCATGATGGCGGTCGGTGCTGCCAATCCCAAGGCACAAGGACATGCTACCACAACCACAGAAATGGCCAATTTCAAGCACACGAAGAATTTTCCATTATCATCGTTCTTGAATATCATGGGCAAGTTGTCGGGATGAAGCACGTAACAGGTTATGCTCCAGAAGATGAATGTCACTGTGGACAAAAGAATAACACCCGGAACGAAACGAGCCGCTATGTAATCAGCAAAACCTTGACTAGGAGCTTTGTTAATCTGAGATTCTTTGACCAAATTAATGATCTGTTGAAGTTGGGACTTTTTTCCTGATCTGACCACTCTGATATGAATCAAGTCTGGCCCATTAATGGAACCACCGATAACGTAATCTCCTTTTGTCTTGAATACCGGTAACGATTCTCCTGTAATCAAGGATTCATCGATATCCGTCTCACCAAAACAAATAAGCCCATCTGCTGGGACCTTTCCTCCTGGCAAAACGATAGCTACGTCATTAGGCTGGATCAAGTCGACACTGATGTTGCTGGAGGGCAAGTCGATCATTTCTCCTTTGTTGTGTTGTGCTTGTTGAACAAATTCGTCGTATTTGGAGGTGTCGTTGATGATGGTACAGTTGGTTGGGGTCAACGATAACAATTTCGATAATGCAGTGGAAGTAGCACCTTTGGCCTTGTTTTCTAACCACTTTCCAAACGAGATAAAAATCACCAACATACAGGCAGTGTCGAATAGCACAATTGGTGGCTTGATTGTCTGGCCCTTCCATACGCTGAAGACAATCGACAAAATAGAAAACATAAACGACACCGAGATGGAAATGCATACCAACACATCCATGGTAGCATTCTTTCCTCTGTTTCTGATAAACTGAGAGAATTTCTTGAGGAAAACCTTACCCAACACCAAGTAAACGTATACGGTGACTACCATTTGGAGCAAACTGACCACGTATAAGCCTGGGAAGATGATAAGACGTTTCCAGAACTCGATTTCCTGGGTGTGGGACACTATGACCACCGGAAGGCCTAGTGCAAGCGAGTGGAAGAAGTTGTGTCTCCAGTACTCGATTTCTTTTATTCTGGACAAGATCTTGAGCTGTGCTGATGATGACTGGTCCACAGAGTTTGTGATGGTGAACTCGATCTCCTGGGCGATTTCGTTCAACCCATGGAGCAATTGCCTTATTCCGAGGATGGACGAGTTGAAGGAGACGGCAAGCTCGTTGATCACCAGCTCGTCCTCCACGTCCTGCACCTGTTCATTTGATTCGTTTAGCGTGAGCTCGAAGCTGGTGACTCCGTTCACACTGTTGAGGTATGCCTCCACGTTGTACTGCAAGCTGGAGAGGTCGGTGTCGAAGTCGATGCCGGAAATTTGGAGTTTGACCACCTCCTCTTCGGCGTCTGAGGACGAGCCGCTGGACTTGATGATTCTGGCGTCAAACCCGCAGTTCTCTATAATTTCCTTGATTTCCTCGGGGGTGATCTGCGTGGTGTGCTCGACAGAGCCTTCTTCTGTGATCAACGACACCGCCACCTCCGAGATGTGTTCGTTGTCGCGGAGTGCAGTGGTGATGGAGCCCACGCACGAGGCGCAGGTCATGCCCACGATGGCCACTGTGGTGTGCAAGGTGTCTTTTTTGATGGGCTTGGACGAGTCGATGGTGATGTCAAAACCACAGTCTTCCACGGTGGAGACGATTTGGGCAGTGGAGACTGCTGCAGAGTGCCGGACGAGTCCAGACTCGGTGACTAGTGACACGGACGCCTGATCCACTCCTGGGATGGCGTTGAGAGCCTCAGTGATGGATGCAGAACAAGCACCACAAGTCATTCCCTTGATGGAGACGACAGTGTTGACGAGCGGTGTGTGGGTCTTGGAGAGCGTGGCATCAAACCCACAGGCTTCGATGGCGGCCACAAGCGCCTGGGGAGCCACTTCAGGGCCATGGACTACTTTTGCCTCCTCGGTGAGAAGTGAGACTGAGACGTCCGATACGCCAGCAATGGCTTGGAGGGCGGTGGTGACGGAGGCAGAGCATGCTCCGCACGTCATGCCCTGAACTTGGAACACCGACTCAGACATTGTGTGTGGAAGAAGTAAGCACTGGAAACGATGGGATTATATACTGTGCGTGCACGTCAGTGAGCAAATAAAATCTTATCATTTCCATCTAAGCCGAGGCGGAAACCGGATATGCGTCAACTAGTGGAAAAAATGAATCAGGGGCCAGGGAGGCTGGACAGAGAGGAGGGGTGGATTTGGTAGGCTATTAGGGAGGGTAGTGTGAATGTAGCAGGGCAGGAACGCTAGGGAGGCTACAGGAAGACTACAGGAAGACCACAGGGAGGCTACAGAGAGAGCTAGAGGTACTTTCCTTTGCCTGCTGGCTTACTGTGCCCAGCAAACCCCGGAGGATATTCTGGGCGGATCTGGGCCAATTACACTGCGAGTCAATATGCAGTGCGATGCAACTGCAGATTGACACATGAATGTCTGGAACTACTAGAACGGGAAACGGGACTACATTGGGGGTATCTAACGGCGATAGATGGTCTGGGGTTTGGCCAGGAATCTGTTGTATTGTAGCGAGTTTTTCGAGCTAAGCAATGGCACAGGTAATTGCATAGAAATCGAAGTTCGCCAGGGTAGTAAAGGTTTTCTCTGTGCATATAACGATGGCCCGGAGTAGTTTCGATATTTTGGCTGATTCACATGGTTCAGAGCTTCCGTGGCCCGAGTAGATTGGATACTCTGGCCGAGATCGTTGTTATCTAGAATTTTTAGAAGTGAATTTTCCATCATATCTATAGTTTTCCCTGGATATTCTGTTGTATTGAAACGCAGGATATTCCATACCTGTATAGCTTTTGGTAATATGCCACTGCTGTGCAAGCTCTTGTAGGGAAGAGAGGCACGCGAGGTCAGCACGGTAGTACTTCCAACTTGATTTGACTATGGTTCAGTTCTCACTTTCCCGACTTCACACGATTGCTAGATGATGGTCTCAGACGTGCTTTCTCTCTCCTCCTTCACCTTTTTCAACTTCTTTTCCACCTTGGAGTTGCCTGGCCCTACGCCATGGAACTGGTGGGACAAGTACTTGAAGGCACCCTTGGTGTCCAATTCCACCCCTGTATCGTCCTTGTACGAGAGCTTGACTTGGGGGTTGTACGAGTCGAGTCTTGAGCTTTGGCTCTTTTGGGCATACTTGCCTCGAGCTGGAGCATCAGAGATGATATTCTTTTCCCGAAGTCTCTGATCCAATGCCCTTTCCAAGACTTCAGCCCTCTCTGCTTTTGGTAGGTTGAGGAACGCTTTGTCCAGCTCAAATTCTTCTTTAAGAAGACGTTCCTCGATAGAAATCTTGATCCGGAGCAACTCGGCTTCTTTGGCTGCTTCTCTCCTCATCTTGGATTCGTGTTGTTGCTGCTGAGTTGAGGCGTCGATGATCTTACGGGATTTGAGGAAATTAAGTGTGGAAGCAAGACCCTTGTTAAAAGTGGGAGTGGAATCTGGTGCCACAGATTCCTCCCCTGCCTCTTCAAGTTTTGTTTCCTCTTTGGCTTCATCTTGAGTCTGTGGTACATCAACCTCTTTTTTGATAGATGTGGTTGAGGCCAATGTTTCCGTCTTTATCTCATCATAATCATCTTCTTCAGGCACTTCAAGCACACTGCCAGTTAGGGAGTTCAAGAAGTCGGCGATGTCGTTATAAACAGTATTATTTGCATACAATTCACCTTCCAATTGGTTCTCCAACTCCCATCTCTTGGACAGCACCACATCATTAGCTATCTGTTCTGGAGTCAACTTGCTGCGTTTAGACTGCTTGAATTTTATTCGATTTGAAATCATCTCTTGTAACTGGGCCTCCTCGTCACCCACACTATCGTCAAAGCTTTGTAGTTCCACTGTTTTCATTCCCAACTCTTCATTATTTATCGTGGCTGAGCGAGAATTCAGCTTCAGCTTCATCTTTGGTCTTTTTTTCAACTTCTTCATTTTAACAGGCTCTACCTTCTCTGCATCGACGTCGTCGTCGAATAGACTTCCGAGGGCGATCTTGTTATCCCTCTCCTTCGGTATTTCCGTGGTCTTCTCAGGAATCTTGATTGTCGAGCCAGTCACTACCAATTCCTGAAGTACTCTTTCGGTTTCTTCGTCCTCGCTGTCTTCGAACTTGTAGCTTCTACCATTGAATTTGATGTTATCTGCCATCTTTTTCTCTCTGAGATCCTTCTTCAATTTAGCCTGTCGTATCAACTCCTCATTGTTCAATTCCCCGTTTTCCTCTTCTAATAAATCGCTGTCTTTCAATGTGAAAATCTCGCCATCCACATCAGCAAGCTCGCGAGCATTGTGTCCTATCTTTACCCCAGATAAGTCATGACTAGGGGACACCTTCTTGCTGGTTTTCGCCTTTTTTGGGGCAGGAATTCCAAGATTGGCTAGCCAGTCGTCCTGTGACACTTCCTGATCGTCATCCAAGAGCGTTTTGCCCTTTCTCTTCAAGCGTTCTTTGGCATCTAGCAATCTCAGTTTGACTTGGTCGTCGTTGGTCGGCTTATTTTCCCCTATGGGAGCTTCAACAAGGCTGGCTGCTTCTTCCAATGGTATTGGCTTCAATCCAAGCGATGCACGCAATCTATTAGTCTCTTCAATGGTGAGCTCTGGTTTGGACTCTGAGGTGAGTGGTGCCTCTTTGGTGGTCGTGGAAGGGGCCGTTTCAGCCGCTTCGACCGAAATCGGCTTGAGCCCGATACTTATACGAAGCTTGTTCGTCTCTTCAAGCGATAACGAGATTTCTTGTACCATGGGGCCAGATAAGTGGTGGATGGGTGCAAGCTGACCATCGCCTCAAGATGAGAGTACTGCAGGAAACACGATTTCCTGCACATAGGCCACATAAACAAACAGTAAACGAGTATCACCACCAGGCCTCCAGCAGTAATGGGGGAATTGACATGTTTGGGCAGCTCAGGTGGCCCACAGCTCGCGTTGGATGAAATAGTGGGCAATTCTGCCAAAAATCCCCGCCAGTTTCACCTACAAGATGACCTTATAGCCTACACTGCCAGTGGGGGAGTGATTGTGTCTGAGATCAACACCAAAACAGGCCAGATAGTGTCCCAGCGCTTCTTCTGTGCCAATAGCAGCTACCACGGGTCGAATTCGACCAGTAGCGCCAATGCATACTTGAATATGGCCTTTGACATTGCAGAAGACACAGAAGTAATCAAGGACCAGTATGGGTACCCTGTCAACTCAGATCCCACAGTGGTGACAGGAGCAAGTGGCAGCACGTACGGAGACCCCGAGTTTTTCAGCCCAGGAAACGAGAACGATGGCGCATCCCCATCCAAGCTCAAGGACAGGGTCCGCAGCATACACTGCATCACAATATCTCCGAATAAAAGGCTTCTAGCTATTGGCGAATCGGGGTACCAACCGCGAATATTGATATATTCGTTGGCTCCTGACTCTTCCAAAAATCCAATCATATTGATATACGAACACTCATTTGGCATCAATTCCGTGTCTTTTTCTCCCGACTCCCGATATTTGTGCTCGTTGGGGTTCATAAACGATGGCTTTATCAACGTTTGGAAAGTGAACTTAACATCTGCCTCGTTGCATTCGAGCAATAAGTGTTCTGCACCGATAAATCTGGTGATATGGCACGAGAATTTCATAATAACTATGGGACTACGGTTAATTAAGGTCTGGAAGTTCGACATACCCGACCAAGATTCCAGTGCTGTATCAAAACCAAGTGTATTAAAGGGAAAGAATGTACTATTGGGTAACCTCATAAATTCAAATTTCATACATGGAAGCATTCTAAATAGTGATGAATTATTGATCACTACAAGCACAAATAATCTATTACTATTGAAGCTCAACTATGAAAGTTTGAGTCTTATTACCCTCGATACCCCCCAGTTCACTTTTTCGACAGTGTTGGTGGATTATGGATCAGAAATTATTTGGTTTTCTTCAGAAGATCAAATAAAATCCCTTCCGATATCGAATTTAAGGGCTTCAGATAGAGCTTCAGATATATCATCACCTGGTGTTACAAGACGCAACCAGTCGAGCGATACATTCAAAAGTCCATCTAAGGATTCTTTGGAAAGAATCAAATCAAAAGATCAACCTGAACAAATAGTGAAGATTTTGAATTTCACTAACAGTTTTCTCATCTATTTGACCGATCAAGGAATTATCGCTCTATACGATAAAGAGAAAAACCAGAACAAAAAACTAATAGAACCACTTATGCAAAACTTTGGAGGAATCAAACAGTGTGATTCAGGAAAAGTGCTTATATTTTCAAAAAATGGTGAGATTAGAAGCATAGAAGATAAAGAAAATACCACGGCACTAGAAGCTACAGTTTCATTACCCAATAATGACCTCATACAAAATTCGTTAACAGCAATAGAGCAACATGGTGATCTTTTAATAAGTGGTGATAAGTATGGTAATCTTAACATTACCGGGCCATCTGCAAATGGAATGACTAGTCTAATTTATCAAACAAAGGCGCATTCTTCCAACATTAACGAAATAGTCTACTTTCAAGTAGACAAGTTTCAAATCATCACCACCATTTCGAGGGACCGAATGATTCAATTTTTCTACTCTAAAATTGAGGATAATAAATTTGATATTTTACAAACTATACCAGTTCACAATGGAAATTTATTGAAAGTGCAATATCATGAAAATAGGATATACGTGTGTTCTAGTGACAGAACTGTTTCGATTCATAAGATTGAGATTGAGGATGAGGAGTTGCGAATAACTCAGGACAAGCTAATCACTACAAAAACCACCCCGTTGGCAATGAAGGCCACAGGAGATGAGTTGATTGTGTCGACCAACGAAAAATCAATCTCAGTTTACCAAATAAGTGAATCATATGCATTGAAGAGAACATTGAAATTACTCAATGATAAAACCAATGAAAGCCTCTTGGTTGAAGATTTCATCGTTTTGAAAAATATGTTGATTGTTTCATGTTCAGATAAATCACTAAGAATATTTAATTACGCAACGGGAAAGCAGCTCAGTGTCACATGGGGTCATCTGGAAAGCATTATGGGTCTCATTTTGAGGTCAAACAATGAATTGATATCCATCGGTGCTGAAGGTTGCTTGTTAAAGTGGCAATTGCAAGATTCTCAGATCAATGAGACCAAAAACGAAGAAAAAATACTGGCGAATGAAACAAGAGAAGAAGATATTGTTCCAATTTACACCAAGGTAACTAGGAAAATTATCCCAATAATAGCAAAGCCAAAAATCAATGACATCAAGTCTTTACTGAAAGGAGATTGCGAAGATGAAAGGTCTTCACCAAGCTCCTCACCAAGGCTAACTGCAGCTACCTTAAGAAGGATGGAGTCAAGGAAGTCCATGGACTCTGGTGTGCCAACTAGAAAAAGTGTCAGTCCAGTAAGGCCATTGGCCTTATCGAAACCGACATTACTGCCTAGCAAAACCACGAGAGCGAAAACAGGAGGATCACTGCCAACAAGACCATTATCTCCGGTCAGGTCACCCAGTAAGAAAAGTCTGATGGACTTTTCAAGTATAAAGAGACCTCATGTGGTTTTTGAGAGCAATGCTTCACCAACTAAAGAAAGACCAGCATTTGAGTTGAGCATAACCGACCGGATAATGAGTGATTTGACTTCTATAGAGGCAAATATCACCAAGGAGTCCAAGAGATTGACTGGCAAAGATAGAGCCCAAATTCAGTCGAAGATAATGGCACTCTCAAGATTGCTTGAAGACCAGAAATTGGTACAAAGTGTCGAGGAATTGTCACTTGAGACGGTGGGGGAAGGACCGAGTGACAAAATGGAGTCTGGAAGTCCAAAGGCCAAGAAAAGTAGTCTCGCAGAGCCAGAAGTCAAAGAAATGCTCGAATCTTATAGTGAGAGACTTGTTCAAATGGTGGAAAGAAAATTGGCATCACGGGATAGAATCCCATTGTTCAACAATTTACTCAGTGCTAAGGGATACGACGATGTTGAGTGAATATGAGTCAGGTTATTCCCACAAAAATGCTAATTTTACGATAAGTATAGGGCGCAAGTATAGGCCCATTTCCGGGGATAGTCATTAATCTACAGGCAATTAAGTATAGGGTATACTCGAGTGATAATATACAGATAATTAGCTAGGGCATCAACTTGTGGCGTGAAGCCATATTTAAGCATGGACTGAATGATCACAGTATCAACATCAGTCGAATATGGCGATCTTTAATTGAACCGCAGGCGAGTTGCAGCTGAAGTATACTCGTGGGGAATCATTAGACATGACTTATCAATTTCCTGTTAGTAGTATTGAAGCTGATATTCATGATCGCCAGTAATTATTGTGTCGTTTTGTGCCGGGTACCAGAATTGCCATTTGTATGTACAGAGCTACTTTCTTGGCTTCAAAGCAGCAGATTCTATGGGGTCCACGTCTTTCGTCTGGTCAGCCTGTTTCCATGGATCGGATGCTAAATTAGTCTGGTCTTCCTTCTGGTCAGCCTGTTTCCACGGATCGGTCTCTTTGTTGTATTTGCTGGCAAACGCCTGGTTCTCTTGCTCCACACGGTCGAGTTCCGCCTGCAACTTGAGCTGTTGCTCCCTCTCCAAGCGGAGCTTCTCCAGGGTCCATTTTTCGTCGGCGTTCTGGGCCAAGATCTTGATCTTTTGCTGACGGATCTGGTCATTTATCAACTCCTCCAAAGTAGGAGGCGTGTTCCTGGTTCTGCGCAACCACTGCAACCACTGGGGCGGCACGGTGCCAAAGTAGTCGGCCTGGAACAACAACGTCTTGTAGGGCTCGAGCTTTCTGCGGAGTCTTTGCATGTTGCCATCGATGGTGAACTCCCAGTAGGTGTTGCCGTGGAGGTCGTAGCCTACGAAGAACTTTTTGCGGAACGGGATGTCCCTGCGGCGCTGCCACTGGTGCCGGAGTCGCTGGAAGTAGGTGTACTTGTTCTTGAGGGGATCCATGGCAAAACCACTGCTACAACAGAGAGCCAGGATGATGGCTTTGAGGCTTCGATCTGGTGGTCAGCGCGCCACGTGACCCACCTTCCCATAGCTAATCTTCCCCATCCACAATCACCCCTCCACTAAAACACCATGGACAGGCGGAATACGTTGTCCCAGTTGAACAGGGTGCTTCCTGTGCCCATACAATTGCATGGAGACGAAAGTGGCGACGAGTCCCACTCCAGCTCCCACATCACTAACGTGATGGTGGGCGACCACCACGTCGTGGAGGGCCAGGGAGGGCCCTCTTTCACAGTGTGGTCCATCAAGGTTATGTTGGACGAGTCCGAGTACACGTCGATCGAGCTCTACAAGCGGTACCTGGACATTGAGCGGTTCCAGTACCAGCTCAAGACTGAGTTTGCAGCGTACAACTACAACATTCCCGAGCTACCTCCCAAAGACAGCTTCAGCTTAGAACGGATGACGATGTCACGGCGTTGGTTGGAGGAGAGGCGACGGGGCTTGCAATGGTTCTTGAGAAACGTGCTCTTGAACCCGATGTTTCAGCGTAGCCAGGCGGTACGGGAGTTCATTACGAGGTGAAGAGCTCCGCGCCTATTAGAGGTCTTGCAAGGAGAACAAAAGAATACTGCACTCATCGTGAATTGGAATACAATAACGAGTTGGAAAAAGCTACCGTGGTATGGAAAATACTGCAATGAACATGATTTGGAAAATTATCATGAATTGGAAAATCATCGTGAATTGGGGAATACTGCAACTATCTTGGATGTGTGAATACTGCAACAATCCAACATGGATTTGCTGGGTAAACTCTTATTAAAGTGAATTGGAGTGTACCGCATAATCAAGCATTAATTAGCCGTGAATACACCAATTATCATTTTGGTGTTACTGCTATACAAGGCCTAAAGTTAGCAGTAATTAACCAACGAAACCTAATGCATACTTAGTGATCATGAATGGCAGAACAATACAATCATCGTGATTTAGAAATAATCACGAAATGCAGAATAATGCAATTATCACCAATTGACTGGGAATACTACCTTATAAAGCATTGGTGTTCCTATTGCAGATGTTCATAATAACTCTAGATTGGCCGAAGAGGTCTTGGGACCCTACCTACTCAGTACTCTGACCATGCTCCCTGTCTTCAATGTCTTGCGGACGCCGTCAAATAACTCGTTCACTCTATGTCCTGCACTATTACCAGAGTATCTCATTTTCACGGCAGAAACGCTCAATTGCGTTCTGCTCTTCCTGTCGACGAATATTACCGTTAGCTGTAAAGGGTCTTGTTGGCAGTTGATACCGTCTGGGACATCTCTAGTATTGCAGAAGGTCCACTCTTCTTTGTAAGCCAAAATGCAAGGTAAAGATGGCACACTAATGAAGATCTCTACCGGACTATACCGTGCAACTTCTTGAATGAAGTTGCTGCACCAAAGAAAGTAGACTACCTTGATATCAACAGCTAATTGAAGGGTGACATAAAGATTCTTAACGAAGAAAACTGGGTATGTAAGAACAAGTGAAAGGATTGAGCAGACGAGCGGATGTGAAGCTGTCAAAAGAATGAGCGGCTGTGCATCAGTAGCTGTCAAATGCAGCTTACCTGCCAAAAAACTTCACTGTCAACTGCAATGACAGCTTGCATGCCTCATCTGCAGCTTACGTACCACCATAGAAGCTTACATGAGCATCGAACCTGTCCACGGTCGACGCTTACGTGACCAGAGAACCTAATAGTGTCATCGAGGTCTGGCCTAGACAGCCGTCCACGCTTACGTGATGGAGCCCCAGACCCTGCTTACGTGATCAGGCCCCCCATTAATAAATCCGAGCTGACATACCTCTGTCAGGCCTCGGTGGTGCGATGGACGCGCACGTGACCCGGCATTTGATCTCGACCCATTCGAGCCAGGAGCAGCCACCGCTTGTCGCCACTGGACGTCTTCCCGCTGCCTCCAAGCTGCCGCCAGCCGCTCCTCCAGCCGATTGCCACCTTTTCCGCGCCCTTTCACTGCCAAAATCGCTGACACCTCCCACGCCTGCGTCCAATCATACCTCGGCGTCGCAATCCGATCGCTACTCTTTTCAGTCTAGATCACCACCCAATTTAATAATCAAACCGCGCCAGTATTTCAGGCCGTCTATATAAAGCGGAAAATTTCCTTGATGGCTTTTCTTGTGAACTTCAAGTTAAAACATCCCATTCCATTTATTACCCTCTCCCGCACAATCTCCAGAATGGTCCATCATCAAGTTACTATCGTCGGATCCGGCCCTGCTGCCCACACCGCTGCCATCTACTTGGCCAGAGCCGAAATCAAGCCTACCATGTACGAAGGTATGTTAGCCAACGGCATTGCTGCTGGAGGCCAGTTGACCACCACCACCGACATCGAGAACTTCCCAGGTTTCCCTCAGGGTATCAACGGTACCACATTGATGGAGCAAATGAAGGAGCAATCCCTCAGATTCGGCACTGAAATCATCACTGAGACCATCTCCAAGGTCGACTTGAGCCAAAGACCTTTCAAGTTGTGGACCGAGTGGAACGAAGATGCTGAGCCAATCACCACCGACGCCGTCATCATTGCCACTGGTGCCTCCGCCAAGAGAATGCACATTCCTGGTGAAGAAACCTACTGGCAACAAGGTATCTCTGCCTGTGCCGTTTGTGACGGTGCTGTGCCTATCTTCAGAAACAAGCCATTGGCCGTCGTTGGTGGTGGTGACTCTGCCTGTGAAGAGGCCTTGTTCTTGACCAAGTACGCCTCCAAGGTCTACTTGTTGGTCAGAAGAGACCAATTGAGAGCTTCCACTATCATGCAAAAGAGAGCCAAGGCCAACGACAAGTTGGAAATCCTTTGGAACACCGAAGCCAAGTCCGCTAAGGGTGACGGCAAGTTGTTGAACGCATTGGAAGTCTACAACAACAAGACCAAGGAAACCTCCGACTTGCCAGTCAACGGTTTGTTCTACGCTATTGGCCACATCCCAGCCACCAACGTCTTCTCCCAGTACTTGAAGACTGACGACCAAGGTTACATTCTCACCACCCCAGGCACTGCTGAAACCTCGATTCCAGGTGTTTTCGCTGCTGGTGATGTGCAAGACAAGAGATACAGACAAGCCATCACTTCTGCCGGTACTGGATGTATGGCTGCTTTGGACTGTGAAAAGTTCATCAGTGAACAAGAAGTCGAGTAAACGCCCATCCTTCACTTCGCATTGCTCAATTTATAGATATTAGATTCATGAATTAATTACAACGTTATTAGACTAGTGTAGGCTGGAATTAACAGCGACAATTGCGCATAAAGGTTCAGATTAATTACTTCTAATTGAAATAATATTAAAAGTAAATGGATTTTGAATTGAACATTTGTATAGTACTTCAGTGTAAGGCAATATTCAGTCAGGTCGATCAAGGTACCCTTCAATTAAGGTGAATGTCATCACAGCCACCAGCTAATTTCACAGTTTTCAAAAATAGAATAATTACACCAAATTATTTAGTTCTACTTCCAAATTTCTCGTTTACATTATATAACATCCTTTAGTAAAGCAGATAAAGCACTTAAAACACATCATGTATATACAATAGTGACACCGGCACCATCATTGCCTAGTTCGGTATTGCGCTGGACTCGTTGCCACGTGACCTTATCACGCGGATATATTCCAGTCTCCTACGCCCCTATCACCACCAACCATGTCTTTCAACGTCTTCGGCGATGACCTCGAGAGGACCGCCACCAACGCATCAAATCGTTATAAGGACTATCCCGAGTTTGAGTCCATTTCCACCTCCATCGACAACCAGCTCCAGCACATAAACCACGTCCTTCTTGTGGCTGCTAAAGAGGCAATCAGCGACTTGGAAACAGACCAGAGTGATACCAAGTCGTTGGAGAACGTTAACAAGAGCTTCAACAGGATCACTGATAGCTTTAAGAAGTTGAACTCCTCCATCAAGTCTTTGAACGCCTACATAACACAGAGCGAATCAGAACACGAAGATGTGGAAGTCATAGGGTTATTCAAGCAGAAGGAGACCATATTGATCAAGTTGACCAAAGACAGCTTGAACAACTTCAAGAACTGCCAACGCAGATTCGAGTCGCTCAATATCGCTAACGGCCAGGACTTGGAGGCTCCCTCAACTCCTGGCAATGGCCCCTCCGAACAACTCCAGCAACAGGTCCAAATTTCGTACGAGCCGGTGAATGCCGAGGAGTTAGAACAACAGACGCTACTTATCCAGGAACGTGAGCGGGAAATCCACCAGATTCACCAGGACACCTTGGAGATCAACGACATTTTCGAGAACTTATCATCCATCGTGAACGAGCAACAATTCCAGATCGACAGCATAGAGAACAATTTGTTCAGCTACGACGCAGATGTCAGGAATGCTTCCAGCGAGTTGAGGAAAGCAGAGAGGTACCAGAGAAGATCTGGAGGCCGGATGTTTTGTTGTTTGATTATCTTGTTGGGAATTGTTGCATTTATCATTTTGGTGGGTGTGATTTTCTGAGCACGGATGTAATCCACATATCTTCTGGTAGGAGGATCAACCGCAAATAGATACACCCATAAAGCAAGCAGGTGTTGACTCAAATAGTATGTTGCTTCCCGTGACAACGGGGCACCAAAGCTCGCATACAAAGAACATCCAGATGATTTGGTCCATTACTTACAGCCTGAAGTGAGCTTCTCATAGCTCAAATTCAGTTCACAGACGTCCAGATGGAAACTACCAGGTTTAATACGTCTATACTAGTCATAACTATATGGACATCTATAGATGAACTGGCTAAACCATCGCGACATACAGTTGTGCTCTATTAGTACATCTATAGCAACGTCAAGATAACTGGCCAAATTAATGCGGCTTACAGTTCTGCTCTATTACATACTCTCTATCATTATAGTGCTAGCTAGACCTCCCATACGTTAATGTACCCATCATCACCAGCAGTCACCAAAACCTCAGTCTTATCATCCAAGGACGCCCAGATGACACAGTTGATCTCGAACACACCATGCGAGGATTCGGTTACGCTCTCAATGCTCCACTTGCCTTCATCCTCCTTGTAGACCACGAGTCTTCCGTCGGATCCAACACTGGCGATTTTGCCTGTCTTCTTGGACCAGCTTACAGAGTACACTGGGTACTTGTGAGCCGAGGGAAGAATTGTCTCGAGTTCCCAGACCATCTCCGAGTCATGTTTGATCGAGGTGGGAAGCGCAGTGCTAGACACATCGTCTTGTTCACCCTCCACACAGGACCATATTCTCACCGTCAAATCGTCACTGGCAGACACCAATCTGGTTCTGTTTTTGACTGCCAAAGGACTGGCCCAGTCCTCGAACTTGGAGCACCACACACTGCCCTCGTGGCCGTTCAAAATGCCCACACACGTCCAGTCATCGTCATGCTGGTCCTGCTTATACAACCGGATGGTATCATCGTATGACGAACTGGCCAACAAATTCTGGTTGGGATGCCAGGTGACGTTCTTGATATCATGCTGGTGGTCGTTCAACACCGAGATACACTCAAACTCCTCCAAGGTCTCGGGGTCGGTCTCCCAGATCCACACGGTCTTGTCTCTGGAGCACGATGCCAATAAGTTACCAGTATGGTTCCACTCCACCGACTTGATCTCATTCTCGTGTCCTTCTATTATTGCCATCAAGTTCCACTCGTTGGAAGGACTGGTGAATATCTCTTGCTGGTTTGCCACCAATTCTTCGTCATCGTACTCGTTGCTGGGCTCGTCGATTCCCCAAATGGAGATCGTGGAGTCAAACGAACCGGCAGCCAAAGCAGGTAAGTCCAAGAAGCCATCTGGAGCGTCGTCTCCGCCCAATGGGGGCTTGAATGCTACCGATCTGATTGACCTTTTGTGGGTGTCTTCGAGATCTGCCAAAAGTGGAAAGTTCTGTTTCGACGAGAGCTTGTAGATTTTGGATGTTTTATCGGTGGATGCACTCACCAAAAGGGGAAGGGTGGGATGGCTACTCACGCTCCATGCCTTGTCCTGGTGGGCTTTTATTGACTTGACTAGCTTGACCATAGTGTGTAGTTGAAGATAGAGAAGATAGTCGGATTATGTAATATACTCAGTAAGTGCGGGTTGGTGATGGACCGGACCGGAGAGGGCCCGACAACGGCGAAAATGACGATTTGAACGTCTAAACTCAAGGTATAATGGATGAAGGTTTCACGTGTGAATTATGGGTGTTGGCGTGCCTGGAAGTGGGGGTGGATGCATAAAATGGTAATTACTTCGTCAGATGGAGATATCACGTGAACATTCTTTTCATCATGGGAATGTGGATCACTCTGGTTGTCTGAACTCTAGTTGTAGCCGAAAACTGTCACTATGCTGATTTCACTTATTAGGCGAGACGCAAGCTTTTACATTCTTTCTATTTATTCCATTTATTAGTCAGTGTATTATTAACCACCACCAAATAATCACTGGTACTTTCTAAATTTACAATACTCATTCTCCAAGACGTAAACTAATTATTCGACAAGCAATTTCTGATTCGACCAAATCTACCCATTTTTACTCTATCAAATGCTTCAATATACTACCTTTCAGCCATCAATCGGTGTCACGTGCCTGAAGTCACGGGTCGCATCTACAAAATCAAACTTCCCCAATACTTAAAACTTGCAACAAGTCATCAAGCTAGCTAGGCTAGCCTTTCTACAATGTTGTCCAGATTACGCCCCATTACCTTCAGAAGCCCCGCGAGGGTCGCTTTACGGTTCAACTCCAAAAAATCCGACCCAAATCATGAAAATTCAGACAAATCAGTCTCCCAAGCCAAAGAGGAAGGTTTAAGTGAGTTCAAGTTCAAACAGAAAACCTCATCCTCTGCTCCTGCACCCATGGAAGGGAATGGTGTAGATAAACTCCTCAAAAAGTCCAACAAACCGTACATTCCAAAGATCAAGCACGATAGACTCAGCTTCGAGTACCCAGGCTTGCCTAACCAAGACAAGTTCAACGCTACCGCTGAAAAGCCAAAAATCATTGGAAGATGGACCAGATACGTCCCTAAAATCATCACTGCCATTGTAGTCTTATGGGGTGCCTATACCGTCAAAGTATGGTTCTATGCACCAGAAAAAGGTGCAGACAGTAAAGAGCTCTTGGACCCTAACGGTTTCCACAAGTTCGTGGTTACTCACAAGGAGGAAATCGACGAGGACCACTATTTGATAGAACTCCACCCCAAGTTCAACCACTGGCAATACAGCTACTACAACAACTACGAGAAGAAATCCATTTGGAATGGAGACCGGATCTGGTCTGTTGACGTGAAGCAACCCGACATCATGGTTGTTCGTGCCTACACACCTTTACCATTATACTTCTTGAAGTCTGAATACACTAGATCAGGAGAAAGAAAACCACTTTTGAAGGTGGTGAACAACGATGGTGAAGATTATGACAAGCAGGGTGTGATGTGTCTTTATATTAAGAAATATGGCGATGGAGAAGTATCCAAGTACGTCACCAACAAAGAAGTCGGCGACGAAATTGAGTTGCGTGGACCAAATATCGAGTATAAGTTCCCATACCATCCTTTAAAGCAGTATCATGAAAGACCAATTTTCCGTGACCTCCCTTCCAAAGTTGAGCCAGAAAGTTTAGTGGAAAAAGTGAAGAAAATCAACAAGATTCCCGACTTTGACAACTTGACCTTCTATGCTGCAGGAACAGGAATTGCACCAGCATTACAGATTCTTTTGTCCAGAAACCCATACAGAGGCTACGTTACCATTCACTATTCAGCTCAAAAACAAGGTGAGTTGAAGCCCTTGGAAAGATTCATGTACTTTTTGGAAAAATTGGATCGTGTTGAAGTCAAAACCCATTATGATACCGAACCAAAGACCAGACTTTCTTCAAAGGATATAACGGAGGCTTCGCCTACAAAGTACCTTAGCCCTTTGAGAATCGAGAAGAGTGAGTTGAGCCCAGAGGAGGCCTTAAAATTGAGAATGAGTGTGCTTGATGGAAAGGACTCAGACTCTAAAAACGAGACTGAACTGACAGAACTTAGCAAAGAGGTTGTTCCGAGATTTGAAAATGCTCTTCAACAGGCGATGGTAACTTCACAACAAGTCAAAGCTCCTTCTGCATTAGCAATCGTTTGTGGACCCGATGGTTATGTTGATTTTGTAGCAGGTCCAAAGAATAGGGCCACAAATGAACAAGGAGAAGTTCTGGGTTTAATGAAAGGTAAGGGCTGGGATAATACTAATACTTTCAAACTTTAGTCATTTAATAATACATGTATATAGAAAGTCTCTAGAGCTTACAAATAGACAAAACTATTAGTACAAATGGAGTTAAAAATGCGACAGATTGATCTGATATGTGTCCAATGGCAAGGAAAGAATAACGATATTTCTTCGCTGTCATTGAGTTGACAGCTCATCAAGAAAGTACAAGGATAAATCAGATCGGCTGTGGATCCTCAACTAAGCCTATCTTATTCCCAAAGTGAATCAAAATTCTTTGAGCATCTCTGCTTTGGGCGCAAGCCAAAATTACTTCCTTTAACAAATCATGCTTCTTCAATCCACAAACCATTGGATCCCACTTGGTATCTACTTCGTTTTCTTCATCTTCGTCACTTTGAGGTCCCAATAAGTGGTTGCAGACTTCAAACAACTTTGCTTTAAATCCTAACTCACAGATTCTCTTAACATACGTGATGAAGTATTTGTGGAAATCTTTGTTTTCACCAAGAAGTTCACAGCATAGGATCTTATTCTCCAAATGACTAATTGATATAGTATTCTCCAAATTCTCGAATCCTTCTTTCATAATCATATTCTTAGAAATTTTGTTAAAGTACTTGCCCCTTCCAGTTCTAGTTTTTCTGATGATTTCTTCGTTAGTTTTTTGTTCCAAAAGTTCGATTATTGAGGTCTCCTCTGAGAATAATGAGGAAGAACTTGATTTAGTGCTATTTTCCTCACTACTGTCCCAGAAATGTGAACCGAAAGACCACCAAGATTCAGTGATGGTTTGCCAAATTCCCAAGTCCTTGTTATACAAATATCCAGATCCATTTGATAAAGTAACCAACGGTATACCTGATGAGGTGATAGCACACATGGTAATATTATCTGACTTTGACAATCCGTCTTCCTGATACTTATTGCTAAGCTCCAAAAGTGGCGCCAAATTCGTTGTCAAAACGACCTTTTTGATTTCGAGGTTCCAAACATAGAGCTCTCCGATCGAAGTCACTGCCATCAAGTAGTTGGTATGACTTTCAAGAAAAGATATTGGTGATCCCAAGACAAGTGGTGGTAAAAGGCGCTTGCCTGAAGCGTGTGTATATGTCAAGATTTGTCCATCAGAAGAGCTCAAGGCCCAGAAAAGAGACCCTTCGGTTGCTAAATGAATATACCTAGGAATAAAATCACACCAAACCTGTTTGTCTTTTTTGAAGTAGGTAATTCTTGATGGCTTCGTTTCATTTCCAGATCCGTTCTTAATGTCAAGAACAAATGTATCTTCATCTGATTTACTGGTAATTTGGAAGCCAAGTCTAACTTTTGGAACAGCTAGCCTCACCTTAGCAAACGAAGTGTTTGGGTTCAAGATTGGTGATCCAATGTATTTGATGGGTTCGAGTTCACGCTTGAACTTTTTGGTAGTGCTTCCATCGTCTTGCTTTGATCTCTTGTTGTCTTTGTAGAATCTTTCCGAAACGGAGTATGATGGCTTATCAAACTCAATCAAACTTTTGGAACTATTGTTAGTTGAGATCTTTGTTCCATTTGAACTGGATTCGACTTTAGTATCTTCCTTTGAACCACCATTAGAAATTAACATTGGCTGTATTCTTTTCTTTCCATTCTTGGTAGTAATTTTCTGTTTCTCCAACTTTTCCTTCTCCTTCTCGATTTTTTCTTTCTCCTTACCCGCAGTGGTAATAGTTTTTGGCTTTGCAACCGGCTGTTTCGACAGTCTTTCAGTCATGGCCGATTGGAGTATATCATCGTTTGTCTGCGGCTCAGGCTCATTCATGTCCGGAGGCGCTAGGACTTCAGGAATAATTGCACCCTTTTTTTTCAGCTCTTGTTTGACTACAGGTTCTGCAACTGCAGCATCCTTGACTTCTTCCTTACTTTCTGTTATGACGGGGGCCAGCATATCTGTGGAATTTTTTTGTTCTACCAATTCGATTTGGTTTGCGTTTCCTCTTCGCCCGGTCGGTTGTTCAGTCTCATACTTGTGGTTTAAGGGCTTGACGAATTCTTTTTCAAATTTTGCCAACTCAGAGACCACCTCCTGGGATACTTGGTAGCCTAGTTCATTTTTTTCAAAGGAGATTATTCCCAAATAACCATCCAACGAAGAGATAAACAAGGTAGTCCCCGTACGGTCCCAGCATACGTCGGTGATCGGGTGGTCTACTATTTCCTGGAGCAAGAAGATGGGAGTGTCCTTGGAGGTGTTCCACACCGCCAAGGTCCTGTCGGAACCAGCCGTGGCCAAAACATTGTATATGTTGTCGTTATCGGTTTCCGAGCTGTTGAAGATCTTGGGGTTGAATTTGACCACTTCGCAGGTCAAGCCGTGGCCCACCAAGCTGATTCTGTTCTGCCAGTTTTTAGAGCGGGAAATGAGCGAGATCAACGCCGTCTGGTTTTTGCTTGCAGTCGGTATAGACACCAACTCGCCATCAGGAGACCATGAAATGCGCTTGTAGTGGACGTTGAGGGGGTTTTTGTTGATGAGGCGCGAGATCTTGTTGATAAGACGGAAGGAATACTGGCCGTTTTCGTAAGCGTACTGGTACAAGTAGATCAAAGTATCGTCGCCCAAGGTGATGAGGTAGTTGTTGGTGGGATCGAACAGGACGCTGCGCTGGATGACTGGCGTGTCCAAGTGCTGGAGGCGAGACAATTCCTGGAAGGTATTGTTGGCGACGTCGATCAACAAGGTCTTGCCGTCGGCGGTGCTCCAGGCGACCAAGCGTCCGTCATGGGACCACGAGAGGTCTATCACTGCCGACACGCCTCCAGGGTCCTGGGCTGGGAATGGGAAGAGCTTGCGTGCTCCGAGGTAGACGCTGCCTTCACTGTCTCCCGACACGTACTGGGATGGGTCACTCGGCGACCATCTGACGACACTCACCACCAGGGCGTGGTTGTGATGGGTTTCCAAGGGCCCGACGCCCTGGACAAGGGCACCCTGGCCCTGTTCAGCACTCGCAGCCTGGTCTAGCTGGGCCATGCTCCACACCAGTACCAGACCGTCCTTGCCAGCAGTTGCCACCTTTGTGTTGTCGGAGTTGATGTCCACGGCATGGATCTGGCCGCCGTGGAGCACGGAGGGGAGCTTCAAGAATCTCATGGGAGTGGCAGTGTTGTGGTGGAACCGAAGCGTGGTGTTGGCGGTAAAAAACGAGTGTGCGAGCATCACCAAAATATCAAGGAGCAGCGGCAGAGTGACTAGAACCAGAAGCAGAAGCAGCAAAGCGACATCAGTTGACACACGCAATAGCAGTAGGACCAGCAGGAGATAACAGCAGCATCAGCAGCGAGAAGAAATAGCCGAGCATCAGCAGCAACATCAACACCAGCACAAGAACTGGCACAACAGCAGCATCAGCACTAGGACCAGCCAGCATCATAGCACACTAAGACTAGTACCGCAACTAGCACCACATCACCATCTCCAACACACACCCATGGCTAACGAGGAATACGTCACCGACTCGTCCTCCGACTTCACCGAGTACTGGATTGACCTCTTCTTGGGCATTAAGGGCAACGAGTACTTCTGCGATATCGACGACGAGTACATCCGCGACCGCTTCAACCTCACCGGCTTGAACCAGGAGGTCTCCAAGTTGCCCACGATCATCGACATCATCACCGACTTGATGGACATCGAGCTGCAACCAGAGGAAAACAGAGACGCTCTCGAGCACAACGCCCGCATTCTCTACGGGTTGATCCACGCCAGATACATCTTGACGTCCCGTGGCTTGAACAAGATGTTTGAAAAGTACAGAAACGGTGACTTCGGGTACTGCCCGCGGGTCCACTGTCAGTTGCATCCGTTGTTGCCCATCGGGTTGAACGACCAGCCCCGTTTGGCCTCTGTCAAGCTCTACTGCGCCAAGTGTGAGGACTTGTTCAACCCTAAGTCCGGTCGCCACGCCGTGGTGGACGGTGCCTACTTCGGAACTTCGTTCCCGGCCATGTTCTTCCAGAACTTCCCCCAAGCCATTCCCATCCATTCGAAAGACACCTACGTGCCCAAGGTGTTTGGGTTCAAACTACACGAATACTCCAAGTTGAACCGGTGGAGAGAGCTTCAGAGAAAGAAGCTCGAAGCCCGGTTGGCCAAGAACGGGGTGGAAATCACCAACGTGGTGGGTGGCTTCAAGGCAGAGGAGGACAAGCCTGTGATCCAACAGTAGACAGAGTTTTATAATGTAATAAGCATACGGAGCCGGTGTAGATGCAAAGTGGTAATGACCTTTCTTACTTCATTTGAATTATTCTCAGAGAACTGTTGTGTGATGTTAATTAAAGTATCTCACTGCACTTAATGGAGTTGATATAGATCTCAATCGAGTTACGAGATTATAGGGCTATCTTAATTCAAACCAGGATCATATTGACTGAATGAACTCGTCATATTGGGGATTTATTTACTATCAAACTAATAATATTTCAATTAGGAATAGTAGAATCATTACTTATTTCGCCCTTCTATATTATTCTCAATAAACACTAATGTAATTACCGGAGACTTACCCTACTAATAATTAGTTAACTCAAAAGTACTTTCGGTACTGGAACGTTTGACCTATCATTCACGTTAATTATCCTCAATATTAATGTAATTGCTTAGATGATTACCTCTGATATCTCAGTACTGGGACTTTTACCCTGATGATCACCTAATGTATCCTCACTACATATTCATCCAAAAACGTGAGTATTGAGTAAATACCAAAACTCGATAATTCGGGCCTCACTGAACTCAACTGCGTACTCTCCGGATAAGTAATCAGAGGTATTACCTATTAATGATTCATAGTAACTTGTGATTATTTTACAGGTGATTGGCACTGATTTCTGTTTCTGAGATATTCGTAAACCAAAAATGGCCAAACTAACACCACTTATACAGAACAGTCCCAATCCCTCTTCAGGTCCCAGCCCCGTAAGTTTGGGCCTCAGATGTTGCATTGAAGTAAGTCCTCCAAAGGTTCATCTAAAACGCACTACCGCGCACCAAATCACAAATTATCACCAGATTCCACAGCGCTAACAATGAGATCCGTGGCACTTCGAGTCTCCACCAGGCGGCTGGTGTCGTCGAGCACCCGTGCCAATGCCAGCGTGCAGTCCAGTCTGTCCATCGAGAAGTTCCCGCCAAAATCCACCATTTTCTCGCTCATTCAGCCCACAGGCAAGATCCACTTGGGCAACTACCTTGGCGCCTTGCGAGGCTGGGCAGACCTTCTCAAGGTAGACTCGCCCCAGAGCAAGTTTATCTTCGGCGTTGCCGACTTGCATGCGCTTACCATGCCTACAGAGCCCCTCCAGTTAAAACAGCACCGGTACGAGGCCATGGCCAGTTTGATAGCCGCTGGGCTCGACCCCGAAAGGTGTATTGTTTTCCACCAGTCCACAGTCCCAGAACACACGGAGTTGAACTGGTACCTCGTTTGTTTAGCGGGAATGGGCCAGTTGAACCGGATGACCCAGTGGAAACTGAAGGCCCACCAGGCGCTGACCAGCTCCATCTTCGAGGAAGCGGTTTTGGAGAAAACAAGGGCGGGAGTGTTGTTGTATCCCGTGCTCCAGACTGCTGACATCTTGATCTACAAGTCGACCCACGTCCCTGTGGGCGATGACCAGACCCAGCACCTCGAGTTGTGTCGGACTGTGGCCAACACCTTCAACCACACCTACAAAACCAAGTTCTTCCCATTGCCAAAGACGTTGTTGACGCCTGCCAGTAAGGTGTTGGCGTTGAGGAACCCCAGCAAGAAGATGTCCAAGTCGGACGCTGACCAGAACTCGTCGATTTATCTCACCGAGAGCCCTGATACTATCGCCAAGAAGGTGCGCAAGGCCACAACCGACTCCATCCAGGGACCGTTGTACTACGACCCTGAAACTCGTCCTGGTGTGAGCAACCTCATCAACATTGTCGCTGGTATCAACAGGGCCAGTGTCGAAGACACGGTTCGGGACTTGGCGTGGGTCAAGGACCACAAGCAATTGAAGGATCACGTCACCGAGGTGGTGGTGGAAGAGTTCCGGGAAAAGAGACACATGTTTGACCACTTGATGGGCGACTTGGGATACTTGGACTCCGTGTCGAAGCAGGGAACGGAACGGGCCAGAGAGATCGCACTGAAGAACATCAAAGAGGTGCGTGCTCTAATGGGTTTGAACTAGCCACCAATACGGAGGTAGCAAACGAGGGGCGATAAAATCACTAGTGCCTCAATTACGATGATATTACCACTGGGTGCACTGAACCATACAGCTATCGAAGCGACCAATCAGGTTGGCCATGTACATAGAAAGATAGCCTTATGAATAGAACGATAGAGAGAATGTTGGAGCAGACTCCAGGTGTAAAGCCAGAAGGGTAACATCGAAAAGCCGATGAGACTTACGGAGCGTGGAGTAAAAGGACCATTACAGGAATGGAGTGACCGACCGATAGGCAGTAGAGAAATGATAACTTGTCATTCTAGAATAATAATACTAGGGTAAGAAAGATAGAATTAGATAGACATTTATTTGACATTGAGGTTTAGATTGGTCACCGAGAGGGATTCTAAGCACAGAATTCAGTATTAGTGGCTGGTAGGTCTGGTAGTGACCAATCTACGGCTAGTTAGGGATTGAATACAACTAAATTGAAAGAATTGAATTGAAGAGAAAACAAGGCGATTTTGAGCATCTCTACTTCCCTCAGTACACGAGCGATGCTATACTTCAATAGAATAACTACCTCTTTGTTTCTACGGAAAAATACCCTCTTGGTATCATCCATGTGCTAGCCACATTTTCCGTTTCAGGTTGGCAATTCCAGATGCTATTCTAGAAAAAATTGATGTCTAGTTGACATGTCGTCGTTATTCAAGAAGCAATTACTGTGATTACGTTTCAGGTAGGCAATTCTAGAGTCGGCAATTCCAGTAGTTGATATAGTTGACGAAAGTAGCTATTCAGAAGTAATTCCAAAGGTTAATTCAGTAGAATTTGAGTCAGGATGGCATTCCAGAAGTCATCCTAGTCTGGTAGTCATTCCAGAATTCAAGTTTACACCCTGTGATTGACAATTCAATTGACTTCGAGTAGTTTACGATTCAGTAGTTATCCCATATAATACAATTCTAGAGATACTTCCAGTAATTATTAGTAGGTATGCCATAATTATTCAGCAATTACCAGAAGGTCCAGAAATTAGTTATACAAGAATTCATTCAGCAATTACCAGAAGGTCCAGTAATTATTAGTAGGTATGCCATTATTCAGCAATTACCAGAATGTCCAGCAATTAATTATTTCAATTACTCAGTAATACCCCAGAATTTCCAGTATTAAGTAGCTATCCCAATAATTATCCCAATAAATATTCCGGTAATTATTCCAGCATCCTCACCCGTTTGACATCGATTTCCATCGCTTTGCCTCACCCCTTCCTGCGCATTCCTCTCGGCCAGCATCGTAGCACGAGCGATTGTTCGCAGTTGCTGCAGCGATTCCAGCGCGTGGGAATTCGATCCACCGCGATGGCCGCGAATTGCAGGATTGACTCAGTGAGATCCACCACCACTAACAGCCAGAACACCATAGTGGAAGCATCACCACAGTGACAAGAACACCACCACCAAGCCCACCACCAGTATTGACACAGTTCACTACCTCCCCCACGCCCTCTACCACCAGTTGTCCCCACCACCACCAGTAGTTCCCCTACCCCCAGCCGCGCTTTCCCTTCGCGTCGCGTTGTTTTGATCACGTCGTGTTGCAGATTTCACCGCCAGGCCCACGCTAATTGCCTGCAGTAGACGTGCCACCATCTCCTCCATTCCACGTCCCGTGATCCCAGATTGACTTCAAAACAAATAGCCATCTTTCTCTCCTCCACTTCTCCTCACCGTCGCTGCTCTGCCCACCATGTCGGACCAACAGACTAGGCGAATGCAAGTCAAGGTGTTGTACTCGTTCAACAACAACGCCACCATCTTCTTGTCGAGATCCAAGAACCAGTACGCCGTCAAAATCGCCCACATCCCCATGGCCAACGAAGAGCTGGAACTTACTTTGGGGGCGTTCGACCTCAAGAGCTGTGTCCAGCAGATCGTTCGAAGCTCACCCGAGAACTTCAAGTTGCATGCTGAAGACTACGTCGTCTACTACAAAGACACCACCGAGCAGCCCGACGAGCCGTTCGTGGCCAACGGCGAGATGTCCGCGTTGTTGGCGTCGTCCAAGCCCCACCTCGTCCCAGGAAGAGTGTGCCAGAACGTGTCTGCCAGCTTCTTGTTTGGCGACAAGTCCAACGCTTCGTCGTTGACGCTCGAAATCAGGTTGAAGCTCCACACCATCGACCGTTCCGACTCTGCTCCGCCACCGCTGGCGCTCCAAAACCACCAAAATCTCCAAAACCACCAAAACCACCAAAACCACCAGGTGCCTCGTCCCGTGGATTCCCAGAAACGACCATCAGAATCACCCATGGGATACCCCCAGAAGAGGCCGCGTCCCGTCCACCCGCTGCCTGCACCCTCTGCATCGTCGCTGGCTGCCGTCAAGGCCACCAGGACTAAATCGTTGCCCATTTTCAACAACATTCCCAGCCAGACCATGTTCAACATCATGAACCACGACAAGCTCAACTTGGCGTCCAAATACGACGCCAAGAGCGTTCAGGACCGGTTCAAGCTGGCCCCGTTCCTCCAGGCCAAAATCATCGACAAGCCTGTCAAGAAGCATAGACGGTATGCCGAGCCCCAGAGGGCCATGCGCACCCGTTCCATGGTCAACCAGACCCCAACCATGATCTCGTCACCCATTAACGAGGAGCCCATGTCAGACAGCACCGACGACACCGAGTACCGCGAGAACCAGGAAATTCCCGAGGACGACGAGGAAGAGGATGGCGATTTCGACGAGCTTTCCCCCTACACCCCACAACAGCCTCCCTACGACAACCACCACGGTCCGGCACCTACAACCGTCACCTCCATCACCACCAACAAGACACACGACACCTTCCAGTCTTTACCCGACTTGGAGGACTTGGATAGCAAAAAATGCCACACCATCCCTCACACCAAGCTCCCCAAAAATCACGGGTTGGTCTGCGTTAATAGCAACTGTGGTACCACCTCCTCGATTGCATGGAGATACTTTGAAACTGGTTTTCATCCTAACTACTTTGCTATCCACAGGGCCACTGAGTTCGACAAAAAGCATTATGAAGGAATGTACGGGCCGTTGTGTAACGCTTGTCATTTGTTTCTTAGAAACAAAGGGTTTCACAGACCCGAGAACGTGGTAAAGAAATACTTACAGCAGCAAAGATACAAGAGAGAGTTGAAAAATAGAGAAGAGTCCAATGAACCACAATTGGAACAATCGGAAACAAACAGAGATCGAGCCAGCAGTTTGTCGGCTATAGCTATGAGAAAGTCAAGCCAGTATGCATCTTCTCCAGTCCCTCCACTGGTAGGAAAATTTGCCACTCCTTCGCATACACGATCTGCTATAAATCAGGTCATTCAAAATAACCATCAGAGCAACCAGCTGGCCAACAATGAGTCATACTCTAAGAAAACTCCTAACTACAATGATCCCACTGAATTCTTGAACCAACTAAATAATTTCGGGGGTCCATTGACAGATATTGACCCATTGCCACAAGACCAGAACGGTGTTACTCCCCCCATGATGGCCACCAAGTCCAACACTAGAGTCATCAACCTCTATGACGATGGAGAGGATAAAGAAAACTGTCCTCCATCGGAAGAAGAGGGTTCTCATGATAATGAAATGGCTAGTTTTGAGAACATGATTCGCAAATCGTTCACTCAAGGCAGTAGCAAGTCTAGTCCCGTTGGTAATGAGTGGATCAGCACTCTCTTCACAGAACCAACTCCAAAGGACCAGATCACTCCCAGAGACACCAAAACACCCAATGAAGATGGCGAAAATGAAAGCAAGCTCTTACATCCAAATATGCCAGATATGAAGACTTTCACCAATAAAAAATCTGCCGAAGGAAACCGCTTGAACAACAAGAAGGCTGCCGTGGTCAATATGCCGTCATCTCCATTCTTAACAGGTGCCCAGCACTCGGATGAATTGGAAAATTTCTTGAACACTGACTCCAACGAGTATGTTGAGATCGACGATGAAATCCACGACCTTGTTTCTAGCCACCAATTTGCATTCACTAACAACTCATCACCCAAAGTCGCTTCCAGAAACGACACTACCAACCTGGTAATGTCATGGAACACCACTCATAACTCCAAACGTAACAATGACTTGGGCAGTGGGTCCACTCCAAACACAGATTTGTTTTCCACTGATGATATGGAGAACTCCAACGATAAAACCCAAATGAAGTTTAGTTTGGACGAAATGATGGGACAAGAGACTTCTTAACTAATAATTTGCATGATTTGTACTATACGTAACATTTAATTAACGATTTTAAGAATTACCGGTAGGATTGGCTTTTGTAGACTCCAAGATGGAATAATTTTGCAGCCGCTATTGACACAATCGGCTTTGTGGCCCAACGGCCATTATATACAGGACATGATATTTATGTTCTAGGAAGCCAGTCTGTGGGGAAAGCATGTAAGATAAAGATAGAGTATTGCGTGGCTTGTATTGTAATATTGACTCTTCATGCTTTCTTGTTTTGGGATCTTTTGAAAAATTTTGCGAATTGAAAGATTGAAATGGAAGCATAAGTTTAAGAGCATACAAACAAAACTAATTCTTATTGAAAGGTTTAAGAGAGCTACATAACCTCAAATATAGAATAAATGGGATTAGAAGATATTATAAGCTTACGTACAAGACTTCTCCTTACCCAAAAATTGAACTAGAGCTTTAAACGAGTACCCCATTTCTACGGTTCGATAGTTCATCACTATCTACAATTCCAAAAGCCAGAACTTTGAAGGTCAGTGAAATAATTTGGAGTCTTAAAGAACGTATCACGCAGTTTTCTTTTGTTTCAATTTTGTACGAAAGTTACATTTTTATCACCCGTTTAAAAAAATCAAGCAAAAATTTAGTTAAGGAAATTGTCGTCACTTTTACAAGAGGCAGTCAAGGCAGTAACTTGGGATTAGGTTTAATATATTTTAATCCTGATTCAATGACTTTTCTTTCACTATTTAGGTATGGGCTGAAAGTTTGTTTGTATTCTTAACGAAAGTTGAAAATTAAAGATTGGATCTGTGTGTAGGTATTTCATTATAATTCATAACTTAAATTCTAAATTGTGGATAAAAAGTATAGCAGAAGCAGAACATACAATCTGTTATGAGGGAAAGCACAATTATAATACCAAGTCAATAGTTTTCGTTGTGACTTCAGGGAATACTACTCGCGTATTCTTAATATCTAGCTACCATCCTGTTGAAGTGGTCTTATCATTGCTAAGAAAGTACATCAGCTATCCCCATACTGTGCTACTGTTCGAACCTTTTGTATACTTGTTTTTGCACAAGCTCTCCGTTATTGATTACAAATATCATATTTACCACTTTCCATCTTTTCCTAAAGAGAATTAAAATATATATCACCCCACTAGGAGGCCCTATGCTTGCCAGGTAACTGGCCAGAGATAACTGTGCATAACTAATAACCAATAACGAAAAAACCAAAATCAATTACGTAATCAAGAATTGTAATTTGTAAATTGTAAGTGAATCATTCAAGAAACAAGAAAGGCCTGGTTAGCTCAATCGGTAGAGCGTTTGACTCTTAAGTAAGACATCAAAAGGTTGCGGGTTCGACCCCCGCATCGGGCTTCTTTTTTGCTTTTTATACCCAATGTTGTCACAAAGGAGTATATATGGTGAAGCTTAAGTTGATGTTATTTTACTACTTGGGCTATTAAATTTTAATTTTCGTTTATCATTAGCTTCTATGAATGCAAATTATAGTACAATTATGAAATGTCATTTCTGACACAGCACTGATTTGGTTTGTTCAGCACCAGAACCTGTACACCCTAACAATGAATGGTTTCTCAGCCAACTTAGCTTTGTCTTCGGCGATTTCTTGTTGTAAAAGGTCCAAGTCAATGTTTGGTCTTCCTGTGTCCACATCAATGTCTTTGGCTCTAACAAAAAGAGTCCAATCTTTTTTCCAAAATTTATAGAAAAGCCAAGAGGCGATAAGAACAGGTAATCCCAAGTAAGACAAGAAGAAATCATATGCATTTGGCTTGCCACCGATTGGAAACAAGGCAATCCAGAATTGAGCAATCAAAACCAAAAAGTTCAAGGCAAAACCATAGTATGATCCCCAGACACCACATTGTGAAATGTATGGAAGTTCATTCAACAGTCTGTTCTGAACTGTGAGGGCTCTTCTGAAACGAATGTGACTCAAGTTTATTGAAAGCCAAGTGAAAATTGAACTAAGTCCTGACAAAGCAAGCAACCAGTTGAATACCTCTTCTTGCTTGTTACTTGCAGCAATCAAGGCAAAAAGGCCAAATATATCGGTAATCAAAATAGCAGCTAATGGTCTTCCAAGTCTATCAACGTATCCAGTCCATTTTGGTGCCATCCCTTGTTCGGCCAAGGAGTTTAAGGATCTCGAGGTTGCATAAACCGATGCATTGCCAACAGACAAGACGGCTATCAAGATAACTGCATTGATGACACTAGGTAAGCCCTTAATACCACCATTGACAACAGCAATGACAAAAGGTGAAGCAGTTGCATCCACAGAAGAAGAACCCAATAACTTGTCATCATTGTAAGGAACTAAAGTAGCAACCATAGTAAGTGATACTAAGTAGAACAAGCATATTCTCCAAAAAACTTGCTTAATGGCTTTTGGAAGCGTTTTTCTTGGTTCTTTAGTTTCGGCAGCAGTCAAACCGATCATTTCAGTTCCCCCGAAACTGAAGGCAGCAGTCACAAAAACGGAACACACACCCTTGAATCCATTTGCAAATGCACCAGGATCTCTCCAGTACCTACCACCGATGAATTCATGGTTTGGACCACCACCACAAATCAACACGATGCTCAAGATAATGAAACCGATGACGGCAATCACTTTAATAAGGGAGAAAACAAACTCAGATTCTCCATAACCCTTGACACCTAGTAAAGTGATAACAACAATTAGTAACCAGAATATAATTACGAAGATATCGGGATTCAAGTCTTTATTCCAGTATTTTACAGTGATTGATCCTGCCACTAGTTCCAATGGTAATAAGACAAAAAATTGCATGAAATAATTCCAACCCACTGCAAACCCAACAGCCGGTTCAATGAATCTGCTCGCAAACACGTTAAAACTTCCACTCACGGGGAATGTAATGGAGAGTTCCCCCAAGCCTTGCATAGTTGCAAAGACACCTGTGGCCATTATGAACCAACCAATCATAATTCCAGCAGGTCCACCGGTATGCAATGCTGAGCCTGAACCCACAAATAAACCAGTACCAATACTTGAGCCGATTGATATCATTTGCAAATGTCTAGACTTAAGCTTTCTCGAAAGATTGGAGTTGGCAGCATTGATGTTAATCTTCTCCATCTCAGTGTATTCCTTGCCATCCTCCACATTTTGACTGGTCAAGGTTTCGCTGGCAACTGCTGGTTTGAAGGAGTCGATGAAGGAGTTCCACATACCAGTGTGTTCCTCATGGTCGGACCTCGTAGACCCACTCCTTATGTGGTTGAACTCTGTCAATGATGGTTCACGCTTACTATCTTTGGAACCTCCAGTCATGGTTAGAGTAGCCAATATTTGGTGAAAGAAGGATGTGCTAGTTAGGAAATAGGACCCTACATATAGTTATGAAGTCATCGTCAGCTTCCAAGAACATGACGAGAACTGCGGCGGTTATGATGCGGTTTTCGGATGAAGTCAAGAACATTTATACAGTTCAAATGGCAAAATGAAAATCATGAGTCACACTGCCTGTCAGGAAGCCGGCGTTTGGGTCCAAAACGTCTGCAGTTGCAAAATGTGCAGCAGTTATTGGAAGTGCGAACCGAAATGGCAAGATGTCGCTGAGACTGTCCTTACTAGGAAGGAAATTTCTTTTTTCTTTCCCTCCTGGTTAAGGGCCAAGGCTTTATTCTCGGAGAAATAAAATCCGATGAGATGCTAAGCGACAGTATGGGAATAATAGCAACGCCATTCTGAAGGTCACCTGATGACTTTAGAGGAACCTTCTCTTTTTGGAAGGGTCCTCGTCGCTTAGCTTTGTGAGCTGGGGGATTATCGCACAGTTCTGTTCTATGCCGATAATGCGAGGGAGCAAGAGCCGCAAGTACTCTTTGATTTCTTCTAGGTCCTTTTTGGTATCGGGGACCTTTGTGGCTCGAGAATCGATGTAAGAGAGGGTACCTCCAATGTGCTTGCACTTTTCCTCTATTTCTCGGCCCATATTATCGATGGTTTTTCCCATCTGTGCCAACTGTTGATTCATCAGGGCAATTTTTGTATTTATCAGGGTTTGCTCGTCCTCAATGGGGCCCACCTGGCTTTCCAAGACGTCTCGCACTTTTGCCCCGATTCTAGTTTCGCTCTTGTCCAATTTGGCAGCCATATGGTCTACTCTCTTCTCTAGTTCATGAACAGACCTAACGGTATCCGAGTGATGTTGTTTGACGAGACTCACGAAATCCTCCTGTATTGTCTCTTTGAGAGTGATGGACTCCAACTCAAGCCTGGAGGCCCATTCCACCAAGTCTTTTGTGGTTTGCTCCTTCAGTTCCCGTACATCTGTTGTCCTGTCCGGCCCTGTAGAGCACTTGTTAGCGTGGCTAAGTCTAGTGATTTTGGGCCGTTTTGCGTGCGTTCGCTGGGTGAGAAATACACTGTCTTCTTCACTGGAGTAGTCCGTGTCCTGGGTTGCAATTGTCGTCATTATGTTGGAAGAAAGGGTGTTGTTGCCGTTCATGGATATCACTTTTGCAGCATCTGGCAGCAAGGTCAGTGCACGTGCCACTAGTCACGCGCACACCATCACCATCAAATTCACGGTGTTTACTGGATTGAACAGTAAGATGGCCGATCTTAAGGAGTTCTTGGAAAGTAAGTAGAGTCGGACGTCAATGGCTGTGGAACACGGCTCTGGATTGAAAAATCCGTGCTGAGCTCATTTGCTAATCAACACCAGTTGGTACTAACATTTAGAACGTGTCAGAGTAATATCGACAGATGCTCGGTTATTCGAAGGAATACTACAAGGATTCGATAAGTCGACAAATATCATCATCAGCAACTGTATCGAGAGAATCATCTACGACGATGACGAAGAGAACCAGGAGATAGCGTTGGGATTGTACATGATGAGAGGAGGCACCGTGGTTTGTGTTGGAGAGATAGACGAAGAGGCAGCGCAAGGTGTGGACTGGCTGAGTGTCAAGGGGGAGTTGAAAGGAACAAAGAACCCATTGTGAGTGGAAGCTGGTCAAGGGAAGAGCTGGCACGAACGTGCTGAGGTCGTGGTATCCCAACAAGTGCTGTTTCCTTCCGTGACTGCTACCAACGACTGCTCCGCTGCTGTTTCCAATGACTGGAGACTAGCCATCTTCGAAGATAAGCAAACTCACTCCATTGTGTTTTCAACCACACGAAAACACCTGCAAAGAAGTCTACAACAATAGATTGCCAGTATTCGCTGCTTTCTGTGAGGAGTCCATCACAAGTAAACTGTCCAGCGTCACTCCTACTACAGATAGTCGATCGCCAACCAATTATCACTCCCATTTGTGCATATACATATCCCCATTACTCCCTGACGGTAGAAATACCGGCCAACTTCATCTTCACAGCTAACTCCAATAAATAGTCCAAGGCTTCATTATAGACCTTGGCTTTCCAAATAGTCTCACCCCAGACATAGATCCCGTGTCTTCTCACCAAAACCGCAGATGTCCCAGGATAGTTCCTGATGGCCTCTTCGAGGGTCTCGGTAAGGTCCTCCTCGTGAGGCGTATTTTCAATGATAGGAATCACCAACTTTTCGTAGTTTTCCATGCTTCCCACCTTTTCCACCTTCTTGGTGGATTCGTTGTACTCCAACCGAGGCAAGGCTTTGATCTGTTCAACGTGGTTAATCACGAACTCTTTTTCGTGTTCGAGCAAGATAGTGATCATTACTGCGTTTTGTGAATGGGTATGAATACACGCTCCAGCATCTCTCAATGTGTAGCAGCTGACAAACAACGGAGTGCATGCAGATGGCTTGTATTTGTAGGATTTGGTCAACTCTTTGGGACATTCATTTGGTGTACGGACAATAGTGTCTGGTAAGTCTACCACAAACATTTCCCACGGCTGGATCCGTTCTTTTTGGACTCCTGATGGGGCAATATACACCAAGTTCGGATTGGGACCCTCCACGTCTCGAATAGAGATCCCACCACCGGTTCCAGTGACCCAATTGAGATCATAGAACAAACGACAAAGCTCACAAATGAGGTTCGCTGGATGGTTGGGGTCGCTCAATTCCTGCTGAAGTTCGGCAGGAACGAGCGAAGAGGGCTTGTTGTTGCAGGAGCAGGCCATTGTGCTGTTGAAAGGGACTGGAAGTGGTCTGAAGTAAGAATAGGACTGGCTGTGGTTTGGAGAACAACGTGCTGGGGTCCTGGCACGTGACTTGTAGTTATAAAATTAGAGAATGATAGATTGTTGGGAGTTCACTGAGGGCTATACAGCTGGATCTGGTTCAATTGGTAACGAGTGGTGGTTGCTTAGCGTGGGTCAAAGGTATCCAGCGGAAATGACTGATTGCAGTATCTCGAATTTTATCACGTTCTACTCCGTTCATTACCTTTTCCGAATGGGCTTCGTTCTGCCTTGTGATATGAGACTGTGGACTATGCCAATATTTCAGATCAACCTGTCCTGATTTGTGGCTGCTTTAGCTTCTGCTAAGGGTATTGTAGTGGCCATCTACCGGAAATGGCCAAGACACGTGATCTTCAACTCCGAGGTCACTTCTAATGAATGTAAGGATTGGACTCTCTGAAGTATTTGCAGTCGTAGAGGATGGCATCGTATAATGCTGCCAGTCAAGAATATGCCCCACTAGCCGGAACACTGTGTGAGATTCCAAAAGTGAAATTTTCAACACTTCTTGGATTACATTGAAGGAGGAAAAAGAAATGCTTCAAGTGAAATATACACCTGCTAGGTATGATAATACACTCTGACGGAGGATATACTTTACCTCTACATCCTCATATTAGAGTCAGGAATAGAATTTCCAGAATACTGAGTTAAGGGTTTAATTTACTGGATCCCAATCGTGACCTTCACTCGAAAACTTCCGTACTACCTTTGCACCTACCAACCAGAGCAACTCCACACCCACTCAATCATCTTTTCATACGTTTCTCTGGCATTTCTCTCCATTTCTCCTTACCATTTGATCACTCAGATCTTGTTCTCGAAACGCACACGTGACCCCTACCAGCCCCGCGATTATTGAACAATCAGTAAAGGGGCGATAAGCTCCATCACCATCATGGCCGGGTTAGAACAGTCGTTATTCCAGCTCAAATTCACTGCCAAGCAGCTCAACCGACAATCGGCCAAGGCAGCCAAGGAGGAGCTTCAAGAAAAGGCCAAAATCAAAAAAGCGTTGACTCAAGGCAATAATGACATTGCTCAGTTGTACGCTCAGAATGCCATCAGAAAGGCCAACGAAAGAACTAGTCTCCTCAGATTGGCTTCTAGAATCGATGCTGTGGCTTCACGTGTTCAAACAGCAGTGACAATGCGGTCTGTCACTGGAAATATGACCCAAGTCATCAAGGGAATGGACAAGGCATTGCAGACCATGAATCTCGAAAGGATATCCATGGTGATGGACAAGTTTGAGAACCAGTTCGAGGACATGGATGCCTCCACCAATTATTACGAAACCACCACCAACAATGTCAGTGCATTGACTACGCCGCAGGAGGACGTGGACGAGTTGTTGAGCCAGGTAGCTGACGAAGCAGGTATCGAGATGAAACAGGGGTTGAACGAGACCAAGGTAGAGATCTCGAGTCCGCCAGTGAGCAACATCACCGAGGAAAAGGAGGACAAGTTGGCCGAGAGATTACGGGCCTTGCGGAGCTGAGTTTGCATGGGGTTAGCATAACAGTGTGTACCAATAAACGTTTATAAGGCGATTATGAATGAAAATTGCTGTGAATAACCGTTGTGCAATAAAAGCGGTGGATCCACAGAGAGGTATACAGCAAACCAGTGCAGATAGGAGTCTCATTTGCATACTTATGGAGGAAATCTGGTTCTGAAGACTATCCTATTCATGCCATAGACTTGCACGGTCCAGTAATTTATTGACCAGAGCTTCGTTTAAAGCATTTTCTACTAGCAATACTGGGTACTAACTCTCCAGATACGGGTCTGCTTGTACTTGAATTTAAATAAAATTTTATTTCTAATATACAGTAGTCAAAGGTCCCGACTAAATGAAATGAATCTACCACGTACTTCGAAAATACGATCTTGAGAATAGTTCTATTAGACCAACAAAACACTCTCAATTCTTGTATCCCGAGAATTTGTAACCACTCGATCTCCTTTGATTGCTAGCTTGCTCCTCTTGCTTAATGATAAAAGTCACAATATTAATCAAATTCTTGAATCCCTTTTCGTTACCCTTAACCTTGATCAAATGCAACGAGGACGAATTGATCAAATCGATGATTTCAATTCTGAACTTCAACTTTCTGCCGTGGGCGAACTTGCTTGGAATAACACCAGTGATAAGACCAAACTCCTCATCAATATCAACACTGGATATGGAGCCGTCAATCATCTTCAATTCTAATTGAGTCTTAATAACTCTGATCAACTCAGATGACGCCAATGACGAATCAATGATGTTTATGCTCTTGCTGTTGGTAGCGGACCCTGTAACCGCTTCGCTATCAAACTTAGACTTGTCCTTAGTGCCCGGAGATGATGTGAATGCACTGATAAACTTCTTGAACCAGTTTTCCTTCTTTGGAAAGGGTGAATCATTCATTTCCACTTTTGGTGACTTTCCCCCCACGGAGAGCTTGGAGAACCTTTTAGCAGGTTGTGGTGCTTTTGGTGCATCTCTCTTAGGCTTGAGACTAAGTTTTCTGAATAAAGATGCTGTCTTGTCCTCCGAAGGAGCCGAAGGAGGAAGAATTGGTGACTCAATGACTGGCTGTTCCACTTTTACTTCTTTTCTTTCATTGATCGCTTCTGTATTCTGGTTCGGAGTCTCTTGATCGTTATTTCCAGACTTATGAACCTTAGACAATGCCCTTGAACTGAAAATCTCCATGGAAGATCTTGAAGGTTTCCTTTCATCACCACTATCATTATTATGGTCAACAAAAGAGGATGTATCCAAGATTTCGAAGTTTTTCGATACATTGTGTTCATCTTTTGTCTTTTCACGTTTACTTCTTCTCAGACCATAAAGTGATTTAGGGGTTTCCCGGATTGTAATGGACTCTTGAGGCTTTTCTCTCTCAGAAATAACCAGTTCCCTTTGCACAGCATGCAGTTTGGTATTCAAATGATGATAATAATGTTGATCTGGGGCTAAGTTTGGTTTGTTCACCTCAATCAAATTTTTAGACTTTCTTCTTTCCCCATACAATGATTCATAATTATTGTATGCCGATTTAAGACTCTCGTTATGGGAGGATAAACGCAAAGTATTTTCCTCTGAACGAGGAATGGTCAATGTTTCCTTGGATTCAACGATGCTTGGTCTCATGGTATTGAACTTACCAATATCCGCTGTTCTCGAACTAATAAGATCAAAGTTTGAATAGTCTTCTTCCAACATATTTGGATTGAGAGATTTATTATCTCTATGGGTTATCACTGTGTCATCCAACATGGTTTCTTCAGACTCATTATCGTCGTCAAAACCATGACCCTCATCTTCCACATCAGTTTCACGGATGCTAATGGCCTCCGCCGGTAATGTGGCGTTGAACTCATCTCCAGACTCTTGTATCTCAACAGAAACAAATCTGCTTGACTTAGATTGCGACTTTGATATTGGTTCATCCTTCTCTTCTCTAATTCCCAATCCCAACAAGTTAGTCGTGGATGATTTCTTCAACAGACTCTTTCTATTCTTGAAGGTTGATTGAGAATTATATTTGGCGTCAAACGCCGCATTCTTCTCAGCAACGATACTGTTCCTAGGTTTTCTGATAACAGTGTTAGAGTAATTCAAGGTATTGTTCATGATGGTAATATCACCAATTTCATTAGTCTGATTGTTGGAGAGAAGACCACCAAAAGAGAATCTGGAGAATCTTGGGTTTGGAATAAGTTCGTTCTTTGGAATCGTTTCGAAGCTCATGTTGGTCATGTTGGTCTCATCAAATTCCTTGACCCTTTCTTTCTCATCAATATCTCCCAACAATGAGCGATATGGCATAATTGGCGAGTCAAGCTTTTTGTTCGTGGAGTTGCTTTGGTCAGTATTTGTTGAGGTGTTGGTCCCAAGAATTGATCCCTTTGACTTCTCACGTTCTCTTTGATTAAAGCTTGCCAAAGTCATCTCATTTTCTTTATCATCATCATCATCATAGTCTAAAACAGATTGTGGTTCCAATGGTTCCTCTTCAAGGTCACTATAGTCTCTGACACTACTTTGAGCAGTAGAGTTCGCTTGCAAATAGCCAGATAAGTTTTTGGAACTTGAGGTTTTCAAATTGTTACTCAACTTTCTAGGAGATTGAATCACTTCAATACCAAGGTTATGCAACACCTTCGAAGTGTTATCATTACCAAAACGTTGTGGGGCATATTTAGTTGTAGATGCCAACGATTTGGCCCTCAACAATGAATTGACATTGAAAGTATGCTTAGGATCCAATGAGGAATGAACAGGATCAGTGACAAATCTACTTGCCCGAGGCTTGGATGAAAAATGTTCTGCAAAATCGTTACTGCTTTGATGTTTCCTTAATTTCTCCAATGCTTCCTTTTGCTTTTCTTGTAACAAAATAGATTGACGCTTACGTTCTTCTTCCAACTCCTTTTGTTCACGTAACTTCTGTTCTTGCTCTTGTGCAAGTAATTTCTGTCTTTTTAATTCCTGCTCTTTGTATTTGTCTTCTCTTGCTTCATTTAATGCTTTTACTTTGGCCGCTAATTCACGTTCTTTATTTGCTAGGTTATGAGACTTGCTTGAATTCCTTGCTGGTTCGAGCGAACCGGAAGGAGTCTTGACATCATCTTCATTGAACATCTCATCAATAATTAAACCAAAGTTTAACAAGGACTTATTACCAAAAGTTCCAGTCATATTCTTCTTTCTGGCCGCTGCATTTATTGAACTCTTCGAAGGAAGGGTTCTAGTTTCTTGGGGGTTTGTGGAGCTCTTATCAGTAATTTTCTCTAATTCGTTCAAATCCAACAAACCAGTTAATTTTCTGGTCAATTTTGGTGGATATTGCTTCGGTGGTTTAGAAGTATCATCCTTTTCCTTAGATATGATTGATGATCTTGAAGAGTCTGCGAAATATTCATTCTGGTATTTCTTCTTTAAGGTGGACGCAGAATTATTTCTTGATATGGCCTGGGTATTCAAGAGTGTCTTTTTCCTATTAAATGACGTCGATGCTTTGAAATTCCTCACAGATGCATTGGGAGAAACTGTATTTGTAATATTTGACAAAACTTTGAAGTTTGAATTCGATGGGGATTTCGAATTAGATGCATTTCTCTTTGTGGATCTGTTTGAGAACGTTGATGTTGATTTGGGGACCTTTTTGATCGTGGTATACTTCTCTCCAGTAGCTTGATCATACACAGTAGTTTTCACAATGGAAGCAGATCTGGGCAACGAAGGTCTCGAATCATTGAAATCTTCATTATAATGATTCTTTTCATCTTCAAACGAGTTGCACGCAGTATGCTCATTTCTATACTTCATGAGTAAGTAATAGAACATCTTTTCGGGGCACTTATTTGGTGACAACAACTTTGATATGATCTCCTGTTCTTCACAGTTGTGGAACAAGACAGAAAGATTCTTCAAGATCTCCTTATCGATTTTGTCTATCGAATCGATAGGTTTCACGTTAGAATTTTGAAAGTCCAAGCTGTTGGAGTTAGATGACGTAGAAGCAGCCGGTTCGGGATATTTGGTTAACAACGGGTGTGTGAGAATTAGATCTATGGTGATTCTGTCACTGGGTTCGACTTTAAGCATCTTGGTGATCAAATCCTTGGCCTCCCATGATAAGTCGTCGGGCATGACAAATTTACCACTTTGGACTTTCAATAATAACTTTCTGATGTTTTCATCGTCGAATGGTAGATGTCCAGTCAACAAAGCAAATAAAATGATGCCGCAAGACCAGATATCTGAGGGAGCTCCATGGTAGTTTCTACCAGCCACGATTTCGGGACTGGCGTAATGAGGAGAGCCGCAGGAGGTCTCCAATAACTTCTCTCGCACCTCGAGGGCAGCCATACCGAAATCGGCGATTTTTATGTTTTTGTTGAAGTCCAAGAGAAGGTTTTCTGGCTTCAAGTCACGGTGACAAATGTTGAACTGGTGGAGATAGTTGATCCCGTTGATGATCTGCTTGAAGTAGTTGATGGCCTCAAACTCCTGCAAGCGACCACGTTTGATCAAGTAGTCGAAAAGCTCGCCTCCTTCGATATACTCCAAGATGAGGTACAAGTCGTTTTTGTTTTCCCACACATCGTAGAGCCCCATGATGTTGGGGTGCGAGATGAGCTTCATGATGATGATTTCGCGCTCGATTCCGTACGGCAACCTGTCCTTGTTGGCAGCCGTGGGCGGGTGCTTGTACTTGGGGTTTTCCAACATCTTGAAGTTGGACTTGGGCACGATTTTGACCGCAGCCAACTTGCCAGTGACGATGTTTTTGGCAAGACGGACTCTGCCAGTGGAGCCACGGCCCAACGTGCGTCCGAGCTTCCAGGGGCCGATTTTGTTCTGGGTCTTGCGTTTTTTGCTGGAGTTGTTGGTGTTGGTGGAGATCTGCGACAACCGCTTGGTGGCGTTGGTCACCGACTGGACCACCTTGTCGACGTTGACGGACGACGAGTACGAGTCGGACGGGTAGTCGTACGACTGCACCGATTGCTGTTGGACGAGAGTCGTCATTGAGACATGTAACGAATGAATGTAGTTGGTGAGCCAGAAGCCTCAGATGGGAATGAAAGACAACGAGTGGCAGTCGAGTGGAGGCAGAAGAGGCGAGGACGGCTGGTGGTAAAGGAACAGAACAGGGTGGGTGTGGTAGAAGTGAAGCACGCTGGAAGAACACGCCAAACGGTGAAGATACACGTAGAGAAGTAGGAGTGGATTGTTAGGGAGTGAAGGCGGACGAGAATTGCGCGGAGGCGCGGTGGATCGCGGTTGGGCGCCGAAAAGGGCATTTGTTTGTTTTGATGCGCGGTAGGGGGAGAGCGGTAGGTGGGGAGAGGTGGTAGTGCGGCGGTAGTAGTGCGGTGGTGGTGTTGGGAGTTAGGGAGGTGGTGGTGCGGCTAGCACGGTGGGGCGCAGGGAGACGCGTGGCATGGTGCTGATGCGGTGGTATGGGACAATGGAGCGCGAAGTATGGGGACGATGGGGAGGTATGGTGGAGGTACATGCTGCGTGTTGATGGTGTGGGTGAGAGCTCTGGTGGGGATTGGCGTATCTGGAGGCGACCAGTGACTGGAGACTGGGTAGAGGTGTATTACAGATTATCTAGAACCGCGCTAGAAGTCACTAGGAATAAGGTAGAATTGTCTGAGAGCATGTCTAGAGGAGAATAGTATTGTCTGACAGCTTCTCTAGAGGAGAACCGTGCTAGAATTGTCTGACAGCTTGTCTAACCAGTACGAATATTACAATTGCCTGACAGCTTCGCAAACGCAGGATGTATTCCACCGACTGCCTCTCATCTCTCCACTAAACTTTCCCCTGCGCTACAACCGTTGCTCCGCCAATCCGGTGGTAGATCGTACCACCATCGTTATGCCGTTGCACGCCCGGCGTAACGACCAATGTGGCATGTCGCCAAGGCTGTCAACGGCGCTGGTGTGACCGAAACACGTCAACACTGAAATATTACTGGTACTGGAAACCTGGCACAACGGTGCCTCTCAAAATTAAATCCATTCTATAATTACTCAAGCACGTATTTGGACCTTTAATTTTCTGTAAATTTCGACTGGTGACAGAACTATCCTGGCACAACGGTGCCTATCAACATTGAATCCAATCTTGTATATCTTAATCACGTATTTATTCCGTGTCTTTTACGGAGCCTACCAACATCCCTAGCATTACAAACTATCCTGCACCCTTGCCCTGGCTAAGCCAATGCATTCACTACAAGCCAGATTGGGAACAGGCAGAAAGCCAGGGTGGAGAGTCTTTACCAATTTCAAGGAGGAAGTCTAGCTAATGATATGGGGCCAGAGAAGATTATCCAAGAGTATGGTAGTAAGGATGTTTTCTTACCACAACGAAGACTCCACAATTGTAAAAAATAGATCCCACAAATATTACTTACCTATTTACTCAAATATAGGCCCTATGATAGAGAATATTGCCAATGGGCAATATGAATGAGCCCTTCGAACAGAAAGTTCAGGTCTCCGAGGTCTAGACTCACCACGTCACGTACACATCCACGTCCACGTGCCATAGCCAGCTCCTACCTGAACACAACGTTCTGGTAGATCACATTTCCATCCTCGGCCACGTACAGGCCAGCCCTAACCAGTGAAAAATCCCCAGGAACGCACGTGACCAGTGCCATATATACCCCCTCGTCGAAAAATTTTCAGGCCCCATATCCAATCCCCAAAATGTCCAACAACGAAAGAACTTTCATTGCTATCAAGCCAGATGGTGTCCAAAGAGGTTTAATCGCCTCCATCTTGTCCAGATTCGAAAACAGAGGCTACAAGTTGGTCGGTATCAAGTTGGTCCACCCAACCGAAGCTTTGTTGAGAAACCACTACGACGACTTGCAAGAAAAGCCATTCTTCCCATCCTTGTTGTCCTACATGTTGTCCGGTCCAGTCTTGGCCACCGTCTGGGAAGGTAAGGACGTTGTCAAGCAAGGTAGAGCTATCTTGGGTGCCACCAACCCATTGCAATCTGCTCCAGGTACCATCAGAGGTGACTTCGCCGTTGACATGGGTAGAAACGTCTGCCACGGTTCCGACTCCGTCGAATCCGCCAACAAGGAAATCGGCTTGTGGTTCAAGAAGGAAGAATTGGTTGAATACAAGTCCTCCTTGTTCTCCTGGGTTTACGAGTAAATATGTGGTTAGACCATGGCAATTGCTCTAGGCAGTGCTGGTAATTAATTCACGAATGTAAATACCGATCCGTACGTAAACTTTGTAGGCTACAAAGGTGTTTTGGAGTGTGCAACGTGGCAGAATGAAATTAGTGCACTAGAACGCAGAGTGGGTGGTTATTAATGAGCCAAAGGCATGAAGTGAAGGAATGAGCTCGAAGCGTGGACCCCCCTCACAGTCCACGTGAATTATCTAGCTCCACGAGGTCAGCAGAGCTACAATTTCGTAGTGGTTCCTTTTACTCCCACTTTCAAAGGGTCTTTTGACTTTCCCTGGGGCGGGAACTCATGAATTGAGGTGAGTACCTGAACATGTACTGTAGGTTACATTCAAGGACCCGTCTGACGTGTTTTGTCGTAGATTGCTTCAATGTTGCTAGAATGGACTTTGATTTTATCCATAAAGAGAGTAAATAATTTGCGGTGCAACAGAATCGCCGTCCTGATGGCATAAAGGTATGTTCTAACCATCGACCAACATCCAAAACATTGCAGAGTATTGCGGTAGGGGCTTTAAAAGTTGGTGTAGTTAATACTAATATCTGATAGATCTATTCCTACCGGTAGTTTTATTGTAATTACCACTGGAAGACCTTTGGGACGAAATGGGCATGCTAGCATGTAGTATCATGATAATTACCTACTGCGGTAGATACGACTGTTCATTAATTTTCAACACTACAGTAGACTCGACTGTTCATTATTTACGATATCTACTGCAGTAAACTGTACATTAATTACAGCCTTCAGCGCCAGCAATATTCCATCTTCAGTCAATTGTCACTTCAGGTAACCATAACGAATCTGTCTAGGATATCCTTCAAAGGCAGACTCCTTCTTTTTGCTAATATTATAACTTAATCTACTTTCTGGAAGTACATCATAATCTACTCTCTAGTAACATACTATAATCTACTCTCTGCTTGCTTTGCAAATTTACTCTCTGGATCCCGTCACTGCCCACTCCCAGACCAGTTCTATTCTCATAAAACTCCATTTTCTGGTAGCGCGCACCAACTATCAAAATCGCACCAGCCAATTCAAACATCACCACCATCAACCATGGCGTCAATTGAACAGGATGACATGTTCAACGTGCAGGACAACGACGAGGAGATGATCGATGAAGAAGAAGACGACAGAAACGGCTACAACGAAGACGAAGACATGGCCGATGAAGACGCAAATGGCGATGGAGGCGAAGGTGATGGAGATGGCGACGACGATGAAGACGACGACGACGACGACGAGGAAGACGAAGACAACGAAGACAACGACGATGAAAATGACGACAACGACAACGACGACGAGGATGGCGACGGCGATGACGATGACGACGACGACGACGACGCCAAGTTCATGGACGCTCGTGAATCACAGCCCCAGAGCACGACGCCCAGCGAGGCCAAGGACGCTAGAGACGTGTTGATGAAGGACGACACAGACGAGGACCACCAGGACAAACAGAGGAAGCAATCCGGCGACGAGAACGACGCCAATGGCCGTGCAAATGCTCCTGAGCAAGACACCCAGGAGGACGAAAAGTCGCCCGAAAACGGCCCCAAGCTTTCGTTCAGAGAGCAGGCCATGACCAAGGCCAAAATCGCCACCGAATTCGACATAGTGCCCTCTGTAGCCATCCCCTACTCCTCGCAGTGCCATGCGCTTGCGTTCACCGAGGGCCCCAAGTGGATCTTGACCGGAGGTGAGGACGGGTTTATCCGCAAGTATGACTTCATAGCGTCCATCCAGGGCAAATCCCCGTTGACCATGGCCCAGAAGCATAACATGGTGGACACCATCACCAAAGCAGGGGTGATTGCATCGTACTGGGAGAACGAGCAACCTGTGACCAAGCAGGAGTTGATGCGCCAGAACCCCAAAATCAAGCCTGGCGATTTCACAGGCGGCTCGGCCACTTACGAGCCCAAAGTTAACCCGGTGTACTCGTTGGATGCCGAAAGAAACGGGTATTGGTGTCTTTCAGGCCTTCTATCGGGTGGCATTTCCCTCTTCACTATGAGATACAACGAGGGTGCTATCCAGCACTACTTTCCCCACGGTCCCAAATCAGATAACTCCAAGGGCCACAACGACGCAGTGTCTGTGATACGATTGAATACTGAGCAGGATAAGTTCTTGTCGGGATCGTGGGACAAAACCATTCGCCAGTGGGATCTCAACACTGGCAAGGTCATCACCTTATACGACCAGTGTTCAGGACAGGTGTCAAATATACAGTACCGACCCCAGGGCCTACTCGACTTTACGGTGGACAACTTGGAGTCCGACGATGAGGAAAGCACAGAAAACAAAAAGAAGTCTGGGGACAACGAAAACGAAAGCGAGATCGGCTCATTGTTTGGAGATAGCGACGAGTCTGGCGATGACGACGATTCCAAGTTGTCCAAGCCTTCATTCAATAATTCACATACCACCAAAACCCACCGCAATGAAGATATTTTCATGAGTTCCAGCATTGATGGAACAATCGCCATATGGGATATCCGAACCGCAGAGCCCGTGCTCAGGCTAGGGGTGTCGGAGGGAATTCCTCCGTGGTGCATGTCATCGACCTGGTCCAACGATGGAGACTTGATTTACGCTGGAAGAAGAAACAGTACCGTCGAAGAATTCTCTATCAGAATGCCCCACAAACGGTCTACTACAGGCTCGGGAAAAAACACCATGGTTCCAAATGTGCGGAAGCTCTTGCAGTTCCCTAAAATCTCGGGACCTGTCAGCGCCATATCCACCATGCCCAATGATGATTTCTTGCTCTGTGGCTCCAACGACAACATCAGATTGTATAACTTGAAGTTGTATGACAGTGTTGGTGGAGGTGCTGCTGCTTCTACCACCTCTTCGGGTTCCAAAAAGCCAGCGACTCCATTTTTGATTATTCCGGGCCACCAGGGTGGAATCTTGAGTAATCTTCATGTTGACGAAACTGGCAGGTTTATGGTAAGTGCCAGTGGTAACAGAGGCTGGGGTCATTCTACATTCACGGACTCGGTGTTGTTGTACGAGATCGACTTTGAGGGTTAAATAGATAAATACATATGTTAGTACAAGGAAAAGAAGAAGTGAAGAAGTGAAAGGAACGGGTAGCAGAGTCTCGATCAGCAGTATTGGTCGGAGTTGGTCCCAATGACTCAATGGCCATCAAGATAGAAGGTTAACCCATCATCGAGAATATGGAGCTTCTCAAGTTTCCTAGGCCAATCTGGCCCACATAAAGACCATTATTCACGGGCTCGGCCACAAGCCTACCGGCCTCTTTGAACACCAGGCCGGCCTCGGAAGCAAGCCCCTGCCCAAGACCACTCAATTCTCGCGTCCACGATCTCACAGAATCATTGGTGACGAGAGAATCGGCAAATCTTTTGAGAATATCGATCGAAGGACTAAAGATTCGGGAGACTCCTTGACTGTAGCCACTATGGCTCCTTGACAATAGAAAATGAAGCAAGAAACCAACAAACCCCACTGTGAAACTGATCTTATAAATATTGTTAAAGTACTGAATGTCTGACGACTTCTTGTTGTTTGGAAGCTCTGGTGAGGGTGACTGGAAGATCCTCTTGAAAAGCAACGAGGAAGTGTTTGCGATCTTGGTATTGAGAGAGGAGTACGACGACATCAAGCTCAACGAGGAAGAATTCAACAGATCATCAAACTCAGTATTGGTAGTATGCATGGAGCTTTCCAATTCCTCCTGCTGTTCTGCGATTTTCCTCTGTATCTGAAGATCATAAATGGTTTGTTGGGCCATCTCCTCATCCTGAGTTTGCATGAGATCATGCAAAGAGTTGATCTCGTTATTTGCCAGTAAAATATCGTTCTTGAGGCTTCTATCAGGGTATAAACTAGATGTGTTGAGCAAGACCGAGTGCTTGTTGAAGGAGTTGAACCACAAATCAAACGTGGAAGGTGTATTTTCTAGTTGATGGATAGGGAAGTTATCGATAAGGACGTTGGCCTTGTTCAAGATTTTGATCAAATCCTGGTCAGTTAAACCGTCAAACAAACTTGCAGGCGAAACTAGCGTGTGCACCAAGTCTTTATCGACAGAGTCAAAATCCAGATCTTCCAAGGATGGGTCTGTCAATCCAAGCTTTCTCAATATGTCATCCTTGAAGAATATCAACGTTGACGCATAAATATATTCCGATACCAACACCGAATTGTAGCTCAAAATAAAATCCCATATGATGAGTATGTGTTGAAGATTGGAGATGTCGTGGCTGAAGAACGTGAGGATGGACGAAAGCCCTTGGTAGAACGAGTAATCGTACCCCAATCCGTCTGTAAGCACGTATGAGTTGCTCGAGTGCTTGATCAACTTGAAGAGATCGTGGTCGATGGCCTCAAGGAGGGTAGGGATGAGTCTCAAGTGGTTGATCGATAAGTTGATGTCAGTGATCATGAAGTCGCGAAGATGGCACACTGTCAACTTGTCCAACATTTTGAAAGCCAACGCTTCATTGATGGCTATTTCGGATGAATTGAGGTCTCCCAAGCCATGGGGAGTGTGGCACACCAATAGAATGATGCTGGCCACGTCATGATAGCCCTGGTAGTAGTTGAGGGCGGGATACTTCCTCAATATCTTGATGATTAAGTGCTGGAGTTTCTTTTTCAACTCATCGATATCGGACCGGGAAAAGATGGTGGTGTAGGAGTCGGTCTGGAGGTGGCTCAATGACTGGATGTGGGTCAACACCGTAAACGAACGCTGGATGTCGAGCTTGACCTGGTCCTCGTCCTTGTGGGGAGGCAAGTCTGTGGAGTTGAGGTCGTCGAGGAATAGCGAAGCGGATGCCGAGCTCAACTTCGAGGGCTTGGAGGCAAACTCCCTCTCGATGCCCAAGAGAATGGGCCAGATCTGGGCTCGGAGCCTAGAGTTCACCAATCCATCCGTTGTTCGCAGGTACTCAAAGAAGATTTCGTCCGCCAGACGGGACTGGTGCGCCGATTTGGGTTGTTCTGGTTCCACAGGCTCGAGCTGTGCTGGCAATGGCTTGTGGGCTTCAGCTTGGGCTTCTGACAATAGCTCGTGAGTTACTGGTTGGCCCTCTTGTGTTTCCTCCAGCGATGGCTTCAGCAGCTCGCGCCTCTTCAAGGCGTCGTCCAAGGCCTTTTCCTTCAACCCACGGATGTGCTCGTTCAATGGCTGGCCGTCACTGGTGTAAAACGACTGGCCTAGCTTTTCAATGTCCATGGAGACCCAGTCGGGATGGGGGTGGGTGGCGGAATTGGAGTCGACCAACGACATAGTTGAGTGGACACGCCTGTTTAGGGGGGTGCCTGAGGCGTGGAGGTGTGGAGGACGTTTGGATGTTTGCAGCCACTGGGTAGCGATAGAGCAGGAGAAAGTTGCCGTCGACCCTGGATTGAAGATGGGTGACTGCGCACGTGACGGTGGGGGGGAATAGGTGCGTGGGGGATGTTCTCTGGAGATCACAGGTATGGGGGTTAGAAGAAGGTGAATTGGGGGAAGAAGTGGGGGAGCAAGTGGGGAACAATTCGGATGCCAATAGGTATGGGCGCTGACTGGCACAAGTTGGGTATCACTAGTTGGATGGCGGCGTTGGGTGGTCCAGAGGAGTGGAAATTGCATCTGGTGACATCCGCAGGTTCCAGGGTCTATGCAGGCCGCTGATAAGCGATGCGCAGGTTACGGGTCAGTGCCGTATGGAAGTTAAGCGTTCCGGCTGTGGATGGGTGTCGTCAGTGACGAGTTGTGGGACCATTGGAACAATACAAAGTTGAAAAATGGTCTTATTGGCTGTTTTTGGCGATAAGAGGTAGGAGGCTGGAATGGTCTTGTGTACAAGTTACAGGTTAGATGGTTAGATAACTGTCAGCTTGTCATCCCGAGGTAATCCGACTACAGGTTGGATGGGGCTGAAAAATCTCGTCTCTACCCGGTGGTGGGACGGTTGCAGGTTAGGCAGGTGGGACTCAGCTTCTTATTGGGACGGACCACAGGTTGTAGTGACATACAAGCTGGTGCTGGTGGTGAATGTTACAGTATGGAGGAGCTGGGCCTATTTCTGGTCACAAATTACTGGCTGAGAAGCCTATAACCGACTGGAACAACTTCAGCAATTGGTATTCGGATGGCTCACGGCTTGCAGGTTGGAATACCTGGAAAATGGCTCAAATTACAGGTTAGAAAGATTGAAGTCGGCTTGCACCAATTCAAATTTTCCTTCTCCTGACTGCAAGGATGGACCGGGGATGCGCAGCCAGACAGCACACTCCACAGAATGAAAGTCCTTGAACTGACCTCAGGTAACTTTCCCCCGCTGAAAAATCATTATCGCAACCTGCAATTGTCACGTGACTTGTATCACATGTAAGACCCTTTGTGGGGAAAGCCACCAACCAATTCTTCCTCCACCACAATGAGTATCCAATCCGCTTCCGCTTCTCCCTCCGAGCTCACCATCGAGTGGGCCGACGGCCAGACCTCCCGCTTCCACCACGTGTGGCTTAGAGACTACTGCCACTGTGAAAAGTGCTACTTTTCAGCCACCAAACAACGGCTCTTCAACCTGGCCACCATCGATGCTGGCATTCGTCCCGAATCTGTGGCGTCCTCAGCGTCCAGTGTATCGATTGTGTGGAGCCAGGATGCTCACCAGAGTGTTTACGATGCTAATTGGCTCTTTTTACACTCGTACCAACCAAGATTGATTCCCGTGGACGCCAAAGTCAAGGACGAAAAGGAGTTGCTTCGTCGTCAGCTCTGGCAGGTCAAGGACATCGAGCACAATTTGCCGCTGGTCGACTTTAGTGAGGTTGTAGGCGCCAGTGACGATGCACCTATCCGAGACTGGTCGCTCAAAATCTGGAAGCACGGCTTCTGTATGATTGACAACGTGCCAGTGACGCCAGAAGACACCGAAAAGCTCTGTGAAGCACTCTCGTACATCCGTCCCACACACTATGGTGGCTTTTGGGACTTCACCAGCGATTTGAGCAAGGCAGACACTGCCTACACCAACGTAGACATCTCGTGCCATACGGACGGCACCTACTGGTCGGACACTCCTGGATTGCAGCTCTTCCACTTGTTGTACCACGACGGGACTGGTGGTACTACTTCACTTGTGGATGCGTTCAAGTGTGCCGAGATCTTGCGGTCCCAGCACCCTGAAAGTTTTGACCTTTTAACCAGAATTCCGATTCCTGCCCACTCTGCTGGTGAAGAAAAGGTGTGCATTCAGCCAGACATTGCCCAACCTGTATTCAAGTTGGATCTCGATGGAAATCTCCTCCAGGTTAGGTGGAACCAGTCGGACAGATCAACCATGGACAACTGGCACAACCCAGAGGACGTGCCTCGGTTCTACGAGGCGATCAGAAGATGGGTGGCTATTATCAACAATCCCGAAAATGAGCTCTTCTACCAGTTGAAGCCTGGACAGTGCTTAATTTTCGACAACTGGCGGTGTTTCCACTCCAGAACCGAGTTCACGGGAAAGAGACGGATGTGTGGTGCCTACATCAACAGGGACGACTTTGTATCTGGGCTCCGGTTGATGGTGTTGGGAAGGGATGCGGTCGTGGGAGCTATCTAGATGGGTGGAATGAGTGTGAAGTAATAGCCACGATAGCCTTGATGTTCTTAAGTAAAAGCCAATACTCTGAAATAAAAGTTTCTCCATTTGAAAAATGAGTTAGTACAGCCACCCCACTTGAAGTAAGCGGATACTCTGAAATCAGAGCTAATACTCTGAAATTGTAGTCAATATAAATGGATACAAGCTGGCAAAATAAAATAGTTCTTATTTAAACCCACAGTATTTCAAGGAGAATTAGAATTTGCTTCCAACAACCGCAAGAGTTTCTAAAGAGATGCTTGAGCATTGTGTTTTAATCTTCGTTTGGTAAAGAAGGTACCAACTGCTCTTGGAGAGTTCTTAAATGGTTATATTTTTATCCACACTTCCGCAGCTAAAATAGACTGGTTGAGCATCGGCTGGGAGAGGATTAACCTCGAGTAATCACACGGAGTGTGTTTATTGTTCGTTTCCGTCGTGCCATTGAGCTCAATCGGAGATATAGCTATAAAAATAATTCACTGGGTCTAAGCTAGCTTCACCAACAGCCAGTATAGGGAGCTTGAGTCGAGTCATCCCGTTAAAGTTATCAGGTAATGATTCATCTAGTGATCAAGATAACCCCTTTTATAAATAACATTGACCTACATTGATCGCATCCTAATATTAGATAATACGCAGAGTAATTTTGCACCCAAACAATAGGCTGAAAATACCTTACATCTGGTTGGAAATCAATGGTTACCGGTCCATATAGGAGAGAGTGACGAAGTTATGAGAAGTTGGTGCTAGGGAGGGATGATCTGGGGTAAATGTTCGTTATGAGGAATGTGGAATCAAGAGAATGATAAACTCCTCTACACTTATTTTATTTGGAAGTTCAACCCAATGAAAGCTAAAAGAAAATTAAAAAGGCATTAGGCATCCAAATTTCCAGGACATTTCAGAATTAAAAGTCATTCTGGTTTTCAGAAAGATGAGGAAAAAGCACAAGCTGCCAAAGAGTGAATTTATGATACTTCTAAGCATTTCTCCGTGCTATAATTCCATCTATAATAGTGAAGAACTTGAATGGGCTTTTTGAATCGACTGAAGAAGGCAATTCTCATGGTAAATAGACTTACCGTAGAGTGCCATTTTGTGACTAATGGACATAGTGAATAGACTACATGTGGTCATAATTATGGATGGACCTATGCACCTACTGGACTGTGGGCAATTCAAATTAACTGTTGCTTCCTTCATTGATCTATAAATTGCTACTAGAGCTGACCAACTTACTCGAAAGCTGGAATCTCGTCCCACTCGTAAGGGTCGTTGAATCTCAAGTTGATGTCCATGTTGGCAATGTCCTCCAAGTCTTGCTCGGTCAAGTCGAAATCGTTAATGTGCAAGTTGTCGTGCAATCTGCCTGGGTTAGAGGACTTTGGAATCACGGCAATGTCTCTTTGGGTGGCCCATCTCAACAACACTTGCGAGGTGTTCTTGCCGTGTGCCTTGGCGATTCTCAGGATGGTTTCGTGTTCGAACAAGGTGGGGGTGGAGGTGGCGAGCTTGCTGTCCAATTCAACGTACGATTGGCCACCGAACGAGGAGTAGGCGGTCATCTTGATGCCGAATCTCTTGCAGAACTTGACCAATCTCTTTTGTTGCAAGTATGGGTGGTGTTCGAACTGCAACACAGCAGGCTTGATCTTGCACCCTCTCATCAAGTCGTAGATGAGCATGGCGTCGAAGTTGGACACTCCGATGGATCTGGCTTTGCCAGCCTCCACCATCTTTTCCATGGCAGTCCAGGTCTGCAAGTTGGTGAAGTTTTCGTACTGCACGCTGTCGTGGCCAGCCTCATGAAGTCCTCCAGGGTACTGGGCGTCGAACTCGAGGAACTTGAAACTGTAGGGGAAGTGGATCAAGTACAAGTCGACGTAGTCGAGGCCCAAGTCGTTCAAGGTTCTGTCCAATGCCTTCTCCACGTTGGCTGGGTTGTGGTACACGTTCCACAACTTGGAGGTGATGAACAACTCGTCTCTGGTGACCAAGCCGTCGGCAATGGCACGACGGATACCGTCTCCGATCTCCTTTTCGTTGCCGTAGTCCGAGGCGTTGTCGAACAATCTGTATCCGACCTTGATGGCGTTGTAGATCTGGTCAGCAGCAACGTCGTTGGGCAACTTCCAGCAGCCGAAGCCGGCAAGAGGCATTTCGTATCCAGTGTTTAATTTGGTGGTCATGATTGGTTGAGAGGAGGGAGAGTGTGGGGAGCAGAATTGGAGATGGCGGCGGCTGGGGGTGCTTTTATAGCCATTTGTAAGCGTGGGGACGGAGATGTCTGACGGAGGTAATGCAAGTAGTGGTGGTTACGAGCCATGGACGCGGGGATCGCGGCGCCACCGACTATCAAGATCGAGGAAGGTCTTTGCGGCGCCAGCAGCGGGGTGTGACAGGAACTTGCCTGCATGGTGCGATAAACTCGGAAATTTGAAGGTGGGGCACAATAAATCGGTATGGGGTAGATTAGAGTTTTAGGCGAGCGGGTGGGATTGTGAATAGGGTCGAGCTTCCTCGAGGGGGGGAGCTCGGAAGGAGCTTCCTGAGGGTGGAGGCTGTACAAGGTGGTGACTCAACCGCATCAGAGTAAGGAGTGGTGGCTGTGGGGTGGCCCTGGTGAGTGGGATAGTAGGAGGTAGACTTCGTATCAGTTAGATCTGGCTGACAAAATAAAGCTCTGTCTGGTTCTGTAAAGTTTGACGTCTGTGAATGAGCACGGTTGATTTATGCAATAAGCACAGTTCCTTTTAAGCTCTCTGTTTGCATCATCACCGTATGATTAAGCTCGGCAGACTTCGTTCCCTACGAGCTTTGCATGCACCCGCTTCCTGCACTACATTTGCTACTAGCATATTTTATTAAGGATATCCGTCTATATTACATCGTCGTGTTCTATCATTAGGTCATCAAGTTGGCTAAGCTCATACTGGAGTTCTTTGCGTCGGACGCGGGAAGCGCCCCGAGCGAGGTGAAGCTAAACACCGATCTGATGGGAGGAAGCTGGGTGCCGGTGGTGGCAATGGAAGATGCCTGTTGCGCCTGCTGTGCCTGTTGCTCCTGCTGTTCCTGCTGTTGCTGCAAGTTCCTAGAGGCCTCAGTAAGCAAGTTCAATGCGTTGGGCGCCTTAGGGGGTGCACCGGCACCCTCTTTAGGCATGCTTTGATGCGGCATGTGAGGCGATTCCGAGGGGGTTTGCAAAGGGGTGTCGTTGGGCGAAATCACAAACTGCTTCTTGTCCACCACGGCGTGGGTCTGCGAAGGCGAATTGGGGCGTGACTTCTTGGGTTGGTGGGGGCCCTGGCCCTGGAAGAACTCCAAGTTGAGCGAGGTGGACGACATCTGCTTGGGCAAGGTGAAGTGGGCTGCACCTGGTTGGTGGGGGGTGGGCGGCTGCTTGATGGGGGTCATGCGCGGCACAATGTTCATGCCGGCCAAGTTGGTTCCTGACACCGACTTCACCTTGCCGCTGAGCGAGCTGAGCGAGTTGGAGGACGCATTGAACATGCGGTTGTGCTGGCTGATGCTGCTGGACGACGCGCTCTGCGCGAGGTTGTACTTTTGCTGGTTCTGGAGGATGTAGTCACTCAAGTTGGTCAACGACGGCGTTCTGGCGTGGCTTGCAGGCGGATGCATGCCTGAGTAGCTGGAGGTGTCAGGAGAGGTGCTGAGCGAGTGGGTGGCGGAATTGGCGGTAGACATGGTGCCGGCATGGCTGAAAAGATGGCTTCCCGAAGCGATCGATGTGGTGGACCCCGACTTGCTCATCACCGGCACCTTGTAGGAGTTTGGCGGTGATGGGTTCTGTTGCGAGTTGGTGGGGGACGATGGAAGCGAGAACACAGCGGCGCCCAGGCGCTCGGGCGCATTTGCAGCATACGTGGGCTGCACCACCTGGATGGGCTGCGTCTGCTGGAAACTGGGCTGGGTAATGAAGTATACCGGATACGGCTGGTAGTAGTGGTTGCCATTACGATCGATGGCTACTGGCACAGAACCAGTGGCGGGATTGCCAGTAGCGATCGACGAGGACGCCTGGTGAAGTGGGAGTGGCTGTGGCTGGGGGTATTCCTTGTCGTCGTCCAAGAAGTCAGCCTTGTTCTTGCGTTTTCTGGACGCAGGGTTGTTGTGTATTCTCAAGTGGCGGGTGAGCTCGTCGGACCTGCTGAAGCGCTTGTTGCATCCCGGAAAACTGCAGGCGTGGGGCTTCTCGCCGGTGTGGGTACGGATGTGTCTGGTCTGGTGTTCTAGTCTGTGGAACGCCTTTTCGCAAAATGTGCATTTGTAGGGCCTGTCGTCCTTGCTGCGTTTGTCTTTGGAAAGCATGGAGGACATTGGGGGTGGAGGGAGGTGCCAGGGAGGCGTGGACGGACGAATGGAAGACGGTGTAGGGAGTAGGCGTGAGCTATAGTGAGGTGTCGAGGCCAGACGGGAAACAAGTGCGTTATACAGCGTGAAAATCAGAGGTACCCTTGACACTATATACTAGAAGCGAGAGAGGGGGGCACCTAGTACTGATTGGGATTGTGTCCACTAGGTGCATGCGTCCCGGCGATATTTTTCGGAACGGTGGCCCCAAGCTAGCCCCGACAGTATGGTGGGGAGCAGCCAATAGAATTGGGAATGGTTCTGTGAACGCAGCCCTGGCGCTGGAGACTAAAACAGCACAGGATCCTGCGGAGCAGATACTGTTGGGGCAAAAAATAATATGGCGAGAGTGTTTCTTTTGGGAAAGAGCGCAAAAGAAACGTGGCCAACCCACAAATTGCCCAGCGTCCGTCAGTTTTTCCGGTGTGGGGCACAAGGGATTGTCGGATTGGCGATGAGCACGCCAGGAATAGTTGCAGGTTAGCCGGGCACTGCAAGAAAAGTTTTTCCGGTGCGCCAGTGCCCGTGGCAAGGTGGTAGGCGTGGGTTCCTACTCCGGATGCTACGGACCACATGAACCACATTACTGGGCGAGGTGGCAGGGCCCGTTGGAACGGTGTGGTGACATGTGAATGCCATAATTCACATGGCTGCCACAACCTGGAACTCGGTCTCATACAATCGTTCCAGTCACGGGGTGCCTGGCACCACATGTGGGGACACGCATATCCCGCAGCACACGACTGGCGCCTGTGGCGCCCTCTGCACCAGGTCCGACAATCTTTCCCGCATATGCGTCACGTGCGCCCCTGGCCCTGGCTCCGGGCGAATTGCACGTTCCGGAGAGATGAACCTGGAGCAAGGAAAATATTGGCAGAACTGGTCCCCGTTGGGCCCTATAGCGATTGCTGGCCGTACCATGTTCCAGTGAACTCCACCACCGCTGCTCCCTTGGCCCGGCCCTTCACATGCCCAGGGCCAAGGGCTGTCCAGACGCTGCCGAGGCAAATTAAACTTGCGCCACGGGCATGGGGAAACTGATCTCGCAGGCCATCACATCGGGAATGCTGGGGGCAATCGTCCTTTGGGGGAGCCATATGTGCACCCTGCTTGCAGGCTCAGGCTGAACTGAACTGCTAAATTGGGGGCACCGTATACCCCGTTGCAACATTGGCAGGTTGCATCTGGGGCAGGTGTCCCGCCTTTGCCCCACCCCGGGTGCGGTCCCCGAACCGACTCTGGCCCAAAATACAGTTTATCGCAGGGATGGCAGGCGGTGGAAAGGCGTGGGACCAAATGGGGGGTGTAGGACCGCCATGGCCAGGCGCCACCGGGGAGACCCATTGGGAAATTGCTGGTCCTAAGCCATGTAGTGGTGATTGGGGCACTTCTGGGGGCCAACCTGCATTTTTCGGAAAATCTCCCCTATTCCACAGGGCATTTGCGGGTTATGCGCTAGCACCCACGGGCAACCGCAGGTTAGCTCCCTTAGTTCTCCCGATCGTTATCTTTCCCCCATCCGATCTTCGGTAGCCATGTTCCTAACCCCCCACCACCCACCACCTTCCCAGCTAAACCCCACCACATTCTTCTAGTCCTAACTGCACGCCCGGCTGTGGTTTCCCCAGAACTGCCCCGTGGTGGAGTGGGCCTCGTCCACTTCCCGAATAGGCAGTGCTCGCGTGGCACCATGCATCTACTGCCGTTTCCAGTGGAGAACTATGGGGTTTGGTGGGGGATTCTGGGGTACGGTGGGGGTTGGGCACTGTTGACGTCGCCTTGGCCATGATCTCGAGCCGTCCTGCTGCCCCCCTCCGCCAGCACCTCCTGCACCTCTGACTGGATCTCCCTGGATTGGCTCCCTGGTGCAATCTCCTCGCAATTGCTGGGGCCTGAGGGAAATTGCTCGCAATTTTGTTATCTAGCATTTTGCGGTCTGTACGGGCTGGCTACCTGGGTGGGTAAACCGTGCCGTACTTCTGGTACCTGCTGATGGCTGTGGTGGACGGCGATAACTCTACATAGATGCCTAGGGTGAATTTTCAATCGGTTTTCGGCGCTCGAAAACTTACTCTGGGTGTCAATATTTACTAGGTTCATAACCGTATCTACTCTCCAACCAGTCAAGGGCTCGTCACGCTGATGGGGTGATGGCGGTCCAGATGGCCTGGCGGCCTGGCGTGCAACGATGGACGTTTTGGGGTTGTTTGCACACACACACCAAACCGTGCACGTTTGATTTTCCATTTTCAGCTTTCATTTCTGTTGTTCCCCATTGCCGATCCTCCCGGAATGGACATCTCCCCGGGCCGCCTATTTTCTTCGCTGGTTCGGATCTAGTCAAACTGCCTGGAATTAAGTTTAGCAACGTCAGTTTCAGGGCGCAACTCCGCACTGGCATGTCCCGGGTTCTGCCGGCAGGATCCCTTTCCCACCACCCTGCACCGAAGCCAATACCTCGCCTAGACCTTTGGAACCTGCTCCACACTTCTCCACAAATGATGCCTGCCCCACCCCACAATTGCCTGCTCCACAATCGCCAATTGTATGCTCAATATCGATTGTCTTGCCCCCACTTTGGGGCGCCAGGTTAGCGTTTCTGGAAACTGCAGTTAAACTTCTGGTCCAGAATGCATTTCCTAGCCAGGCATAATAGACTCGTTTCACTCTTGGTCCAACAATAGGCACCTTCTAGGCCCGTTGGCTGGGCTTGGCCACACCTGGTCGCCCTCATATGTCTGTTTTGTCGCCTTACCTTTGCAGGTTGTACCTGTGGCCATGGTTTATCCGACGGCTGGATTCGAAGCTGGATGAGTTGCAGGTTTGCGGCAGGGCTGTGTAGGGTATCTTCAGCCGCTCAGCAACTATCCCGTTCTAGAAGTCCTCAGTCCGAGGATCGCTGGACGACATGTGACGGCACTGGCAGCGTCCGTCTTGAAGGGCCGCGGTCCATCTGACCATGGGGCTGGCCGGGAATTAGCTCCTTAACCGAGCTTTAGTGGGCATATGACATATTTGTTCTTTGTAGCATCTTGCCGTCTTTGCCTTGCCTTTCCAACCAGTCTGTGGTGCCTCTACACTGTAGGATGACTGGGCCGTGAAACTTTTATATTGATACATAGTGGTCGTTTGTCATAAGTGTCTGTGTTCGTGCTTATTGTACAAGATTGCCTGTGTCATCGAACTCATAGTTGAAGTCCATCCATTGGTCAAACCACTGGAGATTTCCTAACATATAGTCAACTTCGTTCATGCCCTGCCCCTCGCCACCTTCTGGGGTGCCCAACATTCCTGATTGATCAGGGTACCCATTCTGGTCGAGCGAGGTGGTGGAACTTGGGGTGTGCTCCTGGTTCGAGTACTGTTGCGGGTCCATACCGTCGCCCAAGGGCATGTTGCCCTCTTGGTGCTCGCTGGCCCTTGGAGCACTTCTGGTAGCATCTGTTGGACGTCCATGTGTGTTGTCGTCACGAACAACATCTGATCTGTGCAATTGTTTCTTCAACAACGCACTGAACTCGTCATCCTGGGGCTGCTTCCTTTTGTTGGTTCTTTCGTGGTTCAACCCTAGCTGCGAGAACATCTGGATGTTGACATCCGAGGATCCGTGGTCAATACCAATATTCCCTAGAATCTTAACATCCTCTTGTAGTCTCAAGCTCAACATTCTGTTGGCCATTTTCAATGCCCACAAGCATTCCTTGGCCATTTTAAATCTTTCTTTTATGATCACTTTGCGAGAAGACTCATCCCGGACAGATGCCTTTTTAAGGGCAGAGCATAGCTGGATACAGCCTTTCAAGATGGTTCTCGCCTGCATGATGCAAATACCTCCGTTGATCAATGTGATCGCGTAGATTCCGACATTGAATAGCAAGAGTAGCTGCTGATACCATGGCACAAATAGTTTGCCTGCTTTCTGACATTTGGTAAGAAGCTTTACAATACCGTCACAAGCATCTACTACCATGTCAATCAGCAATCCCTCAGATTCGATCTTCTTGCCCAAGTAGTTGAAGACCAATTTTCCGTGTACTGAGAGAACAATATCGTAAAAATGAAGCTTGACTTGAGTCTTGATAAGTGGACTAATCTTCTTGACTCTTGCGTATCTTGGTCGCTTCTTGTCGGCAGGGTCATGCTCTTCTGGAATCTCAGGCTCAGCAAAAATATCATCATTATTGTAGCCATTCTCATTGAACCACTCTTCCATTATTGCTAATTCTTTGTTTATTTGTTGGTACTTTACTGGCCCTGGTTCGTCATGCTTGGTGGTATGAATGAAATTAGCAATTCTGGCCAAATGAATGGTGGCAAAGGCAGCAGGAGTCAACCAGTCATCCCCAATTGCTTCTTTCTTAAAAACCATTGAAGGAAAAGGGCGCACTGTATCTTGACCGCTGTAGCCCTCGTAGCGTCCAGTTTGCATACCAAAAAGTCTGTCCATAGTGTAAACTGTCCAGAACACTCTCTTTGCTTTCAAAACCTCATATGGAGTAGCCTCCTTGAGCTTAGAAATATTCTGACCAATACCCATGGAATGGGATGTCAAGATAGCCTGGCCCATGGCATGGTAAGCTGATGTCTGACGATGCGTGACCCTTAAGTACAACGCAATCAAACACCAGCATTGAATCAACTCAAATGACTCCCATTCAAAACTGATAATGGATACCACTCGGTATCCGTACCGGAAGAATTGCTCTTCAAGCTTGAGCATCGCAAGCGAGGGCCCTCTGGGTTTGCCCATCTCCATGAATCTGATTGAGATTGCGTACACCAAGTATAGGATCGCCGAGAACAACCTGGTCTGGTTGGTTTTCGACTCGCGGTCGTTAACATTCTTGTTCAAGGTCAACTGTTCTTTCAAGAGCTTGTCGTATGCCTCGACTTGTTCACGGAACACGGTTTCGTGGAGAATGGAAAAGAGAGGGTTCACCTCGTCGAGATAGTAATCAATCAACGCGTCGCAGTCTATGTCAAGGGTGTATTCAGGCATATTGGGAAGATCTTCTGGACTTAGGTAGTTGCACCCACTCATGTTCCACCCAAAGTACTGCATCCGCGGCATTGTGACCAAGCTCTGGGACTCCTCCGAGAGATTCAGGTACATTTGATTGCAAAGCTCTGCTGTGAGTAAGTTCTGGTGTCTTCTCGAGAACCTCCACTTGCTGCTGGCACTCAACAAGGTTAGTGGAGGTTCCCTATGGGTGTCTGGGGTCTTGAAGGTGGAATTGGAGTTGGCCGCAAGCAACGACTCGAGGTACTGGACCCGGTTCTCTAGATGATCCACGTACTGCTTGTCCAAGCCTCTGTTGACCACTGGAAGCCCAAAAATGGGTGCCTCACGAGTTCTGCGCCGTTTGTATCCTTGCTGGTCTCCGTCACCGTCTGGTGACCGTCCCTTCTCCATGCCGTACGTGGAGGAGTACGAACACTCCTTCTTCAGCTTGACACACGTCACGCAAGGGCTGGTGCCTGAGCACTTGATCTTCTGGGTACGGCACCGATCACAAGCCTTGGACACTCTCATCCGGGCCCTGCCACTAGCAGTGGCGCCAGCTGCCTGGCTGACAGACTCCCGCTCGTCCTCCTGCCCTTCTTGGCTGGCTGTACCACCGTAGAGAGAGTTGGAGCCTCCCACGGAGGGTTTGTGGGTATGGTTGATGGGCTGAAGTGGCGCCTGCGGCCATTGACGTGCCAAATAACCGCCATTTCCCGGCATAGTGGTGCCATGGGCTCCAACTCCCCCGTAGCCTGGCCCTGAGCCAGCCAGCACCCCGTTTGGCAACGGCGGCAACGCAGTGGGATTGCCCCGAAGATTCAGCTCGTTAGACGCCATGTAGATATTGGCGCTGGCAGCAAGATTAGTGTGCGGCGACGGCTGGTCGCGGGCGGAAGCTCTGCGGTCGTGGTCGTTGTTAGGGTCGCCACTATCGAGGTTATCGTAGTGGATTCCTCGTTTCGACATTGGTGGAGCAAGATCCGATCACGGTCTGATGAAATTTGCGAGATCTGATAAGCGATGTCACGTGGGTGGTGGGGGGTCATTGGTGGGGGTTGGGGCATCCAGAGCAGAGGTAAGGATGTTAGTCGGCAGTTTGTTAAGAATGTGATGGCAGATGCTGTCGTTATGGATATTTTTTTGTCAGCAAATTTATGGTGTGTTACTGGTTGCCGATAGCAGGTTACAAGAATTTAACCTGTGGATCGGTGGGCAGTTGCTCACAGGTTACATAAACTATTCATGGTGAATTGGTGGTGGGGAGTCGATAACAGATTCTACTACTGGTTCGGTGAACTTCTTTAATTTACTAATGGGCAGTCGACGATATCTAATTACTAATTTATACTTATGTATAGTGTATATCACCAAGGAGATTAGTTGGATTACTGGTATGTAGGCGTTGATAAGAGATTATAATGGGGTTCTTTTATAATTTGGTTCGTCAGTTAATAATTTTCCACAATAATCTTGCGGGTTCAGCTTATTCGTGTTGATTCACTTGTGGACATCGATAACAGGTTTTTTAGCTTTGAGGCGATCTATGACAGGTTGCATTCAACGTATGTTAATTACTGATACGGAACTATTGATGCCTTAAAATGTTGAAAAGTTCTGTTTCCAATTCGGAATATAAGACCTACTAAAATGCTTTAGTTCCTGTTTATTCTTGGTGAAATATATCTTGAATTCGTGAGCCTCCTCCATATTCACTTTATCAGCATATATGGACTAGGTCATTGATTGTGTATTTAATCAGAGCTTTCTTGTATAGGTGCTTCTAATGATCATTTACGCATTGCGTTATTCCGGCACTCTACAATTCTATATGTTTCAAATTATCGTTATCATTTATTAACTCCTTTTCGGAAGCACTGTTCTGAGACAATACCTCACCAACTTTTCCTCTTTGCTACCTAACTAAGTCAAGTCAAAAACCACCTTGTTGACCTTGTGCTTGTCAAACAAGTCAAAGGCTTCCTTGCTGTCCTCCAATCTAGGCTTGTAGTCAATGAAGCTCTTGAATTCTCCCTTGAGTTCCTCGAAGATCTCGAGAGCCTCTGGGAACAAGGACCATGCATGGCAACGGCCAAAAGAAATGTTGATATTCTTCAAGTAGCACTCAAGCCCATCGAAAGGAAGCTGGTCATGGGCCATGCCGATGGAAGAAATGAACCCATTACGACGAACAGAGTCGTATGCGGTCTTCAAGGCCTGTGGAGCGCCCACAACCTCCAACACTGCATCGAAACCAACACCTTGTGTCTCATTTTTGATGAATTCCTTGAGGGCATCACCTTCGGTGTCAAAATTAATGGTTTTGTATGCACCTAATCTCTTGGCCTCTTCTATTCTGGATGGCACATTATCCACACACACCACCTTCTTGAACCCAAAGTGCTTCAATGCACGGAGGGCGCACAATCCGACAGGGCCCAATCCGAGCTGGAGCACCGTCAAGTCGCCAATTTCCTGGGCCTTGATGTTGGCAGTAGGCGATTGCTTGCTGAAGTCCACGATCTTCTTGACTCCGTAGTACCCGGTGGTGAAGATGTCTGCCATAAGCACGTATACAGAGTCATCGACATCGCCAGTAGTTTCTGGCTTCTTGATCAACGAGGAGAGGGCGTACGGAATACGCACGTACTCAGCCTGGCCTCCAGCAAGACCCACCTTTCCAAAGGTGTTGGTCTTTTCACACTGGCCAGAGTAGCCGTGAACACAGTACCAACAGGTGCCACATTGGACGGTGAATGTGCTCAACACATCATCACCAACCTGGAACTTGTCATCGCCAATGGCCGAGCCTTTGGCCACAATGGTTCCCATGAACTCGTGCCCAATGATCTGGCCGACTGGGCCCTTGATGTGCCCACGATAGGTGTGCAAATCGGTACCGCACAATCCTGAGTACTTGACTTTCAAGATGACATCGGTGACGTTTTCGATCTGGGGAGTTTTGACAGTCTCTGTTCTGATATCTTGTGGTCCGTAGAAGACAATTGCCTTCATCTGCTCTGGGAGTGACATGGTGGTGTTGGTTGTTGGTTGTTGGTAATTAGAGATTTCCAGTGTGGGGTTATATAGTGAGGAGCCTTGCCACGTGACCGGGGAGTATCCGGGAATGATCCGGTAAGCGACCCCAATCGGGTATTCCGCTACCGTTGGGCGAGACCCATCGCATAGATGCGACAGATCCGACACCTGTGCGGGTAGTGGATGCTGGAGAGGAGGAGGGGTTGCAAAATGGAAGCGATCGTTCGACAATCTGCCCAATCTGGGAATCCGATGATTCACAACCTGAAAAATCTGATCCCAGAAGGCCCCACAACTGGGCATTTCTTCTCCTTATGTGTTGTAATCGACACAGTGCAGGCTTGCGATTCGATGACTCGTAGTCGCAAGACTAATCGGGCGATTCTTGATCTCCTTTCCAGTAAATATAGCATGCACCGATTACTTCTAGGATTTTGGCTGGCTTGAGTTAACAATTTCCGATTTCTGTGATTCAATCAAGCATAGATGAAGAAACTCCTGGTAATTTGTTCCAGATGTGGTTTTTATTGGTGCTTGACCGGTGTCCATATTCGACACCTTAGCTTATTCCAATTATCACCATTGAGTCTGCAAAATTCCAAAGGTCGGGGTTTACTTTTCAAACTTCTGTGCAATATTCTTGTTTTGCCGTAAATCTGACTAGAATTTACTTGGTAGACCAATCTCAGTTGAGATTATTGGTGTATTTCTCGTGAAAGCTCCTTATCCACTAGTTCTATTCTCACATGATGTACTCAAGAGCAACAACGCATGCTTCAGCCATCCGTACAACGAAAAGCCCATACTTGTTCAATCGTTTTAGAAGGTTGATAAAAAAGAACAAGCACACGTTCAAGCACACAACGGCTCTTGCTATCAAGAATGCGTAGAAAACGACTAGCGATAACAGCTTCAAGTACCAGCGAGGCATGGACTTGAGACTGACGAAGTACTGCTCCAACACGTTGGAAAACCTGAAGAGCAATCCGGTTCCCAGCACCTGGCAAGTCACCGGTTCACCCTCAGGGTAATGGCATGCTAACTGTATGGCCAGGGCGATCATGAGTTCGGGTATCTCCACAAGCAATGCCCACGCCAGACTGTCGGCATATTCGTTCAGCAACACCAGGGTGATGTCCATTCCGTGACGCCTCATTAACACACATCGGTTAATGAACGCTGGCGAGTCCTGGTACACGTACGAGATGGTTTCGTAGATGAAGTTGTTGCCAAAGCTGATGATCTTGAAGAATCCGAACGCATGCTGCAAGTAGACCGATAGTGTAGTCACGAAAAGCATTATTCTCATCATCCGGATCATCAACTCCACTGCTGTCACGAAGCTTTGCATGGTGGCTCTGCGCATCTGGGGGACGTACTCCGTCCAGAACCGTCCGTACTGGAACGTGGGCAACGGCACATAGTCTCCCACATAGACCACACCCCAGTACGAGCGAAACAGCCTTGCTGCCTCTTGCCGCCTTCTTTCTTGTATGAGTTGGTTGAGTCTCTCTAGCCTTCTTAGCTGCTCTCTGGGATCATTGTTACCAAGAAGCTCATCAGCGTGTCTGTTGTAGAGCAACTCGCCAATTCCCACGTCCAAGTGTTCGAAGATATCCACATGTGGTTCTGCCATGGTAGTGGTTATGGATTTAACGATTTGGGAAATGCGATTTGAGAAATGAGATTGAGACAGGTGTATAAGGCTAAGGGGTTTGCGGACGGGGAGGCGGACAGGCTGAGGCATAACCGTCCACCACTCACAGACCAGTTACCACCCATGAACCAGATCCCAGTGTCTTGGCAATTGTCCCAGTTTATGTGGGGTATTTTACCGTACTCTAGAAGCATATGGTTATACTGTTGGGGATAATTGATGACGATACAGATTACGGAGGCAGAGTAGAAAACATGCTTAGTAATATGATTCCGAACCTAAGATATCACACTCAACGTAGTAATGGAGTTTTTTCTGTTGAAGAAACAGAAAACGAGGGAGATAGCGAACTCAACTTAGTAAATGGACTTCAGTTGTGGGCAATTTTGTTTAACAGAAAACTTCATTTGGTGATAATCGGCTGGTTTTGACTATGCTCTTTCCAATGGTGAAGTCCCCAACAACAGAGTACCCAAAGAAGCAGGAACGCCGGTTTCACGGCTTCAAAGATTGGGCATATTATAAATGCCAGATTCTTCTTTAGAAAATCCTTTTTGCCTTTGATAGTCCAAATCAAACAGCAATAAATAAACAGTTTAATTGGGGGGCTTATAATTCATGACCTACGAAGCTATAATTGTTTCCTACTTTTGTTACTATTTCATAAATTTGATAGAATTCATTAGCATTCGCAAATGAGACAAATGGTTACAAAATTATACATTGGTCTTTTTGCATTTGAATGTTAATATGAGGCAAGCCGGCTCGCCATCAAGCATTGAAGTAATTATTTCTTCGAAATGTAGTGACATCCCATTAAGTCTTCTAGCAATCGATCTTGGCACACTTACAAACCCTCATGTTAATTTTCCAATACACCAGCCCAGCTCTCCACAATATCTGGCCAAACACCATATATATCCCTGTAAGAAGCAAACCAAAGCCGAACAAAATCTTTGCTTTTCTCTGTATTTTCTTCAAAAACATTTGCACCTTTAATCTTATTCAAACAAGTTTTCAACATTGGCTTGACCAGATATTTCAGACAGCGTGCAAAAGACTCATCTGTACCTCCATCAAATGTTGCTTCAACCATTAATAAGGTAGATTCGTACTCAAATATTTTAGGCAAGAGGAATTTGTTAGTTCTTGGATACTCCCACAAGCTGTGAAGGGTCTTGGTCTCGGATATTCTCTTTTGTTCTGGATCTTTGACCACTTCTTCTCGAGGGACAGCCTGCTTTTTCTCCAGATAGAGCATTTCCTTTTCGAGTTCCCATGCTTGAAAAATTAGTTCCCATCCATTTTCGTATTTTCCTAAAACATCTTCGTCGTCAAACAATCTAATATCATGTTCCTTAGTAACTTGTAGCGGACCATAGTCTAGTTCCAATAGAAAGTAGTTTTTGAGTGTTATAAAAAACCACAAACAATTTAAGTGGAGTCCTCCATGAAGAAGAATTCCCCAAAGAATTCTGTCATAGGCTTGAAGTACTATTGGGTCGTCCGGTAAACTGGATGTTGTCACAAGAATGTATTTTCGTACCATTTCGATAATAGCATCACTATCGTACTTGAATGCCTTGGTAATTGTGTTTTGGCCGTGGTCAATAGTGGAGTGTATGGTTTCTTCTGCATGCACAAAATTAGCTTGCATACTATTCTCATTTTCAATCTTGATCCAGCTTCCTCTGGTATATGAGAGTCTCTCATATACTTTACCACAACACAAGAAGAAGTTACCAAGGCGGCCACTCAGGAACTCTTGAGGGAAGGAATAATCCAAGTAAGACATTCTCGAAAGTGTGCTTTGTAATTGAACTTCATTTGAAGAGGGTACTTGAATGTAGCTAAGGCATGTGTACATAAGTGCAACTCTTTCTGTTGATTTAGATAAAAATATGTTTCCAGCCGCAAGTCTTAGCTTTGCCTTTACTCCAGCAACAAATCTGTTTACCCATTGGAAATCCTCTATGGCCAGTTCGTAATTTTTCTTGAAATAATTTATGTATCCTCTAATAGTCTTGTGCTTGACAAAAGTTTCACAAATTAACAAAATTGATTTTGGACTTGTAATCGACTTATAGCTCCACGTTTTTAATTGGGAAAGAAGAGTTTTTGGACCCATTCGGTAGTCAATTTCTGGAAAGCTTAACAAATCATTTTCCAAGAATGCATATAGTATAGCCTCATGATACAATAGATCACCGAATAGATAGTTGGGACCCATGAGAATAATTGCATGAAAAATTGGATTGAGAACTTCAGAGGTGGTTTTTGATTCCTGTAGACACTGAATTGAAGTCTGTATGTATTTGTGTATTTGAATGCACTTTGAGCTAAGAGAGGGACTGGGTAATTCAACAGACTGAGAGTAGTTTTCTGCTTGTATGTGAAGAGGTGGGATTTCCCTTACTGGAGTATCTCTGACAGTTAGTATTATTGGGGAAATGCAATCTAGACAGACCAAAAACGTATATTCTACTTACTCCTTGCACTCCACTAATTTATTAAAGCTTTCCCTTTGAGCTTCGTCGATTCTTCCTAGTTGTTGCTTCATTTCGATAATCTCCCCAAAGCACGAAACAGCCTCGTCCAACATTCCAAGTTTTTTGAAAAACTTCATGAGATGGCGTATATATTTTTCACGTTCTTCAAGATCATCTTCCAATTCAATGGATAGCGAAACCTCTCTCAATGCACCTCCAATGCGGCCTAATTTGAATAACGTGAGTCCAAAGACGAAGTGGATGAGAGGCAGCGAGGAGATTCGAAAATTTGGCATAAGGGCCAATACGAGGTATGTGTTACCATCCTTATGATGCTGCAATAAATCCAGTGTGAGTGAAACGATCTCGGAGGAAGTACTCATAGTAGAATCGGTATCTTCACACTCCTGGGTTTCTTCCGACATGGTCCTTGATAGTTGTATTTGTGGTGGGTGCAAAAAGAATGTGCAGGAGAAGAAACTACAGTTTTGCGAGAACAATAAAATCCCTACACTTTGTGAACACGATGGTAAGGGAACACGAAAGTAAGGGACACAACGGGTGGCATCAGCTATATTAAGGTAGCTTTTAATGAATTACTTGAATATTTTGAAATTGAACCATTATTTATTTTTTTCTCTTTCATTGATTTCTATGCTCTGAATGAATCATTAGGCTGCTAAATGAACCAAATAAAGATACCTCTGACCAACTACGTCTATATTTTGTGGAATGCACTTTATAATATACAGTGGAGTTGTCCACTCCTCAGGGAATATCCACGTAGAGATATTGAGCACATGAATGTACTCTCTGAACAAAAAACTTTAAACCTTGGGGGTAACAGTAATATTACAAACGATATTAAACACATTATGTTTGAACATGTTAAGAATGAGTTTCGCCAATTGGTTCACTTATTTCATCATTCGCTCTGGCATCCGGTTCCCGAGTGATCAAGGGCTCATTTTTGCTTTCGTTGCCACTAGAGGTGACTTCTGTTGCAGCGGGAATTTCCAGACTAGAGATCGAGCTGGTAGTACCATCAGTTAGGGTAGCTTCTTTCTTTGAACTGGAAGACTCTTCCCGAGACAGTTTGCTGGAATTTTTCTTTTCTTCATCCTGTAAATTATGCTTAATGCTTGCGTTCTTGACAGTACTCATGAATGCCTCTTCGGTAACCTCTCGCAACCTTTTTCCTGCAACCTTATTGCTTATCACTGCTGGGTCTTCTTCGCTGGCCTTTAAGAGTTTGATGATGTACTTATAGCACAGCCAGCATAACTCCATTTCTACCCCCAAATTCCTTATCATGTAGTTTTCAGGCAAAATCAATGAGTCGTCGTCAAACTTTATCCTCCCCTCTAAAATCACAGCTATCATTAACGTTCCGAACAATGTATAGATGTCGTAGCACACCAATACTGGCAAGGAGGAAATCACCTCGAGCAATGACACAGTATTTTTTAGTATATCTGCCTTCTTCTTATGGAACCCACTGGTATCATCTGGGTCCTGTATGCTCAACAACTCGTCTCTTATTTCGTACGGCAACTCGAGATTGAGGTCGAAGTTGAGCGTCTTCAACATCATCTCCTCCCTGTACAAAAGTTGGTCTCTCCATCTCCAGAACATGTCGCTTTGTTCGTCTATAGGCACCGCAGGATTGGGGTTCTTTAAATTGCATGCACTCAATGCGATCTTGTCAGGAACTCGGTATGTATCGTTGAGCTTGCACGAGATGGCCACCGCAGCACTGGCAACAAAGTACTTGGAGGACGATATGGGCATTCTCATGTAGAATCTATTGACATAGATGGTTGCTGCTAAAATCGTAGGACCATCTAGTTTGAGTTTGGATGCAAGTTTGATGATAAAATCGTGGATCGACTCCCTTGCTTTGAGTTCCTGTGGTAGCGACATCTTGAGCTGTGCCCTGCTGGGAGTTCGAAGGAGAAATGAGTTCTCCAGGAACAACCAAGAACGAGGTTTGGACGACGATTGGGGTTGAGATCGAGAGGTATGGCTCGAAGACAGGCGAGACAGGCCCGCTGCCAGCACCTTCTTGGGCGGGTTCTGGCCCCAAGTGGATTCTGCCTTCCTCTTCGTAGCTTGCATTGTGGTTTGGAATTGGCAGAGTATCTTGTTGAATTTTGTAGTAGGTCGTGCGCTTACGACCCAGGTAGCGAGAAGTATAGCGTATGGGAGAGCACAAGATGAGTGCAACAATGGAAGGAGGAAACTGCGCTTTCGTCTGATTGATATACTCCTGGACCTGTAGGAAGCGCTAGCCAATGGTGAAGGACGGTACTCCGCCAGGGGGTTATAGCATATTAGTAAGCTATTACGTAATACAAGGCTATTGTCATCAATGGAGGAGAAGGAAGAGTCCTATCCGTATGTGGATCACTAACTATCATTTCAGGGAATCACAGTGGTCTCTAAGCCCACGCGCCTCCCAATTCCTCCGTCAATTCATCTCCCACTTCTTCCCACTTCTTCTTCCAATTACTCTCCCAGTGCTACTAAAATCCGTACTTCACTACAAATATCTGGCAACCATCAATTAGTCCACAGCACACTTCCACACACTCCCACCACTCCACCAACATTCACATCCACCTTCCTCTGTTCAGATCGCTACTGGCTCCATGCTAGTGCGATAAATGGCTTGTCCTGCACACACGCGTGAAAATTTTCAGTATCGGAACATCGACACATTTAGTACTACAACCATCTCAGCACCACCATGTCCGACTCATTCATGCATTTGGTGCGTCCTAACGTGTCAGCCCCCGCTGCTGGCTCTGCTAACGGCCCAGCCAACATCAAAATACACGCGCCAGCCCTTTTCCAGATATTAGAAATCATTCCAAAGCAAGCACTTGACTCCAACAAAAGAATCATTGGTACGTTGTTGGGTATAAGATCGGAGGACGGATTGGAGTTCGAGATCCGTGACGCGTTCATGGTCCCCTGTGACGAGACGGGAGACTCCATATCCATTGAAGACCAAACCCATAAGTCATTATACCAATTGTACAAGAAGGCCCACCCCAAGGAGTCTGTGTTGGGATGGTTCGGCAGCTCGGACGTGTTGGACGGCACCACCCTGTTGATCCACGACTTCTACTCCAAGGGCAGCGACCGTGCGTTCCCCCACCCTGCCATCTACCTCAACGTCGACTACTTGACCAAGAACAACGAAATAACCGCCCCCAAGTTCAACACATACATCGGAGCCGCGGTCGGAAAGGGTCCCTCGGGGGTGCAGGTGGGCTGGAAGGCCCCCAACACCACCAACTCGTACATTTTCACCCCGATCCCCAACCAAGTTATAAACAGCACCGTCACCGAAAAGATCTCCTTCAACATGTTGAAGAACCAATCCATAAATAAGAACGCCATAACCTTGTCTTCCGACATGTCGTACTTGTCGGACCAGTTGGACGCCGTGACTGCCAACATCGACAACTTGTTACAATACATCGACGCCAACGCTGGCTCTTCTGACAAGGACCTCGACTTGTTGCGTTTGTTAAGCAACAACTTGTTGAGCAAGCCCCAAATCTTGACCGACTTGGACAAGTTGGAGACCCACTTCCGTGACCACAACCAGGACGTGATTATGATCGAGTACTTGACCAAGGCTGTCAAGGAACAGATCGAGTTGAGCGCTCGTTTGACTGCCAGTGCTGAGGCCGACAAGAAGTACTAGGTGCGACTAGCGGTACTGATGAGACTGACGAGTGGTATTTACAAGGATGCTACTGTATCTCTAGCGGAGTCGCTACTGAGTCTTTGCTAGCTGTCTACTGAGCTCTGCCTAGCTTCTACTGAGCTCTGCCTAGCTTCTACTGAGCTCTGCCTAGCTTCTACTGAGCTCTCCCTAGCTGTCTCTGATTCTGTCACTACTGATTTGTCTCGTCCATTCTCGCACTGATTCTCGCTAACTCTCCGGCGATGCCACAATAGAACAATACTACGCTGTAATCCGCAATCCCCCTCCCTGCCCCACCTGTAAGTCACACCAGAACCACCACCAAATTTACCACGAATAGCCTGGAATCCTTTGCCATCCTGTTCCTGCTGTCGTAATCCCCTCTCCAGCCTCTGCCCCTGCCGTAGTCCCGTGCCCCATTTTATCGCCCTGCACCAGCGAGCACCATCGTGCAATCCCCTAACTCATCGTGAAATATCTCATCTCGAAAAAAAAATATAACTTCACAGCATTCACTGAACGATAAGCAGTGATACCGACCCCAGTGGACCCAGCCTAGACCACCTCCCACCGAGAGACTGAATCCACATTATCCCATTTATTGCCCTGGAAACTGTTAGCCTCCAGTACCATCCTTACTGTTCCTGGAACCTCTCCAGCCAAACCCTGATCTCTGGAACCTTTCCAGCATCCACCCATTCTGTATACTCCCGTATACCCTGATCAGTTCTTCGTGAGATTCTGGCAATCCCATCAGACTATGTACACTTTTGACAACTTCTACCATACACTCAAACATCAGCGTTTCATAAGAAGGTGTTGAATTTAGCATGGCCAAAAGTCCCAGAAAATCGGCAGGTGCTCCGAGACCCACCAAGGTCCCGTTCAGAACTGACAAGAAGCTCGCTGGCAAGAGGGTAGGCAGCTACGCCTACAAGGACCTTGCGGCTGCTCCCCAGCGCAGATTCAGTATCATAGACTCGTCCTCGGACGAGCCACGCTTCAACGACTCCGACGACTCCGAGTCCTCCTTGACAGCAGTGTCTGACGAGGATGTCCAGAAGTTTGCCCGCAATTCGGGTGCAAAGACCGCAGGCAAGCTGTCGAAGAACTACGGCAGAAAGACCAACATCTACGCCCGCAAAAGAACCCCCAAGAAGACATGGAAGTCTGAGCAGGCTGTGTCCGACTCAGACGATGGTGAGGCCTCTTCTGACGATTCTGACGACTCAGATTCCGGGTCGTCTTCGTCAGACTCCGACCTCGACTTCGTGAAACTCCAGGCTGAACGCAAGGCCAACTCCATGAAGGCAGTGAGAGCTATGAAGGGCTTATCCAAGCAGCAAAGAAAGAACATCCAGAACAATGTTGATGATGACGACGACGATGAGTCCAGCTCCGGCGAGCTGGTGTTTGAATCTGGATCTGAGGTCGACATTTCTGACCTCGTAGCATTGACCAAGCGTGGAGGCTCGAAGACAGTTTCCAAGCCCAAATCCACAAACCGCAAAGCATCCGTCTCCAAGCCGTTTGGAAGAAGAAAATCAGAGGCTGTCTTGCCAGAAGATATCAACTTTAAGTTCGAATTCGACGACAAGCCAGAAAGCGAGGACGAACAGGTGCTAGAGCAGATCAACCCTGATCCAGAATCAGCAGACGAGGATATCGGAGAGGAATTGTCTCCTGAAGCTCAGGACGGCTTGACATCAAATACTCCCTTGGACTTCGAGTTCGATTCGTTGATCCAGGTGCCCAAAATCAAGGAGGACGAATTAAACTCGGACGATGATTATGAAATAGACGACAACGAGCTTTTGGCCACCTTGCAGGCAGATAATGGCATGGACGAATTCTTGAATGACAGCACCAAGGATCAGGATCTCCGTCACAATTCCATCGGATCGCTCGAGGACGACGAAAACGACCCTTTTCTTATGGAAGAGGAAAAGTTCTTGGTCAACGAGTTTGAAAACAACGGATTTGACGACGAAGGAATTGATATCGAAGATTATGATCTCAGTGAGGTCTCGAGAAACTCAATGCTTGACTCGTTCAATCTCAACAACGACCCAAAACAAGTTCTACAATACGAAAGCGAAAGTGAGGACGACGACGAGGAAGATGATGAGGAGGACGTCTATGACGACTTCATTGATTTCAATGAGCCCATCTACGAGAGTCTCGGGAGCTCCAAATCGTCCAAAGCCAAGAAGAACAAGAGAAAGGGCAGCCACGGCAGCGACGACGACGACGACTCATACCTTTGGAACTATTTCTTCAGCTCAGACGGCAGCAGCGGAGAGGAAGAATGGGCCCCTACCAAGGAGAGCAATGTACAAGACGAAAGCACAGATTCGGCTGAGAAAAGACTTGATCTTCACCACAGAAAGCCGTACGTGGAAGAGTCGCTCGTGGAGAACGATTATGACAGTGGTGAGTCCACTGATGTGGATCTTTCGCTTCCAAAGTCCTCCAACAAATCCAAATTGGGTTCCAAAATGGCCAAAGAAGTATTGTCGTCCAAAACCGCAGACTACAGGCCTCCAGTGCTAGGAACCTGGGTGGCTATCGACAGCAAACCGTTTGGAATTATCGACGGATTATCTACCCGAACATTGAATTCCAAGCAACTCGAACCACGGTCAAAACCCAAGAAATTGCCGGGGGTATCGGTTGCAAATGCTGGCACTGGAACCACTTCAGACCTGGCCCTCGGCTTGGACGAGTTGTTAAACATCAGCGAGTTGGATGACGACGACGAGAATGATGTACGGATTTGGAGAGACTTCAACAACCAAAAGAATCTGGTGCCATTGGGAGCGTTCCGTAACAAATCGGTGTTGCAGAACTCGATTATTCATGCCGAAAACGTCACCTCCCACTACAACCACACCAGCAAATCGAACAACGACTTCAACAAGAGGAGGTATTCGTTGACTAACCATGGTCCATCTCCCAGTGCTGGTGGGACTGCTCCCCCCAAGAGAAATTCGGTCTCCAAACCCAAAAAACCCAGACGAAACTCCTCCACTTCTTCTTATGGTTCTGGAACTATCAAGAAGGAAAACTCCAAGCTCAAGCGTAGAAAGGCGTCGATTGTGGAAGCGGTTTCTGAGGGATTCCGGCCCACCAAATCAGGGCTTTTCAGCGAGCATGCTTTGGCAGACGTCGAAGAGGTTTTGGGTGACGATAATGAATTGATGGCTTTAATTAAGGGTTTATAGTCGCAGAGCGAACTGTGAATAAATATGAGACAAACTGGTGTAGTCTAGCGGGGAGATCAATTGGTAGTAAGATATATTAATTTTACTAATAAATTATACATATATATAAAGGGGCTACTAAAGGAATTTAGAGTGTGCCACTGGAGATACGATAGTTGGAACAAGCGTCCCTGGCGTAAATTTGAGAGCAATGCTTAAATTATTTCTTGAGTAGATGATTACCCAATACCTTGTACTTGCCTTGACGGAACAACTGACTTGATATGATCACACAGACTAGCATTCTGGCTCTGGTTATCCGTGGATAAATAGTCTCCAGCATAGTAGTGGGACGCTCGAAGTTCCCGCTAGGAGTAGCACCGCCGTTCTAACAAGTCTCGCTAAGTGCGGAGAACTTCCCGCTACGGTGAGCAATAGCCCCATTTCATGGGGAGCCACAATCCTTTCAAAATCAGCGTAGACGATCAATTTTCCAGCCTATGCAGCTTGTAGACTACTTCTTAGCTGCTTCTGCTGCCAGTACGTATTTCCAGTGACTATTGCCTCTATTTTCATCCCTCCAGCGCTCTTCCTAGCCCCCTCGCTAGCCTCCCTACCGCTGGTCGTGTGCGTTCAATCGGCTACACTGATCATCTCACAACATTTATCATTCTTCAACGACAAAGTCCGACCTCCCACCACCCACCACCACCAGGTCCTCTAGCAAGCAAGTCAAACCATTACCCACAAGTACCACCCAGCAATCTTGTCAAAACACCCGTCCCGCCATAACCACCACACAGTAGCAACCATCCATGTCTGAGAGGAGATCTGCCAGAGCCAACAAGGGCAAGCACTCCAAGCGAGATTTGGACCTGTACCTCTACGACGAGAAGACAATAGACCCCCAGGACCTAAAGCGAGTCAAAGTGGACGACGATGCGGATTACCTCCAACAAAACCAGGACGAGGAGGTGGTCCGGTGTCTTCCCTGTGGAACCACCCAAGAGAACTACAACGAAGAAACAGACACAGGAGGAACATTCATACAATGTGACGACTGTAACACCTGGCAGCACGCCAAATGCATGGGATACAACTCCAATAAGTCTATACCCGATAACTATCAATGTAATGTGTGTAACCCGGACCTATACAAGAAGAGTTCTTCTTCCCAGGCCACAGCTAGCGCGAAGGGCAAAGGAGGTGGCATCGCCACCAGCTCTAGTGGCGCAGATCAGAATAAACAGGAAGTTCTCCATGGACTTGCCAGTATCACTGCATCCCTCAAATCAGACCATCGGTTGAGCACTGCTAAGGCATTTTTCAGCTACTTCAAAAAGAGCTTCCAAAACGACAAGACCGACCAGCAAAACGAGGATCTTGCCGCTAAGTGGGCTCTTGAGATTGAGGAAATTATTTTCAAGACATATCCCGATAAGAAGTACACCGAAGGAGGAAGAAGAATATTGTTCATCCTCAAAAAGCATTTTATGAAGGAATTGTTGGAGGGCACTTTGACGTTTGAAGATTTGGTCAAAAAGACTCCTAAGGAAATCAACCGAGACATTGAGAAAGTCGAAGAAAAAGTACGGGGAAACATCAAGAACATTATCTTGACCGCCAACGAGCCCTCAGATATAGTGAGGAGAACGCACAAGGGTGACATTATCAGAGAGAACGAGAACGACCACCTTGATGACATAGATCTGAATATCACAACTAAAACCGTGGACCACAGAATATTCGAAAAGGAAAAAGAAATCAGCGAAGAAGAACAGAGAGCCATTGAGAATAGAAAAAACAGCTACCTCAACATGAACCCCCGTATAGAGGATGATGATGATGATGACGACGAGGTCCAGGATGTGGTGTCAGCTGAAACCGAAAACAGTGAAAAGGTTGATGCCAAGTCCTCTGAATCGCTGGATCTTGAGCATGTTCATGAAAATGTTTCTGAAGACGATTTATATCCAATCTTGACAGGTAATGCAAAGGCGAAAGCCCCCGATAGTCGTAATAACCTCAAAGTATGGACCGGAAGAATCACTTTCCCCGATTTTGCGTCATTTGAAGGGTACGGCGAATTTTACTCTAGTCCCGACTACGACGAATTTGCCTCTAGAGACGAATTGAAACTTCACACATCGATATGTTCCGATATTTTAACTCAGGATTCCTACTTTGTTGAGGGAAGGTTGGACCGTCAAAAGGCTGATGCCTATTTGAACAAAATCACCAGCAGTAGAAATCTATATCTCGTTGAACTTAAGCCATCGAAACACGACGATGAGCAGTTCCAAAAGCTCTACAAGTATCTACTCATAAAGAATAAGGTGGGTGTATTGTCAGACAAACCATGGTTCGTTAAGGACGCCTACCTTATTCCGGTAGATTTTAGAGATGAGCACTTGCCCTATTATCTCCTGAGCCAAAGGGCCGATTTAAGGATCGGACTTTTTGCGTTGTATTCAGTGAAGAAAGAATACCGTCCAGCGGGATCCAATACTCCAGCCCCAACCGAGTATCCAATGGACTTTTTGAAGAACCTGAGCTTGGCTGGTGGCAACGAATTGAGCCAGATCATGTCCCAGCTTCAATAGGGCATTCCATTCATTGCATTGTATATTAAGTAAATATTCCTGTATCATTATCTATGATTTGTATGACAGTCTGTGAATTTGAAATTATCAGCAACATCCGAGAATGAATAATATTGTTGCACCACATTCATGCCACCTAGATAATGGGGTACCAAATGCTCTCTCAGAGAGCTGCTTGCTTTTCTTCGAGATAATGATTATCTGCTCCCGCAGCATTTTGCCGGATACTCTAGGTCAGCGTGAGCAGAAATATATATAACTAGCTAAATAATACAGACCTAATAATCCAAAACTTTACCTTTAGATATGTAAAACGAGCCCATTCGACAGGTAGTCGGAAAATAACATTTTTCAAAGCTGTGTTTGTTAATATATTTCCAAAAGCACAAAATCTATTATCTAAATAAAAGAGATGAAATTATTGTCAGTCGAGTCCTTTGTGAAAATTTATCTCTTTTTTCCAACTAGAGTATATCGGCGTCCTCTGTAGCAGCACCGAATGCCTTGTGTATCAGGTTAAATCTACACCAGGTGGTAAAATGATTCTACCTAATGGTGCATCATCTGGCTTCTAAATGGCAATACCTTTTAGATAGAAAATTACCAAAAGATCGAGTTTCTACTTCATTGTCATAATTTTTCAGTAATTGGAGAATTATCATCATTCCACTTCCATCTGGTCAGAATTTGCAGATAATAACTGCCACCAATCGATTCTAGTCATGAAATAATTACTTCCTCCAACCTACTCCACGGCAATTATTAAGCCATTTCGCCTATAGCATCCTTACTACCATACCCCTACACGCCTCACTAACCCGACCGTCCATACGTTCTCCCAGTCATTACGTACTCTCAATCCATCCAGACATTTTGCACCTCCACACTTCTAGCGCGGAACCATACCTGAAATATATACCCACCTACTTAAATCCATGCCCTATGGTCTCAAGCAACCTACTAGACCCGCCTAGTCTAGACCCGGCGTCGAACCACTACGACACTAGCAGGCTCCAGGATGACTACAACAACAGCCTTGTTTTTGCCAGTGACGACCATGACAGCCAACCTCCATCAAAGAATACAGAAACCCAGCCAGACTGCAGTTTTGCAATGCAGTCTCCCAACCGTTCGATTGGCGATGGTGGTCCCTTCAACGAAACCACAATCCTTGAAACTGCTGGCGTTTTAGGACAAGAAACCCAGAGAATACGACCGGGGCCCAATCAAGACTCCCAGAGCACCCAGGCGCTGTTATTTGCACCAGAATACAACGATCCCCCATTGGCAGCGGACACCCAGCCAATCAGCCACCAAATCTCCCAGCGTCACGGTCCTGGCGCTAACCGCCTGTTCATACCACAAGATATTGAGGACACCCAAAAGATCAATACCCAAACAGCACCAGAACAAGAGGAGGCTCGGGGTATAACTGAAACGAAGTTACAGCATCCACAAACAGCCGCGGAGCTCCAAGAGACCCAAAAGATTGCATCCCCAAAGCCCTCAGCGACACAGCAGACCCAAAAGTTGGACTCCCTACAAGCATTTCCTGGCCCTGGGAATCTTGAAGATACCCAGAAGATTCACGACACACAAAAGATTCAAGCTGCCGTTACAGATGATGAACATACTCAGAAGATCCCAAGCCAGATTGCAGTGGCATCTCCGATTTCTGAGTCACAATCCCAACCACAACCACATGAAAATACAGGCTTCTCCAATTTTTCTGAAGCAATAGAAGACATTTACCGAGGAATCTTAGATGATACCCAAAAAATAATACCCTCTTACGACTCGGAGTCCCATGAACGTGTTTCCCATGTAACCACTTCCAATGGCAGAAGCACAGGTACAAATCCAACACAAGTCATTACCCCAGGCTCTTCACAACAAATTGATCGAGACCAACATGAACTGCAGAATGAAGTCATCCCATTCTCAAAGCCAAGCAGTATAGAGTCTCAAGGCGCTGGCTATGATGAACCAAAAGTGGCACATAGACAAGTTCTCAACACCCAGGAGCAGTCTGATTTGGGACTATCGCCAAAAGAATCTCCAGAGGACGAATTCTCGACTGGTCTGAGAAGCTTCAGAGAAGGTGAGGAGGTGAGGACGGACGATGAGAGAATGAATGATGACGAAGATATGACTGTTTTGGAGCATCAATACGACGACAGCGTCTTCACCCATAAGAGAAGAAAGCTCCGAGCCAACTCGCCATTGGTTTCTAGTCCTACCAAACCCACATTGCACCAATTCAAGTCTTTTAACATTTCAAGCAATACTTCCAAATTATCGAGTATGGTCATACATCCTAAAAGTGATCCAGTGGTGCTTGAATCGGCAAGCGAAATTGTTGAGTCCTCGCCAGTGGTTAAAGTGACCGACTTTCTACAATTACCCCCAAGGTCTTCACCTACAAAGGAGAACAACGTCTTTGAAGAAGAAAGCGATGGATCGGATATGTCTGACATTAATGAAACAGGAATTGAATTGCCCAAAATCACCAGAAGAAAAAGGAAACTAATCATAGAATCACAGTCACAAATTAATTCTCTTGAAAAGCCCATCTCTAATCCTATTTTACGTAAGGAGCTACTGTCTACGTTACGTGAGAGTAGTATCAAAAATCCTGATAGTATCTGGGGAACATACAACTTAAAAGTTTACACAGGTAAAATTGTTCAGAGAGGAATAGACCAACTGGTGGTTGAATTCTCTGAGGGTTTGTATAATATCAACAATTCAGACTTGTATCTCCTTGATATCAGAATTGGTGATACCATCAGGATAAGAACATCCACTTCCAAGTTTAGAGTCACTGGATTGTCTAGGACCGACGGAGATCTGATTCAGTGTATTCGAGGCTATAATTATGTTTACATTGATAAACAAAGTACCAAATCAAGTGCTGAAATTGGAGTTCCTTTGAGTGATTGCTATATGGAATTTTCTGATTGGATATTACATCAGGAGAGATATGGCTTGGTATTGAATATTTCGGGAAATTCAGGAGATGAGCATCTTCCTAGCCGTCGTGCTCAAAGAGCACAAACTAGAACTCAAAGGCAGAGAACCCAGCCTGCTAGAGCCGTATCCAATCCATCGCGCAGTCATATTGAGAAAGAGAGCCTAGTTTCAACTGCTGGACCGGTTGTACTGGTTGTCAAGAAATCTTTATTCATCAACCAATTATTTTGCATAACCTCGATTGATGGAGAAAGGAAGGACCAAATACAGGCATTGATCGAAGAGAATGGAGGAACCCTAATTGACGAAGGACTTAATGAACTCTTCGATTACACCAGTGATTCAAATGGGCAATTGACCCTCACTTCTGATAAATTGGACCAATTCACCTTTGGATGTATGATATCCAATAATTACTGTCGCAGTGCCAAATATTTGCAGGCGTTGGCATTGGGATGGCCTATCCTTTCTGATTCATTTATCGTGGATTGCGTCGAAGGCAAGACCTCGTTGAATGAGTGGCCGGTTTACCTTCTACCAGCAGGGCAATCTAAAGCATTGAGTTCGGTGAAGAGCTTAGATGTGTTTAGCTTCAGAAGAAACTACGAGAATGAAGAAAAATTGGTTGACCAACTTCACAACAACGGCCACTTGTTACGCAGATTCAACATCGTTGTGCTCAATAACAGGGCCAATGGAAATACCTTGGAGACCTGCAAGTTTATATTCTACACACTCGGATCAAAATCGTTGAAGTACTGTGCAAAGCATGAAGATGTTTTTGATTATTTAAAGGAATTGAATGATGCTGGAGAGCGTGATATTTTGATATATGATGATGGTGGAACGGTAAGTGAAAAGTTACAGGGTATGCAAAAGCCAAAGAAAGAACGAAAGAAAGGAAGAACCAGGAGAAATGGTGACGTGGCGACTCAATCTGACCTGATCAACTTTGGAGTAATTGACTGGGAGTGGGTGGTGCAATGTGTGATAAGTGGCTATATTTGGAACAGTCCCATCTATACGATCAGCTAGACTTTCATAGACAATAATAAAACATGGTGTAAGTGGATTAATTGTAGACCTGGTTCTAGAATTGGCAATTCGTGGTTAGTGGGTTGATTGTTGAGTCCATATTCTAGAGGTGAGCTAAACAAGTATTTTTTACAATTGAAAGTCCTTTTGTATAAAGATCATTAATTCATTAATATAACTATAAATGCAGAGATTGTGGTGAGGGATATAATACAAAACGATGGAGCGAACCATCCCTAATACCAGCTGATTGTACTTAAGCACCAATCAATCTCTTACTCAAGACTTGAGTAACAGCCTTGACCAATGGCCATCCATTGTCGTTCTTGACAGCATCACCGTTTTCTTCCAATCTTCTCAACAAGTACTCCTTGGTTTCCAATGGTGGACCCCAGGCGACGTACTTGATGATGTTGTCGACCTTGTAGTTCTTGATCAAGTTGTGGGTGATGTTGTCGGCCATACCCAACAATTGACCCAAAACGATGTTGTTTCTGTTCTTGTTTCCTTGGTAGGCTTCGTTGGCCAACGCATGGGTGGCCAAGGTCAAGGAGACATCGTTGTGGGAAGCAACAACCAAGTGGCCAATCAAGTTGCCGTTACCGGAGTCGGACAAAATGGAGTCAATGCAGTAAGTCATGCCTTGGTTGTAGTTCTCATCGGTGTTCTCCTTGGTGGAGTGGATGATTTCCTGTCTGTTCTTTTCGGAGTGGATGTATGCTCCTCTAACCAATTTAATACCCAATCTATAGTTGTTTTCTCTAGCCAACTTTTCTTCCAATGCCAACAATTCCGAGGATTGACTCAAGTACATTTGCAAGGTGCCGACAATGGACACAGGCATGTTTGGCTTGTTGAACTTGGCGTACAATCTTCTCTGCAATTCGTAGACACCTTCCTGCAACTCGTGCTTTTCGGCGTCAATGACAGCGACCACGAAGGGGGCGGTTCTTTCGGGGTGCTCGAGGGCCAAGTTCTTGTTGGCTTCGTAGATGGTGCCACAGACCTCCTCGGCCTTGGCGACCAAAGCGTCGAACTTGGCAGCGTACTCTTCGGTTTGGTAGTTCTTCAACACGGCAGCAGCGTCCTTGACGAAGCCAGTGGGCTTCAAGGCCACGTAACCAGGGGGAATGCTGTTGATGTCCTTGCCAGACTCCTTGATGGTGTTCAAGGTGTGGGGGATCAACATGTCCTTGATGGAGCGCTTGGTTTCGGCCACAATGAAGTCGGGATCGACGTTGTCGTTACCGTTGCAGGCTTCGATGGTCAACGAGAGCATCATGTTGTTGATGCCTCTCTCGGTCAATCTTTTTGCGGTGACGGGAAGCTCTTCCACCGTCTCGCCTCCGCAGTAGATCTTGTAGACCAATGCCCTGATGATGGGCATGGGCACGTAGGGGAACATCTTGATGCAGAGGTTCAAGATGGGCTTGTTGAGGGTGGCCAATCCAATGACAAAGTACGACAAGAGCTCGCCATTGGTGAAGTTCTTCAAGTACTCGGTGGAGGTCTTCTCGAGGCTGGCAGCGTCGTGCTTCAATGCCACGGGCGATGGGTAGTTGACGTTGCCCAAGGTGGTGTTGTGCTTGTTGGGAGACTCGTGGAACGCTCTGGTCACGCTAGCGAGCAGAGGAGCGACGCGAGGGGCGAGGGAGGCACGCACGGCGGTGTGGCGAAGGGTTCTGATCATGGGACAGGCTCGATGGTGGACAGTCCATCGGGGGGGGTGTCAGCCAGTTTATATAGCGAAGAGATGCCTGGCGTCAGCCCGGCATTAGCCAGGCTAGTGTTAGCGATCCCCCGCCTAAAAACCGGTTTTGCAGCGAGCCATCTTCGGAGTAAACATAAGCGAGCGACAAAAGATAGTGACGCCAGCAGGAGAATGCGATGAGCGATCCGTGCGCGCGCCCGAAAAGGGGTGGTGGCTAGCGAGGGGATGGGCGGTGGGTGTCGGTAAAGTGCGGCAAGTTGCGGCAGTATTGTAGCGTAGGTGACGGCGAGGGCACGCCATTTCTCGCGGAGAGCCACCCTCGCTGTGGCCTTCCTGGTGAGGCCACAGTTGGTTATCTCTGCTGATAGCGATAGGGACGGGGTATGATGGTGTGGGGACGGAGGGGACGGACGGTTACCGGAAGGTGTGGGGACGGATCTGACCACCGTTGGTTCCGTTGTGCTGGTTTGGGTTTGCACCTTGGGGGGTTGGTGCCCTGCATATGACTATGGGTGAGTCCAAGCGAATGGTGATGTAGGTGCTAGCGAGAGATGGATGTCGGCCTCCGACCCCACACGGTTAGGTACGGGGATGTGGCTCAGAACATGTTGTTGTATGGTTAATAAGCGTAGGAAAAAGGGAACCACAGTGATTGGTATATTGTGAATATTGTGAATATTGGTGGGAATATTGGTGGGAATATTGGTGGGAATATTGGGCTGTGAATTGCACTGTGAATTGGACTGTAACTTGAACTGTGATTAATGATTGGTAAATATTGGACTGTGGGACCGTGTTGGCCAGTACATTTTCAATTTCTAAGCGAGCGATTTGTAATGGACTATTTCTCTCTACAGCGAGTGATCCGTCTGGATAGCAACAGAGAAGTTCCTTTCTGGAAAGTACTTGGAGTTGTGTCCAGCCTTCGAGTCCACGTGCAATTGGAGTCCAACCGTCTTCCAGCTAGCATGATCCTTAGAGACCATGTTGTAAAGATTTTCCTTCATTAATACCTTACTGCGTGAAAACTAATACTTTGAAGTGGATTCTAGCACTGAGAGACCCAGGGAACCCTTCCGGCTATTTGAAGTGTTTGTCTATCGAGTAGATTACATGTAAGTAAAACTTCCTGCTAACGTGCCATCAGAGGGTCTATTAGATATAGTACTTCAAGACATCATTAAAGGATCTTTAAATGAATACGGTGGAGCCTATTAATACTTAGATTATAGCACGATCATACCTGAAGTGATACTATCCAACTAACACCAGAGCAGTGCTATGTCGAGTACAGATAAACTTGACAATAATAACTGAAGTAATACTCGTCCAACTAACACCGGAGTATTTCTATATAGGAGCTAATATTGAGTGATCCTCCCCTCCCAATTGTTTTCAAGGCACTAGTCTCACATTAACCTCAATTACATGTTCTGTATACGTTTCCTGAGCTCTGCGTACAAAATAACTACATCATCGATGGACAACTAGATCGGTAGACCTTGGCCAGGTTTGGGCAGAAGACTGCACCGAGTCTATTATTTTCAACCCCCTAACTTCGCTCTTGTCAACGATGGTTGGCAATGTTTTCGCGGTAGCTAACCTCCAGTAATTCCAACCCATTTTCCTGTAACAGCATCCTGCTTCTTTGTCCTATCAGACGTCATGACGGAAGAGAAACACCCAGTAGAACTGCTGTAGAATCACTCCATGGCGTCCCAGTATATTGGGTCACGTGACAATGCGTTTCAGCCAATGACCCCTCTACCCTTCCATACCTGTCACTCCACTTCTTCTTCCACATCCAGCGCCCTTTATTCCATCTTCCTTCCCTCCCATTCACCCACACATTGACCCACACATTCAACCGCCCCATCTTCCCCATATTTCCATCCACACACGTGACCCCGATGAGATGAAAATCCAGATTCGATATTACACCACCACCAGCCATGCTATCCCGAATACCCAGACCACCGCTTCGGAGGTCTCTTCAAACGGCCGCAGTTCTCTCAAACAAAACGGTTATACCATCCATAATCCTCGACCAGCTAAAGGACACCTCTTCCCTCGCTGCCCCAACTGCATCGATCCGTACCAAGAAGCAAATCTTCTTGAGGCCTGAGGAGTTCAGAGACAGGAGATTCAATCGTTATGTTGAAGATATAGAAAGATCCTCGAAGGATCTGCGCAAAGAACCCTTTTCCATAGCAACTTCAGACTTGTATCCGTCCACTCCAACCACCAATTCCTCTTCGTCCTCAGCCACAATAGAAAGCTTCAAGCCCACCGGAAATACCCTCAGTCAGATCAAGTACGACCAACTCAAGCTGGAGTTGGTCGATGCATTCAAACACTCGCAGTTGTCCAAGTACTTGAACGATATGTACTCGGAACCAGCGTACTCCAAGTTCAAGAAATCAAACAGAGGCAACAAGAGAGTCTTGGCAGAGAGAATCATCTCCAAGATCTGGGGAGTGCAACCATCAGGCGAGTTATCCATGGAAGACCTTCTTGTCACCAAGAGAATCAAATTGAACCAAATCCAGTTGTTTTTGCTCTTATCCGAAAATGGCTATATCATCAAATACTTGCAAAGATCGGGAATCAAGCTTTCCTTCAATATCAGAGACGATCAGATCGAGTTCCAAGGTACTTCGAACCAAGTCACCAACGCCGAAATTATTCTCAGCTCCATATTGAACAACACCCATAAGGAAAAAATTGATCTCTCCATCATCAAGCAATTCTACTTGAAGAAATTCGGGGAATTTTCATTGGCCGACCTTGGGAGGAATACCGAAGTTTTCTTCAACCGTCTTGATGAAGATAACTATGAGCTTATTACCCTTAATAACAACCAAATCAAAAGATCAAAGAGACTTTTGTTATGGCTACTCAACTACAATGAGCACTCTAAATCCCATTTGGTACTCCCAGATTCCACAGAGGACTTGTCTTTCATTCCCTACCAAGATGATGAGTCCTTGAGCTGGAACAACCGGAATCAAAACTTGTTCCTTCTCAAAAACTCAAATCAACAAGGTAATATTTCTAACAAGACCTTCATGAACGATTTACACCGCTTTTCTGATAAGGCTTTGAGCAGAGAAAGATTATCATACGAAAGCGAGGTTGAGCAAGCAAAGACATTGCCTCAGGAACGAGAAGAAAGTGTCTTAGAAGACGAAAGCTGGAAGCTTTTGGGCGAATTGGGAATTTTAGGAGACGAGAAGCCAAAGGACGAGATGGTATTAGAAAGCAAGAAGTCAGAGACTGAGTCAATCTCTGAGAATATAGATGATATCTACTCGAAGATCACTGATTTCACTTATAGAGACCGCCTCAATGGCTTACCGGATTCCAGGTTGAACAACCCCATTTTCACGGTAACTTTGGGGAACATACTCTATCAAGGAGAATCGTCTTCTGAGTTGGTGCCAAAGAGTCCTTCGAAAGACCTCTTGAGTGAAAACATGGACTTCAAGTTCAACTCCAATGTACCGTTGGTCAATGATGCTGTATTGTCGTTGCCATTATACGAGTACCCCGAACTTTCCATCAAGGAAGTGAACCATTTCTTGAACAAAGACCCGCACTCGTACGTGATCCAATTGAAGTTCTTGCCGTCTCCGTATATCGAGGCCAAAGAGCAAGGCGAAATCCATAACCAAATGAAATACCCTCCGGTAGAAATCTGGGTTGATCTCAACGACAGGTCCAAGCCTGATATTGACACCATGAACATTGTCACTGTCGAAGGAGAAAACAATTGCTACGTCTCCTTGCCAAACAGCAAGTCTGATATGAAGATCACCTGTCAATTATCTGGCAACTTGTTGGAAGAATCGGTGGAAGAAGAAAACCAGCATGTCGAGACCAGCTTGAGTGATATCCTCAACTCCACTCCCTCGCGTTACTCGAGATTCAAGTCGCAGCCAGGTATCAATACCTTCCTTCATAATGCTAAGCTTGACTTCAGTGGTAAGGTTCCAACGTCAATTCCATCCCACATCGACTTCAACATCAATGGCGAGGTGGTGAGATACCATTACATTAATGTGACCTACCGAAGACAAATGAATTTCTCCTGGAACGACCGGTTGGTTCAATTCAACATTGTTGAAGGAGGATCGTTGGGAGGAAGGAAGTTGGAGGTCAACTTTGTGGGAGACTTGGAGAGCATCGAAAAGGACGAGCTCGAAGCATTGGTCAAGGATGTCAAGGGATTCATTGCGGAACTCAAGTGAGTGAAAACTAGACCTTTGGACCAAGTGGTGAACTGTGAACGAATTGAGTGAACTTGGACTACTGGTGAGTTAAACATCAGCTCGTTAAATGGGACCAATTGAGTTAACGTGCACTAAATGGTGCTTCAGTTAATCAATTGAGAATATAATCAAGCTTGACTCCACCATCCTACCAATGGATCTGGAGTGGTCAGCTTCCTTCCCAATATGAATTGCTAAATATCCATCTTTACTGCAATGCTCTGGGAAAATTAACCCAATCTAGAAATTGGTGATTCCCACCATCCGTGCCTACACTGCCTCGCAGCTGTACATATTGCATACATGTATATATTACACTATAAATAGAGTGGAAACCCCATCCGTCCACCCTAGCACCATTATCCCGTAAGACTGTCATGCTACTTCTTGGACTCCAATGACTTGACATGCTTCTCCAAGTTGTTGATGGAGTTCTGCAAAGCGACCACGTCGGCCACAATCACGTTGTTGGCCACCTTGTACTCGTCAATCAAGTAGTAGTACGAGCCGGCACCGGTGACGGTGACCCCGAGCAAGAAGCCCAAAAAGCCGCCTCTGAAGGTGCCGACTTTTCTGGCGCCGCTGGTGGCGACGGTCGAGTATCCACGAACACCAGTTTTGGCGATTTGTCTTGTTAATCCAATCATGTTGTGTGAGTTAGCGAGGATCACCCAATCGTTCGATGTTGAATCTCACCAGGGTGATGCGGCACGTGACAGCACTATCTGCAGGCCACTCCTCCACCGTTTTAGCAACTAACACCAGAGTCCACCAGTGACAGCTGCTCCATCGATCCCTCTGCACCGTCTCAAGGCCCCACCAGTCTTGCATACAGCTTCCCCATACCCACCTTGGCCCCCATCGCCGATTTCTTGGCCGCACCTACTCAACTCCCTGCCTATCTCAGCCTATCCCGATAAGCAACAATCGACGGTTCCTGAATTGTATGATTTGTCTTTCTAGCTATGGATTAGCAAGTCGATTGGTGTCGAGATCCAGCACACTTCCGCTGGCCCTTCGGACATGCCACCAACACAAGGCCTCCACCATCTCGTGGGGCACAAGCGCTCTCACCAACATGTGCTCCCAGCGGGCATTTGCCACTAGTCGGCGTTCTTTGCAGCAAACCCACACCATTTCCAGATCGTTGCCCAAATCGAAGCCGTCTAGAAAGTTCCGTTTTGTTCGTGCCTCGCTTGTGTTGGTATCGATCGGAGGCGGTGTGTACTTGATCGATAGATATGCCTACTCATCGTTGTTGACCAGATCTGTGCGAGCCATCTACATCATGCTTTGGATAGCGTATGAGTACGCCATAGGCTCGAAGACAAAGGACCTCGACCATATCCACGAGCACACCTCGGAGGAGCTTCTCCGTCTTTTGAAGACGAACAAGGGTCTCTACATCAAATTAGGCCAGGCCATTGCTAACCAGGGTGCCATTCTCCCACTCGCCTACCAGGAAAAGTTCCCCAAGCTTTACGACGACGCTCCCATCGAGCCCTGGGAACAGATAGACACAATTCTCAAAAAGCACTACGGCCCCAGCTACGAAACGGAATTGTTTTCAAAATTCGACCATGTCCCCATTGCCAGTGCATCAATAGCGCAGGTTTATAAAGCTACTTTGAAAAACGGAAAAGAAGTGGCTGTCAAGGTGCAGCATGGTTATATTGATAACCAAATTGTTGTGGACCTCATGGTTTACCGGTTTGTGACCAGGATTTACGAAAAGATCTTTGATATACCTATGAGCATGTTTTCCCGGTACGTTTCTGATCAGATGTTGAAAGAAACAGATTTTGAATGCGAAATGCGTAACTCGCAAAGGCTAGCAAAAACGATAGCCGAAGACAGTACTTTGAGTAATGTTAATGTTTATGTTCCTCAGTCATTTCCAGAGTACACCAAGAGACAAGTGTTGATTAGTGAATGGATAGAAGGCGTATCCCTTGCCGACAAGAATGTGTTACTCGATCAGGGTTACGATTTGAAATTGATCATGACTCAGTATTTGCAAGTGTTCGGAAAACAAATGTTCAAATACGGATTTGTGCATTCTGATCCACACCCTGGCAATTTATTGGCAAGGTTCGATGCCAATGGCAAGCAACAATTAGTGATCTTGGACCATGGCTTGTACATTGAATTAAGTGAAAAGTTCAGAACAGAGTACTGCAAACTTTGGAAGTACATTTTTTTGGTTAATCATAAGGGAATCGCACAGATTGCCCAAGAATGGGGTATAAATTCTGCAGAGATGTTTGCATCAATGATTCAACTAAAGCCATTTAAGCCGATTAAAGATGTTCGCAATGACAAGCGGGACATGCATGAATTAATGAAGAACTTTATCGGAGATGAAAGTGCATTTCCTCAGGAGTTGATTTTTGTCTCTAGAACAATGAGAATGATACAGAACTTGAACCAAACATTTGGGTCTCCCGTCAATAGAATTAACTTGTTGACCAAGGAACTGATCAATGCCCAGGTTGCTAAGAATCCTTCGTTGCGGGATTACTTCGACTACATTAGAATACAGACAACCATGTTCATCAGCAGTGTTTTGTTTTTGGCAATTAGAGTCCGCCAGTATTTGGGAGGAGATCTGTATGGTGGTAAGGGCCAGGGTTTAGAGGACTATATTGAGATATACATGCAAAACACTGCTAAGTCCTTTGGTATAAATTAGCATAGACGAACTAGATTATTATGTAATGAATTACGTAATCCTTTTAACGACTGTTATGGAAAACTCCCACCAGAATTGTATTAAATTGTACTTCCTTGGCTAACAAATACCGTGGGACTTCAGCTGTCTCGTAAGCAGAGGATACGGTACCTGGCCACTCTGTAATCCATAGTATTTGTCCTTCTGGTATCCGCCATGCGAGTGGAAGTTTTTACTTAATGGCACATCTTACAGTAATAATAATGAGTCCACCTCCAGGGCTACTTCGCGGCTCTTGAACTGTCATGTGCTTCCTCTTCTCCGTTATCTCTTAAATACCTTCCATATCATCTATCTTCGGTATGCGTCCCACTCTCGCGCACGTGATCCCATCTCCATCTCAGCAAAAATTGAAAATTCAACTCACTACATCATCACCAACATGGATCTTAAGTCTACCTTCAAGAACACGGACATAGAGCCTTTCTACATCGGTGGTACCTCAGCCACCGTCTCCGAAAGTGGTGAACTTCTTGCCACTCCTATTAACGAGGATGTCATAATAACCAACCTCATCACCAACGAGATTGTCCACAGGATCGAAGGTGATGGAGAATTGATAACAAGTTTAATGATGACCCCTGATGGAAATACCTTAGCGATCTTGTCCCAGTCTCAACAGTTGCGTATTTTTGATGTGGAACAAGGAATTGTCACCAAGAACTTCAAAATGTCATCTCCAGTATACATATCAACTGTCGACACCACTTCATCTTTATTTGCATTCGGAGGTTCCGATGGTAGTATTACCATCTGGGACATCGAGGGAGGGTATGTGACCCACTCTTTAAAGGGACACGGTACCACTTTGTGTTCGTTGGCATTTCACGGTGAGTTAAATTCCACTGAATGGAAGTTAGTCAGTGGTGACATCATGGGTACTGTGAAGGTTTGGGACTTGGTCAAGAGAAAATGCACCCATACAATCAATGAACACAACTCTGCCGTTAGAGGTGTGGGATTCGACTCCACTGGTCAATTTTTAATCACCGGTGGTAGGGACAATATCGTCATTATCTATAAAGCACCATCTTTCAAGCCTGTCAACACCTTCCATATCAAAGAACAAATCGAAAATGCCGGTTTCATTACCTTAGAATCAAATCAATACTTTTACACCGCTGGTTCTTCAAATACCCTCAGAATCTGGGACATAAATTCAGGAAAACTTTTGGCATCTTCACCCACACCATATGAGACTAATGAAGAATTGATGATCATTGACGTCATAAAGTTGCTGACCAACGATTTATTCTTGGTGATAAGTGATCAAACCTTGGTCGAACTTGATCTCTCCCAGTTCCATGACCTTGACAAGGGTGGGATTGAAATTCCTATTGGCAAGAGAATTGCTGGTAACCATGGTATCATTGCTGACCTCAAATACGTCGGACCAGAGAAGAACTTGATCGGTTTGGCCACCAACTCGCCTTCGTTGAGAATCATAGATCCTACCAGACCACTTGAATTAAGACTTTACGAGGGGCACAAGGACATCCTCAATGCTATTGATGTCTCTAGTGACGGTAAGTGGATTGTCACCGGCTCCAAAGATAATGAAATAAGACTTTGGAAATGGGATGAGGTTGAACAAGACTTCACCCATCACACCTTGTTCCATGGACATGCTGGATCAGTCACCGCTGTCAGTTTGAGCAAATCCAAGGACTATCCTGAATTCATCATTTCTGGATCTGCCGACTTAACTGTGAAAAAGTGGAAGATTCCATCTCAACCAAACACAACCGTCAAATCATCCGAATACACAAGAAGAGCACATGACAAGGATATCAACTCCATCGATATTTCGCCAAATGACGAACTCTTTGCAAGTGCTTCCTACGATAAATTAGCCAAGGTATGGGACGTTCATAGTGGAGAGACTATCGGTGTTTTGAAGGGACACAAGAGAGGATTGTGGGACATAAACTTTTACAAGTATGACAAGTATATTGTCACTGGTAGTGGTGACAAAACCATTAAGGTATGGTCATTGAATGACTTCACTTGTGTCAAGACATTCGAAGGACATACCAATTCTATTCAACGAGTCAAGTTCTTCAACAGATTGAGCCCACAGGTCATCTCTACTGGTGCAGATGGTTTAGTCAAGATTTGGGACTTCAAATCGGGAGAAGTCTTGAGGACGTACGATCAACACGACAACAGAATCTGGTCGGTGGATATCAAGGAGGATGGCCAAATCTTTGTCACTGCAGATGCTGATGGTAAGATAATTGAGTGGGAAGATAACACCGAAGAAGAAATCAAGCTTAAGGAGCAGGAGGACAAACATAAAATCGAACAAGAACAAACATTGGCAAACTATATCCAGAACAACGACTGGTCTAATGCTTTCTTGTTGGCTTTAACCCTCAATCACTCCATGAGAATGTACAACGTGATCAAGTCATGTATTGAGCAAAATGAAGACACCGAATCTCCAATTGGTTCCACTTTATTGGAAGAAACCATCGCACAGTTGGACGATGAACAGTTGGTGACCTTGTTCAAGAAGATTAGAGACTGGAATATCAACTTCAAGTTCTTCGAGATCAGTCAGAGATTGTTGGGTGTTGTGTTGGAAAGAAACCCTCCATCCAAGTTGATGGAAATCAAGGGTCTCGTCAAGATCATTGATTCCATTGTTCCATATAACGAGCGTCATTTTGCTAGGTTGGATGACTTGATTGAGCAAAGTTACATGTTGGATTACACCGTGGAGGGAATGGGTTTTACTGCCGAAGCGTAAGTGAATTAATGAGGTGAAATGATAGAGCACCGGGCGATAAGTATTAAATATGAATTAGCCAAACGTATCAAATACATAGAATTAATCAGGACTCCATTATGTAGGTCTAGTTACAGAAGGCTACCTTCCTAGCCAACAAATGCTCAGAATCTTAGAGAAATTTTTGGGCAATCCAGCCCGTATAAGTTGGTCGGTTACTCCAATTTCAACTACCGCTGGTCGCTTTGCTTGTGTTGTTCTCAAGAATTCTCGTTTTGCTCGAAAACAGTGAAAATTTGCACCCAATTTCAAACTCAGACCATGAGCGGCAATAGCAACAAATTAGTATGTTGAAAGTAACTTGACAAGAAATGTCCATGAAGTTCTCTTACTAACTTCAGCTTGCGACTGAGCAGTTTCGGCAAAGAAAATTGAAGGAGAAAGGGATCAATCTTAATGTGCTAGTGGTAGGCGAAAACGGAGTGGGAAAGAGGTCATTTATGAACACTCTATGCAAAGGCGATCACTACACGAGTGACGTTGCTGAATCGGACACTTTCCTGATTGAAATCAAAGATATAAGTATGTTGTAGACTTAGAAGTGTGACGTCTGTACTAACTCGAGTTGCTTACCTCGAAGCAATAATCCCGATCAAGTTACGAGTAGCGATGACTCAAAACTTCGGTTTCAATTTGGACAATTATAGCAATATTGACAGTCTCGCCAGTTTTGTCGATGAAGGCTTCCGGAGTTTTTTGGAACAGGAGATCAAAATCGACAGAAATCCCCATTTTGTTGACAGAAGAATTCATGTGGCTTTGTACTTCATCAGAACCTCAGGGAGAGGGTAAGTTACAGCTCCAGAACGTTTGAAAGCATCGATCATCTTGGTCTCTGGAACTTGAATTATACTAACTATAGCCTTTCCGAGTTAGATCGTGCTTGCATGAAGAAACTAGGCCAAAAAGTCAATCTCATTCCCATTCTAGCCAAGGCAGATGGCCTCACAGACGATGAGCTTGAGTTGAATAAGTTCCAGGTAATGAAATCTATCCATGATAATGATATTCAGATATACGATTTTGCAGATTCCAACTCGTGCTCTGATGAAGATGAGCAAATGTTCATACTATCATTGCAACAAAAAGTGCCCTTTGCGGCAATCAGCTCAAACACGGCAGATTACAAATATAGGACAACCGATTGGGGCACGATTGTTCTAGGGGATGAACAGAATTGTGACATGGTTGCGTTGGAGGGTGTGCTCTTCTGCTCCCACCTTGAACAGTTAAAAGATACTACGTCAACCACTAAGTATGAGCAATTCAGGGTGCAACGGTTGAGAAAATGAGTCGATTCTATTGATGGGGTGAAAACTCCCCATATCTGCTTTATCGAAGTCCTGTCACCTAGCTACTATCTGACCCTGTCAATTTCATACTCGCCTCTTAAATTGAGGTGACTTACTAATCGCAATCAAATCCGCTATTACTCAGAACTATGCTAATCAACTCTCACGTCCCGCGTATGCACCGATATTTTGAGGCGTGTCTAGTGGCTATTCTTCTGTTGGGAATGGTAGCTTTTCTCCTGGCTGGAACTCTATTATACTTTTAACAATAAGAACAATAGAATTTCAGCGAACAAACCACGCGACCACAGTTCGTGTCACAGCAAGCAGTATTGTAGATATGTATATAGTGTAGGGCCCTCCCATCCGTCTGTTGGTATCCATTACATCTTCTATCCACGTTAACCATGAAGCAAGACTACGCTCCGAGCCTCACAGCCTCCTCCATCACCGAGCACAAGCACTACAAATTAATCAGAAATACTGCCATTGCAGTTATCATCATTCTTGTTGTCTACCTCACAGGCTCATACGGGTATGAACTACACGGAGAATACACCTCCGACAAGGATCACAAGGAGTTCCAACAATCAGGAGGAAATATTTAGGGCAAGGATAATACAGGTTAATTAATACACCACTGTAGTTTGAGAGCCCCAAGTCGATGGGCAGTAAGTAAGACTCAGCTTCAGCAGGCAAGGGTCCCTCTGTAGTCAGCAGACATGTCTTTCATGGTCCTGGAAAAGTCACCACATCCAATTATCTGGTCAAGATAGGATAGAGCCTCGATATTCGGCTAGCTACTCACATACTTCGTAAACTAATCAGCACGCATACTTTGAAACACCTCCCTCAACGGTAGTGGAGCAAAGAGACATCCTTTGCAAACCTACTCCAGCACACTTCTGAGTTGCTGTGGGCCCATGGCTCATGCTCGTAAACACTGCCGTAATCTTTCTAGCTCGACTTTTAGACCTTACATCAACCACTTAGTCAACAGGAACCAGTTATTCTAGCTATTTTGGGACACAAACTTTGCATAATTCCACGGGGCCCATTCCCGGTGCCGTTCCCTCTGGGCTAGATGCCCTGTCTAATTCTGAAACGCGCCACCTTATCCACTTCACTTCTTTGCGAGTGCTCAATCGGGTAATTATTGCAACCACTGAAATTGTAAGCGATTGAATAATAATTGAGACGTTAATTAATACATAAGCTCGTTTAATAAGCTTATGTTAGGCTAATGGCTGCGATAATGATTTTGGGGATCCAATCCGGTATTATTCATGAAACGAAACCGCAACACCTGGTTCAGGTCGAGACTATAAAGACCACAATGGAACACTTTCTCCAGACAAACAAAGATGTTATTCAACTTTGGTGCTACCTTGATCTTCGCTGCTAGTGTCTCCTCGGCTGCTATTCAACAAGCAAATGGGGCTCCCAATATCTTAATGAAAAGGGCGAACAAGCAGTGTATTCCGAAGCCAGCCAGTCTGGTGCCAATTTCCTCCACCGTTACCATCACGCATGTTTCGTCTACCACCTCCACTGCCACTCTGAGTTTGGGCACTGATGAGACCCAAGGCTCATCGGAATTAGCCTCTTCGTCCTCGTCCTTTGAGACGATAATTTCCACCGTATCATCGGCGTCTCCAGCTGTCTCCAACACTATTGTCAGCACAAGTGCTTCAAACGAAGCATCAACTAGTTCTGAGCCTGACTCGTCCCTGGTGGCTCCTTCCTCGGTTGAACTACCCTCAATTTCGGAGACTGTTCCAAACCCTACTACCTCGATAGCCAGTACACCCACAGCTAGTGAAACCTCATTAACTCCACCAATTGAACCATCGAGCACACCAGATGTTGATGCTTCTTCGAATCAGACACCTACCTCAACCACAATAGCCACTACCCACTCACCAAGTGAGTTGACTTCTTCTACTTCTGCTGGTCTCTCATCCCCCTCAACCTCCATCTCTATCTCGAGCTCTGTCACATCGTTTTACCCCACGTCTGATAGAACCAGTTTCCAGGAAACAACTTCTGATTCTGCAACTGATACCAACCAGAGCTCAACTGAGAGCTCTACTCCAATTCCATCTCCAGAAGTTTCTTCTTTAGAGAGCTCAACGCCAGTTTCAAGCCCAATTACTTCAAGCTCGGAAATACCAACTCCACAAAGTTCGTCCCCAGTTTCTACTCTGGCTTCCTCAACTTCGGAGAGCTCAACTCCAGTTTCAAGCCCAATTTTAACTCCTACTACTATAAGCTCGCAAAGGGCCGCTTCTAGCTCTTCTTCGATTTTGGATACCTCAATCACTTTGAGCTCTTCCCAACCCACCACTTCGTCCTTACTCTCGACTTCTTCACTTCCTCCACCTTCTCCAATCTCTCTTCCTTCCCTTTCTCTGAGCTCCTCAAGTTCTGCTGTTTCTTCTGCAACTTCTGACCCATCAGCAACTCTTCCACAATTACCCCCGACTAGCAGCTCCTTCATTCCTTCGACCCTCACCTCCGTTTCAACCACTCGTTGTGAAGAATGTCAATCGTCTATTACAGTATCCAGTGCTATTTCCAGTGTTCCAACATCTTCAGACGAATGTGAGGAACCCTCTCCACTGGCTCCAACTACCGTCATTTCCATAATTTCTAGCACTTCTGAAGATCGTGAAGAGCCAACCAGTTTGCCATCTCTGAGATTGACCAACACTGGTCCTACCAGTACCCAAATCACACCTAGTCTGACTGCAGTGGCCCCTTCGCCCACACCATCAACTTCTAGTAGAATTACCCGAAGACCAGGTAATCCCATCACGAACACATCCACCTTCCTGATAGGAACAATCACGATCATCTGATTGTTCTCCCTTGCTTCTGAGCCAACTTATTGACTGGACTAGTTCATGCTAGACTAATAGACCATTCTTTACATTTCGGTAATGCTACATTTTGTTCTTGAAACTCGTAAATGCAATCGTATTAAATATTATAGACCAATCTAAATCTGGTCCCCATTTTTGAAAACCTTTCCTCTAACAAACTCCAAATCCTCACCAGCGTAGGAAGTCAAGGGGCTGACTTCAACCAAATCGGTGTCGTTTTCAAGAACACCGCCATTTTCTTTAACCCATTTAGTACCCAACTCGAGGTAATGGTTTCTACAGGTGGTTGGAGTATCGTTGCTAGCACCGTCGGCGTTCTTCAATGGAGAAAATTCGCTGGATCTATCCACTTCCAAACAGCCAAACTTGGCCAATTCGACCGAGGGGAAAACGTCGAAGATGAATTGTTCCAACTTGATGCCGTTTGGCTCCGAGGGCGTTATGAACTCGCCGTTCTTCAAGGAGCCGATCTTCTTCTTGGCGATGTGGAATGGCAAGTATTCCTGGGAAGAGGTCCACTTTGGAATATAGTTTTTCAACAAGTCTACCGAGTAGTAGTGGTTAACGATGTTGGCAGCTCTGAGGTACAACTTGGATGGGTCGGTAGGCTCGGTCTTGTTTGCCAACTCGCTGGAAATCTCACTGTATTCAATGACACAGGGCTTGTTCAAGTTGTCGTCCAACACGATCAAACCCACATTTTCACTGGCGTCTCTCTTTCTGACCACCTTGGTGGCTAAGTCGAACTTGTTGTCAATGGCAAATCCCATAAAGAGCGGGTCTGCGACTTTAACCAACGAGTTGTCGACACAGTACATGTGCAAGTGCTTGATGCCCTTGGCGATCATGTCGTCCAAGATGCCGTTGGTCTGGAGCGCCTTGTACAAGCCACCGTTGCCGTCTGGCGACTCGCAGTACTTGCTCTTGGACTCGAGCAATATCTTGGAGCCGTCCAAGCTGAAGCACGGCAAGGTTCCCTGGTCGAAAAGCACCACCTGGTCGGCGTCCAAGCCGAAGAAGTTGTGTTCGCGGAAGAACTGTTCGGTGGTGTTTCTGGTGGGGCCACTGGTCATGATATACCAGTGCAACTTGGGCGTCGCAGACAAGCCGTACTTGGCTTGGGTCAACTTCTGCACCTTCAAGATCTTTTCTGCCTGGATCTGGAACAACGGCTTTCCTGAAGGCAACTGGATGTCGTAGCAGCCCTTGGGGTTCTTGGACCCCAACCGCGTGCCCTGGCCTCCGGCCATCAACAAGATACCCACCTGGTTGTTGGAGATGGCCTCCAAGCCGAGGTTGAGCCACTTGTCTCTGGTGGCGGGATCGAGGTCCAACGTGGACGCAGTCTGCAGCGAGGGGAGCTGGGCAAACAGCCGGCTGGCCGAGTTGGACGCCAGGAACTTCATGGCGGCTCCGACAGTGTCCACGAGCGCCTTGGGGTCGTCGATCTTGGCCAACTGGGCCACGAACGCTGCCTGGTCAGAGGCTGACAACCCGTCGAAGTACTCGAAGAGATGAGGCTGGCCTGCTTGGGTGAAGGCGTTTTGTATTTGCGAAATGGAAGCCATGGTCATTGTTGCGTGGTGTAAAATCGGTGAGCGTCCGGCTTCTTATAGGCACAAATGGGTGCTCGGGGACTCGATATAAATAGATGCGTACACAAACGAGGCCAGTTCAGGTATTTAACTAGGGCGAGGGGGAGGACATGCACGGGACTGGGCGTGGGCTGCACGGAGAGGCTGCACGTCTGGGCAGAGTTTCAGTATGGATTCCAGCGGAAGTTCCAGGATCAAGTAGTGTAATATCACTTCCTGATTGGGAATAAGGGTAAACAGTGACGTAGGTGGTGGGCGACGTGTGCTGGGCTTGGATGAGGATGGGGGAGGCCGAGCGGCCTCGCCAGCGTGGGGGCACAGGGAGCAGGATGGTTTCCAGGGATGGCAGTACGGATGTTCTACGGATGTTTTCGTTGTTTCCCAGTACTGGCTGGTGTCCTGGCGTGCCTGCTCCACGTGATGAGGCAAAGTGGTTGCTGATCCAGATGAGGTCGTTGCTGATCCGATAACGCGTGTGCAGGAGGCAGTGCAGAAGCATCTCGAGTGGCATTAGCAGTAAATGCTGGCTTGTCACCTGCGGGTGCTAGATGTAAGATAGTGGCTACTACTTATGCTAATAGTATCTAGGATGGTTACTCCTAGTTGTACTAGTGTTGGCTCAGCTAGTGACACCTACGCATGTTTGTTCGCTCGGTCATTTCACCAGCGAGTGAATATTTTTATAATTGGGGTTTTTTTGCCAAATTTGAAAAATTCAATTGCAATCCGAAATCATTTTTCAACAGCTTTCAGTTTACAATCTAGTACCATTTTGAATGGGCCCAGGAGTGATAACCACACACAGCTACGCTACACCTCTACTATTTTGGTAATGATTTGATTAATCTCCACGGCTTCGTTATCCTGCCCTGTGATTCCTCTACTCTTTCCGACCCTGAAATTCTTATTAGCTCATACTAGGCTCAATCGATTTCAAGGTGCTATAGGTGTCTCTAGTAATAAACCACTCTATCTCATGCCAATACCAGACATTCCAAAGTTCTAGTTCTAGTTCTACATGTTAGGCGCACCTACTCAGACGTCAATTTCAAGGGCCAGTGACGCGTACCTGCTTGACGACGACACCGATCTGGATAAGGTTTGGAGCTAGGCGGCCCATATGGAGTCCAAAACGAGAAGCTGGACTACCCGATCAAGCCTCCGAGGCAGTGCAACACATCACGTGATTTTGACACCATAGGCATAAACTCAAGAACTCTGATACTTTTATTAATTGAAAAATTACTTGATGCACCGAATCCTCGGTAGTACAACTACACATGCAAGGTCTGTTAGGCGCGAGGATGCTTGTCATGTGACTAATCCAGAATTAGTTTTCCAATTACGGTAGGCAAAGGGGTATCAATATAGTATTATGAAGAAATAAACAATGAATATGGTCTAGATGATGATGGCCAAGGCAGCGGCGACACCACACGAAACAACCATCATGCTGGTGTAGAGAGTGGATGCGCCGTTGGACTTCTTGGAGTCGGAGGAGCTGGAACCAGAGGAAGATGAGTCGGTAGAGCTGCTACCTCCCTTGGTGGATGACTTGCTTCCGCTAGAAGAGCTGGACTTGGACTTGGTTGGGGCAGAACAGTTGAAGTTGTGACCTTCGATGTCACCCTTGGAACGTTGCTTCTTCAAGTCAGAACAGTCGAATTCGTCGGAGGTAGAGCTGAAGGAGAAGTCACCGTCAACCTTGTCCAAGCTTGGCAAGGTGAAGTTTGCAATTGCGCCTCTGATGTTGACGGCACCCTTGACTTCTTCCAATTTCTTGAAGGTGTTGCCCAAGTCTTCCAAGTCGGTGTTGTTCATCAATCTCAACTCACCGCCGATTTCCTTCAACGAGCCCAAGTCGACGTCGGTCAACTCGTCGTTGGCAAAGATCAACACGGAACCGCCAACTTGCTTCAAGGAGCTCAAGTCGACCGAGTTGAAGTTGTTGTAGGCTAATTGCAATGAACCGTTGACTGAGGTCAAGTTGGAGGCCGACAACTCGGACACATCCTGGATGGTCAAGTTGGAAGCCCAGGCCAAGTCGTCCAACTTGATTTCACAGTGGTCGCTGTTGAAACTCAAGATCAAGTTTTCTGAGACGGTGTCCAAGCCAGCAAGGTCGATGGAAGAGATGTTTTTGTTGTTGTTGACGTTCAACACTCCCACGGTGTTGAAGTTGGTCAAGCCTCTCAACGAGCTCAAGGCAGTGTCGGAGACTTCGATGGTGCCAGCCTTGGAGATACCCGAGTTCAAGTTCAACAATGCGAGCGAGGGCAACGACACCAACGACAACTTCTGGGCCTCCGTCAAAGAGGTGAAGTCGATGGCGTGTAACTGGGTGTAGGCGTCGATGCTCAAGGATCCTGAGATCTTCTTCAACTGGTTGAGGTTGATCTCGGTGACCGAGGACGAGTTGAACAACTTGACGTCCCCGGCGATTTCCTTGACGGAGCTGAAGTCGATGGCACCGATCTGGTCGCCCGAGATCTGGATGTCTCCGTCCAAGGTAGGACACGAGTTCAACTGGGACACGGCAGTGGCTGCGGTGATAGTTGTTTTGGAGAAGGAACAGCTGTTGGAGGAGGCGGCCGAGGCGACAGCCAAGGTGCCGGCAGCAGACAAGACAGACGAGAACTTCATGGCGGGATAACGAGTGGAAGGAAAAGTTCTGGTGGTGGTTTACAACGGCGGCTGGCACGTATATATAGCGAAAAATTGCAATGGATAAACAACAACGCACCTCGAGGGTACAAAATTCGCGGTGCAAGCGCTCCTGTCATGTACGGGAAGGAACGACAGGGGGACGGCTGGGGAAAAAAGAAGAGGAAGGAGACGAAGGAGAGGAGAGAAAGAGGAAGAGGAAGAGGAGGAAGAACAGGAAAAAGAAGGTGGGGATGGCCATGATGACGGATAGGATGATGGATATGGCGATGTGGTGAAGTTTGATGGTGGAGGACGCCTGATGGAGTGTTCCCATCTTGGGCTGGCGGATCGGTGCCTGGCGGTGGCCGGCGTTTCTAGCCCTGCGAGCAAAAGCCGGGGCTCGTTATTGTTTCAGGTGATGATGTTGACGCGTCGCACCGTCAAGGAGACGACACGATTGCTGGGCCAGCGTGGCGGGAGGGTTGTGGGCGCCAGCACGGCGGGTAGCTGGGGAGCCAGGCCGAGCTGGGGTGGTGCCATTAGACGAGGCGGGGCCGGGGCTGTGTTGGCAGGGTGGTCAAGAGCAGTGGTGGTGCGATCCATGGAGAGTTTCCACTGGGGAAGATAGAGGGTGCCAATGGCATAGTGGTGCGAACTTCATCGCATTGGGTTTTGTAGAGTAGGGAAGAGTTGGCGACTGAAATTTGCAGGAGAGAGTATTCTGGCATCACGAGGCTCAGTTAGCGGACTGGTCCATCTGACAAGCATGACTGTGGAACCATATAACGGTGTGGGTTTTGCGTTGTGGGCTACGGATGGTCGTTGGAGGAAGGTCTGTGACATGGAGACGAAGTAGGACTTCTATGGCATGGAGACGAAGTAGGACTTCTATGGCATGCAGATGAAGTAGGACATCTGTGACAGCGTACTACTGCAAGTGGGAGTCGTGGAAATACTACGTGCCTAGCGATCGCCTGTCATAAAAGTGCAAGGTGCCCATATCAGCTAGTGAAATGTGATGGGGACATTTTCATGAAACTAGACCGCGGGCACGTAGCAGTCCAACAAAGTAGACTAGTAGACTAGTAGACTAATTAGACTAATTAAACTAAGCAGCCAAAGCAGCCAAAGCAGCCAAAGTAGCCAAAGCCAAAGTAGCCAAAGCCAAAGTAGCCAAAGCCAAAGTAGCCAAAGCCAAAGTAGCCAATGCCAAAGCAGCCAAAGTGGCCAAAGTGCCCTAACCTCATTGCACTACTTGTTGTTCCCATACCATGCCCAGAATTGGCCCACTCCACATTGCTCCTCGCGGGAGATTGTCAAGCTATCATATTGTCTTGACAATAACCCGCTCTACGCTGGCAGCAACCAGCCGCACCGTGCAGTCACGCCCCACCAGTCACGTCCACCTCCATGCCTCTCACCACCACATTGTTGATGGATCGCGCGCGCCAATTCTGTAGATGTCGCGGGGCGATCGGGACACACCAGAAGAATCTCTCACAAGACAAATACAGACAGAAACAGACAGACACAGACAGACACAGACAGACTCTCCAAGCTGTCAGCTTGCTCTTCGAGACATCTATACCCTGCTGTAGCCCGTTCCTATCTCTGACCTTTTCTCCCTAGCCTGTCTCTCTAGTCTTCCTCCCCACTATTGTTGATCTGTATTATGAATCCATCCCGCACTGCCGTTTTGGGATCCTCCGGTAAATGTAAACAACCTGCCAAACACGACCAAACCCAAACAACAATCTCACCTTAACCTCTTCTTATAAGGCTATTCCCACGCTATAGCCTCCACCAGCCAGATCACGAGCGAGCATCCCATCCCAGCACGCCGTCTCGTCCCTCCTCCCCGTTCTCCACGGCCAGTCTCCCTCCGTCTCGCCTCCCAGGGCCCCCAAATCACTTCTACTGGCTATCCTCCAAAGGGACCCACCACTGGTGCCATCCCATTCCATGATGACACTCGACACAGAAAAGCACCCGTTGCTCCACGCGTCCGCAGGCTCATCGCCTGCGCTGACTCCCAAGCACCAGTCGCCCAAGGGCCTCCACGAAGCCACCTCCCTCAACAACTCGCCCACCAAGCCATTGAACTTCCCGCGGTTTCCCGCAAAAAACCAGCCAGAAAGCGCTAAAGAGTGCAATTCCAGCTCCGACACATACATCAGCGACGAGTCGCCCGAGCACAAGTCGGTCAAGTCCTCGGAGCTCGACAAAGATACCCTTGATTTCAGCTCGTTGGAACGAAACTTTAACATCGACCCCCTCGGCGCCCAGGCCACCATCGGTGCCGCTGGCATGTCACACGCAAAGCCCAGCGAGGATGAGTTTTCCTTCGCCACGCCCTTGACCTCCACAACCGACTTGAGCAACCCCAACCCCGCCTCCGACAAAACGGTGTCCAAATACATTAATACCTCTCCCAGCAAGTCCATCATGAAGAAAACCCCCGCAGCTTCGCCCAAGAAAAACGTGGTGTTCACCAACTCTAATCCAGAAATACATCACTACAAGGATACCTCCCCCGATACCTCCCACCCTGACTCAGACAAGTTGGACCCAACCACCCCCGAAAAATCCGCTGCAATCTCCCACGATTGGAATGAGTTGTCCACAAAATCTCCATTCTCGGATGATGACGGCTCGTTGCCGCCTCCCCCACCTCCACACTCCTCAAACTCATTCCAGGACTTGTTGAGAAACGTTGGCAGCGAAAAGAAGGACCACGAGGACTTGGACTTATCCACCTTGACTGATTTGAAGTTGAAGCACAGTAGTTACAGCAACTTGTCGTTGAACGAGAAATTGGATTTGTTCCTCACCAATAATACCAATCACCAAATCCCACGGTTGAATGGATCCAAGTCTTTTGCCGAATTAGACGCTCAGCTTAGTAGCTTGAACGATGCAACCAAGTACAAAACAGACTCAAATATCCACTATTTATCGTTGTCTTTGCAGAATCCTAAATCAGACATCGAGAATCCTTTGGAATCATTGGTCCAATCTTCCGAGGTCCAATTGAGATCTTCGGGCTCTTCACAGTCTTCCTTACAGTCATTGAAGGACACCAACCGTACCTTGGAGTCAATCCACGACTCAGTATCTAATAAAGGAATCGAATTGAACGATGGAATTAAGGGCTTTTCCGACACAGTTGCTGAGCTGATTATTCCTTTGACTAACGACAAAACCAAGGCTCCCGAATCTCCTAGAGTTAAGAGATCGGGCTCGGCTAATAGAATTCAGGATTTGAAGCATGAGAGTGAAGAGGAAGAATTTCACGATTCCTTTGACAAATCGTATAACTCTACTGAGAAGTCAATCATGAACTTATTGAATAGTGCATCCTCACACGATCTCCATGAGAACTTAGGTGACACTATAGAAAAGCCAATCAAATCGGAGGTTCAGGACATCAAGCAAGAACAAGATGTGCCTGTACACCAGGTCAAAGTCAAAGTTGAAGAAGCTTTACCTATCAGGATTAAGGAAGAGAACGATTTCGGCACTGTTCCCCTTGCTTCTACCGAATCTTTAGCTCCTCCGGTCAAGAGAGAGATGGAAGATGACAGTCCCGTGAGAAGTGAATTCGATCATCACTTTGAAACCGTAGATGATAAGGTGAAAACGGTACACAATTCGGAACAGGCATCACTGCCTGTTAAGTTAGTCAAGTCAGTTGTTAGAAGTATTGAGTCCAGAGTGTCAAGTATGAACAGTGATTCTTCCTCTTTTATGGGACAACTGAACACCTCAACATCTAGTTTGAGGAAAGCCAAAGCCCAAGACACTTCTGATATCAAAGATGGCGATGAATCTAAAATGTCTATCAGATTCCAAATGGATAAGGATTGGAAATTGGAAGATAGCCATGACGGAGACAGAGAAGATAACGATAGTTATACTAATAACGATTTGACCATTTCAAGTATCCATAGCAAGAAAATCGATTTCGAAAAGATGAAAACAGAAAGCTTACTCGAATCAGATTCGTCATCTATAGATATTGACGACAAGCAGGAAGCAAAAGAGGTCAAATTGAAGACAGAGGAAGAAGAAGAAGCAGAAGAAGAAGAAGAAGAAAAAGAAAAAGAAGAGGAAGAGGTGCCGACTGTCTCAGATGTATCTAATTCTGAACAAGAAACCCTTGAGAAGGGAATTGAGAAGAAAGATGTGGACGACTCACACGATGAGCAAGAATTCTTGGCCAATTCCTCAAATATTGCACCTCAAGCCGATATTACCTTACCTCCAATAGAAACTAATACCTTCTCCTCATTTGAAGATATCACAAATACAAGAAATGATTCGTATGAGGAGTCATTGTCTGCAGAACATGATGTCGAGTCAAGACCTACAAACTTCATCTCCATTTGGCATTCACAAGACAAAGAGAGAGTCCACCCAATCAAAAGAGCTGACGAGTTTTTCAAGGTTGCTAAAGAAGACCTTAAAGTTGAAGAGCCAAAGGAAACCAAACTTGACAAGTTTAAATTGCCTCCCTCATTACAACCCAAGAAGTTCAAGGAAGTTAATGTTATGTCAAGAAGAGTAGTGAGTCCCGAGTTTGATGACTTGAATGTCACTGACTTCTTGCCTGAAATTTCTGAAGATTCTGGTTTTGAAAACCACTTCAAATTCTTGAAGCAAGGTAACTCAACCATTAATTATTCTGATGCAGTTGGCAACAGAAATAGTTTCACTCCTTTGAGTACCAAGAATGTATTGACCAATATCGATGACCCTGATATCATTGAACCTCCTTTGCCTTCTACTTCGTTGAGACCAGGAGTTAAATCTGCCAATCTTCAACCTCAACAATTTTCTTCTCAATTCAAAGTTTCTAGACCAGCTAATCTTCAGCCTCATTTCAAAACTAGAAGTACCTCGAAACAAAATCTTCCTAACCCAGTTAGAAAATCGAAGTTCAAGGTACCATCATTTGAGATCAAGCGTTCTTCCTCCATCTTATCACCTAGGGATACCTACAATGATATTTTTGATGATGTGCTCAAAGAGCCACCAACGATAAAGGCAAGCGGCATGAAAACATTACCAAGTATGGATAGAGATGATGTGAAAAGAATAATGAGCGCCAAGAAGGTCCTCACCCAAGAAGAATATTCAAAAGTCAAGCTTGGCCAATCTTCAAAGAAGCACTCTGTTGTTAACTTGCCCGTTCAGGCATTCGATGAATTGCAACAACATGCTTCCATTTGTGATACTTCAATGGATACAAATCAGGAGGATGTGTTGCCTCACTTGGCTACTGAGTTATCTAGAAGACCAGAGGCATTACTTTCCAAGGATCAATTCTTCCACGATTATGATATCTTTAGTAGTAAGGATAGTTTGGTTGAAAATAACTCTGAAGAAGGATCAAGGGTAAGCTCAGTCATATACAAGAAGGATCACAAGCCAACTCCTCTTCGGAGCTTAGCTCAGTTCCCAGATCCAGATCCTGAGCTCATTGGTTCACCTACTATTTTCAAGACTCCTCCAAAGGAATTAACTTACAACAATGACGAGGAAGATATAAGTGAAGAAATTAAAATGAAGTATCAATTCCTCAACAGCATGTCTCCAACCAAGAACTTTACTGTATCGAAGAGCCCCTCAGCTTCGCCAAAATCTCCAAAGAAGGCTAATGTTATCAAGATTGGTGCTCCTATGGGATTGGTTAAAAGAGGATCTACTGTTGTTGCGGTTACTCCTTCAAGTCCAAAGAAACCGAAGACCTTTAGCGATGAACTTGATACTCCAGGTGTACCTGCTAGAGCCGGGTTGGTGAATAACAAGCTTAGAGAATTGAAGTTCAAGCCATCCGAATCTCAAGCACCTCCTAAGGTTGCAACTTCGCCTTCAATTTTCAATGACTCAACCAACATCAATAACAACGGACAAGGTACTCCAAAAAGCACTTCATCTCCAGTTTCTCCAGTGGATGAAGTTGCTGCGAATGTTAATACAGAAACAACTGGTGTGACATTAGAAACACAAGTTCCAGAACCTGCTGAAACTACTCGGAACACAGCCAGCCCTTCTCAAGAAAGAGGTAAGTTGTTCTTTAGAGTAGTCGGATTGAAAAACTTGAACCTTCCTGATATTGCCAAACACAATGGTAAGTTTTCTTTAACTTTGGATAACGGTGTCCATTCTATTAGAACTGCAAACTATAGCCTCAATAGCACCAGTATCGTGATTGGTAAGGAATTTGAGCTAATCGTTGGCAGTTCTTTGGAATTCATTTTGACGATGAAGATCACATATGACAAGCCAAAGGGTGGATACAGAGAAGTCCGGGAACGAAAGGTTGTAAAGTCTGCAAACAGATTCAGCAGATTCTTCGGGTCTAAGGATGTGATGACATTAACTAAGGTAGTTCCAGTGGAACCACATGATTCTTGGGCCAACAAGTTTGCTCAAGATGGATCATTTGGTAGATGTTACGTTGACTTGGATCAATATGAAAAGTCAATCACTTGCAAGGCCCAAAACTTCGATCTTACCTGTTTCAACGAGTGGGAAACAACCACGAACTCGGAAGGCAAGATTCAATCAGTCAAGCCCTACGTTGTGGGAAACCTTGAAGTCAAGATGCTCTTTGTTCCAAGAACTGACCAGCATGAAATATTACCAACCAGTATCAAATCTGCCTATGAAAGCATTGATGACTTGCAAGATGAGTCAAGTCAATCTTTCGAAGGCTACTTGTTCCAAGATGGCGGTGATTGTGATACATGGAAGAGAAGATTCTTCAAGCTTAAGGGAACTTCTTTGATTGCGCATAGTGAGTTCAGTCACAAGACTAGAGCTAAGATAAACTTGGCTAAGGTGGTCGAAGTGATCTATGTTGATAAGGAGAACATCCACAAATCTTCTATCAACTATAGAAACTTCAGTGATGTGATGTTATTCGATAATGCTTTCAAGATCAGATTTGCCAATGGTGAAATTATCGACTTTGGTGCTCAAAACAAATATGAGAAGCAGGAGTGGATTACTACAATCGAGAGAATTGTGTACAGAAACAAGTTCCGTCGCCAGCCATGGGTCAAGGCAATGTTGAGCGAATCGCAATAATTGCCCATACCCTTTTATTTCATGTATACTTATGTAATTTAATGTTAAAATTTTCAGAATCTGGATCCGTAATACTAATTCGAGCTTTAGATCCTCGCCTTTCACAGTGTATGAGTCTTCTTCTCTTGGGTATTCGTCCCTATGTCGCACGTGATGAACTACACGTGACCAATACCATAACTAATTTTTATCTGCCAACGGCAAACATCACACACTATTCGCCATGGCTAAACATGAAGATGATGAGGATGCGTACCTTTACGGTTCAGATGACGAAGAGGACGTAGAGCAGTCTAGAAAGAGACAAAAAGTGGAGTCTTCGACCAATTCTACAGAGGAAACAAACGAGGAAAAGGCCCCAGTGCTGGAAGAGGCAGTGAATGATGAAGAGGATGACGACGAAGATGAAGAGGAGGATTCTGACGACGATATCGACATTATAATTGGTGATACTGCCAGTGCTCCAAGCACAGGAACTGTCACCACATCTGGACCTCAAAATGATACTGTCGATGCTACGGTAGATCCAGATGCTGAGGAGAAGGTGCCAACCACCACAATTGTTAACAAGGATCAAAACGAGAACAAGACCACCATTGATGTGCATGCAGTGGCCGAATATGAAGGTAAACCAATCACTCAAGTTGATCTTGAAGTCATAAAAGAAAAGCCATGGAGAGCCCCAGGTGCCGATATTTCAGATTACTTCAATTATGGATTCGACGAGTTCACCTGGACTGCCTACTGCTGTAAGCACGACAAGTTGAGAGGCGAATTCAATCCACAAAAGTTAATGGCACAAATCATGGCAGCCAGTGGGGCTGGTGGACCAGGTAATGGACCTCCAGGATTCCCACCAATGGGAATGTTACCTCCAGGTATGCCACCTATGGGTATGATGCCAGGAATGCCCAACATGCCCAACATGCCAAAGATGCAAGGCATGCCAAAAATGCCCAACATGCCGAACATGCCTCCCATGCCCAATATGCCCAACTTCCCCGACATGCAAAACTTCCCAGGCAACAAGAGACAAGGCCACAAGTAAAAGCACACCACCCACCACTACCTACGAGTATTTATTTCACTGTACTTTATCTTTGTATATTACATTCATATAACAAGATTTTCGATTAAACTATTTAGTAGTATCAATTCTTTACTCTTCGTCACTTTCTTCGTCAGCTTCTTCCAACCACTTGATGAATGGTTTAGCAGCCTTACGGACCTTCTTGGAAACATCCTTTGGAACATACTTCTTCGAGACCTTGCTACCCCATGAAAGGATTACTTCTTCAGAGATAATTTCCTTATCGTATAAAGAAAGCAAGATCTTTGGAACGGCAGGAATCAAGTCTGGCTTTTCCAAACCCAAAAATCTTTCAAGACCTCCCAAGAATGCAGTTTCAAATTCCTCTTGACCGTTGATCAACTTGGCCAATAAACCAACATGTGGTTCGATTTGGTTTAGTATATCTTCATCGAACAAGACTTGAGCCAACACTTGGACGGTCTCAGGCTTGTCAGAAATTTCCAATTCGATAATCTTCTTGTAAATCTCAACGTCAGTTGGCAAATCTTCCTTGGATTCGTCTGATTCCTTCAATAACCACTCACCAAAGTCGTTGAACTTGGCCTCGTCATCGTTCAAAGTCAAGCCTTCTAATTCTCTAGCTCTAGCGGCGATGGCTTCTTCAGACATGTCAACGGCCCATTCGTCGTCCTTGACTTGCACACTGGCTAATTGGGCAGCTTCAGCATTGATTTTCTTGGTCAAGAAATCGTCGTCGTCGTTGCCTTCAGCATCTTCAGCTGCTGGCTTGGATTGTCCAGAGGCAATGTCAGAAATAGACTTACCACCACCAACAACGTTAGCAGTAGCAGTGGCAGCCTTCTTACCCTTCTTGGAAGTAGGTGGATGCTTCAATATGTAGGATGATAATTTGTGCTTTAAATCGATCATGGTAATCTTACCACATGCTTTACAGTCTCTCTGCAAGTCATCCTTTCCCTTGACTTGAATTTCAGTTTCAGGATTCTTACATGATCCACAGAGAACGAACTTGTTGATGAATCCGTCCAAAGAGTCTTGCAATTCGGCACTATCGTGGGCACCGTTGACCAAGTAACGGTCAAGCTTTTCGTCTATGGAGGTTTGGGCACCTAATTCTGATCCGAAGAACTTGACAAGGTATGCTGGAGGTCTACCCAATGCACGGGCAACTTCAGCCAAGTTGAGGATTGCGGTCTTGATACCGTTACCTCTACCTTCAGTCTTGGACTGAATGAGAGGCATCTTGTACCGGTAGAACGGATCGGTGTTATCACGACAGATATTAACAAAGGACATGGTGATTCGGTATGTGATATATCATTGTGGTGATAGTCTGAAATTTTTTTTGATGGCAAGGGCACCGCGTGGTTTGTGGTCACGTGATTAATACATACCATGAGATGAAATTCAAGTTGTCTACCTGTGGTCAAAATAGGCAAAGCTAAGATCTATACCAGATGCATGGGTGGTGGCCGGGGGTTCCGAGCATCGCATGCCAAATACTATGCTGTTCTAAAGTACATAAAAGAGGCCATAAATACCTATTATTTATTAGTCACATGGTGACGTCTGATATAAATCTGTATAATCGACTAGTACTAGAATAGTAACAGCAAAGCAAACGTTTATAAAAAGCGTAAAAGAAGGTCGTAAGATGTACCATGTCAGGTCCTGTCAGGACCTGTTGGGTTTTGTTTTATTTAAAGAAACAGATTTCTTTGACTCGAAGTCACACCTGGAGTACCTGGATTGGAATTATATCCCAAAGCAGCAGAACTCAACGATAACTGCTCCAATTGTTGCATAACTGCTATATCTTGTTGTTGTTGATATAATTGTTGAGCCTGTGATTGAGGTTGCGACTGGGGTTGAACTTGCATGTTAGGCACACCTCCATAGTTGCCTTGGCCCCCGCCAGCTTGTTGGCCCATCATCACATTTTGTGGTGGCATCATACCTTGAGGGCCCCCCATTATAGGATATCCTTGTTGAGCCATATGGGGGTGGAATTGCTGAGCACCGTACTGGAACTCGTTTGGCCCGCCTGCTCCCCCTGGGCCTCCAGGGCCACTGGATCCTGCGTATGGTGGCATTTGGTGGATTGCCTGAGGGGATGTACCTTGGGTATTCTTTCCACCCCGTCCATTCATCCTCTTGTTTCTTCTGGAACCAACGGATGTGGATCTGTTCAACCTGTTACTGCTCAACCCTACCTCATCCATCAACTTCTTGTATGGCTGGAGATTATTGATGTTGAGCTCAAGCAAAATTCTTCTAATTTGAGAAACAATAAATGTTTGATATCTTGCGTTCCGGCTTGAACTGTTCATTTCAAATGAGCTCTTTCTCGATACGTCGTCATTGATCGTCAATAGTAATGGGTTGGATAAAATCTTGTAAATGAACAAGGGCCCAGCCGAGTTATCCGCATTCTCAGTCAAAATCAACTCCAACAATCTGGAAGGTAAACGAATGGACTCCTTTTCTTCATCGCCGTCAAAAGAGTCATCTTCAAACTTACCAAAGATACTGTCCATGATCAACTGCTTCAGACTCAAATCAGAGCGGTTGTTCAAGATTTTCAAGATAGTCAAATTGGCTAATTTGTGTGTACACAACTGGAGTAACTTGGGCAAGAACTTGGCAGTGAGTAATTGGAATCTATCATCAACTGTAGATCCGTTATCATTGAACGTATCCAAAAACCAAGTGATCAATAATGAACCGTTGTTATTGACAACCAATTCATTGGCAAATTCAACAATAAGCCCTGCAACCAAGAGTACTTGCTCGTTGGTTATATCATTTGTTTCGTTGGCAGTTTCTAAAATAGTTCTGATACATCTTGCACCAAATCTACCGAAACTGATTTCCAAGAAATTATCCAACATAGTTTCAAAAATGAAATCATTGAATGGAGATCCAAACTTGATACAGCCTTGCAAAACATAGTTTCCGAACTGATCATTGAATAATTTGACGGCATAAGGTTTCAAGCTTGCACCAATCAAATACATTTGTTGGAAGTCCTTTTGACAAAGATTGATTATTTTCTGGATTGCCCAAGTACCATTCTTGTGAATACTTAATTGGGTCAAAAATGGGGCGATTTCCTTGACCATCATCAACTTGATAAGAGGAGAATCGACCAAAGTAAATATTTTCTGTACAATAGTGTTACCAAGGTAATCGTAGCACAACTCTGGCAATTCGTCCAACATAGCCAAACACAATTCTTCCAACTCTACTTGGGTCATGACTTTTGTGGCAATATCGGCACTATCCGAATCAGAATCATTGTTGGTTGCTGGTGGGGTTCTGTCATTATATGGAGATCCGGTGGCCAATGCATTTTCATTATTCTCAAGGATTTTCCTCAATTCCCTGAGTTTTGGAGAATCAAATTGACGCAATGGGATAGGATCTGGGAGTGGCCCAAAGTTGTTTTGATAGTTATCATTTGAGTAAGAAATTGATTTGTTAACTATTGAAACAATCTTGTTGATGTCAATGTATTTAGACCGCATAGTTAATTTTCTTACTGTTTGGGTAAGACTTTCTTGCACACTCAACAAATCAGTGGCTGTAACCTTTGTGGTTTCAGCCAACACAACATTAGATTTAGTACTACCTGAGTTAGAAGAACCACCATTACTGTTTGAATTATGTGCCGACCCATTCGACGTAGGAGCAGCTTTAGCAACAGGTTCAGGATGAGGGTTACTGTCAGCGAACTTAGCAAATGCAACATATAAAATGACCCCTGGAACCAATTCCAAATGGTTAAAGCTAGCCTTTAAAGTCATGGCTATGTCCACCGAGGAGCACTCAACTAAAGCCAACTTCGACGAGGTTGTGGTGGCCACCCTGATACCTCTAATACTACCCAAGGACCTTCTATTGCCCAAAGTATTATTAAGGATCTGATACAACTTCAATGAGTCAATGAATTGAGGGATATTGTCAAACAAAAGGAACTTGGTAGGACCCAAATTTGGGTTCTCGAAATTGGTAGTAATCACCATTTGCGAGAAGTCAAAGTCGTCGAAAAGACTGGGATGCGTGACTCCTTGCTGGTTGAACTGGGATGCTTGCGATGGTTGGTGCTGAGGGAGTTGTTGTATGTTGTTAATAGGCTGTTGCTGTGATGGTGTAGGGTGTTGGACATGTAATGGATTCTGTTGGACGTGCTTTTGGTACATTCCTTGCGCCAAAAAAGGCTGCTGAAGACTGGACTCGGCAATAGTGGGGGTTGACCCAGAAAACGTTTGGGAGCGAAGTCTTGCATTGGGGGGATTGGAGGCACCACCAGTACTGTTCATGTTGAACATCAAATTGTCCAACAAGGAATTCATGTCGTTGGTTTTATTGGATGCATTGATGAATGGAGAGGTGGACATTCTGTTTGCTTGGAAAGAATCCACGTTGTTGTAGTTGTTGGACATGGGCAACACCGACACGTTGGGTGCAGCAGTGGTGGTGTACGACCTATTGCGCTGGTTGGCACCAACATTTGCTCCCCCACAATTGGGCCCGGTTGGAGCCAGAACATTGCTCAGCTGGGTCGAGGATTGAGCCGTCAAGTTTGGGCTCAAGAAGGTGGAGCTGGAGCTGCTGTTTGAGGCAGCATTGAAGTTGGAGTTGTCGAAAGAATGTAAGCTTGTGTTGTCCAAGAGATTGGCGTTCTGGTTGGGGGACTGGGTGACGTCGTCGTTCCAGATCGAGTTTGTGGAGAAGAACGAGCCTGATCTCATTCTCCTGACGGCAGCGTTGCCCCCATTGATGGAAGAGGAGCCGTTGGGGATGTCAATGGCGTTGGAGGACCCAGAAGCCGCAGGCAAGCCCAAGGAGAACGGATCCATGTTGGACAACCCAGCGACGTCGTACTGGCCACTCACCAAAGGCGAATTATTGGAGGAGGCCCCTCCTGACAACACACTGGCGTTGGTGGACAAGAAGGAGGACGGCAAGGTGCCAGCCCTGCTCCTGGAGCGGATGGCAGGCGATTCATTGGAGGGAGTGAGCGATATCGAGGGAGGAGAAGGATTGGAGTAATTGTTCATCCTGAGTGTGAGATAGAAGCAATGGAGACAATAGACATTAGATCACGGAGCGGCTCCGAAGCGGATGATTGGAAGGGAGCGAGGTGTGAATGCGTGCTGGAAGGACTCGGAACCACACTCTACTCGACAGTAATCAATTAGCTAAACAGGACCACACCGGAAATTTTTCGTGTCTGGAGCCTGGTTATAATCGTCGTGTTGGCAGCTTGGGTAAGCGCTTAGGTAAGCGGGTTGCTCACCGCCATCTCCTATTGTGGGCGCAGGGAGCGCGCCTGGGGCGCGCGCACCGGATGGCCCCTATCTGGGAGCCGGCCACTGCCACCGTCACTCGTCACCACCACGTCACTACAAGCCCCTGGAGGGCGTCGGATGGTTCGGGACTGTTTGCTAGACCCCTATTTACTGGCAATGGGCCGATACTGGGCCATGATGGGCCATGATGGGCCATGGCACTTCTCTACTTCACATCCACACTTCATATGCATTCATGTCTCTCCTGACACATTACTGACCACCTCCCCACCGGAACTTCCTTCCCCAGGTTAGTGTGTCAGGCGTTGAGGCCGCCCTGCGCCGTACCGGTTATTATTGGACCAACAAAGTCGAGTCATAGCGCCCCTGCGCGCCAACGGCCAGGCGTGAAAAATCCTCTGAATCGGGTGCTCTTGCACCATTCTTTGGGGGAAGCAGGTGCATGCCGACAGATGTTTAGGCAGTGGTAGGTGAATGTGTAGTTGACAGATTTTGCCTGTTTTGTTGGCTAGTTATCTGATCACGGACCTCCATGAAGTTCCACCGAAGGTGCATGTTAGCCAGCTAGGCAGTGCATGGATATTTTGAGCATGATCGATATTCTTGTCGTCTTTAATATATAGAACGAAGACATGTAGACAATTCTGCAAGATTCTAAGCCATTCTTAACTAGTTCGATGATTTTTCAATAACTTTTAGACATTCTAACGAAGAAGACACGCTCCAATCTTATCATATTTGGCCATCGATTGAAACATTCACGGCCTAATCTTATCATACTTTTAATATGTCGAAAATCCAATCATGCTTCTAAGTTCTGAGATTCGCTCTAATTCTTATCATGTTCCAACACATTCTGCTCTAGGCAGGAAAAGGAACAGCCTTGGACAACACAATGCACCGGTTACCATGCGACAAGTACCCCTTGATCCGACCCGTGGCCACCATGGTGGCTAGAATGCACTCCACCTCGTCGGGAGCTGGCATGGGACCGCTGCTGGCGACTTCAAACGCTTTCTGGTAGGCACTAAACGGCACAATGTGATTTTGTGGGGTAGGATTCAAGGTGCGGACCACCGACGTGGTCCTGCGGATCAAGTTGAGATGGCACTGCAGTCTCAACAACTCGATGAGCAAGTACAAATGGTTCTTCAAGAATACCGTCTGGTACTGCTCCAATTTGGCGTCGAAGAGCGCGATGTTACCGGTGGAAATGGCTCGAAAGAGATTGTCGTGGTAGAGGGTTTTCAACTGGGGGTACTGTGCCCACAAGCTGGGCTTAAGTGAGGCTCGCTTATTGTAGAGCTTCAATGGGAGCAACACGAGGAGAATCTGCTCCACCTGCTTGTTTTTGGGAGGGTAGCCAGTCAAGATGTCCAACGCCTCCTCGAGCTTGTTCTCGCTTGCCTCGAAGTCCGACTCATCGAGCGACAACAATGAACTATAGTACAAGTAGGTGACAGCAGCCTTCTTGTTGCTTACCGAGCTCTTCATGTCGGGCAACTGGAAGCGGGTGCCCTTGAGCGCCTTCTCAATCGACTTGGCCAACTCGAGCTTGTTCATCTTGAAGTAGATCTTGATCAACACCGCCAAAAAGAAGTAGATGTCCATGCGCTTGCTGTGCTGCAACTCCAAGTTCTTGTCGTTCAACAGGAGCTTGAAAGCCTTGTTGGCGGTGTTAGCCAACTGCTCCAATGCCGACACCTTGGCGTCGCTGCCCTCCACGTCTTGGAACTCAAGACTGGCGATTTCTTCGGGGTGGCGCAGCTCCCGGACCTTGTAGACTGCCATCAACTCGAACATCGCGTTCATCAACGGCACGTTGATCCAGTTGGTCTGGGTTTCGCCCGCCCTGATCAAGTGGTTGACCAAGTCGTCCAACTCCACGAACGACTGGTCGATGCTCTTCTCCACGTACACCGCCCTCATCAACCGCAAATGGGCTCGTATCACGCCACGAAACTTCTCTGGTGCCTGGTACAAGTCAAAGTCGTTGGGCTCGGGGTACTTGGCACGGATAGGCCCTTCTTGGCCTCCAGGACTGATGGATAAACAGTGCTTGAGTTTGGCTGCATCCCGGGTATTGATTGCAAGCACGAAAAGCAGGATATAGTTGGGTAAACTGTTCATGACGATGATGGGTCACGGTACTGCCAGGTGTTCGTCTGGTGGCGTCAATGCTGGTTGTAGGAATGGGGCTACAAGTCTGCGATGGATGGCTGCTGGATGGTGGTGCACATTTTGGTGGTGCGACTGCGAGATAGAAAGAAGATGGCGATGAGAAGCCAAAGAGGGTCTATCTGGCAACAGAGAGACTAGAGATGGCTTGTTGGTCTGGAGAGACTTTGGGATTGGCTAATGGCATACTCAAATGGTGCTGTCTGGGTGCCAAAAACGCTATTCTGACACCAATATGGGAGAGAGTAGTTCATATTTATCCAGATGGAGTTCGAACCTCATACTAGGAGATTTCTTCTGGAGTGTTTATGCAAGAAAGTGGAACGTCAGATTGACTATTGAAGCTGGAGTCTTAAAGGCAAATACGAACTATAATAATAGTCAGCCAATCGTGCTTCTGCAATAGCCATATGGATTATCTCCGCTGTAGCCCTATTTACGCAATAACTACTAGTATCCTGCGTGGTTCCAAGCTTTGATTTACATTGTAGTTGGTAGCAAAGGTCATTCGGTAGTTTTCTGCTTACTAACGAAATCTGTCTGAATTGGCGGATTTGAAGCGGATTTGAAAGTGGCCCTAAATATTTCCTGCGGTATACAGTTCTTGGGGCATATCCCATCGTCAAACAGACGACATCAATTTACTTACCTCAGTCCGGTCCATACGCCTACCGGAATCTCTATCTGCCCGTCAAGTACTCCGTCTGAAACGGTTGTGATTACGTAACACCTGACTAATATCGCCGCCTGTTAGCATCCTCCTCCTGAGAACCCGACTACGGGAACTTCATTTGCATCATTCCAACCTGATTCGCTCAGTAAACCGCCGATAGCCCACATAGATCCTCTTTTGACCACGTTCCAAAACGGCTATTTCACCCTTGCTGTCCCAACTCACACCCACCAGTTCAACAATCAGTCGTCCTGCACACAGCCCACCCCAAATCACTGTTGATGGCGTAAAGCCAGCCTGATTGTTGTACCATCTTTTACCATTACAATTGAACCATCGGTCTATCGGGAACCCGTACAGAGTTCATAGTCAGGTGATCGGTCTCTACCATCGAAATTACACACATCGTCATCCCTTGATCAGTTGTTGAACTAGTACATTGCTGACTGGTCATTGACTCAAAACAACCGCAAAGGCACGCTGTATCACAAACATTAACGGCGGTTAACAACACAGCATCTTCCACCGAGCGTATACATCAGCGTCCACTTGGACCACAGAACCCGCCTTACACACGGACACGTCCAGCCCGTCAAACTAGTCATCTCCATATTTGTACACGTCCACAACCATGAGTTCTCCAAACAGTGAGGATTCCAATGGCAGCAATTCCAACGCCTCAAGAACAGCCAATAAAAACTCTAACAGCTATCAGGACTACCCCATGCAGAACCACTACCGCTACGGCGATGTCCAGCCTGAGCAAGAATTCTTCATGGATAACGAGATCAATGATTACAAAGAGTTGAAGGAATCTATCATGAAACAACGGAGGGCGTCCGACTTGCTGCAGGGCCACAATCATCACTTTGTTGACCACAACTCTCTCTTGAGATTGCCAACGGAGATCTTATTGCAAATCTTCCATCATTTGGACAGAAAGGATCTATTTTCCTTATTGACCGTGTGCCGTGAATTTGCTGACTTGATTATAGAAATCCTTTGGTTTAGACCAAATATGCAAAATGATGTCTCTTTCAAGAAGATTAAAGCAATCATGGAGTTGCCAAGAACTCAGACTCATTGGGACTATCGTTTGTTCATCAAGCGGTTAAATTTGTCTTTCATGACCAAGTTGGTCGATGATAATTTATTGTCCCTATTCATCGGCTGCCCTAAGCTTGAACGGTTGACGCTTGTTAATTGTACTAAGCTTAGTCATACCCCTATAACAAACGTTTTACAGAACTGTGAAAAGCTACAGTCTATCGATTTAACGGGAGTCACTGACATACATGATGATATTATTAATGCATTAGCGAAGAATTGCACTAGACTACAAGGTCTCTATGCGCCAGGTTGCGGTAACGTTTCAGAAGAAGCAATCATAAATTTACTCGAGTCATGCCCAATGTTGAAGAGAGTCAAGTTCAATAACAGCAATAACATCACCGACAGATGTATTTTGAAAATGTATGAGAATTGTGTGTCATTGGTTGAAATTGATTTGCATAACTGTCCAAATGTTACGGACAAATACTTGAAGTCGATATTTTTGGATTTATCACAACTCAGAGAGTTTAGAATAAGCAATGCCACGGGTATCACAGACAAGTTGTTTGAGTATCTCCCAAATGAATTCTACTTAGAGAAACTCAGAATAATTGATATTACTGGATGTAATGCAATTACAGATAAGTTGGTAGAGAAATTAGTGATGTGTGCCCCAAGATTGAGAAATGTTGTCTTGTCGAAATGTATGCAAATCACAGATGCTTCATTAAGAGCGTTGAGTCAATTGGGCAGAAGTTTGCATTATATCCACTTGGGGCATTGTGTATTGATTACAGATTTTGGTGTCGCATCCTTAGTGAGATCATGCCATCGTATACAATACATCGATTTGGCATGCTGCTTACAGCTAACTGATTGGTCCTTGGTCGAATTGGCGAATTTACCTAAGTTGAGAAGAATAGGTTTGGTCAAATGCAGTCTTGTTACTGATAATGGAATAATAGAACTAGTCAGACGTCGTGGTGAACAAGATTGTCTCGAAAGAGTTCATTTATCTTATTGCACAAACTTGACTGTTGGACCCATCTATTTATTGCTCAAAAACTGTCCAAAGTTGACTCATTTATCATTAACTGGAATAACTGCATTTTTAAGAAGAGAAATCACACAGTATTGCCGTGATCCACCTCCAGATTTTACCGAAGCTCAAAGAAATTCGTTCTGTGTTTTCTCGGGCCATGGTGTGAACCAATTGAGAAATCACTTGAACCAAGCAATGGAGGAAAGAGCGTATCATATCGAACAAGGTGACATCCAAGCATTGTTCCAAGAAAGAAGAAGAAGATTCATGAATGGTGGTGGGGAAATGGATGAAGAAGAGATGAACATTTGGGCAAGAGGTGCTGGTTTGGGTTTGTTGCAACAAAATGTGCTCCAAAATAATGAAATACAAGACATAAATAGGGAGATCTTTAGTGAAATTAATGGTGGTCGTATGGCTCCTGACGATATGAGAGAGCATTTTCAACGAATCATCAGACAGCGTCACCATCAACGCCAGGAACTGGTCCAAAGAGGCCAATCTCAAACGCCTACCCAAGTTCTTCAAGCACATCAGTTCCAAAGAAATCCACAAAATGCCCCTCAGATAGTTCAACCAGCTGTGTTTCCAAATGGTGAACAGTCGATACCAGTCATCAACGAAGATGAAGATGCAGAAATGGAGGAGCCCGGCCTCTTCCCGAGACAGGCTTCTAGTTAGGGTGCAGTACCGAAGATACAACTTGTTGCTACATACATCTGAAGTACCATACTCTTTTGTTGCCTTGCAAATATTGATAGCAATGCCTCGCAATGTCATAAGTATTCTTGAGGAATTTTTCCTCGTCTTCTGCATTCATTCATTTAATTCATTAATTCTATCATTTAAAATTCTATCCTTTTATAGCAATATTTGACATCCATCAAATTTTCAAATGTGTAAACTTGATCTATTATTTATCATAATCCCTAAGACGATAATGTAGGTATGCAACAGTTTCATTGATGTTTACTCCAGTGGTCCTTGAAAGGCTATGAATATAAAGTTCTTTTTGACTCAATTTTTTGGTGGTAATCCTTTGAAGAATTTTAAAAATTTGATCAGTATTCATTATTCGGGGATTCATCTTAAACTCATTTGATTGTGACGAATTTCCAGCGCTAGTACTTGCTTTTTCGTTGAAAATACTGGACGGGCAATATTTGGTTTCGGGAAAGTTTTCATATCTTTCGAGGTGCGTATAAGAGCTTTGCACAATCAGGGTGCCTGTTGTAGAGCTAGCAACCCCCATATTATTCGGATTGTTTCCTATCGACTTAAGTAGAACAGGACGAATGTATAGTGACCCTTGTTCCTGTGGTGCTCGGAATTCGTCACAATCCTTCTCCATGTAATTGTTGTCTCCGTATTCCAAGCATTCTTGATTAAACTTCAGAAGCTCCTTGTTAGTGCAACCATTTGATGCTGCTACCTTCAAAGCAACGAGGTTCCGTTTTTCAAGCTCCAGCTTTGCAATTGCAATCCGTTTGTATAACTTTCTTTTACGAGCCACCTCTCTGGGTTGTTGTATCTCCTGGCGAATAAGCTCGTCAAAGGGCTTACTTCGAGGGACAAGCTGTTTCTGTTCTAGTGGATGACTTCTGCATGTGAGGTTACGCTTGCAAGCGGTAGATCTGAAGGTTGATACTCCACACAGGTAGTCGTTGTGATGTAGTTCGTAGTCCTGTAACTCCTCTTCTGTGAAGCCTTGCAATGTGAGTTTGGGTGCGAAATTTGGGTCACCTTGGTCACCGTTAGCGGGGGCAGTTTCTGCAGGAACCCCTTCATTATCGCAATCGTTGGAGTTATTCTTGCTCCCCATCCCAGGTTTGTCTGATAGCTCTGTATCTGTTTCGCTGGCTGGCTTGTGCACATTGTACAAGGGAAAGGAAATGGTGCCAAAATCGTTAGCAGGCTTGGGCAAATTATACAAGGGAAAGGAAATGGTCCCTGAGTCGATAGCCTTAGTTGCCCTGGACGAGAGAGGAGAAGAAGGAAGGTAAAGGTGGGAGTATGGTCCGCGGAACAGGTTTAAAATACCACCTGGTGTTGGCGGTAACATGTCGGTAAGTTCCATGATGGACTGCACACCTGGGAGCCTTGGTGGCTTGCTAGATTGAACGTCCTTGTGAGGCAAATCGTTAAGAATAGGAGCAAGAATCAACGAATCATCGAGTGTTTGTTCAAAGCTGGAACTCACTCTATTTTCATCGTTGTGCCATAAAGGATCTCGAGGTTAGTTGCAGTCAAAACGCACTGATCGGGGAGGTTCATACTGTTTCCAAATTGCTTGACGCAAAGAAGGAAGGAGCTATTCTCATAGTAGAGAGGGTCTGACATAGCGACAGATATGGCTTCCCTCAATTGCAGCGCCAGGCGTGTGTTCAGCCGTAGTAGTAAGGATACAATTGGTAGTCCAGGCAGGCGCTTGCTGGGCCCGCCGCGGTTGCAAAACTGGCCTAGGGCACCAGCCCTGGGAGTCAGATTTCACACGTGATCCTCTTCCAACCTGTATCTAGTGCGAAAACTTTTCACCACGCACCATAGTTAACCCCAATAGTTAATGTCGGGTGTGCACACTAAGAACTCTGCGCGCCAGCCCTGTCCTCGCCATAGTGAAAAAAACGATAAAAAACAGAATCCTTCTAATCTTTCTTTTGAATAGTACTTCAGAAAATCACTAGAAATGTATGTTGAAAAGGGAAAAGGATAGACCGTGGGACGAATGAAGACAAAGGAATATGAAAGCAGAGTGGATGTGAACAGAACAGCAGATATTCGTATGGTACAACTCCGTCATGTCGAAACTACCCAAGGACAAAGCTTCCAGAGATATTTTAACAGTGTACCATGTTCAAGAAGAAATCATCGACCTCCAAAGACAATGTTGAATACTCGAAATACCCGTTGGATACTACCACCCCAGTGGTTGAACTGTCTTCGTCCGTAACACTGCAACGAACACCAGTCGTTGCTATCCGTGTGAATACTCGCAGCCAGGAGGACCAATACTAACTATTCAGGACTAAGAGAACTAAGAAGGTTGGAATTACCGGTAAATTCGGTGTCAGATATGGTTCTTCCTTGAGAAGACAAACCAAGAAGTTGGAAGTCCAACAACACGCCAAATACGACTGTTCTTTCTGTGGTAAGAGAACCGTCCAAAGAGGTGCCGCTGGTATCTGGACCTGTAAGTCTTGTCGTAAGACTGTTGCTGGTGGTGCTTACACTGTTTCCACTGCCGCTGCTGCCACCGTCAGATCTACCATCCGTCGTTTGAGAGACTTGGCTGAAGCCTAAATGATTTTTGTAACCTGTTTATAAAGTTATTTACACATAATCAATATCATAAAAATATCGACTCCCTGTACTGTTGGTGTCCAGTAGACTATGGCCAATATTGGTCACGTGTGCCACTATTACATCTACCGTCGCTCCCCCTACCACTGAGTAACAATGTCCACTGCGTTTAGCTTTCCAAAGATACACTCGTTTCCTCCGTTGTACACCAAGCAGCCCAATGCAACAATAGCACAGCATCAGTTGGAGTCGTGGACTCAAATCGTGTTGGAGTACTGTGCCCACTATAAAATCACATCGCTATCACTAGCAGGAGTACCCCGTTACTCTCAGGACCAATCGCTAGATTTGGACACATTGCCACCCATCTTCGACAACAAAGAGATCGAGAGAACCGTGAACGAAGAGTTCAAGACCACAATCATAAATCACTTGATCCATAAGTTGCACAAGGCGGACTACATCAACCCCAAGAACCCCAGCTTAGGCATCTTTATATACTGGAGGTCGTTGACAGAGTGGAGTGATTTGTTATATAGCTACGTGGACAAATCGGGTCAATTGGGCACGATTCTTACCATTTATGAATTGACCAAGCTGGAAGATGCTGGCATTCCTGACAACCTCAAATACTTGGACGAAGAGCTATTGATCAAGGTGTTGAAAGAGGTGCTCATCAAGAAGGGCAAGGCTCAGATATTGATGAACGAAGACGGAGAAATTGGGGGTGTCAAGATTGTATAATAGGCTGTTGATCAGAAACTAATAGATTCGACAAGAAAAGGATACAAGGGCAGCTTCTTGGGGTATTGCACCTCTTCGCTAGCTCTAAAAAGTAAGATCAAATATTGGAGACTACTTCAAATCTTATCACTACTGTTTCTGTAGCTATGCCAATTGTCTTCTTTCATTTCGTATCGAAATGGAGGTGGCAAGTTCTCTGAACGGCAAATATCGACCGCTAGACAGGTACCTTAGACTTAAAAAAAATACCTAAAGTTGGAGGTGTATAATTTAGCGAACATCAACCCGAGACATCCTGATTACCTTGCAGAAATGTACCACCCACACATATGCGTTGTATCAAACACACATACTTCTCTACTCTGGAAACGCCTACTGACTTAGTATTCAATAGGGTGTACCATGGCCATTTTCTCGTGAGACTTGACAGTACCTCTTTTTCTATGCAAGGAATATGTGGATTAAATACTGTCCAGTGACCTAGCCAGTGAATTCTCTACATGAAATTGCCTACAGTTCCATGACTATTGTCACCAAATGAAGGGATAACATAACTGACAAATGCAAAAAAGCCCTAAAAATCCCCTAACAATATCACCTGTAAGCACATTGCAAACTCCGATACTCCAAATTCACCACCAGCTAACAGCCAAACCAGAAAGTCGAGTCGTCTTCAACTACCCCACCCACCAGGCAAGCGCACCTCATCCCATTCCACATCCATTGCCGCATACGGCAGTCAAGCACCCCTTCGCGCTCATCGCATTTTCTTTTTTCCACTATAAAAGGAGGCCGGTGTGCTCATCGATTAGATCTTCTTTCTTCCCGCTTAAACCATACGTTTAAGAGGGCATATCTTACATAGACTGATCCACCCGATCGCTGTAACTTGTATTGCCTATTACTCAACCAAACGTCTAATATTCTACCATAATGAAATACGTTGTTGTATCTGGAGGTGTTATTTCCGGTATTGGTAAGGGTGTTTTAGCATCCTCCACCGGATTGTTGTTCAAGACCATGGGCTTGAGAGTGACTTCCATCAAGATTGACCCATACATGAACATCGATGCTGGTACCATGTCTCCTTTGGAGCACGGAGAATGTTTCGTTTTGAACGACGGTGGTGAAGTCGACTTGGACTTGGGTAACTACGAAAGATACTTGAACATCACCTTGACCAGAAACCACAACATCACCACTGGTAAGATCTACTCTCATGTGATTGAAAAGGAAAGAAACGGTGACTACTTGGGTAAGACCGTCCAGGTTGTTCCCCACGTCACTGGTGCCATCCAAGACTGGATTGAACGCGTCGCCAAGATCCCAGTCGATGACTCTGGCTTGGAACCAGAGGTGTGTATCATTGAGTTGGGTGGTACTGTTGGTGATATCGAGTCTGCTCCATTCGTTGAGGCCTTGAGACAGTTCCAGTTCAGAGTTGGCCCTGACAACTTTGCTTTGATCCACGTGTCTTTGGTGCCAGTTATTCACGGTGAACAAAAGACCAAGCCTACCCAGGCTGCTATCAAGGATTTGAGATCTTTGGGTTTGACTCCTGATATGATTGCATGCAGATGTCAAGAGACCTTGGAGCCTGCCACCATCGAAAAGATTGGTATGTTCTGTCACGTTGGTCCTGAACAAGTCATCAACGTTCACGACGTCAACTCCACCTACCACGTTCCTTTATTGTTGAAGGAGCAAAAGATCATGAAGTACTTACAAAGAAAGTTGAATATCACCGATATCTCTGAAGATGCTATCACTAGAGGTGATCGTTTGTTGACCAAGTGGAGAAACTTGACCAGTGACCACGATAAATCTTTCGAAACTGTCACTATTGCATTGGTTGGTAAGTACACCAACTTGAAGGACTCCTACTTGTCTGTCATCAAGGCCTTGGAACACTCTTCTATGAGATGTAACCGTAGATTGAAGATCGAATGGGTTGAATCTTCGGACTTGGAAGAAGAAACTAAAAAGGAAAACTTATCCAAGTACCACAAGGCATGGCATTACGTTTGCCAAGCTGATGGTATTCTTGTTCCTGGTGGTTTTGGTTCCCGTGGTATCGAGGGTATGGTTGCCACCGCCAAGTACGCTAGAGAAAACAACGTGCCATACTTGGGTGTTTGCTTAGGATTGCAAATCGCTGTTATTGAATTCGTTCGTAACATCTTGGGTCACAAGGAATCTACTTCTATGGAATTTGATCCAAAGGCCGAAGAAGCCACCGCTTCTGTTGTCTACATGCCAGATGTCGACCAAGTCAAGCTTGGTGGTACCATGAGATTGGGTATCCACTCCACCAAGTTCGTTGCCAATTCCGAATGGTCTAAGTTGAGACAATTGTACGGTGGAGCTGACTCCGTTTTAGAAAGACACAGACACAGATATGAAGTCAACCCTAAGTTGATTGAATCTATTGAAGCCAAGGGTTTGAAATTCATTGGTAAGGACGAATCAGAATCTAGAATGGAAATGTTAGAGTTAGAAGGCCACAAGTTCTTCTGTGGTACTCAATACCACCCAGAATACTTGTCCAAGGTTTTAGATCCATCTAGACCATTTTTGGGTTTGGTTGCAGCTTCCGCTGGTCTTTTGGATACTGTTTTGAAGAGTGACGACTTGAACCACAAGGGTGAGTTTTAAAAAAGTGAAATTCGTATATGTACATATAGCTAATATTATAGAAATTAGAATAATGCTTGGATGAGTTCATTATACTTCTCCAAAGGTAAAGGTCAATAAAGGAAATACAAGTCACGACTGTAGAATGATCGACTCATTTTCATAATTCTACTGGTGATCAAGAATATGAAAATCATGACTACAGTTCTTTTGCTACTTCGAGAATATTACCAGTCAGTACGCTGGTAGGTTGCCATCACCAGCAGCTCAACTGTCTACGAGACCCTGTCCATTTATCAAATAAAAAAAGAATGCGCAAACCCGGAATCGAACCGGGGGCCCAACGATGGCAACGTTGGATTTTACCACTAAACCATTTGCGCAANNGAAACTCCGCGACGGGGAATTGAACCCCGGTCTACCACGCGACAAGCGGTAATTCTAGCCACTAAACTATCACGGATGATTTCTTGACAAAACTTAAATGTGCTTTTACTTACTATCTAATTTGTGTTTGTATGCAGGATTGTTAATTTCAATGCAAATCTTCGAGCTTGCACTATGTTATTAACAGGACAACAACTATTGAAGTTCATCCGCCAAAAGCTTAAGATGGAACAACCCAAGACAAAATGCAATCTTTTAGTCAAAAGGAATTTAACGTCGATCTCTAATTTATTCATGTTGCATTTTCCCTGTGGAACAGGTATATAGTCTTAAGTAGCTAGCTTTGGAGCAAAAACGGTCAATTAAAAATTATCGGACTGTCCGGAGTGTAGATTACTATATATTATATTTTGACCTTGTAGCTCTTTTATCCTCCTCACTTAAATTGAAGGCCCACATAATGAAATTTATCAATATACTTTGAAAGACGGGCTTGGTATAGTAAAAAACAAAACCAGGAAGGCATATGTGCATGGCAATTGCAAATATGACACCGCTAGTGTATTGAAATGCTATGTGAAACTCTGGGGTATCAAACTCTTTCATCATTATTACCGACTTCACTTGTTTTCCTTATTGTGTTTTATTGAAAAGAAGGTATGATAAAATCAAAGCTCGAATTGTAGCAGATTAGATTTAAGTGAGGTGTATTTATCCTAGACGATAGCTCCTATAATGGTGTCTGTGCTAAAATAATCTCTAATAGTAGCTTTGGTATCTCTGGGAACGATTTAGTTTTAGTCAACTCTGCTATTCTAACTTAGTCAATGTGTCACTTCGTTTTTTCGGCGAAGATATTTCGAAAACTCCCTAGCTAATCCATAATGGGGCTCCTCTGTCCTTATATACTTGGCTGAATTGAACCCTGTTTGCTTCTCTTTGATCCGCCCGATAGTTTAACTTTAGTCCTCCTTGCTGCACCTCAAAGCTTATTCAAGTTTGAATAGCTAATATCAAAAGACTCTATACGTAGAAGAGATGCAACTAGCTTTTGGTCTATCTAGTGTATGAACAGAAATCTGTAAGTTCTGGGGAAATCCTGTATTTTTCGGACATTTTCCAATAGGTGGTTTCTTCAATGTCTCCTCCTTCTTGTATGGTTTGTTTCAAAGCACTGAATCGGTTTTTTGCAACAAATGGTATATCCATACACTTCTTTTCAATATTAAAATGCATAGTTCATGAGTGTATTGCAAATCCATTAAACAACCTGTAACCTAACTGCAGAATGCATGCAAAGCTTGATCAACATCTTGTCCATACTATTCTCAGTTCACTTTCTGCCTTTTGACACAGTGTTTATCCGCCTTCTAAGTGCTGGTGTGATTTAATTATTAAACCCCTGTTTTAAAGGATTTTGGATCTCCAGAGATTTCGTTTGGGACCTATTGGATTAATACAAGTCAGATAGGATTCTTTCCTTATCTTGTGAGCAATACCTTTATCTTGCTGGAATACATTACAGTACGGGTTAACACGACTACAGACAGGGCATACCTAACTAAACAGCAATATTAAGTTAACAACCGCACCCGCATACAGTCTTGGATCTTGTTTGGATCTGCTATGTTACGAATCCAGTTGCAAACGAAGATGTCTCAATTATACTGAAAAATTACAATTTCCTCTAAAAATAAAAGTTTCATGCATCTCGAGTTGACTTGACACAGTACATGCAGCAGGACTCAGGTGTGTCTAGAAACGTGCTGGTATCGAGTCACTCTTACTCTTAGCATAGCTGATCCGCATCTCGCCCAGCAAGAAAACATTCATACAACCATAGAAGGTTCTGGGTGCCCTCCATGGCATGGCTTATGGACGCCTGAACTAAGTGACTCTGGACTCTCAGCACGTGAGTCCAACATTTCTTTTTCTGCGTGCATTTCGCTGCTGGGCAATCTTGTCTGGGCCTTCGGTGCATAGTGCGCTGACCACCTGGCCCCGCTATCTAATTGGCTGGCTGATGAGGAACTTTCGCGACCGATGACTGGGTCATGTTATTTGTTCGCAAATTACCCGCACGGGAAGGCCCGACAATTGACCACGGCATTGCCCCATTTGTAGTAGGGCACTCCTGGCGGCGCCGACTATATAAGGAGCCATGATGCCAGCGATTTCAAACAGTATCTTTAACAAAATGTCTATGTCTCAATTAATTAACTACGCTGGTGAATCCGAAGGCTGCAAGTGCGGTGCCAACTGCAAGTGTGCTGAATCTAGCTCTTGTAAGTGTGGTGAAAAGAAATAAGCCCATGAGCAATTTTCTTTACCGGATTGATTTCGGACCCTTTATAGGTGTTTAGCCAATTTATGAATAACCGAAAAAAACTGTAGCCAGACACTGTCGATGAGGCCAGCTGGTCAGGGAGCAGGTCAAACCTTAGACCGCTGAAGATCACTGGTATCCATGACGATAAAACGATTCTAGGAGAAGAGCAATTATCAGGGGCTAAATGTCACTGTATGCGAAGAACCCAGACTGGTGGGTATGCTTCAAACTGATCCTGGACCCGTTTTGACCTTTGACTAGTGGGGTGTGGCTAGGCTCTGGGCTAGGGTCCACCTGTGCTTGTCAAGTCCTCTACGCTCCCAAACATGGTGGGGTAAATTGTTTGATTAACTAGTGGCCCAATAATTAATCAAGCGAATACAGCCAAGTTAGAGGATTTGGCGGTTCTGCATCATACACATCATAATCTTTGGTATTTTATGATTGTATCATATACTTCATTCCTCTATGACTGGCGGATTCATGATTATACACTTCATAATATTCTATGATTGCATTACATCTTAGCGTTCGTGCCTCTTTATTATACACATTATAGTTCTAGGCACTATCTACCTAGGATGACTACTGCTTGATTTGTGCCCAGGCTTCCTGGTCAAGCTCCCTGATCTTCTTTTCACTCAAGGTCTTCAATTTGTCGTTCTGCTCCAAAAACTTGGCCACTTCCTTGACCGAATTGAGCTTGCGTAACTTGTCGTTGAATTTGTGGGAACTGATGAGGTAGATTCCAATCCAACTTTTGATATACACGTCGCATATTTCCACCGACCTCAAGTAGTTGTTCCTGGCGTCCTGTAGTATCTCCACCAACTCCCATAATTTGTCTTTACGTTCGGTTTTCAATGCTTGTTCCTCTTGCAAGAAGCGGTAGTAGTTGTATAACCCCACCTTGTAGAAAACTGGGTATGCAAAGGGCTCCTGCAATAAGATCTCCTGTAAACTGAACACTGCTTTGTCGTAATGTCCTACCTTGGCGTACTCGTCTCCCAATTCTGCCCATGTTATCAAATCGGATGGTTGTAAGTCCAAGTAAAAATTCAAGTTGGCAATGTATTCCTCAGCATTACCACTCTTACGACTGTTGGTGGTCAACCTTCTTGATAACCTCAACTCATCTGGATCATTGCCTAACACTTTCAATGCCTGTTCTGGTTCTCCCATAACCTCAAGGTACTTGGACTGGAGTAATCTGATTCTTTGCGAGTTTTCGCTGGACCCGAATTGATCCACGAGTCTATCTAATATAGCCTTGGCCTCCACGTCGTGACTGGTGATCAATGCAAGATGGAACTGCATTTCGTACACATCGAATAATTCCACCGCATCGAGTTCGTCCGAAGAATTCATCAAGAATCTTTCAGTTTCATGATGGTATTTCTGGACTTGACTTGGCGCGAAGTTGACATAGGTGCCAGACCTAGCAACCAGGACCAATTTGTTCTTGAGTGCAGAAACTGAAGACATTGCAGATGATAGTTGTCTCCGTGGTGCCCTCAAGTTCATGTAGTTTTCATCACGTGCAAAACTGCACATGACCAGATATCATAGGTAAACATCATATCGTGAAGGGTCTTGCAACTACCGTACTCTAGTCTTCTAAGGACTTCGAGTGGAAGTGATACTTAATTACAAGAAACGAACCAATGTCAGAAGAATTGGGAAAAGTCTCAGAGCACCTTCTCACTTCTACATCAATTCTATCTCACACCTACGGTGCCCCAACTTATGCCAGGGGAGAAACATACCAGGGAAGTGATGTAATACATGACGAGATCCAATCCCTAGAAACGGAATACGTTAATTTGTATCATGAACTCACAACAAAGTCCAATAGACTTTTGTACTTGAACAGACTACAAGAATTGGAGTCAATGTCAGATGCTTCTATCCAGGAGCGTTATGATCAAGTTAAACAAAAATTCCACATGATAGCTCCAGAAAAGCTAGAAGATTTCCTTAAAGTACAAATTCAGACAGTGAAGACAGAAGCAATTTTGAATGGGTTGTTACAGAAAGCGTTACCCGTGCTAAGAGCTATTCATCAGGCTAACAAGGATTTGAACTCTTCAGAAATGGATATGCTTACCAATTTAGAGAAATTATATGCACAAAAGGGTTTAAACTATGACCTAATGAAAAAAGTAGAATCCGTTGAAGATTCTAGGAACAAATACAGCGAGAATACCGTCAAGCTTTCCAATTTAATAGACACTTCATTGAAGCCAGAGATCGGCACCCTCCAAAAGTTAAACGAACAGTTGAATGAAAAATCTAGATCCTATATAGCGAACAAGCTGGAGAGGTTAGGAAACGAGATGGAAAATGTTTCTAGTAAAGAACAGAAACAAATACAACGGTCATTTCAAGAATTGGTGACAAAATGGGACTTTCTCTCTAAATTATGCGAGTTCCTTCCATCATTCATCACCAGCTTGCCAATAAATTGGTATGCTGATAAGGATTTGTTTGGAATCATACAAGATTGTGAAACAATTGCAGAGAGATTAGCTAGACTTCAACAGATATTAAACGTGGAAAGTATCAGCAAATATAGCATTAAAGACTTGATGATGTTAGAGTTCGAGGAGGTCGAACAGGGTGATTAAAGTCCGCATGATTACATCAAAACGGATTTCAAATCAGAATGCTAGATCTACAGTATTACCTATGGGCAATCCATCTGTCACGCGCAAGCTTCACTAGCTATGTGCTATTTTTTGGCCGGATAATCCAGCTCGTTTATCCTATGTACATGTTATGAGTTTCAATCAAACTTGAAAGAGTCTCTTGTTGACAACATCCCAATTGATACAGTCCCAGAAGTTGGCCAAGTAGTCGGCCTTACCAGTCATACCGTAATCCTTTATGTATGAAACATCCCAGCAGTTGATAGCCAAAATTGGCAAGGTCCAGTCCTTCTCGTTGGATTTAGCACGAACATTCAATGAATTCAAGTATTCAAAACTTCCCTCATCAACACCACCATTCAAGTCCAAGGACTGGTTCTTGGCAAAGTAGTATGGAGTACCATCGTTGTTGCATCTCATGATTCTCAACGACTTGTCAGGTAATTCAACCAAGAACACCCAGCCTTGGCCAAACGAAGAATCTGCCAACAATAACATTCTTTCTCTGAACGTTTCCAAGTCAGGGATATCTTGGAATGCAAGTTTTTCCATCAATGCTCTAGATGGTCTGGTCTTGGATGCTTCGGTCTTGTCTGTGAGTTGTTCCATTGCAAAATGGTTATTGTGAGCTTGGGATGCGTAGTGGAAAATGTGTTGTTGGGTGGTTTGTTTGGCAGTCTTCAATAAGATTTGGTAAGGGGTTCTTAATTCGTTCTCGGTACCGTTAGTGTGCAAAGTCAAGTTCAAGGTCAAGAACTTTTGGTAATCTGACCAGGCAGTTTGGAATCCTGATGGAGTGTATAATCCTTCAATACCATTGGCTATGTACTTTTCTTCATTTCTCAACTTGGGAACTTCATGTATGGATCTTTTGCTGTTTCTAGCGAAGGCCTGGCCCACGAACCTGCTAGTAGTTCTGAACATCTTGATGGTAGTAGATATGTTGGTGGAGAGAGAACTGAAAAATTCTATGAAGAGCGGTAAGCTCACGACCAGTAAATCGATTATGGTATCGCGCACTACTCGGTCTAGGATTTATATTCTACACGGACTCCAGTTAGGCTTCGGACTCATAAGCCTTGTACATATACCTTCTCAAATACACACTAATAGTTCCATTTATATCCTTTTCGCCTTCCGAGCATATTTTCGTGATTCCTGAACGCATCTATTTTAGTCTAACCTGGAATTACCGAATCCCATGAGGATTTGTTCGTAGAAACATGAACTACCACCTAGCTAGCCTGGTTCTGTTCCTGGTTCGATTCAACTTGGGTGCTTATCACCGGAATATTTTGAGACACCCAATTTGTATCTCTAAGCAACTTTTTAGGATCCATGGTGGTATAAGCTTTATGGGCCACCTTTTTCAACAAATCATCATATGGGTACTCTTGCTCCTTGTATTCCCGCAAAACTAAGTTTGATTCCAAATCGATATATACCCTTGTATCTCTAATTCTGAAAATCACATCATCAATTCTTAAGAAGAAACGACATAACAACAATAAGCATGTGGGCATGACTCTGATTTTCGTGGACAACATAGATATGCCATTATCGCCTAACTCGTCCTCGAACAATATGGACTCATCGAAGAACAAGATGGGATCGGGATTCAAAAGTTTCTTTATGGGAATTTGTTCTTTTGTTGGTTTGAGGGTCATATTTTTGGTTACCCCTTTGTAATTAGTAGAATAGGTCCAGTCATAGGGTTTCATAGTATCCAAATTCTCGGTGAGCTTGGCGATATCTTTGTTCGAGTTCTCCTTCAACGCCTTCTCCGACTTCTCCGATGACGATGACATCTTGGATCTTCTAGAACTCAACCACTCTTGATGGTAGCTCACCTTGAGTTTGCAATCGGGGTCAAGCGAGTCTAGCGCAGATACGGCGTCGAATTCGATAGTTTCTCCTGTCTTGTCATTGACCAACTTGACCACATTATTTCCAAAGATCATCTCGGGCAACGGGAAGTCAAACTTGTTCTCACTGAGGTAGTCCAATTCGGCCGAATTCAAAATGGGCTTTTTGATGGTGTATATGCTCCAGTCGTTTATGGTTATCGATGGCTTGTCTTGTATGGGAAACGATGCACTGGGTGCTGGGATGATCACCTGCCCACAGTGTTCACACTGGGGGTTATGACAGTCTCCTGAATGGGACTTAGCAGGGATGCTGACTTCATGGTCACGCTTCTGGCGCTGGGGTTGTTTGGAAGGAGCCGGAAACGCACTGGCAAAGTTCGTTGGCGACTGGGACGTTGATGCCGCTGGTTGTGCTCCGTGTCCTGGGGGAAGTCTACCCCGGGTATGTAATGAGACCATTTCTCTGGCAGCATTCACATGGACTCCATGAATGCCTGGACCAGCTCCTTCACCAGGTATGGTTCTTGGAGTGGGTTTGGTGAACTCGTTGCCTACCGGCTTTTTCGGTTTCTCTTCAGCCATGTCTAGGAGTACTGGTAGGCAAATATGGCTTTTGCGATCTTGGATATCACGGGATTATCAGTTCGCGAATGTGGAGGAATGGCAAGAAGTCCCAGCTGCGAAATACTAAGTGGGTTAGCCAGAAAGGAAATACGTGGAGTGCACAGTTCTGTAACTGCTTTGAAGCTGTGGGGGCGACCTCAGTGTAAAATATTGGAGATCCTTCTTGATCAGAACTCAAAGAATGGTTAGTGATGTATAGGAGGTATTGTAATGTACAGCTGGCAAATTATGTGAAATAATTATTGCACATTTTCTACAGTAGACTCATTATCTATAGAATCGTAATATCCCCCAGCTTCGGAGGGGTATATCCACACTGACTACAGCTTCAAGAACCGAGTCAATGGCGTTATTACAAACTCATTAGTTCTATTGAATTTTTAATCATATGGGTCAGTGGCACTGAAATATTTAATATTCTAAGTCTAATTCTAATTGCTGGAAGCATCCCGACTCCAGATACAAAAAAGGGTTAACTTTCTTCTGCAATTACACCTGACAACGAAAGTCTCAGATTCTTCGGGCTAGGAGTGATGCTCAGCAAAGTCACTACTCGCTGGCCGAGTCCTCCACTTCCTTCAAGCTCTCCTGGTCCTTTCTCAAACCCTCTCTCACAGCCAAAACGCTATCGGCTATAACAGCATCAACACCGGCCTTCATTTGAATCTTGGCGAGCTCGGGATCATTGTTCTCGGTACCGTATGTCACACACACTAAACCTGAAGATTTGACAACTTGGGTCAACCTAGGAGTCTTAACTAAAGTTTCAGCGGCAGAAACAATACCCAAGAGATTCCATTTCTTACTGAATCTGATGGCGTTTTGAAGGGATGACGATCTGATATCTGCTCTTTCAGCAGTACCCGCCTCCGTTAAAAATAAAATAGGGATGGTGGGTTGCTTCAAAGAGAGTAACAAACAAATGTCAGGATGGAATGATGAGAAGATGATATCTCTAGCAGCGGTATTTTCGTCATAAATAACCTTCAAGATTGTGTCCACATAGAAGTTAAGATCAATGGCAATTTCTCCCATACTTTCTTCTTCTGCTTCATCTAACATCGGATATTTCAATTCTATGTTGAAACCAATACTCTTTGGTAACTTCTTGAACAATTCTTTCAAAGTCACAAAGTTGGAGGCAACCGACAATCCTCTAGCGTTACCTTTGAAACCCTTACTCTTCCATGTTTTGGTGAGCATCATCTTCTTGTTGATCTGATCCTTGTACTCTCTTTCAATTCTTTCATCTTCCGCAGTCGATGTCAAGGAGGAACTGAATTGAGTGTGGCTCTTGGACTTATTCTGGAAGTTTGGAGCTGATGGGAATGAGGATAATGATCTTGGCCTATTGACCTTATGAACAATATCATCATCCTGGGTAACTTGAGGATGGCTATGGCTTGAATGCTTGTGCTGCTTTTCATCATCCTTCAAACCCAAAAACTGTTCAACTGTCAACGCATGCATAGGAATGTCAACACCAGATTCAGCAACTGTGAAATCGTGATAAACAACTGGGATAAAATCTTTGGTCAATTGGACATCAAATTCGACGTAAGAAGCCCCTAAAGAAGCTGCCGCAATGAAAGACTCCACAGTGTTTTCTCCCAATTGTAAAGAATTTCTTGAACTGACATTTTTACCCAAACCTCTGTGACCAATAACTCTAGTTGATACCAATTGTTTCCAGTAAGTATCAGATCTACCAATACTCATGGATGAATGATTGAACGATTTAACACAGAGATACTCGAACCTCAAACTGCCCAAAATGTCTAAACTGGTGGAATCAAGGATTGGTAATGTGATGTTATTATTCAAGGATCTAAGATTTGGACCGACCCTAGTGTAAGCATCTTTCAACAACGCAATAGCTCTACCTAATATTTTTTCCTTTTTTGTGGTGTACTGATAGGTTGGAATCAAATCGAAGGTGATGATCACATCATCTGATTCGAGACCATTGTTCAATTTAAAGGTAATTGGATCCGTGGCACTACCATGCTGATCCTCCAATGGTAAATCAATAATGACAGGAGGTTCCACTGGAACATTATTCGACTTGTCCCGACAGGTGATTTTCAAGGACAAAGCAGTATCTAGTTCTGTAAAAAATGTTTTCGCTAAGGTGATTTTGTTCAAATCAATCGGTTTGGAATGATCCCTCAAATCAGTAGTTCCTAAAGTGATTAAGATCAAAGATTCTTCCGTATTCAAGTAACGATGACCAAAAGATTTGATGGGGTTCACATTTCTGGTTCTATGTCTAGCTCCTGGTGATTTTGATCTGTTAATAATCGAAGATGAAGATCCATTCCCCTTTAATTGCTTGTAAACTTGATTGACAGATTTCTTGGTTGATTCTGGTAACCTATCGATTGATGATTCAATATCAGGAGACACCGATCTATTAATCAGTTCTGAAGTATCCATAGGGGTGACAGTGGGTCTACCCGATGCAGTTGTAGGACTAGGGATACCATTGGTTCTGGGCAAGTTGTTTTCTGGATTATTCACATCATACAACAACAAGTTCACATCCTTTGGCAGTAACAAATCAGCGACTTCCAAATGTCCTCTCAAACTTGCATGCTCCATAGGCAACCAACCGGAGTAATCAAAAATATCGAACTTAGAACCAAATTCAATGAGTAACTTGACTACCGCCTTGTCACCCTCTGCTGCAGCAATGAAAATTGGAGTCCAACCAAAGACATTTTCCCCCAATTCAGTATTTGCACCATTCTCCAACAAGAATTCCACTAAGCCATAGAGCATCAACTTTGAAGCAATATATAAAGCAGTTTCATTGTTATGCTCCAAGTCAGTGTAGTCAATGTCGATATTTCCTTGAGAGATCAAGGAATTTAAGATCAATGGGTTGTTGAGTCTTACTGCAAGTAACAACAATTGTGGACAACATAAGGTATTACCATTGTTAGCAACAATGAGATTTTCAGTAGTCTTTGGGTGTTTTCCGATGATTGATAAATGTAAGGGGGTCAAACCTTCTTGGTCACCCCAAACTTCTACATTATCGATGGATACCTTAGGGTCTATAAGTTTCCACTTAATGAGAACTTCAAGCAAAATTCTGGTAGCATCCTTCAAACCATATTGAGCACAGTAGTGAAGTGGGGTCCTATTATAGTTGTCGTGGGCGACCAAGACAGATCTTAACTGTGGATCATTTAATTTTTCTAAGATGTGTTTCAAACCATTGATTGAGTTATCGGAAATTTGATTACCACCATCGGGGCCATTCTTATTACCGAAGAAACGATCCATATCAGCTGACTCACCAGGGGTAACTTTTTGTTGCTTAATGAGTTGATTCTTACCCAAACTGGTGATATATTGATGGAAGAAGTTTCTTCCACTGATATCAGATTTGTCATATAAAGGATTGCCTTCATAAATAGGGTTGTCATGCACATAATTGGTCAAGTAATCAAAAAGCACGTCGATACTATCAGTCGAATTAACCATGGCCGCCTTTGACAAGAGTGAAATCAAGAATTTAAGGGTAAGCTTGGACTTATCGGTGATATTTGAAAGTTCTGTGAGCAAAGTTTCGTGTTGGTTCTGGTAAATAAGCTCATAGTAGTGTTGCAAAAACTCCTGGTCGAACGAATACCTTCTTCTGTTACCGATCTTCAAGAATTCAAAACTCTTTGCGGTTTGGTCGTTCCCAGGTGTGAAATCCTCTTCGTCACTCAACTTGTTCAATATATCGTTAATTGTGTCCAAACTGGCGAGCAATTCACTCCCGTTGGAGAACGGCAACGCCTCGACTCTGGTGGATAAATAGGTCTCCTTGTTGTTGCTGGACAATTCGAAGGAGAACTTTTCGGAGTTGGCCAAGTCCTCGACGTTCTCCAAGGAGGTCATGGTCAACTTTAACTTCTTGTCCAATTTCTTCAAGATCTTGACGAACCCCTTGTGGTTCAACTCGCCAAACCACTTCAAGTTTCTGAAGATGGACCTCAATTCGAGCAAGATGGAGATGATCTCGTCCAACTCTTCGTTGGACTCGATCTGGTGGTTGATGGTGGAGTTGGAGTAGCCAAGCACCTGGATCAACCGGTCGAGTCGACGGTTGTACTCCTTGAATTTGTTGTTGTAGAACTCGTTGACCTTCTCGATGTCTCTGTCTAACTCGAAGAAGAACGTCGAGAGTACCGACGAGATCACCTCCGAGGCGTTGGTGTCGATGGTAGCGTCAAACACCGCATCGATGGTCTTGATGATCTTCTTCAAGTGCTTGTAGTTCATGTAGAAGATGGACCATTCTGGGATCTGGTGATTGAGGAGCGTTTTGCCGAACTTCATGGTGTCACGGCTGGCTGGTGGCAGGCTGAGGAGGAAGTCCCAGAGATGATTTGGTGCCTATCTCGGAGAGGACAGTAGTCTGCAAAACGTGTGTCTAATAAGGGCTGATGGCCACGTGAGCCGCGATGAGAACTCAGGGCCCGATAACAGATGGGGGAAGTCGGGAGAAGTCTAGAACGGTTATGGACGCTGGGAGTGGCGCTGACAGGTGGTGGTAGGAGTATTGGAGGGGCTGCGCTATATATGGCCAGGAGGGAGACAGCTAGCGAGGTCGCGGGAGAACTGGTGGGTGGAGGCGTGACGCCAGAGGGGAGACGACGGTGGCACCGTCTGGCGGTGGGCGATCCCCGCCATGCGACACGGGGAGAACGCGCGCCAACCGTCACGGACCCGCGGCGTGGCATCGTCAGTGCGGGGTCATCGGTGTGACTAGCCCGGGTCGATCAATGGGCAGAGGTGATGTACGGAGGCAGACAGGCGGGGAGTCAGGGAGGTCAGGGAGGTCAGGGAGGTCAGGGAGTGGTCACCATAGTGACTAGCGAGGTCAGTCTAGTGGGGAGTAGGGATGTTTCAGTTTGGAGGGTTGTTTCTTCTGGCACGGTGCGGATTAGTGCTGCACCGGTAATTTGCAGCCTGGCGGGGGCCCGGCACGAGACGGGGAGTTTAGACTATTGTGACCAACAGGCCACGGAAAGCTACGAAGTGATTGTCCAATGCTGGGACTAAATGGCTACTCTGGGAGACTCAAAGGGTAGACCAATGGGTATATTTCTACTACGCGGTGTGCTCACTACGTAGATACGTTTATTTATATCACGTTAACGATATTTTAGTACACCTTTAGTCTTTAAAGAGATCGATTGATATTCGATAGAATTCAATTCTCACTAGACCGATATATTACAAAGTCAAGTAGTCACTAGATTTGTTCAAGACTTGTACTGGCCAGTACACCGATACTGGCTAATGCTTATCATTGCTTGCCCCACACGTCTGACTGGCTGGAGAGTAGGTAGGCCAGCGTCGGACGCTACCCGAATAAAAATCACCGACCTTTGTTAGCCTATTGTAACCAAAGAACCGAGTAAGGCTCTGTAGAAGTCCTCAAACGGGCGTTCTCAGCAGCTTCACTGGCAACTTCAGAGCGACGCTTCCTGTTCTCGAGTCACCAGCCGAGCCTATCTACCCGCCCAATGGCTTGGGGTCACCAGAAGTCTGCTACACTAAGCATTACGCGTGACACATTGTCACTTTTCAGCCTTCTGGTAATTCGGAGACTAACTTAGCCTTTTGTCGCCACACCATAAACGTGTCGGAGTGCACTTCAGCCTTATGGCTACTAGACGGCACATTGGCTATTACCATCACTGCCGTGGATACCCACCACTAGCCCGCCGCTTTTTCTACCACCAATCTACTCGCTACTTCTACCACCACATCCGTGTCTTACCCCCTCCCGGTGCCGTATGCCCCAGATCTCTCCTTCTCTCTCTGTTTCAAACCAGCGCGGTGGCCTGCCGTCTGGATTATTTCCCCAAAGTCCAACTGTGCGCGATGCCTCGCACACTCCTGCCTTTAGCACCGCAACTGCCATTCATGGCTGATAATCCCAGCCGGGGCTGGCGTATATAAGACGGGGCCTGCCCGTTGTTTGGACGCCATCAACATGTCTAGTAAGTATCAGAATGAAGAGCATTAACGGAATGACGTCCAGTGGTCTTTTCGTGCTCAGGAACATCACTAACCGTCAGTCCAATACAAATTCCATCCCAACAAGAAGGCCACCATCATCACTGCTCCTTTCTCGGGAGGCCAGCCCAAGGGCGGCGTGGAGCTCGGACCAGAATACATCTTAAACGCTGGCTTCGAGAAGCAGATCAGCTCGCTTGGATGGGACACTGAAGTGGCCCATCCGTTGGACAAGACCGACTACGAGTCCGTCAAGTCGGACGAGAAGGACGCCTACGGCGTCAAGAACTCCAAGATCGTGTCGGAGTGCTGCAAGAAGATCCACCACCAGGTCAAGGCGTCATTGGGCGCTGGCAGGTTACCTCTCACCATCGGAGGAGACCACTCGATCGGTTCTGCCACCGTCAGTGCTGCCTTGGAACACAACCCAGACACCTGCGTGCTCTGGATCGATGCCCACGCCGACATCAACACCCCAGCCACCACAGACTCCGGCAACTTGCACGGGTGTCCCATGTCGTTCGTGATGGGCATCGACCCTGAGTCGTACCCTCCTGAGTTCGAGTGGATCCCCCAGAACTTGAAGCACAACAAGTTGGTATACATCGGATTGAGAGACGTGGACGACGGTGAGAAGGCCATCTTGAGAAAGTACAACATCGCTGCCTACTCCATGTACCATGTCGACAAGTACGGCATAGGCAAGGTGGTGGAAATGGCCTTGGACGCCGTTAACCCCGACAGAAAGTTCCCTGTTCACTTGTCATACGATGTGGATGCCATCGACCCTTCATTCGTGCCTGCAACTGGTACCAGAGTTGAGGGAGGGTTGTCGTTGAGAGAAGGGTTGTTCATTGCTGAAGAAGTGGCCCAATCGGGGCTCTTGAGCTCGATGGACATCGTGGAGACCAACCCTATGTTGGCTGAGACCGAGGAGCACATCTTGGACACCGTCAGCGCCGCCTGTGCCATTGGCAGATGTGCCATGGGGCAGACCTTGCTTTAGTTATGAATAATGAACACGTTAGATTAGACCCATGGGCGATGTAGATAATAAACATGCTGGGAAATACACTAGAGGCGTACGGATGTGAACAGTACCTGACAAGCTATGCCGCTAGAGCTATACTGGCCAATTTAATACGGCATGGCCGCAAAATGCGAATTGTGCTACTTTTGTGCGTGCGCGTCGATAGCCGAGATATGACGCCAGGGACGATGGATTGCTAGACAATAGCAAGGTAACCTGGCAGACGCTGGGAACGCGCCAGGGAGGCGTCTAGTTCACAAGAACATCGGTACTACACTACTCTTTTTAGGGGTACCAATGGGTCTACAAGGAAGCCAGCGCAGGGATTCCTGACGGGGCACATGCATTTCAACGGCTTTTTCATGCAGACTTGCTGCAGACGTCAGGGCCCATCTGAAATACTCAATCCATGAAGTATGACACTGCAACTGAAAATCACAAGGATCCTGGCCATGTAATTCGGAGGTGCTACCACTGGGAATGGCTAGAAGAGCGTCAATTATCTACTTCTCTGTTTCTGCTCTTACCATATCTAAGAGACTACCAAGCTACCGAACAGCAATTGCCTGACATTTTTGAATTTTCGCCAAAAGCGTACATATTGTCCCAATTGATCAAACCTCAAAGGATTAGGTAGAATGAAGTGGTAACAGTAGTGGCGACAACATGAGGCAATAAAAGCAGTGGCGACAGCGTGAAGCAAGAAAAGTGGTGGCCACAGCGTGATTTTCACATAATGTCGAGACCCTTTTGGTCCATGCTCACGTGAATCTCCACCCCACCCAAGCCCCGTCCAGCAATGCCAGCCATGCAACATTACCCCCACCTCCCTGAGATCCATCCATCCTGTACTGGGACGCCTCCCGGTGCAACTTGGGTCAAGTCCGTGGCCGCGGCTGTGAACCAAAACGGATGACTTGTTACGTAACGAGCATCCACCAAATAGCAATGTCCCTCAGCGCCTATAAAAGGGGCGATTCCCACCTTATACGCTGCCAACACCAAATATGTCTACTATAATCGCCTCCCACATTCCAACCACCGTTTCCGTCGACAAGGTCCGCGAGTTCTTCTTGTTCTGCGGCAAGATCAAGGCCATCACCCCCTTGGAAAAGTCCGACAAGTTTCAGGCGTACGAGATTGTGTTCGAGTCAGAGAAGGCATTGAGCACGGCAGAATTGCTCAATGATGCCGAATTGGACGGCGTACCCATCGTGGTGGAGAAGGCCTCTGCCTCCAGCGCTGGCGCCACCACTACCGCTAGCTCCAGCGCTGCTTCGGGAGACTTGCCTCCCCAGTACTCAGCCACTGTGGGGTCCGGTGCAGGCACCAGCGACACCAAGACTGGCGACAGCCACTACGACGACATTTCGCAGGAAGAGAAGCCCAAGTACGCCATCATGGCCCAATTGTTGAGCCAGGGCTACGTGGTCAGCGACCGCATTGTCGAGAAGTCCATCGAGGTCGACAAAGAGAAGGGCATCAGTGCCTCGTTCAAGAACTTCCTCACGTCCTTGGACTCCAAGTTCATCCACTCGCAGGAGCCCGATTCTACCACCAACAAGAACTTGTCTAACGTGCAGAATACCTTGGGCTCGTGGACCAGCCTGATTGCCAAGTCGCCCTACACTGCAAAGTTGGCCCAGTATTACGACAGGGCAGCTGCCTCGCCTGCCGGAGTTAAGGTGCACGCATTCTACCGCAACATCAGCAGCGACGTCAAGCAGATCCACGAGGAGGCCAAGCGGTTGTCGGAGTTGAAGAAGAGCGAGCAAGCCGAGGCCAAGCTCGACCCATCGGTGGCGTCTGCCAACGCCGCCGCAGCCATCAACACCGCCAATTAGTGGGTGCAAATGCGCACAGGAAATAGCACAATAGCCAGTACACAGATAGCCTAGACTGCACCATGCCAGCCAACATCGTAGCCAGCTCCAACTTTTCATGGATAGATTCACAGGTGCCGGTGACGTACCGGGTAGCCCATTCCGGGGCCACGGTGGAAGTCTCCCTAGCCCAGGACATCACCACCTGTTTGTGTATTGTGGAGCGAGTGTTTGACTTGGAGGCGAACAAGCTCGACCACCAGCGGTGAGTACTGCCAGGGAATTAGCAACTTGATAGTGGTTTCAAATGGTGATATTTTCGGTTCATTTGATCAAATTTCAGCACATTCGGACTAATTAGTACTGTCATGAGCGGACGCGATGAATTAATTCTAGTAAGCTACTTATAGAGACATTCAGGTCAATTAATTCAAATTCCTTGCGGGCCCCAGGAGAAATCAGGTGAAGTTCACTTAGGACCAGCTCATGCTACGTTGAATGTGGTGAATTAATTCACGTATTATTTGTGCTACGCTGAGTGGACTTGGTGATAAATTCATAGTATGAAATTTTCGGAAATCACCTTGAGCTCATTGAGTGAAATTTCGATGAATAATTCATTGCACCTTGTTCACTGAGTGACAGTTGACTTATTCACTTCTCATTGAGAGACTTTATGTGCTACATCTGCGTCATCGCCTACTAACCCCAGAAACGAGCGGTTGTGCCGTTTTTTTGCTTCGTCCCAGTGCACGTCGCTCCTCCACACCCACTCCCTCAACTCCAGCCTGCTAGCCTCCGTCGTTGCCGTCGATAAGTTGGTGCGGGTTCACCTCGAGTTCCTCAAGAACACCCACATTCCCCGGGCCCGGTACCACAAGTGGCCAGTTTGTGTCATCGACCTGTTCCGGATGCTCATCCTACGATTATCGCAGTTTTTGGAGATTCTATTGGCCAAATCCGGCTACGTAAACTTCGAGGTGGCGGTGGTGATGGTATAGGGGCGGCTGGACAAATAAGCCCGAATGAATTACGACGAATTTATTTTGATTATATGCACTGATCCGAAAGATAGAATTGCACAATTGCACGATCGCAGAAATGCCTGTAGGACGTGAAGGAAGTGCAGCGACTGTAGCTTAGTCGGATAGTCTTGTAGAGATACTCTTTGTTCAGACAGTCTGTCGGATGGTTCCTGCCTGCCCCGGGATGGTCCTTAACACTCCCGGGAGCTCCAGGAAACACCTTTGCTGCAATAGTCTGGAGTCCCCTGGAGCTACACTAGAGCTAGTTTGAAGCACGCCTCCCTCCACCACGCACAACCAGCCGACACACCATTGGCCCGATAGACGGTATCTATCCCCGGACGCTGCGCGGCCGGTGACTCGCGAGTCATGGACCCCACACCTCGGAGTTGCCACGTGACCGGAGAGGTACCTCCGAAGCACCTCCGAGCCCCTTCCATGGCACGCTCAACGGACGGCGGACACCAGTAAATACGATACGACCCACCACCAGCAGTCCCCCACCACCAGTGGGGAGTCGGTTCGGCCCAATAGCGCCCCGAGCCGTCGGAGCCGTCTCGGCCCCACGCTTCCGTTAGTCCTTGGATGGGCGCACCTGACCCGCGGCCCCAGCCATGTGCAGATTAGGTGGCTCTCGCCGGGAAAAAGGAACCTCGGAATTTCACAGCCAGACACCACCCCCCGAAAACGGGTAACCCCAGACTACATAAATAGCACCAGATCCGCCTTGTGTACCACCATAAACAGCATCTATCATGTCTACCCAAAAGAAAGGTACCTCCTTAGTGGACTTAGTTGCCGGTGGTACTGCCGGCTTGTTCGAGGCCTTGTGCTGCCATCCATTGGACACCGTCAAGGTCCGCATGCAGTTGTACAAGAAGTCGGGCCAAAAGCCGCCAGGATTCATCAAGACAGGTATCAACATCGCCCAGAAAGAAGGGTTCTTATCATTATACAAGGGATTGGGAGCCGTCGTCATCGGAATCGTGCCCAAGATGGCGCTTCGGTTCTCGTCATATGAGTTCTACAGATCGTTGTTGTACGCGCCAGACGGGTCCATCACCACCGGAAACACGTTCATCGCAGGTGTGGGTGCTGGTATCACCGAAGCCGTGTTGGTGGTCAACCCCATGGAAGTGGTCAAGATCAGATTGCAGGCACAACACCACTCGATGGCCGATCCATTGGATGTGCCCAAGTACAGAAACGCTCCCCACGCTGCCTACGTGATTGCCAAGGAAGAGGGCTTCAAGACGTTCTACAGAGGTGTGTCGTTGACCGCTGCCAGACAGGCCACCAACCAGGGTGTCAACTTCACCGTGTACTCCAAGATAAAGGAGTTCTTGCAGGGATACCACCAAACCGACGTCTTGCCTTCGTGGGAAACCTCGTTGATCGGGTTGCTTTCCGGTGCCTTGGGTCCCTTGTCCAACGCCCCATTGGACACCATCAAAACTAGATTGCAAAAGACCACCTACGCTTCCAACGAGTCAGGCATGGTCAGAATCGTCAAGATCGGTCGTCAATTGATCAAGGAAGAGGGTACTGCGGCCTTGTACAAGGGTATCACTCCAAGAATCATGAGAGTGGCTCCAGGCCAGGCCGTCACCTTCACGGTCTACGAGTTCATCAAGGACAAGTTGACCGGCGACAGTCCTGTGGCTGCCGTCACCAAAAAGTTGGCATAGTATTTATTAATGTATACGCCCTCGGGTCGAACAGAATTATGTGTAGATGAGTGTCTGAAAAACTGGGTCAGGGTCCGTAATTAGTGTGGGGCGAGCGATGTCACATGGCCGGGGATCCGGATGGTTGCCAGTCAGAAGACCACAGAATACAGGGAGAGACTACAGGTGATACTTCATGAAAATGAAGAATTGGCCAATTCTGAGCTACTGGTATAATTTGGACGCTGGAGAGAAGGTCTCTACAACTTCCATCCATAACATATGTTGATCCCGAGTTCTTCAATAATGTCCTTATTGTCGTGGGAAACACCTGGCCGGGAATCCGGATGATTGATCTTGGATTCATCAGGGACCCAAAGAATAAGTAGGATCCTCAGAGACTACAGGTGAGCCTCCATGAGAATGGATAATTGGCTAGTTCTTAACTATTCGTATAAATAATCCATTAGTCCTAGGTAATACAAAAACTATTTTAGCTTATCCTAGATTCTTAGTATTTCTTTGTTATGCTGAAGAGTATCTCCAGAAAAACACACTTGCAAATGCAGATCCGAAGACTCTTAAATGTCTTATTTTCTTGGGAAACTTGCTGCGCTATTGAATACAGGAGGTAAGAGACTCATACATCGATCGCCACAACTAAAGTATAGACTTTGTGGCCCGGAAGACTCATTTTGCTTGCAACCCACAAATTTCAGGAATAACGCTTTGTGGCCTGGAAGACTCATACATCACATTGATCCTTACGATCCCAGAAACTAAACCATGTGAGCCTACGTTGGCCCTCTGATTGTATTGCTGTAGTTCGCCTCTTTTATGAATGAGAAAATTCTTCGGTCGCATGTACCCGCTTGTTTGAAATACCTGGTAGGTCCTGGTGTCTTGAACTATCGTTTTGTTACCGGAACACTTCCTGTGGACCTTTGTTCCCTGGCTTTCATTTCTTCCTCTCCTAACTCTTTTTCACCTTGCTTGCCTTGTTCATGCGCAGCTTCAACTCCCCGTGCATGAGGAAGATATGTGACCTCATGGCATCGCCTCGTGCAAACGTGCTATCACAGTACATACACAGAAACGGTTTCTCCCCCGTGTGGCACCGGATATGGGTGGTGAGTCGGTACCGCTGGCTGAAACCAGCTTTGCAGTACTGGCAAACAAACGGCCGTTCCCCCGTATGGGTGCGTTCGTGGCGCACCAAGTCGGAGAGCTTGGTGAACGTCTTGACACAGTGCTTGCATCCGTGCATTCTGGCTGGAGGGGGTCTCTCGCCAGCTGAGACGTCGTGGGTAGTGCCCAACGCCGAGCTGGTAACGGCAGCCGCTACCGCAGCCTCTGCAATGGTGGGGTTCAGTCCGTGGACGTGGTTCTGATGGTACACGAGATGTGCGTGGTCTGTGAAGATCTCTCTGCAATGAGAGCATTTTTGGTGCACGATGCCGTGAATGGCTCCGTTTTGGGCATCCTTATGACTGCTGGTGGCTGGCGATTCGCCAGTCGGCTCCGACGTGGGACCCTGGGCGCCATCTTGTAGCACCAGCTGGGTATTGTTTCCGTCGGTGAGATTCTCTCGGAGAGACGCCCTAATCTCGGCTCTCCGTATGGTAGACAGTAGCCTCTTCCGCCTGTGATCACTCATGGGGTACTCTGTGCTGGAACATCTAGCAGCAATCAGTGTTGTGGTGACCCCAAAAAATCGCTTGATGGTTGTAAAGACACGACTGAGTATGTTTGGAGATGGTTTGCCTCCACAAATCGGTGCGGTTTTGGCGGTTGAAACAGCACCATGATTAGACTGCTTCAACGAGGAATCACCACCAGTACCTTGAGAGCTACCAGAAGGGTGCACACATCGCCACCAGCCTTGCTCCCACGCAACCGAACTCGAGTCACCAAGGAAATATCCGAAGAGGAGGTGCTACAGTTCCGGAGACAGCAGCAGCAGCAGAGGTACCAGCAGCAAGACTTCCCGTACCAGACACATCCGTCGTCCAACTACTCGCAATTCCAGGGGTCGCCTGCTTCAGACCACACTGTGTTCAGCATGCCTCCCAACAGGAACGGGTTGATCACGCCAGAAGACGGCATCTATGAGCTCCTCAAAGAACCCACCTTGGTCATCGAGAGGCAGATCGAGTTCATGAACGTGTTTCTTGGGTTTGAACAGGCTAACAGATACAAGATCATGAACTCGCTTGGAGAGCAGATAGGGTATATGGAGGAAAAGGACTTGGGACTCTTCAAGATGTTGGGAAGACAGTTCTTCAGATTGCACCGTCCGTTCGACATCGACGTGTTCAACAACTACGGCGACTTGTTGCTCACCATCAAGAGACCGTTCTCCTTCATCAACTCACACATCAAGTGCTACTTGCCAGGGTACGACGAGCAGAACCAGATCATCCACGAGCAATTGGGTGAGTCCATCCAGAGCTGGCATTTGTGGAGAAGAAGATATAACTTGTTTAAGCTCGAGGATGAGGAAACAGGCGACTACGAGCAGTACGGTAAGATAGATGCCCCATTCTTGTCATTCGACTTCCCCGTGAAAAACCAGGATGGCGCCGTTATCGGATCGGTCGATAGGAACTGGGTGGGTTTGGGAAGAGAAATGTTCACCGACACTGGTGTCTACATCATTAGAATGGATCCAGCATCTTTCGAGGGCATGGGAGACTTGTATCCCTCGGTAGCTGGCCCATTGACTCTCGACCAGCGAGCCATCTTGTTGGGAAATGCCGTCAGTATTGATTTCGACTATTTCTCCAGACACAGCAGGGGCCACGGTGGGGGATTATTTAGCTTTGGTAGCTATGAGTAGGGGATGTATATATATATTAAACGAATATCGTTACTTCATTCCGCGTTTGGCATAGGTTTCAAGAAGATCAAGCTGGCCCTTCTTCCTGGCATCATTCAATAATGCTTGCCACTCATCATCGGTGCTGTTTCGACTCACGCTCTTTAATAGTTCCACAATCAAGCCTGTGTAATCGTGTCTTCTCAACTCGTTCTCTTTCTTCCACATTTCTCTCTTGTTGAGTTCTATATTAATTCCTTCCACGTCTCCCAGTTCTCTGCTTGCCTGCAATTTGTTATTGGTGATGCCCAATAACGAAAATCTCAATTCACTCATGTCGTACTTGGATATTCTTTCTTGGATTACCAAAGGCAATTTCTCGTAGAATTGGTCGTTGGACTCGCATGCAGTGTGTTTGATGGGATATGACTTCAAGCCGTCCAATTCGTAGATGTGACCGTTGGTCCGTAAGTATCCCACAAAATGGAATAACCCGTCATTCTTGTCATCATGGTCTTCTGGTTTCTTTTCCGAGTCTAGGATCAACGAATTGGGGGCTGAGAACGAGTTGTGGACCGACCGGATCAATTCACTGTTGGAGATGGTGTCCCCTATCATTTCGCTATCGAATCCTGTCACAAACGCCTTGAAGTTGGCCAATTCGGGTCCAAGATCGAGCTCGTCCTTGTTGAAAAGCACATTCAACACTGCTTGGGTGGCGCAGGCATTTTGTATGGTTTGGTTGGCAAAGAAGATGCCTTTGTCTTGGTAGGAAGGGTCGTATTGACCTGTCAATGGCTTGTTTCCATCTTGTGCGTGGTCCCTGTCGACTTTTCCGTACTTGAAGAGGAAAATCACTCCGTAAAGAGGGTCCAAGGACCTTAACGAGTCGGTGTCTATGGCATAGAGGTCATTTATCTCCACATTCTGGATTTGCAATTTCTCAACGAGTTCCGTGAACACACCCTGGAAGTTAGCAAGGGATCGCGGCAAAGTTCAGGCTGTACTTACTGCATCGGAATCAATTGTATTCCATCCGCTTTCACTCATGTTGCGTCGTTGGCTTAGTGCTGTCTGAGATACCCTGGAAATAGTGGTGAGAAGTGAGGGCGCTAGTGGCGAGCGCTGCGGAGGGCGCGGAGGTTAGTGAGCAACCAGCACCAGCTCCCGCTAGCACAGGACAGGCTCGCGAGAACCCGCACTGGTGATGGTGGTGGAAAGCTCGCTAGCGGGCGCACAGGGCGAGGATGTCGTGCCTCACCCAACGGCATATAGAACGAACGAACACGACACTTGTTCACCAGCACAACCATGAGCTACGGAGCAGACTACGACGAGATCAACAAGATCTTCACCTTTGGATCCACTCCCGTGGAGGCCAGTGCTTTCACCAGAAACTCGGCTGTTGTCACTGCAATTTTACTTTTAATTGGTACGTTCATCACCTCAGACACTTACAGGAGCCCCTACTAACCTTAGCCTTCACTTCTTTGACCATGACCTTCATGAGTGACAGAAAGACCAAGTCTCCAGTTGTGTACCTTTTGCAAGCCTTGGTGGCCTCGTTATCTGTGGGTTTCAGCACCATCTACGTGTCCAACTTTGTGGGGGTCTACATTTGATTCCGAGCAGAACCATTCAATTGACTTGACGATGCCGCAGGGGGTCACGAATCGTGTATAATAGTATAGAGCGTTAATCAATGCCAAGTGAGTCCAGTGTAGAGGTTGATGCTATCAAGAAGGGTATAATGAATGTTTAGGTGAATTGAATTACGGATGAGGTAGATGCTTGAGGGTCCCAGTAGAGTGCATGTGGGAAGTCCACGTATTACTGGGAGAGCTTAGCAGTGGCTGAGGGGATTTGGCCGTACTTCGTTGGTATTCCGGAGAGTAGCCTCTGGAACACGTCACTCGTGGTGCGGATCAACGCTCTGGTAGTGCAGTATTTAGCGAGGCTCGCCCTAGAGCCCTTGCGAGCCTCCCTAAAAAATCACCTACTCTCTCTAACCGTTAGCGAGATTCGCACTTCCACCGCGGGCGCTACCATAGCAGATACCGCAGCCCCAAAAACGGTATCTAAAAAATCAATACCTGTCATCAATGATCTTCAAGAACTTGCTCTTCTTCTTGCATTTGTGGGTGCTAGCGGCTGCCAGGGCTCTGGGAGACGAATATGCCTCCGATCCCAACATTTACGAGCTTACCCCATCCAATTTTGACAAGGTGGTACATTCCACCAACTACACCACAATAGTCAAGTTCTACGCTCCATGGTGTGGATACTGCCAGCAGTTGAAGCCTGTGTACACCAGGTTGGCCAGATTGATGCATAGGGACGGGCAGTATGCCATCAACGTTGCCTCGGTGAACTGTGACAAGGACTCGAATAAGGCATTGTGTGCCAAGTACCAGGTGCAAGGATTCCCAACCTTGCTTGTATTCAGACCTCCCAAGCATGTCGAGGGAAAGAAACGGGCAGGCAAGCATGCCACAGAGACCTACAATGGCGAAAGAAACATAAAGGCCATGTCTTCGTTCCTCACCTCCAGACTCAAGAACTACGTGAAAAAGTTCCCAAACTTGAAGGGCGATGTTTTGAAGCAGTGGTTCAAGAAGGACGGTCCTAAGTTGTTCTTGATCTCCAATAATGCACAGATCAGCCCCATGCTCAAGTCTCTTGCCATCGACTTCATTGACACCGTCAACTTCGGCATGACTTCTATCAAGGGCAAAACCGTGAAGGATGTCATCGAAGTCAACGGTAAAGAGCTCGAGATCGACACTGCAGTACCCGCGTTATTCTACTACGACGAAGCCAATAATGCCTTGGTGAAGTACGACAAGACAGAGAAGTTGAACGACAAGAAAAGTATCAGCCAATGGATCATGGATGTTACAGGCCACATCCCATTGGAAGGATCATTATCCAAGAAGGATAAGAGATATTACTCATACTACAGGCTCAACAAGAAGGTGCCTAAAAAGAAGGAGTACGACGAGTTGTAACCGTACTTTACTTAGATCTATGTAGCTTTAATCAGAATAAATAACATCTTGTAGATTTGTAGACAACCCAAGGTTGACTAAATAATATTGGCCATCATTGGTTTCTTCAATTGTCGCTCTGTGCGAACTAGGTGGTTAATTTGAGTTGAATAGACATTAATAGGCTAGCTTGGAAACTCAGATTCCAAACAACACGGCCTTATCACGATCAGGCCTTTCCTAAGTTGTCCATCATGTCCATCAAATCGTCCAAGCTCTCCTCCTTCTTCTCCTTTTGCTCGTGAGTTTCTGCAGTAGCCACTTGGATCCAGTTGGTTACTTGGTCAACAAGAAGCCTGGAGTTGGGAACGAAATGTCCTCCTGGGTGCTTCAACAAGTCGGAGTTGCCTTTGGTGATGTCGTACAACGTTAAGGCTCTGTCCTCGCCCACAACCGTATCCAATTCTCCATACACGTGTAAGTACTTGAAGTGCTTGTCGGGGACTTCTGGATCTGGGAAGTAGCTCTGGAATCTGTCGTTGCCCTTAATTTTCATGTCAATCTTGAAACCTCCGTACAATACCAAAAACTTCAAAGGTGCTATGTTGAAGATCTTGTCGAAATTGTGGGCAAGCACTCCCGCAAAGGCTGCACCCTGGGAGAAGCCTACCAAGCCAACAATGGGCAAGCTTCTGTCTTCTTCCAGCTCGATAGTCACCACGGAATTGTCCTCATCCGAGATCATTTCACCCTTTTCAATGTAGTTTCTGAGGGTTTCGATGCTGGTTTCCAAGCCAAAGCCCTCATCTGCTTTTGGCTTTAACCACCAGCCCCTATTGGTAAGGCCTGCTGAGTCAAACAGGGCCAAATCGCTTCCGATCGACGTAGGTTCCACTAGATAGGGCCCATTGAGATATACCGTCTTGTACTCGAGCTTGTGCAACCGTTTGCGCAATGCAGAGGTCTTGGAGTAGAAGGTGGACGCGGTCTGAGTGAATCCGTGCAAGAAGAGGATCTTAGCCTTGAACTGCTGGGTTTTGGGGGCCATGGCGTTGTGGGTGGAAATTGAAGCGGAACCACGCTCTTATGCGAGGAGCGCCACGTGACCGGCTCGGCAGCGGGCCGCGCGCCGGGTACGGATCTCATCGATTATCGTGCTTCTAGCTAGTCTAATAAATATGTATATTGGGCGATTCAGATGACCAGCTTCAAGTCCAAGATATCCTTGATGATCTGGATCTTGCTCTTGTCGGAGTTGTCGCCATTTCCGTAGTACTTTTCGAAGTCGTCTTTGGCCAGGATTCTGGCCAAGTCCTTCTCGATCTCGACGTAGTGGATAACTGTGCCGAAGCCCAAGTCGTGGGCTGCCTTGACGTTGATCTCGCTGTCGTCGATGAACGTCTGCTTGGCAACAGCAGCCTTATCTGAGAAATCCACGTTGGTGGTGGCCAAGCAGTCGTTGAAGAACTTGGGCATGGGCTTGCAAACAATTGGGAATTTCGAGTAGTCGCAGAAGGTCAAGCCGTCAAACAAGTCCCCCAAACCAAGGAACGAAATCACCCTGAGAGCGTGGTTTTTGTAGGCGTTGGTGATCAACCACAAGTGGTCGTAATCGTGGTCGTTTTTGATGGAAAGAAGCATGTCCCGAAGCTCCTGGTTGTACGACAACGCCGACTTCAAGTCCAAGGAATCGTCCACCTTGGAGTTGTACTCCAACGCATCGATCTGGTGGTTTCTGACGAGTCCCTCGATGGCCAAACCGTACGTCTGGTAGTACAGAATGTGCAACTTGTGGGCGTCCTCGTCGTTCAACTGTAAGTTATCCTTGAAGAACTGGTGGATCTTGACTTGCATCATGTCGTGGATCTGGGTAGATCTGCGGTACAAGCAGTTATCGATATCGAAGTAGAAGATCTTCTTGTTTCTTGCGTGTTCAGGCAAAGGTCCGAATCCGTAAGGGAGCTCCACCGAAGCGCCAGGCTGAGATGGAGGAACCTCGGGGTTGACGTATTTGACAGGGGCAGGAAGAGTCATGGCAGCTGACGAGTAGAACTGAGAGAAGATGGGTGCTTTCCGGGTAAGGGCACGGTATCGATGGATGCTGAGCGTCAACGTGAAATTCTTCGTGAGGGTTGGAATGAGTCAACCAGAGACTGAGCGCTGATTAGGAATGGCTCTGGTTATATACCGTTTGCCGTCATTACGTAATCCTCCACGTTTATCACGCGCCTCCCGGATATGTAACTCTGGAATAGTCCGGAATGGAGGTGAGGGGACGGGATCGGAACCATGGCTAGGTCGGCGAGGCGGGCGCCGGGAAGGTGCTGTCGGGGTGATTCGGGTTCGCTTTCAAGGACGTCAGGTCTTTCTGGTGCCTCTTGAGGTGTTGCAAGCGTGTCGCAACATGTCGCGAATGTGTCGTAAATGTGTCACAATTCTCCAGATTCCACTTGAGAAAGAGATTCCAGCTTGGTCACTGCTAGTTGACAATGGGGGGTCGACGAACAAACCTCGTGAAAACTGCTGGTACAGACTATGAAATCTTAGAAATTCGAAAAACAGCCTGATTCATCAAGCTGCTGCTCGTGGTATGCATCGTGTATTCCTCAGACAAACTAGCTGTAGAAAACATCCTTGGAGATCATCCGGAGATCTTTTTCGAATTTGTTGTGCATGTAATTAACAGTGTGGTAGGCGTTTGTGGCTCGCTTGGCCACCTCCTCCCTATCGTAGATGTTCTTGGTATCGATGAACGTGATATCTCTGATGATGGCGTGAAAATGGTTTCTAATTTCGTTAAATTGTGCAGTTAAAGTGGCCAACCTTTTCACATTTGAATTTCGAATAGCCTCATATCTCTTGGAATTAATTTCCCCATGCTTGTAGTTATTTTTGGGCGGTTTGAGCAACACGTAGCGCAAAAGCTCGATTCGATAACAATCCCAGTAGAATTCGTTTATGATATCGAAATTTTGCTTTTCAAATCCAGCCACAATGTCGTTCCCTTTGATTTTGACGAAGAGTGTTGGAAGACTTACGGTTGAAGGATCCATGCTCAAAGAATCCAAGGGCAAATGTGACTCGTCAGGAGCTAGAAACCATACGCTCAAATGGGAGACTATTTCCAGAATGTCGTCCCGACGGGAACCGAAGCAGATGTTGAGAAGACGCAAGATATTGAAACACAACTCGTACTCGTGATTTTTGGTTTTAGGAGCACCCTGACCATAGGTGTATGGCTTTACACAATATTTCATTACCAAGTTGAACCTGAAATAAAAATCGTGCTTTGCAAATGAGTCAGTAAATATTGACTTGGAAAAGGTGAAGACTATTCCCGGAAACACCGATGCAATGAACAGAATCAAGTGGTTAAACTCATGTTTGTTGGCGTTGAAGTCGCATAGAATCAACATGAACGCTTCGAGTATTTGGTCGTAGTGAGACCATCCTGGTTTTAAGCTCAAGTGGTAGTTGAGAACAATCGCTGCCTTCGATAGAGATAATCTGGTGTGATTATTGAATTGACTCAACTTTAAGGGTATGCCATTCTTATCCTTACGGGGACTGAGATAGTCCAGATTTGCACCAATTGCTTTAAGATGGTCTTTGAGGGAGTTGTGCAGGACTCCAGGCAATAGGATATCCTTAATTTGGCCCTCGAGAAATCGATTAACCTGATCAAGCTCATCGAAGTGAGTGACGTTGTTCAAGACGTAGTTAACAAATTGGGGTAGATTTCCGGTCAATTGATGATAAAGCTTGCTTTTCTTTCCCTTGGAAAGCTCTTGAAAGAAGGCCCGGTTGATTTTGAAGTGGAAATCACAAGTTAGGTCAATTGTGTGAACTGTGGAGAAAAAGTAGAAGTGCCTGTTTGGATCGTCCCAGGCAGATTTTTGCTGGGAGTCCTTGATGAGCTTCTCTATGAGGAGCTGGTCCCGTTCAAGCGTATGTATTTTCGTGTTCAATGAGCCATTGTCATTGAGCTCTTGAACCAACTGCGTCTTCGTGGCCATCAACTGGAGATAGTCGTTGCGTGTCTTGGTCTCTTCATCCCGGATCTGTCGCTGGAGATCCTTCTCCATACGGTGGAGCTGCTCGTTCCTCATGGCATCGTGCTGGAAGATGGCTGGAAGCTGAAGATCAAATTCAGAAGTGTCCGAGGTGGAGGAAGGGAGGCTATCCACTGCAGGTTTTGGCGCAGGCACAACGAGTTTGGGTTTCTTTCGGGCAGGCAGGGTACCCAGGCTGTCGAGGAGGGAGATGACCGAGAATTCCTCGTCCTCAGAGCTGGAACTGGAAGACATCCGTACTACAATAGTGAGGCAGAGTGAGTGGACTGAGAACTTGATATAGGGTCGTGCATCGGCCTCATTAGCTTTCAGCACAAAAAGCGGAGATCAAGCGAAGAGTTGATTCCCTAAAATACACCAACTAATTTAGGAGTAGCCACAGCCTATATTCTTGCTAATGATTATTCTTAATATTTAGTTTACCCATAAGTGGATAGCTAACTGGCCAGTAGCTGGATATGACCAGATGTTTATTGCAATTGAGAACACAGCAATAGTTTATCGTGATTGATAGATTATGGTCAACCGAACTTACATTATGGGTATTCTACTGGAATTTCCTGAACATTATCTCTCGGTGATAGTAATGAAAAATTGAGGTGCTAGTGGTTATTAGACAAAAATATAACTAATGCGTAGCTGGGTGTACGCGAATCGCGAGCCTTGATACGAACTATCTATACTTCACTTTCCTGAGGTCGTAAACCTGGAGTGAAATCATCAACTCCTCTTCACTATTCTCACTGAGTTGGTCCAAAATCTTTGAAATCAATTCTGGGCCCCTACTTTACTTCACTCCTCTAACCTTAAAAGCCTTGCATGATGTATTTATCGCTCGATGAAGTGTAACTCATATTGCGTCGAGATCTATAGAACTGTTGTCAGATTTTTGCGTCTACTCTTATTAGGGCCCACTTTTCTTTTTTTAGGGTCTACTCGATTACCTGGTATCGATTCTTACGACTTACATTGCATGCTTTCTCAGCAGGTACATCCTCTATTATAATTTCCCTTCAGGTGCAAACCTCGTCTTTTATGATAATGCAGATTATCTATCCTTTACTTCAGACGTACTGAACTTCCAAGAGTAGTATGATGTTCATTGAATATCTTGAAAGAAACTCTCCGAGACAAGCAGCTGAAGCAACTGATGATCTAAACTCCCATGGGAACCCTCACCTATACTCCACTACTGAATAATTTCACACATGAGCACCAAAAGCGTGGTGGTAATTTCATACTTCACTATACTATTATGTAATAATGTCACTACAACATCTCCAAATAATGCACCTTGCTGCATTTCCAACGGTCTTGCTGCACCCAACACCGCCATCACCTCCCCTTACCGTCTCCCGGGATCCCGGCCCCGCCACATGCCTACCACGGCACCGGCTGTCGGCGGATGGCCGTCCCATCAGACGGAGTGCGCAGCTGCCGTCCTGCACACACTCCCCACCCAGTGAAAGATTTATCCTTAACTGTCCGCCACCACAACTCTACCACCCCCACCACCATGAGTTACGAAAAGTTACCATTGGAACCTTTGTTCCAGAAGATCGACGAGTTAAAGCCTCAGTTCATTGAACGTTTGGAAAGAGCCGTGGCCATTCCTTCCGTTTCCGGAGACGAAACCTTGCGCCCACAAGTGGTGAAGATGGGAGAGTTTTTGATCACTGAATTGACTGCTTTGGGCTTCACCGACATCCAGCGCAAGGAGTTGGGCACCCAGCCACCTCCAGTCGCCGATGCCAACTTGCAATTGCCTCCAGTCATCTTGGGACGCTTCGGAACCTCCCCAGAAAAGAAGACTGTGTTGGTTTACGGACACTACGACGTCCAACCTGCTGCAAAGGAAGACGGATGGGCTACCGAGCCCTTCACTTTGGTCCACGACCAGGCTAAGGACATCTTGTACGGACGTGGCTCCACTGACGACAAGGGTCCAGTTCTTGGATGGTTGAACGTGATCCAAGCCCACAACGAATTGGGCTGGGAATTGCCTGTCAACTTGGTGGTTTGCTTCGAGGGAATGGAAGAGAGCGGTTCGCTCGGCTTGGACGAGTTGATCGAGCGTGAAGCCAAGGAGTACTTCGCCAAGGTCGACCAAGTCACTATCTCCGACAACTACTGGTTGGGTACCTCCAAGCCTGTGTTGACCTACGGATTGCGTGGATGCAACTACTACCAGATCATCGTCAACGGTCCTGGTGCCGACTTGCACAGTGGTGTTTTTGGTGGTACCATTGCTGAGCCAATGACCGACTTGATCAAGGTCATGTCCACTTTGGTCAACAGCGACGGGCTGATTCAGATCGAGGGCATCAAGGAAATGATTGCTCCTCTCACTGATAAGGAGAACGCTTTGTACGACGAGATCGACTTCTCGGTGGACGAATTCAACGCTGCTGCTGGTTCCGAAACCTGTTTGCACACCACCAAGCAAGACTTGTTGAAGCACCGTTGGAGATTCCCATCGTTGTCCTTGCACGGAATTGAGGGTGCCTTCTCGGGTACTGGAGCCAAGACCGTCATTCCAGCCAAGGTCATTGGTAAGTTTTCCATCAGAACCGTTCCCAACATTGAGTCCGCCAAGTTGGACCAGTTGGTGTTCCAACACGTCGAGGCCGAGTTTGCCAAGTTGAAGTCGCCCAACACCTTGAAGGTTGAGTTGATCCACGACGGTAACTACTGGGTTTCCAACCCTTTCAACGACTCGTTTACTGCTGCCTCCAAGGCTACCCAGGACGTGTGGGGCATTGTTCCTGACTTCACCAGAGAGGGCGGATCCATTCCTATCACCCTTTCGTTCGAGCAGAAGTTGGGTGTCGACGTGTTGTTGTTGCCTATGGGTAGAGGAGATGACGGAGCCCACTCCATCAACGAGAAGTTGGACGTTCCCAACTACATCAACGGATGCAAGACTTTGGGAGGCTACTTGCACTACTACGCCAAGGCTTAGGATAGGAATCGTTAGGTAAGGTAATTTCAAGGAGTAGATATGATATACTCTATTAGTAAAGTCAAGTGTAGAGATTTAGAGAGGAGGGACGGAGAGTATGGATAACGGTGGTTAGGGCACGAGGTGATGGTTTATGGGTGTCAAGATTGTGAAGCTTAGGAAGGGTTGGCAGAGGTGCGGACTCAGTGGGAGCTTCATGGAGAGCTAAGAAAAGTAGGACGAGGCACGAAGCTAGGAAAGCAAGTGAAGAGGGCAATAAGGGTGATGGTAGTACGAAAGCCAGGATGGTATCTCATGGTAAAGTAGAGTTGGGAAGCCTCGAAGGGAAGAGGACTAGAGTCAAGAGGGTAGGTGAATTTTCATAATGATGGAGGTGCCAGAGAGCAGACTCAAGAGGGATATGAAAGAATTGTACGAAACCCCAACAGAGAGTGGCTATCTACGGGAGCAAAAAGGGGAAGCTTCGTAAGGAGATGGTAGTATGTGTTCAGGAGGCAAGAGTGACGAAGCTGGAAGCTGGTAAAGGTACAAGGAGCAGACTCTAATGGTTCGGTAAGGCAGATCCAACACTTCGAGGACATCCCAGCGCGGCCCTAAATGCCTCGCACTGAACTCGCTGGCGCGGTACCACCACGAGATCGCCCCCCCTCTGTACCCCCACAAGCCCTGGAACCACCACCAGGAGCACCAGCACCGCCACCACTCCACCCTTTCTTCCCCCTGCTCCCCCTTCATACCCAGACACCCTACCCGTGGAGGCTCTTCCCGGCCCGGATCCGCCCACCCGCGTGGACCCACCATCTCCCTACCATGCACCGCGATTCCTCGCTACAGTGCCAACAATTTCTCCCTACCGTGCCCACCATGCCTCCCTACTGTGCCACCACCTCCAGCTCCCCACCCTGGCTACCGCGCGCGCTCTCGCTAATCCCACCCGCCGGTCGAAAAATTTTCAACCGCACTAACCAATGTCGATGCGAAATCAATTAATCAACCATCAACTGTCACGCCTCGACATATCCATTACCCACCAGCTGTCATTCCTGCCGAAGAGATTCTCCCCGTAAAAAAAAAAAATTCGCCATCGTTTCCGTCGTTCCTAATTGCTTCACTTCCTTAACACGTCCACACCCCAACGGAGTATATTTCATTGGAGCCAATTGGAGCCTCCATCCAGCATCATAAAAACCTGTACTGCAATACTCCACAAGAGTCATCCACCAGACTTCAACGTAGTCGTACCGCCCATATAATCACAGCATCTCGACCCAGCCATGTCGGAGAACCTCAAAAGAGCCGAATCGTTGTTCAACAGAATCATGAAGACCGGACCCGCCGAGCCTACGAGAGGCGCCAATTCACACAAAGGGTCGTACAAAGGGTCGTACAAGAACAGCAACGGGCTGTCGTCATCCACCAACCACACATCCCCCCACGCCAGCGAGCTCTTGCCCAAGAGAGACCCCATCAAAGCATCGGAAGACACCTTGAGCCGCATTCCCGCCGACCACCACATTCTTCCCTACTGCTGGACCATATGGCACCACTCGCGGACCAAGTTGCGGGGACAGAAGGACGCCGTCGCTGGCGAGGACGTGGCGGTGGCTGCCACTGCTGCTGCCGTGGACTCGTACCTCCAGACCACTCACGAGATCGAGTTCTTGTCAGTCGCTGACCAGCGTCCCACCACATCCATTGGCTCCATCGAGCAATTGTGGATGAGCTTGTCGTCCATCAAGAAGTCGTACGAGCTTCCCATAGGCACCGAGCTCTTGATCTTCAAGAGCGGCATCAATCCAGTGTGGGAGGACCCTATCAACACCAAGGGTGGACGGTGGGTGTTCCGGTTCAACCGCAGGTCTGCAGGCAGTGGAAACGCTCACGAGGACCACCAAGCAGCCCAAAGAATAAGAAAGCGCTCCAGCTTGATCTGGGAGCGTTTACTCCTCAAGACAGCTACTGGCTCAATCATTCCCGACAACAGCCCTGTTGAGTACCAGGAGCTCTTGCTCAACGACATCTCAGGGTTGGTGTTGAGTGTACGCAAAGACGAGGACATCATCAGCGTGTGGAACTCTAACTTGAACTTCAGTGCCAAGGGCAAGAAAGACGACGATAAGCCCACTAAGAAGTTGACGCTGTTCCAGGCCAGACGTATCATTTGCGACTCCATCTTGCGGGTGATCAGGGAGTGTGATGCCATCACCCACGGCCACGATGGCGTGGACACCGTGGACAACGGCTCCAGCGAGCGGGTGCTTGGGGTGTCGTTCGAGTACAGACTTCATGCCGACAACAGCAACCCCATCGACAGTTCCAACGGGGGAGGCAAGTACGGCGGGCACCATTCGCACCATCACCGTCGGTACAAGAAGCACGATAGTTAATACATGCTGAGGGCGAGCTAGTGTAGAAGTAGGCAGAGAATGAGACATCCTATGATAAGATCTGGGGTTCAGGCATGGCACGGAATTTTTCAGATTTGACAAAGAGATTCGAGTCAAAGCCATAGTAACACCGAGTGATCTCGATTGGCCAACAGCCATGCCAGTCATACTGAATCTGATCACAGCGCTTTTCAGACATGATGGGTGTAGCTCGAATTGCCAACAAATATTCCAGTCATGCCATGGAATCTCCTCAGACCCAACAGAGATAATACAGCATTTACTGTGTCTCCACACGAGGAATGAAACAAGCTACGCCGGATTTCCCTACAGAAGAAATACCAGCTCACCCAGGTAGACATACTGGATTTTCGTGCCATCTAGGCCAATATCTAAGCCAGAGTGTAATTTTGTCCAGTTTCATGTTGGCTCACTATCGTGTACCACATCGACTAGACCCAATTTTGCCTGCTTTGTTGTAATAGGAGTATCCGATTTATTAGCTGAATATACTATCCATGATTCACAAAAGTCTATATAAGTGTATCTGCTCAAGGCTAGAAGGATGTCAGCTAGAGGTGGTTGCAATTGCCATTCAACCCAATTACCAGCTATGCTAGCTTTATTGGAATATTTTTGCCAATTTTATGATGGCTCCACAATGACAGTCCAATATTTCGCCTGGTTGTTCAGGACCATGAAATATTTCAATGCTACGAATTATACAGAGGGGATACCTAAAGGGTTCACAAAGAGCCCCATCTGGAGTACTAATTAGCGGCTGTCCTTGTAGATGTGGTATTGTCTCAGCTACTCGTAGTGGAGAACGTACATACTACACTGCACTGCTGTAGATCTTCCTGCCAGTGAACAATCCTGCATATAAACACTCATCGGCTTCCTTTCAGTTATCAAATTTCTGGACAACGGCTGAACCTACTACCCCCAAACTCACGTCCTGCTCCCAAAAAGTGCTCACAGACCCCGCGAGCAGCTTGCGGCACGCCTGGAGACACATTTGTGCAAAAATCCACCGGCCCCAACAACCGACCCAGGTGTCCTGCATACAAGCAATTCCTCGACACAACCGAAAATGTGGATTTCGTATTCTCATCATACTTGCATTAGCACCAACTTAGCACGTCTAAGGATCTCGTGGCAGTTTTCTGTGGTACGGTAGTACTACCTTCCGCCAGCACTACTCCACCATCGTGGCGGCACCAGCCCCTACCACCGTAGTATCCCCCACTTCTCCCGTGACTTGGCACGCCTCCTAACTCCGCTGCACGCCTCCCCACCAGAATCTGATCTGGAGGCGTCTGGTGGCGCGCGGGGTCCACATGGCCTTTCTGTTGTCTAACCTCGGACCACGCTGGTGGCCTCCCACCGCTGCTTTCCCACCCGTACCGTCCTGCTGGCAGTGCTCGCTAGCGGCATTTGCCTATCGATCTTCCGGACATCGCAGCCATGCACGCTCACGAAGGGCGTCCTGACGTTATTTTTTGCAGTATAGTAAATCCAGGTTGCCGGTTATTAGTCACCGCGGAATTGGCCGCGCCAGCCACTCCGCTGGTGAGTACCAGTGCACCACCGTCTGGACGTGGAAGACAACCGAGATGGGTACGGCCAGGCTGGGCTGGTGCTGGTGCTGGTGCTAGTACCGACTGACCACCCCCAGGCGGTTTTTCCGCTGCGTTTCCGTTGGACCCTCCTCAAACGCACCTTGGGAGGTTGCGTTCCTGCACACAGCACCAGGTAATTCTCATTTTCTCTAATTTTTAACTCGAACCATCACGCCTATTTACCACCAAGGAGCCCACCCCCTCCACCATCAGTTGCCCACTACAAGCTTCCACACTCCCCACACAGCCACACGCAGACGCACACAGTCACCTGCCTTCTCCAGCCACGTCCTCGCCCCCGCCACGCAGCCTCCGCCACCACTTCCTACCGGTAGCGGCTAACCATGTCTGCTGACAACTTCGAAGCAGGACCCTCCATAGTGGAACTCTTCTACTCCGCCAAAAAGCTCCTCTCCTTACAGCCACGAGTCGAAAACAGACACTTGCGCAAGGACAACACTAAATGCCAACGCCTGATCATGTCTGAGCTGGACCAACTCATACCGCACGGACACCCGCAACAACGCAGAGACAAGGTGTTGGATCTCCTCTCGCCGTTGTCTCTCGACGACCTCAAGAACAGTCCGCCATACAACCACCAGAAGTCGCTCACCACCGCCACCACCTCGTCCGCCAGAGACCCTGTCTCGCGCATGCAATCGTCCTCCTTCTCCTCGCACAAGCCCTCCAACAACAACAATATGGGCACTCCCACCAGCATGAACGACGACTCGCCGCCCCACACCATCGAAACCAAGAAGATCGTGCCCCCCAAGGCCACCAAGTCCAACCTCACATCGTCTTTGTTGTCGGGCCAGGCAAGCGCCCAAGCACCCCCTCAAACCACCACGAAGCCTACAGAGTGCTCCAACTGCCACACCTTGAAAACCCCGCTCTGGCGTAAGGATCCCCTGGGAAACACCTTGTGCAACGCCTGCGGGTTGTTCTACAAGTTGCACGGAACCACGCGGCCTTTGAGTCTCAAGACCGACGTGATCAAGAAGAGATCGTCAAGAAGGACCTCTTCGCTGACCCAGAAGATTCCTGGCCAGCCACTGTCCTCGGTGCCTATCACTCCTGCTCCTATATCCCTGAACTCGTCCCTCCCCCGCAACAACTCCTTCACTTCGCGTATCGCCCCTGCAGAGCCTACAAACAGAACCAAGTTTAACCCCACATACACTGCCGGTGCCACCACTATATTGCCAGCAACTTCAGCGCCTTCATCGGCGTCAAACGGAAGGTATAAGAATGTGTTGATCTTGCCAAAGCCCATGAACAAATCAAACGAGGCAAGCACACCGGGATCCACGGGCAACACATCGACTCCGAACACTCCAGGTGGGTCTTTTAGCTCCAGATCCATTCCAATACCGAACAATTCCGTCAGCTCGCATACAAGTGCCATGACTAGTCCATCATCTCCTTTTGCTGGCAACTCCGGAAGCTTTTATGGAAAGCAGTCCATTCCAGTGAATTCTCAGCTGCTGCAGCAATTTAAAAGAAAAAAATCCGACGTCAACATCGCCTACAACCGTGAATACTACGAGAACTCATCTAATCCTTCGTCTTTCGGCAGAAAGGCACTTTCTTCAACTGGTCTCTCCAATAGCTTTAATCCTGCAAACTTCAATTCTGAATTATCCAACAGTTTCAATTCTGGCCCTTCAACCACTATGAACATACCCAAGAGGAACTCCAGTGCAGGTTTCCTTTCTTCGTCGTTAAATAGACGAACATCCTTCACTAATCTTGGAACCCTTCACCAAAGTACAAACAGGTCGAATACAGGTGCCAACACACCCACCGCCAATTCGTTGACTTCATCCAATATGAACTTGTTCAACCAGCGGTTTATTTCGTCCAACAATACCTACTTTGACAATCCAACTGGCCAACCGTCGATATTTAGGCAAAACAGCACCTCTACCATGACGCTCAACACCGCAAGCAGCTTCACGAACGTCAACAATGCGATTCACAACACCTACACCACCAACACCAGCGTACCCACGAATAACGTGAGCACGCCTGGATCAGTGACTTCACATTCATCGTTCCATACCCGTCCATCTAACAACGATTTCATGAAGCAGAAGGGAATGCCTACAGGGAGCAATTTCAGCGACACTTCCAGCATGCCTGCGACTCCCCTCCACATGGACGTGTTGCCATCGTCAGCATTGGGCGACGAGAGGGCTCAATTGGCCCAGATCGACGATCAGGTGGTAGACATGCTAGGAAGAGATAACGAGCTATTGAGCATTGGCGAGATGCCCATGGATTTGGACCAGGATGGCCAGTTTTTCGACAGCTTCACGTCAGGACAATTCGGGCAGAACCACGGTGCTCATATCTCCATGACTCCCGGGCAGCCAGACGTGGCTGTCAGCACCACCCACGCAAATGCGTCCACCCGTAGTGGTGAGTCGACACTCACCAGCGGGCTCAAATCGCAATTGAAAAACCAGGGGGGACGCAACATGGCCAACAGTATCAGCAACGACGCCAAGGACTTGGAATGGCTCAAGTTCGAGCTCTAATTAATAGAAACGACTTTACGATATAGTATATATACGACTACCCACCACTGGACCCATCGCGCCACGTGACAACGTACGAGCACATGCTCGTGGGTGCCTCGTACCGTCGTTTACCGCGCAGCCCAACACGCGGTAGGGGCACGTGCATTCGACCAGGTGAAAAAGTATATAATCTGGCATCTCCCTGAAAATTTTCGTCCGATCCCATAACCATCATTATTAACTAAAGATGTCTGCTCCAGCTCAAAACTACAAAGTTGCCGACGTTTCCTTGGCTGCCTTCGGCAGAAAGGACATTGAATTGTCCGAAAACGAAATGCCTGGTTTGATGTACATCAGAAAGAAGTACGGTGCTGACCAACCATTGAAGGGTGCCAGAATCGCCGGTTGTTTGCACATGACCATCCAAACCGCTGTCTTGATCGAAACCTTGACTGCCTTGGGTGCTGAAGTCACCTGGACTTCCTGTAACATCTTCTCCACCCAGGACCACGCTGCTGCTGCCATTGCTGCTTCTGGTGTCCCAGTTTTCGCCTGGAAGGGTGAAACCGAAGAGGAATACCAATGGTGTCTCGAACAGCAATTGTTTGCTTTCAAGGACAACAAGAAGTTGAACTTGATTCTCGACGACGGTGGTGACTTGACCTCGCTCGTCCACGAGAAGTACCCAGAAATGTTGGAGGACTGTTACGGTTTGTCTGAGGAAACCACCACTGGTGTCCACCACTTGTACAAGGCCTTGAAGGAAGGTAAGTTGAAGGTCCCAGCCATCAACGTCAACGACTCCGTCACCAAGTCCAAGTTCGACAACTTGTACGGTTGTCGTGAATCTCTTATCGATGGTATCAAGAGAGCCACCGACGTTATGATTGCCGGTAAGGTCGCTGTCGTCGCTGGTTTTGGTGATGTCGGTAAGGGTTGTGCCATGGCCTTGCAAGGTATGGGTGCCAGAGTCATCATCTCTGAAATCGATCCTATCAACGCTTTGCAAGCTGCTGTCTCCGGTTTCCAGGTTGCCCCATTGGACGAAGTTGCCAGCATTGGTCAAATCTTCGTCACCACCACCGGTTGTCGTGACATCATCACTGGTAAGCACTTCTCTGTTATGCCAGAAGACGCCATTGTTTGTAACATTGGTCACTTCGACATTGAAATCGATGTCGCTTGGTTGAAGGCTAACGCCAAGTCCGTTGTCAACATCAAGCCACAAGTCGACAGATACTTGATGGAATCCGGTCGTCACGTTATCTTGTTGGCTGACGGTAGATTGGTCAACTTGGGTTGTGCCACTGGTCACTCTTCCTTCGTCATGTCCTGTTCCTTCTCCAACCAAGTCTTGGCTCAAATTGCTTTGTACAAGGCCAACGACAAGGAATTCAGAGACAAGTACCCAGAATTCGGTAAGGCTGCCAACTTCGACGTTGGTGTCCACTTGTTGCCAAAGATTTTGGATGAAACCGTCGCCAGATGTCACTTGGACCACTTGGGTGCCAAGTTGACCACCTTGACTGACGTTCAATCCGAATACTTGGGTATCTCCAAGGAAGGTCCATTCAAGCCTGAAATCTACAGATACTAGATGATCTATACATCTGTTCTTTTCTCTTCTACGTCTCATGCCCTCGGGCCTAATGAGTGATGTTTTATTTTAATTTGCTTAATTGCTTCAACTGCATTTAATGACTGGTAATGTTCTAACGCCGTTACTGTTTTTTGTCACCACCATCCATCATACTACACTATATTGATTTTTATTACAATTGGGTTTCTATTCTATTGTTAGAAGAAAGGAAAGAAAAAGAGCAGAGGTCTATTATATAATTTTTCTACTAATAAAGGTGTCCTCAACGGATGAATAACCTGTAGGGCCACAGCCAGCCACCCCATTGCCATAGCCAATTGCATTCGATCGTGCCACAAATACTCTCGTCAATTTGGCTCGGTCCTGCACGCGACCACAGCTTGTATGGGGTAGCCAAGAATGTCAGGGGTATGTTCGAAGGCGGATCTATCACGCCAGTTTACGACCAACCACGGCTTGCTGATTGCTATGTTGCTCGACTTAAAGTGCCAACCTTAAATCACCGACTTCGGCGAAGCTTAACCTTGAGCTTATATACTGGTTGACGATGGGTGTGTTATGTGCCGCAAAGCCCAGGTGAGTGGCTCAGTAGTTGACGGTGCATTCCATCACTTCGCCTACCTGGTGACAAGTGTTCTATGTTGACATTGCAAACGTCAGGCGGGATGCTTGTGCACAGAATTCGTGTAATATTTGCTGAATCCGGTATGTGCGCATCAAATATGCACCCATTATGCAAGTAATTAATCTGATTGTGCACCCAATCTACGCCATCACGGAGTATAGTTCATGTGGTTTCTCTGGAGACCGGCATTGGGTGCACCCGCGTGCCGCCTTATATAAGCCGTGCAATTGGCACCTCGTCCACTCTTCCGTGTTTTTCGCAACCATCGACATGACCAGCTCTCTAGCAATCTCGCTAAGTCTTCGAACCCTCCAGCTAGCATGCACCATCATAAACTTCGCTGTTAGCATCGCCATATCGATCAAGGCTCCACAGGTGCCGGCAAAAGTCTCGGGCGTGGTGGCCATTTCGTGCATTTCTCTAGTGTACCTCGCATTGGTGTTGATTCCTCCTTGGCTCAAGTACGTGCCCACCATGGTTATTGTCGTTGGTGAAGTCGTGCTACTTGCATTGTGGATCCTAGCATTTGTGTACATGACCCAGGAGTTCGTGACATTTGGGGGATGTCCTGCATTCCAAGGTGCCTCAAGTGATATTCGACCATCGTTGTGCAGCATGGGGAGTACGTTGACGGCGTTCACCTTTTTCAGCTGGTTGATAGCAGTGGTCACCGTGGGGTTTATAATTACATATACACTCATCCCTGTGGGTCTGAAAGTTGGTTCCGACCATTTATTTGGAAATAAGAGCAACGACTTCACTGTGGGTGCATTATACTCGCGAGTCAAAATACCATTACCCTCCGATCCAGAATCGCATTCGGATGACTCAGAAGACGAGAAGAAGGAACACGAGTCTGAGAAGCGAAGTGATGACGAGGAAAAGGAGAAAAAGGAGAAGGAGCACACAAAGCAAGAGAGTGTGGACGGTGAGTCGAAGGAGGCTAGCACCGAGAAGGTCAAGGTGAAACACGAGCAGAAAGAAGAAGATAGACGGACCACCTACAGAGTTCCAGGGCACTTTGGTGATACCGATTCGTTGTTGAGCAAGTATTACGTCGTCAAGATTAAGTGCCAGCCTATGGAGTAGGCTAGGGTACTACGTATAGTCATTTAGTCATTTTGGGTATTTTTTGCACCCATTTGGTTCTTGAGAACCTTTTTATTTCGGCATAGTTAGATACTTTTAATATATTTTTTAGCATTTTGAGAAACAGCCCCAGGTGGCTGCTCAGTAGGCTTGCTCACTTGATGTAGAGCTTAAAGGTGGTCCCACAATTGCCATCATCTAACTTGACAGGAATTTGAAGCTGGTTACCACCGCCATGGGAGTTACGCTTGTCGTAACACCAGTCGGACTTCCCACCGTACGAGATTTGTCCACTGGACGAATCGTACTGGAATTGGTACTTACTGGCCTGGTACTGGCTCCCACAGGCGAAATCATTGTTTTGGTCGAAGCCACAGAAGCCCTTGGAAGTCTTCAAGTTGTAACCACCAAACTGAGACTCTTGAACCCTATAGGTGGCACAAGTTCCGGTGGAATACCAGTTACCAGCACTGATGAGACATCCAGGGTTGTTGGTGAGCTTAAGATAGCCTGAAGCCACGGCATCCAGAGGAGGGTTTGGATTTGAAGGGTTCGAAGGATTACCACCGTCACCAGGATTGGACTTGGACTTTGGAATCCACTTGATACCGGAATCTGGACATCTGGAACCTTGGAGACTGTCGATCTGGATGAAGTCTTCACCGAGAATTGATCCTCTCAAGTGGTGGAAGTACCACACTTCTTGAAGGGCATTTTTGTTGTCACACTTGAAGTAAACGTTCTTGCCACCGAAACCTGCCGAAAGGGCATCGGCGATCTGTTTCTTGGTGTAGGTAGCACTTGGATCCGGGTGGATGCCTGCATCAGTCAAGAACTTGTAGGTGGGCAACTTGGAGTACAATGCCTCGGTGATTTTGTAGAACTGGTAGATGTTCTGGTTGGAGGCAGCATCTCCTAGACACTTAGGGTTCAAGGTTCTGATGCAAGTCCCGTGCTTGTTGTATTCGTGTTCCCAGAGCGACTCGTCATTGCCATTGTAGTTCTTCCAATTGGCCACCATCAGATCGTACAATGCCTGGTCCTTGTACTGATCCACTATGATGGACTTGACGTCTCCCTTAAGATTGAGCGAGCTGTCGCAAAACTGAGCGTAGGTACCGTCACAGTTATCGGGCCAAAGCCCGTGCAAGGTGAAGGCATCATCGGCACCCACAGCTGGGCTGTAGTCCCAGAATTGAGTCTGGAGAAGAATTCCTCCTGGAGACTCGTAGCAGCATGAGTTCTGAGCATCAGCATTACTGATAGAGCACGATATGGGGCTATCCACCGGACATGATGGGGCAGAGTCCTTACTGACAAAAGTATTGCCGAGCTTGAGGAGTTGTTGGGGAAAAGCCAAGGTACTGTCTGCAAGCATCAAAGCCACGATGGGCACAATGATACTGTTGATTTGCATTGCACAAGAGTGGTGGAGCACAATTCTGGTAGGAAACCTGATGACCTTTTATACCCGCGATAAGCCCGCCAGAGGCACGTTGATAAGGCACGGGCAGGCACGACCTGTCATTCCCACGCGCGCAACCAGGCACCGTGCATTAGCCAGTGGAGAAGAAAGGGCTGGGGCATGTGGAAATCATGGCTGTATGATGGCCGTGCCAAGCTGCATGCACTGATATCGGGCAACTCGGCATATTCCTCGAAGGAGTCATTTTTGGTGCTCTTTTTGGTGCTGATTTGGAGTTCACGGGTATTCTTTCCGAGAACATGTTAAGACCAGGAGCCGTGCGTTTGTGACAGAGTGTTGGCTTAGCTGTTGGGCCAACAACGGTGAACGGCCACAGGCGATTGGTTGAGTCAACGGTCAAGCCATCTGCTGGAACGGACCACCAATTTCATGTTAGTAGTGTTATCAGTAATAGGTGACTCTCCAACGCGTATCTGGTGTCTGGCACAGGCTAAATTCATCACTATAGTGGAGTTGTGGCACTGAAGGCCCGCGGGGATGCTCTTGGGATGAATAGGAGTGATGTGGATGTTGCCTCCACATCGTCAACTCTCAGTGGACTTTTCGGTACCTGTCAGTTGAAGGTGCGAGGCGCACTGGCGCATTTGAGAGACCACTTGAAATTAGCACAATGTGTCTAGAAGAGCACGAGGCCTTGATAGAGCCAAAAGGCCTAACAGATCCATTTGAAATTGTTGCCAAGCTTTAACAGTTTATGCTGTAATCGTTAGGGAATTTCTTGTGTCTCGTTCTCTCTGGATAGTTGAAATTAATTTGTATAGGTAGCTTCCTATATATCATGCTATGACAGTAGTCAAACCAGTTGAACATATTTCGATAGGGTAGTTTTAGCAGCTAATCTTGAGATTGGTGTCCCTATTAGGCTTTTGGGAGCTACGATTGAGCTGCAGCAGATCAGAAATCCATTTGTTCCGAAGAGTATAATAGACAACCACAATTTAGATGAGATGAGCGTAGAACAAATTATCAGCCTCTTTATCAGGAGTATCTGTATTGCAAAGAGTAAAATGTTATATCTTTTTGATTTATGCCAGTTATTTTTTGGTATCAAAGTAAGCTACTATAAATATTTTCAGTTGGCACGATACATCTAGGTTTTCTCATAACGACTTGCCTCCTCTTATTCTGAGATTAAACTCATTTATAATTTTTCGCATAAATAGCAATTTATTATCAATCAGAAACACTGGAGGTCATTTTGGATATCGTAGTTGCTTCTTACTGGATGATTGCTTCTAGCTAGAACTCACGCATGCGGCAAGATATAATCCAGGTTAGAAAGAAAGTTTTGGGGGTAAGAAACAAACGTGGTACGAGTATGTACTGTTAGTCTTTAGTTTATGGTTTCGTATCATCAGGCTGATTTATTATGGGATAAAATAAAAAATTCCAACACAGAATGCTATTTATTATTTTGCTAATGGGAAGTATATTATAATCTACTGACTATATACCTATTGCAATAGAAAACCCACTCTTGTGGCCAAACCGCATAAAAATGGAAAAGTAATAAATATTGTTTTAGATGCAATTTTGCAACTGTATGAACACCGAAACTCGACACCATTGTGGAGCGGGTGATGTTTGATGATGCTTTAAATTAAAATCCAAGGACGGAAACCTATTACATCATCTGTTACGTAATCCATTAAAGTGATATTATTTTGTCTTCTTTTTTCATTCACAAATGGTTGCGTGGTCTAGTTGGTTATGGCATCTGCTTAACACGCAGAACGTCCCCAGTTCGATCCTGGGCGGAATCATTTTTTTGCTCCCCAAAGATCATTGGCCTGATTGCATACCCCACAGTCCAGTCATCGTTCTAGAAGTTGGTGGGGTGACGAGACTGACCACAGCACCGGTTTTCGGAACACCTAGAGGTCCAGACCGGGAAAAATGACCTCGTAGCTCGAGTCTAGAACTACCGTCAATAGCAACACAATAGCCTCGCAGCATAGTGCTTTGTTCCATGAAGGGATAAATACGAATTCTGGCTCGCAGCATTACTACTTTATTTCTATGGTTATGTACGAATTGTTGCCTCGCAGTATTGTCATGGCACTTTATTCCTATGGTTATGTACGGAATGGGAACGATCTTGTGGCCCAACCTAAATACGGACCGATCGCCCACGCAGAGTTCTTTTCTGCCATGCAAGATCGTTCGATGGGACGAGGTGTTCTCCCGTCGTAAGCACCCCTCTCTGTCCGTCCATACCACCGCTTAGTGAGCGTTCGCGTTCTGGGCCTCGCACTCGGCCTGCACCTGTTCGTACAAGTACTCACTCAACTTAGGCAAGCCACCAGTCCCACTGAGCACTCTGTACATGACATTGTCCTGGTAGGTTCCTGGCACCATTTTGCCGTTGGCGTCCACCTGGATGTAGCCAAAGACGTTTTCGATCTCGGGAGTGCGGGCGTAGCGAGGAGTTTCTCTCATGTCGTAGATGGGCATGAAGGTGTTGGCATTGACGCCTCCCTCCATGATGAAGGTAAAGTCGTTGGGGATGCGGTCGGCGATTGTTGCCTGGAGCAACTGCACGAACTTGGGGTTGACCTGGAACAGGTGGGGGGACAAGCTGGCGTTGGCAGTGGTGTGGCCGATAGGCACGGCGTTGGCGCGGGGCGAGAACGAGTACTGGAGCGATTTGGAGGGGGTTGCATGGACAAAGATCTGGTCGTTGTGCGCGTAGCGGCTGAAGTGGCGAGCCCACGAGGGCCTGGAGGCTGCGGTGGGGGAGGCTAGCTTGAACATGGCGATGAGCAATGGATTGATTTGGAAGAACTAGTTGTGTGTGCAGGTAGAGGTGCGAGGCAGGTGCGGGAAAGACGAGGTGGCCAGATGTAGAGAGACACGAGTGCCAATGAAGGGAGAATGGCAGGGACAATAGCAGCACAGATGTATCTGCAGGGCGAACAGGTGAAACTGGGCCCACCAGTAGTGCCGCAGAGTGTTTCCATCTTGACCGGCCACTCGGCAATCCACCAGATCTTGTTGCCCAATGCGGCCAGATGCATCGTGGACAGGATGCCGAAGGCGGGACGTCACTGGCGCTTTATGCGCGCCAAGCCAGGAGTCCCAACGGTAGTCCGGCCACGCGCAGTGCGCCCAACATAAACTCTACCCCAGACCGTCAATTAGGACCACCATGATAAGCAATCGTCACGTCGTGGTGGCTGGTGTAGGCTAGATGTTCAAGCACTATCGGTCACTGCTACTAGTAGCCACGAGCCCCCACTCCTCCGCTCTACTCCCTACTCCCTGGGAGCCCCACTCTCCTCTCGTAACGCCTCTGCTGCCCCCTAGCGTCCCTATCTCGCACCCCACCCCTCGTGACGCTTCTCGTGCTGTCCCTATCGCGCACCCCCCCCCCCCCCCACCGCCTCGCACTAGCCGTGCGCGCAGCAGCCCTGCCTACCGGCACTCCACTCCCGTGCTCGCTACCTCCCCTCATTTGCCCCGTTGGTATTTGTTCTTGTCACACTTATATTGGCTATCATCCACCACCACTATCTCCCCCCCTCTTGTTGGCTCCCATCCCTCGCGAATGGTCGCACCTGGTCGTTCCTCCCATCCAGTGCCCCATGCTGCAAATGTCCCATTCCGTGCTAACATCAGTCAACATGACCCTCGACCGTAACTACCCGCAGTCCCCTGGCTACACCCCCAAGCGCCTCTTGGACATCGACAACACCATCACAGGCGACTCCAAGCGCAATCGTGTGCGTACTGGCTGCTTCTGCTGCCGAAAGAGAAAGAAGAAGTGTGACGAGAGCCAGCCAGCGTGTATTGCCTGCGTCCGCAATCTGATCAAGTGTGTGTATCCCACCGTCAAGAACGAGCCACTTCCGCCCAACTTCAGCCTCGAGGACGCTGTGTACGACTCCACACCGCTCAAACGCATCAAGAAGAGACGTGGACGGCCTGATGAGCGCTACTCGCTGCTGTTGTCCGAAAGCGAGCTGGACCTCCCGGGCGAGCACAACCAGAGCTTGTTCAAGGTGATCCTCGTCAATCCATCCTCGCCCAAAGCCCACTCCGACTTGACGATGGCAGAGTCTGGTCTCGAGTCCATCTTCGAGGTCGAACCTACAGACTCCCTGACATCTGCCAGTTCTCGCCCCAAAATCGAAGAGCTAGAAGACTCCGTCATCCCGTCAGGCTTCACTCCCTCCTACTCCGATGCCCCTACGGCCACCTCCGTGGACGACTTCTTTGCCATGCCCTCGGAGTCCGCCACCGGAAGCCCCTTGAACGACACCCTCCTCATGTCGTTCTCCAAATTCATCCCCAACGTTAGTCTTTCCGTGCAAGACTCGGAACTCTACCACCACTTCATCGTCAACTTCATCCCCACCATCTCGTTGCCCCATTCGCATCCGCTCCTATCCCCAGTTCACATCTGGGGCCAGATGGGCAAACAGTCGCAAATCTTGGCCGACATCTTCTTGTGTTGCGGTGCCTCTTATTTATCCTGTGCCTACAAACTTCTACCAGAAGCCGCCGATTTATCCAGTCACTACGAGGATTTGGCTGAAAGAAAGTACCACCAGGCGTTGAAGTCCCTTGGCACAGCCATCAACATGAAACAGGTCGACATCGATAGCGACTGGTTGATCGTTGCCGGTTTAACCTTGTGTCTCCGTGATAGAGCATATGGACTCAATGGTTCCAGATGCGCAAAACACCTTACTTTCGTGTACAACCTCCTTCAGCGACGGTACTCTCAAAAGAGTCTCACTGCCGCAAGTTACCAAGATCCAACATATAATCTGGATGGGGTTTTGGAGGTGAATAGCCCTCAAAAGATCAACCTATACAATTCTTTGATCACCCCAACTGAAAAGCTATTGATGGACAGTTTCGTCTTCAATTATTCGGCTACCTTGTTGAGTTGCTCGAAACTGGATCTCATGACCTTACCTTCGCCGTACGGTTTCTTTCCCAAGATCAAAGAATGGTTGAATTGTCCAATTTACCAGGACTGTGATGTGGCTTGGATGAACAACCCCGTGCTAGGCTCAGCTCTTGAATCCTTCGAAGTTAGTGCAAAATTGACCTGGCTTTCAAGGTTACATTTTGAGGTTGGAAATGAGAAAGTTGTGGACAAGGACAGTGAGTTGTACATGGATAGTGAAAGGTTCTGGAGTATGATTTTACCGTTGAAGGATGAACTTCAAGTGATTGACAAAAAGCTCGAGTTGTACAAACTTGAGTTGGACCCTTTAAGGTACTCCAAGGCTCACATAATCTCCTATGATGATTTGAGAAGTAACTTGGCAGTTGCCATTATAGTTCTCAATTCTGCTAAAATCATGTTGGAGAAATATATCAATCCTAAGGTCCCTTCCTTTTTGCCATGTGTTCAGGACCCAGTGAACGCCGCGTTCCGGGAATTAGAGCATGCGCCATTGGGAAATTCTTCTGCTTCTTTGTCGGCAATCAGTTTGTTCATATTGGGTACTGCCACCAAGGAGGCTTCACGCCGTGATTTTTTGGCAAACATTTTAAAGGAATTTTCGGTTGCATTAGCCTCCAATGTCGGTTCAAATATTTTGAGAATATTGACCGGAGCATGGGAAAAGGAGGATTTTGATAAAAATGTATTGAATTTAGGAGACCAGGGTTACAAAAGTTTTGATTTGTTGTTCGATAGAGAGAGTATCGAACAATTGGCTTTTTAAAAATAGTGTTTTAATCAGAACACAGGTATTGAGGTCTTGATGACCTCTGGGCTTATTAAATAATTCATGGGAATTATTCAGGTAAATAGTGTATGTATTAATTTTCATTTGTCTATTAAGTGAATGATCTCAAGAAGCAGATCATCATCTCTTGTATTAATTGCTAAGAATCGGAAGCTCGATTTATCCCAACATACTTCTCTTTCTTCCTCTTAATCTTACCTCGTCCAACTTTCTCAATGTTTCGACCAACTTCTTTCCTCCTGATCTAAACTCTTTGCTGCCATGAATCTGCTCGTAGCCTTGTAAGAGCCACTTGACATAGTGGTCAGAATACTTGGAGTGGGTGCTCAACATGGCTCTTTCAAGCACATATAAATCCACAGCCTTATCTTCAGCCATGCCTGAGTAGGAAGACAATCCGAAATCAATTAGCACGGGTTCCGAGTCTTCTAACAAGATATTGGAACTGGTCAAATCGCCGTGAATCATATCATTTAAATGCAACTTGCCTATAAGCAGACCCACATTGATGCATGCCTGTTGGACTTCAGAGCCCAAGCATAACGACTCGTCCGCAAGAACCTTCTCGTAGTACCAGAGCCAGTTTTTGAGCGAGCTGACATCGCCATTGGGCAATTTCTTGCCAAGGTATTCCATCCAGATGATACCGTTGGGGAAATCAGCCAGAATCACTGATGGTGCTTTGATCCCTAATTTGGTCAACTTGGCCATGAATTTGACCTCGCCGATTGTTCTGTTCTTGGTGATAGCTGCGTCGATCTTAGGATGTCTGTAAGGCTTTCTGGGTCTAAATTTGATGATGAACTTGTCTTGGTGAGGAAGACATGGCTTGGAGTAGTAAGGATGCACGGATGTTTGGAAGACTAAGGCCTCTGCTCCCTGAGAAACTACTTCAAGGGGGATGTTGGGCAAATGCACCTGCACCTGTTGTATTATGTGATCAGTCATGGTGGTGGATATGGTCTCAAGTGGATGGAGATGATATAGTGAGTGGCGCACGTGATCTGGATAAGGCGTTGGGACTGTACGAAGCATAAGTGATGGGGAGGACATCAAGGTGGAACTGAAGAATGGCCTCGAGCTAGTGATAAGGTGTTTGGAAATGTTTGGAAATTAGTCATTTTCGAGTGATAGAATAACTAAAATTTGTCCAGAATTTAAAATCTATTTTTTGGTTATAATACTTTTTGAGTGAATTTGATCAAATTATGTATTACTCAGATGGATTTAGGAATAGAGGAATGACTTCTTGTATTAATCAGAAACGTCTGGCTCCCAAACTAGTGGTTAGTCAAAGGTGCATTTTTAAACTTGTCCCGATCTGGCCACAGAATTGGTTCGCTATTCAATTATGAAAAACTCTGGGAGCTCAAGTCAGCTTCTCAAAGGGTAGACTAAGATTTGAAATGAGCTACTAAGATCAGGTTTCGCTATTTTCCCAATTCTAGATAGTTCAGCTTGAACTTCTACCTTATAAGCTGCTCATGCTTGTCTCTTCCGAGAGAAGAAATTACAGCTTATAATACGCTACCGACATATAAACGTCCCCTTATTATGGTGGATGAGATAAAAAGCAATATCTTGGTTCTGTTTTGCTGTTACTTAGTAGACGAATTTCGCAACAATTACCACCAGTGAGAATGTGAGGCTATCTTTTGGGCTTTTACAATCAGGTTTGATATTTTTGCTTCAAACAGCATTGTAAACGACGTATTAAAGTACGCCAAAGGGGTGATGGCAGTTTTTTCAATGATATAAATTGTTTGATACAAAACTCGGCTGCTTGTTGGAGGAAGTTTCCGGTATTTCTAATTTTTGATGAATTTCTACCAAATAAAAAACAAAATCATACGAAAATCATCACAGCTTGAAAGCATACCACCTATGCTAAGTCGTATAGTATATTAACCTTGTGATATCCACGAGCTTTCTATACTGTCGATAAGAATCTACGAAAAATCCTTTTAAAACTCTCTTTCATTTTTGCGTAATCGGGGACCGAAAGGCGACAAAGATTTTCTGGGGTACGTCTAAAAACCAACTTTGTGGTCCATAATTATCAGGACTAGGATGGTAAATGGAAGAAATAGAAGCAAAGTATTCGAGCACTCTACTGCTTTCCCAAAATCAAAGCACAGTAATTCAAAAAGAGTCTTACTTTTACTGAAGTCTCTCTGGGAAATATTCGGTTTGGACTAGCCCTTCGAATTGGCCAACCACAATTTCCGAACTCTCTAGTGGTCAGACCAGGGACCTGCCAATGGTCCCGATTTAAACACATTTAGACACCCGGCTAGGCTTGCATGGCTAATTTTTGGCGACCCATTTGTGGCCGGTTCCACTTCAAAGCCCGGCGCAAGTAATCTCCGTCACACGACTGTGGTAGCGATACAGTAGTGAGACCAATACAGGCAAAGTGCTTCAATCCTAGTGTTAGCAGAAATGGTGCAGCAGTGGGGTGGTGAGAGAGAAGTGCTACTCAGTCGTAAGTCTAGCGTTGTGAGAAATCAGGAATTGGTCAAGACTAGTACAGGCTGTTTAGCATTGCTCGCTGCGGTGCCAGCACTAGCTCCATGGTACTACACCGTGCAAGTACCGTGCCAGTACCGTGATAGATCCACCGTAACACCCCATCACCTTAACCGCTAGTACTACACTTATCGTAGTGATAGCAGCCCCCCTACCGTAGGCTCTATCCAGTGTTTTCCCCATTACCGCAGTTTCCCGTAGTACGCAGCGCTACTACCGCAGAGTGCTCCCACCGAACCCCGATGTCGCAACCCCAGATCCTTATCAATTCTACCACCACTACCTCCAGACCATGACCCTCACCTACATCATCCCGCCCTATCTCCTCAACACCTGTCTTGGTAGCGAGCTCCAGAACAGGCTCGCCCAGAAGGACCAGGAATTGAGTGTGCTCAACGTCATATCCACTGGCTCCAAGTACTACCACAACCATGTGCCTAGCCCGGGGTCAGATCACTCGTTCTCCAAGGACCCAGTGCTAAACGACATCATCAAGCTCAAGATCTTCTACAAGTTGCTGTTGCTAGGCGTGCTTGGCAACAGTCCCAGCGAGATCAACGTCACCCAGACCCTGTTCATCTATGACTACTACCAGATCTTCGAGGACAGGCTTTTGTTGGAGGAAGCCGAGTGGGAGAAGTCAGAGGCTAGTGGCGAGTTCGTGGACGAGTTCATCAGCTTGGCAGCCTTGAAGGGCCACACATCCATCTTCAGCTCCGCCAAGGACGGCGAGATCGTCCTCAGGGTGCCTCCTGGCTACGCCCACTACATGAACCTCCCGTTGAAGCAATTGCTCCAGCAAACCAAGTTGAAAGAAAACAGACGGTTTGACAGCTCGTCGAGCTTTCTCAAGTTTGACGACGCCTCCTTCTTCGAGTACCCGTTGCCTCTCTCGTGGACTCCGTTGATTGAGACAAAGTACTTGGACTACCTCACTGACGCCTACAACTTGAAGGTCGAATGCGACTCCGGCTACTCCACCATCACCATGAACTCGAACTCACACTACAAGTCCACGTTGGACAGCTCTGACGACGTCGACAACTTGATTTTGAAGGAACAGGAGTCCCGTTACTACAACTTTGTCACCGAGAAACCAATTGGTTCTTCCACGGGAATATACTACTACGAAGTCGAGGTGGAGCAGGAAATCACCGAGTCCACAGAGTTCTTGCCGTTGATAGTCATGAACGATAGCTCGTTGTCTTCGGATTGCTCGTTAGCCCTCTCCACCGGTTTCACCAAGAGATTCGTCAATGTGAAGCCCGACCACACCACTACCTCTGTGTCTTATCAGTACACCAAGTTGGACTTGGAGTCCTTGAAACAAACCCTCTACAACGACAAGCCTAACGACGTGATCCACATACTGTCGAAGCCCGGTGAATTGAGCGGAAGTTATGCGGTCAACTTCGAGGACCTGTCCTTCTATAACTCCATGAAAAGCTTGGAGTCGGTCCAGAGAACAACCGTTTTGAACATGAATAGGAGACTCTCATCCTTGAATAGAACCAGTTTGAACGATTCCGATAACGGAAAGCTTGACATTGGGATACCATTCAAGACTCACTTGATAACCGACACCACGAAGAAGAAAGTTTACAAGACCGATATAATCGGCTGTGGTATCAACTTCATCAACAGCTCGATATTCATCACTCTAAATGGTATTTTGGTCAAAGTCATTACTCAGGATGAATTGGCTAGTTCGCATTCCTCGTCCAACAATCTTTTTGAAAGCTCAAAGTCCAGTGATAATTCCGTCTACCCTATTATTGGGTTTAAGGTAAAGCAAGACTCACCAATGAAGTCAGGCCTCGATGATTCAAAAGTGCAAATAAAAAGTAATTTTGGATTCAGGGAGTTCAGGTTCAACATTTCTAACTATGTTCAAAATTTCAAAGTCGAGAACCAACGATTCTTATATTTGTCCTTGTTAGATAAAATTGAGATGAACAAACTGGTACTTTCTGATAACTCTTCAAGCGTGGAGAAATCACTTTTAAACATTAACGATGATTCTAAAATGCTCAATGGATTGATTAAAGGATACCTCAATCACCAAGGTTATTTGGAAACCTTCAAATCTTTCAATAATGACTTGAAAAATTTGGCAGAGGAAACTCAATTAAACGAGCCCATCGACTTTGATAAGGATGAGCAGATATTACAACAGTCACATGGTGTTAACAGACATGTGATCAAGAAATACTTGATGTCTAACCAATACGATAACCTCTTCAAATTTTTGAAAATCAACTATCCTGATCTACTTGAGAATAATCGTCACGAGGACCTCGATATTTCCTTCGAGTTGAAAATGTTGAAATATACCTTTTTGTTGAAAAACTATATCGAAAAGAAGCTTGACGACGAAGAGTTTGACTTCGAATATCAATCAACTCAATCGGAGACAGAGTTGTACGACAAGGCATTTGAATACAGAATGAGCTTATTCAGGGAGAAGTTTTCAGATGAAGCAAAGAGTCAAAGATTCATTGGCCTTTCCAATGCCTTGTTGGTAAAGGATAGTGAAGGATTGAAAAATTTACCTGGTGTGGTTGGGGCATTTCAAAACTATTCAAAGCATGTCGTTAAGATTTTAGCAGAAATTAATGAGAGGATCTTGAAGAAAGCAGGCTTTAGTGGCGTTTCGAACTTGGAGCTGATTTTCGAAAGTGTTGCCAAAAACATCAAGGACTTAAGTTTTGAAGTAAAGGATGATAAGTTCATGTTGGTTAATTTTGAACGGGATCACATGGATTTATAATCATAGCTACGCTTCTCAAACCACCGATGGCTACTCTGAAGTATGTATGTATCTGAGGGGTGCGGTTCTATCCAATAACCAATATGAGTAAAAAGCAGGCGTTTTTATTACCTTCTCGTCCATTTCAGCATACTGGTATGCAATTAATACAAAAAAATATCTTCGATACAGCAATCATGTATTCTAATGTAATCATTCTAATAATGTTAATCCCGTTATAACCAAATCTATCCCATGAATATTATGACTGTTCTATTTTGTTTTGACTTTCTTAGGATTTTTAGATGCTTTTGTCTCAGTACTCTTACGTTTCCTGACCTCGCTCTTTTCATCCTTGACTGGCACTTGATCATTGGGGTGCTCTTGCTCAGGCTCTTGTTTGAGCTGGAAACTATTCAAATCTTCCTCTTTGTAGTCGGAATCCAACTTTATGTTAATCAACTTGTCGATTCTGTTGATCTCGAAAGATTTCAATGCCCATGCACCCTTTTCAAGGGTATGCATATCAGTATCGTACTCCTTCAAAATACTGAAATACACTGGTAAGAACTCATCCGTGTACTCCTTGACATTATACTTGATCTTTGATCCTGGACGCTGTGCATCCACCACGAAGTATAGAAAGCTTTCGTCGCTGAAAAAGGGTGGGGACAATCTGGCGTTGATTTTTGTGAGCAATGATAGAATCAAGCTGGCAGTGGCTGGTCCCACTCCCTTGAGCATACACACAGATTTAAATGCCTTCTTTATTGCCAAAATGTAGTCCTGGATAGTGTCTTTATCTGCCAGTTTCCAGCTAAAGTCTGGATGTTGTTCAATGTAGCTCAAGAGGATTTGGAACCCGTCTTCGGAGTACTTCAACACTTCATCCTCGCCATTGGACTTGATTAGTTTGGGCAAAGTGGGCCTAAACTTGCCCTTTGCAAGCTTCCAGTCCATCAACAAAACCAACTCGTCTTTGGTGATCCACACCTTGTTGTGCTGTTGGTGACGAGAGGCGATAATCTGGGGTAATTCATCATTTCGCCATTCTTCGAGTTGTAAGAGAGTCAATTTGTCATTATCGTACTTTTTGCTAGACTGGTCAGAGAGCTCTTTGTTTATGGCTGGGTAGAGAGAGCTATACGCCTTCAAGATATGATCCACTGTCATTCTACTGGTGAAAGTTTACCAAAGCTGTTGCGACAAGTAAAGATTTGTAGTGAGGTGTCCCGCACAAGTCTTTAATCTAGGAATATTCAAGAGAGCCTTGAGTTAGTTTCTATTGCTGTGTATTCCAGATATGACTCCACTAGACCGCTTGAGAACGGGATACGGCAGACCATATTGGAGTTTCTTTTCAATGTGTAATGGTTCTCTTTCAATTACTAAAAAGATATCCTGGTCTGACATAATAATGAATAGGATTCTATACTTCGAAGTAATCTCAAAAAAGACCATGGCTTGAAGCATTGAATCGATACTAACCGAGAAGTAGATAATTAGGTCTGGATTGGATCAATATGATCAACACAAGTATATCCATGTACTTATCAGATTTATTAAGAGGAATGCTTTTGAGATAAATCCAACTATCGACTCTATAGAGCAAGAGAAATTAAAGTTGATATGAGAGATATCTACACTTGTTGTCCCTTTTACCGGTACTTCACAAAACAGTGGTGTGATAGGAACTTCCTTCGGAGTTGTCTGTATAATTACCTAGTGCAAAAATTAGCAGTAATCATGCATTCGAGACATCCATTTTGGAAAATATGCCTCTGTTAAAAGTAGCCCCAAGGTACCAGTTTCCTGAAAACTAGTGGAATCAGTCAGACCACTACTGTGACTTCTCTCTCTTAGTCATGATCCTTGAATGTTAGAAATAACCATATCACAGACCTCAAATTCATGACGTCTGGGATTTTGACCTATATTACAAAGTTTCTATTTACAGTAGCGTCGGATTAAGACGCTCAGTTTGCTTCCTTGACAACAACCTCGGCTGGAGTACCGTGCTTGACAACATCCACCGCATCTTTGTTCGCCTGGGAATAATTGAGTCTTTTGTTAGGTGTGTAGCTGATTGGCTTCATGAGATCCATTATCACATTTTGGATCAAGGAGTACACCTGAGAACTCAACCAGTAGAGGGAAAGCCCGGCTGGGGCGTGTAACGAGATAGCCATCATAAACACAATTGTCATTCTCGACAAGTTGGAGATGGCATCAGTGATGGTAGGCCGAAGCTTTCTTTTCTGGGTCAATCTCAGCAACTCGAGGGTCTTGAAGGTCCATTCCACGTTACACAAGGCAGTAATACCAAGAATTAATGGGAATACATGGTACGGATCTGCCACTGCCAAATCATTGAACCAGAAAAGCCCTTCTGTGTGTAATGCTTCGTCCAAGGGCTTGTTGCGCAAGCTCTCCCACGTAGACCACCCGCATAGGTCCCTCATGGTCAAGGACATGCTTACCCACAATGGGATCTGGAATGCTGGAAGGATGAAGTTTTTCCACAATTGCACATCGTGCTTTTTGAACAATTCCTTCTGTCTTTTTCTTGTTTCTTTACTTGTCAAAACCAACACTTCTTCATACTTCATGGAAGCCAACGGCGATTGCATGTTGAGGTAAGATTCTGCCATGGAGTCTGTGCTCTCGGAAACCTTCACCTTTTCTTTGGCCTGCTCTGCCTTTCTTTTGGCTCCTTGGATTCTTTTGGCAAGATTGAGCTTAAGCACAGGATTCATGGCACTGACTATCGGACGAAGAGACGACTGTTTCTGGATACGCTTTCTTTGCAATACCGCCAATGGCAACGTCCACACTGTTCTCAACGTGAACGTGGTCAAGGGGATCAACGCCCACCATGGAAGGCCAGTGTAGGCGTGGACTGCTTGTATGGACTCTGTTAATGTGGAAACAACAATGTGAGGGTCGACAGAAAAATGTCTGCGGGGGGTGAAATGGAAGATGGGATTCATGCGAGGCCGCACGAGGGGCCTTCCCGCTCCTATGGATCGTATCATGTTGATAGGATGAATAGGTGGTAGCAGTGGTCAGATTCCAGCAAAATTTTGGGTCGCGTCACATGACACTTTGGTCACGTGATACGCTGGGTCAGTGACAAAATTCACTTCGATCAACTACCAACTCCACCCCACCATGTCTTCCAGAACCGAAAGGGCTTGCATGTTATGTGGCTTGATCCAGCCGTTCAAGAAATTCGTCGAGCAGGGATGTCCTAACTGTGAAAGTGTGTTGCATTTCCAAGACAATGAGGACGGTCAAGTCCAAGATTGCACATCACCATCATTCGAAGGTTTGATGGCATTAGGGGCAGACAACAAGGCCTCCTGGGTGGCCAGATGGCTCAGAATAGACTCGTTTGTCCTGGGGCTCTACGCCATCAAGATCAATGGAAAATTGCCACCTCATATCATCAGTGAGTTGGAAGAGCAGAATGTGGTGTATAGACCAAGAGATGGTACTGCTGAGGATTAGGGTTGTATATTATTTAGTTCTTGATACATTAATGAATTATTAGATTTGCTGGGCCGCTGGGCCACTTGTACAGTCGGTAAATTTACCTTCAATGTTGCGGATAGCGTAAATTATGTTTCGGTGCTATGTACTATTATTGTTATTATTAATACTGTCCTATTAATACTTCAACTCTTCGGTAAGCTTCTCAATCGTTGCCGACTTGTCCCACACGTTTCTGTCAGCCCACACGATATCCATGAGTCTGGCCATTCTCGCTTCCAAATCTTCGACCGTGGAGTATTCGGTAGCTCTGACCAAATCTTCATTGAAAAATTTGTCAAGCTTAGTGTAATCTATTTTCAAGTCCTGATCCATTTGATTCTTAAACTCATCCTCAACCTCAGACTCAGAGTCCTCGGAAGCTGGGGTAGGGAGATTTTTGACAATTTGCTTGGTTTCTATTGCCTTTGATTCCACGTCGGGAGTGGGGTTGGAAATGAGGTCTGAAATGCTTAAAGCATTTTCTTTAGGTGGTTCCACCAGGCCCACCGACTCTTCGATCTTTGGAGAATTGGTCGACTGAATAGTACCATTCGATTCTTGGGCACCCTCTGGTTGTACCTCTTGTGCCTCTTGTGCGTGTTCTTGGATGGGTTCATTCGCGAGCTCTTCTGATTGAAGTTGAGCTTGATGACCATTCACCACCAGTTCGACAATTCCATTTGATACTGGCTCTGATAAATCAACTATGTTAGCTACTTGCTTCTTTCTAAACTCTTCTTCAAGTTTTTCGTGCTCTTTCAAAAGCGACTGTTGTTTCTCAATTTCCCTAGCCCTCACTTCTTTGCAAGCTTTGACAAACTCTGGAGTGCTCAAGTCATCAATACCAAATTGGGCATTAGTCAACATCTCATTAGCCTTGAGGATACGTTCCCTATCACCTTGGGTGATGGAATCTTTAACAATCATTTTAATATCCTTTAAGAATTGCTTTGGTTCACTGTAGTATCCATTCCAGAGTCTTTCCTCAATTATATCCAAATCCATATTATGGTAGTATCTACCTGTGGACAACTCAAGCAACATATTTTCATGATCCTTGTCGGTAGATTTTGCATACAATACTTCATATTGATTCAATGGATTGTCCAAGATAGCAGGCTCAAACAAGTGCACTAACAAATTCTCATCAATGATAGGCTTCTTAAATCTCTTATACCTGACTTTGAACAAGTCCATTAATCCCGCCAACTTGAGTTTAAGCACATTCTTTAATTTTGAATCGCTGTACTCTTGCTGCTTCAATTTTTTCTTATTACTCAGCTCATCAGATACACTAGTGACATTCTTGACGATTTTAAGCTCTTTTAATTTTCTCTTCGGTCTGTTTTCAACATCATTGATAAACTCATATGGTTTCATTGTAATAGTGGTCCTCAAGGTCTTGAAAAATTCCTTCTTCTCCTCAACTGATGGTAATGACAATCCTACATGATTTTCGTGACCAAAAACCTTGGTGATATCACCATCCAAACTATTGTATGCCGTGTCAGAAACACCAAGTAAAAGAACTTTCTCTGTGCTCTTGAGATTTCTTAATAACGTGGTCAACGTTACCTGAGTAGAATAATTGGCAACTTTGAACCAAACGTCAATGTTTGGGATAAAAATGATGGATGGTTGATGTCTTCTAGCTTCAACGAACGCTTGAATGATAATCAGCTCGGGGGATTGTGCTGGATCACCAAACATTTTTCCTAAGTCCAATGATTGAATTTGATATCCTTCCAAGTAATTCATAATAGCCGAACTCAAATATTGCTGGCCGGAGCCAGGATCTCCTGTAATCAATACATACGGTTTGAAAACCCTGGAACTCTCTAAATTTCTTAACAAAGTATGTTTGGAGAATCCACCATCTTTATCCTTGATAGATGGATCTAAATACAAAGCATCTTCAAGGGCCGTTAACTTCTTGTTCTTTGCTTCTGCAAGTCCTGGCAAGATTCTATCCAATTTCTTCATTACTTGATCAAGGTTACTCTGTAAAATTGATTTTAAATGTTCGGGTAAGGGTGATGATGGAGAGGATGTTGATCTAGCACTGGATGGAACAATTTTTTCCAATGCTCTCATAAAATCCTTTGCTATGACTGTAATCTTGGATGGGTTAACTTCTAGCTTTTCATTCGTCTTATAGATCTGAGGGTACTTTCTTTGAATACTGTAAAGTGCTGCTTCGGTACATAATGCACGGAGATCGGCACCACCATAGCCTTTTGTAAGTTCAGCAATTTTTTCCACAAAGTCAGGACTTAAAGGTGGTTTCCAATTTTTTGTATGGATACCCAAGATCTCCCTTCTTGCTTTGATATCAGGCAATGGAAAGTAAAATTCTCTATCAAACCTACCTGGTCTTCTTAAGGCAGGATCAATGGAGTCTGGTCTGTTAGTGGCACCAATAACAATAACTTGACCTCTGTTGTCCATACCATCCATTAATGCCAACAATGTAGAGACAATACTTGCATGGATTTGCTCTTGCTTTGAAGATCTAACTGGTGCTAAACCATCGATCTCATCAAAGAAGATAATAGAGGGTTGTTGATTCTTTGCTTCTTCAAATAAAAGTCTCAACTGCCTTTCAGCTTCACCAACCCACTTACTCAAACAATCAGCACCCTTCCTCATAAAAAATGTTATTTTTCTTTCCGAAGTTGAGCAACTTGACGCCAAAGCACGGGCCATTAAGGTCTTACCAGTACCTGGAGGTCCATGAAATAAAACACCTCTTGGGGGAGTAATATCAAAAATTTGATACAACTCTGGGTACAATAATGGAAGAGCTACCATTTCTTTCAATTGGTTAATGTAGTTGTCCAAACCTCCAACGGCTGTGAAATCAATATTCATGTCAACACCTAAGGGATCAGTATCACTTAAGTTATTCTTCTTTTTGCCCTTCGTTTCATCCGAGCCACCAGTAATAAGCTTCGGTCCAGAGCTGGGCTTCTTCTTCGAGAGGGTAGCCTCGCCATTTATTGGTGCAATTTCATCCTCCGATGAATCAGAGTCACTCAAATTTTGACCAATCGCTGTCATGTTGTTGTCGTTGGTCATTCCCGGTATAGGGATACCCCCAGGGGGTATGTTTGTTCCGAATAACGATATGACATCACTACCTCCAAAAGGACCTGCAGTTGGAAACAAGATTTTTCTATAGTCATTTTTGCTGGGTTGCTTGCGACCTCGAGATCTGCTGAATGGAGGAGTAGGTCCTCTTACTGAGTCTAGCTGATGATCGGCCGTAATTGGTGGTGGAATTGTGTAATCGACCTTTTGAATCCTGTCCCTCAATTTGTGTTTGACGGGAGTATTCATGGGGGATGAGTCATACAAATCCTCGATCTCCCTCTTGATATCATCTTCCTCAGGAGAATCTCCACCTTCAGGGGAATGCGGTGCTTCGTCCTCCCCGTGGGCTCTTCCAGATCTTGTGAGTCTTCCCCTGGGTCTTGGTTCTATCGACCGGGTTCTGGAACGAGTTTTCTTCTTTCTGGGCGGCGCTCCTCCATATCCGAAGTCATCGTTATCGTCATCTTCATCGTCAGTGGCGATGAACTGCTTCTGTTCGAGCTTTTCTATGAAGTCGTCATCATCACTTACCCCACCTTCATCGTAGAACTCGTCGTCTTCTGACTCGATTCTGGTGCGTTTGCTTCTGCTCCTCTTCCTTCTGGATGAAGGGGCATGTTCGACGTAGTCATCACCCCCATCATCCTTCTCTTCTTCACTGGGGGAGAAGATGTCTTCGGGCTCCTGGTCGGGTTCTTCCTTTGGGGCCTCTTCTAGAGGTTCATCCTCGATTCCTTCGATTCCTTCAAGCCCTTCAAAAGCATCGTCCTCGTTGTATGAATTGGCCTTACGACTTCTTCTGGGAGGCAATTCCTCTTTGGTCTCGAACTCAAGGTCGTCGTCATCATCTATCACGGTTCTTCTTCCCCTTCTACTCATGTTGGGCGAGCTAATGGTGGACTTTGCTAACTCTCAAGCAATTAACTTGCCTAGCAAAAACAAAACCCAAACTTCAGTGCTATTGCAGCCCTGTAATATGGATACTTGGTATTTCTGGTCCTTTGACCTTGCTCACTTTTGAAATTGGCCTTGTTGTTCCGAGGCGTTCAGTTGGTGAGGGCGAACAGCTGTTGGTGCGATCAGAACAGTGAGGATCTGAAATGGCTGGACTTTGAATGTAAATCCAAGGTGCAATTGAGCTGGCGTGCCTGGAAAGGTCCTGTGTGCTCTGGTATGGTAGTACGGAGGTGCTTCCACAGATAGTCAGTTATCTGTTGTATATGGACCGGGAAAAGAACAATTCTTACATGAGGAAAGACGTGCGGCCACCGAATTTTGTGTCACAAATCCGTTTTGGGCGCCAGTTTTGGCTAGCCTCAGAATTCAACCACAAGCCATAATTGCCAGCCAGGGCATGGTGTTGGCCAAAAGTGGTCGTCAGTGGCTCGTTGATGCTCACACATGACACCTGGCGGCTCAAAGTACCGTCAGAGCTGAAATTTGTTGAAAACGCTCAGGACCACTCTGGGCACGGTAACAAACAGGAATTGAGATTCTCCGAGAAGGCTGACAGAATAACGGTTCCAAAAGGGCTAAATTTGCAGCCATTAGTATGGGTGGGTAGGTAGGGATTAAGTAGTGGGATGGAAAAAATGGGTCACGTGACCTGAAGTTCTCGGGTGAGTCTCCAGAATCGGGGTAAATAATGTGCCAGGGCTTGGTACAGAGTATGCTGGAGCGGCATGGGTATCTTGTATTAACTTGACCTGTCTTAGCAATTGAATTTTGAGTGTACTAGTGGATTTATATAATATGCATGTTAGGCGTAAATTTCCTATAATGGTCAATATTCTCACAAAACATTAGAGAATCTATTCCACGGCCGATTCCAAGCACCAGAAATGAGCTGGTGATGGTTCAAAGGTGTTCATACTTCACTCTGAATATTTAAGTCCTTTATTTATACACAATTAATGGACAAATTATTGGACAATTCTACTAGCTTTGGGCTGACATGACCAAGATAGTACTCCTATAAGTAGCCATACTATTTACATTCGTAGAATCGAACCAGGCTTTGAAACTGTCCCCCGCACACGTAGACCTATTGGGGTAAACATCTATATACATGAAGTCAAACCATCAACTTATTCTCTTGTTGGAACTCTCTCTATCGGAATTTTATGCTTTTTAGAATTAGCATTCTTACCATAAGTTATGTCTCCGCCAACTCTGGCGTTATGCGAACTCCTCTTGGAAGCATCAACTCCCAATCTGTCCAAAATTTTGCCTGCCAAGTTGGGAATAATTGCACTTATCAAGATAGAACAAATTCTACTGCTCTCTGCAGCTAAGAAAACGTAATAGTTCTGGAGGATTTGATAAGCCTTATCATCGTTCAACTTTTTGGAGTACAACCAAGGTTCGGCAGTTTGGAAGAAGACATTTGCCAGCTCTATAACGGACCACCATTCTTGGATAGCCTTCATTTGATCAAATTGCGCCATTTTCTTGTCCATTGTCAAGTACAAGGAATCCAATTTATGTTTCAATTCGTGTCCCAACTTGATGATACTTTCAGCTGCTTCAGGATTAATGGCTTTCTTGGTGATAAGATCATCAATACCTTCGTACTGACCTTGTTCGTAAAACTCAACACTCTGCTCAATGTTGAACTTTGCTCCTCCACATCTAGTGACCAAGTTGGCATACTTCCCGATTAATGTATCCCTACTCAGACTGAAAGCAGCCTCACTGAAGTTGCAATCGGTTTCGATGTTGGAATATTCCGACAAAAAGAATCTCAATGCATCTTCGCCATAATAGTCTTGCGTGGCAATAGGATCAACAACATTTCCCAAACTTTTGCTCATTTTAAATCCTTCACTGAGCCAATGAGAATGAACTATAACCTGGGTAGGAAGCTGCACACCAGCGGCCATCAAGAATATTGGCCAATACACACAGTGGAATTTGATGATATCCTTACCCACAACATGGGTCGCGGGCCATATATTTGATGCTTGAGTCTCAAAGCTAGACTCAGTCTTGTTGAAAGTATTTGGGAAGCCAGCAGCGGTAAGATAGTTGAGTAAAGCATCAAGCCAGACATAAATCTTTTGGGACGGATCGTTGGGCACTTCAATGCTCCATTTCAATCTTGAGGATGGTCTTGAAATGGAAAGATCAGACAACTTCGTCAGCTTGAGTTCTGCCAATAACGTGTTGTACTTGGATTTGGGCACGACGAAGTCGGGGTTTTCTTCCATGTGTTGAATTAATTGGTCTTGGAACTGAGATAATTTGAAGAAATAGTTGTTTTCTTCTTGGAAGATGACCTCGGTTCTGCTTTCTTTTGCTATCATCTTTTTCACGCCATTTTCGGTGACTTCCATGATTTGGTTCTCTGGGTAGAAGGTTTCATCGCTGATAGAATACCATCCGCTATGGGAACCCTCGTAGATCAAGCCCTTGCTCTTCATCAAATCCCAGAAGTACCTCACGGTTTCCATGTGGTCACTATCGGTTGTCCTGATAAACCTATCGTAGCCAATATTCAACTTCAGGGCCAAAAACTTGAAGTTCTGGGACACTTCGTCCACCAATTGCTTGGGATCGACACCACGCTTTTCGGCAGCGGCCTGGATCTTCAATCCATGTTCGTCGGTACCTGTCAAGAGATACGACGATTTCTCGGGATTCAAACGCTCCCATCTTGCTCTGGTGTCACACAACAACATGGAGTAGGCGTGGCCCAAGTGGGGGCTTGCGTTGACGTAGAAGATGGGACTAGTCACATAGAATGGCTTGGTTGAGTATTTTCGTATAGCCCTCCACATCGTAGCTTTTTTGTGCTTTAATGTGTGGCTGAACAAGTACAGTTGATGGCTCGTACGACTTGTTGGGTTGACGTGACTGTAATGATCTGGTGTTGATGAAGCAGTCTGCTGATTCCACGACTGACTTTTGAGTCACCAAATTTTACGGTGGACTGCGACATAGTTGCAAGACCAAATGGAAGTAAAATTATCAGATTATATAATATGGCTTAATTGTGAGAGGAAACAATTGGCGACTGTAACAGAAAGTATTGGTATGCATCTGAATCTTAAATAGAAGTAACTACTCAGATATAATGAGATTTACATGGTGTTTGTACGGATACACGAAAGTGAAAATCAGATTATGTTATCAGGTCGCTGCTTATTAGCGTGATTCCAATTGTTTAGCGCAAGTTTGATCAAGACTCGTGGCAATTAATCTGATTTGCAAGGCGATGGAGAGATGATAGGTTCATTCTTGGAGGTTGAGGTGGAATAACTGATTATATCATAATACTTGGATCAACTAAGTAGCATGTTTTACATCTGGAACTTTTCTTTCAACTTTTCTGGCGTTCCTACAGAGCGAAACTCAATCTTTTTATTCGGCCAGATAATTAACTACTTTTGATGTAGTTCAGGAAATAGAAGAAAATGTTATATAATAATACTGGGGCCCTCAATCAAATATCATTGATTTCTTATCGTCTTGCTGCTTGGATACCCGAGATAATGCAAGCTGGTTGAGACTCATGTAAATGTTCCAAGAATAAAATCGACATTGTACGTATAAAAAGTTCTGAACGCTCAAAAAATTAACATGATGGATTATGAATTAGGAATTTCGAGTAGTTCTGCCTTACAATCATAAATAAATTAGTGTATTCTCTTATTCCATATATACATAGTACTCCAGATGCAGTTGTGCCAACTGTTAGCAGTTATGCTAAAATCGAATTAATGTTACTTCCTAACTGGTGTGTCAGTGATTCCAAGACCCCTAGGGACTTTTGGATGCTTCTTCCGTTGCCAGATTGAATTTGGGTCTTCTTCCTGAATTCTCTGATTGGTCTATCGTGTAACCAAGCTATTTGTTGCATCCCTTTAAACGGTCGTCTTTTCGACAAAGATAGCCATCAATGCAAAAACAGTGTAGAACATACCCAATGGGTATGCAATTAAAGGTCTGACGTTATGAAGCTTCAACACGGCAACAAAGAAGCCAGAAGCCGAGTAAGAGCACCACAATACGGCAAACCCACTCAAGAGGTACCCGAGGAAGTTGTCCAAGGAGATCACTACTCCTAGGACACTGATCAACACCAAGGGCAACAAACAATAGCCTATGACGGAGGCGGATCTCACAAAGTCCAATTGGACTTCGTGGCTCATGAATTTGAAGAGGAAATGTAAACTCACCACCCCAAAGAGCCCAACTCCGTAAATGTATCCAAACTGCACCTTTCCTGCCAATAACAACAAAGTACCGAATAGAAGAACAAACAAGATGGGGCCAGCCAAGTCGGAGTCCGCCATTATATCGGATGAGATGTTACGGTTCAACGGGTTCAACACTGCCCACGTCTTGGCCTTTATGTGCTGGAAGTTGATTCCCAACTCTTCGAGCAATGGAGGCTCGCCAGGGTATCCGGAAGTGCCAAACGCGGCAAGCAAACCAGAGCTCAACTCTCCACCACCCATGACTCCGCTGACATCTATGTGGGAGCCGAATCCGGTATCCATGGACCCCATATTGGGGTTGCTACTTATGCCTGATGCTGCTTGCTTTTGGTAGGAATCGCCATAGCTGGACTGATAGAACTGGATATTCTGTGGGTCATTGACCTGTTGCTGGTAGTATGCCATAGTGTACTGCAGTCTGCTCTATTCTGGTGTGTTTGAGGCGAGAGCTCGATCCAATTGTGTGATGAAGGGCCGTGAGGTGAAAATGATGCTAGAGTGTGTTGTGGTAGGTTTGGGTGATTTGAACTGAGTATATTGTCGTGCGCAGCTCAATACTTCCAAAGGTCGGTGGTTGCGAACTGTGAACAGAGTGACCTTTTGGAGGATGCTAGGGAGGGATTCAGGAATTAAAATTGGTTTTATGCCTGTAAAAAAGGTGGTGTTGTACATAGGTAGTGAGTGGGGTGTGTCTATACTTGTCAAAAGTAGTAAGGATGTGGTGCGGTATGGACTTGGCCCAGTGTGGTTTCCCCTGCAGCAACGCGTGGCGAATTCCACTGGAACTGGTTCAAATGAGAGCAGGTGATGCCGATAGGGTTTGAGGCCTGTGAGAGAATTTTAATGCTAGTATGTCTTTATTAATAGAATTTTGATACTCGATTTAAAGATGGTAATTCTAGCTGAATAGAATATTGGTGGTTTTTGTGTAAGAAAAGGATACTTGTGATTATAGTCGAAACACAACACCGTAGAACTCTTGTTGGGTCTATACGTGGGATAATACATTGGTATAGCTTGTTTTATCCTATACTGATGATAATTTTTTGTGTTTATTGAAAAATTAGTAAAATTTAAGAAATCGAGACTGTGAGTAGTCCTCAAAAGTGTTCTCATTTTTTAAAGAACTAAATGGCATGGGATATATTCCTCGAAGACCGCAAGTCATCTTATCAGAGGATTCACAGATGGATTAGCCAGTAATTCCAAATGTCACTGTACTTTACTGTGGAGTAATTCTTATTGTGAATTAATTCTCAAAGTTGCAATTAATACCCGACTATTGTTACATCACTCGGCGATTCCTTTAAAAGGTATATTGGCCAAGATATTCTCTTCACTAATACTCCATGCTCGACGAACAGGCCCCGAGCAGTTCTAATGAAGAGAATCCGACTAGTTCGATCGGGGGTCGTTTTCAAGTTTGGAATTGTCGAGTGACCAACATTTAGCCATAGTAATTATAAGCTTAGGCTTCACAAAACATGAAGCAAAGCTCCTGAAAAGAAGATCTGGTATCTAGGTGTTATTATACTTTTTACATATGTGAAAAATGTTCAAAAATTCTCACTAGATGAGACTCCAGCTCCCAAATAGCTAGCCAGTATAAGCCGAGTAGACTTTTAATCCTATTGGAATGGAAAAAATTACCTTCCTTACGATGGAAAAGTGAAAAATGATAATTCAAAATTCGTGTCTTGTCTACCACTGGATTGCCTAATTTTCAAAATCCTCAATTCAAAGTTACAGTGGCCGAGTGGTTAAGGCGACACCCTGCTATTAGCGGTTTAGGTGTTGGGTTTTACCTGCGCAGGTTCGAATCCTGTCTGTGACGATATTTTTTTGAACTCCGCACCAATTTTTGATCTAATCAACGATTTCTCCATCCACTCATGATTCATTAATTGAACCTATTCCTCTTCCCATCATCTAACAATTGTACGCTGTCATGTCGCAATCGTTGATAATATTTCGGAGCTCCGGCAAGATCGAGTATCAGTACAACACCAAGACTAATCCGTTCAACGAGTTCATATATACCTTAGTGAATGAAACCAGCATTGAGTTGGATGCCAACTTCTATACCGCCAGTTTGCACCAAAAGCGGTTCTACTGCTACAAGAGAGAGTCTGTGTACGCAGCGCTTTATTTCGATGCCGTCACCACTCTTGATGGTGACAAGGTCAAGAGCACATTACAGGGCATATTGAAGACTTACAACAAGCTCCACGAAGACGAAGACGAAGATGTGGATAAGTTAAAGAAGTTGGTGGAGTTGCAGTTCAATAAGCTCATGAAGATTAAACTGGCTGAGCCCACCAAGCCTAGATCTGCCACTCCAAGTGGCGCAAGCACTCCCATCCGTAAGCCAGGAACGCCGGTCCCCAAAACACCGTTATCCAACAAGAAAATGAGGAAGTGGGATGGTGACCAGATTTCGTCGGCCCTGGGAAATTCCAAGACCCTCGACTACTCCGCTGCCGACGATAGCAGCCACGCCGTGGGCGACACCAGCCAGTACTTGGCAGACGATTCAGCCTTTGTCAAGGAAAATGAGTTGGTGTTGGTCAACGAGTTGAACGACATCTTGGGCGAATCAGACGACGAAGAAGAGGAAGCTGAAACCTCTAGTAAAAAGGGCTTTTTGGGCAAATTGACATCATACTTTGGAAGCAACATAGATGTGAACGAGGTGTCGAAGAAGTTCCAGGACCAATTGGTGTCAAAAAATATTGCACCAAGCACTGCAAAGACCATCATAGAGAAGATTCAAAATAACTTCTCCTCCAAGAAGAATGTCACCATGCCAATGTACAAGCAAGCGTTGACGGACGAATTGACCAAGATCTTGACCCCTAATGTTTCCACAGACTTGCTCTACGACATAAAGCGGAATTCTGGCTCCTCAAATAGAGCATATGTCATTTCAGTGGTGGGTGTCAATGGGGTTGGTAAGTCTACTAATTTGGCCAAATTAGCATTTTGGTTCTTGCAGAATAACATGAGTGTGTTGATCTGTGCCTGTGACACCTTCAGATCTGGTGCTGTCGAGCAGTTAAAGGTGCATGTCAACAACTTGAAGAACTTGACGTCGTCGGATGCCTCGTCCAAGATCGATATCTTCGAGAAGGGGTACGGGAGTGGAGACCATGTGGTGGCCACCGCCAAGCTGGCGATCCAACATGCCACTGAACAGCAGTACGATATCGTGTTGATCGATACTGCTGGAAGAACGCACTCGAACGCCAAACTCATGGCTCCGTTGAAGAAGTTTGGTGATGCAGCTAACCCCGACAAGATTATAATGGTTGGTGAGGCATTGGTGGGAACCGACTCGGTGGAGCAAGCTATCAATTTCAACAATGCATTTGGAAACAGGAGAAGCTTGGACTTCTTCATCATCTCCAAGGTGGATACTGTGGGAGACTTGGTGGGGACCATGATCAACATGGTGATGGCAACCAAGGTTCCGATATTGTTTGTGGGTACGGGCCAGACTTACACAGACATCAAGAGGCTAAGTGTGAACCGGGTGGTGGAGATGTTGATGAGCTAGCTGGGTGGAATCTGTATAAATAGAGTGAATGTACGAGTAGCGAGGACGTTTGTAGGGGATGCTTTTACACAGACGAAGATGTCAGACACTGAGACTGGTAATGAAAATATTAGAGGTCAATACTGCAGTGTGATGACCCTATAAGCTAGGTACAAGTAAATGGAAGTAGTTATAGTCCGAATTTACTTTGGAAAGGAGTAACCGAGTACTTGACATTAAATTATCCATTCATCTGACTTAACAATCGAAGGAAGCTACATTGAACGATGCTACGCAATGCAAGCCATACGACCTTTGAAATCAACGCTATTTGGCTCAAACCAGTGATGCCATACCTGCTACTAACTGTAAGTACCACCAATATACACCGCTGTGGAAAATCCCGTAGCATCAGGCTATCCCATACCACGATCTTACACGCAACCTAAACTATACCACCGCGCACTGCCTCCCTACGCTCGCCCGCGGGCCCCACACTCCCGCCAAGTCCCCCCTGGCTCCCATGACGGCTCCCCGCGCACATGGCCATTTACTACCGCCAGGCACCACCTGTCCTGCAGCGATTGCGAAATACTTTCAATCACATCTTCTGGTCCTTATCAGCCAGTGCTGGATCCACCACACTGCACCACCACCCACCGCCATGAGATTCATCCGGAAATCCCGTGGGACGGGACTTCCGCCAGACCACCAGTTGTACGTCAAAATTAATGCCAACAGGGCTGCCGATTTGGTGCCTGGCGTGGGTCACAGCAAAGATGACACCGTTGCCGCCATGGGGCCATCATCGTCTCGCAAGGCAATCAACCCGTGCTTGGTAGCCCTGATCAACACTGCCAAGAAGAGGACTGCCCGCAAGCTCAACACCAACCAGCCCAGTTGGAACGCTGAGATCTCGCTTCCGTTGAACCACGGCGACTACTCCCAGACGTTGGTGTTGACGGTGTGGGACAAGCACAAGCGCTACAAGAACTACTTGGGTGAGCTTCGGGTGTGTTTGGGCGAGTTGTTCTACTCTGACGGCAAGTTCCACAGCACCACCGACTTGAAGTGGCACAAGCTCTACTCCAACAAGCAGCAGCACAGCTTCGTCACCGGCTCGCTATTGGCGTCGTTTGAGTTGGTGGTCAAGAAAATTAGGGCCAAGAAGTGGCGGAAGAGGGACAGGCTCAGACTAAAGGGCCCTGAAAAGCTCTGTACAAACGACAAGAACGAGCTGAAGCCCACGACGACCCCTGGCATCGTGGTGGTCCCGCCCAGCCGCAGTGGCACGGCTGTAGACATGGCTATGCTGGATGGCGTCTCCTTGGACCCCAATTCCGAAGAGAATCCTTCCAATGCCTCGTCAGATAGCATCGCATCCAAGGAATTGAGCTCCCAGCTCAATTCGATGGATATTGCCGATATCACAGCAGTCGCCGTGGAAGCCCCAGAGTCCACCAAGAAAGTCATTTTTGACAAGTGGCTTCGTTCTGTCATATACTCAAGCCCTGGTCCAGGCACAACTCCCGATGACCAGGGATTTTATTCCGATACCAACGAAGTTGCAGCTACCGCAGATGTCTCGGATATCGAATCTATTGTGACCTCCAAGAGCGAACTGGCGCCTTCAGAGCAGCCTGAACCTGCCAAAGCTTCTCCCGAGAACAGCAAGTGGTTGGGTGTTTCTTTGGACGTGGCAGACGCAAGCTCAATGTCAGATGCCTCCATGTTGTCGTCAGACGGTCCAACAGACTCCGCCGATACCTCGAAGCCAAAGCTGAGGAAGAAGTTGACATTGCTCAAGAAATTAAAAAGGCAGCAGTCGGGAAAGTTCGAACTCAGTAACAGAAAGGTGTTAGGAGTATTATTCATTGAAATTATTTCATGCTCCGACTTGCCTCCTATACGAAACCTCACGAGGACTTCTTTCGACATGGACCCTTTTGTGGTTGTGACTTTTGGACGGAAAACCTTCAGGACTAGCTGGAAACGCCATAATCTCAATCCCATCTTCAACGAGAGATTGGCTTTTGAAATATTATCCCACGAGGCCAATTTTAACATTCAATTCAATGTTCTCGACAAGGATCATCTTTCCTATCACGATAAAGTGGCAGATATCACCTTACCAATGAATGACTTACTTGACATGGTAGACGCTACCAGAGAGACTCCAGCTTCATTCATGCCATTGGGGGGCGAATCGGATACTGAAATGACCGAGGGACCAGATGAGAGTACAAATGGAAAGAGTTTGAATTTTGATCTCCCTGGGAAAGGGTTTGAGACTACGTCTGCACGAGTATCTGGTGCAATTCCAAGCGCAGCAAGTGACTCACAGAATTCAAGTATTCAGATTCTCGAGGGCGACAACATGGTTCAACATGTCAAGAAGAAGAAGTTTATGAACCGTAAAAAGATCACATATGCATATGCCGATACTTCCAAGTTCAAAACCATGAACTTAGCGTTGAAGCTAGAGAATGAAAAGTTACAAGGTAAATATAACCCACAGTTAAAGGTTAGGGTGCGTTTCGAAACTTATGAGGAATTGAGGCGCAAATTTTGGGGGCGTTTACTTGAGCAGTTCAGTCTCAATGATTCAGAATCGTACGATTATTTTGAGTTGATGTCTTTGTTGGATACACTTGGCTGTGTCAACAGTGATGAATTAGTAGCTTCGTTCTATGAATCGTACCAGAAGTCCCCCTGGGGAGGTGATTTGTTAACTCATGATCAAATTATTGACAGTTTGGAGTCACATATTGCGGAGGAAAATGCTATCAATCTGAGTTCTAAAATTTTCGAGATTGAAAGGTGCCCAATTTGTCTTCAAAAACGTTTCTCAAAGAAGCAAGATCTTGACATTGTAACTCACTTCGCAATCTGTGCATCCAAAGACTGGAGTATTGTCAATAAGCTCTTAGTTTCGTCATACGTTACTCCCCAAATTGCTACGAAAAAATGGATCAGTAAGTTTTTGATCAAGTTGACTTATGGTACCTACAAATTGGGTGGTAACTCTGCTAATATCTTAGTTCAGGATAGAACTACTGGTATCATCATGGAAGAAAAGATGGGCATTTATATTAGACTTGGAATTCGCTTATTGTACAATGGGTTGGACAAAGCAAAGTCAAGAAGAATCAGAACAATTTTGAAGAAGATGAGTTTGAAGCAAGGCATCAAATTTGATAGTCCAAGTTCGAGAAATGACATCGAGTCGTTTGTAAAGTTCCACAAATTGGACATGAGCGACTTCAAACAAGAGGATATCACCAAGTATGCGACTTTCAATGAGTTCTTCTACAGAGAATTGAAGCAAGGAGCTAGACCGCTAGAGGGTAAAAAAGAGTACTACTCTAAAATCATGACCTCTCCAGCTGATTCTCGTTGTGTAGCCTTCAGCAACATTGACGATGCCACTGAATTCTGGATCAAGGGTAAAAACTTTACCATTGCGAAGTTATTCAATGGTAATTTCAATAATCTCGAAAATACAGACCTATTCAAGCTGTCAACTTGCTCGTTGGGTATTTTCAGATTAGCACCTCAAGATTACCACAGGTTTCATTCTCCAATAGATGGAAAGATTGGGAAGATAAAATACATTGATGGTGAGTACTACACAGTAAATCCCATGGCTATTAGATCCGACTTGGATGTGTTTGGAGAGAACGTTCGGGCAATCATCCCAATTGAGACAGAAGAATTTGGTACTGTGATCATGATACCTGTGGGAGCGATGATGGTTGGTTCGATTGTGCTTACGAAGGAAGAAAATCAACACGTCAAAAAGGGCGAAGAGATGGGATATTTCAAGTTTGGAGGAAGCACCATCATCGTATTGGTGGAATCCAAGAATTTCCGGTTCGATTCTGATTTGCTCAACAATTCCTTGACTTCTGTGGAGACGCTTGTGAGAGTGGGACAGAGTGTAGGACACTCCAACGATATACCAGAAGTCACCAGAGATAAGATTGATTTCGACAAGCAATCCAACGACTTCAAGGTCAATTTGATTAGAGTGTTGACCGGAGGAGATCTAAGCGATAAGCACGAATTGAGCAACTGGGAAAGTTCCAATTTGAAGATCACTGGCGGCGACCTTGAGCAGATAGCGAATGAGGACGAGGAACTAGGGGAGTTCGATAGCTATGACGAGGAAGACGAAATTGACGAAGAAGAGGAGGAGGAGCAAGAAGCCAAACCTAACGGAATTTAACCATATAGTCCACATTTTGCAGACAGGGGCAGTCTCTGGGCAGTCATTCATCGAAATGGAGTACATCCAGCTTACCCATTTCACTATATACGTAGCGTAATACGCACTTTACATTACACATTGATTAGCATTCATACATTCTTGGGACAATTACACACACACCATCACCACCTGGACAGGAGCGATTCGTGAATGCGCTGGTTGCTGATGGGAACCAACACCTCACTCTCGGAGAGGCCCTGGGCCTCCTCCAAGAGCTTGACGTGCCACCCTAGGTAGTTTACGTTGTGCTTGAGATCATCAACGTCATCATACTTGGACTGTACATAGGCAGGGAATACCACAAACCGAGCGATTATGGGAGGAAGGGCTAGGCCCGTGAGTAGACCGATAGCAGTGGGGGTTTTGAGTAGAGCAGACATGGATTAGATAGCTGACTGTGTAGCACGTAGAGTGATAGAAGTTTACAAATGAGATTCCAGTGGCAATGGCAAGGGGCGTATAAATAAGAATGTGACGGTGGAGAAATCCGGGGTATAATGTGGGGTGACCGGAAAAAGCAGGGAGAAATCAGGGCTTGTTCCAGTTAGCTACGCCGATTTTGGCTGCACGGTTGCTAGTCAGAACACGATGGGAGATAGCCGAGGCACAGATGATAGTTTCAGTGACTAGTGTGGTAGTGATAGAGTTTTTGGCTGCGATGCCATCGGGTTTGGTAGAACACAAAGGCTTGGAATAGTAAACTGAGAGCAATGTAATAAGACAGATAGTAATGGTATAGTTCTTCGAGCGACCTGTTGGACACAGAGGACTGCTAACGAATTATTTACTGAATGAGGCGTTGTTGTATTGTTCTGGTGCTATTAGTTTGCTGAGAGTGTTTGGGTCCGAAAACGGATCAGAAACCCCCACATCAGTGTCAGAATTGGTAGTTTACGAACGAGCAGGGTAAGAAACCGGCAGTCTGGATAACTTAACTTTTAGCACACTAGCTCAGGCTTTTTCTTCACCAGCTAAATGCATTTCTCTGTTGCCTTCCATAATATTAGACTACTTCTCAGCCACCCATAAATTGTTACTAGAGATTTTATCTCAGCAAACACAAGTGGTGGTAGAACCACAGAATTAAAAGCCATCCCGAGGTGAGATTAATCCTGCCACACTCCCCTACAACGATCTAATCCTACTCTGTATATTACACTATCCCTATTGTCCCCCGTATAACTTTCTCCATTCGTCAATCTTCTTCTCGTCAATTCTCTTGAACAAGTATTGGGCCTTGCCGATGTTGTGGCCTCCTTCCAAGACCAACTCAAATTGGTTGGTAATGGACAAGTCTGGAGCATTCAAGATTTGCGAGATCTGTTGTCTGGTCTCTGGCATGAATGGACAGATGAGCGCACTGACCAAGTAAATCAAGTTCAAACCAACACCAACAACCGCGTCGGACTTCTCAGGAGTGTTGTCATACAAACTGTTGTCCAACTTGTTATCTTGCAAGAATTGGTTACCACGCGAACTGACAGCCATGGCGATTTCCAAACCCTTTCTCAAGCTGACAGCCTCCATAGTGTTGATGTAGGACTTCAACAATTCATTGACATCCTTTTCAAATTGAGCGTAGTTTGGAATGTGTTTGGTATCGTACTGTGGAATCACACCATTGTACTTGGCAATAGTAAACTTCACCAATCTGTTGACAAAGTTACCCAAGTTGGCCAACAATTCAGAGTTGTTCTTAGCAACGAACTCATCCCAAGAGAAATGGGAGTCAGACGATTCAGGTCTAATGGACGAAAGGTAGTATCTCCACACGGATGGAGACACACCAGTTTCCTTAGCGTTGTTACCGAACACACCAACACCTCTGGACTTAGAGAACTTACCACCTTCGTATTGTAAGTACTCAGTGGTGCTCAAGTGGTGCAACTTGGTGTAGTTGTCTTTGGTACCAATTTCAGAAGCTGGGAAAACAACAGTGTGGAATGGGACGTTGTCCTTACCCATGAATTGGTACAAGTCGACGTTTTCTGGGTTCTTCCACCACTTGAGCCAGTCATCCTTGGTAGCAACCTTAGAGCCACCTTCGTAGGCTTCCTTGAAGTAGTTGGCAGTGATGGAGATATAGCCAATGGTAGCATCAAACCACACATACAAAACCTTGTCTTCGTAACCCTTCAATGGTACTGGAGTTCCCCAAATCAAGTCTCTGGTGATACATCTTGGTTCCAAACCTTGCTTCAACCAAGAGTTGGTAATGGTCTTAGCGTTCTTGGACCATTCTCCCTTGGCAGATGCCTCCTCAAACCATTGCTTGACTTCACCTTCCAATTCGTTCAATTTGAGGTAGATATGGGTAGATTCTCTGACAACAGGACTGGCTTGGTCAACCTTACAACGAGGGTTGATCAATTCCAATGGGTCTAACAAGCTACCACACTTGTCACATTGGTCTCCTCTGGCATCATCGTAGCCACACTTTGGACATTCACCTTCCACGAATCTGTCAGCCAAGAAGGACTTGTGGGTTTCACAGTACAACTGCTCGGTGGTTCTTTCTTCTAAGTAGCCGTTGTTGTAGAGCTTGGTGAAGATATCTTGGGNGATTTCCGTCTGCAAGGCAGTGGTGGTTCTACCGAAGTGGTCGAAGCCAATGTCAAACCAGTCGTAGACCTCCTTGTGCAACTTGTGGTACTTGTCACACAATTGTTGAGGGGTGACCTTTTCTTCAAGAGCCTTGGTTTCAGTGGCAGTACCGTATTCGTCGGTACCACAGATGTACACAGCGTTGTAGTTTCTGTTCTTAGCGTATCTAGAGTAGATATCGGCAGACAACACAGATCCGATGATGTTACCCAAATGGGGGACGTTATTCACGTATGGCAACGCAGAGGTGATCAAGATGTTTCTTTCGTTTTCCTTTGGCAAGATGCTTTCGTCCTGGGATTTGACGAGGAAGTCCTTTCTGTAGTTCTGCTCACCTGTGTTGGTGGCCTTTTGTCTCTCGACCTTAGTGATGGAGTGGGCGTGCTTGATACCTGCTGCGACCTTGTCGGACTTGGAGAAGGCGGCAATCCACTCGAGCAATGGCGACGAGCCTGACTCGCTGGCAAGCGCTGGGTAGACGGATGAGAACACGGCGATTTGCTCGGCAGTAGGCTTGGAAGCGTCGAACGACGACTGGGCCACGATTTCTTCACCCAAGCGCTTGATGTCTGCTTGGGCGTTGGACTTGACGGCACGGTACAACGCAGACTCCTCAGTCTTCCAGGCAGCAGAGGCGGCGAAGTCGCCTGCCAAGTACCTGACAATGGCGTTTGGCTCCACGAGCTCGAATCCAGACTTCTTGTCTTTCAACCCCAACGCTTCGTCTGGGTTGAGCTCGACCTGGGTTTTGGTGAAGATGCTGGCAGCGATGGAAAGCTTCAAGTTGGCAGACAAGTCTGCGGCGGTAGAGCCTTTCGACCCGTAGATCTGGATGGTAGCCATGGTGGAGATGTGCTGGAAACGATTAGTGAAAGATGATTTTGGAGACGCTCACAAAAAAATGCTAATTTTCGCAGGTTGAGTCATCACAGGTGAAGCTGGGGTGGTGGCAGTAGAGCCATAGTTACGTTTGAGCAAGATGAATGAGAACCGCATCGAGGACTGGAACGGTAAGACAATTCCTTATCATGCAGTAGGGACTGTAGATCGTCGTTTGAAGCTGTAGATCAGCTGTGGAAACTGTTACATCAGCAGTGAAGTAATGAGAAACTGCGAAAGTAGAGAGAAACTAGTGAGAACCTGCTAAATACAAGAAGTAGTACCCTCCCAATCACATATGAGAACCCCCATCTACACGCGGATACGAACGGCTCCCTGGGCAGCGTCCAGAGCCATGGCCCACGATGCGTGGAACTCGTTAGTGTCCCGAAGAGTGGCGGACGCCACACCACCAGAATCGCCAGAAACGACAACCGGCAGCCAATTGCAAGGCACCACGTTCGCCGTCAAAGACAACATTGCTACCACGGCAGAAGCAACCACTGGTGGCTCCCGCACTCTAGAAAGCTACACCAGTCCTTTTGCTGCCACGGTGGTGCAGCTCCTCGAACAAGAGGGCCTGGCCATGGTGGGCAAGGCCAACCTCGACGAGTTTGGCATGGGCTCTTCCACCACTAACAGCTGGTTTGGCACCACCACCAACGCACGCTATGAGAACGACGTTCGAGTGGCGGGAGGCTCTTCTGGTGGGTCAGCGTCTGCAGTGGCTGCCAATTTGGCCACCTTCAGCTTGGGAACGGACACCGGTGGATCAGTGAGACTACCTGCCAGCTATTGCGGAGTAGTGGGGTTCAAGCCATCATACGGCCGTGTCTCGCGATGGGGAGTGATTCCGTACGCCCAGACATTGGACACGGTGGGAATATTGGCAAGGGACATCGACACCGTGCTGCGAGTGTTTGGGGTGCTAGATCGCCACGATCCCAAGGATCCCACGAGCATTACCACCGAAGTGCGTGGGAAAATTGCCAAAACAACCCCCAGCACCAGCTACACCTTTGGTGTGCCCAGCCAGCTTATCGTGCAAGAATTGTCCCCCGAAGTCATTGATCAGTGGACTTCTGTGTTGGAAAAATTGCAAGAGCAGGGCCATAAAATTCGCCAAGTTTCACTTCCCAGCATCAAGCAACTGCTTCCAGCATACTACACTCTAGCCACCGCAGAGGCAGCCTCGAATCTTTCTAGGTATGATGGTGTACGTTACGGCCATTCGGCAGAGAGTGCACCCTCGCCCACCGAGTTGATAACTGGCAATAGACACGATGCATTCGGTCCAGAAGTACAAAGAAGAATCCTCTTGGGCAACTACACCTTATCTTCAAGCTCAGGCGACCACTATTTGCGTGCAACAAAAATCCGCGAGCAGTTGGTGCACGAGTTTAATGAGATCTTCAACGTGCCTTCAGTGCTATTTGCAGACGCAAAGCCGGTTCAGACTGACAATTGTGACTTTTTGATATCACCTACGGCATTTGGGCCTCCTCCCACAGTGGAGGAGTATTTGAAGAAGAACGAGGAGAATTTCTTGAACACCTATATTAATGACTTGATGACAGTGCCTGCATCGTTGGCAGGAATTCCCGCCGTTTCTATACCTTTGAATGAGACGGGTATACAGATTATGGGACAATTTGGTGATGACGAATCGGTCCTTGCAGTTGCCAAGGATTTGATGGAGATGTTTGAGTAGGACCTGGACGCTGAGAGTTTTCAGTTAAGTATTTGCCAGGGGTAATGCATCCATACTGATTTGCAGACATCGGAATTCCTGAGGAGCATTATGTTAATGAGAACCATAATCTAGAATGAATTCCGAATTACTTTTGAGTCTCTACCCAAAAATGGGCAGTAGAACGTTAATTAGTTTATGCGCTCGCAAGCAGCATACTCTTAGGGCAAACTATTCCTATTAATTCTTCTCTGTATATTGTAAATAGACAAGTAACCACAAAAACTTAATACTGATATCCAGAATTAAGTAACTAAATATATTGTAGCATTACATCTGCCAGGGTTCCAATCAAGCACTGCTTTGTACTCAAGAGAAATTAAAAACTTGCGAGAACAGCAGTTGAAAAGATAAGCACTATTGTAATATCTAAGTTTGGAATGGATTTACCAAACCATATCAGGTGAATATGTTGAAGTTTCAGATTTCGTTTCCAAATGACATTTTGTATTAGTTCATTGTGCTACAACAGTGCGCAGTAATTTGCTTCCAGTGAAATACCTCGCCCCAGCAATTTCTCTGAACGGTAAGAATTACCCGCATTACGACAAACGGACTACATGTGCTGATCTAGCTTCTTTGGTCTGCATTGTTTGCTGCTCGCTGGCCACTATATACTATGAGGTTGAAAATCATAACGTCATTAAATGAAAAGAATTAAACGTGATAATGCAATAGGCAGAAAGGCAGGAACAGTTGATGTTCCTGCCCACATTTGTCCCGACATTACCTTCTTCGAGCAAGGTCAAGAACTCATAAAGATATGAAATAAGAAAGTCCATGAATAAATCGAGTCGAGTCCCGAAATGGCGAGATTAACTGAGAAGTACCAGCAGATCTCTCCCGTCCCGAGCTAGTCAAAAACTCTACTTTTGTGTGAAATCACTTCCTCCCGAGCAAGGTCAAAAACTCTTCTCTGGTTTTTTGCTGGTCCCTAAAGCACCCCAACATACAGCTGGTGGTGGTCGAGGATCCCGTCTTCTGGACCCCTCTGCTGACCATACACATGTGGGTGGCCTCAATGACCACAGCCACGCCTCGAGGCCTCAAGATTTCGCTGAGGGCCATGGCTATCTGTTTGGTGAGTCTCTCTTGGACCTGGAACCGTCTGGAGTACATTTCCGCCAACCTGGCGAGCTTGCTCAAACCCAACACCTTCTTGTTGGGAATGTAGGCGATATGGGCCTTGCCAAAGAACGGAACCAAGTGGTGCTCACACAACGAGTACACCTCGATGTCTCTGACAATCACCATTTCGTCGTGGTCCTCCTCGAACACGGCTCTCTTGATCACATCACGGATGTTGTCCTCGTATCCCTTGGTGAAGTACAACATGGCTCTGGCGTATCTTTCGGGGGTTTCCAAGAGCCCTTCACGGGAGGTGTCCTCTCCCAACTCCACCAAAATGGTCTTGACAGCTTCAGCAATGCGCTGCTCACGGGCCTTGGCCTCCTCGGGAGACTGCTCAATGCGGTCTCTTGCCCCCTGCGAGGGCCACGATAACCCATCGCTGTCTATGGGAGGGTTTAATGTGTATGGAGAAGCGACTCTCGTCAGCAAAGGCGAGTACGCGTTAGCCAAGCCGGAACTGCCGGTGAGTTTCGACTTCTTGATGGGCAAGATAGGCTTGGGAGAGAAGGTGCCATTGATGGCCTCGTCTTGGGAGCTCTTGACGGGGATGTCTTCAGCCATGGTGAAAGAATCTGAATTGATAAGCATTGTGGAGAGCACCAAATTTTTCAAGGTGAGAGGTCACCCCACGTGATGTCATTTAATAGTTATGCGGTACGAGTCATACAGAAAGCGCGATAGAAGAAGAATATAAATAGATTATTTAGGCGCCCGAAGCTCGCGCCGTGGAATATGAAGATTAGTATGTGTGGTTGTAGTCTGGGACGTTATTGATCCAGTTATTGGTCGTCGGCAAAAGGATTCAACACGCGCACCGTCAAGCATGGGAGCGCCATGCCGATTTCGGCTCGGATCAACACCGGAACCTGGTGCAATTCCTTGATCACTTGAATGTACGAATCGCCCTCGATTCTGGTGGTGAGGTTCAGCAAGTATGGCGCCAAGCCGTTGAAGGAGTCGCTGGAGGCGTCGTTCATGATGACCGATGACGAGTTAGTCCTGGTATTCTTGGGGAACGAGTTCTGGGTGGGCGACGAGGGCATGGACCTCGTGGAGTCCTTGCCATCACTGCCGTCCTCGTTACTGGAGGTAAATCCAGGAACAGTGACCTTGGGTGGGTCCAAGTTGAGTTTGGCCAACTTTTCCACGATTGAATCGGTGGTGAAGTTGTTCTTCTCCAAGATTGTCTTGTTTTGAATCTTGGCTGCTTGCAAGGCAGAAGTTCTGTACTTGTTCTTAATGGAGTTTCTGTAAGATAACGAGGATTGTTCATCTGGTGGAATGTAGGTGGCAGCATCAACTCCCTTTTCCCAGAACAACTCCAAGATACGTTCTCCCTTGTCGAACTCGGCTTTAACCAATGGAAGTTGATCTCCATGGACTCTCTTCTCAACACCAAATTCGGGGATGAAGACATCAAATGAAGATTCATAAACTTGAACAACTGTACCCATAACCAACAACTGACCAGCACTTTCACTCATTTCGTTGATAGTTTGAGATAACAATAAATGAATGGCCTGTTCTTGGGCATTGGCAGCACAGTCCTTCTTGAAATTACAGTAATCTGCAATAGCCTTCAAAGAATCAACGTCCTTTTCTTCTTCAACCTTATTCAACACAGCTTTCAATTGTCTATGCACGATAAGATCTGAGTATCTTCTTAATGGTGCAGAAAAGTGGGTATACAATGGTAAGTTGAAGTAATAATGACCAAAGCTCTCAGGATCTTGTTTTCCAGCAACATAGTACTTTCCCCTGGACATACACTTGTATAACAAGGTCTCAACACTCTGTCTTTTCACTGGGTCTTCAATCTTTAAAATAGAATTCTGTAAGGTAGAGGCGTTGGTAGTGTCAATCTTGAAACCCAAGTTTGTAGCCTTTCTGACGAAAGTCTCCATTTTCTGCAAAGTTGGTAAAGGATGACGACGCAAGAACGCTTGATCGCCCAATCCAGCATGAACTTTAGCAGCAATGGCATTATTGACCTTGTGTGAGATTTCAGCAATGACATCGAAAGCTAAACTGTCTTTGAATACATTTAAATTCAATCTAACCTTTTCGTCATCAAGCTGGTCTAACAATGTCAAGTTTGGAGCGATACCCAATTCACGGTTATCCAAACGTTGACGACGGAACTCCTTTGCAATCAAGCTGAAAGTCTTGATATAATCGGAGGTGGCAGAAGAGATACTTTCCACCGAAGTACCTTCCAAAATTGTGTCGAATGAATCATAGTTCACCAATTGCTTAGGAACAATTATGGATTCATGAATGTATAAGTCCTCAACTTCAAAATTGGTGGTATCGATTTCAAAGACCACAGAAACTGCCAAATTGCGTTCGTTTTCTTTGAACGAAAGTACATCATTAACCTGTTTAGGATACAAATGAGTGACCTTCTGAGGCAAGAAAACGGAGGTAAATCTCTTTTTAGCCTTTCTGTCCAAAGTAGAACCAGGTTGAATGAAATAGGAGATGTCCGCGACGTGGAATCCCAACTCAATCTTGGTATTCGACAATCTTTTCACGTGTAACGCGTGGTCAACAAACTCGTTGGTTTGGGTGAAGGCAATGATGTAATCATTCAAGAATTCAACCCTTTCCGAGTTCTTCAACTCCGGGTCTATTGAAGGAATGTCATAAGTGTTAGTCGAGGTGATATCGTCATCTGGATACTCGTCACACAAGAAGTTGTTGTCTCTTAAGATCGAATCAATTTCAGTAGAGGCATCTTCAATCTTACCCAATTTGCTGACCAAGGTACCAAATGGATGCAATGAGGTGATTGGCCATCTTTTGATTGAGGCAACAAACAATTGGTCAGCGTACCTTTCATGGTTTTCAACAAAGTCCTTGGGTGCTTGATCGGTTGGAATTGCAATCAAAGGGACCTTTTTGTCAGTTGGCTTGAACCAAACAATCTTTGGAGCCTTTGGAGTTTGAACAGACGACTCTCTGCCACTTTTTTTGTCCTTAGCAGCTTGGGCAGCCTGCGCTGGTCTTAACAAACCTAAGGTACCTGCAAACAATTGGCCTGGGATACGGTCAACCACGGCAACGACATGCCCAGCATATAATGGTTTGATGTCGTCGTTGATTTCTTCTTCCTCGACCAATAATAAGGATTGACCTTCGACTTCGACGTCATCGTTCTTCTTCATGGTAGGTCTTTGCTTCAACGAACCTCTTCTACCCAAGCCGGTACCAGATTCACCTTCTTGGTTATCGTCGTTAGTACCTGGTAAACCCAAGTTGTCGGTGGTGGGTGCAGAGGTGGCATCGTTATGGATATCGTCATTGAGGACGGAAGTGCTGGGAGATTTTGAGTTCAAGGTGTTGTCCTTTCTTCTCTTCTTTTCTTCTTTTTCTTTCTTAGATTCCCACACTTCATCGACGACCAATAACTCAACTGCAACCAAATCACCTTCCAATGCACGGTTACGGTCCTTCGAGCCACAAATAAAGATATCTGCGTCCAACAAGCCGTCCGTAGACACGTAAGCATCGGATCTATTTTTTTTGTTCACTCTCAAAGTTCCGGTCACCAAGCGGCCCTCGTTGATAAGTTCAGGCAAGGAGGATTGTGGTAAGTATGGAGCAAAAAGGGACTTACGCCCGTTGGAGTTGTTGTTGTTGCCTCCCGAGTTGTTGTTGGGGATGAAGTGGGACAACGAGGAGACAGAGCCACCTCCGTATGAGCTGTTGCGGTGCTTATGACCAGGAGTGAAGGAAGACTGGGGAGGTTCTAATGTAGAGGATTGTCTTTGGTGACTGCCACTTCCATTGCCCTGCTGAGATCTCCAGTTGGTGTTCATGTTGGCAGCGCCATTAGGATCGAAGTTTCTGGAGTTGGTTCTATAATGAGACGCGCGTCTCTGGTGGCCTCTTTCTGGGCTCTGGGTGATTGTGAAGTTTGGGGTGGGGGGCAACAAATTGTCGGGAGAGGCCGAGGCCGAAGGTCCGGAAGGAGGGAACTGGAACGATTGCTGACCATAGGCCAAGGACTTGGAGCGGTTATGCGAGTTGGGAGGAGGGCTGGCGGAGTCGCTGCTGTCGATCGCCTCTGGCGACCCGCCTGCTGGGAACTTGAACGAGCCAATGGTGTCGTTTTCGTTGGCATTGGTGGGGGTGGAAGGACTGAACGTGGTTCTATTGCTCTGTCTCTGGGACGCTGCGGCCTTGATGGCCTCGTTCAAGCCCAACGAGTGTCTTCTGGCGTGGCCAGGGCCGGATGCTGACCCTGTTCTTCTGTGGCCGCCAGCTGGAGCGGCGGACGAGGTGGACGACGACGAACGGGAATGCGAGCGGAAGCCGGATGGAGGGGCCAATTCGGGCGCCATTGGCTGGGGAGGATAGGTGAACTGGCGTGGCGGCTGTTGCTGTTGGGCAAACTGCTGCTGCTGCAAGATTTGCTTTTGCTGGGCCTGCACCTCCTCCAATTGGCGCTGGAGGTTGTACTGTTCGACCATCAAGGTGGTCAACTCACTGGGCGAGCGCCGATGGGCGATGTGGAGGTTCTTGGGCTTCTTAAGCGACCCCAGCGTGGACAAGCTGTCTTTGTCGGCCATGGCGGCTAAAGGGCAATTGAACAAGGAGGGTGGAGATGGGGACGACGGATGGGTGCAACCACGGAGACGAAGGTGTATGTAGACCAGATGTACCCTTGATTAATCCAATTGATGGTAGCACATAAAGGAGACCGTCAGGAAAAAGGGATGACTGGAAAAAGTGGCCTTGACTCCTCAAATGTTGCTCATAAAAAACTGGCGCGGGACGACCTCTATTAATAGAGGGGGGTAGTGAGAAGTGGCCAGCGAGGGGTGGTGGGAGAGGGTAGCGAGAGGTGGGAAGAGGTGGGAAGAGGACAGCGAGAGGGTAGTAAGAGGAGGTAGTACTGGTAGTGGTAGTAGGGATGTTCTAGTCGTGATAGCGGTGGTGGTGGTTCTAGTCCCGGTAGTGCACTACAGGTGGTGGTGCCTGTGAATTACGTAGTGGATACCGGTGTGCTCTCGCCACCCGTGCACTGGGCTACGTCTCGCCACGTCAACTGCGAGGCTCGCTGGAAATACCGGCTGGAAATACCGGCCCTACTAGGCGTCGCTGGGATTTGGCCCGGGAGCTGGACAATAGTGGGGCTCTCCCAGTGGGGTAGTGCTGGCGCAACCCCGATAGTGCCGGCCCTCTACCTGCCGGCCAATGGCGGCCCTAGCGGGTGGGGCTGGATGTGGCAGCTGGTGCCTGCGGCTGAGGGCGTTGGCTTACCGGGACAAACAGCGAGGGGCATGGTGGGGTTGCCAGGGGTAGATGGCGCGGGGGAGTCTCTGGGCGGGTGGCTGCGACACGCCACGACGGGGCAAGCGGTGCCGGGTGGTGCCATTGCGGTGGCAGTAGTATCGTTCGCTGATGTCGCCAGCTGGTAATCGTCGGGATCCAATTGCTACCCATGCACGGGGCGCTCAGCCTTCTGCACCTTGACGCAGCTCGCGCAAACTGTCAAAGGCGCAGGCCCTGGTGAGCATTGACTCTGTGCAGCAATGACTGTAGTCGGCATTGTTTTGAACTCTTGGATGAAGTGCTCCATTAACTAGCGAATACTGCTGGCGTTAGCTGTCGCTGACGCATGATACTGCCGCTAATCTCATAACCTATTATGTTCGAGCCTCTAAAAGGTTGCGTCAGGTCTTCCTGCTTAAATTAAACAGGGTATCATTTATTATTACTTATGGAATTAATCAGGAAGAGTAATTGCTAGATTAAACGGACTATAATCTAGAGTCAGTACTTCTGTACTAATTTGGAAGAGCATCGGTGTACCTTTTTGTTACATGTAATCATACAGGCTATCACCTTTAAGTATTGCATTCTTTTATAAATAGATTTATTAGGGTCATATCCCTTCCACTTTCCAGGCTCTCGATCAGTGGACTAAATGTGCATATCATCCAGTCTATCGCTATCGTGTCTTGATTCCCCAATAGATACTGTCAATTTTGAGTAAAATATTGCTCCAGGATTTTGTTATACACCAAAGGCTTTTTCTACGTTCAGAGCTTCTGGAAGCAGTGATGACTACTCAGAATCCATTCTGGTCTCCTTGAGCTCTCAACTAGTATATCCTTATTGCTCCCTTGCAACTACACTATCGTCACTGGAAATATTACTGCCTATATACATAACCCAATAATTGCACCCAGGCCGTAAAGGCCTCCCATAGAAATTATGTGAAGCTTGTTGCCTGAGTAAATTTAGTAAACACCAAAGGCACATCCCAGAACTTCTATAATGCCAACTTCCACCGTTGAAGTAATCCCTCGATTATACACTTAAATGAACTGTAGGTTATTTCATAAAACGAAGCTCCTAGCTCAATTCAATTGTGACAACCTCCGACTCTAACGTTTTCAAGTCCAAAACCACGATTTGACCAGTCTCGCAGAACCGCGGCACGCTCAACATCCGCACGCTGTGCTCTTGTCCACCTGCTTTGAACTGGTAGCGTTTCAGCCCATACAGCTTCTGGTTTCCGGCAAAGTAGACATGTGGCGTCTCGTCTTCCAACAAGAACGGATCAAAGTCATCGTATGGGTAGCAGTACAAGGTGTCGGGAGCAGTGGGAATGATGTCCTGCCATTTGATGGTAGATTCCATTGCCTGAATCAGAATGTTCTCTTCTTGGGTAGAAGCTGGCAAATATTTCAAGATGTCGGTGATGTTCTGGCCAGATGTTCCCAACACCCTGATGCCATCAAACTCGAACCAGTGGGGATTAGTCAAGTTTTGGAACCTATCTTCGTTCATGAAACGGTAGTTACCTCCAAACAACGACTTGTGCAACGGTTGTTGGGGAAGACAGATTTCTGCTGGGTCGGAGTCTCCTGGCATTATGGAGACTGGCATATGGGTGAGGATTACATGCAAAAACTGGTCGAGCTTGACCAATGATTCGGGGTTATATTTCAGGGTGTTTTTAGACCCATAATTATTGGTGGTGACGAAGTCTCGACGCTCCGACTCGCTGGTAGCCTCCTGTAATTGCTTGATAGAGTCACCCGCAACCACGAGCCTTGTGATGTCTTTCACTGCGTTGATGTCTTTTTCCAGGCCCAATTCCCCAGCCAAATACTGTTTGAGGAGCTCGAGCCTGAGATCATCTTCCACTCCTTCTGAAATGCTAAGGCCACTCACGATGGCAATTTTGCCGCTGGATTCCGCTGGCAATGGCCCAGTGGGACACGGATCAGGATAAACCACATCCATGATTTCAAACACCCCAGCCTGGATTTCCATTCCAAGCACAGCAACAATGCACCCCGTCACTAAGATGTTCTTTTTGAGGAACTCGTCGTTGTGGAGCACTGCTCTTCCCGACTCGTCCTCCAACATCACGCTGGTGATGGGCTTTCCTTCTTCTTCAGCATCCACGTACGTGGCTGGTGCCACAGGCAACACGTCGTCCACACCCTTCTCGACATCCTGGAGGATGTCTAGCTTGTTCTTGAGGTCGCAGAACACGGTTCCTATCACCCAGCACAACTGTCCACTCTGGATGTCCAAGATCTTGTCCTGCTTGAAGATGTTCTGACCATCAACTTTCTTGGTTCCATCTCCCCATTTGGCAGTGGCAGCCCTGAGTACTCTGTCTTTAAGGTGCTTGTAGCGGAACTGGTACATGGAGTAGAACTGGCGATCGTACTTCCTTTCGTTGGTCTTGAGGCGGAAATGCTGGTTTTTCAGGTAGCTGGATGTGTGGGGAATGGTGGCTCTGGTGGCCGTGGAGGTGGCGAGGTTTTGGTTGAGCCTCTCCATGGTGTTGGTGATTAGCTGGATTTGTGGTGGAAGCCTTTCTTTGCGTGAATGGAACTGTTGGCAGCTTATCGGTGGTGATGGTCTGGAGTTGAAAGTCGCGTCTACGCGTCCAATGGAATGTCGCAAGATGGGGGAACTCAGGGAGAAAGAACTTGAAAGAGGAGAAAGGGTATGTATGACTGGAGTCTATGTAGTAGAACAAGAGAAGAAGAGGTATTCTTATTAGTTTGTTCAGCTCTGAATGCTTTGGTCAGCTCTCTTATTATTGGTGATTCGTAGAATTACTAGTATTGAGGAACCAGGAATTAAAGACCTAGCTAAAAATTAACAGACTTGCTCGGACTACCTGAAAGTTCATACAGGTTCCCTAGTCACCTCCTTGTGCCCGTGGCAGTATAGAGACAAGACGACTTCTTTTGCATTCGGTACGATAATCACCGGTATCAAGTGATGTCGCGCGACATTTACTGTTCCGTTAACTTAGCCATATCCTAGAGTGGCCTTCCCTAGCACTACAGACACTTTTTACGGACAATTTAACTGACATATTTGATATTGGGTCTTCTAAAAAATTGCACTTATTATCGACCCCAAAAACGAGTTAGAAGTCGAAGACGACGTGCTGGTACTGCTGGTGCTGCTGGCACTGCTATTGCCAACATGGGTGATAGTTACGTTGGTAGGGACAGGGTGCTGGGATGGCGAGCTTGGGCCAATCTGGAACTCAAGGATAGTCTCAAGGGCATCGGTAACGATACTGGACAATCCGCTGACTGCGTTGAAATTAAAAAGATTGGTGGTCGATTCAATTTTCTTGCACCCAGTCTGTTGCACCCCGTTGAATCTGTCCTTCAACCACACAAAGGCATCACCAGATCCAACAATAGCTTGGGTGATATGTTCACTAAGAGAATCTTGGCGGTACTCAATACTTGTGCCGAGATCACACCATTTTTGATACAATTCATCGGCATCTGTGGGAGGAATGATCTCGTCGTTCTTGCTGTTGTAGAAGAAAAGCGGAACCTTGGGGTTAGCATTCAAATTAAGCAAGTTGTTGATTCCAGTCACATTGTCCACGACTGGAGAGTCCATAATATCTACCCCCAAAGGTGTGAGCTGGTCCCAGGAAGTCCAAGGAGTCCGAAGAATACTTTCCACCAAGCATTCGTGAGCAGGTGCAAAAAATTCAGTTTCAACGTCGGGGTATATATTATCTTGAGCATACTTCTTTAATTCGGGATACTCGTTTCCTAGTCCATTGATGGCGTTGATGATCAACCCTGCGAAAAAGCCACCCACAGTATAGTTGGCAATATGCTTGGGGGCGATAAGAATTCCTCCCACGGCAGCACCAATGATGTTCAAGTCAGGAGCATAAGTAGGAGCCAAAGCTGCCCCCCAAGCAGAAGGCTGGGAGCCTCCAGAATAACCCCACAAAGCAATTTGTGCCTTGGGATCGACACCAGTAATGTCACCCGAGGCCACAACCGCCTTCAATGAGTTCAATGTAGCGTAAGCAGCTTGGTAGCCAGCAGCAAAGGTAGCCTTGGGGCCCAAGAAGTCGGGAATCACCACAATCCAGCCCTCGTAAAGACCTGCTTCCGAGAGGAGCTGTTCGACCTGGGTGGTGATCCAAGTACCAGGGTCCGAACCTAGTTGCAAAGCGTACGATGGTGCACAGTCGACGTTTGGAGCATCGACCGCAACCTGATACGACAAGATCTTGGAGGTATCCGCATTGTGAGGAATAATTACCGTGGTCACAATGGCATTGGGCTGTTTGTGAGAGTCCTCGGACCGCACCAAGAACTGGTACACTGCCTGTACCTTCTCTTCGAAAGCGACAATCCCAATCTTGTGGGTGACTTTCCTGTAGTTGATAACCTCGCCAAGCTTAAGCTTCTCGTAACCGTCCTTGGGGGTATAGAACGGATCATCAGAAGGCTTGGTGAGATTTCCGAGTGTGAGTAGATTGACTGGTGCAGCTATTGTTACCTGCCATAATGACAAGAATACCAACGTTATAAGCGAGTGCAATTTCATTATGGGTATATTGGAGTTGCTCCAAAAGGCTAGGCCGGGGTCTCCTTTTATAACGTTGGAACCCCGTCAGTTTCTCCACCCTCCAGCCGTGTTGTACCCCAACCTGACCATCTACTCCAACAGACAGACCGAAACCACATATTGCAACACTGGGAGGTTGGCGAGCCCTGCTTAATTTCCAATTTCGGTAAGTTAAGTCTGACGCAACCATTCGCAAAATGTAGGGCCGTGCTACAAGACAATAGCCATGACATGTGCGTGCTCCACTCAGGTAGTTTGAGGCTCTACTCCGAGCGGAGGAGCACATTGAACCTGGAAACTCGGCCGGTATCTAGTCGAAACATTTCCTACTTAGGAAATCAAACCAGATGGCTACGTCCACTCTGCATTACCCCGTATTTCGATTCATGCGCAATGCGGAGATAATTGTTTCCTTGCACACAGGTGCATACACAACCATGCACTCTTGCCCAGGGCAGAAACAACTGCTAGAGCCAAGGTCTTGGCTGACAGGTCGAAGAAAGAACTCCGAAGCCAGGACTTGGCTCTCGGTGCTGACAGCGAGCATTCTGCGGCTTGGGAAGCTTGGAAATTTCGCTAGATCGTACCGAGTGAGCCTATTTCTTAAAACTGTAATCTATATCTGAAAGCATTGCGCAGGTGTACGAATTCATCTGAGTTTGGCCAAATCGGTACCTTAAATCCGATCGCCTAATAATAGGTGGAGTAAAGGGGCAGAATCCATGACAGGCACAGGGACGTATCTTGGATCTGAATACATTAAAAGAGTGTCTAGCGGAAGATACCCGCTACAGCATACAGTTGCCCCTATTAGCCCCCAGTACATAACGACTAGAATGGTACAGTAGTTGGTTCTTCCACACAAGAACCCGATGGAGCTGGAGAGCATATCAGGTTGCTGATGTTTACCAGAATGCATAAGTTTCAGGTGAGGGGAACAATCACATACCAACTCTAAAAAGTGGCTGCTGGCACACGCCTGTGAAGAGTGGTCAACCGAGGCTCACGCTGCCCGGCAGAACCGGCAGATGAAGATCGTTAAGAGATGGTGGCCGCCCCTCCATCAACACTGCCTCTAGCTGCTACACACGGGAACTATTACGTAATATTTTACATAATCACTATGTATTCAGCATATGATTACTTTGCTTCACCTGTCAAGATCGTCTACTGTTTAATTTGATCTTCTTTGCTTCTTGTGCTTCTTCTCCAACGACTGTCCACTGGCTCCAATGGTGATATTCACCTTGGGTGGCACATCAAATCCAAAAGACTTGGCCACCTTGACCAAATCCAATTTATCGATCTGATACACTGTCTTTAAATGATGCGAGGAGTATGCTTGTAAGTATGCACGGTATCCATCCTTGGCTGATTGGTGCAACCAGTAGTTGCTCTTGATTAACTTGGACAATTGGGATTGGACGTTGGCGATTTTGTTGGTGGGGAATTCGTATTCATTCAAAGGCACGTTGGCGGCCTTCAAGTATCTCAAGAAGCCCAATTCCGAAGGCGTCAAGAACATCAAGGACTTACCCTTACCTTCAGTACCTCTGGCGGTTCTACCGACTCTGTGGATGTAATCTCTTGGGTCATCTGGTGGATCGAATTGGATAATCCAGTCAACGGCTGGGATATCCAATCCTCTAGCAGCAACATCGGTACAGATCAAGATACCTTGCTTGGCGTTACAGAACTCAAAGAAAGTGTTCGTTCTCTTCTGTTGCTTTTGCTTTCCGTGCAAGTCCAACACTGGCAAATCAATGTAGTTCAAAAGTTCACCGAAGTATTTAACACAGTTACACGAGGAAAGGAAAACAATTATCTTCTTCTTCACGTTTCTCTTCAAGAACGAGAACAACAACAAGAATCTCTTGTCAGACTCGCACACAACGTACCCTTGTTCCAATCCATCCGCAGTGGATATTTCAGTTTCTGGAACGACGTTGATGTATAAGGGACCAGGTCTCAAAGAGATTCTGGCCAAGTCTTCAACCTTGGTGGTTTGCGTGGCAGAGAACAACATGGACTGTCTGTCCTCGTTTGGCAAGATCTTGATGATTTGCTTCATTTCTTCTTCGAAACCGATTTCCAAAATTCTGTCGGCTTCATCGATGACCAAGGCCTTCAAGTTCTTGAACACGAATCCTTGGGTGTTCTGCAAGTGATCCAACAATCTACCAGGAGTGGCAATCAACAAGTTGACACCCTTGGCCAACTTTTCGGCTTCTTGTCTTCTGTTGGCACCTCCAATAACAATTCCGAAGGTTTGAGTGTGGTGGGCCATCAATTCTCTGGCGACACCGAAAATCTGCAATGCCAACTCTCTGGTTGGTGACACCACAACCACACCAGTACCGTTTCTGGGCTTGAATCTGAGCGAGTACAACATTTCAATCGCAGGAATGAGGAAGGCCAAAGTCTTACCTGAACCGGTTTTAGCGGCTCCCAACACGTCCCTACCTGCCAACAATGGGGGGATGGTCTTGGCCTGCACCTTGGTCATCTTGGAGAATCCCATCTCGGTGATGGCCTTCATGGTGGGCTCAGACAATCCTGCCTTATCGAAGTCGTAGTTGTCTGAATCGTCCTCTGCAGCTTGCGAGGCTGCCACCTTGGGCTTAGTAAGCTCTCTGGTGGCCTGTTCCTGTTTCTCCAACTTTTCTCTGTTCTTCTGTTCCTTCTTGGACTCTGGATCCTTGATGTCTTCTCCTAATAAATCTGCGACCTCATCGAAATCATTGTCCAACTCTTCGACCAACTTCTCGTTGTCCAGCTCAGGCTCGGACTCCTCGGTCTGCTTGTGCGACCGCTTGCGAGACTTGGAGTCTCTGGCTGGCTTGCTTCCTTTGGTGGGGGTTCTAGCCATTCTGGTTTGTAGTAGTAGAAATTCTTCAACTCATCTCATCTTGTATTTTTCTGAGGGTCACGTGTGGCATGGGAAAAAGAGTATGGTGTGTGCGACATTGGAGCGACACGGGAACTGGGGGAAGTAGAAGGACCAGAAAAGGTCTCCTTCTGGACGGTCTCTAGGTACGAGTCCTGCCCAATCAGGAAGCTCATTGGCAACGCCTTGTTCTGGCTTTTTATGGACCCAATTCTGACTCGGCTAACCCGTTTACTTCGTGGCTGTGACTCCTCGCTATTAGTCATAGTGCGAGACATTAAAACCGCCTGGATCAGTTCTTGCCACTATCAGCCAGAAACAGCACCCGTCTACAAGACACAAGTCGCAAGAGAAAGGCACAATTAGGCAGACGTTCATAGCAACGAATCCATTGCAAATCACGAGAGACCAGCACAATTGAGCCGGCTATCTACCACGAATCCACAGCCACTTTCAGCAGCTTTAGAACAAGTATCAGACTATCAAGATAATCTGGACAGTTCGTAATAAGGAAGAGTTTCATCGAGGAATTACTTCGCATAGAAACACGTTCAACTCACTATCATTCTACGCTACCCAGACCGACTCTGAGTGCAGATCTATAACATTGACCGATACTTCATTCCTTTGATACCAATCCACAATGGCTTACACCGTCACGTCTACAAAGTCGTTCATGCAGGCAATGGAGCCCATGGTGGAGTTCCTTGACTCCATTTCAGTGGGCCAGGAAAAGGTGCCCCGAATCGACACCGAAAATGCCAAAATCACCCCCATCGAAATGATCCTCAGTGGCTTCGAGTCCCTCTCCACAGATATCTTGGACGACATTGAACAGTCTCAAGGACCGTCCAAGAGTAATGTGATCAAGCAGATCGAGGAAGACTGCGAGCGCATAAGCAAGTCCAGGGGACAGGAAACTGGCGAAATCACAACTCTCGTCAAGCAAATCTTACACGACTCAGCTAGCGACGAGGTGGTGCAGTCGTCGTTGTTCGATATCTTGGGGTTCGAAGAATTCGACCTCATTTCGAGGATTTTGCAGAACAGAGATGATCTTCTTGTTGAGCAAGAAGAGCAGTTACCAGAAGTCAACACCAAGTTCTTGACTCCAGAAGAAAGAGCACAATTATTAATTGAAAACCACCAACGTACTAAAAACCAGAAGCTTGCACCAAAAGCCCTCAACCAGCAGTATCCAAATGTCTACAAGAACCCAGATGTTGGAAGCGTTATGGCATTCACTGGAAAGAAATTCGCATTGCCAATTGGCACCGAAAGATCTTCGTATGCTACTCACGAAGAGTTGATCATCCCTTATCCTGAACAAAAACAGAATAAATGGATCCCAGATAAGAACCTCGTCAAGGTTGCTGACCTTGATTTCCTCTGCCAAGGTACGTTCAAAAACTACTCTGCTTTGAACAGAACCCAAAGTTTGGTGTATCCTGTTGCGTACAATACCAATGAAAATATGTTGGTTTGTGCACCTACTGGTGCTGGTAAAACTGATATTGCCTTGTTAACCATTTTGCATACTATCAATCAATTTGTTACGGAAACCATTGACGGTGACGGTGACATTACCGTAGACATTGACTACGATGAGTTCAAGATCGTCTATGTTGCACCATTAAAGGCATTGGCCGCAGAAATTGTGGAAAAGTATAGCAAAAAGCTTCAATGGTTGGGAATCCATGTCCGTGAATTGACTGGTGATATGCAATTGACCAAGCATGAAATCATGAGTACCCAAATTATTGTTACGACGCCTGAAAAATGGGATGTGGTTACGAGAAAGCTGGGTGGTGATAACGAATTAGTTACCAAAGTCAAGCTTCTCATCATTGATGAAGTGCATTTACTTCATGAAGATAGAGGTTCTGTTATTGAAACTTTAGTGGCCCGTACATTAAGACAAGTTGAAAGTACTCAGCTGATGATCAGAGTTGTTGGTTTGTCCGCCACCTTGCCCAACTATATGGATGTTGCTGATTTTCTTGGTGTAAACAGGTCAATTGGTATGTTTTATTTTGATCAATCATTCAGACCTGTCCCTTTGCAACAACAATTGCTCGGGGTAAAAGGAATAGCCGGTTCAAAACAAGCTAGAGAAGGCATTGACAAGATTTCGTATGACAAATTGGTTCACTACGTGAACCAGGGGCTACAAGTTATGGTATTCGTCCATTCTCGTAAAGATACTGTCAAAACCGCTAGAACCTACATATCCATGGCCCAGAACCATTCAGAAACTGATATTTTTGATGCTTCTGAAAGTTGTGACTCCTACGAAAGATTCAAGAGAGAAATGGGTACGAAGAATAGAAACAAAGATATGAAAGAATTGTTTCAACATGGTTTTGGTGTTCATCATGCAGGTATGTTAAGAACGGATAGAAATCTAACAGAAAAGATGTTCGAAGCTGGAGCTATCAAAGTCCTCTGCTGTACTGCCACTCTTGCTTGGGGTGTTAACTTGCCTGCTGCAGTCGTCATCGTGAAAGGAACTCAAGTCTATGATGCCAAACAAGGTGGTTTCGTTGATTTAGGAATTTCTGATGTGATCCAAATTTTTGGGCGTGCTGGAAGACCTCAGTACGAAAAGTATGGTGTGGGTATTTTGTGTACGTCAAGTGATAGATTAGATCATTATGTCTCATTGATTACTCAACAGCATCCTATAGAATCCAAACTTCAGGCCAAGCTTATTGATAATCTAAATGCAGAAATCTCACTAGGAACCGTCACAAATATCGATGAGGGTGTCCAATGGTTGGGTTATACCTATATGATTGTTAGAATGAGACAGAATCCACTTGGTTATGGAATTGATTGGAAAGAATTGAAAGAGGATCCATTATTGAACAACAGAAGACGAGAGATGATCATAACAGCTGCCAGAAGACTTCATCAGTTACAGATGATCATTTTTGAAGAAAATTCAGGTGCTTTTATTCCCAAAGATTTGGGGAGAATTGCTTCTGATTTTTATTTGCTCAATAATTCTGTTGAGATTTTCAACCAAATGATGAACCCCAGAGCTACAGAAGCTGATGTTTTGTCTATGATTAGTATGAGTAGTGAGTTTGATAGTATCAAATTCAGGGAAGAAGAATCACAGGAATTGAAAAACTTACTCGAATCTGATTCACCTTGTCAAATAGCTGGAGATGTTGAAAGTTCACAAGGTAAAACCAATATTTTATTGCAAGCTTTCGTGTCTCAAGCCCAAATCAGAGATTCTGCATTGATATCGGACTCTAACTATGTTGCTCAAAATTCTGCAAGAATTTGTAGAGCATTATTGTTGATTGCAATCAACAGAAGGTGGGGTATTTTCATGAACATTATGTTGAGCATCTGTAAATCTATTGACAAGAGGATTTGGGCTTGGGAGCATCCACTTTGTCAGTTTGATTTGCCTGATCAAATTTTGAGAAATATTCGCTCAAAGAATCCGCCCATGGATATTCTCAGAGAGATGGAAGCTGGAGAGTTAGGTGACTTGGTTCATAATAACAAGCAAGGTGGAATATTATACAAGTTGATTGCCAGATTCCCAATATTGGAAATCGACTCCGAAATATTTCCTATTACAACTAATGTGATGAGAATCAAAGTTTGGTTAGATCCTGATTTTGTTTGGGACGAAAGATACCATGGTATGGCCCAATTCTTTTGGTTAACTGTCGAGGAATCTGACAAATCTGAGATCTTACATGTTGAAAAGATTATCTTGAATAGGAGACAGATGTCGAGTGCTATTGAGTTGGACTTCATGATTCCATTGGCTGATCCTTTGCCACCACAAATCGTGGTGAAAGTCGTTTCAGATTCGTGGATTGGCTCAGAATCAACTCATACTATTTCATTCCAACACTTGATTAGACCTACTAATGAAACTATCAGGACCAACCTTTTAAGACTTCAACCATTGCCAGTGACCGCGTTACATAATCCTACGATTGAATCCATTTATGCTAAGAGATTCAGATATTTTAACCCTATGCAAACTATGGCGTTCCACTCATTATACAACTCTAACTCCAGTGTCTTTGTCGGTTCGCCCACGGGTTCCGGAAAGACTGTGGTTGCAGAGCTAGCGATTTGGCATGCGTTCAATGAATTTCCGGGATCCAAGGTAGTTTACATTGCTCCGATGAAAGCGTTGGTCAGAGAAAGAGTTGATGATTGGACCGAGAGGATTTGCAAGAACACCAGCTTCAAGTTAGTTGAATTGACTGGTGATTCTCTTCCGGAAGCCAAACAAGTTAGGGAGGCTGACATCATCATCACGACTCCTGAAAAGTTTGATGGTATATCTCGTAACTGGCAAACCAGAAAATTCGTGCAACAAGTTTCATTGGTGATTATGGATGAAATTCATTTGTTGGCAAGTGACCGTGGTCCTATTTTAGAAATGATTGTCAGTCGTATGAATTATATTTCCTCACAAACAAAGAAGCCCATTAGATTGTTGGGTATGTCTACTGCAGTTTCTAATGCCATGGATATGGCTGGCTGGTTGGGTGTCAAGGAAGGTTTGTTCAATTTTTCACTGTCAGTCCGTCCAGTTCCTCTTCAAATGTACATCGATGGATTCCCTGACAATTTAGCATTCTGTCCATTAATGAAAACCATGAACAAGCCTGCATTTATGGCAATTAAGCAACATTCACCAAGCAAGCCGGTGTTGATTTTCGTGGCCTCTCGTCGTCAAACAAGACTTACTGCTTTGGATCTTATTCATTTGTGTGGTATGGAGTCGAATCCAAGAAGATTCCTAAACATGAGCGAATTCGAGTTGGAGGATATCATTAAACAGGTGAAGGATGATACCCTCAAGTTGTCGTTGCAATTTGGTATGGGCCTCCATCACGCTGGTTTGGTGGAATCAGATCGTCAAATTTCTCACAAGTTATTTGAGGCTGGAAAGATTCAAATCTTGATTGCCACTTCGACTTTAGCCTGGGGTGTTAATTTACCAGCGCATTTGGTTATTATTAAGGGTACTCAATTCTTTGATGCCAAAATTCAAGGATACAGAGACATGGATTTGACCGATATTTTACAAATGATGGGTAGAGCTGGTCGTCCTGCTTTCGATACATCTGGTACGGCCATTATCTATACTAAAGAGTCCAAGAAAATGTTTTACAAGCACTTCATCAATATTGGCTTTCCAGTTGAATCCTCATTACATAAAGTTCTTGATAATCATATTGGTGCAGAGATCTCTGCTGGTACCATTACGACTAGACAGGAAGCTATGGACTTTTTGACGTGGACCTTCTTGTATAGAAGAGCACATAACAACCCCACCTATTATGGAATTGAGGATGTTTCTACCGCAGGAGTGTCAAAGTACTTGGGTGATTTGATTGATCAGACGCTCGAAAATTTGATGGAATCGAAGTGTGTAACCAATGGTGCCAAAGATGAGCTTATTCCTACTCCATTTTTACATATTTCATCTTACTACTACTTATCTCACAAGACGATTAGAAATTTGGTTAACAACATTACGAAGGAGAGCACTTTTAGAGACTGCTTGAGACTTTTGAGTGAAGCAACGGAGTACGATGAAATCGCTACCCGTCACGGTGAAGAGTTGATCAACATGGAAATGTCACACAACATGAGATACCCTGCAGAAGACTTGAACTGTGAGTTCATTTGGGATCCTCATGTGAAGTCTTACCTTCTTATTCAGGCATTTATGAGTAGAATTGAGCTTCCAATTGCTGACTATGCCCAAGATACTGTTTCTATTTTGGACCAAGCATTGCGTATTCTTCAAGCTTTCATTGATGCTACTTCGGAAATGGGGTATTTAAGCACGGTGCTTACTTTCATTGAATTAATGCAATGTATCAAGCAAAGATGCTGGTATGATGATGACCCAATTACAACGTTACCGGGTCTTGATTTACTTCCATTGCTGGACAAATCCAAAACAACTTTGGCTGATTTGGGTAAATTCAACCGGGGCAGTTTGACCAACTATGCCAAAACACTTGGAGTCAATGGAAGAGCTATGAAGGGGGACGTACCACACACTGACGAAGAAGCAAAGAAGGAATTCCTTCGTGTTGCTTCGAGTTTACCTACGGGCCAGCTTTCTACTCACCAACAAAGCTCGGAAACATTGACGGTCACCTTAAACCACGATAATTATCCATTGAACAAAGAGTTCAAGATGTATTGTCCTCAATTCCCTAAGGCTCAAAGGGAATCTTGGTTTGTTATTGTTTGTGATGAGCAAGCTGATGAGCTCTTGCTAGTCAAGCGGGCGTCGCCACGTATGGTTGGCAAGAAGGGTAAAGTTACTGTTACTTTGGATATACCAGCAGACTTGGCAGGCCGGGAGGTTACTGTCAAATGTGTGAACGATGCGATCAAGATCGACTATTCGGAAAAGATCACATTAGAATAGAATTACTCTCGTTGGAGTTATAGTTATTGTACATTTATTACTTGACTCAAGCAATAGTAAGGGTGAAAACTGTGTAATATAGACCCATATTTCTGCGGATTTACTGTGCTTCTAGCCCAAGACTTAGCTTAAACTACAAGTCGTGTCAATATATGGTCTCTTAAATAAATGTAATTTATGCTGTGTCCTATTCTAATATACATTACTCGAAGAAATCGTCCTCTTCTACACCACCATCTTCCTCGACTGCTGCATCGATTTCTTGCTGGTCTTGGTGAGAGCTGTGGTAGTGGTCGACTTGGATGGATCTTCCCTTGAGTGCATCCTCGATGGAGAATGGTAACTTATTTTCGTCGATCAAGTTTTCAACCTCCTTCTTGAACTGCAATCTTCTCTCATCAGTCATGAGCAATCCCTTTTTGGCCTTTGGATTGGTATCTTCACCGTCCTTCTCGCTGTTGGGGTACAAGGAAATGTACTTTTCGGTCTTGGGGAACAACACCACATAAGCCAAGTCAATTTCGCTGTGTTTCACCACCTTTCTTGCCTTCTTGATATCTTTTTTGACCTCAGTCTTCTCTGCATCTTCAAGCTGCTTGCGAGCACCCTTCAACTTTCTGATGGCCTTCTTTCTCTCGAAGAATCTGACCATGTGGTACTTTTTCGCTATTTCCTTGGCCTTGAGATTGAGCTGGGTATTTTGCAACTCAACCTGTAAACCCTTCAACGCTCTTTCGTTTTCGGTACGGACATCACCCGGAAGGTTGTCCTTCTTCAAGAGTCTCTGGATATCTCTGATCTTCTTTTTCAATTTGGCAGCACCTCCTCCGATGATGCTCGCCACTTCGATGGACGAGCCATTGGATCTTTGTCTGGGGGCTTTGGGCATTTGGGTGCGGTGTGGTAGCTTCGAGTTTCTTTATCAGAGATGAAATATCAGATCAGATTGAAAGTTGTTACTATGAGAACACCGGTCTGAATTTCGTAAAACAGCGTGCGCTGGAATATCACCGAGCAGGCAGGCTGTACGTGTTGGAAGGGTAACTTGGAGCTCGTGTGGGAACGGGCGTCGTGGGATGGAGTGAACCAAGTAGAGTACGCCAAAAATGATGAGATGGATGTCGTGGACGAGTGCCGTGTCGCGCGACATTTTCTCTGGTAGATGTGAACGATCCACCTACGCCATACTATCACCACGTACCGTTCGTACCTTTTCACAGCAATATGGGTATCCTTGAAAAGATAGCGCAGATCCAGGAGGAATTGGCCAGAACCCAAAAGAACAAGGCCACCGAATATCATATCGGGTTATTGAAGGGGAAGCTTGCCAGATACCGTCGTGAGCTCTTGGAACCCCAGCCTGGCCAAGGTGGCGGTGGAGGAGGCCAGGGATTCGAAGTCGCCAAAGCTGGTGATGCCAGAGTGTCGTTGATCGGTTTTCCTTCCGTGGGTAAGTCTTCGTTTTTGTCCAAAGTCACCAACACCAAGTCGGAAGCTGCCAACTACGAGTTTACCACCTTGACCTCAGTAGGAGGCATTCTCGAGTACAACGGAGCCGAAGTCCAGATCGTCGATTTGCCAGGTATTATAAAGGCAGCCTCCCAGGGTAAGGGTAGAGGAAGACAGGTTATTGCCGTGTCGAGAACATCAGACTTGATCATGATGGTTTTGGACGCCACAAAGGGTGGAGACCAAAGACTGATCTTGGAGAACGAGTTGGAGTCCATGGGCATCAGATTGAACAAGCAGAGACCCAACATCTCCTTGAAGTACAAGAAGACAGGTGGTGTCAAGATGAACTCCATCACTCCTCCCAAGTACTTGAACGAAAAGTTGGTTTCGGCCATCTTGAAAGACTACAAGGTGCACAATGCGGATGTGCTCATCAGGGACGAGAACGTCACCATCGACGACTTCATTGATGTCATCAACGAGCAGCACATCTCCTACATCAAGTGCTTGTACGTGTACAACAAGGTCGATGCAGTCTCTTTGGAAGAGTGTGACAGGTTGGCCAGAGAGCCCAACACGGTGGTGATATCCTGTGAGTTGGATTTGGGCATTGAAGACTTGAAGGAAGAAATATGGAGACAATTGGACTTGTTGAGGCTATACACCAAGAGGAGAGGAATTGCTCCCAACTTCGACGAGCCTATGGTGGTGAGAAGCCAATCCACCATTCTCGAGGTGTGTGACTCCATCCACAGAGACATGAAAAACCAGTTCAAGTATGCATTAGTGTGGGGTTCCAGCTCCAAGCACAGTCCCCAAAAGTGTGGTTTAGGTCACCCTGTGAACGACGAAGATGTGGTGCAAATTGTCACCAAGTAAGGCGCCGGTGGGCACCTTTTGGTGGGCAGTAGTATTTACCGTGATATATATTTAGGACGGTTGGACTGTTAGCTTAGATGTAATGTAAACGGTTTTACGAGTAACAACTGTGTAGGAGGATAGGAAAGGTAAATAGGGGGGTGGAATCCTCAGGTGGAGATTTGTCCTGGGTATATTTGTAGAATTGTAACACAAATTTGAAAAAATGTGAAAAGGGCACTGTCCATCATTTTGTGTGGAGTCCGTCTTAATTCTACAAAAACAATTGATAAATTTCAGATCGTCAATTAACCAGGGAATAGCAAATAATACACAAATATGATAGAGCCTAACAAATTGGTCAATGCAGTAGAGTCAAGATATCACGAGAGCATGACAATTCTGGAAATTTATTCTTCGGGCATTTGTAGTAATTCCATACAAATGACTCTTTCCTGATCGCTTTCTCAACTAGGCCGATTCTTCTACAGATATCTTGAGAATGCTGGATTATTTGTAGTACTCAACAACATCCAAGTCTTAACAGTAATACTAGCATTTATTTATCGTGTTCAATGCTAATTTCACGATTTACACACCATCCCAACAAGGAACCGAAGTTTGACCAAACAGCGATAGAATGCCTCTATCAGTTGAGTAACCAACCGGTCTTATCATTCCCGAGTCTACTAATCATGGAAAACTCGCCAGGAATTAAAATAGTCATAGACAAACCCCTTTCAGTTAAATACACTGACCAAATGACAACCTGAAAGTTATCATTAATTAGACCTGAAGCTTCCAGAGAAGGCACCGACGGCCTGGACACCCTCAAAATCCACACCCATCTACTCTCTTCCCTTCTCCCGCTCGCCACCTTTCTTCACCTACACTTCTTTGTCTCATTCCTCCTCTTTGCACCCATTTCGCATTTCCAAACGCGACTCAAAACAGACTGAAATATTAGACATAACCGAATCTCCGAATCATCTCACCACCATGGAGAAGTACGGCGGATTGCCTGGCATCGACACAGAGTCGCAAGATATCTTCGAGACCTCCGATATCGAGAGCGAAGCCGAGCTTGAACACGAACCAGAACCAACCGAGATCGAGGCGTTGGTGACCGATCCACAGGCCATCCGCAATCGGTACGCCAACGACGTGATTGATGGGTTGAGTGGCGTGGATTTCCTGGGAAGCATCACAAACCCCGTGCTTGGGAGCACAGGGTATGCTGTCAGAAGAGTGGACGAGACTAGAGACCAGAAGTTAGCCAGAATAGCGAGGGAATTGCAGGAGCTAGCCGACCCTGAAAAGGTGCCCGAGCCTGCCAAATTGGCCCACATCGGAGCTGCCGCAAGCACCAGCGGACCCATCGATCCAGAGAAGCTTGTGGCGTTGCTTGAGACGGCAGTTTCTAGTAACAACCCTTCCAATCCGTACCAATCACAGCTCAATGAGTTGTTTGCGAAAGTCGATGCTAAAATAAACGAAAAACCCGTGGCTGGCAAAGCAATAGTGGCCAATTCACCGTCTGAAACTCTCGAGTTGGAGTCCAGGATCAACTCGTTGGAACAGCAGGTCGGAGAGGTGGCACCAGGCTCAATTCAGAACCTCTTGAATGATTTGGCCCGCAAAATCAAAATTATCCACAACCCAGACTACCCCATAGATAGAGTGAGAAAGGAAGTGACGCAACTAGCCGAAGAAACTGAAAAATTGGCCTCGGATAGAAAGCTTTTGGAGGTCTCAGAGCTGTTGCACACCAAGGAACAGGAACCCAGTGAGAAAAAGATCGATGAGCTTTACAGAGTATTGCCAGAATTTGAACAGAGTAATAAGTCTATTCCTCAGATTATCAAGAGGCTCAAGTCGCTCAATACAGTTCATGCAGACATAGCGCACAGCATCCAGCTGGTTGGGGATTTGGATCGGACCCTCGCCGACATGGACGAAGAAATCCAGTCCTGGAACGAGTCCATCGATGTGTTGAATGGGAATTTAAAGGCCTACAGCAAGAATTTCGAGGAAAACAAGACTGTGATGGAGAACAAAATAGAGGAATTGAGCAAACGGTTAGGCAAGGTCGAATAATAGAGAATAATAGAGAATATGATTGACTAATGGTTGGGCAATATTGAGGGATAGAGAGTAAAGAGAAATTGACTAAAGGTTGCGCAAGATCAAGCAATAGAAGTCCCGTGGAGACTATGGCTAAATTAAGCACCTGTGACAAATTACACTTCTAAATGGACCTCATTGCAGCATACTCTACTACAATAATTCATTGCCTTGGTTCAAGTACAGATTCTATGATGGAGTCGGAGGTTTACTATACTGAATTTGCTGCTCCAGTGTTATACTTTGAACAGATATAGTGCCACTGTCTTGTCAAAAATTGGACAACAAGCGTTAATTTTACACGAGGATCTACTAACGTGCTGTCTATGCCTTTTTGCAACTTTGGGGACTTCAGTTGGAAGATCTTATTCCAGACTACCCTGCCCTCGCAAAGGCTTCTCACGTGTACCGCTTCCAGACTGCATTGAAAGGGTTCAATTATTCCGATAGTATAGCAACCATGAAGTCACAAAATAACATGTGGTAATTCTCAAGAGTACAGCTGCTTCTGTACCCAAATTCAGCGTGTGCAGATCACCTGCTTACGAATAATGTCTCGTATAGACTGAGACTTCAGACGTTACAGGGATCTCCAGGTTAAAAAGGCCAAGCTCAGGATTGAGGGATGTGGTAATCTTGGCCAGTGGGATTCCTATTGGCCCTCCACCCCCTAGAAGGGACGCTTACGTCTCCCATCGCTTATGTAAGAGCCATCTCCACCATCGCTTACGTAAGCATCTCCGCATCTCGATTTGTGACACCACCACCACCGCCACCGCCATGGTAATATAACCGTGAGAGGATCATTTATTAGCTCTTGGGTTATGTCCCTTCGTAGTTTTTAACCCATCGAATTCTCCTTTTAGGACCATGGCGAAATTTATGTTAGTTCTGGTCATATTAATTGTAACGAGTCATAGAATATTTGGAATGGTAGAATGTCGGGGGAACCTAGGTGGATATATCTTCATCAAAAATAATGGCTTCAAGGCTGGGGAACAAGGAGGAGTGTGTTCCATACAAGTTTTAATTGGAACCGATTCTCAATTGGATAAATAATACATATTGATAGCTTGTAAGATGGTGCTACCGTATGAACGCAAAGAAGAATGTACTTTGTTGAGGCAGGACTGTGAGGGTTCAGATTGGTGAGAACGAGGATACGGCGATAATTCCTGGGGAAGATGGTGAGAATGAAGAAGGACCAGAAGTACGTAGCATATGTGTGGACGAGCACAAATGTCAAAATCTCTATTTGTCGTTATCAGCACTGAGATCAATGGTATTGTACATGCTTGCCAGTATTACTCTCGCGGTGTTCACCAAGACTCTCTACATTTATTTAATCATGTCGCAGAATTGACTGAGTTATGACAAAACGCTCTACCCCAAAAGGTGGAATATCATGAGACATTACAAGGACTGATCTCACGTCTGACTCGGGGCATACAGGCGAGAGTGCCCGGGCCAAGCTACTTCTCCTCACTGTTCCGAATACTCGAATTCTCCGCTCGCTTTATCTACCCTCGCTTGAAATTTCCTCCTCCGCGTTCTCACCTGCTGTACCTGGCTCGCTAACCATTGCCCCCGCGGTTCCCCAGTTTAATATATAACTGCGATGCTGCCGCTGTGCAAACTTCTTCTTCTTCTTTACCAACAATGTTAAGAGCTGCATCCAGAACCATCCGTGGCGCCTCCAGATCCACTGCCAGAACGGTCGCCAGACCTGCCACTGCCTCCGCGGCTGTGGCTTCCAGATTTCCTGCCATCAACTCCGTCAGAATGGCATCCCAGTTGGCCCACCACAAGATCCCTCCTTTGACCAACGAACCCGTCAAGGAGTTCTCGTTCTCCCAACAGAAGGACTGGGACTTGTTGCGTGCTTCCCTCACCAAATTCACCGACAACGGTGCCCTTGACATCCCATTGGTCATCAACGGCAAAAAGATCTACAGAGACACCACCCTCCCCCAGGTCAACCCTGCCAAACACGCCCAGAACTTGGCCAACGTGTCTCAGGCAACCGAGGCTGATATCCAGGCAGCCATTGAAGCTTCCAAGGCTGCAAAGGCCGCGTGGGCTGCTACTCCTTGGACCGACAGAGCCGCCATTTTCTTGAAGGCTGCAGACTTGATCTCCACCAAGTACAGATACGACATGTTGGCAGCCACCATGTTGGGCCAGGGCAAAAACGTGTATCAGGCTGAAATCGACAGTGTTGCTGAATTGATCGACTTCTTCAAGTTCAACGTCAAGTACGCTGAGGAGATGTACCAGGTGCAACCAATTGAGTCTGCTCCAGGTGTGTGGAACCGTGCTGAGTACAGACCATTGGAGGGCTTCGTGTACGCCGTGACTCCCTTCAATTTCACCGCCATCGCTGCCAATTTGGTGGGTGCTCCAGCCTTGATGGGTAACACCGTGGTGTGGAAGCCTTCTGCCACCGCTGCGTTGTCCAACTACTTATTGTTGACCATCTTGGAGGAGGCTGGTTTGCCTGCTGGTGTGATCAACTTCATTCCTGGTGAGCCAAATGCCGTCACCGACTTGGTGTTGGCCGACAAGGACTTCTCAGCCTTGCACTTCACTGGCTCCACCGACGTCTTCAAGAAGTTGTACTCCAAAATCTCCAACAATGTCGCTGCCGACAAGTACAGAGACTTCCCCAGAATCGTGGGTGAAACTGGTGGTAAGAACTTCCACTTGATCCACCCATCGGCCTCGTTGGACCACGCTGTGTTGTCGTCGTTGAGAGGAGCCTACGAGTACCAGGGCCAGAAGTGTTCTGCCTTGTCCAGATTATATGTGCCTGAGTCCGTGTGGCCAGAGTTCAAGGAAAAGTTGGCTGCTACTATCGACACTGTCGAAATCGGCAACACCGCCTCCACCGACGCTTTGCACTCGTTCATGGGTCCAGTTATCCACGAACAATCCTTCGACAAGTTGGCCTCTGCCATTGAGCAGGCCAAGACCGACCCAGAATTGACCATCGTCAGCGGTGGTCAATACGACAAATCCAACGGTTTCTACGTCCAACCCACCTTGATCCAAACTACCAACCCCAACCACGAGTTCTTGAGCCGTGAATTCTTCGGTCCTATCTTGACTACCTACGTGTACCCAGACGCTGAGTACGAGTCCATCATTGAAAGCATTGACACCGTCACCAAGTATGGTTTGACTGGTGCCGTTTTCGCCAGAGACCGTCAAGCAGTCAGAACCGCCGAGGAGAAATTGAGATACTCCGCTGGTAACTTCTACATCAACGACAAGTCCACTGGTGCCGTTGTTGGCCAGCAATGGTTCGGAGGTGCCAGAGCCTCTGGTACTAACGATAAGGCTGGATCGGGTAACATCTTGTCCAGATTCGTCTCGGTCAGAAACATCAAGGAAAACTTCTACGAGCTTACTGACTACAAGTACCCATCAAACTACAACTAAGTCCTGGTTCGGATACCCACGAAACACATAATGAATGAATAATGTTCACGTAAATACAAAAACTGTAGCTATGCAACTGATAAAATGGCCGAACCGCATGAAAAGTAATTTGACTGCTTAAATCAATTGGCGAGCTGAGAATGGTTTCACTTCCTTTGGCGTTTTGCTATTCATCCCAATAATACTGCTATTATAAGCATCAATAACCATTTTCAAGAATTAATGAGAGTGGTTTACTGAACAAACCGGGGTTGAAACACGTCGATGCCAAAATAGTAAGGGCCCTGAGCCTGAGTCTATGATTTTGGACTAATGGGCTGCAAACCAGTAACCAAAGCCGCTGCTTGGACTATTTTGGATATTTTATATGTTGAATTGAACTAATCCCATCAAGGTTAAGAGAACTGAGTATGCGCTGGCTCAATTGTTGGATAATCAATTGCTCACAATTAACACAATAATTCATTCTAAATTTACAATAGAACAATAATTGAAGGTTTGACGACACTGCACAGAAATCATTCCAAAGTCCTCCCCATGTATCTGGATTTATTACCATATTCCCTTAAAGAACCATCATTTTCCGCCCAATTCTCAAGTAAAACTCTCAGGTCTTCCAGATTAATACCAGAGCTACCCCAGAAGTTGAACCGGATATCGTCCGGCATTCAATTAGCCTAATCTCGTTTCAGTTGCGATAAGCCCCCTAGGAGGCGTCTACATGCATCGTTTCCACGCGGAAGAGCTTTAGTCTAACCGATAACCCATAGCGCATGATTGTTTTATTGAGGCGTAATGCAGTTGTGAAATTCGAGGTGAAATTCTACTTCCAACGGCTTTTCGCTAGAGTACGCTTTAAACAGGTACGATCCAAATCTTGTTGGACTATGCTATACGGTTTCAAGTGGCATTCATATATTTCTCAGACCAGTGATTCATACTTATTGGATGGCAACAATGTTGCTGTCAGAAGTGTACTTGACTTGGGCAATCTGGGCAGTTTTGGCATCATAGTCAGCAACGAAATAGGCTCTTCTCAAAAAGGAGTCTCCTAAGAGATTGAAACCTTGGGATTGAGAGTTACCGAAAATACCCAATAAACAACTGCCACCACCATTGTCCTGAACCAAGTCGCTAAGTGGAACCTTAATATTGGCATCTCCAAATTTGAAAGAGACGAATTGGTCACTAGGAAGAGCATCACAGGAAGGAAGGTAGATCCGACCAAACAAAAAGAAAGCTCCCGGAATGCTACCGGCAAAGGAAGACACAACATCATCTGGCAAGTAGGTGACAGTGGTTCCGGTGTCGAGGATACCGTTAATGTTGGTTTCGTGGACAGTTCCGTCTGGACCAGTGACACTGTCCAAATTGATAACAATCCCAGAGTCCTGGGTGAATGGAAGGGTGACTAACAGGCCCTCATACTTGGCATTGTCAATACCACCAAAGATAATAGATCCTGTGGTAGCATCGACGGAGTTCAAGTAAATGGAGTAAGCGTTCTTGCTAATGTAACCAGCATTTTTCAAGGAGATTGGGAAGTTAGGATACTTGGTGGAAGTAGACTCACTGGCTATTGGGCCAATACCAAAGACACCACCTTGTGTAACAGTAGATTGGGTGGCATCAGCAAACTGGAAGTCTTTGAGAGTTGGGCCATTTGGAATACCAACAGAGTCCTTGACAAAGTTACCAGAAGCAGTTGATTTATCTACATATCCGATGGAAAATGGAATGCCAAGGTCATGGAAAGTAGTGGATGAAGCCGAATCAAAACCTGCTTTGTCGGTCTTCAAATCTGGAACCCACAAGTCGGAACTACCGGTATCGATATCGACAGAGATTGTTTGAGCTTGGGAACCAAAGTTCAAATCAATGGAGTAGTAAACATTTTGTTTGGTCAAAGGAACTTGATAGTCAGCTCTTTTATGAGTGTTTTCGTCAGTGGTACCGTTGATGACCTTCTTGGTGACGGAAAAGTCTAACTTTAAAAAGCCAGGACCTTCTCTTTTTGCAACATCTTCAGTAGCGGTAGAAGCATCGGGAATAACGAGACCTTGGACAACCAAGGAACAAGCAAGTAAGCTGAAAGCTTTTTGGGTAAAGAGGCCAAAGGAAACCATAGTGGAATTGTGTTGTAGAGTAGAATGATGATTGAGAGTTGGGGAATAATAAGGCTTTATATACCCTTTCAACAGTGGTGGCTTCGTTAAAAGTTGCAATAGGTCCTCGAGGGTGGGGCCCCCATTGAGAGGAGCCGTGGCCCGGAAGGGCTTCGGATTAGATGTAGTCTTGCCTGGATAGCACTTGTTGGAATTTCAAAACTGCAAACATGCCACTCTCCTGCATGCTCGGTTGACACATTTGACAGATAGCGTCAGATAGTGACGTGCGATGGTGCCGCGCATGGGGAGTTGGAAGTAGCTGCATGGGGCTTAGCATGGGTATTGCATTGTCCGGTATCAAACCACGAATTGTGGTTTCTTATCTCGGGCTAACAATTTGTAAAAATCTTTACGAACATCCCTGTTTCTAGCAAATATTGTAAGAATCGTCGGAATGATTTGTGAGCTTCTGAAATTTAGCCACAGTAGTTTCCGAGCAACGGAGTTAATGAGGAAGAACTGGGGATTTCCTACAGCCAAAGCCACTAAAGATCTAGCATATGTGGTAGAAACATGCGACTTTTGCCTGCAGAGGTTCGCCATCCATCCCCCCACGATTTAAGGAGAACTGGCCAACGGTTGTCGCTCCAAGACATGGATCATCCCAATCCGCACACAAGGTGTCGGGTTATTCTAAGCCCAGGGCCACATCTGACTATTGTTCGCAATTGGACTTGTGCTAGTGCCACTAACCAAGATAGCTGATCTGAGTGGAATTGCGAGAGGATAGGAGTGGATAGCGCTTAAATGGAGCGCTTGCCGGTCGAAGGGGGAATTGCTCCCAGTGGTTAAGGCCTGGTGCTTTTGGGGTGCATGTGTTTCTGCAGATGTAGAAGAAATCTTCTATCCAAGGCCAGAAACCATCAATAAACCCGAAGGCTCATGCAGACTAGCAGGTGTTCTAGAATCGAGGGGTAACGATAATTAGCCAACTAGAATACCTGCAGCTTGTTTGTTTTGGAATTAAGGCTCTGGTAAGACCTCAATCGCTGGAATTTTGCATGCATCATGATATGAATTCGTGAAATTGTATGGGCTAGAAAAGCCGATAATGACCGATAAGATCTGGAAGTCTCTGCAGCCGTCCAAACACTGGCCCCAAATTGAGGCTTGGAAAAAGAACTTACACACCTTGATACGATTATTGTTGCGTAGGTCTCGGTTGTTCTTGACTAACTGCCACTGTTCTAGGAACAGGATTTCCAAGGTCCTTTCAAATGGAGCCACAAAAGCCCACGGTTGCCAGAGCAGCTCTATTTGGGGTGAAATGTTGTTCCCGAGGAGTATTTTCAAGTTGCTTATTTTCAATTGTGGCTACTCTCGGGGAACTACCCCATTGGAAGATCGGATTGCTTGAGGGGTACGAAATGAGTTCGGTAATAATATTGTTCGGGACAACATTCAGCCAATCAACGAGCGAAAACAATTTACTAATTCTTCTGCACAGATGCACAGTTGACAATTGATGGGGTGTAGAGTATGGCTATGGGAGATTTCCCGAGCTTTCTTTAATGATTTTTGAATCTATCCTTACTTCACAATTTGGCCATCGGGGCCAATTTTCACCACCCTAAGTCAAACTCAACCTAAGTTTTTATTGGGCACTGGATTACATGCATGAGCGAGACGACGGACTTGTCAGACTAAAACAGATCCTTTCTGACCTAGATTCAAGCCTAGATTTACCTTGATTATAGTTACAGTTGCGAATTTTCGCGTGACTCTTAGAGGAAGTAAAAACAGCCTATATGATCTATGCACAGATCACATGAACAAAGATTAGGCAAATCATGTAAGTAGCGACCGAGAACGTGCGTGAAGGGTAGTGGCTGCATGACATTTGGGCCCCATGACGCATGAACGCAATATTGTAAGTTCTCGGAAGCGTTCCGAGATGCATAAAGCTAATGTTTTGAAAGTAACGAATGCAAACCGCGCCATAGTGACTGGGATCTCGTCTCTGGTTCTTCTTGGCCTAGGTCCGAAGAAGATACGGCTCCTGAAAACATGATTGCTCGACACGAATTGAAATCATGCCAGCACGCGGAACAGGTATTACCAGGGTGCCACAACCCAAACCTTACTCTGAACTCTATAGGACTCAGCGAGAAAATGGGGTATCTCTAGGTATCTTGAGAATTCTTCCTAAACCACCACAAATTGGACACAAATAATCAAAAAATCCAACTACCATCCCACGACCATCACAACTTCCACATCAAATACCACCCGTCTTGGGGTCACCAGGCTTTACTACTGTCGGAATAGGATTTGATAAATCCAACAAGGCTGCCAGGGGCATTACGGTGGTAATAAACTCAAGCGAAGGTAACATGGTGTTTCCCACAGACTGGAGATCATTTCTGGGACCATATCCCTCCCAACAGTTCTTACATGATGTACCGTTCTTGATCCTATAACCGGTATTGTAGCATTTCATGCAAAGGTATCTCTCGGAATACTTAAACGAAAGCTCTGGATTGGATTTATAGGCATGGTACCGGATATAGTGCTTGACCCAACAGTAATAGCACATATCGCCATTTTCATAACTTGCTGCACTTCTGGCAAAGGTACCCCTTCTGGTAGTTAAATGGAAGTTCTGGGTTGGGATTATAGGTATTATTGCGGAGGAAATGCTTTTCCCAACAATCACGGCAAATTTTCCCATCCTTGATCTTATACCCGGTGAGCTTGCACTTTCGACAATGAGAACCTCTTGGAAACCGGAATGGAAGTCCCATGTGGTTGGGGCGCAAACCAGCAGTGTCATTTGGAGTGGAAAGTCTGCTCATTTGGGACCAAGAAGGTTCTGGTGTAGTAACTGGTGATCCACGCAGAGCCACTGGATCGTTATTAGGCAGGCCCAACTGGAGCAGTGAAATATCTTGCGAGATCCCATTCTGTCTGGTTGCTCAATGTACGATGGTGGAGGTTCATCCTCATCAATTGAGTAGTTAAGAGCCATACAATTATTGTCGGGTGTTTTTGGGCAACAGGAAGGATATTTAGAGATCTGGAAATAACACTGGAAAAATGGCTTTGGAACTGAATGGAGATTGGGCTACTGGATCCTCTTCTTATAGTCATACACGGAGAACAGAGGTCACCTTTTTACCCACCCACTGCCCGGATACATGCTCCTGTATGCGCCTGATAAGTGTCCAAATTATGCTAGGAATCATTTAATTACGACAGATCACCGCTCATACGTCCTGATAAGGCTGGGCCGCCGGTGCTTTGGGAACATAATCAGGAAAGTTTTGATGTTACCATGAATCCTTGTTGGCCTGGAGTGACGAGAACTGGTGATTTGATTCGAACTGATACTTATTTACAGCGGAAGATCGTAGAAATGTGGAGACATAAGGTTTGCGGGATTGTCCCGAGATGCATAAATAGGTAGGTTGTATGTCGTAGATGCAACACAAGGGGTCCATCTTCTATGATTGTTCATTAATTCTTGTAGTAGCCGTGTACTTGAGAAGGCCCGGGTGGTCCTTGTCCGTAAGGACCCTGCAGGTACCCTCCGTAATCGCCAGGATAGCCTCCTGGGGGACCAAATCCGCCTGGGGGGCCATACCCTGGGCCAGGAGGGCCAGGAGGACCAGGAGGGCCAGGAGGACCAGATGGGGGTCGAGGAGGCCCAGCAGGAACGCTGATAATTCTTCCCAAACCATGACACATAGGACACAAATCGTCATCGAGCAAAAATCCGTAAACCATTCCAGAACCACGGCATCTTCCACAAAGAATGCCTCCTAGTCTTGGGTCACCAGGCTCCACCCTCATAGGAGGTGGCCCAAACAGGCCAAACGAAGGCTGTTGTGGCATTAGCGTACTTGTGAATCCAAATAACGGCGTAGAAGAGTACCCTACGGACTGGTAATTATTTCTGGGACCATACCTCTCCCAACAATCCTTACATGATTTACCATTTTTGATCTTGTGGCCAGTATTGTTGCATTTATCGCAAAGGTACCTCTTGGGGTATTTGAATGGAAGCTGTGGGTTGGGGTTATAGGCGTTGTTCTTGAGATAATGCTTGTCCCAACAGTCACGGCAGATATCCCCATTCTTGATCTTGTAGCCAGTGTTTTTGCACTTTTGACAAAAGTAACCCCTAGGAAACCTGAATGGAAGGGAAGAGTTGCCTGTGTATAGATCTGCCGTGGATGAAGATGCGGATGGTTGGCTGCTTGAAGGTCGAGATGGCAAGGGCGGGGCACCAGGCGGCCTTTGGGGCACGGAAGGTGGTCCATTGGGACGGTCCACTCGAGAGGGTGGTGGGCGGTTATATGAGGACGACAGTGGCGCTGGCAGCGGCGTGGGTCTCTGTGGCAAGACGGGATTCAGATTGATGGCTTCGTCGTAGGATGGCGGAGGAGCATCATCACCGATTGAGTCTATTTTTGACATTTGGGGCAGTGGAACAGCTAGTACAGCGATTGGCGATTGTGTGGCCAGTTGCGGTTGAAATGAGCCGTATTGCAGAGGGAAGAGCTAACTAGCTTAGACAAGGCTGAAGTAGGTGGAGAGTGTGGGGGCTGAGATCGTATGTGGTCACGTGTGGCATACCACCATTTGGCAACCAATGGACGGTAGGTGGTGGAGGCAAACGAAGTTGGGGTTGGGACCTTCTAGGGGAAAAGGGACCCATGGGCTCGTTTCCTGCTAAGGTATTACCTCAGCACTGCTTTTTGAGTGCTGCTGGATCTTCAAAGTGGCGTCTTTTGTGCACTTGCAGCCAATCGCAACGAGGAGCACCATCAGGGCGCTAAGATTGAAGGATGGCTATTGATCGACGAAAGAAGGTGTGGATGTTGGAGGAGGGTTCCGTTATTTCGGAGGAGTCTCACGGCTTTTCAGCTGAATTATGCCTTCGTAGTGATTATCTGGAAGAAGATAAAGATGGCGTTCTGTTCTGGACAAGAGCGACAGTCTGCGGTAAACTTGGGTGGGTGGTACCCAGCAGTGTGGTGGTGGGCCGGATGGCTGCCAGTTTAATAATGACTTTCTTGTGTATCTTCCGTACTGGGATTGGGAAAGTGGCTCGTTCTGGTGGACAAAGAAGTGTGCTATCTACTTGTGGAAGTGTGCTATCTACTGGAGGGACCAGAAAAGGCGGGATTTTTGAGGGGCTAGGCCTAAGCTGTGCCTTGCCTAAGCGTGTACTACCGATGATATTTGGGCCACCAGTCCTACTGCCGCCAATACATTCAGTGTCTAGCTATATTTCCAGGTGGATAACCACCACCAAATCTTCTGTGGTTGCACACACAAAGTCGTTGAGTGCAGCCACCTGCACACAGCGCGCACCACGAAGGATCGCGGTCACGTGCCAGCTTTCTGGGTGAGGATCATCACAACGCGGTGATACCACCTACCACTCACACATAGATATGATCTGGCTTTCGGAGAGACAAAGTGAGTATGGATAGAGACGCGGCTGGTCCGTATTGCTGGGAGCAGGAATTGACGCTTTGGGAAAGATTTTCCGTGCCGTGAACCCACTGGTGTTGCAACAAGGGAAGGAAGAATGATAAAGAAACAAGGTCAGAAATGATACGGATTGCAGGAAATGGTAGAGGAAGTCTCTTTCTCACAAGAAATGCAATGCAGAAAACGGTAGAGCAGGTTGCATGACGAACGTGAACCAGTAGTATCTGCAAGCACCGTGCAAATTGGCCTATTCTAACTGGAATACCTCCAGTTTGCTTTCCCATATTGTGACCCCAACGAACCGCGCAAACAGCCTGGTACAACCACTTGGAACCATACTAACCAGCAGAATTCGGAGTGGGCTTCACTGCCGGCGGATTGGCATTTTTTGTGCTTGGTATAATGACATTCTTCGACTCGGGGTTTTTGGCATTGGGAAACATATTGTTTATCATTGGGCTCATACTAATCATTGGTCCCCAAAGAACAGTGACCTTCTTCACCCGCCCCACCAAAATCAGAGGCACCTTGTGCTTTGGGCTGGGGATTGCCCTTATTTTGATGAAGAGATCGTTCATAGGCTTCATTTTAGAGAGTATGGGGATCTTGGGGTTGTTTGGCGACTTTTTTGGCACTATCGTCACCTTTTTGAGATCGATCCCTTATATCGGGGATTTGTTGAACCACCCAGCCATTGCTCCTGCTATTGATAGAGCTGCAGGAATCAACACCTTGCCTGTTTAATTGGGTATTGGTTATCTCGCTCAGGCATACGTTCCTGTTAAAACCGGTTGGGTTGTCCCCTTGGCGGAGAGGAATGTCCTGTTCACGGCCAATCGTTCCATAAGGCACATTTGTGGTGTGCTCTAGACGACGGCCTTGTGTCAGATTATAATAGAGATTCAAATATGGTGTACAGTATATACTTAGTAAGTAACTTATAATTTATTGGAAAAAAGCGTAGGAATCAGCACTTGGTTTATGCGACAAACCTGTTCATAATTACTGTGTCCTATGACAAAAAGTTTTAGTCATAACTCGATCATTTGACAAATCAGTCAAAAATGGGAACGCAAAATAATAAGCTCGCGGAATAAGTTGCGTTTTTGATGGACTAATGCCGCAAGAAAATATCAATTATGGTTCCGCTAACTGACGGTTCAGGAATACTTAAAACTAGGGAGTTCTAGTTCGCAACCATTGCACCTTGTTCCTAGGCAAAATGTCAAAAAAGGAGCCAGAACTCTTTGTACATGCCCTGTTTGAACCGCAGGCTTTGTAGCCTAATAGACTTTGGAAAATATTAATTCAAGCGTACTGTTAAAGGATTGAATTTAGCTCGAATGTGCATGTTTAAACGAAATACACAGATAAAACAATCATTTGTTCTAATCGTCCATTGTATTTCGATGCTTGTCAAATAGAAATACTTGTGGCCCATTAACTAGTCTATAGTCTGGAAGATTGCATGGCGTGTAGTGGAAACTATACTTTATCGATACTCAGGTATAACTGATTGGAAACTTGTTATAATTTATTGGACAACACCCTGATTTCGCCCCGCATAACCAAGCCTTCGAGAATGTCTAACGTGGTGTCGCATACCCGCAAGCAGTAGTTGAGGTCCAACTGCGATATTAGCTCCGTTTCTATCAAGTCTTGCTTCTCGGGCTCTATGTCTATGCAAGTATGTCTATTGTTAATACTGGGCCCTCTTCTAGCCCTCCAGAGATTTCTGGGAGCAACACCTACCCTGGCCTTGAACTGTGGAAGCCAGAGAGCAGAAGGAGGCATGCTTTGTCCTCCTGTATGGTGGACACCGACGAGGTTGGAACTCATAAGATAACCAAAGTTTCGGAGCGTAGAAATAGGGCTATTCGCTGTGAAATCAAGTACAACTGCCTGGTCTTCCGGCACCATCTGTGCCACCAACTGGCGGAGAGAATGGGTCAGTTTGAGCGACACAAACGTGACAGCAGGGGCCAAAACCTCTCGCAAGCGGTTTATCACCACTATGGGATGGTACAACATGCCCACAGGAACTTCGCTTCCGGCAGCTACTCGCACGTAGACCGACTGGGTGGGAACAGGCCCATCCACTGCTCCGTACCCATTAGCCGCCAATGGCGCCAAATTGACGGAGCCTAGCGGGACGATGCCAGTATCAGCATCGCCAATTAGCACGGTACGGAGGAGATACGACACCACGAAGTCGTGGTGACCTAGGCGGAGGTCGCTGACGGTGTTGGTGCCACACCAGGGCGTGGCGGTGGCAGTTGGAGTCACATTGTTGTTTTCTACCACCACGATTCTGAACGACCGCCAGTGGCGGTAGTAGAGGGTGGCCGCAATGGCAGCGAGATAGGCAGCGAGGTTGGAACGGTGGTGGATCACGAGCACCACCATTGGGGATACAGACGGAGTCTAGCAGAGCCAACCAGTCATGAAACCGTGACTGGAGATGGTGGCAAGTATTAGACGATCGATACCAAAAAAATGCGCAAACCCGGAATCGAACCGGGGGCCCAACGATGGCAACGTTGGATTTTACCACTAAACCATTTGCGCAANNGAAACTCCGCGACGGGGAATTGAACCCCGGTCTACCACGCGACAAGCGGTAATTCTAGCCACTAAACTATCACGGATTTTTCTTAGAGGATTTGTGTATGAAAATAATAGGTGCAGATATGCTAGACTTTTCAAAACGGCGGTTTTTGGCGCCAGTTGCCTAGAACCAGAATCAGGCCATTTGCGGTGGCGGACTGCACTAAGGTTGACTATCTCCACCTCGTGCAGCGCGTGGAAAACTTTATTTGTGGTGCATGACGGATTTAGTGCCCAGCGACAAGATCTAGCACGGAGAGGCATTGGAGGGTCTACATACATGTGCATGGTGCATGAGCCTAACCCCGGACCATCCCCCAGGTGAGCCCATTAGTCTAATTCTATAACGGTCTCTCATGCACGCGGTTTCTTTGTTATCTGGACTAATTGCCACACGCGGCTTCCGGGGCATATTTTGCAGGGTATTTTCCGTGATTTTCATCCTAAGAAAATGTTCCCTACAAAATATCCCGATTTCTCACCGTCCCCACGCACCCCGATCTCCACCGTATACGTTGCAGGCCCACCGCTGCTGCACCTAAAGCATTCTGGGCCCTCTCGTCTCACGCGGTGCACGAAAGGCTAACCTGCCCTGGCCGCTGCCAGGGCTGCGTTGACGCCGTCGGCGCTCCTATTCTCCACATGTATTGTCTGCCTACGCTAATTTATTGACACAACGGGGCTTTGTACGTGATTGTCCGAGATTTGAAAAATATTATCTGGTGGTGAGGCTGTTGGCGCTCCTCGTGCTCCATGGTAAGAGCTGCCAATCTCAACCTACGGCGTTGTGGGGAGCATGTAGTGTGTGTGGGGGGTACCATGCGATTAGTCAGCGCTTGGTGCGGCAATGTGGCAGTCCTCGAGACTCAGCTTGGAATGATGCACCAACGGTCTCGCCAAAAGAGGCTGGCCACCACTTGGCGCCACCCACATGAAGGCTTCTAACCAACATGTCCAATGTGCAATGACCACTGTCCGACGCTTCCAGCACCCACCCGTGGAAACTGCCGGAGTGTCGCAGTGTCTGGCATCCGCGGCAGCTTGGTGCTATCGCCGTTGTGCGCGCGCCAAATCCATCGCGAAATCTCTCGAGAGCTGATCATCGCTCCGATAACACCACTACCCCCTCCACAACGCCATATACCTTCCTAAAGGACGTAGCCATGTCTAAGGTCAATCGTCGTAAGGAAATCAAGGAGAAGGAGGAGCTCCAGGCGAGGTTCCAGCTCCTGATGGCCCGCAACAACACTACAGTCATGAGCTGGCTCAAGCCCAAGCAAGACGTTTCAAGAGACATAGAAACCGAAAAATCGTTCATGGAGTTGCCTATCGTGCCGCAGGGCGCGGGTCTAGCGGCACTCGATGCCAGCAGCAGCAAAATCGGCGATTTTATCGCTTCCAACACCACCAAGCTCGCTGCCATCAAGGAGGATCGCACTGCGAAGGGCTCCAAGCCTATGATGGCGCTCTTGAACAAGATGAGGGACTCGGGAAGGGCTTCGGTGGCCAAGAAGGAGCCAGTGCGATCTGGGCCTCAGAGCGGCGCCAGAGCTCGTCCTGGCCCTTCCAAGGTGCTGCGCACCGAGGACGAGGACTCCGAGGAGGAGGAAGCCTCGGCAAAAAGCCGTCGGACGGTGAAGAAGTCTAGCCAGCCGTTCAAGGGCAAGGGCAGGCCATTCTAGAGGCTGTGTGGGGACAGGTGGGCTACTAGGTGGGCTACTAGGTGGGCTATTAGGTGGGCTCGATACGGCTGAGCCGGCCTCTGGCGGACCAGGTGGGGCCGGTAATCCCGTGTCGGAAGCGGTGGACCCACCCTGCTTGCACCCCTCACCTACACAATCTGCAATCGCACCAGTATTATTTGGCACTACAGCTGCAGACTGTACTAGAAACGCCCTCACACTATCACGGCATTTGCACGTGCCTCTGCCAGCCTCGACTCGTCCTGCCGCCACGGCATCTGTAGCCAGGTGAGAATCTGGCGAAGCATCGCTCAATTGTTCTCCCGCGTGCATGACAATACAACTGCATGGCGTCGGGGCCGCAGCGTAAACCGTCGTTGGTGGGCGCCCACCAGCAGTGCCGAACGGTGTGGACGCCACCTCGTAATGGAACATTCCGCGCGTGATGCTCCACCGGATAGTTGTGCATGGAGCATGGGCAATGGCCCGGTGTCTGCGTGGGCGGTTTCAACCTCGAATGCCACCTCCGCCGTCTGGGCCTATCTACAGACAGTAACAACCTAATATAGTTAGACTAATAATACAAAATTTAACCTATCGCCGTGACAGTTGTCCGGACTACCCGAGACCAGGCGCATGGAGAATCCTCAGCTAATGTCGCAGCCTGGCTATGTAGTGTGGAGCGACTCCCATAAATTAGAAACACCAATCATAATGCAAATGTTTCCGAGTGGAGTCGAGGTTCTCACTTGGAGAATCCGAGGATTGAACAAATGGCCCAATGGCCTGCAAAAAACACTGACATTCACTGTTTAACGACGTTTGAGGCGTAGCAAAATGGCCCTAATATTTCCCTTGCCGTTTAAAAGTATTTGGAGATATCCGAGGCGTAGCAAAATGGCCCTAATCTTTTTTTCCTAGAAAACACTTGTCATTAAGGGTTTCCGAGTGTTGCAGTGGAGTTTCTCACTGTTGGGGTTATCCATAGATGGCCCCAATCTTTTTCTCCTAGAACTCATATTAATGCGTCGCTTTCAACGATGTGGAGATGAGGCTTAGTCCAGGTAGACCTGCCTAATTTTTACCCTGTTATTAAACGAGTTTTTGAGATGTAGCCACAAATGCTCAATCGGCTTGATGCTGTCATTTCTCCTGTCCACAAATAGTAGCTCGAATTTAATGATGGCAATTTTTCGTCTCCGCTAGCTTGTGCTAGCAATATTCTAATGTCTGGCTAGCTCAATCTCCTCCGTTTGTTCTCTCCGTCGCTCACCGGCTTCTGGGACCTGTCGTGCTCGTTCTCGTCGATGGTCGACTGGACCACGCCAGAGCTCTTAGTCTCGCCAGTGCTGTCGTCCAACAACGACGTCACGGACACCTTTTTGTTCACCACCAGCCTGTGCTCCTCGCCAATGGCAGGCACCTTAGCTAGCGGCGAGTTTGTTAGCGAGCGCAAATGGCTGAGTCCTTGCGCACTATGGGCAAATGACGGAAGCGAGCTGGACGACCGTGGAATGGGCGATTTCAACTGGCTAAATTTGGCATTTTTGGATGCGTTAGGAGGCGGTGTGAGGCTCCGGAACATTCTGCTTCTGTTGGTACTCATCGACACGGGGGATGATGATTTTGGTGCCTGGAACTGCTGCGCAGAGTAGTACGGATGGGTGCTGGAAGCTCCTCCGTCCGTAGAAGCCCATCTAGTAGCCTGGGGCTGTGCCAACTCGTTAGGAGGGGGGATGGGGTCGTGGGGACTGATGGAGAACGAGTTCTTGTTCTCTATCACCGCAGTATGCTGGGAAATGGACCCAAACGAGGAAGTTCTCTTGAAGGACGAAATCGACGATAACGACGATTTGGCCGAGAAAATCGAGTTGTGGGATGATTGAGAGCCGATGGAGTCGTTCTGCGGCTTGGGCAACGACCCGTTGGGCTTGGAGGCTCCTGAGCCTGCTGCTGAGCCGGAGCCGGAACCGGAACCGGAACCGGAGCCAAAGTGCAACTCAAGCAAGGACGGTCTGAGCCGCTCGTGAAGCGAGCTGTTGATGGGCACCAATGAGGGCTTCTTGGCGGCAGAAGACACGAGAGGCGAGCCGGGGATGGAGCTGGAGGGGTTTGTAGCCGCATCGAGCGAGGGAAGACTTCGTGGTAAAGGAATGGAGGAGGGCTCGGGTGAGTGGGGGCTTGCGAGCGTGGAGGAGGTGCTGTGGATGGAGGAGGGTGGGGGCAACTTGACCCCCACCTTAGTGTCGGGGGAAGGGTCTCCCAAATCGCGCTCGGGAAACGGGGATGCTGGATGGACGGGGCCTGTAGACACTGTTAAAGACTTGGAGACACCTGTAGGTGGCGCAGGGGCCAACGGATCGAATAACGATGGGTTTCGAGGGCGGGCCGACTCGGTGGGCTTGGAGCTTTCCCAGATCTTGCGGAACTGCAAGTTGGGGGTGTAGTGCTGGGGATGGACGGCCGACTGAGGGGTGGCGGCGCGGTGGGAGGGCTCGATGTGTGGAGGCACTTTGGACTCGCCGGGAGTACTGTAGGGGTGGGGGGCATGATGTGGGGGGATCTGGGGCGGAAGGTGTTGGGGGGCTTGGGGGTGCTGGGGAGGATGTTGTGGATGTTGTACCGGGTGCTGGGGAGGGTGTGCAGGGTGCTGTGAAGGGTGTGCAGGGTGCTGTGAAGGGTGTGCAGGGTGCTGTGAAGGGTGAGCGTGCTGTGGAGGGTGCTGTGGAGGGTGCTGCCCGTGCTGCGCTTGCTGCGCTTGCTGCTGCTGCCCATGCGGAAACCCATGCTTCACCGGCATCTGGTACACGGGATATGGCCCTCCCGCATAGTACGGCGTCCCGTGCTGCTGCGGCACCATGTGGTAGTACGGTATGTATTGCTGGTGGTAATACCCTCCCTCGTACGGACTGGGCGATGGCAGACTGGTGGCCCCCACGAGATACTCGCTGGGCGCCTGGTTGGGCAACGTGGTGGTCTGCTCGTTGCTGTAGCAGCTACGCAGACTGTTCGAACTGGAACGTCGCTTGATGTAGATCAACGAGCTCTCGTCGTCCTTCTTGAACTTGCCGCTCAGGTGCTTGAACTCCCACACGGGCGCCAGCTCCTTGTCGCTAAAGCCGCCACTGGCTGCTGTCTGGTTGGGCTCGCTAACTTTGTGGAACCCGTACATGTGGAGCTGACGCACAAACGAGGCGACGTTGCCGTGCTTGAAGTATCCTGTCAACGCATTGGCAAACTCCTTACCGGGATACAATGCAAACGTGTTGTTTTCGGGATTGTTGGTGGTCCACCATATCAAATGGGACAACTTGGGGTCGTTCAACATGGTGTAGAGCTTGTGCACAAAGGCATTCTTCTTGATGGGGGGGTCCTGGGCCTTCTTGCTCATGGTGGAAACGGTCTCACTGGGGTGGAGATGACTAGATGTGGATGGGGGGTGTATGCATTTAACCAGAAGGTGGAGGATTCGGGTTGCCGGGGGATGGGGGGGTAAGGATGTTGGGATGACGGTGTCCGCAGGTGCTGTTTGCAGAGGTGCTGCGGGACGGACTGCAGTGTCTGGAGACGGACGCTGGAGCAGTCGAGGACGGTTGCTGGGATGGATGGGGCCAAGCGTGGATGTGACGAGTACTTTTGGGGTGGTGGTCACACTCACAGTCGGACGGTGTAGCTGTGCAAAGGAGGAGTTCGTGAATTCAATCGGTGCTTGGTTTCCCACTCGCTCTATAACCCAAATCGCCTTGCTGGCTTTTTTGATGATGAGGATGGGTATTAATAATAATACAAAGTGTTAATATTTCCAAAAGGATGATGTTAATTCGAAAGAATAATCTTAAACTGAAAGAATGATGAAAAAAGTAATTTTAATTTTGATTTTTAAGTTAATACGTTGTTTTGGCTATTATTTTATGCACGATTTTTATTTTGCTGTATGGGGGCGCTCCGATTGTTAAGATTTTTTTTTCTGCGGCTAATATTTTTTGTCAAAAAATATGATTTTGATATTGATTTCGCATAACACCAGGTAACACAATAGCCACTGACAACTTGTCTCGAACCAAATTAAACTTTAGTTTTTGCCTATCAAACTCAAAAAATACTACTCTGGGACTAGATTCGATAACAAGGTTGCCGATGCTAAATCTTCAAATCCGATACCTGCACTGGATGAAAGGAGGGGAAGCCCCAGGCCCTTTCATGGCCGATCCCCATATAATCAACAGGCTTCAAAATATCGACAGCTCCGGTTGGATGTGGGCAGGTAGGGGAAGTGCTGCGTAATGTACCAGTAAGCTATCAACTAAAGCTACACCTTTGTCAACTTGGTAAACTTTATTGAGGCTACTATCTGCCGATTGTTGCCAGCCAAGTGCACCCATAAACGGTGGCAATGCCCCCAGGGCCCAGTTTCCGTCACCATCACCTCGTCGCAACCATCAACACAAACTATAAGGCTGCGATAGTACGTATAATTAGTGCCGATCGGTTCGTTTAGCCTTATGTGGTAACGAAACCTCCTTAAATTGTAAGCATGGTGGCCTTGCATGCATTATGCGTGAACTGCGCACCTAATTTATCGGTATCAGATGTATCAAAATAAAATTTGCTTTCCCTACAATCAGAAAATATGGAACAGACAGTGTGGGTGATTGCAAATTGATAGCATTCGGTTTCTGGAAAGATACATGAAACAACGGTTGAAGAGCATATACGGAGTTCTTCCGTGAAAAGTTCCAATCCAACACGAACGCCGTTCGATTAGGGTCTCGACCATAGATTTTCCATGCACCTCATTGGCGGAGCACCGGCGGAAGAATGACCATCGTGTAATGTTGTTTGATTTTTTGAATCAGAGGTGAAAACTCGCAGATTCCCTCGTGCCAATAAGCTTCTCTGACATAAGAGGTACGGGCTGAAGTAACTTCGTCCCGTTTGCTGTATTTACTAGGTTAACTAAAACGCACACCAAACAATTAGAATTCGTTACGAGCATGTATTTGGAAAACTTTTTTACCAAGTGTGTGCATGATGCATATCAGACATCAGTCAAACTTTAAATTTCTTTGCATAGATTACCGGATCGGGGATTCCTACTACATTCAGATGTACCTCACTAACGGCGAGTCGTGTGGGACGGGGTGTCACCGCATGTACTCGTGCTCCCACTATCGCTACTGGGTTCTCGCTTAGCAAATCGCAAATGCTCCCCAGGTCACCCCTGGTCCATATCTTTAGAGCATACCTGCTGTCATCCCGGCGGAGAGTGCCATGCACTCGGCGCCTGGCGTGCCCACCCTCCCTGCCGACTTCGCAATATTCCGTGGGGGTGTGCAGTGTAGTGTAGCCCCCCCCCCTCCTTCTCCAACCCCCACTGATGCCTGTCTGGACAATTGCCCTTAGATAGCCAGTGATATTATCATATCCATCTTGGATCTTTATTTTCTGGGGAGAATCAGACCACTTCTCGCTTCGCAGAGGCTGAACCCTCCATTTCTTCATGCCTTCGACAGCCTGCCGCCTCACTGGGCTCCCGCGTACATAATCGAGAATAACTAGACGTTGAGGTCAGGCCCACGTCAGCAAAAAGCTGAAAATCCGCCTGCTGCTGTCCCATCTCGCCCCTTTCCTGTGACTGGAACCAAAAAATACCCCCACTAAAGCTGCATTAGGTTTGGAGACAGACTTCTATTCTGTAACCCAAAAGTGTCGGTACCGAACACCACAGTTATAATTGTAGCGACGATGACTTCGCTTGGTGGTGGCGAGCACACATTTGCTGTCGTCAGTGGCCCGTGGTTCTTCCGGGGGATCGCCGAGCTTGGTGCAAGCCACCACGTCTAGGTTGTCGCCTGGAGTGGTTTGCTGTGGAGGCGAGATCGGTGTATTTTGCAGGCTGGACGCAGACTTTCGGCACATTAACACATCCTCGACGAATTGCCATCACCAACCAGCAAACGTCAAGAAAGCTGGGTTTCATGGGTGCATGCCAGGCGTGGGATATGCCTGGTCACGGCGTCTCGGAGGCCTGTTGCCAACGCCACCCGACTGCACACATTGGGGGTGCCAGCATGGATCTTCTCTATGCAAGACGCACAATCGGCGGTCGCAGAACCCTTGTCCTCGCACCATTTCTTAACTTAATAGTTAATGTACTCGTATATTTGGTTCCAGGTGTATTCGGCGAATGGGCTAGGCGTTGATTTGCCCGGAATTAGCTAGACTAGAATGGTTAATCGCAAATAGATGGCGCTGGAATCAGATTTGATTGCCAGAACCGTCCAGACAGCATTCGCCAGAATGGGCTATTCCGTCCCCAGAATGGGCCAGTAATGCGCTGCATTTGATTCTAGTCATGAGCATCCACCAATGCCTAGTCTAACTCGCTTAAATTCGTATGAAATAGAGTAGTGCCATCACCGACTACCTCTTCCAAAGTACTAGTGATATTTCCAGCTAAATTACTAAAAACTTGTCAGCATTCACCAGAAGGCGTTCTAGACCAAATGTAGGCATCATCGACTGGCCAATGGGAATGTTCTAGACCAGAACTAGAGTAGTTTTCAGTTGGTTGTACTATTCCACCTCGCTTCCAGAATCTAGACGTACTTATCTGAAATACTCACGTCGACCTGGCAAGAGGTAGTTTTCCTTTTCAACCAAGCGAAATTCTTATGAATTGGAACCGTCGGTTGATTTGCCAATCGATACCATTTTTTCATCAATTATAGAAATACCCCAAGGTACAATAAGAGACATAGACTAGTCGTTTGCTATTTGGAGCTGTTATGCCTAGACATATTCCCTAGAAGAATCAGCTGTTCGCCAAATGGACTAGTTTTACCCCAGGGTAAATAAACGAGTTAGCAGTATTCGCAATGGACCAGTTATCGGTTTTGCGAAAATGGCTATTTCTGCTGCCAGACTGATGTACTTCTCTGCTACTCACAAAATAGTTTACGTGGTTCTGTTCTTATATTTGGGCTTCATAGCTCAGTTCACCAGGATGGCTATTTCATAAAAACGAATAAAAACCTATTGGAGTTTTTCTAGCTACGTGCACCAGAATGGGCTATACTAAACTGGAATACCAGCATTATCAGCACAGCTGGCTAGTACAGAAACTAAAGTAGTTAGACTGCATACTTGAGTTAACATAGCGAAAATCCACCGGAATAGATTCTACAAACGGTAGTTCTGTAGTATATTCGGTGTTTCCTTGCTATTCAGCGGATTCTTCTACACCAGTATGAACTTTATAGCTATATTTCTACTAACGTAGTATGTACTTATATACGGAGCTTATGCTTCCAGAATCAGACTATCCAGTCTAAACCTCCCCTCTCTTCTCTCTCAACATGAGCCTTCCGCTCAACATGTCTCCCACCTCGCGCAACGACTCCCAGTGCACGGTCTTTCCCTTTCTCAAGCCCACATTGGCCTCCTTGGTGTATAACTCGTTGATATCCGAGAACTGGAGCTGGGCTCCCTGGACCCCGAGCACCACGGCAGAGGCACCACTGCCAGTGCTCGAAGTCCTCTCCTCGATGAACTGGATGGATCTCACCGCAAACCGCACGGCGTTGACTCTGTCCATGGACGATGGAGTGTAACCCTGTTGGACATGGCCAGGAATGGCGGTTCTGGTCTCGAACCGGCCCTTGGCACTCTCCTTGATGATGTCGGCAATGAGCTCGGTGGAGTACACTGAGGAAGCCTGTTCGTTACGCACAATCAATTTACCGTTGTGGTCCTCGCCACGGTCGTTGGCAAACACGTCGTACAATAACGAGATGTCCTCCTGGATGGTCTTCAAGTTGATCTTGCTCTCGGGAGTGTAAGTGGCAATGGCACCTGTGATCAAGCCACAGTAGGATGCCACGAAACCCGAGTGGCCTCCCTGGACTTCCACAACGAACACTCTTCTTCTGGACGAGGATGCCGACTGTTGTACGGCATCACAGTAGTTGACCAACTGGTTCAAGCAGGTGTCGGAGCCCAACGAGTACTCGGTTCCTGGTACGTTGTTTGAAACAGTGGCAGGGATCATTACCATGGGGATCTCGAACACGGGATAATTGGCCCTGTTCTCGTTTAACTCGTTCAATGCCGTAAACGCCTCGAAGCCCCCAATGAGGATCAAGCCGTCCAACGCGTGCTTCTGGAGGTGGTAGGCGACTTTTCCAAAGTTTTCCAGCGGAAGAGACCGGTTGGTTCCAATCTCAGAGCCACCCTTGTTGTGCCAGTCCTCAACGTCGAGCCAGTCCAACTCGCAGAGCTTTCCCTCGCTAATCAACCCACTGAAACCGTTATGAATTGCGTAACAACGGTGGCCCTTTGACAAGCAGTACAATGCAGCTGCTCTGGTACACGAGTTCAAACCGGCAGACGACGCTCCGACGTGTACGATTCCGATGTTCAACCGCTTATCTTCTGGCAACGCAAGCAGTCCGTCGTCCTGGAGCGCGGTGGTGAGGTAGTTGTCGTAGGCCTCAGCAAACGTGGAGTCACGCAACTGCATGGCCTTGTCGAAGTCCTTGCTTTCGATGGCTGTGGCCACCGACTTAGTGAGCCTGACTGCCTCCATCAACGGCTGACGCACGATTTTGTTCTCCAACACACCAATCATGGGCAGAGGAGTGTCGGGAGTGTTTTCCAACACCGCCTTGACAGCATCGACACCTTGCAAGGTGGCTAACAATCTGTCTGAAGCCACAGCTGTTCCTCCTCTCTGGACGTGGCCCAAGGTGGTGATTCTGGTGTCCAAGCCCAACTCTACCAACACATCCTTGACCTGGTCGGCAGAAATGGCGTTGAGTTGGTCGTCGATGGCACCCTCGGCCACAATCACAATGGTTCTTCTCTTGCCCTTAGCCTTGTGTCTTGAACAGATGTTCTTCAATTCCTGGTGCCACTCGCCAGCCTTTGGTGGTCTTTCGGGGATGAAAATGTAATCTGCACCCGTCGATAACCCGGACATCAAGCCTAGCCACCCGCAGTGTCTTCCCATGACCTCGACCACGAAAGCTCTCGAGTGGGAGGTGGCAGTGGCGTCGATATAGTCGACCATTTCTGTGATGCGCTCCAACGACGAGTACGCACCAATGGTAGAGTCTGTACATGCCATGTCATTGTCGATGGACCCCACCAACCCCACGATCGTGAGATGCTTGTAGGGAGCCACTTCCTGGGGCGAGAAAGTTTTGTTATCGACCAATTCCTGGACCAACGAGGGCCAGTCGCTTCTGAACAAGTCGGCTCCCGTCAACGAGCCGTCTCCTCCACAAACAATCAATGCATCAATGCCGTTTCTGATCATGTTGGCAGCAGCACTCAATCTGCCTTCACGTTCACGGAACTCAGCACATCTGGCAGTTCCGATGGCAGTGCCTCCAAGGGACAAGTACGAGCGCACGTCGTTCCAGTCCATCTGGCGCAAGAGGTCGCCTCCCTTAACCAATCCCTCGTAGCCTTCGTACACAGCAAACACATCGCAGTCGTGGTAGATGGCGGCACGAACAACAGCTCTGACGGCTGGATTCATACCTGGAGCGTCACCTCCTGATGTCATCACCCCAATCTTCTTTCTCTTCTTCAACTCCTGCACCGGTTTGTCTTCGTTGGCTGTCGGATCGTTCTTGTGCAATGCCTTCAAGAGCTCGTCGGACTTCACTTGCAAGTACTCTTCGGCAGAAGCGTACGATCTGGGCGCTAATGGGTTTTCACGGCTGGAGAACACAACACGGTTGCCCAACGGATCGCGAGCCACGATCTGGTCGGTTTGCTGCTCAAAAGTGGTGTTGTTGGCAGCCAATATTTCTGCAACTCGAGGCAAATCGGTGGAAAAGAAGCACAATTCTCGTGGCGTTTCGTCCACTTCAGTAAGATTGGACAACCGGAGCTTCAACACGGTGGAGGCGCTGAGAGGAGCACAGTTGTCGCCGTTGTAGACAGGCAACTCCTGCCAGGGCAAGATGTGGCCATTGGCGTCCACGTTTTGGAGCGGGAAGCTCTCCACCCACAACTCGTTCAAGGAGTCGTTGGAGATGCCAAGGTGGAGGCGTGGGTTGTTGGATGCCGAAGCTGCGCCGTTGTTGGACACTTTCGAGTAGTTTTTGGTCAAACGGAAGCCAAGCTGGTGGTAGAACTGGCCCAATTGGGCATACTTGGCGGGGTCGTTGGTCACGAGCGAGGTGAAGCTAATCCCCTGGATGGGATCTACGGAGGGCATGGTGGTCCCGTGTATTGCAGTAGGGGTGTGGAATTAGCTGGAGTTGTATAGAGTAGCAAGAGAGGGTTCACCTGATGTTCCGGAGTATATTTGGCCGGGCGGTGGGCGCACGACACGATATCAGGACGATGAGATCATTAGGAGAAGGAGTAGGAGCCAGGGGCGGGTGCGCGAGGCGCGGGAGGCATTGGGAGCAAGAGAGTGGGCAGATGGAGAAGGCAGGTAGTCCAGCAGGGCGTGGGGCTCTTTATGGCGTGTCAGCGGGATTTCCGGGCCGTCTTTTTGGGCTGAATCCAGATGGTATTCCGAGTGGTGAATTGTGCCTGTCTGAACCGGATGAGCCAGATCGTATTCCAAGTCGTCGTTTTGCCATTGCGGCTCTGTGGTAGCGAAACCAGTTGCATGGCTCCAGAGACCAGCCGTGGGGGCAGCAGTCATTTGAGGGCTGGAATAAGCGGTCGTTTTATGGCTGATGCGCTGCTGAGCAGGCTTTTTATTGGTCTTTCCGCTCCCAAAACTAGTAGAGGACTCCTGGGTACTCTCAACGGTCTGGCTGCTCCACGGACCATCAGTGGGCTGCTGGGTGGACATTTCCGTATTGTTTGTCCGGTTCTTGCCCGATTGTGGAACTTCAAGAATATACATAATAGGCTCACCTTCCAACTGTTTCTTGCCCTGCAATTCCATCTTTCTCGGGTTCTTGCCTCTGGTGGTGCTCTGGCGAAGCGGCTGTTCGAGCTCGTTCCACTGGTTGGGTCCATTGCCGTACTTGTAGTGCCTTCCACTGGAGTAATCCTCCACATGAAGACTCTCGACATACATTGAAAACGGAGCCTCTACGTAGTTGGTCAAACCTCCTGCCCATTCGACGGTTCCAGGATGGTTCGTGGGGTCTCCTCCTGCCCAGAGACTGAATTTCACTTGCATTGGCGACGTAGGGTATCCGTGCTCGTTGTTTCTATCCAAAACTCTGACCAGGTCGCCATTAATGTACCATGTCAACGTGTGAGAGGTCCACTCGATGCCATAGGTGATGAACGAGTCCAAAGTTGACTGGGAGGTGCGGTGGTAACCGTCACGGTCGTAGTTTGAGGTGTTTCCCTTGACAAAGAAATTTGACTGGACCTTGAATGGATCGCCCCCAAACCCTTCGACAATGTCGATCTCGTCCTGGTCGTCGCTCTGAAGGTAGCAGGAGCTGATCACTCCCTGGCCCTCCGCAGCCTTGACCTTGACCTCTACTTTGCCGTGCAAAATGTAAAACTTGGACACCAACGAAGGATTGTCAAACCGGTCTCGGAGTGTCAACTTGAGGCCTTGGTCGCAGTACTCGACTCCGGAGGGTGTTGTTTGGGCAAAAAACTGGGGACTGGGTGAAGAAAAGATGTGGGAGAACGTGCCCTGGAGGGCCGAATTCGACATCAAGCACGAGGGATCCTGAACAGCATCGCAGGCTGTTTGGAGTGTGTGAGTCACCAACAGAAGGATCAACAATACTGGAAGAAACATAGCGGTAGAAGGAAGGAAGAAGTAGAACTTGTTTCTGTGCACTGGAGAGAAATTTGCAATCGTTTTTTGTGTTTCGCAGCCGAAACAAACCGTGAAGTGGAAGAAAATAAGTATAGATAATTAAGAACAGAGTTCTGGTTTCAACTGACGAATGAGTGAATTCGATATAGCGTCTGTAGCTTAGTAACCAATGGCAGGCGGTATTTATGAAATGCTTTTTTGGAGAACTTGGGGCTTTGGGGAATAGATTGGTGCTTGTGTAGAAAAGGCGCCAGTGAATGTTACTGAATGAGAATCTGTAGTTTACTTGAAAAATCGTTAGACCATCAACATCTCAGGGTATATGTGTAGGCAACAGTCCAGGTCAGTTATGGGGTTCCTGGCCGAATTCTCTACAAGATTTGTCCATGAGTGCTGATCAATCTTGAGGCGGTTCTGGAAACAATGGTGTGTTTAGGCTTGCCTGAGTAGAAGAGATTCTAGTTAGAATGAAAAAAGAAAGATTAATGTTCATGAGATATAGAATATTGACCTAATTGAAAGATAATGTGCAAGTACTAACCATCGCTGCTCTTTGAGGGTTAATACTGACTCAATACTTGTGGGAACAAAAAACACGAATTGATCATTTTCAATTTTTTGTACAATTTTGTTGAAATATATCAACATTTCTATAAAACTAGTACTCCAAACGAACCACGCCACAATGTCCACCTATTACCCTACGTCCACCCACTCCTAGATCACGGACCGACCTTCCTCCCCATTTCTGCTATAAGATCACTCTTTGAAAAGCCATCTGGTAGCGCAGGCTCAACTTGACCCAAAAACGCGTGAAAAGACTCCCACCACCACCAAATGCCCCCATATACAGAGGTACACAGGGTCCTCCTCACGCTCATTAGGGCCTCCAAGTGCATCAGCTCGAGTGTGTTGGAGAAGCACTTTCTAACCATTCTTAAAGAGCTCAGTCCAGAGATTTTGGAATCAAATCATACCGTCAATTCAGTGCTCAATGATCACATCTCCAACATCAACGTACGGATCAACCAGCACGGGTTCAAGATAGACAAGAAGAACCACCAGGTGTCAGGCGAACTCCACTACATCTTTATCAACACCGACAATGATAGTATTGTCAAACTAAATACCCAATTCTCACCCAAAGAGCTTGAATGCATCAAGGTATTGATCGACAAAGTGGTGACTTCTGAAGACTACAGCTTGAAGATGGTTGTGGCTGGACAGGTGATCAACGGCGTGTTGGGCAAGTCCTTGGAGGAGTCGTATAGCTTCATCAACAGGCTCATCGACGAAGGATGGCTCGTGCTATCCAAACAAGACCACGTCTTGCTTTCGATGAGATCCATCAGCGAATTAAAGTCGTACTTGATCGATAGGCACGGAGTAACCACAGCGACCAACATGGGTCGGATCTTGTTGTGCAAGCAATGCCAGGAAATCGTGACATTGGGCTACCAAACAGGCGAAGATGATGCCTTTCATTACAAATGCTACGATGTATATTCCAACGGGGATCCGGGTGTCAATTTAGCACGCGTGGGCGTGCTGCCAGACACTCTTTGAGCATAGGGCCTCATTGTACCCTGCTAGCGTTGTCTGGCACGAATTATCAAATAATCTTCAGCCTCAAACTGAATTAGCTCTCCTGTCATTATTCTCGAATAATCAAATAACCTCACGCATAAGGAGATCAGTTAAGCTCCATCATGCCCAATCTATATTGGTTCCTGTCATTTTGGCCTGTCTCTATCAAATAATCTCACGCCTCAAAACTATCCATGTACCTGGCCTCCACCTCATCAATTAAGTCCCAATACCACTCGTCGATCACTGCCTCCTCGTACCTGTCGTTCAACGGTTTCGTAGGCACCGAAGGAGGATACTTGAAGTCTGGACCAGAATTGAGGCCAACTATCCCTCCCTGAAATACTGACATCATGGGATAATACCCCAAGGAGCCGTCGTCGGTGTTTCTATAGTTGGGATTCTGCTGTTGTTTGGTGTTGTATGACATGTGCAAGCTATCGTTTTCAACATCTGTTGGTAAAAAGGAGTAGATTTCCTCTATCGACTTGGGCTGCTTGACACCGTTCTTGAAAATAGTGATTTTGGACTTGGGAATCTTCGGTATATTGGCCAAGAGCTTCCCGTCGGAGTCTTCAAGAACCGCTTTCTCACCGAAAATGGTCACTGGGTTGAGCAAGTGGTCCATTACCTTGGTGTTAGTGTACTCATACTGCTCGTAGAACAATGCATTCTTGTACTTGATGGGGATCTGGTCCCTCAAGATATTTCCATCCTTGTAGAAGTCCGAGTTCTCAGGCAAGACGTCTTTCGCTTTCACTTTTCTTTTCTTTCTGGGCGATTCCGACTCTTTTATGCCTGAAAAAGCTCCCAGATCGTTCATAGGCGTGTAGTTTTGGGTGATGTACCTCTGGTGCTCCTCCAATGACGGCAATTCTACCAAGAAGCCAATCACATCGCCTGTGTGAAAGCCTCCTTCGATGTACGATTCTTTGGGCCTGCTAAGGGTCATAAACTCGCCATTGACGTCCCGGAACCCGTAGCTGTAGCCGTCGAAGCCCACAGGCGCCTCAAGACTGGCTTCTCTACGCCCCAAGCCGATTCTGACGTGGGCTTTGCTGCCATCGTCGTTTCCGCAGACGATGTTGAACTCGAAGTAGTACGTGCCTTCTCGCACGCCGATGTTGGACCGTATGGACCTCCAGCCCTGAGTGGTGGTCACCAGACACATCTCGTCGTCGAGATACACGCCCGAGGACCGGTCGAAGTAGCTAGCCGCTACCTTGTAGGGCTTGGTGTCGGTGGTAGAGTACAAATTAGACGTGAAAATGGGGTTGGGACGACACGGCTTGTACTTGAAGCCACGCTTGTTGAAGGGACTGTCGTCGGATTGGTAGAAATCGATGCCTTGGAGCGTAAGCGCCTTGTTCTTCTGAGGCTCTCCATTGTTGATAGCAAGGTCCAGCCTTTTGAACGGCACTGGCTTCAATCTCGGATGGATCACCACGTTATGCTGCTGCTGTTTGAGCTTCGAACGCTTGTCCAATTCCTCTTCCTTGTGTCTTTCTTTGGATCTGGTGGAGTAGTTGTGGACAGTGTTTGTGGGTGCAACTGGCGGTTGGGAGGCGTCTGCGGGTGAATTTTCGCGCAACGGAAGCGTGTGGGGCTCGGGCTTGACCGCGACGGAGTCCTCCTGGACTTGGGGCACGATCGAGGGCTCGGCAGTGTCCATTGCTGGGGGATAGAGCTTGGAGGTGTTGGTGAAAATGGACGGGTGTTAAGTCACGCGATAAAGGAGGCGTGACTAGCACGTGCCTCCAAACACGTGATCAATTCCGTTTCGAGACACTAGCTTTCAGTTTTTCCGCGTTCCACCCTTTGGGTTGCTCCTGCCCCTATTTCGGCACGAGCCCAGCTCCCGTCCAGACAGTGTCTGTAACCAGTCACTTAACCATTGGCTTCCTTGCATGCTGCAGCCGCTCAAAACACATCTGGCGTCTGGCGGCAAGTGGCGCAAGAAAATCTGGGATCGACGGTGGGTGCGTCACAGTCTTCAGCCACGACAATAGCTTGTTCTTGGAATAGGTGGTGGGCAATAGTGTGAAGTTCACGCACAAACACATGGATTTACGCGTTGGGAACTATTCATTGTAATTACCGATTGTTCACCGCGAAAATATCTGCAAGTTATAATTGAGACCTAACGTTGTTCGTCATAGTGACTGCAGTGTGATCGCTTAGCCTAATACATGTGCATGCACATAAATCTTGGCAGTTTTAGGCCTCCGCTCGCCTGCATCTAACCTGGACGTTGGCTGCATGTTTGACCCGAACAGTTATTTTTGGCCTGCCAGTGATCTAAAGAGGTGAGCGCGGAACACAAATTGCTTGGATGGTTGGTTGGTGGGCCATAAAATAGAATTCTAAGAGAATTCTTCGACTTTCATTGTATTGTTCGGTGACCTTCACCACCACAAGATCGGCAGGCGGTGTCTGTTGGCAATGGCAACAGTCTTGGTGCTCGTGCGGTGGGGGTGTGAGACTGTGCAGCAGGTGATAAACCCGTTATCGCTGTCGCAGTGGTGTCAGCGCAAGCAGCATAATCAGCGCAAGCAGCAGCAGCATAATCAGCGCAAGCAGCAGCAGCAGCAGCAGCAGATTCAGCAGAATCAGCAGAATCAGCCGATACATGCACCTGGATGGAATTCCCACTCCTCACTGCGGATTCACGGGGGTACGCATGGGGCTTGCAGTGGTGGTAGAGGGTCGCAAGCTTTGTGGTTGCCAATGCTTGCTTGCCTGCCCGAACAGAGATCGTTAGCTGGCATGTAGATAGTGGTGCCAAGCAACCACATGTTATTATGGCACCATTGCAGCCGGGCTCTAAAAGTTACCACCGTGGCAAGCGAGCTGCGAGCTGCGACCAACGGGCACTGGTGCCTCTGTCGCGGGAATGTAATCCGCAGTTCCGACAGGTGCTTTGTGCATTCGCATCACTGGCATACTAGAGTTCAAATAGACGACCACAAGCCTACAAAGGTGTTCATGTGCAGCCGCCAGCAAAAGACAGGTGTTCCAGTGTTTTACGGTGGGTGTGGGGTGCAGCCGCTACCAGGCAGTCTTAGCGCTGCATGCTACTGGTGCAAGACAAGTGCTCGAGGCCGGATCCCAACATTGTTTGACATCACCAGGGCAGAAACATCCCTGCTATATCTAAACCCTATTGTGCACTAAGAACAATACCTGGCTTTTTTCCTGCTACCTGCAAGGCTATCAATGCAAATGCGCACACAAAACGCACATCACCTGTAGGAATTTGCGCTGCCTACATGTGCACTAGTTTCCTGTTGCTTGATGCATAACTCCCTCCGCATGGAGACAGCTTCTGTTCTTTGGACAATTGGGCCCAACACTAAAAATAAACCAGGAGACTTGTTCAATTGACATCGCCGATCAGACATCGCCTATTAGTCAAGATCTCGTAAGCCACACCTGCCCCTATATATGCAAGGCAATGCTACTGCACCCTTGGCATGTAGGTGTAGCTTGCTTCCGGACGGAAGATTATGCCGCTGCTTCAAATGCCCAATATGCACTATTTACGAGGCTGCTAAGGCCGCTTCCGGCCCGTTTCGATGGGAGGTGGTTTCTCCGTGTACAGTGGAGAAGCCGCGAAGAAGCCGCGAAGAAGCCGCGAAGAAGCCGCAAGTTTACAACTGGTAAATGTGTATTTCCGGTGATGTTTCAGTAGTTACATCGATGCTGTAATTCATATGAATTGCAACTAGATGAATATTGATGATACGAGCAGTTGAAGTTTGGGATCCACCATGGCTGACTAATTGTGTAGCATTAACTCCACGCTTGTGCATGAATTGTGCTTCGTGGTGCAAGAATTTAATTAAAATTCCAAACGGCTCTTGTAACCGACAACCCACAGGACGACGCAGCTGGTTGAGCCTCGCAGTCAGGCTTCGAAGCCATTGGGCGTTATTCTGGAAACTGCACAGGTAATTGGCCCAGGCTGTGTAGGACAAACCCCTCAGCCTGCGACTAGTACATGCCAGTACATTTTAGTGCATGCCAACAGCGCATACCAGCACAAATCATGCATTGACAGCCCCACCCACCCGTTTCTGGGGAGTCGGCGTTGTCCCGAGCCCCACTTTTCCAAAACCCGGGCTATTATTAGACTCGACCAACAGGACGGAATTATATCCCAGGCCCGTCGTCTGTTGTTCTGAATTTTCGGGGATTGAGGATTCCAACGGCGATATTGCGGGGCAAATTTTGTTCCGTTGGGTTGAACGATTTGGCTGGGAACACTCATTAGTCCTCTCCTCGGCTTGCAACTTTGGCTCCCGTATATCATCATGGAATCTTGTTCTTCCTATAGGTGCTCGTTCTCATTTGTTGATGGAATTGAGCTTATTTGACACATTTGGAGCTGTTATGGTTGGTTTTGAGCTCACAACGAACCTTTGGAAGTCCTGGGGCAGATGATGCAGTCCAAATGGGACTGAGATGTTAGGAAGATCATAACTTCATCAGGAACAATTTGAATAACTCTGAAAGCTCGCTCTTGATCGCCCACATCGTTGAAGTTGTCTTGATCAAGCTCGGCCAGCTTGAGTAAGATCAAAACCAATTCTCTTAAGTTTTCTGATCAGTGATCGCTGGAGTCTCTCATCAATAAACACACAGGAGCCATAAATGTTCAATTCCTCAAGGATACGAATTCTTCTGAATAAACTCCCGCAGTGGCCAATACTTTGCGGGAACGTGTGGGTCGGCCTCTATGGCATCTTTCACAGCCTTGATATGGATTAATTACTATACCCAACTATACCCATAAATCCCTAAAACACCCACCACTTCTTGGGGGTGGCCCCGTCCCTCATCTGGCCACTGGCCCTTCCCGTGTCCCGGAGCCTGGCACTGCTTTTGACCAAGGTGCGCCCTTTTTTGTCCTGAATCTCGCTCTCCATGTACACCACCTTGTCTGCGGTTTCCACCTTGTTAGTTCGCACCACCAAGAACTGGTTGGCCAAGGTGGGGCGTTTGTACTCGATGGTCAAGTTCTCCACCATGAAGTCGTCCTTCAAGTGCGACAACTCGCGCGACAAGCTGGCATTGCGCTTGTAGGTCTCGTTGAGCAAAGTGGCCAACATGCCTCCGTGCACCAAGAACGGATACCCACACAACTTGTACCCCAAGTGCACGATGGTCACGCCCTCGTCCGTCTCGATGTTGTGGAAGATCACTGGCTTGATCAAGATACCGCCTGGTTGCGCGAGCGTGTGTGTGGTCAACGATGGCGCAGTATACTCCTGCTGGTGCTTGACCTGTGCTGGTCCCTGTCCTTCGAGCACATTACGGTCCAAGTTCTCCCACGACAGTAACTTGTACCAGCGTTCAGCATTCCTAGGGTGTGTGAGCTCCTGGTACAACGGCAAGTTCTTCAACTTGTACTCCAATTGCATTGGCAAGAGCTGGAGGGTCTGGGGGTCTTGGTTGTCGATGGAAACGTACGACTGGTACCAATTGAAAACAGTCTCATTGTAGGCGAGCGCAGCACCAACAGCAGCGAATATGAGGGTGGATTTCCAGCTGATCCAGCGCTTGGGACGAGGAGCAAAGTGGTCGAAGGGCGAGTCGTGTTCGGATCTTGTGCCGTAGGATCTGGCGGGAAATTGCAAAAGAGAATTGCGCAAGTAGGAAGGAGACGCCAGGAGGAGCGATCTGCGCTGGTTGACGAGACACAATCGTCTTGTAGAGGGCAACATGGGGGAATGTACGAGTAGCCGCGGTGGAGTAGGAGGAGTATTTGGTTGTAAGAATAGTAAATCGTGACGGACGGTGGGCGCACGACGCGGTTGCAGGGCCCAGCTTCTAGATGCCTGGATGACGGTGCAGGGTGCATGTTGATGGAGGACAGCACATGTCAATTGGATGGGAAGAACATGTCGGAGTGGCTGGATGGAAGATAGTTGTGTGGTAGATCCGATGGCTGGATCGCAGTGGTGGCTGGAGGTGGTAGCGTATGGTGCGAGAGAGTGACTTTATGGTAAGGGGCTGCCTAGTGTCCGGTGCCTAGTGTCCGGTGCCTAGTGTCCGGTGCCTAGTGTCTGGTGCCTTGTGAAATACGGCTGAATAGACTTCCATGCGATCCAAGCATGCTGCATGTGGCCGGCACATGTTAATTCTAGAGATTGACATTATGTAGCCCACGCGATTTGCGCACTGAGTACATCTCCGTAACAGCAGGAGCAATCGTCTCAAACACGGAGATGTGTCCAGACGAGCCCTCGGACGTGGCGCAGGACAGAGTCAAATCATAGACAAGGATTTACGGTTCCGGAGACTCTACAATTGAGCACCGTTATTATCTGCGGATGTGCGCAGATGCAAAGCGTAATGCATCACACCTGCCAGCCAAGACCGATGATCAATTCTCGGGATGCATGGAACGCAACTAGGATTTGCTTGAGCAGTTCGATCTGTTGCATGGAAGGCAGCATGTGTCCTTCAGGCACCGCGAGAGAAGCAAATTGCTCGTGTAACTTGGTAGGCATTGTTGAGAGATTGATTACGTAATAAATTATATAAGCATTCTAAAGCGCTTTATTTCAGTGATCGATTTCTTCAGAAAAGGGGCGTGTGGCGTAGTTGGTAGCGCGTTCGCTTAGCATGCGAAAGGTCTCCGGTTCGACTCCGGACTCGTCCATTTCTTTTTGCATGTGCTTTTTAGATATAGACGATTGAATTTGCTAAGCCTTCGATTATGAAGATGATGCCTACTCAGCCACTGTCGTACAAGTCTTGGAACTTCAAATCTACGAAACAGTACACATATTTTTACATTTATTAATTTACTTATTCTAGAATTGAAGATAAAACGATAATAACGGATTGACAAGCGAATTGAATTATTGTTCTCAGCAGGATCGTTTCAACCCAGCTCGAGACGTGGTCATATAAAATAGTCATTAAATTTGGGCGCTGTGGCCATGTGGTAAGGGGAGCATTGTTTTTGAAGGGTATGTGACTCACTTATTTTTTCAATCCCAATTTCTGCCAGAGCGATTTCTTTTCCTTTTTATCCTTTTTGTCCTTGGCATCCTTCTTGTCACTTCCCACAGTTGATTTCGAGGAAACACTGTTGCGAGTTCTGTTGCGCTTCAAGTCCTTACGCAACTTGTCGTTTTTCAGCTCCTTCTCCTCGTTGTAGCTGATCAAACTTCTAACCTTGTAGATGGGGTCGTTGGATGAGTACATTTCGTGGGTGCTGGAGTCAGCACTGGTCATGCGGTGTAAGGAATTGGATCCTGAGCCTCCAAAACCCACGCCTGTAGATGTGGTGAATCCAGCACTATGCCCAGTGGTCTGGCTTCTGTATATCGAGTGGATCTTGGAATCCAACTTCAAGTTGTCATCTTTGGAATTAAGAGCCTCAAGGTAGTATCTGGAGTCGCCAAGCGACTTGTCCGAAATAAGCTTGATCATATCTTCGAACCGAGACTCGGATTGCGACTCGCTAATGGTTGCAAGCTGTTCGCCAAAGTCACATTCGGGGCCTGTGAAAGACTCAGTTGACTCGATAGACTCTGCGGAGGAAGAGCTAGAAGACGAGGGTCTGCGAGCAGAAGACGAGGAGTCTTCAAGAGGTGATCTGGCAGGAGAGATCACGATGTCTGGTTTCGTTGACAGCTTACGTCTGCTTTCGCGAGCGCCATCCAAGTTGAATTTGAGGCTCTGGGGCGGAGGACTTGTTTTGGAATTGGCCAACATGGCTTCGCGTCCTGTCTTGTTGTGAAACTCGGTGCTATTACCAACCAAGACCACCGGGACTGGTGAGTATTTGACCACAAACGAGCTCAATTTGATCAAGAATTCATCCTTCTGGTTTTGTTTCTTGATCTTCAAGGGGTACTTAAAATTCAAGTTTGAGGATTTGTTGCCCACCACCACTATGCTAGGCTGGTACTGCTTGAAAAGATGCTGGAGCATGTACTTGGTGCCTGTGAGTCTGGGGTTGATGATATGTCCACTATGGCCGTTGCTGGTAGAAGGGCCCGAGATCGAGGAGCCCGAAGGGCCCAGAAACGAGGAGGACTTCAAAGGATCGTTATCAGTGACCAATTCCACGGTGATCTTCAATCGCAAATCGTTTGCTTTCAAGAGCTCGTTGTTGACAATGTAGTTGAGGAGATTTTCGCACTTCTTGTAGAGGTAGTCGTCCAAGGCCGCGGGCTTCTTGGCGTGCTTCTTGTAGTCGTTCAAGAACTTCAACGGAATTAACGCAGAAATGACAAGGTAGTCGCCGTCCTGGAGGAACGAGGTGGCCGACTCCTCGAGCGACTGGTTGATCAAGAGCAACCAGTCGACCGAGTTCCAGGTGTGTCTTCTTCCCGAGAGTACGGTGAGAATGGTACGGTTGTAGGGGAACTGGTCGAACTGGTTGTGCTTTACGGTGAGACTGATGGACTTGTAGTTGTTTTCGTTGGAGGATGGGTACATGACTTGGCGGGGAGCTGGTTGCGAGCCGATGGTGGAGGTGGAAGGTCTTCGCGATGGTAGGTAGTATGTTGTTTGGGAGTCGAACTTGAAGTTCTCCATGTTGGAGGTCTTGGCCTTGGTGGTTTTGAACTGGGGGTCCAACGCCATGAGCTCCTCGTCGGTCATGCCCAGGTACAGTTTGCGTCGGCTGGAAGGTGCAGCTGGCGGTGGTGCAGCATGCGTCTGCTCCCCCAGGGTGAGCGTCTTGTTATTATCGGTGAAGTCGTCCTCGCACTCCACGGCAACATCACGCGCCATTGAGTTGTACTCCAACTGCTGCAAAGATACTTTGTTTTTGAGAATGGACTTGGACGGAGGCGCGGGAAGCTTCAACTTCTTCTTGACTGGCTGCTGGCTATACGCTTTCAGGATGTCGTTGACGGTGGAGTTGCCGTATCCGAAGTTGGGGTCGGAAAAGTGGTCATAGTTGCCGTTTTGCGTGTACAACGGATTCCAGGCTGGCGGCTCTGTCTCGGCCCAGTCCTGGTGGAGGTTGTTGAACGATACCCGCCGTGAGAATCTGGTGTCAGACAACAACGGAGTGTCAGGAGGGATGCGTGGGATGTTCCCCACATTTGGAGGGGGCTCATGGTCTAGCTGGCGCAGCGTCAGGACGCTGCCGTGGTCAGTACCGTCGTGGTGGTCATTGACACCATTCAATGGATTGGTGCTGGAAACTACCGCTGAGGACATGCTTGGGAAAAACTGGCAGTAGTGGGGCGACTGGGTTTATATAACGAGTGATCATGAGCTGCCAAGAGAATGGTTTTGTGTGCGCACGAGGATACGACCATCGTAAATGGGGTGCGCAGGTGTGGGTGCAGGTCGCAGATAGATAGGCATGCATTGACATCGAACAACCGTGGCGGGGAGCAGCCCCGTCAATTGGGCTGGGGCCAATGAGAAGTGAGGGTCGGTGGGCTGGGGGAGGCGCGACTCCGCCGTACGGCATTACCCCATACTGCTGGGAGGCTTATCTGCTATAAATATAATAGCTGGTGGTTCGCGCAAGTTTCCAGGGCACGGGTAATGTTTGGTTCAGGGGACCCGAAGTCTAGACGGAGCAAACCTGCGTACAGCGCTTCCAAGAATGTTTTTAGATGCGTGCGCTAGGTGCAGAAGGAAGGTGGGCTGTGCAAGGAAGGTACCGAGGTAAGCAGGGGAAGCACTGCCGGGGTGCTGCGGTTAGCGCTGCCAGATAGATACCTTCAACAATCTGCCTAGTGGTGGTAGTGGCTGCCAGCACGCCCTGGTTCGCGTTGGGGCGGGCGATGCAAACCCCACGTGCTGTGGCTGGCGTGGCAGGATACCGCAGCGCCTACCCCACAGAAAGTCATGTGACGTGGGTCACCCCCCAGACCCCTCCCCGCGGCTGGCCTGTCATGGGCCAGGCATAAACAAGCATCACGTGCAGGTGGTGGGCTGCAGGCTATACCAGCAACCTTGCGCGTCCCGATGGCAGTTCCACCTGCGCTACCCACATCGTCTTTTGCACCAACTGCATCTTTCAGCTGCTTCTTTCGCTAATTCACACCATCCATGTCCTGGTACGACCCGCTCCCCTTGGACGAATACAGACAGCTCAACGAGCACACCGGCGAAAACCCGCCTAAGGAATTGCCTGTGGACGAGCCCTTTGCCGGCCTCGACATCAGATGTGGTCCCATCCTTCGTTTGGTGGGAACCCTCGAGCAGGGCGCCGATTACAGAGGCAGTATTCTTCTCGCTGTCAACCAGGCGCAGACTGCACCTGAAATCACGTACCAGATAGGTCGGGCTGCACCAGACGCTGCCGGCGCTGCCGGTACCGACGCAGGAGCCACCAGCAAGGGTACCTTTGCCGGCACCAAGTTCTTCGAGCAGGACGGCATCTCGTTCTTTCGGTACACTGTGCATTTGGAGCTTGCAGCCTATGAGCAGAAGGTGCATTATCACATCAACAATGCCACCAAGCAGGGATTCCAGTTCTTCGTTCCTGGAGCTGACCAGTCCATGAACGTGATGTCCTACTCTTGCAATGGGTTCTCGCTCGGCGCTGACCCCGGCGAGTTCAAGTCGTCGCTCTGGTTGGACGTCATCAACAAGCATGATACCAACCACTACCACGTCATGCTTGGTGGCGGTGACCAGATCTATGCAGATGCCGTCAAGCAGGCGTCGCCTGCGCTCAAAAAATGGGCCGACGAGTCGGACTACATGCACAAGCGCCTGGTGCAGGCCTCGCCCGAATTGGTGGAGGAGCTCAAGCACTTCTACCTCCACCACTATCTCGCCTGGTTCGGCAAGGGCTTCTGGAAGGGCACCAACGGCACCACGCTCCAGGCGCTCTTCCCGGTGGCCATGGCCCAAATCCCATCCATCAACATCTGGGACGACCACGATATCATCGACGGCTTTGGCAGTTACCGTGACGCCACCATGCAGAGTGAAGTGTTCAAGGCCATCGGCAATGTGGCCTACACATATTATATGGTGTTCCAGCACCATCAGGCGCCCGATGAGGACATCCACGCGCAGGACCCGTCATGGATCTTGAGCCGCACCAACGGTCCCACCATCGCCCAGAAGAACCACTCCAACTACGTCCGTTTGGGCAAGGAGATCGCCATGGTCGGCATGGACTGCCGTACCGAGCGCAAGTTGAAGCAGATCATCACCCCCTCCACTTACTCTGCCATTTTTGACCGTCTTCGTAGCGAGATTCTGGCCGACAAGTCCATCAAGCACTTGTTGGTGATGTTGGGAGTGCCCATCTTCTATCCACGGCTCGTGTGGTTGGAGTGGCTCCTTACGTCCACGGCCCTTAAGCCTCTTCGCCATTTGGCCACCAAAGGTGTGATCCAGAAGGGTTTGGTCAACGAGTTCGACGGAGACGTCGAGGTCTTGGACGACTTGAACGACCACTGGTGCTCCAAGCATCACAAGCGCGAGCGTAACAAGTTGATCAAGGACCTCATCGAGTTTGGCAACGAACACACGGTTCGTATCACCATTCTTTCGGGAGACGTGCACTTGGGATGTCTTGGAAGACTCAAATCGAAGTACCACAAGCATCCTACGACTCACCAGCTCTTGAAGGGCACCAAGACCGAGAGCGCCAACTTCAACGTCACCGAGATGCCTGAGAGAGACCCACGGTTGATTTTCAACGTCATCAGCTCGGCAATCATCAACGGACCTCCTCCTGATGCCATGGCAACGCTTCTCAACAAGCGGAGCAAGATCCACCATTTCGACTCCGAGACAGACGAGGACTTGGTGCCCTTGTTCTACACAGAGCCAGACGGCTCTTCCAGAGACAACCATCGCTTGCTTAACAAGAGAAACTGGAGCGACTTGATTTTGGCCAAACAGTCTGTGTACAAAGACACCATAGCCAAGGATGCTAGTTTCGAGACCGTGGAAAGAAGGTTCCCGCAGCCGGTGGGCGGAAAGGAGCAGAAGCACGAGGTCGACTCAGTGCATGTCAAGTATCCACTTTATGACGACTCGTTGGTCACCACGATCCGGGTGGAAAAGGACCCATTGAACTACGACGCAGAAAGTCAAGGCTACGAGGTGATTATCCCTCGGTTGGACACCTCGTTGAAGTTGAAGGAGACCAAGATCAAGCACTTGAACTAGGAGGGTGATTAGGATATTAGGGGTTACCCACAGAGTTGTCGATACTGTACTATTGGGGCTTATGAATTAGAATTTTCAATTTTGGATTTCCTTGGGAATTTCAGATTATTCAATAGCATATTCAGACATGGTATTTTTTCGGAATTGAGCTTCGAGATGCTTTACTTTGTTGGATTCGATCAGAGTGTTTTCAGTATTGGAAGGCCTCTTGCTTGAATTTAAAAAGCGGCAGATTATTCTATTACAGTTTGGATTTATTCGGAAGTTTCAGTATGAATATTTTCCTACCTTGGATTTATTAATGCAATATTCCCTTCGTCAGTCGGAATTGAATTACGGGATTATTCTATAGAATATTCTCTTGTTCGGTTACAATTTCAGGATTATTCAAATATTCTCTTGTTCGGCCAGTATTGACTTCGGGAGACTCATATTCTGGTTACATGACCCGAAAACAGAAGTGGCATCCCAAAATAACATCTTTATGCGATTTCACTGTATGCCGTCATGGAATCATTCAACTAATTTTATCAACCCACAAAATCGAATTTTGACATTACCTCCAATGCAGATATTTTATGTCTTAGCAAAACATCACTGCGATAATACACCAGTATAAGCCATTGCCGAATAATGTCCACGCAAGTCAATGCGAAGACTACCAACATATCTACCATTTTTGAGCTATTGTTCTTATTCATGCCAACTAAAAGTTTGTCTTTGTGCTCCGGACGCAAGTCTGGTTATTTATTCGCTATTGTTTTATAAAAGTTCATCCAAGCACTAAAGTAGGGGCTTTTCCGGTGGTCTGGCCTGAGTAGTTAATTTTTGGGGCTAAATCAATGCAACCTAAACTGCACGGATTTAAAATCGAATGGTGGCGGAGGCTTGGGTGGAAAATATATGCCCGAGGAGAAGTCGCCCGAAATAAGCTCGATTGCATGTTCGGAGCTGGCGCAGTCCTAACCTAAAATGAAGGAATGGCAAAATCTGCCGACCAGACTGCCTGCTTGCATTGCCTTCGAGATATTATTCCAAGCAGGAAGAGCCAAATATCTATTATTGACTCATGCAAGGGCGCACTTGTTGCATATTGCATGGGTGCAAAAATGCAATAAAAACTGCAAGCACCTTTCACGGAAAGATCCCGGTAGGCTTGCATAGGTGAGGTGAGCAATGTTGGTGCTTGCATTCAAAGGCAACAACAATAGTCCGGTTTCTGGAATTCAGTGATTCCGGGAAACGGCTCAAGAAAGCTAGCCGTGCCGAGATCACGTGCGACAGCTCACGTTTTAGAAGGTCTTCCATAAGCCTCGTTATATTTAGCCCTCGCTGGTGCCGCTAGCGGCCGCTGCCCGCCGCTCCATTGACAAAGGTTGACGCACCATGCACCAGTAGGACGCAATGTAGTTTAGACGTGCCACAGGACCACGTCAAAACCTAAAGGCCCTGCACCTGCACCTGGAACCCAAGGTCACGTGACTCTTATCGTATTATCTGATAATCCCATTCACGCCCAGCCGTGGCCGACCAACGCTTCCACTCCTGTCCTGGCCCGAATCTGCACCACCATGGCCACAAAGCGCAAACTCTCGGCTTCTGCCGAGCTCGCGACCCCCGAGCCTCCCCAAAAACATCCCCAAAATGCCCCCCTACATCGCTCCACCAGTGCCTGTCATCGCTGTCGAGTCAAGAAGATCAAATGTGACCAGAAGTTCCCCAAGTGCTCCAAGTGCGAGAAGAGCGGCAACGACTGTGTTGGATTAGATCCGTTGACCGGAAGAGAGGTGCCTCGGTCCTACGTGGTGCATCTTGAGAACAAGATCCAGCTTCTCGAAGCCCAATTGAAGCAACATGGCGTGGACGTTGCCAGTGTCAGTGCCACGTCTGAAGCATCTGCTGCGTCTGCTGCATCTGCTGGTGCGGGCAGCACAAATTCCAACCCTGTCAGCTCTGTCATACCGTCGCATGCTTCACTTTCTGGCCCCAAACCGTCCATAGCCTTTTCCAAGTTGATGACCACGGCTGTCAAGGTCAATCGCAAGTCTTCGGCAGCCCCAGACCCTGTCAGTCAGCCAGCAGTACTGTCAATACCGGCGGCAGCGATTCTCCCTGCCATTTTGCCTCCCAAGGTCACTGCCTTGAAATTCATCCATATCTTCTTTGCCCAGTCCAACAGCCAGTTGCCAGTTCTCCACCGGGAAGAGTTTGTAGCCAACCATTTTTTGCCCATCTATGGACCTTTTGACCCTTCTGAGGTGTCGCTAGCGTCGGACTTCACTGGCATGGACGTGGAACGGGTGAGGGGCGACGGTGCCACGCCATGGTTCGACCAGTACAAGCGGGAGTTGGAGAAGGGGTTGGAGTTGGACGGAAATGAGGGATCTGGGCGAGCCAAGGAGCCATTTCAGGGCGAATTGCACCAAAATCAGCAGGAATTGCACCAGAATTTGCACCAGAACAAGCCGAACTACCACCACAACCAGCAGAACCACCAGCAGAACCACCAATTTCTGGGGAAACAGCTGGGAGATAATCACCACTTGCAGCACCAGCAATTGCACAACCACCACCACAACCAAGTTCACGGAAACAGTGCCCCCCTCCCTCACCCAGACACCGTCAAGCGCATCTCCAACGCCATCGTCCCCCCCAGCCGCTACCACGCGTCGCTTTTCTTCCTCAATATGACCTTTGCCATCGCTGCCTCCGTCCACCACCTCCAGTACCCGCCCACCATCTCAGAATCGTTCCGTCTCGCTGCTTTCCAGTACCTTGACGACGTCAAGGCGTCGCTGGACCCGTTGGAAGCACTCCAGGCAGTGCTTCTCCAGTCGCTCTATGCCACCATGAGACCCACCACCCCTGCCGTGTGGTACGTGTTGGGCACTGCTCTTCGCATGTGTGTGGACTTGGATTTGCACAACGAAAACAACACCACCACTGCCTCCAATCTCGATGCTTTTGCCAAAGACAAGCGCCGTCGGCTCTTCTGGTGTACCTACGCCATCGACCGCCAGATCTGCTTCTACTTGGACCGTCCCGTGGGCATTCCGGACGCGTCTATCCACACACCTTTCCCATCAATGTTGGACGACGCCTTCATCCTCCAGGATGGCTCGCCTGGCGACTACTCGCTAGCCTCTACTCGTCCCTCGGCTCCCTCCTACAAGACGATCTCGCTCTCAATCTTCCGGATCCGCCAGATCCAGTCTGAGGTCCAGAGCGTGCTCTACACCCATGCTGACGTTCCTCGTCAATACGCCACCTTGGACGCCTGGAAAGCTGCCATTTTGGCCAGACTAGCTGCCTGGCGCAACGACACCCCCCAAACCCGCCACCAGATGAACTGCAACTTCAACCTCTCGTTCTTTACCTTGAACTATAACCACACCCTCCTCATGCTCTACAACTTGTCGCCCAAAAACTACAAGTTGTCGCCCAACGACATCCTCCAGGTGTGCCAGGCAGCTAAGCAGTTGATCGCGTGCTACACCCAGCTCTTTTCCACCAAGAGCATCAATTACACCTGGGCAGCTGTACACAATCTCTTCAGTGCTGGCACTTCGTTCTTGTACACTGTGTACAACAGCGAGGAGGTGCGGGTGCAGCACTCGTTGCAGGAGATCAAGACCATCACTTCCGACTGCTTGAACGTGTTGACGTCGTTGGTAGACCGTTGTGAGGCAGCCATCAACTGCTGCGAGGTGTTCCAAAGTTTGACCACGGCCATCATCAAGATCCGCTACAACGAGGTGGTCCAGGGCTTTTCCACCCTCAAGGTCACCAAGGACAGCTTGGACAAGGTCAACAACAACAATATCAAGTCTAACCTCTCGAAATTGGTAGAAAACCTCACCCAGGCAGATCAGGAATCCCAGGACTTGAATCCTTTTGGAAACGTGCAATCAGGGCCCGCGGACCAGCCGAGCCACGAATCGCCAACCCCGACCTTCGAGTGGGGCTCTGGAAAAGATCCCAGCCAGATCTACGGAGAAAACTTCGATTTGGAGACTTTCTTCAAAGAATTAGAATCTTCGACTCCCATCCCACTTCGTGCCACCAACGATACTAATTTGAATAACATCATTGTCAGTCCTTACTCGGAGAACTCGACTGGCTCGCCTACCATCTTCAACAACTCCAAGGAAGGAAAGAGGACGTTCGAACTTTTGCATCAAACCCCAAACGAAATGATTTGGGACCAGGTTTTCACCGCTTCCAATTTCCAGCTTGGTGTGGACCCTGGATTAATTGTCAGAAAGGAAGGATGAAGTTGTAGCATTATTGGGGAGACAGATTGTTGGGGTAGCATAGTAGTTTTTACAAAACGACGAGTGATGCATCTGATCGGCGAATAGCCACGCTTATAGACATAAAATAGAGAAAGCATCTGCCTAATCACATCTAGATAGTAGAATGTTGCCAGTTGTGCTGTTGTAGGCTACAAAACAAGGGAATTCAAAACTATTATTTTGCACCCAAATCCAATAAAGCTACTACGGGGTGAATAAAACAAGGGGAAATTGCCAGATATAAGAAAGTAAAGTACAATTGGCCCAGAAAGCTTGCTAGGTAAGTAGTCACTTTTGAAATAGTACTGTGGTCTGTTTCTTTTTTCAATTCTTCTACATTGGATTGTATTAGTAGTTTTATGCAATGATGATGAAACTTCTCCAGGGCATTCCTTACCATTTTTCATGCTTAGATCGAATTGACTCGTTCTAATGGATCACACCTCATCAAATAATGTATTCAAAGTTCCAACCGTACTCTAACAACTGTTCTGGACGGTTCCATACTACGCTCATGTACCTATAAATTCTCAGTATCAGATCCTACTACTTCTGGCAGTTGTCTGTACTTAAATTGAATCTTACTGAAGAATCAATTTTTTCTATTTGTAAACCACTATCAGTGGTAGAGAGGTCATGTTAGCTCAATAAAATCTACATTTCTGAGAATCAAATTCCAAGTATCAGAGATATGAAGATGAAACTATAACGCTTTCTGTCGTGTAAAAAGCCTATGTGACACTTGAGCATACTCCCGCAAAGCGTCCTTCGCAAAACTCATAGGATCCAAACTCCACTAGCTAATGTCTAATCGGGCATGCTACTAGGTCAATAAGTGGCCTTTGAAAATCTTTACTGTCTCTTTTTCACTGAAAAATTCCCAAAAAAACTGTGTAGCCAAAGAAGCAGCTTCTGCTATTATATGCGCTCGAGACTAGCCACTGCTCGCATCACCTCCAACCCATTCTCCCTCATCAATGCACCGGAGTCCACCACACCACAGGAAATCACAGTCATACCACTCCCATCGTAGAAAGCATCAAATTGCACTATTGTTCCCAGAGACGTAAGCTCTCTGTCCAATGGCTGATTTGTGGTGGGTAACCTCACTTTAACGGTTCCATTGCTCTCAGCACCAATTAAATTGTTCACTGGACGTATCACCAACGCATACTCGTGGTCAATGTATTCGACTACCTGGGCAATTAAGCGGACTCGAACGGGAGAGGACAACGAGGCGTTGGGTAAAGTCTCTGAGAGGGTGCACGGATCAAGGATAAGAAGAGTCATGGTTTGGGCTGACTATTGGTTGAATGTGGAAGCTAAGTGAGGTGAATAATTGATTCAGTTCGTGACTTTTGACTCGTTATGACAGTTCTGAAAAGAGCTTGCTTAGCTGACTTGAGCTGACTTGAAGAGTTTGGGCTCTCGGAAAGAATCTACCAGCGTGATGGTGTTTGAACTGTTTCAAGTTCTGAGCTGCTTGAACCGTTGAGCCTTCGAGAAATTGAGGCTAATTCGTATCGAGACACAACTAATAACCTTCATCAAAGTGGTAGGCTTGATCCAAACGTCAGAACTGCCAATTGCACCCTTCAAACTCGCCGCTTCAAGAGCACCTTATCTAAATCGTCATATTGTGTGCTTACGTAAGCGCTGACAAACCCATCTCAAATTTCAAGCGTATCTTCATCACTACACCAATCCAACCCAACCACCATGAAGATCCTCAACGAGAGAGACTCCTTCCTCTCCAACTATGAGGTGGGCGAGTTCATGAAGGACATCAAGAAAAAGTACAACTGGACGTTCACAGCCGAGGATGACGAAGCACAAGCCAACGACAAAAGGAAGTTCAAGAAGAGATTCACTGCCTGTGGCTTGGAGCTCGAGGTCATAACGAGAGACGTGCTATCCTATCTCAGCAACAGTGCCTCCAGTGCCATTGACACCCAACAAAACTTCCAGAAGTTGATGGAATTCTTGAATGGTTTCGAGTTGATGAAGATTGAAAAATTACAGATCGTGAATGCCTTGCCCCGTTCCATGGTCCATTTGTACGCTTTGGTTGAAGAGTGTGATCTGAGATTTGATGAGGAGAGATGCGAGCTGATCATCGCCAAGATCAACGAGTTGTTCCCTGTGGAAGAAGAGGAAGAAGAGGAAGAACAAGAAGAACAGGACGAGGGAGAAGAAAGTGAGCAGTTCAAGTCGGCTGAACAAACACCAGAGCAGTGATGAGTGGGGAAAACGGAGGAGAGAGTGATAGATAATACACCAGTATGATTGGATCAAGATGGGTTTCATTAAATGGTGACGACTTCTCGCAGAGGAGTTGATGGAAATACAAAACAGCGTTGGTCATATACAATATTCTCTGTATTAAGTGGAAGTTCCACATTTATTGTCTCTATAAGGAGTGAGCAAGCGGCCATCTTTAGACCGATATCTAGTAAGTAACGATTCATCAACGGATCCAAATATGTACAGTATAATGCATTATAAACGAACGAAGCCCGTATGCAACAAATCAAAAGTCCAGAACTTGCGTTGACTAGTATGAAGCACTAGAATCTAGAGTAGAGTTCAAATGAAGAAGTTAGAAATTATGAGCCCATAAGACGGAGTTTTTAATGTCATCATAAAAAGCCCCCCATAAGACGCCGAGCAATCCCTAGATCGCCATCTTTGTCTTCAGTATCGTCCTCGGGCTCTTCTGGTCCATCTTGTGACCGTACCCGGTTGCTCTTCTGTCTCTTTAATACCTCTTCATCGTCTTTTGTCACTGAAGTCACGGCATAGTTGAACCACTGCTCCTTAAAATTCCCCACCATCTCACTGACCTCAGAAAGGAGACCAGTAGGTCCCACTGCAAAAAGGGAGTCAGAATTGTCTTTGGAATTAATCCAATGGTGTTCTTCCTGATTAGATTTCTCTTGGTCAATCACGTCATTTTGTTTAGTAATCAAGTCCCGGGCAATGATACTAGATAAGTCAACTTCCACATCCAAGGAATCGGTGCTTGCATCAGCAGACTTGACTTTAATTTTGTTAGAAGATTTCTGACTTTCTTCGGGTATTCTGAAATGGTTGGCTACTAAATGTTCGATGACTGGCCACCCATAAGCATTGGAAAACGTTCTTCTGACGATAATATTGTTGTGGGAGTCTGGCTTCAACTTGACAATCACCTTTCTCCAACTCATGTTCTTGTGATATTCACGGGCAATTTGTTCTTCAAGATGGTCTATCTCATAGTCTATGTGCTCTAGTAAACGTCTTCTCATTCTCGAAGAATACGAATTGTTTTCCTTCGGGTGAACATCGTCTTCGTTTGCTTGGGAATCTGGTGGAGGAAGATCACTCTCGTGGTACATTTTATCGTGAATGATAATGTTATCTCTGGAGTCTGGATCTGTGATATATTTCATCGATGGCAATGGTGGTAATATGAGGGCAGTGGCTGTCTCAAGTACAGAAGACCGTGGGAGGAGTTTGTACTCGTCCTCTTTTCCTTGTTCTTCGTCGCCATTTGTTTGAAACTTGTGGTACTCGTCGTCGACGTTCTTGCTCTGCTTTTGGGGCATGAAATAGGATAAAACAGCCAGAACAGGTGAAATTCCTTTGTCCTCTTTTCCCTCAACCTGTGGATTGTTGGGGACTTTTCCTGAGCTTGACTCAGGCACATGAAGTTCATTAGCCTTATTCTCGGTAGAGTTAATAATTTGGCTTAATCCCTTATAGTCCAAATACAACAATGAGGATGTTCTCAAAGGAACCACGCCATCATTAATAGCGTTAGCATAAATGGTTCTTCTCACGAACCGCTTCAACACCTGGTGGGTTGGCCCAGTTGGCAAGAGTAACAAAAGGGGCTTCGAATTATTCTCGAAGTACTTGAGTCCGAGATCTTGCCCAGTTAAACCAACTATTCCGGCCAGTAATGCAAATTTGACATAGATAGGATTTTCGTTGACCACTCCCAATAAAGGCGAAGCCAAGGTAATGAAGTTTATGGGAGTTATTGTTTCAAAAAACCAAGGAAAATTGGTCTCCAAGTATGCGATGGCAAACGTCTGGACCAACCCTCCCAAGGAATGACCGATGAACGAAACTTTTGAGACATTTCCCTTGAAAGGCTCGGTGTTTTTGACCAAGTCCACCAAGTACTCTGCCACACGACTGCCCAAATATTTGATTCCCCTCTCTGTTCTGCCAATATTCCCGAAATAGCCCTTCACCACGATGTTTTCGCCCTTGCACTTATCAATCTGTTCCTTTAAAAAGAGCAAGTCTGCCCCCACGTTCGAGTGCAAGCCATGGGTTAGAATCACCAAGTGGATGGGCTTTTTGGGATCGGGAACAGGCAAATTCCAGAGGTCTAACGTGTCGAAATTATGGACCACCAACATGGTGCTGAGCACGAACGTTCCTGTCTTATCCGAATTGGCCACTTTCTTTTCTGGGAATGAAGTCTCGTGCAATATATTCTTGGACGTACCTATGATGATTTCAAAGTCCACCTCGATGGTGTTGTTGAAGAGAATCTGCGACACCACATCCACGATCCAGCAGTACGACTCTTTGAAGGTGTGGCACGAGAGTTCGGCGTAGAACGATTGGCCAGGAAGGATCTGAGGCTCGAAAACAGGCTGCTCTGCGGTGATGAAGCATTTGGTGTTGGGGTCGTAGTCTTCGGGCCTGCAATCGGCGTATAAGACATACGGACCTGCCAAGTATGCGGCTCTCAAAGCGATCAGTTGTCTGTTTTTGATTTTCACCCAGAGATTTGACGGAAGGTTCGGAGGCTGACCTGGCTCGCAGTTGGACTCGGGAGTGTACTCTATTTTGAACCGTTCGACTTGTCCAGCCTTCACTGACCGGACTTGTCTGTAGAGAATGCGATCTTCCATGAATGGTTGTAGGGGGTGCTCAGTGAAGCTGCGATGGTTGAAAGTGATAGGTTGTGATTGAAAGTGAAGATAGAATGCCCTTTTGCCTTTTTTGGAGGTTTCTAATGCCTTGTTGTTTCAGGAAACGTCTTTAAATGGTAACAGATGTGCCTGTTTGCAGAAAACGTCACTACTTAGGGGATTCTGCAGCGAAATACGACTCTGAACCAGCAGTATATGCACTCAATACGCAGTAATCCTCTCTTAAACTGTCTGTAACGGTTTGCTTGCAGAGGAAATGCCGCCAAAGCCGTCGCTTTTGGATGGACTATGTTGCTAGATGACCAGATAGGAAACAGGCGCCAGACTCGGATGGCAGGTTGGATGCGGCGGAAGCGGACGGATGCAGGTTGTGGCAGCAATAGTACAGGTTCCGTGTGCTGGCAGATGTCCACTACGGCTGAATGGTGGAAGAACTGGCTGTATATGCTGGGAGGGTGATAGTGTTGCAACTGGGCCTACCCAACATGTGATCGCAGCTCACGTGCAGGCTCCGTTATTGTGTTGAGCGGCTGCATGTGAAACCGCGCGGATGTCAGAAAGTATCATCTCCAAATCTCAACACGTGACACATCTCCACCAGTCACCGTCATGACACCTTCGCCAAACGCCGCCGTGCAGGCCGATCCGGCGCCCAACGCGAGTCCACCGCCTCTTGCGCCATCAGAAGTGCGGTCTGCCGCTTTTTCCAGCCAAAATCCTTCCATTTCGCCCCATGGCGCTAACAACCGCCACCAAGATTACAACGAAGTCCACCCAATCGAGCACACAGCACACAGCCTCCTCAGTGGCCCCCTCGACAGTCTCAACGAGAACTTCGAGCACCTCAACCAGTCACAGTTGATCCTCCTTACCCGTCTCAGGATCATAGAGCGTCGTTTGGAGAGCTTTCAAGCGGTTGTGATTGGCAGTGTCGACGAGAAGCAGATCGCAAGTGACCTCGCCAGGGTGAGTGAGTTGAAGAGGAGGGTGTTGGGGGTGGCCAAGATGATGAAGAAGGTGGAGCAGCGGGTAGAGCGGATCGAAAACACAAGATAGGTCATGGATAAGACGAATTGCGTCTGGTGCAGCATCCACCAAGACGGAATTGGGCCCTGTATGGCCATAAGAAGCCATATTACAGTCATCCATTGCTGGATTCAAGGGATGACGTTCTGAGTACCAACAAGAAGTTCTGGAGGCCCCAGAATATGTGCTAGCAGGAAGAAGGACAGTGATAAACAAATACAAAAGATGATCATAAAATACCGGACTCCTAAGTCCAAAAAACTGAATTGACAGTAAAGCAACCAATACTAATATCCCAGCAATTGAACCCTGGAAGCATAACAATAAAATCCATCTGTCCAGCGATTCCAGCTTCTTGGTCTTGAAAAAAGCTAACAAAAGTTATGTTCTAGTCTTCTAGTCTTTTTGAACTTAACTTCATACCCTAGAAAAGAGCTAACAAAATAATTCAATCAATACACGAGAATAGCCACCAACTGGCATGTGAAGGTGGAACATTTTCACATTGAAATATGGTCCGGATTCAACGATTTGAAATCATGATTGGGTCATTTATGCTAGACCCTGGAAGACACGATTTCACAGCCACAATTGGAACAATTGAACTATATTTAGAGGGAAACGACATACCTTAAAACGATTTTAACTACATGCACGCGGTGATTAGCATATTTTGGGGGGTGTTCCTCAATATCTCCCTACTGTTTAACCACCAATTTGGTACTCTCTCATGTGAATATAGCTACGATACTACGTTGGTACCCATGGCATTTCAGCCATGAGCCCAATGCTATCACAGTATCTCAATAAACTTGTCTATTCATCATCTATCTACCCCAAGCTGAAGCTGAACTTCGCTTGCTGGATAAACTCATTAAAAAATATTGATAAACCTGTATGGATATCCAGAACCCTTCAAGCCGAAAATGGAGAGCAAGGCACTGTAGGTGACGAATATTCCGGCACTGATCACAACCACAGCCACAAAGTTGATGGAGTCACTCTTGATGGTGGGGAGGGTCTTCAACAAAATCACCACCAACAAACTCAAGAGACCGTAGACGAAGGATAAGATCTGGGTCTCGACCCCGTATTGGCTCTGCTGGGAGGTTGCAAAGTACTCAACCTTACCACCTTGTTCTCTGAGATATGGAGTGCCTCTGATCTGGTTGAACATGTAGCCACTTGTCAACAACAACACAGCAATGATGGTCAAACCACTCCACAATAATCTGCTGGCAAACACCTGGCCAACCTGCTTGTAATACTTTCTGATCAACAACACGAAGGTGAAGGTAAAGAACGCAAAGGTTGCGATCTTGGTATAGTCAGGAGGAATGTGGATCTGGTAGTCGTGGCCCGTGAATGACTTCAACCAGTCAATGACCAAGTGCTTGTGGTCACCCTGGTAGAACTGGTACTCGGAAACCTCGTTGACAAAGCTGTTTGGACCCGTGGCATTGCTGGGAGGAAAGTAGAATACCTTGGGGATCTGGTTCAATTGGAAGATCTGGAAGAAGTTTCTGGACTCCGAGAACTCTGACTTGAAAAACACCACGTTTCTGGCGGGAATGTCTCTGTCGGTGTCTTCCAACTCCTTCTGGGTCAATCCGTGGGGATGATCCTCATACCAACTGTTGGCAACAAGCTCGAATTCGGGCGCAAACTCCTTACACAACACACAATTGATCTTGGGTGAGTCGGAAGTTAACAAAACCACAATGTGGTCTTCTCTGGGGCCCGATAAGATGTCCTGGAAATTGTCGTCGTTGAGCTTGATGGCTTTGTTCTTACCACCGTTTCTGACGAGAGCTTGCAATTCCTGGGAGGAAAGGCCTGCGACGGCAGACGTGACTAGGGAGAGGAGTGCTAGGCACGATGGAACTAGAGGAAGTCTCATTGCAGGATGAATCGGATGGTGTTGATAGAGAGTGGCCTGAAAAATGGAACACGTCACGGAGGGTTGGTCACGTGCGAAATAGCGCGTGATCGCGGTTTGGGTGCAACCACCAGAGACCTACTAGACAACTAGGGTGTTGTTGGGGGGTTGTCTCGGATTAGGATAGCCTGTTGCTGCTAAAGGCAGTCATACTAAGCTTGAATTTGAAAATTACCAAAATTGGCATGATCATATTCTCCACAATTGCCATGGAGATCGGGTTGTTGGCCAGTCGAAAGAAGTAGAGCCTTTTTGACGCTTACACTAACGTGGAAATTTCGAGCTTGATTACTTACAGTTTGATCGGACCCAGCATCGATTTTAGCTACTGTTCTTAGCTAAATTTGAATCACCATCAACAACTCCATGCAGCATGATCCTAAAACTAATTGCTATTATAGAGTATCATATACGGTTGATAACTTGTGCGAAAAAGACACTATTATAAAGCTAAGTACCCAAAATATGATATTTAATATCAGTGGTACAACAATCCTCGACTATACATGGCCAATTAAGCAATTCTCAGTTACTCCGTCACCGTATTAGCAATTTCGTTGCTAGCCTTCGTGCATGATACGTACTGCTCCACAGAATCGCTTGTTACGCCAATTAATGGTCCACTATAAAGACCCAAGCTATTCGGTAAAATACAAATTTCAATAGGTCTCTGGAGCAACTACTCACACCAATTTTTGGTATTTTATTCATCCCTAACTAGTCCTTCTCTATTATCAACTTCTTGCTGCTTCCCACCTCCACATTACATCTGCCTGCACCCAGTTCAAGTCTCTCGACCAATAGAATATAGTTGCCTGGCATATCCAAGGTTGCATCCACAAAAACTCCATGCAAAGAATCGTTCCATTCCTGGTTTATTTTTATGGCTCTGCCGTCTGCACTGAAAACAGACCCCCTAACGCCTGGTCGGTAGCTGGAAAGTACCTCCTCTCCTCCATGACCATTCAGGTGCATTAATTGAAACGTCACTGCAACATTGAAGTCGTGGGTTGAAAACTTCATTTTGTAGCGATTCGAGCCGTTCCAGTCGAAATAAGACTTCTCCAAGAATAACCCCAAGGTATTATGGATCTTTTCTACAGAGATTGCAGTTGCAGCCTCTGGATTGAAGACAAGACGGTAGTTCTGGTGTACTACTCTTTCGTATGTTGACAAGATCAACTTATAGTATCCTTTTTTCAAGTGGAGCTTGTGGGTTTGGAAGCCTGGGGTGTACGACTCACTGAATATTAGTTTGGTTTTATCAAAGTCCCGCAATGGATAGTCATAATTGTGGTCCTCTGAGTGGAATAAATGGAACCCCACGAGTGTTGGAGCATCGTTAGATGCAAATAGTCCCATAAGCAAGTGGGTGTCTTGTTTCACTACAAGGCTGAACTGTGGGTTTTTCATGAATGTGGACAATGACCAGTTTCCTCCGCTGTTGTTTGTATTCCATTCACCGTCAACTTTGAGAAGATGATCCAGGAACGGAAACCGGGCGATTTTGCAGTTGAAATCGGGGGATATATTGTGGTATAGGGTCAAGGTAAAGTAACACGGATAATTACTCGTTACCACCATAGTGTATGCCTGTCGAGGCTCCATGGTAAATGTTTCCAACTTGATTCTGTTGTTGGTCACATGGTCGTTAGGAACTGAACGGTACTGAGTGGGAGTGAACAATTTGTCCCGGTTGGAATTGTATATGGAAACCATGATGAGCTGGTCCTCATGCTTGTTGGGCAAGCTGCGCTCCAAGAGAGCCCACACTTTCTGTGGCTTGTCTGTAGGGTTGATCAATGCAGGCTGGGTGTGTTCATAAAGCAATTTCGATGGGCTGAACAGCATCATCCTTTTGGCCAGATACTTAAATTTTGCTGAAGGCTTCCAGTTCACATAGAGGTACTTGAAATGGTTGTAGTCGGAAACCTCGATAAACCTCTTTTCGAGGTTTTGATTTTCGACCCACGAGTTCTTGATCACCAAGGAGCCTGCCTTGTACGCTTCAATAGAGTAATCGTGGTTCGACGTCAAATTTAACTGTGCTGACAAAGTCTTGGAGAGCTTGCCTGTGCCTATTCCCAACGTCAACTGGCCCTGGTTGCGGAGGTTCCATAATTCAGCAAAATTGGCTGGAAGACTGTTGTGCAAACTAATGATTTCCGGGATGTATCCCGACAAAAGGTAGGTGTCATTGGCCATGTTGGAACCTTCAAACCTGTAGCCGTTCCCCATAATCTTCAAATGGGCCTTTTCGATCAATGCTGGCCACAAGAGTGAGGTGTCGGATGATGACGATACTGTCAAATGCCTCTCTCGACGATCAGTAAAGAAAGGAAGCTGGTTGTCGACAGTTACCAAGCGCTGAGTTCCGTTGAAGTGGAGACGCACCCGATATTGATCGCTGGGACCCTTTGGTGATACCAAATCAAGAAGTGGATATCCTAGATCGACGAGCGAGAGCAACGACGACACAAATGAGCAGTTTGTGAGCACATCCTGGTATAAATCAGATACACTTTTCGATTGTGACCAGTTGGTGATGGATACAGCCTCGAATCTTGCCTCAATTGACGGTGGAATCATGGTAATCGATGGATCGGTTTCTGTGAATGACGGTACCGGAAAGTGACCAGAATCGAGCGATTCCGAGAATTCCAAAACGGGATAGTGAAAGTCGTAGATCTTGGAGTTCAACCACAACATCTTCTCTGTAGTTTCTGGCTTTTTGGTGGCCAAAATGTCATAATACTTCATAGTAGCCCGACTCATGGCCACATTTTGCAGGTCCTGTGCAAGCCCGTTTAAGATTTTCATGGCCTGAAGGCATTCTTTCTTTGCCTTTGTAGGGTTGTCTAGCGCATTACTGACGTGGGACTGTTGAAGAAGCCCAACTGCCTCGGATAAGGACATCAAGTGGTGGATTTGCATTATGGAAATGGTCGCAGATACTTAGGGTTAAGCTTACGTAATTACTTATGTAATTGCTCCACCAGTATACCCGCCCAGGGTCCTACAATGAGTACGGGTGAGGGTTGGGGTGGTAAAGGAGCCCCTGGAGGGAGAGTCCAGGTGTTTCTCCCTCCAGAATCAAATCAAGATAGTTGAAAAGTGTTCCTTATTGGACCGTTGCAGTAAGGTGGTCTTTTTGTGTCACTATGCCCACTCCTCCGTGCAAAAGTGTACAATAGGTGTGTAGGGTCGATGCTATGTCTTGACCAAATCAAGTATGGAAAGACGTGATGTAAAACTTGAACATGTGTCACCTTGGTATTTTATACACATATGCCATTGTGCTTGCCATTAGAGGAAATTTTGTTGCGAAATTGCACCCAAAATACCCTAACCAGGCCACGAGAGAAGTTTCAAGGGTATCAAGGTCCAGCTTATAAAAAGGAAGGTCTACCTGGCTATCTTTTTTGATATTTAAGACATCAATCAACAATGGCTGCTCAAAACACTTCTTCTAACTCCAACAAATCTCAATCCGCTAACAAGGACCAATGGGTCGGTACCAAGGTCAAAGGAGGCTGGGTTGCTCCAGTTTGCACTATCGTCTAATTTCTCAATGTTGATATTGATTGGTGCTGTTTCTGTGTCTTCTGATGGCCGTGCATCCTCTGGTGCATCTGTACCCAGCACAGGAACTTTGTGTTTCGCTGGAGACTTTAAATAGTATACCATCCATATTACCATCAATCAATGATAGTTTACCATTTTTACTGTTGCAGCAACGGTACAGCTCTTGTAGTAGTGGGTGATGATTTGATACTTGATATTCCACGAATATATACAGTTTAAAACTCCTGGTGATTTATCGTTCGAATTTGGGATCGCTCAGGCTTGTAATTTAGCTGCTACAATTGCAATTCAATAAATACGGAACAAAATAATCCACACTGTTTTAATTTTTCTGGATCAAGATTGTTGGCAGTTTGCCAACAAAATGAGTATATAGTCTACTTTTCAATTAATTCAACGTATCCGTGAGTGTGGATGTTGCACTCCAGCTTCGTGAGAATCGCACAGAAAACTGGAAATTTGACTAAAAATCTGGAAAGATACTAAACGAGTTACTCCTGCGCTATCAACATCCAAACTTCGTTACCCTGAAAACAGTCGCCAAGATATAGAAACGGTTGATTCACACCTTAAACCAGTCTCTGGTCTCAATTATGTCTTCAAACAACTACATTCCCTGTCCGACACCCAGTGATCTCACATTAAACAGCTGAATGGTAGTCTTCATATGTCACGTGCAGAACCTCACATGACCCGATATTGAAATATCCAGTTTCCAGAATATACATGTCAATGGAGATCAGAAATCGGGCAAGGAAGGCCCCAAAACAGCAACCAACCCTGCAAAAGGAGTCTTCTAGTAGTGTTACTACTGAAACTACCTCGATTTCACTCAAAAAGCTCGCTGTCGGTCTATTTATCATTCGAATCGCCAACTCGCTAACTATCACCACTTACTTCCAGCCCGATGAATACTTCCAAGCACTTGAAGTGGCGCACCACTATGTGTTTGGTTACGGATTTGTCACCTGGGAGTGGAAGGAACATCTCAGATCGGCTATCCATCCTCTCATATACGCATTGGGCTACAAGACGATGCTGGCCATTCTGGAGGACTGGATCCAAGTCAGCCCCAAAATCGTTGGGGCACTTATGGCTTGTATAGGAGACGTTGCTGCGTATCTTTTCTTCAGGAACTACACCAGAAGCGAGCAGTTGGCCCGGATCGGGTTGGTTTTGTGGGTGCTAAATCCTTTCAACTGGTACGTGTTGACGCGGGCGTTTTCCAATAGCTTTGAGACGGTATTGACTATCGTTGCATGGGTCTACTGGCCATGGGACAGCAGCCAGCTCCACTACCAGAGCTATGTCTGTGCCCTTGGCTTTGCTTTTGTCAGCTGTATCGTGAGGCCCACCAATGCTATTATCTGGGCATGTCTTGGAGTGAATCTATTGCTCAAGGCGAAAAAACCGGCTAGAATAATTGTGGTCTCGGCCATAGAGTTGGTGGTACTTTTAGGAGCCAACTGCCTAGTTGACTATGCTTTCTACGGCTCCGTAACCTTTCCCTTGTACAACTTTCTTGAGTTTAACGTCGTCAGAAACCTATCAGTTTTCTACGGAGTTGCTCCCTGGCACTTTTACCTCTTCCAGGGAATTCCCTTGATGATGATGCTATACCTCCCGTTCTTGCTCGTGTCGTTGTACAAAAATTACCGGGATCCGTTGGTGCATTCGGGAGTGATCGTGCTCATTGGGTTTTCGCTTATTGATCACAAGGAGTTCCGTTTCATCTACCCTCTCCAGCCTTTGATGATCTTGCAGTGTGCCTATGCGGTGAAGGAGGCTCTTGCAAAGTGGCCAAGAAACAAATCATACTTTATTTTTGGGTCGATTGCTCTTCTTCACTTAATGGTGGCATTTTTCTTCACCAGAGTGAACGAAAGAGGAGTGATCGATTTGATCGGCTATATGAAATCGTCTCCCGAAATTGACACTGTGGGATTTCTCACACCCTGCCATTCTACTCCATGGCAGAGTTATTTACACGACACCAAGTTTGAGAGTTCTTGGTTTTTGACATGCGAGCCTCCTTTGACAGTTCCAATTGAAGGCTATAGGGATGAGTCTGACCAATTCTATGACGACCCCATAGGCTTCATGGAGAAAATTCCTGACAGCAAATGGCCCAGCCACCTTGTGATTTTTGAAGCCTTGAAGGAAGATGTGGACGAATATCTAGCCAACAAGGGGTACAGTGAGAAGAAGCGGTTTTTCAACAGCTTCTTCCATTGGGATGACCGAAGAAAGGGAGACGTGATCGTATACCAACGCTCGAAGGGAAATTAGGAACTTCTAGTAATTCCAGCAATTACCTGGAACTAGATAGAAGTTGTTTTACACGTTTGGAGAACTAGGAATTTCCAAAAACTCCAGTATTAGAGTGCATCCTAGATGGAAGTCAGCTTACATTCCCCCGGCTGCATGGGATTTGGTTGCAGTGTAATATTGCCTGAAAACAGCAGAGCCATCCATCAATACTGAAGAACCGTTGGTTATACTCCGTAAATTGACGGAAATACCCTGGAAAATAGAAAAGGTTCTGCGGTGAGAAATTGTTTTCCTCCAGTAGAACTTCTGAATAATTTATTGCCTTTGACTGTGCATTAGTTTTATAGAATCATTTTTCTAAGGTTTTATACAATAATCCTTATTTAAAGATGCTTTGATAGTTAGAGCAACTCGTCAACCTGTTCAAATTACGGAAGAGTATTGTTGCAATAATTGACCATTAAATTGCTCTGGAAGGCATCTATCTGATTTGGTTCGATCCGGCTAGGGGCTTTAGGAACATCTGCAATACTCATCTCTGGGTGCAAATATCCCGAGAAAGCCATAGCAAATACACTTGTTAATTCTGCCGAAATGGTAGATTTTTGTTTGCGTTGCCAATTATGAAGTATTACTTAAATGTAACGGCTTCTTAAAAATGTAGGTAAATACTTCATTTCCCAAGTAATTGTCGCTCTTCTACAAAATGGATGCATCAATTTTCAAAGTTAGTCTAGCTCAGGTATCAAAGAACTTTTCTTTCAATATATACTAGTAGGGTAATCTTGTCAAATCGTGCGCCTCGATATTTTACTCAGTTTTATAACTAAGTGTTCGAAAGACGTTCTACTGTAATCCGAAGAAATCAAAACGACAAACATTGCTGCAGTACTACTAATTAAATCCACAAAAATTAAAGCTATACCGTGAGTTGGTGATTTCATTGCGTTCATATTGGGTGTAGGAAGACTTAGACGACATTTACTGGGGAACTATTGTCTACAAGCTGAAATTGGCCTCACTACATGGTGATTATTTCAACCAGAGCTCAGATAAGTTACCACCTCCATTATCCATCATTGCTATACTGAGGCAACGAGAACAATTCCGAGACATCGGGCTGCAACTCGCAGATTTGGGACTAGTTCATTCAGCAACCACACACCAGCCTGGCAATACCTGGTCTTAGCAACCCGCAAAGACCAGCAAACGAACAAATGGCTTTACTATCGGTCTGTTGGGTCGATCAGAAAGAATATCAAAGTAAGTAAAAATATCACTTAATATTTGTAAAATTGCTACAGTTCATTTCCTTGCACAGACTTGGTAGTTAGTTGTGGTACTGATTGTTATGATCCCCTGGTTTCGTACGGTAGCATTCCCCGCTTCGAATTAGTGCGTTTCCTGCGTTTTCTCTAATTCAAAGCTCCCCATGCGTATGCACTATCGGGCTCCCTAAACTCAATACTCCGGAAACACAATAGCAAAATAGATACTGAAACCCAATTGTCCTTACCAAAATAGATTTGGCATCAGCCAACGCATGCTGACACAAAATGGCCGTTCCATCTGCCTCAGGCGCCGGCTCAATTGCCTCCGATAAGCACCGCCATGAACATTACACTTTCGACGTCTGCTGACACCGCATGGCTGGAGATTGCCACGGGGCATGTTGCAGCTACGGAACATGCAGGTGAACCTCCTTGCTCCGATGTGCAGAATGACAGTGGTCTGATTGAAAAGTACGCACGGGCTCGGAAAAACCGTTGCGAGCATAAAGCTGGAGCTGTCAATCGAAAATGCCAGCAATTGGTGCCAGGCTAGCTGGTGGGTGTAGAGACGGGCAGAAGAGCATTGCGTGTCCGCCTTGAGGGTTCTGTGACTCAATGCACTGGAAAATCTTCCGCAAGAAGCGTGGCGGATCGGTTCCCACGAAGATCAGCAAGATCCAAACCAGCCATCGCTCATACCCCCTATCTTCGAGTTGCAGCCCCGAACTGACCACACCACACCACTTTGCTCACACCACGCCCAACAAACCCGGCTCCAACGGCTGCTGGCGGTATATAAGGCACCGGTCAACTGGAGCCTGTCCTAAACTCCGTAATAATTTTTCAACACAAGTGTGTATAAGTACTGGTCAGCCACTGGTGCACCAGCACCAGGACTATCTGTCGTGTGTCATGTGGAAACGGTTACTAACCACAGCAGTGTCCATTCCCAAAACCCAGAAAGCTGTTCTTTTAGACACCCATGGAGGTCCATTGAGATACTCCGACATCCCGGTGCCTACCCCCAAGCCCAACGAGCTCTTGATCAACATCAAGTACTCGGGAGTGTGCCACACCGACTTGCACGCCTGGAAGGGAGACTGGCCCTTGGACACCAAGTTGCCCTTGGTGGGAGGCCACGAGGGCGCAGGCGTGGTGGTGGCCATGGGTGCAAATGTCAAAGGCTGGAAAGTCGGCGACTTCGCGGGTGTGAAGTGGTTGAATGGCTCGTGCATGTCGTGTGAGTTCTGCCAGCACGGAGACGAGTCCAGCTGTGCCCACGCTGACTTGTCTGGATACACCCACGACGGGTCGTTCCAGCAGTACGCCACTGCTGATGCAGTTCAGGCTGCCAGAATCCCTCCAGGAACCGATTTGGCAAAGGTAGCCCCAGTCTTGTGTGCGGGAATCACCGTGTACAAGGCGTTGAAGACTGCCAATCTCTCTGCTGGCCAGTGGGTGTGTATTTCTGGCGCAGGAGGAGGCTTGGGATCGCTTGCCATCCAGTACGCCGCAGCCATGGGCTATAGAGTGGTTGCAATCGATGGAGGAGCCGAAAAAGGCGAATTCTGTAAGTCCTTGGGTGCCGAAGTGTACGTCGATTTCACCACCACCAAGGACATCGTCCTGGCCGTCAAGGACGCCACCAACGGAGGTCCCCACGGAGTCATCAACGTGTCTGTGTCGCAGCAGGCCATGTCGCAATCGTGTGCCTATGTCAGATCCACCGGAACCGTCGTTTTGGTGGGATTGCCAGCCGGTGCCCAAGTCATTGCACCCGTGTTCGACACCGTGGTCAGGTCCATTTCCATCAGAGGGTCTTATGTCGGGAACAGAGCCGACACTGCGGAAGCCATAGACTTCTTTTCTCGTGGCTTGATCAAGTCCCCCATCAAGATCGCCCCATTGAGCGACTTGCCCAAGATCTATGAGGCCATGGAAAAGGGCGAGATTATTGGCAGGTACGTGGTGGACACCTCCAAGTGAATACATGATAGCGATAGAACGTGATATGAATAAATGATAATAGCTCCAATGATCTTGGTAGTGCCGCAGTCCACTTAGTCTCCATGGATACCTTTGTGGATATTTTGTCTTTCTTGTACAGCTCAATCAATAATTAAAGGAGCAGGTTTTCAGTGGAGAAGTTACGGTCCAGTTACAATTGTTCTGGCGTCCTCTAATGGGTAGGTTGGAACTTGTTATGTAGAATGTGCTGGAGTACTAATGATCAGGTGGTACTTTAGAAGGTTTTGGTGCTCTACTGAAGCATAATTATTTAATTACTAGGAACGGTGTCGATTGGGTGCAAATTCATTCTGGTATTCGCAAATAATAAACGGCCCAGTACGTACTGTTTTAGGCAAAAATAGCGGGCGATTTCGCATCTTCTGCTATTGACTGGAGTCCTTTTGTTCTGATTATTTAAGTTCTAATAGAGCCATCCAGGGCTAAGTAAGACAACAAAATGGACATTTTGATGGATGCCCAACCATACCATGAATTGAAACATTGTGATCTTTCTCTCAAAAGTTCACATAAAAGAATTCTTCGAGGAAGAAATATGGAAGTATCTTCGATCGCCTCTCGTAAGTACAAATCCTACACCTCGCCCGATATATGGCCACCCACGGATGTCGAAGGGTTGGTGAACTTTGAAAGCGAAATTTGTTCTAGCACTTCTAGGCCAAATCCCTTTAAGCGGACACTATGAACCCATCCACTCTCTAATTTCTCACCTCCTCCCGGTACACAAATATTCCCTATCCCGCCTTTGCGTTCTCTTCGTTCAAACGTTCGGCGTCCTCTCGTACCTTTGCCATCCATCTCTTGATCAAGCTCTCATTTTCATGCCTCACCTTCTCGATTTCGTCTTTGAGCACGTTTGACTGGATTTGGTTCAAGAGCGCCTCGTCGTTGATGATCTCGATAGACCGATCCTTCTCCTTGAGCTGCGCTGTCAAAGTCTCGATTTTGGTATTAAGCTTGTCGATCTGCTTTTCCAAGCTGGTCTTAGCTTTTGCCGCTTGACTGGCCCTGAGCTCTGCTTTCTCGGCAGCGATAGTCTTCTCGTTAATTCCCTCAATGAGCTTGGTGATCTCTGCCTTGAGCTGGTGGTTTTCTTTGGCTAGATCAGGTTCTCGGTTGTATTCACCTGATGTGGTGAGCGAGGGAGACGGCGAAGGCGAGGTGGACTCAAGCCCTACCGCCTGGAGCTGCTGGGCTAGCTGTGCAAATGCAGCATAATACTCGGAGTCCTTCTTTTCAAGAATGTCTCGCTCGTTGAGCGATTGGAGTATGTCATTCCACATGGTGGACATGTGGTTGGAGTATAGGAGCTCGTACAGCTTCTTTGAGCTTCTGTAGATTAGTCCCTACCGTCCGATACTTCGTATGCAAATCAGTAAGTCAGCACGTCAGTGGCCTGCACCTCTCTGTGTGGCTCTGTCCGAATGAGACAAGTTGCTTCCAAAGTACTGCAGTATCGGTTCGTTCTATGGTTGAACTCTGCAGCTGATAACAACGCTGTTTGCGACTGCAGTGTGGGTTTTCTGCGTACCTTCTTAGTCAGCTGAACCTCAATTGCCGTTGCTAGTGCCTGCTATGGGATTTATGGCACGAGAGGGCCGTGGGTCGTGGTGGTAGTGGAGAAGTAGTGTGGTTCTGGTGGTGGAAATGGGCTCTGGATGTTAGGGACTATCTGCAGGATGCAATGAGAGTGTGGTGGTGGTGCAAGGACGGAAGTCGGGGCCCAGGGGACAGGAATAGGAGGGAAAGTGGCTGCATGGGGAGGTACGCTGTCCTGCTAGCCGTGGCCAACTTCTTCCAACGCAGAACGCAGCCGTGCCGCCGTAACACGCTTATCAGCTGAAAGATGGTCCACGTGATATCAGTCACGTGCCGCTATCTGCGTGACGTCTGATGCCATCCTCCACTACAACACTATCGGCACTACTGTGCTAATTCGTCTGCCGTACCCCATCTAGCAACCTGTGCTGTCCCACCCGCTCAACTGCCGTCAAACATCCGTACTACCACCACGTCATCCTCCCGCCAGCATGTCCAATGGCTACTGGCCCATCAGCTTTCTGAGAGAAAGCAACACCACAGCGGCTCCCAACCAGCCAATTGGGGCCCAGCCGTCGCTGGAATCGCTCCCAGACCCAACCAAGCATGAGCAGACTCAGTCTGCGCAAGAAGTACGAAGAGACGGACAAGAACTCGCAGCTATAGAAGAAGCAGAAGCAGCACCCAGAGAGAACTCCACAACCAGTACGCGAACTGGCGTGGAAACAAGCATACGGAACGGAGTCCCAGTTGCTGATGAGTTGGCACGAAAAGTTCCAGAAGAACTGCTGGAAGCAGCGCCAAATGGGACCCAAAATGAGGTCCAGAATAAAGACCAAAATGGTGGCAATGACATACAAACATCGAGAGCTTCAGGCTGGTGGTTCTGGAGCGGACGGGACCCTGGCGGTTCTGGCTCAGGACAAGCCCTGGACCCTCTCCTTCTGGAAGCTGAGGGCAAAACTACATCCTATAACTCGAATGGCACTCACCAAGCACAAAACACCGATTCCGTCATTTCTGGCCCACCAGCATCCCCAAAAGACTTACAGCCTCCATTCCAGCCCAATGGGATCGCTGCTGCTCTGGATGAGCCCGAAACAGCAGCAGGAAATGACGAAAACGGCACTCTAAAAACCTCCCCACAAGAACCATGGGTAGACTGGTCGCTCCAGTACAGAAGGATGAGCTCCGTGGTCAGCTATGTATACTCCAAGGGCAACGAGGGCGGCGATCTGGCGACTGCAGCCCCAGATACCCAGGTGGTCTCGGTGGTTAGTGCAAAAGATCCCAATGTATCCGCTACAAGCCCCACCAACAACTCCACCACCGCCACTCCATGGCTCTCGTGGCTATGGGGAGGTGCTCCTACCGATGACTCCGACGACGAAAGCAGTGTGGCAGGCGGTGAGGATCCAGCCAGAGCCAAAGAGCTCTACAAATCTGCTAAATTTGCTATTGAAAACTCGAAAGAATCGTCCCACTACGCTTTCAAGTGCGCTGTGACTGATATGGAGCTCACAGGTAGCTCTCCCAAGTATCAGCACCTCGAATTGGCCGTGAGTGATACTGTGACGGAGACGCAGCCAGTGAAGTACCGCTCCAAAAAACGGCCAATCACCCCAAACGAGGTCCAGGAGCGCACGCTACCGTCGCTCACGCCTGCGCCAGATTCCGGACAAGCTGCTGGTGCTAGCAAATCGGAGGGAGCTGCTGGTTCCATCATTGGCGACGCAAATATCTCCACAATCCAGCCACAGCTTCCTGGCCCTCAGGAGGCCCACAGCAACAGCATGGTGACACCCACGCTCGAGCAGAACTACCGTACCATCACTCTTCGCACAAAACTACGGCTCTTGGCCGAGGACGTGGTGTTCCAGAATCAGAGCAGTGAGTGCCATTTGTACAGAAAACCCGAAAATGCGATTGCAAAAAAACGCAAGCTGGTCAAGAAAATTGTGATTGTGGGAATCCACGGCTTCTTGCCCATCAAGTTGGTCAAGACGTTAATTGGCCAGTCCACGGGAAACTCCGTCAAGTTCGTGGCAGAAGCCACTCGTGCCGTGCAGCAGTGGCTTCAACAGAACAACCCAGACTACGACCCCCTGCACTACGACATCCAAACAATTGCACTCGAGGGGGAGGGCAAAATTGGGGAAAGGGCCCAGAAGCTCTACCGATTATTGGAGAACTGGAGAGCCATTTTGGAACAAAGCCACTTCCTTTTTGTGGTGTCGCATTCTCAGGGTACGCCAGTGGCTATCCAGTTGCTTGCCAGGCTTGTTGGCGAGATGGCTCCGGGTGCAAAAGTAGGTTTACTAAGCATGGCAGGATTCGGAATGGGACCCATTGCTGGGCTTGACTCCAAGCTCGTAATCCGAGCGTTCACTCCTATCGAGCGCGAGATCATTGGCGAGATGTTCGAGCTCCAGAAGCCTGGCAGTGAGCTCTCAATCCAGCTCAACCAAGCCATGGAAGTGCTCATCCACCATAACGTCAAAATCACGTTTTGTGGGGCCATCGACGACCAGTTTGTCGCCATCAGCTCGTCGTTGGCCAACCAGTACCAGCACCCAAACATCTTCCGCGTGGTGTACGTCGATAAGGACACCCAGACGCCCGAGTTCGTGGTGAGCTTAGTGAAAACCATTGCCATAATGAAGAATATGGGGGGTTTTCGCGACTACGGGGTATTGCGAGACATCGGCGATCGGTTCGTGGGGACAGTGGGTGCGGGAAGCCACTGCAAGGTTGCGCGGGACCCACAGGTGTATATGATGGGTGTTCAACACAGTTTGGAGACCACCAGTGTCACCAGGGCGGTGCGTCATCCCCTCCGGATCCATGCATCTGGCGGGCCTGTGCTCGTAAATGATGCGTTTGCTCACATGTACATGATCCCGTGGAACGTTCGCAGCTTGGTGCAAGAGCTTATTCAGATCAACAATATTCGCAATGTGCAGTTGTTGCGGCACATGGTGCGCCAGTACCGCGGATGGCAGCCTGTCAACCGGGCATGGAAGGACGTCAAGTACTGCCTCAGTGCGTTGGAAGAGCTAGAGGTGGACGAGTTGGTTTTATAGACAATGGCGGCCAGGGCGACGGGGTGCTATTAGATAGTCTATCAAAGCTATGCGCATGGTGGCTTAACATAGTATATGATATGTCCCACTGTAGATCACCGCCATGCTACTGCGGTGGCCGCAAGCAAAGCACGCGGGTGAAAAACCTTATCGAGGCCAGGTGCGGCAAGATTAGCGTCTAGGAACTGATCTGGTTTTGTGTCACATGCATTCTGCACCAGTAAAACGAAAAAACGTTGACACCCCCGGTGCGGCGCATCCACAATTGCCTAATGGGCAGAGATACACCTGATCAGCCCATCACCTGACCCGTCGTAATTTTGGCTCTCCTGATTAGCTCTTGCAGATAATCCTCGGCTAGCCGCTGGAGATTTCGGCGACTGGCAAATACCACCTGTGGTAGGGATGTCTACCCTTGGCATCTAAGCCTCCATAAGCCACTCTTCGAGCTTAATTGCGTGCCATCTCATCCGTGCCCTCCAGTTTCGATAGCCATGCCAGGATGCCATGCCGGCACCGCAAGCTGCCAGTGGTTCTTGGTGTATCGCACATGAGCCTAGTACTGCGTGCGCCAGCATGCCATGTTGCATATACCGCTTGAGACCTATCGCGGATTGTAGCCCTGGGACGGTGTCGTGGCCGATGCCACGGATGGCGGCAACTGGTGGTCCGAGGAGACCCTTGGTGAAGGTTGGCCGCTGGTGCGGTCCCTGGGCGGTTGACCGGAGTCGGCCATCGCCGGGATGGGGGAGCATTATGGTGCCCCCACGTGATGCGCTGGCTGCAGCTGTCTACGCTGCATGCGCCAGACTAACCCGTGGCATGGTTGATGGCAGGCCGGTGGTGGGCATTGATTCGCCAGTATTTTCGTATCGTTCGTTACGGCGGCTGAACCCACAAAATAATGTATGCACCATATTGTTGTGCATCATGGTGCATAGGTGGTGCATGTGGTGAGAAGGTGGCCGGGCACTGGTTGGGGTAGAGGGGTAGAGGGTTCTGGTCAAGGCTAATCGGCATTGCCCGCAAACCCTCTATGGCCTGGCGCCTTCCCCAGCTGGCTAGTGCCGGGGAGCCCCGGGCCCTTCGGCATCAGGTCTCCTCCCGTGGCCATCTCGACATAGTTGGGGGAGCGGATATTTTCTATGCATCATTGGCTTTGTGTCACAAGCATGCAGAAGCCAGATGAATCGGGATGGGCTGGTATGCATCCCCTTGTTAACCGGGCACACGCTCGCACCCCCGGTAGCCGCACGTCCCGCCGTCCACCACCGCCGCCCGCCGCGCCGCCAGCCCTCGCTAGCCCCGTGCCACCACCCGCACTAGCCTCCCCCGCTCTCACTACCATGCCCACTACCGCTACCGCACCCACCGCCACGCCTCTCCCTAGCTCTCGCTATCCTGCACTTCCCCCGCCGCCTCGCCTCACCACCACTCGCATCCGTTTCCATGCCCACCATCTTGTCCATCCCTTCCACTCTTCTTCCACCGTCACTCCACCACTACCGCTACACCATCTCCCCACTGACTCCTCTAGCACCACCACCACCTCCTCCACTATCCACTACGACTACTACTACTGTTCTCCCTGCCTCGCTAGCATCCATCCCTCCCTAGCTCCTTAGCCGCCCACCCATCCTCGCCTCTAAGCGCCCAACCATCCATGTCGTCCGACGAAAACTCCTCCAAGCGAACCCGTGCCTCTGGTGAGGTGCTCGACTTCCTTCTCCAGGAGTTCGACCGCAACCACAACCCCACGCCAGACCAGCGCAAGGAGATCTCTGAACGTACAGGCATGGCCGAAAAGGCGGTACGGATCTGGTTCCAGAACCGCCGTGCCAAGCTCCGCAAGGTGGAGCGAATGAGCTCGTCGTCGTCGATTCCCGTCAAGAAGGCAGGCAGCCACCACTCGTCGCGATCCAACAGCTTTGGCCACGACGAGAGGCCATTTACAAGCGCTGCAAATGGCGCCCATAGCGGAAATACCGGGAATGGCGGTAATAACGGAACCATCCCCATCGAGGTCAACGATACCTACTGCTTCATCGACTGCTCGTCGTTGCTGGTGGGCTCGTGGCAGCGCATCAAGTCGGGGGTCCACGACGAGCAGGCGCTCCGCACAAAGTTCGTCAACCTCTCTCCATTCACCCTCAACACGGTGATGAACAGCGTGGACCTCCTAGTAATCTTGTCCAAGAAGAACTTGGAGATCAACTACTTCTTCCTGGCGGTGTTGAACCACTCCAAGATCTTGTTCCGCATCTTCTACCCCATCTCCAGTATCGTGTCCACGTCGTTGCTCGACAATAACATCCACAAGGAGAGCAACGAGCTCCGTCTCAGCTTTGCACACCAGCCCAAGTTTTCTGTCTACTTCTTCAACGGCGTCAATGCCAACGCCAACCAGTGGAGCATCTGCGACGACTTCAGCGAGGGCCACCAGGTCAGCCTGGCCCACATGAACGAGGGGGGTACGCTGACGCCCCATGTTCTAGTCGGGGTCAAGACCTCGTTGCAGTACTTGAATGCGTTCATCTTGGAGCACACCCATCACCTGCACGCCCATCCGCTCCACGCCAACCCCTACACCAACCCCACACCTCCATTATCGGCAGCAGACCCTCCCAAGTACCACCACCACCCCATTCAACTCGCAGACGACCACTCGTCCGCAGGAAACTTCCAATTCACCAATGACGACTTGAACCATATCTGGGACGAAGCACCCTCCATCACTCCCAACCGCTCCCACAACCACACACCCATTACCAGCCACTTTGCAGGTTCAACCACTGCACTGGTGACAGCACATCCGCCAGTGAAGCATGCGTCGTCCGGCTTGAGCGGGTTTTCGCCGTTGGCCAACTTCGATGCAGCTGCGTCGCCCAATTCCCTGGCCAGCGCAGGCAGCCACTTCCAAAAGGACATCTATATGCACATGGTGCAGCCCAACGGCACTAACGGCACTAACGGTACTAACGGCACTAACGGCGACCACAGCAGCATCACTCAGACCCCACGCAGCGTGGGGTCCGCCAACCACGACTCCCACCAGTCCCACCATTCTGCCCACAAGGACTACGAAGAGATGTTCAACTCCGCCAATACCCCCGACTTTCTTGCCAATCTAGACGGCGACCACGACCCAGCCAAGCCCAAGAGCTCCGACAGCACCTCCAACAGCCCCTCCCTCAACAGCATTGCCAACACTAACCCCGTCCACGCATACACCCACCAGCATCAGAACGGCCATAACCCGGCGTATGAGCTCTTGGGTGGACCCGAGTTCCACCACCACTCCGATTTTGACTACAACGGAGCCACGGACTACGGTGCATTGAACGAAGACTCGTCGCTCAACCCGTTGGACAACGGTGAAAACGCTAGCGAACGAGGAAATAACGGAGGCAGCGGTGGCAGTGGCACAGGCACTGGGGGAAACGTCGACAGCTTCATTGACTTCGGCATATAGACCCGTCGTGGCCTCGCTATTTATTGGTTATCGATGACTGCTTCATGATCCAGTGCTCGTCGAAACTCGTGGACAGCCTCCACACCTCAGCCCTGGAGCTGTTCAATTAATTTCACTTCCTGACGTTGTGCATTATGCTCTGGCTGCTAGTCTAGCCACCGCCCTTAGACTTTTTTTGTATGCGGTAGAGCCCTTTGTATTTAATATAATTCTGCTAGAACGGTGTAGGGATGGGGGGACTTATCGCTGAAAGGTCGTAATTCGAAGAATTAAATCCACAGGAGGATTAATTCACTGCTTTCGATGTTCCTATATTTACAATTATGGAGGATCCTAGATTCAGAATCATCGTAATTCACTGCTCTGGAGGATTAAATTTACCTGAATTCTCCCTATTAAATTCATCCATTGCACCATGCTTTGGGTTCAGGTGTTCATCGTGCAGCCACCGCTACATTTGCCGTGCCAGTTTGGCTTCCTACAACCCCAATACAATTAATATACGCTAATTGACTCGTATTTTAATGTTATCTTAGTATGATGGAATGTACATCCTTACTTCACGTACATTAGCCTGTCCATTGGAAGCTAATTAGCCATCTAGGCTCTAACCTGCCATTACAGCCCCCCTAGCGTCTTAATTAGCCTTCAACTGGCCCGCTATCCTGCCATCTCTGCCCATTTTAGCTCATCACTTCCGTCCTTTTGCATTCGAGGCGGAGAACCACCGTTCCATCCCATCCGAGGCGGATCTCCCCAACTACCCTTTGCAACCGCTCCCGCCCCATTATCTCGCAATTTGTCATCATTACATCGCTGCCTATCAATGTCTGTGATTTCTCGCTTATTCCACTCCCTGCTTGCCCTTCATAATCGTGGCTTATTTGCTTGCTGTTGGCGGGCGGCTCGGCCGCGTGCATGCCATGAGCCCATATCCGCCTGAAACCTTACTGGATCTTGATTGCATACTTCCTGAGAACCTCCTTGCTCAATAGTTGAGACATCCCTACGAGCACCATCACCGCCATGTGGAGGCACCTTCCGGGCATGCAAACACGCTGGGATCGGCAGGAACTCGAACAATCGTTATTGTTGCCCCAATCGGGCGTATCTACGGCGATCTACTCGCCACAAGGGCCCAGCCACCGGCTTATCGGAGGGTATCGATCACGTGACGAAGATCACGTTTCAGTATCACGGGTCTCTCCTCACATGACCTATGAGCCCATTTTCCTCCTCCACCTTACCGCCACATGTTCTCCTCCACCAGGCCCCTCCAGCCCCGCCTAGCCGTACGATGGGCGTCCACGGCCGCCCGTCCAGACCTCCTCTCACTCCTACCCAAAAAACGGACCTTCAACAAGATTCTTTTCGACAACAACAGCTCGCTTTCCTACAAGAAGATGATGCCCATCCTCCAGACAGTTTATTCCAACTTGGCGACCCCAGAAAACATCACACTTCCCAAGAACGTCCAGCCAAGTGACTTGATGACTTTCAAGAACGTTCTAGCAACCATCCGCAAGACCACCAACACCATCAACAACCACCTTGTGGCACTCGAGAACGAACTCACAGAACAGGCAGCAGAGCTTGGCGACAACGACGCTATCGCCATTCTCGCGTTCGAGACTGTGGAGAAGAAGCTCCGTGGTGACCCCACAGTCTCCAAGGAAGACTTCCAGTACGCCAACGAGCTCATCAAGAAACTCACCGATTTGCAACACCCGTTGGTGTTCAAAATGGCAGGCGATTTGGCGTTCAAAAGAGGATACTACAACCAGGCTGAGCCCTACTGGGTCCAGTTCACCCAGCTTGAGCCTGACACTGTGGCAGCCAGCCAGGTGTACTCCAACCTTGGGCTCTACCACTTCAGCTATGCCCAAACTCCCGACCTTGGCCTTGCCAGAACCTACTTCGAGAAGAGTATAAGAGTGGGCGAGTTGGACGAGTTCACCATCAAAGCCCACTACTACTTGGGCCAGCTCTACGTGGACACCAACCCTTTGTCGTCGCGGTACCACTTCGAGATCAGTGCCAGTAGGGGGCTCAAGGAGAGTTTCTCGTCGTTGGGGTTCCTCGAGATGAATGTGTTCCAAAACTACCACACCAGCATCGAGTGGTTCAAGTTGGGGGTGGAGTCGTCCAACGATATCGCCTGTATGATTGGCCAGTTCGACTGCTACTTGAAAATGAAAGACTACAAGTCGGCATACGCCATCTTGACCCAGATCAAAGACGTGCAAGAGAAAATTGCCAAGGTAAGGAGAGAAAGACGTAAGGTGCCCAAGGAGATCGAGGAATCCATGGCGGTGACTGAGGGATTGTTGCGAGTGTTCTTTGAGACCAGAACCGGCGAGCTCGCCCAGTTGGCCACCATGATCGCATAGAGTGATGTCCAGAAAGAGGCGGTAAAGGATGAAATCTGGAACAGTCTGGGCATTTTTAATCATTTTGGTACAAGAAGGTATTTTTGACTAAACGCAATGTTACTCCTGCTTCAGTGGGAGTATCAGGACAGTACTGTTGTCGTGAATGACTCTCATGAGGTGAACACAAAAAAAGTCATGGTAGGCAATTTGAAACGCTCAATCATCGTTTATCCGAAGATTAAGTCAGTTTTCATTTGGCTATAATCTTTACCACCATAATCACTGAGTCATCAAGGATGATTCCTATTGAACCTTCTTGTCCAATTACTTGCATTTAACCATTTGATTCTCCGATTCTCGTCTTTTGCTGCTCATTCAGTCATCATGTATTTTAGTGTATATAGATGAGCTTCTACTAATGTCTATAAATTGGTATAATACATATCAGCTCAACTTATTGCGAGTCTGGATGGCTCCTCCACTGAAGAAGATTGTCCAACAATGCCAGAATAATGCTCTGGTGAACTTAGTGGGTGTCGAATAATTGTAGGCTCGGAAAATTCATCATTAATTGCCACTTCCCTTTGATCGAGTAGGCTTCGGAATTGTACCACTTCATTGTTTTTTCTCCTTTAATATCTTACTCCGCTCATAAAATTGAAGAACGATCGTATCCGAAATTCAACTCAGATGTAAATCGCTCCTTCAATGTCATTGGCTGGGTATTCGACCTCAATACCTGTCTCTTTACTTGGCTCGACGATTGACTAGGTACATCCTCCTCCATATCCTGCTCTTCTGTGTCACTCACTGCTCGCACCTGTTGGTCTGCTTCACCGAACCAGAAATGGTGGCAGGTCCGAACAATGTCAAAACGGTCTCGAGCGTCCACCACCAACAAGTTGGAGATGAGATCGAGAGCAGAATCGCTGATATCGTCCCAGTAAGGCGAGTAAAATGCGTACTTTCCTTGCAAGATCTGGTCTTTCATGTTTGGAGGAGCCAATTCGTCACTGAAAGGGGGAAACCCACACAAGCACACGTATAATAAAACCCCCGCCAGCCACAAGTCCACCTTGGTGGAGTAATTGCGGTCATTAAGCAAGATTTCCGGAGCAACGTACGCTGGAGTTCCACAGAGCGTATTGGTAAATTTCAATTCCCCAATGAATTTTGCCAACCCAAAATCAGCGATCTTGACCTTAACATCGTATTCGTGATCGTCCCACGGACCGGTTTGCTTTTCGTTCAGCGATGTTCTGGGGGTCACATCAAGCAAGATATTCTCAGGCTTGATGTCTCTGTGGATGATATTGTTCTCATGCAAATAATGGACGCCTGACAACAACTGCTTGAAGATGGCTTTGGTCTCGTCTTGTCTGAGCTTCAGTTTGTTGACGATTCTCTGGAACAATTCTCCGTTGTTCATCTTTTCTAGCACCAAGTAGGTGGACACCGTGTTCTGGTTGAGGGGCTCGATGTAGTGGGAGATGAACTTGACGATGTTGGGGTGGTTGATAGACAACAACAAGTTCATTTCTTGCTGCAACTTGGCGTCGTTGGTGTCGCCATTGGACGACTTATTGGGGTGGAAAACCTTTACCGCCACGATATCTCCCGTGGTTCTGTCACGAGCCTCCTTGACCACGGCGTAGTGTCCTGATCCGAGCTGGTTCCCGAGAATATAGTCGTCGAAGAACGTTCGCTTGTGTGTCTTGACAGTGCCTTCTTCTTCGTCGAACGAGTACCGAAAGATGAATTGGCCGCCTGTTTTGGCAAAGCCCACCTTGTCGCCACTTTTCAAGAGCGTGTTGGTGCCTTTGCCGCAGAGTTCATCGTTGATGTAGAGCCCATTCGAACTGAGATCAGTGATGTAGAGGTGTTCTTGGCTGTTGTTGATAGTGAGTGTCAACTGGCAGTGTTTGGACGACACGTCGCTTCCAACAATCTTGATGTCACACAGACTGCTCCTTCCTATCACTACTCCCGTAGGTTTTCTGGGGATGACGATGTGGGACTGGCCTGAGCGTGTCGAGTAGAGTCTGGCGATGTTTTCGTAGCGTCTGACCTGGCGCTTGGGGGCATTTTCAGAGAACGATAAGATCTGGGGTTAGCAAGGCATTCGTGGCTTGAGGGAGGATACGTACTCTTTTTCGAGATAGAGACATTGGTGGAGGATAAACAACGGTTGGAGTGTTTTTATGGAGCTGCACGTGACCGCGTTCGGGTGTTTGGTTGAAAATGGATGGAGTAGTTGGCTGAAATACACTGGAGTGAAGGAGTTGCTGGGTGAATTGCATTGATGTCTATACTTAGTAAAATAGTGCTCTTCTGTGTGAGTTTTCACGAAGTTATTACCACAATTGTGGTGTGACTTGAAGTGCCTAATTACGAATTTCATAAAATTCAATAATAATCTGAGCACTGCAGTCGCCGCAAGAGTGGATGGGGCCCCAGTGGTGATTTCAGTACTTCGCTTTCTCCCCAAGCTTCAATCCCTTCTGTGGTTTAGCTAGCTCCCTAGTAATCGCATGGTCTTCTCTATTGTTATACGCAAGAAATTATTCCTCTCAAGCATTCCTGCCAAAAGCAGATTTTGCATTGAGTCTTGCATTTGACGGTTTCTTCTCAATATTCCTTGTGGATGTTTCAGGAGTGGCATAGACGTTTTGTCGTACCCGGGACTAGCTCTTGAGACATTTTCGCAGCCACTCTTGATGCGAATTTGAGTATATCTTCGCAATCAATTTTTTTGTAACCTTTCCATACAACATTTAATACATTTTGAAAAGATCGAAGCTCATATGTGATTTGTAGAGAGGAATTTTGCACTCTCCGGGCTCAATTAGGAATATCTAGTCACTTCAAAAAAAATAGTACAAAATACGATATTTTGCTGGAAATTTCGAATGTGTCGGTTCCGCTACTATTAAGCTCTACTCTTAACCAAAGGTTATATAGGAATTGAATATCATTACAATCTCTCACAAATAGGAATCACATCAAGACATAAATTGTTCTATAAACAAGGACCAACCCCCTCACAAAATTCTCAACAACAAGTCACTGATATCTGAATTGCTCAATGCAGACAAGGACGTTCCATGTTTCTTCCGCAAGGCGCCGAAATCGTAGCTCTTTTTGTAGATCTCAGCCGATTGCGCATCAATATCAGTAAGAAATTGAATGGATTGCTTCAACCTCAAAAAGTCAGGGTTTTCGTCATTGCTATACCCTCTGTGCTGGTCAAGGTATAAGACACTGTGGAGCTGAGAAACAATGTAGTCTACGTCAACAGCAAACTGCGAGATTCCTGCCTTGGTGAATTGGTGATTGGTGATGATATACTCATACAATATGTTCGAGATAAGCGAGACAACCTGGTCCGATATCAAGTGGTAATCATATTGAGACACGCTTTTCTCCAAGAATTTCAAGTACTTAGGAACGACAGTCACTAAAGGCCCCAAGTCATTAGAAGCTTCGGCGTCATCTGTCTCAGGAATATCCCACCTGCTGGAATTCACGTAGATCTTCAATGAAGCCCTAATTTCCTTCTTGAAGAACTCCTCGATCTTCTTCAATACCTTGGTGGTCAATTGGTCGTACTGTTTCAAGGCGCTGTCGAAAATAGACAGATCTTCCTTTTGAGACTTGGAGCTGGCGGATTTGAATGCATTCCATAACTGAACAAATATAAGGTCAAGACTCCATTTTTCTAATGCGTTCAGAATAAACTTCGCCAGGCAATATATTTCAGTAAACCCTTGCAATGATTTCAATCCAACAACTGTATTGTTCTCGGTAGGAGCTTTATTATCGGAAGACAAGCCACCTGGAATCAAGCCCATCATCTTACTTTGACTGTAGGTCTCCGACAAGGTCTTGAACAAACCACCAAGATGTTCACAATACTTATCTATCATGGTCAATTGTACACCTGACACAAACTTCAATTGATACTTGACGATTCCCAAGGTTTGGAAATGGCTAGTGAGCGTATCCATTAACTTCACCAAGGCATATGCAGAATAGGTTGGTTTGAGAGTAGTTTCCAGGTTTTCCTCATCGTTGGCGCCCCTGTAGTCATAATCTATGCTGAGAGCTTGTTTCGAATTTATTATTTCACTTTGGAACGTTTTGTTTGCCAATTGATTCTCAAAATTGAGCCAGGTTTTGACGGAAGAACTGTCAGCATCTTGGTTGTGGAAGATATCACCAGCAAGGCCAGCCCATTTTTTCTTAGGTGCTTGGTTCACATCCTCTGTGTATGGATTGTAATGAAATTGATTTCTGATTTTCTGGTCAAATGCAGCGACTTCATAAATCAAATGGGTCAACAATCTGCCACATCTTTCGTAGTCATCCGAAGAGGCCGTATCAGAGGAGGCAATCTTATGTAATGACTTTTCCATGCTTACTATTTTCAATCTCAACGGCTTCAATATCCCGGTGATGACCTCAAACAAGACGAACTTGTTGATTCTGTTGAACACTTCTCCAAAATGCGAGTCTAATACTCCAGCCTTGTTGTCCAAAAACAGGCTCACGAAAGCAAGTGCCCACTCAGGTTTAGATATATTGTTCGTCTCTTTATTATTGTTGTAGTGAAAGTTGAATCTGGTAACCACAGGCTTCAACATTACATCTACTGCCCACCAAGAGTCAGGATACACGGGAAAATTCATAATGGCCTGTAGCTCAATCAATTCTCCTATGCATTCAGGAAGATCGAAGAAGGTTTCAGGGCTTTTGGCTGGTTGGTTGCTATACCACCCACTTTTCTCGTTGAGTTCAGTTAGTTTCACTTCCAAGAGTGCTCTCTTTTGGTCGACAATCTGCTGGAGGGCGAGATTAAGGATTTGGACCACCTCAGAGGCCAAAGTGCTGCCGTCATCGATTTCTTTTGTTTTTTGGGCATACAACTTCAAATCCAGAACACTCATGTCAGGCTGAAGCTGGCTTTCGATCAGCCTAGCTGCTTCAATCAACTGGATCGCCTTGGTTTTCTCGCGCTTTGCATCCAAGAGAGTGGTCAACTGGCGGATCACTTCCAAGTGTCCGAACTCCTGCTTCAAACCCTCCAAATTGGCAAGAAGTTCGTGGTGATTTCCCTCATCCAACGCATAGCTCAACACGCTGGTGATCTTGTGGGCGCACGATTCAGCGTGGGCCGAATCCAAGTCGTTGTGGGTGTCGTCGGTGGTGACTTTGGACTGGGCCGTGGCAGCGATTCTCTGCTTCAATTGCTCGAGTTCTGCGATCCGAAGGGACAATTCGCTCAAGTCTTCTATTTCGGTGACATGGCTGTTGATGTAGTCCGACATGGCAACGCAGAGGGCTGGTAAGTGCTGGGATGGAGATGGTGTCGTGACGTGGATTTGACTGGTAGATATTGCGGGTTGTGGGTGCAACCCGCAGACTGCGCCGTTTGCTGGTTGGGGCGCCCAGTGGGAACACCACCAACGGGTAGTTGAAACGGGCCGTAGAAAGGCTGGCGCCACCGCAGGTGTGCCAACAACACAACTTCCCACGCATTAACACGCACGCACATTGTGTATAGTGTTTTAGCCCGAATTCGCTCCGTTATCCTCCTGGCTCTCTCCCACCACGCCCCGCTAACCTGCACTCCGCCAGTCCTCACAAAAATCATAAAAAATTTCAAGCGACGGCGTACTACACTATTCTTCACCACAATGCAGGCACCTGTCGTTTATATGAACACGTCTACCGAGAGGCAGACCGGGCGCCAGGCCCAGATCTCCAATATCACCGCCGCCAAGGCGGTGGCAGACATCATCAGAACGTGTTTGGGCCCCAAGGCCATGTTGAAGATGCTCTTGGACCCAATGGGAGGAATCGTGCTTACCAACGACGGACACGCGATCTTGCGTGAAATCGACGTCTCTCACCCAGCCGCCAAGTCGATGATCGAATTGAGCAGAACCCAGGACGAAGAGGTCGGCGACGGAACCACCACCGTGATCATCTTGGCAGGAGAGATCTTGGCCCAGACGTTTCCCTACATCGAAAAGAACATACATCCGGTGATCATCATCCAGGCATTGAAGAGAGCGTTGAGCGACGCCTTGGAAATCATCCACCAGGTGTCTGTTCCCGTGGACATCGAGAACGAGGCCGCCATGCTCAAGTTGATCAAGGCGTCCATTGGCACCAAATACGTGCACAAGTGGTCAGAAAAGATGTGCGAGTTGTCGTTGAAGGCGGTGAAAACGGTGATGGTGCAGAATGGCGACTACAAGGAGATCGACGTCAAGAGATACGTCCGGATCGAGAAGATACCTGGTGGCGAGGTCACCGACAGCGAGGTGTTGGACGGCATCTTGTTGAACAAGGACGTGACCCACCCCAAGATGAGACGCTACATCGAGAACCCGCGTATCATCTTGTTGGACTGTCCTTTGGAGTACAAGAAGGGTGAGTCGCAGACCAACATTGAGATCACCAAGGAAGAGGACTGGAACAGAATATTGCAGATCGAGGAGGAGCAGGTCAAGTTGATCTGCGAGCAGCTCCTCGAGTTCAAGCCCGACTTGGTGTTGACCGAGAAGGGTGTCAGCGACTTGGCCCAGCACTACTTGTTGAAGGGAGGCGTGACTGCGTTGAGAAGAGTCAAGAAGAGTGACAACAACAGAATTGCGCGTGCTACCGGCGCCACCATCGTCAACCGCATCGAAGACTTGAAGGAGTCCGACATAGGTACGCGTTGTGGCAAGTTCAAGGTGGAGTTGATTGGCGACGAGTACTTCTCGTACTTGGTGGAGTGCCAGCAGCCGCAGGCGTGCACGGTGGTGTTGAGAGGACCCTCCAAGGACATTCTCAACGAAATCGAGCGTAACTTGCACGATGCCATGGCAGTGACCAGAAACGTGATGTTCGAGCCTTCATTGTCGCCAGGAGGTGGAGCCACCGAGATGGCTGTGAGCGTGCGGTTGGCCGAGAAGGCCAAGTCCATCGAGGGCGTGGCCCAGTGGCCATACCAGGCCGTGGCCGATGCGTTCGAGGTGATTCCACGCACTTTGATCCAGAACTGCGGTGGAAATCCCATCCGGATCTTGTCGCAGTTGCGGGCCAAGCATGCTCAGGGCGAGCACACTTTTGGCATTGATGGCGACTTGGGCAAGGTGGTGGACATGAACGAGTACGGGATCTGGGAGCCTGAGGTGATCAAGCAGCAGTCGATCAAGACTGGGATTGAGAGTGCGTGTTTGCTCTTGCGGGTGGACGACATTGTGAGTGGTGTGCGCCAGGGCTAGTGGGGTAGCGGGAATAGCGACGCCTGCCCTTAAATAGCGAGGGTGGTGGGAGGCTCGCGCAGCGAGGCTAGTGAAATAGCGAGGCTGGCGCAGCGAGGCTAGCGCGTGAAACGGCGACGCCAGTGCGTGAAACACCACGCTACAAGAATCCTCCACCAGGTGCACCCACACCAGCCACCAGGTGCTCCACCACAGCACCAACTGTAGCCATACATCAGGTGCTGCAACCATCCCCCCTTAGCTAGCCAATCTATGTCAATCTATCCGTTATCCGTTGTAGGCAATTCTCCTGTACACAGCCGTCTGCACCGCTGTTTACCTCCTTCCCGATCGGGCGGCTGGTAGTAGCGTTTGGATCTGAAAGATTTTACCACCACTGCCAGGATAGACCAGAAATACACCCGGCAGGCCATTCAAGACGTATCAGCCACGGCAGTCCAACTAACGCTGGCATCACTGGAATTTTGCAGATTCACTGGCAGATTAACGACTGGATATCACCAAAAGACATACCTGCAGTTTCACACCAGCACACCATTAGCAACTGTCAGCAATTCACTACCATTAGACCATCTAGAAGGACTACAAGGACTACTGGAGCATCTACGCAGTAAGAGCAGCACTACTAGGAACATCTATTAGGAGCCTACTGACTAGAATCCACTGACCAGAACCACCGACTCGAGATCTGACTGAAGCCTCACTGTCTGTTACTGGAGCTTACTGACCAGAACCACTGACTCGTGTTCTACCAAGGCCTTACTGTCTGTTCTAGGACAACTGGAGCACTACTGGACTAAACCACTACTGACTAGGACAACTAGCCCACTGCTGACCAGAGCTACTAGACAACTAGACCGCTAGGTCCATTTACTGCCTTACTACTTTCCCAGAGCTATACAACTAGGACCATTTACTCCTTCTACTCCTGCTTTACTCGTTCCCTGCAACTTATCCCCCATGCCACTCCATCCCCCCTTCAAGGCCAAGACCATCGTCTCGTGGCCTGGAGAGGAAGACGGCGACTTGGGATTCATGGAAAACGAAGTCATCGAGGTGTTCTCCATCGTGGACGAGAGCTGGTGGTCTGGACGCTTGCGTCGTAACAACGCAGAGGGTATCTTCCCCAAAGACTACGTGGAGGTTCTTCCCGAAACCCCAGCCTCCTTGCCCCATTCCACCTCCAACTTGCTGATCCACACTCCCAAGCAGGGCACTCCCGTCAAGGACCTGCGCTCCAACACACCTACCCACTACTTCTCCAAGCTGTCACCCAAACGGACTCCCTACGCGGATCAGTCGTTCGACTACGACGACTACGATACCAGCTATGACGATCGTCGCACCATCGCCAAGAAGGGACGCTCGGCAAACAAGTTGGTGTCGTCCACCAACCACCCCAAGCATAAGCATAGCTACCAGCACCAGGAAGAGGTTTCTCGCGAGCTCGCCCGGGAGCGCGAGCGCGAGATCGAGAACTTCAAGCTGCTCCAGCACCAGCATAGCTACCAGGTCAAGAAGGTGGCGGCAGGCGACAAACGGGGGCTGCGCAGCTCACGGCCCCACTCGCAGGCCTACGAGCCTGCCTACCACAAGTCGGCCTCCTACAACGACGTCTCTGCCATCGGAGGCTCCAAGGGCTTGTTCAACAACCACACTGTGGAGAGCTTCTCGCCAGAACGTCGTCGTGGTGAGGAGGACGATTTGGACGAGATCGCACGCAAAAGAGCCCAGTTGGAGTTGGAATTGCACCAGCTCAAGCAGTTGGAGAGATCCACCCACAAGCGACGCTCCAAGCAGGTCACCACCCCCCAGAAGAAGTACGAACCCTACGACCCGTCTTCCAACTCCAGCTACGTCAGCGAGGATATCTTGTCGTCCAAGAAGAACTACCATTCGCGGGAAGACCTTGGCAAAAAATTGACAGTGTCCGACGAGGACGACGACTACGAGTTGGGCAAGCGCAGCCCCTCACCGCCTCCTCCTCCGCCTCCAAAACACACCACCCCCATCAAATCGTTTGGCTACCAGGACGATTTGGATAACATTAAAGTCGGAAAACCCATCAATGCCAACATTTCTGGTGCCAACGGGGATCCCCACTCTAGCCAGTCGAAATTTGTCACCAGCAGAGTCCCATTTGATGCCGACGACTTCAGATTCTCGGGAGGAAGCCATAGCAGGGTGCCGTTGACCGATGAGGAAATATTCAAGTTGTCCACGGCCCAGCAGGAAGAGCTCAAGAACTCGATCAAGTCCTTGCAGAGCGACGTGTTGAATTTGTCGGAGCTCAGTGCCACCAGCGCCGGCTCGTTTATCAGACATAAATATGAGAAGGAAATGAAGGCTGAGATGCAGGCGCACCAGGATCGTCTCAAGGGATTGTCGTTGGACGACGAAAACAAACAGCAGTTGGTTGACTCGGTATTCCAAGACAAGAAGAAGCAACCAAACATCTTCAAAAAATTCTTGACCTCCAAAAAGGGCTCCGAGCCGAACCTCATCGAGCGCAAGTTCCAGCAGGATGAGGAAATTGACTGGGCCACCCTTAAGTTTGACATCAACAGAATGAACTCACTTACCTCGCATGACAAGCAGTTGAGAACTCGGAGAATTGTGAAGGAAGAAGGAAAATTGGTCATCAAGCCCTTGGATTACATCTCCGAGATTAACACCAATGAAATTATTGGTGAGGACGAAGGCCAAGATCACCAAGAGACAGATGACCAAATCGAAGCTTTGAAAGCCGACTTTGGACGTGGTTTCCTGAAGATCTACAACTTTATGAGCAATTATGCTACCGCATCCGATTTGAACGAATTGATTTCGGACATCAGTGTAAAATTCAACTCCTCCAAATTACACCAACTCAGATGTGTTTTGATCCATATGTGCAAGTTCAATATCATTGAGGAGGCTAGCCAAATTTCCCAGACAAAGCCCAAGCTAAACGAAGTGCTTGTCAAGGGTGAAGCTACGATCTATCAACTCAATTATCTTTTCAAGAAGATATTGGATGCATTGAGAATTCCTTCAGAGCTAGTTCTTGGGTTTTGGAAGAAACCAAACGAGTTTTATCACAATGAGCACTATATCATAAACCATTGTTGGTTGTCTGTATTGCACGAGCAACAGTTCTACATGGTTGATTTGTTTTGTTTCAAAAATGGTAATGTCTGTAACATTAGAGACCATCCAAACGATTTCAATGAGTTTTATTTCCTTGCCAAACCTCTCTATATGGTTTCCACGCATATTCCTTCAATTATCGATTTACAACATGTTATTCCTCCTATTGACCAAAATGTCACATTCTACTTGCCCAGGGTATACTCGGGCTTTTACAAGAGTGACTTATCTTTTAGAAATTTCAACAATGCCTTGACAAGATTGAAAGATTCGGAGTTTTTCGAATTGGAATTGGAGGTTCCAACAGACGTGGAATTGTTCAGTTTAATCAAGACAACAAAGGTTACCACGAATGAGTTGAGCTTATGTCAGATCAAGTGGATCAATAATAGGAGAATAGCCAAGATCAAGGCTATTTTACCTGAAAACGAATCTATCGGTGTTTTGCAAATCTTTTCTGGCCCCAAGGGCTTACAAAAGCATTTTGACAATATCCATGAATTGTCGGTTGTTATTCCACTTTATCATACTGGTGATTATAAGCCATGTAAATTCGTTCCCAGGTTCCCAACAGTTCAAAGTCAGAATAATGACCTTTACATCAAAAGTCCACAAACTAATAAAATTGTGGTTAAAAACTCTTACAACTTTGAGATTTTACAACATCCTTCAACTGGCTTGAATACTTCCTCGGCTATCATGAACCGGGATTTCAAGATTGTCATTGAGTCTCCCTCTGGAAAGTACTTCAAATTGTTGAAGAGCGACCCAAGCAAGCCATTTGGGTCTTACGAAAGTAATATAAAGTGTCAAGAAGTCGGCTTATACAGGGGATTGGTTATTGGCGACAGCGGAAACAGTTGGTATGTGTTTGCCCAATGGGACTGTGTTAGCGGAACAGTCAATTGAAGATCCGATTCTGTAAACTATCTTGACTCTGTCCATCATTTTTTTCATTGCACGTTTGCTTTTAGATTTAGTCATTGAATACACTGCATTAATACTATTGGCATTGTAGAATTCCAGATAAGTAGAGCTCACTACTGTATTTATGCAATAAAATTAAGTGAATCATGATGAACTGGAAGCTGACTGTTTTGTTGAAACAGTTATGAAATTGGTGAAGATAGTTCTCATTTGTTAGTTTTCCAGGCCTAGCAGAAATATCAGATATATCAATTCTATGGAGGTGTTCAAATTAAAAGACAGATAAAACTAAATTTTTTCTTCGCCAATAATTCTTCACTGATGAAGTATAATATTAGCCTACTTCTGCTTGTATAAGAGCCTCATCCAATCAGCTCTTAGACCCCTAAATCATCCTACTTCACCACAACCTGGAGAACTGTACCAATGGATATCACGTGCCAAATGTCACGCGCTCATCTATCTATGCTCAAATGTAGCTACTACTATAAGGAAACAAGAACCAGATGACCACCGCCCCCCTCAAGTACTCCAAGTCGAAAAAGGTCGGTGAAGGTACCTATGCCGTGGTGTACCTTGGCACGCAAATCTCGTCCAACAGAAAAATCGCCATCAAAGAGATCAAGACGGGGATGTTCAAGGACGGGTTGGATATGTCTGCCATAAGAGAAGTCAAGTATCTCCAAGAGCTCAAGCATCCGAACGTCATTGAGCTCGTGGATGTGTTCTCTGCAACCAACAACTTGAACCTCGTGTTGGAGTTCTTGCCTTGCGATCTAGAGGTGTTGATCAAAGACACCTCTGTGGTGTTCAAGTCTGCTGATATCAAGTCGTGGTTATTGATGACCCTCAGGGGAATACACCACTGTCACCGGAACTTCATCTTGCACCGAGACTTGAAGCCCAATAACTTGTTGTTGGCCCCTGATGGGCAATTAAAGATTGCGGATTTCGGTTTGGCGAGGTCCTTGGGCAATGCCAATGAGGACTTGACCTCCAATGTGGTCACCAGATGGTACAGAGCACCCGAGCTTTTATTTGGAGCAAAGCATTATACGCCTGCGGTGGATATGTGGTCTGTGGGTATAATCTTTGCCGAATTGATGTTGAGAACTCCATACTTGCCAGGAAAAGATGATGTGGACCAGCTCGACGTTACATTCAGAGCATTGGGAACACCCACAGAGCAGATATGGCCTAACGTTTCTATGTTGCCGCAGTACAATGCCTTGAGAGTGTATCCTCCCCCTTCCAGACAAGAGTTGAGAAATCGGTTCAGTGCCGCGACTGAAAAGTCCTTGGACCTTTTGATATCTATGACACAGTTGGATCCAAGCAGAAGATGCGATCTGACGCAAGCTTTGCTGCACGAGTTCTTTTTGGAGTCTCCCAGACCAACGGAACCAGAAGACCTTCCTAAAAAGAAAGAAAAGAGAGTCAAGGAGGAAGATGACGAGATGAATAAACGCTTCAAGGTGTAACAGCGAGCCAAGATGTTTGAATAAAAAATAGATCCGCTCAATATGAAACACACAAGGAGAAGCCTTGAGTTAAATGAACTCAACCAGAGAGACGATAGGTGTACCTTAGAGGATCAGTAAACAGGGTTAGCTGGCGAGGAAATTGTCTTATCATAGTCTAAGAGCACAAAGTATGGATATACAAACACATCGAAATTCAGCTATCTGATTTTCAAGGTTATCAAAAACTTAATGGTTAACGTCGCATTACCAGAACTGGCTGTGAGTAGAAGAACCGAACTGGGCCAATAAGCCACCTGATGGCCTTATGTACTATACAATAATACGACTTACTCTAAATTAAAAGGCTTGATGAACACTATTTTCATCAATTAGATAGATATTTTCCTCTGGAACACTTACAAGTGGTAAATATCCCTCACATACTCTCCGATAGCCCACGAAGCAGTCAATCCTGGGCTCTCAATGCCTATCAAGTTGACAAAGCCTGGAAATCCTTCCTCTTCCCGGATAATGAAATCAGCAAACTTCTTCTTGTTATCGGCCGCAGAGAAGATTTTTGGCCTGACTCCAGAGTAAGATGCCACCAACCTGCCCTCTCTAACTCGTGGAAAATACCTTTCCACTGCCTCATAAGCAGCCTCGAGATTGCCTGCACTCGGAGTGTAGTCTATTTCGCTGGCGTTTTCGATATCCAACCATTCCAAATCAGGCCCAAACTTCAATTGTCCCCCCAAATCGAACGTGAGGTGGGTCCCCAACGATGAGGCGTTGGGATTGGGGCATGGGTAAATCAACTTGTCGGTGATTTTGGACTTTCCTTCGTAGGAAAAATAGGTGCCTTTTGCAAAATAGCTGCGGAGGTGCCTCTCTGGAGGAAGCAACATGTTTGACACTCTGGGGGCATGAAGACCTGCTGCGTTGACGAGGTTATCTGCAGTGATTTCAAATTGTTCTCCTGACTCGTCCTGGAGTCCGAGAGTATATGACGACGTTCCCCGGTCGAACTGGACCCCTACCAAAGTGGAATTGACCCCAATGGTTCCTCCATTATTCTCGAACTGGCCCTGGAAGAAAACGGTGTAGTCATGAGCTGAAATGATTCCAGTGGTGGGACTTTCCAACGCACCATACTCAGCTCGAATCAATGGAAGTCTGGCCCTGGCCTGGGAGGGCGACACAAACGACACAGGAACCCCATTCTCGGCTGAGTTCTTGGCCAACTTCTCCAAGTACGCAGCTTCCGATTCGTCCTGAGCAACCACCCACTTTCCACATTTCAAAAAGTCCACTTGAAACTTGCCAGTTTCCGCAGCCTGGTAGATCTTGTTCTTGCCTCGAATGCACAATTTGCCCTTCAATGAGTCCTTGGGGTAATACAAGCCCGCATGTATCACCTCTGAGTTTCTAGACGTGGTTTCCGTGGCCAAGTGGCTGTGTTGTTCCACGAGCAACACGTTATTTCCAGCTACTGCCTGGAGTTCCGAGCCAATTGCCGTTCCAACGACACCACCGCCTATCACAACATGTGAGAACTCGGCAAGGGAACGGCAGGAGGAGCTGAAGGCCCGTAGAGCCAGGAAAGGAATTGGTCTAAGCATATGGCATCACGTGCAGGCTATGGCTCGAGATATACAATTAGGGTCTGCTTAGTCAGCAATTAGCTAATCAAGATAACCCGGTGCCCCAAGCAATGATGGGGGTGTCTGGGTTGGCGCGAGGGTAGTGGCCTACCCTCAAGTATTAATCTACCTCGATAGAGACTATTATTGAATAAAAGATTTATTCTTCAATACTCAGAATTGCCAACTAAGCTCGTTAGCAAACATAGAGAAAACGCAAAACAACATCTTTGTAATTCGATTATTGATTCATATGATCAAGGTAATACTAACACCCATACTCTAACAATAACATTAGCTAAATCTTTTGAAATAAATAAAGTGAGTGCAAGTCATAACTATGATATGAAGTACTCTATTTCATTGAAAAACAATTTAGGGTGTCAGCTATACCGCTCATGAAGGGAACCCCAAATCAAGCGTTTTACCTCGAGATCCGAATAATCCAGCTTTCACTATCGTTGTATTTGGTCACCCTTAATTCACTACTCTGGTGGGCGCAGCCACAATGATTCAACGGAAGGAAGAAACAAATTTTGGCCAAATAACTACGTGAAACAGGCAATTACAGGCGCAGTAGACCACTGTTGGTGATGGTTTCGGAAATACACTTCAAACCATTTCATTTGTGGTAAATGACTATTTGGTCGTTGTTGCTTAATCAACGTGAAATCGCCAATCTGAAGTGGAAAATTCACCATCGGGGTAACTACCTGAAACAGGCGATTTCAGGTGAGGCAAAGACCGCTGGTTCGTTTTCGCAACCCTGGCCAATCCCGGTTCCATGGAGAAGCTGCCTGGTCATTTACGTCACTACGTGAAACCACCAGTCTGTGGCAAAACCCGCTGGTTCGTTCCCGTAACCACGTGAAACCACCAATCTGAGGAGGTCAACCCTTATTCATGGAGCCTTTCGTTTACGTAACTACATGAAACAGCGGTCTCAGGCGTGCGCTTAGTCAGCGCTTACGTAAGCACCACCTTGCCTGAACCCCTTATCCCTTGCTCCTTATCCCTTCCCCTGCCTCCACAGCCCCGGCGTTATCTCCTGGGGCCTCGACCCTGAGTCCCGGCCCTTTCCCCCGTCCCCATTTTCCCCACCACTTAGACGACCCATTTCCTAAACAGGCAGTGGCCGTGCGCTGTTTACGAAGCGTCTCGGCTAACCAACGGCTGGTCAATACCCACCATGCCTCTAATGGCCCCACCGTGGCCAGCTCGCACCACCAAGGGTACCAATCTTGCCACAAGTAAAGTATGGATGTTCATCCCGTAGCGAAGATTTCAAGTGTAGGAGGTAACACCCGTACTTCAATACTGTGGATGCCCTCGTTAAACCCACACTTCATACTGGACAAGTCTCCTTGATGTAACACCCATACTTCATGCTCTGGCGCCCACGCTAAACCTTCGCTGTAGCGCCAGATGGTGCCGGGCTAAACCCAAAACCGTCGCCTATTGTAGTAGTGCATATCTGACGGTCCACCCTCCGTAAAAAAAACGCCGAAATCAAATTTTTAGGGATTCACACTCAAGCCATCTTGGACATTCCTCCACTCGTTACACCCAGCCAGCAATGAGAAGCATCAAGTCCGTGGTCGTCGGCGACGGTGGTGTCGGTAAGACCTGCTTGTTGATTTCCTACACTACCAACACCTTTCCCAACGACTACATTCCCACCGTATTCGACAACTACTCAGCGTCTGTGATGATCGATGGCGAGCCTATCAAGTTGGGGTTGTGGGACACAGCAGGCCAGGCGGAATACGACCGCTTGAGGCCGTTGTCGTACCCCCAAACCGAGATCTTCTTGTGCTGTTTCTCGGTGATCAGTCCCGACTCCTTCCACAACGTCAAGTCCAAGTGGATACCCGAAATCTTGCACCACTCGCCCAAGAACATCTTGATCTTGTTGATCGGTACCAAGGTCGACTTGCGCGACGACCTCCACGTATTGGACGAGTTGGCGGAAAAGAACACCAAGCCCATCTCTGTGGACCAAGGTAACAAGTTGGCCAAGGAGGCTGGTGCCGTACGCTACATGGAGTGCTCTGCTGCCACCCAGGTGGGTGTCAAGGAGATCTTCGACTACGCCATCCGTGCCGTGTTGGACCCTCCCTCCAAGGGCAACGAATACTCGACCACAGAGGCCTCGTCAGGCATAGGCGCCCCAGGAGCATCCAAGCTGAGTGTCAGCAACTCCCTGGCCAAGCAAGTCAAAAAGAGAAGAATCAAAAAGAACAAGTGTACTATCTTATAAACTGCCAGAGAGGAGCATTGTCTCCGTACTTTCTTATAAACTGCCCAGAGAGGACCATCGAGCGTCCGTACTATCTTATAAACTATCCCCTGCTGTATTTTAGGCCTGGCCCCATACATTCTCCTTTATTTCATCAAAATCGTTCTAATTGTCTTTTCGTCCATTCTCCTCCGTCAATCGACCTGGCCCAGGTTTCATTGCACCGGCTGATTGCTCACCACGGATGTGTATCTCGTGGAGTGGGAGTTAATAGTTAATGTATTGCGTTAAAAAAAGCCGTAGTGGTTCCTAGTATTCGTAAAAGCAACGAGGATATAGTGCAGGCATTATACTTGGGTCATATTCGATATTCTGCATTTTCAGGGTATGAGAGATCTCTTGAATTTCTTTGATCTTAGTATTCATCTGGGAGCTTTTCCATAATTATTATTGGATTAGGGTCTACGAATATTCTGTATTCTCAGGGTACAGGGTTTTGGATTATATTCTACTTACGTTTATACATTTCAAGGTATTCTTGTTGATTTACTTTTGGTTGTCGTGAATTAAAGGATCCAACAAAGGCTCTATATGCCCCTTGAAATCTTCGATAAGTTCTTAAATTTCTCCTAGGATTCGGGATATTCTACTGGACAGATTCTTGAACTACTCCGGGATATTCTTCGATTCCATCTCATGAATTTAAAATCTCTCGACAATTCCAAGTGTATCTCGATAATTTTACGTACATCCATGAAATGTCTATTACTCCTTCTGGGATCTTACTACAGCTACGCGAGAACTTCCAGATGCCTGTCATCCGCCTGTTTATCTAACAAGCAATGCTTTCATTTAGCGTAAACCCTTAGTGTTTGTCTTGAGCATATTAATTATTTAGGCCCTCCAATAATCCAATAACAAGTTCAATTCTACAGAGTAGCCATTTCTTATTGCTCATAGACGACATTTTGGCTTCTCTACAGTTATTCAACCAGAGTCTCAAAAAAGACGAAGTGTAAGACCCATTCAATTTCTCCTAAAGCTCCATTCTGAATCGCTTCTCTCCCACATCGTCTTGACGAAGTTAGGTACAGTAAGTTTATCAGAAGAATCTACCCTCAGAAGGTCTCCACTCATTTTACTTCTTCCTTGCTAATTTCACAATTTCAGTCCTACAATCCCTCCTACAATCACCATTCTATCCTGTGTTGATAACTCTATAAACAGATGCTAGCTCTGCTAATCACTGCATCAAAGCAGCTCTGGCTGGATGCACACTCCCCAAGTCCTTCTTCTCGCTCTTGGCTTCCTTGTCCTTGGCAATCTTCTTTCTTCTTTCCTCCAACAACACCTCGTTCTTTTCCTTCAACTTGGCCAATCTGGTTTCCGAGTTTCCTCCTCCTCCAACCGTCAACTCCACGTTGATCTTTCTGTTTCTCAACGTCGAGTGGTGCATTCTCAACGCCAACTCCATCTTACTCTGGATCTCCTTAGTGTCGTTGTCGAACTCCATGAATGCTATGCCTTTATCCTGTCTGATTCTGAAACGGTCTGGGTTACTGTTCTTGAAATGGGCAGCAAGTTCCAGTTGCTTGATGTCGTACGGTAAGTTTCCCACAAACAAAATGAAACGAGGACCAGTTCCTCCGTTGACACCCTTGCCCTTCTTGCCTCTTCTGGTCTTTCTCTTCTTGGGAGCTTGTTCGCTGGTCTGGTCATCGCCTTCGGTTTTTGGTTGTGGCTGTTCCAACTCACGCTTTTTCTCGTTCTTTTCTTGCTTCTCCTGCTCCCTCTCCTCCTTGGGCTTGTTCTGCTTGAACTGTAATGCCTTGAGCTGCTTCTTTGATAACTTTTCCGACATGGCGTGGTGGACAAGATCATCTCATTGGGGCAAGATATGTTTTGAGATGGGGTCACGTGATACACATCACATGGAAGTGGCTTATTGAAACGACTATTGTAATCTAGAAGAATCAGATAACAGAGAAGATGGTCTCTATAGCGGTAAATCTCAGTGATTTATTGATTTGCCCAGTGGTAATGAAATCCTTGTTGTAACATCATTGAATAAATAAAGAAAAATCCTACTTTCAAGATAATTCTCTCCCTGCACACTATATAACAGTGGTGGGTGGGTGTTTTCTAGTGTAGTATGGGTGTTCTCTTAGGACTAGCTGGCGTGGCTTACCTTGCGTGACCAAGAGGGAAATCGAAATCAATATGAAATTACCGCAACTTCTAATAATACCACAGCAGAATTTAGCTAGAGAAATTACTCGAGGAAACGAGAATTGGAGAGGAAACTACCAACGGTAGTAATAGTACCAGTTTGCAATATTTCAACAGAGCAGAAGTATGAAACTTGTAATTAGTAAAAATCATCCAAAAAGAACGTCCAAACTCGACAAAAAATGCCATAAACACCGTACTAAAAATACATCGACGACGCTCCTCTATTGTCATCAAAATCCTACCATGCTATTGTTCCACCTTGATAAACCCGCAACTTCATTATGTCAAAATGACATCCCTGATTTGATGCGTGCCACGTGACCCCATCTGATCGAGATATATCCCGCAACCAATTCCAGACACCACGGTCCTGCCACGGTTCCCAGCGCTATATAAACCTCGGGTCTCCGACACACACTGTTGCTGCCATCCCCCAGCTACTTCACCCCCACATCCAGCTCCCCCACCTTCTGTTCCCCCACTAGATTGACCCCCACCATGGACAAGATCAAAATCAACCTTCCCCTGGAACCCTCATCTCGTTCCAGATCCAGACTGCCTTGCAAGTCGCCATACCTCTCGCCAAGAAAGACCAACTACCGCGAGCGGTCCTCGGAACGCTCGGCTGAAAAGCTCCAGAAATCGACCCTCTACAAGAAAGATAACTCGTCTCTCCAAGACTTGCCATTGCTGAACACCTCTTTCCACAACAAGGACAAAATGCCCCAATTCAGGGAGGACCAGGACGGAAGAGGCCGTTCCCGTGACAGGGACGAGCAGCGCAGCGCAAAGCAGCGTGGCGACGACATTGCTGTGAACAACGAGGAGAGAAGACAGTCAGTGGAGAGCATGGACCCTGATATGATCAGTTTGATGGGTTTTGGCGGTTTTGGAAGCACCAAAGGCAAGCACGTCAAGGGAGCCAAGGGTGGAGCAATCAAAACTGACGAGAAGACCGAGTACAGGCAGTACATGAACCGTAACAAGGGCTTCAACCGTCCGTTGAGTCCAGGCAGGTGAGATAGAAGGAGGTAAAGCCAATGGTTTTCGAATTGGCTTATAGCCTAGGGTTCAATGCCTTCTGGACTGAGGATAATCCACGAGTTCAATGTCTTCTCGAATGAGAATTTAAGCTTGTGGAGTTTCAATGGCTTCTAATGAGCATACATTCTGTGGAATCCATACGTTCAATGGCTCCAAAGACTCCGCAACATTGCACAAAATCCCAATTAAGTGATGCTTCTACCACGACCTGGTTCATTCCGTGATGAGTTGGACATTTTCATAGTCAACTTCCGCTTTTTCCTGGCCGGAGACACACTGCGGTATTTCTATAAAACTCCAGTTGCCATCATAACGCTCTTAGTTGTCCTTACGAATTGTCAAAGTATTTTGTTCCCCAACTGATAGGTATTTGCGTCTTCGGTAGCAGATTCTTTTGCGATACTGTCAATTAGGCTCGAATCATAGAGGGAATCGTTCTGACTCGCTGTTTAAGTACCAATTGCTTCATGTGTTCCAGTGTTCGATGTTTTTGGGCTCCTGTTGATCGAGTTGTAAGGACAGTTCCATGCCGGTAAAGCACTCTAACTGTGCTGTGCACATATAGAAAAGACGCTAACTCCATCAGAATGAATTTGATTTCCATCCAGTAGTAATGGAATATTCCTACAAGGCATCATTGAAGGAGTATCGAAAAAGGAAAGTTCCAATTAATTCCCGGAACATCATAGGATTTCCCATGAAAGAGATCTCCCATGCACAAACGCTGGTTTCCTCCAATTCACGCTACGGATGATAGGAATTGCGTACTCCTATAACTTCATGGCCATAGTTTGCCATGAGGTCTACAGACCACGCTTAAATTCTAAGATAAATGCTCATTACATGCCATCTATAGACGTTTATATGCTGTTGAGCCAATCTAGAAGAGTAGACCAGCTCATCCAAAAGGACTATCGGATGCTCTGTTGGGCAACCAGAGCACTAGTCCTCCAATTGGAAATGTTTTTGAATAATTTAGCATCAGCTAGGAATGAGATCTTTAGATTTTTAGAGTCAATCCCATGTTCATGCTCTATGCATTAGCAACCTATCGAGTATGGTCTATTGGGTGTTTTATCGAGGATAATGTCTACCAGACCGAGATATTAACATCTTTTGGACATTTCACCAAGGTAATATAGATAAGCACCTTTTGGCCGTGCCACTCCCAATACATTCCGATTATTGAACAACTAGCACCTCTTACTCGCTCAATAACTTGGTATGCTCCTCTATCAACTCTGCGTGCTTGCCTCTCAACTCCTCGTAGGCTTGGGCCACCTTCTCCAACTTCTCCTGCAACTCACCCACTTCGCCAGCTCTGGGGACTTCCTTGACGGTGGTGTTGATGGTAGAAAGGTTTCTGAACTCGAGCTCCTCTTCGCTCTTTTTTGCCAACCACGCTTCGAAGTCCTCATCCTCATCCTCACCATTCGGTATTTCCAAGTACAACAGGTGCTCTATGGGGTCATTGCTGACCAATACTCTCTTCAACTGAGGGATCAACCGGTGTTTTTTATCATTTTTGGTGCTTCCAAGCGATGCATTAACGCTTTCCACGGGACAAGTATCGACGTAAATGCGGGAAATGGGCGAGTTGCAGGGGGCAAACGCCTTGACAACTTGTCTGGTGACTACGTTGGAGGCGAACACTCTTCCCAATGAGTCTCCTGAGATAATATTGGTGGCATCAAAAGACATTTTCACCTGGGTCACAGCGACAGGCGCATCTGCGCCGCCTGCCATCCGCTGCTGGTGGTGCACGAAGGTGTGCTTGAGCTCAGGATCGTGGTCAACAGTGACGATCTTCTTGTTTCCACCCACAGGCTCCAAAACCGAGTTCTGGACCTTATACAACTCAATTGTTCTCACGAGGCCATTGTTGAGGCCAGCGTAAATGGCCCTCGAGGCAGGATCAACTGCCAACGACTCCACGGGATGGTTCAAAACGAAGGTGGTCACGAGAGTCCGGGTAGCCACGTCGTAGATCCGCACGGTTCCGTCTCTGGATCCAGTGTAGAGTCTCAAGTCGTTCGCGAGCCCTGCCAGCGACAACTGCACCGTCATGACTGGCAACGTGTTGTCAGTGATGGAGTAGTATGGCTTGGTGGCGTGCTCGTCCTTGGTGTAAGCTGAGATCAAGTCGAGCGTCTTCCACACCATACACCTGGCATCGTGTCCAGCAGTGACAAGATAGGTGCCACAACGAGAGAACTCAATGGTGGCAATTTCCTGGTAATGGGCGTCTTTGACACACAAGAGGTTACCAGAGGCAAGTTCCCACACGTAGAGCTTACCAGACTTGGAGCCAGCGGCCAAGAGCCAGGGAACCCGGAAAGAAGGCACGGTATGACTAGAACTGGTTTGGCCTAGGTCGGGCTGGCCACACGAGGCGAGACACTTCATCTCCTCGGGCACAGGGATCTTCTGGTCCGAGCCCTCTTTGCCCCAGGACCACACGGTCAAGAGTGCCTTGCCCTTGGAGGCGGCAATCAACCGTTCTCCTTGGCCAGTGCCTGTCAAGACTGCTCCATTCAAGGGAGCATCTGCCTGTCTAAAAGAGGCGTGCTGCTGGGACGAGTGGGAGGAAGCGGCAGCTGCGAACGACTCCTGCGAGTGCTTGTCGCCTGGGGCGCCCTCTGCGATGTAGAACACTGATTCGTCCATGGTTGTGGTGATAGATATGGGTATGGGTAATTTTCATGCGATGGGATGGGTTAGGTAAGCTAGAGGGTTGTGATTATGTAAGCGATGGTTGGTACAACGCTCTGCTTACGTAATCGTGCCTTGTGTTGGTGCTGCATTTCTTACTACCGACCGTGCTCTACTCTGTAGTCTTTCCCGCAGGCCCGTGGTTGAAAGCCCAATACTCGGCTGTTGACACGTCACGGTGTTCCCGTGATCTCATCTCCTGATTACGTAATCATGTCCCTCTTCCTTACTAATCACACGACGCGACACCACCACTTGCAACATTTGGCGCCGATTCACCTCTATTGCCACCACCAATGCCAGTCGATTTCCTCACAAAAGTCCTCTACGAAGGCACAGACGTGATTCCCGCCTGGGAAGCGCTCAAAACTTACGGCCCTGTGGTGCTCACCCTCGCTGGCCTCAAGTACTACTTCCGTGGTGCCACCAACACCTGGGAGCGTGACTTGCACGGAAAGGTGTTCATGATCACAGGTGGAACGTCGGGAGTAGGAGCCACCGTGGCGTACGAGTTGGCCTCCAAGGGAGCTCAAGTGATCCTTTTGGTGCGATCCACGGAGGACGCCTGGACGGTGGACTTCGTGGAAGACATGCGGGAAAAGACCGACAACTTCATGATCTACGCTGAGCAGTGTGACTTGGCGTCGCTCTGGTCCATCCGTCAGTTTGCCACCAAGTGGTTGGACAACCAGCCGCCAAGGCGTTTGGACGGAGTCATCTGTTGTGCCGCGGACCTCACTCCGCGTGGCAAGCCCAGACAGGTGACGCAGGACGGCATCGAAACCCAGCTCGGCACCAACTACTTCGGCCACTTCCATCTCCTCACATTGTTGAGTCCCTCGCTCCGTGTTCAGCCACCCGACCGTGACGTCAGGGTGGTGTTGGCGTCTTGCTCGTCCCACTTGCTTGGAGACGTGAATTTGGCCGACTTGGCCTGGGAAAAGGACTACCCCATCAATCAGCCCTGGAAGGTCTACGGAACCTCCAAGTTGCTCTTGGGATTGTTTGCCAAGGAGTTCCAAAAACAGTTGGTCAACTACGAGCGTAAGGATAAGGCTCCCTGCAATGTGCGCATAAACTTGGTCAACCCAGGACTCATGAGAACACCTTCAACCAGACGGTTCTTTTCCATGGGTTCTATCTTGGGATTGATCTTGTACGTGCTATTGTGGCCCGTTTGGTTTATCTTCTTGAAGAGCACTTCGGGAGGCTCTCAGCCACTCTTGTTCGCAGTGATGGCACCGGTATTGGCCAAAATGGATGGAGGCAAGATGATCCAGGAGTGCAAAATTGCAACCAAGTTGAGGAAAGAGTATGACGATGAGGAGTTGCAGCAAAAAGTCTTTGAAGAGACTGAAAGGCTCATCGAAAAGTGGGAAAAACAATCAGCCATCGAGCGCAACAAGAACAAGAAAACTAAGACTGCCAAGAAGAAGCCCACCAACATCTACGAAAAGCCCAACACCATTGAGGAGTTGGATGAGAAAATGGAGAGTTTACGCAGCCAGGTAGGAATTCCTGTTTCCGCTAAGGGCGAGATGCCATTGTTTCCTGACCCCAATGCAGACATGACCACCAGATCGAGAAAAAAGGCGAACCGGAAGGCATAAGAATGGCTTCCAGAATAGTTTGGGAAACACAACGGAAAAAGCAGCTACAAAAGGCATGAGAGTGGCTTGAACATGTTAGTATCGTATGGAGGAACAGAACTTCTACACCAACGGGTAACGAATCACAACAGAAACAATCACAATAAGGTTTACGTATGGATTTGTTGAGAATAAAATAGAGAGATACAGTTTTGTAGAATCATATTCTACATGAGCAACATTCGTAATAAACAAGGGCCAAAAGCTGGCTACATCAGTACCGTTTTGTATTAGGATAAGCGAGGGAGGTTTCCAAGTACTCTTTTAACGTAACGTTGTCGAAATTGCACTCAGTATACCCAATTAGATTTCATTCAGATTCCCACAAAATTCGTTCTTAATTGTGCCCAATACTTCATTTTAGTTGACTTTTATTTTACGTTAGCTTCTCGAACTGAATAATTGTCGTTTTCCCTAGCGCCGTGGTGGAAGCTAATGCGAGATTACTGTGACCACTGAGGCGAAAATTGAACTGTCCTGGAAGTGTGGTATGGGGATTATAGGCAGAGAAAAGAAGTTGTGGGGGAGGCCAAGTTCCATGCAGATTTTCTTGGTAATATCAGTTAAAAAATCCGCTTAAAATCCACAGTTTTCTCTGCAAAGTAGAACGAGTGCAGGAATCGAAACCACAACTAGCCACACTGACATGGAGGCATCAGTTGTTGTTCTTAGAAATTGCGTATCAGGACGGTAGATCACGGATTTCCAAATCAAGAACAATGGGTTGAATTATGGATCGGAATCTAATCGCAAAATCATTCATACTACGAGAGACCGATGTCGAGTAATGCTGAGTTGGCCATTAAAACTGCAACTCTACATCTCATACTAATAATATTTCAGATATTTTTTAAGTTGCACTTGGGCAATCCTGCGATATTGGGGCAGTACAGAACGCCTGGCAACTACGAACCCATCGGGAATAAGCCGGATCCCCACCAGATTCCGACGAGTTGAACCCGTGTGCTCAAAAAGAACTATGGAAAAGTAGCAATTTGGAGAAAAGGATGTTTTATCATTCAATTCGACTAGCCTGTTATTCAGTCGAGAATGGTGACTGCAATCCAGAGCGTGGTAATATTTAGTTTGGCCAAGTGCCCGAAACCGGGCGCTGGACTAGGATGCGTACTAACAGACTTATGCTATGCAACTCATATTAGTTCACATCACTCCAATTGACAGAAGTATTGGCGAATAAAGGAATCTAGGGCTCAGAATACGACACATGTTAATTTACACCCATTGCGAGGCCAGAAAAGCGCCAGTTGGTCTGGCCTAAGTGACGTGGAAAGTCTGATTTACAAATATTTTATCTTAGTCCAAATGCCAAAACCAATATTCTAGGATGATTTTGAGTGGCATACCAATACAATATTACTAATATAATCTCCTAGTGAGAGGCTGACAGCAAGCCTGAACTCCACGCAGCACAACCCAGCCATAATAATATTTGTCCATCCTTTGGTTCGTTCCATTGCTGGAGCCTGTGCGACATGTTCTCAGCATAATTATTTAGTTGAGCCTTCAGTATAGTGCGAATCACACCAATATACGAATGCGACCACATGACGTATTTTCAGATGGTGACGTAGAGAAGCCATAAGCCCCTATCGTGGCAGCATGGCACCACAGGCCTGGCACCACAGGCCTACACCACGAGCCGGCATCACGAGCCGGCACCACCATGGCTGTGGCTGGGCCTTGTGCCACTGCCCTGCGTTGGCCCCGCTAGCTGGCTCCCCACAGTGGGGCACTAGCGACGGACACCGGTGTCCGGTTGCGGGGCGCGGTACTGCGAGCGGTGACGGGCGCACCGGGACTTCAGGACTAGTGGGAGTATTCCTCAAAAGATGCCCAACCACGGCACCTCCATGCGGTGTTATCGACTTCCTCGACCTCTGCGCTCGCTGGTAACTCGGGCACGAGTCTAGTGGTGAATCTGACGGTGAAATTCAGTGTAGATCCACGCAGCAACAGACGGTAGTGAGTCATGGCCACAACGAGCGGCCACTGTACCGTCTAGCACAACACGACCGTCTCTGCATCCCACCACCGTCCCTATCCTCTCTACCGTCTCTACCGTCTCTTCCCTCTCTAGCCTCCCTGCTCCACCTGCGTCCCCTACTCACCTACCCCCACTATCTCACCCTACGCTTCCACTATCTCCCTCCCTGCCGCTGGCCGCCCCGCGCGCCCACGAATTATCACCATTCCTATCGCTGCGGCTATCTCCAATCAATCCTCGCCCTTTTCCCACCACTCCCCCAGGACTGTTGTATGATCCTTCGCCTCCACTAGTCGTCCCGCTACTCTACCATGGATCCTGACACCTCTGCCGCCTCCCCACCAGCCAAACACCCGCCTGTCAGCTCGTTGACTCGTCTCTTGAACGAGAGCAGTCTGGCGGTCACCAGTCCAGCGTTGTCCAAGAACCACCTGACGGTGTCGCTCGACAAGGCCGCCAGCACTGGCACCATCACGCCTTCCAATTTCGAAGACGCCTCGCTGGGTCTTCCTGGCGGTGGCAACGACAACAATAACGATGACGCCACTGGTCCGTTGAAGATCGTCACTGACAAGCTCAACGGAACCCACATCGTCAGTGGATTCGACCCGTCGCTCGATCCGTCCCCCACCTCGGGTGGAATGGCGCCATTCACCCCAGTTTCGCCCAAAACTGGCACCAGAACCTACACCAACTCCATCACCAGCGCCAATTCAGCCATCCACTCCAGCAGAGGCATCCCCATCCGTCCTCCTGCGCTCTCGACTGCCAGTCCCCGTGTCATCCGCAACAATTCGGTGTCCCACTCGTCGTTTTTGGCCAACCAGGGCGAGAGCTTGTCGTCGTCGATCCCCTACAGTGCACCAGGCGGAAGAGGACGGTCGTCGTCGGTATCGTCCGCCACCAACTCGAGCGCTTTCCTTGCCAACGGCTCGGTAGAATCGACTTCGCACATCCCCAACCTCCCCAATGGCCAGCCGATCCAGTCCATCCACATCCAGTCGCCTCAGGTGAGCTCGTCTGCCATCGAGCCCAGATTTGTCATCTCCAAGCAGAGAGTGGCTCAGGCCCAGGCTGCACAGGCCCAGGCTGCACAGGCGTCGCTCAGCTCGTCCCAGAGATCTGGCTCACAGTCTGGATTGTCGTACTTCTTTTCCAGCAAGAGTAAGTCCTCCAAGCGAGACTCGTCGTCCACCGACTTGGGCTCGTTCTACAACAATGCATATCAGGAAGAGGCCATCGCCAGCTCTCCGTCGTCGTTCTCGTCCACGGATTCCGTCAACTCAGCGGCCCACTTCACCCCTCAAACTAGACACAACTCGATGGCCAACTTGAAGCGCTTCTTCAAAAAGAGCAGCACGCCCCAGCCACTGGCTCCCTCAGTGTCCAACTTGTCTAGCTCGCTCAGGTCCTCGAATGGGTCGTTCACCAACGGCTCTGGTCCACTCTCGTCATCGGGCACCAATGGAGTAAATATCCCCTCCAGCAGCGGCTCCAACACTCCGCTCAGCTTCCAGCAAAACGGGTCCTACGGCCCCACTCTTACGACCTCGTCGTCCAACGCGTCGATCTCGCAATCTCCAGGCTCCTCGTCCATCAGCAGATCGTCGTCCATGCTCCAAAACAAGATCAACTACCAGGAAAGACGGGGCTCGGTGACCCCTCTACTCAATCAGCAGCAATTGCCATTCTCCAAGCGCTACGGGAAGTTTGGCGAAAGCTTGGGTGCTGGTGCTGGTGGTGCCGTCAAGCTCGTCTCCAGAATCAGTGACAAGAAAGTCTTTGCAGTGAAGGAGTTTAGAACAAAGTACCAGAACGAGACCAAGAGAGACTACGCCAAAAAAATCACGGGTGAATACTGTATTGGGTCGACGTTGAAGCATCCAAACATTATTGAAACCGTGGAAATCTGTTACGAGAACGAGCGCATCTTACAGGTGATGGAGTACTGTGACTTTGACTTGTTTGCCATCGTCATGTCCAACAAAATGTCCAGGGAAGAAATCAACTGTTGTTTTAAACAGATTTTGTCGGGTATTCATTATCTCCATTCCATGGGTTTGGCCCACAGAGACTTAAAATTGGACAATTGTGTCATTGATACCAGAGGTATAGTAAAAATTATCGATTTTGGCTCTGCAGTGGTCTTCTCTTATCCATTCACCAAAACCTTGATCGAGTCCCAGGGCGTGGTGGGTTCTGACCCATACTTGGCTCCTGAAGTTTGTGTCTTCAACAAGTATGATCCTCGTCCCGTCGATGTCTGGTCTGCGGCTATAATCTACTGTTGTATGATGTTGAAGAAGTTCCCATGGAAGGTTCCAAAGCTTTCAGATCCAAGTTTCAAGTTGTTTGCATCTAGAGGAGACTTTGTTCCTATCAGTGAGACTTTGAAGAAAACACCCCAAGACATGGTGAGCACCAACAACAGCAGAGGTTCCTCCGAATTGGACGACATCGACGAGGTGGAAACCGAAAAAAAGGAGCAACGTAAAGATGCTCCTGCTGCTGACGGCAACCCTCATACTAGCTCGGAAACCGGAGCTGGCAGGTTGTTGCTAGCATTGCCAGAAGACTGCCGTACATTAGTCGGCAGGATGGTTGAATTGGCACCAGCATGCCGTATCTCAATCGAGGACTGTTTCAACGACGAATGGTTAGCATCTGTGAGCATGTGTACTGTGGAAGAGCGCATGAAGCTTGATGGGCTGGCCGAATACGCCGTCGTGAAATGCTCTGACCACGAACATACACAAGTGGACCAATCCAAGGCCCATATTGCTGCATTCGACAAGAACAAGAAGAAGTGATCTTCAACCATCCAGACTCATTTTCACTTCTCCTTGGCCTGACCGAAGTGCTCAGCCCAGACGTTCATATTATTGATCTTCATTGTGTAACTTTAGGTTTATAGAAAGCTTCTTTGTTTGTCTAAATCTGTAGGTTTAGTTCTGTTAGTGGAACCACAAACTGAGCATGTTGCAAGTTATTAAGAATATTGAAGTAAACATCTCTACAAACTCTCAAATTGAATCCACTGATTAGAACATATATTTAAACCTCTGATAATTAATAATGTCTAATTTTTTGAAGCAACATAAAACACAACTAAGGTATGACAGGAGCTTCAGATATTCAGACAAATATTTCTCAACTAATTAATGGGCTAGAATCAGAATTATCCCATGTCGGTGTACCTTCGTAGGAACACTTTTTGTGGTGTCAATCTACTTCTCTTACTAGTTTACCTTTTACATACATAGTGTGTGCGATTAGTTCTGATCCAATATGCTTGGGTTTGTCGATAGCATTTTTGAAAATGACCAATATGTAAATATCAGTCTCAAGCTATTTTACTTTGGTTTCAATTGTCAAAGTCTGTGTGAAATGCAACCAGGATCAATATTTGTACTAATCACCTTTAGTTTCGTTAATGGTTGGCCATATTTGGAACTGACAAAACAACTCTTTTATTAATACAATATGGAAAAAGCTTTATACAATATCACTGTGAGTTGAAGACGTATTTCACTGTTCACACTTAGCATAGCTACTGTATCTTAATGGTGAGGAGTATATTGCTCCTAATATATTTATTGAGACTTCTTCACCGGAAACAGAACCAGTTTACCCTGTAATTCAATATCGATGGATATTAAATACTATCACTGTCAGGCTAACTATGTCTAAATGGATCTGTCATGAGCACCAGTTTCCCCATGGCGAATACAGTAGCTTCAGTAGCCGAATAGGTTTATTGATTATATACATGCTCTATTTTACAAATGGTTAGAAGAGATCGGATCATGGCACGACAGTGATTCCCACGGCCTCGGCTGTGGACAACACTGCACCCACCACAGACTTCAAGTCCACATCCTTGTGTCTTTCGTCGGTCTTCTTGATCTTGGCAATTTCGTAGATATGCTTCAAGGAAATCTCACCCACATTTTCGTGGCCAGCCTTTCCTGCTCCTTGCGAGACACCAGCAGCCTGCATCAACAACCACGAGGTTGGTGGTGACTTCATTTCGAACGTGAACGTACGGTCAGCCTTGACGTTAAGCACACATGGAATGGGAGTACCTGGTTGGTAGTGGGCAGTTCTGGCATTGAACTCCTTACAGAAATCAATGGCCTTGACACCCTTGGAACCCAAGGCGGGCCCGACGGGTGGAGCGGGTGCAGCCTTACCTGCACCCACTATTAACTTGATCATAGCAGCCTTTCCGGACATGGTGGTTGGTGGTGAAAGATAGTTGGAGCTGAAAAATTTGATACTGGCGTCACGTGTGGTGAGTGGTGAGTCGAGCGGGAGAAGAACGGTGGGTGGAAGGTTAGGGAAGGAGAGAGACGGGAGGAAGGGGGGGAGGGGCAGAGAAGGAATAAAGAGTTATCAGTTTGCTCTAACAATCTTCAGAGATACGCAGCACAAGCCTTACAAATAGATGAAGGTGTGGACGTTACTCATCTTGGTAGAGGAACATTAGCGAGAGCTCTCGCTATTTTCTGGCAGCGCTCACTATTCCAGCGAGGCAGCACCAATATTCCAGCGAGAATCCATCGCCGCTCTAGCGAGCCCACCACTATTACTGCGACGCTCGCAGCACATCTCATTCATCTTTTCCTTCACTCTACACACCATGAAGACTTTCCCTTTGAACTCCCGTTCCAAGACAACGGCGCTCAAGCAGCCGAAGGAACTCTTCACCTACTACCGTGACATCGACAACCAGTACATCTACGACAAGGAAACCGTCCAATCCAACGCCTCCTACTACTACTTGCCTGATAGTGATGTTAGCAAAAGAATCGATTTACAGTCTGGCTACAGTAAATTCCAGAAGATCCCCGAAGAACAGAACCTCGGCGACTTTGGCCTGCTTCTCCAAGGCATCCAGCGTTACGAGGAGGCACATGATGGCACCAAACTCGCAGTGGACGTGGTCACCTTCAGAGGGTTGATGACCAAGCTCTTGTGCATTCCCTACAACAACAGAGACGCGGTAGACTTGAACATCGTGGCGTACGACGGCCAGCTCTTCATCAAGGCTGACGACATCATCGAAACCAACAGGCGTCAGGACGATCTTCGCCAGAAACAGAGCCAGGGACGCGAACAGGCAGAGTACATCAGCAAATGTGAGTATTCTGGGTACAAGTTCGAGGCTGTGGCCACGCTCTCCAAGCCGTGGGCTGAGAGCTCTCGTCTGACCATCGAGAAGAGAGGCAAGAAGATCGTCAACAACTATGAGCAGTACCTCTCGGTTATACGGACAGGCATTGGCAAGACCAAGATGGCGTTGGCAGGCGAGGTCGACTGTGTGTGGGACTACATTCCCGACAGCCCCAGCGAGGTGTTGGGTCACTACGTGGAGTTAAAAACTAGCAAGGTATTGGACGGACCCAAGCAGGCAGCCACATTTGAGCGCAAGTTGTTCAAGACGTGGGCCCAGTGCTTCTTGATGGGCATCCGCAAGGTTGTTTACGGCTTCCGCGACGATCAGTTCTTGTTGCAGGCGGTGGAGGTGTTTGACACCGAGCAGATTCCGGTGATGATTAAGAATGAGTCCAAGATCAACTGTATCAATGCGTTGAAGTGGTACGGCGCAGTCATTGACTGGATCGTCAGCGAGGTTCCGCGCGACGATGAGTCCAAGGCGTGGAGGGTCAGCTACGACCCAGGCTCCCGCCTGTTTTCGTTGATGGAGCTCATGGCCCCCGACAACGAACGGTTGCGTAACGGAGAAATTCTTACTGACGAGTTCAAGGCGTGGAGAGAGAGCATCAAGCAGTCCCAGCAATAAAGAAAAGGTTTTGAGTGCTGTGAAACCGTAATCGGACCAACATAGTTTCGGTTATTGTGATTCGGGACTTAAGGTTTGCTCAAGTTTTTCACAAAAGCTTTGTTAACAAATTTGAATTTGCCTGTATCTTAAGGAGCCATCCTGCATTCTCCAAGCATAGCAGCACTCGAAGACGGGAGTCATGTTTCTTACCAAAGCTGGCTCTTCATAGTTAAGAGCTGGTCCTTGTGGAATACAACCTAAGATGTGTATAAAGAAGAACCATTGGAGGTTAATTAGGTCATGATACAAACCATTAGGTGAATCAAAAATCATCCATTGCATGCATACGACCTGTTGCACGGGAACCAAGATTAATTGAAAGAAAAGAACAACCCTTTGGGTTTAACAAAAGCTATTAATAGCAAGTGACGGAAATATTCGACCAAACTTATAGAAGAATAGAATAGCTCCTGATGGAAGTCTGTAGGAATGGACCAAGGGGTCTAGCATCGTAGAAAGCAGAACAAATCAATAAAAGGTGTTTGGAAAAACAAAAGACAAGTTGCATCGTAAAAAACACCAGAGTGGAAAGTGGTTAGTAGGAGATGAGAAGTATTCTAGTGGTCCAAACCCCCATAAATTGACATTCATCATTTTAATTGCCATTTTCCATCCAGAAGGGTATAGAATTGATGCATTGTTTGTTATCCGACAAAATCAGAAAAAGGACAACAGATGGTGAAAATCACTAATATGACAGAGATAATCATTGAGAAGTAATTACCAAGACTACAGAGATCATCACAGAATGGATGATTCACTACACTAAAGACATAATTGTTTAGTAGTGGAACGCCCCCAAGCTACCATTGCCGAATAAACTGGATGTGCCAGCAAAGAACAGACAATATACCCAAGGAAAAGGTCTACACAAGAATAGACCAGACTGCTAGGCTGAACAGCTAAACGAAACAACGGCTCCTGAGATCCCAGAGGCCATATCTGGCCACTCTGGCCCAGCACAAAGGTGGGGATTGAAGAATCACCTGTGGGGAGAGTCCAAAGTGAAACTTTAAGAGAAATAACCAGTCATACTTGAGGCTATTTATAAGAATAACCTGGTTTAATGCTGCCGTTACGCAACCAGCAATCACCATAATCTTCCATCGTATATTCTGCCAGCATACTGATAGTTGCCTATTATTCAGTGTCTGGCCAGTTCTTCGTAGACATTTAGTTTTCCGTTTCCGTGGAGCGACATTTGGCACTGTTTATCAGCCCCCGATCAGTGCATGAATCGCTGCAGCCGCCACTTCGGTGCATACATGGGCCTGCAGCAGTGACACGTGATGGCATTTCCAACACGATCCCCACACTAGAGCGAAACCTGGGTGTCAGACCCCGTCCCTGGCGCCACGGGCTCTCTCTCCTTGCAGCAGACCCCCAATGGTCATAACCGCCACGGTGCTAGCCGTGAAGATCGCCCCGTCGATCGTATGACACCCCTGGCTGTCTCCCAGAACGGCAATATTACCCTACCCAGCCGTGCCGAGGATCCTACCCAACTCCCGCCAGCCCAGCGGGAGCGTCGCCGCCACCGCGCGCCAGCCTCGGTATCTTTCCGCGCTGGCGCCAGGGTCCTGGCGTGCCCCGCGCCGCAGTTATCGGCACCCGTACCGCGACCCTCCACAAAACCCCGGCCTGGGTGTTCGGAATCATGTGAAGAGTCAGCGGGATTCCGACAGGTGTCATTGGCGGATGGCGCTCAGCTGACACTGCCTGGCCCACAAGGATAGCCTCATACCCGTAGAGAGCGAAGGTAAGTACCGATACCCTGAAGTGTGGGTATTACGGTGAAGTACCCCGACAATGAAGTACCGAAGTCAATGCCGATACCGACACCACGGTGCCACTGCCGATACCACCAGCACGTGACGGCGGTCCCGCTATGTCGCGCGCTCACCCCCCATGCGTCCCATGCGTCCCATGCGTCCCATACCGAGCTCCCCTCACGCCCCAGCCAATTACTAGCCACTGATAACTAATGCTGCAAGTCCAGACTCCCCGCAATCACTATTTATACGCCAGCTCCCCCGCGATTTTTCACCATTCCATCCCCATTCCAAAATGGCACCAGTCTTCACCAATTCCAACGGTTGTCCCATCCCAGAGCCTTTCGCCACCCAAAGGGTTGGCAAGCACGGTCCTCTCCTCTTGCAGGACTTCAACTTGATCGACTCGCTCGCCCACTTCGACAGAGAAAGAATCCCAGAAAGAGTCGTCCACGCCAAGGGTTCCGGTGCCTTTGGTGAGTTCGAGGTCACTGACGACATCACCGACATCGTGGGGTCCGCCTTCTTGGACACTGTCGGTAAGAAGACCAAGATCTTCACCCGTTTCTCCACCGTCGGTGGTGAGCTCGGGTCTGCGGACGCTGCCAGAGACCCTCGTGGGTTCTCCACCAAGTTCTACACCGAAGAAGGTAACTTGGACTTGGTCTACAACAACACCCCTGTGTTTTTCATCAGAGACCCTTCCAAGTTCCCCCACTTCATCCACACCCAGAAGAGAAACCCTCAAACTCACTTGAAGGACGCCAACATGTTCTGGGACTACTTGACCACTAACCAGGAGTCCATCCACCAGGTCATGACCTTGTTCTCGGACCGTGGTACCCCTGCCTCCTACAGAGAGATGCACGGTTACTCCGGCCACACCTACAAGTGGTCCAACAAGAAGGGCGAATGGCACTACGTCCAGGTCCACTTTGTGTCGGACCAGGGTGTCAAGACCCTCACCAACGAGGAAGCCGGTGCTTTGTCTGGCTCCAACCCTGACCACGCCCAGGAAGACTTGTTCAAGAACATTGCTGCTGGTAACTTCCCATCCTGGACCTGTTACGTGCAGACCATGACCCTCGAGCAAGCCAAGGCCGCCCCATTCTCGGTGTTTGACTTGACCAAGGTCTGGCCACACAAGGACTACCCATTGAGAAGATTCGGTAAGTTCACCTTGAACAAGAACCCCGAAAACTACTTCGCCGAAGTCGAACAAGCTGCGTTCTCTCCAGCCCACACCGTGCCATTCATGGAGCCATCTGCCGACCCAGTCTTGCAATCCAGATTGTTCTCCTACGCCGACACCCACAGACACAGATTGGGTACCAACTACACCCAAATCCCTGTCAACTGTCCTGTCACCGGAGCCGTTTTCAACCCACACATGAGAGACGGTGCCTTCCAGGTCAACGGCAACTTGGGTGCCCATCCAAACTACTTGGCCACCGACAAGCCAGTTGAATTCAAGCAATTCAGCTTGCAAGAAGACCAAGAAGTCTGGGAAGGTGCCGCCTGTCCATTCCACTGGAAGTACACCGACGATGACTTCATCCAAGCCACCGCCTTGTACAAGGTTTTGGGTAAGTACCCTAACCAACAGAAGAACTTGGCCCACAACGTCGCTGTGCACGCTGCTGCTGCTGACCATGCTATTCAAGACAGAGTCATTGAATACTTCAACAAGGTCTCTCACGAATTGGGTTCCAACATCAAGAAGGAGCTCTTGCAATTGTCCCCAAGAAAGTAGGTACTGTGTACTTTTCTTGACGAGTATTTATTATCTAGTAATGTTAGTAAACCATGAAAAGATGTAGGAGGGGATAGCGTGATTTGAGGGTCACTGGTTAACCTAGTGTTACTGATTGAAAACTACAGATCAAGGTAATTAATTGAATAATCCTTACAGTACTGGCATGAAAATTCCAATAACACTGAATAACCCAGTACTAGTTGGGTAACACATTAAGCTGAATTATAAATCCAGGATTGATTTAGTATTACTGAATCAAGTAATATTAGGTATTAATGAACATTACTCCGGATAACCCAATAATTTGAATCTTACGGTAGCCTAGTGTTCCTGAATAAACTACTATGGTCCCAATACTACTGTCTCAATAAGAGCAGGTGAATAAACTAGTTCCTACCCCAGTATCACTAAAGTATAGTCCTGATCCCACCACCATCGTGCCTGGCTCAAATCTGGGGTAGGCCAATAGAAATAGCCCTATTATTCATAGACTCACTTACGAACTAGCCGGGACCTCTCGTCAACGCTCTCTGCCAAGTCGTCCCAGCGCCAACTACGCGTGTAGGAATATACATCATTCATTATTCGTGGTACTTATTGATTGCTATGCTATTGGCTATAATTATAATTTGGTGGTGTTACAAGAAACACATGCACAGGCAGAGCCACACTTGCAGGTGGAGCCGCAGCAGTTGGAAGAGCCCTTGGAGCCGGAGCTGGAGGTGGAAGCAGAAGGTCCGCTGGTTGAGTTTTTACCGCACATGTTGTGGAGTCTGAAGTATGGATATTCTGTGCTTTATATTGGAGTGGTGAAGATAAGCTGGGGGACCCGCCGGTTGGGCATTCCTTATTGGGAAGTATTTTGCGTGGGCCCCTCAGGTGGTTTTGGAGCGCCTGTCCCGATTGGGCAAGTGGGATGCGCGGGGAGCACTGGCGGATCTCGATCTAGGGCCTCGGCACCGCCTGCATGTAGACCTCACCCTCAGCAAATATATGGCGGGTGAAATTCCGTCACGCTTGCGGTCGTGCGCGGCCCCTGGCACAACCCTATTTTCTCCACAGTGCTAAGCCGGTAGTGGCTTCAGACCCTGGCCAAGTGCTGGTAGGCCCGCCCCAGCAGCTCGTCCAGCTCGACGAGCTTCGCCCTCGTCATGGCCTCTCTCTGTATGTCCTCCGACTGTCGCGTACCTTGCAGCACGCCTGTATCGCACCTGTTTCCACCGCAAACTTGGCGTGCATGCATGGAACAACAACCCTAGCATCCACCGCGTAGAGGGCAGACGAGTACTTCGAGCACAGGGGAGCCAGCATTCATTCGTAATTCTCGATCTGGTGATACTAGTCAACTGAGCCCCATCCACTAAAGCCCACCAGTGTCGTTAACCCATGGAGCTGGCTGGTGGCTGTTTACTTTTGGCAGTTCTGGTCGCACCGATGGGCCAGTGTCGCTACCCCTAAAGATCTGTCGGTGTCGCATTGTCGAAGTCGGCGCACATGCAGGTCATTACTGCTGGTCCGGGGAGCTGCGGACGCAAGGGTTTGGGAGGGCTGGCTGGGATCATCGTCAGCCTCGATTGGGCTGGTGATCCAAAAATACGTCACGTCACCGTCCAGGCACAGCCATGGTGTTGGTGCTGCTGCTACCACTGCTCTGCTCGCATTGGCTCACCCACTAGCCTTCGTCTCCAGATGCCATTGGCACTCCCCTCCGTCTCGCTGCGCCAAAAATAGCCCGCAAGCCTTATGCACCCCATCCAACGCGTTAGCGTGATCCACAGCCCCAGTGCTATTGTCACTACTGTCCGCAGCTGTGTGGAATTGGGGTCGCAACCCTGCAGGACCAGCCTCCAACCTTATTTGGCTTGGAGTGAAAAGTATATAAGGATCCGTTTTGGAGCCATTTGACACCTCCACACAGTAATCTCCTCACAGATCACTATCCACACCTTCCACATACACACACTTACTACTACAATGGGTTTGAACGCTATCAACTACGCCGTCAGTGACGTTGCCTCTGCCGTTGACGGTGCCATCGGCACTGCCACCTCTGCCATTGCTGGTGCTGCCAACACCGGTGCTTCTGGCGCTGAAAGTGTCTTTGGCGTTGCCACCTCTGGTGCTGCTTCCGTGGCTGGCGTTGCCACCTCTGGTGCCGGTTCCGTGGCCGGTGCTGCCACTTCTGGTGCCAACTCCCTCGTTTCCCGTACTGGTTCTTCTGCCATCAGTGCTGCTGCTTCTGCCACCTCCTCTGCTGTCAGTGGCTTGTCTTCTGCCCTTTCTTCTGCCAGCAGAAGTGCCTCTGCCTCGGGCTCTGGCTCCAGATCTGCCTCCAGATCTGGTTCTGCCTCCGGCTCTGCCACTTCTGGTGGTTCCAGATCCTCCAGCAGTGCCAGATCTTCCAGCAGCTCCAGTGCTTCTTCTTCTGCCTCCAACGGTGCCTCGCCAGCTCACTTCGAGTCCGGCTCCTGGAAGAAGGCAGTGGCTGTTGCCGGAATTGTGGGTGTTTCTTTCATCTTCAACGTTATGTAAGCACAGCAAAAGTTCATGTCTTCACTTCTCCCGTTCATTGCGCTGGCATCCGTGCATTGAAGATTAAATAGCTTGGAATAAATGGTTCGATTTTGATGGGTGTAGCTCAGAGTTCGATGAATCGATGCGAAATTGGCAAAGGATGTTCTCGCCATCTCTGGAATATCGCTCATAGCAATGAATGGAATACAATTGTTCGATTAGAATTTACAGTCTGCCGGTTGAGAGCTGGTATCAGGAAATACTAGAATGGATGGATCACTTCATCGATTATCCTGGTCTAGAACATCTGGCATGTCATGGCATTTGCAATACTGTTGGATAGTGAAGGCTCTAGTCTGAGAATCCTGATGGAATAGGTAAAAAAGCACATCTTCTTCATAGCTGGGGTTGCATAAGTCATGCCTGTTGCAAAGCAAATGCTTGTCTGGTTCTACACTCACAAAATGCCTTATAAAATGGACAGACTGAACTAATCACTTACAAGTAGTATACATTGTGAATTGCAGTAATTGAGCAATTTTGGAATACAAAAACAACACACCCCCTTTTCCACGCTAAATACACTCTTCTATGTATCCATTCTCTCCGCACACCTCCCCTACGTGCTCTTCGTGTTTCTTCTTTTGCCACCATCGTAAATGGAAATGGTTGCATTTCCTGCATACAGCTCGCGGTTTATCAACTCATAAATTAATCTCATCGAGCTGTACTCCACCATCTCCATGAAGGCATCCTCCAACAAGGCCTCGAGGCACGATGTTGTCGCCTCCATAGCTGTTCAGGCCACATCCACATCGGCACCTCCTGTTAAGAGAGATCCCATGGCAAGCCCAGCACGTGTCCAGGTAGATCCTGACACTTTCCCCGATGACAAGCCTGCCCAAACAGGCACGGTCTTCAACATATGGTACCTCAAGTGGTCTGGCGGAGGCGAGAGTTCGTCACTGAGAAGCTACACCAAGCTGAAGTTCCGCGTCAGTATCGCCAAAGACGCAGGCTACACCACCGCAAAGAACAACCTGCCCATATGCTTGTTCTTTGCTCGAGGATGCTGTTACCTAGGCAAAAAGTGCCTGTACCACCACCGTTTGCCCAGAGATACCGACTACATCATGCCCACCCAGGACTGCTTCGGCAGAGACAAGACAGCCGAGTACAGAGACGATATGGACGGAGTAGGCTCGTTCAACACCACCAACAGAACCTTATATGTGGGAGGATTGCACATGAGCGACTCGATCGAAAACACCCTCACAAAGCATTTCCAGGAGTTTGGTTCCATAGAGAAGATCCGAGCGTTGTACGGCAAATCGTGTGCATTTGTTACTTTCCGGTTGGAGTCCGAGGCCCAGTTTGCCAAGGAGGCCATGCAGAACCAGTCCCTCGATGGCAAGGAAGTTTTGAACATACGGTGGGCCAACGAGGATCCGAACCCTGTGGCCCAATTGCAAGAAAAGGCCAGAATGGAGGAAATAGCCATGAGCACCGTCAAAAACTTGCTAGCACAAATCGATGAACCTGCTCCAAAGAAGCAAAAGGTCACCGTGGAGGAACCGGAAGAGCAAGTAGAAGAGAAGAATACTTCAGAAACGAAAGCCATAGAATTCGCCCCACAAATTCCCCACGCGAAAGGCATCAGTTTCAGCCTGAACTCGTTGTCAACTTTGGCCAAGTTGAAAGCGAAGAAGGAAAAGGAAAAGACGGTCCAGAGCACCACTTTGATAGCAGGGTATTCAAGCGATGAGGAGGAAGACTAGCTAATGATTATGAAATGAAGAAGGTGTCCTTGGTGTCACAATAGAGGTAATTGTATCCAATTTCATTTAAATGAAATAATCACATCATAGCAGTGATCTAGGAGTCAATTTGTAAACTGGATTAATTATGTCAAACTGGGAACCTTTCACATGAGACTATCGAGTCTTAATCGAGTGATGTACCCGGAAAAGGGCTTATGTAACATCCTTACTACCTCCGAACATTGTGAATAGCGTCTGCTTCATAAAACAGATTATTGCATCTTCCTGGAATTTCCTGAGGCCATCATAAATTGTCTATTTGTTGAAATTGAGAAAAATCCCAGACCGGAACCCAAAAATAACCCATTGCCTACCTTGAAAATCCAAACCAAGTCCCATAATTCGCGTGAAAAGGATTCAGCCTATCTTCAATACTCCCCTGACATCTTGCAACTTAGCTTACATTTCAGTGTAAGAAATCTTCTAAGTTCTGCGTGCTTAAAAAAGAATAGACACCAAGCTAATACATTGCACTAAAAGGAAGAATGGTGACGAAAATCGATAAGATTCTTAAGGAGTGTGATTAGCAAAAGTCAATGTTAGACCTTATTCATCGGTAGACATTGAAGTTGACATTACAAAACTTAATCAAGTACAACAAGCTTCCTGCGGTGCCATAAATCATTACCATTGTATATTATTAAATTTGTACCTCCTTTCACTAGGTTATCACCTGGGAGGCCATAAACTAGAGTATTCTATTACACATTATGCTCCGTCAATCCGTACCACGGTCCATGAATTTACCTGAAATGCCTGTAGTCTAGTCCCTCAAGACTTGGTTCTGGGTGGACGAGTGCTTCACCAACCAGTCGGGACACTTCTTCCTACCCCTGACTAGAAACTTCTTCAAATCCACCAATAAATCGGAATTGGAATCGTCCACAAAAGAGTAACTAAGACCAGCATTTCCAGCTCTACCTGTTCTTCCGATTCTGTGCACATATTCGTCGAATTTGTTGGGCATCTGGAAGTTCACTACCAATGTGACGTTGGGAATATCTATACCTCTAGCAGCAACGTCTGTGGCGATCAATATTCTAGCCTTTTTTGTCCTGAAGCTTTCGATAGACTGCTCACGGGCTTCTTGCGATTTGGAACCATGCAAAACCACGCTGTCCTTGTAGCCTTGGAGACCTAGTTTGTAAGCTAACGTGTCACATACCTTTTTGAAGTTTGCAAACACAATAACTGAATAATTTCCGGCAAAATCTCTATCGTGCTTTTTGATAAGCTTGGCCAACTTATCGAATCTGGGGTTGTCGTCGCTGTCGTCCACCTCAGAGGATCCCAAGTACTCGAATTCTTGCTCGATGTTGTCGACAGCTTCACCCGCACTGCCGATAGATAGATACCCTGGCTTTGTGAGGTAGCTCTTTGTAATCTTCTCGATTGGAGGAGAGATGGTTGCTGTGAACATGAGGGTTACTCTCTTCTTCAAGTAGAAGATTCTCGAGTCTATAGTGCTGTTCAAGTGCTCAGTACTAGGTAATGCATCCATGATGGACTGGAGCGGCTTTTCGAACCCCATATCGATCATTCTGTCGGCCTCGTCCATAATAAGATAATAGCACCGTTTCAATCCGATGATGTTTCTTTCGATGGAGTCCACCAATCTTCCAGGAGTACCTACCACAATGTGGACACCGTTCTGGACAGAATGGACTGTCTCTTCGTACTGGTGGCCTCCGATGATACTGACGACGTTGAGGCCCAAATGGACACAGAACTTCTGGGCCTCTTTGGTGATCTGGAGTGCCAATTCTCTTGTAGGTGCCAAAATTAATCCCAACGGCTGGTTGTAGTTGCTGTCCTGCTGGTGCTCGTACTCGAGGTAGTTCGGGTCGATTGAGAGAATGTATGCTAACAACGGGATCAAGAAAGCCAACGTTTTACCCGAGCCTGTCTCTGCGATTCCCACGATATCTCTGTGGTTGAGGGCCACAGGGATAGCCGCACGTTGGATGGGTGTTGGATACTGGTAGCCCAACGTTTTTACGATGGTATTGGTGAGTTTTGCAGGGATTTTGGCCTCGTTCCAGTCCCGCAACGGATGGTCGATATCGCCTCCCTTGGAGGTGATGTTGTAGTCTTCACGGAAGATTCTCCAGTCACGAGCCGTCATTTCCTCTAATTCTTTGGCTGACCAGTGCTTCTCCAGCACAAGATCAAGCTCAAGCTCGTTTTCAGGTTGGGAAACCTCCAACAACGGTTCGTAGTTGGCTGAGGTGTCTTCGTCTTCTTTCCAGTCAAAATTGAAGCGATGAGCCGCTTTTTTTGCCTTCTTCCTCTGGTTCTGCGATTGGTTCGTTTCTTGCTCCTCTTCGTGGTCGATTTTGTCCCCAAGTGGCCGTCTCTTTGCCAATGTCTCCAATCGCTTCTTCTTTTCCTGTTGCTCTAGCTTGAGTTTTGCGAGTCGTGCTCTTTCCAGCTTGCCTAGAAATCGAGGTTTGGATGTTTCCGTGCTGGATCCATTGCTGAGAAGAGCTTCTACCGATACTGGCCGTGGACCCATCGTTGTGGAGTTGATTTGTGGGATGAGCTGCTGGTTATGGATAGAGTGTCACGTGACATACAATGAAAAGTTCCATGAGAGGAACTTCCAGTATTTATTAAAGAAGGCAGGGCCTTGACTGTGGTGGGTGTAACTGTGGCTAGTTGATGGTATGTGCAAAAGTAGTAATTATTCCCACCATCTAAGTCGTTAATGCCATCAATAACCCTGGTCCAAAAAAACGTTTTCTGCGTTGCTATTTATTTTAACAGATACTCGAGATGAAAGAGACCCTGATCACTCCAGGACACCTACTGCCCGAATAAGTCTTGAGGGATTGAAGTTTGATTCTTAGTACTCCAAACACTTATTAAATTACTGGGGTAGAATAGAGGTAGAATAGACTGTCTGTGTGCAGTCGCGCTACCCCATAAGCATAACAGTAGTAATCATACATAATAACTCAGTCTAGTGGTGGTAGCTAGTCAGTGAGTGTAGCAGGTGCTCCCTGGTGATACTCTTTCCTCTGTGTACCTGAGTTGTGCTGTCAAATTTCTCATCTTCTTTTGACTATTTTTTGGTATTTTTCATATTTCTTGAATAAAGAACCCTTGCCATTACTTTACCCAATTGGAAATAACCCGATGGACAGAGTTCCCCACACCAAAACAATATATGACAGTACCAAGCTGGCTCAGAGAGACCTGTATTGTTGACTACACAAAGAGGCATGATTGACAAATCTGACCTCTGTGATGGCTCTTTGTTTAGTGCATTGTTCTACCCATCGCTCATGATGATTGTTTCTATTAACAATCAACACCAAACAACATCTTGGATGCCCACTGGGGTTGGTGGGTGTTGTTATCGCTTTGTTGCACCAGAAATCAGCTACAGGAAGGCTGGCTCCTGATAAGATCTCATCACGGACAAGATCATACTATTCTGATCGGTATTGTTCTCCTTCCTGGCTGGCTGGAAAAACCTCGACAAAAGATTGTAATGCTCCAGCAAGTGCATTTAGCAACTGTGGATACCGTGGTAATAAAGCAGAAAGTGTCAAGTACTCAACTTTAGGGTGCATTATGGTCCAGTGCTGGTTATTTTAACTGTTTGTTGGTTTCTGTTCCTAAATTGCTGGCAAGCCATTGATACCTCCTGGGCTGGTATTTTGATGCTAGCTCTAGTCACAGATATAAATAAGGGTGAATAATCCACCATCTGGAGTTTCATTACACTCAAACACTCAAACAACCCACTCTCAGATCCACTCCTTTAATAATGCAATACACCCAATTATTAGCTGCTGCTCTCTTCGCTGTCGCCTCCGCCAGGGCCGCTGATGCTCAAGACGTTGAATTTATTACCAAGTTGGTCAATGACGCCAAGGCTCACCAAGACGATTATCTTGACTTCTATGGTACCGCAACTGTCGACGTTCCAAGCGAGTTCCTTAAGTTGGCCAGGAAGGTCCAAACCTACACCGATGACTCCTACACCACTTTGATTGATTCTGAGAACATCAACGTCGCTCAATTAGAATCCTTTGCGTCCCAATTGCCATGGGCTTCCAGGTTGGAAGTCGCTGCTCCAACCACTACCCAGCCTGCTGCTTCCTCCACCGAAGTGCCTACCGAGTCACCATCTGCTGCCCCAGTTTCCTCTGCTGCCCCAGAATCTTCTAGTGCACCAGCTTCCTCGGCCCCAGTGTCTTCAGCCCCTGCGGTTTCATCTCCCCCTCCTTCTTCTGGTGTCCCAGTTGCCACACTCACTACTGCCCCAGGATCTGTCTCCCAACTTGCTGTTGCTTCCAACCATACTGTTCCTGTCCAAACTTGGGAAAATAATGCCCTCCACATGGCTGCCCCAGTTGGTGCTGCTCTTGGGGCTATTGTTGTCGCATTGATCTAAAGACTTTGCTACAATTATTTGATACAATTTTTCACTTCTCGGCGACGCATGTCACGTAGACATTCCGCTTGTATATTGACCCTACTAGTTTGATAAGTACATCTTCGATCCTAAAAAATTGGTGGCTGCAACTTTGACAGCACGACCCCAGTAGTGCGACCACCATAACGGCCACCATACATAATGTGGGGAAACTACACCGTTTCACATTCACGACAATCAACTGGCATTTTAAAGACATAAATATAATAAAGAGTATCAAGGAAGCTCCAAGAATTTTGCGTACTACTCTATCCAGTGTACGGTAGTATAGTCTAAAGAAAAAATCATAACATCATAAGTAGAAGTGTAAAGATGCTTTATAACCAACGGGGAAACGTTATTGTAAAAAAAAGGAACCTGACCTCTGTAGCCTGACTGGTTCAGTAAAAAAATGGATAATTTTGTTGCTCTAGTAGGCTCAATCATACTATTTGTTGAGTGGCTTTTATAATTTATGACATTCTATTAATTTTCCAAACATACCATGTTGTGATCTATTGAAAACCATTCAGCGTCAAGAAAACAAAAACGGAGCCCTAATGCTTCCTTCTTCAACCGCTATCGCCAAATGGGTTGAAGCTAGGTAAAATCTTGCTTCGATCCGCACCAACAGAGTTGGATGGTGCACTAGAACCAACAACAGAGGACCTATTGCCACCAGTGTTGAAACCGTAAAAGTGACCGTCGACCTCTGAAGACAACGACTTAAGAAGATTCAATAAGTTCACCAGGTGGAAGTAATTAGGCTCTGATAAGTGATCAAATTCGTTAATCAGGAAATTTAAAATTTGATCATTGCTAAGGTCATACTCCCTTGGGATTCGATTTGCTGATTCGTTACCTTGGCTCTGTGCTTGAGGTTGCGATTTGGCGGTACTCTCTTCAGTCTTTCCCTTGCCTTGTCCTTTTGGTTTTGAGCTTTCATTCTTTTTAATATAAAGCTCTGGTCTATCGTAAGGCAAGACCGCACATAACCAGATTCTAGTCTTGTAAATCTTGAACAACTCCTTGATCAATCCCCTGAAATCAATTCTTTTAAAATTGGCGAAGTAGTAGAAAATCAATTTCTTAAAATCTGACTGATACTCAACATTTATCAACGTGAGGTCCTTCTCCAAATTCAATTCCTTAATCTTGTTGAAACAAGTAATAAAGGCTTTCTTCTCCTCTAAGAACTTGCCACTGATTTTATGAACTTCCTTTGGTGTGGCAAATCTTAATACCTGCTTGGTGGGTAAAGTGATGATAAATTCATTGTCTTCGCCAGGGTGAGAGTTTATGATTTGTGAAGCATTCAAAGAAGCTGAATGGGTTCCATTGGATTTCTGGCCATGGCCATGGCCATGCTGATTCCCATCTTCTATAGTTAAACTCTTGAGATGTTCCAACTTTTTGAGGAAGTTGAAGAGAATTGCAAAGTTCAAATTGACTAAAGGTTCCACTATCATTACCGAGTCCTTACCTCTATCACCGTCTACGATGACAAGATCATCCTTTTGTAAAAATATGTTTGAGTTGTTTGGATAAGATAACAAGTCAAACTTACCATTCTTGTTAATCACAAGGCAAAGAATCTTATGATTGAATGTTAAATTGTTCAAGTTTTTGATGAATGTAATCATCTTTATCACACTTGGGTCAGCCAATAGTTGATACAACTGGGAGAGGATTTGACTGGTGATTTCAGGGTCTTGGAAGTACTTGGTAGTCTTGGAGTAAAGGCTCTTCAAGTCAGGAGAAGCAATGATGTACTGGTCCTTCAAAACTAGTCCGTTCTCCAATTTGATTGCCTGGTTGTACTGATTTGCTTGTCCCAAAGACTGCTGGTTTGATTGTTGAGGGAGGTTTGGAATGTGGTGGCCCATGGTGTGTGCAGCTTGTTTATTGTGTTGGGCGGGTTGCAGCTGCTGCGATTGTTGGGACAGGAATTGTTGTTGATGTTGTTGGTTTTGAGGTTGAGGTTGTTGCGATTGTTGGGGCTGCGGTTGCTGCTGGTGCTGCAAGTGGGAAGGAATGAATGTCTGGTTCTCGCCAATCGAAGCCAGGGGAACGAACAGCTGCTGAAGGTGTGGCGAGAATTGGGGCTGCTGGAAATCGACCAATTGACTTGGTCGTCTGGCCTGGAAGTCGTTGAAGTTGGAATTCAAGTTGAAGTTGGCAAAGTTGTCGTTTAACTGGTCAAAATTGAAGTTTTGATTGTAGTTATTCAACATGGCGTATGAGGACAAGTTCTTGGAAGGATTGTGAGGTGCCGACACCGGCTTGCTGGGGCTCTGGTTGGCACCGAAGAAGGACGAGCCCTTTGTGGGACCCACTTGGGGCGACTGGTCCACGTTGAGCAGGGGATTGTTGATCAATGGCGGGAAGTTGGATCTGGTGAACGACTCGGCAGCGTAGCTGGGTCTCCTGGACGAGATGTTGCCGATTCCGCCCTGCAACTCCAAGGGCAAGTTGAACGAGTCCTTGTTGCCGTAGAACTGGCCTGCAATCAAGAAGTCATTGACGGGTCCCGAGGTCGGGGACTTGCTGGCGTTGTCGCTCTCCAAGCTGGACAACTTGTTGAAGAGAATGCTGTTGAATTGGCCATCTTCCTGGCCCTGTGGCTGCAGCTTTGGCTGCAGCTGCAGTGGACGCCTTTGCTGGCTGGCAGCAACGCCAGGAGGCTGTATGGTGATCTCGCTGCCATTGGCGCCAGCCTGCGGAGGCGGTTTGTACAGCTGGCTCTGATCCGACGAGTTCAAGAAGTCGGGGTAGTTGAAGCTCATCGCGTAGGGGATGTGGTGGTCTATTCTGGGGTCTCCACGATCACAAATGGCCTGGGCGTCTAGATTGTCGGACACGTCTGTTCTGAGGAGTTGACAAGCAAGGCGTGGGGGAGGTGACAAGTAAGGCGTGGGGGACAATCGATGCACGGGAGGATGCGAGAATGAATTGTCACAGGCGGTGGGTGGTGATGGCAGGCTTTTGGCTTGGTGGCAGAGGATGGATTTGGGGTTAGTCACTCAATCCTGTTTCTCAAACTTTTCTGGAGCATAGCGTGTCGCATGTCGTGGGCAAGGACCAACGTCGCGCCAGCGCTACTACTGGGATTACGTAGCCGCAGCAAGTGGAACTGGCGCCACTGGACTCACGTGGTCGGGCCAAGGGAAGGGGTGGTAGTAACGGGCTCATGGGAGAGGAAGTCTTCGAGTCTGTGCGGAAGAATCTTATGGTTTTAGGGTGTTTTCATTATGGAGTAGAATTTGTACTATAGGGTGGGAATTTGTATTAGAGAGTGGAGCCAGCGGAGTAAATAGTGGAGAGAAATTGTGGTTTTTACTGGGTGTCTAGTGAGTCAACCGGTGAGTCAACCATGGAGTCACCATTGGAGTCAATCCAGAGTCTGATTACCTCAGTCGCTTCGAGAATTTCGAGTCAATTATGCAGTGTCTGTATGTAGATGTTCCTATAAGTGTCACACTACCTCCAGTGGCTTCTCTCATTCGTGCTGCACTGCCTGGAAACTCCAATGCCAATGGATCTCGAATGTGATCTGCTTCAAATTGACTTAAAAATACGAGAAACTCAAGATCCATCCCCAACTGCCTAGCCAACCTCTTCTCAGAGCCAGCTCGCTGCCTCTCTACACTTGTCATAAACAGCTTGTATTACTATACACTCTTTCTGGCAAAACCGGTTCCAGCACGAGGTGGGTAGCTGACCCCCAGAAGGTCCATTTGTGAGCCATTCACGTCAATGGGCTCACACGTACACCAGAGGCTCTTGGGGGTGGGGTCCATCACCAGGCCCACATGCTGACCACATCCACTCCATGATTTATGGTCTGGGGTTAGTAGTGTTCGAGCAGGGCGGTCCTCGCAGTCTGGTTGGTTCCCGAGTATTGAGTTATGGAGGGTCACTGACCTCTACTGCAATATTCTGGGGCCAATTACCAATTACCATCACTTACGACATATTCCACAGATTTCTGACTTGCACATTTTGTATGGGTCTGTCTTGTGGTGCCAGAAATGTTCCTGCTTATATACTCGATGCCCCTATCGGCATCCATTCATCCTGACCCTACATTTACCGAGGGGTCGGTCATTATCGGTTCGGACTCCTACCCCCGCCGATAAGTCATCAGCAGGACGGAACTCAGCGGGGTTGCGATTGTTGTTCACATGAATTTGTGGGGGTCAGGCGACAAAAGGCTGGGGCTGAATGGCCAGGCAGGACGCCTCGGTGGAGCGTTTTCTGGCGAGCATCTGGTGGTGGATGAACCGTTTTGCTGGTGGCGAGACATCTGGTGGCGAGACATCTGGTGGTGGTGAGATCTGGTGGAACTACATAGTGCTGAACTTCGGTAGTGAAACTTCAATAGCGAAGCAACCTCGGCTCAGAACTACGCCACCATCCTATCCCTCCCCCGGTTGGCTTCTCTCTCCCCTTACTCCCTACGCTTGCTACACACACTCGGTCTATCACATCAATTGACTCTATGAACAACTGGACTATTATACATCTCTTCAAGCACACCCACCGGTTTGCTCACGATGGGCCTCGATGGTGTCGCCATCCTCCAACTCCAAGTCGTCGGGGGTGTTGTCGGGAGACACTCTGGTTCCGTCGATCAAGAATCTCAAGCTGTTCAAGTCCTTGCCCTGTCTCTTGCAGAACGCCTCCATAAGTCTTCTCATGGGGGTGGTTCTCTTGATCTTGAAGAAGATCTCTGCAGATCCGTCGGACACCTTCAAGTTGATGTGGGTGTTGTCGGGCTTTTCTTCTTTAGGCTGTTCGGAATCGGACATCTTGTGGTGGTGGACTGTTTATGGCCGTAGGGAGTTTTATGTGGACGCGGACGTGCACACGACCGGTCGTGCGCCGCCCGCTTTCACTGGTCACTCTGGATCAGCACCTTGGCGGGGGCACCACCGGTGATGGGGACCACAATAACTGGGGCAGTAAGTGGGTGTGGGGGTGGTCAGCCTGCTTTTGTCCCGTTTCATGGCCTTTCCTGGAAGCTGGCTAGCCACCATTCACAAGTGCGACAATGTCGCCCTACTCCAGCAATCGGTCCATGAAAATGTCCTCACACAACGAGAGGAAAAGAAAAGATAGAACTATCCCAACCGGTGTAGCAACATGCCCCAAAGTAAGACTTCTAGCACAGCACAAACTAACCAAAAAAATGAATTGCTTGCAGTGGCCCATTTTCTCGTGGAAGTTCTGAAACTGGTCTGAAACGCCCACCTCAAACACCTTGAAAACTCTTCGTACACCGCACTTACTTCATCGTAAACTAATAAAATTGATAGACACAGCAGTGATACCTCTCGTCCCTTCCAATTTACCGGTTTATGGTATGTGCCTATACCTCTGCTCGTACTCCACCCATGCCTCCATCCAAACAATATCTCTCGCCTCTCGAGACGTTGTCCCAGGTCTACTTGAACAAGTACTCCCTTGTGCTAGCGTTGGTGGCCATCAAGGTCTATCTCTTCAAGCGAGCAGTTCTCGCCAACATTGATGCGGTTGCTCTCCAGAATGAGTGTGACAAATTGGCCAACGAGTATCCTGGCAAAGTTTCGCTGCTTATCAACAGCTACATCCTCGATAACCTCTCCAAGGCTCGGTACAGCTACTTGGTACTTATACAGGCGCTCGTGTCTACGGTAAAGCACTTGGTGTTGTTCTATGTGGAGCTCTTCCTCGGAACCTATACCTGTCTCTTGAACGCAGCCGTGAGTGGCACCGCCAATTTCGCAGTTGACACCTCGAAGAATGTGATAGTCATGGTCAATTCGACCATTGTGGATGTCACTCATGACATTCAGGACGGCTTGGACGGGCTCTCAGCCGTCATCCAGACGTTGGTGTCCAGTTTGGACAAGATCAAGGCGTTCTTCACAGGCAAAGACCCCACCACCACCCAGTATGAGGACAAAATCAAGCTCTCTATCGGAGCATTGAGGAAGCTCTCGATCCCCACTTCTGTGCTTTCCAGCATCGAGGAGTTCCGCAACTCCACCGTGCCAACGTTTGACCAGTTGCAAAACACAACTTCTGTCCTCATTGCATCTCCCTTTGACCTTGTTAGCCGCAAACTTGGTGAGTCGTCTTTCAACTCCAGCTTGGATAGCTCCAGACAGCTCCTCGGCAACGAGTCCCTTCCTGTGATGCCCAACGGGGCCTGTTCCAGCCGTATAGCTGACACGGTTAGCCAATTACACAAAGACGTGGATTTGGCTGCGAAAAAAATCCTATTTGGTATTGTTGCTGCTGCTGTAGTAGTGTGCCTTCCTTTGGCCTACACCCACGTCAGGGCCTGGAGAAGAGAGGCCAGGTTGATGGATGAGTTGGAGGATTCTCATGTTTCCCCGGTAGTGATGTTGAATGTGTTGAACCGCTACGAAAACCCGCTTCTCTATTACCTTCATAAGTTTGCCGGTTTGAGGCGTACCAGCACCATTTGGTTGATCAACTACATCACTTCTGTTTACTCCAGGGTAGTCCTAATGATGGGGTTTACCGGATTGATCGCGGTGCTCTCGCAGTGGATGCTTTTGCGTATATTTGTGGATGCGATCAAGCAACCACTCGATCCCAAACCTACAAGTACCAACTCAACCGTCGATGTTTCCAAAGCCTTCATTGCAGATACCAACAAGTACATAGCAGCGCAAGAGTTGATCCTCAATGAAGAGCTTTTCGGGCACATCCACAACGTTTCCACCAGTTTGAATTCCACTCTCGTTACGTTCATGGCCAACTTGAACAGGACCGTCAACGACATGTTCGGAAGAACTCCACTCTCGGGTCCTATCAACACCATCGTGTATTGTACTTTGGGCCGTAAGGTCGAAAAAATTGAAAATGGAATAACCTGGCTCAACAAGAACCTCAAAATAGCCATTCCCCTCGTCGATGAAGGTCTCGAGACTCAAATTGAAAATTTGATCACCTCCAAAAATGTGATGCCTATGGCCCAAGATGGCTTGCGGAGCATTGAACTGTCATACAAGAATACTCTACGGTGGGAGTTGTACGTTTCAATTGGCCTTTGCGGTTTGTGGGTAATACAAATCATCACTGGAATCTCCATACTTCTCTTTAAGCATTATCTGTCACGGAATAGTGGCTCTACTATATCTTCCGTTCGTGATAAATTTATGGTAGATCCGGCCACAATAGGCGACCCTAAGCCACTCACATTGAAAGAAAGGCAATCGTACGGATACCCATTTTGCAACCCCTATGAAGAATCCAAACTGCCAAAGAAATACCTGGAAGATGAAAAGGACTTGGATCCATGCGTCCGCAGCTCCAGCATCTATGGTTCGTCTCACGTCGAGTTCCCTACTCGTACATCGAGCACGGTGAGAACCTACAATCACTAGAAATTAGAATGAAATGATTAATTGAAACTAGTATACAGAGAATAGAACAAGATTACTTCTTGATTGGGGCAGGTTTTTTCCAGTAGTATTGTTTGTGGGTTCTTCTGCAAGATCTTAACCCGGTACTGCCCTTAATGCTGGAGACCAAGCCGGTTCTGTGGGAGTCGCTGTCATTCTCTGGCATGTAGTAATATTCTTCTTCCAACGGCTTGCCTGCAGCGTCCTTTCCTTGTCTGTAGATAACCCCAATACATTCGATGTTGTGCAAGAGTACCCGTATTTGTCTCAAGGTCAAGTTTGAAGTCAAGGCACTTATAGTCTTAAGGAAAGATCCTGGCGTCGATGAAAGACGTGAGAAGGCTAAGTGATTGATCAAAATGTTATTGATCTCAGAGACGTTCTCCAAACCTTCCACCCATTCTTGATTTATCTCGACCTTTTGGCTCTCTTGTATCTTCTTCTTTCTTTGCTTAGGTGGCTCTTCTGACTGTGCTTTTCTCTTGGGGGTAGTAGGGTTGCTGAAGGTATTCGACTTGTCATTTAATGGAGTCGACTGTCTCATGATGGGGGCTGCACGTTCTTCGGTAGCAGGTTGGTCCTCAAAGATCTTGAAAGTTTTGGAAGGTTTGGGCTGTGGAATCTCCAATTGGACTGGAATAGACTCCGCCTTGATCACTGGGGGCTTGCTGGGGGTGATTTCGTTGGACTTCGTCAACTCTTCTTTTTTGGCGTCATTCTTGAACGGAGTTCTAGGCTGGGGAAAGTGCTCTATGGGGGCCTTGACAGGGGTCACCACTGGTAGGGCCTCTGGGGAGGCGGATCTGGAGATCAAGGTAGGCATTTCGTCGTCGGTCAAGTCTTCTTCAAGGTCGTAGGGGTTCAACAACATGATGTGCTGGTTAATTTCAAGCAAGATGTTGTTGAAGCGGGGGAGGGTGATGGTTTCCAGCCTGTTGAGGGTGAACTCGGTGTGGTTGTCGTCGATGCGGATGGTCTTGTGGGAACGTTGCAACGCCTCGATGTCGAGGGGAGTCCCCGATCTGTTCTCAGTCACGATGTAGTTGTCCTTGGAGTTGGTGGCAAACACGTAGCAGGGACGAGGGATGCGGATAGCCAACCCATTGCGGCCCAAGCACGTCAACACCAACTGTTCCGAGTCGTAGCACACCGAGACGTGCTGACGCGACACGTTCTTGTCGCTGGACCCAAAGTAGAAGTCACACGATTTGGACGACCTGCCCACCGTGATCTTGCTCTGGGTGCCCACCAAGGGCACCCGCAACACCGAGGCGTCAGGATTGAGCACGTTGAAGTCGGAGTTGATGTTAACTTTGGCGAACGGACTGGTCAACGCAAACGTCACCTTCTTGCCAGGCACACCTGCTGGCACAGCCTCGACGTCACCCTCAGCCAACTCGCCCACTGGCGAGGATGATCTGAAGAGAGACGACGAAGGGTTGGGAGTGGGATACGCTGCTCTTCCTCTCAACTCTTCGTGGGGGTTCTTGGCCAGGTGCGAGTCGTAGTCATCGATGCTCCTCAACGGAGACGAGGGAGGGAACTGGTAGCTGGACATGGCGGGTTGGGAGGGAAGAGTGTGGTGAAGAAGAAGTGATGGCAAAGTGATGGCAGAAGAAATGGCTGTAAATCACGTAGGAAGGTCACGTAGTAGTCACGTCTGAGGTAAACAAACACGGTACGCGAAACGCGGTGGGGGTGTCAGGGCACCAGCCCTGTGCACGTGTGCGAGTGCAACGGCACGTGCGCGTTTGTGTCCGGGTAATCCTTCGCCCATCCTCCCGGCGCCTGCCTGCGAGCCCGCGCTACCACCCGGCACGGGACTCCTGCACACACCCCCACAACCTACCAACTCCCGCGAGTGAAAATTTTATATCAATTATTCTTCATTGAATTTACTACTACAATAAGAATAAGCAAACATGGGTAGTACGTGAGGATCATAGCAACATTGCACCGAGAACGACAGGATGGCCGCCGGAGATGACGTCCAGAGTCCACAGCCTCCATAGAACGAAACAGCCAAAGCGCAGCATGCTCCACGACATGAGATTCCATCAGAAACCACTCCACCAGTGAAAATCCGCCAAAAAGCCACCCACCACACTGTGGCCTCCTTGTTCCCCCAGCATCATCGAGAAGCGTCGTCCAGCACCACCAGTCGTTCTCCCATCGCAAAACATATACTAACACCTTTACAGAAGGTACTCCATCTTTAGGTAAACGTCACAACAAGTCCCACACCTTGTGTAACAGATGTGGTAAGCGTTCTTTCCACATCCAAAAGAAGACATGTGCTTCTTGTGGTTACCCAGCTGCCAAGATGAGATCCCACAACTGGGCTCTCAAGGCTAAGAGAAGAAGAACTACCGGTACCGGTAGAATGGCTTACTTGAAGCACGTCTCTAGAAGATTCAAGAACAACTTCCAAACCGGTGTTGCTAAGCCACAATCCGCTTAAGTCAATGGTTAACGGTTGCATGCACTTGTTTCATATTAGTTGGTTGCGTAATAAATTTAATCTGTACGTTGTGTAGTTTATAGTAATCAACGATCAATGTATCATACCATGCGTAGTGTTGGAATGGTTACGTTTGGAACGTGCTATATGGCCATATTCTTATCTACTCATCACGCCGGTCATCTGATCACCAGAAGCACGAAGAGAAATGTCTGCTATATTCGAGTCCCTGCTAATACTCAGTGCAACCAAAGTTTTTGTTGCACGAAGAGAGTGTCGGGAAAGTCTAAAGGTTTCTCCGATTTCTTGTACTCTCTTCAATGCTTTTCTTGAAAAGTTATTCTTGTATTTTGTCAAATAGTAGAGCACTCAGCATATAGCAGGAACTTGTTTGAGTTCTTCAAATCATAAAATGCTCGTAGTCTTCAGCATTTAGAATTCAACCCAATTGGGTTTCAACCCCAAGAGCACTCTCCATCCGAGGCCACTTCTGACTTTTTGACCAAGTTGCCGTGTTTTGTTCTTGTTGAAATTTATATTAAATGATGAAGATCTCTCTCGAGCTACGTCAATTACAGTCAGTCAGTTGAACATTATGCTGCGTTTCGTCACCTTGGTGTACTACGCAATTGCTGGGATATACCTGTATATCGTATACATCTACTAACCAACCTAACTCATTCCATCTCTCATTCCATCTCACCCACCACCTGGCAGGTTCAATTCGTTATACTTAGATCTTCCGGAGTTGCCTTTTCTTCATATCCTCCAATTTCACCAATTCTATTCCACCAAATCCATTTCATCAAAATTCTGAACCTCGCTAGGATTCATATTAAAATACAAGTTATCAGCCTCTTCGTGGGTGACAAATATGTTCAAGATCTCTCTCGCCAACTCTACAGTATCAATCTCGTAGGGAAATTCAAACCCATTGGCAAAGTCACTCTCAATATCTGCCAAAACTTTACCATCCACATCCTGGTAATTCACGTGGTTCAACTCCCGTGCTTTGGATTCACTCCATGCATTGAAAACAGGTTTTCTAATACCCATCTTTCGTATCTCTGTTAATAACTTGTAGGCATCAATCGACAAGGAATCAGAACCAAAGGCTATTCTCAGTAAGACCACAAACATCTCATACATGGTCTCTGGATATATGAGATTATTGATTTCCCGGATGTCTTGTGTTAGATAATTCAAGATCTTGACTAGTATCGAGACGATCTGTATGCGTAACCGGATATACTTCGATCTGGGGGATCTCATGATATATATCTGCTCAAACCCGATGATTCTGATGATGGACTTGAAGTATTCCTTCTGCTTCAATATGTCCACTGATTGTTTGGTCACTACGTATGCCTCAATAAGTTGGCCCACCTTTAGCCTTAGGTTCAATAAGTGAAATTCATGCAACGATTGCACCTCGAAGTCTGACAGAGTATTTTGGTCTAGCAAATCCATTGGGATGGGCTGGGGAATAAGTATGATGTAGTTCTTCAAGGAGTCATCGTCAACAGGAATAATGGAGTCGATTTTCTTGAAATCGGCATTGTTTCCAATTATTCTATTCAATCCATAAAACATAAAATCATCTTTGAGTGAAATATCAATGAGAAAAATCTTGATCAAGGAATTCATGATTTTGAAATCGTTCAACACTTCGCCTCTCCCCTGGTTATATCCAAAGGTAGACGGTGTTATAGAGGAGATCAACATCTCCACATAGTTCGTGACCAAGTTGATCTGCGACGAATTTTTGAATCGTTCGGTATTTTCTGGCAAACACTTCACAAACAAGTCGGTGGAGATGGTTTCATCCTTCCATATCTGCCGCACGAACGGCTCATCGTGTAGTGATGCAAATGTGACCAATTTCTCAATCAAGTCGACAAAAAAGATGAAAATGAATTTTTCTATCACCATCACTTGATTGGGGACATCATGGTAGTTAATGAGATCCTCTTCGTCCAAGTTGGAGTCCACCAAAAACGACAATCGGTCTGTCTGCCTCTTTAGCTTTTCGAGTAGAGTCACGATTAGTGACTTTCCGACTGCAATTGGCCGGTAGCAAATGGCACAATGGATCAACGCAATAAGGAACGGAACTGCTAGGATTTTCTGTTCAAGTAGCAATTTGTCGATGACCTCAAAGAGCACCACACAGAACGATTCGACCAACTCGTCTAACCGCATGTTCTTTTTGATCATCAAGAATTCGGTGATTCCCGAAGAAATGGCCGTTCGTTTGACGATCTTGAGGTCCTCCACCTTCAAGTCGAAGTCTATACACACCTTACTCAAGTAGTCCAAGCACGTACGCGAGCTTCCGCTGATGCAATAGTTCCACAAGTGGTCGATGAGCACCGACGACTCGTTCTGGAGCTTGATCACTTTGTGGGGCATGGGTGCGATTTGAAGCGACGGGGCTGGAGCCTCTGAAGGCGTTGATAGGCTTACAGAGACTTGGTGGGGCTCCAGGCTGGACACAGACGAGTCTAGCTGGTCCCAGTCGTCGCGTGGAAGGGGCTTTCCCTGGCTGGAAGACGCGGTCTTGCGGCGCTTGGAGTAGGACGTGGTCCGCAACTCGTTGTTCAAGAACTTCTTCTCGTCCTCCAACCGCTGTACTGCGTGCTTGAGTAGGGCCGTCTGTTCGTCGTTGTTCTTTTTGGTCTGCTCGTAGCTTTCCTTCAATTGGAGGAGCTCCTGTTGTTTCTGGTTCTGGAGCTGAACCAACTGGGCTCTCAAGATGGCAATTTCGCCATCTGCTCGGTACAACTGGCCCTGGACGTCGGGAACGGCGTCCACAGGTGCCGTGGTGCTGGAAACTGCGCTGTTGGGCACGGTGGTGGCGATCTGGTGCTGGGATGGCTGTGGTGGCACGCGACTGGAAGCCGGTCCAGGCAGCCGGAATTCGGGCTCTCGCTCCCGGTTTTGGGTGTAGGTGCTGACGTCGACCTTGCCGGTGATCAACGCCTGCAACAACTCGTCATCGTCGTCGTCGAAGTCGCTGGACATGCCTCAACATCCACAGTTGCAGCTGGCACCACCATCGATTTGTGCTCACGTGCGCGCAGTCCCAGCTGGAAAATTTCTCCCTATAATCATCACTACTACCAGTGCAAAAACGTATATGTCCACCACGCTCAGATAAGCACCACACAGACATCCACCCAGCATGAGTGATCCCAAGAGCAACGGAAAAGACGATAAGGCGTCAGCCCCCCCAGCATCGCTCGTCCCGGTGCAGCCAACCCCCCTCAGCTCCAAAGACAAGACCACCAAGAGATTGGTGGTGGTGTTATCACAAGCATGTTTGGAGACCCACAAGATGAACGCCGGCGGCCCAGGCGGCGACAAGTACGCGTTGTTGAACTGTGACGACCACCAGGGGTTGTTGCGCAAAATGGGCAGAGACATTGCTGAGGCAAGACCAGACATAACCCACCAGTGCTTGTTGACGTTGTTGGACTCGCCCATCAACAAGGCCGGCAAGTTGCAGGTGTACATCCACACGGCGCGCGGGGTGTTGATAGAGGTCAACCCAGCCGTCAGAATCCCCAGAACCTTCAAGAGATTCTCGGGGTTGATGGTGCAGTTGTTGCACAAGTTGAGCATCCGGTCCGTCAACTCGGAAGACAAGTTGTTGAAGGTGATCAAGAACCCCATAACCGAGCACTTGCCCACCAAGTGCCGCAAGATCACCTTGTCGTTCGACGCGGAGGTCAAGAGAGTCCAGGACTACGTTTCTACCTTGGACGATGACGAGAGTATATGTGTGTTTGTGGGTGCCATGGCCCGAGGAAAGGATACCTTCGCAGACGAGTTTGTCGACGAGAAGATCGGTCTTTCCGACTACCCGTTGTCGGCATCCGTTGCGTGCTCCAAGTTCTGCCACGGCTGTGAGGACGTCTGGGGCATCTTCTAGTTTGTTGGATACGAACAGGATGAGTCGTGTGGAAACCGGTTGCATCTCGCAGCCGATGGGAAGAGTAGTTTTCAGAGTAATAGAGTATGAGATTTATTGCTGTAGATTCAGAGTGTGGCGTTGGGTTTATTCATGTAGGTGACGTGGATTTGTTGGGAGATTTGCGAGTGAATAGCACTGGAGCTGCGGCTGTTTTTCAGAGTGCGGGATCTATACCAAGTTCGGATTGATAAGTTGGCATCCTCTGATAACTGGCGGATGCTTTGTTAAGGATGTAATACTAAATGTATGGTTATCTTCGGATAATATTTATACATAGATTGGTAGTTATAATGAGGTCATGCCTTTTTGATCTTGTAATCGCATACCAAACCCAGTCAAATCTCAAAGATAGAATGGTGAAGGCGCCAACAATTCAAATAGCTGTGAAGCACGGCATCGTTTTGAAGAATGTAATATCCTAATATTATGTCGATTTTTATCCTTATTTAATAAAATACGAACCTACTCTAATCATTATGTATTTTTGTACAATACGACAAGTTGTGCAAGTGATAATTAACTTGATGATTCATTCATTTATCAAATCATCTCCATAAGCATATTACCTCTTTACTCCTAGTGTGATTAGGGAAGCGAAATACAATGGCATTATGTAGATTCTTTGCAGAAACAATTCTCGTGTGAGTCTACGCCAATTCTTAATGTTCGTTGTGTATTTGGTTACATCAGCTGCTCAATCAATCATAATTTACATTTTCAATCGTGACTCATCATTGATCTAAAACACCTTCCTTTCTCAACACCTTCTCGATTTCCTTGAACAAGGTGTCGGTAGTGACCTTGGATCCCTTGACTCTGGCGCACACAATCTCTGATTTTTGATTGTGGTCCCTGGAGTTGATCTTAATCCGGAACTTACAGCTCTTCAAGTTGAAAGCATTTTGTGACGAAATTCCTCCTGTGATGTTGTATGCCAATTGATCATTCTTCAAGTTCTTGATACCGAAATTAGACCAGGAATTCAATAAAGCGTATAAGGCAGTCGACATTTCTGGCTTGGGCAAAATTGTTGTGAACCTTCTGATTTCTGAATTGACACTATCAGCAGAAGAAGGTGCAGCTGAAGAAGAAGAAAACCATCTGAAGAACGAGGATTTTGGTTTGTCCTCAGCGGAACCAGATCTAGAATCTGCGGGAGATGGTAATTGATTTGGCTCGTCAAGTGCCTTCTTAGATCCCCATGACAATTTTCTGAAAATTGATCTGTTTCTCTTTTGTTCAGGGGCTGGTCTATTAGTTGAATCTTCCAAGGGCTTTTTGATGATAGTATGTGGTGGGGCTGGTGGGGCCACTTCATCCCTATTTTTACGAACCTTAGGATATGGTTGCGAAATCCCAGTTTCGTTGGCCAACTTAGCAGCATCAGGAACTAACATAGACTGAGGAGTAGGCACCATACTCTTGTGTTTTGGTTGCTCGTGTCCTCTTGGATAGCTGGTGCTTTGAGCCTTAGAAGTAGCTAAAGTAGTCGCTTTTTCATTTGGCAACTTGATGTTTTCAAACACATCCGTGTCACCTTCAGAAAATTCCTTGCTTTTAAGCTTAGAGGCGGAAGTCTTATCAGATCTGCCGCTCTTCCTTCTAACTGGGTAATCGTGCTTAGTAACAAAGGTTTCTTCAATAGCTTCTTCTTCTGCTTGCTCCTCTTCTTCGTCATCATTAGGCAAGTCTGGTAATTGGGAGATAGGTCTTTGACTGAGACGTCTTCCAGTAGAGTATCTTGAAGTCCTTTTCGTAGTAGAAGAATAATAAGAAGATCTTTTGTTTGCTAAATGTTCTTCAAAATCCAAAATGGAACCTTCATCTAATGGTTCTTCGTCCTCGTCATCGGGAAGTCCTGCCCGATCCAATCTGTCAGCAAAGCTTGTTCTCATGGTTGGAATTGAAGGTGATTCTTCTTCCCCACTGTTCAAAACTGAATGCAAGTCACGGTAAGATTCTTTAGTAGAATATATTGATAAAACCGACAATCTCTTGTTGGAGTTACTGAAGTGTCTTGACTTTCTGGTAACATTCGGTATCTTCACATTACTGATCAAAGTCTTTGGTCCAGGTGAGTCTTGTAAATTGGCATTGATATTCATCTGAGAATTCAAAAGTCTTGACTTTCTAATTTCAGACATGTACTCTTCACTGAGATCAGAATCATCAACTTGGGGCTCAGGTAACTCATATCCAGAGTTTCTGTTATAGTAGCTACTTCTGGAGAGTCTTCTGTCATCCATGACCGAAATCATTGATTCTCTATTCTTATGCTTCGAGTCTCTGTGAACCATTGATTCTCTATTCTTGTGCTTCGAAGGTTTGATCACTGAGTCTCTAGCCTTCTTCTTTTGCTTTCTAGACTCTTTCAATTCAGCATCCAATGCGTCCTTGGCTCTATTCAATTCTTCGTTCTCATAGGCGGACCACAAAGGATCCAATCTAGAAACTGGTCTTCTAGTCAAAATAGGTGTTTGTCTTCTTCTTGGAGCTGGTTGTGTCACTGAGCGTCTCTTTAAGTTTTCAAGATCCTCAGAAGTCAATTGATCCAATTTACCGCCTTCAGAAACTGCTCTCAGTTGTCTCTTGGGTTGATTGATTTCATTATTCATGGTTACATCGACTTCGCTGTTGTTATTATTATCATCCTTGATCAAAATACTCAACTTACGAGAGCTGAGTAAAGACTTTCTCTTTTGTCTTCTCCGTTTCTTCTCCAATTCCTTTCTGGCTCTTAATTCTGCCTCATGCTTCTTTCTTTCAATCTCCATCAATCTTTCATATTCTTTGGCTTCCTTCTCTTCCTCATCCAAGAGATTCTCATCAGCTTCATCATATTGTTCTTGATTGAAAATCTTATCACAAAGTGTAGCAAAAGTAGCAGATGTTCTCTTGGTTTGCTTGTCCATATATTCCCAGTCTGTTTCTCCTGAAAGCTTGGCATATGTTGACAAGAGTTTCATAGTAATAGAATTTCTCTTCAAACCCGTTGTCATTGAGGCTCTCAATGATTTCCTTCTAGACAAACGGTTCTTCGAATTGCTTTTCTTGATCACTGAACCTCTCTTACTCACATTAGGTGTAGGCTCGGTGGCCTTTGCCTCCTGAGAGGTAGCATATGTTAATAAATCTTGGGAGCTAATTTCATCCACAATTGGGTTTTCTTTACCGTGTTCAGGTGAGAAGTTCAATTCCTCGGCCTGTGCTGGGTATGTATCATGCTGATAGTTGTATTGGTGTGTCCTGGTTGCCAAGTGACTGTCTTTGGAGGGTAATGAGGGGGGCATAGATTGAAGGGAGCCGTTTTTTTGTGCACTTACAATCTCATTGTAAATGTTTCTTGGGATAGCAGGTGGAGGTGACGATTCATCATAATGTTGTTGGTACTTTCTTGGGGACTTGTGTGGGGATGATCTGCTTGGAGATTTATATGGTGATCTACCTGGGGATTGATTATAACCAGATTTTCTAGGTGATTTTCTTGGAGAATTTTGGACGCTTGAAGAAGCCGAATATCTTCCGCTTGATGCATTGATCATAGATCCTCTGTTGTTGGTGACTCCATTTTTGTATTGGAAAGATGAAGGTCTCGATGCACTGATTTGACTTGTTCTTTTTCTTCTTGGGGTATTCTTCGTACTGACCGATCCACTACGAACCATCCCTCTTTTTGTGTTGAAACTATGTGATTTTCTTGGGGAATTCGAGCCACTGTCACTTTGGTTGTGTCTGTATCTCATCAACAATGCATAAAACGTCTTTTCTGGATTGGATCCATTTTTTAACAAGCATTGTATTATATCCTGTTGGGGTCTATCGTGCCATAAAATTGACAAATTAGATAAGATCTGCTTATCAATGTTTTTCACTGAACCCAAGGATTTATATGCTGTTTCTGGATGAGGCAAAGATTTGACACTGATTAAATCTTCATTTGGAATTGGATATTTGTTTAAAAGTGGGTGAGATAAAATCTTTTCAGTAGATATTCTTTGCATTGGGTCCACAGTCAACATGTGATCAATCAAATGCTTAGCTTCATCACTGATTTCATCTGGCATCTCGAAATTACCAGCTTGCACCTTTAACAACAAGTTTCTTATATTTTCATCATCGAATGGTAATCTTCCTGTTAAGAGTGCAAACAAAATGACACCGCATGACCAAACATCAGATGCAGCACCATGGTACTTCAACCCACTGACGATTTCTGGAGCGGCATAATGAGGAGAACCACATGAGGTCTCAAGTAACTTGCCATTGCTTTCGAGAGCAGCCATACCAAAATCGGCCAACTTGACATTGAGGGAGGCATCTAGCAAAAGATTCTCGGGTTTCAAGTCACGATGGCAAATACCCAATGCGTGACAGTATGCTGTTCCTAGTATGATTTGTCTGAAGTATTTGATGGCTTCGACTTCTTGTAAGGGGCCCCTTTCCACCAACAAGTCGAACAATTCGCCTCCTTCGACGTATTCCAACACCAAGTAAAGGGCCTTGGAAGTTTCCCACACGTCGTAGAGTCTCAACACGTTGGGATGGGTCAACAATTTCATGATGATAATTTCACGTTCTATGCCGTATGGTAAACCAGCTTCGTCGGCGGTCTTTTGGTTGGTTCCGTCGTTGTCCTGGAGTTCTGACTTGGAAACCACCTTGACGGCAGCCTTCTGGCCGGTCGTTTGATGTGTAGCGAGGAGAACCCTTCCTGTGGCACCTCTGCCCAAGGTTTTGCCCAACTTCCATGGCCCAATCTTCTGGGGATGGGTGTGGGACGCCGACATGATGGACGACGTTATGGAGGCCTGTCTTGAATGTGACATTATCACTGGGGGGTGAGCGATAGTATAGTTATGGTAGGATAGTAGGGTGGTGGAGAAAGAGTGTTTTGTAAAGATTAGACAAAACTCCCAAGATGGTAAACAGGACACTGGAAATTTTTTGCCGGGACGCGTCCTTGGTGTTTCAACCACGCGTCTGCCACTCCTTACAGATACCTCGATTGGGAATAAAACATCCCGAAACATAGACGACTACGTAACCCCGGCATGGTTCGAGATCGCTTGCTAGGAGTATTGTGCCTTGACATGTAACGGGCGGTGCACTGGCAGTGTGGAGACCAGCGCACTGTAGTGGTTGAAGTGGTGCAATTCTAGCCATTCTTGTGGGTTTCGTTGTGCGAGGGTGCCGTATCCCTTACGGCTGTGCCGCCAACGGGGTTTGGCGGTGTCGGAAGACGCTGCCAGCGGTGACTCCGACAACATCCCTGCTGGCAGACGGCTCTGCTTGCCGCCTCCAACAGGGCTGATCGTGGCTAGATCTCGCGGACTGGTGGTAGCCGCCAGGGTCCATACTCCGTCCAGCGAGTAAGCAGCCGTGCTGAGCTTGGCTGGCTGTGGAAGTGGTGCCAGGATGGGCAAATGGGATGGATATGAGTGTGTTAGACGTCTTCCTTTCGGCATTTCCACCCGGCTGGGCCAATGCTGGCGTGGTGGAAACAACTAAAATTATGATATTTTTGCAGAATACTGCAAAAATGTCTCAGGTGAGAATGATCTAGATGAAAGGGGCATTTTAGTCGACTTAATTAAATAAGGAGGGTGGTTGCAGGAGGCAGGGGAGATTAGAGGAGAGGAGGCAGGCACGGCAGAGGCTAGGGGGTGTAGAGTGTGTGAAGTGTTGTAGTATGGATGTTGCTAGACGACGAGATGGTGGCTAGTGTTACTGGTTGGCCAGGGCTGCTGCAGGTTGGTCGCTAGAGCCTGGTCCAAATTGTAATATAGTTACTATGCAAGGGTTTTCGCAGGTTGGGGCTGCTGTGCTGATTTGGAGTATGACACGTAATGTTGCAAGTTGGCCAGGCTTACGGTATGTCTCGCTAGAAGTACGATATGTAGAGAAATTATTGCATTTATAATGTCTCCTCTCTAATTCATTTAGCTCCAGGGTGAATAAAAGTAACACTCCTTGCATCTACTAAAGTTGTGAGGATGACGGTGTAATAGGGCACCTCGATATTTTGCATAATTTCATGCAAAGAGCCAAAGACTTTCCGTAATTCTACGTGTTCAAATCAGCAGAAATCATTGTAGAAGAGATGGCGTGATGTTAACGCCGGATACTAATATGTTGTAATCACGCTAATGGAGCATTATTAATCTTTAAGTATTAACTCCTCAAATATTAATCTTAAGTTGTTACAAAGTATCAATAAATTTAAGTGTTTAATTCCATCATATACTCTTAATATTAATTACGGACCATGTCTATAAATTGGGTGCAACATAAATATTCATTTAATGGAGGCAACTTTTACTTGTAAATTACTCTCTATCATGCAATAATACAGGTCTGGGCTGCCACGGCTAGTCTCGCTAGAGGCCGGTATATCTACCAAATCAATCGTATATTCTCTGGATCAATACCATCAACGATTTGTAGTATATGCAATTTATGGCATCTGTGCCAGATAACCGGCACTGGAAGATCCTGGATGCCGTAGACGAGTACAAAGTGGTTAAACCAGTGCAGTCGAGCAACTCCATCAAAATGAGCAGATACTAACAGAACCTCATTCCGTTCAGAAGTTCACCCTCCACCTCTTTTTCGGTTTCATCAAGGACTCATCACCCCTAATTTCGTCACCTCTTTTTCAGTATTCTCTATTCATTTCAACTCATCACCTCCATTAATTTCATCACCTCTCTATTAATCTCATCACCTCTACTTCAACGCCATACCCGTGAGGAGGTCCAACTGCTCCTTCAAGTCACGGTTCACCGACTTTTTCTGCTCCTTCATCTGTTCGTCCTTTTTCAAGTCTTCCTTCAACGTTTTGGTGTCCAAAGCGTGCTGGGGCTTGGAGGGTCCAGCCCCACCCACCAACAGCTGGATCTCATGTATTTCGGCAATATTAGCGTTCAACTGATGAATCTTGATCCGATTCGCCCGTGAGTCCTTCTTGAGCTTGGACGGCTTGCGCTTGGCCACTTTGGCCTGTTTCTTGGGAGGCATGACGACGATTCCTGGTGTACGGGTTAGGATGAGATGAGTTGAGGGAGTGCGCACGTGACCCTCATCCAATGTGAAAAATTAACCACCAGAGCCATCTCATCTCCATCACCAAACTTACTCCACCACCATGCCTTCCACACACAACAGAGACAAGCCCTGGGATACCCCAGACATAGACAAGTGGGCTATGGAGGAGTTCAAGCCCGAGCACAACGCGTCCGGGCTCCACTTTGCTGAAGAATCCTCGTTCATGACCCTCTTCCCCAAGTACAGAGAACAATACTTGCGCACGATATGGAGCGACGTGACCAAGGCGTTGGAAAAGCACTTCATCAAGTGTGAGTTGGACTTGGTTGAGGGAGCCATGACCGTCAAAACCACCGCCAAGACGTTCGACCCTGCCATGATCATCAAGGCCCGTGACTTGATCAAATTGTTGGCCAGATCGGTGCCTTTTCCCCAAGCCATCAAGATCTTGCAGGACGACGTTGCATGTGATGTGATCAAGATCGGAAACTTTGTCACCAACAAGGAAAGATTCATCAAGAGAAGACAGAGACTTGTGGGTCCCAACGGAAACACCTTGAAGGCGTTGGAGTTGTTGACCAAGTGTTATGTGTTGGTCCAGGGTAACACCGTCAGTGCCATGGGTCCCTGGAAGGGGTTGAAGGAGGTCAGAAGAGTGGTCGAGGACTGTATGCAAAACGTGCATCCTATTTATTACATCAAGGAGTTGATGATCAAGCAAGAGTTGGCCAAAAACCCCGATTTGGCCGAGGAGGACTGGTCGAGATTCTTGCCCAGCTTCAAGAAGAGAAACGTGGCCAGAAAGAAGGCCAAGACCACCAAGAGAGAGAAGAAGGTGTACACTCCATTCCCACCAGCACAGACACCAAGAAAGGTTGATTTGCAGATTGAGAGTGGTGAGTATTTCCTTGGTAAGAAGGAGAAGGAGTTGAAGAAGTTGAGAGAGAAGCGTGAAAAGCAGGAAGAAGTCAGCGAGACCAGAAAGCAGGAGAGAGACCAGGACTTTGTTGCTCCTGAAGAGGACGACTATGAGAACAAGTTGGTGAAGAAGGACAAGAAGGAAAAGAAGGAAAAGAAGGAGAAGAAGGAGAAGAAGGAGAAGAAGCACAGAAGAGACGACGACGAGGACGACAAGCCCTCGAAGAGATCCAAGGCATAAATAGTTACGTAATCTAATAAGACAGTGATGGCATACGAACCTGAGTGTAGGATTATGGGAGGTGACTGGAAGAGGAGCTATAGTGGCCAGCAAGGCGAGATAGTCATGAGGATAGAAAGGATTGGTATTTGAACCATGTAAGTATCATGAATCATCGTATGAAGAGTATCCCAAATTGAAGGCAAAGAAGCACATTGGAGAGTAGCTTAATATCGCATCAACTGTGACACCACGAGACCAGAGGGATCACAGCAGAATAGTACACCTTAGTGTTCGAGTATATCAGACAAACTCTTCGAGAATAAATAATCATATCCTCATAGCGTAATAATTAATCCTAATGTCGAGTATACCACCCCTTAGAATATTATTGGTGTTAGAATTAATCCGATGACGTTAGAGAATAAATAATCATATCATCACGGAGTAATCCTAGTGTTCGGGTATATCACCTCTTAGAATAATCTTGGTGCTAGACTCTAGCCGACCACCTTAGAGAATTAATAATCTTAGTAGACTATACCTAATAATCTTACTATATCAGACGACCTCTAAGAGAACAAATAATCATATCCTCATATAATGATAAATAATCCTAATACTCTTACCTATCAGACGACCTCTGAGAATAATCTTGGTAGTCTATATCTGGTAGACCATGCTAGATTTGCCAGAATGTAAATGCCCATTCTGAACGACCCCTATATTCCCTCTTGGGTATCACGCCCAGATGCCCGTTGTAGCCGCGCAGGCGTTCGTTATTCGTTATTTGTTAGCGGATCACCACAATTGCATGCTCGAAAGCAGGGATTCTTCCCATCGCAATTTTGCAGGCTGTCAGACACACAGCGCGCGGGCTGTCAACAAGCGGACGTCGCAAAATGTCAGCAAAGCGCAGGCACGAGGCGGCGGACCTGCACTGGTGCACCTGCACTGGTGTACCTGCCACGATGCTGTCCCAGCCACGCTGGCTGACTCCAGCCTCATTTTCTTCCGTGCAATTGTGGCCTTCTGGCCTCGTAATTCTCGCAACGCTCGCGGTGTCTGCAGCACCGCCAAATAATACTGGCAGACTGCATTTCACTGTCGCGGTTGACGCAGAATGGATCTGGTAGAGGACCACCACGCTCCCACCCCGTCTCTCCAAGCCATCGTCTGCTCCATACACCCCCCCTACCGCCACACAATACCCCCACGCTAGACGGCCCATTTTCGCCGCCTCCATGGTGCCATTCACCGCTATTCACCTCCATTCTTTGCCATTCCCCGGCCCCAGCCGCACAGTCCCAATTGGCTATTCTCCTGCCTATTCCGGCGCGCCAACCCAATAGTGTTTACATCCTCGGTGCAGGATCCTGATGGCTTATTACGGATCACCTATCAATGCAGACACCCTGAACAGCATTTGGTACCAGTTCCACTCCACCACTCGTCACTCCTTAGCCACGGCCTGTCCAACGGTTGCCCCTGCATCTGGCCTTGCTGCCTCCAACGCCGAACAAACTGCAATACTCTGGAAACGTCATAGTCTCCACTGAATCAGCAAAAGTCTCCATTGAATCAGCCAAACTTTCTACTGATTCTGCCAAACTGCCATAGTCTGCATTCCCAACTGACATAGAATCGACTTCACCTTCGGAAGCATCCACAAATCACCCCAAACTCCCACAAATCTGCCCAACCACATCTCCACATGTCACGGCTCGACCTGATCCTCTCGTTCGTGGACGCCCTCGACGCCCGTTCTGACAGGCTCCTGGACTCCGTCGAGCAGTCCACCCAGCTCATTTCACGCATCATGGCCGCCAACGAACACGCAGCTCTGTTAGACTCACAAATCGACGACATCCGTGAGTTGATGGACACCAACTCGGCTCTGATGAGCCACTTCGGCAATTTGTACGAAAAGTCGTTCTATCTCGAGTCCAACATGCACGTCAACGATCACGTCACCAACCAGACCTCGTTCGAGACCCTCACCCAGGAGTACCGCTACTTGGTGGGAAAACTCCAGAAGAACGACATGTACTCGGGAGCCACAGCCAGCCATGAGACTCCCAGAGCTCCTCCAGGGCCCAAGGAGGACCAGATTCCAGCTTTGGTCACCAAAAGCTCGCTAGCTAACTTGAAATTAAAGCCCATCCGGTGCAACTCCAAAAGAGTCTACAAAAAGAAGTCCAGGTACAGACTATCAGGGTTGTTCAACATCAACCCCATCGCATACGACGACGAGGAGTCGAACTACACCAAGACGCCAACCTCGAGTCGATTTGGCGAACCGTCTCCGTACAAACAGAATGGGTATAGTGAAGTGGCATCTCCGTCAAGACAAAACGAGTATAGACACGAGACGAGAGAGTCACCGTCCAAGCACAACGAGGCTCAAGAGGCTTCATTGTCAAAACACAACGACTTCGGACACGAGAGCTTGGGAGAAATTTCTTCATACAACGACTACAGACACGAGAGCTTGGGAGAAATTTCTTCATACAACGACTACAGACACGAGATGAGAGAATCTCTGTCAAAACACGATAGACACAAATCCCAATTCGAGACATCTCCGTCAAAAGATAGACACTCTCCTGCCCAGCTCGAAGCTCTGGATATCTCCCATCCCCCCAGACAAACCAGCATAACCTCGGTGGAATCCAACGTGATGGAGAACATCGACTCCCAGCACCAAGACGACCACACTGTGGCCTCTTCACCATCGGAGGAGTACTCCAGCTTAGGTCTCCGTTTGCGATCCAATTCCTTGCCTGAAACTCCAGCTTCTGCCAACGTATTCACCCGACTGGGAACCATGAAGCACACCAACATCTTGTCTGAATTCGACACCGAGATTGCTGAAGAAAAGCTTCGCTTTCACAGGCTCAAGCATTTCATAACCTTTGGAAATTTGCAAGAAGGCGACCACTTTAAGCACTTGCATAACGACTACTCCAAGTCCCCTACCCGTCCTGTGGTGTCTGCTATCAATCTCGATGACCATACTGATTTTGACAACTTATCGATGGTATCGGACATTTCCGACTACTCGCCAGAACGAACAGACTCGGCATTCGAAGATGGAGAGTTGAACGACTTCGAAAAGTACCTCAGAGGGTCTCGATTCGACCTCAACAATGCATTTCCCCATTTGTACAAATCCAACTCGCAAGACAGCGTATTCCAAGCATACACCAGGTTTCCCCAGCCATCAGCACCGTCGTCATACAAATTCCACAACCCAGCAGAAAATATCCAGTTGAGCACTTCCAACACTGTGATGCCCACCATCGAACAGATCCATTTCAGCTCCCAAAGAACCTCGCGAGAGAGGGAGTCCAGCAAGGTAGAAGACCCCAAGAAGATCTTGAGCGATGTCATAATGAGGAACGACCAGTCCATCAAAAAACCGACTGTCTCTACCCCAGAGTCTTCACCTTCGAAATTGTCGAAGAACTCGTTTTCATTATTCAATTTCACGTTGAACTCACCCAAGAAACAGGCTGCTATATTTCCCGAAAGAAGAAAAAGCATAGATAACATAAGCAAGTCTTTGACTGACAGCTTTTTATCATTGGTTAATACGTCACAGTCCAAGTCTCATACTTCTACTCCCGAAAAGATACGGCAGTTGAAAATTCAGGCCAAAGAGGCAAAGCCCATCAGAATCAAGTCGGACTACCAGGTGAAGCGCATGCCCATCAGAATTCCTCGAAACGACGGTTGCCATTCCAAGTTGACTATTGGTCCAAACCACACAAAAGTCATAAATCACGGCGAGTCTTCGATGTTCAAGAAACCCTTGATCACGAAAATCAGTCATAATTCATTGAGGGAGGCCCTTTCTGGCAGTCTTACGTGATGGGCATTTGAGCTACCAGTGCTGGATACTGAGTAATGCTAGTGATTATTTCGACATATTATTGGCTCGCTACAAAGATGGGTATTCTAATTTATTTCAAGTTTTCTTCCTTCGCAACTATCGCATCTTCCCATTTCCCATCAGCTACTAATACAGTGCATTCCCTACTACCTACAACACTCCGTTGTGCATATACCCTCATCAGAGCTCAAGTTACTGTTTGGTTTCCAACTCAAGCGTATTGAGCAAGTGCATCTATTTTACATTAATATACATCATTAAAATTATAACTTCAGTCGGTAGGCAGAAGACTCATTCGAACTCTCCACTCATGAACAACTTCTTTCCCAGCTCTTTGGACATTTGCAAACTCTTCGCTATTCTTCTTTCCCTCAAGCTTGTAACCTCCTTTGTAGCGGTTTTGTTTCTTGACATGTAAGTAATAGAAGCCTTCGAGCCAGATGCCACTTTGTATTGTTTGCTGACAGTGACACCCGAGAATTGTTGTTTGCCGTCCTTAATTTGAACACGCTGTTGATCCTGGAAAGACTTAAAGGACTTGATTATGGAAGGCTTCTTGAACGAGGGCATGAAATCTTCATCCTCATCGGCATCGGTCAAGCTTGCTTCATCAATGCTTCTTTTTCTGGTGTCTTCTGCAAGAGGGCTTTCGGATCTAGTGCTATTCAAATAGCTCAAACTCCGTGCCTTCAACGAATGCAAGTCTTCGACTTCATCATCAGACTCAATGCCGTGCTGAAGATTGGATAATTTCTGGATCTTATGATAATTTCCATCTTCATCATTTCCTGAAACCAAGAAGGACAATTGTTTTTGAACGAAAGATTCTTCAATACGAATTGTTTTCTTTAGTGGTTCTTCCTCTACTTCCAGCTCTTTATCTTCTTCTTCTTCATCATCGTCCTTTTCCTTGATTTCTCCATCGTCCTTCGCTTCATCAACCTCATCGTCATCGTCATCCTCATCTAATTTGATTACTGAGTTGTTTTCTTGGATAGATGCGAAGAATGCCTTCATTTTTTCGTTTTTGGATAACGCCTGCAATTTCTTGTTTTTGGCCAATCTATCTTGTTGCTCCATAATCTTCTGTCTTCTGTAAGCAGCCAAAATTTGATCTTCTTCATCACTCAATTCAATATCGAACCCGTTTCCGGCTACCTTCTTAGTCAACCTGTGGTTTTTGATATCATCTAATAATTTTTCCAAGTCTTTTTTATCCTTGATCTGGTAATCCTCCATGAACTTTTTCCTGATCTCGTCATTTTTCAAGTCTATGTTAAAATTGTTATCAATCATTCTTTCATCCTCTGAATTAACTTGGTAATCTGATAATTCACCATCATCACCTCCTAAACCATGCCATTCATCTTCCGATTCTTCAGCTTCTCCTTCAACTATGTTCTTGATACCTTTTCTTTCCAATTCTTTTCTCTTTTTGCGCATTTTCAATTCTCGTTTACGGATTTTATCCTCATATTCTTTGATTCTTTGTTGAAGAAGCTCTGGATCTTCCTCGTTATCTTCCTGTTCATCCTCCTCTTCATGGTCGCCTTCTCTAATATTTTCTAGAATGCTCTTCATTTGTTCCCTACCCTTCTCCACGTTAGTTGGGTTGACTTCATCTATTAATTGAGTATGGCTATCATTCTGCGTGGGATCAACTTGAGTATGAGTGTCCACCTGTGTCTGTGTGCTTGGTTCACTTGCATCCTTGAAGTCAGGCAACAGTCTACCTAAGTTGACCGATTGTAACTGGCTAGACTCTTGAGAAAATGGCTGCGAAGATTTAACTCGTGGTTGCAAATTCTGGAATAGCTTGTATTCACTTTGGAGCTGGGATGGCCCGATATATTCTGGCCTTTGCATTTCGAATTGATCAGGGCGAACATCTGGAGATTCAGTAGTAATAAGATCTTCGTTTATCAAGGAGTCTTCATTTTGATTACCCCCAAACATGTAGCTGTCATCGTGTCTAACCGGTTGATCAGTCTCTTTTTCCTTAATTTGGGTAACTGCATCCTCGTTTTCGTCATCAGATATCACTAGTTTAGATCTTCTTGGCTTGAGAAGAGCTACTTCCCCCTCCTCATCAGCTTCATTATCATCATCGTCAGCTTCATTTTCATCGTCATCGTCATATTCTTCTTCATCGCTTTCAGGAACCTCGCTACCAACGTCACTCTCAGGAACCTCGCTTTCATCTGCTTCTTCTTCTCCTCTGTCTTGGCTTAATAAGGCAGCTTTTGCCCGTTCTCGCAACTTTTCTTGTTTACGAATTTTCCTGACTCTCTCCATTTCACATTCCAATAACGAACCCATCACCTCTTCGTCCTTTTCCATTTCAGCAAGTATTTCATGGTTAGGATTGGACAAATGGTGTGCTTTCAACTGATTGATATTAGCCTTTTTCAAACTATTTAAAAACAGGTTATGACCTCCAGCATTAGAGTCACTAGGATTCATGGGCTTATATTTACCGTACTTCTTTCTGGAAAACTTTTGTTTAACCATAAACTTTTCATATTTGGATAATTCGGGAATCTTCAATTCGGTAGATCTTGCGAACACGGTTGATTTGGGCTTTAATGGCGAGGAGTTCGATTCTATTAACTCAAGATCGGACTCAGAATCATCCAAGTTGATCTGGTGGGATTGGTTTTCTCCGGTAGGGGACGAGAGCAAACGTTTGAGATTATTGGCATATGCTTCTATTGGATTTCTTGACTGGGTAGGAGACATGGGAGGCACAATCTCCTTCGGTTTGAGGTTGGACACATCAAAGTCATCCGCCTCGATGCCTGGTTTGGATGCTGGTTTGAGAGGGGATGTGGTGGGGCTCGACTTCGCGTCACCCAAACCCAAGTCTTCTTGTTTCGAGTCATTGTCTTCTTCGTCACTGTCAAATGCTGATAAGAGTTTATCCTTGGTAAAGGTAATTTTCTTTTCGAACTGGGGTCTGATGTCCTTGTGACGTTTTTGGATGTTGATAAATTCCTCTGCTTGCTCCAATTGCTTGGTAGAAACGATATCCTTGAGCACAGAGGTGTCGACAACTGCATTTTCATCGTTTAAATCGTTCTCCTCATCCGTGAGAGTTGTATGCGAGATATCGGCTTCCAATTGCTTTTCTCTTTCCAACCTTGCCAACTTCTTTTGTTCAGCAAGCTCGGCAATACGAGCAAGTCGTTGTTCCTTAGTAAGTGGTTTCGTCATTACCACCTCATCCTCGTCGTCTTCTGGCTCGAACAACGAGTTGATTCTGGGCTGGGCGTCTGGAACTTCAGTATGTGAGGTTTCAATGGTTTGGGTAGCATCATAGTGCTCGCTGATCGGTTGGGTGGTCTCTGGAACCACTTGGGTAGGTTCCACAGCTATTTGGGTGATGGCCTGAGTGGAATCGAGTCTTTTTTGTGTGATATCATGTCCTACCGCCTGGGTGTCGTCTATTTGCTGAGTCTCGTTTATTTGCTGAGTCTCGTTATACTCCGACTCGTCTATCGCCAACTGAGGTAATCTTTGGACTTCAGTACCTGCTCCTAGTCCGAGAATGGATGCTCCAAGAGAAAGGCCATTCAAGTCGGAGAACTGCTCACTATCGCCCTCGATCGGCTGGGTATCGTGTGGCTCGTCTTCCGGCGTTTTGCCTTGCAATCTCTGTTGGACTCGGGATAAGATGGATAAATGTTCACTGCCTAGCGTGTTTGAAATCGAGTTCAAGTCAATGTTGAGGCCATTTGTGTTGGACTCGTCTTCCGAGTCCGAGGCCAACGGCTTTTGGAACAGCGTCACGTCGTCCAATCCGTCTAAGAGGTCCATGGTGGGAGATGTTGGAAGAATGTAAATGCTAGAGAATGATATGATAGAGATGAATTAACGCGTACCGACGCGGTCGCGTCTGAAGTTCCGCGTGATCTCCAGTCACGTGACATCTCCTTTCGTGTCTGGGGTCCATACTACACCAGCCTGCCACTGAGGTGGAGTCGTGGTGCCGAGGAAGGCGCTACTGTGTCCTCGCAGGTGCAACGACTAGCCATCCAATCAGAATCCGGCATGCTACGTTTTTCCATTCTCTGTTTTTAGCTATTGTGTATTTGTGAAGCCCATCCTTGAGGCAAAGCCTGGCAGTTGCAAAAATCCAACATAAATATGATGCGAATCGAAGTAAGAGTAATTAATTGTGTGGCTTCATCAGAAAGCCTCGAGTTTGGCGTGGTAGATAAAGTCAGATTTGTGGGATAATATCACACGCAATTCGCAAAAATGACGGTTAATGGCTGGGACTCATGTGATGGGTCCGGCTCGTGTAATCCACCCAAAATGTCCATAGATGTGCGTTTACGGGGTTTCGATCAGATTTGTCGTATTCGCGCTATCCTTCTCGCTATTATGTAGCCTTACAGGGTACAGAACCAATGCAGTGGTGGTTCATAAGTATTACATTGTGTGCGTCAAATCTGATTCTTTCGTCATCTGAAATGTAGTCGATACGCCATCAAGGATGGTAGTCGATAATGGTGCTATGAGGTGTAGAAATTCATTAAAGAACAAACCAACAACTCTCTGGGGTCCAATCGATGTTTGTAATCATGTAGTGCTGAAAAATTCACAGAAGATTACAATTTAACATCTGCCCCAGCCGAGATCTTTCAGAAATAATGAATTAGGGAATTGCTCAAAGGGCCAGCACCGGATGTAAGGACATTAAAGAAAAAACAATAAAAGACAAAGGAAATTAATAGATGTATCAATACGAATCCAGGATGTTTAGGAGATATGTCTACAGCGTAGCTTGTAGCAAATGAATCAATATAATTATAAAAAACAAGCTTGTACAGGAATGCCAATAATGCCAATATTTTATATACTAGCTTATAGGAGATGTAATGATAGTAATTTAGAAATCTCAATATATATTAAACAGATGTAGCATGATAGTTGTCAGGTAAATCAATGTAGCATGATAGAAATGATAATTATAGAATCATCAGATACACCTTATGATAGACTATTCTTATATATAGTAATCATCAGATACACCTTATGATAGACTATTCTTCTATATCAGATACACCTATGAGATAATAATAGTACGCAATTAGCTGTAATGGTCACTTACCTTCATACCCTGCCCAACGTGCTGCTTACAAGTGGCGAAAATTATTGCCTTACTCCAGAGGCCGTATTTATACAGAAACGTCCTTGTTCACCTACTAGCCACACGGAGAGTTAATTCCGAAGTCGATAAAATAATTAGCAAAAATTAATACATAGTCAGATACTACTATTTGACACCATTCTTACATAGACAGGATTACTACTATATGACACCATTGCCGTTACATAAATTATCAGCGTTACTGCTTATGACACCATTCTTGCCCTCTTAATTTGACACCATTTCCGCTATAATTAGAAAACGTTACTACTATTTGACACCCTTGCGGGTGTTACATAATTACATTGCCGATATTACATAATTAGACCCATCTAATTAGACCCACTTCGGTATTACATAATTAGACATTACACCCTTTGACACCTCCTAATCAAACCAACAGGGCTTCCCCTTTTGGTGTTACCCAACACGGGCCCGCCTCCGATCGTATAGACGCATTTCACATGCACAACTCGTCACGTGTAATAACAGAATCGCCAACGAGTCAACGCCCTGAAAAAATTGCCCCAAATCGCATCGCCAGTGACGAGCCCGGACCTACCACGGTGGTGGGCCTGCACACACCCCAACTCGTGGTATATCCATGTGTGGCTCCATCGATCGTATAAATACTCGAGAAAAATCCTGTTTTTTCAAGCTCTTCAACATTACTATCCCGTGTAAGATGTCCGTTGAAAAGTTCCTTTTTACCTCTGAGTCCGTTGGTGAAGGCCACCCTGACAAGATCTGCGACCAAGTGTCGGACGCCATTCTTGATGCTTGTTTGGCAGTGGATCCATTGTCCAAGGTTGCTTGTGAAACCGCAGCCAAGACTGGGTTGATCATGGTTTTCGGTGAAATCACCACCAAGGCCCAATTGGACTACCAGAAGATCATCAGAGACACCATCAAGCACATTGGCTACGACGACTCCGAGAAGGGTTTCGACTACAAGACCTGTAACGTCTTGGTTGCCATTGAACAGCAGTCTCCCGACATTGCCCAGGGTTTGCACTACGAGAAGGCCTTGGAAGAGTTGGGTGCTGGTGACCAGGGTATCATGTTCGGTTACGCTACCGACGAAACCGACGAGAAGTTGCCTTTGACCGTGTTGTTGTCCCACAAGTTGAACGCCGAATTGGCTTCTGCCAGAAGATCTGGTGCTTTGCCATGGTTGAGACCTGACACCAAGACCCAGGTCACTGTCGAGTACCAGAAGGACGGCGGTGCTGTGATTCCTTTGAGAGTCGACACCATCGTCATCTCCACCCAGCACGCGGAGGAAATCACCACCGAGAAGTTGAGAGAGGAGATCCACGAGCACATTGTCAAGAAGGTGATTCCTGCCCACTTGTTGGACGACAAGACCGTGTACCACATCCAGCCATCCGGAAGATTCGTCATTGGTGGCCCTCAAGGTGATGCTGGTTTGACTGGTAGAAAGATCATTGTCGACACCTACGGAGGCTGGGGTGCCCACGGTGGTGGTGCTTTCTCCGGTAAGGACTTCTCCAAGGTCGACAGATCCGCTGCCTACGCTGCCAGATGGGTCGCCAAGTCGTTGGTCAACGCACACTTGGCCAGAAGAGCCTTGGTTCAATTCTCGTACGCCATTGGTGTCGCCGAGCCATTGTCCATCCACGTCGACACTTACGGTACCTCCAAGTACTCCTCTGAAGAGTTGGTGGCCATCATCAAGAACAACTTTGACTTGAGACCAGGTGTCATTGTCAAGGAATTGGACTTGGCCAGACCAATCTACTTCAAGACTGCTTCCTACGGGCACTTCACCAACCAAGAAAACCCATGGGAACAACCAAAGAAGTTGAAGTTCTAATTTCCGAACGTGAAAAACGGAGTTTCTTCTATTTTTGTTCCACCTATAATACTTATTGATTAATGTAATGACTCAAACAGACGAATTCGAAGTTCTTCGTCAAAGGGCCAACGCTCAACTCGTTGGTTCTAATTATGAAATTTTTATATCAACCATTCCCCCACATTCACCGACAACCTACCAAACTGAATCATCTCCATTCAATTGTTTAATTGTGTTAATAGCTTATACTTCAAAACTGGTTTACCTCATCTTTGTTACTTATATTTTTTTGAAAACGATAGAGTTTTTTATTGCATTAATTAGGGTGTCCTCAACGGACAATTAAGGTTATTTCTAGACTAGATTTAATAAATTTAGATAGCTTTACGAGTGTAGCGCGAGGGGTGATGAACTTCTGCAACTTAAACTAATGGTTTACGTTAATATGGTGATTGTGAAATTATTAGTAGAATAGTTAGCTAGATTTGAGTTGGCTGGAAGGACTCCTAAGCCATACACTTTGTTTTCTAGTATATATTCATTTTCTATTACTATGACTTCTCTTGGCTTCTAGTATAATCTATTACTTGAAAGGCAATGGGATAAGCGCAGGATGCTTTCTGTCTTTGATCGTTTCTGGAGTTTGATTTTCTGTAAATGGAGCTTCTCAGTTGGACAAGGAGTGTTTTTTGAAATTCGGATAGTGACTCTCCCATATCTGCTGCATTCTTGTATTTGCGGCAAGGTTGGCACGTATCCAGCAATTAAGGCTAAACCAGTAGAAAAGTGACAACTTGCCTATCCGGGAGCTGTCCGCTTGAGCCTGGATTTTTCACCATTATGAAGGCAGTAACTTCCAGCTTATTTCACCTTCCATCAGCCAATTTCAATGCGAGTTCACCTGGTTCAGGCGCCTGTCTCAACAGCTATGAACAATATCCTATTTTGATATTCTTCTTCAAATCACCAATCTCCAGTAATCACAACTATTATTGTAGTATTCTATCCGCAAATAAAAATATGATGTCCATTTAACGCAATCGACTCTCACAAAAAGTCCCTTCACCACTCTATAATTCGCCCCAAGTACCCCAAATGCTCAATCTACTGACCACTACTCCATGGCATCCAACGGGAGGTGCGAGTTTGCATCCAACAACGAGTGGAAGTAGTGAAAGTAGCCCCAAATTGCAAACACAATCCCAATAAAACTGCCAAACGCCACGTCAAAGAAATGGTGTCTGTAGTCCTGGGTCCTACTCAAGGCAATGTAGGCAGCCAACAACAACGGCGAGCAGAGCACAAGCCACAAGGCCACTGGGCGCGAGGTGGTTTTGGACTCTAACAGGTTCAACAATTTGTACTGGCCCAACAACCACAACGTCAAGTAACCCAAGCCAGCGAATGCCAACGACGAGTGTCCGGAAGGTGTGGACTTCAACCCTTCCACCACGGTGCCTTGGCCCATGGGAGCTGTGCACACGTCGAGACCAACCAAAACATGGGCAGGAGTGGACGCAGCAGCGCCACAGCGCTGAAGGAAGTCAGGACGATGGTTTCCGATCAAGCACTTCAAGATATCAGTGACCACTGAGGTGATGACTGCCGTGAACCAGAGCCCCACGCTCGACACCTGGATGAGATGGAGTCTGTCGAGCTGGGACGAGGCATTGACCACAGAAAGCACCACCAACACCACACTGGGCACTATGACGGCCCAGAGGTACAATTGCACGTCGTTGACGCGTTCCACCACGGCAAATGGGTGGGAGATGGACTGGTCAGAAATGGAAAACTGTCTGATGAACGGAGTGGCGTGCTCCAAGTAGCCAAAAAACACCACGAGAAGCACCACCGTGGTGGCCCAGTCCGGGAGGTATGTCTTAAACTTGGTGGACGCCAAGTACATTTTGAATTGCATGGTTGGATGTTGAAGGTGATGATGATGTTGATACGATTTATTCGCGGGAGAACGCTAGGGCGAGATGGCGGTGGAAGGCCACGAGGTGGCCCCCGCCGGGCGGTACCGCGGGGCGGGCAGCGGGGGATTTAGCGGGGGGTGTAGCGGGAGCTCGTGGTGGTGCGGCAGCGTATGCGCGGGATCCGCGACTGCTGGTTAGGGGAAGTACAGGTGATGGGACAGAGGTGGTAGGAGAAGGAAGTGCCTGGTGAAGACATGGACTAAAATATCCAACGTGATGCAAAATGACGTTGTTGGTTCTACCGAGTGTTCGTGGGTAGAGGAATGTCGGAGACTTCCAGACGGTGAACGACAACGAGTATGCAATGATTATTACAGGGATGAATTATCTAGAAGTATTAAGTATTGTAAAATTTGACAATAGCTACAGCATGTAAGTACTATTACAACGATGATTTATAGCGGTGAAGTGCGGATGTTTATCGTATTCTCTGGAGATTTACCTCCAGGAACACGTCCACTTTCACCTCTACCAGACAGAGAAGTAATTTATCCGAAAACCACCGGAATCACCAAACCCCCCGAGAGTTTAGCAGTCACTTCGTAGTGTTAGCTATGCGATTGTCGTGGCAAAGAATTAATCATCCTATCTCTCGCTGAATTTTACTTCATTTGGCCAATTATCCGATCTGCAGAATTTCCTTTTTTAGTTGATTTTGCCGTAGCCGTGGATTTATTCGGGTAGGGCTGAAAAGGTGGATTCGTGGTTAGTACTATTGCTTGAAGTGGCTCAGTGATAAGCCTCAAAGCAGCTTGACAATACTAGGAAGTTTTCCCAAGTAAAGTGGTTTGAGTTTGGTGGGATAATTAGTAATAAATCTAGATAGATTAGAGCAGATCTCTGCACCAGCGAATTTACTCCCTAGTACTACTCGGTCTGGCTGTTGGTAGTATTCGATCCAGATTACATCGGCCTGTGATGGTAACTCATAGATTTTTAGATGCAATATTCGACCAATAGTAGCAGGTCTATTAGTACTAGCGATGACTAGCTAATTATCAGATCCAGCTTTACTTCGAGTTCTAGTAGCAGAACTGTATTTTATCCAGTAAAATTTCAAGTCTAGTATGCCAAATAATCTGTGGCAAACCCTGTAATCGTTCAAGTAAAGAGACTGCCTTCTCCAACGTGAGCTCCATAGTTACAAGAATTTTGGTAATTAATCACCTCTACAGTTTGATTTTGAATTGCTCGTTCTATTAAACTACACGAGTTATAATTGAAGCCTTTAAAAATGAAATTAAGATGAAATGAATGTAAAAGTAGGAACGAGGCTATAAGACGCTTAGTTGTCTTCTTGCTTCAAGTCAGAATCGTAGGATTCTTGAGTAGCAGAGTATCTGTCTCTGGACAACTTGGTGGAGTCAACTTCACCGTGGTACTTCTCACAGATTTCTTCCAAGGTCATTCTCTTGGTTTCTGGGACCAACAAGGTGGTGAAGATACCAATCAACATGAACAAGGCGAAGATTTCCATGACGTGAGGCAAGAAACAGTTCTTCTTCTTACCGTCTCTGGCACAGTTGTGGTTGATCAAAGTACCAATACAGGTTTGGGCAATGATGGCACCAACCTTACCGGAAGCAGCAGAGATACCGTGAGCGGTGGATCTGTATCTGGTTGGGAAGATTTCACCTGGGGTGATGAAGGTGGTGGTGTTAGGACCGAAGTTTTGGAAGAATTGGGCCAAGACGTAAAGGGCCAACAATCCGTGTTCACTCAACTTGTGGTAACCGAAACCGATGGCACACAACAAGATGGTCAAGATGATGAAACCACCGAGTTGGATAGGCTTTCTACCGACAGTGTCGACGGTGGCAACGGTGAACCAGTAACCTGGCAAGGAACCGGCACAGACCAAGATCAAGTTACCAGCAGCAGTGTTGTACAATCTGTCGTAGACGGAACCGGTGGAGGCGTAACCAATGGCTTGCAAGATGACAGCGGTGTTCAAACCCAAACCGTAGTAAGCAACATCCAACATGAACCAAGAACCAGCAGTACCGAGCAAAATCTTACCGTATCTCCATTGACCGAAGTGTCTCCAGAAGTCTCTGAAAGAGGCCTTTGGTGGGGCAATGTCTTGGGCAGCGTTGTCAAGAACGGCTTCGACGTCAGCAACCTTTTGGATTTGGTCACCTTCTTCGACATCGAGGGAGTATCTTGGAGACTCAGCAATGGTCAATCTGTAGTACAAGGCAATACAACCTGGGACACAGCCGAATCCCACTAAGACTCTCCACATCTGGTCACAGGCCTTAGCACAGGCACCCACACATTCCTTACCGGTCTTGGCGTGTTCCAAGTCACCCTTGTAGGCAGCAACCAAGATGATGGAGACGATACCAGCGAAAACTTGACCCAAACCTTGGTTGGAGAAAACGGCGGCCATGATGGCACCTCTCCACTTGGTGGTGGAAAATTCGGAGGAGATAATGGAAGACAATGGGTAGTCACCACCGATACCGATACCCATGATGATTCTGAAGGTGGCAAGGATGGCAACGAAACTGATGGCTGGGGAGCTTCCCAAAGTACATTGGAAAATGGTAGCGAAAATCATGATGATCAACTCCAAACCGTAGATCTTCTTTCTTCCGACAATATCGGCCAAGGTACCGAAGGAAAGCTGACCAATGACAGTACCAACGGAAGTAGAAACCTTCAAGAGGGTGTTGGTGGAGTCTGGCATGGCACCAGCCCAGTAGACGTAGGACATCATGGTGATACCCAAGTTGATGGCGAAAATATCGTAGGAGTCAGTCATGAAACCAACACCAGCAATCAAAATCATCTTGATTTGGGTCCAGCCAAAGCCAGCGTTGTCGATTTCCTCCAAGGCCAATCTTCTTCTTTCCAAGGGGTCTTCGATGTGAGCAAACTTCTCGACATAGTCCTTGAAGGCGGTCTTACCACCGGCAGAGTTTTCTTTGTAGACAGGAGATTCGATGTCAGCCATTGTAGGGAACTTGTTGGTTGGAATGAGGAGGAAGAATGGGGGGAGGCTTCGGTTTTATACTCTGGCAGATAACTGGCACAGGATAGGTGCAGGTAATTTTGGAATATTAGGAAAAGAAATGGGATCTCGTGGGCGGGTTCTGTCTGCAGCGTAGCGGCGCATGGGTTATTGTAACGGCATTTTACAGGGCGATATGCAGCCGTATCTGAGGATCGCAGCTGGGGGGTGAGAGGATGGGAGGGACGCTACACCAAGGCCAGGACAGCCATCCAGACACCGGGACCAAGGGTCTGTCTGTCTGACACATCACCGAAGGTCTGGGCACCGTTTTTTTTCCTGGCATCGCATTGACAGCCTGTGGGTTGGCGGGCCAGAATTCATTGGCATTGCCCAGCCATGGTTGATTGCATGAGACCATTTGGGTGCGAGCGTCCCCTGCACCGCATCGCAGGCCCCACGTGTGTAATTTTGCAACTGGTGCAGCCCACGTTGGCTGGTACGCGCACGCCCCACGTGGAGGTGGCGCTTTTTTGTCCTTGCTGGGCAGGTGGTCACAAGAGGCTACGGGCCCACCCTGCGAGGCTCCAGCACCATGGTAGGTGCGGGGTGGGCCTCATATCCGCAATGGGCTATTACTGATAGCGGGCTATGGTGGCTGTCGGTCCCCGTGGGCCACTAGCACGGCCCCCTGGCCAGGACTTGCTCTCCACGATAAGCGGCACGTGCAGCTCTCTGGCAGCAGCCGTCTGCCAACAGGCACGCTGCACATGCAGCTGCCGTTGCAATTGTAGTGTCTGCGCGATCTGATCCGCAGCTCCACGGCCTGGCGCTAGCGAATGTTCGCTCCCGACAGTAGGCCGACGGCGATTACCATCTTTGTGTCGGGGGATCCGAATAGACTGATTGTCTAAGTGGGCTGCATCGGCTAACGGGGCCAGTGCCGCAGCACCAGCGACCACTAATGTCACTGGAGCTAACGTGGGCTATTACTCCATTAGCGAGCACTACAGACACGGGGGTTGTGGGGCAGCCTGGGTTAGAAACCCCCTCTATTTCCGCTGGGGTGCACGACACCGGACTTAGCGAGGGCTGCAGCGATGACCTTCCAGCAGACCTTTTGCTGTCACTTGGGGGGGTGAGCCATTGTGGGGGTGAGAGCTGGGCCAATTGGCCAGTTAGCAAAATGGGAATGGTTGATGGGTGCACGCGCGGTTGATGAGGCAGGCCTGGCTGATGAGGCAGCCGCTGCCAATCGATGGACCGACTCGCCGTGGCCATCCCTGCGATTGAAGCCCTCCTACCGACCCCGTGGTCTTGTGAGCACCCCGTGCACTGAGAGTCATTTACACCGTATTTTGGAGCCATTTGTCAGACGCACGCACCAGGTGGGTGCAAAAGTGTCCAGGAAGTCTAACCCCGACGCCATCTGCTAATTACAGACAGATCACTAAGGGTGCACATGGATCTGGCACGCATTGTTGCCAATCCGTCAAAAGTGGCCTATGTGCAACTGAACGCAAAATACGACTGACATTAATAATCAGCCCCCCGGGCGATAACGCGCCGCACAGGTGCCCGGGCCCGAAAAGAAATACGACAATCTCGTCTATGCAGAACCACCACGTTTTTCGCAGTCAGCGAGGCTTATTAATCCAACAAGTGTGCACGCCGATCTCCCGGCGAAACCTGGCTTCGATTGACAACCACCAGGAGCAAACACGATCATGGATCGGCGATTGAAAACCCAGCGCCAGTGAGCCGCAACCCGTGAACCACCTACTTTGAACCACATTGCCTTGAGCCGTTTCACTTTTCAGTCTTTGCCCCGCCGGATATGTGCTGCATGCGTGTACGGCCCACCCCCCAAACGTCAACCCACGGGGTGCCTGGCGGGCTATGATCCCTCCTGTGACACACGCACCATGCAGCCTCCCGTGACACACGCGCCATGCACCCATCCTCCTCTCGCTCCACCACTCATATATATCCACCTCGCCATCCTCCGGTCTCGTGACCGCTCGATCCCAGATCGACGCGACATTGCGTCCGCGACATTCGCGCGGTGGCCATCATCAAAAACCACATCCACACAATAACACACCAAACTACTCATCATGGCTCGTACGAAACAGGTCAGAGCCGTGGCCATCTCCGCGTTCTTCGTGCTCTTGGTGTTTGTGTTGTACACCTCAACTACGTCGCGCTCCGCTGCAGTCGCTCCCGCTGGCGTCCCTACCGCCAAAAGTCCAGTCGATGCGTCCAGTCTAATTGACTCCACCAACGACGACAAGCTCGACGCTGCCATCAACAACGAGATCGCCAAGCTGCAGGGTGAAGTAGCCGATCCCAAGAAAGTCGATGCCAAAAAACCTGCTGCTGGCGCCGTTGACAAGCCTGTGGCCGCCAAAGGCGACTCCACGCCAGACGACAAGAAGGACGACGCCATCACCAACGTCAAGGTGGATCCAAGCAACCCCAACTCGCCCACGGTGTTCGATCCAGCTGCCGAGTTGAAGCTCATCCGGTCGATGTCACCTATCACCATTTTCTCCAAGACGTTCTGTCCGTTCTCCAAAAAGCTCAAGGCCCTCTTGAAAGAGAACTACGAGATCACGCCTGCGCCCACAATCGTGGAGTTGGACAAGCATGCGCACGGAGTCGAACTCCAGGCGTACTTGGCTGAGATCACCACCCGCAGAACCGTTCCCAACGTGTTGGTTGGGGCTTCCAGTGTGAGCAGAGGAGGAGCCGACGATTTCGTGGCCTTGCACCGTGACGGCGAGTTGGTGAACTTGCTCTTGGAGTGGGGCGGCAAGAACTTGATCGTACGCAAGAATGATGCTCCTTCCAATGTGTGATAGGGTTGTACAATGGAGATATTTTGGGAGTTAGTTAATGACGGTTCAACTGATAGACGTTCTAATGTATGGTTTACGATGGCTCGACTGATGTAGGCATGTCCAGGTAATTGATACAAAGAAGTAATGAAGCATGTTTAATTGATAATATTAGTTTTTACGGTTACTCAAGTAATAAATAGCTAATTGAGATGGGCAGACCAGGATGATTTGTTATAATGAAACGAGTTATTTGAGGTGGGAAGAGCAGTACACTACAATTACATTTATCAAATAATGAAAAATTGAGATGAACTTCGTACTTAATTAGGTGAAGCTCCCGTCAATTAATTGTGGGTCCGAGACCTGATATTAAATTTGAATTAGGTCTACTTTCTTATTTGAGATCAGAGTTTCCAGAGGCAATATATTCTATTCCTTCCACAAATACCGTTCAAATACTTATTTGAAAGGAGGGATATAACTTCATGTATTAGTCCGCCAATTTCGGGCTCTTTAAGATTTGCTACCACCCGAATAGGCTACCAGACATGCAACAATTTGTAGATCTTGAGAAATTAGATTTTTGCTGAAATTTGGCATTTTTCGACATTTTTACTATAAAAATTCCATTCCAAAAAATTCTCCAATGAATTGTTTTCTTGCAAAACCAATTGGCAGCTTAATTATTGTCTTTATGCGGGCTTGAATCGCTCACTGTATGTAATTCTTTCAAACTATATAGTCATTGGGGTCGCTGCAAAAATTTGCAGTTGATTCCCTTTTCATTCTCAGCCAGAAATTCAGTATTTGAACCTTAAAAAATTGCACCAAGCTCAAAAATAAGATGTGAAGCCGCAACAACATTTAGAATAAAGATACACTACATGTATGGAAAAGAAATGTTGTAGCTGAGTTACCAATTAAACAATCATAGGTAGTGGCCGAATTTTTTTTCTGGTCAAGGGCTCTTCTATTAATGAGCTTACTACTAGTAATGGCTGTTATTTTATAGAGACACGCTGGAGTACAATTCACTCCTTGTAGTATGAAAAGCTAAAACTAGTGTAGCCAACGGGACTGAATTGACAAGTTCTGGAATGTATATGGAATAATTTATCTGGTCGGAAACTGAAGTGTATTTCTTGCGATGTATACGGAACCATTGTGCTCATAATTCCGCAGTATTTCACAATATATCCTTGAAGTCTGCAGATGCAAACTATGAAATAGACCAGTATCTGGTCCCTACAGCCCCTTGGGGTCGGTCAGACTAATGTAACATTAAAAGATACCCTAATAAAACATATATATATTGTATATTAGATACCAAGGTACTTAGAACTTGGCGAATTGCTTGGACTTGGAAGCAGAGACGGCAACCTTCAAGACGTTGAATCTAACGGTCTTGGAGATTGGTCTACATTGACCAACAGTGACGACATCACCTTCTTGGACACGGAAAGCTGGAGAAACGTGAGCAGCGACGTTCTTGTGTCTCTTTTCGTATCTGTTGTATTTTGGAACGTAGTGCAAGTAGTCTCTTCTGATGATGATGGTTCTGTGCATCTTGGTGGAGACAACAGTACCGGTCAAAATCTTACCTCTGATAGAAACGGTACCGGCGAATGGACACTTCTTGTCGATGTAAGTACCTTCAATGGCGGCCTTTGGGGTCTTGAATCCCAAACCGACATCCTTATACCATCTCTTGGTCTTTCTGTTGGCCTTGGCCTTTGGGTTGGTGAAGATGTGACGTTGCTAGAATGTTAGTATAGACTCGAGAGAGATCACAGGGACGAGGAAGCCAACGAAAGCCTGGCATTGGTGAAAAGTTGATGCTTGGAGTTTGCACTGCACTGTGCCTTGCCACTGGGCATGTTGGAGCCCTCCACTGGGAGATATTGTCTTTGGATGGGATGTTTGGGCTATGGCTTCCTCCGTCGATAATTGTGATGGGCCATCCACCGGACGTCCGTGTGGAGGAATGGATGATTAGGTACGAACCTTTTGGAAAGCTCTTTCAGATTGAACAGTTAATTCAGTAGCCATCTTGTCTTACTTAGTATGCTGAAGTTGAACAGAAGTAGTATGAAAATTTTTTTAAAGGTGATTTTTTCAGTGGTTGGAGCGGATGGAATGGTACAGCGAGGGTGGTAAGGGGTCACGTGAGCGCGCCTGGGACCGAGCGCGGGTGGTGTGCAGGAGGCGGGTGGCGTGCATGGGCTAGGGCAGTAGCCCTAGTAACGTGACCAGCCTGGATGGGTGGGAGTATCAGGTGACGATAGCACATTATTGTGTGGGGGGGCAGTATTTGGAACCATTCTGGTGTTCTGGCGTGGCTGTGGATTATGCCTGTGAAGTAGATACTGTACAGTTCTGTAGATATTCCGGTAGTGTCATCTTTACCACCATTGATGTTGAGGGTCTGCTGGAATATTCGTGGGCCTCATTAGTTCATTTCTACAGCTAGGCCGTTTGATGCTAATATCGTATTGCGAGGGCAGCGTTCGATAGGTGCCCCACCTGAGTCTTCCACCCGATTCTTCCTCATGCATAGTTCCACTTAGTATATATAAGTGTGTCACTTTACTACTCGCTAATACTTCTCTCTCATACTTCTACAAGATACTTCCCCTAATGCTTCCATGTGGTTGCAAAATAATTGGGATCTAACATTCAGAAGGACGACATTCACCAATTCGTGCCTACATTTTCCACTTAATGTATGGCTCTGCGAGCCTTTCTTCCTGGTCAACTGTCAGCTTTCGTCACCTATGACATCGGCGATATATTAGCTTGCGATAGAAGTATTAATTAATTACTCATTTGTGTCGATTCATTTCTATCGAAGCAAAACCCAGTCAGTAGATCTTCCTTTGTCTGTGACTGCATGCGTATTCTAGGACATAACACTTGGTACTGAAAGTAAGGAACATCTATTTAATACTCAGTCTACCATACTCAGTCTACCATACTCAGTCTACCATACTCAGTCTACCATACTCAGTCTACATCATTCAACCATACTCGGTACTACACAAATTACCCTCCTATTCTACACCCACACCACAATTCTTCACCCCCCCCACCACAGTACTGCCCCGAGCAATTACCCGATATTTATCTCCCGACCTCACCCTTTCCCATCCCTATTGCTTCAGCGGTCCCACCCTCGCGCGCTCCCCCACACACTGCCCGATGCGGCAGTCAACACGCACTACCATCAACATCCTTATCAAAATACTGCAAGAATATCCAACCCCCCATGGCATGAATCCCAACACCTCCGGCAATGCGTCCATCTTGCCCAAGCCCAACCGCATCCCGTCCTCGCACGTGCCTGACCACACCGTCAGCTTTGCCAACGATTCCATCTACAACTCCACCAGAACCATCAGCTCCTCATCCGCGTCAATGATGAGTACTCCCAGCAACAACATACGACGGCTTCAGCGCCAGCAATTGGCCCAGCCAGACCTCCAGCAGTATCAACAGTCATCCAACCGTCCAGCACAACATCCCAAGAAGAAGGAGATTTCTCACAAGTCGTCCAAGAATGGGCGGCTAATCAAGACCAAGTTGCTAAACTTGCACCAGTCACAGAAGCGGTCGATCGACAAAGCATACGGCGATAGTGGTGATGGTGAAGGTGATAACGGCATTTACGACGTGGAGGTGGATCCCAGCCACCCCAACCAGTCGGTTCCCAGCTTCATTCTCCACAAGCCCATCAACATGAACAGCTACGACTACTCGGTGTTTACCAACTACCCGGACGGAACCGACCTCCAGCACGGCGAGCACTTGCCGCCAGCAGTCAAGGAGTCCCAGATCAAGGCGTGGGAGTCGGCAGAGAAAATCAGTCGTAATGTGATCTTTGGCGACGCCAGTGACTCAGACGACGGTGAGTCGGATGTCGACCACAACCCAGAATCGGCTCCCTACGTCACTTACCTTCCAGGGTACAGCCGCGAGGAATGGAGTGTAATTCTGAGCGTGTACAACGAACTACAGGCACGACTGGGCGGGTCGTTGGCGTCGATGGCGCTGGAGGAAAAGAACCAGCTCCACGAGCTCAAAAAGAAGATTCAGGCCAACCACGAGCGCCTTCTCTCCCAAACCCACGCAATCTCTACCCGAAGACAGGTCCAGATCACCCAGAAAAAGGAGCTCTTGAACAAGATGTTCGGGTATGCCAACAACTTGAACCGCGAGTACATCACCAACAACTCGCTCTACTCGGCATTGGACAACTCCTCGAACATCCAGAAGACGTTTCACGAGGATAAGGAGGAGGTATCGTCGCTCCTAGCTGAAGACTCCGCCTACACAGCTGCGTTGATGGAAACTGCCCAGCGATTGGCAGAGTCGTCTGCCAGCGGAATTCCCGCTAACGACGACGACGAGGCCTTTGACTACGACACTTACCACAGGGTGGTGTCTCAGAAGCTAGACGAGATCTACGACGCACATCTGGAGGTGGAACGGTTCCACCCAGACCACGCTGCCTCCAACGGAGAACTCCAGCAGTTCGCCACCGCCTACCTACGCCGGTGTCTCCACAACGACTCCGACGAGGTTGCCACCACTGCCCCCTAACCGTTCAATTGTGCTCGGTAATTTCCCCCATGCACAAGCAAAACGCACCTCCGCACGACTCAACCTGATTAGAAATAATACCCACCACATTATGCTAACCAATCCCGCCAGACATCTCTTCAGACAGTCCACATCGCGGTTACAATCAATCAACAGACACTTGTCCACCACATCAATTAACATGGCTCCTACGTCTTCCCTCAACAAATTCGACTACTTAGTCATTGGCGGTGGCTCTGGAGGAGTTGCATCTGCCAGAAGAGCCGCCAAATACGGTGCCAAAGTGTTGGTGATCGAGGCCAATTTCAACAAGTTAGGAGGCACCTGTGTCAACGTGGGGTGTGTTCCCAAGAAGGTGATGTGGTACGCTGCAGATGCTGCCCACAAGAAGCACCACCTCAAGTCGTACGGATTGTCCCAGGGCGACGACGAAGTCAAGTACGGCGACTTCGCTTGGGGCGCTATCAAGGAAAAGAGAGATGCCTACGTGACCCGTTTGAATGGCATCTATGAAAGAAACTTACAGAGAGAGGGCGTCAGCCACTTGTTTGGAAGAGCCAAGTTCATCAACTCCGCAGGTGACGTCGAAGTCACCTTGACTGGAGACCAAGAAATCAAGTTTTTGGAAGAGGGAAAGACCTTCCAAAAGGACGAAAAGCTCGTTTTCTCGGGTGAACACATCTTGATTGCCACCGGAGGCGCTCCTATTGTTCCTCCTGATGTCGAGGGTGCCGATTTGGGTATCACTTCCGACGGCTTTTTCCAATTGGAATCGCAACCAAAGTCTGTAGCTGTTGTTGGAGCTGGCTACATCGGAGTTGAATTGTCAGGTATTTTCCAGAGTGTTGGTTCCGAAACCCACTTGGTCATCAGAGGCGACACCGTTTTGAGAAGCTTCGACGACATCATCCAGAATACCATCACTGACTACTACACCGACAAGTTAGGAGTCAACGTTGTCAAGAAGTCTGGTAGTGTCACGAAGGTCGAAGGCACAAAGGACGGTAAGAAGAAAGTCCACTTGGGCAATGGCCAGGTGTTAGAAGTCGACACTTTGGTATGGACTGTGGGTAGAAAGGGATTGATTGACCTTGGCTTGGACTTGGTCGACGTCAAGATCAACTCTAAGGGTCAAATTGAGGCCGATGAGTACCAGCAAACTGCCAACCCCAAGATCTACTCACTTGGTGACGTGGTGGGTAAGGTTGAACTCACTCCTGTTGCCATCGCTGCTGGTCGTAGATTATCCAACAGATTGTTCTCCGGCAAGCCTGAGTTTGCTGAGGACAAGTTGGACTACTCCAATGTTCCATCAGTGATCTTTTCTCACCCAGAGGCTGGCTCCATCGGTTTGAGCACTAAAGAAGCCATCGAAAAGTACGGTGAAAGCAACGTCAAGGTGTACAACTCCAAGTTTACCGCCATGTACTACGCCATGATGGAATCCGACGACTTGAAGTCTCCTACTGTCTACAGAATCGTGTGCACTGGCGAGGACGAGAAGGTTGTTGGTCTCCACATTGTTGGTGACGCCAGTGCTGAAATCTTGCAAGGATTCGGAGTGGCCATCAAGATGGGAGCCACCAAGAAGGACTTCGACAACTGTGTTGCTATCCACCCAACTTCTGCTGAAGAATTGGTGACTATGACTTAGGTTCACTACTTACTAGAGTGCGGGATTCTTTCTCGTCCACACAGGCTTGTGCGGACTGACCAAGTGGGTCAGTCTTCGACATCCTGATTGCTACACTTGTTGACTTTGGCATTGATTTCTATGAATAATATACAGATAATGTACACGCAAGCAGCGATGTTCATCGGAAGGACAGATGTAGTGCCAAGTTGTGGCAGAATGAGGGAAGATCTTGAGACAGGGGGTGGGGCAGCAGCTGGGAGTGATGGAGAAATACGTGGTTGAGGGCACGCCAGCTCAATTGTAAGTGGAAAAGGCCCACGGAGATTTGGTCAACAGACACAAATAGACTGGCAGTCTGTAGTGGTGTCTCCAGCTGTGATCTGTAGCATGGAGTGCAATATTTGTAGGTGGCCTCATCGAGCATTAGAGTTGTCTAGCACGTATCCCGCAAGACCCAAGCCATTGTGGTCGTTTGGCTAATGCTTGGCCCGTTTTGGAGGTGGTCCTCTGACAGGTGGACGAGGCTTTTCGCCAGGCTTGACGAAGAACATGGGGGCGTTACGCAAGATCTCAGGAACGCTGACGAACCGGATCATGGACCCTCTGACAAACACCTGGTCCATATGGGAGGTGGCACCCGTGCGGCCCTTGGTGATGACCACGTCGTATAACGACAAGTTCATGTTGTCTTCGTTTTCCAACAACTTTCCGCGGTAGGTGTCGCCAGTGGTGAGTTCGAGCGAGATGACATGGCCCTGGGCCTCGTTCAAGAGTCTGATGGGGATTCCTGCAGACATTAGGGCTAGCTAGTAGTGTGACGGTTGGTAGGACTGGTGATGGCTAGTAGACTTTTGTCTGGTCAGTGTGCAGTCTGACAGTGAATTGTAGACTGGAGATGGCTAGAGTGGGGTCAGTGTGCAGTCAGTAGGGGATGACTGGGGGATGACAGTAATTTTGTCTGGTCAGTATGCAGTCTGACAGTAGGGGATGCAATGGTTGTAGGGAGACTGCAACAATAGGCGTTCTGGCGCGTAGGAGCTGGTGGGGGTTGGAGGCAGCGGAGGCAGAGATAGCGACTGGGCTGGGACGAAGGTGGAAAGGCAACGGAGTGCTGGCGGGGGGCAATGGGAGACGCTGGTGGGGGGCAATGGATTGGCAGTGGAATGGCAGTTAGGATGTTGGAGCAAGATGCCACTAAGGATACTGTAGTGAGTGCCAGTAAGGATATTGTAGTGAAATACCACTATGAAATACCACTATGAAATGCACTCAAGGAGCCACTGTGGACGCTTCAATGTTTGATGCCTGAATGAGCTTTGCTGGAATACTGAAGGACAGTCGTCTGGGGCTCGACTGGTGGTGTGTCTGGCTCAACTTGATAGGCTGATGGAGTCTTAAGATCGACGTGTTGTGGGCTCTCCAGGCGCAAATTCGGCGGGTGACAACGGACAATACTTAGCCCTTTCTTCGCTTGGTTACCGTTGAAAACTGCTGCCACCACAAGGCGTGGTGCGCGCACGACCGGTTCCTCGCTAGATTATAAGAATAGGGAGCCGCCACCACTGGTCAGACATCCCTCCGCCACCACCACCAGCACCTCCACCACGGCGCAGCCACCTCTCCCGCCATGGCCGACGACAAGAAAGCGCCCCCGCACAAGCAGCGCAAGCGTGTGCCGTTGGCGTGCTTAATTTGCAAGAAGAGAAAGGTCAAGTGTGACAAGCAGAAGCCCACCTGTAGCGAGTGTATCCGCAACGGCGTGGCGCACATGTGTGAGTATCTCGAGCCTCACTGGTCCAGCGACGGTGGGGCCAAAAAAGACCACGACAGAGTCGAAGACACCGACGCCTACAAGCAGTTGCAGGCAACCAAGGAGAAGGTGATCTTTGGCCAGCGCCAGGAGATCGAGGACTTGAAGCGCCAGTTGCTGGTGCTCCACCAGTTGCTGCCGTCACAGCGTCCCGACCAGGGGAGTGACCACCACGTCCCTATCACCGTTCTCACCACTTTGAGTCCGTCTGCACTGAACAGCAAGAAGCACTTCATGGTGATGGACGACCACAATTACTCCATCTGCGCCACCCTGGGCACTGCCAGAACCACCACATACACCGACACCTACAGCTGGATCAACCTCATCAAGTTGGACCCCCAGTTGACCTCGTTATGGTACAAGATCACCAACTTGCAGAAGATCTACCACACCTACAAGATGAACCAGTTGATTGAAAACACGGCCAGCGCCAAGACACGGCCTGCAAAGAAGTCCGACTACAGAATCAACGAAATCGACTTCACCTACGCCGTCAGTTCGCCTATGGCCAAGCCAGACTCCGAAAAAACAGGCTCCCAGGAGTCCCAGCACCGGTGCCCGGTGATCGAGTGCGATTTCAACTTCATGAATGAGGACAGCCAGGACCAGTCTAATCCTTCTCGTTCGTCGTCGCCCTTTCCGGTGTTCACCAAGTCGGACCTGGCCATGCCTCCCAAGAAGGACTTCTTGATGACCGACTACGAGGACGTCAACGAGAAGAGCAAGCGGACCCTTATCAAGATCCAAAACTTGTGGAATTCTGTGTTGAACTTGATCCGAGGTAACGAGCCCTTGAACTACAAGCAGCTTTACTTCTTGCTTGATTTCTACTTCAACGACATATCGGTGGAATCAAAGAGCTTGGTGGGGCTTTACAAGCTTGAAATCCAAGGAACCATCAAGAAAAATGGTAATGAAATAGGGTTGAACTTGCTGAGCGATGTCAAACCCCCGAGCAGCCCCCACCCCCAATCCGACCAAAACCTCTACGAGAGATTATTAACGAAGGGGGTGTATGTCTGCTTCTTGGCTCTTATTATAGATGAGAGTTTGGAAATTTTACGAATGAAAATCAAATCGAGTATCAAGGACGATGCGTGTGAAAAGTTCAAGATGTTGTTTCCCACTGAAGTGGCCTACGCGAACGAGATTTATAAGGGAAACATTTTGGGTGTGGTTCAAGAGTTTTTGCTTCTTGATCGTAATTTGAGAAAACCAGGAGTTTTCACCGAAACTGAGTTGGCAAAGTACGATGTACAATTACCCAAATCCGTTCTAAAATTGATGGCGCCACAAAACTCAACACCCACTCTTTCTCATATTTCATGTTGTGTCTTGTTGTTGAATCGAGGCTTATTGTGTTACAAGAAGGAAGGTTCATCGTCTGATTTGAAATCAGGATACACATCAATTTTCTCGCACGTTTTGAACTGTATTTTGAACGAATCTAGGCCAGTTGAATTGTGGAAAGATCCAAATTATGTATTTTTGAAGGACTCGAAGAGAAAGAACAAAGATTTGAAAATACATATTTGTTACTTATGGACGGACCTAATCAGAATAACGAACTTGATCACATTCAACTACATTCCCATTTTAAAGCATTCTGAAAAATTGGAGAACTCGATGCAAGAACTTTATACTAGAATTGAAGAAGCCAGCGCGTCTCAGAGTCATGTGCGTTACTTAAACGAATTAAAATCTTCAAAGTATCACGAATTGAAATCAATGTTGCAAGCGCATTATTTGATTGCTAAAATCTCGGGAGCTATTACCTTCGGTATTATGAAGTTTGGAGAAGTCAGGTTAAATGTTCTGAATTTGAGATCCTTGATTACAGAATGTGATGAGTGGATTGGTGATTTACAAGGTGCATTGCACATAGGAAGAGATGGAGGAGACAATGGAAGACTCTACATATTGGATAACAACTCGTCAATACGTGGTTACATAGATGACAATAATATCTCACAGGCAAAACTTGGGGCAGGAACCTTTATCAGAAAGTTTGAAGTATTTTTGGTGTTGAGCTATCTTCGGTACTTCATGAAATACATTATTCTTCTTCAAAGTGAATGTTCGATGGAAGAGAGTCTAATCCAATCACTTTTGCCCGGAATTTTCATAGACTTGTTCCAGTTTGTGGATCATATACGCAAGCTCGATCTCGTCAACTTGAAGTCCTCAAGTTCTCAATATGTTTTGCTGGCCATAATAGAAGTGTTGACAAGAGTTATTCAATTTGTGGTTGGTGTGTTGATTAGAATAAGACAAGGGGAATCATCGGCTTCTACAGATGCCCCATTGAGAAGAGAATTGGACAAGATGAGGCCAGAAATCGACAAAGCTGTAAATGCACAGTTTGGTTGCAACATTGATGAATTTATAAGTACCCAGATGGTGGGAGTGATTGAGGATACGGTAGGACTTTTGGAAGGTATATTGATAGATAAGGATAAGTCCCACAAGTTGTCGAAGTTATGGAAGTTCTACATGACATTTATCACTAACTCAAGCAAAATGAACATTATTCATTCGAACGTGCCCGAATTCAAAGTCGATCAAGCTGGGCGTATTCCAAATGGTAGTCCTGAAAAGGCCGTGAAGAGTGAATTTAAGAGGTGTCCAATTTCTCAGATCACTACGCCGATGGACACCGACTTTTCACCTCCAGCTGATTTATCAAAGGGTGCCAAGAAGTGTCCAGTCAATCACAGTCTCTTGCCCGACCCAAGTCCTCCCAAGGCAGGAAAATGTCCTGTCAACCATAACCTTTTGTCCGAAACCAGTCCTGCCAAGGCAGGTAAATGTCCTGTCAATCATGGAGCGTTTGCAATGCCTAAACCTGGCAGTCCTGGAATCACTACCATGAAGAATGAGCAGAGAAAGAGAAAGTGTCCATTCGACCATACTATGTGGAATAACCCTGCCATTGGCAAGGGGGTAGAAAGTAACATCCGAGGAAAATTACACGGAGAAGCTCCATTATCTGCACAACCCAGTCCTCCAGTGTTCAAAACTCCTACTCCCAAACTTGAAGAAGCGGTTCTTCCTCCTCCAATTATGAATCTTGGACCATTACCGCAAGAAAGCACCGAAACTGTGGTCACACCCAGTGCATTCCCAGGAATCTCGGAAAGACAGGCATTCGACGATTTTGACTTCGATTTCCTCCACAACGAGTCATTCTTTGAACAATTGAACTTTAGCAACGGCTTGGACAACATGCCAGTGGACGGTTTCTTCCAGTAGTAAATGATGAGAGGGGTAGATAGAGGCATACATGATGCCTAAGGTAAGATGAATTGTGGATAGAAAGGGTACGTGATAAGGTAATGACCTATCAACGACCTTGGATTCTACCAGGGGGTGCTAGGCTGCACCACAAAATTAGTTCTTTTATTATACCAGGATATGAGTGCTCAGGATACGAGCGCTTAGGTTGCAGGATTTTAATCCTCAGGTTACACCAGGATATTAGGGGCTCTGTCTGCCACTCTGTGAGTGAGAAGACTGGAAGAGCCAGCCTGAGGCGTGTCCTGGGCGGCACACTCTGGGAGTGTGATAGTAGTGTACAATATAACGATACCCATTCATCTGTGACCCATCACATGGCATTATATTCCGTAGGTGCCTCCATTTCGCTACAGTATTATCCAAGTAAAATGTGTCTACATTAAGTGGATATTCGATGCATCCATTTTACAGGAACGATTCCTTTATACCCTCTAACCGTTCCTAGAGCTCTCCAATGAACTAACTGTATTAAACAAACCCTACCTCGAATCATTTGTTTTCCCATAAACCTGATACGATCCCGAAAAAAACAAGTTTGGATTTTAGTTATGGAACGATGTAAAGTATTTAGGAGGCTACTAAACAAGGCCAAAATTTAATCCAGTGAATGGAAATCTGACTCTATCTGGAGCAAACAAACTTGAATGTGATACGTCGATAATACTTAAATAATGCATAAGAACATGAACACTCACATTTGACAATTCTAATATGGACCTGAATCAATATTTCCGAAGTCTGGAAATATTAAATTTAACTAATATAGCAATTTATAACACTATGCTAGAGTTCATATTGATTTTATTCATGTGCACCACTGATCTACTGAAAACTAACAATAAAACAAAATTCTTCAAACACCATACAATGGTTGAAAAAGCATAAGGATCCCTAAAAATCAATTATTTGTAGAACTAATCCCCTCGGTGCTATACCCAGCTCTGCCCCTACCAGACCCTTCCCTGCTCCTACCCACTTCTCACCTCGGCTTTTCGGATCGGCTCGCACTCCAGATCCATTCACCATTCACGTGCTGAATATTCATCTTCTATCATACTCCACCACCAATAATGTTTCCAGCCAGGCTAGCATGCGGTACCAGGCTCAGACCGCCAGCTCGTGCTTGCTGGCGCAGCCTCGTTCCCGTCCGGAGTTTGGCCCTGAAAAGCTCCCCAAATTTGCCCAAAAAGACGCCAAAGTTGACGTTATTCAAGGTCGGAATCGCCATTGGCGTGGCAGGTCTGGTGCTCTACGCCACCAACGACACCGCCAAACACGTCATCTTGACCACAGAACGTATTGGTGTGGTCACAGCAGCCACTGCCAGGTGTTTCTTGTTGTACAAAGACGTGCTAGGCAAGGAGTTCTCCAGCAAGGCTGAACGGACTGCTGAGTTGAACAAAACCCACCAGAAGGCGGCAGAAATCACGCTACGGGCGCTCGAGAAGAATGGAGGAATCTACATCAAGTTGGGGCAGCACATCACCGCGTTGACCTACTTGTTGCCCAAGGAATGGACCGACACCATGCTTCCGTTACAAGACCGGTGTCCCAGGTCGTCACTTGAGGAAATCGAGCAGTTGTTCATCAAGGACATGGGCAAGCCCATGAGCGAGCTCTTTTCCAGCTTCGACCCCGAGCCCGTGGGCGTAGCATCGTTGGCTCAGGTGCACATAGCTACTTTGAAAGAAACGGGAGAAAAGGTGGCTGTCAAGATCCAGCACCCCACCTTGCAGGAGTTCGTGCCTCTCGATATATACCTCACGAAGACTGTGTTCAACTTGATGTACAGGTTCTTTCCCGAGTATCCGTTGACGTGGTTGGGTGAGGAGATGCAGGCGTCCATCTACGTGGAGCTAGACTTCACCAACGAGGCCGAAAACGCCAGGAAAACGGCTCAGTACTTCCAGAACTTCACCAGAGAGACGGCATTACGCATCCCCACCATAGTGGCGGCCCAAAAGCGGGTGTTGATCATGGAATACGTTGCTGGTTCTCGTCTAGATAATCTCGAGTATTTGAACCAACACAACATCCACCCCCACGAGGTGTCGTCGTGCTTGTCTCACATCTTCAACAACATGATCTTCACCCCCGACGTGGGGTTGCACTGTGATCCCCACGGAGGAAACTTGGCCATCCGAAGCGTGGACAAACGGACGTCTCCCAGCGGTCACAACTTCGAGATCGTGCTCTACGATCACGGACTCTACAGACAGATCCCCTTGCAAATGAAGCGTGAGTACTCGCATTTCTGGTTGTCGGTGTTGGACGGAGACGTTCCCAAAATGAAGGAGTACGCTGGCAAATTTGCGGGAATCGAGGGCGACCAGAAGTTCAGGATCTTTGCGGCTGCCATCACAGGCAGATCCCCTGAAAACGCTTTGAACTATGACATTTCCAAGGCTCGGAGCACTGACGAAATTAAAAATATCCAGAGTCAGCTCCTGTCTACAGATGGAATCTTGGAAGATTTGATGTACATTTTGAGCTCGATGCCCAGAATCGTGCTATTGATCTTGAAAACCAACGATTTGACCCGGAACTTGGATGAGAGTTTGAGCAATCCGTTGGGTCCCGAAAGAACGTTCTTGATTATGGCTAACTACTGTGCCAAGGTGGTGTATGATGAATCGAAGGAAAGAATTGCAGCCACGTACTCGAAGTACTCGGTCCGAGCCACCTTGGAGTACGCCAGAACCTGGTGGGCCTACCAAAGAAGAATCAGCACCTTGTACATCTATGATTTTATCATGATGGTGAGAAATCTTCGTCATCAATTTTTGAGTTGAAAATGTAAATAGGGCCAGTTTAGACCGGCAGACTCGAGGAATATGAATATTAGAAGTGAAGCACGTAGCGTGGTTGAGCCGTAACATTGCCAAGTCGGCAGAAGCCGCAGTGTGACATATCCAGTAGAAGTGTGGATTTCATGAAAACAGCGAACCTCTGTATTGCGTTCTCGTCCTCAGCTCACGTCCTTTCTGATCTTTTCCAAAAGGTTGTTGATTCTGGGACCCATCAAAGGCTGGCCAGTTTTGGTCTTCTGACTGAGCCTCAACTTCTTCAACTCTCTCTCCTTGTCTTTCTTCTCGATGGCCTTTCTTCTGTCCTGGACTCTTTCCAACTTCTCCTTTCTCTGTTCCTCCTTTCTCTGCTTGGCAATTTTGGCTCTTTCGGCGTAGTTCATCGTGGGTTTGGCCCTTTCTTCCGATTTGGCCACATCTTTCTCGGGGATCGACTCGCCTTCTTGCTCCAATAATTTGAAGTAGCCCTTTCTCAATCTGGCCCTGTGGGTCAAGGCCTTCTTGATGTCTCTAGACTTGGACTCTTTACGGTCAACGTATCTCTTTGGGGGCATGGTGATGGTGATGAAGAAATGGTGAAGCGATGGATAAATTATTGGGATGAGGACATATGCAGGACATGATGTGATTAGCGTGGGGCAATTTGGGGGGAGCTATGGGGCAGTCATTGAGTTACCTTGATGGAAAATATTTGGAACCCTTAGACGGTTGTATAGTAGTTCTCTGGAATTTCCTGTCAGTACTTGGCTATGACAGAATAATAGTATAAAAATAGTATTGTGTCCTATTCAGAACTCGTTTCCTTTTGCAAAAAGAAACTGCTATGGGGAACAACAGTATCTAATATTTTACAAATGCGAGGATGAATTTAGTTGAGTAGTGGGTAAAATATAAAGGACAGAGATCCAAAATATGTTGGTCTGTAGTAATTAAAATAAATTAATGGTTTTTTATATTTATGGACTTTATAAATTTAGGAATCGGACTGCACTTTTGATGAATTCCTTAGCAGGAAGTACTTAGTGATTAAGGTATAATATCCTACGAAGTGGTGTTACCATATTTTATTCCTATTCATTTAATTCTAGTACTTTGTAAAGGGAGCTGGAAAGAAGAACAACCGTAAGAACTGATCCAATCGTTTCGTACGTAGACGGAATGAAGTTGGCTCAGAAATTGGCTCAGAAATTGGCTCAGAAGACGCACAGTTGACTCCTTGAAGCCAACAGCTTGATGCACGATTATTCGAATTATTGCCGATGTTTCCAGCTATTTAAGCAGCTTTCCTTAATTTCAACACATGGATCACTCGTTTAGATTAGCCACTCAGAGTTGGGGACGGCAGCATCAACCCTAGCGAGATAATTTAAATAACGCTGACCTTGACAACCTTGAGCTGAACTCTTGCACAATTTCTCCATTTATTTCAAAGGTGTATAATTGAAGCATTTTAAGTGAACCAAAGTCGGATGAATGGTGGGTGTAATGGTACGAAGATGATACTCAATATATGTTTGGCTCTCTTCTCATTGTTATTCACTGTGTGGGTTTACGGACACATTTATTTCAATTTCAATAATCCTTTCGATCAGAGCCTACAATTACAAACCTTGGGCCTGAATCATTCTTGTAAATGTTGTTCCCATGGATCATTTCGAGCATAACTTCTCACACTTAAGTGTGAGATATTATCTGTCTCCCATGGCAATCCGTACTCTCCGAGCATACTGTATAGCGTTCCTATTATCCTTACAATTCCCCTTCTTTTCCCTCGCAGAATCAATCCACTACTCCCAGCCATTTCTCATGTCAATATCCTACACATAAACGCCTTATCTAGTCTATTTGTCGCGTGTCTTACATCTTTCCAACACCATGTCTGCCAAAACCCCATACCAAGCTGTGCCCAGCGGGCCAGCCTCGCCGTCTCACACCAGCCCGTCGCCCCAAGCAGCACCCATTCTCGAAAACTCCCCAAACCCCCAAAATCCCGAGGAGTTTGAGCTCGATACCATCGATTCGTTGGACTATGAAACACAGTCGTCCTCGGAACCAGAGGAAGGGTCCTCCAACATGCGCATGGCGTTCATGAACATGGCCAATTCCATCTTGGGCGCTGGGATCATCGGACAGCCGTTTGCGTTCCGCAATAGTGGGCTCTTGGGCGGCATCGTGGTGATGGTGCTCTTGACGGTGTTGATCGACTGGACCCTCCGTCTCATCGTGGTCAACGCCACGCTTTCCAACACCCGCTCGTACCAGGACACCGTCAGCTACTGCTACGGACGGTGGGGACGTCTCTTGCTCTTGTTGAGCATCAGCAGCTTTGCCTACGGCGGGTGTATGGCCTTCTGTGTGATCATAGGCGACACCATTCCACACGTGTTGAAGGCGTTCATACCCCACAGCATTACAGCCAGCGGCTCCGTGCTCGGGTGGCTCTTTAAGCGGAACTCCATCATCGTCATCTTCACCACCTGTATCTCGTACCCTCTCTCGTTGAACCGGGACATCTCCAACTTGGCCAAGGCCAGTGGCTTTGCCTTGGTGGGCATGTTGATCATCGTGGTACTCACCGTGACCAGAGCTCCGTTCATCGACCCAGCGTTGAAGGGCCTGCTCACCGCTCCCCAGTGGACTGTCAACTACAACATCTTCCAGGGCATTCTGGTGATCTCGTTTGCATTGGTTTGTCACCACAACACTATGTTCATCTACAACTCCATGAAGAACGCGTCGATGGACAAGTTCAACCGCTTGACCCACATCGCCTGCGGGGTGTCGATGGTGTGCTGCATGGCCATGGGCATCAACGGCTTGCTCAACTTTGGTGACAAGACCAAGGGCAACATCTTGAACAACTTCAAGAGCGACGACAACTGGATCAACTTGGCACGGTTCTGCTTTGGCCTCAACATGATGACGACGTTTCCTTTGGAAATCTTTGTCATTCGCGATGTCTTGAAGGACATAGTGTTGTCCGGAGATGGCCAGGGAGGAAGCACAGCCCACTTGGAGCTCAGCTCAAAGCAGCACTTCTTCTTGACCACATTTTTGGTGTTTTCGTCGATGTCAGTGTCGTTGTTCACATGTAACTTGGGAATAATTTTGGAGTTGATTGGTGCCACCTCCGCTTCGTTGATGGCATACATCGTGCCTCCCATGTGTTACTTGAAGTTGGTGTGGGAGCAGTCGGACTACTCCAAACTTGACGGTGCGGGCAAGAGACGTTTCATCGTGAGAAAGGCCCTTCCGAGTGTGGCTTGTGTGATTTTTGGGTTCATGGTGATGTTCATCAGTTCATACATGAGTATCAGGACCAGCATGAAAGGGGAGAGCGATGGCCACTGTGTTGAAGACTAGGGATGCGCTTGAAACATTGTTGGGTGTAATTCTGGTAAAGCACTTAAATTCCATTAACAAGAGGACAGTCTACCAATGATAAGTGGTCCAATTGCTATATCAGAAGTGAATACCCAATATTTCACTTTATCTAAGGTCAGTCCTCTAGATCTCAAATTCAGTTTAACATGCGAATTCCCCAAGGTGTCATACCCGAGCATGAAAATCTGTCTAGATCTTATTCAATAATGGGTAATAATATGCCCTCGGTTAACTACCTTGCCTGAATAATGTGGGGACCTCATAATGTCAGGATTAACTCTCAAAAATTTGAGGCAAGTTCAACCAGGAAAAGGAGAAAGGTTTGCCGAAGACTCAAGCAGAAAATATTAGTCTGGTGCCCGAATCGGCCGTCCCGCAACACCCGTCTAAAGTTGCATACAGACTCTCCTTTAATTGCTCTCCTCGTATATGTACTCGTCATTGTTGAGGATTGGCCAATAGGCTCTGGTCAATTGCGACCAAATAAGCTGACATCATATACGAGACATAGATGTGCTGGATAGTGGTCTAGTATCTGCTTATGCGTGGCTGCGAAAAATTAACGCGAGCTTATAGATATATTAAAAGTCAAATAACATAACTACAATAGATAATTGGCGGATGTACTGGTTCACAATGCCATTATGACTAGCAATCGACATTAAGCCTCCACTTCGTTGCACTCGATATACTATTAAACTTCAGTCATCACTCATCTTCTTCGTCGCTCAAGATCACTCTCCTCTTTCTCGGAGCTGTAACATCGTCGGCTTTTCTTTTCCTTTCGATCTCTTCGTCCACTTCTTCAGTTTCAGAATCTTCTGACAAGCTGGTCTGAGACAATTGAGAAGCAGGTAAATCCTGAGAAGCTTGACTTTGGGTGAATTGACTGGGAGTTTCCTCATTTTCTGAGTCAACGAACAACGAAGTTTCCTTGAGCGCCAAAGAAACTGATTCGGCAGTTTCTTGTCCTCGGCTGGATTCCAACTTTGACCATGCTTCTTTAAATGCTTTCAATTGCTTTGGATTGACTATTCCACCAGAAGCAGTCAAAAGCTGACGTAACCTCTCTTCACGCTCGAAGAACTGAGTTTCTTTCTCAGCGTCGGACTCGTCATCCGAATCGCGAATGTACTCTGCTGATTTTATAGGCATGTGTCCGCTTTCGTCGTCTGAAGTAACGTTGAACGATTTTGGAGGACGGCGTCGAGTCAAATTCTCTCTAGGAACCTTCTTTGCCTTGATGGCAGGCTTGAATTTGGTTGTAGTTGTCTTCTTTCTGGCCTTACCTCTTTCTAATCCACTCAAGTCTAAAGATCTCTCGAGTTCGTCAAGAGTATCCAATTCGTTAAGATTGTTCCTGGCACCATTAGCATTTGGTTCCGTCACAAATGCAATAGCATCGTTATCTTCCTCGAGTCTCCCATTATAGTCAATGTCGTCGTCGCCGTAGTTCTCACTGTAAGTGTCACGGGTTCTTAAGAAATAAGATGGATTTTTATCATCCTCAAATACTGCTGGCTGTTGGGCATTCCACTTGCGAATTAAGTCAAGAGACTCGGTCAAAGATTCGTTAGTAATTGTCTCTGGTAGCTCACAATTCTCGTCTAATATGAAAGGGAGTTCGAACCCCACTATACTCAATAAGAATCTAATCGTTCCCGAATTGATCAAGTTACGACGGAATTGGGGGGTTGGTTTAAGTGAATATTGACCTGGATTGAGAACTCTTTCTTTCAAGATTCTATCCAAGTCTTCAATCAACCACTTAAGAAAATTCTCCTTCTCCTCGATATGCAAGTTACTGATAAGAATCTTGAATTTTTCATCCATTGACAAGTTATCTCTAACAAATTCCAATGCCTTTGCCAACCTTGGCATATTAGATCCTTTGGACGTTTCTGGTTTTATGTATAGCTCGCCTGTAGCCAAATAAGTCTTGCATTCTGCATCTTCGAATCTGGGAAATAAGATCTCTATCGGGTTTGGAAATCTTGCCAATGCCACCTTGAATTTCTTCATGAAGTAGTAAATGAACTCGTCAACGTGATTTCTTATACTTGATCCTCTGGGCAAATAGCTTCTCAATTTGTGGATAATATTCATGAAATCCAAACGATACAAACCAGTGAAGTCTTTTCTCACCACAAACAAACGATGGAAGTAAGTCAAGCACCGTTTTATCTCCTCGTTAGTAAGATCTTCATATCTGGATAAATACTCAATGTATGTTGACACTATAGATGTTTGAAAGAATCGTATCTCTGTTGTGTTGAAATCCAATCTTCTTTCTCTTTTAACCTGGCTAATCCTGTCCTCAAATTCTTCGTCATCTGAATTTTCTATAACATCTCTAAGCGAGTCTTCAGTATTTTTATCAAGACCATTGATTCTCTTTTTATTCTGTCTTGCCTTTTTTCTTTTGGTCTGAATGTAAAGCTTCATATCTTCTTCTGCAAATGTTTTGAAAGATTTTAGAATAATGTGGACTACTGAAATACTGACACTCAAGTAGTCTGGAGAATGCTTGGCTGCTGTTTGTGGAATCTGGATTATAATATTCAAGAAATCACTGAACGAGAAGAGCTTTCTAATGATGCCTTCTGCCAACTCTCTATCGATTTCATGTTGTGACTCATCTTCACCTTGAGTTTTCCCAAACAATGATTGGGAGATTTCAAGCAACTCCCTGAAGCATATCATGGCAGCATGAAGGGAACTCCAACGCTTAGCAGCATATGATTCTCGGAGATAAGATATGATCAAAATAAAATTGACCTCACTCAATCCTGCTCCAATAGATCCAAAATCATTGGAGTCTTCCACAACACATCCATTGGCCTTGACCTCCCTCTTGTATTTCAAAAACCACGACAATGTCAAGAAAAATGTAGCTTTCTCGTATTCATCTACGTAAGTGAGATCTGTCAAACCAGCAAAAATGGATGATATTCCCTCGATCAAGTTGTTGAAGCATCCACCACATAAAATCTGGTCAATGAACTCCGCAAGAATCTGTCTTCCTTGATGATTTAAGTAGACAGGAACACTGGTCTTGACAAACTCGTCCGCGTCGTATTTGAAGAGATTGCGGTTGTTCCATTTCTTGGTCCTGTCCAACTTTTCAAGGGTGGATTCGGTATCGTACAAGGCCTCCTGGCCCGATATCACGTAGGAATTGGCATCATTGGTGCGAAGGGAGAGGAGAGTGCCGAACCTTCCGTGTCTAGTCTGCAAATGCTGGTTCTGGTTCTTTTTCTTTTGAGATTCATCCGCCAAAAGGTCCAGGAGTTGCATTCCGGTTGTGGTTGTGTAGGACTGAAGAGGCTTGGAGGCACTGGCATTATTGGACTGAGGGACAGTGGAATTGGCTGGTTGGTCAGCGTCGCGTTTAGAGCTTGAGCTCAATCCTAGAACGTCTTTGGCCAGCGTTCCTCGAATAATCAAATATATACATTCCAAGCACGAAGGACCAAACATCTGCTTATCGAACTCAGTACCAACCGAGCCCGAAATAGTAAGCAAGAGCATCAATGCCTTGTTCTTCTTGTAGGCTTGTAGCACGGTATTCAAGGAAATGTCGTCGTAGGAGATGTTGGCGGGCATATTATCAGCATCAATGACTGGCTTCAGCGACTTGGTGGAGATGGAGGAGGTGGCTGGCTCTATGAAGAGCACGTTTCTCAAGAAATAGAGCACGAGCCGGAGAATGGCGTTGTCACGAGGCTCTCTATCGAGCTTGCTCTTGGCAATAGTGGGCAACACCAACCGGATGATGGCCTTGAGAGTGTGTCCGTTTTTGTAGGACAAAATGCAGTGTTTGTAGGTGAGCTGGGCCTTCTTGATGTCAGCATAAAGGAGCTTCTGGTTGGGGGACAAATCGGCCCCCAATTCCACTGGCCACGTTAAAAGCACCAACAACTCAAGACATGCCAACATGATCTTCTCGGAGGTACGAGCGTTTTTGATGGTTTCTTTGCGCTGACACTGGGCCTCCCACTGGCACAATATAACCACCAAGTCGTTGGCCACCAATCCGGAGTCAGCACATGCCAACGCCACTTCGTAGCGATTGTTCTTCTCATCGAACGACTTGATCCACCGTTTGATGTCCTTCAAGCACGCCAACGCGTCGTGACCAAGCTTGTAGGGAGGTGGCGATTCTGCCGAAGTGTGGTCAGGACCTCCGAGTGCTGACGCCAATACCGAGATGTGGGCACGGAGGAGCTTCTGGGTCTGGGTCTCGTTGGGCTTGAGTGAGGAGGTCATCTCGAGGATTCTGTCTCGCTGGAGTACGTCTTCGGATTCTGGCGCCTCCTGGGGGATGGGCTCGTACACGACGAAGTCGTTGAGGTCGTCATCGTGGGCGTAGTCGTCTTCAGACTGGCTCATGGTGGTGATGTAGCTTTGGGGCAGACGCGTCTAGCGATGATTTGGGTGGGGTGTGCGACATTGTCGTGTTTTGCGACATTTTATCTAGCAGGAAAACGAACAGACAGGGATTCCTCGAAAGTCCTGTTGGGCGTGGTGAGAGTGTCGAGTGGCGTAATCTAGCCATGTTTCGAATCAAAGAGGCCAGAGAAATATCTAACAATAGCACTTCGAGCATAGTTTTGGTTCCTCACTAAAAGATAAAAAATACACAATTTTTGAACAAAATCCATTGTTAGAGATTTTAGAGTAATCATGTTGATTTTTTGGAAAATGTATGAAATAATAATATCAAGCACTTGGCTTATGATGCTACCAAGATATATTGATGTAACCAGAAATGGGTAATTCGGTAATGACCGCTGCCAAGATGAGCTATTCTGGGCATTGGAGTCTGGAAAGAGAAAATAGAGGAATCGCTCTTAGAAAGGCATAACGTTATATCGAAGTAAGCGATAACCCAAATAGTACAATTACAAATAGGCCAAGCCCACCCACTCCCACTGATCTCTGCATATAGCAGTGAAGCTCTGAACAACAACGCCAAATAGAACACTGCACACTCACCAATCAGTACAGTCCAAGAATAGGCACACCCAATAATAACCCGCTAAAAGCGCACGAACCGCACAGTCTAACCAGGCATCATATCGCCACCCATTGTCTATAACACCCGATTGTAGTACTTACCGACTAAAATATAAACGGAAAATTCCTTAGCCCTAAGAAAATATAGCAAAATAGTGCATAAGAAGAGCTTTACTGGTGCGAAAAATCGAATTCAAGCAAAAATAACCTGGTGGGATCGCTAATCTACATCAATATGCGCTGGGTGACTAGCGTATCAGTAAATAATATGTGGCAGTCCGGGCCAGAAATAGCGTCTGAACTAGAACGAGGTGGTGCAAGAAGATAATGAAGTTTGGATTAAAATCCTAACTTGTCTGTAGGAGCATTACGAGGGTAGTGAGCATTTCGATTTTCCAGAAAATGGGCCAAGAACTAAGACAATATCGACTCCGAGGTTGCTGCATCCAGAAGAGGGGGAACAATTTGCCAGGATATCGAGGGGTTGACCCGTTTTCAGCAGGAAATTCCTGGAGTATTCAGCGTAACGATACACCAACGAGTAACTGTAAACGTATTCGAATTTCATTGCACTAGTCATACCATTACGGGGATTTCGTGAGGAATTTTGTGGCTTACCTATACCACACTACGCTTAACGACCGTTGCCGAGGCTCCGGAATGAAGCAATAAACGGATGGAAGCACAGAATCAATGCAACCTCCGTGCCTCCATACATATTATTTCCTAGACAGAATCCCCGGCAAATGGGCAATAAGTCAAGCAGAAAGACGCGAAAAACCCGTAGAAGTCTTGTAAGGTAACTCAAGAGTCACCTGAGTACCCCTCAGCACGTCGAGTCAGATTCTTCATGGTAGTATCACCATTATTGCAGACACCAGACGTCCAGTATACCATGAATTTACCTACCCGAGCAGGACAATAATTAAGGTGTAGTCCAGTAGTAGTGGCCCGGATCTGGTAGCCCAACACGCTGCACGGATATTTTGGCACAGTTAGGGGTGCTAATTCCGGACAGGCCCCCGCCAGAAGCCAGCATGCATCGAGAGGGCGTAGTGAAAATTCTGGAAGTCATCGGCACGGAGTTACCAGCGGTGGTCGGAAATTTTGAGCGCGCAGGCGAATGCATGGTGCATGGAGGCAAGGATGCAATTAGCGCAGACATGTGCGGGAGGAAGAGACCGAGCAGTGTGTGGAGAGTGCCTGGTGAGTGCCTGGAGGGTTGACATGGAAGTGTCTGGAGCCAGTGATACTTGAATGTCTGCCAGTGCGTGCCAGTGCGGGCCCTTTGTGACATTCCTTCGCCAATTGTTCTAACAATAACGAGACTAATGCGCGCTAACGCACTTCCAAAAGAGGCTACCAGCCCGGACTTCTGCATAGGACGCCCGGCGACACGACACGACTGCGACAATTTGTCAGCCCCGCCAGCAGGCCCATTACGATCCTCCCCCGCCACCGCAACCGGCCAGTGTCGCAGCTTCCCGTTCAGGGCTTGTTGACTGCCGATGAGCCAATTATGCTGCTTCCGACACACCACTGGTGCATGAACTTGCGCAGCAGGTGGCGAATCAAGGATGCGGAATTGTAACCGATGCAATGCATCTGCAGCAGCAGGTATCTGGCGTGAGTCGGGCGCCCGTGGTGAATCCGGCCTAGTTTTAGTAGCCAGCCTCGGCTGGGCTCCTACTGGAACGTTCACTGCTTAACCCTATTCACCTTCCAGCGCGGCTATTGGCTGGAACTCCCCCTTCTCAGCTTGGCCCAGGGCACACCTGGTCACGGCTGTGCTTTTGTCTTGCATGCGCCGCCTGCACCCGACCAGATACGAGATTCCACGCACTGTTCGCACCAGGCCCAGACGCAACCGAACGCCGCGATGTGGGGTCCAGTCACCACGGTAATGTGGCCACCGGGCCGGTGGCCACCTCCAGCTATCCATCTACACTTCCACCCTCCACCCTAACCACGTCCTCTGAGTATTTCCACGGCTTCTGGCGGCCCCAAACCGCCGGCCCTGCGCCGAAATCCCGCCTGCACCGCCCGTGGTGCGTCTTCGGCAACATGCTGTCGCAGGCCGACCTGTCTCTCTACCCCCCCTCCCCCTCCCAACCTGCCATCTCTGCGCTTGCTGCACAACTCCATGCACCCACCACCCTCTGCCTGCTGCCAGTTGCATTTGCAGCCTTTGCTCGCCCATATAACACCCCCCTCCGCACCTGACCGCCAATTCTCACCAGAAAATTTGGTGGTCCGCACTCACTCCAACCTGCCCATATCTCCCTGTCCCACCAAAGGGAGCTACCATGGACTTACCCTACAAGAAGCGGTTCCGCATTCCAGCCTCTTGCCTGGTATGCCGTAAGCGCAAGTCGAAGTGTGACAAGACCCGTCCTGTCTGTGGTCTGTGCAAAAAGAAGTCGATTGCTCACCTCTGTTACTACGAGGCTGACCCTGACGACGACCAAGGAGTACCACCACCAGGCGCTGGTGCTGGCATCACCACGTTTGCTCCCTACGGACCCCCCCATCACGAGTACCCGCCAGGAGCACTCCATGCCATTCCACCGCCAGGCGTAGCGCTCCAGCACCAACCACTCCCTCCCGTGGGCCATGGCGGCTACGCACCAGCGCCACTCGAGTACCGCCAGGGAGTGCTACAGCACCCACAGAGCGTGCTACAACACCCACAGAGCCACCACCAGGGCCTCCAGCCGCTCCCGCCACCAGGCTCGCTGCCACAGGGGCCCCAGCACGACCAGCACCAGCACCACCAGCACCAACAACAGCACCACCAGCACCACCAGCACCACCAGCACCACCAGCACCACCAGCACCACCAGCACCACCAGCACCACCAGCACCAGCTGCCACCAAACCAGCTGCCACCAAACCAGCTGCCCCAGAACCACCAACTGCCCGTGCACCACCACCAGCCCCCAGCGCCTCCAGCGCCTCTGCACCACCTCCAGGGACCACCACCTCCTCCACCAGCACCTGCGCCAGCACCACCGCACCACCTCCACCCCGTGCACCTCCCCCAGTTCTTCCCCCCACCCGCTGCCAAGCTGGCTGCAGGCTTCTTCTCCAGCCCCGACTCCGAGCCTGGCGTGTCGCCGTCCACCCACTCGCCCTACGGCCACCACGTCCGCACCAAGTCGCTCACCCACACCTCCTACCAGCCACTCCCATCGATACTATCGCCAGGTGGCCAGTTGAAGGCGCTGCCGCCCAAGCGTGAGCCGCTGGACACATTTGCGCGCCCTCAGCTCCCGGTGCTGAGCCTGAACGGTGTGGTTTCCACCAGCTCGTCGGCGTCCAGCAACCCTGAGCCCAAACCCGAGCCCGCAGGCCTCGTGAAGGTATCGTTGGGCCCCAACGCCAGTCTCCAGGTCAACCCCAACGACACCATGGACACCTTCGCCAATGCCAGCTACTCGCTCAGCCTCGAGGGCCCCTCATGGCAGCAGCAGGGCACAATGTCGTACATCGGGTTGACCAAGAGCGATCCGTTCATTAAGATCCTCCGGAGCTACGCCGTGCTCTTGTTCAAGTCGGGCGAAATGACTAAGTTCATCAAAAACGAGTCGATCAAAAGACGCAATAAGTTTGACTCCTCGTCGTTGTCGTCGCCCAACGCTTCGGCTGCAAATGGGGCTGGCGACACGGTCTCTAACGCCAGTATGCCCTCAAGCCTGAGCACTCCCAACAAGCGTGCTTTCGACGATACCCCCAACAAAGCATCGCCCATGTCTGCAGTGTCGGAGACCGTCACCCTGGTCACCAACGCAGAGGTGGATGACGAGCCTGGGGATATCGTAGAGGAGGATGCATTGATCGTGGATAGAATCAACATCTCGTCCATTAACAATCACGACGACGACGACGACGACGACTCATCCGGTAAGGACAAGGAAAGCTCCTCTGAGTCCAGCCATGAACCCTCCAAGAAGAGAAAATTCGAGGCAGAAGCCTCCAATAACAAAAGAATGGCCTCCACTAAAACGGCCGACACCCAGAAAGTCAAAACAAAGTCCAAAAATCACGACCTTATAGATATCTCTCAGCTTTTTCTTCAGGCCAGTGCCGCCAGCGTGGACAAGAAAAACAGAAAAGCCTACTACTCTGTTGTCGAAAAAGCAGTGGTCAAAATCTTGCCAAACCAGTTGAACATCTTCAAGTTGTTCTGTCGGTTCTTCAAATACGTACATCCATTCATTGCTGTTATCGACGAAAATTCGTTCCAGATGGATTTACAGATCATTTTTCCATCTTTTCCAATCTTGAATACTGAGTTCTACACGGAAATCAAGGTCGAGAATGAAAACTCGTTGAACATTTTGGGTATACTTCTACTTGTGCTTAGACTTGGCTACTTAAGTTTGATCCATAATGACCCTGTCAACAACGATTACAGTTCTGATGAAAAGAGTATTGTCAAGGATATGAAACGGATCAACTCTGAGACCCTTCTCGCAGTGCTTAAATTGTGTATCCCAGACCCATTGGCACTGAAATCATCCTTCAAGTTGGTGCAATGCCTTACAATTCTTCATTTCTATCGTCAAGTTGTTCCTGATGATTGTCTTGGTTTAGGTGGAGCTGACGCCAACATTTTGTTTGGTGTTATCATGACCCATGCCATGTCAATTGGATTAAACAGAGACCCTACCAACTACGTTGCCCATGAAACTATCCACAAGCGCGAGCCTTTAATAAAAACATGGAGAAGTTTGTGGTATCACCTAGTAATGGTTGATGGAAGTTGTGCCATTCACACAGGGTTGCCAATGAAAATCAATAATTTGGAACTGAGTGATGTGCAACCACCCACTTATGTTAATGATCCCACTGGTGAAATGAATTTAATAGTTCGGAAACTCAGGGAAATCAACACGATATATCGAAACATCCTGAATATGATCACAAATGTCCAAGTTCAACCAAAGATAATTGATTTGCTCAAGGAAACAAACCGTTTGGAAGAGATTTTCTTTGACTTTTTCGGAAAGGACTTTTTCAAGGATTGCATTTGCAAACCCGCCGAATATGAGCCTCCTAATGGTTTCCCCATGGAATCAGCTGAGAGACAAAAGAGTTACATCAAAGTGATCAAGTTTTGTATCTTCATACAATTGAGAACGAATTTGAGTTGTCTCTATTATATGATTGCAATTCATTACGAAAACGAGTATAATAATTCAAAAACTCCCTTGATGAAGGCAGGAATTGAACTCTTTAAGATTTTCAGTAAGAGTGTGATTCAATTGGTTTACATCATGTCCTATGTCTTGGACAACTCGGTTGAGTTATTTGGCAGAAACTATGATTATGTCTTGACTGCCTACAATGAAAGGTGTATGATCAAGACTCATAGTTATTTGACTTCCTTGTTTGTGAGATTGTTGCATCACAAGAAAGACTGCACTATAAATGCTCAAAAAGACCCAAGTGTCAGGGAGCGTTTAGAAGTTATCGATATCTTGTTTAATATTGTTCTTCTTGAGGCAGAATTATTCGTGGGTAATTTCAGAAAGTTGAGTCAAACATACATCAATTCATACAAACTTTATGTGATGAGTTATTTTGTGTTGAGACAATGTATGGATAACCCCGGAATTTTTTTCGAGAAGAGTTTGAATGATTCGAGGTTTGACCACCAGGGAACAAATTTGATGGAATTCTTCACCATTCACGAATTGCAATATTTAACTAAGTTGTGTGAAGAGTTCAGAGTAGCCAAGGAAGAGCAGCATCGGGTGAAGGCGGCAAAGAGAAAAGCGCAGCATACCAAGAAATTGGTAAACAATGGATCGCTCGCCAAAAACTCAGTTCCTTATAACAATATTCCATTCCCTCAGTCGTACACCCAGATCCCATGTATCAGTTTCCTCACGATGTCGCCATCGACCAGTCAAACCAACAACGACAGCAATGGAAGTACACCAAAGAACTACACTGCCGAGCCAGCCACGGGAGGAAGACTGAACCGGTCGGAGGTTCCTCCCTCGTTCCACCTGAGAGAAACGCCGTTAACCAACGAGGAAGAACTAGACCCTCCTGTCTACTCGAATTTGAACAATTTCAACTATGGGGTGTTTGAGAACCCCGAGGTGGGCAGCGAGGATCTCTTGAAGTTGTTTGAGGTCTACGTGGATTTCGACAAGAATGATTTATGAACGTTTAAGTGTATAATATGTAATATGGCCTCCGCAACTGGTGCTTTTTTTACGAATAGTATGGCCATCGGAATGTTTTACTACGAATGCTGCCAACTGGCAACTTGTACTGCTTCACCAAATAAGATACCTCATAAAGGGTGCCATCTCACTACAAGATAAGAGGACTGCAGTGTAGTGATATCTCACTACAGTGCAATAGAGCCATATTCTCTACAGTGTAGTGATCCTATAGCTACGTAGTGGTCTTTGCATATTCCAAGACAGTGGAAGTATGTCTCGCGTCGCCTCCAATGCTTAACGCTTGTACCAAATGGGTCCATGTTCATGTTGAAGAGTGCCTCATCCCAGAAAAGTGGATGTAAGGATGTTCACACAGCCACACATCGGCCAGTCACGGTGTCTCATCACCGTCGTGCCCCCAATCAGCTCAATTCAGCCTTAAGAAACCCACTCACAGGATGCACTCACAGGATGCACTCACAGGATGCACTCACAGGAATGCTCTCAAACCCTGCAGACTAAAGTAATAAGGACGCAGAAGTGAAACAAAAATCACGCCGTAACTACACCGAAAGAACGCAGAACCTGCCCAGAACACCTCTTCTCTCACTGCCTCTTTCTCTCTCCATCCTTCTTCTCCTTCTTCCTTCTTCTCCCTCTTCTGTTCCTCTTCCTCTCCTTCCTCTCCCTCCTCTCTTCCTCTCCCTGGCCCTGCACGCCCAACCCCTCCTATATTATCTCTCGCTTCCCTGTATCCGGAGCCTCGGCTTCGCGCCCGATTGCTGCAGCCATGACAGCACAGCTCGGCCCAAAACCACCAGCACCCTCCAGCCATTCGTGGCCCAATACGGCTTCTATATGCTAGCACAGGCTCCCTAAACCCCCCTCTAAACATCCGTACTTCAATCCTCGGGAATCAGCCGCTACTTCGCCCCCAGCACCAAACCCGAGCCATCCGACGGACTTTCGGACATCGGTCGTACCCTTCTGGGTACAACCGACCACCGACAGCGACCGGGTGCTCAGAGGTGGATATAGCACCAGTGTGATGGTTGTAGCACGTAGAAGAAAGTACCAACTGCGCTGTAGTCTGAACCAGTCCATACCACGCCAGCCACCGTTGGCATCAACTGGCATGGCCCCCATAGCGAAAAATATCCTGGAATCGAAAATTTAGTAATCGTTATCACCAGTCAAAGCATCGCAAACTGCACAGTCGTCATCCAGAGACTAACAAGGTGCTGCTTCTGCTATTGAGAGAGCCCACAGAGCGTACCAGCTGTCACGAGATTGCCAGATAGCTAGTTAGCCAGATAGTCGGATAGCCTGAGTGCCAGATTCGTAGTAGCATCGATCTAGCACAGCCATTGTCAGACAGGCTAACTCCAGACACCAGACCACCAGAAGATAGACCACACACACCAGACCACAGACCACACTCTCCAATAACCGATAATCAACGCCCAACACCCAAGAACCTACACCCCTCCAGCACCCAATAACCTCACATCATGTCGGAGTCCCGTCAGCCCAAGAAGCGCAGCAGGATCGCCCTCAGCTGCAACTACTGCAAGAAGCGCAAGGTCAAGTGTGACAGAGGCACTCCCTGCTCCTCATGTGTCCGCTACAAGGTGCCTTCGTTGTGTGAGTATCCTGAGCCCAAGTTTGCCGACCTGAGCACCTCTCCAGGAGGTCCTGCCGATGCCAGACGACACCAGCGAGACCCTCCCGCCAACATCGGCATGCTTCCCACGTTCTCCATCCAGAAGTTGAACGAACGTACCAAGCCTGAGCCCAAACGCCCCCAGCACCACTCGGTGTACCAGGCGCCACTGTTTCTGGTGGCAGCAGCCGGGCAGCCGGCCCCAGGGTTGAAGCTGGAGTTGGAGCTCTTGAAGGAGAAGATCAAGACCATCGAGGCGTCGCTCACCAACAAGGAGGTACCAGAAGAGCGTGCCCCAGCACCATACGCCGTCAGCGCCGCCGCTGCCGCCGCTCCTGCTGCCCCTACGTACTACCAGGGGTCGCCAAACCCAACGCCCTCCAGCTACAGCTATGCTGCCACTCCCACGCCAGTGCCAGCACCAGCCAGGCTCAACTACCCCCCCTACGCCACCAACGTGCCTATCCAGTTGCCTCCCATCCACGTCCCCACCACCCAGCACCAGGACCCCCGAACCACCCAGGTCTCCAGCAACGAAAACTCCGATGCTGCCAAGATCCTGGTGGCTGTCAATCCGTACGCCTCGGAATACGAGGTGCTCAACTTCTACGACGGCTACACCCCCATCCACATCAAAGACGCATCCAGAAGAATGAACTTCGGACCGTTTGCCTGGCTCTCGCTCATCAAGAAGGACGCAGGAATGTTGGGCATCTGGCGGTTCATGTTCTCGTCCAAGTTCGACTATGTCCGCAAGCTGAAAAAAGAGGTGATCTTTTCGTCCATGGTCACCTACAAGCCACTGGCCCAGGGTGCTGAAGACGAGGTTTCGGACGAAAACGACGCTGAGGCCGACTTCCGCGAACGAGCCATCGACCGTGATGGCCACAACGACTTGCGTACCTACGACAAGGACTCGCAGTCCAAAACCATCAAGCCTGCGGTGTCCAAGTCCGACAAGCAGCTCCAACGCAGTGCCATGAACAGGAACGCCATCTCGTTGGGGCTCACGTTGTACGAGGGTCAGATCGACCAGGAGTTGCAGTTGATCGAGAAAATCAAGATCATCCTCCCCAAGAAAAAGGTGATCTGGACGTTGATCTCCAAGTTTTTCCAGACGGTGTACCCCTACATCCCGTTCATCGACGAGGAGGACTTCAAGGCCGAGATGGTGCGGTTGCTCGGACCCGAGTCCTACGAGGACAAGAAATTGGACGACTTGACGGTGGAAAAACGGTTGGACTTTGCCCACCTCGGCATCTTGTTGATCCTCTTGCGTCTCACCTATGTGTCGCTCTTCTCTAACAAGAGCGCTGCCAACGAAACCAACCTCAAGTCCACCGACCCCTCGCCCAAAATCCAGGAGTTGAAGTACCTCATGCTCAACCCCATTAACATCGACACCGCCAACATGGCTCAGTTGTGCCTCGACCAGTTCGAATTGCTCTGGAAAACGAACTTGGTGGTGTTGCAGTGTGCCCTCTTCATGAGGTGCTACCACATGTTTTCTCCCGAGGATGGCGATGGCTCCGACGGTGGAGACAGTCAGATCTTTAATGGCATGCTCACCCAAATGGCATATTCCATAGGATTGAATCGAGAACCCGATTTGTTTGAAGATTTGGCCAAGGACGGCCGTACAAACAACTTGGGCAGAAAAATATGGTACTTCTTGGTGATGAGTGATGTTGCTCAGGCATTCAAGTACGGTAATCCTCTCAGCATAAGTAACAGATACCACGACACAAAACTCCCTTACTTCAAACCTGAATGTTCCAACATCAAAGACCACAAGATGGAAGAGAATGTGATTGAAGGTTTCGAACGCATGAACCATTTCTGCGACAAGTTGATTCCTTTGTTAGAGATGTGCCTTGATATGAAAAACCCCACCAAGCTTGCAAAAGTATTAGAACAAGTCAGCGAGGTGGAAATATATTTGAGTCAGAACTTTCCTCCTCTAAGAAAGTTCGCAGAACCGTACCATTCTGAGGTATGGGGCTATCCTGCTAGTAAGGTAATGGCGTGCAGAAAAGTTTTGAGTGCAGAGTCGTTCCTCTTGACTATCTTTTTCCACATTTACTTATACTACGAGAAAGAGAAGGAGTACAACTTCTCCTTTTTCTATTTGAAGAAGATCATGAGTATTGCATGTGTTGAATTGATTCCATCATTCTGTCCATTAGTTCTCAACAACTCAACCAATTTTGGAGAAGCTGCAGACATGATTTTAAACCCTATAATCGAATCAACTATCCACAGGGTCAGTCAATTGACTATGGCAATTTTGGTGAGGATTAATGCTCTGATCTTCAGATTGAAACATGACTCTAATCATCAAGAAAACTTGAGAAATGATTTTCAATATAAACTCAGGTTTGCTAAGCTCTGCAAGTACTCCAAGGTTCAAGAGAAGTTGATGAAATTCTGCATGGTGGCCATGTCCAGATTAAGTCAAAGATACTATTATGCATGGAGGGTGACAAAGGCAAACACATTCTTGTTGAAGTTGATTATGGGAGAGGACTTCTACAAGACTGTTGAAAAAGATAAAATCTCATTGATACCCATGAATGTTGATCAGCTTGATGAGTTAATCCTTATCGGGGAAACTACGCTCAGAAAGTACTGCAGAAAAGCCAACATATTCCATGCTAGCAGTGATCTACTCGACGATATAGATGATGAAGATATCGAGCTTGGTGTAAAACTTAGAAATGGGAACTCAACACCTACTTCCCAGGGAGTATCAAGCAAATCACAAAAATCTGCTGGAAGAGGATCTATCAAGAACTCTACCGTGCCATCAATCCATAGCCCCTACGGTCACAATTCAATAGGACTAACCAGCAACTACCCCTCTTCGGTTGATTCAGCCAGCAATTCCGAAATAGAGGAATTCCATTTCATCGAGAACGCTGATATTGATCGATTATGGCTCCAAATGGCAAACATGAAGAATGACAATAATAATGGATACGATCCAGAAGTACACGATGGTAACTTGGGGTCTGCTTCAATGGTTCAAGGTCTCGCCAACATTCTACCCAACCCTGTGCTCAACCCTCTTAATCCCCTTAGTCCTGACAGCTTGAATAATCAACTCAAAAACTCGCAGAACGGACCAGATGACCACCTTAATTTTCCTATGACATCCCATGACATTTTTAATAATTTTGCAATCGACCAATTATTGGGTATCGATGGTGTGAGTGATTCATGGTAACAGTAGCATGAGAAATAAATGTTAACTAATGACCTAGAGAGAATTCGGGGCCATCCATTAAATGTACCAAGTAAAATAGAGCGCGTTGTGGCAAAATATTAGCTGATATACCGGCCCAATTATTTGATTCCTGGTTCAGAAATCGGTCTATTCTATGTATAAATGCACCATTAGAAATATGCTATGGCCTGAGTCTGTATTTGTGAATTATATTTCATAAGTGAAGCTTCATTTAGACGATTTCTGGAGAAACAACGAATCAGAAAATAGACGACCCACCTCACTCTGGAACATGTAGTCCATGCGACACCATTAGATACAGACAAATACCTTCTTGGCTGCCGGATTCCAGCCGGTAGTGCTGGTATTGGCAATCCCATTAGGGCTCCGGAGGTGGGCGTGCACCGTCCACTATTTGCAGCCAACCCTAACGGCCATGGCCGGGTAACTTGAAAATTTTCTGGGGTATAAAAGACGCTCGATCTGCCACAATTTCCAACCAGTATCCGCGCCTGAAGGTCTGGCGATCTTCAATGTGAAAAGGATAGGATTGAACAAGAGTGATGAATATGACGACAAAACGCTGTGCACCAGTCAGAGTACTCAAATCATGATTGACCCAGTATACCCAAATTTCTGAACTCATCATTCTTGTTTTATTTTATTATTTTTGCAGGCTTAGGTGGTGGAGTGAAGAGAGGCGTATGTACAATGAGCGTGAAGCCAGTGGGAGACGTCAGGAATGTGACGCCTTTTGAGAGTGAATTGGCACCATTGGCATCGTAGAGAAGGGACACGACCGAGTGTGGCGCCAGTGGCATATGTAGAGAGTGAAGCACCGCTAGTGAGCTATCTTGGTGAAGTGACACCACGAAGATTCCGAGGTTGGGTTGACACCTCTAGTGAAATGGTGAAAGGTTGAATTTTCCAGTTTGGAGCGATGCCTCATCGCGTGGGAAGAGTACCAACGCGGCATATCGGCTAGGGCGTGGCGACACGTCAGCGACGCCCAGCCCCTGGAGGCAGAGGTGGCAGCCTCAATCCTGGCACTGGCACTAGCAACGGCGCGTTTGGGAGATCCAGGCCTGGGGCTCCTGCATCCCCACGACCGATGCCACGAATTAATCCCAATCCAGAATATGCCATTGATGCAGTGACAGCATGGGGTGCTGGAATGGGCGACGAAACGGGCAAATTGGGTGCTGGACAATGTGGAGCACGTCGACGCCAGGCAGGGGCATGTATGGAAGAGGGGGGAGACATGAATAGGGAGGAGAAAGGCGAGAATGGGCAGAAACGCAACGGCATAATGGAGACACGGAGAGAGCGACGAAACGACCAGAAGGGAAAAACACGGGCACATGTAGTTTGGTTAGGCGGTGGTGACCAAGGAGTAGTCGCCAAGGAGGAGTCGCCAGGCGATGTCAATAGAATGGGTGCCACTAGAATGGGAGCTACAGACTGATGGCTGAACCTGGACGGCCACCTTATGATTAAACACTATTCTGTTGGACCAGAATAACCAGTTTATTAAACACTAATTCGGTTCAACTAATGGCGACCAGAATAATGTTTAGACAAACTAATTCGATAGAACAATTGCACCAGAATTTAATTCTAAAGGATGAAGATTTTTTGCCTGAGAATTGCCTGAAAATCACCAACCAGCACTCGAATAATCCCAATGAGACTCCCGCATCCTTACCACCACCACCACCTACCACTCGTGGTTGCACGGACAATCCCCAACCCTTCCTCTCTACCGCCCCTTCACCCTTCCCTCATCCGCCTTCGCCCTTCCCTCTACCGCCTTCCCCATGGCCAGACCCTCACGTGAGGCTACGCGCACGCGTTTATACCCCTTTGGGCGCAGGGATGCAACAATCGCGCCTCCACCCCTGGCGGTTTCTGGCGTCTACCTCCCAGGCACTTTGCAGCATGTTGATGTTGATTGTGTCTACCACCGCGACGGGGCCTGCAAATTTCACTATATAATGCCAGGCCCCGCTGGTGTTCTATCCCAGCATCATCACTCCTTGATCACTCATTCCCTTGTCCACTCCTTGATCACTCATCCACTCATTCAACCCCCCTCCACCATGGCTTCCTCCCTTGACTTGAAAGCATTGTCCATGTTCGTCAACACCCCCATCACCCAGGACATGATCCACAAGATCGTGGTCACCACCTTGCAAGTGTTGCCATGCCAGGACTCCAAGAACCACACCTACAACGCCCAGGGCGAATTGAAGCCATTGCCTTCGTTGATGACGTTCTTGACCAAGTTGGTGCGCTACACCAACGTGTACACCGGAACCTTGATGGCCACCTTGGTGTACCTCAACAAGCTCAAGTCCAAGTTGCCCAAAAACGCGGCTGGGTTGCCATGCACCCGTCATCGTATCCTCTTGAGCTGCTTGATTCTCAGCTCCAAGTTCCACAACGACTCGTCTCCCAAGAACACCCACTGGGCCAAGTACACCGACGGCCTCTTCTCCACCAAGGACATCAACCTCATGGAGAGACAACTCCTCTACCTCTTGAACTGGGACTTGCGCGTGGACAACGAAGACATGGTCGACGCCCTTGACTCGTTCCTCGACCCCATCCGCTACGACTTGGTCAAGGCCGCCAAGTTGAGAAAGTACATGTCCAAGAGACTGGACGCCGGCGACGCCTCCACCCGCCACTTCGCCTCCGACGACGCGTTGCTGCCCCACCACCACTACAGACAGCTCTCATCCTCCTCCATTCTGTCGGTGGCCTCCTCGGTCATGGACTCGGCCTCCTCATCTTCGTCCTCAGTGGGCTCGCCTTCGCCCCTGGTGGATCCTGTCATTGAAATGACTGCCTTGAAGGAGGAGCTTGAATTGAACAAGTTGTTGAAACAATTGAACAACCCCCACGCACAAAGACAGAGCGTGGCTTCGGCTTATTAGGTATATTGGTTGGTACATACAGGTTAGGGTAGTTGCTGGCCACTACTTTCAGTTCTTCTATTTATTATTAATACAGGTTACGGTTAAACGGTGTAGATGGGGATGTGTATTTACTTTAGTCGACTACTGCACCACTGCAGAGCCTCATACAGTTCTCGCGTCTCGCTAGGGCCTCGCTTGAGTCTCGTTAGAGTCTCCCAGAGCTCTACCAGAGAAATGCCTGTACTAACTAGAGCCTTCCTAAAGCTTTACTGGCTTCTCTAGCCCTCGTACTGGCACCTGGGAATGGGACGAAAATTAGAGGGATGTTTCCTGAAAACGACTCGAGTTCCTAATACAACAGTGAGAGCCATGGGAACCGTGAAATGTTTCTTTAGGTTTATGTTTATCAGCTAATGTTTTACCTGGTCACTTATTAATGTTATTTTAGGTTCATTAATCATTAGTTTAATGAGTAAGAACGGTGCTAGTAAATTGTACCAGGGTGAGTCAAAATTATTGATCCAGCCCCAGATGGAAATATTACTCTCTAGCACCATGTGTATTACTTATGATGCTATAAAAAGTGTAATCCGACTTAGACATAGATCTTGTGTTAACACTTTATCTTGTGCTTCAGATAATCGAAGCTTTACCCAAAACCGCAATCCATGGCCGACTAAATCAGACCAGCTGTTGATGTTGCCCCAGAGTACTGCAGTGAACGTGTCCGGAGGAGTCATGAACAATGGGACTTACTTCTGCTGGAAGAAATTGGCTCTTTGAATTTTGCAAAATTACCATTCGTTGATTTATTCAGATTGTCTACTTGCCATGGATACCGCAACGTTGCTATTATTCTCCCTACACTCGCTATTCTGATACAGTGTGGGCCACTACGAATGATGCTCTACCCAGTCTAGCACGAGCCTTGTAGTTCATTCATCTCGTCCCTCTTGTAAACTTCGAACTTGAACAGTGCTGCTAACTACATAGCTGGCTACTCCGACCTCGCAGCCCTGGATGCCTCCCTACAAACATCCTTGCGAGAGCTCTCAAGATCCTCCCTAATCTCCCTGGGAACCCTCGCTAGCCTCGCTAACCCTCAGCCTCCAGACCCAACTACTTTTTCCCTGCGCGTCCTCACTACCTCCCTAGCCCTCACTATTATCCCTGACTCTCTCCCTAAGACTCATAGTCACATGACTACTACTCCCACTCCACACTACCACTCCACACTCTCCATACCCTCCACCGTACTTCCACTCCACCCTCTACCACGATCTCTCCGTACCATCCCCCCCTAACCCCCTTTAACTCCCGCCTTATCCCTCCCTAACCCTCTTAATCCTTCCTACCACATACCTTCCCGTAGCTCCGGACGTCCTCCCGTCGCCCTATCCCCGATTCATCCTCGCGCACTAAAAAACGAGTGATCCTCACTAACCGCCAGTAATCACCACCATCTAATCACACCCATCCAGTCTATCAGACATACCCAACATGTACGTGCTAAGACAGACAGCCTTCAGCAAGGCCAGGCTGCTTCACACTACCCGCATCTTGAGTAAGGACGAAAAGTCCAAACAACTCCTCAAGAACTTGGGGATATCCCTCCAGAAAGGCAATCTCAAAGCAGAAGAACCAGAGCGCCAGGAACGGGACGATAAGACGGACAGCCCGTCCGAGATCCCCAAGGACGAGAAGATGGCCCACGACAAGCTCGTCAAGACTAGCGTTGAATCCGAAACTGATCCGTCTTCGGACACCAAGCCCAGCAACGATGGCTTGAGCACCTCCAAACTCGAGCCAGCGTCATCTCAATACCAGGACAGCATCGACAGACTCCACGCTGCCTACAACGTCGTGTCGCACATGACCACGGACGACTTGATGATCCAGAAGAACTTGGATCAGGAAAGACAGCTCTTCTCCAACAACTCCAACCACTTCTTGAACCGCAAGGACATCGTCAAGCACCTCCCCGAAGAGGTGGACCTCTTCAACCCTGAGGAGCTCAAGCGCATCGAAGAAATCTACGAGAAGTTGACCCTCCTCGACACCGACAAGTCGGTGCAGTACAAGTACTACAAGAGATACTTGAAGAAATACAGCGATCCGGTGTTGATCATGATCCAGGAGTTCAACGGCATCAACAAGAAGTTCAAGCTGTTGAGAAGAAAGGAGTCTGAGAGCTTGAGCTTGAACCCTGGTGCCTACTACTACAACGAGAATCTACTTGGGGCCCCCTACAATGTGATTGGATTCGACACCACCATTAGCGGATTGCCTTTGAGAAGTGGCAAGCACAAGGTCAGCGAGAAATTCTATCCCCAGGAGTTTGTGGAAGACTTGCAAATGTATCGGACCAAAATTCCCATTTACAAGAGAGATTTGGACTTCATCGAACAAGAAGAGTCGTTCAGAAACATCAACCCCAAAAAGGTGCTGCTGCTCAAGCAAGATAACGCACAGGCCGACTTGTCGACTCCAGAGCAGTTGAACCACTTTTTCAGCAAGATCTACAATCAACTAGAAATCCCGTTGAATGCCATCAATATCAACTCAGTTGAGAACTATAACTGTCTCAATTTGAACAATGAAACAGTCATACGGGTGGAGAACGAAATTTTGTTGATGAAGAAGTCTTTGCAGCATGAAATCGAAACCGTGATGATGAAATCGTCCTTGAATTCGAGAGTAATGATCCACAATAACCCCAACCACTTGAAACACAACCAATATAGATTATACGAGACCAAATCCTCAGACTTTATCGACTCATCCGCATTGGTGGTGATCAACCACCACATCAAGGAATTCAACTTGATTCCCAATTATGCATTGATTCTCAACACCTTGAAACAACACAAGAACTTGAGAAACCATCTATACAAGGTGTTCCTTATCAACTTGGAGGATCAGATCGATATACTCTTCAGAATCAAATATATCAACGAGAAGGAAATGAACCGTTTCATGAAAAGAATGATCAAGAACATAGGCCACACCATCAAATTCAAGTTGGAGAAGTTATTCAAGCCATTGTGGAAAACTGATACCACCAAGACCACTGCTAACGTCGGCAGTGGAAGGCGGGTCGGTTTCGGTTTACACGATAAGAAGACAGATGCAGAAGAGTATGATGCGTTGATCTTCAGTCCCTATCTCAACCACACCAATTGCTTCAAGAGAATTTACTGGTTAAATAATAGAGTGAGGAATTTTGATGATGGAGTCAAGAACACTCGGGTGTTGAGGCGGTCGGGGTTGCAGATCAACTGGAAGAGCTTGGACAATTTAGTTGAATACTAGCCTGGTGAGGTAATAGACGGTGGAGTACATATTTAGCATAGAGTAATATTAGAGGATTGACGCAGTGGCCGTTTGTAGATTGACCTGATTTCGCATGAACATATCCAGACTATTCGTTGGTTGATTTCAAATTACGACACATTGAAACGGTCCATCCTCGAAATAGAAGCAAAGAGGTGAAATTCAAATTCATAAGCACTCGATGAGATGGGATGAAGCTGGCTATGGAACTAACTGTAGCAGATTATGAGAGGAGAGAGTTGCCAAAGAATAAGCAAAACTTGCCAACCAATTAAAACTAGAAGAAGAAGTAAAAATTGAGAATTTGGAGACCCGTCTACACTACATAATCTCTCTGATGCTCCTAATAGTAAGCATAGGACCTATGTTGGTTGTGACATAGGGAAGATTCTCATGGTCATTAGATGCACAACTCTCAGATGGAGCTCATGATCAGTTTTACCCTGAATAAAATTCTATCTGTCTACATAAATGAAATGTCAGCCTGACGCAAACAACTTCGCATACGCCCCACACCAGCCCCCTACCATTGAAATCCAGCACGGAAACCACTCGTAGCCCGATCTCAGTTTCGTGCTCAAAAGTAATTAGTGATGATTTCCTTCCTGCACACAGTACGCAGCCTCCTCCAGATGATGAAAAATTCACCAACTGGTACCAACACAACCACCACGCCATGGCTTACAAGAAAGTGGGACCCCCACCTAAGAACCTCCCTCCCTTGCCGAGGTTAAAGATAAGAAGACCCACAGTCGCCAAGTCCACCAACCAGTGCTTTGTGCTCATGTCTTCGTTGTTGAACTGCTGGGCCTCCAACGGTGAAGGTGCCTTGCAATGCTCCAGTTTCGAGCACGATTTGAAGAGCTGTATGGAGGTGCACAAGCCTGACCAAGAGAGATGGAGTACCATCAACTACCATGCCGGAAGATTGTATCCTAAGTTGAGAGGAAAGGTCAACGATTAGAAGGCCAAGCAGGTCAGTTGGGGCCGACGCTTGAAGCATATCCCAGCGAGTGGGTCCATGTGACGACCGCTCGTGGACAGGAACACTCTGGGTGTCCACATTGTAAATATTAATTCCATACACGGTATGGTGGTGTTATTCTAGTAATAAACGTGCACATGATGAAAAGCGTAGGGTGCGATGGTGAAAGAGCACGAAAAACAGCATTCAACATCGATACTAGCATATCTAGACAATGTGCTTACAAAGACAAGGACGGCAGCTTCGACTTGAATTGCCTTGAATAGAACTGGTCTGTTTGGAATTCAAAAAAATGCGATTTCTGTGGATCGAACACAGGACCTTCAGATTAACTGTGACTGAATCTCTTCAGTCNGACGCTCTCCCAACTGAGCTAAAACCGCTTTCTATGAAGAAATTGCCGATATTGCCGATACGAAGAAGCCTGGAACCGTGTATAATTCTCTTGCATATAGGCCTTTCTCCCATTTTCTCCTCAAGTACAGTTCTTTGGGCTCTAAAAAGGTACTCCATGGATAAAGGAGAGCTGTACTTACAGGGGAGGTCTTTCTGCCTCCTTTTTTGTTTTCTTTTTTAATGGTGGTTGACCATCAATGGAAATTCCCAAAAAATAGAGAAGAGCCTCGAAAATAGACAATAGTGTATCCATGGCAATAGGCATATAGTCAGTAAATTATAATATACCTACCAGTAGCAAAAAAAAAAAAACCACTACTCTGGGGAACCTTTAGCAAGTTTGTCGGTGTCAGTGCCTGAAGTATATATTAGCGTTACCTGAGCCGGCATTGAATAGCGGCTGGTCGTATCATCCCAACAGCTTGTCTCTGGTCTCGATTTTCCCCCGCTATCTTGTCAGGTTTGCTCTAGGTTGCACCTTTATGTTGACTGTTCGTTTCGCACTTTCCTACTGAAGCATCAAGCTGCAAAATTCAGCAAAAACCGATTTTAATTTTTATTTAGATTTTAAAGGTTTGATGGTGTGTAATAGATATATATTCAGTTGACTATGATATACTTCCCATTAGCAAAAAATACAAAAAAAACATGGCAATAAGTGTATAGCCAGCATTATAAAATACTTCCCATGAGCAAGAAAAATGAAGGAGCAGATCATAAATGAGACACAACCAAAAATCTTCTTCCTATAATAGGAGCAAGAAGTCAAAGCAATATCCTATCCACCGTTCTGAAGGACCCACCAATGCCTTTACAGAACCTCTGGCCCCCGGTCCGACTACTGAAATAAACCAGTCGGTTTCAACGGACGTTGATGACACCGTGTTATCAAATGGCAGCACGAAATCCCAACTTAATCCCAGGCAAATGTGGGAAAGTACTCTGCAGCCCCCGAGCATCAGCAACTCCAAGGCTCCAGCAAAGAAACTGGATGCCGATCTCCTTACACAAGCGTTAAAAAACCCTATTGGATTTCCGTTCAACGACAGAATCAACAGAATTGTAGCGATATACAAAGATTACAGATGCCTACCAGCCGCAAGTAAAATAGGACTCGTTGACCTGGAAACCCAGTACCGAATGGAAAAGGATGGCCGTTGGATGGAATTCGAATATCAACTGCTTGTGGACTCCTACATTTACAGAGAAATCCCTTCTCTACACCAAGCGAAAGCATGGAAGAAGAAGATGGCATCAGTCCACCCTAATGTCGTCATACCATATTTAAATATTGTTACAGTACCAAGGAAGGAGTATTGCCACTTCAGAATTACCCAGAGTTGCAACAACATCCATCACTTAGAAAGTTCCATCAAGGCGTATATGAAAAACCAATTCCAATCTAAAAAGAAACTTCGCACTTTATTGGAAGAAGATCTCGCATTTACCTCGACGAGACTTACAAGGGCCATACCAGGCACTAACGATTGGGCTGACCTCACCCAGAAGAAAGGTGACTTGAAGTCAGAGATTAGAGACACAGCAAAGTGGACCCACTTCTTTAATGTAGGTTTTAATACCCCAGAAGTCAACATCTTAAACAACACCGTTAAATTCGGCGTTATCCCTCTCAACGATGATGCAAAAGAATTTGATGAGGAAGCGAAATGGATCAAGCAACAATATGCTAATGCAATCATCCCCGTTGTGGACGAAAAGGGCGATTCAGTAGAGGACTTACCTTACCGCTTAGAATATGAGGAACCACGCGTCAACTACATGATCGTGAAATTCGACATCTGGAATCAAATATCAAGAATGTGGAAAGACGTCTTGATAGACAAACACTTCTTCCAATCCGAGGAAGAACCAGTCATCATAGCTGCAGAACAGATCACAAGTAGTTCCAAACACAGTAGATGCCACATCTTTCACGTTCTCTTGGCCTTAGAAGATTGTTTAATTCTCCCACATTTAAATGGAACAATGTCAAACTTGACAATTATCTCGCACTACGGAGCAGCAACAAATTGGAAAAGTTGATTAGGATTCTTTGGAGTTTATGAATACAACGACGAGCACAAGGGGGGTTGAGTCGCATACCAAGCTGCAAAAAAACATCGAAAAACGATTCTACTCATTATTGATTTGAAAAAGTCTGGCCATAATGGTATGTTATCCATTGCAATATTTATATATAGTCATACTCAGCTAGCGTTGGCCAGTTACTTGGCAACTAAGGCTCTCTAAAGAGTAGATTAAAAAAATAGTACACTCACCATTGGCAAAAAAATCTGTTGGATCGAGGAGCTACCTTCCAAAGTGAATGGAGTATTCTTGGGGGTTAAATATTCTCCCTAGTTGTAAAGGCAGTCTTCGAAAAGGTCCGTAGAACGTTTGTCCAAGATAGGCTCATATGAACCGAACAGTAAAATAAACATTCAAACTGAAGAAGCGAGGAAGCAGAAATTTTGTATTTCAGTCCGGATAGTAACTTACCTAGTTGCAAAAAAGTAGAAATTCTTCTGACTTTAGACACAACTAACTCGGAGTAGAGAGGACTGAATACAATCCGGTTCTCGACGTTATTAATTTTTCAATATAGAGTAAATCGAAATAGAGGAATATCTAAGAATCTCACCGTTGGTCAAATCGAATTTCTGTACAGAGTGTATTGCCTAAGAATCAATTAATGCCCGATTCCTTGAGTTGTGCATCTACTTGCCTTGAACATTGAACTAACTTATGGGCTGAGCATTCGTAACTACAGTGAATTCGGGGCTTAGACTAATATGCCCCAACACAGTGAACTATGGGAAATTCATGGCTGCAGTTTACAGTATGGCAATGGTACTTGTGTACCAGAATGCTCTATGGAAATAATGACTCATCAAGTCCAGAATTAAGTTGCTGGTTACTCCCCATAAGTGGATATTTCACTGCCCTGATGAAGAAAAGGCTCAAACTGGAAATTATCCCTAGTGTTTTTAGGGTGCGAGGGAGACCCTTGGTACGATTGAGCGTTGTATTGAGCTGAGGAGCTAACTCCAAACCGAACCATAAATACTGCAATGGACCTACTAATGGTAATTCTCACGCAAGAATCAGATCCAATCTGGTGCATACCAGCAAATCCACGGCATCAATACCTACGAGCCCTACCCCTTAAGGGCTTATCGAGGAGAACAGGAATACCTATTTTTTCCGACCTTAATAGACTTCCGTACCTTAATGTGCTCCCTCCTTACGGTTCCACGTTCCCTATTCTGCCGTGGACCCTGGATACCCCTCCAGGTATAAACCTATTGTTACTAATCAGAAGAGAAAAATGGATCCACCGGACCGTCACCGTGACTCACCTCCACGATAGCCCAGCAAATAATCGCATATTTTATCCGCATGGGTAACCACGGTGACCACTCGTGCCACGCTCCTTCCGTAACACCATCCTCCGCATCTTCTACACTCACCACTCCCGGAACCCGGTCGTCTGGACCAGCCCGTTCGGGAAGTGTGGGGCTTTGGTGCGAGCACGGACACCATCAGCCACATCAGTCATGTTAGGCAAAAGTGTCGTAGTACGCCTTACTGAGTAGAAACATCGTAGTAGTCTTGAGCCATCGGTAGTTCGTCGCATCTTCTCTTCATCTTCTCGAGTGGCTTCTTTTCTTGATACATCTTCTATCTTCTATCTTCTATCTTAATCTGCGCAACGTATGTGCCTGAATTTCATCTGCGAAACAGATTTCTCATCACTAGATCCACCAATAGCAGTACCAACCCACCAGCACCCACTCGTTCCAACCCACCAACATCCACTAGTACCAGCACCCACTAGTACCAGCACCGCTTCTAGTACTACCATCTACCACCATCAATAACACCACTCGAACCATCAGCACCACCACTAGCACTACCACCACAACCACCCTAGGGAATGCGTCTCCTGGTCCTCTTCCTCGCCTTCCTCGCGGTGCTAGGCCACTCTGCGTTTCTACAGGCCTCAGAGTGTAGCGTGGACCGTGACCTGGTCCCGCTACTGCCGTTCGTCATCGATGGCGCCTTGGACGAGAAGTCCCAGAAGCTCAAGTTCTTCATCAACTCCATGGTCATAGACCCCACGTTCGAGGGTCCAGACCGCAGAAACACCCTGGCGCCAGAGTACGCCAAGCTCGCCAAGCCTGTCATTACAGACGTGGATCCCTCCACAAACAGATACACCACGTTCCACATCGAAATCGACTTTATGGGCAAAACCTTCATCAACGAAAACAGGCGTTTCTGCGACATGGTACTAGTCAAAGACACAGAGGCGTTCGAAAACGGCCCTCGTTTCCATCCACCCACTCCCGTGGTCAACACGTCCGACGAACGTCCGACTCTCACCAGAGGCATGTATCCCAGTGGGTTTTCCCAGAATAGGACCTACCAGTCAGGCTCTGCTTCCAAGAACAGAAACCACCGAAGATATTTGCTCGACTACACGTCAGACTCGGATGTCGACGGCGAGGGCACTGAAATCGACGTGAACCAGCCGTCTGGACCTGCCAATTTGGCCAACTCCAACGCCAGCATCGAGTACATTTTCGACGAGCTTGACGGCGTGTTGGAGCACTGTCCGTTGTACGACGGCGACTCCATCGTCATGTACTACGAGGCCGACATTTCACGGCATTTCCACCGTTTGGGTTCCTACACCGTCAAATTCTCAGTGGTTTCCAACGACAAAGATTCCCAGATGATCGGATGCAGTCGAGTCTACGTGACTCCAGTCCAGACAGACACCATCTCAAGTGCCCTCATCATCGGCATCGTGGTGTTGCTCGTGGTCACAGGCTTCGTCAACGCCTTCACCATGGTGTACTCGTCGTACCAGGAATCTTCCAACCCCTGCTTATTCCAGGCGTCCACCATCTGCAACGAAAACCTCTTGAAACAGTTGGATGCAACCGTACCACGCATTATTCTCTATCTCCAATTTGCACTCTTCATCGGAGGCCTCGACCTCCAGTACCCTGGCTTCTACCAGCCCCTCATCGGTGAAATTCGTTGGTGTGCATTGTTGGGATACAACATCATCAACAGCAGCAAGGGCAAGAAAGGCGTTCGTCTGGACAACATCTACCGTACGTTCAATCTCGGAGGCCTCAAGCGGTTGACTATCTTGTCGACAGATCTTTCGGACCACTACAGCTGGGCCAACTTCATTCTCTGCTTCGTGATCTGGTTATTCGTTCAGTGTGCGTTGATCCAGCTTCTCTTGGGCTTGAAGAAGATGGTTGACATCTTGATCAAAAAATTCAACAAAAACAAGACAAAAGAGAGTCTCCTCAACGATCACGCCGACTTCGACTTCACGATACTGAAAAGCATTTGTTTCATGCTTGGCCATGTGCTAGAGTCATTTTTGGTGCTCTTTGCTTTGCCTTTCTTGGTGTTGACCACTTCGGTGTTCTACAACTCAGCAAACGTGTATGGCCGTCATTTCTACCCAAATCTCAGGGCCTTGGAAACGAATGCTTTCAGTGTGACTACCCCATACCTGACCATGTTTGAGCCGTACTTGTTGTACTACGAAACCAAAAACTCAAATCGCACATTGGGTGACATTGGAGGCTCGTTGTTCAACCTCACAGACGAAAATACCAATATGACCATGGCGTTGTTGGTTTCCAATTATAACAGTGTCCCTATTCCAGTGACAGTCTTTGCCAGTCTTCTCTTTGCGTTGTGGCTTGGATTGGCAAGCTACTTCATTTTCAACTACCTCATCAGCTTCAAAAAATGGGGCATAATTGCCAACAAAAAGGTGTCAAGACTTTACACCTCCATCAAGACTGTGATGTTGTGGGGATTCGTCTACCAAACATACCATCCAGGGAGGTTGTACTTCATCATTAGCACCACTTTGTCCCTCGTGTGTAAGCTGCTTGTCATTGGTTGCTTGCAGAACAGCGGACTCTTCCAGGTGGCTATATTGATCATCTTGGAGTTCTTGGAAGTCGCTTCTTTGTTTATCATCAGGCCCAACTACGTCAGTTTGCGCAGAGTGTCTGCAGTTTGGATTTTACCAGTTGCCAGATTATTGGTTACAATTCTTTGTATCACTTATGTGAAGGAGTTGGGGTTGAGTGAATCCGTGAGAACTTATGTTGCCTATTCTCAATTCCTCATCCATGTGGTTGTGGCATTAGTTTTCATCATTCAATTGTGTTACTGCTTCGTCATAACCATTCTCTCCATCATCAAGACGAACAGGGCCAGAAAACAATACGCCAAGTACTCGTACAAAAATGGTAAACCCAACACTTTGGATGATTATCAAAAGGAGTTCGAGTACCAACCAGTTCAGATCCCAATAACTCCTGTAGTTGCAACTCCTTTGCCAGACATGTCATTGAAAGATGAAAAATACAACCAGTTTGCATATTCTCAAGCGGGAAAGAAATATGGTGGAGGGGTCTTTCAAGAGCACGAAGATGACGAGGACGACGAAGACTTGTACTACAGAAGTACTAGTCACAATAACACAGACAAATCATGTCTGCCAGGTGCTACAACTATTTCACAGACCAACGAAGTCGACGAGCATGAAATGGCATCAATAGGCGCCACCTCTGATACTCAGTCGTTCAGAAGGTTACAGTACTTTTCCAATTTGAGAAAACAGAAGAATGACTACAGAGTTAGGGAAGGCGACTACATCTACACGAAGTACTTTGTTGACGATTCAATTGACCCCGAAATAAAGGCGTTGTGGGATTCTAGACAAAATAGAAATAAAAACATCAACCGCCAATATCAAATGCACGCAGGAGGTCAACATCCAGATATGCCTTACAAGAAGCCAGAATCAGACCCTGGTTTCTTGACAAACCTCATCACAGTTTTAAAACCAAAACCTAAAGAAAAAGGTTTTCATGTCTCAAGACCAAGACAATTGATAGTCAAGAAATTGTCAGAGGTGCATCAGAGTGAGACTGAGAGTGAGAGCAATGAGATGGCAGACACTTCTGAAGATAGCTCATACTTACAGTTGCATGAGTCCAAGATTGAGTCCGATATGAGATGCAGCAAAACTCTTTCCAGTGGCTCCGAACAGCATGAAGAATAATAATGTGAAAATCCTTATAATTCCTTCCCTTTTGGGACTTTTTTAAACACGGCGGCCGTTTGGCTGGCCTTTACTTCATTTCTTGATATAGTTAATTTGGGCTTATAATTAATAGATTTTATGGTATTAGTAACGATACACTATGCTAGAAAACAGACCCTAGAACATGTAGCCCTGTGAACCGCAAGATAGAGGATGAACAACTCAAGGAAAGAGGTCGAATAATTGGCATTGTAGCCGTGGAGCAAAACGAATAATTAATGTTATTGAATTCACGAAATGCTCCGAAACGGATAGTTTACCAATCTATCGTTTCTCCAAATATTCTTCAAACTAATAAAATCCGTTTCAGGTTGAACAGAGAAATAATGAATGCCGATAATAAATTGGTAGAGAGTCCATCTGAGAACCTCAATATTTGGCTTGCCGATCCTGTCAACAAACTTAGCACTTCCTGCCTCTGAGAACGCCTACAAGTGACAACCATCTAAGCCCTTGGCTGATTTTCTATAAAGTATATAGTTACCAACCCTCTATCTATCCTAACAACTGCAAAATAATATACAATAACAAGATGCAATTATAATAATACCTATGTGAACTGCCGAATTGAATCGAAAACGAAATGCAAGGACATTCTGCATGGATTTTCACGAGACTCCATCCAGTTCCTTCTGCGTGTGAGAAATCCTCACAATTTATGTGGCTCTAGCCTTTTTACTGGTCACCTCATCCTCACTGGTGGAGTCGTCGCTGAATCTCTTCTTGATGATGTTTCTAATGAATTTGCCATCATCGATAAACTTGTAGTTTGCAAAGTCTCCGTTTTGGAAAGTTTTCTCCACTTTCAAACAGTTTTTGAGTGATTGGACCTCGGATTTTAGGACGACCTGGGCATAAATCCTTCTGGTTTCATCCTGAGACTTCTGGCCGATGTTTTCTCCATACTCTTCGAATGGCTCGCTGGCTACCTCAGGGTACTGAGCGAGTCTTTGTGCTATGATCTGTTCAAAGTTGGCCAAGAAAACCTTTGTCAATCTCTTGGATTCGATCAACTGATAAGTTTTCTTGAAAACTCTGCTTACCAACTGGAATTTGGGCTCGTAGGCCAACAACTCCATGGAGTTGATACGGTGGATCGACGAGATGATGGTCAAGATCTGGATCAAAAAGATGAGCTCCAAAATGACCTCACTGGTGGTGAAACAGTCGTAGGAGTCCAACACAATTTCTACCATTTCCGATTCCTCCTGCTCGATCTCCACTACCTTGTTCAAGATGGAGAAGATCTCCTGTACCGAGTCGACGCTCAATCCACTTTGCTGGACGAAGAAGTCCCTGATGATGCCGAGAGGAATCTCTCCGAAGTCATACTTGGAACCATTGGGCTCGATGTAGCCGTACCGTCTTAAAATCTCACTGTTGGGGTGGTCCGAATAGATGTTGTACACCTGGTCGCCCTTGCGGATGGGCTTAATGCTCTTCATCACCAAGTTGTCCTCGGTGTACATCAAGCTTGCATTGTGCAAGTTGGTGTTGGCGTTCAAGGTGTCAGCCAACGGGATCATGGACTTGAAGTAGCCGTCATTGAGGAGGTGAGCGTCGTCGTAGCTGGCGTCGTCGTCCTGGGCGTCGTGGTTCTTCTTGACCTGCTTGGCCTTTTTGGAGCTTGCGTCCTTGGAGTTGTCGTTTTTGGGCTTTTTGTTGTTTTCTTCATCCTCTTCCTCATCTTCATCCTCCTCATCCTCACTTTCCTCCTCAGAGTCGAAATCGGGTCTGTCCACATCGAACGAATACGACATGATGATTGAGGCCACGCGGTGGTAGTCCTCCAAAGTCACCAGCTGCAACAGCGCCAAGCCGAGGTCTTGGACCACGACGGTGGGGAACAACTTGGCGTACATGGCCTCCGAGATGTCCTTTCCGATTCTGTCCAAGATCAACGACGGCTCCAAGTGCTTCAAGTCTTTTTCGGACCAGAACATCAACTGGTTGAACGTGTAGTTGTCGGAGTCGAGGATAGGCAACATGCAGAAGTACTGGTGCCATGGCGAGTCCTGTTTCTTGACCTGGATTTCGTAGAGCAAGGTGATGATCAACGACTCCCATTGGTTCAACGCAAAGAGCTTGGGACGGAGCTCGGGATGGTCAGTGACGAGCGACGAGTTGTCGACGTTGAGCATGGCACTGCGAGGAATCGTGAACAACACTTCGTCGTCTTTGATGTCTTGGGTGGCCACCAAACCACGGCCCTGATTCTGGGCACGGAGGTCGGCAATTTCCACCTTGGGCGAAACAGAGACGTTGTGCTCGGCCAACCACTGAATGAACGCTTTCGTAGTGGTTTCGAAGGGCATTGCACTGGTAGATGTGGAGGTGGAGAGCTGGAAATGTTAGAGATGATTCTTCGCACAGCTGGTGTGTGCCAAACTGCAACTTTCTATCAGAAAAGCAATACGGCGGACCGGAAAATTTTTCAGATTAGTCCAGGGTTGCTGGGCTGGCACGGAACGGAACACCACACAGGGTGGTGGTGGCACGCGCCAGGCCTTGGGCAGGTGGGTATGTCCTGTTGGCGGCTTCGGGATCATAGATCTGCCATGGTCCGGAGTGGCTGCGCACCGCGATGTGGCTAGTGGGCTGGGAGCGATAGTGTTCCTTGCGTGAGGCAGCAGCTCGTTAAGCACCGGCAAAAACAGTATCCTTGCGGCCCGGAAACCGCTCGAGGGCCAGACACGCGTCGGTAAACGGGGCAGATTACGAGACACAACAACCCCAGCTGTGTAGATAGTGAGACGGATTTCGGGCTTGGTGAAATAGACGAGGCGTTGGCGTACAGACCAAGACTAGTCTGGTGGGGAGTGGCTCGGGGCAGCCGCGGATTGTAGGACCCTTGCGGCTGGTGAACTGGTGCCAGAGATCGGTGCTACGTCGTTCTGGTGGGGGGATATGTTGATTACTACATCAAACCGTTGTCTGTCATGTCATGTCATACTCGCGTCAGAGTGACAGGAAACTGTCACCCCGCAGAAGGCACATGGCCCCAGTAAAGCAACTATCGGGGGGTCGCTGAAACTCGCTCGTAACGTCCCGCAACAAATCGCAATTGTCGTGTGAATGGCTGCAATTACAGTCCTTATTTGGCAATCACAGGACCGTCTACTCCACCACACGAACAAACACCTTGGATGGTACCCTCGTGTTGATCGGGTCCGACAACCGGCGTGCCCGCACGAAGTCGTCGTCGCTAGTGGCCACGGCTAGCAAGTCGTCTTGCAAGGCGATTTTCGCAACACTCTCGGAGAACTTGGGGTACATCTTGATTCGTTTCCTCTTATTGCAGTCCCACACGCACACGGCACCGTCTCCTCCCGATGTGTAGAGCGTGCCGTCCTGGGCCAACGCAAGTGAGTTTACGGGATACACCTCGTCGACTCCGTCGATCTTGTTGTGAGAACGGTGGCATTTGAACGTGAACCGTTTCGCTGCCTGTGTCTCCGGAGACAGGTCGTAGCACTCCAACGACACTCTTCCGTCAACCGTGCTGACAACAAAGCCCTGGTTGTCAGGAAGGCACTTCAAATCCTTGATTTGGTATTTGAGGCCAAGCTCCCTGCGTTCGTATGGCTTGGTTAGGTTGCGAAGATCGTAAAGCTCGATGTGGTTGGTGCTCAATCCCACCGTGAGTACATCTCTGGACGAGTCCATGGTGAAGATCTTGGCGGGTCTGGCAGCACCGACGCCTGCGTCGCTGCCCACGCGAGTTCTCGACACTTCCTGGTGCTGCCGTATGTCCAACACCCGGAAGGTTCCGTTAAAGGAGGAGGCAATGAGGGCGTTTTCGTCGCTCTCAACACGGCATATCTTGTTTATACCGTTGCTGATATCGGAGTCGGGTCCCAGGGGGCCAGGGGTATATATTGGGTGTAGCTTCATGTTCTCTTGGTCTATCTGGTTGATGGTCCCATCCAAACAGCCTACAAAGGCGCTTCCTCCAGTGAAAACCAGACTCAAAGGAGTCTCAGAGCTCTCAAGCACTGCCTGGAGGTCCACCTTGCCTGCTTTGGCGCAAGAGACGTCATAAAGAAGCACTTTGTTGTCCCAGGACGTCACTATGAGCTGGTGAGTAGGGGCCACTTTGAGATCCGAAACGATGTCAAGGGCGTGTGGCGAGGGGAGCTCGATAAACTGACTCATGATAGGTCAAGGAGATATACCACCAATGTGCGTAAGTGTGGATAATTGGTGATTGGGCGTGGAATGGAGTGGTGAGTTTGAGGAGATGATGCGGAGTTGATGGGATGATGGGGCGTGCGCTAACCAACTAAAGACAAGGTTGGGTTACAGTTAGAGGAAGATACCTACACGAAGTAGAAAGGAAGAGGCAGTTGATGGCACTGCTGGAAGTGCTTGTGTGCTATAATGTGGACGTCTCAAGGGCGGTTTTCATGTATGCTTTGAAGCAGCAGTAGGATGCGGTTGTGCGCAAGTGAATTTTCTACCCCAGATTTGGATGACTGGAGGAGGGGAGGATAGGTCAGTAGGGCTGGGATGATTAATGGATATTTGGAGTCCCCCTGACAGTAATACAATTCTAGTTAGCGGAATATCTCGCTTCTCATTTAGGGTGGAATGTAATTGGAATTAGTGGGATTATGTACTTCTAGATTTGATACAATTCTGGAATTTATCCTCTATGCGATTAAAATGTGCTTAGAATTGCTTGACTTTATTCTCTACTAGAGTGTAATTAGATTTGGACGATCAATTACTTTATTAGAATTTAATACATTAATATTTGGAAATTAATCCTCTCTAGAGCGTGATGCGATTATTTACTGGCATGTATCGCCTAGATCTAATATAATCCACAATGATTTATCATATCTGCTAGGCTGTGATTTAATCCAATAATTTATTGGTTTTTATCATTCTACGAGAGTTAAAATGATGCAATTACCTGGGATAAATATTAATTTATTTATCTGGTATTTTTCGTCTAGACTGGAATATCATAATTGCCAGGTAATTTATCCTCTTCGTGTAATGTGAATAGAATTACTGAATTTATCCATCTTCTGTAATTAAATGTATAATTATTTCGCCCTTTCGTAACTGTTTAATTGCTGTTATTTGTCCCACTAAGGGATTGTAATTTCCCTACTTAACAATTTTCTGATTACCTGATATTTACCCTCAAGTGCTTCATTTTCTTTAACCGACACAATTATCCATTCTCCCATTAATTGGACCTTCCTATCCGTCTCGAGGCCGGCTCGATGCGTCGGTTGGCGATTTTCAACTTGACAATCTCTCCTGGGTCCTGGTCTGGCTCTACCCAGGCGAAGTTCTCGCCGTGGGTCAACCAGAATTCCAAGAATCGCAATTCCTCATCGAGCTCGTTCAACACCATCTTCTTCTTGTGCAACTGGACCTTGAAGTACACCTGCAACTGGTCCATCTCGGGGTCCTTGCCATCGTCCAGCGACGGCATCTCGAGGATGTACTCGTTGTGGTCAAACATGTTCATGTTGGACTCTTTTCGGACCTCGCTGTGATGGAAATTCCGCACGTTGACCTCGTTGTGCTCCTCGTAGTGGGTGATGATTCGGTTCACAGCAACAAGCTCCTCCTGGTGCACGAATTTGTACCATAGAGAGTTGTAGGACCTCCATCGGATGCGTGATAGGTGGGTGGTCAAGTTAGACCTGAGAAGCCCGTAGTAAACTGTACCCCATAAGCCGTAGTTGACAAGAGCCCACGCCCAAAAGGGGAACAACGGCAAGAGACAGGCTTCGATGGCACTCAACCCTGTGGTAGTCAACACCAACGCCGCTAGCGACGTCACAAGCTGGTTTCTTCGCACTTCCTGGAACCTCTTCGATCCCACAGTACGATCCACCAACACAAACAGGTTATAGTAGTTCTTCTGGTCGAGTAGGGTTCCGAGAACCGTGTGGAATACCGAGGTGTCGTTTCTGGATGAGGCTTGCCCCATGCTGGTCTCGCAGAGTCCCACGAGATGCTGGAAATTGGAGGGCTGGGGTCGACAGGTGACGTATTCTTTGATCAACGAGTCGGAGGATGTGAAGAGGAGACGATTGGCAGGCGATGTCAAGAACTTCCACAAGGTGTGCTCAATCTGAGCCCCTCCAGCAGTCTTGAGGCCTAGCATCTCCGATGTCAAGACACTAGTGCTGGAGGCATGGGTCTTTGGCTTGCGCTGGAGGGTCCTGCTGGCTCGTATACAGTCTACGAGGAGCGTATGGGGGCTGATGGAAGCGGGGGGCCTTGTGTTGATACGGTTGAGGAGGGTCTCGTAGTTGAGTGGGGCCCGGGAATAGTACGACACCAGACGGGTATGGCAATAAGAGAGATGGAAAGCTGCATTGGCTGATGCATTCGATGGCATGGCTCCGGTAAGCCCGATAGTGGGACGGAGAACGCACGGAGATGAGCAGCAGTGTCGTAGTACGGGCATGGCGGGGGTTTTGGCGGGGTTTTGGTGTAGGGCCTGGTGATGACAGTGATGGATTTGGCGATGGGATTATCTGCAGGACGGTGAAGAGATGGGGTGGAGTGAAGAAGTACGGATGTTTGGGCAGGCGTTCTGGGACGGGAAACGGCTACACGGGTGGGGAGCCACCACTACAGGGCCCCGCCACGCTGGAAAGCGCCTGATGGGCCCAGACGACAAAGCTTATCGTCCTCGTCCTCGTCTAAACACGTGACAATACACACGTGACCTAATCACCCTTCCCGTTTCGGCCAAACATAAACATCCTTCCACGATAAATCACCATTTCTCCTCGAGTCTTTTCCCCAACAATGCCTCCCAATCCTCCAGAAGAGCCCTCCTACGGCTACGACCAGCACACCATTCTCCCCTCGCCCACACCCTCGGCGTCCTCGAGTGGTGCCTCTCAAAACGCCCCCAATCCCCATCGCCATGGTCCCTTCAGAGACCACGAAGCTGCCGCTCGAAACACCTCACAATTCTCCCACAATTCACACCACTCAGATGGCCAGGCGTCTCGCAAGTCCATAGCCTCGGACTTCAAGGGATTCCAGCCACCTCCAGCTCCAAAAGTCCGCGATGCCATGGGCAACAGAGAGTCGTATATCTCGCTGTTTTCCGATTATTCGGCGAGAATTGACAACGTCGATGATATGGGAGCCCAGCCACAGCATGTCAAGCTCGTTGACGACTCTCGCAGCGTTCCTCGCCACCAAATAGCCATAGATATGTCAGATTTGACTTCAGAAGCTTCCTCTGTAAACTATGGCAAGCTTCCCACAATCGTCACCACGGCCCAGAAGGGTAGTCCAGAGGCCAAGGTTCTGCCAGACTACTCCTACGACACCAACATCGAGGCAGCAGTCCCCCAAAGATCGCCCAGAAGACCCAAATCCGAAATTATCTCCCTGGGCCAGACACAGGCATTGCACAAGGCCCTCGAGAGCACCAAGAAGGCCAAACATAGGAAGCACAAGTCTGTGGCTTTGAGCGATGATTTGGACGATTTGATGAAAACTGCCAGCAATTTGGAGTCTTTAGAAGGTGAGGACTTCTACACGGACGACGTCTCAAGTGGGAACAATGACCCCAGGGACCCAGCAGAGGCAGTCAAGGCAGCTACAGCCTCTCCAGAAGACTCGGTTATCACTATCGTGAAGGCCAGAGAGGGCAAAAACTTGCCTCCAAGACCCTCGTTTGAGCACTTGAGAAGAGCCCGCGAAGTTAGCAACGCCCTTCAGGAAAAGGACTTGTACGAATCGGGAATCAAGGAGCCACACGAAGCACAGAAACCTGTCGAACCTGGGCCCGTTGAAGGTCGAAGCAGGCTGTTTGGTCTGGTCGACCCAATCATAGGCTATAAGGGCCCGGGTGTGGACCCGTACCTGGGCCCAGGAATCCAAAAGGACTTCAGCTACAAGGGCTTGACGTTCTCTGACGAAAGTGTCAATCCTGTGACAAAGGTCCAAGAGAAAATCGGCAAAGAATTTCCCAAGAAAAAACTTGAGGACGATATCCCCCATACCACAGAGCCAGTCATTGCCAGCAGTTCCCCCAATCCCGCTGAAACCGGTAACAGGGACTACGAGCCTATTCCAGCGGCTGTGGAAACCTCGTCAATTTCTTCCAAGCTTTCCAGCGATTCACATCTTCCAGACCAATCCGCTGACGCAACCTATGCACAAGACTTCAATCCCACACCCTCACAGACACCCAACCCAAACGAACGTCACAATTCTACCTCTTCTTTCTACCCAGATAGCAGAAAATATTCCGCTGCCAGCAGCTACCACGTCAAAAACACTACTGGGCCTGCAACCATTGGTGTCGATCCAAAAACCACAAACGATGAGGACGAATACTACGACATAGGCGAGCCTGTTATTGTGCACAACCCAGCCAGAGTCAGATCGGTCAAAGATAGCACCACTAGACTCCCAACCCACAAGAGAACCAAGAGCAAAAGCAAAAAGGTTCGGGGTTCTCGGGCATCTCGTGAGCTCAGACCCTTCAGCTACAGCACCTTGATCAGCTTGTTGGAGAGCATGAACGGAACCATCATAGGAGAAGAGTTCAGCCACTTGAACTTGCCCGTCAAGGAGAAGCAGTTGATCGAGAAAATCGTGGATTCGTTGTCGAGATTGACCCTGGACATGGTCATCGACGAGAACAGGTACGAGGTGGGCATCCAGAGATTGGAGAAGGCTTTGAGGGTGTTAGAAGGGTTCATGTAGTCGGGTTTTTCAGTTCACTCCAATAATTTTCCAATTTTCGCAGCCAAAATGCAGCAACTTTATCTTCGCTACATACATGCGGAGTTCACCATTGCCAGGCATTCATCGGTCTAGCGTTGTAACATAGTGATTGTACAGTGGGCGTGACTACACTAGCGATAATGATACATTAATATAATACATTGTAGTATGGATTTTTGGCGCAACATGCCGTGTGCCGCTACCTAAGTGACACCAAGCACTTAAGAATTGGCTCAGCTTGAATTGTTGCACTCTATTCAGCTTTCGCGTACACCAAGAAGCACTTCGAGATTTTGACCATCACCTCCTCTACTAATTCCACATTGACCAAAAAGTCATAGTTCAATTTGATCAATGAAGGAGTCAGTGCCTCAGCATCAGAGGGATTGGAACTGGTGGATGACGGAGTTTGGACCTGAGCCTGCGATGCCTTGATTTTTCTCTGGCACTCAACATCAACCTCGTTGATGGCCTTGAAAATCAACTCGAAGAGTCCTTTGTACTTCAAGTTCTTAGAATTCAAGTTGTCCTTCAATGAAATCTTGACTATATTCGTATTTCCCTTCTCGAACTTATTGTTCTTAAATGTCAACGTTATAACAAACTTGTCATTTTGAGTCTTCTTGGAACCAGAAGCACTCAAATAATTGATATAGAACATATACTGGATCTGATTGAGTGAGGGCAACTTCACATCAAAGTTCAATTTTGGCATTTTATGAACCCCTATCAATGGCATCGTCTCTGAATGATTGAATAACGTATGTATACTTTGGATAGACTTGAAAATCGGATTAAATTCCTTGAAGTACTTAATAATTCCAACAATTGGGTCTGTCCCAGCGTCCTTCTTGGTGGCCAAGCTTGCGTGATCTTTCAAGTATCTGTTCATGTAGATCAAAATAAGGTTGAGTTCATTCTGCTTAGGTTTTATATGTTCAGTCGATTCACCCTGTTCTTCTTGCTTAACCTCTTCGGCGTCTTTGTCAGATTTGATGAATTCATGTGCAGCTAATGTTATGGAATCCGTGGACTTTTCTGGTAGCTTAATCACTAAGTCTTCAATATTATCATCAACTTTAATGGTGATGTCGTTAATTGAGTTGGTTAGCACTCTAATATTATTCTTATTCAACTGGTCCAAAATCTTAATAAGCTCATTGAGTTTGTTCAAGTTGTTGAAGATCAAATCAAGTAGATTTTTGGAGGATGAAGAGGTGTCAGAAAATTCTAAAATATCCTCACTTTTTCCATTGCCCCCCATTCTGCTTGTAAGATTAATTAAATCGTTAATCTCAAAAATCTTCTTGGACTCGTCAATTTTAATTAGCTTGTCTTCAGAATTTTTGATGGCAAGATTCCTCAAGTTTCCAAATAACTTTAATTTCATCTGAGTTTGCTGGTTCACATTAATCAAACTGATCTTCAAGAAAAGACTAGTAGAAGAATTGTACACGGGAAGAAGGTGATCATTGTACAACAATAAGATGGATTCATAGGAAATTGGTGAAGGAGGTGTGGGATCATTAGGGCTTGCTTCCTTGTCCTCTATATGACCATCACTATCCTTCTCGTCTTTAATCTCTGTCACGGAATCATTACCATTCAATTCTTCCTTAACCTTGATGGTCTCATGATTTTCATCTTCTGGTACTTCAAGATTGAACTTCTTTAAAACTTGATCAATCTTCTCCACCTTTAAGTGCTTGATGTTTCTTAGTTGTAACTCCTCCAAAATCATGTGATCAATAATCATATTCGAGCACAATTTAGATAAGCTTGAGAAAAATCTGAAATCCAACATGATTGGCTCGTCATCATCTCCATCCTTCAACAAGAGTTTCTGTATCCATTGAACTTTCCAATCTCCGTTTATAGATTTAATTCTAGAAACCCACCAATGCGTACTATTTGTAATTCCATTTGTCAAGTTAATCAAATACCAAGATGATGGCCAGTTTTTGCGACGGTAAAACTGGATCTTAGTCAGATTGGTCGATATGTTGTTTATATAGCTGAGCAACTTGCCTGTCTCATATTCATTTAATTTGATGATACTGTTGTTAATCCATTCGGTGGTAATAAGGCGGTTGTGGATCTCCTTGGTATAAGTTTCGAGTCTTAGCTGTACTAAACTCTCAACCACATTGTTGATTAAGTCCAGTTCGCTCAAGAAAAATTTGTTTTGAATCTTTAAAGGAATAGAATTGATTCTCTTTGTGAATTGATTCTGGATCGGGGTTGGGTCTATAAAGTAAAAGTAACCGGTGGCTGGATTAATAGCGAAAATGGTTGTTTTTTTTGGGGACAATTTTATGAGCAATTGAAGTGGTGAAATATATGAGATTTGATCTTCTTGGGTTGTCGAGGACTTAGAAACCCGAGAAGTAAATTGATTATAGATGCTGGATATTAAGCCTTCTGAATGCTTATTAATTATGGTGTTGAGAATCAATTCAACGCTCAAGTCTGATTCTTCCTCGCCAGAACCTTCTTCTTCATCGGCTGAGTCTGAGGGGAGCGACTCCTTGAATATGTCCACTATACCATGATCAAGGACGTAACCTCCGTTCTTGAACCATCTGAAGTTTAAGTTGTAGGATCTGTCGATACCAATTTCGATGAACGATTTCCAGTTTCTCGATAAATAATGGCCACACCAATAGTTGATGATAATTAAGGACTTACCGTTTTGATAGTTGAATTGGATACTGCTTTTCCACTTTGAGTTGGACACCAAGTCCTTCAATTGTTTGGCGATTAAGTATAATTTGAACGAAATGGAGTACTTATGAAGTAAGTCGTACAACCCATTCAATCCTTGGTTCAATAGTATCGTGTTGACGGTCTTTTCCAACTTTTCGTGCGAGTTTTGGGGTAGTCTAGTTGTGATTTTGTTATGTCTATGAGTTATGAGCGAGGTTTCGGGATTGATACCAAACAAGAACTTGAAGTCCACAAAGTAAAACGGCGACTTGTAATAGTCCTCGTTGGTTTCGATCACGAGGTCGTTGGCGACCGTGATGGCCACCTGAAATTCACTCAGGACCGAAAATATGATCCGCCCGTCCTTGATCTCGTACTCCTTCAAGAATCTGTCCGGGATGTCGGTGAGTGCCATTCTGGTCATCAATATGAGATTCAAGTCCTGTAGCACCTCCAAGGTCTTCTCCGGTGTCACCTTGGGCACCTTTAAGAAATTGTACGACGGGAGTTGCGGACGTCCCTTGAGAAGGACCTCCAAACTGGTGATCAAGTCCGAGTTGGGAAGCTTTGCTCCCGAGAAGCTGTTCAACGCGTTCAACTGGAAGCTCAACTGTTCGAAGTGGAATTCTTGCATGCGGAACCAGTTGAGAAGATCGATGAATTTGGACACGTCTTTGGAGTTACTGGCCCACTTGACAAGCGTGTACATCTTGATGAAGTCCTGTCTGAGCGAGATGATCAACTTCAAGAACGTCTTCTTTCGACTGGAGTCGGACTCCGAGTGCTTGGTGCTGGAGAGGTTTTCTATGAGGGTTGTGATCTGCTTGTACGCTTCCTGAGTGTAAAACTTGAGGATGTTGGACAACGGAAGGATGTTGTTGGTGATGTGGGGGATGTCGGCTGGAAGCTTGCCGCCAGTATGGGTGCCATTTTTGATGGTGTCGGTCATTGGAGAGCTATGGCTGTGGAGGTTTCAGACAGTGAGTGGTTGGGGATGTTCTGGACCGTTGCACGGGGCTGGTAGAGGCTGGAAGGATGCCGCCAAACGGTGGTGGTGTTTGTGGTAATCCTGGCGGGTATGGAACAGCTACCGGCAGCGGAATGGATACTCGTGGGGCTAATGAGGGCAAGCAAAAGTCCAGATGGGGACACCAGCGGACGGATGTGATGGATAGTGGGACGGATTGGGAGACGCCCGACGGATAGATGAATAGCAGCTGGGTAAGGCCGTGGTTTTCTTTTCATTTGGCGACGGTAGTGCGAGGGTGGGGTGGACGCGCGTAGGGAGCGGTGGGCGGGATAAGTTAGTGAGAGCGTGGGGGAGGTCTAGGGGGAGAGAGGGGAGAGCTAGGGAGAACTTAGCGAGAGATTGCGAGAGGTGGGGAGATCGTGAAACTGTCTCAGAGAGTAGACACAGACACTTCGGATCGTCATAGACAGTCCACAAAGAAACACCATGGACGGTGAGCCGACTTGTCTTATGCACTGAGCTCCTCTCACCGTGCTGGCGAGTTGTTTTGCGGAGTTTTGATGGACTTTCCATCAATTATCATTATATAAGAGATAGCAAGTCGAGTGCAATTCCATGAAGCTACCCATATTTTCATGGACGCAAAACAAGTATTCTTACTTATCTGGATGGAATACGTGTCAATCAGAAGATAATTAAGCAGATGAATGAAGAACGTCTCTAGCCTCCTGACTCACACCTTCCCTGCCTCCTGAACAATCTACTTTCTATTCTATTTCTCGATAAGCTCACTTTCCAAGCCCACTAATTTTAGCAGTAAGCCACTCTTGAACTGTGCCGTGCTGCTTTTTTAGGTTTCCATTTCTGTTCACTAGCACATTCTGGTATTAACTCGATTATAATTCTGACAGTAAGCTTACTCATCGTTGGCTAGTCTGTACTAGTTCTCTACAAGTTTCCCAGCACCAATAAAGGGTCATTTGGGAATAAGTCCAGGCCATGAGATGGGCTAAAATATCCCCATTATATCTTAAAGTTAGTCCAGTGGCGCCAGAAATGTCGATAGCTGCCTCGAAAGAGCTAACACCAAATGAATTTGATTATATCCGTGGATATAGTCTGCACGTGCCGTTCCTCATTTATATGCCATCAGTTGAATTCTGGTGGAGTCTAGTCACATCCCGAGGCTGGATCGGCTGATTGGATCGAACCTGACGGTTCGCTACAAGTCGTCGAATAATACATCTGATATCTAATATAGTACAAAAATAGCGTTAAACGTAATAATGGCCGAGCCTAGATCCCGGCCATGAAGCTGGTTGGGAGACAGTTGCGGATCCACGCAAACTCCTCTTTGTGAAGCAACTGCTCCACTGTGATTCTTTTGTCTTTTCTGACCAAGAGTAAATCCACCACCTTCTTCAAATCCTGTAAGATCTGCTTGCTCTCGGTGCCAAGCTCCAGACTGGCCAAGTGCTCGTTAACCTTGAACCAGTCCCAGTCAATCATAGCGATCCGGTGAGCGGAATTCTGCTTGGAAAGCTTTCTTCTGATAACGGCAGGGCTGACCCCCGAATTTTGAAGAACAGCCAAAGGTGGAAGATCGAACGGGAGACGATCCTCCAATACCGCATAGATAAGGACTCCAATCGACCACGAGTCGGTCAATTTCCCATTGTATTTGAGCCCCATGAGCAACTCGGGGGGGATGTAGTCCTGTGATCCACATCTGGTCGAAAGGAGCTGGTCATCTCTCTTCAACTTTTTCGATAATCCAAAGTCAGTCAAATTAATCAATGACTCCTCCGTGTGTGAAGCCAACTGGAGAAGGGTTTCGTAATCGTACTTGAGCAACACATTCTCAAGCTTGATGTCCCTATGGATTATATTTCTAGAATGCAAGTAAGCCACTGCGACCACCAATTCACAAATGATTCTTCTGATGGCTATCCAGTAGTTTAGGTCTGTGGTCTGCTTGTGATCATGCAAGAGTTGGTAGAAATTTCCACCAGCACAGTAATTGAGGAAGATCAACTGGTCGGAATTCAACTGGAGGTTCCGGTATTCAGAGTTCTCGTTGCCCTCTATCGGACTGGTTTCGTAGTCCTTTTCCGGGTATATTTCCGTCTCGCTATCCAAAACCAACTCCGATTCGATCTCTTTCCTGTCTATGCTGAGGTTGATGTCGTAGTCAATTAGTTTGATGATGCAAGGATGGTCTAACTGGTGTAGAATGTTGAGTTCACGCTTGATGAACGACTTGAAGTTCGAAATTTCGTTGCCGTACTTCATTGGGATGGTGATGATTTTGATGGCCACCGATTCCACGGGGCTCCTTGCGAGAATCACGGTAGAGAAGTTGCCGGTGCCGATTTCGTCGACAAACTGGAAAGTCTGACCGAGTCTGTTAGAAACAAAGAGCTGGTTGGCGTATTTGGACAGGTGAAAAACCGCTTTTTCGGAAACGGGATGCAACAGCTTCTTGGGGGAGGTTTGGGGCGAGCCTGGGGAGGTGGTGGATGACGAGGCGGAAATGGAGGGAGGTGTGAGGGGGGAAGATGTGCCCGAGGACTTAGAGGAGCGGAACTGCACCGGATTGGACACGAACCGCTTCTTGGTATTTGTGACGCTGTTCTCGAGAAGCGAGTTCTTTCTTCCCAATGCTGGGATTGGCTTGTAGTCGGAGATGACTCTTTCAGGGCTCTGGTGGTGTCTGTGGAGATCTGGGAGGTCTTCGCGGGAATCCGACTTCAAGTGGCGGGGGCTGCGCTTGGAGAGCGACTCGATTGGCCGGAATCCCTGCTCCTGGGGTGACGGGTACACATAGTTGTAGGAGAAGGAGCCACTGGGAAGCACGGGGGTGGGGAGCTGGGTGATGCGCTCGAACGACACTTTGGACGGCGACATCTTGGTCAGCGAGAAGGTGACGGGGTCGCCCAATGCATGGAATGTGTCGCTGCTAGTGGCAGTGGTTGTGTGGGGGTGGTCGTCCTCGTGGTCGTGGTCGTTGTCGTCCTCGTCATCGCTGTTGTTGAGCACTGAATGAAGCACGTCAATCTTCAAATTTGACGGAAAACGGGCGTTGGGGAGTGCTGGTGGCTGGAAGAGGAATGGGTCGGTGGCTGCGTTGGGCTGAAGGGACGGAGGCTGGAAGAGGAACGGGTCTGACGCCGTTGCAGTCTGGAGACCAAACGGGTGGGGCGACATCGAAGGGCTGGGGGTTTCAGCGGGGGAGTGGGAGTCCTGAGGCATGGTAGAAATGATGTTTCCAGAGGAGATTGGATGTTTTTGAAGTTACAACGTTCTGAGGTTGACGTTTGAAGAGTTGGATGGTAGGACGTTTGGAGGTTGAAGTTCTGCCGTGTGGAAGTTCTGACGATGACGCTGACGTTGACTTTTGGACGTTCTCACGTTGACGTTGACGTTGACGCTGACGTTCTATGTTGGTGGTTAAAGGAGTGTGGGCTGGAGACTACGTCCAGAATGATTGTTATGATATGGCGATGACGGAAAACGGCCAGAACAGCGGCAGTTTGGCGTGGCAGGGTGTGGTGGGGGCGTGGGGACGCTGGAGGGGCAACAAGACCTGATTTGGGGCCTGGTGGAGCCTTTGGAGGAGGAAGAAGAAGTGTGAATAATTGGCGAGAATCTTATCTCACAATAAGTGTCAATCAGGTGACAGGCGTGGGTGGTGGGGGAGATAGCGTGGGGAGGCGGTGGAGGATAGTTCGTGGGGGACGATGGGGAATGGTGGCACAAGTGGTGGTATTTGTAGTGGTAGAAATGGTAGAAGTTTTGGTGGTAATATTACTGGTATTAGTAGTGCTTATGCTGTTAGTCTCTATGGGGCGATAGTGTGACTGTGTTGCGCAGAGTGCAGGGACGTGACATCTGCGGAGGGCGCGGAGGCGAGCGGATAACTGGCCGCCTCGTGGGATGGACCGCGGGGTAGCGGTGCGGGTGTTTGGCCGGCAGGGCTGGTGAGAGGTCGCTGCGTGTGTACTATGGCGGTACTGGGGGTATAGTAGCCCTTGGCAGCCTCTGGCGATGTCTGGGTATCCAGAATGGTGCGTATGTTGGGCAGGTTTGGTGCTGGGGCCCACGCCAAAATGGGTTGCGGCATCCGCAGAGTTGTGCATTGTACGGCTATCTGTGCTTTGTTGGGGCACCCGAAATGCGCCGCGCTGGTGGCACCTGTCAGCGACGTCAAGAGAATCTGGGATATACGAGCACTCACGTGACGTGCTGGGCTCAGTGGGTGAGGGGGCTGATGTCCTGGGGGCGCGGCTGTAGCCCTCCGGTGCCGTCTCTGGCCCTAGGCCACTGTGATGCAAAGGACGAACACTGGCCAGCACGCACGTGACGTTGCATTAGCGCTGCCGGTTGCATTGGGCCATTGCGCGCCGCTTGCAGATGTGTCATACGCACGTCGGTCGTGCCGGGCCAGTCCCGGACTTCGTCTACTGACGAAACCAGACACAGAACTCCCAAGTAAATGCGCCGCCATTGACTGCATATCTCCATTGCACCCACTTTATGGAAAGGGTTTGTGTGAAAGTTATTCGTAATCTTTGACTCAGCGTTAATTTCGGTCCAATAATTTTTATGTTTTGTAGACTCAATTAATGGAACTGTCTTGAGATATGAACCTATGTATTTTGAGAAGCGCGGAAACTAAGGATGTTTATCCTTAAGTTGTATTTAAAAAGTTAGTATCCACTCAAGGAGGTTACTTTGATTTTACCTGGAGCTAAACAAAGTTGAAAGTCATACGTCCTTTTATTTGGGGCGTGATATTAACTGGGGCAATACTGTATTCTCTTGCCCAACCAATCTAAATATTTCTGTGTATTACTAACCAAACTAGATATTTAATCTTACCAACAAAAATAACATACCACATGTCTACTGTAACCTGACTCTTCCAATCGTCTCCACTATTTACATACACAGCTAGTAGTTACACCTTAGCTTTTCTCCTTCTTCACATCAACTACCTTGTGTCTGTATTACGTAACTGTTATTCTGGATGTATGATATGGATGTTACCTTGCTTATGGTGAAAGTTTTCCCAGCATATTCAGTGGAATGTTTCTATCTTCTTACTGCGATACTGTAACATCCATACCAACAATACTGTTTTCTTACTGCACTGCTGTTTTATTGTTTCCATACTTACAAATTTGCAGTTCCTAGTTGCCTAACTTACTTGACTATCCTCTTGTCTACGATATTTATTACTCCAACAATCCACTTTACCTCACTACAGCTACAGCTTCTACCGTGTTTCCTACGTCTTCGTCGCCTAGATTCCCATATTAACTAACCAAACTATCAGTGCTTATATTTTGTTGTTGTACTCTGCAAAACATCTACTTCTTCGTGCTTCTGAAAGCTTATACACATTTTCAAGTGCTATGCATTGCCTGACCAAAAACCAATTCCTAATCTTTTCACTCTGAATTCCATCCTACATCTTCTATACTTAATATTACAAACATAACTCTTCGCTGCAACCACCTCCTCCGGTAACTACTTTATTTCCTACCAGTAATTAAATCTTACCTTCATCACTCTTAAATATCGTAACTACACTGTGTCCAGCTCTTCAAGAAATTAAATCTTACTCCTCTTCACTCTAAGCTTCAATCCTCGAATTTTAGTTCTAGTCCCTCGTACTACTGTCCCACCCCAACAAAAAATTATTTACTATATCTTCGCTCCTTTTCTTCACCCATGGGCCCATCTTCATTTCTAGTGCTACTCTACCAGAAATTAAATCTTAATCCTCTTCACTCTAAACTTCGATCTTCATTTTTAGACCAGAAATTTACTCGCTTACTATCATGCCCAACTACATTCCTGATGGAACTGTACCTACCAGAAACAAATTACTACTTCTACTACCCTTTTTCTAGTGTCTATACTGTATTACCTAACCCAAACTATTAATAATGAATTGAACTACCTCTTTTCGAATACACACTCGGTACTCTTTTTGTTGCACCCCTCGCACTTGTTGAGCTCAAAATTGAACACACACTTGACCTTGCGCTTGCGGCACGACACACACGAGCTCTTGCGCGTGTGGCCCTCATGGGTTTCCTGCAAGGTCTTCGACAACGCCGAGGTGAGCGAGGCGATGGAGCGCTTCGTTGGAAGCTCCTCCTTCTTCTTGGTGACTTTGTGGACCTTTTTCTTGGTGGCGGCAGCCGCGTCGTCGCTGCTGTCATGCAAGGGAAGCGCGGCAGCCTGCACCAGTGCCGGCACTGGCGAGCTGGAGCCCGAGCTGGCGCTGGAGCCTGAGCTGGGCGCAAACGTGTAGCCGCCGCTGGAGCCGTACGACTTCTTGTTGTTCAACATGATGTCCTCCTTGGTGAAGCCCTTGGAGAAGCAGCATGCCAACCCCTTGACGTTGCACGACTTGCAGCTCTTGAACCGAATCAACTTACCGTTGGATACGATCACGTGCGAGTCTCCTTCTTCGCGCACCGGGTCGCCACGCACCAACTGATCGATCTGGGTCTGCGAGAACTGGCGCGGGTGCTGTCCTGGTTGGTGAGGGTCGAAGGCCTTGGCCACGATGCTGATCACCGCGTTACACTTGACCTTGCGCGACCTGCACGAGTCACACGAGGGGCCCAAGCGCTGCCTGCGCTTGGGGCTTTTGTCGTCTTTGGCTGCCAAACTGGTGTTGGACATGTTTGGAGAAGACATGGGGGTAGACGAAGCAGAGCTGCCAGATGTCCATGAAGAGGCAGTCTTGGCCCCCAGCACGGGTTCCGATGCCACAGGCCCGGTGGCGCTGGCGCTGTCGTCACGCGCCATGCTGGCGATGGTGGCGCTTAACAACCCCAAGCCGTTGATTGGAGCTGGCTGGTGGTGGGCGTCCAAATGGTGCAAGTTGTGTTCCGTGAGCTTGTGGGCCGTCGAGGAGGTGGTATAGTTGGAGAGACGTGCCAACGGAGGGAGTCTGACGGGATGGTTGTATGCGTAGTCGTTGGGATGGAGGTGTCTTATTATGGGCTCGAGAGGCGGCAACGATACCTGGTGGAGGTTGGTGTGGGCAGGCTTGTGCTGGGTCATGATGGAGTACGACAACAAGTCGTTGGACGAAGCCATCTTGAGAGTTTGGAGGGGAAGACGAGTGGATTGAACTGGGCCAGATTCAGGGCTTATATATAGTGGGGCCGGTTGGAGGAGGGGAGGTTTCTTTTTTGGTCTAATTGCAACTTTCCGTATGTGCGCGCCAGGAATCCTGGGGTAGCGGCGGTAGTCCTGATAAGAGAGGGGAGTGCTGTGGTGCAGTCCGCGGCCGGTGTGCACAGGCCACAGTGAGGCAAACTCCGAGGTAGCACGATGGGACTGGGTGGAACTCCAGGAGTCTCCAGAACACCCATACTGCCACACACCAGGGGAACTGGTGGTGCTCCAGTGGTACCCCACTTTGGCACGCCACTCTGACACACCACCCTGACACCCCACTATCTTTCATTACTCCACTGGCTACTGCCACGCGATGGGGTGACTGGCAGATCAGGCGACTTGCACCAGGCGCGGCCAGGAGGACCTCGGAACATGAGTCTTCCTGGTAGGCAGGGGCAGTCCGCGGGCTCGCAACAAGACGCTGCGGACAAACTCGGGTGGGGGCCATCGGCGTCCGATGCGCCTGGTGCACCTGGCGCACCAGGAGCTCGCGCTACATTCACACGATGCCAGCGGCCTCGGAGCCACGGCTGCCATGGAGTGGTGTCCTCCGGCCAGGATCCCCCGGCCTAGCTGGCCCCCAAACACCCCCCGCCAGCCGTTCGCTCTGAGCCCCCATCGTCTGCCCATCACCTGCCTCCTGCGCCTTTCACATGGTCACATGGCGGTGCCTGCCGCCTGGCCCAGGCCCTTCCTGCCCGAGAAGTGGCAACTCCATCTCTCCGGATGACTCGTCTGCGCCGCCCACATCTCTCGGATTTCGGAGAATTCACGGAGACACATCGGTGCGTGAGACGCATCCTCCGCTGCCCCTCCTCCGCAGCCGCCACGGCCCCAGACAAAATCTCCTCACAGACAGCTGTGAGGAGACGGAGGGGACGACACTTTCAGATGCCAGAAACGTCGGGGTGGTGACGAAAACAAGCGGAGATGGTGGAGACCACCGTGCCTCTCCGAACACCGTTGCCACCGGGGGATGGAGCCTGGCGGGGACTGGTCCGCTATGTCCGGCTGCTCGGAGTGGCAGGCGCCGGTCGTCTGACCCACCCCGGGGTCGTGGAATCCGAAGGCGCCAGCCAGACACAGAGGCGGACATGACTCCAGCGACTCAGCAGTGGTGGGGGAGTCCGAGTCCGAGTCCGAGACCCAACCGACGGGGTGCGAGGGTGCGTTGGGGGCGCACGAACGGTTCTCCTCCGGCGGCGATTCCCCTCTGCTCTCCTCCTCCTGGTAGTAAAGGTCCCCCGACCTTCCGCAAACGGCAAGTTCCCTTGTCCCGAGGAGGGGCGAAGTCGGAACCGTTGTTGAGCCGTGGTGGCATGCTCCGAGCGAGCCCGCGTCGGTTACGGTAGTGGCTAGCGAGGATCACAGGCAAAAATATGCAAAAAGAAAGCCCGATGCGGGGGTCGAACCCGCAACCTTTTGATGTCTTGCATAAGAGTCAAACGCTCTACCGATTGAGCTAACCAGGCATTTCTTGTGCATTTTTCTGCCCTGATTATTATGCAGAGTCTTGAGTTGTTAAACATCCCTACTACTAGTACGGAAAATGGCACGTGACATATTCATAGTGGGTTCATTGCAAAAGTCATCTCCACCCAGTTACCTGGCACTTAACATCTGGAGTAGTTTATTATTACTCCCCATTAGCTAGAGGACATATTGTAATACTACGGTTAGAAAATACTTGAGAAGATTACCTGGCTAACCGTTCCTCAGTACGTTTCATGATGTCTCATAGGAAACAGCCTAATACATATCCTCTGAAGACTTTGACTAGTTAATTTGCCCTTATCGTGAAAATAAGAACAAAGCAAACGAAATAACCCAGGATGTGTTCCCTTTTTAATTCTCTCCAAATCGAGTTTCTTGTCATCTCCTTGTACAGCTCCAATGAATGGGATTTAGAAGTCTAGCAAAATTCAAAAAGACTTCGACTTCAATTTGTCTCGAAAAATAGGAAAGCTGTAGCGCTAAATACATTTATCTACCCTGTTAGAGTATCTAAAAGCGTCCGAAAGAATTACGTGAGTGAGTAGAATACAATCGATGGAGCTCTGGCCAATTTTTGTCGTTGGCATCGCCGCCTCTAGGCCAAAAGCCATGGGTTTTCTTCTCGGTTTCCTGGTATCTCTTCAACGATTGACGTGCCCTTATACAATCATAGCACCTTGCTACTGGGTCTTTCTTGTTGGCACAAGCATCATAGAATCTATCTTCAAACTTCCAGGTTTCTCAGCCTTTCAAGTATCACCTTGAGCGTGCTAGAAAGATATCCGAGTGTTTTCGACTATCGTAAAAGTGACTATTGGATGGAAAACCCCATGGCATACATTACCACAAGTAAATTCTTTTGGCCTCTTCTACTATCACGCCAGGTACACTTTTTGCGCCTGGGCCTCGGAGTTGAGCCGTGGCTAATATCTCCGTGTGATCATATCTGGGCCTCGGTAAATTTGCGCTCGCCCAATTGCGAAAATCGAAATCGGACCACTATGACTTTCCAGGTTTGAAGTGCTCCGTTCCTTCCTGCCAGACACCTCTCACAAGAGGATTTCCTCGGATTTAATGCCGCTCCTTAACCAAAATCATGAGATCTGATTTTTCTTCTCTTGACAGTTTTTCTCAGAAACTGGTGATTCGGTAAAAATTTAGAATTAGAGCCCAAATGTCACCAAATTTGTAATTAACGTTTTACCCCACATAAGCCCCCAGACTCACCACCCGCCACAACACAAGTCTCACCACCCACACTGTAGTCTTGTCAACACCCTATGTCTTAATTAGCCATATCTGCAATTTATGCTCTTGGCTGCGAAAGTTAGCCCACTGGCGATTCTAGCCACAACCGGAAATTCCAGCCACTTTCCTTTCCTACGATCTTCGTGGGAGCATTCACCAGAACCTGTCAATACTCCTACATTTTAGTTTTACCTGCTCCAAAAACAAAAACAAAATCTGAATCTTTGTCTTTTCTTTTCAGCTCTTTACTTGGTGGTCCAGCCGCATGGCTCACCTGACATTCCGGACTGGGGATCCTCACAACGCAGAACAGTCCAGCACTGCTGAGCACCAGAAACACCGGCCGGCACCAGAAACACCAGCTACCTCCATACATCTACCAGCTCCAAACATCCGTACCACAACGTCTAACACGGCTGGTGCCCTCAACTGCAAAACTCCGAACCCAAGATGTCGATCACGTGACACGCCCTCTATTTACCTTTTCCCCTTTCCGCCAATCGATCCCTTCCACATCTACATCCCGTCTACTTCTGACAAGCTCTACGGCCTCCACGTCTTCACGCCAACCACGTCCACCGTCCCACGGCTCCTCCACGGCTCCTCCACGGCTCCTCCACCTTCCTCCACCTTCCTCCTCTCTTCCATCTTCCTCAACTCCTCCAACTTCCTCAACTTCTTATCCTCCACCATGGACTTTGGCGTCTCCCACCACGACCAGCCCATACTGCACCATCTCCATCAAGACGCCAACACGACAGTGTCGCCGTCGTCGTTCAACTGCACATTCAACACCTCGCTTGAGCTCAGTACTCCAATCAAAAAGATCCGTAACTTGACGATTCACTCACCAAAACCCTCTTCCATGTACCCCAGCCTTGATGATATCGTGATCTCGCCCAAGAACGAGGGTCCAGGACTGCCATCGCAGATGGCCAGATCCATGCTCAACAAGGGATACTCCAAGAAACTCACCAATAATGTGTTGGAAGAGCTCAACTTGCGAGCCAGCGAGATCTCCAAACAAATCAGCTCGCCTCCATCTGCATCGTCAGAGCCTCTCAGCTCACAGTCGCTTCGTGCCAGGCGCAACAAGCGCTACAGTGGCATCCATCGCTCCAAATTCAATAATATGGACTCGATCTCCACCCACTATGCCGTGTCCTCCACCTCCTACAAGGAGCCTCTAGACCACCACAGCATTCACCACAGCATCCATAACCATCACCACACCACTGCTGTCAAGTCGTCGCCCATAAAAAGAGTGGAGGCACGAAGAAAACCCTCTAGTGAGCCCACTGAATCCCACACCAAGAGGCGTAGAACACTCAACGGACCCGACGAAATTCCAAATTTCAAGCCATCCTCCAATATCCTGCCTTTGAAGGCTCCTGGAATACCGTCTACAGCAGAGCTTGCATCCAGCCCCATCCGCAAGATCTCACCCTCGAAAAAGTCCATGAACTTGAATTCCATATTGACCAGCGAAGACACTCCCATGGATGACATGCTGTCTCCCGAGAAAGGGAAGTTCATCAAGCCGTTCCCTCCTAGCTCCAAATTTAGGGTCTCATCGTTGGAACAGGCAGGCGTGAAACCCACCCTCCAGCCGGCTGTTACTCTCCACAAAAAGTCTTCCATACCCACTTTACAGAAGAAGACTTCAATTCCTCAACTTCAGAAAAAGCTGTCGATTCCAAGTCTTCAGAAAAAGCCCAGTTTGTCCAATTTCGCATCCAGCCCATCAGCCCCATCCTACGAGTTACACAAGAAATCATCCATTCCTACTCTTCAACGCAAGTCCTCCACTCCCAGTCTTTCCCCTGCAAACACCCCAAAATCCAGCATTAATTCCCAATCAAGACAACAGGTGTCCCAGCCAAGACTCAATAAATCCACCACCCATAGTACTTTGAGTTCAAGCATTCCCCAGCCATCAAGCCAGATACCCACCAGTCGCTCCGCATCCAGAAACCTCAATACCCACAATTCACAGACGAACCCGATCCGTCTTTCCAGCTCTTCCAAGTCACTAACTGGGAAGTATACTGTTCCTCAGCAAAACACTTTGTATGACAAACCAACGATATCATCTTCGCAGAAGTCGTTGAACAAGTTTCAGAGGTTCAAGGATAGGTTCAACTGAGATGCCTGAACTGGTCTTCAGAGCAACAGCATAACTCCAAGGGCCAATTGTCCCTAACAAGATGGTAGAGAGAACTGGTTGATAACCAGGAAAAATTCATCATAGATGGACTTTATAAATTAATTGATACCCTTATAGATGAGCAGAACTGTAGTTTTGGCGAAGAAATTGTACCTTGTATTTGGGCACAATTTCGCAGCCACTATGATACCGGCATTGAGTCAATACCGAATTTTCGGACGGTTCTACATAGCTGGTGTTACCCTAGTGATAATGAGTGACACCAGCTGATATTTTTACAGGCCAATAGGTATAATTATTCTTAAGAAATTTGCTATGCCATTATACACAGTTAGAAATAAAAATTTATTCTCGATGTTTTTACTTAGAAGTTCTGATCCAGAGCTAGTTACCCTTTATTCAACTGCGGATTCAACCATCTCTATCCCCCTCTAGTTACGGAAACACATGTAGTGATCGCAAAAAAAATCCTTTTGTTAATTGCTAAGCTGAAGTATTAGTAAGGCTATCGATAATGGAGGCAGCACTAGGTGAATGCTAGCTTTGTCAATATAATTCTTAGTTTCATTTTTTACATGTAGATCATTTTGGAGAGATATTTATGATTGCTTAGTAAAATCTTCAGCTTCAGCACACTTTGGAACACATTTCGTCGTTTCTGCTTCAAATAGCGTAAATTGATCTTTTAATAATTATTAATTATAACCTTATTAACTTTCTCGCAGGGACATCTCTAGAAGATGTTAGTCTGCAATCTGATCTCTCCTCCGACACTCAAAGTCTGGGCAGCCTTCCACTTGGAGCCCTTGGCCAAGGTGAGGTACTCGGCAACGTGACCGGCCTCGATACAGAGCATGTGGTGGTAACCTGACTTAGGCTCGAAGTCTGCCATTCCCTTGGACTTTTCGATCCAAGGGTTCCACACCACGGTGTCAGGGAGGTTGTCTCTATGGACGTTGTGGAGCACCTGTCCCTTGTCGATGACCTGGAACGACTTTTCAACTGGGATGTTCTTGTAGATTCTGTCGAACTCCTCGTGGAACGAGATGACTGGGGCCTTCTCCACGTACTCGGTGGCCAACAACTGGTCGTAACAACGCTGGTCAATCAAATTGTTGACCAACACGTCAGTGATGTCGGGAACACGCAAGTAGGTGTGGAACAACCACTTGAAGTCGAAGTCCTCCTTGCCCGAGTTCTCGACCTCGATGGTGGTGGTGAGATCGTCGTCGAGTGTGATCGACAAAATCAAGGTGAAGTCGTACTTTCCTTCGCCCCAGAGCTTGTATACCTCAGGGTCGACCTGCTCGGGTCCCAATCCGAACTGGATGGTGGCGGGGGACTCGGTGGTCTGGCCAAGGAACTCCCATGGACTGCTACGAGCAAATCCATGCTGGCTCAACTGGAAGGCTGGGCTCGATTCGTTCTTCTCCTTGCCGAAAATGGGGAACACGAGAGGAATGCCTCCTCTGACAGGCTTGGAGCCGTCAAGCTTGGCCGCATCACTCAACCACAACTGTTCCTTGCCCTTGTGGAGCCACGAGAGGATGGTGGCACCGTGCTTGAGGATGGTGACGCTGGACGAGGGGTCGGAGGGGTGGGTGAGGGTGACTTTGGTGTCTGTTTCTTCGATAGGCATGGTGATTGGCTTCGACTGGTGAACTGGTCAATGGCTGTAAGTGGTGGTGGCAGCACACACGTGGCAGCGGGTCACGTTCCGCGTGGCACGTGACCAGAGCCTGTCATACCCCTTTTCAGGGTCGCACGAGCTTCTCTGCGCATCGGCCGTGCCGGCTCCCACCTTATCCGTGACCAAAAGAAATGTCGCACCAGCAAATTTTTCAGCTCCACTAGCCTCTGCATGCTATCCCCTCTTCTTAGCGTATCTTCCTCTTCTCGCCAGCGTCCAGCTCCTTCCTCACTACACCCCTTCACCCACCGCCCCTCTCCCGTTTTCGTGGCCCTTCCCTCACGCTCCTCTCTCCTCGCTTGCTAATAGGGGTACGACATTTGCGATCGCACTCCCTCCCAGTAAACAAAAACCAAGGCGCTTACTGACACTAACCATCACCAGGCACTGCGGACAAGCTAGCTCCTCGTTTCCATCACTGTTGCCGTCGCTTCTGTGTCTGCTCCAAAGTCTCCCAAAGTCTCCCAAAGTCTCCAAAAGTCGCCCCAAAAGTCTCCCATCCAGCCCATTTACCCTTCTGTTCTGCTTAGTCCACTACTAAAGCACGTCCTCCTCCTCGTTGGCAGCCAAAATGGTCTCGTCGTCGATCCTCCGGTCCAAGTTGGTCCAGAAGCCCTACCAGCTCTTCCACTACCACTTCCTCCTGGAAAAGGACCCCTACTCCACGGTGTCGGACCTCTCGTTCGACACGGATCCCGCCACCTCCCTAGCCCAGTTCAAAAATCACCACTGGACCTGGAAGGAGTCGTTGCACTACGGCTTCTTGGCGTCGGTGATCTTCTTCGTCTACATCATCTTCCCAGCGTCGTTCCTCGTCAAAACAGCCATCCTTGCTGCCTTCGTGCTGTGCTTCGTCATCCCCCTCACCTCCCAGTTCTTCGTGCACGCGTTGCCCATCTTTGCCTGGTTGGCGCTCTACTTCAGCTGTGGCAAGATCCCCAACGAGTGGAAGCCGGCCATTTCCGTCAAGGTGCTTCCTGCGTTGGAAACCATCATGTACGGTGATAACTTGTCCAACGTGTTGGCCACCATCAACACTTCCACCCTCGACCTTCTTGCATGGATTCCATACGGGGTCATCCACTTCAGTGCCCCCTTCATCGTGGCGTTCTTCATCTTCTTGTTTGCCCCCCCAACCTCGTTGAGATCCTTTGGTTTCGCTTTCGGCTACATGAACTTGTTGGGTGTCATCACCCAAATCCTTTTCCCAGCCGCTCCTCCTTGGTACAAGCTTTTGCATGAATTGGAACCTGCAAACTACTCCATGAGTGGTTCTCCTGGTGGTTTGGGCAGAATTGACAAGCTTTTTGGTGTCGACATGTATACCACTGCATTTTCCAATTCTCCCGTCATTTTTGGTGCTTTCCCATCCCTTCATTCTGGATGCTCTGTGATGGATGTATTGTTCTTGTGCTGGCTTTTTCCAAAGTTCAGAATCGTATGGTGGGGTTATGCTACTTGGCTCTGGTGGAGCACAATGTACTTGACCCACCACTACTTTATTGATTTGATTGGCGGGGCTGTGTTATCTCTTGTTGTATTCGAGTACACCAAGTACAACCACTTGCCAGTCGTCGACAGCAACAAGTTCTGCCGTTGGTCTTACTCCCAAATCGTCAAGATCGATATGCAGGCGGAAGACCCATTGTCTACCACTGTTTACTCATTTAATGACATTGAGAACCAAAACCAATCTCACAGATCAGCTTTCCCAACTTTTATTTATAATCAACAGCCTCAACCAGAGGCTTACGAATTGTCCAACGTGACGACAAGGTCAAGACAATCGTCCAGATCATACGTGCCTACAATCAACACTTCAGCTACTTCACTCGCTACTCCTTCGGTGGGTTACGCCAGATCTTCCTCTTCATTGAACTTACCTTTACAAGAAGTTGATGAAGTGCCAACAGTTGTTGAAGAGGAATCAGAGGATACTTCATCATTGGAAAACAGCGCAACTCCATCAGTTTTTGATGAGGACCATCATTTAATCAGTTCTACGACATCCACTACATCGTTGGACGAATTGGAATCACCTGTGCATGATGTTAGGAGTACTCTACTTTCTAATGCAGCCAAACTCAAAGCCAGCAGCTACAAGTCCAAGTAGATGCACCAGCATCCCATCCTCATTAAATGTACATATCTCTTCCTGAAGTGACGAACAGCCATAGATGCATATTCCCTACCTAATTACTTTACGATCTTACGGGTTTATGCCTACTCCAAATTCTAATGCCTCTTAATAATCTAATACTAATTCCAATATATTGCTTTATTTATTGACTAAAAAATTGATATCGAATTGTAGAAGTTTCATATGAATTAGAAGTAACTCGTATGGGGACCGAAATATTTGAGGATTCTTCAAGTAAACTCCATTTATTGGCGCCTCAGGGATTGTTTAGCCATAGAAGTTGTTTCCCATAGTAGTCGTATCAATTATCTTCTTCGCAATAGTCTACAATCCAATAATAAGAGTCAAATAATATTAATCTAAAGCCTTGATTAAATTTAATGAACAATTTACCAAGATTGCCTAAATTTCAAAATTCAATAACCTTTCCTCGAATTTCTCAAGAAAAATGTCCATGATTTGTCTTTTATCTTCGTGAATTTTATCAAACTCATCATCCCAATTGACAGTTACAGAAAGCCCTCCAACTTGGGTAGAAATCACATTGATACCAAAGTAATGTCCAGTACCAGACTGGTTAAAAATAACATCAAGAATCTTGTACTTACCGTGAGTTTCATCCATGACTCTAAGGTTAGACATGACAAATGTAGTTCTTGGCCCACCCAACATAAGCTCGAAAACTTTGAAAACACTCCAGTATTTGATCATACCTAAGAAAGCTAATCCACCCTTCATTTTTGTATCAATTTGGTGCTTTATAGCATTAGAAATGTATTTCATCACGTTCAACTCATTGTTCTTGACTGGGGACAATTCGATTCTATCGAAAGTTGAAATATTACCATATTGGAATTTGGGAGAAGGATCGAGGAATCTTCTAGCACTCATGGCAAGAGTAAAGTTAGAAGCCCAATTCTTCTTGGAAATGCAAGGGTAGACAACTTCCTCTAATACTGAAATGGCAATGGTATTAATATATGGAGTCAAAGTTAAACCTTGAGATCTGCACTTCTTGAGAATAACTTCTAACTTACTGTTGTCAATGGAAAAAAATCCAGCGTTCATTCCTTGATCAGGACCGAATTTAACTTCGAATAAGGGATTCACGTTGTAGTTTGCCTTGATTTGATGGTAAGGAAAGAAACTTCTCACATAGGCAGAAGCCTTCCCAAGAAACATGATAACAGGAAGACAGTTGAGCACCATTCTCATTGGAAATGGAACTTTAAACATACCCAAACTCTCACTGGAAGGAGTTGGTTTCTCGGGTACCACATCTGCATCTCTTTTCAAGTCAAAAATGTATTCCTCGTAGGTTTCTGATGTGACATCAGATAATTCATTGGCTAAATCACTGAGAAATTGACTTCCAGATTCTCCATCAGTCAAGGCATGGTCGAAAATCACCATCAAGTGTTGCTCACCGTTAGCCAATTCTAAGACTTTGATTCTCCAAAGTGGGTGATTTGGCAAGTTGCTTGGAATACAAATCTTGTTGATCTTGCCCAAGAAATGGCCATCCAACTTGTCAATTTTCTCGAACGAAACCACATCCTCAAAACGAATGTACTGAGGAGTGACAAGCTGATAATCATGACCCAAGGTTTCAGTGAAGGGCTTCGACCCGGTTTTTTGGAAGTTGTAGGTGAGGAAGACGTGCTTTCTCATCAATGACTTCAAGGCACTGGATAAAACCTCAGCAGTAACTGGCGAACCGAACTTTACCGTGAGGTTGTAGTTTGTGTATTTGGCTAGAATGGTTCTGTAGATAGCACAGCGCTCAATGAAGTCGGCGTCTCTGGTGAGTTGGGGCATATTGTGTGTGTTGCGATGGGGACGAGTGAGAAGCTATTTCCACCTGCCATTACATGGTCTTATATACTTTTCCAAACGATAAGCTGCTCGAATGTCGACTAAACTTGCATCTCCTGCCTACAGGCATCTATTGATTTATGTGCATGTTCGATCCAAAAGAGGTAGAAGATTTGCAAAAATTCCTTGTTCCAACTGTATTAATCATCAGATCGGTAACTGATGGTTGGTGCGCGTAAGCCTATCAATTTTACGATTTGCGATCCAAGATTGACGTTACTTTCTGATTCCCCGAGATTTAGACAGTTTGGGGAAAATAAAGCGAAATAAGTGAGGTTTCAGCGAGCATTTGGTGGGGTAACACGTGACAGCGAGAAAAGCAGCCCGCTCTGATCACTTTTATGTGCTATTATTCAACAATTCGACTCAAGGAAATTGTGGGACATTATATATGTCCTAGGTTCTTGTGGTGCTGCTCACATTTAATGCATGCAACTGCTACAATTAAATTCTACACGGATTGAATGGCATGGTGAGCACGGAGAAACTGAAAGGTTCGAGGTTATTGAAGAACGGATAATTAATAAGTAGATCAACACCAAGTCGTCAGGGAAACCATAATTTAGATTTAATCCTGAATTTACGAAAAATTAGACATACAAGAATCCTTCTGCTAACTCAAAGCGAGTTGGAAAATTCCAGTTGAAATGAAAATTACAGATTCACTTGACTGCGAATCACATTTAGGGGCAATTACAGATAGTTTCATAGCAGTATTAAGAGTTGATGTACAATCTGGATATAATGGGATAGAGGATTTTGATGAGTTCTGTTTTAAATTTAGTCATTATTTTTACTTTTTTTTTGGTTAATAGGAAGTATGTTAATATCTACTGGCTCTATACCTATTGCATTGGATAACATACCATTATGTAGCCAACAATTCACTTTGTTAGTGGTAAATTTAGGAAATTCCACTTCTTAAATGACCTGAACTTCTCCCATTAACTATACAAAGCTAGGTTTTTGTTGCGAGTGGGAAGTATGTTACAGTCTAATCTCTAAATGTTTTGGTAGAAATCAGGTAACGGACCAGATTAGCCACGTAAAACCAAAAGGTTTTTTGCTTACGTAACGCAACTTACAATTTTTCTGGCTCTTCTCACTCACTAATTTTTGTAACGGTTTGAGATCACGTTACAGTTGATTACGTACGATCCTAGGACTTGCTGACTAATCCAGTTAAATGAAGNTGACTCGGATTATATGATAACTCCGGATGTCGCATAAAGTGGCGAGACATTAGTTGAACAGTTTTATTATAAGTCCGATAGATGCAGTTGATGACAAACAACTGGACACTGCTGACAAATGCAGAGAGACAGACGATGAGCAAGAGGAGTCCGTACCATCGTAAGAGAGAAGTATAAAAAGAGTAGATAGAACTAGATTTATAAAGACAAGGAATTATTGGAGAACTCAAGAAGAGCAATAGTTCCGAGTGACAGATTACTTAAGATTCAATATATTATTAAGAGTGATATTATTTAAGATTAAGACGTTTCCAAAGAATTACATAAGCTACTGTTAAGAGATACTATAGGACGGACACTATAGTGAAGAGACATTTATTAGTAAAAGGTTACTAATAGAGTATTAGATACAGGACTCAAGTTTAATCTGTTACAATTTTCAGAAACATGGCAACTTGTCCGAGTGGTTAAGGAGAAAGATTAGAAATCTTTTGGGCTTTGCCCGCGCAGGTTCGAATCCTGCAGTTGTCGTTACTTTTTAATCGTCTTACAATAGTACTCTTCCTTTAGTTTCCGCTAGTAGTGGCATAATTAGCTTGAGAAGCATTTTTAGCAAAATTAATTCTAAAATTATAGCTTAGTTAATCCATCCTGGGAAATCTGTTCTCCTCTGGATTTCTCTGATAAGCCCATATTTATCTAACTACAGACTTAGCTATACATCCTTCCGTTCCTTTAGGATTACTATTCTACGAAGACCAACCAGTTATTTAAAATTTGATTAATTATATTCTGGGTCTTATCTTTTTCATTTGTTTTTTGTTGAAGTTTCATCTTATCTTGACTCCAATGATTATTTCCAATGTTTTTGATTTATGGGTTTCCTAAGATTATCCGATTTTCTGTATTCTCCATTCTAATCGCTGAAATAGCAAGTTCTTTCCTATCCATTCATTTGGACTCCTTATTTTTTTATAACTCTCATCCCTTGAGAACCTTTGGGTGTTCGTAAAACGATTTCCACTTTCAAGTATAGTATGATACTTTCGTTATGATACTTTCGTATTCTTCTAACTGAGTCTTGAGTTATAATACTGACCATCGACCCTGGTTCAATGAGTTCCTCATACAATTGTTTCCAAATCGGCCGCGTTAAGGTTTTGTTCTTCCTTTTCTTCTTCCTTGTTTTCAGTTAATTTCTCATCTTTCTCCCATAAGCTTCTTTAATAAAAGATTTTGATCACAATTGGAGGCATTCTTAACTGACTGGCCTAGGTAGAATAGGCTTTTGTTCACTCAGTAGTCTTTTGATTGTCTGCATTCATTCAGGTAGTGACCTATCTTATGGCAGTTGTAACACTCAACTTGATTTCTTGGTCTTCGTTTATAACCTCCTCCGCACGCCCTGGCGTTTGAACCTCTCTTGTAGTTTTCTTCATACTTTAATGCCCTTTTCTGAGCCTGTACTAAACTTTTGAGTTCTTCTCCAATAAAGTGTTCAGCAATGTCTTCATCTAGTTTGCCAATGTATATATCCGCATAAAACTCAAGTTGATTCCTCAAGATACTTTTTGCTATTAGTACGTTAAATTTCTTGTTGAACTGAGACACGGACATTCTGCCTTGTCTTAAGCGAATAAATTCAATATTAGTTTCATGATCTAGTGAAGCAGCTGTTTTCGAATAACTCACTAGTCTGGGCCAGATTTGTTCTGGATCTTTTCCTAAAGTTTTAACTTCAGCCTTGTGTTCATCATAGATTCTCTTCATTGTCTCCTTCTGTACACAAGGTGATGTTTGATGAATTACCCAGATTGCAACATCTTCCATCTTTAATTGTAGGTGTCCCATTTCAATTAGACCTTGAACCAGATATAAATAATCGTTAAGCGTATAACATCCTTTAGGGTTCCATCTTTCTTTCATGTTTAATGATTCCAAATATGTGAAAAACTTTGCTTCCAGAATTGTCAACGTTTCCAGACGAGGGAACACCTCCTGGTTAACTGGGAGAGTACTTGGTGACATTTCTTGTCTCTCTTTTCTCGTTGCAAATTGGCTGTGTTTCCCAACTCCAACTGATTCACCTAGCAGTAGCATAGATGCTGACTTTAAATAGTTTTAAACGGTATTCTCCTTTAAACAATTAACAGCAGAAGTGAGCCTAATAATGAGAAATACCTAGTATAAATTAATTTTGATCCTGTTCTATGACTTCTGGGATACATAGTTCTTATATACTTTCTCTTCCTATCGCCAAATCTTAACATTTAGCAATCTTGCACGATTCTTGATTATTGTGTAACGGAATGAGAGGGTGTGATTAGGATGGGATACACGGAGAATACGCACATAGGAAGTTTCAGTTTGGTCAGTTTCACCTTGGGAAGCAATGCTTTAATTAACCTTTGTGTCAGAAGGTGCGCTGAATTTCACCTTCATGCTGTGAGCGCCTCAGCTTAGGATGCATACAATTAGAGACTGATAAAATGAAAAAAAAAACAAGTAAGAGCTTCAAATAATAAGTCTGCAAGGGGACAGTGAAGTAAATAGTTAGAGATTTAAAGAAAGGCAGATAATTGCAGTTTAGCCGGGTTACAAACAACATAAGAATTTAATTAAGATTAAGATTAAGACGTTTCTATTAATTAAGATTTAAGATTAAGACGTTTCCAAAGAAATCAAATAAAGCTGCGAATGAGAGATAAATTAGTAATCCTTTCCTAATATTGCATTATAAGAGAACTTAATTGGAACATAATTCTGAACTAGTTCTTATCTTTTCTATAACTTGACTTCTCACTTATTTCACTTTAGGCATATCTGCCCATCTCTAGGCCCCTCTGATAATTCCCTTTTAGCGCGGGAGGGGTAAATGTCATCTCTTGCCCGTGACTTCTTTCTTCCTGGTTACTCTCCTGTATGACTGCTATATTACGTGAGCTATTCGTAATCGTCCGAGACTTCTCTTCTGTAGACTACTCTCCGTTCCATCCAAAATCGACCTCGATTTTAGTACGAGTGGACAAGAGGTAGTTCAACTCACTTGGTTCCTATTCCAGGGCCTGTATGCCCCAATCCGGCTTCAAAAAATTTCACATTTGTTTAACTTAGCACCAAACTCTTTGTGTGTGTCTAACACGATCCTAAAATATCTGTTATGCTCTTCTGGATCTTTCGAATAGATGATTCTAACATATCAATAACAATTACAATGTAACGGTTTGAGATCACGTTACGGTTGATTACGTACGCTTATACGACTTGCTGACTAATTAAAGTTATGAGTTCGACAAAGAAGATATGTTAACCTCGGTTGTTGGAAGACATTAGACGAGAAGTCAGATTATAAGGCAGTTGGATGCAGTTGATGACAAATGTCCTGAAACTGCTGACAAATGCAGAGAGACGATAGACGAGCAAGAGGATGCCGTACGAACGGAAGTAAGAAGTATAAAAGCGTAGTTTAGATTAGATTTATGAAGACGAGGGATTATTGAAGAACTCAAGAAGAGCAATAGTTCCTAAGTGACAGATTAATTAAGATTCAATATATTATTAAGAGTGATATTATTTAAGATTAAGACGTTTCCAAAGAATTACATAAGCTACTGTTAGAGATATTTATTAGTAAAAGGTTACTAATAAAGGATTAGACACAGGACTTAAGTTTAATCTGTTACATACAACCTCTGTGTAATATAATAAGCGACTCTTCGCTAACTGGGACGCGCTGGGGAACCTCGTCAACCCAAATCGGGTATTTTCCAAACATACTGATTGTCCTCGTCTCTAGGTGGACTTAAATTTAAAGTCCTATTAACAACAAATCTAACTACGTGTAGTGTTTTTCCTAGGGTTTTAGGCACCATATTATGTCTATCTCTGACCCTGAGCAAAAACTCAAAGTAGCTACCTTATGTAACAGGATTGGGGGAGTACCTGTCTCCTCTTAGACATTCAGGATACTCCCAGACTATTTAATCTTTGTACCTCGCTGTGTTTTATACATCTTGTTTTGAGCTCTTGCTAGTTTTCGTTCGGAGCTCCGTCTCCTGTTTCATTTCATTTTTGGCTGTTCTCTAAGGCGTGGTTCTAATCATATTACCTAAGCATTACTTAATCAACATAACTAGCTTAATACTTCTGAGTCTACGCGCTCAGTTAAAGTCTGTAACAGATTAAACTTAGGTTCTGTATAAAGCTGTATTAGTAATCCTTTACTAATACTCTTGTCCTCTTAACAGTAGCTTATAACTTTATGGAAACGTCTTAATCTTTAATTAACTCTTAAATTATCTTATGCTAGTTAAACTGTCACTTAATTTTCTGGGTAGGAATTATCTGTCTGTCTCTAGATCTATCCGATAGCTCCTTGACTGTTTAATCTATGTATTTTCTTGTCCTTTTATAGACTTCTTATTCTGAGTTTTACTTCTTTCTTTTCTGGAATTCGCTTCTATTTCATTTCACCTTTGGCGCTCTGCTTATTTCTTTGAAGCTCTGTTCCTGATTCATTTCATTTTTGAACTTTAATCTTTGAATTCTGGTTCTAGACCTTCATGAATTTCTTTTCTCATCAGGATGATATTACCTAACTCTGTACGTAATCATTATTACGTAATTAATAGCATAATCAGACTTAGTTTTCGCATTCCGATGAAAAGCCAAAAAATGGCAACTTGTCCGAGTGGTTAAGGAGAAAGATTAGAAATCTTTTGGGCTTTGCCCGCGCAGGTTCGAATCCTGCAGTTGTCGTCATTTTTTTGATTTTTGGCCAAAAGGTTGGTCTTTCCAAGCATACACTAGTTCACGTTTCTAATTCGTTACTTTTCAGACTTGTAATACAATATATCTTCTCATTTAAGAAGAAGCAATAGTAGTCCCCCTTAAGAAGAAGTAATCGTCCGAATACAATTCTGTGGGCCTAAACTTATAAAATAGTGATTTAATTTTTATGAACAGCTCCAATACCCAATGGATGTTGCAAATGAAAGTGACTGATAATACATGGGAATATGTGTGATCGGCACCCACACGGTTGCTTAGAAGAAGGTGGGGGTTGGGGCTCCATTCTCTTCACCCACAAAACTCAATCCTGCACATTACCCTCATCTCATCTCTATCATTTTTCACTAGTCGATTCCGCTTTAACTAAACACCTTATAGAGTACATAGTAACTCTAGAACAAGTGCCATGAATAATATCATCCTTAACCGGAATCTTTGTGATCAATTATTGACTCAAGCTCAATCTTCAGCATATCACAATGTCATTCCGTTCAAGTTTGATACCACACAAAGTATTCCTACAAACCTCAACAACTTAGCATTGTACGCATTACATCCTTCAACCACATTACCAACGCTTTATTCATATAGACCAGTCTTTGTTGATTTGATTTCAAGATGGATCGTGTCTCCACAGCAATTTGAGTCCAAATTCTTCGAGTTGAACACTACGCAAGATCCGTTTTTAATCAGTGGATCTTTGGTATTGTCTGCATTGTCTAGACTTATTGGCTTGTCCAATGAGTCTGTCAACTTAGTGGAGTACTTCTTAGCTAGACATCCCATCATGAAAGATACCGTGAACACTCAAATCAGTGTGAAAGAGCTCCAGCTGATTTTATTGGCCTATTATAGATTGATTAATTATGATAGTCACAGGTTCAAAGGGTTCGTGGCCCCCCAAGTTCTTCATGATATTTTAGCCGAGCACAGCGATAGTGTTTGCAAATTCCTTGCTATCCAAATTTTATCCAGGTACTTGAATGCTTCCGAAGAGGCAACGAGCAAAATGATAGATCAGTACATTGGAAATACTGAAATTAGAGGAGATTATGAAAATGATACCCAGATTGACTACCGCTTTTTATCGTTGTTAGAAAGTAAGAGGTTGTCAAACTTCACCAAAATGGTTCCCACCCTGGACCTTACCCACGATGGGGCAGGCAAGAAAATTATAATAAGTCCACAAGATTTGTCTCCATTAATTATTTCAATATGTGGTGTTTTGATTCCAAAATTGCAAGATGCACCTGAGTTTAACTCTGCTCCAATGGACGACATTTCTGAGGCCGTAATTGAAACTTCCACAGCATTTGTTCCAACCCAAAACTCCATTAATGTACTTCAGAAATTAGCACATCATATTCAAAATAATGAATCAATCATGCTTTATGGTAAAGCGGGCTCTGGTAAAACCTTCCTCATCAATCAGTTAGCAAAGTTTATGTCCTACAGCAACTCTATCATTAAGATCCATCTTGGGGAACAAACCGACTCTAAAATGTTATTGGGTACATACACATCTGGTGAAAAGCCAGGAACTTTTCAATGGAAGTCGGGTGTCTTAACTTCGGCTGTGAAGGAAGGAAAGTGGATTTTAATCGAAGATATCGACAAAGCTCCAACCGATGTGTTATCTATCCTCCTCACCTTATTGGAAAAGAGAGAATTGACCATTCCTTCTAGAGGAGAAGTCATCAAAGCAAAGAATGGATTTCAAATTATTTCTACGATAAGGACTTCGAATGATTCTGGATCCGTCACCATTCCAGATTTGATCGGTTTGAGATTGTGGAAATTAGTAAAAGTGGATTTGCCTACAGAATCTGATTTAAAGGAAATAATTTTGCACAAATTTCCTTTACTCAAGAATCTTGTGATCCCCTTCATCAAATGTTACAATGAAATATTGAAGGTTTATTCATCCCCTTCATTCATCTCTTTAAATAAGGGTTCCAACCCTAGAGTGATTTCTTTCAGGGACTTGATGAAGTTTTGCTCCAGATGTAATATCATGTTGTCCAACAATGGAATCAATAACACAGATCAACTTTTGGAAACTACATTATATGACAATATATTTGCCGAGGCCATTGACTGTTTCGGAAGTTCCATCACTGAGTACAACGCATTGGTACCATTGGTAAATGTGATCGGTGACACTCTTGAAATCCCAACTTCCAGAATCAATTTATTCTTGACAAACCATGTTCCAAACTTTATTGAAGATTCCGATCACATCAAGGTGGGAAGGGCTACTTTAACCAAATCTCTAGACAAAACATACAGAGGAGTATCCAACCAAACATCCTTCGCCAAGACTAACCACTCTCTCAGACTCATGGAGCAAGTTGGAGTATCCATTCAAATGATAGAACCAATTTTGTTAGTAGGTGAAACTGGTACTGGTAAGACCACAATTGTCCAACAGATAGCCAAGATGATGAACAAAAAGCTTATTGTTATCAACGTTTCCCAACAGACAGAGTCCGGGGATCTTTTGGGTGGTTACAAGCCAGTGAATGCCAAAACTATGGTAGTTCCGATCCAAGACGAATTCCAGAGATTATTTTTGGCCACTTTCTCCAAGAAGAAGAATGAGAAATTTGCCCAATTATTGGGTAAGTGTTTGAGCAAGAACCAATGGAAGAATGTCATTAGGTTGTGGAGAGAAGCCCTCAAGTTGGCAAGGGAAGTTTTGAAAGCTTCTGATTCCGATGATGAATCTCCTCCATCCAAGAAGAGAAAGTTGACTTCAAACGATAAGACTATCATCATGAACCAATGGTTAGAATTCGAGGCACTGGTCCAAAAGTTTGAGCTCCTGATTGCCAACCTTGAGAATTCTTTCGTGTTCAATTTTGTCGAAGGTTCTCTTGTTAAAGCCGTGAAAAATGGTGACTGGTTACTCTTGGACGAAATTAATTTGGCGTCCTCCGATACTCTTGAGAGTATAGTTGACCTTTTGAACGAAGCTCATGACCAAAGAACTTTATTATTGACCGAGAAGGGTGATATTGAGCCCATCAAGGCACATTCTGAATTCCGAATTTTCGGTTGTATGAATCCATCTACCGATATCGGTAAGAAGGACTTACCACCAAGTATTAGATCGAGATTCAGTGAGATTTATGTGCATTCACCCGATAGAGATATCTCTGATTTGTTGATGATTATTGACAAGTACGTCCACAGGTATGCCGTTGGCGATGAATGGGTCGGCAATGATATCGCTGAATTGTATTTGGAAGCAAAGAAATTAAGCGAAACCAACCAAATTGTCGATGGTGCTAACCAGAGGCCACATTTCAGTATTCGTACATTGTCCAGAACATTGATCTACGTGTGTGACATTGTCTCCATCTATGGGTTGAGAAGATCATTGTATGAAGGTTTCTGTATGTCTTTCTTGACATTGTTGGATACCAAATCCGAAGCCATCTTACAGCCTGTCATAATGAAGCATACCCTTGGGAGATTGAAGAATATGAAATCTGTGATAAAGCAATGTCCACCAGCTCCAACCACTGCCGGGTCTGCTTATGTTCAATTCAAGCACTACTGGATGAAGCAAGGTCCAATGGAACCTATTCCTCAGCCCCACTATATTATTACTCCATTTGTCGAGAAGAATATGCTTAACTTGGTGAGAGCTACTGCTGGAAGAAGATTTCCTATCTTGGTTCAGGGTCCTACCTCCGCAGGTAAAACGTCCATGATCAACTACTTGGCCAATATCACAGGTCACAAGTTTGTTAGAATCAACAACCACGAACACACTGATTTGCAAGAATACCTCGGTACTTATGTGTCTGATTCCACTGGAAAATTGACTTTCAAGGAAGGTGTTTTGGTCGAGGCATTGCGTAAGGGTCATTGGATTGTGCTTGACGAATTGAATCTTGCCCCAACCGATGTTCTTGAAGCATTGAATAGATTATTGGATGATAACAGAGAGTTGTTTATTCCTGAAACACAAGAGGTCGTTCACCCACACCCAGACTTCATGATTTTTGCTACCCAAAATCCTCCTGGATTGTATGGTGGTAGAAAGGTCTTGTCCAGAGCCTTCAGAAACAGATTCTTAGAGTTGCATTTCGATGACATTCCTCAGGACGAGTTGGAGATTATTCTTAAGGAAAGATGTCAAATCGCCCCAACATACGGTAAGAAGATCGTTGAGGTCTACAGACAATTATCTATCCAGAGACAATCCTCCAGATTGTTTGAACAGAAGAATTCTTTTGCTACTCTTCGTGATTTGTTCAGATGGGCTTTGCGTGAAGCAGTTGGCTATGAAGAATTAGCTGCCAACGGCTACATGTTGTTGGCCGAGAGAGTCAGAAAGGATGACGAGAAAAAGGTGGTCCAACAAGTGATCGAGAAGGTCATGAGAGTCAAATTGGATATGGATGCTTACTATGAAAAATTAGAAGAAAAGGCATTAATGTCCCTCCCTGATACTTCGATTGTCTGGACTAAATCTATGAGACGTTTGGCAGTGTTGGTATTCACTTCCATGAAGTACAACGAACCATTATTGCTCGTGGGTGAAACAGGTTGTGGTAAGACCACTGTGTGTCAAATCATTGCCAGATATCTAGGAAAAGAATTAGTCACTGTGAATGCCCACCAGAACACAGAAACCGGTGATATTTTGGGTGCCCAAAGACCAGTCAGAAACAAGTTGGAAACGAAGAAGGACTTGGTTGACAGTTTGACTAAGGTATTCGAAGCCATGGGCAGGGAAATCCAGCCTGATTGGGACTTGGAGTATTTGTTGGAGTTGTACGATTCCATCAATTCTTTCGAGGGAATGGATGCCAAACTTTTAGAACTGGTTGCACAGGGTCGTAAGGACTTGGCGGTGTTGTTTGAATGGAACGATGGTCCTTTGATCCAAGCTATGAAGCAAGGTAACTTTTTCCTCTTGGATGAAATCTCTTTGGCTGATGATTCAGTGTTGGAGAGATTGAACTCCGTTTTGGAACCTGAAAGAAGTCTTCTTCTCGCTGAAAAGGGTACTGACGATGCGTTCATTACAGCCCACGAAGGTTTCGAGTTCTTGGCTACCATGAACCCAGGTGGTGATTATGGTAAGAAGGAGTTGTCTCCTGCGTTGAGAAACAGATTTACCGAGATTTGGGTGCCTTCCATGAATGACTTCAACGACGTCAGAGAAATCATCGCTTCTAAACTTATCAACAAGGATCATATTGAGCCCATTGTGCAGTTTTCTGAATGGTACGGCAAGAAGTTCGGAGGTGGTCACATCGACAGTGGTGTAATTTCCCTTAGAGATATATTGGCCTGGGTTCAGTTCATTAATTCATGTTCCAAGGAGGTGGAACCATCTGCCGCTTTATTGCATGGTGCCAGCATGGTGTTCATTGACGCCTTAGGAACCAACAATACTGCTTATTTGGCTGAGAACGAGGCCAGGTTAAATGAGCAAAAGGAAGAATGTGTTGCCAAATTGTCCCAGTTTGCCAATGCCGATTTGATGAAGTTCTTCAAGGCTACGTATCAGGTTTCTATGACTGAAGAGCAATTCCAAAGTGGTCCATTTTCCCTTTCCCGTATCCAGGTCGACACCTCGAAGGGTGCTCCGTTCAATTTGTTGGCTCCAACCACTGCTGCCAACTGTATGAGAATTGTACGTGCTATGCAAGTTCACAAGCCAATCTTGTTGGAAGGTAGTCCTGGTGTGGGTAAAACCAGTTTAATTACTGCGTTGGCAAAGGCCACCGGAAATCCTTTGATTCGTATCAATTTGTCAGAACAAACTGACTTGATCGATTTATTTGGTTCTGATACTCCTGCTGAAGGAGGAAAAACCGGTGAGTTCGTTTGGAGAGATGCTCCATTTTTGAGAGCAATGCAAAGAGGTGAATGGGTGTTATTGGATGAGATGAACTTAGCTTCCCAATCCGTTTTGGAAGGGTTGAACGCTTGTTTAGATCACCGTGGTGAAGCATACATTCCAGAGTTGGATAAGTCTTTCACTTGCCACCCAGAATTCAAGGTGTTCGCTGCTCAGAATCCCCAATACCAAGGTGGTGGAAGAAAAGGTTTGCCCAAGTCGTTTGTCAACAGATTCAGTGTGGTTTATGTCGACGTATTGAAATCCCAGGATTTGAATATGATCTCCAACCATTTGTATCCAAATGTTGGCGAAGATGCCGTGGCAAAATTGATCCAATTTATTTCCCAGTTGGAAGAACAAATCGTTGTTCAGAAGAAATGGGGATCTTTGGGTGGACCTTGGGAATTCAACTTGAGAGATACTTTGAGATGGTTTGAGATGTATTCCTCTAAGTTTTTGGTTGAGGACTTGAACGATTTCTTCAATATGATTATCTGCCAAAGATTCAGATGCGAGGAAGATAGAGCTAAGGCCCGTGAATTATTCGAGTCCATCTTCGGACCTCAGGTCCAGAAAGATGTCTACTACTCAATTACTGATAAGTATCTCCAGGTAGGTGATGCCATCATCGAAAGAAAGAGAAACGTTCAATACAGATCTGACAACTTGCTCCCATTACAATCCAATTTCAAGGTTTTGGAAAGTGCCATTAGGTGTATTAACCACAACCTTCCCTTGATCATTACTGGTCCAAGTAATGCAGGTAAAACTGAATTAATCAGATTTTTGGGAGGAGTGATTGGGGTTAAGATCGACGAGTTTGCCATGAACAACGATGTTGACTCCATGGATATCCTTGGTGGATACGAGCAAGTTGATTACACCAGGTCCATCATCATGATTACCGATAAGGTATACGAGCAGTTGAATGAAATGATTGTGATCAACATCAATTCTGACAAGAATGTTGTCAGTAAGGCTGTCGAGTTTTTGGACTTCCTTTACTCCAACGAGATTGGCGTGGAAAATTATGACACTTTCCATGCCCTCTTTGGTTCCAATCTTGAGATTTACTCGAATGATACATTGACCAAGTTGTATCAGGAATCGACTGTTCTTTCCAAGAAAATCCAGCAAGACAAGAGCATCAAGTTCGATTGGTTCGATGGTCTTCTTGTGCAAGCAGTTGAAAAAGGAAACTGGTTGATCCTTGATAATGCCAATTTGTGTAACCCATCTGTTCTTGACAGATTGAACTCTTTATTGGAAACCGATGGTGTGTTAATTATCAACGAATGCAACAACAGCGACGGACAGCCTAGAGTGATCAAGCCTCATCCAGAGTTCAGATTGTTCTTGACTGTTGACCCCAAGTATGGCGAATTGTCTAGGGCAATGAGAAACAGAGGTATTGAAATCTTTTTGGATAAATTGGATGTCAGAATGACTTCTTACGACAAAAAGTTACTCGGTTTTGAAGGCAGTGCTCCTGTTGTTAAATTTTTCCCATCCTCTTCCTCCGAATTCAGACCATTCGCTTTATTGGATGACATCTTCGAAGCCTCTTCGAATGTTCAAGAAGCGGTCACGATTGGATTCAGTGTGCTTCCATTTGACTTGCTTGTCAACTCCAACTGGATTTCATTCGTTGTGAGTTCCAGCCAGTTTTCCAGCCACACAAAGTCGTTGGCTCAAAGCTTGTTGGCCATTATTGAGTACGGAAAATCCACAGGCTTAATCAACAGATTACATTCCATTTACCAGCCTATTCAAGAATATGTTAACGAGCTCTTGGGATTCAATACTTTGTTTTCCTATCACCAGGTTCCTCATCCTTTGTTGAATCCAAATATTGTGCCTATCATTAGCAAATTGAATCCTTGGGTGGGATCGTCGGAATCCAACTACTTTTTCGAAGTCATTACCAGAGTTATCAAGTCCAACACGACTATCAAATCTATTGAAGAACAGGGATTGAATGGTAAGGTGAATGAGTTAAGCTACATTGAAAGATCTGCTGCCTACCATCTTGGTAGAAATATCAAGAACGTACCCAGACTAGAGATCTTCAAGTTCATGAAGCAGACTAGCGAATTCATCGAAATGGTATTCCAGAAGCTGATTGGTTCTATGTTCCAGTCACAGGGAGTCTATCAATCTTTGTACGAATTCCAATCAATTTGGGAAGGTATGTTAGAGACCAGTCAGGAACAGGACGAGTCCAAATTGAGAGTCTATCAGGAAATGATGAGTAAGTGGGTCAAGACTGAGGACTCAGGTGACTCTTCAATCAAGCCTTATCTTGACGAAATTAAGCAAACCATCCATACCTTTGTTCAAAAGTTGAATTTGTCGACCGGAAGTTCTATGGATCTCATTTGGGAAACTTGCAGAGGAGACTATCCAAAGAATGAACAATCGTGGGAAAATCTCAAGAGATTAATCTCATTAGCTGACGACTTTGACGAGATCGCCGATGAACAATTCGGCGACGCTCGTGAATCGGTTCTTGGCTTGAGAAAATTGATTGTGGAGGTTTACCAGGATATCGTCACCGATAGAATGAATGATGAAGGGTTCCAAGAGTTATACGATACCTTGTCAAGTGGAATCAAATCGCTCAAGGAAGTGTCCTCCAAGTTTGTAATCAAGCGTGATAATTCCTTCAAGAAGGAAGTTTCCATGATTGCCAATTTTATCGAGTCGCAAGGCTTGATGAATGGCCAAGATGTGAGTGAAAAGATCGTGGAATTAGCATCTGAGGGAAACACTTCCACAATTTCGTTGTTGAACAACAACCAAGGAATTTTGTTTAAGCCATATCCATCAATTTTCAAAAAGTTATGGAAGGCTGACGAATCATTGGTTCCAGGATTATTCTACTCTGATTTGATATTGTCGTCATTGACCAAGATACAGAAACTTCCTGGCTCTTCTGGTAAGTATCTTCAACAGAAACTTGATGATATTGATCATTTGAAGAGGGCCTTGATCAACAACTCTCTTCCTATTTTGAGCAACCAGATTTCTAGTTTCAAGGACTTGCTTGTAAAGTGGATTCATCAATTCTTGATAATCCACTTGGATAGCTTTAACGAACAGGACAAGGTTGTGCTTCAGAACTTAGACTTAGCTTCAATCAAGGAATACGTTTCCTCAATCGTCCAGATTGTGGAAAATTCGAGTGACGAAGCTTTCAGGAATATTGCTCTTGAATACTTCATCCCTGCCCTCATTTTAATATCCGATGCCACCTCTCAATCTGTTAAGGCATTGGGTAAGGCTTGGATCTTGTTTTCTTGTGGTTCAATCCAACTTTACTTGCCAAGCTCGTCTTATGATCCTGCTATTAAAGAGTATGTCATTTACAAGAAGTTCAATGACCAAAAGGAAGCTTCGGAAAAAATAATTAACGCATGGAAGATAGCCAGACAAGTGTTAATGGGTGATGAAATTTCTGGTATTGAAAAGTTGCTTCCAAGCGTGGATGCCAACAATTCTCCTTCTAGGCCTAGAGTTTTCAGAACTCAAAAATCGATTGACACCCTCTTTGAAGAATGGAATGCATTCATGGAGTCTACCATTGATGTGGAACCTATAAGGACATTATTGGAGAGTGCCGAACAATTGAATGATTCTACTGCTAAGAGAACTGAGATGTTCCAGAATAATTCCAACCAGTTTTTGTTGAGACTTCGCAAGAAACACTTTATTTATTCAGATTTGAATGATATCTTGGTTGGATATATTTATGGTCTCAAATTTGGTTTCGACTTATTGAGTTCTGACTCTAAGAATGACCTTTCCAAGTACCAGTTTGATCCATTGTGGTTAGTGAACGTGGTTGGTTTGACTGACGAGTCTTCTTGTAACGAAATGTTCGAGAATGCTAAGGTATTGACTAAGTCCTTGCCGATAGATTCTTCGGTTTCGGAGCACTTAATGTCTTTCTTTATGAGGTTGTCATTCGTCCATTCGAGTGAGTCGTCCATTCTCGAGCAGGCCCTTCAGTCACTTTACTACAGATGGTCTTTGCGTCGTATTAAGCAAGAAGAAGCTGAGGCTCAACAAGGTAGCTTATACAAGTATAATGATACCGAGGGTGATGCAGAGGAGGACTTCAAGAGTATGTTCCCCGACTACGAAGAAGTGGTAGGAGAAGTCGATACCAAGTCCTCCAAGAAGAACGACTCGTTTGAAGAGATATACTTCATGATTGCAAAGATGTACATGAACGAATTTGTTATGCAAAACGATTTCAACATCCAGTCATTGGTAAATGATGGTGCTGAAATCATTGAATTGATGTCTAACATCTTATCTGAATCGAAGAAGTCTCAAAACAACCCATCCATTTTGGCTTCCTTGATTGCTAAGATTTCTGCCAGTCACCAGGAATTTACTAATAGCTTGAACCATAACCTGTTCGACTTCTACCACGGAAACTCATCCTCAGAATCCAAGAAGGCCATTAAAATTATCACTAACATCCACACCTCGGTGCTTAAGTTGTTAGAGCAGTGGCCAGAACATTCTACCTTGCAAAATATTGCTGTGGCCACCAATGAATACTTGCAAGTTCCTATTGAAGTTCCGTTGTCAAGATTATTGCAAAAGATCGAACAGATCTACACATTGATTTCGGAGTGGGAGAAATATGCTTCCAGTGAAGTGACTTTGAAGGTATTCTTTGACGAATTAACTGTATTGATCGTTTCTTGGAGAAAACTAGAACTTTCCACTTGGAAGGCACTCTTCAGTTTTGAGGAGACTACCTTGGAAAAGAACCTTGGCAAGTGGTGGTTCCACTTGTTCGAGGTCATCATGATCCCCATCTTGGGCAAGGAATACGAGGACCTTACTCCTGTGAAATTGCTTGCAGCATTGAACTTGTTCATGAGTCAATCTACGTATGGAGAGTACGCATCCAGATTGAACTTGTTGAGATCTTTCAGGAATCACATTCTGAGACTCCAGCAAGACGTTCAAGCAGTCCAGGATGTCCATAATGCACTCTGCAACTTCATCCAGTTCTATGAGCAGTTCATTCCTTTGATCACCGAAGCTATCAACACCACCAAGGTTAAGCTCGAAAAGGATATCAACGAAGTGATCTTGCTTGCTAGCTGGAAGGACGTCAATATCGATGCGCTCAAGCAAAGTTCAAGAAAGTCCCACAATAATCTCTACAAGATTGTGAGAAAGTATAGAGCCTTGTTGGCCACTTCAGTCTCGTCTCTTATCCAAGGAGGGTTGACTGAAGTCAACAAGACTGTCATTTCTGTCAAGGAGTTACCATTGATCACTGGTCATGTTAGTGATAAAGAAGACGGCGAACTTTGCTCTACTATTTCAACTTGGTCTCAAAGACCTACCCGTCTTCAAAACTTGACCATGGTGGAGAAGAATATGAATACTTATGTTTCCAGAATTATTGAGGACGAGATTCCAAATATTTACGGCTACGCCAAAGATACTTTGGAGCAGATGGAACAGCTTCGTAAGGAGACTCCAAAGGAATTGAAGAAGGACAACAAGAAGATAGTGGCTGCCTTGAAAACTCAGAAGAGAAAGTTGCTCAGTGACACCATCCGTGAATTGAGAAGGATTGGGTTGAAAACCACATTGAGAGCAGACATTATGGAATTCCAAGGCACCACCAACGTGATCCTAGTCAACAGTACCAACTTTGGTGACAGTATCTTAAAGGGAAGTGATGGATACTTCTTTAGAATTTTGGATCTTTTGCCACGTTTGAGAGCTTCAGTCTCTGAAGTGGCAGAGGACGTCCCAGCAGCTGATGCCCAGAAGGGACTTGCTGCTGCCGAAAACTTGATTCACTCATTGATCGCCACCAGAGGCCAGTTGAATACATTTGCCAATGGCTTGGGGACCGTGGATGAGTTGTTTTTGTCGTTTGAAAAATTGGCCAATGTGAAGAACAATAACGACGTCTTAGTAAGAGCTTCTGTGGTTGATTCCAGCAACATGAATATCATGACTATCAAGAAGATTTTGTATTGGTTGCCAAAAATCATTGACCACACCATTGAAATCATCCAAGCTAATGCTATGGGTGATAACGTGCTCAAGATATTAATGAAGGCCAAGTTTGAACTCACCAGCTTTTCCCAGACTTTCAAGACTATGGACAGTCACATCTACACTGGTGAGACAGTCAAGTGCATTGAAAAGTTCCAAAACTTCTATCAGATCTTTTCTGGTGATATTAGGGCATGCTGCTCCACTACAGCCAAGGATACGTTTATTGCCGAGTTGATTAACCAATGGATTCTTACCTCGCAATACAGCGTGCAAATTCAATCATCTACCTCGCTCAATGATTTGAGAACAGTCGAAGATGTTGAATTGGCCTATCGTGATTTATCCAGCGCCATTATCGTCACCATTCAAAAGGCACTCGAGGTCATTGCAGAGCCTGTTTCTGAGGAGGATGATGGATGGCTCAAGACTAGTCAGCAGAGGCTTTTCAAGCTCATCAAGTCGCTTCATTACCCCAAGATAATTCACAAGATTAACAGGTGCATTGAGCTCGCTTCCCAAGTTGAACACAGCATCGTTTCTTCAAATTTGGTTTCTGCATTAACCAGCTTTACTCTTCCATTAGTCAAGCATTACGTGAAGTTATGCTGGAACACTTTGGGAAAGAGTAGAACCAACTACCTTGAAACATCACACGCCACTTTCATCTTGACCAGTTCTCTCCACACGTTAGCCACCAAGGGATTCTGTTCTCCTGAACCTCCTACCGAGCAGAAGGAAGACAGCAACTTGCAAGATGGAACAGGATTGGGAGACGGAGAAGGTCAAAACACTGGAGAAGTTGGAGATGATGAAGATTTGAGTGAAGATGCTCAAACCGAGAACAAGGAAAAGGAAGAAAAGGACGAGGGAGACGAAGATGAGAATGACGATGCTGTCGATATGGACGGTGACATGGCAGGAGATTTGGAAGAAGCATCTGATCAAGACGATGATGGCGAAGGAGACGACGAAGAAGGTGAAGATTTGGACGAAGAAGTCGACGACATCGACGACTTGGATCCAAATGCCATTGACGAGAAGATGTGGGACGAAGAAGCAAAGGACGACAAGGAAAAGGAATCCGACAACATGCCTGAAAACTCCAAGAATGATGACATCACTGCCAATGAAGACGAGGACCAGTCCAGTGACAAGAAGCCCAACGATGCCAATGAAGGAAAGGAGGAAGAGAACGATGACGAAAACGATAAGGAAGAAAAGGAAGAAGCTGAAGATGGCGAAGAAGAAGACGTTGGTGAACAAGAAGATGAGGTCAAGAATGACGAAAACGAAAAGTTGGATGACTATGTTCCTGAGACAGAAACCTTAGATTTGCCTGAAGACATGAAACTTGATGGCGATGACGAGGAGGATGACGAAGGTGACGATGGTGAGTTCGACGACAAGATGGAAGACCAAGAAGAAGACAAGAATGAATCGAACGATGTGAACAACGAGGAAGAGGAGGTAGCCGAACAAGGCCAAGAAGACGAGGTCATGGAGGATGCCGAGCAAGAAGGAGACGATCAAGATGAAAATGCCGATCAAAACCAAGAGCAAGAGGAAGAAGAAGCTGAAGAGGCAGGCGAAGCTGAAGCAGGTGAAGATGCTATGGAATCTGACGAAGAAACCGTAGGAGAAAAAGACGAAGAAAAGAAGGAAGAAGGTGGTAACGACAACGAATTGGACCAGGAGACTGCGGAAGGTGCCGATGCTGCTAACGACGACAACAACGACGATGACGTCGATATGGAGTCTGCCGTCAAGCAGGAGTACGGTGAAAAGGGCGATGGTGCTGATAACCAAGTGGTGGACGAAAACGAAGATATCGGAGCCACTGGTGGTGCCAGCACCGACATGAACCAACAGGACGAAAATGAAGACAACACCAACCAGGATGAAGCCCGTGACCAGGCCAAGGAATCCTTAAAGCAGTTGGGAGACTCGTTGAAAGAGTTCCACCGTCGTCGTCAAGAAATCCAACAAGCGTCCCAAGAAAAGGAAGAGAAGGTTGATCAAAGTGCAAATGAAAGACCGGATGAGTTCGAGCACGTCGAAGGAGAAAACGCTGAATTCGACACCCAAGCATTGGGTGCTGCTGATAAGGACCAGATCCAGTCGATCGACGAGGACATGGCCATTGACGACGATGAGAACGACGAAACTCACGAGATCAAAGAAGAGCCCGAAACCAAGCCAGATGAAGATAACATGGATGTCGACGAGAATGCCGAGGAAGTTGATCCTGAAGAAGGTAACATCGACCCAGACAATGACTTTGAAGGAAAGACCAAGGGTGCGTTCATTGGTGAAAGAAAACAGACCAAGGATGATGGAGAATTGATCTACAACAAGGACTTACAAGAAGAGGAACTTGACGAGTATGTGCAACTCGACAACCTTCAACTCAACGACTTGAATGACGATGCTCCAATTGAACTTGAAACCGCCCGTGAATTGTGGAGAAAGAGTGAATTGGCTACCCAAGAATTAGCTTCTGGTTTATGTGAACAATTGAGATTGATTTTGGAGCCCACCTTGGCCACCAAGTTGAGGGGGGACTACAAGACTGGTAAGAGATTGAACATGAAGAGAATCATCACCTACATTGCCTCCGAGTTCCGTAAGGACAAGATCTGGCTCAGAAGAACCAAGCCTTCCAAGAGACAGTACCAGATCATGATCGCTGTCGACGACTCTAAGTCGATGAGCGAGAGCAAATCTACTGAGTTGGCCTACCACAGTATTGCCTTGGTATCCAAGGCTTTGACCCAGCTTGAGAGTGGAGGTTTGTCCATCGTTAGATTTGGTGAAGACATCAAGGTGGTCCATCCATTTGATAAGCCCTTCAACAACCAGGAGACTGGCTCGAGAATTTTCCAATGGTTCGATTTCCAACAGACCAAGACCGACATCAAGCAGTTGTGTGCCAAGTCCTTGAAGATATTCGAGGATGCCAGAGCCACTTCCAACTCCGACTTGTGGCAATTGCAAATCATTCTTTCGGATGGTGTTTGTGAAGACCACGAGACGATCCAGAGAATGGTCAGAAAGGCCCGTGAAGAGAAAATCATGTTGGTTTTCGTTGTGATTGACGGAATCAACTCCAACGAATCTATATTGGACATGAGCCAAGTCAGTTACGTTCCAGACCCTAACACTGGTGCCATGAACTTGAAGGTCGACAAATATTTGGATACCTTCCCATTCGAGTTCTACGTGGTGGTTAGAGATATCAACGAATTGCCTGAAATGCTTAGTTTGATCTTGAGACAGTATTTCTCCGAGATGGCCAGTGCTTAGTGGGGCCGAATTATTAGAGTGTATATTAGAAAAAAATTGATTGATTTATGCCATGTAGTATTAGTAATGGGCGTTATAATTTGAAAGTTTAGGAATTGAGTTCATTTTGAAGTGTTTGGCATTCCATGGATTACATTTCGGCGGTATTCTGCCAGGCTTGTGGATACGTCACATTACAGCATGCCTTTGCGACAAGTGTGGTTCGGTGAGCAACAAGCGCCACCACCCACCTTCCAATGTCTACAAACAATTGATATGATTATTAAATTATTATTATTGTTATTAATTAATCCTAACTATCTTATTGAATAGTTCCCTTTCCCATTTTAGAATACAAAATTCGAATCTATAAGTAACCTTGTTTAACCTTTTCTATTTGGAACGACTCTGGCCACACACACAGACATGTCGTCCAACTTACCCCCGGAGCTGAGGTTCTTGCCATACTTTTCTGGCAATGCATTAACCTGTTGGTTGTATGGGGTGTATGCGTAGTCGTCGAATCCGACCGCCTTTGCTTTGAGTAGAAGCTTTCTGGCTATTGTCTTTAAGTCCTTGTTGGACTTCACGGAATCATCAATGCACTGGACGATTTCTTCTTCGTACAAGTTGTCCGAGATGCCGTCGGAACATGCCACGATGAGATCGTCTTCTTTTAACTTGATCGAGTCAACCCATGCCATCTCGGAAGGCATCTGATCAAGGGTTTGGGTGCCGATTTGTTGGGGACACAAATCGGACACCATTTGTTCTTCGTTGCTTTTGACGATTTTGCCGTCTCTGATGATGTAGATTTTGGAGTCGCCAATGCTGATCATTTTCAAGTACTCACCACTGAGCATGCCGAGGATCAAGGTAGACGAGCCACGCAAGTCCTGGAGGTCCATCAAGTGTGAGGTATGCAAGTAGGAATCGTCCAAGATCTGGTCGATATCACGTTTGTTGAGGTGGTGGGGGGCGTGGCTCAACTTGTACTCGGTCATCAAGCGACTCAAGGTCTCGACCATGGAGCGGGACCAGATGCCTGACGAGCAGTGCTCGCCCTTGCTTTCCCACCCCGACACTCCGTCGGCGATGGCAAGCACGGTGGGCGACACGAGCATGGCGTCGTCTCCGGCCTTGACCGAGATGGTGTCCACAGGCGACCCCTGGGGTCTTCTCTTGGGGAGCAACGAGTTGAGCAGGGTGGGGTCCGTCAAGTCCGACAATGAGTGGATCAACGGGTCCGAGTTGTTGCTGTGGTGGGCGTACGAGTGGTAGCCAAACTCGAACTTGTACTTGTCGTTGGAGATCTTGCGCATCTGTTCGCGAGTCACACAGGGGTAGCTCATGTAGGCCAAGCCCTCGTCCTTGGGGGGATCACGGTCCATGAGGCCTCCTAGGAAGTAGTGGCGTGCTCCTTGGAAGATGGAACGGCACGCCTGGATCGACCTGGCGGCCGATTTGGTGGGAGGCGCCAACGTTTGCAACCGCATGACTGAATATGCCTGGGAATATATGGCTGTAAGTGACAGGAGGAGCAGGAGGTATTTATAGGCAATACCGCTGGCGGTTGTGTAAGTGCTGTAAAAAGCTGCAACTGGCTCCTTCTCCTCCTTTATATTACCCGGATGTAAGCGCAAAAGAAACGCAAACATCACGCGACAGGCGAGGGGAAGATCTGGGGCGGAGGGAGGGGTGATTGAGGGCGACGGGTTTGGGGCGAGTGACGGTGCCGGTCAGTGGGGGGCGCTGGGTGTAGTCCAGAGTCGTGACGTATGGATCGTTGGCCTGGAACACTGGCTGGGGCCTCCGCTGGGGCCTCTGCTGGCTGGTAGCGGGTGCCGCATCGCACGCATGCGCGCGCGGGCTCGCAACCGCGGGGAGGACCAACTCCGAAGATGCCCGCAGTCGGCTGAAGTCGGAGCTGCCACATTGGCGAGAGGGGTAGCCGCCTCGAGCGGCAACTATAAATACTGCCAAAGGTATGGGCTCGGAGTTGACGAGCGGGAGGGGTCAACGTGACACCAGACCTCCGAGACGTCCAACGGCTGGCTCCAAGGGACGGTAGACGGTGCTGGTGTCTTCTGGTGCAAAAAAGGGTCTGCTGCGGCTGCGAGTTGTTGCAGCCAGCGGATGCGCGATGCGCGCCGTGGGAGTAAGAGAAGCCATGGGCAGGCATGAGAAGGAATTAGCCAGTGAGCCATTAGCCAATAGCCAGCAGGGAAGTAATGCCAATAGGCAGTAATGAGCAGGAATGGCACCAGTCGGGAAGGGGCAGTAATCAGCAATGCCATTAGCCAGTATGGATGATTTCCATCATTTAGCTATCACGAACTGGCTCGTTCTGGGCCTGCTATGACCGGTGGGTAGCTCATCCAGAACATAGCCACAAAGTGGCCACAGAGTGTGAACCGCACCTCCAGTCTAAGTCTCTATCTGTTAAAAAATATCAGACTGGTGGGTTCAATCTATTTATCAATTCTGGAAGGTGTTTCAGAGCGCCTCGGCCTACATTCTATGTCCTGTAAAATAATTCTATTCACTTCTCAATTGTATTTTTGTCTCAGGGCCATATTTCATTTATCATCACTTTCTAGAGTCGCCTATTATTTTTTGATTCCATATCACCTCAAGCCATCATCACAACAAGGCACACTGCTGCAGCACTCCTTATTGTAGCATTAAGGAATTAGGAAAACTGTTTACCGAAACGACTAAAATCTTATAATCAAGTATAGGTGTCCTTACATATTTACGAGCTTCTGGAAGGCCCAGACCGTGCCAGCGATCTCTCCATGTATAAGTCCGTTGCGAAGTGCTGGAAAGCTTACCTCATCGTTACAGAATGGCTTAGACCCCGTATATGCTATGGCGTGCCTCGATGAACCCTATTTTCTTCGCGAGCATTCTTATAACTGACCCCACCCCAATACTTGCTGGCACAGCTTGGAAGGATACAATTACGAGACTATAGAACAAGCTCCACAATGTTCACGAGAATGTGGTGGGTAATTTCCTTTTTCGTATACGGTGATTCCTGATATTAAATAATGGAAGTAGTTCCTGTTGTGTAGCCAATGCCATTTTACTCGTCAACAAAAGCTAAATGATTCAAATTTCTTCTCAATCAAAAAAACCTATCAAAAGGTTAGAATCGGTCTAATAGCGTTGTTGGTAGCACAACTTCACTGCGTAGTCAGCTTCGCTGTGCCTCTAACCATTCGCTACCTCTTCGACTGCACATTGCTAGCTGCAAAAAATTGGTAGCGCACTTGGCAGGGCTTGAGTCGGTTGTCCTCTTGTCCCATGGGTACTTGTGGTCCGAGTCTTTCAAATCAGCTCTTCTTTGTGCTCTCAAGTCATCTAGCTTTTCGAACTCGTAAATCCAACCTACAAAATTGGTTTCCATAATTCAGATACATACTGCTATGATTCCACTTCCAATATTCACGACATCGGTTGAAACTGATGCGAGACTACAATCAGATATCCCTCTAAATCACTTTATTTTTATTCTAATTACATGGCATCACATCTAGTTACCCACAACAGCCTCGTGGATAACCTTGTATGGTGGAGTGTATCCGGTGTGGATCTGGAACTGTCTCTCTCCTTGGTTCACCAACATCTCAGCACCAGGAATTACGTTCCACTCGAACTTCTGGGCTACCTTCATGATTGGTGTCACACTTGGTTTGTAGGCTGCTTCCAATAAGGTAGGAGTGAAACCGCCATTCTTCTGCTGAATGCCGTTGTGTAAGACTTTTTCAATCTTGGTCAAAAGAGCTTCATCAATTGGAGCACTGGCTGGAATACAAGAAACAATCAAAGAGATTGGCTTGGCCTGGGCCAATTCGGAGTCACTGCTCAAAATTTCGATGTTGAAGTTGGCTGGTAACAGCTCCTTAATCTCCACCAATTTCGACGCAGTTCTGTTGATCATGTAAATAGTCTTACATCCCATCTTGTGCAAGGCAAAGGCAGCAGCACGAGAGGTTCCACCACCACCAACGACTAATCCATTGACGTCAGCATACTCAATGCTAGGCACTCCAAAACGGGTGAACGAGTTGTTGATGCCAATCCAGTCAGTATTGTCTCCCAATAATTTACCAGGCTTGCCTTCAATAGGAACAACAGTATTGACGGCACCAATTGTCTTGGCAGCTTCAGATAACTCATCAGTGTACTTTTTAATATCAAGTTTCAAGGGCATGGTGACAGCTAAACCTCCGAATAATGAGTTGTCCTTGATTAATTTCTCATAGACCTCGTCGGCGTTGGCGGATTCGAATCTGTCAAAAGTGTATGGGAGGCTCAACTTCTCGTAAGCCGAGTTGTGTAAATCTGGAGACTTACTGTGCTCGATTGGAGAGCCCACAACCCAGAACTTCTTGTTGACAAAACCACCAATTTCAGCGAAAGCCTTGTTGATTTGACTGACGGTCAATTGACCTGGAGCAGCCTTGAAAGGCAACTTCTCGTGGGTGACAGGAGTCAAAATGGGGTTCAAAACACTGGACAACTTACCTTGCTCGCCCATGTTAATGGCAATAAGCGGAGTGATGTGGTTGACATGTCTGAATTGTTCCAACAACAAGTTATCTTGTAAGGTAGATGCTGAGCCAACAAGCTTGACGATGTCGGCCTTCAAGTCAACAGCTTGGTAGTACTTATTTCTCCACTCAACGTTGTCCCACTTCAAAGATCCCGAGACGTCGTGATGAGAAGCAATAATTCTAGTGAATTTTCTGTTCTTCAACACATTGTTGATGACAGATTGAGGGTAAGTCAACTGAAGATCCAAATATTCGACACCTAACTTGATACCTAAGTGCAACAACTTTTCGATTTGTTCAGTCTGTTCATCCTCAACCTTTCCTCCTTGAGATTTGGTTCTAACAGTGTAAATAATAGGGAGGGAAACGTACTTTCTCAACACAGCAGTCTGGCTGGCAACGTAGGATTCCGATAAGTCCTTCAACAAATCAATTCTTAATTCGACCGCTTCACAACCATAGGTCAATTCTTCCAATTGGGATTCAACCTCGCTTAAGTCTGGGTAGGTCAAAGAGATGAAGTTCGATCTCTTTGTAGGAATTTCAACAGTCTTTAAACCGGTGATGGTTTTGATGTAGTTGGTGAAAGAATTTCTCAAGTGCTTGAACTCCAATTCATCGTTACAATGGGAGGAGTAGAAGAAGTAATTGGAACATTCATCGTACCACTTTTCTCTTCTGTTCCAAACTTCCTTGATCTCGCTAACGTAGGCCGGTCTGGAAGTATCAGCAGACAAGAATTGCACGGTTTCATCCAAATCACGGTGCAAGTGTAACACAATACCTCCAGCCTTGACGTAGGACTTCAACGAATTTCTAGCCTCTTCACCTTCAACAATACCCCCTCCAGTGGAGAGAACGTAGCCTTGGGAGTATTTGGCAAAGCATTCGGAAGCAACGATAGCTTCTTCCTTACGGAATTCTTCCCATCCCTTCTGCTTGATGAACTCTCTGATATCAACCCCCAACTTTTGCTCGAGGAATTCATCCAAGTCCAAGAACTTGAACCCCAAAAATGAGGCCATCCACTTGGACAAGGTGGACTTTCCGGCAGCTCTCATACCGATCACGATGACACTCTTGTTCTCGTTGGTCTCGGCAGTGGAGGTGTGCGAAACACCTTCTGGTTCATAGCCATCGATGGTTACATTGAACTTGGTGTGCAAGGTGTCCCACCATCCTGGCCAGGTCTTTCCGGTACAGGATCTTTCCTGGATCAACACTGGGTCTTTACACAAGCCCGCCAACAACGAGAACGACATGGCGACTCTGTGGTCGTCAAAGGTCTTGATACCTCTGTTTTCAGTGGAAGGAGTCACCAAATCTTCAATCTTGATTCCGTGAATTTCAATACCATCTGGTAACTCGTTTGCTTTGACACCAAATTTGGCCAATTCAGAAACCATGGCAGCGATTCTGTTACACTCCTTGACTCTTTGGTTGGCAATACCGGTGATAGAGGTACTCTGGGTACCATCAACAGCCACGGCTGCTACCACAGAAGCGGTCAAGAAAGCGTCAGTCATAGGCTCCATATCGACGTGGGCCAAAGGCTTCAACTGACCTCTTGGTGGACCAGTCACGGTAGTAGAGGTTGCGGTTTGTTCCACCTTACAGCCCATAGGTTTCAACACATCCACGGCAAACCTGGCATCACCTTGAAGCGAGGACGATCCAATGTTGGGAATAGTACACGAAGTACCAGTCATAGCAGCGAATGCCAATGGGTAGGTGGCAGAGGAAGCATCCGATTCGATAACATACTCTTCAGGGTTGACGTAGGCGCCCTTTGGAATGTGGTAGGTGTATTCTTGGGTAGTGGACTTGGTGACGTTGATACCAAAAGACTTCATCATGTCGATGGTCATGTCAATGTAGAGCTGGGAGATTGGCTTACCTCCCACCAAAGACAAGGTGACCTCTTCGTCGGCGTACGGAGCACACATCAAAATGGACGACACATATTGGGAGGAGATGGTGGCAGCTAATTCGATCTTTCCACCCTTTAAACCCTTGCCAGCCTCGATCTTCAATGGCAAAGAGCCAGTATTCTTCAAGTACTCGATGGAAGAGCCGTTGGATCTCAAGGCATCCACCAAGGGACCAATTGGTCTTTCTTGCATTCTGGCATTTCCTGTCAATATCACATGATTGGACGACTGGGAGTTAATACCCACCAACGAGGCCACAGAGGTCAAGAATCTGGACGCAGTTCCAGCATTTCCTAAGTACAACTGGTCGTCGCAAGTGACCATCTTTCCACCATTGCCCTTCAACACAATAGTGGCACCGTTGTCTTCAGTGGAGATTTCTGCTCCCTTCAACAAGGAAACAGCGTCCAACATGTGCTTGGTGTCATCCGAGTGGAGCAAGTTTTTGATTCTGACTGTTCCGGAACCCAAGGCTGCCATGATCAACGCTCTGTTTGAGATGGACTTGGATCCTGGTGGGATCACCACGTTGGTGGCAGGAGTAGCGTCCTTGCTGAACTCGTGCACAAGTACCTCGTCGGTCAACACGAAGCCCAAGTCACGCTTGGACACCTGGTGGGCCTTCAACTGGTAGCACCTGCCTATGGACTCCAACAACACGCACTTGATTTTACTTCCGTCGTTCTTCTTGTCAATGGCCATTTTCTGCAACAAGGTGTCGATAACGATGTGGTGGCGCTTGAACCCGATTTTCTTCAAGAAGTCCTTGTCGTCGATGGACGTTGGTAAACCGTAGGCGACGAGACACTTGGCGATTCTGGCCACAGCTACTGGAGACAAAATTCCGAGATATCTGGCCAACTCAGCCTCCTTGATCATTCCGACAGCCACGCACTCTCCGTGGAGCGCTTCTGGGGTGACTACGGCTTCGATGGCGTGTCCGATGGTGTGGCCAAAGTTGAGCAAGTTTCTCAAACCTGACTCCTTTTCGTCCGACGACACCACGGAAGCCTTGACACGGATGGACTCCAACACCGTCTTGACGAGGTCGTCCTTAATAGATCTGATGTCGGGATTAGGCGCAGTGACCACTGCAAGGAACTGCTTGGAGAACCGCTCCAAGCGCGAGAACTCTTCCTCGTTCCAGATGGCTGCTGTCTTGATGACCTCCGCCATTCCGTTGATGAACTGTCTGGCAGGCAAAGTCTCCAAGAACGAGACGTCCACGAATACGTAGTCTGGCTGGTGGAACGCACCTATGAAGTTCTTGCCCAATGGAGTGTCGATGGCAGTTTTGCCGCCTACCGACGAATCGACCATAGCCAACAAACTGGTGGGTACCTGGATGACTCTGACGCCTCTCATGAAAGTGGCAGCCACGAATCCGATCATATCGCCAATAACACCTCCTCCTACCGCCAAAATGACAGTATCTCTGGTACATCCTTTCTGCAACAAGAAGTCTTCCACAGCCGCTTTTGTCTCACGACTCTTGCTTTCTTCTCCAGGAGCCACGTAATAGGTAAGCAACCTCGAATCAGGCCTGGAGACGCCCAATTTGGTGTTGAAGTCTGCAAGCAACTTCTTGAACGGCTCGGTTCTGGCCATGTTTGTATCGGTGATAATCACATAGGTGGAAGACGCCTTGGTGGCGATGACTTCCTGCACAATGTGGTTCTGGATGCCGTAACCCACATGGATGGTTTCGGAGCCCAAGATGGGGACTTTCTGGACAGAAGACATGCTGGGTGTGGAAGAGTGGTTGAAAAATTGGCTATGACTGATTCTCGCTGGGTGGAAGTGGGCAGGTCACGTGCGCCGGTGCGGCTGGCGGTTCCGGTCCGGAGCGGTGGGCCCATATAACAAGATATACCCTCACGATGGACTTCACCCTTGAACGGAGAACTTATACTTATAAATATATCTATATACATATATATCTTATAGATGCAAGAATAAAGCATTTAACATTTTATCTTTCAATAAAATAAGAACTAGGACACTATAGATCTCTTGGTTAAACCAAGGTTGTACTCTACTACGGAGGCACCGGAAACATCTATATTCTGCAGCGCGCAGGTCTTGCCGTCTCTGTGGAGTATTGAGGGCAAGTAATAGCGCAAAAATCATTTAGAAGAGACAGTTTACTCTAGTCTTTTGGTGGAATTCTCGAAGAAAAAATGAACTTTGGAGCCTATTTTTTACCACCCTACTTAACGAAGGGAAGACAAAACAGTGTAAAATTTCATTAGCTATGACTGTTAATCTATTAAAACAATAAACAATAAACAACCATAATGATATGTTTAACGATATCGGAACAATATCACCTCCTATAAAACGCGTGAACTCGGAAATAACAAGATTATATGAACCCAATGTCACACACTTTTTTTAGCAAATCACACCAAACTAGACTTAATATAAGTTAAGCGGGGCCTAAGACAATGTATTGACCTAATAGTGTCCATGCGTGTGAAGATCCCTTTTGATATGTGCTCGTGTGTAGAAAATGGCCATTTGGGCACCACTGGAATCCCAGAAACCCCAAAATATCAGCTGAACAGCCCCATGCAATAATTCTATATGACAATATGTACAGTAGCACCAGCACCTCGAGGAGTGTTGGCTGGTGTCAAAAAAAAATGGTGTCAGTATATTAATGCTAGCAGCGATAATAAGCATAGACCCTTTGGGCACGACGGCAGGCAAGGTCGCAACCGGCAGCTGAAGTTACCTGGAGGGAGTGAAGATAGGGTTGCATCCACGATTGGAGGTTCAACAAGACGAGACAATGTCCACGATGGTGCAACGTCTACATGGCCGTAGTTTGGGAGTAGTTCCAATGATACGAACAATTATCAAGCCTAACCTATTCCGTCGTCCATCAGATGTTGGGAAGTATTGGTACAAATGTGAGTTGTGGGTATTTTGCACCCAGCTGCGAAAAGAGCTCAAATAGGACGACGCCCAAATCGTCAGGAATTAGTGGCAGCATCCCACATTTTCGTCGGGTTCCAATCCCAGAAGCATCATTTCCTGCCACTGTTATAATTCCCACGCTTGCTATGGAGATTATTTTTCCAGTTGCTGGCCATACGGAATTGGTTTCGTGTGGGAATTTTCGCATACCCAACAAGACCCTGGCTATGCGGCAGTGAAGAGCGGAGATGCATCGGGAGTTTCCATCAACCCCATGAAGACAGTCTGTGTGTCACCCAAGTAGTAGTAGGCAACCGTGTTGGCCTCCTGCTCGCTGTAGATCTGCCAGGGCCCATCGTGTTCGATTTCACCAGCATTCTTCTGCCTCCTCCACGCTGCAATGGATACCAATCCCTTCTCACTTTGAACCACCACCCCACCCACTCCAGCGGGGATGAGTAAATATTCTCCCTTGTCTTCGATGTCCCTGACCTCAAATATCTCGCCTCCAAGGACTTCTTGGAGCGAGCTGGGCACCTTGTTGCCTTTGATCCAGGTGGCCTTCACTCCAATCCAATTTGCGCCAAGTTGGCTGGTTTCTTCGTCCAAATCAGCAGCATCCAGTAGAATAAGCATATCCAATTATTCATGATGGGTTGAAACCCGACACCCACTATTGATTTATACTTTTCTCAGGATCCACCGAAATCAGTCGAGGCGCCCGCATTGGGAAATAAGGATTGGTGGTGCTCCTACGACGTACGAATACTGTGGTGAAACCAAAAAGGAAAGCCATCCCGGCCTGGAAGGCCAGGAACACGCCTAGAATTAGGTCCCGAGCAGGACCATCTACCCCTTTGTGCCATCGATAAACTATCTAGTTTCAGGCCTCACCAATTACTGTCAAAAGACTACAAAAACGCGAGGGTGGGACAGGGTGCTTGAAACAGAGTATGCGGCTCCGGTTCCACGACTAGAGATCAGGATGCCCTGCTGAGCAGCCTGGGCTTCAAATCGGTAATTGGGTGGCCGATTAGCGATAACTAGCTATTCACGAACCTGTCAACGATGCGCTCATGGGCATTGGTATAGATGCAAATTGGCTCCGCCATTGTTGGAATGATACGTGGACATCTGGTGTTCCATGGCCACAATTACCGAGATACAGGGCAAAAATATACTAGAAAAAAATATGGGATGCGGAGTCAAATGCATTGCGTCGCCCTTTCTATAAACACCGAAGAGAACTGGTATTAGGGGCTGCCTAATTGGTAAATAATTTTCTAGAACCGAACGAATTACTGACTACACAGTTGTTCACCCGCAGGCTAATAATTGAACGGCATAACTAAAGTGAAGTAGACTAGATAATACCATTATTTCGGTCCTACGGTGTAGATATCAGTGTCATTTGTCCCTTGACTTCTATGCTCTATATACACCAATTTTTAATTTAATGGCTGAGTGGTTCAGGTATACTGAGGGAGAATTTCTCTTGCATACACTAATGCATCTTTCTTTCCTTTCTCTGGATTGTCCAACTGCCACACCAATAAGGCATTATTGACTTGTCCCATCCATGGACCAGGCCTGATACCCAACTCCTTGGAAAGCGTCTTGCCGTCCACGATTGGCTTCATCAAATACACGTCCTTTAACCCCAAGTCATCCACCGCATTCAAGAACGTTTCGTACTTTTGGAGCTGGTTATTGATGTTCGTCTCAAGGCTTTCCAACTGCTCTGGCTCGTACTCGAACGTGGGCTGGGGCTTGGAAACGGGAAGATTGAGCTGAAGTATGGGCTGCACAATATCTATGAAGCAGTTATGGAGAATCCCAAGGGGCAAGAAAGACCCAAAGTTCCTCAACAACAACCCAAGCTCTGATCTAGGCACACTGGATCTGTCCTCAAAAAATCTCGAGAGCACGTCTGTTGTGGAGTCTCTGTATTTGGTCAATACAGATACTTTATCGATTTCACTTTTGCTTGACTTCAACCCTTCTCTCAACAAAACCTCGGGAACATGAGTCAGCACATTCTTCTTGGCGTTGGTCTTGACTGTCATGTCTTTGTATGGCAGTAAGACTGCAGCAATCCAGAATGCTTTCACGAACTCCACATTGGAAAAGATGGTTGAATACACACTGGATAATTGGGAGTCCTTAGGGATCCTCTGGAAAACATGTTGGAACAATGGGAATGAGTAGGTGGCAGCGTTAATCTGGCGCACTAATTGGCCATTGGCGTGCTCCAAAGCTGACAATGTGGACTGGTCGTTGAGCTCGGTTATGGTCTCCGTAAGAGTCCCAAAGTTGAAAATGCTATCGCTCAAGCCCACGTAATTTATAAGACGCAACCCATAGCCCGGGTTGGCGCTCGTGAAAGTCTTTTCCATCTCGATGCCCACTCGTTCCCTGCTAATCTTGTGTACGAGGGTGGATTTCAACTCTGGACTCTTCATAGCCATCAACGTATTGTCCTCAATTTCGTAGTCGAGGCGAGAGGCGAATCTGATGAGTCTGAGGGCACGTAAAGGATCGTCCAAGAACGTTTGCATGGGCTGTAAGGGTGTTTTCAAGATACCCTGCTTCAAGTCGTTCATTCCGCTGCCCGTGAAGTCTTCTATCTTGCGTTCGTTCAAGTTGTAGAACAACGCATTCAATGTTGCGTCTCTACGGAGGGCATCCTCTTCTGCTGTGCCGTATTTCATGATAGGAACCCTGCTTTCCGAGGTGTACTCCTCCGATCTCAAATTGACAAAGTCGATATCGAGGCCATAGATCTTGGTGGTACAGGTCTCTAAGTGCTTGGACTTCTCGGGGTTCTTCTTAATGGTGTGAATGGCCTTCAACTGCAACGACTTGTCTTTCTGCTCCAAGTACTCGTACAACTTGGAGGCAAACACTTCTCCCGACAAGTGGTTGATGGCGATGTCGATGTCGTTACTCTCTATGCCCAAGAGCTTATCTCTGACCCAGCCACCAGTGATTCGCAACACCAATGCCTCCTCAGGCGTGTGTGACTGGTTGTAGTGGCTGCAGAACTCCACCAATAGGTTGGTGATGTTGGTCTCTGTTTCGTTGAGCTCTATTTTGTCCAAAACTGGTCTTTTCATGGTGGGGTGGGTGAAGCACTTTAGTGGGACAGTGTGGAGGTGTGATCTTGAATGCGTAATAGTGGGAGTAAAACTTTTAAACACTTTGCTGAACATGTAGATCAGGCATTGAATCGGCTAACTGAAGCCCTAAAACCTGATTTAAGTGAGTCAAAAAAATGAAAAAGAATGAGCGGTACGGGAATCGAACCCGTGACACCTGCTTGGAAGGCAGATATGTTAACCACTACACCAACCGCCCGAATGATGATTCTGTAACAGATCCACTGGGTAGTAGCTTTCAAGGGTAGCCTTTAATAAACCTTTATTAGGTAATCTCTTATAAAACAATTAACAGTAGTCGTGAACCTGCTAATTCGGGGATGCTTCTTATTCTTTCTTATTCCCCTTGGTTCTTTCAACTCCTTNNCTATATACTCTTATATACTTCTTTCTAACCCCGCTTGCTTATCTTTCCCCGCAGGGCTAATAAACTACTAATCACATTTGGTACTCGTCTGATATTTCCTTGATACTTCTCTGATACTCGTACCTTACCACATAACACATTTTCAATGCGCTTACTAATTGTTATTACGTAACGGTATACGTAATCGGGGTTCTCTCTTTCAATCCGTTACAGATTCTAAGAGGGAAATGTGTGTTTATGATGTATCTAGATTATATTAATTTTGGGCTAATTTCAGATATTTGGGCATATCAGGTAGTTTAAAGACACTACAGGATTATGATTAGAATTAAATGGGCATTTTTCATGCCAAATTCAGTGAATAGCCCAAAAATATAAAATGAGCATAATTCCCAATTTTGTAAAAAGCCCAGTGCTTGCATTATCTCTGGTCAAACATCCATGCTTTTGCCACGTTTAACAGGTACATTGCTATAAATCCTAGTCACAAAGAGGATAATTAAGTTCTGTTGCAAATATCCAACGTAGTGTAACGTCAAATACTATTAGGTAATCCCAATATATCAGCTCAGCCACTAGCTTGCGGATGACATTATACTAAAAACAATAAATGAATTTGAAAAAGAATTGGTCAATCCATACCCTTATGCGAAACGCAATTTTCTCCTATTTTTAAGTTCAGAAAAAAACAATACTCCTTCAAATTCACACGATTTCACGGGCAAAAACGACCATTATAATTATCCAAAATTGTAAGAATAAAGTTATTACAATTGCCCATCACGAAAACTTCATCTTTAAAATTAATTTTTGGAATAAGTTTCCAAGCTTCAAGCTGTGATTGGCATTTCTTCCACTAGATTGGTCATCATGAATTATTCTATTGCTTGAAATCCATGTAGCTGGTATGGTGTCTGAAATTCAGATGCTTTTGAAAATGATTTTGAAGTAAGATTAAGTAATCTGGCTTGGCCATTATATACTATTTTGTGCCTTGGAATCTATTAGTCTATTTTGACAGGACATGCCTAGTCGTTGTTCCTTATCTACAATTTCCAATACGAGTATCAGCCAAGCTAGCCAACCACTACATTTTGAAAACCAGTTTCTAAACCACCGTTCTTCTGTGTCGACTTCAGTAGATTGTATAATTCCTAGATTCTATTCACTTCGTCCAACAAGAGCTGAATCGTATACACGGAACCTGTTCCCGTAACAGCTCGTCCAGTTGGTGGCTCTGCCCCATGTTTCTGCTACTACGCTTGTGTCTAGCTCAACACCTTGACTCTCTTCGTCTCCATTTTAATAATTGGCGAGACGTTTCTCTTGTTGCGGCTGGGCACAACTTCGACTTCGGATTGGACTTCGGTCTTGACCTCAATCTTCACAGCACTCTTGACCTGTGCTTCCGTCTCTGTGTCGGTTTTTTCGATATTGGTACCATTCTTCAAGTCGCCCAAATCCGCAGTGAAAAGAACGGACTGTGCCCACCCCGCGTAGGGACCAAAAATGCCCTTGAAGTGCTCCCGAATTGATTTGTATACTACCTTGTTCATGGTCTTCATGTCTCGCTTGCCTTTAAATTTATAGTCGCGAATGGCGATCTGGTAGACATGAGTGTCCACTGGAACCACATCGTGTTTCTCCAAAGCCATCAAACAGATACAATCTGCGACCTTGGGACCCACTCCACTCAACTGGAGGAGAAACTCGTGCGCAGTATCGTAATCGTGTTCTCTCATTTCGTTCAATTTCGCAACCGAGAGCTCAGGATCATCGCCCGTCAACTTGCATGCTGTCTGATAGATATACTTGGCTCTGTAGCCAAAACCAAGTTCACGCAAGCGAGCCTCTACATGGGGCTCTGCAAGCCTCTCAGGCTCGGGGAACGCGTAGAAGGAAACGCCATCGTATTCTGTGATGTGCTCGCCAAACTCCACACAGATATTTTCACACATTTTGGAGATTCTCTTGACGTTGTTGTTGGAGGAACAAATAAAGGAGATGAGGGTCTCCCATGGGTCCTGGTGGAGGATGCGGATGCCCTTGAAGACGTCAAATGGCGACACCTTGGAAGGGTGGTGGTATTTGGAGTGTTGCAGCTGCCAGTGGGAATACAACTCTTGGAGGTCCAAGTTCAAGCTGAAGTAGTCTTCAACAAAGGAGAGGGTAGCGTCGGAGTCTGCTGCGGAGATCTTGCTGGACTCCAGCATCAACTGGGAATAGTGGATGTACTCTTCGTCCTGCTTGAGTAACACCACTCGATCTCTGATGGCAAACGACCAGACGTCGTGGATATTCTTCCAGCGAAACGCCTGGCCACATCTGAGCACTTTGGAGAGACAGAGCTCTGACTGCTTGATTGGGAACTTCTTCCACAAGATATCAACTGTCATTGGGATGAGATGGGTTCGATTCGTCTGAATTTGTCTAATTACATGCATACGCGTCAGCGCGACATGTCGCAACTTCCCAGATGGGAATTCGAGTTTTAAGGCAAATTTGAACAGAGTCTTCTCCACTCATAAAGGGATCAGAAGATGTGTGACTTTGATTCGCTCGCGTGGGTCGTCTCCCTTACGTTGGTTAACTTGAGTTTTTGTTCTCTTTAATCTGTCACAATTGACGGATAAATCATCTGATTAGCACATTTCAGGAAATCTTGATAGCCTGAAAGTACTTCAGAACGGCTTTGTAGACGAAGCATGGACACAAAAAAGGTGGAGGTCTAAGACATAAATATGATCTGCCCTAGAATCACCGTGTTTCCTTGTCCAAATTTTGGATAGACAGCACGATTGTCGCTTCAATGGTAAGTAATGTATTCTATAATTTATTCTTCTATCCTGACGGACTTCTTTTTGCGCTCAAAATAACTCTTCGAATAGCAGTAGGTTCTGCAGTTTCTGCAATAACCATCTCCGGTTGCAAATTCACTCCCTCTTGTGCTTGATCACGCTTGTCTATCCTACATTTGTTACTTACCATTACTTGTATAATACATAATCTACTCGTTCTTCTCCTCCTCCTTCTCTTCTTTTTCTGACTCCTCTTCTTCATTCTCGTCCTCGGCAAGGAGCGTCTTGGGCTTCCATACCTCAAACAAACGATCCTCCCCAACAGTTGCATATAAGTTACTGATGGATGGGTGGATATCCAAGTCGTTGATTCTGTTGGTATGGCCAGCATGGATAAACTTCAAACAAGGATCAACTTTGGATGAGTTCTTACGTTTTGAGTTTTCAGATTCACTGTTCGGATACACGAAGTCTTCCTCGAGGTTTGCCAAGTCCCAATATATGACCCTCTTGTCCAAACCCCAAGATACAAGAACATTTGGGTCGTTGGTCAGGTCCCACTTGACTCCAATTACGGTGTCACTGTGGCCGAAGAAACGGCGTATGGGGGTTTCTGGGTTTCTGAGGTCGTACAAGTTGACGGTGTTGTCTTTACCTGCGGTGGAATACAAGGTCTGGACGTCCGGGTGGAAGTCGATGGCACTTTGGATGTGAGAGTTTTGGACCTGGATCACGGGTTCTCCCGCCACTCTGATATCGTGGAACTGGGTAGTGAAGTCGTCAGAAACCGAGCCAAAGATGTCCTTGGAGATGCTGTTTACCGAGAGATCGTTGATGCCACCCTTGTGGTTCTTGAAGAGCTGGATGGGGGTCGAGGGCTTCAGGATGTTCCACAACGCGATCTGAGAGTCCTTGGACCCCGAGAGAAATGCCTCGTTTGAGATCCACTCGAGCCCGTAACCTTCCTGCTTGTGGTAGTTGTACTCCAAGATGTCGTTGTTGACCAAGTTGTAGGAGTGGATGATTCCGTTGCTGTTGAACGTCAACGCCTTGTCGCCGTCAGGCGAGAGCCTCAACCTGTTGATTTCGCTAGGCTGCTTCCACTTGGACAAGATGCGGAAGTTGGAGGTCTCGATGTTGGAGAGCGGGATGGGGATGCTCAGGGCATTGGGCAACACACTGGCAAAGTCGGGAGCCAACGTGCTGGGCAAGTCGATGGACCCAAGCTTCAAGTAGTTGTGGTCGTTGGAGTTGGTGCCGATCAAGTACTTGACGTTAATCAGGTTTTTGTTCTCGGAGTAGGTGTAGTTTGGCAACCATTGCACCACGAGAGAAGGGTACTCCAAGGCGTTGGTGTGGATGGTGTCGTAGAGCAAAGGCACCGACTTTTTCCAGATCTTGAACTCTTCATTGGCGATCTTTTCCTGCTGCTGGACGTCTTCCACGACCTCGCGTTCGGCTGACACGTATTCGTGGGTCATGGTGGAGGCAGTCTGGTGATGTTATGGAGCTAGCCGCTGGCGTTTATGGTTAGGAAGACTCGGTCTATGTTTTACGCGTGCTGGCAATTGTGCGTACATGACATACCTGCTTGCCTCAGTAGTTGGGACAAGGCAAGCAAGGCGTAAAGACAGGTGAAGCGGGCTGGCTGTGCCTCGGCTGGCATTGTAAAGTTCTTCTGTGTGGAATGGTGCTAAGAAGGCTATTTTCTGACATTTTTCTATAATGTGGAAATTTCACTGGTAGCGCACATATAGATGTATGATACTAATGTACTCGCATTAGGATCCCAAACAGTGTTTCTATGCAGACCCACACCCTAACTGAACAGTAGTCCCAAGAATGTCGTGTCTCCATTAACTGGATTTTTTGCACCAATTTGTACACTATTAGCGTGAAAAGCCTCCATTAACCAATATTGTTGCACCGATTTTATAGACAATTGGCGTGGAAAACTCCCACCTCACTGTTTCATTTTTCTAATTTTATTAATCTGGGTTGAACAAAATTTAATCATTCGCTTTAGTCCAAGATACTGGTGCGTGCTCTTACCCTGAGGATTTGGGGAGACAGTCTTTGGATTTCTTGAAACTATGAAAATAGAGGAGCCATTAGACAATATTTGAGGACAAATATTGGATATATCTGTCAAGTTTTTTGTCAACCCCATAAATATTTGTAACTGAAGGAGATTACTTTACCTGAGTCTGGTAGAACGCATGATTAAGATAAAACTAAACTACCAGGATAATAACCTAAGAAAGGGTCCCTAAGTTATTGATTGAATAATTACTCGAAAGATTATTAATTCATTTTAAAGAACAATTAAAGTTGGGTGAAGTATGTAATATCCGTTCTACCCTGCTCAGGAATTATCGGGACTACTTGCAGTCTAAAAGTACATACCATTTAGCAGAGGAGCGATATTTCCTGGGGAAATTGTGCGATTGCTGTAATGCCCTGATACCTTTACGGGAGGGCCAGTTGCCCTCACCTTCATAACATCCATACTACTTCAGTTCAGCTGTAGCCTGGTCCAACGTATATTAGTCTAGATAACCCCACCGCCAAGGTCGTCGACCTCGTCTTGGGGCTCATCGAAAAACCGCGAGAACGTCACCACCGTGCCGTAGATCAAGCCTCCTCCCACAATGGTTAGCACAGTGGCAGTCTTGGTGAGAATCCGTGAGTGGTGCAAGAGCACTGGCAACGCGAGGCCCAGCAAGAGGAGAAATGCAGAGGTAAAGAGGCCAATCTCCTGGAGAGCACCTGTGGCCGAAGGGTTGGAGGGATCAAAGTTGAAATCGTAGTCTGACGAGGAGGCTAGCGCTCCCGTGATGGCTATGGGCAAGTGTGCTACGGCGAAGAGGATGCCGATGATGATGGGAAACCAATTGCCGTAGATTCCCGCGAGAATCACGAGGAGGAACCCCATGGAGAGGATGACCGAGAGGCCTATGATCTTGTTGAGGGGATTGGACTTGAACGACGCCGTGGAATTCATTGGGGTGGGTGGGGAGTTGGTGGTGGCGGTGTTTTGTGGGTGAGTGCGACACGTGCCTAAGATCACGTGACTCTACCTCTTTTTCTATCCGTACTTCCCTACTCTTGAAGACACCCCCTGTGGAAGGGAAAACCACAGGGAGGGTATCGGTAGCACTAACACCGAGTAAGATGGTCCTATGCCAATTGTTCACCATTCTTTCTTCCTGTCAGCCTGGATCTTATATTCTGCTTAGCACATCGTGCGTCAGATCCGCGAGGCCAATATTTAATTTCTATTCAGATTATCACTATCAATATCTGGTTCTTTCACAAGTTACAATTGTAGTAATGACTTTCTTGTATACTTATACAAGTGCTTTTTTCATAAGTTCGTGAAAATAGACTACCATATATTACACCTCAAACATTCTTACCACCATTCTCTGGAAAGTCCTTCAATCTCGGAATTGAGCTAGTACTAGTCACGTGACCAGATTTCCTTGCTCGCCCTCTCGTATCACAACCACTACGGATTCTCTCCACCACTCCACAACATGTACGCCGAACTCCTCACTCCCCAAGTGGTCTCCCCCAGCACCAGCAAGACCCTCAGCTCTCCTCCGGGCTTTGGTGGCGACCACGCCAAGCTCGGAACCGCTCGTCCTACCAAACAGGACGACGCCCAAGTATCGGAATTGAAAGCCAAAAGGGCATGGGAGCTCGCTATCGCCCCCGCCAAATCGCTCCCCATGACGGCGTTCATGAGTTACATGACTGGAAACTCGCTCCAGATCATCCCCATGACCATGGCATTCATGTTGTTGTGGAACCCCATCAAGGCCATTTTCACCGAAACAAATGCCCTCTTTAAGAACTTGTCCACCAAGGACAACAGCTCCACCATCTTACAGACCAAACTCGTGTACGTGGTGTGTCAATTGCTCAACATGGCCGTGGGAGTGTATAAGTTGTCCAACATGGGCTTGATACCGAACCGCGAAGCCGACTGGCTTGCGTGGAAAGAAGTGGTTGGCTTCAAGGAGTCACTCGTGGCGTGGTGAGTGGTGTAGGAAGGAACCCATCTCCATTTCTTTGCCTCCTACCACGTCTTGTGTCCACTGCAACGCTGAGCTATGTTAATTTAGCTGAAATGGGCTCTGGAGGTTCGTTCATTGGCCTGCACTATTCATCTATTATAGGCTTTAAATCTGGATCTAGGCTGTTCATTCACCACTGCATGGCCCTTTCAAGCCGTTTATGTGGGCATTCTTTCTCCCTGTCTGTTGTTAGCAGGCCTGGCTATTTTGGGCCCCATTATCTATCTCGCTACAACATCGTCACAGCAGTGTTGCAGTCTGGTTCGATTACTATATACACTAATCAGTCTTGTCATCCCCTGAGTTCGCCCCTTCTGAGTCGTCTTTCTGGTCCTTTGGGTTAGTTTTGGCATCCTCCGTCTCACCCTTGGCCTTTTTAGGCTTCACTCTCGACACGCCGTCGCTGACAGCGTTCTTTTCAAATAACTGCTGCAAGTTGAACTTTTCCAACTTCAAATAGTCATTCACAACCCCCATGCCGATATTACTTTTGTAGCACTCCACAACGATCAACTTGTCGTACTGTTTCAAGTCCACCGAGTGGCCGTGTTCTCTGCCAACGCACTCGGCGATGGTCTTGATCATGTCGCCTCTTGGGATCGAATTGAAGTTTCTCTTGGACACCTGGATGGCGAACTTGTAGGGCTTCTGGCCCACCTCCTTGTGGAAATGGGGCGCCAACACCAACTTGGCCAACTTGCGCAACTCATCGAGCGTGGCACTCACCGAGTAGGTGACGGGCGAGAGTTTCTGGGTGAACCTGGTGGTCTTGATGCCGGAGCTGGCACTCTCGGCACAGATCCGCTCCACCAATATCTCGGGAACCACCGGCTTTCTGGTCTTGATGAATACGAGACACTCGCACCCGAGCTCGATGGGCTTGAGAAGCTCTTTCTTGGAGGTCTTAGCCTCCTTGAGCTCGTCCAACTCTTTCTGGATCTGCTCCTCCACGCTCAACGGCTTCTTCTCGTCACCATCCCTCTCGTCCTCGTCCTCGTCCTCGTCGCCTTCCGCCAAGTCGAAGTACTCCTCGATCTTCTCACTGAACAAGTTCATCAACTCCTTTCTACACTGCTGTTCTCTGCCCCGATTGCACGTAGCGTACACCCCCCGGGTGTTGGGGTCCACGAACCCGCCCACCTTCTGTTTCTTGTGCTTACCGCCGCTGAAGTCTCCCGATCGTTTGCCCATGGTGTGAGAAGAGTGTAGTGGATTCTTTAACTGTTTCGCACGATTTGGCTGCCATTTCGCGATGTATACCGCGCTGACCTCCCACCACCATGTTTAATGCCATATTTGGCCTAGGCGTGGGCTCTTCAGCCGCCAGCACTGAGAGCTTGCTGGCTGGGGGCTCTCTTGTGCTGCCAGCCTCGATCCACGCTGCGTTTTACGGCCAGGGAACGCCGTACTCGCCATCGCAGTCGCCCTTCCCCCACCATACCTCCTCCCGCTGGACCATAGCCAGTCTCCCGCCAGAAATCATGGTTTGCGTGATCCGCTACGGCAATCTCGCGGTGGACGACGTCCTCAGCATGTCGCGAGCCAGCTCTGGGCTCCGTCAGGCTCTCGACCACGAGATCATCTGGAAAGAGGCATTCCTCCACGAATGGGGCTCCATCATCAACGACTACGAATTGACAGTGCCAGTGGCAATGTACCACCAGGCGTGTGTCTCGTTTGCTTGCCGCAGAAACACGCTTGTGCAGAGGATACATAACTCCACCATCCGCTCCAACAAGGAGATGAGTGCCTTCCTCGACCGCCACATGCACCTTCACGACTTCGTGGTGGCCCTCAGGCTCTACAAAGACGCCGAGCACCAGTTGCTTCTGGAGTCCCCGGTGGACTTCAAGCTCTTGCACGTGGTCAACACGTTGATCATCCGACACAACTACTCGATAGCCATCAACTGGGTCCACCAGCATCTCCACAACCTCGAGTTCGACCACGATTATGAGCAATTCTGGTTCAAAATCGGCCACTTCGGGAAGTCGTTCCACAAGTACGTCCACCTAAGACACCGGGTGTTGTCCCGCATCCGAAGAAGAGCACACTCCGAGATCACCCACAATATCCTCTACAACGGATCCAACCCCAAAATCCGACTCGAAAACTCAACCATCTATTTTGCCAGTAACGAGGCATTCATAAAATTCATGAAAACATTTGCATCTGTGATCTTGGACTCTTTGGAATTCGAGCCACCCGTGTTAAGTGGCTACAGCGTTTCCCCTGACCAAGGCCATACTATTCTAAGCATCTACTCTGGAATTGAGTGGGGTGAGTCCACGGTATTGTACGCTATAATGGTCAAGATATTTCGAGAGATTTTGGATAAGTATAATATCAAAGTAGGTGACCAACAAGCCAGTCCATTTACAGCACACATCACAGCTCAGTTCATTAGGGTGCACGACTACTACTTGGGGCTCGAAAAGAACCCTCTAACTAATATAAACGATGTACCAGTGATGATGAGCAGTGCAACTTACAAACGCTTCTTGGCAAGAACTATGAATATCAGTATCAGAGATGATAAACTTGAGCCATTCGTCAGCCCAATCCGGTTTTCACACCTAGTTGAATACTACAAACTGGCAAACCTTCAGTTTGGTATACCAGAGGAACAATTTGAAGGAGATGATCCTTTATTTATAGATGTCAAAACCCAACAAGAATTGAATTTTATCAAGACTTTGTTGAGATTCTTGAGTTTGAAGCAAGTAAGTGGATACACGACATACTTGTTCTGTTTGGAGTTATACCTGTGCTTGAAGGAGCTCAACAATGCGATCCACATACTGACATTGATGGAGCTATACGCCTCGCAGGACTTGTGCGTATTGCAGGAGTACCTCGTAATGAGTGATGCCAGATATGAGTATACCAATGGGATTTCAGAGCGTTTCAAATCAGGGTGTTTGGTCTACCATGATGAAAAGGAAGATATTGGAATTTTCATCAAATATAAACTGCTAACCTATGCCAAGATTCTCCGGCTAGGCTCTCGCTGGGATGAGGTGATCCATGAGGTTGACCTAGAGCTCTTCATGCCAAGTTCGGCTCAAAAATTACTAACATACCGTGAATTTGGGTTTGATATTCTTGGGTTATACTTTAAGGACATTGATAACAATATGGAATTAATTCCGTACAAGAAAGACGATATTGAAGACTACACTTTTAGATAGATACAATACAACACCCCATACTGCGAGCTTGATCAAGATGCCTACAACCAAGACTACTTCAATCTATACGTAAGACAAGAAGGGCTTACAATGCCAACTACAATCCAGCTAACATAAAAGTCTCATGGGCAAAGAGACATCGCTGAAGCACTGGAGGGAATTAAAGAAGCTCACTAAATGGCGGACTCCCAATTAGTGGACCAAATTAGTGGAGCTCTCGCAATTAGCGGATCTCTCCGAATTAGTGGAACTTTCCCAATTAGTAAGATCTAGTACGCTACTCATGGAGGCATTCAGGGGAATTAATGCATATTACTTGCGCCACCCAGTGGCAATTAGGTCGCCAGTGGCCCTTTCAATAGCGGGTCTTCCTCCCCACGGTCACAACTTAGTGAGAGCAACGCCAGAAAAAAGTCCCCCATCGCAATCTTCCCGCGACTAGTGCCAAATGATCTGTTCCGCGCTCCATTCTCCCGCTAGCTTAGGGAGAGCATCGGGTGGGCCTCGTGCGCGCTAGCGACACTCTCGGTGCCGATCCACCTAAGTTACGTAAGCCCAACCCATCTACTCTTCTTCACCAACATGATAAGACACTCCCTAAATGCCTTCAAGCGCCCACGCGGGAGTCTCGTTTCCCGTGTGCCTCGCAGACTCCACTCTGTGATTGGAATTGACCTTGGAACCACCAATTCTGCGGTGGCGATTGTGGAATCAAACGAAGCAAGAATCCTCGAGAACGAAGAGGGCCAAAGAACAACTCCATCCATAGTGGCGTTCTCCAAAGATGCTGCTGGCGATAAGACGTTAGTAGGCTTGCCTGCCAAGAGGCAGGCAGCTGTGAATCCTCAGAATACGTTCTTTGCCACCAAGAGACTTATTGGCAGAAAGTACGAGGACGACGAGATCCAGAAAGACTTGGACAATATTCCCTACAAAATCGTCCCACACACTAATGGCGACGCCTGGCTCTCTACCTCGTACGGAAAATCCGTTTCTCCCTCGGAAATTGGTGGCCTAATCCTCGAGAAGATGAAGCAAGTGGCTGAAGCCCATCTCTCTCAGGACAAATTACCCATTAAGCATGCTGTGGTGACAGTACCAGCGTATTTCAACGATTCCCAACGTCAGGCCACCAAGAACTCGGGAAAGTTGGTGGGATTGGAGGTCCTCAGAGTGGTAAACGAACCAACTGCAGCTGCATTGGCCTACGGCATTGATAAGAAGCAAAAGGACGGTGTGGTGGCAGTATTTGACCTTGGAGGAGGCACTTTCGACATATCCATCTTGGACATTGATGAAGGTGTCTTTGAAGTCCGTGCCACCAACGGAAACACTCATTTGGGAGGAGAAGATTTCGATATCTTGCTATTAAATTACATTTTGGACACTTTCAAAGCAGAGAACAATGGCTTGGATATACTGAAGGATAGAGTGGCAGTCCAGAGGATCCGTGAGGCTGCTGAGAAATGTAAAATCGAGTTGTCACATGTGAAAGAGACCGAAATCAATATTCCATTTATTACAAGCGATAAGCACATCAAAATCAAAATCACCGAAGACGAGTTGGACGAAATGACCCTTCATTTGATCAACAAAACCATCGACCCCGTTAAGAGATGTATCCGTGACGCAGACTTGAAAATCAAGGACATCGATGAAGTATTGCTCGTGGGAGGAATGACCCGTATGCCAAAAATCAGAAAGGTGGTGGAGGAACTATTCAATAAGAAGCCTAGCACGGCAGTCAATCCAGATGAGGCAGTTGCTTTAGGTGCTGCTATCCAGGGTGCCGTGCTCTCTGGACAAATCAAGAATGTCGTGCTATTGGACGTGACACCATTATCGCTAGGAATCGAAACATACGGAGGCATTTTCAGTCCCTTGATCCCCAGGAACTCGGCTGTTCCGGTCAAGAAAGAACAGGTCTTCTCTACCGCTGTGGATGGCCAAACAGGAGTTGAGATCAGAGTTTTCCAAGGTGAGAGATCGCTTGTCAAGGACAACAAGTTGATTGGCAACTTCAAGTTATCCAATATTCCTATCGGACCCAAGGGTAGTCCTCAGATCGCGGTAAACTTCGAAATAGATGCTGATGGTATCATTAACGTTTCAGCTACTGATAAAACTCCATATCCAGAAGATCTGGAAAACTTCGGTAAGAAGAACACAGTTTCAATCCAGGTTTCCGGAGAGACTGGATTATCAGAGGAAGAGATTAAGAGAATTCTTGACGAAAGCACAGCCAACAAAGAAAAGGATGCTGAAGCCAGAAAGTACTACGAGCATGCCTCTAGGGCTGAAATCATCTGCACAGACACAGACAATGCCATAATACAATTCGGGGATCTAATGGAACAACAAGAAAAGGACTCAATCGGTAACCACCTTGCCAGGATCAGAGAAAAGATCGAAGACATCCGTTCAGGCAGGATTCTCCACAGTCCTGACATTTTGAACAACGAACTTAACGAAATGCAACAAGAGTGTCTCCAGTACATTCAGAAGGTTGCAATGAAGCAACGTGATCAAGCAAAGTAATTACAACCCACCATAGAGTATAAAAGTAGGTATGATGACCACTTGGGCCGGCTAGCTGGAAGAAGAAAACTCGGTAATGTTCGTGTACTCCTTTCAGTTGCTACATTTTTCAGGCTCGATTTCTGTATATATTAAGTAGATTACATACGAATCTCAAGACTACTCGTCAGTTTCCATTCTATCTTCCAGTTGTTCAGTCTCAGCTGGAGCTGTATTGTTTTCATCATCATTGGCATTATCTTCGTCATCTTCTTCTCTATTTCTAGCGTTAGAAACGGAATCCAACTTATCCAACCATTGCTGCACATTCTCATCGTCATATATGGTGAAATCAGTGTCTTTACCCACCACACTCACCGAGGTATTCTTGAAGGTCAACTCCACATCTTGCGATAAGGTGTCTCTCAATGCGTTCAAACCGTGAACAATCAATTGCTCCACGGTCTCGGATTCTGTGATAGTGTCCAAGTTTCTCTCCAAGTAGGTCCTGGCGGCCTGGGATCTGGCACCAATAGCGGCTCCGAAGTATTCCAACACCGATCCTGATGGTTGGAACTCATACAAGTGAGCCCCAGTCTCATCGTATCCCGAAATCAACAAGCCGACACCGTATGGTCTGGATCCGTATGACTGGGTGTTTTCTTGCGCCTTATCGGCAATGGACAACACTGCCTTGGATGTCAGCAATGGTCTATTAAATATCATTTTGGAGCTCATGGCCTGCTTTCTTAAGTAATTGGACAACACTCTGGCGTCTGGTGCCAAGCCTGCCAACGCAATGCCCATGTGGTCGTCCACCTTGATGATTTTCTTTTGATATGACCCCAATTCTTCGGCATTTCTCTTCAAGGCTACCAACACCACATGGGTCTTGGAGACGAGCCCGACGGCAGCGCTTCCTTGTTTGATAGCCTCTAAGGCGTATTCCACCTGAAACAATCTTCCAGTGGGAGAGTATGTGACCGAATCGTTGTCGTAGTTGTTTCTGAACATGGTTAATGTGGTTAGATATCGTGGAGGATTCTTTGATCGCCACCGTTGTTGGCGTTTCGGTCACGTGATCTGGGTGCAAAGGGTTCCAGTGGTGTAGTTGATAGTGGAGGGGCTGGGCTGGCCCAATATAAAGGTATGGGATACTTCCCCTTTAACATAAGTATTGTAAATTCCGTGTGGTTATTGTTGGCTAGTGTTCTTAAGAGCGATTGGCCCAGCTACGATTCGTAACTCCATATTGGGGCTGCGAATGAGTCCAAGAACAAATTGCAATTCGTTGAAGCGAAGAGGAATCATTAAGCTTCAACTCGGCCATGTTGATTAATTGAGTAAGATAATTGCAGAACTCTCAGATGTAATAAACTCTTGGGGAGAGTTTTTTCATTTATTCACTTTTTCCAAAAAATTGAAAAAATAGTAAAATGAGCACAATTAGTTAGATTGTCAGAATTCAGAATTACGAAAATAATAGAAGCAACAAGCTATTTACAACATTATTACTCTATTGATATGTTTAGTGATACTAAGACCGGTTATTACAAATCGAAGTGTATCACTTGATGGGTCTATATAATGCGCTAGTAAATAGAGTAAATTCTAGTTTAATCCCAACTGGTCCTTGACATACTGATCATTCACCAATGTTAAGAATGAGTCCCCCACCTTCAGTCTCACCATTTGTAATCCCTCGATTAAGAAGTTCTTTAGGTTAGTCTTGTAGAGCGGATCACAAGTATCTAGCAAATGCTGGTACCTGAGCTTTTCACCATGGGGCTTGATGTCTGGATCCAAATAAGAATAATCATCTATATCTTCATATATGAAGTCCTGCTGATATGCCTCACAGGTACCCTGTTCATTTTCGTTGACTTCTTCTAGAAAAAAGAACGTTTTCTTGACGGTTTCGAGAAGTTCGTCATGCAATGCTATGGAATTAATGACTCCAAAGCTGGTCAGGTTCAATAACCCCATTAGGTTGATCTTCTTGTTCCTTGGATTGCCATTGTTCGTGTACATTTTCAACCACAAGTCAACAAAGCTCTTAGGATCAATGCTCAAATGAGCAAGAATCTTGAAGAAGATATCTGGATTTGCGCTAAGTCTGGAAAACACCACGAATATCTTGTTAATCTGTGGAATGCTCTGGCTATCACTGAAAACATATTCTGCCATAGCCTTGAATAACCCACTGCTTATGATGCTTTCGATAAATGTTTCATTGCTGGACAACTTGAGAAATAAAATATCCATAAACGCTATGAAAATGTTGAACGAGTCGTCTCTCATGGCGGGCAAATATCCAGCAAGAATCTTTAGAATCTCTTGCGTGATTGGAGATTCAGCGAAAGGAAAATCGTATAAAGAATAACTCCTGGCTATGGACAAGATAATTGGGAGAATTTCTGTAGAGTTCATCAATGCAGAAGGTAATAATTCATAAAGTTTGACTAGTGAATCATCAGCTGCTCCTTGATTGAACTGCAAAATGGCCAACCACAATTCATAGCCGTCCTCTGACAATAATGAATAATCCTCAGATGTAGGAGAGCAGCAGTTAGCAATCACTGGAAGAATAAAGGAATGAGCCTCATGAGAGTTTTCGTTCAACGAGATTACTAAACTCTTTAATAATCTCAATAACGAGTTTCTCAAGATTGACTCATTCTGGGTAGAAGAGTATGCAGCCTCCCAATAAGATGGTACCATCAGTAAGATTTCAAATAGAGACTCACGACTAATCAATGGATTATTTTGCTCTATGATAACTGAAATGGTATCTAAAATGAACAATTTTGTTTCAACTAGTTGCATTTGGCTTAGTACATCAATTATTAGTCTGATAGTTTCTGTTAAAAATGGCTGGAAATCTGCTTTCACAAAATCCCAATCTTTGATAATGACTTTGAGGGTTTGGATTGTAGAAATTCTAACTATTTTATCATTTGAAGTGGCTAGGAAGTGATTCAACAATTTGTAAATCTCAATTTTATTCTCTTTTGAGCATTTAACCGGTACCCATTCGTTTAAAATCAAACAGATTCTTCTCTGAATAATTTTGTTCTTTGTAGCATAACCCTGAGGTAAGAATATCTCAGTTAACAACTGATCAAAATTGGCTTGATCTGCGATAGAATAACTAGACAACTGGAACGTACAGTATAAGGAGTCTCTCACAAGGAGCTCTTCTGAGATCTCCGGTGAAGAAGCCGTCAAGGAATCATTCGTGGTGATAGAGCTGGCAATTTTTTGAATGATGTAATCTCCAAGATCGTCTTTGAAGAACTTGATTAGATCCTGGAATAAATTTTCAGCACATGCCCTGATTTGATATTCCCAGTTAGAGGAGAGTTCCTCGTTGAACCACTCCTCTGGTTCAATTTGCCAACTTTCAAGATCTGAGGGTTTCAATTTGAGATACCATGTGATGATAAGATCGCAAATGTTCTGCAAGAGCTCACGAGAAAAGAATTGTTTCAAGTCTGCGATAGATTGATCGACCTGTTCCTTGTTGTTCCTCTGCTTCAAGCTGATTGAGCCTTTTTTGAACAAGTAGGTGATGATTCTTTTTAAAATTAAAAATCCCTTCAACGCTAAGATCTCCCAGAAATCATTATCTTCAGAACTGTGATAAATCAAGTCAGCTTTATGTTCCAACAAAGATATATATGTTGTCAATATTTTTTTGGAACAAGACAAGAGCACAAAATTGGTGGGATTACCATGAAGAAGGTCCAAATAGAGCTTACTGTAACATTTGACATATCTTTCTATGAGATCCGAAGAGTACTTGTCATGTTCAACAATTAATAGTTGCATATGATCCACAGAAATAGCCAAGAAGTCAATGAACTGTTGGTTTTCGATTAAAACGTCAAATGTTTCCGGCAAGATTCTTCTGAGATTCTTCAACGCCAAGTAACATATTTCCATCAAGCCCAAGTTCAAGTTTTCAGTCCACTCCTGGAAGGATTTGATGTATAAGTTGAACAAAGTAGAGATGAGCTCGCCCGTGTTCTGCTGCATCGCACTTCTGCTCTTTCCGATTATCACCAGCGATATCGTCTTCACAATTCGGTTGAGAATGATGAGAAGATTATTGGTGGACACGAGGTCGTTTGCCATGATATACCGGTTTAAGCTCTGCGAGATGTCCTGGAACAAGTTGGGCCACTCGTTGGGGTAGTCAAACCTGGCAATTCGGGAAATAGCGTGGGCGTTTTGCACCATCAACTGGTTGTTCTTCTCGTTGATCAGGTTGAACACGTTACTTTTGATCTGTTCCTTCTCCTCCCTGCGAATGGCATGCTGCTTGGAGGAACGCCAGTACTTGTCAATTCCGTTCTTGAAGAGGATAACCGCAAGCCACCTTTTATCCAACGTTACTTCGTGTGATAGGTATACTTGTTGAAGCACTGAGTGGTAGCCAGGCTCAATTTCCCAGACTTTCAACTGGGCCTCGTCACGCTTCTGGCTGGGATTTCTATTAGAGTCCCCAGCCAGGGCTAGAACCATCAATAGATTCTCAAAGGTTAACCCCAATGTCATGATGGTGGAAGGTATGATAGTATGAATAGTGGTTTTGAGAGTGGGTCGTGTGCGATGGGCCGATCACCGCGGATGGTGGTGGTGGGAGTAGTGAAAGAGTCGTGAAGTATGGGTGCTTCATTGGTGATGGGGTTGTGGCCTGATGGGGTTGTGGCCGTGAAGACCTGGTTGGCACTGGAAGTGGGCCCTTGTTTCGGTCAATTACGGTGAATTTGCAAATCTATGAACAGTTAGGTGTAATTAATATATGATGTAGTTTTATGAATTAGGCAACTGAGTGCTCAATTGTTAGAATTCTCTACCAAAATGCTAGAATTTCCAGGATTCTCACATAGAATATCTAGGAGCTAGAACGACACTTCTAGCTATCGAACAGAATGCTTATGAAAATTTTACAGAATATTGAATAGCTACAATCGTTATTCTAGCTCTCAAACAGAGTACTATGAGCTCATTTCCAGAATTATCAAACTGATATCTACGAACAGCAATTGTCACAGGTCTCGCAGAATATCCGGTGTTATTCGATTCTTAATCTAGCTCTCAAAGAGAATACTACGCACCTCAATTATCATTCTAGCTCTCATATCCTACACTTTCTTCTCAATATATACATATATTTCCATAGAATTATACACGGGAACGTCCCTTCCTACCCGTGACCATATCATGCTTCACCCTTCCATATTCTCGACTTATCGTCAGTACTATCAATCTGAACTGCCCGTAAACCATTATTAATTATCGAATTAATCGGAATGTTCATGACTTATCCTACTGTACTGTCATATTCCAATTCTGGCTGTTTCGTACTACCACCTCCTACTCTCGTCCCCCTCCACCCATTCCCTCTCCTGGTACCCAAGCTCCTTCTTCACCTGAGCCACCGTCGCCTTATCTCCCATGTTCTTTCCTATATTGTCACTAATTTTGATGGCGAAGTTGCCGTTGACTTCCTTCAATTTGATCACGATGTTTAGTGGTGCTGACTTCTGGTGTGGCTCCTTCACAGTGGTGAAATCGTTGGTAAAAAAAGTTCCGATCCCGAACGTGGTAATTAATCCTAGGGAATCAGCCTTCTGCTTCAATTTCAAGCACTTCTCGATATTCAATGAGTCGCTGAAACAAATCACCTTGGAATGTGGGGCATATCCGAGCTTCTTGTAGTGCTCAGCAATTTTCTCTGCGTACACCTCTGGATCGCCAGAGTCTTGTCTGACCCCTGCGTAGTGGTCCGTGTACGGCTTTTCAAACACTTTCAAGTACGAGTCGGTACCGAACGTGTCAGTCAAGGCCAATCCAGCGTACTTGGGGTCGAAGGTATCGAACCAGTAGTCCATTGCTTTACGATTGGCATTTTTGTAGTCCTGGGTGATCGAAGCAATGCCCATGTACCATTCGTGAGCAACTGTTCCAATTGGCTTGAGTCCGTAGGTTTTGGCAAGCAACACGTTCGAAGTACCCATTAATGTGGACGCATTGGGGTGCCCAGTGGTGAACTCCTTCAATGCCTTGACCACGATGTTCTGGGTCTCAAAGGACCTTCTTCTCCTGGTTCCAAACTCACTGAACGTGCAGTGGTTATCCAAAAGAAGGCCACATTTGTGCTGGGCCAACTCGTGCTGACCGTCATAGTTCCAGTCAGTGTCAACGAATTTGAAGTAGGCCTCTGACACCAATGCCAACAAAGGTATTTCGTACAAGATGGTCTTTTCCCAGTCACCCACCACCTCGACCCCAAAGTCTTTTGGTTCTCCTTCATGGTACCTGATCTGGGTAGCAGGCTCGAGCCTGAATCCCTTCAAGTATTGCAAGTACTCCGAGGGCAATTGCGGCAATGTCACCCTCAAGTACTCGATTTCTTCGTCGGTGAACCTCAATTCGCCAAGCAAGCTCACTTGGTGCTTGAACCAGTCAATGGCTGGTTGGTTCAACTCCATGGAAGGAGTTCTGTTTTTGTACCTGTAGGTCACTGGAACCCCCGAGAAGTGCTTGTGCACTGCAGCGTGCATAAGCAACTTGTACAAGTCGGTATCAAGCAACGAGGTAATGGCAGGAGACGACATGGTATGGGTTTACAGATAGCTATAGTCTGACTCACCTGATATACATGCGAGGACGTGCGCCAACCACAAAGGTGGCCTGGTTTTCAGATCATGATTCATGGCTTTCAGGCAAGAGTTGGATGGAGCCTAAACTGCTGGTAACATAGAGAGTATGTAGACTGTTGGGTTTTGAGACTTCTGGCACCATTAGTGCTTCAAAAACTACTTTAGATATTGTATCAAAAACAAAAAATATTGACTCCTACGCGATTCGAACGCGTGCATCTTTACGATAGTAGAACTTGAGTCTACCGCCTTAACCGCTCGGCCAAAGAGCCATTTTATATTAGTTTTCGCTGGAACAATTAACAGGTGTTGAGTAAGTCGCATATCACGTGACATTGATTTCGGATATGATAGTAGTATTTTGCAACCAGTGGGAGTTTACTTCACTCTCATATATATAGTAGGTTACATAGTAGTGGTATATTAATATACCACAAATATTGCCCTTAGAAAACCACTCTCTTTGTAATTCGTGGCAAGCTATCTCCAACATTTTCCATCTTCAGAAGGATAATATGACATCTCACTCTTCACTAAAATACCAGCCGTAATTATGTGTATTTTTCGTTCGTTCACATGCTTGTAGAGTATAGTACTTGTTTCAGTCTTTCCCTCTTCGGCACAAATTATTGTTTCTTTAGCATCAGTTGCAACTTTTAGACAGTATTTCCACAAGTATTCTACTGGTTTCCATTGAAAAAGGTCTGTAATTGCCAGATGCCAACCAGACAGTAAGCAAATGCATGAACATGCATCTGCAGTAGATGATGTCAAATTCTGGCAAAACTTAGGAGGACCCCCAGCAATAGAATTATAGAGTCTACAGGCTAGTTAATAATTTGAGGGGTTACATTCTATCATTCTACCACCCACAAGAAACAGTTGACTGGGCACATATTTCTCCAGTTTGGCCACGATGCCAACCCCTGGCCTCTTTCAAGTCCATCCAATGGTCCCCAAACAACTACAGATAGACCTACAGATACCTATAGTCGCCTAAGGAATGCAGCCATGTCCCACAGTAGCGATGCCATAGTTGTAGGGCCACATTTTACATGCACGCGTAACTACCATCCCGCACCATCCTTGATTGCAAATGACGTGCCCCCACCAATCTGAAAAATTTTCGTAGGAAAATTTTTTTCTATACATAAAGGGACCGCTCGCATTAACTTTTCAACACCATCAAGCACCCTCCAAAATGCCTTTCCAAAAAGTTTTGAAGACCTCTTCCTACCACTCCCGTTTCCAAACTCCTTTCCGTAGAAGACAAGAAGGTAAGACCGACTACTACCAAAGAAAGAGATTGGTCACTCAACACAAGGCTAAGTACAACACCCCAAAGTACAGATTGGTCGTTAGAATCACCAACAGAGACATCATTGCCCAAATCGTTTCTTCCCAAATCACCGGTGATGTTGTTTTGACTGCTGCTTACTCCCACGAATTGCCAAAGTTCGGTATTGAGCACGGTTTGACTAACTGGTCTGCTGCTTACGCTACCGGTTTGTTGGTTGCCAGAAGAGCCTTGCAAAAGTTGGGCTTGGACGAAACCTACCAAGGTGTTGAAGAAGTCGAAGGTGAATTCGAATTGACCCAAGCCGTTGAAGAAGGCCCAAGACCATTCAAGGTCTTCTTGGACATTGGTTTGCAAAGAACCACCACTGGTGCCAGAATCTTCGGTGTCTTGAAGGGTGCTTCCGACGGTGGTTTGTACGTCCCACACTCTCCAAACAGATTCCCAGGTTGGGACATCGAATCCGAAGAGTTGGACGCTGAATTGTTGAGAAAGTACATCTTCGGTGGTCACGTTGCTGAATACATTGAAGAATTGATGGATGACGATGAAGAAAAGTACAAGACCTTGTTCAAGGGTTACATTGCTGACGAAATCGAATCCGAAGACATTGAAGAACTCTACACTGAAGCTCACGCCAAGATCAGAGAAAACCCAGTCTTCAAGCCAACTGAAAAGAAGTTCACCAAGGAACAATACGCTGCTGAATCCAAGAAGTACAGACAAGTTAAGTTGACCAAGGAACAAAGAGACGCTAAGATCGCCAAGAAGATTGCTGAATTCCAAGCTGCTCAATAAGCGACTTAATAATTTTCTGTTTATAGTCCCTATAAAGGTTAATATTGTCCAATCACTAGCGAAGCTAGAATGTAGAAGTTCTCATTATAGTTCCTAAACGGATTATAGTTGAGCTTATAAATTAAGTCCATTTACGCTATGCATACTTGCTGATCACTAGTGATAGGCTGGTACATATTTCACAGCAATTTGCATTTGGTGTGAAGCAGTTTTAATGGATTAAATCGGATTTTTGATAACTAGTCAGAATTTTTAAAAATTTCACACACAAATACTAATTCTTCGTTAATGAATCTGATTAATTCTTGATCTCATTTTCCCTTGAGTAACTGGCAATAAAAAAGTGGGCAGAATATTGCCAACTTCTCAGGTCTACAACTCTATTTCGTTCGAATATACCCATGGAGTTCGTCGACTCACGGGCAATTGGACTTCTATTAACTATGTCTCTCGTAAATGCTTGATGCCCAGAAGTGTCAGGCTGAGGAGAGTTTATCCACTTTTGTTCAGCCTTACCCTCTGAGCGTCGTTTAATAACTTATCGTACACCTCATCCACAACTGCAGTAACTTCGTCATTTCCCTCGGAAGTATCTCTAGCATCTGTGAATGAGTCGATGGACTGATCATCTCCTTCCGAATCGTCATTGAGGGGCTGCTTTTCGTTCAAGGTTGTGTATAATTTGTCAAGACTGACTCTGTTGGTACTTATTTTGTCGATCAACTCTGTCACAGACTCTATTCCCTTTGCAGCTATGATTGCATCCCTTAGCTCAGAACCCGATGGCAACAGATTAAGCATCGGAACATCTTTCGGTTTGTTCAGGGGTAGTGCTTGAGAATCGGGAGCCAACTGGTTCTGACTGTTGTTCCGTTGTTGGATATAGAATCCCAACCTGTGGAACTCTCCTTCTTCTTGTTCTTGTTCTTTGGCATGAACTGATGTATGACTGATAGATCTCATCAACACAGGCCTACCAGTCGAGTTGTCGATTGGAACATTACGTCCATCTGACGAAGATTCAATGACGACTTGATGAGGCTGGAATGTCTGTTCAATTCCAGCAAAGTATCCTGGGGTGAACTTCTCGGTATTGTGAGGGGATAAAATTGGGCCGGAAGTAATCAATTCATTGGAACTTTCGTGTAATTGATCATGTGAAGGTACCTTGATGGTAGGCATGTTCTTCTTGTTCAATTTAGGATTTAATGACTTTTCATCGGAGTCTAAGGACTCTCTTCTTGCTCTTTCCTCGAACATATGAACCAATTTCTCCAAAGAATTATCCAAAAGACAAAATCTCAACAAGGTTTCTTTACCATCTAATGATAGGGTGCCTTGATTTCTCTTTTCAAAAAAATCATCAATTGTCCTATGAATATCTTTTCTGACAGCTCTAGTTCTTTCAATAAGTGCATCGGTGATGAATTTTTGAATTTTCACTTCTTCCTTTTTGTTATGTTCATCGCTTTCAATCAAAAGTTTTTCTGCCGTTTCCATTAACAATGATCCATCAAACATTAATTCATCATCTCCAGTGGTAGCGTGATGGAATCCGCTAACCCCTGAAGTATTACCGCTGACTTCATTCATAGTATTATCCATGTTTCTCATTAAATAAAAGGCAATTCTTTGAGATAAATCGTCAGGAACCAAATCGTAATCCAAATCTAATGTAAAAATAGATTTCGATAATTTGATAGATGTGTAAAGACTACCTGCTGAATTATCATCCAAGTTACGATTGCCCAATAAAGACACATGCATCACTCCTGGGATTTTTGGCAATATTTCAGCAATAGCTCTTATAGCCTGAACAGACAATTCGTTAAGATCAAAATGGATTCTCTTCAAATTTGGGAAATTTGGAAGATGTTCACTCAACTTTGAGATAATAGAAGGAAACAATTTTGGTAAAGAACTTAAGTCCAAGAACCTGAGAGTTTTGATATTGCTCAAAGCTTGTATCATATCACTTGTTTGGTCAACGTCAGTCAAATTGGTCGAATTCAAAGAAAAGAAGATAAGTTTTGAATTTTGATCTTTTTTGTTGAAGGCATTTATGAATGGGTTCAATTGTCCTTGACTCAAGTCATTGAAGGCAATGTCAACTCCCACACATTTTGAGTGTGGATTAATTATCCAACTAGCCACCTTGTGGGCTTTAAACATATTCAACTCAATGGAAGCAACTCCTAATCTATATGTGTTAATTAAGACTGCATTGTCGATCAAGTCTTCAAAGATTTCATCACTTAGCTTACAGCCATTGATAACCAACTCTTCAATACCTCCTCTGTAGATTAAAGAATTAATGAGAAGCTTCCAATTCATCGCCGATCTAACACAGTTTGGTTTGGTGTCGCTTTTGATTCTTTGTTGGGAAATGTCCAATTTTTTAATACTGAGGTTAGTCGTCAAAAGTTTACACAAGTAAATCCAACCAACCTCATCAATGGCGACATTTCTTAATGACAACTTTTCTAAGGAAGGATTGTATTGTAACGAGGCTAGAAGGTGCTTTAACATCTCTGTACTCATGGTGACATTATCAAAAATGACAGTATTAATGGGAGTAATGGCGATAAAGTCACTGAATGATAATACATCGATAAGTGTGGGTTTGGGGTTGAGTAATTTGAGCACTTGCAATGGTTTTGATTTATTTTTTAACTGCTTCAAGGTGGCAGGAATTGGAAGGATCTCCCGAAGATGGCAACATCTTGTGTAGACAGTTTCCAATGATATTTCATTAGCGACTACTTCCTCTGTTGGAGTGGTGTCTTCGAAATGATTCTCGTGTACATGAAGAGGGCTGTCAATATCGGCAGAATCGGAGTTTTGCTGATTGAATCTTTTCTCAACTTCAACTTCAACCTCCTCTTCTCTTTCATCTTTTTCATTTCTTGCTTTCTTGGACTTGGCTTGAAGCTCGGCAGCAATTCTCTTAGCTGATAAATGAGCTTCGTGAGCGTGCTTCTCGGCCTCAAGTAATGCACGGTGTTGGGCTTCGATGGCCATGTTGAGTTCCCTCTCTGTGTACTTTGGCTCTTGATTGACTTTGCCTCCATCACTCAACGAGATGCCCAACGATAATCTAGGAGGGGGTGCCATGAGATCTTCGGGGATCAACACATTACCTTTGCGAGGTCTTCTGGACGGGATTTGTTGCTGTGGATCGTATGTCAACTTGTCAACTGCGAAAGTCACTCTTCTGATGTTGGCGTTGTTAAGCTCCGGCAAAGGGCAGCTTCTCCTGGTTTTGTTTTTGTTGAGGATGATTCGATTAGTCAGGGAAGATGCTTTTCTTTTAAAGAGTTTACCGGAAATGCTCTCGTGTTCGCTATTATTGGACTCTCTGCTAGGCAATCTTGGACGGGAGCCAGTGGAGTCTTTGGAGCCGGATCTGGATCTGGTGGGAGTTTCTTTGATGGAGCCTGCTCTGGAGCGGGATGGAGGTGTGATGGGACCATCCGAATAATCTTCTGGATTGACCAAGAAGTTGGCAGTGGCCTTTTGGAGCCCCGCAGCCAGGAGAGTGGGCTGCTGCTGGGGGGACGAAGATCCCTTGAATTTGGAGGACAACGAGCTGAAGAGAGATTTCTTGGAGTTGCTACGCGACACTCCTGGCGACGAGCTCTGGCTGGACACAGAATTGGACCTGACGACCTCACCCTCAGGAATCTGCCCTATGGGGGGAATGTTGTTGGTGCTGCTTCTGCGCAGAGGGTTGAAGCCCTCCAACACAGGACGCGAGGCATTGGATGCAGAAGAGGACCTGGAGCGTCCAAACTTGAACATGTCGATCTTAGACGCCTTTTCTGGGGGGGTCATTTGGGGCGTGGGCGGCTGTTTCGGACCCAACGAGGTGTCTTTGGGGGACTTCGGCACAGGAATGGGGGCGGATTTTGGGGAACCAGAAGGCTTGGGAGGCTGAGAGGTGGCACCACCAGCACCAGCACTAGTAGTTCCAGGCGCTGGAGCACTGGTGGCGGCGGCCCTGGCGGCTCCTCCGGTACTACCAACTTTGGAGCTGGACGGACTGACGGGAGGCTCTTCACGCGGGTCCTTTTCCAGCCGCGAGTCCTGGGCGTTCAACTTCTTAGTCAACTTCTTGGACTTGCCCCGAAAGAGCCAGTCCACGTCTCCGTTGGTGACGCCAGTCTCGTACTCATTGGCGGCAAGGTCGGTCGGGCTTGAAGACAATGCTGGGCCGTTCATGGTGGAGGCAGTGCAGGCAGAGGAGACAGGGAGGATCCAGGCACAAACGGAAGGAAGAAAATGGTGGAAGGTGGTGTGAGTTTGGATTGGTGTTGGTGCATTGATAAGAAGATCTTGATTTACGGTGGCTCACGTGCGGGTCTGGTGGATGGGGTGCGTTAGCGGGGGAGTTAGCGGGGGACGCTAGTGGCGCGCTAGGGAGGACGGCGTGGTGCAGCTACGCTGCGGGGCGATCGCTGGGGGAGTGTCAGAAGATTGTCGGTGCGTAGCGAGACAATAGGGATTAAGGTACGAGGGGGAGGAGCGAGGCGGAGGCGGAGTCTGGTGGCGTGGAGGAGAAGCAGGAGGAGGAGGAGGTTGGGTGGTGGTAGCAGAAGAAATAGTGGTAAAAGTTGTGGCGGTAGAGGTAGTGGTGGGAGTGGAAGGCTTCCTAAAAGGGGCTCGTGGTGGGAGTGACCAGCTGCACCATCAGCGGGGACGGTCACTGGCAGTGACGAGGGGCCGGCGCCGGGCGCGGAGACCTGAAACGGCACGTGACATGTATCACGTGCCACACTCCAGTTGCTGCGCTTGCTGGCCGGCGTCTGGTGTGGAGCATGGGACGGCAGGCGGCCGCCAGGAGCAGCACACAGCAGGAAGGCGCCGCCGCAGCGGCAGCACCCAACGTGCCTTCTCGAAGTGTCAATGTCACGTGACATGTATCACACGCGCCACAAGCCCAGACATCATCCCTATTACCAAGCAAGGGTCGTGCGCGCACCGCCGCTCTCCGGTCTATAAACGGGATTCTCTTTATCGCTGACATCTCCCTCCTCATTTTTCATCTATTCCCAATGTTCAGATCAGTCTTAAGAACAAGTGCTATACAAGCCTCCAGATCCGCCTCCAGACCCATAATAGGCAGAGTCGGTCCTGCCATTTCTGCTCCCGTTTTCAACGTCTCTTCCGTCAGAAGCTACCATGAAAAAGTGTTGGATCACTACCAGAACCCAAGAAACGTGGGTACCTTGAATAAGAACGACATCAACGTCGGCACCGGCTTGGTCGGTGCTCCAGCCTGTGGGGATGTCATGAGATTGCAAATCCAGGTCGATGAAGAGACTGGCACCATCAAGGACGTCAAGTTCAAGACGTTCGGGTGTGGTTCCGCCATCGCTTCATCTTCGTACGTGACCGAATTGGTCAAGGGAAAGACCTTAGAAGAGGCCTTGAAGATCAAGAACACTGCCATTGCCAAGGAGTTGTCGTTGCCCCCAGTCAAGTTGCATTGCTCGATGTTGGCTGAGGATGCCATCAAGTCTGCTGTCAAGGACTACAGAGCCAAGAGATTGGTCAAGAAGCCCACCTTGGGCCCTGAATCCGAGGTTGCTGCCTCCGGCTCCTCTGCAACTGCCTAGTGGTGTATATAGATGGTATTTATTTAGTATGGAATGAAGGTATATATGACAGACAGAATGTAGTGGTAGGAACGAATGGAGATAGTACGAGAGTATAGGTAAGGAGAGCAATTGACAGAAAGTGTAGCGAAGATTGGTGTTGGAGAGTTTTGAAAACTTTGAACAAAAATCACATTCTGAGGACCGAGGTCTCTACGGCGACTAATTAAAGTATATCAGAGGGCGAGCGAGTAGCATGCACACTCATAGAGACAACTCAGTGATTGCTACGGCTGAAAAAACCCTACCGGGTCTTTCGGCTATTTGTATTGACATATTACCTTATCTTTGGGTGAACTCATCGTCACTGGACCGAGTCGGATGCGAACTTCGAAATTCGTAATTGAAGTCCGATCAACTAGGTTTGAGACATTTCTTGTATATCACTTGGTCTGTTGGGACTACCACCAAGTAACAATTCACTTGTGATTTTTCCCAGGGAAGGCCTTGGCTTGCATGCTATCAGAATGTCCCAAAACGCCAGGCGACGCCTAATTCTTATCGTGCACATCTGCAGATTTTCCACACGATCCAAGTAGTTCGATTTTAATTTGGGAAGATAATAAAATGCTGCAAGGCTTCTGTTCAATATGTAATCTGTATTCGAACCACTTTGACGACTACGGAGAATATGCATTTTCGGAGTTGGAATTAATACTGGATTTGTAAAATACGGCAATGTTAATTATTCGATAGCCGACCTTCGAATAGAACCATGGGCAAATTTACTAGCCTCACACAAACCATTGCTCCTTGTGGTGATCAGTACAGCTTAGGGGCAGCACCCGTTAGTCACTTGAGACATCTTCTCATAACTATTGCTATTAACTCTATTATAGATTGAAAATATTAGCTCACGATCCGGCAATGCTGGGCGTAACCAAGTGTGGAGTCAAAGAAAGTCTTTATCTAGCCACAATGCTCTGTTCAGAACGAATGTCATTTCGACTAGACAATAGGCTTGCTCAGTGGTGAAGAATCCAGATCCAAACGAGCTTGTACAGTCGAAACTACCCATTAACACTAGTTCTACAAAGGAGATAGAGCTGTCACTTTCGCAGCCCATAGAACCGAGTTTCAACTACATGTGAGCCTCCCCAACTGTATAAACGTGTGCATAAATCCACCAAGAGATGCGTCATTCACATACAAAATTGACATTGTGTGTTGTATGGACCAAAAAGTGCCTGAATCGGTTGCCTCTTATCAACTATCTTGGACAAAGCACCCTTCCCTTTTGCGTGATATTTTGGGGAGGATTGCTTAGTGGTTTTGGTAGAAGCCTTCGTAAGTACAGTCAAAATTGTGATATTAAAGAGATGATTCTACGTGCTTAGTAGATAATTGGCATGGATATCCCGGCGACTTCAAGTACAAACTTTGAAAGGAAACTACCATTCGTTTATAATTTTTACTCAAAATTAAGTAGATCCAGCTTCTGCTCTAAAACTATTTATACGCGCTGCCTATTTCAAGACTAATAAATTAGCTTGAACCACACCCTTTTCAGTATCCCGATGATTTCCCAGAGGGGGAGAATGTTAGTTAGGAGCTTATTATGTTTGAATAGATAGTTTAGCTTGGTAGTACGGGGTTATTTATATCCGCCAATTGTATGACACCTCGGAAAAGAAGTTGAACCTGGCCATGGACCGTTATTTCAGGGTCCATTGAGCAAAATTCATTCGATTCATGAGCCAGGAGAAATGTAGGTGTAATTTGTGTACGATTATCCAATTCCGATTGCTGGAGAGAGTGGCAAGGTACTGAACCAAGTTGCTATACTCAGGAAGGTGCATTGATCTAACAGATAAACAATTATTGAGCTTTGGATTAGATTATGAATCTAAAATAAAATTTCGTAGGTTAGAACTGACCGACATCATTCACATTGTGTTGTCTTGATGCCTATTTATTCACTTATGGTTGTGCCTCGGAGAAAATGCAGCGTTGCAACAAGTCTTAGGGCGAGTTATTCAGTAGACGTATATCTATAGGTTTTTCCTGGCTTATATTAATTTTATGCCTATAAGTTAGGGGATACCTATCACAAAAGTCCATTCTATCTCAATAGATTGATCTATTTATCCATGTTCGTAAATGCAGACAAGATTCAGATATCGTTTATGAAACCGTACCTTGCGTGAAGGCACGGCTGGTGCCAAGGCCAGGTAATCGCGGATTACCTTCGGAGTACATTCTATTGGCTGAGAGCCCATCGCTGTAGGGATGTATGCCCCACGCGTTTGTAAAATGTGTGGGTACATCTGTCTGATTCAATCATGATTAGCTCGATCTACTAAGACTGTATCTTGTTGCAGTGTGAATGGCTGGATAAGTGTCGACAGGCACTATTTAAAACCAGAAGTGGTTGAGATATTTTAAGAACGATCTGCCAATGTAGCCGGTGGAATCCACCGGAGCCCGCTTGAACACCACCATGGTGGCAAGGCCCATGAGCGTAACTCCATTGATCACGACGTAGCCAAACTGCTTCCATTTCATCGAGAACTTGCGGTTGATTCTGAGCATGCCACTGACAGAATGGTACATCATCACCCATAAAAGCAGGAGCAAGGCCCCAAAGTTCAAGGCGTTACCAAGGTAAACTTTGCTGTGGTTGAGGTAGTAGGTGATGTAGTCCAAATTCACCAATGATGAGTCTTCACCCACAGCAATGGGCAAGTACCGGAATTTCGTGAAATGCAACGCCACCAACGGGATCAAGATGTACCCCGAGAATGACAATGGACTCATGCCTGGGAGCTGTCTAGAAATCCAGGACTTTCTGTACCCCAAGCCAAGAATTCCGGTGATTCCTCCTAGCCCAATGTCATCTCTAGTGTCGTCCTTGATGACTGGCTCTTCCAACGCCTTGGTGAAATTGCTGCGCAACTCGTTGGTGTCCTTCTTGTGCTTCTTCAATATGTTTCTACATATCCTGATGCCTATTCCCGAGGCCACATGGACAGCAGCTGCGCCGATGATCATCACGCTCTCAAATAACGGCACCTGTTGGTAGATGGAGCGGGCCATTTCAAACACTTCCTGCTTGATTTCATGGGGCACCATCGGAAGGATGGGTACAATCACGGTGGAGGCCACATGGAGCCCCAAGAACGTGCAAAAGCCATAGGCACTATATTTTTGCACCACCCCAAGGCCGTGGAGAACCGATCTGGTGGTGGATTTGGGGGGCCACAGTTCAGGCCCAGGCGATAACGGTTCGTTGTCTATGGCATCCAAGTCGACGGGAATAGGCACGACCTGGTGCAAGTCCTCCACTGGAGAGGTTGGGTACGACATGGTGGTAAATGGGAATGAGATGTCGATGGTGGAGGTATGCTGGAGAAACGGACTGCACAGAGGGCGGCATACCACTGGATAAATCTGAGTTATGGCATGAATTTACCAAGAATAGAATACACAGGGAGGGTGTAGAAGGCGGGGATAGAAGGTGAAGATAGAAGGTGGGCGGAAGACTAGCTTTTGGGAGAAAAGCAGCATTGTATCGAAACTAAAAACTAACTTTTGTATAGACAAAGATCACTCTTAGCAAAATACCAATTGTCCAGACACTAGACAATTTCGTAGGCTTGTCAGTACTAGTATACTGCCTCAAGTAAGAAAATATGATATTTCAATTCCGTGATATCGATTTTTTAAGAGGGGGAGAAGTTTTCGATACCAGCCATAAAAGCAGGTAGCACTGTGAGGGATCCTTTCTTCTGTAAGGTTATTACTTCCTTAGTATCAAAGTTGGTCGATTTTTTGACAAACGTAAAGTTTTTATGTAATAAATCCCATCTAGTCTTAGGGATGCTATTCATATATTCGAAGAAGCGAAGTGCTAGAGAGATACAATATCAGAACCCGTTTCTTTAATTAATACTGGAATTAAAAAGCATATCCATATTCATAAACAGCAACAATACAACACTGTTCATCTGTATCACCAGGCTTGTTCAATATCACCAGGCTTGTTCAATTTCACTTGCCATATCTCTCTCCACAACAAGACGTACCAAATCCCCGATCGATTTCCTGCACACAGACGGCGCTACCACCCGCTCCAGCTGTTCAAACCAGCTAGCACCAACCGCCAGCACCAGCCCATTCTCCTCCAACACCCTCCCATGTCCTCAGCAACGTTTTCCCAGACCCGTTCACAGGCGTTGAACTTGGAGAAGCAGACAGAGCTGTTGCTCTCGCAGTACTCCCGCTTCCAGGCCGCAGTCACCCCCGAGGCAGGCCCAGACGAGCTCCGGGTGCTAGCAGGCATCAAGCAGTTATTGGAGAAGCGAGACGACACCATCACCAAGTTGAACCGCATCACCGAGGCCCAGGACATCAACGCGGTGTCGACGTCCAAGTTGCAGCAGCTCACCCGCCACAAGGAGATCTTAAACGACCACCGCAAGTCGTACTTGAAGATGGAAGCCGCCATCCAGGACGAGCGCAACAAGAACAATCTCTTGTTCTCGGTGCGCTCCGACATCACTGCCCACAAGAAGCGTACTGAGCAGGGCGCTAGTCTCAACGCCAACGATTATATCTTGGATGAGCGGGTCCGTGTGGACAGCGCCAACTCGTTTGCCGACCGGTTGTTGCAGCAGGCCTACCACACCCGCGACGAGCTCTACAGCCAGCGTCAGTATTTGGCTGGTGCCCAGCTGCGCATGCTAGGGGCAGTGCAGGCGGTGCCAGGAATCAACGTGTTGATCTCCAAGATCAACACCCGCAGAAAGAGAGACACCCTTATCTTGGCCACCGTGATCTCGGTGTGCATCTTGTTGTTGTTTTTCTTGTGAGTGGCCGCCTCCCAAATGTGGTGCTAGCGTTGCAGCAGCTCGCTGGTGCTGGTGCTAGTGACACCAAATGTGGTACTGCGCACTCACAAATGTGGTGATGTTCAGGGATCGGTGGAAAGATGGCCAGAATCCACCACCATGGAGACTAAGGACGACGTGCTAGCCGTCAAGATTGCCGAGATCAAGCTCCGCAGAATCGAGGAGCTCAATGCCCGCTTGCAGTCCACTTTGCAGCGGGAACGGATTCCTGCTTCCAGCTCGTGCACACTGTGAGTATTTGCGAGGGGTCTGTTGCCTGTTGGATTGCAACAAGCTCGGCTTCGTCACGTCTTACTAACCAAAGAATCATCAAGCACGTCCAGGAGACCCCCGACTATCTCGTGCCCTACGTGTGGAAGCTTCCTCCCGAGCAGAACAAGTACAGGCGCTACCAGAACTTCAGGGCGTTGTCACGGCGCCACCAGCCACAGACAGGGTGCTGCTCCATCGTGTGAGCAGTGACGGAGGTTGGGAGTGCGAGGTTGGAAGAGTCGTCAGATAGTGGCGGGACAACATTGGGAGAGACGCTGTATCAGCGAGATGCTACGCTGAATCGGAGAAACGCAACACCCTAAATCTGGCGAAACCCAGAAGATGCGTTGGAAACGCTGAATGAATCCTTCGGGAGAGAAATGCTACACTGCACCGTTCGATTCCACCTATCCCTTGCCCCAACCACACAATCCATAGAGGATGAGTAACGACTTAACGTGAGCTCTTCCTACAGTTAGGTCTGTATTTGGCCCGACACAGATTTTTGCAATAGTCTACCTGCGTTTATCATTCATACATCATTGTACATCGACTATGTAAGCGTTTTGACTCCCAATTGCCTGTCAGGGAGTGTAAGTAGTGCACAAGGGGTGTATTTACCCAGCCCTTATAGATCACCACAACTAAATAATCCACTATGAGCTAAATGGTCTTCATATTAACTTGGAATAATGGTGAAGTAAATTGAAATACACCGCGGTGTCTCCACCGAGCCAGCCTAGCCTCCCAATTGTCTGTCTTCCTTTTCGTTCACCTTGATCTTCCGCAAGTGGTCGAGGCTCTCGCTGCCCAAGGTGGCGTCCAGCTCCTTCTCGTCACTTCCGCATCCGCAGTCGTAGTCCTCCAAGATAGTAGTACAGTCATACTCGTCCTTTCCTAGCCTCTCGTTGACCTTGTTGTGCACATGGCATCCCCACAACGCTGCTGTCTTCCTGGACTTCGTCTGGGGCGGGTACTTGGCCAAAAGCTGCTGGAAATGACGAGCACAGTCGCCACACGGGTACACCTGGGCAAACAAGTGGATGTACTGCGACAACGTGGACTGCTCTTGCTTTGAGGGAGCGTCGGGGTATCTGGCTAAGATGGTGTGGAAGAGCCTCCAGGCAGCGTTGCCGAGCTGGGCCTTCAAGGTCTCGTTGGCCATTTTGGGCATGAACGGAGTTTCTGTGAACTCGATGGCGGCGTGCTCGCCAGCCACTGGTGGTGTGACGATCTTGGGGTGTTCCACTGCCGCCTGGACCTCCTGGACCTCCTTGTCCTGTTGCTTGAAGGCGCCCTGGAGAGCGTCTTCTTTGGTGACATGCTGCTGGGCGTTGATGGGCGTGGCCTCGCCGAGTCCCTTGTCGGAGGCGCTGGTCATGAAGTAGATCATGCTGACCACCACCAAGAGCGTCAACGTGGTCAAAAGCGGTCTTCTGTTGGACTTCATGCTAAAGAGACTGATGGTTAGTTGTGGTGATCGCGGGGACAAAATCAAAATCATATGTTACGAGGCGAAAGTGGAGCGATAGGCCCAATGAGGCACCTGAGAAGGGAAAAGAGGGTGGGACGACGCGTGAACGACGAGTGTTGGGAGGAACGCGGAGGGAGTGTGGTGTGGCAACGTTTCACATAGAGTGGTGGGGAGATAAGAGTGGCCAGTGGGTGGAGTGGCAGTGCCGTACCAAACAGTAGTGAGTAGCAAAAACTGGCAGTGTCGACTTCTAAGTATGAATTTTGGCTCAAATGCTGGCAATAAAGTACTAACTACAGTAATGAGTCAAATGGCAAATACTGGTAAACTAGAAGTAAGTATTTACCGGAAGAGTCAAATGGCAATTATAAAGAAGCAGGTACTACACAAATGAGCCCGAATGCTTGACTTGTTGAATAATAGGACAATGTAGCCACTGATAGTCTCGAAAAGATAAAAGTACCCTAGATGAAAGTGCAAATTTATAGTAAAGAGAAGCCAAAACACTATCTCTAGAAGTGTGCAATTTGGCAGTGCCCAATTCCCACTTTCAATCCCCACCCCAAAATTGAAGTTTAGGGTATTTACGTGCTTCAGAGTATGAATATGGATAGAAGTAGAATATTCCACAGCGGTGAGGCCATTTGAGACCACCACTAGAACTGGAGATCGATACTTCAATAGATGGCAATGTAGATATCGTCAAATTGGTCTCAGGCAACTGGTTAAGGCTTCTCGTTTTGTACTTCTTCATACGCCTGCCTCCAGACTCTAGTGGGTATCGCAGAAACGAACACACCACCCCTGAATCAGCTTTGTTACTGACCTACAAATACACCTCTTATTGAAAGACAACTAACATTAATTATGACGAGAAATAAAATCTATGACCTCATGGGTTCTTCTTGGAGGATGTGGCAGCATCTAACACTCCTGGTAAAGCTTCGGAGCCCACGCTGTACAACAATTGGAGTCCTCCCACCAACAAGGTCAAGAGTCCCAAGGTGGTCCACAAGAAAAGGTTGGCTTGTGCAGAAATGTCTTGCTTGCTGCAATCAGCTCCAGCCCATTTGGTGGTTCTTTGGGTGGTTTTGTTGAAAGATGGCGAGCACAAGCAGCTCCAGCATCCTCCACCGATCTTGGAGCAAACACCGTGGGATGCACAGTCGGAGGTGCTGACTTTACAAGCTTCTTCAGAAATAAAACAAACCGAACCAGCGCTTCTTTTAGATAAATCGTTGAGGTCAAAGATATCATCGAGTTCCTGACTTCTCTTTCTCAATTCTTGGCTCATTGGAGCAGACTTTTCGCTGGACTTGACAAACAACAAGATGTCAAAGTCCTTGGACAATTGAACCAAAAAGTCTCCCAAAACCTTGTTAGAAAACTTGTAGGTGTTGGAGTCGAATCCGGTTTTCTTTCCAATGGAAAGCAATGAGTTCAAGTTGGCGAAAACAAAGTCGTTTTGGCTGAGGTCACCCTTTCTCACTGTCAAGTGAATGAGTTGAGACAACTCAGCAATGAAAAATCTATCGCTGATCAAACTCAACATGGCGGGGTTGAAGCTCTCGCTGGAGTCGCTGAGGACCACTTGGTTTTGGTTGTCGTTGAAGACAGATGACTTGAAGTGTTCCCAGGTCTTGAGCAACTTCTCGTTGAAGTACTTGAAGTGGGAGATGGGGCCGCTGGCTTCTGCGGAGGTTACCAACTTGAGTTCGTGGGTCAAATCCACCGATTCGTACTTCAAGGCGTGGGCCAATTTGTTGGGCAACTTCTTGGCCAAGCCATTGTGGGCGTCCTCAACCATGAACGCAGGCTGTCTGCTTTCCAAGAATTGGTGGGGATGTTCCACACCATCGATGGTGACAATCAAGTTGGTTTTGGGGCTGTTGCCGTCTCTGGCGGCGTATTGGGCATCGATGAACTCGATCAACTCTTCTGCCTTCTTGCCCTTGCCGAGCTTGAACTCGTCTGCCATTCCAAACCGGTCTGCCAAGTACATGAATGCTTCTTCCTCTTGGACGTGGCGAACGTCGCTGGTGGCAGAGGCACTCAAATCGTACACAGCCACGTGATGCTTGGAGGCATTGTGGTCGTTGGTGTGTCCTTTCTTAGCAACGGCCGAGGCCACGAAGAGTGCTGATGACACCAAGTTAGATACCTTCATCGTTGATAGTGATAGTAGGCGGTAATTGTTAGTTTTATTCGACAAGCGGGTCGTGCGTGGGGCGTGCGTGGCCATGGCTAGAGACAGTGGAGTCTAGCGGGAAGTTGGAGGCATGGCGGGAAGGCCAGCAGGGAGACTTGCGGAGGGAAGTCCGCTATGCGTGGTAGTGATACGAGAGCTCATGGTGGAGGTCTCGATACTGATGGTGTAAGAGGCGTAGTTGCTGGAGTTGGCGATTCACCAACCGCGCCGGTGGTTGGGTGCAATTGCGACTGCGGGACGTAGAGAATAGTATGCGAGCAGAAGAAATGGATGTCCTAGTCAGGCAACGAAGATAGAGTTCAGGGATAATGAGTAGGTAGAGGGAAGGGAAGGGAAGGGAAGTAGATTGATTGTGGAAATTTAAGGAGGTAGAGGTGAGGAATTTTATTTTAGATTGGTGGAGATATTCAGTAGATCGAGTAGAAATTCATGAGATTGTGGTGAAAACAGTTGTTCCCACAATGTAGCACAATCTCAGAAGATATTATGGTCCCATATATTAACAGGGTCTTTTTAGCCACTAGTCCTGAGTCTTGGGATCTGTTGACAACCTTGTGGAAGAACGCTCTGCAATGACTTGCCCAATTATCAAATGCAATAATTCAAGTTAATCTGGATGAAATGCCACAAGTTTCGATCTCAAGCTCCTCACCATTGACCACCAGGCAAATCTAACAATTCATCGAACCATTGGACAAAATGGCTCTAGGGTCGACCAAAGTATTGATTATTTATAAAATGTCAGAATTGCTCCTATCCTTAGAAACTTTCATCTCTGGAATTAAGTTGATCTCTGAATTATGTACTCGTGTATTCTCAGAGTTCATTTTATCCTCACTTATACATCACCTGGAGTAGAAGAGCTCTGAAATTCAATTGATTTTTATTCTTTTCCTTACCTATTCATCTCTGGGTAAGTCTCTGAATTAATTTACTGGTGCAATTTCAGAATTGATTCGTTTACTACAAATGGCTACTTTCGTGTCTATTATGTCGTATGCTATGCTAAAAGGTCTCGTCCAAGGTGATGGTGGGACTCTCAGGGAACCCACGCCCAGCAGGCCGTTCCTGGCCCTGATCTGGAATGCTCAACGAAAGACTGGGCTTGGGCCGGAACAATGTCTTGGTAAGCGACTTGGTGCGCTTGACGTTGGGCAGCTTCAATTCGTTCAACTGCTCCTCGTTGTTGTACTCGCTGACATCTATGCCCATCTTGGAGAGGTCTTCGAACACGTTGAATGGCTGGGGTTCAGGCTCGGGGTACTCGCCATTGTGGTACTTCTTGAAGTTGGTCAACTGGGTGGTCAGGTTGACGTGTGCTGGCGTCTTGATGAGCGAATCAAACGACTTAGACCGCGAGAGCAAGTTCTCTTGCAACGACACCTTGATGTAGGGGAATGAGGCCACGAGCGAGGGCTGCAGCGAGTGGGAGGTAAGGAACTGGTGAAGCTCTGCTGCCGACTCCTCGTCACGCAATATGATGATGATTCTGTTCAAGAAGGGCAAGTTGGACCAGTACTCGATGTGGCTGAGGAAGTAGTTGTCTTGCTTGCCGGCAGGAACCAAGTTGAGCACCGTCAACTTGATCTGGTCCACCACCGTAAGCTGGGTGTGTGACGAGAACGACGTGTGGGGGTTGGTGTCGACGAAGTCGTCTTTTTTGAGGTTGTTGATGATTATGGTGGTTTTAGGGAGGGGGAAGGTTGCGGAGGCTTGCGAGTCTGGGGAGAGCGACATGGTGAGGATTTAGTATGGAGATTATATAGATGTAATGAGGCTCGTGGTTGGGCCTTGTAGAATTTGGTACAGTGGTGTGCTGGCCTGCTTCGATTTATTGCTTTATAATCATAGGGTGCTGATTGGGCTGCCCCGTACTTATAGTGATCCTGGCACTATCTGCACTCTACTCAGCCTTCGCACTGCCCATATCGAAGTAGATATGATAGTGGAGAGCACACTTCGGGTTGAACCCGGCACTGCACCGGATGCAGGAGGCAGATGGCCCGCCAGCGTACTGGCGGAAGGTTAGCTCGGAGTAGCACTGGCCACACAACACTACCTTGGCGTGGTCTAGCTCGTGGGGGGCCCAGCGCATCGGCTCGTGGTGCTCGCGGGTGGCCTCATCGTGGCACTGGTAACATGGGTAGTAGTCGCCGCAGCACCGGAATTTGATGGCAATAATATCGAGCTCAGTATGGTAGTGAAAGCAGCGGGTGTGACTGTCTACGACACGGCCGTACACTGGCACGGTGGAGGTGCCCAGAATAAATGGAGTGGTCATTGGGGGACGATTGTCGCTCGATGGCGAGAGATGACTCGGTGCGACTGACGTAGTCACTGGGGGAATCACGAAAGAGTCACTCCGATGATTCATGAAATCGAAAAAGTGGATTGGGGCTTGGAAACGGTAAATTGTTCCGCTAACAAAATCTGCTGGCGCAGACCTGGTACCACCGGTGCTCGCACAGTAGTGAAGGATGACCGTAGCTGGCGCAGTCACTCATGTCACCAGTAATGTCTGGCATGTACTGAAGTCGCATCCCAGAGTGCTCCGCATTGGCCCAAAACCATGCTTTAGACACCCTAAACAGATCTGGCTTTTAATCTACGAATTTGCAATCATTACAAAAGCCCTTTGCCTTTAGACTAGAAGATTGTACCAGGATTACTCCGGTTGTAAGCTCGTGGTGATCAGACTCAGGGAGCAGTTCTGAGTTGGGTGAAGGACTTGCATCAAAATACTGAATAGAATCTGAGTCATCACTCAGTATTGCTTGCGTTAAATAAACCCCGTTGTTATTCTTCTTCCGGTCATCCTAATAGAGTCATATGTCTTCGTTTCAACTCACTTTTGCATTTTTTTTGAAAATTTCTATGTGAAAGTGTTCGAACTTCAACGGTCCATCCTAGAATTCAAGAAAATTTACTTGTAATATACTCTTATATACTCTTTTTTAGTTCTACATGTCAACATCGAATCCATTTTCCACCTGCTGCCTATCTAGAACTATTCCAACCAAATTGGATTCTGTGTGTGTCACTAACGCCCCTAATTCTGTTTAAGGTCTCCACAAGTACTTGCCATCCCAAAGTAGGTAATCCGGCACTTAGCATGAGGTTCTAAATACTGCAAGTCGCATACACTCGGGCAGTGGTTCAGTTATCAATTGTGAATGCCTCCCCTAGTGTATCTACTTCAACTCTGTGGTGGATGATATCCAGCAGTGTAGGCCCCCTTTACGGAACTTAAACCGAGCCGCGCGGATGTTTGGATCAAAATTCTCTAAGGGTCCAGTGATTATTTTTCTGATACTTTATTCACGAGCAACAGGCAATTGTGCTGTATTTGGGATACATCGACCTTAAGCTGGATGTTCAGGCATATGGCAAGCGTTTAACCTTTTTAAAGGAGAAAGTTCAAATTCATTAAAACAGAACATTAAAACACAACATAACTGTCGTTTTAGTTATTATAGGCTGTTCGTATTCCAGTAATTATGTCACATCATCCCTGATACCCTATCTATATTTTTTTATGATTATTTTGTAGAACACTCATTGACCTTATCAGTACTGGGGAAAGTGACATATTCCAGATGTTGGAATACATCGAAGTTTCAATAAGAGGAATCGATTTCTCGACCTATTTACTTTGCATCCCAGTAAACAACATTGGATTTTTGAGACTCTACGTATAAGACACCAATTTGTTGACTTTATTCAGAACAGCAAGTACTAAGTAGTGCTTCAAGACCGTTCCCGAAAACCGAAGCATTTGTCATTCTACAAAACAAACATTTAGAAATGAAGACTAGCATGTACCTTGCCAATGGAACCCAAGGCCCAGCTGCATTGATCAAACAGAATGAAGATGTCATATGTTTGAAAGGTTACGTGTTTGTCAGAGCACCACTTAAGAATAATGCAAACAGAGGTCGGTCTCCATCTAAAGTCATGACCCACTTAATATTTCTAATGGTACTCTTTAGTTCAATAGAGGTATGTTAGGTTTGATGAATTGCAAGATTTGAATCTTTCATTTTGTTTTTTAAATAGCCCCAGGTTATCAATTTTGAATGGAGAGAATGACAATTAAGTTGTGACTAGGGAATATTCTCTTTAAGCCATGTTCTAGTGGAAGTGTTGAGAGCCCGAGTAAGATACTTGGCTTGATGCAAGATCTAGCTGGATACAAAGGAGCTCACCATAAACGAGATGTACTCTACGAGATAGGGATGTTTTAGCTAGGCTCAATAGACGATATAAGATGAATATTGTACTTCAAAGGGTAGGTCAGCTTAAATCCGTTATCAAGATCCGCACCTTGATAACTGCAGAGTAAAATTAGTGAAAATGCCTGTGCAATTTCAACACGTTTTCAGGGGTGGCGGTGTCTAAGATACATTTTGGTACTACTATCCTCAGGGGTTTACCTGCTGTTCAACTAGCTTAATACGAGTCCGTACAAGTGGGACATTTGAGTGTGTTTACTGTCGGGTGCACTGTTTGATGCCCTTGCCCAGACGTCAGAAAAGCATGAGTTGCGCAATGTGGAGTTGGGCGTGGGGGTACCTATATAAGGAGGACTTGCTATTGGAAAGTTATAAGTAACATGTCAACGTTAGCGTTATTCTCATTGAAAGGCAAAGTGGCCGTTTTAACCGGCGGTACCAATGGCATTGGTTTGGGATACGTACGAGGTTTAGCAGGTGCCGAGATAAGCCAGATCATTCTCACTTACAGAAATGAAGATGCCTTGAAGACGACGATTAAGGAGATAGAACGCATCAATCGCAATGTCAAGGTTGATGCTATAAAGGTAGATTTTGCCGGAGATGAAGATCAGAACGTGCAATTGATCACGGAGGAATCATACAGATTGTCAATCACAGGAAAGGTTGATATTCTTATCAATAATGCAGGTATAGCCCATCGTTCACCTTTGGAAGACTTTCCTCAGGAGAAATTCGACGAGGTGATAAAAGTCAACTTGAATATTCCCATTAAGCTTACAAAAAGTATTGGAACCCGTATGATTGAATCGGAAACCGAGGGTAAAATTGTCTTTACTGCTTCACTTTTATCTTTTCAAGGGGGACTCAACGCTACTCCTTATGCAGTTTCAAAGGGAGGGATCAAGAGTTTCACACAGGCAGTTTCAAACGAATGGGCCTCCAAAGGTGTCAGAGTCAACTCGATTGCACCAGGATACATCGAAACAAAGATGACTGACACAATGGATCCAAAAAATAGATCCAAAATTATTGATAGGATCCCTTTTGGAAGGTGGGGAAATATAGATGATTTCCAGGGGCCAATAGTTTTCCTTGTATCTGATGCTTCTAGATATGTTACTGGCGAAACTTTAGTGGTGGATGGTGGGTGGATGAGTCGATGATTTGGATGTATGGAAATTTTTAGAACTTCTGATCTTCATGGATCATTTAATGTTATCAATTATAAGATAGTTTTAACACCTCTCTATACTATACGTAAGTATTGTGACATGTTTTAGATCAAGGTTAGGTTGTCTGTTTACGAGAAATTCCTTGTACCGAGATGAGGAAGGAACTACTCAATTAATCTTCTTTGAAAACCTTTCTTAATGCACGTACCCTCTCATCAAGTCATTAACTCTTTATGTGGTATTCAAATAGGGTTTACGTAGGCAGTTGTTAGTCCTCTTGTTGTAAGTAGCTTACCATATAGTTTAATTCACCAATGGTTAGTGAATTAAGGAGTTGATAGGCTCAGTAGTCATTTATCATAACTAATCATGAATTCATTTCAATTAAACAGGCGGAGAATGTGAATGATGAGCTATAGTATCCCTTTGTGAGCTGCAGCATGGCCAGTGAAAAGAAGCACCAATTTTTATTGGTACAAGAAGAGATATCATTGACTCTCCAAAGATTGACCCATTTATCTAATAGATGCATTGGGACAAACTTAATTCTTTTTTACTCAAGTAGAACTCTGATTTACTTCAAGGTACTATCCTTGTCTTGAAAGAGTAGTGTCATACATATGTCTCAATCGAAAAAAAGGAAGTACTCTGGACATGGTGATATAGTCTTGTCTAACAAGTACAATTCCTGGGTGATTATTTCTTAAAATGAGTTTTTCATACATATAGTTGATAATACAAGTTCTTGATTGAACTTGCGATGCAAATTACGAGGTTGAAACCTTCTTTCGCAAAATCAAATACTAGAAAAAAATATGAAGCACTTTCATAAGGTTAAAGCTCAAAAAAAACTGGAAGAATCTCATTAGTTATTTTTAATTAGGAAGTACTCTGTAGTTTGATAATGCAGAACCGGAAACTAGTTATCTTGAGGTTTCCTTCCTAAACTTTCAATAGTTCTATGTGAAGGATGTAACAATTTTTACAACTTTTGTTAGCCTCAATGTAATATTACTGAACCCAAATCTCGGGTAAGACTGTAAGTACGGACCATGATGTGTGATTTTCCTTTGACTAGGAAAATTAGAAAGAATAGTCACTTGGACGAGGATCATGATTTACAAACTGTTACAATTAGACGCGAAATGCGAATTTATCTAGGGAAGGAAAAGCAAATTTCATCGGAGTTGAACAGCTTTAATGGCATTTAAATCCGGAATGCATGTATTCTCGAGATCCTCTCGCAGAATTGGGGATGAGAAATGCGAGGCTACCTATGTCGAGCAGCCGAAACTAAAAAATTTGAATGGCACAGAACATAGTTTTACAGCTTACGCGGTGGGTGAATGCATATGGTCATCGAAGCCCAACTTAAGCTAGTTGTGATAAAAATAATGGGATCAGGCAACTATGTAAACGATGTTGTCCCTATTTTTGGACTTTTGAAAAGCTCCTTATTAATTCTTTCCAATCACCCTTATAATTTGAACTACAGGAAGTGTTTTGTCTCTTTCAATTGGAGTTAAAGTCGCTATTGAATAAAGGAATTGTCCTCGTTGGATAACTTTCAAGTAGAAGTACCAATGTCTTTCGAGTTCGAAATGAAGATAAGGCTAAGTAATTGGTAGAGTATGGCAGTAGGGGGTTCCTATTCTTGGCAAAAATGACATCGATGATCGTTTGCCCTTGGTATCTCTTGCAGAATTAAATTTTTATAGGTCTACTAAAATGCCTCTACAGACCAGTACTAATGAAGTTAGAGAAGATACGCCTGAAGATGATGGGTTGCCCGGTTCAAGTACGGATGAAGTAGAGCCAGAGGAATGTAGGTTAAGAATCGTATGTACACTGTTAAGTTGATTGTAATCCTATATTTTCCTTGGAGTTCGAAATTTTACTCAAGAATCGTTCTTTACTCGTTTTTTTAAACAAAATAATATGTAATTTTTTAGCGGTAAACGCATAAAATTAAGGATGTTGCACCCGAGAAGCTTTTTATTGTAGGTGCAACCTAGATCTATAGAGGAGCCAGATTTAGAATCATTCGTTAACACACACATGAGCAGTACTATTTACTGGTAACTTTTGTGGGAAACTCCGATAAAACTTCTGTTTTCACGGATTTACACTGCACAAAAGCACCACTCAATTCATAGCGTATTTGTATATCAAATGGGGATTTTGCAACTGGAGTACATGCTTACCTGTCAATTTATTTCTCAGGATTTTCAACCTGCACGGATATTTTAGATTATTTTTCAGAATGCATATGGATACTTTAGCTCATTGACTTGGAGAACACAAGGCAGATTTGCTCAATACATGCTGGTGTGATTACGAATGGTCTATTGCAGGTGAGAAATGAATCTGCTGTTGTGCAAATTGACGTGCCTTAAAAAACAACACAAAAAACTGACGGAGAAGATATTCTAATAAGTGCTTGTGTTCTGATACGTTCGCAACTATTTCAAAACTTCTAATTACTAGCTTTGTTCATTGTGATACCTGATTTCAATAATCATCATGAAATTGCTGAGCATAGTGTCCATTGCTGGTACACTTGCCTTTGCCGCTGGTAAGCAAGTCACTGGTGTATTTACGAGTTTTGATTCTCTTGTTTCGGATGCCCAACCTGCCGTAAACATTACGAGCCCCGCTACACCAAGTTGGGTTGCAAACTTGAGTTGGGCTATGAGTGCCAATGCTGTTTCTCCTGGTGATACTTTCGGTCTTAATATGCCATGTGTTTTTACATTCACAAATGGAAACAAAACTTTTGAGCTACAAGCTGAAGGCAAGACATATGCAACATGTTTGTTGACGGCAGGAGAAATTTCACTTCCGTATTCCTCCGTGGAGTGTACTGTCACCAACGAGATAATCAACGGAGATGTGGTTGACGGTGCTGTATACTTCCCTATCACCTTCAACGTAGGAGGGTCATCTAATCCAGTTGATTTAGTATGCTCCAAAAGGTTCAAAGTAGGCATGAATACTATAACGTTCAATGATGGGAAGAATTCTCTCTCAACCACTGCCACTTTCAATGGAGGTGAAGAAATTAGTCAAAGATTCCCGAATCACCAAGGGCCAACTCTGGATCTTACCAATGCAACCAGCTACGTGAAATATCTTCCACAAAAGGATGTTTATCAAGCGTTCGAAGTGTCAAGGGATTGTGGTAAAAACTCAAGCACCCGAGTAGAGATGGCCCTCACAGTGAATAATGGGGTTATTAATTGTTCTTCCTTTCATGTTTTCATCTCCAATTCGACCCAGTTCAATGAGTGGGGTTTTCCTACAAGTGGTAGAAAAATTGATTCCCAGCTGTACTTTTGTATCGATCAGCAAATAAACTTCGAAGTCAGCCAAGTTCCTCCAGGATATCGTGTATATTTCGATTTTCTTTTCACAAATCCCCCACTGAGACTTATCGGAACACGATCCTATGTATCTACTTTTTGCGGAAGAGCTAATCAATACGTATCTACTTGGGCTAAATTCTTAGGTGCACCACAAGTAGGAGAAGCCGGATCCACCGGTTTGATACTCAAAAGATCTTCCACTACAACAATTTCCTCAGGCAGGACTGGAACGTACACCACTACTGTGACCAGAACTGGGAATGGAACTAATACTGTGATTATCGAGACTCCAGTTCCTGAGACCACCATCTCCTCAGGCTGGACTGGATC